TGATCCCATCCTGTATATCCGCTGGTGAAGGGCATCAACCTCTTCCTGCTCCATGCTTCCTACTTTCCTCATTAGCATACGAGACCACATTCGATTGTTTTGATTGTCATCATAGATGGCAATATTGCGGCTTGGGCGAGTGCAAATATATCGTAAAGTATATTCTGCATCGTCTGGCCATGGAATATATTATTCTACTGTCACATTGCAGATATCTGTAGTGCCCTGAAATGCTGTATTAGACGGATTTATCTGCATATACAAATGTTATCTCTGGTGAGTGTGGAGGGGGAAATTAAATGTAATGTAAAATTAATCTGATGGCGAACTGTATCAAACTTTTTTTTTGAATTGGACAACCTTTTTCGAGTTTGTTCCATAATTTTGGACAGAATAAACAATTTTGCCATGAGCACAGTTATATGAAATTTGTTAAGATCAGCCCGTAATTAACAGCGTACAACTTTTATCATATTAACGTGTATAAAATTCCGATAATGCAATGATAATATGCATTAACGGTAAAGAGGAATGCATGTGTTGCGCATCTATGGCTAACAAAAGGTCGATTTATTCATGCGTAAATAACCACAGCACAGAATTACTAATCGTTTTGAAAAGGTGTTTATTACTTTTAAACAGAAAATTACCATTTAACATATCTCATAACAGCAGTATTCAGCTGGTAATAGATTTTTGACAGCGGCGTATTTTGGACATTACAAATCGTATATTACAGTCGTATACGTATCGGTATTTTCAGGTTTCTCACCAGCGCTCAATGAAAGCGTAGTGTGCACAGAAGATTGGTGAAAACTGGGGGGTCGTTTTACGGCTTCCACAGTTTTGCGATGAGGTTCGGCATTTCGGCAATTCTTGTCGTACTTATTTATGTTTTTACCTGTTTTGTAACATTATGATATCGGATAAGGCTTAACCATATTTATAGCCGTTAGCGGTCAGCAGTCCTACGTAGATTGGGACATATCTACAGATACTGTACATCATGTCGTGCGTCTCCGTGAGTTTGTAATAAGGAAGGATATCATTTTTCCTGTGTACTCCTCTAATGACGATCTGACTGACAGATCCTGCACACATCTGCAAGAAAAACTAGCCATAAATACTTTCGCCATCATGGGTATAAATCTTTCGTCAGTTTGGTTGCCGGTTTATGCTAATATTAACAAGAAGGCAAACTTCTTTTCCCGGCAAAGACATCGATTTTGTACATGGCGTGAATATACCCAATAATATTACACTCTTCGGCATATTTAATGTTTCGCATATCTACACGCCAATCCCGAACCGTCAATGAGCATGGGATTCCAGCTTGTTTAGCCTGTGTTGGTCCGTTTCTCTGCAATTTATGTGTACCGTCCACACTGTGACACGTTCTGATTTATCCAGCATATCTTTGATATCGTGGTTGTTTTCGTATTAATTACTGTCTATTTTTTAAGCAATAATACCATCCATATTATCAGATTGTAAATTTCTTAAATTTTACTTTTTGAAAGTTGAACTGCTTGACTTAATCGGCATTATATTATTATGTTATGGGCCGAGTGAAGAAATTTGACTGGTTTCAGTGATTTACATCTGTGGTCATTACCTAAAGCGAAAAAATTTCGTTTGCCTTTAGATCCCAGAGATTACCTCATTTTAGATATTAATTACTAATTCTCATGGAGTCGGCATAGCGCATCACATAATTCACACTGTAGGAGTGTTGTTGAGTCAACACAATGCTCCTATATTTTTGCACTTGTTTTGTTCTAATCTGCATTTAAAATGGATTGTTGTCTCGATTCTGATATCCAAAAAGTCTTTGGGCCTTTATCAATGGATTACAGGAAGTGGGGTCTGGATTTGCACTCATACATAAAGGTGGATCGATTGTCGTACGCATGATAAAGATTTATAGAACTTAAAGCTTACTTCAGATAGTGTAAATCAATGAATGCTGTAACTGATAAAGCGTAAGTGGTATGTCACCCTTTCATATGTAGTTTTCTTAAATCGAATTCGCCTAAACGTTTTGCGCACTCTGTACAATCAAATAATCTTGGCTGCAGACGATTTGTAGAAGAACTTGCGATGCTTACTAAATTTTGGTATCTATATATAGTTATTACTGCCATGCGTACGAATGACCATTAATTTTTTATTTGACCTGGATTCATCTCACTAATCGCGTAAAAGAAGAGTTAACAAAAGCCGGTTTTTTAATTGTTGGAGAAAACCGTGCATTGAGTTTTGTCAAATAAGATATATATTTTTATATCATTTTTTATCTGTTGTATAAAATTATCTGTTTCCTACTCTGTACCTGGTGTATACAGCAAAAGAGGATCAATTTCATAAAATGTGGCTTTATTATTTGATAATCGCGAAGTTTGTAGTAGTATTTGTAGTGGCAGTTTGTTTGTTTGTAGATTTTATAAAGCATGGCTGGATAATTTGGTTATTTTAGAACTTGTAGTGCCTACTCTTCTTCGTGGTTACGGAATTGTTGTTTATATGTTTTGCATCGCTTTTGCGATTAATATTTGAGTTCAAGCACCATCAAATGAGCACTTTGCTGACTTTCGGTGTCCCAGCGGACATGTCTGGGAAGATTAATCGCTGCAAACGGCATTTTCATACAATAATACATGTTGGTTTAACCGGATGAGTAATACAGTCTCGATCAGTTTTAAGTTGTAGCATGTTCCAGGATCGCAACCCGGAACAAGACGTGTATTAAGGTGCGATTTAAACAGTTAGTATTTAAAGTATAGCCTTATGGTCGGTAATAGAAGAATTACTTTATACGAGTACGGTATTAATTAATCCACTTCCTTAATCGTATAAATTTACAGTAACATCAGTTCCATCACTACATTTCGGATACATACTTTCTGATGTTCAGTTTTGTATCTTCTCACATAGCGTAATACACCTAGCAATGTATTTTAAAACATAGTACAATGTGTGATTAATCGTGTAGGGCTGCCCTAAAGGCGCGTTCCAGATTTAGGTTTGTTCGTAAATTTGCGAGTGTTCTGGATTGCTGCGTTATCAAAGATATAAAGTATTACTGCATTAAGGTATTGTTGTTGTCTACACGCTGTTTGGTATTTTATATTAGTTCAAATTTGATGTTGTAAATTTATAGTAACTCATCGGTGTATGCCGAATGCCTGTTATTAAACACTGTTATGCTTGTGCTGTGTGTTGTTATTGTGTTGATCGTGCTATGAAAAGCGATCAGTTGGCCACATAGCTCAAATATCTGCCTGCTCATTAATGCGGCATAGTTTATTTTATAACTTTATGAAAAGGATATGAATGCATGCTAAAGTGCTTGCACATGCGACTCGATTCGGCAATCGTCATTCTGCAGCATATGAGCTGCCCCCAACTGACCACTCTGTTCCAGATTAGCTGTTGACAAAGTTTTCCCTAAACTCAGCCTGCCTTGTTATCATTAGCTCCAGTCTTTGGTACAACGCGGATGATCAAATAATATATAATAAGTAATAATCTCCAAAGATCGTTTGCGCAGGAAACCGCAATTCAAGGGTTGATGAACCGTATCTGACATTACGATACCATAGCCCGTAATACTCGCACAAGCTGTACTTATTAAAACTGATATTGGTCGTAGCATTTGATTTTTATTTGATACCGTACCTGTGTTTTATGTCGGAAATGATTACACTAATACCAATGAGAACAGTTTAAAATAAACACTTTAGGTGTTGGCCTTCTTTTTTCGGTAATTGATTTCGGGAAGCCGCCTGATTCAAAAATTGGAAGCTGAATGACGTTTGTTGCGCTGGCACAGTCAAGTCAACGGTACAAAAATTCTTTTATTCACTTGCTGCATCGTGGTGATCCCGCATAATATAATTAAACTCATGTTGTTTTGTCGACGTGTTAGTTAATGTTACCAACACAAAGGGTTCACATCAGAAATTTTAATTTAAGAAAGCAATTGTGGAGATCAGAAACATTATTTGTGGCTCCGACACTGACCATGGTGTATCCGGTACCTAATCCAGTCACAGCGGCAGAACCCACTCCGTTTTTGTTATTATACCTCGTATTTCCGGCCGGCAACTGGCGTAGATCAAAATCCCTGCGTGTTCTTTAACTATTAAATAGTCAGCTGACCAATGCGTTGTTCAATTTTGTAGACGATGTTCTCAAATAAATTTAAATCAATGCCGCATATTTTAACTTAACGTAGGACATTCGCGTATGAAAATCAAGTAGACAAGAAGATAATAATCAAGATAATTATCAAGTAGATAATTATACGAAAAATATTGTTAACAGGATATGCTGAAAACGTTCTTTTGTGCTGCTAAAGGATTTAGCTGTTCCATTTAGCTGTTTCAGTACCAAAAGTTTCGTTTAAACTTGTTGATTTCTTTTTTCGGCGCTGCCCATCCAACTAAGCTGAATAAAGTGAAGTAGATTATGAAAAAAAAGTGAACATGTGCATTATGAACAGTTTTAAGCTTGAATTAACCAAGACGTTCCCTTTATTTGTCTCAGTCATAATTGTAAGTTCGCAACTTTCTTTTTCTCCAGATGCCTATTTCCATGCTAAAATATGTTGAAGGCTTAAAGCCGAGGAAGCAACACCAGTTTCGTAAGAGTAGCAGCTGGTGCTGGTCGAAAGAAAGTAAATGTGTTAAATACTGCGGTCGAAGATTTTTGCTCTTTCATATCTTTGGCACGTAAAAGAATACAGCTTCAGAAAGTTTACACTTTATTTTGACAAGATTTGATTTCGCTTTCAAATTCCCCGGCTACTGTGCACGGATTACGTCCGTATATGTGTGTTGCCTTGCGGTTTCACATCCATTTAAATTTAGAACTCTCTCTGAATCTGCTCGTAGGGAAGCTGATAGACGTTATAAAGTTTGCGCAATTATATATTTTGATGACCGCACACTATGCGCTTTATGTGCGATGTCCAAGCTCAAGCGCGTTCTCCTTTGCAGATCTACACCGACTGGGCAAACCACTATCTGGAAAGGTCTTCTCGACACAAACGCCTCATTCAGGATTTGCAACAAGATATCACAGATGGCGTTTTATTAGCGGATGTTATAGAAGCTGTCAGTAAGTATAATTCGACGGCTGGGAAAACTTAAAAACAACCTTTTTCCCATGCTCAAAACTGAAAATAAAAGCATTCATCACTTGGTAATTGTAGAAGTATTCAAAGATTGTGGAATCTGGAATGCGACTAACTTATATATCCGCTGATTAAACGTAAAATGAATCTGCCTTCCAGTGATAAAACTTCCTTCATATTTAAATTTAAAATAATGTCTTTTCCTTCATTTTATTGGTACTTCTCCAGTACATTGAGCGTCAAACCAAAAATCCAGTTTAGTCTGTTTTTCCAAGTTAAATATTTTTGGTTCGAAACCGTATACGAAATTAACAAGGTTAAGCATTTCGCAATGTCCTCGCAGGCGTGTCAGCAAATTGTTTTGAGCTGGACTTCAGAAAACGCATGCGCAACGCAATTTTCGGCATTTCAACACTGACCATGTTGATGATGTCCATCAGTACGTAGGTCAAGTTAACTTCCTTCCTTGGGACGTTTTACCCCCTTTCATTACATGATCAAGTTCAATCGAAATCAAGTATCTGTTTACTTCTTGATTCGGTTTCCATTGCAACTAAATATATTCGCACGAGCAGCTGACCACAGTGACCGGCTGCAGTGCACACTCAGTACACTACTGATCCGTCGTCAGTCGAGCAAATGGTTAATCTATAAATTCATTTTCACCGTCAGACAATTCCTTATCTCCAGATTTGAACACTCCAGTTGCCGCAAGAATGTCAGTATCCATTCGGCTGTATAATCCGCGCCCCATGTTGTGGGAATGCACCGTCATGAAGTTTCGGGAGTTTTCTTATTAATTATTAACTTATTAATTTATTATTTATTAACTTATTATCTTATTAACTTATTAATTTTTGTCAATTATCGAATTATTTTTATTATTATTTTTTATTATTTTAAAAAATTATCGAATTAACGAGAGCTGGAAGCGTGTCTAAGTGTTAAATGAACATCTCCACCTTTTTACGTATTAAATTCAGTGTTTGTGATGCATCGTATTACCATGTGGGGAAAAAGAGCCGGATTTACTTTTTTTATATTGAATTTGATTTACAGCCAACGAAAAATTACGGGACATCAAACAAAAACCGAAGTCGGACGCCCAAATTGTAAGTAGCACCTGCAGTAGAATATTAGTACGAACTGGTTATGCATTCAATAATTATGCAGTGTATAACATGTCGGGATATTATGGGAGACGGAAAAGTATATTTCGCATTTTTGTGTACAAGAAGGCTAGCGATATAAGCCCACAGCTGTCGTAAGACTCATCAGTCGAGAACCGGCACAGAACCGGCACGAAGTACCTCTGGTTTATTTCTAGCATTCTTCAGAAAGGTGCTAACAACTGTAAGGTGTGAAACGATTCAGTAAATTAGCATTTTATACTAAGTATAACTACAACAGTATGTAAAGCGCTGTTACATTATTGTGTGTTTTGACCCAATCTATCACACTAATGTTTCAAAGCAATTACCAGAAGGAACGTGCTGTTTCTTTAAGTTTTGGGAATGAATCATGGCGTTTTGGTATTCAACAACGGGTAGCACTTAAAAACAATCATTCATTTCGATTAGCTACCAACAATTCTCCAGAACAAATTACATTAGCATAGGTGAAGTATTGAAAGTACAGTACGAGGGTGGATCAAGAAGCAATGTGGGGGTAATTGTACAAGTAGTTAACGACACTTAAAAAGTATAAAATAAAATGTCACAACAAATTTAAAACGAGAACTTCTCAATCCGTGACCAGTAAAACTCGTTCTCGTCCATTCCCGGCAAAGCGTTCTCCTCAGGATTTTCCGGAGTCACCGCCCTGTCACGTTCCGACGCCGGCGAGACAGAGGTTCCCCTGGCACTACTCATCCCGCACAACTGGGCCACCCTCACGCTCAAGTCCACGTTATCAATCACCATGCATCCCTCCAGAATAAACCGCAAGTGTAGATTATGGCAGAGTCTGTTGCCCCGTGTTATCCCCGTGATGGTTAGTTCCACTGTGGAGTGCTGCTGCTGGATATCCCGGAGGACCGCTTTGACCTGGGAATGCTGTTTGGGTTTTATAAAGTGCGCCAAGCGTACCGTCACCGCCAGTCCAGGAAGCAGGCAAAACTGAGGCAAGAGCGGATACAAACACTCCAAGGGTAAAAACACACAGATTCCGATGTCCACCAGGTAACACTTGAAACGCGTGCCGGCGGATTCGATTACGGCACGATGGTACATATTCGTACCGGGGATCTGGACGGCAATAAGGTTTCCCTCTTTCCTTTCATTAGACCTGTAGAAAACATCAAATTCTAAGAAAAAATAATAAAAAAAATACGCGATGAAAATCTAAATGCTCGTTTGCGAATTTTACTGCATTATTAAGTATTTATACTGTTTTTAGTTTTACCACAAGCGCTTTAAAGCTATAACTATCGATCTAACTTGTCGTAATTATTACGTTATTGCCGTATCTCCTTATCCTTTTCACTGTGGCTACTAATAACAATCCATTCACGATTTAACAACGTTACCTTAAAATAACGCAATACGAAAAACCTTACTACTGTAACTAAAACGGAAACCAGTAACTAATTATTTAAGAAAAACCAGCTGGGACGGAACTGACGTCAAGGATGGGACAGTCTTGGCTGCTTTCGCTTGCTTATAAGCGTCAAACATTTCTTTTCGAAGACTTTCCAACAGCGTGAAAACTCCGGTGTCTCTTGGATTGCCCAGATAAGCACCAAGCGACATATCCAATTCCGAAAGTGCCGTAGGAACGAGGACCACTGTGCTTGCTGTTCGCAGTGTAACATGGAATAATTCCGGCGCCCTGTCAGCAAAAGGACAAATTCACCAGTTCGGCAAAGTCTTCCTCGCTGCCGCAACACTGCAAGCAACCACCACCCGCACAGCCCTTGTTGGATTGCGCAAACACCTACGTCTGTCCAGGGAGCACGATTTCTTTCGGAGCAGGCACAGCCGGTGGCTGGGCCTTGGACTTGGATGGTGTCCCTTCTCTGGACTTAGACATAGGTCTTCTTCCTCATCGGAATCCAAGTACGGTATGGGAATCGTCGACTGCAAATTCCGCCAGTAACGCGCGCCGCAGTAACCGTCGAATATTCCAGGCGGTCCGCCCGTAAAGCAGGACTCATCGATAAGGTCGTTTTCCGGGCCTACGTGATATTTGCACTGACTCGCGAATTTAACAAAACTCAGAAGCATCAGACCCGGATCAACAGCCCTTTACGGTTATATAACAGAGAACCACCAATGCGTAATGTTTACAGCTGTACGATACGAATGAACTCTATAACAAACAGAAATGAACTCTGCAAATATTATATTCAATTCACCACAACGACTTTTAAAAAAGTTTAAAAAAACTTTGTAATGGAATTTCGCAATGCCGTACCGAAAATCTGTGCGCTGGGGAGTATACCCCGAGAAAAAAGATGTAAAAAATAGATTGCATACCGAAGTGATGACTTACTGGCCGGACGTCTGGGTTCTGTGGCGGCAGCGGCAGGATTTTGCACCGCGAAACGAGGGTTGCGAAATATTCCGTTTGGGTTCAACTGACGACGGAAAGGTGCGCCGTTTGTGGCAGGAGCACCGTTAACTGTGGTAGCTATGCCGTTTACAGAGGAGGAAGAATGTGACGCTGCAGGGGGACCTCTTCCTCGTGTCCAGTTGTAATTCGGACTGTAGCGCGGTCGGAAAGGCGCACTGGGCTGAGGAGCTGATACGCTTGCTGTAAGGCGTTGGTCTTCCGGGATATGTCCAAGGCGTACCTTATAAGGAGCAGCAGGACGCATGGCTCAGCGTACGGTGTACCACAATGAAAAGGAAATCCACGAGAGGAAGCCGCACCGAAAGATCAGTCAAGCTCGGAAAACTGCTAGCGTCTTCCCCAATAGTCCAAGATTCAAGAATCAAGTGCCAGTAAACAAAGCCATGAACTGCACCTAATTTAGCGAAAGTATACTACAAAGTCAAAAACAAGTCAAAAATCTAAACAGGCTATAATAACTGGCTATTCGTAATTTCTTAAGAAGGGAAAAGATCACAAAAAACTTTTGAATTTTGAAGTGCTGTTGCGTCATTTGCTTGTATTCAAACGGTTCGGTGAACAAAAGGCAAAGTACTTACTGTACTTTTTGCATCACTACTAACAATAAACGGTTCATACTGCACCGCGACATCTTTTGGCGGCGGTTACCTACTAGTCACTAGCGAACTACTTTCTTTTGTTCTTAATATTATTTAATATTCTTCTTTTTATATTTTCGTATTAATGGTATGTAAGGTAGGGGAACGTAGGCAGTAAACATGCACCAGCTACACGTGCATGCGCGTTTTGTGGTTACTACATAAGTGTAACAAAAATTTGACGTCCACTGTTACGTTTCACAGAATTCCCAGTTTACTGTTTTTTTTCACAGTATGTTACGTTTCACAGCTATATGTTGCGTTTCACAGAATAAGTAGCTTATCCACTTAAGATAATAAAATAGTCCTGACTTTGGCGTATTCGAAAATACAGACAGGTGATCGGCAATTAGCGTGAATTAATTAATGTGAGTGTGCATACATAAAATATTTTTTAAAAAAACATTTACGCTCTTTTTTAAAGCAGTTTTATAATTCACCTGCCTTATAGTCATGTTTCTAAAATGTTGGTTGTCCAGTTTGATAACCTACTCTGGCTGTTTGCCTGAATCAGGTCTATACGAGTATACAGCTCTTGCAGTTCAATGGTTCCGAACTCTTAAATAAATTATGGCAGTATTATCGCAGAGAATTAATTACTGTTTGCACTGGACGGCTACAGATAAAGTATGTTTTAAGCGGTATGTGCCGTATATCAAATAGATCTATACGAGCACCCCATTTTTTGAATTTTACAACGCCAACAAAATGAAATAATTATTACACTAATATAATATTTTGGTTATTATTTATTGAGCTGTTAGTATTGCCGTGTACAAGTTCTGCAAAATTGCAACTATTGGAATCTTTGAATACTGTGAACTGGTATAGTAGCATACTTGTCGATTGCATTACATGAATTAATCTAGTGTCAGGTTAGCGTTTACTTATTAATGAAAAGTGTTCTTGCTTTAACAAATGTCAACAAGAAAAGCTGAAATTAGGGATGCATAGTAGCGGTAGGTCAAACAGGTTACGCGCTTGTGCTGGTTAAAGATAACCTTTAAAGCGTGTTTGGCACTGCGAAATGAGAAAACAACTTCTGCATAAGAGCTGTTGCAGCATGTTGCGGTTTTTAGGAGGAGCAGTCTTTTATGTAAAGCTAGAAACGTCATGTAATTACACTCATAGTACCTTAAGCCTTTTCGCAAAATAATGCCAAACAGCGTTATGCTGTTGCTCTGAGTGCCGTGTACTGTTTTGCTGATTATCGTATTATTGTTACGGCCGGCTTACTTTTCATTACATCAGTTGCGCATCAAATGCTTTGGAAGAATAGAGCAACCTTCAAGAGACTTCAGATTTTGCATACATCGGTAGCTGTATCTGGTCCAAAAAAATCGTCCATTACTGTAGTAAGCGCAATGCGCCGGTGCAGGTGCATCGTATACAAGTCTACGCACTGTTGCTCATCGCATCCAACCCGATTACCGGTCGAAATCCTTTGTCAATTGTAACAATAGTTTTTAGCTATAGCTTTAATATTGATGCAGCGCAAACATGTACATATAACGCTCAGCCGCTGAATTACCAGCAAATTTTGCGTTTACTTAGGACAACAATAGCTTTGCATGCTGTTGAGCATTACATTACGTTTCCAATGTTTTCAGTTGGACAACATCAGCGTCTGCTTGAAATGCATTGATAATCTGGGAGTGAATACGGAAGGATTGCAGGCGGAAGGTACAGTGTGTATGCGCTGGTCATTGTTGACGGCTGTGTCGACACGGTTCACGCACGACCAAACGACGGCGGCAATATGATCGTCGTTATTATATTTTGTTTCATTTAGATAAGGCGGATGGTCGATGCTCTTCGACTGCATTTTTGGCGACGTTTTATTATGATTTTTTAACACTCGTCTAAGTTTGATGTCTCGTTAACCTAAAAATTTTGCTCAGCCGCAAAGGATCGTTTTCCCAGAAATTGCTCTTTTTGCAGATATCAAGAACGGAAACCTGCGTGCCATATTGGGATTATTTTTCAGTCTTTCACGGTATAAACAGCAGAAGAAAGCCGCTAGCCAGTTGGCGTCCGCCGCTCAGCCACACTTTCCGTCCGTTCCACCCAATCCAGCTCACAATCCTGTTAATCCTGTTACGGACACCATGCTTCCAAAGTGGGTTTTTTCACCGATAACGGAAACCGGAATAGCACGGTACACCTTTTTTGTTTGTATCCAGGTTGCCTTCCCCCTTTAAGTCAACGAACGCTAACCGGAATTCAACCGGAGCGATCCCGCAGAACGTTAGTGTACCGGCTGCCGGCGGGCAGAACAGACGGAGCCTGACGAACGCGGAAAAAGAGCGGACTGCCTTTAACGGATTCAATTCCGGTAGGTTGTGAGTCGACTGTCAATTTGTAGCTTATTCTTTTGAATGTTTATTATTGAACATTAAATGCGTGGCTTGTGTCATGATGTGCGTAACTAGGTAGGCAGCTGCTAACCTGCCTAGAAACTATTCTATATATAAAGTTTATAAACTACTCGTACCGTAACGGTACAAGTACATTTAACAATAAGTTTTGCCGAAAGTTTTAACATTGTTCCGTGACAAGTGGTCACTGACAACTAAGTTTTGTTTCTGCCTGGAACAATTTAGTAAGCCGCACTTAACTTCTCGCCTAACTTCCAATTTTATTTATATGTAAATTAAGTGGTTTCATAAGACGAGCTTTGTTTTGTTTTCTTATTGTCTATTCTGCAAATCCTTTTTTGCCGTAAGTGCTTTACTATATACATAATAGTTATTTGGTTACCACCAAAATTTTGTGACGGATTATGCAAAAACAAGTTACATCATATTATCGTACTATACAGAACCGAAAATCGACAGTCACGGGCGGTCATTTACAGATTCTCGTATTTTATTTGTAGTATTTACTTATATGCCAAATTTACTAACGGAATCCCAGAAGCGTATCTCTATATGTATACCCTTATTGCATCATGGTTGAAAAGAATAAAATTCTTTCATTAAAAAGTAAAAATTTCTAGCTCAGGTAGTTAATGCTATGAATTCTGCCGCTGAAAATTCAAATTTTATGTTGGTCTATACACTGTAGAAATACTTACTAGATAAACCAGCGTTACCTGAAAAGTTCGAGAATTTAATGACCACTTGTGCGAGGTTAGTGCATCTGAAACCACACAATACAGGGCAAACAGGGTGAGAATACCAAACTGACAAATGTTTGGTTTAGTAATAATGACGCCTTGGTCTTGCTTGATGTGGAGTCAACACCAAACCACAGATAAGACAAATTTACCCTTTATTGTATACATAACACATAAAATATTTAAGCTTGGGAACAAGTGCTTGTGTGGACAGGGTAAACTCGTAATCCTGGCAGGTTTATAACAGATGTGCGCCAGTTTAAAACCGTTCCGCTGTTTTCCTATAACGGCATGCGGTTTTGAAATATTTCTATAGTGGAATGCGGTTTTGAAACATTTTCGAGAGTATTTTTTGTCATACGGTAGATTTATTTATTTTCGTATGGACAATTGAGTAACTGAACCGAAAATTTTTAACAAACTTCTGAAAAAATTAACTATTAAGTCAAAATATTTGTCAAGAATACAGTAACTCTAATAAAGTATGAGTTCTCAGTAACGTTGCCTTGTGTAATAATTATGTGCTCTCGGTTAATAAATTAATTGCAATACGTAATCGATGTACAGTATTATATAGGGACCCCTTCAATCCTGGAAGTTTTCTTAATGTTGTAATACACATATACATACATTGGATCGGAAATGCAAATACGGTTTTTCTGGAAGAGATGTGTCAACATCGATGTTCGCTCATAATTAATACAAATATTAACTGAATTGAGTTTCGACCGTTCTTGGTCATAATGCCGAATCGCCGATATGGAGCCGTAAAGACCCGACCACTTGTATTACGCGGTTGATTTCGAGTATTACGGCATTTATGTCTTCTACGGCAGTACGGTAGGAGTCAGCTGGAAATAATGAAAAGATGGCCATGGTGGCTATTCAAAACTGATTAGCCAGAACCATCATCTGGAATACATCAACGCTAACATTGGCATTGCCTGTGATGGATGAATGTCAGAATAATAACAACATGCATGAAGATGTTTAGAGGAAGAATCCATAAATATTCACAGTGAACTGTGTGTAGTGAAGTGCAGTGATCACGCACGTAATTTACTGGACACTGGTCGTCTGCATCCATGGTCCATTTCCGTGCCTAATGATTTCACGCAAGGGGCATCTACTGACACAGTGCACATATACGGGACGGGTAACGCCCATTCTGCCTGCATTGCAAGCACCATGATGACATGTGTGTACGAATTCTAACCGTGCCACAATAATAAGTACTGGAATATATTCTGTATCTATGCTGTCAAGGGGATTATTTCAAGTTGGATGTATAGCGCTACCCTCTGCGCCGAAAATTAATCCCAAATCCTTTTCAAATCTCCGCTATTTTCGCAATTATAATGCACGGATGGGACATGGGGATTTTCTTTGTTAGCAGCATTTGCATCGTGGCGACTTTTCTCTTTCAGTGTTAGCCGGTTTGAAAATGGGTTTGCGAGTCTGCATCAATATATTCATGTATATTATGGAGTTTTAAAGAATGTGGGCGAATAGCTCTATATAGTTTAAATGTATAAACACTGACGGAAGTGTTATCGGCGCCGGATTTGACCGCTTTAGTGGCCAGTGTGAAAGAGCGACTGGAATCGGGAGAGCTGTAGATCTGCTCTGTTCAGATACACCGAGCAAGGTGAGATACAGGATTGACATGATTCCGGTCGCGATGTTTAAATTTTGGAAATATGGAGCAGTTAGAGACTGTTTATGCCCAGAACTCCTCCGGCAGGTGCATTAACCTGTCACTTTAACGCTGTACTTTTTCTGGCTCTCTTTGTATTTAGATCAGTCTAGAAAATGAACGGATATGAGTAAAAGGAGTTGTTCAGTAATTGTTTCAGCTTTCTCTACTTCCAGCAGTTGTTATAATTCGCTCATTTCAGTTTCGCGCACCAGAAACATTTTTTTATTATTTCTGTGGTTTTAAGTTTCGGATGGACAGTAACAGCGGTTCAGGAATTTACTCTCCAATTCAAAGGCTTGTCAAGTCCTGTGATTTTCGGTAGGCGATTACTAAATTTATGTTATCTCTAACAGTTTATTTGTAAACGTAAGACTGCATATAAAACACAGCCATATCGCGTAGTATTGCTTTTTACTTGTTACTGGGCCATGATGCATGCATATGCATGCTTTTGCCATTAGTTTTGAGATAATTTAACTTAAAGAACAGGAAGGTATCCGGTGTGCATACGACTCATTGTACGAGAAAGCAGGAGCATTATATGACATTGTGTAAATTGCAGTTAATTAACAGTTCAATTTATGAACGTTTGCAGATAAATTAATACCGAAATTAGGAACCATAATGAAGCCACAGCCAGTTTGTCTGGATCTTTACTGGCAGTCGTGCAGCAGCAAGGAAAATTAGCCTATTTATTCCAAGCTTCAGTAATATGTTTTCCAGTCTGGTGCTGCAATAAACATTGCTCATGCATGTTATGTTTTTACTGTTTTTAGTTTTTACCATAGTCTGATCTGCCTGTTTAATCGTCCGTAAGGTTAAGGCAATAATAGCAAAATCAGGCGTACGTGCCGCACTAGGAACTATGCCAATTCTGCAGCTCTGAATTAAATACCGTTTGTATTATGTGTTAGTCATGTACTTGCAAGCACGTTATTACAATTTTTGTTTATTGCAAACAAAGCGGAATGTTCATAATAAATAAATTAACTAAGACACACGGCTGAATAATTGGTTCAAATGCACTCGTTCGTAAAAAATGAAATGTCAGAATACTTTTTGCGTCAAAATTAACATGTTTTAGTACGTAGCTGTTTCAGTGTCCGAATTCCGATTACAGCTTGCAGTTAGCGATAACTGGAGATTTGCAATAACCTACGTATATATGCCCAAAATAAATTGAGAAATACTTGCATTTTTATATTATAAAATGGTACGGGTTCCTTGAAATGTTCCTGATTACTGTCCGGGCCGGGAAGTGCGTCCAGCGGAGATCGCCTTTAATTTCACCCAGAATGAATGCAAAGCAGTATGCAGTTAATAGTACGACTATCGATTTATTGAACTGGACGTCAGCCCAGGGGTCCAGCTTCAGCTTCTCCCTAATGCTGCCGGTACATATCAAACGCTCAGTTGTGGTGTGCTTCGTTTCTAAAAACACACCGGACGTAAGCTAATTAAAGTGTTTTTCGAAATTGCTGCACGCCACCTTTGTGTGCACTCTTAGTTAATATTTAAAATTTTTAACAGTTCTTGCTGATTTGAGATTATTTGTTTTACCATTCCTACCCTCTAGTCAGAATACAGCAGATGCACACATGCACTTGTTTATGACATACAGAAATAACGGTATACTACGTATATAGAAAAAGCCGCCATGGCTACTGCATTTCTTCCGAATGTGATTTACATAATAGCTAAAAATACAAATTAAAATAAAAACAACCACAATCTGGTATTTTCTTCTGTGCAAATGGGAAAGTGGTTTATTGTCAGAGAGATGCGCCATATGTACGAGCACATCCCACTAGTAATAAATTTTATTTCCCCTGAACCGAGGTTGTGGGATACTCGTGCATTTATTCTTAAAAGTAAATTCTGTTATGCACTTGCTTAGTTCCAGTTATCACGAGCTCAAAAGTACTGGATAGATAACCCCAACATTTTCTGAAATAATACACGAAAGTAATAATAAATTACGGAGCGGATGTATAAAATGTTTTCAGTTTGTTTCGCTAAAGCTATCACTACATGTTTAAACGTTTGAACATTCTGAAAATTAATCTTTGCGCTCCTCCATTACATTACACATACTTATCCTGATGGCAGCAACATATTCGCGGGACCGTAGGGTCAACAAGGGGTTTTGGGCTTCGATAATAACCCTGACATCTGGTCAATGGAGGAAGATAATTGTAGTCAGAAATCGTTGTCTCTAAGCAGTTTATTCTTTGTTCGTGCTGGACTGTACCAGCATAGTTGAGATCTGTGCACATATATTAGGGTAACACATACGTGTAATTTAGCTATTCCAAATAGCAACATGGTGATTAGGATGCTTGTGTCGTTTCCGGTAAGAGGCATACTCGATTGTCTTGGTTGTCTCTGCCTGTGGTCTTTATTTGGATGACAATATAGTACCGTAATTTACCCATGTGGCGGGTGCCGGAAGAGCGGTACACACTATTTTTTTGGCAAAGGCTACCCTTCTGAAAATAGGTACTTTATCTAAGATCTTATTTGGGGCTTCGGATCACCAGGAATATGCCCGAAGAAAATTGTCTGAGGCAAATCAGCAGTGAAGAAAAAATTTTATATAATAAGAAGTGGTTCGAACAGTGAGATTTCGCAGTTCTCGCATCCGAAGCCGTTGCAGTAGCGGCTGAATAATGGCAATTACATCGTGATATTGGTTGTATCCTGGTGACATACTATTTTCAGGTCGCGTACCGCGGTATGCATATAGGCAGAAAATATCATCATACCGCAGAATTAAATTAAAGCCTTCCATATATGGGTCAACTCAACGGATATTAGATTTGTCAGCTGTAGCTCTTTTAACAGATTTGAAGTTTTTGAAGGAGATATTGATAACGCCGTAAACAAACAAAACGAATGTGTATGTATATCGATATCAATATGCTTTTTTATTTTAATCAGTTTACAATTGCGAAAGTGTGTCCCGAAATTGTTGTATACATTGACGACGCAAACTGAAAATAACCTGTGTGACAAAACGTTTCTGAGTATGGTTTGGTCAAATAATCAATTTCATTTTAAAAAATTTATGCATTTATATTCGCGCTTTATCGTTAGCGGAACTCCGATTATATAAACCTTTTGACATTAACTTTGACTGTTTGACAGCGGCAAATTCAGTATAGTCTAAGTTGGGACTCTAAGTTTTAAGTGTTACATATGAATTCTTTGTTTTCAGGAATTCTTCCTCCACGACAATTTGCTCAAAATTCCCGACCGATATCGCCCGGCGCATCGGGATCGCCGCATTCGCTCATTCCTGTGCCATCCTCCAAACTTCCTTTGCCAGGTGATAAAGGCAACCGCCAAAATCGTTCCAGTAGCAGTATAAATTCCACAACATCCTCCGTGTCATCGGTTAGCAAAGGTCCTTTGCCGGCTGGACCCCGACTAAATACAAAGGACACCCAGTTGATTCCCGGCACATTGACGCCGACCGCTTCACAAATGGGGAAGAACTCCGTATTTGGTTTTGGGGGTTTTTTTAAACACAAACAAGATAAACATGCCAGCGAAAAGGTCACAAAGGTTAGCTCGTCCGAACACAGCGACGGCAGCAGCAGCAGCGGCTTTGGTTCAGCAAAAAGTGCCGACAACAGTGATTCTTCGGTGACCGGAAGCGAGCACAGCACTTCCATCCCCAATATCCGCAGGGAAATTCAGCTAAACGGGAATATGCAAAGGAGATCATTTACGAGACAACCACTGCCACGACGGTCAGCAGTAGTCCAAAGATGGCTATAAAAGCCCTGGCAAGGAAAACGTTTTCGAAAAGCCCCGGCAAAGATTCGCCCAAATTGTTGCGAGTGGAACACCACGATATGGAAGCGAAGACAAATGTTATTTCGAATATTCCGGTGAGCAAGACGAGCCCCTCGGTGGCAATGGATGCAGAGAAAAAGACGAGTAAATTGGGGAACGTCCTGCTTAAGCCGGATAGCCGGAGCTCACGCCGTGAATTACCTCGGCTGCCGGATGCGTCGCCTCCCGCAGTGGCGGAAGAGGACCCCCCGGCGTCCAGCGGATCTCTTCTCAAACGCGCAAGCAAACCTCTTACAAACACAAAGGTAAGCTGCAGTGTGTATTTCAGCACATCACTTCACCTACAAAAAATGATATCGGTATTGCATAGCAGAAGTGCACGGTCGTGCTTTCTATATTTAAAATTTATCTTGACCTTTGCGTGATAAGCGTTGCCCTGTAGTGATAAGCGTTGCCCTATACAAAAACAAGCGATTCCAGGCCGCAGTTTCCTTTTTTTATTTTTACTTTTTTTTCTGGATTTAAGAAAAATGACCGGCACTAAATTATCACAAATTCAACTAAGTTTACCGGGAATTATAGAAAGAATTCTGCTAACTTAATTGTGCGCTTAATATTTATTATGGTTTTTGCTTGTTTCAGACCGAGTCTGTTGTTGTACGAAAAGTCCCAACGTGTCGGGCAAAGTGACGCCTATAACGCCGACCACTCCCACGAGTGGTATACCCAAGCCCTCGTCGCTGAACAAAGCCACAGCTCCGGCTTCCGTTAAGACAGGCAAACCGGAAAAAAGACTCTCATTTCCGCCGCGCGAATCCGTTGGGCCAACCCAAGCGGAAACGGCAGCTTCAGCCGATATCAACACCGCAACCATAGCGGGGAAAGAGCTAAACCAGCCACTACCTAGGCCACCCACAGGCTCCCCCGTTAGCCACGCCCCCTACCAAGCACCACCGCCGCCTACACACGGTGGTACAAAATATCCCATTGAATCTGCCAATCAGGAATGTAATACCCGTACGGTCAACACGGACCGTTTGCCCAGCGCAAACAAAAGCCCGGCAGTTGACGCTGCGGAACCGGCTGCCGTGGAATTCTCACGAAATTCCCCGGAAAGTCAAGAAAACCGCATAACGCCACTTGATCATAGTACTCAGCAAGACAAGGAGAATGTGTGGTCAGTAGCTGACAATCGGGTGGAAAGCGTCCTGCCTGACACGAATCAGCCGATAAAAAGCGCCAGCGCGTGTGATGGAACGATTTCGCAATCACAACAAGCTGATACTGTTGGAATGAACGAACACATGAGTGATGCGGTTCCCATGACCAAACCGGCCAGTAACGGCGTTCCACAACCAGAGACCACTGCCAATCCCAATCCGACCGGTGCGCCAACACATAACAGGAGCGCAGAAATGAATCATTTACTGGAACGCAGTCATGTACCCAGGAGCGCGATGTCGAGCCAGGGAAAATCGTCGGACGGCATGAGACATTTTTCCTCCTTGACCCGTTCGACTAATCATCACCATCATGGAGATGTGCATGCCGGCTATTTGTCGGATGGGGATACGTTGAAGTCATCCAATATGTCACCGCAACTCAAGTTCTTCGATAGTGATTCAGCCAGTGGATATATCAGTGAGGGAAACAGTGGAAGTCATCAGAAACGGACACCCAGACAGAAAGACAGGGAGAAGGAAACCTATTTCATCACCTCACCTTACAGGTAAGCAGAATCGATATAAAATATCGTAGTATGCGTCATTTACCGGCGAAAATTTCACAAACAAAATTGATAGGAAAGACGAACGTGATTACATAGGGTTGCTGATTAATTTTACATTGGTGTATTATCCGCACAATAATGCTACAGTTCTTTGTGTTATGCACACAGTGTGTACGTAAATGCAAAGGCGCTATTGTCGATTCGAGAAGTAATCCTCAAAACTGGACTTGCCTCTACACTTTCGGTTTCGAACACAAGTCATGCAATTGTTGATTGTTTATTCAAGAAAGTTCAGAATAATTTCCATGCAAATTGTGGCTGCAAAGGTCAGGATGTGATTTTTAGGAGTTTGACTACATTAGCTTAGTCAAATTTTTGTTGTTAGAGCCGTCGCACTTACGCTTGCCGGTAGTTTGCATTGGAATTATTTTTTTGTTTGAAGTGACGGTACTTGGTACTTGGTTTTGGCATTTTCGGGTATCACAAATCGAAATTCTAAAATCGATTCAAGTGCTAAAATAACCATAAAGGATCAGCTGGATTAAAATGATTCTAGTCATTTACGTAACTGTTCGAAACGATTAAGAAACTTGTCTTGCCTACTGTATGCATGCATGTGTGTTTGCTTATGCTAGAGCTATGTCAATGTAAAATTTTTCACTATGAAAACCGGTAAAGCAGAATTTTCACGGGCACTCAGCATCCACCCAAGCCGAACTAAAACATGCTTAAAATGGAAAAAATGCTTAAAAATCAATTATTACAATGGTGGCGGGCGTGTGTGTATTTGTGTGTGGCACGCTTTCTCTGCGAGTCCGAGATGGAATAGAGAAGCAGCCGGCAGATTTATGAGATGAGTAGCCCGATAGCTGTTTCACAATCGATTCTGCAGCTATTCCTTCCGCCTCGACATTTCTAGGACCTTACCAGCCACAACACTCTTTTCCGTGTCACTATCGCAGAATGAACTATTTTGTGGTGTTTTCAGGAAATAATTTAGAGCTAACACAAAAATAGCTGTTAATTTCTCTCGGCAAATGTCCAGGTGCATCACTGCAAATCGCAATGGGTCAACACAAAAATGTGCAGCGTTTCTAGCTTTCGTATATTTACCGATGTTCATATGGATGATGCGAAGTGGAAGCCTTATAGTCGCTCCAGTCGGTAAGAAGTTGAACTATTAAAAGCTAGGGTGGCAACAAGAGGTTGTATTTTTCATCGAGCCTTCTTTACAATGTTTATATTCGATGTCCTCTTAGTATTTTGCTTAGATCAAAACGATTTGATATAATTATGACCACGAGAGTGCAGCTGATCGTTAGCTAACTTTTAACAGTTAGGTTCCATTAAATTTACCCTTCATAGTTTCTTAAAGATGATCTTGTACTGTTAATTCTTTGATATCGCCCGCTTGCATTTGGTTAGGCGTTCTGTTCTTTTGTCTAGCTAACCAGAATGTAGCTAAAGGAACGTGTTTATTTTACCTACTCCACAACCAACGTTCGGATTCTGAATTTTGTCCGTCAGATAAAATTTCTGTTTTTCTACTACTGGTATTTTGATGTAACTATTTTTGAATTATCATTTAACAATTTTACTAAGAAAAACTCGTATTTTTGTTTCTCGAGTAGTTTTGTGTTTATTCCAGTAATAGATGTTACAAAGCGGCAGTGTTCCCAAGAGATGCAGATTTGGGTCAGTTATCTCAAAGGATAACATTAGTAGTAAATGATCGCAAATCTCTTGACTGCCGACACCATCCCAAAAAGTGGAAGATCTGATTGTGCTTGCATCTTGTTGCAGTGTGAACTGATGTGAGAAGCTGTAAAAACGCCGGTCTTGAAAGCGTAAGCTTGACCGGCATATGGCAGACTGTGGCAGTGAGCAGCAAATTACCAAGTACAACTCACTTCTCGAGCTACCGTGAATAATACTTAAATTATTTTCCCGTGTGCCTTAGCGTAAAAATGATGTGAGTTTAGATTTGCGGTTACTGGTTGAGCCTTTCTTATGATGTGCCTCTGAAAGATATCGTGAAACACTGTTATAGAGTTAAACAGCTTCACCAAACGTCCATTGATTTGAAGTGTGAGCATTCGCATAAACGTTTTAATAATTTAGTACGAGTTAGGTAGGTAACGACGTGATGTTCTAATGCATTCGGCGTTAGGGTGCCTTCCTGAAAATTTCAAGTATGAAATAAACAGCCATTTTATGTGTTTCTTTTGTTTTGCAAATACCGGTTAGAGTACTGAGAATTTTCCCTGTTTATCCCAGCTATTTTATTTTTGCAAGAAATATTAATTTTGTGGATCTTAACAATGTACAGTATCACAGAATGTAAAGAGAGGTTATGTTGCGCTGGTGCAGCATTGGAAATGATGTTGTCGACGTATTCCGCTGTAGGAGCTGTCAGCCGACTATGGCCCAACCATTCATAATACTTTTGAAACCGCTGATCGTGACTGACGCTATTAGTTTATTAGGACTCTTGTGACGTGCTTTTCATCTTCTTCCTCCTCGAAATACACGTTTGTTTGCTCACACACTGGGGAATACACCGTTGGCATTTTGGCTCGGTAATCAAAACGAAGAATGTGAATTCGACTGTTAAAATCGTCTTGTTGCTGTATTTCCTTAATTGACAAGATTCAAGAGATCATTGCTGGACACGCCTCGCACACGAGTGGTCAATCATAAGCACGAGCCTGACCCGAAACCGGAGCGATAGTGTAATTAACTTATCGTGTTTTGTTGCCCTGCGGTCAGCCAGAAGTTATCCACTTTACTGCAACCGCTTTGTTGCACGCATGTATCGATGATCGATATTGCGGAAATTTATGTCTTCGATGAAAAATATGTCTTCGGCTTTTCATAGTAAAAGCGCCACTCTTTGGCTTTAGCACGTTATTATCCGTGTTCCAATCCGACTTCAAGCAGTCGACCTTTTAAATGTTTGGCATATATCACACTGTTGCGGCTTTCGTTTGTGGAAGAGTATCATGTTATCCAGTGTGGTTGCTGCATTATTTTCAATCAGAACAAGTAGTTCGGTTGTATGTTATGCGGGTGACATTTTACTAATGCATGTCGTTCTGTTCTGTTTGGCAATGTTTGTGACGGAACTGCCGGCATTAAGTACGGTGAAGATGAGAAGCGAGAGAACCCAGCGGGATACTGACACAGAGATATGAATCTAAACTTTCGATATCGCATTTTCACGCTTAGACGATCGACGATGAGGATGCGGTGGCGGAAAAGTATCTAACTCTCATCTTCAGCACAATTGAAAATTTGAAATCCATCTTCATCCATTTAGAAATCTGTCTGCCTTATTGAACACGCATTTAAATACGGCGCTATATAACATTTCGAGTGGTGTTGCTTTGTATATTTGTGATTCCAGTGATCTGTGTTTAAGTTTGCACTACTGTTTGCATTGCACTGGCCAAGCCGCCGTGAAAAATGAATTATTGTGATCTTTTCATATGTATCATCTTGTCTTCTTTGCCATATTGACTATTATTGAGCAGTAATCGCGCCTATCGATATCGTTCATTCTGAACCACAGATCGATTTTATTGTTTTTATTTTGCGGAGACGTTACACTGTTACAAAATGGCAAATGAGATTCGGATGGAACTGTTCAAGTTCATCGATAATTTATTTCAGTAAGGTTTCACTGTGAAACACTTTGAGAGCTTAATCTAACCTCTAATCAGAATAATCTGATAAATTCGAATACTCTCTCATAATCATGGATGCCAATCCTGGAGTCAAAAAGGTCTGGGAGTGTATAGTCAGGGAGAGCGTGAAATTTTTTTCGGTGTTGTATAAGAGCATTCCAAGTGACAATATTAAGTGTCTGGAGTGTTCCGCCCTACAACATTAATGTGTGGGAATGCATCTTCCCATCCTCATGTCACAAATTCCCCGGCCTTGTTCGATTACTGGATGAATGTTTGTTTAAGATCTAATTCGAGCAGTTTAATGTGGCTTTTTACAGACTGGATCTGGATGAGTGCACGGCAAATGATGTAACAGACAAAGGGAAGAGTTTTTTCCATCGCGATGCACTGGGCAGTAACAACAACAGCGCGCAGCGCACTCATCCCTACAGCGGCCTCAATCGCTATCCAAACACCGATGCCACCATCGAAGCCGCCAAACCCTCCGCGATGCCGCTGCTGCGCCATGCCGGCTCGAAGCGTACGGATGATGGGCCGCGCCGGCCACCCGTGACCCCGCCGCCGCGTGACCCCGAAACGACTCTATCGCCGCATCCCCGGCTGACCAACGGCAGCCTCTACACTACGCCGGCCAGCGTGGACAACTATCTGCGCATCTACGCCAGCCCCGTGCGGAAGCCCCGTGCGCCGGCCAACCACAACGATCTCTTCACCGAGCGGCATCCGGGAGATCTATTTGTCCGTCCGCTGAACGTGGAGACGACGTTAATGAGCGACATAAATAATTCCACTAACAGTAAATCAATTGGTAATGCTCTGGAACGGCGGACAAAGCTAAAAGTCTCGGGCAGCACGCAGACCAGTCCGCAGGAAATGCAGCTGAAAATGCAGACACTGAGTGCTAATCAGTATTCCACTAATTCCCTCAATCGCAACATTAATCGCCATCCGCCCAACGGGAGCGGTGCATTCTTCCCGGTGACGGATGGTCAGAGTGGACCGCCACGCTGTCGCAGTGTAGTGCAGCCGAATCACACCGAGCTGACGCTGCCGGCCAGTGTAACGCCCATTTTCTTCGATCACACCAGCAACAGCAGCAGCTGCAATCCGGGACACAATGCCTCCCCGGTGCCGTCCAGTCCGCGACCTAAATCGTCCACTTCGGCCCGTTTGTCCATGCCCAACCAGGCGCATGAATTGTCCATATTGAATATTGATCCGGATCGCTATGATGCCACTGATAACTTGTCCCTTAACGCTGCACTGCCGCCGAAAAGCCAGCGTCAGATCCCGCGACAGCAGCTGCAAAGTGCTCATGCCGACTCCAACATTTACGATAAGATTGGTAAGTTAACCTGAAGAAACGCGCCACGGAATTGGATTAACCCGATTACATAGTTATGCCAAGTGTGAATGATAGTTTAAAATGTTCCGGGCTGAATGTCATCGAGTTATGTACTCAGGGGATTATCGATGATCCAAACCACCCCAAGAATTTTAAGCAGTAATAGAATTTTTTAAGTCATGTGGAGACAGCTTATTTGCGTGTATTACTTAATCACAACATGTATGCTGTCCAACAGCATGGACAGGGATTTATCGATATTAATAAGGATATAATTAGAGCAAAAAGCCGGTACCAAAAGATACCCTACTGTTTTTAACTGACGAGCGCTGAGAAAGTGGTGGCATTATGTCATCTTGATGGTTTTAAACGTTTTTTTTCAACTTTTTTTTGTGTTTACTGTTTAGCTAAATTTCACTAGTTATCATTTTCTGTCTATAATTTTTTAATTTGCTGTCTTTCAGCTCAAAACGGTCTGTCCTCGAAATCCGGCACGTTGGCTGCGAATAATAACTACGTTGACTGCCATTACTCGCACACCGACCACAACCCGCCTGGGTCAACCGTCTGGGAGCGCAGTCCCGCACATTCCGCTCGATCCGATTCACGCGGGCATCCTTTGAGCTACTCCATTATTCAGCAACAAACGAGTCATTTAGACGACCTTGATTCCAGCTCCACGGCATCGTACCCGTTGACCGGAATAAGCCGCTCATCGGCTCCGGGCTCGCCGCTCTTAATGTACAGTTTGCCTCGCAGCGGGCACAACGGCCTGAATCAGCCGCGCACCGCTCCCGGACTGTCGCCCTATGTCGGGAGTTTGTTGGCCAAAATCCATAGTAAAAATGACGAAAGTAAGCTACAGTTAAAAATTCACAGTAAAGCGAAAAAATTGATTGGGTACGACGCCGGTATGTCGATGTTTCCATTGTGTTCTTGCTTGTCATTGTAGTGCATGGATCGGCCGGATCGTTAGCGTCGACCACTTCGTCCATGTACTCGTCGGTAAGCGTGTTTGGATTAAGTTTTTGTGTAGTTGGAGCTTATTGATTTGGGATAGAATTAGTTTTCCATCATCCGTCTTTGTTATATGCAGCCCGAAGAGCGCCATGCTCATGAAGTGCGGAAGCTGCGCAAAGAACTGGAGCAGGCGCAGGAGCGAGTTACATCATTGACCACACAATTAAGCACTAATGTAAGTCCGGGAATTTAACATATACGACAGTCAATTGGATAGCTAGAATAACAGCTGGATTAGATTTTATCCCTAATACTGCCTGTCAATCACTAATCACTATTGATTTCTCATGATGAGGTAATCGTGAGAAAAAATGTCATGATCAATTTTTTACGATCAATCGTTTGTAGCGCACGAAGCCGGGGGAAATGCAAAATTAAAACGTTTTCTACTCGTAAAAGCCCGCAAACATTTTCTGAGTACATTGATCGCTATTTTTCGCTGTTTTCTTTTTCCTTATTCAAAATTTTCAATATTTTTATGGAAAGAACAGCTGGTCGATTGGGCGAGCTACGGAAAGGCTAATGTGCAATAACCCGTCAAATTTATTTTTCAAACTGATTATACGCTCTTATAACTTAAGAATGGGTTGTATCCTTTTATAAATCATCCTTTAGAAAGCAATAAAGGCTGAATGAGTTCCTAATGACTACAGCTAAATTTGTTTGTTACAGACGCATGTTGTGGCGGCTTTCGAGAACAGCTTGAACAATATGACGCAGCGACTGGAAACATTAACAGCCCACTCGCAACGCAAGGTGCGTATAAACACAGCTCGCACCACAGCGTTAAATCTGCACGGCCAGATTGGCATTGTTGGTTAATCTGCGGAAAACCATCCCCATCAGGGGAGAGAGTGGCCTATTAATCGGCATTGATTGTCACTTTTTTCCCAGGATGGGGAACTGCTGGAATTGCGGCGGATAATTGACGTCCTTCGGCAACAAGGTGCCGAAGCGGGCCTGATCAGCGGCGGCCGCAACAGCAGCAGCAGTACAGCTGGCAATCCGATCAGTCCCAACCTTGTCCGTCGACATACATTCAACTCCACAAAAGATGTGCTTTCCGGTACACTTGACTCCAACACACCGTATCGTCCATCCATTACCGTGCCACTGTATTGGCTTGTGTTGATTGGTTTTGTATTTACTTTTCCCATACAGACAATCCAGAAAAACATCATCAGGGCCTGTCGCGCCAGCTGTCAACCGAATCAGTAGCATCTTTAAATAGTAACTGCAGTAATGCCAGTCATCAGTTGGATGAGGACAGCAAGAAGAAGAAGAAAAAGAGCTGGGTATAAATTGGCTTGTTAAAACAATTATCACCACTCGTCATTTTCCACAGGAAATATAGTCGACTTACATCGAGCTTTTTCATTAAATTTTAGGCAAAACCACCCGAAAAGGTATTCTGGGATTTGGGCTATTCATCACCCTATAAAACCCGCATGATAATTGAAATATTGGTTTTGTGACCCTTTGCTGCTTAAGTTTCGCTAACTTTATTGCGTTTGCGCGGTTAATTAAGGAATTTACTGTCACTATTTTGTTTTCTCTCTTTGGTTTCGTCATGTGTGTGCTGCCCATTTTTCCTGTATCATTTGCATCTTGAAAATGCCTGCACACTTTTTTGATGCTCTACGTTTATCGATGTATTTGTTCGTTTGCGAACCAGCGCTTTATTTCCCTTTGAATACGTTTTTTACAGTATTGGCGAGAAATTTTTATTTTGAATTTGCCTGATTTCCGGTAGTCTAAAAAGTTTATGCACGTCGGTTTTTATGTTGTTATTTTATGCACGATTTTACAGTGCATTTTTTTCAGATTCGTTCTTCACTGAGCAAAGCATTTTCGCGCTCGAAAAATAAATCAAAAAATGATGGGAATGCAGATGCTGAAAGTGTTCGAAATGGCAGCGTTGACCTTTCGAATTCGGTCCCGAACTCTCCACTGCTGCAAAACAACCGGAACGCTAGCCGAATGGCTGTCAATGGGCAGTTGCCTCTTCGAAATGGTCATTCGCACCTGAAACCAGCTAGTTCTTCCTCTGCGTGAGTCCAACTGACTTTTTGCCTTCTTAAATCACGAGAAACAATTTTTAGTGCACCAGAATGAGAATCGTTTCTCTTTGTGCTTAGGCTTGATCGAATGGATGAGAGCGATGAAATAGTGATAGTCGAAGATCTCCAGCGACAGCTACGCGAGAAAGAGATGACGTTAACCGATTTCCAACTGCAAGCTGTCAAATCAGCACAGCAGTTAGATCAGTATAAAGAGGATATGCAACGGATGCGGGTATGTACTTGAACACGAATATTTGCTGCATATATGTATCGTTTCTGTCGAATGCTTAGAAAGCATGAATGTAATAGAGTGTATCATTTCATAAATAACATGTCCACGAATGAGTTGTTTTGTTCTTTTACAGAATGAGATCGAAATTCTGCGGCAAGATAATATGAGGTTACATCGGTTGGTGGCTGTCAAGCGGCGCAGTCTCTCATCCGAACGAAAATCACCTCACGATGGGGGTGCACGCTCAACGCCCTCGGGTACGTGTAATGAGATAAGAGATGTTGCGATTAATATTCGACTCCAAATCAGATCGATATCACGAACCGGAAATGAATTAATTTAAAATTAATTTTATGGCAAAACGACATAAAATTATGTGACCTTTAATATTACGAAACGGAAATTGGATTCCGTTCATGTCACGATTAGCTAGAGTAGCCATAATATACGGCCTTAAACCCATAATTTATACCATAAGCTTAATCGAGTCGCTTTGTAATAGAGCATGTTATAATAAAATTTTGTGAAACCTGATCCAGTTAAACTACTTACTGTAGAATCAGGAATCGGAGACGATGAATCTCCTACGTTCGATGCCAGACGAATTCCGGTCAAGGTCATTGCGGTAGAAGATGAAAATGGCCGAACCGACGAGGAAAGCGAAGACATTCCGATCGGTTCCGTAAACATCGGTCCACTACTGCGTTGGGAGCAGTTGGATCGAACTGTCAGACAGCTATTTAAGGTATCTTTCAGAGTTCATGACCCACCTTGATGCGTATACATTTTTGAGAAGCGAATCTAAAATATGCTACGAGTATAATGAGCACATGATAATCAAGTGGACTATAGTACACTGTAAGAAACTGGTGTGATATGCCCCTGCGGCATAGGCTACCGGCTCAGCAGCATATCAATAAGGAGTGACAAACTTAAGTTAGTTTTTAATGGTTTCAAAATCAAGAAGTATTAAACTTTACGACTTGGCTTAAATTTTTAGCCAGGTCGTATACATCTCCAAATTCTGCCTGAAATCAACAGTATCGTCAACAGGAACGCCACGTTTAATGTGTGAATGCTGTGCTATTTAGGAGTATGTCTCCCGCGTGGATTCCAGACGGGAGCAGGCGGATGTGCGCGATCAGGCTAATCTGGGTCTGACGGTGGAGAGCATTGCCGGCTACCATCTGGGCATGGCGTTGCGCAACCGGGATGAGCCGCCGACGGCTGACAGTTCTCCCATCGATTACCTTAAGTGTGATGATGAAAAAATCCGTATTGCTTTGCGAGGTAAATAGGTTTTCTTTTAACTAAGCACGTAGCGATAATTAAAGCTGTAACGGCGTTCTGCATTTCTACAGGGAGTCGTGATCATGCTGTGGATACAATTGCCTTTGAATCTCTTATACCTAAATCGTTCTTCCAGCGGTACATTTCGTTGTTGACCGAGCATAAACGAGTTATCCTCTGCGGTCCTAGTGGGACGGGAAAATCATTTCTGGCGCGAAAAATGGCACAACACGTTGTAATGAGGTATACGCAAGCGTACAGCAATTGTAAATTGTTTTCCCAAGAATTTTGTTGAATTCGGAATAAATTTTCGCGGTTTTCGTTTCAGCGCTTTTTTATTTACCTATAAAAATTACATTTATATACAGTACTCTGAGCGTTTTGATTCTACTTAAAAAACTAAGCTCGTATCCACTAATCTTGTTCTTCACCTCGTTTTGTGTTTCCAGATCCGGGAAATCAGTAGCAGATGGGGCAATAACAACGTTTAACGTTGACCAGAAGAGCAGCAAAGAGTTGCGCCAGTACTTATTACAAATCGCAGAGCAGTGCGAAAGCAGGTAAGAAGCGATGCCGGTAATAACTATTTTGATCATTAAAAATTCGAAAAATATTTGTATTTCTTTATACATAAATAATTTGATATTTTAGCAGCCAGATGAATGTTCCCAGTGTCGTGGTCATTGATAATCTACATCACGTCGGATCGCTGGGAGAAGTGTTCAACGGATTCCTTAGTGTCCGACATCACCGCTGGTAAAACTAACTAACGAGAGTCAGCGGGTTTGCCGGGAAGGATTTAATTTAAGTCGTTAATAATTTTCAGTCCCTTCATTATTGGAACCATGAATCAAGCCACCTGCTCCCCCGCAAATCTTCAGTTGCATCACAATTTCCGGTAAGTAAGGCGAGCGCTGGAACAATATTGTTCCATCTCGTATGACGGCATACCTAATTGACCTCTATTAAACAGGTGGATCCTGTGCGCTAACCACATGGAGCCAGTTAAGGGATTCCTGGGGCGTTATCTGCGGCGGAAAATTATCGGGCATGAATTAGCGATGGGCGTGTGTGATTCGGCACTGACGAAGATTATTGACTGGATACCGCGAGCATGGCAGCACATTAACACGTTTCTGGAAAAACATAGTTCATCGGACGTGACGCTCGGACCGAGACTATTTTTGGACTGTCCCATCAGTGTCCGCGAATCGCAAGACTGGTTTACACTACTCTGGAATTATTCGCTCGTTCCCTATATTTTGGAAGCCGTAAAGGAAGGGCTACAGGTAAAGCGAAAATTCGAGTTTGTGATAAAATGCTGAAATAACGAAAATGTTTGCGGCTTTCGTATTTGTGGCAGTTTTGTAAACTAACTGATGCAGTTGCCCCTGCTGCCATTTACTTTACGATGTAGGTAGGCAATGGGCGGTAATGTGTACGTGTGGTAATTATTATTTTATGGTTAATACGATACCGCAAACAAAAGTTAGAAACGCTGTGCTCTGTGCGTATTAAATTACAAAAATTAATAATTATTACCATTTTCCAGTGCAATACAGCCATGTCTTGATACGGCAGCGCAGTGATAATCGTCAATTACAGGACGTTTCTAGAATAGCTTAAATTTAAATAAATGAGGTTAAAAACGTGCGTTTTTTTACTTTTTTAGCTATATGGGCGATGCATTCCCACATGGGAAGATCCAGTCGAGTGGATTTTAGAAACCTACCCATGGCCGCCTAACGAAAAAGAGGATGACCGCGCTCACCATGGACTCAACCGTCTCCGTCCGGAAGACGTCGGTTTTGAGACATACGGGATAAACAACGGCACCAAATCCAATGGTATTCCTTTTGCCGATGATGTGCCGAGTGACCCTTTGGTAAGTTCAACACTTTTATACTAACTCCATTTCGCAGTCACCCAATGCAACCGTCTTTTTCAGTCCCATATGCTCATGCAACTGCAAGAAGCCGCACTGTACTCAACAAACCAAAATAACTTGGAAACGAATGATCCAAAAATGCATTTAAGTGAGGATGTAACGACGGAGACACTGAGCCTGCGCTCCTAGTGAGAGTGATGGCCGTTAGCCGTTTTTGTGACAAAGATTGCCCATTACGCTGACTCCGTGCCTTGACTGTCGGACCAAATTTTCTACCGTTTACCAAAATTGAATCTGACATGATGCATTTGGCATTGACGAAATTGTTGTTTGTTTTCACTATCTGGTCCGTTGTTTGTGCTAGTTCTGCAAATTTTTCGTATGGATAGATGTCCATATCCGTGACTGTTCAGTCAGTGTGATGCAAAAATGATGTATATATCTGTATGACTTACGAGATGACAAAAATTAAAAAATATCTTAACTATATTATTGTTAACAAGAACAACCGGACACATATTTTTCCACACATCCGAAATAATTTTAGTCTTCGTAATCCATGGCTTCATAGTCGCCTTCTGATTCGTCTCCACTCCCGTCCCCATCATCGTCATCTGTAGAAAAGGCCGCATTCAATGCATCTTCTTCCGCGGCAGTAAAATCACCGTTGGTCTGGTCATCGCTATCAGCGTCGTCCCCGAACAGTGACATTTCATCATCCAAGGAATCTTGTTCTTCTCTCTCTTCATTCACATCCCTGTAAAAAAAAACACAATCACAGCAATTACTAAATGCAAGTATGCTTTAAAAACTCTTAGGCATCTAGCGACTTACGCCGCGAAATCCATGTCGAAGTCCTCTTCATCACGCTCGTAATCATCTGCAAAGCAAATCACATCAGTATAATAATAAACCATAAAAAAGAGGCATCGAGGACCGGTAAAAAACGGTGTTCCATAAAAGACCACTTCTAAATAATTCATAAAACCCGTACACCACATTCGCCTTAACTGCCTTTTTGCGACACAGAACAAGCTAAAAATCCAAAACTTTAACTTGCCTAAGAACTTGTCGAATTCATCGTCTGAGACACTTTCCACGTCATCTTCATGGCCCATTCTATCGCTTTTTCTTTTCAGTTTTTGGGTGAGGTATCTAAACACAGATTTTTATCTATCACTGCACCAATAGCAAGACGCACAATTGCAACCAGATTCGCACCTATGCAAAAATTTCTCATCGTCCGGTATCGCTTTTTCCGGCAATGCAAGATACTGCTGACTTAGCACAGGCATATCTCTAGCATTCTCTTGGGTTTTTTTCTTGGGATTCCGATACACAAACCGATCCAGAAAGTGCATCGACGTGAAATCTTCGAACGGATCCCCAGCGTAATCAATTTCACGATTCTATAGAAAAGTTGCTTACATCAGAATGACAGTTTTCTACAATCAAGCAATAATGCGCACAAAATACAGACGACAGTCGATCACAAACCTGTAAAATGCATTCCGTAAACCGTGCAACGGAAGGGTGATAATGTTGCCTCAAAACTTGAAATTCCCATATACTTGTGAACTCTGCACCACAGTATAAAGGGTTTCGAGCCGTCTGCGAATAAGATGTGGGGCATTTTTCTTCCTTGTCGAGTTCTAGCAGGATGAAACAACCATGTCCGTTATGAATTAGAATACTTTAACTGTGAAACGCGCTGAAACCGGCACGTACTTCCTGAATCCTCCATCGTCTGCGTCTCGTCCACGATAGATTCGGTTTTAACAGAACTTAATAAGGTAGCAAGGAATCCTTTTGGTCTATTTTTGATTATTTCCGAAACAACAATCAGCGCGCCGCAGATAAACGGTGGCGAATGAGAGATGGCTAACTGGAGCGTTCTCTTGATGAACGCTTTGATTCTATTCAATTCTGTATCGCGTTTCATGGCCTTGTAAATAAGATTCAATAAGGAAGACGACCGTCCGGCATGCGACACCAATTCGGGATCCATCATCTTTCGGTAAAGTGCCATGTAAAACCTATCCGTAATCGCACCTTCTCGCTCCATCACCTGATACAACAGCATCAGCATCTGAATGCCGATCTGGGCGGACACCGTGTGGACGTAGCGGAAAAAGGTATCAATGTGTTCCAAAAGACTCTGCGGTCCTTTTGTAAAGGGATAAGCGCGGTTCACGCCGGTTAAGATGGCACCGAGCATTTTAGAATTTGTAGCCTTCATGGCAGTAACCGCCTAGAAACGACCAAATATAAACAAATGCATCATTATTATCACAACAAATAAGTTTTTGAGAAAAATAAGTTAGTGAGAAATGAAAAAGTTAATAATAAGTTAATAAGAAAGAAAGTTAGTGAGAAATTTAGTGAGTTAGTGAGAAATTTAGTGAGTTAGTGAGAAAGAAAGTGAGTTAGTGAGAAAGTTAATAATAAGTTTTGAGAAAAATATACGGCGGCGTTAAAATACATACCTTGAATAGGGAAAAATAAATCTTGACTAATTTGATGGCCAAGGCGGAATCATTGTCGCTTAGTTTTATTTGAATAAGGAAGCATACGGCATAATACTGCGCTTTCGGGGAGACATTTGGCCGATACAGCAGGCGCTCAATTTCCTCCACAATAACAGATTTCATGTTCGGATGCTGCCGCAGCAGTTTAATCAGCAGACTGCAGGATTTCGCCGCAACCTTCTTCTGCAGATCGCCCAGCTTGTTCGCAATTATGGCCAGCAGGTGGTCCTCTTTTTCGGGTTTTTCCGCCAGGAGATCGTGAACTACACCTGTACAACGTGGTACGACCATCAACATTGGGGATAAAAATCGTATAAGAATTTCACTATTATTTATTTAAACATTAATTTCAAAAATAATTCGTTTTATGATCCTAAGCTCGGTCTATGCCATCTGCATCGGTTGAAATTAACAGGAATGAAAAACTGCAACTAATACGGCACTGAATAACTAAATACGAACTTAGCAAAATTCGTACCCAGCACTTTTAACCGAGTCGTCTCGATTTGGTCTTTAGAAAGACGTTCCAGTTCCATAACAAACTCTCCATAGTTGCTTTTGATCAAGTCTTCTTCGTACCATTGCACAAGGGTTTCTTCTTTTTCATGCTTGCCAAGTTTACTAAAACTGTCCCGAGATTGCTGTAAAGAAAATCATTAAAAAAGAAACACAGAACTGGTTAGTGGCAATTCTGAGTCTTACGCTTTCAAATTTGATTAATTTTCGGTCAGATGGAAGGAGTTCGTCCTTGTATAACGATGTCAATGCGTCTAGCGCTAATAAACACTCCCGATGATTTTTCTTCTTTAGCATGCCTGATAAGGCAGTCAAATTCTGCAGATTATTCCGCGGTGATTTCTTGATAGCGAGCGACAGTGCAGCGATCCGATCGGCGAGGGTTCCCGATTTCATAACCTGCGGCGAACACACGCAAAGTGAGATTACTGCTCAACGCCAGCAGAAATGCAAGGTCCTACCAAGTTCGACCAGTTGGCATTTTTCCCGTGTCGAGGACCGGCGCTGCGGGACGCCTTCTCACAGTGCTTCTCGAAGAGAGCTTTCGCTTCCGCTCGCAAATCAGCCATCTTTAAGTCCCAACCGTGAGAACCCGGAGCGAGGCAAGCGGATTAGTGCATAGATGATAGAACTAATTATAATACTAACATAAATTTTTTCGAAACAAAGCGTAAATTACAAGCTTACAGCTACTAATTTAGTTCTACTACTGACGGCAAAAACTGAACATTATGGTTTTAACGATTTGAAGCACTGTACGAGTACTTAAGTACTTTGTTTCTGTAGCTTTCCACTTTCGGAAATATTTCTTAAAATTTTATCGTTTTATGTTCCTATTTTCTTCCAGGTATTCCAAACTGTAAGTAGTTTACTCCCGGGAGGGTGAGCCGCAAAAATAACTGTAGAACCTTCACCCAGTGTCGGTTGGAAAGTATATTTATATATTTCGTGCCATCCGCAGCGGCTGACAAGTACATACATTGTTCGAATTTAAACTCCAAAAATTTGGGTAAACTCGGAATCGGAATCAAGTGCTACCACATGCAATTTTGATTTTTGATATCCCCAACAATTTGTAAAAAAATATTTAAAAAAAGTTTTCAGATACGCTGACATACTCGGTACTGCAATCGTTGCTGAGTTTTTTATGAGTGCGCAAAATCCTCGAGGTCTCTGTGAAAAGTGAACGCAGTAAAATTATTCTGTATATGCACTACGAGGACACACTAAGTATACGTGATAGACAAAAAATTAAGCGAGAATAAGTGATAACCATGCCCGGCTCATGCAACGCGGGCAACCACCCAGGTTTGGAGTTGCTTGTAAGCACATAAAAAATGACTGACTGAAAATTATGCAAACTTTCAACGCTGATTTCTCGTGCACTCTGGAACGTGACTATTCAACCAATATATCAGAAGACGCAGAAAAAAATAACACGATTTTTGATACCAAAGAAGTGAGAAGATACGCTGATTCAAACAGATTACAGCTATTTTCATTTTCTCGTAGACTTAGCATAGAATCCACGGTCAAGGGTTCCCCACACAGAATCCTATGCTATGTCTACGAGAAACTCAAAAACGCTATCTGTTGTCTTAATCGCTATAAACAGCAACTTGTTGGGTATCAAAAATCTTGTAGATTTTTTCTGCATCTTTTTGCTACATTGGTCAAATTGCTTCGTTCCATAGCACACAAGAAATGAGAGCTGGAAGTCAGCATACGCGTCTATGAAGACGAGCTGTTTACTACGCAGTACTTGGACCGCCAACCCTTGGCGGCTGGGTGTGCTGCACAACACGTGATTGGTTATCATTTATTCTCGCTGGTTTTTTGGTCTATCACGTATACTTAGTGTGTCCTCGTACAAAATACTAAAAGTTAAAAATTACTGTTTTAACTTTTAAGTAATCCGCCGCCGGCCGATGATTGTGACCTTCTGCAGTAATCAGACGGCAACTGATTTACAGTACGCTGTAAGCGCACACAAAACACAAAAGAGGATTATCAATGGGCATCGGAGACAAAAGAACCGTATAACAAATTAATTTGTAATCGCTGTAGGTGAAAGTTTTATCTGTAGCACCGACATTCCGCTTAAGACCAGATAAACTTTTGTGAAAAAAAATAAAAGCAGATGAGGCCATGGTAAGCCAAAAAAAGTTAAATCGGACATTCGCAAATAATCCTGCATAGCTGATATGCACAAAACATTCAAACCGCCATAAAAATAATGTAGATCACCGCGTAACACAAAAAACAATCAGCACTAAAAATCAGTTACGCACATAGTGTTTCTGAACATGGCGCCGTATTATAAATCCTACAGCAATCTAGTAGTCTACAATCTGTTCACCGTAATTTAGAGAATCTTATTTTCATGTCGCTAAGTTTTTTCTATCACATCATCGATATGGAAGAGTTGAACTGTTTCCTGTTGCCTCCGGAGGCTGACTGCGAGCGGGCCCTCAACGCCGCAATTGACATGGACTGGTTCAGTTTGGGACGAGAATTATCGCTGACGTGGTAGATTCGGTGCAACCACATGCAATTAACCGTTGTTTTGGGCTCAGTGATCTTGATCGTCAATGTCGAGATGCCGCAGTTAGGTGACACGGCCTTGAGCAAATGTCGCTGAGATTCAACGCAGAAGTTGTATTCCTGTTCCAAATAGAGCAGTGCTTCACGGATGAATCCACCGTGAGTAAAAATCAACACACTGGCACCCAAAGGGTCATTAACAGATGGTGGCGCACCGGGATTGCTGCGACCGGAAGGCACTTGGTATTCTGAATAGTAGGATGGGCTGGCGGCGTTCGGGTTGGCTGCCAGCTCCTTGAGGCGTTCTTTGTCGAAGGCTCGAAGGGTCGTGAGCAAATCTTCCATGAAAGATATTACGCGAGCCCGTAACTAAGAAAACATACCCCAAAGTTATCACAACAGGTACACAGTAATAAACCCCAAGAAATTCAGAACTTTTGCAACTTCCGAGATTTAAAAGGCTACCTAGCACGTTTTACAAAGATTATGGTTTATGCAAATCTCTCGTTTATAAAATAAAAGAAAATCATAGACGTATATCGTAGTGTAAGCAAGTAACCAAGTTTCCATATGCACCTCACATTACGTACCTCACAATTCACAGTATAGAACCGAAAAATTTAATAGGCATATCGAAATTTTCAAATATTCTTGAACTTGTTAAAATCTTTTTCATAAGACCCTCGAAAAAATCACCTCGAAAACCCTCGATTTTCAACTCGAAAAAATTCGAGATAGTTCCCACGCCCGCACAAATGAAGCATTTGCATGATGTCAGTCTTATACAGTGTTATTTTAATTTTCTAATGTGTTTCTTATCGAATAGCGAAAATTAACAGACACCACTCACATCTGCAGTGGATTCTCCGCCTGGAGGTTTCAGATCTGTCATGTGTACGCCAGATTTCTGCAGTTCGGCTCGAAACTGTTTAAGACTTAGACCTTCCAGACTGCCAAAACCCTGTAATGAAAAAAGCCAGCGACATACATTAGCATTTATTCCATCACGAACAAGAACATCGATTTAGTCTGCCGGAAGGAAGCAATCATTTAACGATTATGCAACGATAACGAGAGACCCGGAGAAGATGCAGAGAAAGATCATCAGACTTGGACAGAATTTAAAAAAAGATTCTGGCGTCAGTGAATGACGATCTGTTGATTCTAAACGCATCATATCACGTTCAACCCATAAATAACCACCGCGTAAGGACAGACGATTAAACTGGTCTCTACCACAATAACTGTACTCATAGTCTCATACTGTACGATTGTAAGCAGCTTCACTCCAGAAAATTTAGAAGTAATTTTAAAAAGGCAGAGTTATTCCAAAAATAATACAAATTTTGTGAATACCATAAACCATCTGGAAAGTAAAAACTGCAGTCGGCAATATTATTAAGTACTGTATTAGCTTTTACATCTACTGCACGCAACAAAAAATTATTTTACAATTTTTTTTTAACAGAGCAGCATATTTTAGTATTACTAGTACTGTACTAAAATATTGTAGTTTTTATAAATGTACGAAGCAATTCAGAAGAAAGAGTGCAACATGTAAATCATGTGAAATTTACACTCACCCGTTCTCGAAGGCGTTTATCGTACTGAATCTCCGGAGCATGCAGTAAATACGACCGTAAAATTTCGGCTGTCTGCGAATAAAAGTATTTCATGTGCCACTTAAACGGGCATATATTTAAACATGCAGCTTTTTTACCTTGACAGCCCGTTGTAAATCGCTGGAATAAATGTGCGAAACGCGAAGATTCATCACACTGTTGATTCCCAGCTGCTGAGCTTGATTCAATCCCAGAGTAGATAAAGGATAATCCTGATGGCCTGCAGTTTCAGCAACGCATACAATATTACAGAAATAAACAAATACGAAATTATTTATTTTCGCCAAAAATAAAATCACTGATTGTGAGCTCTGAGAAAGCATGTTCCGTACCTTGAACAACACCTAGTTTGTTTCCAGTGCTTTCTCCACTGTAAAAACCATACGCAATAAATCATGTCAAACTTCGATAGTATGACTTCTTAAAAAAGCGAAAACCAACTTACTGCCGTACGAATGTAATCCCAAAATGCAACGGGATTTCGTACTGTGTTCTGGACGTCACTGCATGCTGGAGCACAGCGACGGATGGCTTATGGCTGCTTCCAGGGTTATTATTCATGATAGGTGTGGGTTTCAGTTAGAACCTTAGGCCCACCAAGCCTAACTCCACAATGAACAATTCCAAGAGCCTTAAAAATACGTATGTGGGAAGAGGTGAGTGAGAGTCTGTGAGACGAGTGTAAATCTGCACTCGTGAGACTCGCAATAAAGAAAAAGTTTAGTGAATGCCACTCGTCCAAATCGGAAACTGATAAACATCATAAACACTACAAAACCATGACGCAATGGACGCTACATTTACCCACATGGGAGCAGGTGCTCAAAAAAACAACATCCCTTTTAAAAATTAAGAAGCGCTAGAAAACCCAAAAAATGTGTCGTATCAGTAAAATCTGCTGCCGAACGTACGCCGAACAATCACAAGTCAAAGTACATTATTAACTAACCGTAAACACAAATCACAATACATGTACATACAATACTTACGCAGTACGTATTAATGGCACATCATACAATAAAATACGTCATTACAAACGTCATTACATTATTAATTTTGTGTTTTTTACTATAATGTTTTTTACTATACTCGTAGTGTTTTTTACAAACAGGACACAGGGAGGGTTACTTTCAGTGCTTTAGTTTCGTTTCCAGCTTTCTCGTTAAAGCATAAACTGAAAGACGAATTCAGTTGCTACTGCTCGGATTTGATAAATTTTTAGCTTTATTTCCACAAGGTAGTTATATGCACTGTGTTACGACTCCTAAAAACAGTGAAAAAGGACAATTCTTGATTCAGATATATTAATATTTTGTGTCATACGTTGTATCACTAACCAAAAGCTGCGCAGCAAACGCATCCGGCAAAGCCAAAAATCTAAAGGAATTTAAGGAAAAAGGCTCATCTACTTGTACTCGTACATACCTGTGCTCAATGAAAACAACGTTGCACAGACTAAAATGGAAGGATGACCTTTATAATCGGTGTATAATAGCTGCTGGGCTCTTGGTGAATCGTCTGCAGGTAATGAACTTTAACACGGGTATGAAGATACCATACGAAAGTGGTGATTAAATATAACTCTAAAATGACACGTTTGCGGAAAGTAATTTGTTGTTAACTACGAACCAGAGCTATTGCGATCAAGGCCTCCATGGCTCACTTAAGCCGAACTGCGCAACGAGCCAAAAATTTGTACACAGTACTGAGAGTACGGTCGGACGACTAGGCAGGAATCGTTCTATTTCTGTCAAACGCTTCGGCCTGTGACAAACACAAAATTACCATGGATCTGGATTGCAGCTGATTTTACTTCTGATAGTAGTCTATAGGTGGTCACAATCGTCTGTACATGTGGAGGCAAGTTCAGGTGACCTTTCAGTGTGAACAGTTAACAGCAGACGTATTTTCTGTTTGTTTATAATATTACTGCAAAGTGCCAACAAAGAAACAACGAACTGTTATCCAAAACTTTAAGTATCTGTACAACAGTTGCTTACGCTAGAGGACGAACCCTATAGATTTTAAGCAACGCGCGCACCAGCTTTGTGTGGATCGCAGGTTATTTGCATGAATGATCGCGTATCGCGTGACCTTTGTGGCCAGTGCTTTTGTAATGGTAATTGCGGATTTTATGCGTAAGATGGGAAGCAGGATAAGACTGCGTGGATGTTTTCAAAACCATTTGCATGTCGTCTCCTTTCGGTACAGGCAATAAAAATGGAGACAGAAGCCAATATACACAAGCGTGGTCTCAATTAGTACCTACAAACAGACACACGAAACGAACAAATAAAATCGAAGTCTAAAGAGACCGAAAATAAATTGGACTATAATGTCAGTCTGTCGGACATATTGATAATTACTCCTTGATAATTGGTGTTCCAAGTTCCAACCGCTACGCTGATCTGTTCAGTGTAGTCGTCGGTAACCCTCAGAAAACTATGAAACAATGTACGTACTAATCATAAATTCATAAGTACAATACTCAACAGACAGATCTGCCCCAATAGCACGGCTTAAAAAATATTAGTAGTTTATTAACAAGCTTGCTAGTTAGGGCATTCAACTTTGCAGTTTGCACCTCGCATAATTTGTTAACATCAGTTGTAAAGAAATCAGAACGCATATAATAATAACACAACGTATATAACCAGCTAACCGCTACCGTAATAATTATAATAATAAAAATTAGTAGTGTAAAGTGCACTTACGTGAGTATGTACATATACTAGTACCTGTGCGACAGTCCACGGACCCATTAGATATTCGACAAACCGTGGAGTACAAGTAGTATCGAACCAGGCCGGTCATATAATTATTTCTACCATGGCCCGCAATCGGGACCATAAATTTGCAGCAGTCAGCAGGGGAAACGAGAAACTTATCACAATTAGCACATTAATCAACCAAAATAACGTCGGTTCGCTTGATAAATAACATTAATACCTTTAATTTTCTGCAAATGATAAGTGCAGATAATAATTATAGTTTATACCGGCTTAGCCACCATCATCCGTAAACTGCAGAACAAATGTACAGCAAGTGGTCGATAAATAAGTTGCCATTAAAGACTCTACAATTTCCCGCATCCACATTATTACGATTTTAAAAAAAGTTGTAACCTTTATCACATTGCTCTGACGGAATCATACAATGGCGGGCAGAATTTTACATCCTTCTGACAGTCTGCCAATAAACAGTTACAAGGCTATTCCAGAAACTATGCAGTTTTTGCGTGCAATAACAACTATTGTAATTGTTGGCCGCCGAATCCGTAGTTAAGTACAGAGGAGAGTTTTAAGAGATGTTTTGCCGGCCAATAGGCCAGCCAGCCAGAGTACTTTATTGCCATCATGAAACACCCGTAAAACAACATGTCTCTTTATCTTAATCGTTACGGTTTTGTTAGAGTTGTTCTCAGTTGTGTGCTATCCGAACGAGGCCCGGGTACCGGCATCGCGATAATTACTTGACTTGGCGGCTCAAACACTGACCGCCGTATCTACGCATTATGTGCTTATGGCACCAGCTAGCCACTGCAGCCAACCACCGCTCGCTCACATCCCTGCATTTTCTTACAAACTAGGTCCAATAACAGTTGTGCACCTGTTACTCCGAGAGAGAGTCTGCTATTTGTCTCAGCTCCATTTTTCCAACAACCAGACTACAACAGAATTTGTTGATCTATTCCTTTTGTGTTTTAGCACTTCAGTTTAATATCCGTTTATTTATTCTTTGTTGATATTAATTTGGTAATTTAGAAGACTTACATTACTGCAGTATTGTTGCACACAGAATTGTGTACTGGATGGAAATGGAATGGATGCCGATTTGCTCCGTTTAATGCCGGCAACTGATCACACGACCCCACTTTAACTTTATTGCGTTATCCTTCGTTTTGTCAAGATGCCACATTGCATAACTTACGCATATATGCAGGATATATAAGTTCATCCCAAATTTGTGTGGTAAGTCAGGGAAAAATACCAAGGGGATTTCCTCTTGCAAAAGTGTATAGAAGTATAATGTTCTTAAGTATAATGATTTTAGCTTCTGGTCAAGGCTACGCAAAGTGTTATAAGTGACGCGTACAAAGGCTATCCAAATGGATAGTACTAGTCGAATATTTTCGCGTTCTTACACTAACGGAATTTAAATTTTTCGGAGTCGTACATGGTAGCGAGTAAATAACGATGCTTTGGAAAAATATGCGCTTCATTTCCAGTACAACTTGTCATTCAGAACGCAAATATGGCGCTGATATGCAGTTTTATGTTAAAATAACTTATATTTAGCGCATAACTCAAAATCACGAAAGTGTACTTGTGCTGTACTGTAGTGTTATGTTAGTTTGTGCATGTCATATGGTTAGTTTTCAACTAATTTCGATGTTTTGATATCTGCCGCAACATCCGTCTATAAAGCTAATTAGTCATCCAGTTGGCGGTACTCTTGTTAAGTCAGGCTCAAGCGCTATATACGTAATGATGCGATAAAAGACCACCACCCGATTGAATGACAAGTTGAGCATTTCCATGAATACTGGTCGTATAGCCGTCGTGGCGTCAGCAGAACACCGCCATAATATAGCTTTCGTGTCGTAAATATAAGAAACAAAACAACACCATTCATACGTACAACATAAAGTTTTTGCATTTTAGGGATCGAAGGAGGGAAAAATAGCCAGGGGATTTCTTTTCAGTTAGCACAATATTATTATGTTCGGTACAATGAAGTCGCGATATATGGATTGGATGTTGGTCATTTGCCTTGCAGTCGTCAGTTTTCTTCCGGTTATTTTCGGTGATCGCCGGTTTTGCGGCTACGGTCTCTCAAATGCCCTTAAATTATTATGTCATGGAAAATATCACTCAAGATTAGGTAAGCAAATTTAAAAGAGTACTGGCTGCAGGTAAAGTAGATCTCACCGATAGCTTATATGTACTGTAATTACATTCCATTCCAATTACATTACGTTTTAATTGTTACAGGTCCAAATGTGCAACTGGCACTGCAGACGCGATCAAGAAGAAAGCGGGAAATTTTTGACTCTAGTGGAATTGTTGAGGAATGTTGCGAGAGACCTTGCAGCATCAGCGCACTTACCAAATATTGTGCTGAACCTCCTGGTCAGCCTCTTTTAAACCTATTTGGATCGTCACCACTCTTTGCGGTATGTAACAGCTAGCACGGTGCGGTAAAAAAAATCAGAGTAAACGACGTTTAAAAACCATCCAACTAACCAGTGGCAGTTTCGAGTCCGCACAAAATCTGCAAAGGTCGTATCAGAATTAGGAATTCTTTTTAATTTTGTACATCTATAAAACATGCCATAAACTGATATTTATAGCGTACGTGGTAATTAATGAAGCGAAGAGTTTAGCTTTTCTACTTTCATTGCTCTATACAAAAAAGAATTCCAGTGTCTTCAGAAAGCAAATTATTTAGCTTTTCATGCTTTTACTACTTTGGGGTGCTACAGTTGTTATTATCATACTGATATAATCCGCAATCCATGTGCAACAAGTAATCCGGGGATATTCATACGCGTCCGTTGTCCACTGTGTATTGCCGTATTATCGTCGTCTACCTTACTATAGTCAACTACTACTAGCACTACCATTTTGAAATGTTGCAACAGTTACAGTACAGGAACTCGTTTTTATGAACGTTTTTTTAAAAAATCTGCTTTTTACAGGACAATCAGAACAAAACTGCTTTATCGAGCTTGCTTCCCCCAAATTCTGTTGTGGCGCTGCAAAGTGCGCCTTCACCGGAAGCGGCATCAATTTTTAGTCGATTTCCATCGGCGGTTCAAGAAAACGAGCCCTTTGATTTGTCCCCTTTAATGGAGGAATCAAGTACTCGACAAATTGCGGAACCAACTCGACAAAAACGTTTCTCCAGAAATTATTACAGAAGAAAGCGGAAAGTGCTGCCAGCAGATTTATCTATATAGCAAATAAACAATACAGCTGATTCCCTTTCTCAGTCCCGTGCCAGAAATGCTTATACGCATGACGCTGAAACGATGCGAAAAGTATTATATTTTCTGTCAGTATTACTGCAATTAACTTTTGTATTTTTTACGGTTGTCGGGTTGAAGTTTTTGGTGCTTGTAGTCCGTAAATCTCATAACAGTTTAAATTGTTACGTTTGGAGACATGAGATTGATTTGTACAAAGTGAAATCTGTGATAACACGAAGAAAAGAAATAATTCTACATCCGTTGACCGTGAATGACTTTTGTACCTGGTACGAGTCGATAAGTCGGCGACTACAGATGCGAGCGAATTGTGATAAAAATCAAAATTGTTAAATGTTAAGACACACTAAGAATCCTACAGACGGCATGCTTTTATCAATTGAGTGATGATTTTCCTATATAACGGCTAGTGATACTCACTTCTGCAGAACAGCAGAAGAGAACCGTTTATTTTTTTCCCTTCGCAATCCCATCATTTCTCGTGATACTTATTGTTAGCCGCAGCGTAGTAAAGGTACGAAATCGCACACTTCAACTGAATGGATAGTAAATAGGTTAAAGTGCTCGTCACATTGTTTCCATCTGCAACAATCGCAGAAAATGCCCGCGTTCTTCTTTCGCCACATAACACCTGATTGCGGAGGATGAGCGCCAGGCCGCTAACTCGAACATTATCCCACCAGGCTTCTCATATCGCACGACAACACTCCCAACCGGCAGTTTGTCAACATCCTGTTTGGTTTCCGGACGAAGCGCAGTCAAGTCAATAACATCCTTGTTCATCAGTTTGGTGACTTCTTCGCGATTGAGGGTGATCCGACCGATATCCAAGTACTCCATCCAAACATGCAGTCCTTCCTGCGCCAACCTGTACGGACACGAATTGTCCTGAACTCCTGTACGGGTCAAAATCCTCACACCAGCATTAACAATTCGTAACTTATCCTGATTCTGCAGTAGAACATCCTTAACTGTTTTCGATACCAAGTAGATGTGTCGGCTCTTCTCCTGGGTGTTTTTTCGGATAAATAACTGGTCGGCAGGAAAATCTGAATGCACATGAAAGAAATTCCGAATTACTTCCCAAGTCTGTGAATCCTCTGTGGCAAACTGAACCAACGGTTCGTTTTCGAAAAGTCGCTGGGATTTCACGCGTACTTGTGACAGTGCGCCATATCGCTGCCAAGGAAGTGTGGCTTTTTTCTCTAATACCGCGATAAAAAACGCCCCGGTATTTTGATAGTGCGGCATCACCCGCATACACCGCTCCAAATGCAAAGTCTCCGCATTCGGCGGAGCAAAAAACTCTACGCGGATACGCATTTTCAAGTCTTTGGGCACTTCCGTGAAATCCCTGTAGACCTGTTCATTGGCGCCCATAATCGACCACTGTTGTAAACCAGGTCTGCGCTGGAGACCAGGCAGGCGGTTACTGCAATCCACTAACTCTACCGACGTTTTGGCTTCGTTTAGTACTCGACTGATAACTGCTTCGTTCTCCACGGGATTCATCGAGCACGTTGAATAGACCAAACGGCCTCCAACAGCCAGCATTTCTAGTCCGCGTTTCAGAATGCGGTACTGCACGGGATGCAGGGCCAAAGCATTATGGGGATGCCATGTCCGCCACAAATCCAAATTTTTCCTGATAGTTCCATCTCCACTGCAGGGGACATCGCAGAGTATCCGGTCAAAGGCAACAGGCGTATCGCCGCCATCCAGGGACACGTTGGGCATCAGGCTGGCGTCGTGGTTAGTTACCACTACGCAGGGAGACTGGAGACGCTTTAACTGGTGAGTCAGAAGCTGGCAACGCTTCAGTTCCATGTCGTTGGCCACAATCAATCCATTAGGTAATTTCGCCTCTGAAAAACATTATTGTATTTTAAAATCAGATGTAAATTAAATTATCACAATTAATCTCACATCAGTTGAATTAAAAACAATTCTTCGATAAGCTGCCAATCAGACACGAAATTAAGTACCTTCGTTTCCTTGAGTTTCGCCTTCGGTTTGAGCCCCTGTAATACAAAGTCAGAACTAAATCGAGTTAACAAATAAAATAGCCGCAAGCGCTGGTAAAGTATCTGATAGCTAAAGTTCAAACATTTGAAAAACTATCAAACTCGTACCGTTACTGCCACATAGGCTACCCACGATTCAATAAACTACATCCATAAATTTCGGAAAACCAGATTAAAGAAAACCCGTAAGCTAAAATGAATCAGCGAATGAGAATTGATATGAGCAGAATTTCCATAACTGATCAAGCAAAACCACAAAATCTGTACCGTCGCTTTCAGCAATCCGAAGATCCTCCTGCAACATGTCCACAATTTGCGCTGTTTTGCTTCCCGGAGCTGCACACATGTCCAAGACATTCTGACCCGGTTTGACATCCAGCAGGAGCGGTGGAATCATACTGACAGTTTCCTGTCGACTGATGTTTCCGCTGGCTGTCTCGTTGATAATGAACTCACGCAAATTCTTGAAATCATCGCAGCGTTTAATGTGGCGTCGGTGGAGATTGATCTGCCACGCTAACTGCTCCGGATACCACGAAATCTCCGTGCATAACTGCGCTGCATCCTCCGGTAAACCCGCTAAGAAATGATTATTAATAATTCCTTTGAAGGCTTCGCAGTCGCGCCGAAAACCCGTGATGCGAAACGACGTCGGCAGTGGTTCACGGACAGTCTCCCAAAATAAATCTAATTGATCTGGTGGTAGAAGTCCCAAAGATTCCACATACTTCCTAAAGCGAGGATTGTCCTTTTTGATCTGATGATAATCACGATCATCTCTGCGGGGTTTCTTTGCGCTTTCCTCGCCACCTGCAGGAACCACAGGCTGCGACTCATCGGAGCCGGAAACACTCTCGGCCTGCTTTCCATTCGCTTCTTCAAAAGAAAAAGGACGCTTTACAGAATGTTGGAGATTTTCAGGCAGAACTTTCGTATCCGCACAACCTTCTCCGGCATCACAGCTCGAAGGAATCACGGTATCACCGCTACCGTTGTCCGCGCTAGACATGCCTGTTGCACAGCCGACTGAAAAATCGCACGTAGCGACTCGCGAGCGGCTACCTTACTTCCAAGAAGACACAAAGTGTATAAGGCACCACACCACAGCTCCACTATTGTAAGCTTCTATCAGTCTTTTGTTTCATTATACGATAAACCTACAAAAATTAACTGTATATCAAATAACAAATTATATGGAACAGAAAAGCTTCGAAATAAGGTAACTCGAAAAGTTTCCAGAGAACTGAGAGTTTTCAGTCTTTTAGAAGTACTTGAACGAGTGAGCACAGGCCGAACGGCAAAGTTGCACTGCCAGAACAAACGAATGCATAACCTCCCATAGGCGGCATATGCCTTTATAATGCAAACTTGTACCAAGCAGCGCGCCAACTACCTATTTCTGGATCCGTTTCCGGTTCCTCAGGGTTTTGTGTTTATTACATCGCGTGCGTTTAATGTTATAAGAGACCGAATACGACATTTTCCCAGTTCTTCTTAGCATTCTATCACCTTTACGGTGATTTCGTTTATTAATCGTACCTCATCGGAAACAATATCCAACAAAATACAAACGAGGTACAAAAACGACAAGTGCGAAAAACTGCACCCGGCTTATTTCACTCGTTGCCATTGTATTCTATTTGCCTGGTCTCCAAACTGAGCAAACAAAAATGTCGAACATTACGTTTTCCTGTTCAGGATGCAAGAAGTGTGCCATATTGCAGAATTACAGTACCAGACGATCTGAAAAAACCCGTAATTGTTAAACATAATAGATCGTTCCGTACTGGGTCTTGTCCGGCAAGACCGTGAAATTGGCCACCGTGCCGGTTTGGTTGACGGTCAGCACGGGGGACGGACTGCTGGACTGGAAATCATAATTCTCCACGCCCTGCACATGCACCTGCACCCCGTGCGGTTTTTTATTGCTAGCCACAAGTAGCGTCTCTTGTGACACCGATTTAGCGCGTTGGGCGCGGTTCTGCTGGTCCGCATTATTATTGCGGGTAGCATTCGGTCGGCCCGCGGTCCGGTGTGACGGTTCACCGCTGACCTTTCGATGTCTGGATTTTTTTGGACTGCTTTCGCACATCTCGTTGAGACTCTTGGCTTTCGACACTCGGCTGCGAGTGGTGGAGTACTTGGGCGAGTCGAAGCTGTCTGGCGCCAGATGCCGATTGGCGTTAAAGGTGTCCAGATGGATTTCGGCTTGTGTGGTTTCCAAACACGATGTCTCGGAGCCAGGAGATCCCAGAGTGTAACACGATGTCCCCTGATCGACCAGAGAGGAATATATCTGAATTCGTGGATGGCTACTAGCTGTTTCTTCCAGTTGTGAGATCGGGAGAGTCTGGCGAGACACGCTGGAGCAGCGTGACGCCGGGCGATTGGCGAAACCTTCGGAAAAAGGCGTCAGTGAACCGGGTGTTGATAGGAAGTTACTGCTAGTTGCATCCGCAAACGGCAGCGTAAGATCACGTCTGCAATCAAGTTCGATCGTGAAAAAAATTGCCAGATACCTATAAACTGGTAAAGACTAACGTGTAAGGAATATTCGAACGACGGACAGGCAGGCCTTCGTCTGTAGCATCTGAAGTACCGGAACCGGAAGTCGCATCCGACAAGTCTATTCCAGGGTCATTTTGAAGTCCGTTTGTGTTGGGTATGACAACAACTTCCAGAACCTGGCAGCCACGATACGTTCCACTGTAAATTTTGCAAATTGCTTGAAAGTTTCTAACTTTACATACCTTTTCCATTGCGGCCAGCAGTGTATCTGCAGAATATTTTATACAACTCGTAGTGATATTAATAACTTTTATCCTTGTAAACGTTGCTCAGGTCAGTACGTACCTGGCATGTGGTCGTCCACCATTGACGGGGAAAGACTAATTTCATAAAAGCTATCTCTGTCGGCTTCAATGGCTTGGTAAATGGGATCGCCTTTCCGTTGTGACTTCAAGCAGCATCTAACGGCCAAGAGACAATAATAAGATAAATTAGTACTTATCTTGGGCTGTAAGCTGTTAATAGAACTGTACCGGTACAAATAAGTTCAACCGATGCAGTTAAAATATTAAGTTTTTGCAGGTGATGGTGAACATGAATAAAAATATACTTACACTGAACGTGTCTTGCTAACACTAAAAACACAAAAAGGATTTATCGAAACCGCACAGCAATGATAGCAATAGCACCATATATTCCGCAATCATGTGTCAACAAAATCAGTTAAATTGTACAAATTACTCACCTTTTCTCATTAGGGTACCGCCTTACAATTTGGATTATTTTCCCAGGTAGGTACATAGGAGGATGTGTCGTCATATAAGGAGACACTGGTTTATTTTTTCTTTGCGAATTTGCTATCTGCTCTTCTGCGAATTTTTTCAGTGCAGGATCAACTTGTGCCGTGGGACAAAGACGACCGCAAATACTGCTCAGCAAAATCTTCCACTGCAAGTCCAAGATAAACATTCTCAAAAACTTATTGCTGTTAAAACATTGCATTTTTGTTGGTAGCCGGAGTTACATATAAGGTAAATTTTTCTATATATTTGCAGTACGCGCTACTAGTTTACCTTCGGACAAGTGCTGCGTTGGATTACGTTCAACAGATCGGAACGCATAGCTTCCAGTTGATGCAGACCTAAGCGGGCAACCATGTCCTTTCCCAACAAACATGTTGTTACGAAAGGTTTGCTGTATTCCGCGGCGGGTAAACTGCGAATTAAAAATACGTATTTATATTTTTATATGAACAGAGCGAAATAGTCTTATAACAACGAACGCACTTGAGAAGCCCTCCAGGAGGGCTGAAGCAAATGCATTTTAACGTGGGAAATTCCGGTTTTAGCATTATTGCCAGTATGGCGGCGGTACCACCACCCAGAGAATGACCAACCAACAGTAAATCGTATTCGGATCCTGTGCGTTCCTGTTCGAACAATTTGTACAGTAAATACAAAACATAGATCTTAATATAGATATGTGTGTGTAACGTAAACCTTAATATGTGTGTGGATTGTTGTTTTTGGCATCGAATTTAAACAGTACCATACAAACAGATGCCGCATAATTAAAAGATTGCTGTCAGTACTGATTTATTCAACATTTCCGTACGCCGAATTACTGAGTGGGACAAACTCTGTATGTGACTTTAGTCGCATGCGTACACGAGTTATACCTTTCCCTTTTTTACATTCGTCTTGCAATCTTCGTGAAATGTATTAACTACCGTACTATACCGATATCTTTGTTTAACAATTTATTCCAGCTATGTAACTAAAGATGTCAAGCTTGGACAGTGTACCGACTCCAATGTAAAATTTTTTGCACCGAGCGCGAAGCGCGAGGTGCTGCAATTAACTGATCGTCAAGAGCATAAATTTGTCTGACGCCACGAAGAGCGTACGTAACACTTTTCCAATTCCACAATCCCAATACCATTTCCCAGTGGTATTAGCGCTCGCGCTCGTGCAATAATGTGGTTAACAACCACCGCTAGTAAGTAGTACCACAAGTTTTTGAGCTACATAAGACATGTAAGCACTTTATTTGCACCGAGCGCGAAGCGCGAGGTGCTGCAATAAGTCTTCGTCAAGAGCATAAAATTTGTCTGACGCCACGAAGAGCGTACGTCACGCTTTTCCAATTCCACAATCCCAATACCATTTCCCAGTGGTACTGGCGCTCGCGCTCGTGCAATAATGTGGTTCGCAACCACCGCTAGTATACTAAAGTACAGTGTAATTAGATGCAAGCAGAAATTATTTGCACTGAGCGCGAAGCGCGAGGTGCTGCAATAAGTCTTCGTCAAGAGCATAAAATTTGTCTGACGCCACGAAGAGCGTACGTCACGCTTTTCCAATTCCACAATCCCAATACTATTTCCCAGTGGTATTGGCGCTCGCGCTCGTGCAATAATGTGGTTCGCAACCACCGCTAGTAATTTTGAATTTCATGATTATGTAATGTTGACAAGTGCTTCATTATAACAAGCATTTAGTACTTTGTAATTAACAGGGCAGTATTGATTAGGCCATCTTACTTTTGACAACAGTAGGAGTTGCTTAAGCTTCCCTTCCTGGATCAGCTTCTTCTTGACATATTCCGCAGCCGCAACCATACCCTGCAGAAAAATACCTTAAATAATGGCACTTCGATGCGTCATTTGTGGGAACTGGGCACCCTACAGATACAAGTTTTTTATGATCTGCTTGACATCATAATACTCGTATTATAGCAATTGGTGCTGCTGCCGAAATTTAATTATCATAATACCACGTGTGCGACATCTGCTGTACAAATGTTGTACATTATTTGAAAATATTTGCAGCCTGTAGAGTACTTTCTCTTTCAGATGTCCACTAAAGCCGTTTAAAATATCAATAAAATAGTTGTACGAGTATGCATATGATATCTGCCCAACGAATAATTATGAGCAACAACTTTATTGTATGACGTAAATTGTTTACGCTGAAACTCGTCAGCTGCTTGTCAAATAACGTAAAACCTTGTTTCCAAATTAAAAAATCCGTGATTGCGTCTGTCGTAAATCTTCACTAACTACTGGCGCTGCTTATTTAAATGCTTATGTAGCAGCGTCCAGCGACAAATTGTATAACTTCGTTAATTAGCAGAAATCTACCGTGCACTATAACAGGCACTCACAAAGCGGTGCATTCGAAATAATTATCATCGTACTCTTAAGTTTTATTTGACTAACATTAGTGATGATTTGGACGTACACGAAATTAAATTTTCTTCTACTTCTAATAAATTCACGTTGTCGCTGCTATCGTAGGAACGAAACACAGGTAGCGCATGATAAGTACAGCAAACGTCTACTTGGATGCAGAACAAAACGATATTTAAAACCGCATAAATTTTGCCTAAAGGTGTATCACATGCGATCACATGTAAGCGGAGATTTCATCAATGCTGACCTAGTATAGTTCCATCAACAACTGCATGTAAGCATATGCAGTATTAAGCGCACTTGGACAAAATTTATAAATGTGTGCCAGTGTCACAATAAGTACGAATGCACAGTACGTACAATACCTTATGGGCTAGCCACGGGGGATTGGTTTGTAGAGGATCAACCGGGATGAACTCGGCATCTGCATTTAGATCAGTAACGATATCTTTCATGCTCAACGTTCCCCGGATGGTGACGACAATCTTCTTCTCGAGGTGGTCAAGTGCCAGGAAGTACGGTGTTATTCCAACCCCGCCGGTATATGATGCGTGGATAAATTGGATTGACTCATCTTCGGCAACCGATTTCTGAATACAACACAACAGGCTATTTTGTAATAGATACAGTAATTGCCGTCGAGGCATTATACGCTGCTGGTTCATGAATACCATAACTGCCCACATAGCAGAGGAATTGCAATTGCAGCAGTTATCATCTAGCACTTCAATTCCCGGTAATCGCGCCGGAAGCCAGAAGCAGCACACACACCGCAGTCCCGGTAATACTCCCACTAGTTTTCGGCAAGTGTTCCCGCGAAATAAGTACATCGGCCATCCGTAAACTGTAGGGCATATGATTGATTGATTACGATGTCATTTTAATGTCATCAGCAACGCACATGAAACGAAGCCGAAATTAGTGAAAATATTTTCATTATCATAAGCATTTATTAAAATACATGTACAGTATTTCTGAATGTGGTACTTTACGTTATGCATCTATATAGGACCCATAGCGCATGACTAAAAATGACCTTAAAACGATCCCAAACCCACCTGCGAGACTAAATCGCATATAACGAACGAGTTGCTTGTACTCCTTCGATACCACCTAAAAGTGGAAAAACATTATTAACAACAATACTTAAAGTATGTTTTCCTATTATCTGTAAATACACTTTTTGTAAACAGCTGATAATTGATGTTTGCATGCAAACAATAATTATCAACATCACCACAAATTTTTATTTAGTGTTGCTCGTTGGCTGTGCAGCCTACAATAACTTGTGGTAACGCAACAGAATGGTATAAATCATATAACACATCTGGTTGCTGCTGACCACAGGGGAATCCTGCCTTGCACGTACCGGGTCCTGTAAATCCAGAAACTTTGTATCCTTGGTGATCGGCGCTCCAGAAAGGAACTTGTATGTCCTGTTCTACAAATTAGAAGAATCGTTTGTACATGAACGCAGGGCAAAGGGGATGTTTGCATGGTCACGGAATGAATTTCTCGGGTTACAGTTTGTCGGTCTATGTATTGTATATACGCTACCGCACAATACGGATGTGGCGCGTATTACTTTGGTAAGCAAGGCACTGCGACGCAGCTTCTGATATTTCCGCAGCAATATCACTCCCGCAACGATATCAGATGGGACCTACAGCGCAAACCAAGATAAGTCCAGCGTACACTGTAAAGCGACATTTGTTTAACTATAGGGCATTCACAGAGGTAAACAAAAATAAAATCTTGCAAACGGAGGGTATAAAAGTAATCTCGGTTTCTGCATGATAAAATTGCCGGCTACCAGCAGGACGGCAAGCTTACCAGATCCAAATCCCGAAAGAAATCCGATAAGAGTTGAGCAATTTCTCCAAGGGACGTCTGAACAGATTGACAAACAGCATTATCAGTATCGCCAGTTTCGGCATGGATGGCTCGTTGCAAGTCGACTCACCCACCCTTTGGCCTGTGCCCAAACAGCAGAACAGCAGCCGGCATCGACGATCCCAACTTGTTTGATATGCCCGGACGGTTTTTCTGAAAAGTTTGAAATTTGTCCTAATTTTTCACTTACTACAAGCATCATCTATTTATGCCTAAAGTGAGCAGTTAGAATTTAAAACACAAAAATGATATATTTATATAAGCATCTGTACCTCGTTCTCCATGTTCTTGGCGTCCCGCTGCCGTGATGCAGTTTTGAGCCAGTTATCTGAATATTTGCTTCGTACCTGTTGTCAAGCTTTAATTAACCTCTCTGATAATGCATAAATCTTTTACTTAAATTTAATCGTTTTAGTAGTCCTCTTCTTTTTGCCTTGCCACGCAACTGATACTTACTTTCTGAGTTTTAGCCATTTACTTCCTCCGTAATCATAAGAAAGGTAAACTCCAACAATAACAATCAGTATAAAAATTCCATTGAATATCACAAGTCCTGAAAAGCGAAAAGCTGTATATTTTCATGTTTAGTGGGAAATACTGCATTCACCACGCATAATACAAAGACAGTATGAACTTCCCAGTTATTAGAAAGCCAAGGGGCGATGCCCAGTACGCTTACCCAAACTCGTTGATTTTGGAAAAAGATCCAAACTTGTAGGGTAACATTTTGCCAACCACACTATTCCAAAAACTGTCCAGCCACATTCCAAGAAAAACAGAGCTATACAATAATTAAAAGAACAAAAGGTTAGCCTATAGAAAGTTTTGTCAAAAGCTTAAGTGCAATTTTCACCGGTTTGCCACGGTTTACCATATGTTAATCAGGTTTTGGATTAACACATAATCAGTTTGTTAGTTCCCCTTACCACATCGAAAGTACAAAAACGCTCGGACGGGTTTTCGGATATTTGTGTTCATAATCGATCCACGTTTCGTCACACACCCAATACAAATCTCCAGAACTGCCGCCAGGCTAGTTATTACTATACTTCCAAGGGCGTAAATTTGTAGCAGCTGGTTGCAGTAACCGTCAAGTTGATAAACGAGAATGTAGAGGAGTATTTCCATCGCGGTCCTATAATTATATCATTAAATATATCTCTTTGTCGTCACAACTAGACGTTGCGACATCTTATTTTCATATGTATCTTATGTATGGTCATATTGTGAAATGTCGAAATACATTCCAAATATAGGTATGTCCAAATACATGCGGTACGCCCAGAAATAAGTAGACGTACAATCTGGACATTTAGTACGTATGTTCGAACCGATTGGTTATTCATCCAATTGTACAAATTTTTTTTTGCAATTTTACAGTTTTATTTTATGTAGGTTTGTAGCTCTCTGTAGCACTGCTATCCCGTATTCCATACTTTTAATAACTTTGACCATTCAAGGCGAATGTTTTTTTAAAATGATTTTATTGTTGAACAACTTTACAACATTTTCGACAAAACTTGAGGTCATGTTTTCATACTTTCTAGTGACAATGTGACATTAATGTTACTGTCATAAAATACGTCATTTACTACTACTCAGAAAAATTTGCTTTGCGCTTAACTAATAATAATTTGTTGTATTTTAGTTGGTTTAGACTCTGTGAACATTACTGTGAATTTATGAAGTAATTTTGTAGAGTACAACGTACTGTCCAAATATCATACGATTGCAGCATATAGTCAGCTGTAATAATAAATTACTAGGAGCTTCATGGATTACAACAGCGGAAATGCTAAGCGGAGTAAAACATGTTCACCCCGAAAGCTAAAGCGCAAATGCATCTCATATTACAATTTTTACAACTTAAAAAGGTTGTAACCGGCTTGCTAGCCAGCAATAAACCAGCGATGTACGTAATCATAACTACAGGCGAACGGGGCGCCGACAGTTAAATCAGACGGAAAACAACTGGTTATGAACTTGAAGGGCAAACAGTTTATTTATTCGGAGAAAATCGTATACGTAATACAATTTCTCTTTTAACTGTAGACTTAATCGCACACCACACATGCTGCATGCCTTTGAAATCCATCAATGAAGACATTTCTCCGTCACTGGAAATGCTTTTTAAGTTACTGTTTAACAGCGTTTCGTTAATGCGAAACAATTCTGCGTTAGTCAAGCGCAAATCATCCATAATTTAACGAGAAAATCTTTTCAGGCGTAACCGGCCTACATTTGGACCACAATGTTGCCAAATGCACAAATCATTCAAAAAATTTAATTCCTTGATAGCCGGCGTAAATCTTTAACGTCGCACTTAAGGACTTTCTGCACGAAATGTGGCAAAGCACAGTGGAGGCAATATAACACCTTCCACAATATCGCAGTCCACTGTAAATGCATTTGTCGCACTGTAATTCACTTTAAAGTATTACTGATGTCGGCTTTTTACAGAGGATGTCCGTTGTTTTTAATTGTGATAAGGTAGATGTCAAAAAAGTGCTTCCTGTTCTGGTATTCTAAACTGATGTAGTATTATTGAATGTGATTGAATATTTCTTTTGAACAGAGCATGTGTATGTAAGTAAATAAGTATATTGTTTTTTGATACCGTAGTTAAATCTACGCCTGCTAACAGTACTAGCTAAATACAGTCTACAAGTGATTTGCCATCAGTCGAAATTTTACGGCAAAATGCGTAACTTTGAATTTAGAGAGTTCTGCCTTTTTAAATACGCAGTATGTATCTGTAACTGAAATATCAGGTATAGTACATGCCATAATTCCATTTAGCAGAAAAACTTCGTTTATTTTTCCAGTTATAACCCTGCTGTTATTGCATATTCGCGGTCTTTCGAGACCTTTTGATCTTCGTTTTTGCCATTTTTACTACCTGTGTAGCTCGAATACCAATATGAGCGTAATGTATTTTGCCACATCAGCGTGCCATTTTTCAGCAGAAAACAAAGCATGCAAAATGGAAATCGCGTGTTTCTTTTAGATCATGGCTATAAGATGAATGTATAAAGCGTTGCAAAAGGCACTGATGGTTATTCCGCCTGTCGGCATTTCTGTAACTACAGTGTTGATTCGTGGAGATTCCCTCCTACCTCCCATTTAATTTTCACTCACGTCATATTTGTGGAAATTAATAATCCTATACATGCCACAATATGTGCTGCATTAAAGTATGAAAACGTCCAAATAAACGTAATAAGCGAATAAAACAAGATAACAACGTAAATATTACAAGCCGTGATAAACGGTTGCTGATAAATCGGATTAACCAGCCCTAAGCCACTTGATTTCCATGCATCGAAATTTCCCAAGCATAAGATCGATAGCTTTATAACACCGTCACAATCGACAGTAGCTGACGACGAATTTCATTCAAAATCCCCAAATGCCCTTTTGAAGAGACATAATCAGCTTCACCTTAGATTTTTCCTACCAGTATATTCTCTTCATAGCTCCGGAAAAGGGAAGGGCGTTTATCAAATCCTTTTCCATTTATAGCCACCATTTTTGAAATGCTTAAACTGGAAAATGCTATGTATAGCTTATATAGAAGCTTACAACGTTTAGGTATACTGTGATAGGTGTACGATAAAAACCTAAAATACTGTGCGATTCTTACTGTATTTCTACATTTCTTGACAATATTAATATTGTGGCAATGCAAAATGAAATATTGCAGCGCTACCAGCACACTGAAGCGACAAATTAAACAAAATCAATCAACTTGTTTACAGCTGAATCAAAATATTCTGTCGCTTTTTTAAATAATTCCATAATTAACACGGGAGACTTTTTGAGATCCCGAATTGAATAAGTTATAAGATTAATTTATACAGTATTTGCGACAGTCGGTGTTTGTTTGCTGCGTTTCTGAGTTGGCTTATAGAGCCATGGAGGAAGAAATCAGTATCAGAAGTTTTACGACTATATTGTCGAATGTGTAAAAACAACTTGTGTCTTCGGTTTTGTTGACATCATTGTCACCGCTTCATACGGTAAAAACACGTTAAACAACCCTTCGGGTTATTTACAACTCCGTGGTTTTTCCATTTTTTTGTTCATTCTTAACCTTTTTGAGACTACTATCATTCATGCTTCTGCGAACTAACACTAAACACCGTCTTGAATGGAACAAACATACTTCAAATACACAGAAGTTTAGCCGACATGCTAGAAATTTTATCAGCGCCACTATTTAAATGACATTTTTATCAGTGTCAGTTTATAAACGATAAGTCGGATTACTTACCAGATAATGTGGCTTATGAGAAGGAATAGTGAGGGGAACACAAGATCATCGTAGGCAATAGCCCATCGTCGGCGAAATAACACTAATCCGGGCATGATCAGTAGCAGTCGTTGATGTCACCACTAGTTGAGTGTGTCTTCGTCCGCGAGACTCCATGCCATTGTAATTGCCGGCTTTTAAAGCATCTTTCTGCGGCTACTCAGGAACCGGAAGTGAGCGGCGAACTTGGACAAACTTTTTTTAAAAGCCACTGTCAGTTTGGCTGTGTAGATGTGTACGCCGGGTCTGTTACCGTGCAATCAAAAGTTGGACACATTATCTAATTAAGACGCCCTACACATAGTAACTTGATGCAAAACTCCAGAAAGAAGAGTCTTAATAAGTTATGCGACGGCATCCAAGTGCAAGTGTTTACGGGTAAATCGTTATGACACGCGCCCGTCTTCCCACACAGATCTAGACACAACCACAAAGTCGCTATGCTCCACTGAAATTCTTTTATTCACCAGCAGTTCTGCATCGATAATCACGAAGCTGTAGCAGCTATACACCGTATAGTATTCAGAGGAAATACCGCAGTGGATAATGCGCGGCGTCTGTAATTTGCAAAGAAAGCCAGCGCGCCAAGATATACACAGATAATGGGTAGCACATATGGATGTCGATCTGTTGTTTCGCGTGCGAAAACGTATGCGCATCGACTTCGCTTAGTGAATGTAATGTGACGTATCACCGGTGCATTGTGTACTGTACCGGTGCACGTTTAGATCAAAGGCTGGTAGTAGGCGGAAAAGGGCTGGCAGAGCAAATATCATCCCTAACAATACATCAAATGCACAAAAAATCAACACCCAAAATCATCGGCATTCCCCTAGAAAAACATACACGAGAGTTGGTGGCGGGCGAAATGTAAAGTGCATTTCTATTGGCACAGAAGCGGCGCGTATACGTTGAATACAGAACCTCAATCATGATCATTCTTATGCAAGACACACAAAATTTGCCCACACAGCAGCATACGGCAACAATTTTAGCAACTGAAGATTGGAAATAGTCGATGTGTTGTTGGCCCGGACCAGAAGAGCCGGCTGGATGGATCTGTGTATCGTATTCCCATGATTAGCCTCCTTGAAAAACAGATGCAAACACACTGCTGCTGCGATGTTATCCGTTAACGTTTAACCATTTAGCCCCGGCTCACGGATATTGCACAATATCCCAGTTTAACAGTGCAGTAATGAGTAATGCGTAGACGCAAATGCCGGAGAGTGTGGTACCAGTATGCCCGCATTCACTCTTCGCTTTCAATGCTGACGCTCGTTTAATTTAGCATGAATCCGGGAATATATATGCAGCTGCAGCAGCGTAAATGGACATATAACCAATACAATTGCAGCCAGCGCACCATAAATTAAGTACTTGTGTCCTTTTTGTGCTAATGCTCAATATCGAAAAGTTCATTTACAGAAAATTTTGTGCATCACTGCTAAAATTGACCACTTAGCAGAAAGGAAGGTTCAGAACAACGCTGCTAATGTACTACTTCCTGCATGCATAAATATACTATTTAGGCGATCGCGCGCTAATGCAGTTCGCAGTAGGCATGGTATTCATAAAATTAATATTACATACGCTGGTTAGGAAGTCTTTAGGTACGTGTCATACTAGACTTTATTTAATTTAACGAGCTCCGGAAAAACCGCGCAGCTTCTTCAGAAACATGCCTTGTACAAATGCCTGTGCTGCAACATTCTGAACTTTGGTACAACACCACGGTACACTAGAGAACTCACCCACAGTCGGTGGTCTGCTCGACGACTGAGCAACAAAATTATTACGAACCAAGTATTTGTACAGACAGTACCTTATTTCCAGATGTATTTATTTATCGCCGTAATTGTAAATTCATACTGCGATCGCTACATTTATAGATTTACGATTCTGATAAAACAGTATTTATTCGACAAATCGCAACTTTCGGCCATAGGTATATATTCTGTACAAAAACTGCACTTCTGTGCATTTTCAACAGGTGGAACGGCAACGCAAAACTTTAGCCGAATCACGTTTATTAAATGGAGCTTTTAGAAAACTGGTCTAAAAACAATTCAAGGAATATTTTCGAGGAATATATTCAAGGAACAATTCAAGGAATATATTCAAGGAAACAATTCAAGGACCAAATCAGCGTGCACATTCGATACGCAAATTACATGTCTAGTAAGTATACAGTCTACAGATACTTCGGTATAAACCTTCAGTACATGTAAAGTACGGCACTACTGTATCATTTTATATTTTAGTAAAAATTCAGTTACGACGTAATTCTGAATTGTGCGGCGAATCACGCACAAAGATTATTCCAAACGTTATCTGCCAGTCAATTCAAACGCTAGCGGCACTTTATCAGCAAACAGTGCAGTGTCCACCATTGAAAAATTGCGGCATTGTTCAAATACGCTGGCTGTGTACACGAGGTTATTATTTTGCAGAAACCACGCCACGCCACTTCCGGAAACTGTCATAAAACCAGTTGTTTATTTGTCGAAAGACATGTACAATGGACGTAATAACGTTTTCCCTTCCTCGACAAATAACATCAGAGACCGCCGGTCTTCAAAATAGATCAAGCGAATTGCATACGTACAGGGTTAACACCGAAAAATAAAAACAACATACCGGAGCAATGGGTAACAAAGGGTAAAATTATTAAAACTCAACGGCACAATCCACAGGGTTAACAACGGTTAGCATAATCTCAAAAATTACAACAAAAAATATATACAAAGAAAAATCCCCCAAGCCGGAAATGTTACTCAGATTGAGTCGGCACATTGGGATCAGGGTCAGCCGCCGGAACTGATCGGCTCGAACTGGCCATCGGCTGCGGTGGTGGGTGTGATGGCATCATCATGCTATTATTGATCATTCTGTATGCCATGCCATCCATTCTGAAAACCGTGTAGGCAGCGACACCCGGTGCATGCAGTGAATAAACAATGGAAGGATTTCCTTGTGGGTCGGGAATTGTGTGCCGAATCACGCGGCCTTGAAGGGGTTGCGCGTAGCGCTGAATGAGATCGCAAAAATCCTCTCGCTTAGCCACCCGTTCACGGATTTCTTTTACTAATGCACTATCCAGTACCGCCTGCTCCAAAGGAATGTGCTGGGCTTTGGGAGGAGCCGGTCGCAGTCCCGGAAACTGTGTCATTCCCATACTCCCATGGGGCAAGGGCATGTGCGCACGATACATTCCCGCTCCCCCAGAAAACTGCGGAGATGGATAAAATTGCCGAATATTGCTAATAGGATGATAAGGTCTGCGGCTGGCGGACAAAGAATCTCCTGGCCGTTTTTCCCGCAGGAAATTGGCTTCAGCTTCACGGCGCTCGAGATCAGATAGTTGTGCAGAGTCATCAGCTTCCAGGATGGAATCCATGACCATCGGGGCTTCGGCAAGATACTGACGGAACATGTCACTGGTGTCCAGCGCACTGAGAATGTCATCCTCCTTCGCTTCATCGGGAAACGGGGAACGGCATATCTTATGCCAGACTTCGGGCCCGACTACGTCATTGATCCGGAAAAGGCTACCCAGATCGGCTTGGTTGATAGCTAACATGGGACTCTTATCATCGACAACTCTTTTGAACAGGAACTGCTTATGAATTTGTCTGTGGGAAAAATTTATGAGCATGAAATCGCGGAAATGATGCGATACAATAAAACATATTTATCGACAGCGTGAACGCCTGAACGTACCGATCAAAAACGCATCGCTCCATTGAGCCATCCCCCACCAAGCGGTATACAGTGGAAATCTTGTTTTGTCCATATCGATAGATTCGACTGATTGCCTGTAAAAACAAATCTTATTTCGCCCGCCGGTCACAGCTCAATATAAAACAAAGCATTTTTGTCTATTTCGCGTATCTCTGTAAGTAACCAAATCTACCCACATAAGTACCTGAATGTCTTTGCTGGGATTCCATGACACATCCAAAATCACTACCCGGTTCCCTCCCGTCAAGTTAATACCTAGAAATGAATAGATTTCACAAACAACAGCTAAATTTTGAAAATAAACTATTTTACTAATATGAGATGTGGTTAAACCGGTGAGAAATAACATATACCAATTCCTCCTGCATCCGTTGAGATCAGAAATATCTGAGTGGGATCGTTCTCATCATTGAACAAATTGATCATACGCTCCCGTTCGTGACTGGAAGTGGAGCCGTCGATGCGAAAACAAACAGGAAAACTGTCCTGTTTTTCATCACGCGCCGGCAGTAGAGCAGGCAAATACTCTTGCAAATAATCCAGCACATCAATGGACTGAGAAAAAACGATGATCTTTTCCTTCCGCTTAACCACGGCTTCGGATATTAAAATTTTCAGAAAAAGTATTTTCCCACTTAAAATCTCCTCGTGTTTGAAGGTATCGTAATTCGTCAGGAATCGCTCCCATTTACCTTCCTGCACCATGTTCACGAGAAACTGTCTAATTGGGCCCATGACCTCAATCTGGCCGGATGTTTCGACCGCTGAGTTCACCAGCTTTTTTACATGCGCAAAAAAGATCGCTGGATGCTGCGTGATACTGCGAAACGTTGCATACAACGCAACTGCATTCAGAGATTCCCCGTGCTCGATTAATTCTTCAAAGACACTTTTGTATAGGCTCGTTTGAGCCGGTGTCTGTCGGAAAATTAACGCAAATTCACGCTTTTTTGGTAGTTCAGCAATCAATGGTCTTGAATCCCTTCGCTGTACAATGCGACTTAGAGTGCGCTGAAGAATATAGGTTCGATAACGCATTAGTCGACGATCCGCATCACTGCTGTCAGCACACTGTCCATTTTCGATGGGATTCTTGAACAGATTTCCGAATTCCGACTCATTTCCCAGTAGAAATGGCCTCACAAAATCGATCTGTGTAAATTATAAAATTCAGATAAAAAGTTGCTGTATCAAGTGAAAAATGCGAACAGTAAAAACGACTTGAAGCCTTCCACGTACACAGTACAGTTTAGTAATAAGAGTATGAATTAACGGCCAACTAAAAAGAACTAGACATATACGTATCTTTCCATACGTTTTTGTTAAATGTGTCGACAGGTATTTTATACTGACCATGCACCAATATTCCATGAGATTGTTTTGCAAAGGATATCCCGTCAATATCAATCGTCTACAATACAATCATACTATTTATATGCTTGTTCCCCATGCAGAAAGAAAATTCAACAGGCACCTTTTTGTCTTAACTTTCTTCAGGATTTTCGTTATGGCTGCACCAGCGCTTTTGATGCGGTGACCTACACAAAAAAACATTCAGTTCTGACAGAGGAAACGAATTTGTTTTTTTGACGCAGACAAAACAAACCTTCATCGCAAATAATGATCTCGCATTTCTGCATCACTTGGCCTCCCAAATCAATATCTTCTTCGGTACTGGGCGCCGCTGAGGAAGCACCATTAACTAACAGACTATCATCGTCCACATGGTCTCTGTTCCTTTTCTTCCCCTTTTCTCCACCCGTTTTACCGCCTTTCTGTTCGACGATAGATCGGAGTTTCTCATAACCCATTAGAAGCACACCACCTTCTTCCGACCAGCCTTCAATTAGGGCGCTGCGCACAGCTGCTTTCTGATCGCGAATGCATATTACTTTCATTCTCTCATGGCGACTTTCCGGGGGAACCCATTTGGCGAATTCTGCCATCCAATGCGCCATAGTATTCAGTGGCGCCACGATCAGGACCGACTTGACCGGTGTATCCCGAAAAATGGCGTCCAAGAATGTTATTACTTGCAGCGTCTTCCCCAAGCCCATGCTATGCGCCAAAACAGCCCCATTCCCAGGGCTGTTAGTGAATTTGCTGATGCTTTCGATTAATGTAGCGTACATAAATCGAATACCGCCAATCTGCAGGAAAATAATTCTCAATCAGTTATTCCACAATCAATATTATTAACGCATTCTCATGAATCTACTGACGCCAATTTACTGTTAACTGCAAGTAGCTGTTTGGAAGAAGGCGCAGGGCATGCTGGCAACAACTGCAGGGAGCGCGTTCGCTCGCCGAAAATTTTAATAAAGAAGTGGATTTTCAACCACTTCCTACATTTTTTGTGCATTTCCAAAAGGGAGCGGCTGGCGCGAGGATTTGTGGGCCCTACCCTCAGACCTCGCGACGGCTCTGATGGTTCAATTTTGTTTTGTTTGTTTGACTCTGCGGATGAGTGCAGACAATCAGTGGTTTCTTTCAAGGTGAATTAGCATATACAGGTACAGACTGTTGTACCGTTCTTATGAAAAAAATTAAAGCAGGTTAAGTTTATGAAAAAATGTCGGTGTTCCAGTTACCTGATGAGGACGCAAATGCGGGACCAGCTGGTCAGCCACATAAATGCAAGGCTCTCTCTTCATCCGGTTAACATTAATCAGAATCTGGCCGTTCTCGTCGGGAATGTTGGCCGCATCATCGCAATGGAAGGACGAGATGGACGGATAAGCACCATAGCTACCCATACATACGACATCCCCGTTCGAGCGGGCAGCCGAATTCTCCGACCTCAATCCCGACCCCGTGGAGCGGTTTTCGTTGCGTACTTCCACTATCTCAATGTCATCGCTCTCATTCTCCAGATCTACTACAGCCTCTTTCTGGCCTAATTCCATTGCGCTAATTTTGGCATTCTCCTCCTCCATCGCTTTTCGCGTTTCTGGATTGAGTTCTTTCAGAGATTTCACGTTGCGAATATTGCGCCTGGCTGACATCTTTTTGGCCAGTGATTTTGATACGAAATCCTCAATTTTCTTCAAAGGGGGATCCGGAAGGTCTGCAGGTGTTTCGCCTAAAAGTGCGTCCAGCTCACGAAAAGAAGGACTCATGGAGAACGGTTCCGTGTGACCATTTGACAAGTTTTCCGAAGCGTAAAATGATTCCATTTGACTATAAAGAAAAGCAAAGGATGATCGCGCCATGGCCATAATATCAAGCCGCGATCAGATTGCATACTCGTATATTGTGACACATCGTACGGTGACAAGGCATGAATGCTGCAGTGTCAGTGCTTCTGCTTCATAATTATTTAATTGTGGCTAATCCATTAGATCGCCCACACGAGTACCAAAAGTAGCAAGTTCAACTGATCAAGGCAAACGAAAACAAAGTTCAGTCCTACCAAATCGGATGCACCATGGCTCGGAGCCTCTACTAAAGTTAGGTAACTGACTATAGTTTGTTGTACAGAAAACTTCTCTTGGAGAAAGACCACAGCGAATCGCTTTATCCTATGCTCAGCGATTCGTAATCCAGTTCTGGCACGATTACAGAGTAGATCCACCGCGTTTAAAAAACATACTGCACGATGCTATGCGCACCTTCCACATCTATTAATGAAATGTGAGTTTCTCTGAATTTCTTAAAAGGCATGAAGCGAGACAATTGTATTTTGTGGGTAATACGTGCTAATGAGCTAATGCCTAACTGCTCAACAAAAATAACCACGACAAAATGACGATGCACGCACGCACACCTGGGTTAAGATTTCAAGATTCTTCCCCACCTGTAGCCTTGAGAAGACTACCTCGTACCTGTTATGGTGTTTTTACAAATTACCATACCTTGTATCGTCTCCATTCACTTCAGATGTGCAAGATGAAGAATCACACAAAAGAGAATGATCAGACGAATTGCGCGAAGATGCGAAGTCTTCTTCGAGAATTTCGCAGTCTGCCAGAACTTCTTCTTCGGTTCCTGAGTTTCTTCCGCTCTCCGCGAAGAACATATCGCTACTGGATAACGTAGGGTTTTCCTTAACACTCTCCATTGTGGCGTCGGGGTTTAAAAAGCACAAAATGCGAACTTTCAACAGTTCTCAGAGGATAACCTTATGTTTGGTGCTGCGCTTCATTCTGGACAGGAAAAATTTTGGCCACAATCAAAATATTAAGCAAAATGCTCTCAAGCTGCAAAGCTTAGCAACTTGATGCATGACATTCTGATACAGTAATAAAAATTAATTCAAATCCTCTTCGGGTTGATTTCAAAAATTCACAGCAAAAAAACTGTAACAGCTTACAATGGATATCACATTTGAAACCTCCAAAATCCCCTAGTCTCCTTTGGCAGATCTTTGCTATTTGCACTTATCAGTTTATATCACCATAGCATAACATACACTGGGATATGGACCATGGTACAGACCGTACAGTATGTGATAGTAGTGTGTCACAGTTGATCATATATATATATGAAAAATTTATATTACATATGTATCGAATTATATGACTTATATCATATTGCATACAAGTCTTTTGGCAAATACATTGTCGTGAAACAGTGGATAAAACTCTTGCAGAGTGCACGAACGCGAAAGTTTTTGAGCATGTGCCCGGATTTGGTGCTACCCTGTTTCGTACCGGAACTGGCGGCACACTCTTTTGTTAACTCCAGTGTTGCCCCAGAACCTTACTTACTTTTTACTTTTCGTCTGGCCATTGACTTTACTATTTACTTTACTATTTACTTTTCATAATCTTTCTTCTTTACTTTTACTTACTTTTTACTTTTTTATCGTAACCTTACTTACTTTTACTAACTTAGTAATCAGTAGTAAAATAGTATTTACTATTCGGGTTTTGCGACAAATCGCAGTACGCAACAAAGTTTTCACTTTTGCCATATTCGTTTCTTGAACATATTACGTATCTAAAACAAAAATAACTGCTTGTACCTACTTTGGGACAGTGTGCACACCGATTAATTTTAATTTGTGCTCAGAAATTTGTTTCAATGGAGCGATTTGGTTCTGTGTAAAATTACAGTACTTATTTTTTGACAAAAATTAGCAAAAGTTATTACACCGTATCCGGAGTCAGCATTGCAGTGAAGCGGCACTAGCTAGTATGCCTGGCAGTCACGTAACTTGCCCACCTAAGCGGTTGAAAGCGTCAGCAGTGCAGCGAAATGTTTGGCGATTCAGAAGAAAACCTGTACTGCCAAATGTAACTGCTATGGAAAAAATAATGTTCAGCAGAATTCTGTTAATGCCCGTCACTTTTATCTGTTGCGGAAGCTAAGTAAAAAGACTGATTTACTAATTAAACTATTCCCGTTTCGCGCCTTTTACTTTTACTTACTATTTACTTCTCAAACCTCGGCTGCTCTTACTTTTACTTTACTTTTACTTTTCCGTTTTGCTGCTAACTTACTTGTTACATAATTAATAAGAGGCAAAAACGGCTTACTAAGTAAGGTTTACTATTTACTTTTACTAAGTAAAGCAACAATAGTTAACTCTAATATATATAAGTGTGTTTTTCGCAATAACGCATTTCGTTCTAATGCATCACCTCGCATTAAAGCAGTAGTGATACTGTGCTTCGGAAATTGAGTGGACCGATCCTTCTGTGCCCTCTCAAAAAGCACTTTATCGAGTGCAAATCTTAAATATAGATTCTTTACGCCACACGCCCATTGTTTCAAAAAACCAAAGCAGAGAAAACAAAATTACGCATAAGTATCCCTGCTTGTGATTTGTTTCGCCTCTGCCATGGTGGCGGCAGCACCGGCCTCCTGGGTTGTCTTGGCGGTATTATGCCGATATATGAAGTGGCCATGGTGTCCGGGCAGGTAACGTGCCAATCCAAGATTTTCCTTGGCTGAAGGGGACCAAGGTCATGCTGTCCGGACGCTTCTAAGTGTCGCGGTGTAGGCCTGGTGGTTCCAAAACTGAAGGGATGCTGATCGAACCACACGCGCGATGGATCACATCTTCGACTTCGTTGGGGCGGGAAATTTTGGCTTTGAGGCGCTTGCATCCCAACCCGTGATATCCCATTCCCCACACATCAACAATGCTGCCGCACGTTGCACCTGTCTTCAACGCAGACTGAAGCGGCCATGCGCTGTGCTCCAATACATAAATATACCTATAGAGTAATATAAGAAAAACTCGCAACCGGACACCTTTAATACCGTACCGTTAAACTTAAGCAACAATTTCTAAAACCAATGCCAATGTCTAAAATCAATGTCTAAAACAATCACGTGATAGCAATCAAATTCCTGATTTATGCCCCCCGCCCTGTTGTCTGACGGTGTACTGAAGAATTAGATACTGTCATACTGCACTGGCACATGAGTTTGGGATCCATACATGTGTCCGGTAAAAATAGGTACTTGCATTAATCCTAAAACAGGTACCGTCATTTTAGCAAAAGCAAGTAATCGGTAAATCGAGAAATCCCTTAGCACAGGCTCGATTCGATTTCGCCCTCATTCCCCAATCGCGATCCACTTACACACTTAAAGTAAGTACTAGTACTCGTGTGGCGATCAAAGAGATTCAGAAGGTTACAGTTGCATGCAACTTGCAAGCACAATGCATTACACCCTTAATTTTACTGTAATATTTCAGAGTTATTTCTACGCTGTTTCAAGATTTACTCCTGCAGTTCGTTTACACGACGTGACGACGCTACTCTTCCCTATGAGACAGCAACTAAACCAACACGCTTTACCGTTCCTTAAATCTCAATTTTAAAGAACGGAATTTCAATTAACAACAATCAAGGGTCAAACGACAACAAATAAAAAGATAAAAAAGAATCACAAGGCACCAATGTGAGGATACGCCTCTTCAATATGGTGAACGCTTTCTTTGTAAAGAGTGGGATCCGCGCGGTACTCCACCGTTAACAGAGGCAGGTAGCCGTAGACAGAGATAAGGAAATTTATACAATGAGATCTTTCTAACAAGTGGCCGGCATCTGCGGAAAGCATATCCATGTTTGAGCATTCGGGACAACGAAATTTCTTTCGCGGCCCAACTTTTAAAGGAGCCTTTCCCGTAAGATTGGCAATTAGGAAATTCATTGCAATATCCTCGCAATTTTTATGCTCTCGCACAAAGTCTCGGATGGAACGAGGCATCTTGAACGAGTAATACTGATTGTATACCTACGCACAAAACAATATCACCAACAACACAAAAAATCAACCAATCATGAATGTCGCGTACCTTATTATAAAAGGCAGCGCCGGTAAGCACAATGGACAATCTACTAGACCATTCAGAACTATATTCCCATGCATGGTTGGAACCATTCCATAAATGAAGCCGCGATGGAAACCCAACCAATCGGTCGGAGTGCTCCAGCCAAACCTGTCATTAAACATAAATATCCGGTCGGTAGAGGCACCACAAGGAAAGGTCGGTTAGTTGCTACTTTTCAAAGTATGCTATAATCGGCCCGCATTGGCATGTAAAACGCTCCTCAAACGAAGCACTTAACCTAATGGCAACCTTTAAGAAGTATCAATACAACTCTTCAAAAAGAACCGCCCTGCAACACCTGGGTGTTTTCCTCTCACCTGGTATCCAAATTCGATTTCGTCTACAGTAAGCATTAATATGTCATCGTCAAGGTTTAAAATCGCCTCCGTTTCAATGTCGTCATACGGTAAAAACCTGAAAAATGAGATATACTTCTATACCACTTCCAATGAAAAATTAAGTCCCCTACGAGGACAACTGTACCCTTACCGCTATCTTACTCACACCATGCTAATGGTAAGTTACAGTTTCGTACATTACCTATTATTTAAATCATTATCTTTGGTCTGCAGAACCTTGAGCGGTTTATTTATTTGAGGCCATTTTTCAGCTGGAAAAGAAAGCACTGATTAACTCTAAATGACGCGAAACGGTACATCATGGGTAGAAGTATGGATACTGAAGTATACAGTACGATGCCTCTTTCACCTATCAAACTTACACTAAAAAATTATGGCAACTATTGGAAATACTTAATGATCTATTTAGACCGCTCAATAGGAGTATATTTTCAGTTACCATGCCATATTTTCTCTAAAATACAGCATGTTCCCATTTTCCATAACTTGCGTCAATTCTCTCCTTCGATTACTGAAGCGCATCATTTCGCGACAAATCGATTTACGCCGCAGTACACAATCATTCGCAACAACACGTCTAATTACCTACATGTCGCTTTTTGCAGCAGTGTTATTATCGTAGCAGCTGCCGGCCGATTTGATAGCACTTACTGCGTAATTTGAGACGTACGACCTGACAATCGCTCTAATTACAGAGAGGGCAACTACAAGTGATCACGCACCGGAAGGCGGCTGGGCATCCTGATCATTCCACATCACCAGAATCTTAGCCAGACTGGGACACTTGGCTACATGGGAAATCAGCTGGAAGAGGCTGGGAAGTCGATCGAACGTTAGGATTACAGTGGTGAAGCCGAGCGATTTCGGCATTATACCGGGTAAAAACAACGGTGCCTGATGGGAAATCTGGAACACACAGGGACAGCACACAATTTATACACATGTTACAAAAGGCAATCTAATCACGCCAATGATCGTCACGCCATACTCGTTTCGCTGCCAGATTCCATTGCTCATAACTCTTGGCGGCTTTGGGAAAGATACGATCGTTAAGGGCTTGCAGTACAGTCTCCACAATAATCTCCATTGAACTAAAATATTGCTCCCAAAAATACAAGCCGATCTGCCGCATCTCGCCAATCACAGATTTATCGATAGCCTGCAGCCGCTCAATCACATCACTTGGTTGATCGGGACGCAAGAATACTGCCGACCTGAACAAAAATCAATCGTTAAATCAAAAACTAAAGAAAAAATGTTCGATCGTGTATTTATAAAACGAATATGCGGTACTGGGTGGTACATAATCCACACACCTTGGCCAATCCAGATTGTCGGCAAAAGGCATAATTATGGCACTATTAGCGATGACGGGAATACATCCCATCATTAAAAGATCGCCTAACAGTGTCATAGCAGATGCTCCAGCTATTATACAGAAATGCGAATCCTGAAAATAGCCGACGACTCATTCACCCCAAGGGTATTGTATAAAAGAATTTGAGCAGATTTGTGTCAATTTGTAACGCACCAGAAGGATCTCCGGATAGCGACAGGATACGTCAGACAACTTACAAGCTCCAATAATTTCTCCATTAGGCGCAACGCGGAGGGATAAACGCAACATTCTCTCAGACTGAGATTTCATTAAAGTAACAATTGTGTTATCATCAGGTATTTGATCCCGATCAACCGTGATCAGCGTCAACATCCATCGTCGGTTTGCGCTAGAGTAAAACAGAGTGACACTGCAATTTCCATGCGGTATGCAAACATACTCACGATACCACATACAAGTCTTTTACCTACTTTATTGTAACAATAGCACACAAAGGTGAACAACACAAAATATGAAAACTTGTTAAAAATACATCATACGAGTTAATAATTAAAATGAATGGGAAAAATAGAGAACTATGATGTAAAATTTTTGCGAAGTAATATATACTCATTTGGGCCAGATTACAAACAAAAACAAAGCCTGGCGCATTACTACAAACTTCATAAAATAACCATAGGACGACAAAATTAGGTTACCGTGATCGATTAGGCCAAACTTTTCGGTAGGGTGCAGGGTGAAAATATGGTACACTGATATCGAATTCTTTCCTGTAGGATTTCAGAGTGAATCCCGGTGCTGCAACCATTGCTGCACCCAAATGCATCCCAGTCGGCAAAGATGCCCGTGGTTTCAAGGTAAATATCAGGCTATTACTTCCGTCGTTCCACCTATGAGCAAAGCAAATATTTAACTACTTGTTCCACTTGAAAAGATCTTTACTGGCGTTTGAAATGGTCTTTCAACATTAATGAAAGAGCTTAAATAAAATTTGCTACATTACACACATTCTATCAAACGTCCAAATCCATAACGAAAACAACATGAACAATTTCAAGGAAAGGCATTTCATAATACCGCGTCGGTCGGCACAACTACCAAACAGCTAATTTTTAAAAGTTCAACAAAAAATTACTCTGTTTCAGTTATTCTTAGCAGCTCACTCGCGCCAATATTTTAGTGATTAAACTGTTACACAGTTGCCATTAAAATCGAAGCATCACCACATAGGTACAATGGAGCAAAGCAACATATGTATCACAGTATCAGTAAACATTCGTCTCATTTAATCGTAAATTACGGCACCATGTCAGATTTCAATTTGTATTAACAACCAAGCAGTACAGGTAACTCACACCGTAACGGTAACAAAGATGTTACTAACTTATTACAGTACTTAGTACGATCTTAACGATCGCAAAAATAAATACTACACCAATTAAGAAGCAACAGCAGAAAAAATTTCTCCGCAACGGAATACGCTTAAGGAATTAATAACTATATATGTACAACTGAAAAACAAGGAACAGTCATGAGGACAATATTTATATTATGGGTTCACACCAATCCGAAGCGGCCTATGAAATGAACTATAAAAGACTATTACCACTAGCACATTTTACGTTGTTATATCAGTAACACGAAAATTCCCAGAACGGCGACGAACGTAAAGGAACATTCATAAATCCGGCTTATAACAACTCACCTTTTCAATGCGGCCAAAGCTAACGACAGGTTTCGTGCAGATGAAAAATCAGGATACAAAAAATCTACGGGAGGTATGAATATGCAGGCATCGGATTGGCTTTCCGTATTAAACACACTTTTTTTGACGATGCTCCGAAATGCATGAAAAGAAGAGCTTGCTTCGGAATTCAAAGGTTTTCCACGATGATAAAATTGGGTATCGGGGTAGAAAAATACTAAACTGCGATAATCATTCAACGCGTTACACCGATACACATCAAAGCAGGAAAAATGTGAGCAATCATGTTTGGTAGGAACCACAACACGCCCGTCCACTTGCACAGTGACCGGACCGTGTGAGCCGATCAGGCTTCTCGGGTAGGACGCAATATCCATTTCTTCGGGCGCGCTGCGTATTAGGAAGCCACAGAGAGTGGCAAAAAACAACAACAGTAACAGCCAACGCCGCCGCCGCAGAAAGCGTCGAAAACAAGTTTTCCATCGATGGTGTTTGGATGGAAACTGAGTCTTCCATCGGCCCCACCATTTCCAGAAGGTTTTCATGACCCGTTCATAACCACGCAACAACCGCTAGCCCATCGCCGAGCGGAACGCAACGGAATGTCCAATGCAACGATACCGCAAACCAGCATCTCACAGGCTGGCTACACAACACACGCCGATTAGTCACATTATCCGCCGACTGCAAGTAAGTATCGAGTTGTCCATAACTAAGTTGACTCCTGCGACGAGGAAAAGAAACGGCGGATTGCCTTGTCGAGAACCAAAGCACGCAATGAATTATTCAAAGGTTTGTCATGGATTCGTTTAAGTTTACCCGAGTTAACCATTACGTTCGTCGAATGGAAAATGATAGACTGGATAAGCGTCAACGTTCGACAGCCGGAGCTGTACTGTTGCAAACAACACATACAAACTCAGTTGGTGGTCTAAACTCTTAAAGCAAATCAATATTCCGATAACACAGTTCCAAGACATGTCCCGTAGTTTTTCCTTTGCGCTTTGATCTTCATCCTGCGCAATCCATAATTACAGAATACTGCAGATGTCTTGCACAGCGTGCAAAATATTTGGACATAAATGATAATCTATACACAGGTTTAATCTAATTCAAGTACTCAAATTGCCAGTCAAAACAAATGATTAAAAGTGCTAGTAATCTGAAATCCGTCAAAATGCATGCAAATAAGTAAATAAATCGTTTTATACGCAGGCCGCAGCCAAATGACACTTGTGCTGGATGGTGTCTGGTTAAACAGCCGTACAGATCGTACTGTGTCTGTAGCGTTTTCTCAGCCACTGTACTACTGTGAATTTTTACAGAAACTGAGAAGTCAATCACAGATTTTCATATTATTCATGACTTATGAGTATCAGTTTTAGTGGCAAGCTGGCAACTAAAACTACCAAGAATTCAAGGCATTATACTCAGATTATAGAGACAAGGTTGGTGAATTAGGTTACTTTAAAAAGTTGAATACTTTGTTTTTAACAAATTAGCATAAGAAGGGTCGAGGACTCGAAACACTAATATTATGATGTAAACTTATTTCGTTCCACGAGTTATTAGTGGTGTCGCGGCACTATATTGCCGTCGTTGTGTTTGCAGTGTCAAATTTTCGGAAAATATGGCTAAATCTTCCGGAAGCGGTCCCGAAGGACAACCCGCCCATGTGAATTTATTCCAGGATATTACTGGAGATGATTCAGAAGTTACAGAAATCGAGAGCTTATGTGTATCGTGTGAGAAAAACGTAAGTGCATATCCGACTGCGTGATTGCGTAATGTCGAACCACACTGTCATCTGTGTTTAGGGCACCACGCGGCTTTTACCAGTTAAGATTCCGTTTTATAAAGAAGTCATCGTATCTTCGTTTTCGTGTCCCCACTGCAACTATTCAGACAACTCTGTCATGGAAGGAGAAGTAATCCAGGAGCAGGGCATTGAATTCCAGCTGAACGTTAAAGAACAGCGAGTAACAAACACCGACAAACAAATGAAAAACCAATTATACCCCGCGTTAGCTGTAGCAGGGTTAATGTTTTTGTAGGATCTGGATCGTACCGTTGTGATGTCAGAAACTGCCTCCCTAAAAATCCCAGAACTGGACTTTGAAGCGCCTTATCGTAGACAGACTTTCGGTAAATGGATAACTGTTAGAAAAAACCTTTTATTGCAGTACTAATTTTAAGTACAAAGCCTTGGTAAACTTTTTCGAATAATTGATTTGAATCTCATGTTTTTGTTGCTTAGTTCTTACTAATTGTTTTTTATGCAGGCATAACTACTATTGAAGGAGTTATTGTTAAAGTGAAAGAAATGCTGCAGAAATACTTAGTAAGTTACTGAGCGTTGATATTTCATTTGAGTGTTTTAGTGTATTCTTTACTTTGTATGCTGTTTTACGGTTAACAAGGCTTTTTAGGAAGCTCGCAAAGGAACCGACTCCGAAGAGGACCTCGCACCGATTGCCGCCTTTATTGGAAAAGTTGGAAAACTCCTGGTGGTGGAATCAACTTTTCATTTGGTGCGTACAGTACTTCTTGCTTGTGTTTGTAGTACGTACAGTAGTAGTGCAATTTGCAAGAAAAATGCAATTTGGCAAATTGGCAGTGTGTTCGACCGGTAGATACGCTCTCTGTTGTGGTGGGGACAGGTTTGTACTAAAAAGTTGCATACTGTTTTGTCACAACTCACAAGTGAATGGTTGTGTTACTTGTGTACAAAAATTAATTTTAAAGAACAGAATAGTGTTGTACAGTCTTGTACTCATCGTAAAATTATGTTGTTTTTAGATCATAGATGACCCGAGTGGAAACAGCTTCATACAGAACCTGAACGCTCCCAACATTGATCCGGAACTGACCAGTACGAAATACAACCGGACTCCGGAGCTTGATGTGCTTTGTGGTCTAGCGGTATGCCCATCCATATGGTATTCTAAATTAGTAGATTATTAATGCATATTATTTCTAGCCACATGATGATTCCACTAATGAGGATAATGTCCACGACGAGGTACAGAGATGCACATAACTGACAAAAATCTACACGCACAATATTGCGGAGAACTATTTCAACTCAATTTAGCTCTAACCTGTGATAATTTTTGCAGGTTCTTGTGTTTCCAGCGACGTGTTACAATTGCAGCGCAGCATGTGAAACAAATATGAAGAATGTTCGTGAGTATTTACAAAAACACCCCTCGACACTTTGGAGTTTCAGTAACTTCCTGTTATGGTCTTTCTGCAGAAGTGCCTCATTTTAGCGAAATTTTGATCATGTCGACGGTATGCGATACATGCGGTTGGCGTAATAATGAAGTTAAGCCATCGGGTGGTATTGCAACCGAAGGTGTTCGCATTACTCTGACAATATCTTCACCGGAAGACTTGAGTCGGGACGTTGTAAAAGTACGTACTTAATTAACTGAAAAAGTGACGTTTTCCAAATTTTTAATATAGTCGTGTGGCAGTTTTTTTTCCCCTAATATCTACGAGTAGAATATCTTCTGTGAAGTCTGGTTGCGGTAATTTGACATCCTATTGTAACTCGTGGCTTTTTTCCACTTAAATGATTAATTTTATTCGTTTTTATTTAGTCAGCAACGTGTGCTTTGGAGATACCAGAATTAGAATTTGAATTGGTTCCCAGTGAGCATTCCAGCCGGTTCACCACCATCGAAGGGCTTCTTATGAACATCAAAACTGTAGGCATATTTATATTTTGTACAGTGTACTGCAAGTTGGAGCACAAGGGACCGTTTATAGTGATAATTATTAGTAGATTACGGTCGAATTTTTATAGTTGGTGAACGATAATCCTTTTGCACGCGGAGATAGTGCTGATCCTGAGGTTATACAAAAGATTGCTCGTTTTGTGGAAAAGCTCGACAGCGTAAGAGTTTCAGTTATTCGCCGGTTGTTTTGCTGTTTTTTTTACTTACAAATGGTTAGCGCGATAAAGAGAATTGTAGCGCTGATTTCTTATGCTCATCAGGTTGTAGCAGGAAAATCGGAAGTTCATTTAGTTCTTGATGATCCCGCTGGCAATGCCTTTGTGGAGGTACAGTGAATTATTACAGCACTGTACTGTAACAATACACGGTAGGACGGTGTACCACCTTGGTGCATAGCTATGGAGTTACATTTTTGACTGTTTACTTAATGTCAGGCTTATGGTTGCAGGAAATCGGAAAAAATCTTGTTTCAGCATCTGTAAATTTTTTTAGGCCATGCCTAATTTTGAGCAAGACCAGAACCTTAAAATTGAACGCTATAAACGGACACGTGCCCAAGATGAGGAACTGGGGATAACGGAGATGAAAACCGACAATTATGAAGAACACGCAAAACAGCATGAATGAAAACTGTCATCGGATCAAAGCTCTGATACTTACGTTAGAGTAGTGATTTTTAGTTTTTTAATTTGTTGGAAGCGGTGCGGTGATGTGGGCTGCAGACGCGATGTCTCTTGTTCTACCGTGTGCGTCGAATTAGTGTGACTCGAAAAAATTGAAACAAATTAATCAAAGGTTATCCCGTTTATTTTTGTTCCGTAGAACCTAATAACTTTTGCTGGTGGCACCATTATATTTAAACTGACAACGATATTGCCGTAAAATTTTTAGAAGGCAACATTTACATACAGCTTATCTTCGGAGTAGTAGCTGAAATGCTTATCAAGTGTTTTTCAACGTCACTTTGCAGTGTGCATTCACGTGATTACCATAACAAGCGCTCAAAAATCTGGTATCTCGCGCGATTGCACTGCTCACCCAAAAAGTGCAAAAAGACCTCCGAATACAAAGCACAATATGCATTAATACCATGTACGTATGTTTCATGCTGGTTACTGTGAATAAAGGACGAGAAACACAACTGCTAATACAGTGGACTTCATAAACGTTACCGTCGGACCAGACCAGAGTCACCGGACTAGTCCCGCTAGCCTTTAGTCGCATTCTCGAAATCCATTGTACTCTAACTCAGCTCACGCGATTTTACTTCTAATCGTAATAAAAGCAAACAAATATTTACACAAAAAAAACAACAGATTCATCGTGAGCCACTAGCCGTTTCTTTGGCAGCATTTTGTTCTTCCATTTCGGCGGCTACATTAGCCATTTTAATCCGATTCCTGCGAGCACCGATGTATGACATAGGATGAACCGGAAGAAACCCTGAAAGGCCGAGAAGTTGATCGACTGGTTTGCTCGTGAGAGCTCCGGAACCCAACCAGTAACGTATTCTGGAAACGATAAATTTTATGCTTATACTTAAGTATAATTTATATATTCATATAAACCATACTTCAAGGTACTGTAGACCAGGGGTTTTCTAGAGGTGTTAGAATGCAAGCTATATTGACACCAAAATAAATACAAACTACAATTTAAACGTAAAAAATCAACTCACGTCACAATTGCAATTATTAACCAATAAGCGGCTAAAGCCACGCGAATTCGCAAAAGCTCAACTAATCCCACGAAAACGAGTATACCATATCAATCTTGTAGAGGTAAACGTAAATCGTAAATGCTGCAAATTATTAATTCTGCTTTCCACCTAATTAGTAATAACAGAATCCACGGAACTACGCCGTTACTACGGTCACATAACTACGGTCACCTGTCAAAATTCAACGCGCAGAGCTTTTCTCCGGCACTGTTTGGCATAGGGTCGTATGTTCCGACTTGCTCTACTATTGCGGCTTCGTCGAACACATCCAGGTGTTTTGGTTGTACAACAAAGACATAAAAAGGTCGGTTCGTGCATCCTCTGCGCAATATTCGAATAATAAATCTCGTGGGACGAAGTCCTTGCGATGCAATCCCCGCCATTTCCAGCTTGCAGCAAACCAACGCACAAACCTGGCGTGGTACAGATTTCTGAAGATAAAACAATGTTCTTTGCGGATATCAAATACACGATAAAGTTTGACTTCTATGAAAAGCTGTTCTAAACTACCAAAATGATCGCCGAGGTACTACTACTTACTTTGGAGCACTGGCGAACGCCGAACGCCAAAGCTTTCCTTAGTATGTGTAGCTGACAGCTATCAAATATCTAGACAAAAATTTTAATAAGACTGTTTTGTTCGTTCATTAGAAAATGAAAATTTTCGAGAACCAGCCGGTTTCATAAATTTTTTATTTTTTTATCGTTTTAGACTACTCAGTAGTTAAAATGAAAAAGCTAATGCTGCCAAATTCGTGATTCTCGCCGAGAATGCAGACTGGTGCCAGTGTGTCATTTTGACGTCACTAACATACAGGGATTTTACGGTGCGCCAACAGGAGAACTACGCATTCGCTCTGTTTCTGTTCGTGTGCTGTCGTATGGGCGGTGGTGTGATACCGTGGCCATGGCACTGTCGCTTAATTTAGGAATATTGTAAATATTTTTATCACACGTTTTTTTCTCGTTTAAAGAGGATAGTTTTCTGTAAATTTTCATGTATCTGCCCAATTAAGAAACATGATAATTTGCGAAAGCGAGCTGTTTAAAAAGTGCCGGGATAAGCACTTGTTGTTATGGGCATACGATGACTTCCCGGCGCACCTTAGGCGCACGACTCCCAACCGCCACAGGGCGCCATCCGGGCGAGAATCGTCAATAGTAAATTTTGAGAGCCAGATATCTGTTCAAACTTCAAACTCACAGCTACAGGCGGTTGGGTATTCAGCTGATCAAATCAACTACGGCGCTCTGTGGTAGCTCGGCAGCTGATTGTGAACGTTTGTATCTGTAAAAACTAAAACTAAAACAGTAAACACAATCTCTGAGAATTCAATGCGAAGGGCTTATTGCTCGGGAAGCTCCGAAAGCCATGTTAAAACTTTAAGTTATACAAATCTTTAAACTTGTTTTTTTTAGGTAAATGATTTAATAGCTCCTCGGTTAAAACCTGCAAACTGTGAGCACATCAACTGGAAAGGGCCGAATGGTTGATAAGCGAGAGCAGTGAGCTGTTATGGTTGATTTCTTATATGGTGGATTATTTCCATTTTGATTTGTCGTAAGTCGTAACACATTTGGCACTTGAATTTTGCCTTTTCATAAGATTGTTTATATGACAATCGTGGCATCGCGGAGTGCCATATTGGCCATTATTTGTATGTACAGCAGGAACATAATCATCGGAAAGTGAGATATTGTGATCTTAAAACTGTTACCAGCTTACGGTGGTACCCGTTAATACTGGAACGGGAACTGCTAGTACTTATATGTACTTAGTAGCAAGTTATTGAAGCATAGTGAAATTGATTATGTTTACTGCGTATACTTCGTTTGAAATATGGAAAAACCGATAGGTCACAAAACGAATTGGTTGTATGTTTTAATACTTATAGGATAATTGTGTGTTCGTTGATAATGGGAGCGGATCAGAGTTCACAGGGGCAACAGCGAGACGCCCCTCCAACCCCTTCGACGGTGAAATCGTTTCCCGAAGAAATCGCTGCTTCCGCAAGGAACCCTCCCATAGGTTTGAGTTGGCTACTTTCGATGTTTACAGTGAACCGGTTTGAGATTTAACGTAATGGTAATCGTGGTGGGGTGTGAGTAGATGCATTCCACAACAACGAGCAGGCCCGTGTTGGTCGCCTGACCCGCTTCTTGAGCGACGCAATGCCTTCCCGTCCCATATCGAAATTACCCATTCCACAAGAGATACACGTGGTCAAGGAAGGATCAATTGAGGCTCCCACTATTGAGCAGGACGACGATTTGAAGCATCTCCTGGTGAGTGCGGCGCGTTGTCAGCTTGTCGGTAGTATTGTCATTTGTCACGGTGTGCCTTTTTCACTCATTTGCCAGGTTAAGTAGTTTTCGTAATTTGCTGTTTTATAGCTTGCTGTTTCGCAGAAAAGTATCCTGCTTAAGAATGCTGGCAAAGAGTAGTAGTCGAGATTAGATTCCTAAGTATCGTTTATGCGTCTTTTATTCGAATTTTTGATTGTTTAGACCTTTGCATTGTTTGATTCAGTTTTTTTCGGAGACTTGCATGCTGACCGATGCGATACCCAGTGTTTTGGCACTGTTAAATATGTGTACCAAAAGGATTCGGATTTTGTATTAAAAATTTTTAATACCAGCGTGTTGTTGCAGTCACTTCCGACTTTCCTACCTGTCGTTAAAGGATCCGTCAGCATACCTAGCGTGAGAGACTCCGAAATTACTGATCGGCTTGATTACCGCAAGATGTTGATGATCGGTTTACGGTATCAGCAATATCTACGACAATGCTCGGACATTGTTTCAGTGGAACAGCAGGCTGTAATGGGCCGTGTTAAAGAGGTAAATGTGTTAAATGTGCCGCTCCACGCTTGCTCGAACGAGTTTGCTCACATCCTAGGGTAGTTAGGGTGACAATGTTACTTAATACTAAATGAACAGACATACGGTAGGTTCGAATCTTTATTGCTTTACCAATAGGCGGACCAAACCCTGCTACGCGAAACAGCTAGTCTTTCAGAAAAACAAAAGCTCCTTGCCCGTTATTCGGAGACTTTTGGAACCGTGACAGATATCAGCAAAACTTTGGATAAAATCAGTGTGAACTTGGATAAGACAGTTGCCGTTATGGAAAACCTGAATCAGCAGCTGCCGATGGAATACAGAATGCCTCCATTCAAAGTTCACGAAAAATAATTTTTATTGGTGTTTTCTTTCTTTGAAATTTTTTAAGCGCCAAATTCTTAATATCTATATCTGTCGGCTAAAGGTTTTCCTCCTTGCGATCTCGATTCTGCAGAAAAACAAAACCCTAAACCAAGGTATATAGGGTTAAACCTGGTAGCGCAGAAGTCGGAAATCTGCTGTATAAAAATTCAGTAACTTTCGGCACGTTTCACTCAAAGGCATCAAGTTGTAATTAAGGGCCCAAACGTATGGCACGGCCTACAGCCTAAACCGCTTAGAATTTTTAAAAGCCGATTGCACATTCTCTGTCTAGTTTTTCATGCTCTTCATGCTCGTTATCGATTTGATGAGAAATTATGATTTTTCCATAAGTCGAAATATGAATATGAGCGAGCCTCATATAATTCTCAGCAGCAGTCGGAGTGAGTGCGGTTGTAGGGCGCAGACAGACTGTCGCTAGCGCGCTGCCTGCCTGGCCTATATGTATTCATGCCCGATTCAAACCACATTTCTACTACTTTACCGACTCAGATGTTTTTTGGAATTTTGGAAAACAAATTGCAGATTCAGAATCAGCGTAAAATTTTACTATGGCTTTCTGTCTGTAAAAAGTTTGTAGACTTTATGGGTCATCCGCAAATCCTTGCCATACGTTTACAACTTGATGGTCGTTTCGGCCATTGTTTTTCTTTTGTCTTTCAAGAAATCTTAACGAGGTGTGACGGCAAAAAAAGTACTGAATTTTTAGACGTTCAGTCGCGCTACCAGGTAACCCTATATACCTTGCCTAAACTATCATCAATCAAGCCAGATTGAACCATCAGTGTTTAATACCAATATACTTTTGATCGATATAAATTTTATTTTTGTAAGGTAAAGAATAGCTTTTAAGCAATTATCAGTACCATTATCAGTACAATCAACGCAGTTATCACAAGAACACACAGACCCTGTATTATAGCAGATTTACAAAGATTCATGATTTTTTTCGGCATTTGCTTACAATTATGCAAATAATCGTGCCTCAATTTGTTAATCTTTCTTGGTACTCGTAGCAGTAGCCGGTTATATCAACTGTCGCATCTTATTTGGTCAGCAGCTACTATATGAGCGGTTTCAATTCCGGCTTGGGTGAGCTTTGTCACAATGCTTTGCACCATATTGGGATCGGCCTTTCTGGAGCGGCTGCAAGCAAACACGCATTTGTTGTCATGATAAGTTTCTGCAATAAATTGTATATCGGAAAAAAACAATTTGGTTGCCATACATGCATCTTGGTATGTAGCGGCTCTTCGCTTTCAGTGCGCGTTTACTAACCTTAAAATCGACACGAACTGGTTGTGGAAAACTCCATTAAACATCTCATTGCATGACCATATCTAACACCAAATTACAAAGCCGTTTATAAATAATTAGTCTGCAAGCGAATGTAAACGGAATTTAACTGTGATTTCGTAGTCGTTATCAGGAACTTACCACAGCAAAAGTTTTGTAGTCGGTGTCCAGTACCCGATATTCTGACATACTTGTCCCTAAATTCAATAAATCGAAAATTTAACTGAAAGTCAGAGCTTCATATTCCTGATTAGATTGTCGTTAGTCACTGTCAAAATGTCTTGTGGGCGAGCATTGGTTTCTTGAAGTGTACTTTATGGACAGCGCTCGCACTCAATGACAAATTTTAGAAAAAAATCTGACCTTCCGTATAGTTGAACCTTAAAGTAGCCGGCGGTACTTTTTCGGCTAGAAATCCCACAATTTTAATGGGCGTGTAAATGCTGCAATATGGCAAGTATTACTTTTATTATATTATGCAATAAAATGATGCTTTGACATGTACTTTTATCATCGCTGTTACAGAAGTTGTTCTTACGGTTCGGCTTGGTTAACTGCACTTTGTCGTCTTTGTCGAAATACTTTCGAATTTTCCATCAACGGTTTTTTCATGTGAGCATGTTTGTATACGGATCCTGGACCTTTGCGGTGAACAATTTGTGCCGGCACACTGGATGAAATTGGTGGAGGCAGCACCCTGCAAACAATAACAAACACAAGTAAGGTGCGGCGGTTAAATACAGTATTTTTTTACATCACAATGTCCACATTACTTTTATGACGCTATAATAATTGTATGATCTGTAATGACTGCTCAATGCAGAGAAACCACAAATGTGCGTATTCATAGCAAGAGACAAAATTTTCACAGGTGGTTCTGGTAACCTTTATGAGCTTGCTTTACTGAGGCTTTTTGATCAGCTGCAAATTGATACCTACTTTAAGTATCTACTTACATCTTTTCCAGCGCATTACTTATGACCAACGTCGTCTGATTATGTCTTATAAACTCCATCGAGACGCACTTTGTTTCCATGATGGTAAAAAACTTGGCAATTTCATACCATGTTCCATTCGCATACTAAAACACCAGTAGCAAGTTCTCAATCTGCTAATACTGACCCATTAATGCTGATTTCAATGTAGTACCAGTAGCAAACGGATAGAATGTTAATAATATGTAGTACATAATGAACATCGCACAATTAGGACTGTGCCGGCAAAGATAGCAAATTGGTACTACATATCATGCATATGACGTCGACGATATTACTTATTGCAAAAAAATAATTTATCATCGGACTCGGAGTACTTATTATTAGCTGTTTTCGGTTATATAAGGTACGTCTGAAGGTGCGTCTGCATTATATGCATGTGCTTACCCTATCAAAATCGAAATCGGGGACTCCTTTCATGTCAGGGCATTTCCCAACTCGCCCAACTTGTGCATTGGAAAGGAGAGTCGTAATAGCGAGTGTGCACAGCAGAAGCCAGTTTACCGGATGTGGCCACATTTTATTCTGACTATACTCAGTAGTACTAATCTATACAATCTGTATTATGTACATGCACGCATATAATAATATAAACTTCACAGATTCCCATAAAAACAAAAAACAAATGCTCGCAGTGAATGGGTCACGATGCCAATCATGATAAAGATCAATGTCGTTTTATAATAAAGTGGCCATCCTTTCTGCAGACCCGATGTTTTTGTATAACTGGATTTCCTGCTGTGAAGCGCACGTAGCTGCGGTTATATAGCGCAAGACAGCAAAGTTTAGATGGTTTGGATGATGAAAACTCAAACCGTTCTTCTTTAGCATTAACGAGGCATGGGCATTTAGAATAAAATGGACCGATCGGACAGCGAACAAATCAAATGCTCGAACCTGTTTCAATATAAGACAAACACAACAAGGTGTTACTGTTTACGGGGGGAAAAGCGGAAACGAGTTCAAGACCCGCGATGCTGTTAACCTGTTCGTCTACGCAGGTGTTGTAGTCTGTTGCGCATGTGACAATGGTATGGCACACAGAGTCGTGCAATGAAATTATCTGCCGTTCAAGCACTTCGTAAACATGGCCAGCATACTGTACAACTGTCCGCAGTTTAAATCAGCTGGTCAGTTCTCAGCATGACCTTTCTTTTCCTGAGATCAGTTGGATGAATATTCCATCGCTTCAAGCATTTGACAGAGAAGAGTATGTACCCTTACTTTATAACGTCCAGCTTTTGGGGGTTATTGCAGCAACCTTCCGCGGTCGGCTGAAGCTGAGTAATCAAGAGAAAAACTGCTTCTTTTAGAGAAAACTTGGAACTGTTTTTGCCGCCGGATAATAAAAGTTAAAAAACTTATAGCAAGCCCAACATAGACCATGCAAACTCTATATTTTTTACAAAGGTGGTAATTAAGTAACTTTATAAATTACACTAAGCAAGTTTCCGTTTGTCCATCAATCAAGGCGTTCATCGTGTGCCAGGACGTTTTACGGATGAATTATTCATCCTTTATAGCGCAAAGAATTCAGATTTAAAAAAGAACAAACACCAAAGAAAAACGATTTTATTCAAAGCATGCGGCCCACCGACGAAAGAATGTGATGTCTGTCCCAACACAACTTATGAACACAATAAACAACAAAAGAGAATTTCGTTAAGTCACAGTTTCACTGACCACCGGAACCAAACCATCAACGAAACAAAAGCAAAAACTCGTTTTTAAAAAATCAGAATCAACACAAGTTGAAATTTTGTCACATTAGTTCAAGTGAACAACCACACCATTTCCACCAAGTCCCAGTTAGGTATCAAAATTGAAGGCAGGTATTCTGTGTGAACCCAAATATGAGCTCTCTCTAGCGTTCTTCAACGAACACGGCAACCTGTTGCGTCAATCCCAAATCCTTAAAGGTTTTGTTGGGATCCAGTCCACTCAGCTATAAATTGAAACATCCAATTAAAAATAAAAAACAGGAAGTAATAGAACAATGTGCAAACAGAATGTTTTTCGGCTTTACCATCTTTTTAGGATAACTTGATACCAAATTGTAATCATCACCGGAAAACCCATTTGCATGAGCAAAGGCGAACAAATGTTTAATAGGTGAGGAAGCCAAAAATTTCCTGGTCACTGATTTGCCATCTGGGGTACGCAAACGAATCACCGTAATTACATCACCATTATCCTGCTGTGGTTCGGGTGGTAAAGACGCTCCAGCCTCATCTTGTTTTTGCTGTAGGAAAAAAAGGATCACGAAGTGCAGCAAAAAATTTTCACTCGATATCCACAATACACATATTTCGAAAACCACTCATTAAAGGATGGCTACGCCAGGTTAATTATTAAGCAGTGCCGCTTTCGTAGAAATTCCAGCGACAAGAATTAAAACGCTAATTAAAGTTAACAACAGCCTTCTGTCAATGTAAAACGAAATTCATTGACAACTGTAATCAGCAGTGCTTATTTACGAAGTAACCACTGGATACAATTTACTAACCACTGTACTGCAAAATGCACAAATATACCTGACGCAAACGAAGTTCCTCTTTTTCTCGATTTTCAGCCTCCTTTTTTTCGTTTTCCACGGCCTTTCGAGCTACATCCTACGAGCATACTGTGAGTTGATTGAAGAGCTAAAGAACAACGGTTTCTTAAATACTGTAACCTTTGCTCTGTCAGCTTCCAGTGACACCAAATAAGCCTGGTTTTGTTCTTCCACCATCATGGCTCGGTTCGCCCTCGCTTGCTGAAAAGACATAAATTTCTGAGAAAATAACTCGTCTTTCTTACCGGTCAATACAATACCTGGTCCAGCATTTCCGATTCTTGCGCCTCACCATGTACACGCTCGGCAATTTCCAGACCTTCGAAAACTTCTTGCGCAGACTTCGTTCCATCAACAACCTTAAGTAACTCCACCGATCCGCGCATTTTCGTGCAAATAAATAACATTGGAAATTTATCTACATTGGTCGTCGTCAACGGTATTGACACTTGTGCACCAATAATTTCTTCAATCTCATTTCTTAAGACGATTCGAGATTCTGGAATAGTCACATCCCAAGGCCATAAAACCGCATGTTCCGTCAAGTACTGTATGAGCACAGGATCCTGCAAGACTTGAGTGACAAAGATATTGACGGATATGGAACGGTCGTTGTGGACATATAATGCAAACAATTTTTTCTACAATAACAAGGAAAGCGTCACCAATTAGTCTGCTTATAAAATAAATAAAAAAAATGCACCTCCATAACTGGACGATCAAATGCATACGACATGGCTTCTCGAAGTGTGCCCTCATAAAATGGAGGATGATTGGCACCGTACCTAAAGCAAAGAAGCCTTGAGACTGCAGAAGTACATAACACTTATGCACCACAAATCGTTTAATTTTATGCTACCTCGATTCAAAATTTTGGACGAAAAGACGAACGGCATCCGTTATGGACAGACTAGCATCTGGCACTATATAGTAAGTAAAGAAGGTTACTAGGCGAAATAAACACAAATCGGCAAGCATACCTAACGAACCGCGTTGGGCGATTCGAGGACTGACATCAACAGTGTCGCTCTCGTCCATGTCGTCCGTTTCCACTTCGTAATTCAACTCGGACGACTGGGACTATGAGATAACACAATTGCGCTACACTAATGCGCTTCATTACATAATCACCGCAAATTGAACACGATGCGTACACGCTCGTAAACGGCAGGCTCTCTATCACGAAGTTTGGACAGTCTGAGTTCATGATTGGGAGTGCGAAGCCCGACTTCGGAAAGATACTGGAAAATATAAAGAACTTGTTCGTAACTTCGTATCAAAGGCACAGAGTATGAAATGTCAGCGGGATGACAGAGGGACGCGGGATGAAAGAATGACACCTGTTCGTCATGAAGGGGCCATGGCCATCCAGACCAACTCTGTTTCTCGAAAGAAATATTTGACAGTTCAGCCAAATGGGCCTTTGCCTGTAACGAAATACAATTCAAGAGATACAAATTACGATTCCGAATAACAATACCTCTACTACCATAAAAATGACAAATATTTCAAATACGTAATTTGTTACCCTCTTAAAATACCGCCCGTACTACGCAGAAGTTCTTAAAATTTTTGATAGCCATACGGCCCATACCTCTCTGACAGTTTGCATGCCGTTGAAAAACAAATTGTAGGTTTCGTCGTTTTGTTGGTCAATGACTTGCACATGGTAAGTCTTCCCCATTCTATCACTGCAACAGCTTCAGTTAAACTGTTGATATAATTTTCCATCGTTTACACAAATAAAAATCGTGAAACTCACTCGCAATGATCACCAACAGGTCGTAGAACCAAATGGTAGTCCTTTGCCAGACCAAGTTCTGCAAACGTCATCTGCAAGAAAACGCCAAATCACCATGATCTCTTTGAAATCCAGTATAAAATTACTTTAGCTGCAACGCATAAAAAAAAACTAAAAAACTTCACTTAAGGTTTGCGACACCATGGCGAAACGAAATGACAGCAACTGCAAAAAATTTTTGCAGTCCAAATGCACAACAATACAAAATACGGATTACAGTACCACAACAGCTTATCATTATGGTACCGTACAACACTGCCGAGAACATGACAAACACCGCTACAGGTAAAGCACGAACTTCGTCAGAAATGATGTCCGGGTCATCCCATCCTAACAGTTCCATTTCGGAGTCTTTGAGTCCCGTTTTTCTCCGCAGGAGTCTTTTTAAATCCCCTGCAAAGCAACAATAACGGTTAACGTAATTAAAAAATTTAAATAAAAAAATTAGCAGTGTCCGTTTACTGTTTGACATACCAACTTTTTCCGATTCCGGAAGCTCCAAACGAATAGTGTGCTCGCCATAATGGATCTTAAACACAATATCCTCATCGCCTGCCATTTTATGGCTTCCGTTACGAAATTCGTAATCCTCCATGACTTGAAAGAACCGCAACAAATCTCAATCTGCAAGTCATCAAAGTGGTGCAAACAATGAGCCCTGCAGCTCACAACAAGTTACAAGCATAGTAAAGCGTCCTTGTCGAAGATAAATTATGAGCATCCGTGCAGTACAGTATTAAAAATCAAAATGAATGGAAGCAAAGCACAAAGACAGAATGGAAGCAAAGCACACAGACTTTTAATTTTTCAAACAAATAAACGTGGCTGATTATTAAGCCATATTGAAATGTGCGTGCATATTCAGAATTGCTATTAGTATGCACCTTGCTAAATGTCAGAAGAGGTCGTTTCTCTAGCACCTGAACATTTTAGTTAAAAGTGTCCTTCACCTTTTAGTGAATTAATTAAATTTCAGGAATTTCCAGATTCCTCGGCTTAATAAATGCTCATTCTTTCATTTACCTTGTTTCCAATACTTACAAGATGGATGTTGTGCTTCCAGATAAGCTGCCACGGCCAGATTACACGAAGTGCGAACCGTCCTTATATATCTGCTTTCGAGAAGCAGAAAAGTACGGGAGACGAAATAAATTTATCTGCCCGCTTTGTTATTTCATTTCCAAAACCGACTATTATCCCGAAGTCCCAAACTAATTCTTCCAAAAATTCGGTTGCTGGTTACATAAAACAAATGAACCAGTAGCAGTACTTGTATGCAATTTTTCATTTCAGTAGACTGAAGCGGAAAACGAGCCACAAAAATACGCTGTTGTCATGAAGCTTAAGTCCCTGTACCGAGGAGCCCTCTAGCCTTACAGTTTACGCAAAACTCACAGCTGATTTGTGGTGGATTGCTAACTCAGAAGTCAGAACGTAGCCTTCAAGGCTGGCGCCTTACCAGATTTGATTACTTATTACTTTTTTTTTATTTCAACAGGCTTTTTTGCTTGTTAAACAGAAAAACGTAAGTTGTTTTTATAGAAAGCGGGCCTGAAAGCCTCGATCATGGACTACTCGTGTTCGAAATCCCTAGCGCTCGAGTCATTGTATTTTGATATCCCAAAGCTACTGGCTGGCCAAGTCCGTTATGTTTTAAAGAAGAGATCGTCAAGCTCCCCGGACAGTGCTGATCAGAATCCAGTCCTGCTGCTGCCTGGAGCACTTGGTAAGCTAAAACTTGGATACTAAGATGAGGAAGGGGCCGAAGGGCCCATGGTCAATCACCCTGTGACTGATAATTAATTTCGAGCCACGTATTTGACAAAAGTAAAAGGTAATAGCAGTTATTGTTAGCGATATTAATCATTTATTTTCGTATAATTTATTAAGCAGCATTAAAGCACCGTTTGTATACTAATAATTGTATGATCCGAAAAAATGAAACTTCACTTGTTCCCACTATATAGACACGTTGGAAATGGCCTTCACGAAACAGTTGACATCTTTTGATCCAGCTTTGACGCTGGTGGCTTGGGATCCACCAGGATATGGGTTATCTGCGAACGTTGCAAAAATCTGGGATGATCAAATGTTTTTGAGAGACGCTGAAATTGCCGCCGATTTGATGAAGGTGAAATTGAATAAAACATTTGCGAATTTGTACAGTGGGCTGTATTATTTCAGTTACTTAAATTTAATTCTTTGATTCTCTTTCTCACTCACAGAGTCGTAAACATTTCCTGATGTCCGCTTTATGCGACAGCTAATTTTTTAGTTACCTTTGTTTGTTTTTACCTTTACGGTTGGTTGAATTGAATGGTTGATTTTCATCGTAGTACCTTGGTTTTACCAAATTTTCGGTAATAGGATGGAGTGATGGAGCTATGACGGCGCTGATCATGGCTGCGAAGCACTCGGAAGTGGTACAGCGTGTGGTTGCAATTGCCGGTAATGCACTCTTGCATTCTTTGGACATCGATATTTATGAAGGTTAGTTGCTAACTTTGCGATAATTGCAGCTAGCGGTCTACTAATTGCGTTTCTCATTTTGTACATTTCGGTACGAAACTCTGTTGCAGAGATTTATAGTACAATACTCGTATTGTTCATAACGCAGTTTAATACGGGAAATATAAGATCGTGCTAGAATTACTAATTTAAGCAGATTTATCAGTCTCGTTAGGTTGAATATGTGCTTGTTGGTTATGTAGGTTGCAGAGAAATCGACAAGTGGGACCCATCCGCAAAGGAACCTTTGTATGTTGTTTATGGGAAGGATAAGGCGAATCAACTTTGGAATTCATGGTGCGATACGATGAAAAATATCTACAGTCAAAAAGGTGGCGACATTTGTGGGTCAGTTTTGGCTGAAGTTGATGCACCGACCCTTGTTATACATGGAAAGCAGGATCCTGTTGTTCCTGTAGATCACGCGCATTATCTTGCCAAAAATTTAAAACACGGCGAGTGAGTGCTATCTTCAATATTGTTGGTCTGTTTCTTATAAGTTTTCTTATTTCTTATTAGCCTGTACATCTTTGCCCATGCAGAACATGATCCGCATGTCAGCCATTCTGAACACTGCAACACTATTATGGCAAGCTTTTTGAAACTACGATGAGAAAAAGAGATTCACAGGTGAGAGCGTTTGCTACGAACTGATGAAACCGTATCCGCTGTGAACATTGACGACTATCACACAGTTTTCAGGATGGTGATGGAACATATCAGCTTTTGTTCCCACTTTTAAAGCAGAACATCCGTTTTCGCTATTCAATTTCTCATTTTTATGGTCGATTAGAATACGAATTTCTTTGAGTTCTCCCAGATCTAAACGGTTTTATTCTTATGGATGTTGCTACTTGAGCGGTGCGGACATTTTTTGATGATCGAAAACCTGACGTTCTTTCTTTTAGATTGGTTAGGAAATTCAGCGGCCCTATTTCCATGTTGCGAGGTTTGGGGAATATGTCGACCATATTGTGGGACTGAGGTGTCTGCCACTGGGAGGGAGGATGCAACGGCATCATGCTGTTTGGTAACGTGGACAGCGAGGAATGTAGCAGTGACCGAACCGCTACGTCGTTACTTTGTGTCCCGCCGTTGCCGAAGAATATGTTGTTGATTTTACTGGTTGTTCCATTGAAATCTTTCCGACCTGCTGGTATATGTTATTTTTATTGAAATTCGTTGTAATTGGTATTTGAGGAATGTTTACCTGGGCATGTTTCTGTGGAGGGACGCATTAAACCGGCAGAGTTGATGCCAAGTCTCGTAAGCCTAAAGTTGCATTCATTTGTCCAGATGTTTAATGTAGTTTTACAGGGCTGTATTTAATTTCCAAAACATCGCATACCATGTTTTTATTCGCTGTAATCGATCAGGGCTGAGCTCCGGAGTCCGACTGAGTACCCAGAGCGACTGAGCATTCATGAAGGAAGCTCCAAAAATATCCATGGAAGTACAGCTCCAGACGACGGCGTACGAAGTGTAATCAGTGTCTAAAATCTGATAAATTCTGGTTTAACGATAATACAAATCACACTGAAATGAGACAAACTTCGTGTCAAAGTTGCTTGTCAATAGTTTTTTTACGTATCGAACATTTTATGAAATCCTTTCATGTATGCATCTGTAATATGTACCACAGCACTTTGCAGTACTGTACTTGAAGTTAATTTGTAATTGTAGCCCAGTATGTTGCTGGTCGTATGTCCGGGGTACATTTTTTAACTTAATTTCGGCCTTTGCTGCCTCTAATAAAAGCATCTACATAGTGGAAGATTCACCGGAAATCGCTGTAAACCCTTACCCAGTAATCTGTATCCATAACAGGAACAAAGCCAGCCGTAACTATAAAGATAGGAGCAAGTTATTATGTATTAAACTGTTCATCATCAAGTTTTGCAGTTTTCCCTATGCAAAAGTAGTCAAAATCATTAATCAGAACAAAACTAACATTGTACTTCTGTATTACTCGTATATAAGGAAAGAAGGAGAGCTTCGGTGGACATATAACACATTCTCAATTTGCACTAAGGTTACGTTGCTGGATAGGATCACACCGTATATATATGCAATTCATTGTCTGTTAAACAGACATTTTGCGCCAGCTGAAATGTTAGGCATATATAATTTCGTATTTTAAAGATTTTAAACTAATACCGTTTGGAAAGCGTATTTTCATTTTCCCGGGATCGTGGATAGGGTCAGGAGCGTAAGCTTCACCCAAAGTAACAACTTCATTTCCATATCTGACAAAATGAGAACAAGAATACGTCACCAACATTTTTAAACACCACTGAAACTGAAGTAATAGATAATTTTATGTATAAACGCTGAACTACTAATGACCAGTTGATAGTTATAATTCCAAAAAAGGAAAAGATTTCGTGTGCGCAAACTATGGACAACGCTACGCTTACATCCAGTTCCAACCGGAATTCCGCACGACTATCATAGGTCGACTTTCTAATCCCGACTGCACCGAAGATACGGAGCTTAGTGAATAATCAGCCGTTATGCAGGTTAATCCGAGTTCGAAAAAATGGAAATAGGCTTCAATCTCAAACCACTTTCCAAGATACTACAATACACGAAACTTCAGGAATCAAAGAATCGCTAAGCATCCGTGGTGTACCATGATACAGGAAATTTGCTTGATTCAATTACGAACGGTAAACGTATACGTACCCGATTAATATCAAAGTCTGCCACTGTATCCACCTGAAATATTTGAATTGAAGAGCAGTTAGATCTGCATACGTTGTTGAGTTACTTATGGTTAGGTCAAATCAAATGTCCGTTTACTCACTGTCGGACAGGAACCCCATGACGGAATCTGGGCGGAAATACGCGCTATCACTGACATTACAAAGGTCACCAAACAGTACCGCGCTAATAAGGTAGGAATTGATGAATTGAATTTCACCATTTTTCTATGCGTGCAGTTTACTATCGCCTAATCTTATAACAAACTCGAGAAATATCAGACGCCTGAAATTGGGCTGCAGCAGATCGAAAGAAAATCATTAGAGCACCGTTACCAGTGACATATAGGAGAACAATGTCTCAATAAAATAAACGCGATTTGATTCACAATCAGAAATGCGGTAGTGGTCATCCTGGAATTTTCGCACACAATATGCAAGCCATCGCATACACGTTCGACTCATGAAAAATGAATTTTCTTTCACTTTCTTCATGTATACGAATCGTTCCTTTGATGCTTTGCTTTGGATACTACTCATACTAGTATATAGTACTCCAATGCACAGCGGCACATGCCGCAGCGAGCAACAGCCTGTCCTGTACGGGTCAAGATGCTCCTGGTGTCAAAGGTGGTGTTCACAATGTCATTGCCGGTGGATAAAGTTCGTTCATTACACATACTTGCATAACTGTTTCCAGTTTGTAAGTTGCTCGCGTTGCTGTGACGGCTTGCTCCTAACTTGCGCGCAAGGAAGCAAGCTATAATCCGATCATCCGGATGAGGGAAATGTATGCGCAGCAGCATGACACCCTTGTATTAACGATAACAATTTAAGCTTGCGGTAAAAAAAGTGCCCAAACAATAAACAAGCCGCAAATGCAGTCATTTGTTCTTACCGGTGCATTAACAATTAAGCAGGATTTTTATACCTCATCTATTCTCATACAAATGCGGTACGTTCTTATACATAATGCACCTACCCTTTTTCTTTTTATGTAACGTCCTTTTGAAAAATTGCCTCTGTGACATTTTTAAATTCTCTATCAACTTCTATTAACTTTAATGAAGACTATAGCTACCCGTAGTAAGGGTAACCATTCTTAGAGTACAGTAACCATTCTTAGAGTACCTTGGGAATTTAAATATGGCAATTTTTCAAAAGTAAGTTAAGCCACAAAAGTGTACGAGTAAGTTACATAAAAAGATAAAAGGGGCTTTGCAATTCGGAAGCAAAAAACTTGCATTAATAACAAACTGAACGACGAAAAACAAAAACTTTCTTTAAATTTGCATTTTTTTATAACCGGGTGTTCAACAATTTACAATATTATTAAGTCCGCTGTCCGCTCACCATTACAGATGAGATAGTACGACGGCAACAGATTTTCTACGTCAGCGGATCAGCATTGAAATTCAACACCGAAACACGGTTTCCATCCTGGGAACGGCACCAGCTTCCGCCCATTTAGAGCAAATGTTGTCTGTAATAATGCGGCCGCCCATTTCTGTTGTTTATCAGCGTTATTAATAATCGTTTAATTTAATTGTTACATATATCGTCATTATCGTGTGCATTTGCGGGCAACAGGCCGCCGGCAGCTGTATAAAAAAAACATTTAAAAAGGGTCGTCTTCTATCAGTTAAGAAATCAGAGCGTATACTCAGACAGCAATGCACACTCTGAAGTTTGACACGACATGCGTAGACGAACAGCACTCATCATCTCCTGAAATTAAAATGATCAAACTCATCAAAGCATTGCAAATAATTTTCTCTAGGGTAGTAAAAAAACGCTATTTGTAAGAAGTGATAATTTGTATTTGTGTTCTACGTTACTACGTACGTAGCGGTCTTTTAAGCTGCCCTGTTTTTCTATGTTCGGAACATACCAAGAACGTGTGTAAGAATCAGCCTTTGGACTCAGGTGCAAAGTACAGTGCTTTTCTGGTGACGAGATGACAGTTATTTCGGACTTTATTGTCGGGCGCTTGTGAGCTTTGGTACTGGCGTCGAATAGTTGAAGTAAGTAAATGGATCACGTAAAATTATCGCCAAGTTCTAATCGCCGAATAGTACGAACTGCACTCTTTTGTGGCTATGTCGAACCGAGTTGCAGCGACCCGTAATGTGGACTATCGGAACCCAAAAGTGGCGATGATAATGTTGAGCGTAGACTGCACCTGGCACAGTATACCAGTGTTTACATCTGGTGTTTGTTTACGTTACTGTACTGCAATTAGACGAAGCTAGTAAACTTAAAGTGTTGTTGTGAGATCTTCTGTGTGAAACGTACTCTTCTGAAAATGACTTGACTGACTAACTTAATATTGTTTGCTTTGGATGCTAGTGGAAAACTGGTGCGATTCCCGAACTCATTGTCAGCAGTGTCTAATATCGTTGCCGTTTCGTCTATCAAAAAATTTAATTGCACTATAATGACACTGTAGGTAAATGTCGGAAACCAGTCACTGTAATTGTTACGTTTTTGCAGAAAAGGCGACTGCTGTAGTGCTTGGCAATCTGTTCTGGACGATAAACGATGGCCGAAGCCCACTTGGCCGTCGCATTCCAGTTCAACGTCACCCATGAAGGGGTTCGGGTGGACTACGATCAAGATCTGGTGCGGGAAATCCTGCATACGTACGGAAGGTCTTGGCGCTACCGTTTGGTCCGATTTCTGGTAAACTGCCTGTTTGATATTCCATGATTGGAGCTTCAGTAAGGATTGTGCTTCACTTTCGGTGACGTTCTGAAATTGATTTCAGAACAACATTAAGAATGTCGTTTTCCCATTTACGCTGTCTTCGGCCACCGCGGTGATTGTTCTGACGTCAGCTCTCGCGGTAACCGATCCGTCAAGCTACCTGCAGCAGCTGGGTTTCGGGAAAGTCAATTTCCATTTTGACCCAACTTTCGGATATGCTCAAAAGCTGGCAACTTTGACACCGTGGTACGTTGACTTGTAACATTTTTGTGTGGCTTCCTTCCGGCTACAAATTTGATTTGTACAGCGGAACAGGTCATTGTTTTTTTGTAAGATATAGGAATTAAAACTTTTTGTAAACCTGCCTTCTTCGGTCGTATCTTAACGTTAAACAATATGAAAATTTCTTAATAACTCCACCCGTGATTGGGAAATACGTAATTTTTTAAGAATGCAAACAAAATACAAACTGTCGTTGAATTTTTAGTATGTGCTAAGTGCTCCGGGGCTTGTGTGTAAAGTTTTGTTAAACTAGTTACTCGAGATGCGAGAATTAAAATTGTGATTGTGATCCGGTCTAAACAGATGTTTTCGTAAAAGAATTCAGTTTGGATTTAGTTACAATGAATTTCCATATTATTATATTTGCAGGAAACTCTTTGGGCCCAGCAAATCTGTAATTATTAGCGCAGTAACCATTTCGACTGCTGAATGGGTTATCATCATTTTTGCTATACGATGGATGACACAACTGTTGTTAAGCTATCGCGGTGCTCTCTTCGAACGGCGCGGACGATATTCCTTAAAGACGAAATTGTGGTTTGTAAGTTATGAGACAACGCCCCTGTCTTCGTTAACGACTGCGAGCATAGACAGGAAATACTTATGGCACATGATATCGTGATTTTCTTTCGTCTCATGACGAGACGCCTAAACAGTAGTATTGCGTGGTCCACAGAACTTATGATGTGTTCTAAATGAACAAAATTGTGAATGAGGTATTGCAGACTTGTGCTATACATAGACGTATGGATTCTGTACCATATAAACGCTGTAAAAGCGGTACGAGTGAAGAGTCTGTACGTACTGTTTGTACGGTACTTGCGATAATTATCATTGTTTCCCAATGTTGTTGACATTAAGTTATTGGCATATCAAGTTAGTACAACTTGTTATTATTGGTGGTTGTTTCAGATCCTGATGAAACTACTGCAAGGGAAGCGGAAACCATTGCTGTACAGTTATCAAGGGATGATGCCCATTTTGCCGCTTCCATCTTTAAAAGAGACGATGACACGGGTATAGGTTTATAGATTTTGCTGAGCTAAATATGTGAATAGCTCGTTTTTCTGTTAGCTGGCCACAGTTTTTTTGGCCATTGAGCTCGTTACGAATTTATTTGAATTTTAATTTTATAGGTGCTATATTTGTCTGAAATCGAGTACAGTAAGTATTTTGAAGTTCGCTGATTCAGGTTTTTTGGTTACAGTATTTGCGATCCGTGCGACCTTTGTTGGACGATGCCAACTATGAACGGATGGAAAAGCTCGCGAAGGAATTCCAGAATGGAGTCGGGCGCAAATTTCAGCGCTATCTGTTTTTGAAGTGGATGGTTTCGACCAATTATGTGAGCGAAGAAATACTTTTAATCACCGCATCACAACTTTTACAGAAATATCAGTGTGTCTATACATCTGTTGTGAGAGTTTGTGTATAATTACGGAAACCAGAGAGTTCATAAAATGCGATGATTTGGATTTCAGAAGTTGAACATGTTTGATTGTAGGTCTCCGACTGGTGGGAACAATATGTGTACCTGCGAAATCGATCGGCGTTAATGATCAACAGCAATTTCTACGCAATGGTAGATCGTGATTATATGGGTTATCATGACGCCTGTGAAAATGCTGTTTGTTAAAATTCAGGATTCTCTGCACATGCCCCCAACTACCAGGCAAGCTTCCAGGGCTGCAAACCTAATTTACAACTTCTTGACATTCAGGAGAATGCTTGTAAAGCAGGATGTCAATCCGGTATTTAAAATGTGTTCTGAGAAGGTTTGTGTGACCTTCTGGTGATCGTTTCCGTGGTTATTTAGCTACTGCTTGATGGAACGATTCCGTTGTGCTCCTGGCAGTACATGAGATCTTTCGACACTTGCCGTATTCCAGGAGTGGAAACTGGTAAAGTGGAAATTTAATAGCGATGAGATGTTGTAACCCTTTTAGGTTGCATAGATATACGAATTTAGTATGATTTTCATCGCTACTTCGGTTAAAAGCGTTTGCTTTTAGAGTATCTAACAATTTCTGTTGAAATTAATCAATTGATTTCTGTTTAGATAAGGTTGACCACTATTACAACAGTACCCACGTTGTCGTGCTGCACAAAGGTCGTTTCTTTAAAGTATACACTCATGGAAAAGGAAGGTTGCTCAATCCGAAAGAGTTGGAAATGTAAGATTGTGCACTTAGTGGTTTGTAATCTTATAAAGTGATATGTTATAATTAATCAAATTATGCGTTGGTCGGCCGACATATCCCTTTCGTTTTGTAGGCAAATCGAACGTGTAATCCATGATACATCTCCTGCACAACCTGGAGAACAACTATTGTGTGCGATGACCGCGGTTGACAGGTATGCTATTTCCGGTTCCCCTTAAGCGTTTATGTGTTTCCGTTTCTCTTGGCTGTGATTATGACGATTGTATTCACATTTTCATATCAAGTTAATTTGTTAATGTGTTTGGCACTACCCTTCACTGAATAAAAAAATTTGGAAAACTTAAAGTTTCGTTTTCTAAAAAGTGGTACATGAGGTGTACGTTCACGAGCTTCTCTGTCGCTGTTTTGTTATTATCAAATTAGTACTAGCCCTTTTTGGTGAAATTGCTGTTTGTATGGTTTTTACGCATGGTAATTTCGTTGTTAATGAGAAAGTTAAGTCTTTAATTGAGTTTTATGGAAATCAAAACGTATGCAGTTTGTTTCTTCGAATTTGTTACTGTTACTTTGATATGGTGTGGTTGATTCTTGCGAATTCTGGATCGCTGTTTGTAGAGCGCCTTGGGCGCAGAATCGTCGCGCATTTTTTAATCGTGGCGTAAACCGAGTGTCGTTGGAAACGATCGAAAGAGTAAGTAATTCTGCGGCGTTCGATGTAACCATTTGTGCACTACCCCCGAGAGTGAAACAATCGTGCTCGTTTTTAGGCGGCATTCTTTGTGGCATTGGACGACGAAGAGCACCACTACGACAAGGTGCTCTTTATACCTTTAGAAGGAGCGCCCCAGAAATAGCTACTTGTGATGCTGAATGTTATTTTTGGCTCGTTTTAGATTGATCCATCCCACTTAGATGCGTACTGTAAGTGGCTTTTGCACGGCAACGGGCACAATCGATGGTACGATAAGTCCTTCAACCTGATTGTTATGAAGAACGCCAAAGTAAGTGACGACAGTCCTGAAACCTTTATTTGTGCCGTATTCATTAAACGTTGATGAAATTTGTTGATAAATTTCTAGGCCGGTCTGAACGTGGAACACTCTTGGTAATTTCGCATTTCAGTACCGTAATATTTCTTCCTGTATCCTTGACCCTTTTTCAGGGCGGATGCGCCAGTTATTGGGCATGCTTGGGAATGGGTTATCACGGAAGATCTGGTCTTCCTGGGTTATACTGCAGATGGGCATTGTAAAGGTTCCGTGGAGGTTTTTCCAACGCCACCACAGCGCTTGAGATTTGAGTTGCCAGATGAAGTAAGTCTTGACCCTTAAGTTTGTTGCTGGCATACTTATTAAAAGAAACAAAAACATTTACGGATCACTGCCATCTGACAATGACATCTTGTGAGCTTACTTGTTAATCGATTATTTAGTGTTTGAAGTTTATCGAAGACAGCGCTTTAACTGCTAAGCTTGCGTGCGATGACGTGGATTTGAGGATCTTGACATTCAATGAATTCGGCAAAGGATTTGTTAAAGGGTGCAAAGTGAGTCCGGATGCATTCGTACAAATGGCACTGCAACTGGCATATTATCGGGTAAGTTTTTGTTTTGTTAAGAAACATGTTAACAGAAATAAATATGTTCCTGATATTACTGAAAGGATGCGGGGAAGTTCAATCTAACCTATGAAGCTTCCATGACTCGTCTATTCCGTGAAGGCCGGACGGAGACCGTGCGTCCATGTACTGTGGAGTCGTGTGCCTTTGTGCGCGCCATGTTGGACGAAAAGGCCACTGTAAGCTGAACGTAGACTGAACTCTTAGCAGGGGGTTTAGTAAGGGCGTGTGTATGGGTCCTTTTCTATTTTACAGCATTGTGCATAAAAAAATAAAGATTGACTTAAAACTGCAATTATTGAATTAGTAAAAATTATCCTGATTCCATTGCGGCATAGAATTTCGAGCGCCAAAGGCTGCTGCGTACTGCTTGTGACGTGCATCAGCAAGGCTACCTGAATGCTATGTGTGGACGGGGCATTGATCGTCATCTGTTTTGTTTGTACGTGGTGTCTAAATATCTGGATATCGACACGCCATTCTTGAAAGAAATCCTGAGCGAACCGTGGCGCTTATCAACTAGCCAGGTACACCCTTAACTGGACGGCCTCGTACTTCATGGCCCCCAAATATTATATTTTCAGACGCCTCAAACTCAAACCGGTAGAGTAGACGTAAACAAATATCCGGATCAGGTGTCACCTGGCGGTGGATTTGGTCCGGTACGACTTCGTCTGTTTTTTCGTCCTTGTTGATCAAGTTACCAATGCTATTCCTATCGTACTTTCGCTCTAGGTTGCCGATGATGGATATGGCGTGTCGTATATTATTTCTGGAGAAAATTGTATTTTCTTCCACATTTCTTCTAAGGCATCTTCACCTAAAACAGTAAGTCGTTCTTTGCTTCTTGGTTTGTGGAATAGTTTGTAATAAAGGAAATGTACTGCAGGATTCCGACCGTTTCCGGGGAAGAATCCGACAAGCTATGTTGGACATGAGATCCATCTTCGACACGCCGACTATTGTTAGCGATGCCGGAAAATGAGTCTGATGCTGACTGCAAGTGTGTTGGTTTCGGCAAAACGAATAGCTGTATTAATTTTGTTTGTTTCTTTGTTATTATTTATTTTAATGAGTTTGAATTTCAGTTAACACCAGTACGTTTGTGGTAGCGGTTATTGATGTGCATTGCACATAATGAGGTTCATCTGTTCATAATGATGATTGGCGTACTTTTTGTGAATGGTGCTGCTTTTAGAAGCCTTCACGATAATTTTCGTTTCATTTTACTCTTCGCGGAAATTCAAAGACGGTGTTGATTACTCTTGATTTTGATTACTCTTGGTTAATAATCAGATCGGCATGACAGACAGAAGTTTTTTCCACTTCGCTCTTACAACTTTCGCTATGGCGTTCGGTTTATTGGGCATACAAAATAGGTACACGTTTTCTGTCAAAAATTAACTTTACCAGTGAGTGTACGTCAAAAACTTGAAGTCGGCGGTTAGAAAGTAAGGTAAATATGTAAGAGGTGTTTATAAAGTGGACATAAATGTAAGAAGCTGAATTAGGCTTTACTAAGCGGGGTCGCGAAACGCAACGATGCGATATTCGAAAACTATTAGACAAAAATTAATAGTGGTTATTGTAACAGCTGGTTTGACATATTATTGAAAAACACAAGGAAATAGTACATTATTAACTCATAGCTTAATCATCGCCAAGGGCTATCAGAACTTCTTGCGTACACCGCAATTACAGCTGACAGCAACCTGGAACAAGAAAACTTTTTTTTATGGTGAGCATAATTAAGTAAAGGTTTCGTGAATTCGGGATATGCACTGCAGATTTGCAATTATTCTTATTATCCCACCTGGATCCAGTTCCAATCGAACAACTCAGTCGGCTTCTTTCGAACGAGCGCCATAACATAACCCTTCTATACAAAGACCAGCGTAAGCGATCCATGCATGGATAAGGGTTTATTACTCATGATACACTTTTAATTTGAAAAGCACTATCTTAATTGATATCGCGCTAATTCCATGTTAAAATAAGTTGTTTTCTAATTGACATCAGGCTCAATTTCAACCAACTCAAGCTGCCTTTTCTTACGTGAGTTGTAGATCAGGTCAATACGTGACCTTAAGCGGATTACGGGATTTTGTGAACAACCTTACTCGTGTAACGCATCGACTCGTGTAAAAACTTGATGATCCGACGCAGGGCTCATTTTCTACACCGTTTATACACCGTGTCGTATAGAAGTACTACAAAATAAAAAACTTCATTTCAGACGTTTCTCTACGTGCCATTAGATCGCTGCATATGATAAACAGTCCTTTACCTGGCGATCCGGTCGACCTACCTGAGCTCCGAGCTGAGATTCTTCATCGCTTCCTGGATCCCCTTGGGGCTGGAACACTTCCACTTCCTCATCGTGAATATCGCGACTTTTGTTCTAAAATGCGAAAAAAATTGCCCAGTTAGCCATGTTATGGCAAGTAAGTAAAACGAAATTGACATAAAAGAGCCTGAAGTCACTTAAGACATAAGAAAGGTCAGGGCTGAATATACACACCAATGAAAGCCACTCGGTTACGGAAGGGCAAGCTTCCGTAAGCGGCAGCTCAAGTTTGCGCTTCCGGATTATACGCGCGAAATCGTCGGAATTGTTATCGGTTATTGCTGCATCACTCCTGACGCCGGCGACGGATACTTCCGGTGGGAGCTCCAATGGACGGCCAACGGATAATCGACTATCCATTAGTGCCGGATGGTCTTTCAAGTGGTTGTACAAACCCCGTAATCGGTGGAGTAGGAATTCGGCTAAATACGGAACTTGTTATGCTAAAGTAATCAGTACTAAATCGGGATTATACCAGCTATTCTATATTTGGGGTTTGTACGTCAAGAGCAGGGTGGATTTCACTGCTCCCAGTACTAATCTTGGAATCCAAAATTGTCAATAACAGTCTGTTCATTTGTCGTCTCGGTGGAAACAGAATTACTATTGACCGTTTATACCACAGACTGTTCACAGTCAAAAAATGTAAAAATTTAGGTTTCAAAGATGATACTCGTACCCTGACTATGTCCGAACGGTCATAATAAAAACGGTCACTACGAGCAGTATATAAATATTCAAGCTAATATTATCCCACTTGATTACTACCTAGCTGTACTATCTAATTAATATTCCTCGGTCTTACTGGGTTGTAAGAAAGTATAGCTTAAATTCTTAGTAATCAAAATTCGAAGGCTATTCTAGTTCATGCTTTCCGAATTCTGGCGAATATAAATTCAAGATGACGGACAAAGCCATAGATTGTAACTATGCTGCATAAGAAGGTGGACTTACATTGTTTTGGATTCATACCGATTTCCGGATCGCTCCGCATTTCCTCTGATAGTTTGGTTATAAAAGCTAAAAGTCAAACATCGTCCAATAGCTTTCGTGGGTTACACTCAGCCGTGTACCAGCAATTGCTTGCTAATTACCATGTAGTAATAATTTCAAACGACCGTCTTGAAAAGCGGAAGGAGGCATCCGATTATTATTATTGGGCCGACCATTTCCAGATAGGTCACTTATGAATTGTCCGTCGGCATCCTTTGTCGGTATGTTGATACTTGTGGCATAAACTGTTACAAAGAAACAAATAGTATAGCGAGTACGCTCTGACATATGCATGATGCATCCTCAAAAGCTACGAGTATAGAAAATTGTTGTGTTTAGCAGACACAACAATTTTCTAAACTCTTAGACATGGTTCCAGAAACGAGTCATTTGTAATTATAATCATTGAAAACGTTGAGAACGATAGCAGCGGCCCGCGGGGAAGGCACCTTATCTGCTGCATTAAAAAGTAGAAAATCAGCCACTGTCACCTTTTCGATTAATAATTAAACGCTAATATGTATTTTGTACATAATGAATGTTATACCAGCTATACACAACAAGATACCCCGACCACCACTCATTGTTTATAAGCACGTATTAAAGATTCTTTCGGTACAATTATCCTTGATACAAAATACGGTATTTTTAATACTTTCCCATACTAAAATAAGAGGTGCTCGTATTCTTTGTTAATGTGAGGTTAAAATGAAATAACACAATGGCGCTTTGCTTACCCTGATGGAAGAAAATCAGGAAGGTCACGAGAAATTGTTTACATGATGCGCAGATCACAAGAAGTTGCAGGCACAACGCCATAATGGAAACTAACAAATGCCAAAAGAAGTGGAATAACTGTCACCATCTAATGCCGCGCCATTATGAAAATACTCAGATAAATACCGCGTGCAATTCATGTCATTTTTGTTGAACGGGCAGCATTAAATAAATGGTATTTTGCATAATACAGCACTGGGCACGAAAAAACCAATGTGCCATCCAGTGCGGCACCGCTGGATAAAATGGTGCCAAAACATGTTAGTTTCCGACGTTTTACGGGTGCCACAAAGAGTATAATCTACATGGCTTAACTGTCTTCAGTGTCTTGGTTAGCCGATATTTATGGTCATCAAACCAAATTGATAAGTGATATATCAACTATGGAAGTTATGAGCCAGCAAAGGTCTCCCGCTGAGCCGTAACGCTAAATACGCATGTATCCCAAATGTCAACGCGACCCATTCAGATAAGCATTTGCGATGGTGAAACGGGTTAACCATCTAGCAGGATCCGTTTGACAAGCGCATTCAGCCTGATAAAATAGGGTACTTTTCATTCTGCACCAAGTGTGTTTAAGACGTCTTTTCCTAACTCCCATTGACGTCCGCCCGTGGTAACACCATTTATGAATCGCTAATTCCCCTTTCAATATTTCTTGATTTCTCATCGCAACACTTGACCAACTACGTCAGCATTTCAATTTTCTGACGGTGAACTTATTAATTTTCATTTAATTTCCCCTGGTCTGCCTTTACATAGCCAAACTCGTGTCGTGCATACTAATAAACCCACCATGCCATCAAAGACGTATATCCAAATGTAAAAAAAATGCAAAACAGTAAACGCAACATTGCATGATGGTCAATGAAAAGCATTCAACGATGAAAACACCAGCTTGTATAAAAAATTAAAAAAACAATATTTTGACGATATGTAAAAAGACATCGGTTGCTATTTTACGCGATACAGCATTTTTCGCTGCATCCGATGCTGTACTTCGCCCCTCCTAACCAAAGCGCTAATAACTTTGGAAATGGCATTATCCGGATATTTCTATAAAACCCCAAATAAATGAAGTTCCACAAATAAGCGCAACTCCACTTTGGGATGAAATAATTTTCTAGCTTTACCTGTCGAGAAAATTCCTGCATAATATTATGAACGGAGACCTGGGAGCCGATGGCGAAACGTCTTTTGATCTGAGCTTCGATACGGGATAGTAACTGCTGTTCATCATGAGTGGTAAACTCGTCGGCTCCTGAAAATTAACAGTTTAACAATCGGACTATCTGAGACATGATCTCAGTTTATCAAATAACGTTTTTAAAACACTTCAAGTTGTGCCGGTGAGCCGAAAAATCGTTCAGAATCGATTATAACCTGACAACGATCCCGAGGCAGCTGCATCCAGCGTAGATACTTGGAACAGTCGTAGAGCTTCATCGACGTGCTGAATACCGGCAAAAGGTATCAGCTGCATCTTTGCCAAAGCTTCCGAAATTCTTACAACCGCCTCCAGTTGGCGAATTGTGATGGGAATTGCCGGTGGTTTGTCTCCCTCCTGTTCACGGATACCGCTGCGCATAAGCACATAGCGATGTTTAAGTTTCTCAGCCGCAGCATCAGATAATCTCGGACCACATTTACTACAAAAAATATTAATTTCTTAACCAGCGAAATGGAACCAGGAATTTGTAAAAATCAAGGACATACTCGCGACAATACAGGATATACTTTCGCAAAAAATTAAGCGTCAGCTCTCCCTCTTGTTCCTCACTGATAAGTTCGGCGTTCATGTGGACGCCAATGACATGCTTTGCCAAAATCTGCAAAAGAAAACTCCGATCTACTGGCAATCATCATCAAAATTCTCCCCCACTGTTCTGTACCACCATTCAGCATTGTATACAATATAGCAGTTGTAAAGGTAGAAAACTTACGCGGTCCCTGGCCATATCGTGAATATCTTTAACAATGAAAATCATATCGAAGCGGGACAGGATAGTGGGCATAAACTCCATGTTCATGTCCCCGCGCGTGTCGTCCCATCGGCCAAAAACGCTGTTAGCCGCTGCCAAAACCGAGCAACGAGAGTTTAGCGTGGTGGTTATTCCCGCTTTGGCAATTGAGATGGTTTGCTGTTCCATGGCTTCATGGATGGCCACGCGATCATCCTCGCGCATTTTATCGAACTCATCAATACACACAACGCCACCGTCCGCCAACACCATCGCGCCACCCTCAATCGCAAAATTCCGCTATAAATTAATCAGTGCAGTGATGAAGTTTTCGTATGCGACATCAGTTAATCAATTATCAAATTAATTATGAATACCGAAACTGGATCCTGGACAACTGCAGCAGTTAACCCTGCGGCACTGCTGCCTTTGCCGGAAGTATACACTCCAATCGGAGCCACACGTTCCACAAACTTGAGCAACTGGCTTTTAGCTGTTCCAGGGTCACCCAAGAGCAAAATATTGATATCCCCCCGGCGAGCTAACCCGTCCGGTAACCTGACCAACCAAAACTGAAAGGCATTAACATGTTGCACGTTGAAAAATACTGTTGTAACTACATACCGCTTCCGACTGCCTCCAAAGAGCAAACACGCAATGGCTTTCTTAATGTCGCTGTAGCCAAAAATGGATGGAGCAATACTTTTGGCTATCTTTTCATACACATTCGGATCGGCAGAAAGCCGGCGAAAGCTTTCCTCTTCCTCTTCTGTGAACATGTGCCCAACGAGAGTCCCTGCTCGGCCACTACCCTCCCGATCCACCTCCATGGCGATCACACGCAGATACGGAATGCGAATTCCAGCCCCGCTTTTATCCTTTTGTTTACTGCCAACACTGCGAACTGAGTAGACTCCATGTACGGTTACGCGATTCCCAGGGACGGCTTGATCGATAAGGTTCCTGCATGGCAACACCGAAAACGATTTCCAATTAGAGTAATTATAGTCAGCATGCGGATATCACGGTGTCTACATGACCAGTTAGAACTAATATCTTTTAGTGCAAAAGTGAAGAGATTCAAATTCGACCGTCACGAAATGCAATTTTTTGAGATCTGCCTTCAGAGCCGTCCTGAGTTTGCGCTTTTTGTTTTCGGTTTCATATACAACTGTACAACAATATTCGCACGAAAAAAAGAAAGCCAAAATTCACTAAGGATACAGTAACAACTTAAACAATTCCACGAAGAACATAAACAGATTACTACGGTAAACTGCTTACCGATCGCAGTATAACTGGATGTGCCGGGGCAACTCGCCAACAGGAACATCATCAGGCGCTTCTTGCAGTTTCAATGTCTGGAAATCTAGACTTAAACAGCTCTCTGGAAGAATAACAAAAGGATCCATAGGACACTTTTGTCCCATGCGGATATTGGGGCTGTAAGGTACAGAACAGAATTAATCACTTAATATTACTTCAATGACGATGCATATCAGAAATCTGGAGCAGCTACTCTGTACACGGCAAAATAAACGAAACACAAAAACAGCTGTACAAATTTGTGAGACTGTTGCTCTGCTCTTCATGAGCTTCTTCCAAACACTGAAGTTGAAAACAAGCATATCTATCTATCTTTCTGTTAATCTAATTAGTAATAATTGTGTTCCAGAAGGATTCGCCGGCCTTTGAACAAAACCAAAAAAGCAGCCAAATCATTTCAAAAAACAAAATGCTGAATCCGTTTAAAAATGAACAGTAGCTGTAAACTTGTAACTTACTTATCGCAGCTCCGGGGCATCGCGATGCCTTCAAAGCCTGGTTTTAGCTTCAGATCCTTTTTTTGGTATCCACAGCCAGTGCACTCAAGCGTAACCGATGTTGGTCTAACTCGAATTCCGGAAGCCGATATAATGATACCATGCACTTTAACGAACTGGGTTATATAGGAGCTCTGGAAGAATACAACTTGCCTCTTATTTCACGAAATTTCTAACTCAGTTTCAGGGCAGTAAGTTAGTAACCTTAACGTCACGCAGTTTGATCGGCTTGGCAGAACTGTAGAGCATGATCTGAATTTCTTCCATCTGTTCTTCTCCAGCTGGTCGTGGGCGGGTGATTTCATCCGCTACATCTTTCGCTGCTTCTTCGAACTGATAACAACAGAGCACGTTTTATAACTTTTTTCTGATAATTTCTTGAAAGCTGAAGTTCTGTACACGAAGTGTGAGAAATATTTACAGCCTGTTCTGAAAGTTAGCGTAGCAAAACAGAGGAGACAGGCAAATTGTAAGATAGCAACTATGCAGTCAGATGACGTTTCGTGGAAGTTGAATGATGGAACACACCACACTCTTTAAAATGCATTTTGGTTAATATTTTTCACTTTATTATTAGATAAAATATTTTTTTAACAACTAGAACTGCTGTTGCAATTTTCCCATAGACAACACGCAGTGCGCAACCGCCCAGGATTCGCAAAAACCTACGAAGCTCTTTTCGTTGGCGCCAAAGTGTTGCGTTTAATTTATTTAAAGTTTAAATATTAAGAAAACCTACTCGTAGTGCACATTTCAAATTGTTTCCTGTCATCTTGCTGATTGTAAGATTAATCGTAACTTCAAGTATCCAGTCGTATGTCACATGCACAATTTCAGTAGGTACCGTACTTATCATTCCGGCCTGTTTTACCTTAGGCAGATAATCGGCAGGGAATTTTGTCAGTTTTTCGGAAAGGCCTTCGTCATACTGGAACAGGTGGCTCATATCAACATCCAGATAGTACTGTCCCAAAATGTACCGTCGCCGAAGCTCATCCCTGAAGAGCACAGTATGCCAAGTAAGTCACCGTAACTGTATTCGGTTTAACGATGTGAACGATGCCTTAAGCCCGTAATAACCCCATCGACCATCGTGCAAACATGCTAGAAAAACTGCAGTTTCACCGTTACAGAAACACCTATTTGCCGTCAAACAAAAAGTTCTTCCAAGTTCCAACTTGTTCGTACGATTCACCTGTATTTGTAGACGAAGTTTCCCTCGTGGAATGTGCAAAGAAATTCTTTGAACCTTTGAACAGCTCGCAGCAGACTATTAGGATCTCCATCGTCCATCATATCGGGAGCTTCTCCCATGAACACACTGTTGCCATCTAGTCCGGACATCTTTCTTAGCGAGCGGAATGGTCCTCTAAAATGTACAGGTCGGATAATTTAATGTCAAACAAAGGTTCGCAAACCGTATAGTAGAACAGCAAAAACGATTGAAATAGAGGCATACACTCAATTTAAATTTTAACAGGCCGTTTTCGACCACGTTTAGTTCGCTCGAAAATAATCGGGTTATTTGCACAATTTTGAACAAAGCGGACTACGGTACGGTTACGAAACATACGGTACAGGCCACGGCTACCGTAGGCACACTGCACGTATCATTTTCCACATTCCACATTGATGGTTGCTCATTCAAACCGCAGCGTCTACGCAGACAGATGAGCGGTTACCATTGGAACCCGCTTTTTTTGTACGCAGTCTACATGTGTAGCTGATAACACCTTATACGTAAACACGTACGGTATGGATACAACCAGACGGATCGCCGGCGTGACAGTAATACCGTAGTCAAGCTGAACAGACTGAGCGACAGAGCACAGAGAGAGTTATCAAGGTCCGGCCGCGCTATGATCTGCCTATGCTCAAGCATTCGCCGATGCGATGACTGTGCAAACAAACCATTCTATTGTCTTCGGGACCCGGTGGCCATAAAATACCGGGCCCGGTGAAATAGGCAATTCACATTGGTCTTCGCTTGGCCAATAGCCATCATAAAAACGAGCTTGTCTGACCAATGGCTATCGTGAATACCGGTATCACACTGGAAATGCCAGTGCCGATACAAGTCAATGGTTCTGGAACTATTTTTCTGCGAAACTACAGTACCAGGCCATGATAAGCATCCATTCCCGATATCATTTTTTTATTTTGTGATTACGGATGTTTTCTCGCTTTATAATTATGATTGTAAATAAAGCCCTTATTATAATGGTGGTGTTTATTACAGAATTATGGCTTAGTAAACGGCCGCCATAGAATCTGCTATTAAATACAAATAACATATCAGTTTATACAAATTCAAATAGCATATTATTATGTCACATTAATTTCATGGTTATTGTGCTTACACCTATATCCACATAGAATTTAAATTTTGTACACTTTAATAAGCAATAGCCACCAAGATAACGATGATGGCAAGCGCTGGCAGTTGATAGTTAACATTAACATATTTGTATTATGTTTGTTGATTTGTGGTTGATTATTACCATGAACAGCGATATTTTGAATTCACAAGCGCTGTGTGTACACTGTGTAGCTGCAGTCTACTTGTAAATGGAATGAGTAAACTGGAATACGTGGCATTTGGAAGGCTAGAAGCCCTCCCTCTGCCTGGTTCTGAGGTGGAGCTTGTGCTCTTACATTGCATCGGCGAAAAGTTTCTACGCTCTGTCCGGACCTCTTATAAAAGTAGCTCTGTCTGTTCGGCTTGACTACGGTAATACCATGGGAAAGGGAAAAATGTTGACTGGGACACTGGGATGTAACCTGCCGAAGCACTTAAATCGCAACCACGTTCGCAGCCGCAACAGGGTAAGTAAGGTAAGGGGGACTAAACTGCAAAATGAAAATACTGTGTACCATAATAGCATCACTATGGATTACTGCTTATATCCTCCGGGCTTCGAAATCCGTGGAATATGGAACCGGAAGCCACTCGCCTGATAACTGAACTATGCAGCATAAGTATACTATGACTAGTATTTTAATGCTTCATACATTGTAAAATCTAGTGGTACTGTAATGTATAGTTCTATTAATATAATATTCACTTGAGTAACATTTTATTGCGGATTCAGCAATGCTAAACCCAAAATCTTCTGACAATTTAGTTAGGGGCAGAGCGTAGCTTAAGAGGAGGGTAGTGGTCATTTTTTGGGTGTTTATACCTCCACTTCTAAAAAATTCAAAAAATGATGTTTTACTCTTCTGAAAACTATTGAATGACAAAAAATTTTTTCTCTATGGGTAAGCAAAAGAATTTTGCGCGATCACTGCTCGTTGAAAGTCCGAAAAAAGATGTACACCACATTCACGTGAGGACAAACAAAGTATACTGCGTAGTTCAAAATCAGTATTACTGCAAGAACCAGTCACACTACTGAAATGGAAATGCTATTGTTCGGTTTGCAGCCACTGCAAGACTTCCGGTACAAAATATGTGATAATAACATCAGCTCCAGCACGGCGCATACTGATGAAAGTTTCCATGACTGCCGCTTTCAGATTTACAACTCCCGCTTCGGCAGCGCATAAAAGCATTGCATATTCTCCGGACACCTGATAAACGAATAAGGGATGATGGGGAAACATATTCTTCACATCCCGTACGATATCCAGATAAGGCAACGCGGGTTTGACCATCAACATGTCTGCACCTTCGGCCACGTCCCTTTCGGCTGCGCGAATGGCTAAACCGCGGCTTCCTACACGTTTCAAATGCCCATTGAAAATCGGGAAAAAAATTTTTCTGCCCTTTTGTTTTCATCACAAATACAGTAACTCAGACAACTCTACTTACCGTTTGGCAGCTGATAGGCTCGACGATCACCGAACGAAGGCGACGATTGTGCGGCATCTCTAACACAAATCACCAGTCAACATAATAATTTTCGTAAACTTGTGATGGCCAATGGTAATTGTTAAATTACAGATACATGCGACGTTCGGCTTTTCTGTGAACACATAAATTAAATATTTCTACTTTTAGGCAAAAGATCATTATCTGCTTAAATTTTCAAGTTAGCGGATGCTCTGCCACTGAATATCATGCAGATTACTTTAGTGTGCCGCATTACGCAGCTGGTGCTCACCGAAACGGTCCATAAAAGCAGGATGCGAATTTGGAACTGTAGCTCAAGACAGCCACTGTGTTTCCATAACTGGATGAGCGCAGTTTTTGTTTGATAGCCTGAACACGACCGTCCATCATATCGGAAGGTGCAACAACATGGGCACCTGCAAGAACTTGATTTAAATAAAGTGTCATGAAAACGAAAAATTAATGACCATCTATGGCAGTGACCGCGACATACCAGCGAATGCGAATGCCAACGCAATCTCTGCGAGACGAGCAATGCTTGCTGCAACATCCAGATTACCATTCGGTCGCAGGATGCCTGCAAGAATAACATTACTCCTGGGGAATGCGAACCCTTTTATAAATGCTCTTTTATTTCGGATTGCGCGTTTTCCAAGTTTCTTTACCACAATGTCCATGGTCAGTGTATGGGCATAAACAGACATCGCACGCAATCACCAAATCTGGAAACTTCTCCCGGAGAAGGCGAATAGCAACCAACACAGGACTGGGTGGAGCATCTGCTCCGGATCCTCGGTCATCCTTAATTAAAATTGCAGTGTCGTCTGATGATGTACCAGCATTGCAATAAATATCGTGTATAATTATGAAAGTCACATTAAATGTTGTGGCATTCTTCATATGACAGGCAAGAAAACATACCGCCAGTTAAAATAGAACGTAAAATTTAATATAATGTAAAATTTAGCATAATTTAATATAACTTAATATAATGCCTGGCGTGGCTTTATCCGTGCACCTAGTGCAGTGTACTCATGCTTGGAATCATATGCAGTTTATGCACTTTTTCTACTAAACTTCTGTAACAATTTACAACATGATATTTATGCTACTTTTTGCTGCACGTATAGGAAGTTATGAGGTTTTTTCGATTAGGAAGTGCGGATTCTTTCGAATAACACAGTCATAATAATAATGCCAGTGCAGAGTTGGGTCGTTATTGTTGTAGAATTATAGCCCGCGCTGCATTTTGCACGAGCATTCATAAAGTAAGTACAAATTTTTCAAATTAACAAACCAGTCACGTACTGCGATTTACATGGCGCAACGTTTGATATTTATCTGTAAATACTGAATTGTTACAAAAATGTTATTAATTAGTACGGTAGTATGGCTTTTTGGAAATTTGCATCAGGAAATGCTGCATTATTCGACAAATATTGGACTTATAAATGTAGATGGAAAGTTTGATTACAAAAGATAAGTTCTATGTTTGTAGAAATTAGCACCGCATTAATTATTATCGGCACATTTTAACATAAAACCAGATGCTGATCATGAGCAATTTGTTACACATACATACAATGATTTGTGTAGTTCTGAAACTCCTATTATACCTTCCATGCTTTCGGCACAATTCCGAATATAAGGACGGACTTGAGTCCTTTTTTGACCAGAGGTGTGAGGACATTCTCCAGTTGTTGCACTCCGTAGCGATACTGCCCTTTCATTGACGGGATAGGTTCGCGGCCATCGGGGTCGTCCCTAGTAAACAAAAACTACACGAAACAAATTTAACACGACTGCGCTCCAAGAAGGAATTATTTCGACTGAAGTAATTGTTTCTGTATAAACGTTAACCATCCGACCCAAGCACATACTCATGATAGCGTTATACAGATAATAGCGTCCAGTTGTCCTTCTAAAGCCAATCATGCGAAATGTTAAATTTTCGCGCAATAGTTTTACTAAATTTTATGTCTTACTGGATGAATAACGGGTACATGAAGTTCGTAGGAGCGAGACTCGTGCTGCTGGACTGCCATTCCCGGAAGACAGCATTTGAGTATCCACTATGAAGGAGTGCATAACTGGACCCGTGACCATTATTATGGGTAGCATTGTCCATTTTGATGTTATAGTAAGCAGGCGAATGGGAGACCGGGACAGCTTGCAGCAAGCCTGGAATTAACGTTCTCTTAACGAGGAAGAGAAATTAGAAATGACTTTAAAGTTCCAAGGAAACTACAGCTTACAATGTTAGCCCAGCTGTGAGTCTGTATACGTCAGATCTGGATAAAAACCGATAGAAGTACCATTTGTGTTAAAACTCTTGATCTGATAGCAGAGAAATGTTTGGTTTCACGCGATACTTACGGCACACAGACTACCATAGTAAGTGTTGCCTTATCATATCGTACATCCATCTTACCGTTGGGTCTTTGTCCTTTATAGCAATCACAATTTAATTAGCTATAAATTATGATTAAAGCATATGGTTTTCTGATTTTGTCTAAATACAGAAATTAAACCCATTAACTGAACTTCTTTGGCTTTACTAGAGTGGTTTCCTGTAAAAATAATTATTGCCTCTTTCCCATTTTCTGATACTTTTTATTCGCGATTATCTGATATACTGTATTTACAGTATTTAAACGCTAATTTACGCTATGCAATTTTACATAACACGACTGTTGTTATTACTGAAAAGCATCAAGTAACAGTATATAAAGATATATATGGTAGGTGTGCCTGTGGTAAATATTGTGCACATAAGGCCCGGTAAGGATGCTCTCGAGCACAGGACTTTTTTTCACCAACTTCTGTGGTACAACATTGCGGTATCCATAGGAAGCGATCGCATGCGATAATGTCTTTGCGTCAAAAACGTGTAATCCATCAGTTTATAACAACGAGCTTTTTCTGCGATAAAGGTCACTGTTTATGACGTATGCGCATTCACGGAAGCAGGTAATGATAAGTTCCAGTATTAGATCTGTATCAGACTTCGTGTTTTACGACATCCTCCTGCTTTTTCTATGCGTACGAATTAATTCATAACTTATACGTACATTAATCCATACAACGTGACAAAGTCTGTATGCGGCGGCACAAGAATGCGGTTAAATGTCGGGGTGGCCAGCATCTGCTCCATAATCCTACTCCTTGCGGTCTTTTGTTGTCCGGCATAGACGCTTGATCTCCGCCCAGCTACTGGCAAACGCATGCAAATAAGCACTTATGTATTTGCAGAATCATCTGTGATGGCCCAGCAGAAAACTAAGTTCGGTCCATGCTGACATGGCTACTGTGTACTCAAGCAGGTTTTGACTAGCCGGACGCAACTGAAGAAATATTCACCAACTGGACTGTTTATATCTTTTGGGACATCAATGAATATTTGAATTCCTTCTGTGAAATATGGCGCTTTAAATGGATTTGGCAGTCAGCATCTTATTGGGTGTCTCTGGTAATTTCAAAGTTAGTTCCTTCTATATAAGCTTACAACTACTGCATAGTCATTAGCTAATGCGTTCAACTATGTAATTCATTCTGGAATCGGTTTACGGTGATGATTGAATCTATTTATTTGTTTCGCTTGGCAGTTTTGGAAATTTTGAGGTAACTATCGAGTATCGACTTACAAAGTATTCAAGTAGCGTGTTTTTTCACAGTCAGTGCTAGCAACTGTGAGGTTGTAAGGTACAGTATAGTATGCTCCGTGCTACAGTACAGTATGCTCCGTGCGCGTAGTTCATCTGGAATTTTGTAAAGGCTTTACAAAATTTAAGATAGAACTAACCCAAGAGCACGGAGCACACTCATACAGTATTGTAGATATCTACTGCTCGTGCAACTCTAGGCTAAAATAACTTTTGTCTTTCTCAACGGATACGAAATTCGCAAAATTTATTAAGAAATAAAACATTGGCAGGTCTGGCGTGTAACAAGTGCTGTTGTTTACCTTATGCATATTGCAATCGCTCCGGAAAGTATGACGTGATTCGAGACAGTGTTTGCCTTTGGAAAATTACTTTTAACTACTTTATGCAGAAAAATACATTAGTGTTGTACGTGTTATACTTCTACCTATTTATCTGCATGTAATACAAGAAAGCGCCTTATAATTAGCGCAGAGGACGGCAATGGTTTGCGCCTTGCAGTTGGTAACTTCATGAGCCAGTGCTCTTTCGATCGCCTGCAGAAGCTAAATTAATCGCATGATTAATTACCCTAATTGTAGTTTAATTACAAATTAGACGTTAATTTTGATTAGACACCTTAGACATTAATTTTGATTCGATCTGTATATACGGCGTATGACGGTGTACGCTCAGATTTAATAAATTAATATGAAAACTTCGAATGTTGCACTTTACTACGGGTAGAAATATTACACGTCAGGAGCTACAGATCTCGCTGCTTGTTGCTACCAGATTGATTTATGCAGAGGCGAAACAGCCGAAATTTATCCAGTTAATTATCTGACTTAAACATAACAAATCTGAACATTCACAAGATGTTCAACTTAATTTCTAGTTCTCACTCTTCGGTTGTTAAAAATAATTAGATTAAGTATGGCCGCTGCTTGTTACCTACTCTGAGCTATAGCCATTTGCACTATACACGCGATATGATCCATGGTACTATAAGGTTTTAAAGTATTTTCCTGTAAAGACACGTTTGTTCTACCAACCGGGCCGCTTTTGCTTGAGCGGGCTTTATGTTTTTACTTATTAGTCAGTAAGTCACAGAAGCTACGGCAAGTATGAATCTGTTTTTCCTGCAAATTAATATATTGATTAAATCTACACATTTTGCCCGGCACATTGACTGATTTGTTTGTTGACATTGCGCGTACCGCTATGTAATATTTGCGTAAGCTTTGCGACAGTTATTCTTTGTGTTATTTGAACATATGTCAAAGTTACGGTTTTCTTAAACCCATAAACATCAATTTCCGCTGCATTTGTAACAGTGGATCCGCTATATTGCACACATGGCGAATTGAATCCGCTGTATGGATGTACTTACATATTGTAGTGATTGTACAACGTATACGGCGGTTGAATAAGCAGTGCAATCGCAGATTGGTTAACATGGCTGAATATCGGCGTGTATTGTGGGTTTATTATGGCCCTCGTGAGATCTTTTCGGATACAGTAAGTAATTTATTTGATTTGTCTACGTAGATGTGTGTTGTGACTGTGGTGGAAATGATCTGCTGCCGTTCGTGATTGCTTTGCTTTACTACGTTGAATGTCTTGCAGATACAATCTGGTTTGCTTGGGAATGGATGACGTTTAACGTAAAAGGAATCAACCGCAAAACCGGCCCCTCCGTAAACCGCATATACACCCATCAACTACACTGCATCGCATCCGCGGAGGAATGATATCGATGAGGGTTTATACCCGGCACAAGAGTACAGTTATCTCATCAATCCGCTCTTCTGTGCCTTTGCTGGTTTATACTTAAACTTCTTTGGAATTACTGGGGGCTTTATTTGGATTAAATCCTTTGCCAACGGCCATGAGGTCTTGTCAAAATGATTATCTTCCATTCATAACGCGGCTAGAAGAAAGTGGCATTTGATTTATCTTCGCCAATCTGTATATTGGCTGGTATTGTATGCAGCGCAAGTGGCTCCAGTTTCGTTTCCGTGATGCGAATGATGCTATTACCGGGCGTGATTGTCCAAAAGATTCGCAGATTGCATTTTCTTTGTTCGGCGGCGCGCAATATATATATTATCGTATGATGCGCCATACAGTTTTTTTTGTATAACGGAGGCGGCAAAAAACGCGCTGACGACTTTACGACGTGCCAACTCTGTAATCGGCTGGCACTTTATTAACCGAGTCATGCTGTGATCTTTTTTATCACGATCTTTACCGGAAGAAGGACAGGCTAGCTGATTGCACTATACAGTGGTGGGCACTCGAGTGTAAAGCTTAATATGCAGCGCGAGGCTTCTCGCGGCAGACGTCCATTTCCAGGTGATGAGCAGCGTATTCATTCAGCCCATATGCCATTACCCACATCGACATCAACGGCTACCGCGACACCCGTTCCAACGGTCACCCGGCATAAGGATCAGGAGTTACGCCTGTTGTCATATTGTTTGAAATCAGCATTATTGCCGGCAGATAATACAGCGGATGCCGACGACATTCCCAATGGAAAAACTTCCGAATGTTTTTTACAGCTGTCAGAATGCCTAATGGGAGGTGTGCTGGCCCGACAGAAGATCGCAAGTGGCATTCAAGCCTACAAGTTGCAGGTAAGTTATGCAAAACCGCAGCACACGACTTCCTCAGTATTTCCACATCTGAGTAAACAATCTGTAATATTGTTTTGCATATGGAATGATATTTTTGCCGTGGGAATTCACACGGATCGCATGTACGGCGTACGTAAAACGGTTTTGTTGGATTTTGTTTTGTAATATTACTGAACTTTTTCTTCTGTTATGCTATTTAACCAACCTTTTGAACGTTCGGTTGGTCTTTTTGTTTTACTTTGTTTTATATACAACTAAACTTTACGTACTGACTGTAGATAGCATATTTAAAAAAGCAGGTTGAGCAGTTGGGAAGTAAGTAATGATATTCATAAAAGCAATAAGTAATAAGTAAAGATGAAAGTAAATGATATCTATAAAACACGGGAGTACTTTCATGATTAATTTTAGCATAATCATGCAGAGCACATGTACAAATAACGGTATAACACGGTATACTCGTATGCAGACTAATCGGTATAACACGGTATATGCACAGTAATCGGTATAACACTGAACAGCGTATAAGAGAATTCCGAAGTTGATGATACTGTTATGATTTTGTGATAAATCAAATTTTTATAAAATTCATAATGGGCCGCTGTTGCCTTACTCTGTATTTAATTTGTAACACAGTGTTATATGATATGAGTTATATTCTATTTAAAAGTGCAACACCGCGCAACGTAGGTGCAATTACCAGACTGCATTTTCACTTGGTGCAGTCTGCATTTTCACTTGGTTTACTTTAGTAAACACGGAATTTTTATGCCATACACCGCAAGTGCGTATTACATGTATGTAATCGATGCGAACAAGTTTCATTGATCCGTCGTCGCCGTCAAACAATCTGCCCTTTGGCACTGTTACTCACTTATCAAAATAATACTTAGGAGATATTTAATTTACCGGTACAGAAAGGAAAATAGCATCCGTAACATAACATTACCTCTTGGAGATCTTGAGTATTTTGAAATGCGCATATGGCGAAAAAGTAATCACTGCGGCTAGATGACGGCTCATTTATGGACCGTATTATGGCAGTGTATCCATTGTCCGGTCATCGCGCTAAACGGTATTTATCGTTGCAGGATTACAAAACCGCCTACCGCGACTGGCAGATAGCATCCCGCCTTTGTGATAACCGGGAGCTGTTCTACACCCTCAATTACCTGATCTCCTTATCATTTGACTTCGGCCAATTCCAAAAAATGCTGAATTTCTCCGTACAGCAATTCCAAGTGGGAAAATACCTCAACGACACGAATCTCATCGCCGAATCCTACCTTAATTTGGCCAGTTCCCGGGGATTACTGGGCAACTGGGAATTATGCCTATCGTATTGCAAAAATTGCCTGCTCTACTTGGACGTCAGTAAAGTCGGTTATGTTTATGTAAGCCGATCCGCCATCGCTCTCTCGACCTTGCCTTCCCACGAGTTTATTCACTTTATTGAGTATGAATATGATTTTTTATGCTCTCGTGCCTTTTGCCGTAGATGAGCATCTGCTGTGCGTATCTTGAATTAAGTCAAGTTGCACCAGCTGTTGGATTCCTCAAATTGACCTTCGACATATGTGCCAAAGAAAAAAATTACGGATTAGTGGTGCAGTCACTCGTGGCCTGCAGTAGTTTATTTTACATCCTTAAATCCTACAACGAAGCCAAAGAATTCGCACTGCGCGCTGTAGAAGTGGCTGAAGCGGTGTTCGGTGGTGGAGCGAGCAGTGCCCGTTTCCGGCGGACTAAAGTACATTTAATACCAGTCAAGGTGGGACAGTCTTTGTTCGCTTGAGAGCACAGATATATAAAATTTCAATCGGCAACCTGCAATAAAATTTATTTCGTTGCAGATCAAACTACGGCAGCTGGACGAATCGCTACAGTTATGCGAGGTGAGCACGAGGAATCTGTTGAATACGAGGCATATGTGCCTATTTTGCAAACAGCTATTAAGGGCGTGCATGATGTATATATTTCAATAATTGTGAGAACAGCCATTGGCATTTCAACATCCCATGGTAATTTCAACACCAAAACTAGAGCACATTACGCGATAGTGTTTACAACATAATTTACTGTTGTGGACACCACTGTTGGCTCAGCTGTTCCAGTCTTTAATAACTGCATCGTTTTATCTATATGCAGGTAGCTGACAGTTATAGCATAGTAAAAATTTTCATAAAATATCATTATTATTTTTGTGAAACTCGGTTTTGTCGCAAAACTAGTGCACTTTGGAGAACATATTTTTTGTTCTAAACATTTGCAGTGTAAATCCGATATATTAATAATTAACCATCGTTTCCAGCAAACAAATTGTTAAATTGTTGTAAGTATCACGAATCGAAGCCTGTGAGGATGTCCTTAACACTATGGCAGGATCAGTTTACCTTTGACGATAAAACATGCGGTAGCCGGAAACGGCATGTGCGAGATTCAGGAAGGTACATGATGACATATGATCTTAAGTGGCTGCAGCCATGTATCAGAACATATGGTTCGACGTTAGGGAGAAAATTTGCCGGTGTTACAGGAATTCGAATTAAACGGTGCACCACAAATTTTGTGATGTTAATCTTCCATGTGTGATGCTAAAATATTGTGATGCTAATCTTTTGCTTAAACTGTGGCGTTTTTTAAACCGCCCTCGTTTATGGAGGCACTTATTAGCAGTGTTGACCCGCAACATCTTGCTGTCAATTTCGAAATATTAGCGTGTTCCGAATCTTTGAAGGCAGTTATACAGCAGTGTAATTTTCATGCGAATGGAAACTATCAAGGATCTCTTTGTTTTTGACCGGTTTTGTGTGTTCCGTATTTTGGTTTCCTGCAGCTTCTGAACGCTGTCCGTTAGCACACATTTTGAATTTCAGTTGGCCACTTTACTTCCATATATTCAAGTGAATTTGAAGTGGTTATATGTTTTAAAGACAGCCTTGTATCCGCCTATCCGTATATATTTGAACAACAGTATCTCTCTAAAAGAAGAAAATAAATTGAAAGCGATTGGAATATTTATTTAAGAACGGGTACAAATTTGCTCTGTGACAAGGGAAGACTTGCCACCGATGTTTTGTATGAACTGGCTACAGATGATCCTAAACGGCAGCTTATTTGTTTTCCACTGAACCGTGACACGTTTTTAAACATTCGACCATTGCCTCAACGGGCTGCTGCTAAATGTCAAAATGAGTAAGTGGCAAGCTTTTGCATAACGTTTGCTGTTTGACAATACATGCAAAATATTCTATAGTCTATACTGTACATAACAGTACAATGCTGTATGCATCTTTCCTCATCTACCAACGCAGAACATTGCCGGCTTCCGAGTGGGACTCCCTAATGCATTTCGTGTTAAAGGGAACCATTAATTCAAGAGGAATCGTCCCGCATATACTGTTAATCGATATCGATAATTCTTTGGAAGTATCGTCAGTGTCTGGCATAGCAATCAATCAGTTACGCAACTACCGGTACAACCCAGCGCAAAATGGTGCTTAAAAAATCCCATTGTGGCCAGTTTTAAGTTGTGGAGAAGCGCGCAGAAGAATCTCGAACCAATCAGAAATATACTAGTACGGTCTACATGCTATATGGCCATGGCACGTTTAATGGCTTGATAACTGTTACAGATTCTCAAAACTTTCTCTACAGATTTTTTAATCTGCAAAACACTACATGCAGACTCGCAACCATACCGATGTTTGTACCAGTCATCTGTACAAACGACACCTGCTTTGCGTATGCTGACAAATTATGTTTGTTATACAATATTTAATGTACAACTGCTGTAATTAGTTATTTTATTCATTCCGGTGTTTTGTAGAGCGTAGTAAAAAGAAAGAAACTGCCATCACAGTCACTTATGGATCGTGGTGATAATTAAGATGTTGTGATGGCAGACATTTTTCTTACAATAATCTAAGTTGCACACAGTGTGGATTTTACAGCAGGAGGTGATATTAAAACAAAATGTCAGCAGTGATCAGGCTACGTGATATCATCTGTTGGCTAATGTGAATAACTGGCTTAGTAAGTTTAATCATTAAATTATTAACGAATTGGAAAATTGTGCGGTTCTGTGCTGCGCTGCCTTAAGGAACTTGGTTTTCACTTGAGCAGTCTAGTTGCATTGAACTATCATATATATATTGTGGAGTGTTGAAATAACATTTCGTTTTTATTCGGCAGCTGCATTAAGGCAACAAAAAATGCATTCGCTGACAATAGTCTTCTCAGTGGTTCTCACATTTACATATGAAATGTCAATTCATTGCATGTAGCTGCTACGCTACATACTTTGTATATTGGCAGCCTACATTCTCATACTCTACGAGCGGTCTTCTTGAATGAGCACCAGGTGAATTCACTTGAATTTATATGCTGTAAGAAATAACAAAATGGCAACATCATACAAATTTAATGTAAAAACCACAAAAATGAAAAAGAGTTAAACGAATTATGTACAAAATCTGCCAAAGATGGGTAATGCTTACTTGAATATTTGTCATGCTGGCAGGCATAGGGAAAGTGACCATACTATCGGCTATGAACATATGCCAGTCAAGCGGGAAATCATTAAAATGTGATAAAAAAAAGTCACTAAGTTATGGGACTATAAGACGTGCATGAAAAACTAAATATTTTGCAGGAAGCTGTCCGTGGAGCATTAGATTTTGGAGACCGTTTCGTGCAAGCCAAATGCATGTTATATTTCGCGGATATTCGTCGTCTTAAGGGAGATTTTGAGGTGAGCTTTGTGTAATGGAATTCGTATAAGGGTATACAGTATTGCGGGCAGTTCCAGTTGGTTGACAGTGACACAAAACACAAGTTGAGGGGAAGCTGACTCTTAAGCTGACCACAGCATCACCATAAATTGTGCCGAATTGTGAATAATTGTGCAGAATTTTAAAGTTCACTGACAAGAAAAAAAATAATACTGTAAATAATGTTGATAAATTTTATCGGCAAAGAATGCCCCCGATATGTTTGGAATTCTGCTAACGAATGGGATTTCCGAAGACCGTTTCTGTGATAATATGATAACGTGCATACCATAGCAGATTTACTTGCCAGCCATATGTGGACGTAATGACAAATAATTTGTGTGGATTTAGGTTGCATACCAAAGTTATCAAGCCGCATCAGAATCCGGGTATCACTATGTGCAAGTGCGAGCTATGCTTGGTCAGGCTAAATGTATAAAAAAATGGAATCGGGATGGTAATTCCAAAGTTTCCCATCTTAAAGTGAGCGTTTGGACATCACACCAAGAGAAAAATTTACATCCGTATATATTGCAAGTGTACACGTGATCAATTTTTACAGGCACTTGATATTTACCAAAAAGTCTTGGAAATTGCGGTCTCGATGGGTTGCAAGGTAACTTTTCAATCTTTTCAGTATTGAGGCAATATCTCAGAGAGGCAGATGAGCGAAGGTAACCCATTTTTCCAGCTGGAAGTTCTCCACTCTCATCGAAGAATTGCAAGTACTTATTCTGTCCTTGGAGAACCTTCCAGCAAACTGGGATTTCATATGCAAGAAATTCAAAGGCTTTGCGACGAGCTTAAGCTGCTCTGCGTAATTTGCGGAGAACTATATGGTACAAAACCTGACAGTTTGAAGATTCTCAATTGTGGACATATCTTTCATGCAAGGTGAATTGCTTTTCCCAACGCAGAAAATAAAACCAGACTGCGCACTCTTGGTCAGATGCAAGGGCCTTCAACTAAACTTTGCACATGTTGCAGTTTCTTAACGTTACGTATGTGCGATGCAGTCGACGGTACTCGTATTAGTCGTATATATATGCTGAAGTGACCTTTATGCTGTTCATGTAATTCTAGTACCGCGTCCAGTAATTCTGCACTCTCGTTTGCAGTTTACCTTGGTAGTATGGATTTGCCTATATCTAATTCATCGTCTGTTTTTATAGATGTATGACGAACGAAAGGGAAGACAAACCTGTGGGGCGCAAATACTGCGTGATTTGTCGGAATCAAACTGAAGATCTGTGCGATACGCTGCTTTTGTGATAATCAGCCGCCAACATTGCGAAAACCATTTGAGTTTAATGTGTTGAAAAGCTGTAGCGCGATTGTGCATTTATATTCGATCTTGTCCTAATTTATACCGGTTGGTACAATGCATTTGAAATTTAGTATTAACGGAGTGGTAGTTTATGTAGAGATTTATGGCAAAATGTATTTACTTCTCAGTATCGGCGTTGTTAGACAAGTCCTTTTGTGGCTACTGGATCGTGCCAAAAGTTTTCTCGGGTTTACAAAGAGTGGGTGCGGTTTGCTGCTGTTAAAAATTTGTGAAAGTTTTTATAAAATATGCAGTTATCTGCTCCAAGTATACAAGCGTCGATCCGTTTGCTCAGTCCGGCCGCAACCTGCTGCCTTACTTGCTGTTTATGTTAACTTATGGATGTGTGATCCTGGAGCGATTGCAGGCGGTTCAGGTAGATTGTTGAGACGCTGAGGGACATAAGATGAGGTTCTTTGCTGGATGTTGTTTTCTGATGTTGCGGAGACACAAAGCAGATGTAGTGCATCTACCACCCAAGCTGGCAGGGAAACATCAGCGGTTGACCTTAAACACCTAATCGAACAAATAAATTATATAATTAAAGCCAAAAAGCAAAATGACCGATCATAAACGGGTGCAAAGTAAAAATATGATAAAACAACGAAAACGAAAACTACCACCGTAGTCGTACCTCACCACAGACAAGTCCATTTATTCTGTTGAGATTAATGAAGGTATATCTGTACATGCGAAAGATGCGAGTGTACAATAATTCGTTACTTACTTGCATGGATATCAATGGATTAAAACTACCCTCAATAGAACTACCATCGGAGTTTTGTGCAACTACCATCAGTAGGTGACTAGGTGTCTTTTCGGTACCCATGGTCAGACTTTCCCAATGTGATGTAAGTAAAACGCGGTTTCTGTAGCGTCCTGCAGAGTAGTATTTATATGCGAGCACACCACACTTTTGTGGAAAAATTAATCGCCCTTTTTAAGTTTGTATTGCACACATATTACAGTGATGCAGATCCAGTTGCTTGGGCAAACACAGATGCAATTACAGACATACAGTCATCCCTTTCAGTTTCAGACCTGGAGCAGTATTTGCCAACAGATTCAAGGTTTTACCGGCACTCCGCTTAATTATCGGTTTTACTTTACAGACGACTCTTTTGACTTTTCTTTTAATAATAATATTCAATAAATTATTTTCCATACAAGTGCACATCAAAATCTTGCTGTGGTCGAGATAATTGCTTTTTTGCAAAGACAAAATTAATGTACGAATGCGGTGATTCTTCCACATATTGTGGTTATCTTTTATGTTATTTAAGAAACGAGAACAATAGTAAAACATAATACGGCAACTTGGAATCACAGTTTGATATTTTTGTATGTCCACAAACCACTGAACCACACGGAAAACAGAGACGCACGCTCCTGAAAGTCAGTCAAAAGTGTGCTTTACCTTACTTTTAAGCGCTATAATTTATTTGTCAGAAAGGGCAGTTCCGAATATGTAAGCGGTTAACTACGCTCAGGGTTGAGATTCTGGAACTGGTCGTTGCGTCAAAAACATTACAACTGAATTGTGTAAAGCTACAAACAAACAACAATTCTAGAATACAGTACGTGTGCAAGCTAAGTTTTTAACAGAATACAGATACTACAGGTTACAGAATTATACTTACACCGAGTGCACTATACATACTCGTGTAGCGGGAAGAACTGAATGTAGACACAGAAAACGTGGTTATAAGGCTTTTAATTTGAATATCATGCGCTTGGTCATGAGATCGACATGTGTTTGAACCAGAAATGAAATGTTGTAAAACCTTCCGATAGTCGATTGATTACAAACATCCATTCATGCTCCCCTTGTACGTGAGCATACTGATGTCAATTGTTCCGCCACATGTACAGTACCGCACTGCCATAGATCATAATCACGAGGCGTTTTATGTATGCTAGCTTGAGCGGCAGATTCATTTGCATAAAATTGCCGATTGTCAAGTTGTGCTCAAAGGCTGCAAACTTTAAAGGATTGTTTACTGATCCCGGCGCACAGTGGGAGTTGATTTAACAAGCCGGGAAAACAGAGGGACTGTGGTGCGCCGTGCTCTACACTATACACATTGGCGTACAAACATGCCCGCGCGCGGCACCGCCGCCGCAGAGGCTGCCAGTTTGTGAATTATCGCCGGCATATACACCAAGGTAGAGAGAGCGAGAGAAGTACGAGAGATAGATAGCTGGTTCACTGTCAGTGACACAAATAAAGCTTTATGGCTGGAGAGACTTTGTGACATCGAAGAAGGCCCGCAACGAACTTGAAAAACGGTTCAACATTTTGCTCCAGTTTGTGTCGCCTAAACCACAATCCTCTTTATGCTCACCATCATGCTGAGTTTTACTTTTTCTGGCATCTGTTCTTATGTCTTGCGCAGTGTATTCAGCTGGGCTTTATGAGCACATGAGTTGCACAGCATTTCGTCTGTTTTGCAGAGCAATATATATTTTTGCGAAACACGTACATCGTTAATTTATTGCGTTGTTGGCCGAGATTCTTCAGAAAGATCTGAGGAGTTTCAGTGCGTTTGCGAAGCTCAACGGCTGCACATACATGTACGAAGCGTATGTGAGTGTGATTTGCTACACGACACCGTGTGCGGAACTGCGGATGCATTGCGAACCATTCATCAGGAAATTCCTTATTCAGCAATAATATGAGCGGGCTGGCTTTGGTGGTAATCGGGGTCTCTGGGTGATTACGATTGGTATTTGAGCGGCGAGGTAAGCTGTTATTGATACGGATTGCAGTGGGTCTTACATGTAATATAATCCGTTTAGTCGGCATAATTCGTCTGATAAAACGGAGGCGGGCAATTTCGTCATTTGTAATCTAAACACATGTCATCGGAATCTGAGTCCAAGTGTCAATTTTTTCCCTGCAAGTGATGCGCTTTCGTGACGGAAAGGAATGTGATATGCATCAGGGAATTGCTTGAGCGCACCGTCTTTCGGCATTGTATTCCCCCTGTTTTGGTTTCTTTGGTGGGTTTTAAGGTAATTACTGGCCTTTCAGCTGTTTCCTGGTGCCCATTTGAGCTGTCACAAGATGCTTTTCATTGTCGCCGTCGAATACTCGTTGCCGTTTTTCGCATGAAATTTGATCGGGAATATTGTTTACTAAACCTTTGCATTACGGCCTTATCAATTACTTACCAACCCTGCAATCTGAATGTAGCGACGGAAATCAAATCACTGCTCTCTGAACCAAGCAGCGGAAAATTAGTACATCTGGAAACTAAGGCAGTATTATTATTAGGCAAAGAAAAAGCTGAGAAAAACTGCGCTCCACTTGTAGCATTGTTACATAAATTGTAATATAAATTAGCGGAGGCCTGCACAAAGGGACCAGCATCGACAAGTACTAAATGTTTATTAAACTGTCAGATTGTGGGAAGATTTCCGTTTTTTGTGGGTGTTATTTGCATACAGATTTAGTACTGCATATCGTATCTAATCGTAAGGTTAAAGTACCATTAACGTGATTTGTGGGAGTCGGATGTAAACCGCTTGAAATTATTTAAATGTCCTTTTGATCTCTGCGTTTCGCTAGGGAACTCTCTTACATTTTTAATTTTGATCACATTTTTAATTTTAATGTGCTACATTAATTTTAAATCAATTCTGGGTGACTGAATTCATGCAACCAAGCATGGTGTTTTCTGTCGATTTACGCCTCGATTTTCGACAGTATCGAAACTCGAAAGTGATTGATTTAATAGTTTCGATAAGAGATTATTGCACCACAATTATTCGGAAATTTACGTTATCGATGCTGCGGGTCGCTTTATGGGTGATTTGCAGGTTGCATTAATCTCCTCTTTGCATGTTATTCTTTCCGATTTTTATGAGTTGCTATTACTTTCCACCAATTGCCGGGTAATGTAGTTTAGTTGTATTGAATTAGTGGACCGACAGAAACTTGGTCGTTCGCAAATCGTAGCAGTAAATGGTGGGCAGTTTTTGCTTATTATAGGCAGCTTTTTGACAGTCGGCTTGGAATATGCGGTTTAAGAGCTCCGTACGAAATGTTCAATACGTGGTGTAGCACCATGTAGCGGTCCGTGTTTAACCGAGTCAAATTTGCATCGGCAATTCACGACTACAGTCGTATAAGATTGTAAGCAAAGAAATGTTTATGTCTAAATGGCTTTTATGCGAGTTTGGCTTGCATTTTCTGAAATGCTTCTTTGTACACAAGAGCAAAACGTTTATTATTTTAGTAAGTACTATACTATACTATTTTAGTAATTATTTCATAACCACGTTTGACGGAATGGATATGCTTTCTGATTTGAAATTACTGTAAAAAGCTTTGCACTTTTGTTAACATTGTGTCGTAGGCACACGCTGGACTGACGTTGAGGTGTTGTGAATGGCTGTGCCATTGCGTTTCACAAAAAAAGTTGCTGTCATTGACGTCGTGGTACTTTTCTATTTCATATGGGAAGTTTTATTTATTGTTAGTGCTTCGTACAACCAATGCAGTAACAGCAGTAAAGCAACTGACTGAATGAGAAGTTTTTTTGTGCATCAGTTGATTGTACTGTTATTAACGTAATTAAATTACGATACACAATAAACAGCAATTATATCATTCTGTCATTCGATGGATTGTGTTATTTGGCAGTACTATAAATGAATGTTTTACAGTTGCAGGCGTTAAAGCAAAGACCGGCTTGAAGATGAACTTAAGGTTGGCGGAAAGTGATTTCGGGCATCATTCACGAACGCACAGTGAATCATCAAGCGGCTCGATGGACGAACCTGGCCGACGTCAGCAGTTGGAAACCTTGCTGGAGAAGACCGACGAAGACGTTGCTGATGAATGTTTTGTTCCTAGTAGCAAGACACTATTCTATCTGTCCGAATCGCAGCCGGTGCTGTCGAGTTCGATTTTGACTGACTGCAGCAGCAGCACTGAGCCGAGCAACGGTAATGAATTTGTTAATGTCGCTAAGCCTGCCAAAAGCCAGCAAACCATTAAGCCCGAAAATGCTAAGCAATGGACCTTCGTGATTATTACAACGTTGATAGCTGTAACGTGCTCAACGAGTCCGCAGCTGGTGCGAGGCGTTGTCTTACCGTTGATCGCCATAATCTCCTTGTGGTGTTGTCTGGAATTCTTGGTGCTGCAATTATGGCAAAAATCTCCGATGGTCGGAAGTGCAACATACCGATCAAACAATGTGCGATCATTAAATAGTGTGTACCAGTTGTGTGGTTACGGATGTATCGGCGAATGCATTGCGTGCTGTTTTGCCAGCTTGTTTCCGGATTATCTCCGTAGCCTGATTGTCCTGTGCAGCATCGGCTTGACACTCTTCTGCAGCAGGAGTGTGCCCAACACAGCCCGGATATCCGTGTCAGTTGTCTTTATTGCCATTTGCCGCGCGGCAGCCCAGTGCATTGCAGTATTACCAGCCTTGCTGGCACCGTTTACCGTCTACGGGTTGGGCGTAATTGTGGGAATCTTCTTGGAGCAGCAGCCCATTGTGGGGACTGTGCAGTCCACAGATAGTGCTGTTGGCCGTGTTACTGCGGGTGCTAATCCCATCAGCCGACTGACAGATGCCGAGTGCCAGTCGCGCCAACGTCGGCCCAGTATCATGTCCTTAGGAGTTGGTGACAGAACGGTTCCCGTTTGCTGCACATCATTGACTCCTAGTGCTCGAGGTCGCAGGACCTCGCTCCCGTCACTTTCCATGAATCGGCACCGGGTGAGTTTCCGATATGCGTTGTTTGTTAGGGCGAATTCTTACAATGCTCGCTTGGTCGTGACGTGGTTGACTCCAAGGCCTAATGCGTGTCGATTGGGCATTTTGTCCCCCTGCCAAAGTTGATTACGTTTTATTACCATCGTTTAACATAAGGAAACGACTTCCCACAGCGTCTTAAAAAGTCGCTGCAAACCGTTGAGCCAGGGCGGGTAGTTAGCGTGCGTGAGACATTATCACCCATTTTCCGCGCATCGGCCATGCTCAAACGCTCTCGTTTCCTTATCCTTGCAGCGTATTTATTGTGTGACTGTACGCTGAACTGTACGTGTGTAAAGATTATGGCATCTTTGGAAGATTTTGTTCGCTCCATTTAATAGCGCTAGTGGAGAGATAGAATGTTGCATGCTTGTTTCCTGCAATATACATTCGCCTAGTTCGAAAGGACACTTTACTTTGCCATTAATGGTTAGCTGAAATTCTGAAATTTTCGGTTAACGAGTGCGAAACGACAAAAGAAGCAATGCCTAGACCTACATTTTTTAACGACATGATCCGTTCATTTTCCTTGCAACTTCGCGAAGATGTCGAAACTCCTGAAAAACAACTGGAACTGTCCAAGGGTGGTTCCCCTGTCAATCCGGTATGAGAAAACCACAGTAACAGATTTAGATTCAGATTTTGTTGTTTGCCTCGGACAATACCAGATTGTGCTGCATGCCGTTTTTGTGTAAAACGAAAATGGTAATACCGAAGCTCGATTAAATGGGTAAATGGATTAAACTAATTAATTTGATGGTGTGGTGTCACTTTGCAGCTTACGTGTGCCATGTTGTACACGAAATCTCAGTGAACAGTTTAAAACTGGAATCTCTTTTTCAGAGGGTTTTGTTAGGATAAAAAATTGTTTATGTACTTTTGCTGTCTGATTTTTCGTAACGTGTGTATTGCTCGTAATGCATCGCTCACGCGCCGTTTGCGATATAATTTGTATAGGGTATGGCGAGAACTGGCGACCTGTGCCAGGCTGTGCGTACAACTCACAAGGTTGACATTTCGATATATTGTCAATTCCTGTAATGTTTCCTGCAGTGCTTAAAGTTCGATTGCATGGGCAGTGAGCAACCTTTTCCTAGAAGGCACTTCCGCTAATGGTTATTGCGGCTTTGAAATGTGTATTTAATTTGTTAAATGCGCGAATTCAGTTTCCGCTCGTATCGGTTCAAATGAAAATATTTTACAAACTGTAAAAAATGCTGCCCTTATACACCGCTTTACGACGTATGTTATCTTGAATTGTTTGCAACGGGTACCGAACTACCGATCATGCACTACCGTGAGTTTAAAAGCTCCCTGCCATTGTTAAGACAACTACTGAGAAATTTTGTAAAAGCCTACCAACGAAAATGTTTGTCCAATTATCAAGGTGGATGTGATCAGGTTGTATCTTTCATAAACGCAGCACAGGTTATTTACTTCTTGTTTTACTGTGGTTGTTTGTATTCAGCGTGTGATAATTAGAAGTTGTAACTACTGCTAGGATTTGATGAGCCGTGATTGCACAAAAATGTTAATGGCTGATGGTTCAGTTCTCTAATCTCGGAATCTGTTCAGTGCAGATCAAGATTAATTCGCTTCAGTGGCTTCACTATACATCTTGTAAACCACCATTAGATTGCTCTTTAGGATTAAATTGAAATTAGTTTCCATCATGCATCGCTAATCGATAGTTTCTTGGTTAAACCTACTGGTTTGCTAGTGCAGTAATTTGTTGTGTAACAAAGATTCCCAAATCGGCCGTTATCTTCTTGGACGCATATTATTTCAACCATTGGAGCTTCGAGATTGTTTCCGGTTTGTGATATGTTTTCGGATTCATCCTAGTGGAAACAACATTGTTAGCTCCCAATACTGTTTCCACAGTTTAGGCACATGCCGGCTGATTTGCTTGCACTTGTAAAGCCGGAAGTTGAACGATAGATCCCAGGTCTCATCTGGTAGAAATCTTATAACATCCGAGTCATTCCCTAGTTTCCTCAAACGACTTTTTTTGGGCTATTTTTCCGGTAACGGAATGGCGACCTATTTTCCGCAACGGAATGGCGACACCCGTTCAAAAGCCGATAGTATCACAGAAAGCAAATGAATACCTTAATTTCTTGTTTTTTTTGTCTCCTTCCGATTTTGCAGTGCAGAGGTATGCTCGGGGGTCCATTTATTTGTTTAAAATTAATAGTATCGTGTTACATATTATATACTTAGTTTTATTGTTTATTATAAAGTGCATGTGTACAGTTGTATAGTTGTAACCTAACGAAAAGGCAACGGAGACAGACGACAACGATTAGCGTAACAAAATTAATTTACAATCCCGAAGAACACGGCATAGCATGGGAAGGTCATGAGACTTATGTTGGTGGGAATGCACACTACTAACTCTAACTGGAGCAAACAGTTCAGTGCGTGGCGGAACTACTGTATACCACGGTATATGCAGTCTACGGTACAAGGTACCAACTGCAAAGGCAGTTAAGGCACCAAGAAGCAAGTTAAGGGTTGCTATGTTTCTAAGAACCAAAGGGAACAAGACAGTAATGAACAAAACTTAGAGTTTAGTTAAAATGGCTTCTCTTCTTCTAGCGTCCGTCTTTTAGGTAGAAAAGTGTTTTATTCAGATTACATTCAGTTTGAAAGTATCGATAAGCAGGGTCGTGCAACTGGCCGTACTCATACTGGACGAATTCCGTATTCTTCCGGTGTCACAATCTTCGTTTTTCGCAATGCCGCTTACGAGTGCATCTCATAAATACATTATCGTACTAGGGTAGCTTATTTAATGAAGGCTCATACAGACCACTGCGTTGGCTGACATCCAAGTTGTTTGATGTTGGCTACAGCAAAAATATCGGCAAAACCAGTATCTATCGGTTATAATTACTAGCATAGCTCGGAGAAGTCAAGCGATAGCCGGAGCCTCACTCTGCCTGAGAAACCATAAAAATCACCATGTAGTCTGTGGCGCTAAAGTTTCAAGTGAGTTGTATACTTGCTATCGAAATTCTCGCGACGGACCTCTGAAAATCTGCGCATTATTTCCTTATCTCAAACTATATAATATCAAAATATGACTTTGAGATCGTCCGGGAATAGCTTTTCCATCTCACACTTTTATCAAAACGATGCCACGCTTGGCACAGACATCGTGAATATGTCGGTATTTCACAGCTTTAACTAATCTGCGGCTCCCTTCAGAGATATTTGGGATGCGTTTGTGGGTATGATCTGTCAGAGTCATGATTTACAGATAAATCCCGCCGAACAGTTTTGAATTGATTAGCATGAAACAATTAGAATTGGTTTTTTTTGGTCATTCCGCTTGCATTTAATTGGCCTGACGCCGCCTTAGTAGTAATGAAATGGATTGGTGATCCAGGACTCATTGGCGATTTATCCAACCATGAACGCTTCACAAGATTTGGTTAATATTAATTCACTATTATGATCTGATGCGCTGTTGCCGATGTGAATGCTTTTTAAGCTCATAGTTTTATTCACGGACTGTGGTATGCCCTGTGGGAGATTTGATTATTTATTTTGTCCACTTTGGAAGCGACACAAGGTGGGATTGTTCTATAGTAATAGGCTGTCTTATCTGCATTTGATACGTTATTACAAGCCTAGAAAACAATGCAGATTTTGGTTCTAATGCTCTGGTACAGGTAAAAGAATGCTTTACCGCTGTTAGCACATTACTTGCAGAAATTGATTTTGAGCCAATTGTGAGATGCTCTTGCAAAGCAAAGATTTGCTGTTACAAATATGACCACCACAACTTTTAAAAGAAACATGTTATTGCTGCTGCTGCTTTGTGCTGCAGATATTTACTTTTTGGCATTCATACTTCGACCTGGTGTCTAAAAAATCCTGTTGCTGTGCTTAAAATCGGAGTTTTGAATATATTATAATTGTTAGGACGTAGACTCGGAACACAGTTGTGTTTCACTGGTCATATAGTAGATATCATTTTTGATCGGAGCTTAATAACTGCTTGGGTAAAAGAAGTGTTGCATTTGCAAATATGTCACGAAGTGAATGTCTAGTTTGACGTCTGCCACGTGGGTAAAAACTGCAACTTTGTTACATCATGCAGATAAACTTGCATGTTCTGCGTTCGGTCCGTTTGTACTACTCGGTAGTTGTACTCGTATCAGCGGGGATAACGGAGTACCGACTATGGTTGCAACTTGTGTTTTAACTTGAATTTCCATGCGCAACGTGTCGCAGTCTTGGATAATATTATAACGCACTGTCGCTTTTATTTAAATGGTACTGTTGGGATGTTACAAAGATTTTTGTGCGCGCAGCGCAGATGTACATAAAAAAGTTGTCCGCAGAGGCGCTAATGAGATTTGACACTTTGTGCTGGCAATATTTCCGCTTGTTAGAAAATTGATAACTTTTGTATTGTTATTTGTAAGGAAATGAAATCATTGATGGTTCCAAGATATGCTTCGACGAAGTATTTCAGAACATAATCAGGTTCGTTTGAACTTTCCATTAGCCGGCTAGCTTACCAGTATACTTAATTGTTGCTGGGTTTGTGAGAGCGCTATGTGCTCCAAAAAACGTACCTACGTAGCCGGTAACCGGATTTCACATTTCTGTGGGCGACCGACTAATGACGTTAACGACAGCAGGATCGGAAATCAGCGCTCGGTTTCATGAATCCCGTGACTAGTTTTAGTTGTGTTCTCTCCTGTTAATAGGTACTATCATGAGAAATAGCGTCGAACGAAACGGAGTAATGGATGTTGAAACTTTGGTTCACAAAATCGAAAACTTCGATTGCTGAATGTGTCTGATCCGATGATCAGTGTGATGGTTCAGGCTGATCACTTTTGGCGGACACGGATTGTGGGTGGGAGACAAATGGCAAGCGTAGTGCGCTCCCATATGGACTGCACTGCTGCGCGATTTTACACTTGTCAACTGCTCGAGGGATACTATCCATCACCGCGTCCGCGATAGGATTATTGGGATTGTGCTTTTTTTTACCGTGCACTTGCTTTATTTAAGAGATGAACCACCAAATATCTCGGATTTGGTTAGCTAGAGTGTTGCTGCTTTGCTGAAAAAGTTGCGGACGTGTGCTGGAATTGAGGAATTCTGTATCAGTTTGTGGTGTTTCGAAGAAGTAGAATTATCTTCCTTCTGTCGACTATGGATGCACTTAATCATTCGGCAAGCCGGCTTCAGTTGCCAGATTCGTCGCAGACGGGCGGTGGCCTGAGTCCACGAGTAGGTTCAATATTGTGGTTGTTTTAAATAAATTTTGTTTTTTTTATTGGATTTTGATTAGATACGAAAAAAAGCACTTTGGACGATACGACGTTTGACTAAAATTTCTGAATGGTGTTGGGGCAAAGACGTGTGACATGGGCATACATGTGGCAGATCACGGTTTGCATAGCAGTGGTAACACTGATATGAATGTGTGCTTACTTATAATTATTATGAATTTTCTTTACTCATTACGAGTATAAATATTAATTATGAAATGGTGATAGCAAGAAACATCACGATGGTACCCTTGAAACTGGGAACGGCAAATTAGTTGACGGGTAAACTAAAACGGCTCATGCCGAGTATGCCAGCTGATTTCCTGTATGTATGCAGTTTATTTACTTCCTTTTTGGAAAATGTTGCCGTTCATAATTATATTTTCATAAGCACAATAACGAGGGTTTTTTATGAATCCGCGATGATCTCATTGTTTTTTTGTTAGCGATTAATTTTGGTAGTCAGATCTGTAGCACCATGCGTCTAGGCTGTGGGTGTACACTGTACAGACAGATCTGTAATGCCAAAATGCCGCTTTATATCGTATATTGTACTTATCGTTAAAATTAAGCAACCTTCAGCTTATCTTTCTGCTGGCAAGTGTCGCTTCTAGAATACGTACTGGAATTTGGCAAACGCAGAAAGCCGACGCTTTTTGAATTATTTCTGGAATCCTACCTAGAATCTCTATAACTACCCTAATGCTCGAGTAATACTGTATGTACGTTATAATCAGTACGCTAAACGTGGTTGCAAATCACTCCCTATCCGGCTTATCAAAATGCAGCGCCATTTCATTAAGTGATTGCAACAGTGTGAGCTAATGTGAAGTCTATTATCAGCATGCTAAAAGGGCAACCCGAAAATGATTAGATCAGTGCAACTAAACAGTAAGTAAGTGAATCGATCAATGAAAATGAGAATTAATAAATGAGTCAAAAAGCGCGCGAAGGTAAAGTTCGAGCTCCTGCGGGTATTGAATGGTTGAGGAGCCTGTTTTGTTTGCGGCGCATGTACTTGTACTAACAGCCCCATAGGCATCATGAGAAGGTAATATGAAGTTATATGTATTATTTTTTTAATATTATAAAATACTGTAGGCTTATAGTGAGCGTATTTCTCAGCAAGTAGCTAAGATCTGTTAGCAAGCAGCTAAGAAGTAGTACATGAATACATATAATATGGCACCTCTATCTTCATGTCAACACATACAGGATTCGTGGACGCGCTGCATGCAAATCTGTTTAGCATCTTGTTTGCGAATTCTATGAGAAACGTTAATTTTTGCAGTTTGCATCATTAGCATAGATGATGGAAACAAATCTTGGTCGATCTCGCTTTCGATCTTGACCTTGCTGAGTTCTTCTCCTAGGCGTTTTTGAATGATTTGTTGCGGTGATGGGATAATTTATGCGCATCTTCGCAATTGTGAGATACTGTAAGTCTTCTTTCTCGCATGGTTATGACTGTACTTGTAGTTCTATAGTGTATCCGCAGCATGTATGCACATTCTGTTGCTACAATTTGCAGATGCGTATGTAATGCAATATAGAACGGATTAATGCAGTTATTGTTGTCATAAACATTGGGTCGCTGCCGAATTGCAGACGTAATCAGCTTCGGATGAAAGTCTCTGAAATTTTTTAATCGCTTCAGGCGCTCTTGTAGTCTGCTGCTTTCTTCGATTGGTCACGTGCACCTTTAATAATATGATGATGCGTTTAATTTCTGCAAGCCGCCAAAGCTGGGCGTTTTCGGCACCACCGAAAGCGATATGGGCGATGTACAGATACGTACTAAACCGCGTACCACGTCGATCCTGAGATATGTATCTATACTCGTCTGCAACCGGTACCGTATCAGTTGCGTGACAAATGAAATATGCTTGCGGAAGCGAACTGACTTGCTGCTCTTGTCAATTTTCGTCAAGTTTCGGCTAAGGACATTTATAACATTTGAAGACTCAACAAAGCTGATTGCAATCTACTTGAGATTTCCACGTCCGAGGCGTTCAATGAGTAGCGCTAGTGTTGTGCCTGCGCACACGATTATAGCGTGTCGGTGTGGCTATGATCGGATCATTACACTTTTAATGTCTTTCACTGGTCGGAGGCACTTGATTTTTTTCCTCCTTACTTAAAAGATCATAATGCATTAGTGAACGATCACTGCGATTTGCGAGCTATGACGTCGGATACTGGTGCCGCTAATCAGGCCCTTCACTGTTGAATACATATTATTTTGATATTTGCTTTTTGCAAAGAAAGCGCAATACATACTTCTGTCGCTGTGTAGCTACTGTGTTGCGGTAGTCGTACAGCAATGAGCGGTAATCAATCGGGTGATGTGCGAACGATCGCAGCAAGGAATTTCCGTAATCTTTCCATTTCTATTACCCAGCATTCGTTCTCCTCTGATGAGGTTGGTAGATTGATGCAAATTGGACTCCCTATAGTATGTGCTCGCTCTTTATCCAGCTAGCCAGCCGCGTAATCCTTATTTCCGGTGTGGATTATGATTATCTGTATGAATTTTCTTGTGAGCTACATATGCGACTAAGCTAACACAAAAGATATATCCTGTATCCAAAACCCCGGTGAATTTCTAAGGAATTGCAGCCCAACCATATAGATCGGTTGGCGCTTCCAGGGCGTTGTTTTCGCACCTTATATGGACGCGTGTGGGGCTGGCAATACAGTTTCTCTTGTGCTATCTAACCACTGCTTCTAACCTTATCCCATAAAAATCCCCAACGCCATAAACGTTAACGCTGTAAAGATATGGAGGATGGCAGTGCAGTCTCTGTGGACCTAATGCTTGTGCCGGGCTTTTTGTAATCCACGGCCAACGGGCGTAGTGCTTTCACTGCTCTGTGATTGTTAAGCGTAACGTAATGGAAAACATATTGGATGTGAGATAATCGAATTTGTGTGCGCTTCGTTTTTTTGCTTGATGGACCAATTAATTTATGTGACTATGGGTGTGCATCTCTGGGGTCCAGAGCGAATAATGTGAACGGATTGTCATCGTCCGGTTTTTCGTACGGTTTTTTTGTAGCTTTCTTTGAATTGCATATAGCCGTACTTTTGTTTGCATTATGTATTCGGTCGAAAATCGTGCAACTAGATTAAGGCGAATGTTCCAGCGGGCGGAATGTTTTAGCGATACTCCTGCCGCTTTGGTAAGTTTTTTTTTATCATGACTAAACGAGATCGATAGATGGTATAGCGGTTCAGTTTTCTTGAAGATCTTGTCGTGCACCGGTTGTGCCCTGGTCACTCTGGCTAAATATAATGGTTTGTTTGTTATAACGATTTTGAATATTTACCTTTTGCTTGCGCACGGTGGTAGATTTTGCTGCTTTTTGCGCGTCCGACTGTACGCGAATCCATGACAGATGTTGCAGCTGTTTAGTAATTTACAAGTATCACGCAATGTGTCATATTATTGTACGCATTTATCTACGGTGGGATTGTCTTACATTCTACGGCCAGTATATCCAATATCTTATGACGGTGTCACTATACGGTGCCGTTTCGCGGTTTATTAAATATGTATCGCAATATGGCAGCAGAATAACACTGAATAGTGTTTTAAACTGGAGTTTAAACTGGATTATTTAACATGTTAGGGTCATGGGTACAGTGCATAGAAAGTGCTGCAGTTATGGGAAAAGAAAGGTTTTTAACCCTTATTTGGTTTGTTCAAACCAAAACATCGGAGATGCGCATGTGTTATTTTTATTTCCCGTGAGCGGCAGTTCGATATGTTTCCTCTGTTAGATTATCCTTGTTGATAGCGATGGTCTAGTATGACTGTTACTGTACATGTACTTGTATATCGTATGCACACTATTCATACAGTTTGCAGTTTGCAAAAAATTCAGTCCTAAGGTTTTAGCTACTGTAGACCGTACCACATACGTAGTGTAAATTAGAATCAGCTTACAGTTAAATCTTATGCTTCAAGTGTGTTAGCGATATATCTATCAGCACTTCGGGTAAGGTGTCCTGGGGAGTTTTTTCGTAACTTCATAATTAACTTGCGGATGGATTGGTACAGTAGAATAAGAAAGAACTGTACAATGCGCAGCCATTCTGGAATCAGTTAGCATTGCTCTTTATGTTTTTCTATTTCTGAGGGCCTGCCAGTTTTTGTATTTATTCATAAAGTTACTTAACAGTACTATATATAGCCATTTATGTTCTGATGTTTGAAGTCGGCTGGCAGTTTAGGTGAGCTGCAGAAAAGCAGAATATTTCGGAATTCATACTTTTTAATGAGAAGAGTTTGGAACACGGTTTTAGTTTTAGCCCAGCAGAAAAGCTCAGACAGTTTTTGTTAAAAATTTCCTGGAGTCACTAGCACTAAATGACAGCTAAATATGCCGAAGAAAACTTTGCTGGGAGTTCGGTGCTAGGTAAAAAGATCCATATTCTTATTAAATTTCGCAGTACATAGTAAACTTTAAATCGAAAATGTCGAAAATGCACTACAGTACAAAAATGTGGATAGCTCTCGAGGGACAAAGTGTCAAACATCCATGCCGTAACGGTTTAACCAGTACAAAATGGAAATGCGTACAGTACTAAAATTGCTCAAGGTACCGTGTGATTATAACTTTTACTTGACAGGGACATCCGTCCAAAACTTTGGGTGAACTTTAAATGAACTAACACTTAATTTTACAATCATTTATCGGGACACGTGTATTAAGCATTTTCGCTATCAGATTTGCTTGGTACCCGCATGCTTCTGTGAATATAAAGCATGCTGCCAGACGACAGATGTTATCTGCTGGACAAAAAAACTTGTGTTCGATAAGTGTTCTGGTTTAGCTATATTGTGGTTTTTTAGCATTCTTCCGGTTCAATGCCGAGTTACGAGGCCGCCGTGATAGCGGAGGCCCATGGAATCATTACGGATATGTTGGCCGATGGGACGCTGCTTCCGCCGCATATTGCCAGCGGTCTGCGAGCTGTGGCCAGCCTGCTGGAACAGCCGGGCATCGGGACGCCATCTAGCGCGTCGGCTCGACAAAAAAATGGTCCCTTTGTGTCACTCTCGGAAGTGTGCAGTGATACGGAAGAGTCGCCTTTCACAGGCGAAAGACCGAACGTCTTACCTAAGGTTAGTCAGCTGGGGGTTCTTTACATTGGAATACACTGTGGTGCTCGTTGCTAGTTATATTGGCAGCTAAAATTCGTTCCGATCTACCGGTACAAATTATCATTTGTTAAATAGCTTGCGTTTGGTAAACTTGGATTTGAGTGTGCCAGAAGCGTTAATTTTTATTCATATTTTGTGATGTTATAGCGCTTTCGTCGAAGTTTACCGCTGAGTCTGCTCCGGCGAATGTCCACTAGCACCTGGACCACCACCACATCGGCTACCGGCTTGCCGACTTTAGAACCGGAACCATCCCGTAAACGAAGCACCAGCTTCCGCACATCTCCCGTAAGCAGTCCGGGGGGCAGTCGCAGCCAGAGCCCATCGCCCGCCTGCTCTCCCAATCCCTCCGCCGATGTCATTGTGCCCAAGCAGCGGTCTCTCAGCACCATAATTCCTTCCAGGGGCAGTCCGGTGACGGCGCCCATTAATCGGAAATATCATCGGAGCACTATCGGCAGTATCAGTGTGCCGGAAGGAGTGCTATCCAAATCAGTGACATTCAATCTAGAGCCGACTAATCTGCGAACAGGTACAGCTTGCGCCATTGATCGGTGGGGATTCGCACTTTAGGGAATTGTTGCAGATGCGCACGTGCTGTCCGAGGAATCACGGCCGGCGGAAAAAATTCATCTATCGCCGGCCATTCGTCGTATTAATCTGACGTCGGACTACGAATCCAGCGAATCTCCTAGCAACAGCGAGCATGACGAATCCGCTGCACTGTTGGATGAACTGGCTGCACAGAATGCAGCGCCTGCTGCTGACGAGTCTGCGCTCGTTCCTGAGGAGGGCAGTGAAGTTGAGGAAGAGGTGTGGTGATAGTTTGGGAAATGCACAATACTAAAGTTGCTTTGGTGGTTATGGGGGGATGTCTATGTGCGTCTTGTAAACAGGATTTGATTCCGGGAAGGCATTATCGCGTTGGCAACATAACGTATGACTTGGAGGTTATTGACGAGCATCCGTTGTTGAATCATCTGTCGGAATGGGACTTCCCAGTTTTTGATTTGTATAATGAAATGGGTGATCGGATTCTCAGTCAGGTGAAAAGTTTTGAAGTTTAAGGTTTTAATTGTTATCGACTTCTTTATTACTCGGCATTATGTTAGTAAAATTGCATGATAATCATATGCAGTCCGTATTACTTATACACGTTAAAACTGTTTCATGTTTTTCTCTTTTGGCGTAACTTGACTCTGATATAATTCATTACGAGTACTCGTACTCGTGCGTTTGGTTAGTAACTTACAAAAGCCGAACCGCCACTGACCCTCTTTGCTTGGTTGCAGGTGGCATATAAAATATTTCAAGATGTTGGGTTATTCGATACATTCAAAATTCCGGTTCAAGAGTTTTTGAATTACTTCCACACACTGGAAATGGGATATCGAGATAAACCATGCAAGTGAAAGACAATCTCAAAGAACAGAATTACAGCCGATATGTACAGTATTACTTTTCAACCGGCTTTTTTTTTCAGACCATAATCGAATTCATGCTGCGGATGTCCTGCACGGGTACACCGTACTTGATTTTTGTGTAGTCTGATAAGGTTTTGATAATGATTTGGGCTTCACAGAGTGTATTTCCTTTCTTCTCAACCAATCCCGGGATTTATTCAGATTCCGTGGCACGATACACCCAAAGTTCCTAAAACTCGCCCAAATTCAGGTAAAGTAGATGGATTTTTAAACGAAGGATGTATAATATTCTAGCGATCGATTGCCTACGTGAGTGGCTGTGGCCAGTAACGGTTCTAAATATTATTTGCGCAAATGGGAGCAAAAATGTGGGCAGCCCACAGTAGTGCGATCCCGGTTTATCATAGTGACGTAGTGTTGGATGGAAAAGAATAATGTATTTTAAGCTTACCTTCTTCTTTGTGATTGCATTTTGGTTCTGATTATTTCGGATTTAGCAGACGTGAGCGCAGGCGACGCTTTACCTAATCTGCGATTGCAATATGCCAACGGCAGCGCGGAGAATGATATTTACGGCATTATGGGTTGTAATCTGCCTCCACTGGAATTAATGGCATTGTATGCAGCAGCGGCTATGCACGATTACGACCATCCTGGCCGCACTAACGCTTTCCTGGTCGCCACCAATGCACCGCAGGTGATAAAGTGGTTACGCACTTGGATATTTGGACGTTTTACTTGCGAATAAATGAAATAAATCCACCGTGTTACTGTCGTAGTCATGCGATGTTTCATCTCTTTAGGCTGTATTGTACAATGACAGATCTGTCCTGGAGAATCATCATGCTGCGGCCGCATGGCGTTTGTTGCTGTGTAAACCGGAATTTAATTGGCTCTGTCACTTGGAGAAAGCCGAATGGAAGCGATTTCGTTATCTTGTTATTGAAGCGGTTCTGGCCACTGATTTAAAGAGACATTTTGAAATTATTGCAGAATTTAATTCCAAGGTTTGTTGGCGCGCTCACTAATGGACAGCACACTACAGTACTTTAAATTCAATGAATGTAAAAAATACCTGCGTGAAAACAAGTTAAAACTGATTTTTTTGCTTCTTGTTGTTGTTTTGCGCGGCTTGTGATATGCGTTGTTCTGACATGATTGATTTTGTTGTTTTGAATTGCACTTTATTTGAACTGTTGCTACCAAAAAACTGCTTGAATTATGCAGCCCTTTTTTTCAGGCATCAGATGACGATGCTCCCGGATTAGACTGGACTAACGAGACTGATCGACTAATGGCGTGTCAAATGTGCATTAAGTTGGCCGATATCAATGGCCCGTGTAAGCGAAAGGATCTTCATTTGCAGTGGACTTACCGCATTACGGAGGAATTTTTTGAACAAGTGAGTTACTGACGACGCCGAGAAAGTGGATAATCTATTACAGTGTAGCGTGCGCGCGTCTGGGTCGAGCATGATAAATGTGATTTATGACTGGATGTGCTTACTTGTTAAGGGCGATGAAGAAGCCAGTCTGGGCCTGCCCATCTCCCCGTACATGGACCGGAACAATCCGCAGCTGGCCAGATTGCAGGAGAGCTTTATCAATCATCTGGTGGCGCCTCTGTGCAATGCCTACGGCGAAGCCGGCTTACTCCCCGGTCGGTGGCGGATCCTGGACGAACCGGAAGACCGAAGCAGCGGTGCGTATTGTAATGTTTTGTCTCTGGCTGTGCAGCGAGGTGTGGTTGATGGAAAGCATCTTACAGACTCTAGTCGGAAAACTAGTTTGGAAACCGGTGGACAAATTCCGGAAGACAGCGTAAGCGAAGATCCGCTTCCGCTGACAGAGAGAGTGCCATTGCCGAGGATAGAGTGCTTATTAACGGAACATCTAAAGTCCAATCACGAGATGTGGGTAATCAAGGTTAAAGAAGAAGAACGGCTAAAAGCTGAAAAAGCCGATTGGGTAAGTACTACACGAACGAAGCTGCAAATGGAAATCAATAAAACAACTGCTGACACAGTTTGCTTGTTTCGACATGAAGATATTGATCTGTTTTGGTAATTTTTGAAACAAAAGCTGCATATTTCATTTACGACGCAGGATTCCAAAAACTCTTCTAGAAAGAACTCGGCAGAGGAGCCCTAGTTTTCTTCAGCAAAGATCTGTTTAGAGGATCAGCTGCCCAAGGCGACGGAATACTGCCCTGAAGCCGAGTGGTCAAACGTTGCTGTGATGCATAATTTACGGATGGATTTATTACTGGGGACTACGGTGCAGTGTAAAATTTGGATGCCGGACAGTAAATTGCGGTGACTTTGAGAGGTCCGGGCAACGATAGTCGGCGAGACGACGGACATTACGGAGAATTTTATGTGTACAGTACGATGATATTCTTGCTGTGCGTGGTGTTGTGTCAATTATCCAAATTTTAAAAAAATTCATCACAGAAATATTCTTTATTTGAGTTCGTATTTTGCTCAAAATGAGGAAATTTTTTGTTGCTTGTGTATTTCCTGTCTGATCTCAAAGACCGAGAGACCGATGTCGATTTTATGCTTCGGGTTGATCCTCTAGGCTCATGGAAATACCACTGGAATGTGTCATAATTCTGTTTTCTGGATTGTGGGTGATTACAGGGTGCCACTTGGCTGTGGTTTGTTAGAATAATTTGGATGTTTTTATTGATATGTTGGTCTGTTTGATAAATGTTTATAACTATAACTTAATTGCTTTTGGATCTGTTGCGATGTTTCAGATTAAAATAAAATAACAGTGATCGCCCTTTTTGCCATGGTGGGTTAGTGAATTGAGGTGGTCTTCCACTTTCATAACGGCAAGTAATTCGATAGCAGGTGCAAAATGAAGCGTCTTAAATAGGATAATCGTATAGTATTAAACAACGCTATAACTCAATGTGATAACCGATCCGCGTAAGGTTTCAACCATAAGGTATCGCGAACCAATGACGAATACACAGCGCTAATTTTTGATCAAAGATTAGCTTAATCCTTTGTCGTTTTACTTTATGATTTAGATTTCTTACTGCTTGCACGCAAGCTGATCATTGTGGTTTGCCAGTTTCACCGTTCGCCATGTTTATGTACAGTCTCAGTACAAAGTGCTATGAAGTCTCACACAGTGCGAAATACCGGTAGTTTTACAACTTCACAGTTGAGCATGTTTGCCCAATGGAAAATCTGTAAAACAAAAGCTGACAACGCACATGCCACTTGCACAAACTGAAAGAATGACCTTTGATATACTTCCGTGCCCTTTAGTAAACTTCCGTACAGGTTTTTCCATTCAAACCTGGAGAAGAAATGCTATTTGAATTTTGCGTTATGTGAGTACAGAATAGTTCCAGATAAACAAAAAATTTTGCGTTGTGGTGGTCGTCCCTGTCCCTGTTTTTTACATTTGTTAGGTTTCAGTTGTCAAATATTGAATTCCTAGTTGTCAAATATTGAATTCCTAATATTTGTCAAATATTTAAGTCCTAAGCGGGTATTATCTTAGCTTATCGCTCATTTTAGGCTAGGTAAATTACTACCTCAGAGTTAGACCTACATATTTTATTGCATAATAACAAAATCACAGCGGAGCTGCTAAGAAATACAACATCGGGCTCCAATCATTCCCGATTAGCCAATCTAAACGCTAAAAAAACGTCTTCGTTGTCTCGCATCTCATTAAATGTTCCGAGGACAGACACAGCACTTCCGCGTTGTATTTCAATGCTGATTCTCTGACGCAAAAACTCTCCCGACCGAGGGTTACCACTACATTCGCAAATCTTTCTTGACAGATCTTTGAAAAATTTCTTTGTTAGTGGTCCAAATGTCCCCGTAGTTTCAAAAGCCAGAGGTTGTACTACGTATCGATCCGCGAGTCCATCGTACTTCCCTAACTTCTGATTCTCTCTCACTTCCGCTGCGCTTCCTGGGACACGCGATGTATGGCCTATGTAGGTCTGGGCGAAGGTATCGGCAACAGTGACATCCCATACCATCGGCTTCCCATTGCGCCAAGGAAAGGCAGTAACCTCAGAGTTATCTGTTTAATTGATTTAAGAATGTCCCAAAGATTGAGTTACCCACTTTTTCTTGTAAGTTGTAACCAGCGCGAACTGCACAGGGCGGCGTGTGATACATCCGTTGCCAGCTGGCTTTTGGCGGTACTCTTTTATTCACTCGCTAAAGTCGCTCTTGTCTTGGATTGTTGAACAAACGCGGTTCGATGCATTAATTGCATAAAGCAATTACAAACTGTACTTATTTCCCGCACAAATACTCTGGACATGCAGTTGTTTGGGCCTAAATGTGGCATGCGTACTTCTGTTTTATACATTTAAGGTTGTACAATCTCTCCGACCGTCCAAGCTGCGATTGTGTTGGAAAAAAGCAAATCATGCCAACTTGAAAAATTCCTGCTCGTAGGATCTCGTTCGTAAACATTAAATTACTTATAAGTATATTTTGTCATTAATTTGGGAGGTTCTTTCAAGAATCTGATAGTTTCAAAAATTTTCTGGATATTTCTAACTTCGCACGACGCTGACGATGCTTTATACTTAACTAAATATGAAAATTAATTCACCAAAAATCCGTAATCTTTTGAAAAATAGCGTTTCCATGTTAAATAAAAGAAATCCAAGATCCATAACATTGCTATGAGGCAGTTTCGATTGTATGGGCCGGGATCTGACTTGCCGCTTGATCTTTTTGTTTCTTATAGCTATGGATAGCCATGGATGTATGGAGCATGGTTAATGCAACGTTAACATTAATATTAGTTGCTTCTGTACTCGTGAAAAAAAATGAGATAGATTGCTGTGTGCAGTAGTTGCAGTCATCGATCAACGTGCCTAAAAAACATGTATCTGTATAGCTATAATTGGCACATTCATCGAAATGGCGGTAGTACAAGTTGCAAATTTGTATAAGAGTACATACCTATGTACTTCGGGGGAAGGATTGTGGTCGGACCCGGAGATCTAGAATCCGTGCAAAAGCTTATCTGTTAACATAACATTATATAAAGGGTGGGACTAGTGTCACCCCCCTAGTGTCAAAAAGGGGTGCCCCGTTTGACTACTGCCACCCCTTTTTTTAAATAAAATATAGACCCCGTTTAAGTATGGTCAGTTTGCCACCACCTTGTTCACCCCATTTGACAACTGCCACTCCTTTACAACGAGGTCACCGAAATTTTGTTTCCGCGCGTGCAGCAGCAAAGGGATGGACGCAATTGTGGATTTAATTTCGCGATCGCATTCACTGCGGAACTCATCAGCAAAACAAATCCTGAAGATGCTAAGGTTAACCTAAAAACTGGTGGCAAAACTATAAGAATAAATTGAAAGGTGGTGGAAACAGCCAACGCGGGTGAGAAACAGTAGTCAAAGGGGATATATATATGTTATTTTTTAAAAAAATTGATCAAAAAGGGGTGCAAAAGGGGTGACAATAGCCGTATCCTTAAATAAGAGGCGCCTAACCGATAAGGCTTGTTTAATTTTGCTCATTCGGGTCACCGCTGCACTGAATGCAATTAGCGTAATAGCGATTAGCGAATATATTACCAGAATCGAAGAAACACCGAAACACCGCATTACAGACTTTTTATAGGCATTAAAATATTACTGCCATAAAATTTTTAAATGCTTATCCAAGTCAAATGTTCGTCATTGAATTTCTTGTCGTTACGATGCGCTAAGGATGCATGGTCAAAGGTCACACCTCGATCGTGGCCTTTTTTTGAAACCTGCAACTGGCCGGTGAATTTGTGAACTTTTTCCAAGGTTCGGTAAAAGCCGGTGTTGGCTTATGGTCAACTTGGCTGACACGTGCACGGTATATACAGATATACGTACTGTTTTGTACTAGTATACAGAGGGATGCGGACATAGAAGTACAGTATCTTAAACCGTGAAAATGCAGTATAATAGATAAAGAAAACAGAGCTGAAAGCCTCCAAATCGAATTTTTTTCGCTTCCCGTGGGATAAACGGCGTAAGAGTCCAAACGAAATCAAGCAGAATCTACTAACGTTTTTTATTAGGCCCTCTAGCTGCACACCTCTAAGTGCTCTGTAGCTTCAAGTGCACTTTGTTTTAGGCCTGTCGATTGTTGCTGCGTGCAAAGTTATGGATGTTCTGTATCTTAAAGGAACCCAGAGAGTTCCTTAACTCCAAGAAGACTTTAAAATTGGAATTTGTTGCTGGTTTGCTGGTTTGCGAAATCGCACTTTAAGCTGTGTAGCGAGAGGGCTTGTTACAGTACAACGGGACACCCACTTATTTTGGTATTATTTTAACACTTAATTTGGTATCATTTAATCTTACATTAAATTTACGAAAGAAATTCAGTATTGTAATTATACATTTACGATATTCCTCTAGGAGTTTGGTTTTTGTTCCTTCACGCGTTCCAGACTTTGTGAGATATATAGTACCATTTCTCCACCAATTCACAAATAAATCTGGATGTGTATATATCGCACAACTGTAATTTTTTCACGCTTTCTTTATAATTAACAGGGAAGGGCCATCAGATAATAAAAAGTGGAAACGCGGACGCACTTCACCTTTTAAACTACGGGAGAATGGAGCTTTTGGATGTTTAAGTTTCAACCGTGGAGTATTACTGTATGTCGGCGTTTTTCACTGCACTTCTTTAACATGCAAAAGTGTTTTCTAACGATTACGCAGTATGTATTATACCGTTGTAAATCAGAAAATGCGATAAGCACCTTTAGTATTACTATGATATTAGATATTTTTCGCGCTCTAGCTCAGAATATTAGCTCAAAATGGGATTTGGAAGTTAAAATCGACGACAAAGTAATAATCAGACTACAACAAAGGCCAAATTCTGTCATCCATTTACAAAAAGGCACGTATTCGTACGGGGGAGAGTTACGTTACGAAAATTATTATGGTGGAATTGGAAGCGACCGAAGCGTTATAACAAACGGTCCCATCGCAAATGCTAGCTCGCAAGCTGCCAAGGGTGAACATTAAAACTGGTTTCAAATGAATTGTTGAATGAATTTTTGGCCTATGCGAACTGCATATCACACCAGGCTGCAGCGCAATGATGCTCTGACGACATCATCCCTTCAGCTTTTGTCCTTTATGGATGACGAAATCGTTAAGGAAAGTACAAAGCAGTTTTACAATTAATAATTAGGACAAATCATTTAAGTTACATTCTCGAAGGACATAAATAACTTCTAACTCAAGCGGAACACAAAGAATCGGACCTGACTGGGAGCCTGGGATCAATTTGGATGCACGGATGCTACAATTCACATATAAATGTTTTGAACCTGCATAAAGCTTGCAATCCACCACTGCCACATAGCGTAAATAAACCGAGTGGAGAGTGGCTTGCAAGCTAACGCATGGAGATTTGCTCGATAGGTTCATGTTTGGCCCTGTGGCTTGTGTGTGAGCGCTGCGCAGTCAAGTCTATGAATGCGACAACTTATCTGTGCCTAATCAGTATCTGTAATAATAAAATCCAGTATTTCTGTTGTGAGAATGTGAGATCTTCGCGCGGGTTCTCTTATTAACTAATTTGTTCGATGACTGGTCACTTTTCAGTGGGATAGTGTGCGTTGTGCAGCAGCAAAGCCCACGAAATGCTCAAATCGCCATGTTCATCGGCGACCTCGCAGTTTGCAGAGGACCTTTTTCGCTTCTTGGGAGCTAATGGGTGAGTTTACTCGTCGTAATCGCGGAGGAAGCCGACGGGGATAATGTTGCGCACTGTTGGGATTATGCGTCTGTCAAGAAGACCGCGGAATATGCGATAAAAATGTGGAATTTTGCAGGCAAAAGGCTCCAAATGTGCCCCAGTTCAACGGAAAGCCTGTAAATTTGCTTTTATTATACCAGACTGTGATATCGCGCGGCGGATGGCAGCGGGTACGTGCAGTTTACTTGGAATTTTTTTGCGTACCAAAGACTAATTGATTTGGCGACTTGTGACGGTTAAGAGAGCTTCCGTAATTAAATTTCGGGTGACGCAGCCTGTTTCCATTGTAGAGCAATTTAAACCGTGGTTTTTGTAATTTCTGACCGTGTTTAAGCATTGTTTCTGATGTGTTTCGCATTATAACGTTAAGTTATTTTATATTTGAAATTTATTAATTTGCGGAACATTGCATTGCGAGGAATAGGTACAATTTGCAGTCCATCAGATGAATGTCACACTGCAAAGGCTTTCGTAAATGATTTCAACTTTCAAGCCTGGTTTTATTCTTTGTGTTGTTTTTCTGATTTTTTTCCGCCACTGTGCCTTACTTTGTCCGTGGTTTGTTTGTGTCAACCATGGCTATTGTACCCGTGGAAAATTCTTATAACAGTATGTTTCCAAATCCGCATTGAATGCGATTGGGTGTATGCAGTGAACGATTGTTTTTTTGCCGTGCTTACAGCTTAATAGTGATAAAATGCGAGCGCTCATAAGTTGTATTTTTTACTGTTATGATGCAAACACATTTTTTCTGTAGGTGTGCCATCAGAATGGATGGGAATCGGTGGCATATGCTCTGGGGATGCCAAAGCCATGTGCCAATGCTGGGCATGCCGTCAAGTCCTTGTATTATCAGTAAGTCAGTTCCAGTGTTGCTAAATTCTTGGAGATTTTGTGTTTCTTGGCTGGGATTGTTCTTGAGGCGGTGTTCTCTTTTACTTGTCAGTTTTGTGGAAGATTTTTGTTGTTTATGAACGATAGCGGTGTTTAGATCGTGTAGTAACGGCCGACCATATATTGATGTATGTATGTAGAATTTTGCTTTAATGCTGATATTTCATTAATTGATAACCCTTTTGCTGTTTGAGCTTTAAAATTTTCTGTTATCGTTAAGGAGAAGAGAATTAATTATCGGCTGAAGTTTTGAGGCCCGACACGCTCAACTTTAATTTAATGTAGAGATTGAAAACCTGTATTTATGTGATTGCTGTAATCTATTCAACAGCTTCCTCAGATATCACGTAATTATTATTTCCCTTGAAAATCATGTACAGAAAAAGATTGTTTTAGCTTTGGCTTTCGGAAATACATAAGTGTTTCGAATTTAGTCGAATCATTCAACAAGTGGTGGCGACGGTCGATCGATTTTTTTCAGATATCTGCTGAAATATGAATGCTCCCAGTTCAATCGCACGCCCGTCGAAGACGATGACGACGACGCACTGAAGCGCTTTAGCATCAATGGTCCTGGATACTCCAGATTGCCAGGTGCGATTTTCGTGGTTTATGATGCCTTCTGTGTACTGACAACAGCCTTATTTTCCAGAATATCTTCGTGTGGCTTGTGGCTTACCGAATGACGCGAAAGAAGAAGATCCTTTCGAAAAGTTGACCCTTTCCTTGTCTTCTGGTCTTCCGAATGAGATCGATTTCTCCATAAACGCCTTGCTGGTCAGGTCCTCTGACGCCGTTCGCCCACTCATGCTTCGAAATAGCCATTCGGTGCTCTTGGATGCGTTATTATCCTCCGTTGCCGTATTTTCCGCAGGTCAGAGCAAACAGTTTGATTGTTTACGTAGTCTTAATGAGTATGTGGTTTTATAGACTGTGGTAATTTCGTGGGGATCTACAATTCCTTTATAAAACAAACTGACAAAGATTTCCTACGGTATTGGAAGGAAACTATAAATGACGAGGAAATTTTGCATCTGCTAGATGTTGATAAACGATATGGTAAGGATTATCTTTCGAACAGTGCGGCTGTACAGATATTATAGTTAAAAAAATCGGCGTTGTATTAGACGAAATGATGTTTTTTAGAACAACCTTATACTACCTCTGATCTGCCAGTTTGTGATTTGTTCTGTGAAACTACATCCACAGATGTAAACGAAACCAGAGTGACACAGGTACTAATAACTGACGTTGAGTGCAGGTGATTGTGAATTTCAACATTTATTTACTTCAGATCGCCACTATTTTACACAATTTGACCTGCGAAGACGCAAATGCTACCTTCCTAACCAGTCATGAATCATGCCTCAAGTAAGCCATGAAAGTTTGGAGAAAAGTGGGCGTTTCCATAAGAGTGTTAATCGAAAAATCATTTTTTGTCTTCCCAGGTTTGTTTTTCTGTGTGCAAGTAGCAGAAGAAGCTCCGTTTATGATCTGGGTCTTGAAATGCTGGTCCAGCTCGTTTCGAAGGTAAGTTAATACGGTTGGGATAGATAATAAAAATTCCCAATTTCCGTTTGCTTATAGATTGATATCAGGAACTGTTGCCCATGGATTCAAGATGCCATTATAAAAACCGTGGCGAAATGTATTGGAAATCAGGATCGCCTGGGAGTTTTGCAGGGTACGTTAGAAATTTTCGGAATTTTGTGTTTCCTGGAATTTATGCATTATGTGTTGACATCTGTGGTAGGGTTAACCTTGCTGGCCAAGATCGGTGACATGGAAGCTAGTCATGAAGCAGTAACCGATTCCCTCGATGATGGACATTACACATCGCTTTCGCAGTATTTATGCGTGTCCGATACATCGATCATCATCTTCAGTCTGGAAGTCCTGTATAAATTATCCGGATTAGGAGATCAACAGTCGACTCGTATCGCCGAACAGCCCAGAACTATCGGTGTGCTGGTACCTGCCATTTGTTTGATGGATTATCCATTTTTGCTGTTTTCTTGTACTTTACAGAATTACTTGTGCGATTGGTTACTGTTACTGCGGAAATTGCCGAAACGAATTGGCAAGAGTGTGATCTTGATTTGGACCCGAATTATTCCTTGAGAACTACTCCAGCTTTGCCTGTATCCCAGCGTGAGTATTGTATGTAATTCAGTGCATCTTTATTAAGTGCTGCTTGTTTAAAGGGATCTAGTTAATAATACGGTTTTTATGTGCTCAGTGCTCACTGTGCAGGGTTAAAGTCGTTCACTTTTAGTCAGTATGTATGGCGCTTGTTAGATGCTAATTGTGCCAAAAAATGTTGGCTTCACTTCACAGTGTGTAAGAATAAGATAAAATATGCGATATGGTTCAAAACGATACTTTTTTAAATTGTACAGTTACAGAACTGGGAACCCACATTTTTTATATTACTTAGTTGTCCGACTGATAATTTAAAAAGTGCCGAATCATATCCACACGTGGTGTAGCCTATTACAGCTGTGTTCTTAAAAATTTAATTTTGTTGTAGCAGCTTCTGTGATTACCCCAGCTTTCAGTGTTCCCGCGATTTCTCAAGAGGAAACCGACGCGACGGTTGACTGGTAAGTTGAGGTTGTGGTCACGACGTCTTGATATGATCGCCGGATCCCGATTTAACTTTCTTTTATCAGGTTCCGAAGGTTATACGATGGAGATGATTCATTTGCTATGGCCATGTCGGATGTGTACAAAGATTATGTTGTGTTTTGTCTTCATGAAATGAAGATAACTCCCGCGGTTACCACATTCATCCATTGCTTCCGGTTTGTTCAGATGCGCACCAATTAAAGGACGGTGTCTCCCAAATTGAAAACCGGTGTTTTTGTAGATTGGCGTTCCCCCAGGGAAGAACGACAAACCTAACAATCGCTGGGAAACCACAGCTCTGCTTTTTGGGGATGAAAAGACGTACCGGAGACAATACCTCCGTAAAGGTAACCTATAATTTTTGGTTTGATTAATTGGTTTGATTGGTTGAAACACGAGATCTTATGCTCCTAGAATACCGAACATTCCAGTGTAACTGCCATCTCAGACAATTCGGCAGGATCATATTCCGGATCTCAAACCACTCTTGCCACGCCAGGGCGAACGATCTCAGTGGATGCATCTCTTTTGATTCCCAATCAAGCTGCCTTTCCTGTTAACGCGCCACCACCGTTAGGTGGTTTTCGAGCCTTTCATACGACGCCTGTAAGCAACGGTCAGCAGTCCAAGGTTGGCGAAAGCAGTTTGATCCGGAGTCTGCTCGCAACGAAAATCAATCGAAAGCATAGTAGCGGTTCTATGGATGGCACTCCTGAGAATGGCAGTAACCATTTACCTCTTGGAACTTGGAGATCTTCTGAAGAGTTAAATTCGATTGTCGCAAACAGAGGAGATGGAGAATCCGTTTTAGAAAACGTATTCTCGGATGCTGATAGCATTAGTTCCTGCGCATCGAATCAGAAACCCACTTCCGGTTCCATAAGCTCTCAGACTTCTGTTCCTGAACAACAACAGCCGAAGAAGCCGCCAAGACGACGGAAAAAGGCTGAAGCAGTCATTGACGGACCACTGCCGATGCCTAACCACACTTTGCCTACTAACGGGCTTGTAAATGGTGTTTCGCACGCGTTCTCAGATGATTCGCGTTCCGGCACGAGCACACCCTTAGTGGTGGTTCCTTATGTTCTTCCCGACTCTCCTAAGCGTCCAAAAAAGCCCAGAAATAAGGCTAAACTGAATGGATTAGTCGATCTGCCATCTCTTTCTTCGGAACTGCCCGTCAATGGCCATAATGGCGGCTTAACTATATCCGACCCGTCAACTCCTGAAAACCTACCAAAGCCGGTACGGAAGCCAAGAAAACCTCGAGCTAAAAAACAGAAGACAGAAGAAGGCCCGGTGAATGGTCATATAGAAGCGCCTCTGGAAGCAACGGAAACCTCTACGGAACCACCTGCCAAAAAGGCAAGAAAGGCAGCTACTAGACGACCCCGAAAAGCCAAGGCGGAGACTGCCGTTGCAGCAGTCGCTGCTAACGCGGCAAGCGACAGTCAAGCGCAACTGAGGAATCTCGATCTTGAAGGGCCTTTGGATTATCTGTGTGAATGGGAAGGATGCTCAAGGTATACTTGTATAATTAGTTGTGTATGAAAATCAAGTATCAAATATACATTAATGCAGGTCGTTTTTCAACGCGGCATTGGTGTTCAAACACAATTTCTCGGACCATATTCCTTCGGCACTTGATGGAATGTGCCGGTGGCCGCACTGTAATGGAGTGAAAAGACAACATTTATCGTTAATTACACATCTAAACGAAACACACTGCTCTACAATGGAACTGGTGCGACAAGCCATGAGACGAAGAGATCGCCAACGGAACGGAGTTTCCAGTATCCCTCCTCCAACGCCTATTCCTCCTCCGGTGGCCTATTCGGAGCATGCAGCATTACATTCCATCCAAGCGCGATACGGAAGCGCAGTCTTGTCCGACTTTGCTGTACGTTGCCAGCGAACCGTTGTATTCGCATGCCCTGTTTAAGATGAAATAAGTTAATCGCGTGGTTGTTTTCAATTGCAGGCAGAAGCGGAATCATCCAATACCAAGACGACACGGCTAACAGCAGCTTTGGTCCTTCGTAACATTGCACATTATTCACATGTTGGAAGGATGTAAGATACTCTCATATGACTTCATCTGTGCTTAATGGTTTACGTTGACCTTGTTTTCTAGAAAACTGCATCGATATGAACACGTCCTGACAACATCCGCCATGCAGCTATCGGAAGCATCCCAAGTTGTTGCGGAATGTTTGTACTTTCTAGCAGTGCATAAGCAGTCCGATGAGGTCTGAAGACCAGCGTACGTTAAGTTCGAAATTTATCAAAATGTGTAACTGCCAGACAAGTGCATCCGTTATGTTTTCAGAATGGGAACAATTGTGATGTCCAAAGATAACTGCATTTTGCTTCAAACAGCGGTTTTAACCTAATTTTACGCGATGTTCAGCATCTTGGAGGAATCTTACTGGTTGCTAACTTAGTTACGGACCTTTGTCCACTGTTGTTGTTATTGTTATTTGTGTTATTTTTTCTTGCGTCGTCGTGCTTTCGTTTAACCAGTGCTGCAGTAAGTTAATTGAAATGAAGTGGTTTTCCACAGTTTTTTATTGGATTTTAACCGCTTTTAAAGCAAATTTTTTATCCTGATTTTAATAATTTTTCCATCCTGGTTGGTTTGTTATCCTTTTGAACCGGAAGCTCCTTTTTAAGAGTATTGGAAATTAAATCTCAGCGAAGTCCGTACTGTAGTACCTTGTTCACTCTGTAGCATGAGTTAAAAATTCAGCCTGAATGTATCTGTACACATAGTTTCAATATACTCACAAAAATCCTCGTTGGCGTACTCTGTACTTGAAAGTTGAACATGGCCAGTGGACGCATGGAGATCCAAATACAAACAGCGCTCGTCGATAGAAATTAACGGGGAAACGCGGCGTCAGTGCTGGGCACGAAGGAAGGGCAGTATAAACTGAATGGGATTTTCTTGTTATAGTTTTACATGGTTCTTTTCATTTTTTTGTGTATTAACTTCTAAGTATTAACGATGATTTGACCAATAAAAATTACATGTTAGTACACAATACCACATATAAATATATATAAACAATTTTTGTAACGATACTACACAATAAGCATTAATAATTTTTGTGAGCCATGTTTAAATTCCCACGCTAGAATACGATCCCAGTTCTTAATGGGTAAGCTGCCTACCGTTGCAATAAAAAACAATCAACAAACGGATATACTAAGATGCGCGACATCCCTTTTTTCTACACATACAGTACTCGTTCTGTAATAAAACACGGCATACTGCTTGCAATTAGCAAGGCTTTTTAAACGTAGTTACAGCGTAGTTACATCTGATGTAACTACGCTGCAATTAGTCTCCAGTCTCCACGTAGCTGCCGCACCCTGTCTAAATCCTCTATCCATTTTTGTGCCAAAGTTCGATTCGGTTCGTGGTGAACGCCAATGTTTTGGTCTGATCAGGCCACCACACCAGTCTAGCTTCGTGGCTTGCCATTTTACTACGAGAATTTTTTGTCTTATTCGTATCGCAATAAATAAAGCCTTCGTATCGCAGCGCAAGAAAGTCATATTAATTACTGCATGGGAAGCGTACGCGTCTGGACTTCAGGCTGGTCTCCGTTCGCCACCAACCTTATCGGGATTGATTTCCTTTTGAATTATCTGAAGTATTCTCATGTTCCTGATGGTTCTGATGTTGAAATTATTCGGTCAATCGTAAGTTTCCCCGCGAGTGATTGTATGAAAATCAATCGATTGCGGATTGTGGCGCATGTGTCAAGTCAGTGTTTTATCAGCCAGCAACTGAATGATATGTAGCAAGTAACAATTTATTGGAGAACTTTGCCCACAAATTCGCCATTTATCGCTGATTTTTGCTGGCGTTGATCGGCGAACGTTGTTGAATGAATCGTCACGGTAATGTCGGAAAAAGCTACGGTACCGTACAGAGAACTGTTGGAAAGTGCGTCCAAGTACAATTCGCGTCTTCTGCACGAACGACGCGCACGCATTCCGTACCATGATCCCAGCACCAATGTGGACTATCACGATGGCCGTCGCCTGTACCTGGCCACGGAGCGTGGCCCGGGCCAGGGCACCGGCCAGATCATTACGTATCCGAGTCGACGGTGGAAACTGCGACCGCGTCCGCCGCCAGCGCATACAATCCATCATCCGCCAGCGATGATGGACGCACAGTTCCCTGGTCTTCCCGCGGCGGTTCCGTCAGTTGAACCTGGTGCTTTATTGAACAGTATGAGTATATCGTCCAACGGACTGACCGCTTCCATATGTGCCAATAATAACGCCAGCATGCATCCGCCGATGGATGCCATGGCGGCGAATAGCGTCGCCACAGGGACATCAGCCCTGAAAGTATTCGAGGATTCCTTCGCCAGTTCCCGTGACTCGTGGAACGCACCGGATGTGCCTGGGGAAATGATTTCGCCCATGGAGGGCAGTGAATCCAACGACCATGACTTTGATACTGACGAGGATATGGAGGATGGCGGTCGGAAACGGAAAGGCAGTGGCAAAAATTCCAAGGTTGGCTTTGTGTGTTTTTCCCGCTGTATTCTGCAAGAAGATATATGCAAGTATTTGAACTCTGCATTTTGTGCTTCTCTCATTGCAGCAAGCTGGAAAGGCGCGGAAGGATATCGATTACACGGTTGTCGTTGGCGCCGAAAAGCCATATTGTTGCAATTGTAAGTTGTTTTTTTACGCTGCAGATGGCGCATATTCAGTGGAGCTGCTTAATTAAATCGCGCTAGACAGAAATTAAATTTTGTATACGCTTTTTTAATAATTTATGTGTCTGTTAAATTTTTGAAATGTTATTAAGCGAGGAAATTTCTTGAAGATTGCGATATGTGCTACAAAACGCGACCCGGACTAACCTACCACATAAATAAGGAGCATCTTTCCAAGGAGCATCCCAGTGGTCGATCGGGCAGGTCCCCGGCCGCGCAGTCTCAACAGCAACAGCAATCTCATCCGCCGCATGCGTCGGGCATACACCAGTCGTCGCTTCCGCACTTTCCTGCCCATCAGTTCCATTACCAGTCAGCCTCTCCCAGTGCTCACAAGGCCAACTCGGTACTTATGCATCCCAACGCTGATAAGAGTTTGCAGCGCGATCGCGACGGCAAATCGCTGGTGTGCGATTTCTGCGAAGTTGACAATCCGACGACCAAACCCGCACCAAAAGGCGAAAAACTTCTCTCGTGTGCCAGCTGTGGTCATTCTGGTCAGTTAACACGGAGTTAGGTTTGAAGGGAGTTCAGGACATAATTTAATGAGGATTGGTTTACATTTTGTAGCTCATCCGACTTGTTTGAGTTTTACGAAAAATCAGCGAGATTCTACTCGACAGTATCCGTGGAAATGCATTGAGTGCAAGAGCTGTTCTTTCTGCAATTCTGCCGAGAATGACGTGAGTAATATGTGCTGGTGAGAAAATTGTGATTTATCTCTAATTTTAAGTTCTGTTTTTAGGAGAAACTGCTATTCTGTGACGACTGCGATCGAGGGTATCATATGTACTGCCTTAATCCCCCCATAGAAACCACTCCAGAGGGTGAGTGTCGATTGTCGAAATCTGCATGAATTTGATGCAGTGTTATTGAAGTGTTGATTTTTTTTCCATAACATGTAACAGTGTTGTGCTAATCTGCGAACTGTGGTGCGTTCTTTGAATTTATCTTATGCGATGTCAAATATATTCCAAATTTCATCGTTCGTTGTATTGTTGCTTTATAGGACCGTGGAGTTGTGACGCGTGCTTAGTGCAGTACGGTGAGGAAGCTGCATCCCGCGTGTGGAAGAGGAAAATGCAGCAGGAAGCGGTGGCCAAGTACCAAAGAGAGATGGAGGAATCTGCACGGAGAGCATCCGGCTCCAGTGGTCGGCAGAGGTATCCTGCACAAGTGGATCAAAAGAATTGACGATTCCATTTCTCAGTTTGTCTCTCTGTTCTTATCGGACAAAACCAATCCGTTGCTTAATTTTGAAAAATTTAACAGAAGACTATTATTGTTGTGCATTGTATTTATCGGCGATCTTTTCCACGGTGACGTGGAATTTTGGATTGGTTTTTTAAATTTTGAATCTGTTTGTTGTGGTTCTATCTTTTTGAGTCTCTGTGGAAATTTTGCTCGTTTGAGTGTATGTCAGACAAGGTGCATTTGTATAAAACATGAAGCTGATGGGGTTCTAACTCTTTCGTTTGCTATCTACGTATCCACACAGAATAGCGAATCCACACAGTATAGCGAACAGGCTGTCATGTTTTCGTAAAGCATTACGTACTTGCACCAGTTTATTAACAAAAGAATTTGCTTTTACTGGAATTATTGGTTACTTGCTTGATTTATCTGTACTTTGCGGCTACAATTGTACTGCTGTGCAACAACAAGAAATGGCAGTGAACGGGTGATTTACAAAATGTAAAGAGTAACATCTTAGAACACATGCTTTTTAAGCCGCGAGACATGCTCCAGCGTATAATATCAACTTTTTCATCAGCATCCGAGAGGAATATATGAAAAACTGTTACTTTTATTTCCGTTAAAACGCTTCCACAAAATGTTTGTCACACAATCGTACAGACAACACAGGCCAACCGTCGATGTCAACAAGAAAGTTTGACCTTTTAGCACTGCTTTGGTAAAGACATACGTCGTGTAATCTGGCGGAACGCATTTTTCTGAACTTCGTTACAGTTTTGTACAGCGATTTTAACAGAATAAGAGGTTCCTTCAACGTATTCTAGGCGAATTCGCTGGTTATCCAAGTCCGTTTGAACAGATTGGTCCCGAAGCTGTAATACTGTTTGCGTGGGAATGGGCAGGTCAGCGAAAGCAGGACGGGGTAACACTAGAGTATTGCTCTCTGGGAATAAGGAATCATCGTCCACTTGTTGTACTAAATAGTCCAGGGTGCAGATTAAATGGTCGATGTGAAATTCTTTTTTGGTTGAACTATCCCGCACCCCCTGGTAAATATAAGAGACACCAGTTAAACCCGAGCAATGCAACGCTATAGTTCTAACGTACACTACAGATTTGTATAAACCTATATAAAGTGATGAGCGCTACTAAACTGCGCTTCTAATAACACTATGTCCTTTCACACCTTAAAATAGATTGCAAGAAAGTGTAAATGTTTCCAAATAATTTGTTTCACAACGAAGGAGATATCGGAATACGTTGCGGCAACGAAATCTTGTTGGCCTTCTTGAATCCTTGCCGCATCGAAAGGTGACCCGAGCAGTTTTATGTACATTTCAAGGATTTTCTAAATGCACACAAAACGGTTTTTCAGAAACTCATCAGCGAGAAATAACTAGTTCTCAAATAATTAAAGCCAACAACATATCTTGAATTTTCATCTGTGACAAGTTTACCTGGTCTGTCCAAAAAATAAGCATCCTGAATAGGAAGTTCATTCTGATATGAGCTTGCGACATAGAAGTCTGGTTGAATGGTGCATCAGTGTTTACCAGAGATTTCAGCAGAGCTTTATGCCGCAGATAGATCTCGTTCAGGTAGTGGAAACTGTAATATAGTATAACAAAAACATAAGTATAACGTAGTCTATAGCACGAGAATGCGTGATGTACCTTTGTCCTCGAGTGTTCATTCCCGCCAATACAGAGTGCAGTATTTCAGTGTATTCTTGTTCGATGTGCGCGATTTTTTGTACGACTTTGTCAACAGTGGGAACAAAAGGTGGATCCAGCTCGACCACGCCCATACTCATTTCGTGATCGTCATGTTCATTTTCACATTGACTGCCCTTCCCGGCATTTGACATCCTTTCCATTTTATCGTAAGCACCACATTCGCTGTTGGGAGAGCTGTCAATGACACTATTTGTCGGACTGGCTAAACAGCCGCTGTCCGGTAGTTCGCCAATTTTGCCACCATTTATTGTCCTTTCGGTGACCTCGCTGAAATCCATTTCAGCGCTCGGGCTGCGTCGTTCCCTGCCGGAATTTGCGGCTTCCAGGTGCTGAACTCTGCGTTGCATGTCTTCATATCCATGATGCAACTTCAGAATACGCTTGGCGAGGAAAACAGTTTGGTCCTTCGGTTAAAAAATACCAAATTAATGCCGGCCAGTCGCATTCACACACTGGTAACTTAAAATTTCGTTTTGCTAAAGCTTGCCGGATCAAAGTTGTTAAAAATTCTGTTTTTCGTGGAAAAACCTAAAGTTTTAAAAAAAGCTGCAGACACATTTTTAGAAAGATAAGAAATCTTTGCAGATCAAATTGAGTTACCTTAAGAATTTTGATTTCGGAGTCGTGGACTTGTACTGCAGCGCACTGTGATGTTTTCGTGCCGTCCAAGCACTTCAGATCTTGCAAAATGTCTCGTAGCGTATCAACGAACTCATGCACTGCAACGTCTTCTTCCTGCCAAGACGCATTTTTGGTTAGTACGTACTGTATAGTGCTTTGTTCTCAAGCAATGCTTTGAGAAGAAGTACGTGGTTGCTTTTAATTTATCCCGAATCTAAAATATGCACACTACATAATATTTTTTTGGTATTTACGAGCAGCATTATAAGGAAAATTTAAAATCACGATAATAACGGGTTGCGGTAATTTTTACATATACTTAATAGCACCCTTTACTTGTACTTTTATAATAATATTATTATTATACTTTATATTAATTTTGATGTAAATGATAAATGACGAATCTGATTTCTTGAAATGTTCTATAAAAAATTATTAACGTAACTCAAAGGGTTAAAGTTGCGCATCGATATTATTTTAACTTTTTTTCATAATTATTTGTTGCAATGGTACCGCCCGGTAAGAATATAAAATCAAAATGACCTTATCCCAGTTTTGCACTGGGTTGACTTAATTACTGACCGATATTAACAACGCAAATATGAAAACGTAGATCTACACACTGCGTAAATAGCGGGTGTACAGCCATATTTTCAGGGTGTTAGTGCCGAGGCGGTTTATTAAGGTTTAGATTAATACTTCTAGTAATTTAACAGTGTGCGCATTACGTAACTTCACCATCATAACAAAAGTCTACCACTGTAATGACTGATACGTAAATATTGTAGCGGAACTGTGATAGTTACAAGTCACCGCATCGCAACGTCCTTGTCATAAAAAGCAATCGTACAATTAATTCGCCGAAACAAATTTGGCTAGTTCAAACTTCAAAGTAAGGGCGTTTCGCTGGCTAAACTTAGCATCGTTGTTAAATAATATAATAATTATTTACCTTACTTTATTACCTCGATGATGCAATCACAATCAGTTAACGTTACCTCGTGATGATCCTTAAGATCTTCCGCAAAGAAACAGTTGTCCGAATCCATTCAATTACCGAGAAGCTAGGTAGGGTATGTCCGCAATAATCCAGTTATACGGCGCGTGAAATCTAATCGGTTACATCCTATTAGGCATTGTCAGTCTGTCAGATCAGATTCTTTCAGTTACCAACATTATAATCATTATAAATCATAAGAGGCAACCAAAAACCATTAATTGCTGCACCATTTTCTTTACACAAATGAATAAATCTTAAACTAACTTGCCAGAGCATCTCAGAACGGAGTGAGCAGATTGATGTACATATTATGTAAACCAAGAATCTGGCAGCAAAATTACCGTATCTTATAATCCTATTATTGTACCAACAATGGCAGCAATTAGCTATAATGCTCACAATCATAGGTAAACATCCGCAGAATCTTTGGATGAGCACTCTTCAGTTATAACACACACATCAAAGCAGTACATCATTTTCTGGGGCATGATTACATACATATGGACAGAATCTGATCGCTGAAGTCCTCACGGTAAAAAACGTACCAATTTACGCCGTACAATAAGTGCGCATAATAAAAAGAACTCCACATAATAAGCAGGTTTCTAGTGATAATACAGCCAGTAATTCCATTGTCTGGTCGTAAGTAACATCACACTTCAAATCAAAATAACGCCACAAAGCGTGGGCGTCATGACCGCTGCGGCGTTACGCCAGATCTCATTGTAATACGCTGTAGTGAACAGATAAATTTTAGTCAGATTCAATGTCGTACGGCACCGATTAGCCTGCAGCTTAGGGTCATCGTTGCTGCGCTTCCGTTGCAGATTTGTTGTAAAACAACCGTGCACAAAGAGCACCAATACTTAACTGGCAATTGGATGACAGATTGACCAACAGATCCGAGCAAAAAACAGTGCGATCGCAAATATTCTTTTTCGTACAGGTACTAATACTACTTGGTACTTAACGTGCATGGTGGCATAAGTGAGTGTTGCAGCAACCTTTGTGATAGTGTCGCTCAAGTGATCGTACAAAGTAAAACAATTTAAACTTAGCATACCATTACAGAATACAGTTGCAGCTAGTGCAAGAAGTAATTCAGCTAATTGCTAATAATCAAACAAATTTTGTAACAATGTGCATTACCGTATTACAGTACTTTACGATTTTTGGCCCAAGGTAAAACGATTTATGTGTTGTCAACATGCACAGATTTAGGAATTCTCTGCAAATACGCGAGGTTAAGCTCTCACTTTGTTGTATTGTGGTCTTTAACAACATTAAGATGTTGCTCATGTTTCCCGTTTTTGCAGCTACGCGCTGTGGCCAGTGAAACTTGAGCCGGTATCAAGGTTCCACAAACTGCATCTTTGTACGAGGTGGAAGATTACGCCCACACTTAATGCCGCAGATGGTTGCAATAGTACTTCGTAATCACATTTAACCTAACTGCTTCTTTATTGTGAGTACATCGGATATTGACAGATACGGCATTGTCTGACACTTACTTGACAGATGAACTTGCCACTTGAACTGGTGCGAAAAAATAAATTCAGACTGTAATGCGCCGCTTACAGGATCGGATTCACATTGTCAGATGTGCAGGATGCACGCACATATTATACTAACAATCCCACCAACGCCGTTTCTTTCCACTTTATGGAAATCTAAACCGCCCAACGCCCATTTTCACACGATAGCTTGAAAAATTCGTAAAATCCTGTAGATTGGCATAGGCGAATTCAATTACCAAACTCTCCTTAATGGAATTTCGAAAACGTTTTCGAAACAAATTTCGCTAATTGGTTGTTTCGTTGTGGCATAGCAACATCCTAAGATCATAACGATACTACCAACGCCGTTTCTTTACCCTTTATGGAAGCCTAAACAGCCTAACACCCATTTTCACAGCTTAATCCTGTAGATTGGCATAGGCAAATTCAATTACCAAACTCTCCTTAATGGAATTTCGAAAACGTTTTCGAAACAAATTTCGCTAATTGGCTGTTTCGTTGTGGCATAGCAACATCCTAAGATCATAACGATACTACCAACGCCGTTTCTTTACCCTTTCTGGAAGCCTAAACAGCCCAACACCCATTTCACAGCTTAACTTGAAAAATTCGTAAAATCGCGTAGGAAGAAACAGGCGATCTCAGTTGCCAGAATCGTGGACATAAAATTTCAAAAAGTTTTCTAAACAAATTTTCATTATTGCCTGTTTTATTTGGCACAGAATGCGATTGGCACCACATTACGGGATCATCCCGTATACGTACTACGTACAGCCAAGCAGGGATCATTACTCAGCATATCCAATCAGAATCCACAAAAACTATTGTAAAGCAAAGCAAAAGCCATTATTTTTCCAAAAAAAACGGAAAGGACATTGAACAAATGTGAAAATCATAAAAACACCTAAACAAAAAATGGTTTTTCCTTTCTTTGATACAATAAGATATAATGCAAAAAGACGTCTTCTCTAAAAGAACAGCTTGAATAACGGGATAAGGAACAGTAACAAATACGGACATCTTAAAAACAACTATAACAGAATTTCGCTGATTGGCTTAACATAAGGTAACTGATAGCTGATTAGCGGAAATATATAACTTTTCGAACAAAACTGCTAACACTTAGTATAACATTAGTATGTGAGCGGCATTTCATTTCATTGGCGGAAAAAAGAAAAGGATAACTCTACCCTAACGGGCAGGGTACATACAACAACTAACATAAGTACGTATTATTACAAAAAAGAAGGGAATACGATGAGCACAATAAATGTCCCTGTAATCCGCAAATTCCCGACTGGAAGATATAATTTCTAAAGGTATTCTTGCCGGTGAGACAGAGGGGAAGGGATTTTCGCCGGTCTGACAGAAGTACAGGAATTTTCGCCGGTCAGATAGAAGTACACAGATTTTCGCCGGTCATATAGAAGTACAGGGATTTTTGCCGGTCAGATAAAAGTACAAAGATTTTCGCCGGTCAGATAGAAGCACAAGAATTTTCGCCTGTTAGAACACAGGGGCATGGACTTTCGTCGGATAGACAGAGAGAATGGGATTTTCGGCGGTTAGACGGAAAAAAAAAATTTTTTTGGTTAGACAGAGGAGGAGGGTTTGGCTGATAAGTTATTAATAACATTTTTTGCTGATATGTTATTTGTCTCAACCTTCTTTGTAGATGACGATTTTAGCGATGACACTTCCATAAATAGAAGTATATGTATACATGTTCCGTTATAACTTATTATTAACGGAACGTGTGTAGTCCAAAACAAACCGCTTTTCCGATCCAAATAAATTCCGCTTCCTAAATCTTTCTTCAGTTCTAAAAATTCTCAACCGAGGCCGGAGGCCGAGGTTGAGCTTGTAATATATAAGCTGGCGCCGTGGCGCAGCATGGCAATCCAAGTGTGTTACCCTTACCTACCAACGCACACTAAATACCGGTATAAGGACATTATATATATACTCGTTCGTAGATGCACGTTTGCAATACAGCAATCAAGCGTAGCGCTCATGTGAAAATTAGATCTCAATCTGTCGGATGTTGTCAGTCACCAACATGTTTTACGAATTTCCATAACGTAAGATCTATATCGCGGTTACAAGGGCTCACAAACAAAGACAATTATAAAGTTTCTTTGGATTTTTCATGAGGTTTTGAACTGTTGATACTTGTCATTCTTGTGCAAGTCTGCACGTATTATATTATGCATAATATCTGTGCTGTGATAATACTCGGCGTACACCTCAATCAGGCGTAATATCCATATAGGTGTTAACTCAATAAAGAAGGGCTAGGGTGGTATTTCGTTAATTTGTACAAAGAGAGTCGCAGAGAACCGTAGTCTATTATTTGTACAAATTAAAAAAAACATCAGTACGACAAATTTCCAGCTGATGAAAAAAGCTGCTGCATATAGGTTCGTTCAATCTTGTTTTATAACCACTGGTATTGTTCCACAGTGTACGTCTTGGCGTAAGACCTTTAACTACTGTAGTGCTTTTATAATGTGAGTCCGATAAAAAGATCTGCGCTTTACACCATTACTTACTCATGCTTTATAACTAAGTGTGAGTACTGTAGACAAGCAACATACAGAGTACGAGTACTGTCAGACTACTTATATCGATGCTGGTTATTTTTGCGTTGCTGGTGCAAGTACTTACTCTGTCGTTGTGCAATATTAGCGTGCGCCTGCATGATAAATATTAAATACTGTATCGGTTTTTAAATACTGGAAGATTCCCAAGAAGCTCAAAATACTTAATTATTTCACCGGTTATTAAATTTTGTTACTACCTAAACCATCAGTTAATAAGTTTTGCATGTTTTGCGCTGCTCACAATATTGACTTAAAATATGTCCTAATCGTCCGTCTATGCAAGAAATGCATCCGTACGTAGGTTTAATTGGGATGTTGTTGTAATATGACCGTACATGGATGTGGAGCGCAATTTCCGTTCCATATAAGCATGCAATGCATGTTCTTGTGGTAAATATTGTCGGCACTAAAGTAAAATTTTGTTCCTGCAGGGCCCAACCGTACAACAGAATATAATTATTAATTGCATTTTTACCCAATTTGCGTAATAAAAATGACAGCAGCATGTATTCAACAAGTAAGTAATTGTTAAAACGGCGTGCATGAGCGTATGCAGCTATTGTAGTAGAACAACAAGAGCAGCAGTAGCAGAGTGCAATAGTCAAACCGAAATTGTGATAATAGTGCATATTTCAAGTAATTCACGACACCGTCAAACCTGAAGTCGCATTGCCATTCGATTGTAACTTGATAACTTTCTGAGTTGGTGTTAGTGATACTGGATTCTTGATCACTCATATTATCAGCAAAGAAAGATAACAAACGCAAAACAAAAGGTCAAACATTTTAATCGTGCATTGCAATTAAAAATACCTAAAGGTCAGCAAGAACAATGTTTGTGCTGATTTGTTTGCTAACGGAAAGAAATCTTAGAATTGTGATCGCCACGGAATTTTTATATACAAAATTTTTGCAGCCGCTAGAACTTGTCATGGGTATACACGGTATCATCTACCGTAGCATGCGTACACTCAAGTGCTAATCATAAATCCTATCAGTATTTAGTTAATACTTTACAAAAACGAAACGTTTCTACATTGATTGATATGATAAATGATAAATAACTTCAGAAACTGCACAGGTGTATCGTCGAAAGGGTCAAGATGGTACGAGTAGTTTAATCGAAATATCGGAATATATTATTTTATCATTTTTTTCTGTATCTGCTGCTGTGTCCCATGTATCCATAATAACGCGACATTTAAAGAGCTAATATTAGATTGAATAAATTGTTGCGCCGTCACAACGAGAGGTTCGCGTACATACCGCTAATTAAAACAGCTAAGTGCTTGAGGTCCTAGAATAGCGTCAGCTCATGTTCTTTGTAAGAGCAATTGTCGTAAACAGTCTCTAATTAGTGCGTGTTTCTTCGATGCGGTGACTTCCAAAGATGCGGCGTTTCGGGACATAACATTTGTCCGTAAGTCACGCTTTGGGCCCCGGAGTCCACAGAAAAAGGCCAATTGTGTAATAAGTGCTTGTTTAACAGACCACGGTTAATGCGCACAAATATGATCCCGTCCCATTGGCAGCTGCTTATTGGCTCCATCCCGATTTCAGGAAAAAATGTGACGCGCGATATATTAGGCGGTACGCGTTGCCGGTACGGCCACAGACGGCAGAAGTAATCCCTGAGATATTATTAATAATACCCAGGAATACGCAAGTTTCATTCTGCGAGTCTTTGACGCGGCCTGAAAATGACTATATATACAGTAGTTTTCATTTTGATTTCCTATTCTGCAGTAATAACTTGATGCAGTCATGTCTACATTGTACTAGTCATATTTTCTGTTATAGTACTATGTATCGTTCTTCATTAAGATATCATTGGTGTAGTTATTTAGAACCTTAATAAAGGGCCCTTTACTTAATTAGGCAATTGTTTTTTCTTCGTGTTTTTGGTGAAAAGGTATTATGAACTGTTAGCGTCACGTACAGGCCATAAGTTTTGTTGACAACTCTCAATCGTTTTACAACTCGCATATGCCGGGACTTGGCCGCGCCTGAGTTTTCCGTGTGATGACGCCTCGGTTCACATCGTTAGTGGTTGATTGCCGGGATGCCCAAGATCTGACTACGTCCACAAGGACCAAAAGGTTAACCACAAGGGATCAACCCCTCCACACGAAGGTACGTGAGAGCAGCGTACGCAACAAGGGTGTATAAGTACGAAAGGTCAACCACAATAGTTTTTCTCAATCTACCAAAATGTTACCAAAATCATATTTATAACAGTTGGTGCTGCAGTTAATGCTTTTTAGAACATTTTGTGCATGATGTTTACAACATTCTGTGCGTGTTGTAAACCTGTAAAATCACATCTCAAGCTCAATACTTACAATGGAAACAATATTCACCTACCAATCCGCCATGTATTACGTATCTGGCAAGCAAAGATCAACTTTTTGCGTGCAGTTTTACACAATAACTGCTGCTTCTTCGCATCTTCAATACACAAAATTAACGCAAGTTTGCTGCCAAATAAAATAATACTGTAACTATTAATGCGGCCAATAAATACAACCTATCCCTGAAGCAAAGTTATCTGCTTTTCCTTCCCAAAACCAACCACTGTAACAAATATAATTTTAAGAGCTGAACCATTGTACTTGTCTAACTGAAGACGTGCAAAGCGGAAGTAATTATGAACGTCAGAAAACTGCACTTCAGCAAAGTGGGTACGAATTATTATTCTTATCATGGTTACGGGCTTACTGCCGCTGACGAAAAATTAGAGCAAAGGTAGAGAACGTTTTGTATTTGCAAAATTCGTTCACATTCTATCGTTTTCCTAGATTCTCTCGAAATTACAATTAAGACATGCAATGTTCACCAGCAGCTGCACAGTGAACAAATGGGAAACACCCTTTTCATCGAATTAAGTCTGCTGTATGTATGTTCGGCGTGTGGAGAATAGGAAATCGCAAGTTGTTTACCGCGAATTACATTGACCCGTAAAAGGAGCATTTTGTAAAAAGGGGATGGGATCACGGGCAGTGAAAGCGGTTTCTTCTCCCTAATACGTTTTCAAATGCGGTAAATCACGCGGCTCACAAGTGACAACTGGGATGGCCGGGCGGCTAAGGTCAACAAAAGTATTTTAGGTCACCGCGAATATAACTATGTGTTAAACGATCCGGGAAATCGCCAGCAACCGCTGATAATAACTACAGGATGGTAAACAGTTTTAGCGGGAATGTATTCAAATACTCGATCACTGTATACAAAGTGTTTGAAGATATTAACTTGGTTCCAGAATTTGTACGACACCATAAAATGCCGGCCGCATATACATGGTGACTGCATGGTCATACAGTCACATCGATGCACTTGTGTTTTCATACAATTGTATAATGAATAGTAATAACGAGCTTGTGTAGTGTAGTACTACGCTGTGGAAAAATTTATCGGTGTGATTATGTTTAATCGTGCGGTAGTATATATTGGAAAAAATTGCGGCAGCTGTTTTTAGGATTTGTGAAATGGGCAAGCTTTTGCAATGCGGTTTCAAGTCACTGTTATCTGGCTCAAAGGAATTTTGAGTTCCGTTATCAATTTTATCGAGACGGCGCGACCTAAGCGTTAACGTGTCACAGTTGGCATTCATTCGTTTACTATACTTGTATTTTTTATGCCTTCTGCGGAGTGGAATCTAGTCGACAGTAATTTGAGCACCATGACCTCTTTGCGGTTTCATGATTACAGGTAGAATGCGCATCAGTCACTAAGCCTAGGTATATGTTTTCACACAGTTTATGCAGCTCCCCGGATAATTAATGCACTATTATTATTTTTTACCAAATGTAAAATAATTCAGCATGGAATACAGATTAATTTCTATATACGTACTTTATAAGCCGGTGCAGAATATTACTACACGTCGGTACTCGCGCTAACTGTCTTTTGTAACGGGTAGTAATTGACTAGGCGGCAATATTGTTGCCAGAATAATAGCAAAAATGCATGGTTAACAGTTCAACTTAACACGATAACTTTGTAGATATATTATTTACCTACCGCGTCAAATCAACGACAGTTACGGTAAATACTGAGTTGTTGATATGTTCACATGGCTGCAAAAATAAGATTAGATAACTTTTTGGCTAATTTTGCTATACATTTTGCAAATAACAAAGTTGCTCTTAGAATCAGCAGGAATCGAAAGACTTTGCCCAAATGCGGGGTAGATGCTGTCGAACAATATTAAAAATGTGAAAGTTTACATTATTTATGAGACGGTGACATTCACCTGATTATGATCTGCAATACATAAATGATTATAAGTGACAAGAAACATATGTGCAACTTAGAAGATAAGAGTAAATGTCGTTTGCTTCAATACTGAAGCTTGTGGTGTTGTAAATACAGTGCAAAATCCTAGACAAAAAAACAAGCAATATAAACTGTTGCGGTCAATTTTTTTGGCCATGGAGATACAGTAATATCTTCGATTCGAAAAGGCGAAATCTTTTATGAAAATCCATACGGCTCACCTTCCAGTTAATCATTTAAAGAAAATATTACATGCACAAATCGCATATTGATAAGGTCTTATTTTTTGTTCAAAACAATACTTAGTATCTGTTATAATTATAGAATGTTTACCATTTCAGATACATCTCGTTGTGGCCAAAGATTTGCTGACATCGTCAGGAAGGGTCATCGCAAACACACCCAACAGTCATATTTCTCCCAGTTCAACATGCTCATCTGCCATTTCCGGCATCTCCTACAACATTTGCATTTTTTCTTGATAATCCTCTCGTCACTTTATTCCTTCAGTTTTGCCGAAAGAAAATTCTGTGGCACCGGACTGGCGGATACATTAAAACTGTTGTGCAGAGGGAAATATCGACCGCGTCTAGGTACTCGCAATAATAAGTAAAGTAATAATACTTATTATTATTTATATTGTTACGTTAATAGTAAAGCATTTTTGTCGCCTAATCAAAGATAGAAAGCGCCATAGAAGCAATCATAATAACAATCCAGCAAATCTTAAGAGGAGATCCGATTTTTTATTAAATTTTGCTTTAAAGGTCACTCGGTATTTTCTGAAAAATCTGCATCGTTTTTCACAATTTATTTGTATCGTGTCATTTTAACTCGCAGACTGATCTTGGCAGTTATAACGGTGTTTCTTTTAAAGATTCAAAAGTTGGTGCCAATTGATATGATGATAGTGTATTAGGGTACAATAAAAAGTGATTTTATTTATGTAGTAATAATCTTTGAAAACTTTAGATTCCGATCCTGATGGAAAAGCCGGTGACGTCTCTAATAGCCTCACTCAAGAGTGCTGTCACAAAGCTTGCAGTATGAAAACGCTTATGGGTTATTGCGCAAGTCCTCCCGATCCCCAAATGGAAATGCTTTTAGCCAGATTATCCCTTATGAGCGTGCGTATGAGCGGTTACTGTAGATATATGACTTTACCTGAAAATCAGTAAAACCTAAGCTTGACAAGTTCCACAAACCTTTTTGTCGGCATTGCATTTGCTTGCCGGATTATTTCTGAAAGTGGATTTTTTTGCAGGCCAATAAAGGGTCATCCAAAGCCAGTTCCGGTGGGCAGCTTTTAGCCGGAGATACTTCCTCTACCGGACTAACAACCAAATCTCGACTTTCGGGATTAATTAATACCAAACAAACCTTTGATGTCTCACCCCTCCTAGAAATGAGGCCAAGTGATATTTACCAAAGTTTGCCCTCCAGACAAAGGTGACACGCCCAATTAATCTATTTATTTAACCAAGTTGCCTATCCTTTTTCCACAAACATTTTTAACGTCATTCCAACAAAATCCTTCAGCCACATCCCAGTATTAATGTCGGATCATTTGTTCCGACCCTTTTTTATATACTCATCCTGTTACAATGATGCCCGATGCTAGTTCAAGTTGCCCGAAGCGAACGTCCTAAGATGTGCACACAATGGATGAATAATCGCCTTGCACAATAAACAATCGCCTAACATTTGCCCCGAACCGAAGTCCCGCGGAAAATGCGAACTTTGCCTATAAACTCAAACCGATACTTAATTAATATGATATTTGTTCTCTTGGAGGGTTTTGATCGAATGGTCCCCACAGAAGCAATCCCTTACCAGTTACCTTAATACTGTCCAGTTTGGCTGAGTACTTTTCACGGATTCCCTTCAATATTCCACGTATATTTAGTTTCATTTATGCAGTGTCGTACTGCTAATAATCTTACGCAATTATATGCGGTCTTTAAATTATGCTTATATAATTCCTGATGTCCACATTGTTCCTTTCGGGACTTTTGCAGCAGTATATTGTCGCTCTTGCCAAAATGCTGCAAATATTCATATGCAGCTACTGGTTTAACTGATGACAACATTTAATTATTATTATTGCCATTGCCACGCCTATTTGTGGAATGTATGGCCCTTATACTGAGCTAACCCCGTTTCACGCAGCCTCACTCCAGAGTGAAATGCCTTCCCAAAGATTTATACTTATAACTTACAATTGGAAAGTTTATCTCCCTTACACCGCAATCATCCAAAAATCCTATATTTCCTGTTTCCAGAGCTGAAATTTTGCCCCATGTACATAATCTTTCCACATTCCTAAACCTTATATATCAATATGGATACATGTACACGAATGCCCCAATGAGCCCGAGCACGATTCCCAAGCACTGGCGACGTACATTTCTTGGAGCAGCCTACAAGCAGTCGGCAGTCTTACTTCAGTGTGATTTCTTGTAATTTTGAGTTAAAATTGTTCTGTTTCTTATTTATTTGTTTATTTTTGACAAAATCGCTTGCACACGTGTTTTTATAAAAACTACAAAAGCTGCACAAAAGATGGTTTATAGGCATAAAATCAATCACTGTAAAATATGATATTCTAGACGTAGACAAGATGGTGTACTTGTATAAGTAAGTAACCTGTAATTCCATGTTTAGTGATGAAACGCACTTTCCTTTAACACTATTCTATGAATTACTGCAGTCGCAATGCTATACTGACAGTGAGTCCGCATTGTCTAATTGTATTTAAGCACTATATTATAACACCTAATAATTTATTATTTCACTTGTTAGGCTCGCGTACTTCGTCGTTTTGCTGTAAAGGCGCGTCCACCACTTGCTGAATGCAGATTATCCGATTATCAATGATTGAATAAATTCTGTTATTCATAAGCGTTACCGCTCGTAACATTAGTTATAATTCACGCTAAGCACGGTCATTTTTACTGACGTAAGAATTAAGGATCCACAAGAAATATTTCCGCCTGCCGGAATGGATCATGTACTCCAGACTCCTAGACGTGGAAATACACTAACGTAAAAAGGGCTTCGCAGTTTGCTTTTCTCCTGATATCCTGTGCATGTTGATTTGTAGAACCCTTTTTCTGTATAAGTACTAGTATTTCCACGCCTGGGCTTCATCGTCTCCGCAACCATATAAAATATCAAGTCTCCGCAATACTCATATCAAGTCTCGTTAGAAGTTGAAAAACACATGTTCTACCCGCATCTGTCAACCGACCGCGGCATATATAAAAGTCATGTACATTTTTTTGGCGTAATTTTAAGCACTTACAAAAAAGTGTTTGCCGTACCGGTAGAACCGGTTGACGTCATAATCTGGTATGGACATTTTTTTTGCGTGACTGAAAGTGAACTGTGAATCAAAGAATTTCCAGTCCAAAAAGTTAACAAAAATTGCCGCACCCACAATTTGATTCAGGTTTGTGAACAATTTTTTAGGCTTGTGAGCGTGACAAAAGGTGGACGACTGTTTGCTCTCATTGTCAGCGGCTATTCCCTGCATCAGACTGCACGCAAGCAGATTTTTGGGCACCTCTATTTATACATAGATATATGAGCTATTGATCATGAGTTTACTCTTTTTTAAAGTTGCACCGTTGTACACAAAAAAATTTAATATTTACATGATTAAGTAGTAAGACTATAGCATCCCTTTGTGCAATGTGGATGTTGGATTTTGAGTACGAAGTACCTATTAAATGTTCCATGGATGACATTACTGTAACATTTTGGCAAATGCTAATTTTGACAAATTTGGACAAAGGTTAAAATTATGTTAATGTTGTGAAAAACTTATAGCATCTTTTCGATTTGTGCATTATACTTTCGTTGTAAAATGGACAAAAAATGCATTCATAAGTTTCAGGTTTAAAATCCCATTAAAATCCCATTTAACAGCAGACCTCAAGCATATCCAGCTTTATCATTCCCAGTCGGGTATTGCTTTAACAATTTTTTTGGTTCGAAGTTCAGAGAGATAAGCAATACTTGCCAATACTTGCCATACTCAATACTTGCCATATTCTAGAGTATTTTGTACGAATAACCCTACCACTGCAGTAAATAACAATAAGTACTTAAATTCCTACGGCACATTAAAATATTATAAAATATACAATACTTTAATACCATCTCGCCAATACTAACAAAAGGCATGATATCTCTTTAAACTGTTTATTAAATTGTACAAGCAAATGCTATTACAAAAGAATTACGATACAATCATACAGCTTATCATGCCCATATCTTGACTTCTGTTTTAGGCTTGTATTTGTAGCACGTTCATCAAGTTATCCTGACAGACCTGACTTATGAGAGTTATGTCATAACAGTGTACTCGAACAATTACGAAGTTTTTTTGAAAGAGACTTCTTATTTACTGTAATAGAAAGATGGAGTGATATGGTGTTATATTAAAGTGGTGTTGCGGGTTTTTCAGGTCGAAATATCAATTTCTGCAAAACAGTTGCTCTCTGATCAGTGCGTTTACGAAGTGAGAGTTAGTGGCTTACGACCTGGCAGGCAGTGGACGTGATCACACATCATGGCTGATGTCAGCATGGAACCCCGCGATCGCAAAATGAGTCTCTCCAGCCCCAATCCGCAGAGCCCCCACGCTATGTCCGGACGGCCGCAGTTTCTTCCCCCGGGTACGCGACCGCCTTTCGCTCCCCGCCCTGCGCCGGCGTCGCAGTCGACGATGCAGAAACTGCACTGTCTGACGACATCGGGAACCGGCGACGCGTTCTCCACCAATCGCATTCCCCCGGCGCGACTGTAAGTGCCACGGCATCGCTAGCTGCGTTCGTTCCTTTAACTGCATCTGCATTCACAGCTCCGCCATCACTTTCGGACCCCAGAGTGATGCGGAGATCCGGTCACAGAGCGTTGTGGACGTTCATCTGAACACGCTGGCTGTGCAGAACGGCAGCTCTTGGGATATGCCCAGTCACGGATTACTGGATCCCAAAATGGTACGGGCCCATCTCAACGGCATACTGTGCAAGTAGGGAACAGCTGGAACGTTGTCTGCTTTGCAGGGCGTCAATCTGCGCGCCAAAAAGTGCGGCACGTGTGGGAAACAGATGGCGGAATGTCCGGGACATTTTGGCCATTTGCAGCTGTATTATCCGCTTTTCCATATGGGATACTTCAAAAATGTTTTCCAGATCATGCAGTCTGTTTGTCAGGTAAGTGCGCTTTGTTGCGTTGAACACTGTAGTGATTGTACTGACGGATTATTCTGTTACATCGCAGTGCGTAGAATGTTTTTATGTTGTTTATTTAAGTAATCAACGCTTATGGGATTTTGCATATTTTTTGGAGTTTCTTTATTCTGATTTTTTTCCCGTAACAGAAATGAAAATAAAATTGGGAAAGTTTTTGTTTATATTGCTAATGTTTTTGGCGCGCTGGGTTTTTGCTTCGATTTTGTGCGTTAAATTTCTTAGTATTGTCTGAATGCTTTTTGCTGGTTCCTGAATGGTTTTGTCTTATTTGTTTCGAGTGTCGTAAACAATTTATTTATACGATTGGTTTCATTTTGTTAGAGCTGCAGTCGCGTATTGTTGCATGGGCCGCAACGGATCTCTTACCTTTCGAAAGCCAACAAACCGATGACTTTAGCCGCCAAAAAAGACTTACGAAAAAAAATCGTGGAATTGTGCAAAAAGCAGAAAATATGTCAGTATTGTTTGGCAACGCAGACGGACATTCGGCGTTTCGGCTATTACCGCATGGTGATGGATGTACTGCGACCGGCCGCCACCCAGCGGAAATTACTTCCCCACATTGTACACACGGCTGATGTGCCATCACTGGAACCCGGTACGGGCGATCAACCCCGTGCTGATCTGGGCACAGCCAAGGTAATTTGGTAATTTAAGACTGATACTCAAATTAGCGGATTTGTTTATGTAACACACCCAGTTATGCCCTACAGATTTTATTAAATCCGGTCTACGTGCTGAAAGTTCTGCGAAAAATCCCCCTGCAAGACCATCCGTTATTACTGTGCGGAAAAATCAGTCCGGAAAGCTTTTTAATGAGTTGTCTACAGTTTCCACCTGTTCCGATTCGGCCCACGGTGATGCAGGAAGAGGGCACCGTTAACCAGGATGACATCACTGTAGCAATTTCCGGTGTACTGCACTGGAACCAGCTTCTTAAAGAGAAAATTGATCGCGATCCGGTGCGGAGTAATCTGGAAAGCTGGGAGAATATGCAGTGGAACTATAATAAGGTGTTGAATGGTTCAGCAAAGGATCCCGTTTCCGGCTCGGCGGGCACAGCATTCGCCAAGCCCTCGAAGGGCTTTGAGCAACGTCTCAAGGGAAAACAGGGTCGGTTCCGTGGAAATCTCAACGGAAAACGAGTGAATTTCTCGGGGCGCACCGTAATTAGTCCTGATCCTAATTTGCGACTGGATGAAGTGGGCATACCGGTGTATATGGCCAAAATTCTGACCTTTCCCATCCACGTCACGGAAAAGAATATTGAGACCATGCGGATACTGGTGCGGAATGGCTCGCAGAAGCATCCGGGCGCTGACAAAATTACCAAATGCCAATTGGACGGCAGTTCCTATTCCATTAACCTGCACAATGAGAAAATTGCTAGAGAACAGGCTCATGCTTTGCAAATTGGCGATGTGGTCGAACGACACCTACAAAATGGAGACCCTGTATTGTTCAATCGCCAGCCTTCGCTGCATAAAATGAGTATTATGTGCCATAAGGCCCGCGTGCTGCCGTCGCGTACCCTGCGCTTCAACGAGTGTGTCTGCACGCCGTATAACGCCGACTTTGACGGCGATGAAATGAACGTCCATGTCCCGCAGACATATCCGGCCCGAGCGGAAGCGGAGACACTGATGTTGTCAACCAAAAATATCTTGACACCCCGCAATGGGGAAGTCATTATCGGTGCCCACCAGGACTTCATTACTGGCTCGTATCTGCTATCCAACAAAGATAATTTCTTCACGCGGGCAGAATTCGATCAGTTGGTCTCGCAGATGCTAGTGGGAAAAGAGCGGACTTTAAAAATCGACTGGCCACTACCGGCTATCGTCAAGCCGGAAAAACTTTGGACCGGAAAGCAAGTGCTCAGTGTGGTGCTGTGCCCTAATCGCGAACGCGGTTATGGGAAAAACGCGCACGAACTTTCCGGATTTTTGAATGTCCGGACGAAAGGAAAGAATTACACGAAAAATGAAGATCTTTGTAGCAATGATTCATTTTTGGTTATTCATAACGGCGAGTTAATGGCCGGGACGTTCGATAAGAATAATGTGGGCACGGGCTCGAGAAAGAATTTGTTTTGTCATTTGTTCCATGACTGCGGAAGCGCTTATGCCGCCGATGTCATATATCGTCTCACGCGGGTTACGGCGTATTTTTTAACCCACAGAGGGTTCTCCATTGGAATCGAAGACGTGTCACCTAGTGCCGCGTTGATTCAAACCAAGAAGGAGCATATTAAAGCGGCTTACAGGAAATGCGAAGATCTTATTGACCAGCTTAAACGTGGAGTGTTGGAGAACAGACCTGGTATGTAGTGATAATATACTAACATACGATTCTGCATTCCGGATTATAAATCACGAGCCTGCTTGTTTAGCGCTGAAAACGTGTTCTTTTCGTCACCGATATCATGCGCTTGTTTTCCCTAAAACCATTGTAGGTTGCACTAAAGAGGAAACCCTGGAATCTGGGATGGTCCAAGAATTATCTACTGTGCGCGATCGGATGGGGAAAATTTGCTTTGACTCTTTACCAAAAACGAACGCTCCACTAATTATGGCCCAATGTGGTTCTAAAGGTAGGATAATACTCAAGTCTGTCATCATATAAGAGAATTAAATCAGGGGATGTGACACTATATGATACTTAATCTTTGAAAATGAAGCATTTTGATTATAATACCGCAAGGGAATCCCGGGATTTTGTTTATTCGATGTCTTCGTAAAATATCAGGGTTTAGCTGAAAAAATTGTAGTGGAGCATGCTTTGTGTTGTTTTCGAAGCTGGTGTCGTGACAAACAGATTAATTTGCGTGCACGTGTTTCAACAGGATCTGTTATCAATATCTCGCAAATGGCTGTCTGTGTCGGTCAACAAGTGATTAGCGGTAAGCGTATTCCCAATGGATTCGAAGATCGCTCCCTGCCGACCGTGCCGCGCTACTCCAAAGAGCCCTTGGCCAAAGGATTCGTGGAGAATAGCTTTTTCAGCGGACTGACACCCTCAGAGTTTTTTTTCCATACCATGGCCGGTCGCGAGGGTCTGGTGGACACTGCAGTGAAAACGGCGGAGACCGGATACATGCAGCGACGACTAATTAAATGCCTGGAAGATGTCATCGTTCACTATGATCGAACCGTGAGAAATTCCGTCAACGAAGTAATACAGTTGCGGTTCGGCGAGGACGGTCTGGATCCTGCATCGATAGAGGACGAAGATTACCCGATTGATCTCGAACACCGGTGGCGCCATGCGATCAGCATTTACCCTTTCAATTCACGTACATATCTCGATCACTTCTGTCCCATTTTTACTGGGTGTTTCGAAAATATTGTGATCTTCCTACTTTTAAACCATACAAAATACGAATACTTATGTAGTTTTTCATTGATTTTTGCCGTGCTGGGCAACTTAGAATATCACATTTATATACAGGATAGGTTGTTTTCTTTTAGGCTTGGATAAACACTTGTCACGCTGGGAAGTTAAGATGCATTGGGATCGCGCTGTACCCACTATGGTTGTAAAGCTTGGCGGCCAAACCTTTGCGGAATCCAGCAGCGAAGTTAAGTACTTCTTAAATAACCTTGAAGAATTTTTAAAGAAAAAGATGGCCAAGATGGATGCCGACGAAGAACGCTATGGCCCAGTCAGCCACTCCGATGTCCAGTGCGACGACCGACTGTACCGTCACCATGTAATCGAGAAGCAGTTGAATGGGTTTTTTGGACTGTGTATTCAAAAGCGCATCAAATCCCACGTGGAGCCCGGTACAGCAGTGGGTGCGTTGTGTTCACAGAGTATTGGTGAGCCGGGAACACAGATGACCCTGAAGACATTCCACTTTGCGGGAGTTGCCTCTATGAATATCACTTTGGGAGTACCGCGCATCACGGAGATTATTAACGCCACGACGAACATTCGCACGCCGATCATAACTACGTTTCTGACAAATAAAGTCGACGAAAGGTTTGCGCGTCTGGTTAAAGCGCAGCTGGAACGCACTATGTTGTCGGATGTGACTCTGATTATGAGCGACGTGTTGTCGGAGGATCAGATCGCAGTAGTGTTTGAATTGGCCAAAGATATCATTAGATCTTTGTTGCTGCCGGTTAATGCGCAGAAAATCGCGGTGATCTTGAAGACTCATCCCAAGACTTCGAAACTTATTCGGGATGTGGAGTGCTATGGGAACTGGATTGTGAAGGCGCTGATCAATGATGACGATTTTAAGGGAAAAAAGGTGGATCGAAAGTCGGCGTTTTTGGGCAGGGCTCATGAACTGCGTCGCCTGGCCGGGGAAATTGTTGTAGCGGTGAGTTTTTATTTGTTCATGGGTTTATTTTGCTTAACGTTGCTAAAATGTTGTTCATTAACGACTTTGAAGTTTGCATGTGTGTACGTACACATTTGAAAAGGGTAGGACAGGTTGAATTATCGCAACGAACAATCGTAGGGTTTGCCAACAGCATCGCGAGCAGTAATCCACAAACAAACAGAGGACGATGGCTACCGTTTGCTGGTCGATGGTACCGATCTGCGCGCTGTTCTTGGCTTGCAAGGTACTTGTCTAGATAGCATGCCTGGACGCTGCACCGGCATTTTGAATTGCGTTAATTCTTATCATTTTTGTATGTTTTTCCGGTGTGTGTTGTACATGTCTTATTTTATAATTTTTGACGACGAGTAAAAATCTTGAATCATTCGCAAGTTTACTTAAATATTTATGGTTTGCTGTTAATTAGGTGTCAACAGCAACAAGACATACACTAACAACTGTATGGAGATATTTCGCGTTCTTGGCGTTGAAGCCGGACGAGCTTCGATTATTCAGGAAGTGATGTACACGATGAAAAGTCACGGAATGAGCATCGACTGGCGTCACTATTCCTTGCTGGCTGACACAATGACCGCCAGGGTTAGTTCATCAGTGTGGTTTCTGAGAATCTTCTATCTTGTGTCGCTCGTTTTTAGCTGGTTTTCAGAAGGAAAATGTTGTATACGCGCTGTTTTAGGGTAATCTTTATGGTTTCACGCGGTACGGCATGGCGAAAATGAAGGATTCGGCGCTGATGTTGGCGTCTTTTGAACAGACCGTGGACCACTTGTACGATGCAGCGTATTACGGTGTAACGGACGATATCTGCGGTGTCAGCGAGTCCGTCATTCTGGGACAAGATGTTCGAGTGGGAACCGGAATATGTAAAATACTGCCCAAGACCAGCAGCTGTCGACCGGGGGCCAATGATTTAAAGAAGACCTTTAACATAAGTGCCATGTCCTGATAGTTTGCCTAAACTCCCGATGTGATAAGAAGTTGTAATCAAAGCCGCTTCTGTTTCTACTATACAGTATGCGTAAGCGCGGCGCGCGCACGACGTACAGTGCATTGTGTGTGCAAGATGTTGGTGCAATTTGTACAAAAATGCTCAAATAAATTTTGGTTTTTGGAATCACGCTTTATACAGCAACCTCTGTGTTGTTTGCGTCACTAATGCACTAACGTACGTAGTGAGATCCGATGCGCCGATAGTGTTGTTATTGCTCGTGAGGGCTATTAGGAGCATTTGACAAAATAGTCGATCGGATTCACTCCGGAGAGGCAGAAATAACTTATCTGTAGAATTCCGGTTTGCGGAATTTGAATACCTCGTTCCGGAAGTTTGCTTCTTTTAATGTGATTAGCTTCTGCTTGCAACATAAAAAATTCCGTTAATTTGCAAACAATTATTTTTATTCATATTCATCCTGATCCTGAGGCAGTGTTGCCTCGAAATGCCAGACAGTACTGATTTATGTAAAGAAGCATTAATCCCTTTAACGTAAACCAGTTGCTCTGCCAAAACGCCACTTTTCCGATATTAAATTTTTCGTATGGGTGTAAATCTAATATAAAATAATACAGGTTTAAAATCCGTTTGAGCGTGTGATGCGAATCAGCTATCTTCTATGTGACGAAAAAGTGCATGCGTTTGTTTTCTGGTTGACCTTTCTAGTAATTGTGACATTTTTCACGTATTGTTTAAATTCTAGCCATTTGGTTTTTTTGGCAAAAACAATTAAATCATGCTTGGATGATCGGTATGCTAGGTATGTACGAAAAATCCTAATGATTTCATTACAGTTTACAAAAATATCATATGCCTCTGCTGTCTGAATTTGGTTACAAGTTACAACAGTAATGAATGCTTCATTCTTTAGCGTCGCATGTGTGGCGACATCGTGATCGTTGTCATATTGCCGTATAATGCAATGTATTTGCGGCCGTAAGCGTGATCACTGGTCATACCACAGTGACGACAAACGGCAAATGTGACTGTCCACCACGCGCATCGCTAGGAATTTCTTACCGATCCGGTGTTATGCACAACACTGTCAACACATATAAAATACCGATGAGTTTCGCCAATTTTCTATGTGGTTAGTAAAATTGCTGGATGTTTTGCGCGCATTGCGAAATCATTTTCTTGTATCAGGTTACACTGAACTCTTAAAGTACAACGAGTTGTAATAAGTCGGTTGGTAACCTTTTCCCACAAAAGAGATTCCCACATCTCTGGCCGGAGCTGTGTTCGATAAATTGTGTTGCTTGCATTATTTATAATGGACTATCGTGGGAAAGTGCAGGCAGCTGGGCTAATTGTGGCTCTGTTGTGGATTGGTCACGTTCAGCCGGTGGCATCGATCTCATGCGACCGCGAAGTTGCCCGTAGTAAGTTAGTAGTTCTTCTTTAGAAAATACCATCATTTTGCAATACGTTTATAAAGTACAAAATTTTATGAACATTTTTTATTTAGTTATTGTGGTCTAATTTATCCGACAATCTGCATAAGGGCGTTGATATCGGTTAAATATCGGTTTTCCAGTCGTCTACTTGTCTAACCTACCCTAATGTTAGGATAGCGGAAAATGCTAAAACATATTTCGAAACATGCAGCGATGAATCCTCATGTTATTTGATTATTCTTCCTTGTTTGACTTGTTATACTGTATTTATCTCCCAGCCAACTGTAGGGATTTAATTGCGTAATCTCTATAGTGGCAAGTAGGCAACAATCGGTCTGCATTAATCTTGGCGTCACATAAGTAAAAGCGGCTCACAAAGAATTCGGTGGTTGTTGTTGCAGCTTTTACGCGGTACTGCAGCCATTTGCGTAAGCGTAGTGTGGAACCAAATGGTTTCCTGGGACGCCTGCGCGGTATTTCCGGAAGTCAGCTGTTGCCAATGCGAACATTGGTGTCGGATGAAGATGTGTTGGAGTATGAAGGTAAAAGATAAAAATACTTTCCCAGCAGTATTGACTGACAACAACTTACTACACCAGTCACCACCTACAATACGTACAGACTGTACAGACCAATAGTACATTAATTTTATATTTAAGTGGTTGCATAATCATAATATAACGGAACAAATGAATTAGTACCAAGTGATAACAAATAAAACTGCCCGCAAGCTCTTAGGGATGTTTTGACTGATAAAAGGTCATTGCTGCTTATGTACGGTAAACATGCAATGAACGTTAATATCGAAGCGAGTACGTAACGTAGTATAACGATTCAAGAGCTTACTAATGTCGCCGATGTATTGTAAGTATAGGTGACACATATTGCTGCGAATATGTGATAGTGACCACTCATTTTATAAATTCCATCTTTCATGATCGCCGTTTTGGTTCTTCCAGAGGAGCCGAAATTGGAAGCTTCACCGGCAGCGGAACAGAGGGAGGAGAATCAGCTGGTGCAGCTGATCGACGAGTATCTGCAGCAAGATGTTATCGCTCGCAGCGGACTGTACCGGCGTCGCTCGCGCAACATCAGCCCGCGCTCCCGCCCACCACGCAAGTACAACAACGTTCTCCCATCCGCGCTCCATAACTGCGACCTTGCGGCTCTCAAAGAAATATGCCGTAATCGATGATCATTAACCAACCGCTGATTAATTTTAAGCTGTAAGAATAGATTTTTGTTCTTTTGACCGAACTATGTAGTGTCCGAACAGCAGAAGGATACCATTCGCTTACTGTTATTTGTAAAATATTTTATGGGGTGTTTGAGCTTAAATTATTTAATTTATATTGTCGGAAAAGTATCAGTAGATTTCTGGATTTTTTTTGCTGACAAGAAATAAGATGTTATTGTGGGTATAAATTGTCGTGATTTACAAAGTTGTAAAATAAGTAGCTATACAGATATAAGAAACCAGAAGCGAACCGATTAAACCTTCGCAACACATGCCTTTCTCGAAGTGGTCATGATGAATCACAACACCACTGTAACGAGGAAACTTAAATTTGCAGCGACGTAAAAGTAGAATCTATTCCAAGCAAAAATTAAAAGATGTTGTTATAAAGAACTCTTTGGTGATAGGTAACTGCGGTTATGTATGGGCTGCGCAGCATTCGTTCGTAGCACGCATCACATATAAAGCAAGCGAATGTATTATTTCCGATCGCCCATAAGCATGGTTTTCTACGAGTATATAAAAAGTGCACACTGAACGTTCATGAGAACTATAGTGAATTAGATTATCAAAGTTTTTAAACTTATGCCAAAGTTCATGGTCAACAATTGTCGTATGTTTCACAGTTTCAGCTGGGTATGCGCATTTTATCAATACCCGGCAGCGGCCGTAGTAGCTAAATTACCTATCGGAGCTGAATAGGCACGTGTTAGTTCCCTTTTCAAAGTATGAAAAAGTGAAATATGCAAGTGTATCTGCATATGGGCTGCTAATGGGCATAACGAAAACCAAAGACCGCGAAATGGACACCGGAAGTGATTTGAGCCACGTGATAAAAATTTTACTATTGAATATTGGTCAAGAGTTTAGGGAATTAGTATGGCATATATAGCTACGAAACCACCCACGCTCCTCTGATGGACGACGTCGACAAAATGTTTGGCACAAGCAGTAACGAGCTTAATTCCAGAAAACGTGTGAGAATTAAAATTAAGACGACTAAAACAGAACATTAACTATGCATCGTAAATCTACACAGAATTCAAAACCGAAACCCACATAAAGCAAAGGCATAATTCAAGGCCGAAAATGACTACAGAACATCTCAGCATAACCGGTATATGGATCTCTAAACAAAAAAGTATCGACATTCCGCATTAACTAGAACAAAATTCCACTGACGAGCGATGACCAATATGGTAACGCACAGGAAGAACTTGTCCGTTCATTTCACATAATTGAATTATCTGTTCCCGATGGCTGCCGCTTGCGGTCGCATATCTGTGGTGACCTATCACGAATGTTACTAGAAGAGCTGACTTTGGACAGAGGCAACAAGGGTGTCTCTGGGGAGTAATCCTGCGTGTTGGAGGTTTCCGACGCGGTAGCCAGGCCAATTATCTTCCGTATTGACGTCGGCAACTCTTCCGCTCCCATCAACTGGTGGTAAATGCTTTCTGCCAGCTTCAGCGTGCGCTCCAAGTCGATGTTCATCGACAAATCGTTAATATGCTATCAACAGAACAGAATTAACCCTATCCACAAGCCTATCCATATCATACCTATACAGTTTCTAAAATATAAACCTTCACACTCCAAAAACACAATCACACTCCATGGCAAAACAATTCATGCAGCGGATGTAAACAAGAGTAACACGACGAATAAATAAATCTGCATGACTACGAAAATACCTACATTTTAATTTCAGCTCGCAATCGAAAGTGTTAAACACGGTTACACGAGTACATACTTTCATCACATACCCGTAATATCTCAGTCGAGGAAAACTTGTTAAAAAAAATAAATAAATAAAAATGCATGACTACGAAAATACCTACATTTTAATTTCAGCTCGCAATCGAAAGTGTTAAACACGGTTACACGAGTACATACTTTCATCACATACCCGTAAAATCTCAGTCGAGGAAAACTTGTTCTCCACGATGGTATTCTTCTCCACCTCCAAAATTGCGTATCCAAATAATAAATGAAAATTTTTACACGGGAAGCCGGTCCAGAAAATCTGAATCAAATGACAACTCAGGCAAAAACCATACAACAAATACTGTTGTGGATATAAAAGCGTTCGGTCTCGCGGACGTAGTTTTGCGGAGTTAACCGACCTCCCATAAACGCCATAAAAAAATTACCTCCCACAAACGCATCACATCATCGAAACTAAACTCCCGTTTAAATTGCACCAAGAGCCACCGAAAACAAAAGTACATCTTGGGATCGTTAGAATCTGAAATTGCAAGAATCCACTACGTTCGGGAGTATGCGATTCTCGAACTGACAAAGTCAGACAGACGCTAGCCTCACCCATATATGCTTTCAATGAGGGATCCAAATACTTCATGATTGTTGCCATTTCTTCCAGCTCATACATTAGCTTCGACATTTCAAAATTATGTGTCTGAAAAGACAACATTTGCAGACTTTTCCTAGTAATAACCTAAGCCGCCTACCACATGTTCCAACAAGCCATTGAAGGTCCAAAAAGTATCCACCTCGTCCCCATCCATCACCACGTAAACAGGTGTTAAAAGATCTGACATGCCTTGCACATACCCTAAGGAAATCAACCACCAGTGTATTTGCAAATCAATACAAAGAACTGTCGGTAAAGTACAGTAATTCCTATCAGGATGTGCGTCGTAATTTAACCACTTACCCAGATCAAAATTCAGCATACAGTACGTCAGCAACAACTCATTCATCACCTTCAGCGCCGCGCTTTTCCCTTCAAAGAATGGATGAGTGCGATCGGTTCGGTGAACATCCTTTTCTACAGCGGAAGAGCAAATCTCCAAATCCGATTTTAAAAAGCTGACTGACGATAATAAGGTCAAGTAGCCACTTCGTACCAATAAGATCTTTCCGTTCGCGCCATACGGAAAACCGCCGCTCCTGCTCCGCACTAATTGTGCTCCACTGATTCTTCATTCGATAATAATCATCCCTATAATTCAGAGTAAGAATATTCGCATTCGATAAGCACAGGCCAAAATGGCCAAAGTGATGTCACTTACATAAGTCCCTGTCGGCGCTCCTGCCGCTCTTCAAGGGAAGCATTCCATTCATAGTATCCCAGAAGATACTTCCACACGTCTTTTCGAATCGATGGGTCCACGCCCTATAAAAATTTAAAGTTAAAAAATCAGGAGGTCAGTAAACACAATTTTCGGACAATTCGCAGTCGAACATTCAAAAACTGAAAGGGATAATTTGCGCACAACCACAGAATTAATTCATAAAACCCGTTTTCTAGCAAATAAATGTCTAGAAAATCCGGTAGAATAGCAAATAAATGTCTAGCAAATAAATGTTTAAATAAATGTCTATTGTCTAAGCACTCAAATAATTTTACTTCAAGTCTGCAAAATACGGTTATATGACATACAACATAAACATTGTTCAATATTTGTGCGCTGGTCTAGATAGCTCACCCCGCGAAAAATTATCTCCTTCACACGCAGTGCATTTTCGTCCGAAATTCGCCCGTCTTTATCAAAGCAATGGTTCCATTCCTGAGCAGTCAAAGGGCCCCGCCGGGCAACGGGCGGGCGCGGCGGCAACTCAAGTGGTGGCTTCTAAGATATAAAAATGAATGATTATTATAGTGACGAAATAAGTACAATACAACAACATCAAACGGGCCACACGGAAGATTCAGACGTGGACTTACAATGCTTATCACCTCAAAATCTTGGTCTTCCCTGCTCTGCAAAACGCCGAGGGGCGGCATTTGATATTCCGGATATGGCCTAGCCATTTCCGGCTCGGCAAGAGGCGGAGCCAGGACATCCACGGCATTCATGAGCAGATTGTGCACTTTGGATAGCCCCAGGAAGGCTGTCGTTACCGGGCTTCGAGCAAATCTCTGAAAACCACACAAAAGGCGTGCCCGGAGCAGCAGGTGATACAACAACGGATCCATCAAATCAATACAAACCTGCAAAAAGTGCGGCGACTGTTCCGGCATCTCGTATGGATCGTTCCGTTTTCGTGCCCGTCGTCGATCACGAACCAGACAGAGATTGGCATCCTTGGCGGATCTGAAAAGAGATTCATCTGGAAAATCGATCACCCCGTATTAATAGAAATCACAAACAAAACAACCAAGCTATACTAGTAACCTACCTACGCAAGTAAAATTCGATTTGGCGATCATATTACAACGGATAACACGATAATTAGTAATTTTCTACAGCCGTTTTCAATCGCAACACCTTGCAGCGCAATGCAGATTGACTTAAACGACAGCCTCGTGAAAGCACACGTTCAGGTCTCTCGCTGTCTACTAAATCAACTTGTGGCAGAACGATAAGCTAAAACGATATTATCATATGCTGTAAGCTCCTGGCTATTAAAGTTAAATGCAATGACGAAGTATCATTATTATTATTACTTTTCACTTGCTGTAAATGTCGCCTTTCAAACAATGGAAATGCTTTGTGCAAAAATTTCCAGTCTCAAACATCCAATAAGTAAACCGCAATAACCGTGATTTCCGAAAAGCGAATGGGATAATCGATCTCGTGCGGCCGGATAAACAAATCTATCTCCCCATGCAATTTTTAACCATTAAATTCCGATTTTAGCAGTAAGAGAATAACGTGACACCGAGAGCACAGCTGGCGTCGGAATAATTACGTCAAAATCGATAAAACAATACATGCCAAGCCGCGTCAACATTACCTCTCCAGTAACAAACGTGTCTGCAGGAAAGCGACAAGAGCATTATAGATCTCTTCCGGTATTTCCAGTGTGGGATGACTGGTACCGTCATTTGTAATGAACACCACCTTCTGGGGATTACATTCCCCTCCAGAAATTTTGAAGCATTTAATGTCATCTGGAAATTGCGTGGGACCGTTTACGTAACCACCGGCAACTCGTAAATATGGGAAGCCGTTGCATTACCGATGTCGATGCTGATGTGCGGAATCCTGTACGAGCCGTCTGTAAATGTCATCAAACACAATAATAATAAAAAATACATGCAACCGGCGTCATCGGCCCGCGCTGAAACTATGTATCAACCTTTCGATGTGAAGACAGTGCAGCTCGACTGCGCTTTATAGGTGCCATCTTCGGACAGCAAGGACTCCATCGAAGGCGTCCATTCCAGATACGTTCCGAAACGATCCTAAAATCGCACTTTTTTTAAGGCCATGTCTACGTATAACTGATACCCTGACACCTATGTATTGGCCTATGTATTGGTATGTGTCATACAGAAAGTGCTATGAAATCATATACATCGTACATGACTTCGATAAACAAATAATTCACCGCCCGCAGCAGCACTCACGTGTCAGCCGCAATAGATGCTTTTGTTGTACTCCACAGGTAAGGTTTTAGAATTCGAACAAAACGGGATGAAAGCGTAATCACTAAATAGTATTACTACAAAAGTACATGACTCCGAGACCGGTACTGTAAAGTGTAATGCAATTAACTGGTGGTACTAACAACAACGCAACCAAGCATTGTACAACCGAATTTATCAAAAGCGCAATGGAAATCAATTTGACCAAAAATCGTTAAAAATTACAGCGCTATTTCACTTACTTTGCTGACGATCTGCAAGACACCAAAAACTTTCTCGGGAACCGCTGCACCACTTCCATGAGGATGCTTGGGAATTATAATCGACACATCCGCCCAAGATTTAATTATCTGAAATTACTCTCAGTCAATCTGTTCACTTCACAATTTATTTATCACTTACATATGAATCGTAATGACTCATCCAGCTATTTATAATTAACTTACAAACTGCTACAACAATAATCCGATCGAGCAGTAGTGACAAAGAAATAACATCACAATACAATCTGAATACCAATGCGAATACATTACATACTCTGTGCGGTACAAGTACATCGGCCATAAAAGCCCTCCACCAGAAACTTACATCATTATTTTCCGGACTCAGCATTATTTCGGTCGGTCGAAGTGGAGGCATAAAATTTATTGTAAAATCCAAATTACCGGGTCTTCAACTGTAAGTGCAGTCAGTAGTGACTCTACAACAAAAGGTTTTGGTCAGCACTATCGAGTATCGACAAGCAAAATAATAATGAACAATGCTAGTTTACTGGTCCAAAACAATCAAGCAATAAAGTCTAATTAAATCAAAATAGCAACACTAATGGTTAAAAAAAGTGAAAATCTTCAGAGCAATAATAGCATAATTAACTTTTAGTTGCAAATATGCCAGTTAGACAAAAAAGCTGTGCCTGATGGAATTATGAATATTCACTTATGATAAATTCCACTGTTACAGTGTTACTCCACATGGATCAGTTAATCCAGTATCAGTTAATACAGTAATAAGATGGAATAAAAAACCCAGCCAAAAACGCATTTACCAAAAATGGTGTTGGAAATTTTAGTCAAATTTAATACGAATTCCTAAAACGTACTTGGGTCCGGACTTCGGAAGATTGGAAGAACAATAATTCCTAAATTAGGGTAAGTCTACTCGTAGAGTTATGGCGCGAATATCAGGGAAAACTGGCAATCCCGAACTCATTTCAGCAACTTCATATTTCATACAAATGGCTCCTTGTTCATATTTTCATAACTCCATGACAAGTACTAATAAACAAATAAGGGTATTTTACTGTACCAGCCAAGGTATGCTTGAATTAGAAAAACCATCGATTAGTACTGCCACACTGGTTTCAAAATTTCGTTAGTTTGTGACAGACGACTGCAGAAAACAAACATGCCATACGGCTCTGCGACTTACGAAGTGCGCAAATGCGTACGATTCTTTACGATACGTAATCGTACCCAATCGACACCAGCGCAAATTGGTACGGTTTGATATATTTTTGCTACGGTCCGTTACGCACAGATCATCAACACGTACGAATTAGAGTGCTTGGCGGGGGAAAGTTTTTCTTTTTCACGGTACGCGTGTTTGTGAGATCGAATCGTCTGCGGTCAGACAGTCTTCTTTCTTTCTCCCTTTTCCAGCTGGTTGTCATGTTTTGGTTTCAAAATTAATATGCTTGGAATAACAGAACCTCTAAAGTTATCTGGTTGAATTTTTTTTATATTTTGTATGATATACCTTTTTTAATTCTCAAGCACCCGACGGCAAAAGTGGATAGGAAGTATAGCATGAGCCAGTGACGGCAGTGAGCGGTTGGTCTTTGATTTTTTTTGTTGCCTGCTCTCGACGGTGTTGGTAAACACGCTGCAGAGGATGGGGGAACTATATAACAGGCAGCTAGTTTTTGTTATCCGAAGTCATGGAAGGGAAGACCGAAGAGCACGACTTCGAGTGACCGTTGAGTACGAAAAAGCGCCTGGGTTGGAGCGCGACAGAGCATTGACAATTCGCTTAACCGATGAGAATGATCTTTTCTTTCTGCATTATCTCCGTATCACTGCCCAAGATTTCCAGCTTCTGAAAGACCGAGAGCGATTCCTAATAGATTTTGATACATTTCCTAGACATGTGATAGATTTCCTGGACTTGTGTTTGCAAGAGGAACAAAGACGTCCCTCGAAATACATTGCGCAGCTGCTGTTGAATGGCGTCGATGTCGACGCTCCTCATAGTTCGCGACTTGAAATTATCGAGACGAATGAATTCCAGTATATCACTCGGCTCAAATTATCATTGATTCCGGGCAGTGACGCCGATGTGAAATCACATTTAGCAAGATGTCTCAAAATTTTACGCCAAGAAAAGGACCAAATAGAACAAAAGGTAAGTTAATTTGATCATTATGTTATCAGGCGATATGCGGAGGTACATCATACATGGTATAGCGAAAATTTGGGAGGAACAATATGCTGGGAAAAAGTTTATTTTGGATCGTTGAAATTATAAAAAAATTCGTTCATAGACGTATTTATTTTCATTATAGGCACAGAATATGCAGGCGGATATGTGTGCTAGATTGCAAAATCTCGAAGATACGCTGCGAAGAAAAAGTGCGGATTTGGAGCAGCTTCAAGGGGAGTGGAACGACCGCATCGGTGCACTACACGACAAATATTCGGATGAAATTACAAAGGAGCGCGAGAAATCCACCACGACGGTTCGGGAAATTCAGCAAAGATTTGAAGAGGATAAAAAATCTGGTGAAGTTTCCGCGAGGCGGACGTTAAGCAAATTGGAGGCTAAGAATTACGAACTGGAAACGGTAAATAAGGTGGGTATAAGGATTTGCTTTGCAGCTGTTCTCGCGTATGCGGTGAACGTTGTGGCACTGTACTGTAAATTATCCGTTATGCGATAATTTATGCAGGATTTGATTGAAAAAAAAAACCGAAATGAGGGGATCATCCAGGAGTTGAAGGAGCGACTGGAACACGTGGAAAATGAATACAATCAGCGTAATAATGAAGTGTTGACCTGTCGACGGCAGCTGGTAGAACTGCAGGGTCAAGTACAGGAATTCGAGGCGCTAAAACAAAACGTCCAAGATTCTGTTCAGAAACATCAGGAAGTCGTTACCAGATTACAGGATCGTATTAATGCCGTGCAGGATCAGAATGTAAGTGCTGAATCTGTCTCTTGTGAAATGTTGGGGAAATGTTCATTTCATTCGCAGGAAAAATTGGAGAAAATTATTGAGCAAAAGGACATTAAAATATCCCGCTCGCAAAAAGATTATCAGTTGCAGGCAATGGATCTGAATAAAGCTAACGATATCATTCGGAAATTACAGTTGGAAAATCGTACTGTTATTGACAAAGTAAGTATTGAAGAAGTTTGCTTCAGATTAATATTTTGGTAATTTTTCTAATTTGTTCCAGTTGAAAATTCGAAGCGAAATCGTCGTTCAGCAGGAGTCGGCGTTAAAAGATACAAAGACGCTCTTGGACACCGCTAATTCTGAGATCATGCAGCTAAAAACTCGAATGGATGAGAAAGACGCAAAGATTTCTAGTCTTCTTTCGTCACTTGACTCTGCGAAGGCTGAATATGAAGAAGCCGAAAGGTCACTCGAAAACAATGCCAACGTTATATCTTGGTTGAACCGCCAACTTAATGTATTGAATGGAAAATCGGTCCATGCTCTCCATCCTTCGACAACAGTGTCCACAGCAGTTCCGAATTTTTCTGATGTAAGAAGTGTGATTATGAAAATAGATGCGGTTATTAATTTCTGCTTTTCCAATTTTCACTAATGATACGGTTTTTCAGCTCAATATCCCAGCCGCTCCGCTATCTCGAAGTTCTGGTATTGGGCGTGACGGTTCGACCCGAACTTCCCGGACCGGAAGTAGCCGTAGGTCAGATAGTTCGCCAGAGGAATTGCCCAAAGCAATCAATTTACCAAAATTATCTGAGCAGAGGTACGGTAAGCCTTTTCCCCTGATAAAGACAGTTAAAAAATCTTAACTGAACCTTTTGGCAGAAATAACGAGCCAGTAGTGGACGAGAAGTACTTCCAAGTTCCTACAACTCGTAAATCCGGTGCTCATGCCCCCATCACTCCCATTTCGGCACTCAAATCCGTTTCGTCCGCATATTTCGGTTAGCGAAAAGATTCGGATTTTTGCACAGATCTCATTTTAAAACTTGAAAAGTGGTTTTTATTGCTTGTTTTGCTAGGATGAAATATTAATACTACTGTACTAACCAATACGTTAAGTAATAACCATACGTTATATAACACAAGGGAATGATTTTCTCAGGCCCGTGTAACAGATGCCTCTGAATACTGCTCTTTAAATGCCCGATACTGCTCTTTAAATTCTGCACTGGAAACGAATCAGAGAAAATTATCAGTGACTAAGTGTTATATTGTTTATTTTTTAAATCGATCCTCGAGATAACAAATGATAAGAACAGAAGTATTAAAAGTAGTATGAACTATGAAACGGATCGTTCCCGGAATTCTTCCATGGCGATCGAAAAAAATTGGATAATCAGGTCCAAAAAACAGTTCGACCAAAAAAATACTCCGCTTCCACAGCAATTCGAATCATTTTGTAGACTTCGTTAAATTGCCCGCTGAGGCCACTTTAGCGACTCCATGACCAACAGCGCGTGCAGGAACGCCAGGCTTGGGATCGGAATCCCATTTGGTTTTCCGCTTTACAGCTGGCTCCGGGCCTCCTTTGGCTTTCCTCTCGCGTTCATATTTCTCCATTGCGATGCTCTGTGCTTTCGCTAGACTTTCCATACTGGAACCGTCAGTCCATCGCGTGGGATCAAAATCATTTTTATCGAAATTACTACCTACTTCGTCAATGCCGCAGTATTCAATCAGTTTCTGATAAATACTTGGATTACGAAATTCCTTGCTCTTGTGGATTTCAGCGTTAATGTCATAATTATGGCGTCGCTGTTTGGCCACGAGATCAGCAACCCTTTCTTCTAATACTGCAGGACATGCTCTCGGAGCGTCATCGGGAATTTTCACTTTTTCTTCGTCGCGCAGATCGACATTTTGTGGGAATCCAAAACGGTTGGCGGGGAGAGACTGGGATATATCTACATTGTCCGTTTGGGAGCGCGGAGTACCGAATTGTTCGGAAGGTATGCCGATGCGCGAAGGCAGATCTAAACCAGGTTTCGCTTCATTTTCCGTCTGAGAACCACCTTCTGTAGAGACAGGAGAATACGAAGACACAGAGTCGCGCCCATCTCCTTCTTCATCAGATTCCATGTAATTTTCCATCCCCTGAAGTTTGAGGGCCATGGTTGATTAAGATTCACAAGTCTCCGGAACTCTTAGATTCCTAACGCTACTGATGAAGTTTGCACGAAATGCAAGGCAAAGTCAGATAAACTGCGAATGGATAACCAAGAACTTAAAATTCTATAAGACTCATTCATTGCTGTGCCAGTGTGTATTAATTTGTTAAATGATTCAAACAGCTTTAAGTAAGTAAATAATTGCAATCCTTTGCAATGCACACATAAAATACTGATAAATGATAAATCACAAGTAGAAGTAAAACAAATTACAAATATCGTAAAAGTAAAAGCCAAAAGTCCAAAACTCAAAGAAGTAGTGTGCCATACTGCCGAATTAATTAGTGCATTTGCTTTACTTGTACAGTATGACTGTGTACTGTGTACAAATCATGCATACATCTATACAAGTAGGCCGGGCCAGCCAATGGCAGTTGCGAAAACGTCTTAGTTGTATGTATGTATGCGTGATTTGTACACATACAAATTGCAGCGCTAATGCACTATTGTTTAAAAAGAAGCCACATCGGAAAGAGTTGCCATACTTCTATGACGTAGTTTATAATTATGTTGACTAACCTCGGCGCACCATTATACGATGAGTCGATGACGCAGTTGCGAACACACTCTAGAGTCTAGTTGCTGGAGCAGAGGAAGATCGCCAGGATGACTGAGCGCTTGACCCTCCAGGCTGAGGCTCCAGCCTCACCAGTCAGTTGCCTGAGTCAGCCTGACCGCCACGCATTGTTCCTTTTGAAATAAAGCATGGGTCCAGTTTAATAAACTGCTTTATAGTTTGCGAAAAGCGGGGTGTTGCTTTAAAGCGGAGTTGCTGCGACAATTCGACAAAAATTAATGATCATTGGCTGTCTGTCCACAATTGCCAATGTGAACATCACCGACGCCATATGGATGCAAGCGTCATTTCCGGTCGCACAGAGCAGTCTCCGAATCCGGACCATTGAGAAGCTTGCTCTCCCCGGCCTTTGTAGTTTGTGGCATCGGCTTACTCAGTGGCATGACCGACTGGACGAACCAGTCACCCGAAGCTCGGTGGAGACTACTTGCGGCAGCTTATCCGACATGTCAAGTGAAGCCCAGCCCCCCTCCGAGGCGTGAGTACGAAAGACAGCGGGGCGCAGTTGGAAGCGCCCCAGCGGCCTCCCAGCGAAGTTGGGAAGATGATACGACAAGTAACTGGTGAGGTACGGGCGACGGACCTCCTACGCCAGCGAATCAGCTTTGAAATCCAACGCGGCGTGCGTTATGAGAACAGAACCAACAACGGCTATTTTGGACGAAATGTTTTATGTGAGTAGGCCGCTTGTTTCCGTAGTCGGGTGAGGCTGTGTAATCAGTAAGTACAAATCTTTTACTTTTATATGGAAGTTGGGATTGTATTGTATCGCTAATCTGATCGTGAATAGATAATTCCAGAATCTCAACATTGTATCAAGCCCAGCAAAATTAATTTTATAAGATATGACAAGTATTAAAAACCTGTTACGACTTACGAATCGTATTGTTTTCGCTTTTGAAAGTAAGTCGAAATCCGCAAAGAGATTTTGAAACTACGTATACAGCTGCTTCGTTTATTCGGATCTGGAAATAGAATAACACTTGTTCTCGACTGCGAGTACTAACACAAATGGGTACTATGCAAAATCAAGCAGAGTTATCATTCACGACAACTTCAGAAAAAGAAAAAGCACATCAAATTTGAAAAGAAAAACTGGCGAGTAATATTAGGATTGTGAATCCATCAAGGAGGTAATCGCCCGCTAAATGTAAACGATAACCACGCAAACTACAGTACATACGATTTCAGCCAATCCGAAGATCTCTCTCGCAAGTGATCACAAAGTCCAAACAATCAATGTCCAAGTCAGATACCATCAACATGAATTCTTATCAAAAAGCGAGGAATGAGAAGCCGAACATAATAAGCGTCATGTTTTTTATGGCAGTCCGGCTCTATTGCGGCACTTTAATAGAAGGGCACGCTGAATGAACTGCCTCCTTGAGAGTTCCCTAACGTGCTGCAAAATAAAAAATGCAATACATTCACACCTGCTTGGACGATAACAACGTGCACCACAGAAAATTGGTCAAAATTTTGTTTGCATACCTTCAGAAACTGGTCAAAATCAATGGAGTTTTTGCGAAGAGCTTCGCCTATATAGTAGATTGCATCTTCTAAAGCGCTATCCTCGGCATAAGCGTTGAGCAACCTGGACAAGCAAAAAACACACCTGAAGCTAAACACAAACCAAAATTTCTGAAGTATTTACAATATTATTTTACATAAATTTATGCCTTACATCATCTACCATTCCACATTTCCTTTTTAACGATCCTGTCACCAAGTAAAAACTTAAGCCACTGTTTGCTTACTGTTTGTACAAAGGTGCAGCAGGTACAACGGCTTCATCAATGTCAAATGGGCCATCATCCGTTCCCTTGTCCAGCGCTGTCCTAAGATCCGCTGTTCTATCGGTCAACAAGCTAACATTTCGGTCTACAGCGCGCTGCAAAATTTGTTTCAAACAAATACAAATACTGAAATACATGTGATAATTCAACGACATTCTACAAATCCTTTCACACCTGCTCTTTGGAAAGACGATCAAAAATATCATCCAGATTTTTCCTCCCACGTTCTAACGCGTCATGGGTTTTGGATAATTCTGCCGTTTCCATTTGTGCCTGCATAACAATTTCGTTCAACCGCCTCCCCAGCTTCTCTTCCGCTGCGGAAATCAACGACGCCCGAATGTGTTCGTCTGAAATTGTGCCAGTGTTCGACGGTTTGTTGTCAGCCACGGGATTGTATGCCGGATAGGGAGATGACTGTGGATAGCTAGGCCCATTCGAGTTAGCGGGATTAAAAGCCGGGTAAGAATTTCGATTGGACGCATTATATTGGCCTGCAGGCGGATATCCGGTATTCTGCTGACCTGTAGGTGGGTACCCTCCTGCTGTTAACAAATCAAAATTGATACCGTTTTTTCCAAATCAGTTCAGTTGGTACTTTTTATAGAAAATACTCGTAAAACACACCCGGAAAGGCAGGATACGGAGTCTGGTATGCCCCTGGAGGAGCCGGAGGATAAGCGGGATAACCACCACCTCCAGGGAGACTTGGCATAGGCATCGGGCTGAAATTTTGACCTGCAAAACACTTGATGCTTTGCTATTCCTTGAAAATGTAATGTATTAAGTGGTATATACTGGGATTTCCGGTGGCTGGCTGCGGTTGGTTCCTATTCGCTTGCTCGCCTGCTTTTTTCGAGTACACCGGAGGTTGTTCCCCAAATATCATCGCCATAATATGGCAAAATTCCAGCAAATCGGATGAGTTCTAATCAAGAAGAATATAAGTCTAACCATAAGTACAAAGTATGAGTTCTAATCAAGAAGAACATAATTATTACAGTCTAACCATAAATACTGCAAGACACTAAAAAACAGACAAACTGACAAACAGTGGTTATCATCATTACGTACATGGCGCCAATCGGTCAAGTATGGCAGATAAACGCGTCCATTCTGATCGACGTGCAAATTTGGTTTAATTTTCATGTCAGGGGTTGGTTTCACGTAGCAGAAAGGTGGATTTTGAGGATGCGTATCCATAAGCCAGATCTGCACCGGAATGTTATATGTGCTACCTGCAGTAAATGGAACTTTTTTAGGGTTAGGGAAATTTTTAGGGTTAACTGGTCAACTGAATGAAAACAGAGAATATGGATATATCGGATTTCTTATTCACTGTCTGTGGCTTCCCCAGCAGTATGCTAGACAAAATTCCGAACACGATGCAAAACTCCTTAGTCAGATAGACAGACCTCGTGCGCCAAAACGTTCAGTTACCTTTGTAATTGATTGGCAATGTACCGAAAAGATTCATCAACTCCTTATTCGAACCATCAGGAAACACTAAAAGCATTAAACCCATGACTGCGCAAAATACCAAAAATAAAAATGATGTACTTCAAACGCAAATCACAAGTACAGCCTGATAAGTGATCAGTAACCCGTAAAACTTGTCAGCGATGATTAAAACATGGTCATTTTATTAGTTAGTAGAATAGTAGGAACGTTACCGTAATCTGACATGCTGGGGCGCAAATCTGAGTAGTATGAAAGCAGTTTATGGACGTCTTTTGCTGTCTGGTCCGGATATCGATACTGCAACAAATTACTGTAGGTAAATTAGTAAATTATTTCCATATTGCTAATTCCCGTTAGCGCAACAGAAACGTTACGCGTATCAGGCGAAACTTGTGCTCACTCAGGACAGGGCATACTCGAAGCGGAACAAAAACAACACAGTCATGAAAAAAAAAAATTCTTTCTTCCCCCAGTTGCAGCAGGAGAGTTGACGCAGTCACGGCAGCACAGATAGTGATACACAATACAGTACGAGTAGCTGATATGCTGACGTTTCCAGCTGCTTGGCGAGTTTTTCGCTCACAACAGAAGGCGATGACTTTTGCCAAATGTTATCCGGATTTTGCACCATAATTCTATATCATCTCAAAATGAAACATCTGTCATTACCCACCTTTCTTCCTAACATGTTCTCCAATGTCTTTGCCGTCCAGGTTGTCATTTTCAGACCTGTGGACTGAATTTCTCTCCCGATACCACAACAATGCTCAATGAGAGGCCTCCGTGAAGTGGAAGAATTGGAAGATGTTGAGAAATACCTACAAACAAGATCAGCGGGAAGCAATTATTATCTCAAACTTATTATAAGAATGCAACGATTATAAAGTACGAAATACTCACAAAAAAGGGCAGAAAACGTTTTACTTTTATGTTTAAAGTCAAATTTGAAAAGTACAAATTAAGTAATGGCAGATGCAGAGCGTATGGCACGGCATGCCATGTGCTGCCATCGGTGTGCTATCACTTCTTTCCGCCACCTGCAGGGAGCATGTCCATACCCCGTAGCGAAAGAATTTTCACTTTGTCAGGTCAGATTTGGTTGGTTGCTACTTGCTAGTATCATTTTAAAATGGTTTTTTATTGTGCTTTAGACCTTTAGTTGTTGTTGTCCCGGTTCCGTAGTGCCCACAATCGTAGGGCAGACCAGCTTTCTGAATACGCAGGTGCAGTCTGTCACTTTACTGGAACTGGCAATCACCGATCGTCTTCGCGATCACTTTTATGAATTTTTAACATGGATCTGTTTGACGGACTGCCAGATCCACTCAAACCGGATATACAAGATACGAGCGGTAGAGGTTCGCAGATCTCTAACCATGAAGCCGCAGTATTAAGCGGTGCGAAATGTATAGAAGTATTCTTCGTTCACGTTGGTAGTAGTCTGTCGTGCAACCTGCATCCGTATGTGGTCATGCATGAGATGTGCGTGGATTGCGGTATTTCCGAAGTAATTTTTTTGTAGCAGGCGCTGCCAAACGGAAGCACAGCGAGGAAGATCCTGACGGAAGTGACGGATCCAACAAACAACCAGCCTTGGACGGCGGACCTCAGGGGGAAGCAAGGTGTGCGGACGCTTCCAATTCTCTGTCAAATCTTCCAGTTGTCACCGATGGTTGTACATCAGTAAACACGATCACATTTCATCGCTGTTGGCATGTGCATGATGGCGTTGTTTTTTGTAGGCGTCGGCTTACCGCTGAAAGGCTTCCGTGTCGAACTTCAGGGTGAGCGCGAGGATATGGAGGACCATTCCGTTGTCGTGGATCAGTTCAGTGATGATCGACTGTGTCGCCGTTCCGATATGTAATTGCTGCATAACTGCCCCTCTGTTTGGAATTATCAGTCCATTTGAATCCGAATAACTGTTGCGAATTTTGAAGAAAACGCCTGGCGTATTATGGTGTATTCGACGGGCATAATGGAAGTCGGGCATCGAAGTTTATGGAGCAGGAGATGAACGAACACATTATGGCCGCTTTTGCTCAAAGAGGTGATAGGCTGATAGCGCAGCAGCGTACAATGTGCTGAGAAAACGGCAATACACCAAGTTTTCATTTTCAGGTGGATTAAATGCAACCGATCTCGATGCAGCCATAATCGGATCGGTAATAAGTGCTTTCAAATCAGCAGATACAGCTTTGCTGTCCAAAGCTGCCAAACAGTAAGTATATTCCGTGGTTGGACTCTTTCATCTCTGAACTCGAAATAGTACGCTGTTCCTTAATAAAATACGCAATTTCCTTTTCCATTAGGAAACCGCCGTGGAAAGACGGTACAACAGCTACGACAGCTTTGGTAGTGAACAATAAAGTATACGTGGCTAATGTCGGCGACAGCAAGGTAGAAAAGTGTACGAGTAGTGTTTTTGTGCTCTTAATTAAGCTTGGTCATGCAGACAGCTTACTTATGTCTGTTTTCTGTTTACAGGCCGTGGTTTGTCGCTTCGACCGCGCACGAAAGGAGCACAAAGTGATAACCTTGACCGTGGACCATACTCCCTTGATTTATGAAGAGAGGCAGCGGATCCAGCAGCAAGGTGGTTTTGTCCGGTATGATAAGACTTTCTGGCACGTTCTGCAATGCTGTTGACACTGTGTCAGTGTAAACTTTTGCAGAGATGGACGTTTAAATGGTGTCCTTGAAGGTATTAGTATTGCGATCTTGGATTTCCATACCCTTGTTGATCTGTATAATCTGTTGCAGTGTCCCGATCCCTTGGAGATCTGCCTTACAAGAAAAACACGGGACTGTCATGTGTACCTTCCGTGCACAAGTATCAGTTGACTGCGGATGATAAGTATGGGCATTTGGTGTTTGGCTCATGTTTGGCTTTTTTGACGTGAAAAATTAAGCCTTGCCTCAATGTTGCAGATTTCTAATTATTGCTTGTGATGGATTATGGAAAGCCCTATCGCCGGCCGATGCGATGAAGGTCGTTTTATGCTTGGTTTCGGTGAGTGTTAAGGAGTTAAGGATGATTTCACTATGACTCAGCGATTTCAGTTTTGAAAGAGTTTCCTTTCTGCGTTGCATAAAAAAGTTTAAAAGTGACAATTAAACTTAACGTTCGTTACATGATTGCGTACTGCTTCCTATCTTTTTTGTCGTGAAAACGTGTAAAATACACTTCCTATTCGTTAGAATGCCAAGAAGGAGGAACTGGATGAAAAATATGCTAATGCGTGCATGGCATTAGCGAAAGATTCGTTGAAACGATTGTCTGGTGACAATGTGACCGTTCTTCTGATCCGTGTTAGTGATGCGCAAGCCGATAGCATTCTGGATACTGCTGGTGTTTGACAATATGTGCTTGAAGGGAGGTAAATTAAAGAATTGCATAGGTATCTACATTACGCACGAAGGTTGCTGCTTCTGTCGACGGTTTTTATTTTTTATCGTGTATTTATAACTGCCGTCATGTTTGAATGTTTTAATTGATTTTAATAAACCACATGTTCATGTTCTTATCCGCATTTTCTGTGGCTAACGTGTGAATTTTATTATATGCCGGTTGAAATAGCCAGAAGTTGTGTCTGTGATCAAACCGTTTGAATTTGGGTTATTTAATTTCCTGTATTGTTTGCAAACTGCCCAGAATTACATGCATTTAAAAGATCGCTTCGGTAGCACGAAGCGTAATTAATCGCATGCGCAAAGTAGTTTTGTTCATGGACGCCGCTAAAGAGATGGGACATTGGTCCTTTGGCATATACTGGAACATCTTCTCCCATGTGCATCTACACCATGCACCAACATATTATACGAGAAAGGGTGTACTATGGGTCTACACCTACAGCCCAAGAAGACGGAATGAAAGCTGGTTGCCGGTATCCTGCCGCGGCTATAATAAAACATTAAAAAATAATGCTGTCTTGCTGGTCAGTTTGCTTCAGATTCCAGTAACTGACGTGCAGCTTGATGTAGTGCGGAACTTTACGAAGGATCGTCGATTTTTCCTTACCAGAAAATGCCGTTACGGTGTAATGTTTCAGAAGATACTTCAGCAATTTTAGGTCTTGTCGTATGCCGTTACTACAAAGCTTACTCGTGTCTTGCCCCGAAATGTTCAGCCTTGGAGTGTTTAGAGGGCTTTCGGGACCGGAAGCGTAGAGAAGTGAGGTGTACGGTTTACCATCCGCTGCTTTTTTGGCGTTTGCTAGACCTTTGGAAGAAATTCGAAGCAGTTACTCTTAAGTCTCAATAGCCAACGCGATTGTAGTACGATCGCCATATTATACTCGTATTATAAACTTTTTAGTGCTCGCGAAAAATGTTTTCTTTAATTGACTCTTTTGCACTTTATTACCGCTTTGCCAGCCCTGACTTACCTAGTATGGATGTTCCTGAAACCAAATCAAATCAGGGCATTAATTTACGTACTCTGTTAAAATTAAGCGGTTAGAACTGGACAAGGCATAGACTGGTTCTTAAAGATTCCGTTCTGTTTTCTTAGAGGTTGACACTACCGGTCTGTTCAAAAATTGCACTAATTATCTTCGATTTTTTATATAAAAAATTAGGACTTACATATAAAGAATTACTTAGTTTAGCAGTACGCTTATATAAGTATAATATTAAGTACGCTTATATAAGTATAATAATTATGTGTATAAGTATAGTATTAAGTAAAACCGTCATCCGAAAAACTCGTTTTATGTATATATACAGTTTATAACAATAGTATCAGCACCTTGAACAAATTATAATACTTAATAGTATTTGAATTCATTATAGTTAGCTTACCTCGTTTCTGATATCCAAGAAAAAGCAAAGAATGGGAATGGTCGGCAACAACTTCAAAATATTGTTAGTCATTTTAAATATGCAATATGCACTCCAGTTTCGCTAAATTTGTTGTTTCCGTCAACAAGAGCGCGTATGAAGTTGTTGTTGTTATTTGTTAAGTATGGTTCTCTTATATTTGTGTAATAATAATTTATGATCAAAGGTCATACCTACTAGCAACGTATCGTTCTCGTGTGTACAGTCATCAATCGCCCGAACAGCTTTGTCCAGAGCAATGGTTTCATGCAGTGCGTTTGCCGCCATTCCTCTGTGGTGGGCATCGTCAATCAGACCTCCTTCAATCATCAAGAAAAAGCCTTTCGGGTTTCTCCGTAATACCCGTACAGCGGCCACCGCCATTTCATCGAGCGCTGGCTCCGGAGAAGAATCACCGCGATCCCAAGCGAAACTCATTTTTTCCGGATTGAATAGACCTAAATATTGTGCGCAGGACTGTAATTTGTAATAATTATTAATGATTTTGAAACCAATAATTCAAGGCAGGTTATACTTAGGAACTGACCGAATTTCCGGTATAATACCGACTATATTATACACGTGTAAAAAAACTTTTATACCCAGCAAGAATTCATTTTCTGCATTCGCCATATTTTTCAAGTCTTCTTTATTTTGCATGTATCCAGCGCTAGCATTACGGCGCCTTTTGTCGTGCATCCATTCTTCAACCAAATTGCGGCCATCCAGTCGCTTTCCGTAACTGTTACTTTCCTCATCCAAATGATTTTGCGGCAGAAAGCTGAGTCGTCCTCCCCCCAGGATAACCTTACAACAGGAGAAACGGTCCATAACGCCGTTTAAAAAAGCCGTCAAGCGAAACATAAAAATATTTTGACACAGCTAACTGCCTACATTTATATTTCGACCAGGTAAATCGTCGATCAGCTGGACGGAAATATCTTTGCACCCAAGTTCCCGCTGTGACGCAGGTATGGCACTGTCCACCTAAATCAATTTCGATTTCGCTACACTAGTAAGCTTTGCAGTCGCAGATTTGGCGCCATCTAGTTTCTTTCTAATTTTCTATAATATGCAATCCATCCAACAAACATAGGATACAAACTAAAAAATAATATGCAGTAGTAACTTGCTTCCCAGTCCTCTTCCGGCGTATGTGCATACAGTGATGCCGGTGTGCTGTCCACAACTCGAGTGTTACTAATAATTCCAGTGGACTTGCCTGTTAACAGTGAGCAAACTCATATCAGCAAAATATTAACATGCCAACCGACACGAAGCAAACTTTTTAATTTATTTAAATCTAAAACAGTAATGTCCTGCTTGTAGCTGTGGTATTACGGAATAAAGATTACTCCTGAGTGTTTTCGATTCGCATAGCATGGAATTTACGACGAATTAATCAAATTACAGTATTTCTGGGAGTGGATAACGTACCCGCTTGTTGCGCCCACAACAGCAAACCGTCGATGTGGTGGAGGTGCGAATTTTTGCATTCTTTGGGGACAGCCGAGCTGTCCAAACCGATCGTTTCGGAATTCACCTTCATTCCCGAAAACAGAGCTGTACCGCTTGCAGAGGATTCTGAAACCTGTTTATCGTTGGAATAAGCCTGAAATCATAATCGGAAATTTTGTTTTTCTTTCGTTAATATGAATCCCTTCAGTATCGCTGACAGCCAGATGCCATTCATTCGATGTTCTGCCAGACTGATCTTTAAATTAAACACACGAGTACGATGGTTTGTGTGTACATAAGCACCTTTAAAAGTCCAGTGTGCGGGAAGCGATCAAAATGCAGATAGCCTTCCTCACCGGATTTTCCATCCAGCTGCCCCTTCAGAATTCGTGCCGCAGTAACTGTAGTAACACCCATTCCATCACCCAGGAACACTATCACATTTTTGGCGATATTGTGGTTTAGTTTGGACTTCAGGGTATCGCGAAGTTCATCCTGACCGACTGTCCACCAGGTTTCCGGGCCTGATACACAAGCAGAACTCCGGGTGGTGTATGTTATATCTGTATACTATCCAATCGTTTTATATGTGTATTGTGTTGCAGTTTCTTACTTTCACTGACCACTCCATGGACGAATACAGATAAGCATATCAAATGTGTCAGTGATATCCGTAACGGAAGTCGGGTTTCAAGAACTGAAATTCCTAATTTTCCAATACTGCGCCATAGAATTTTAGAAAAATCCATGCATGCAGATAAAAGGAACGTGATGCAAACCATAATCCTGGTTTTCTAGTCGTAGTCGTGAGCGCATCCAAATCGAGGTTCCAAGTGATTAGCTTCTCAAAAGCAATCCGCCAAATAAGTGCATCTTTATAGTGTTTATATCGTATTAACGTTAGGATCGATCGAACTTCCCAATGATTCTCAAAAGCACCTGTAGTTAGAGGTATTATGGTAGCTTAATTTACTCTGCGCATGCCCAGCACGGTAGGTTTTTATAGCTGGTATTTTTATCCTGGTTCGGTAGTATCCAGTATTAACGAGATGCTTCTCAAAAGTTCGCACCAATTTCGGATTCACAATTTTCTGCAAGCTAAGTTTTGGCTAAGTTTTCGACCACGTGCGACTTTGATCAGTAATACAATTAAGATTACGGCAACACTTACTGTGGGAATATTTTACAATCACTGCAAATCGTCATGTTGTGATTTCATGGCTGCATGTATTGTAGATATATACGTACACGGGGACGTAGGTCGGCCATCAAAGTTATGGTCGGCAGGTGCGAATGGTTTAACCATCGATGAAACGGTATAACCATGGAATTTAACGTGCGCTGTGCAGCCGGTTAGACCTGGGGTCTGACAGATTTATACAAGCGATATTAGTTTCCTTTAGGTGTTAGAAAGGCATTAGGGTTTCGATAATGATCACAAATTTACTTCCAAAGTTTGTCTCTGGGAAGCAAGTCATGGTGAATGACCTTTATCTTCTGGCCCGACAGTCGCGATGAGTTGGCACTGCTGTTGCGCCTGATTTCGGTTGCAGGCAAGCATCACAGATGATTACTGGACCATTTCAGTGCAATAATAATATTCCAGCACGACGGATGCGCAGCGTTGGTACTCGTACAGTATCACAGCAAAATTGAATTCGAATGGGAGCAGGGAGTGTATTAAAGTTAATAATAAAATCTAACGAAACGTTCAGAACAAAATTATAATTTGTTGTAACCACGACAAGTTTTAGGTAAACCATTGAAGCGGCTCGCTGTTATTCGTTGTTTAAACAATAAAAATCGTGCACTTCCTGATTTACAGCGCAGTAAAGGTCACACAGCGGCGCAAAAGAATTTACTTCCGCCTTCCGTATAATACTGTTTAATAATTACGGATTGCGGATATTATTAAAAACCGATTTACTACCCACGAAATTTTAACCCAGCACAGTGCTTATTCAAAGGATACTGAATATGCCGCAGTAACTTTTTTTATGGATTATGCTTGCGACTCACGGTCAGTTGCGAGTATTGCGAAAACGTCATATTTCGTCGCAGTTTTTGTTTTTATAAATTTTATACGAGTAGTCCCGTAGTCCCAGGCGGGCCAGGATTTTTGTGTGGCCAGGCGCAGCAGAGCTATACGTAAGATCTAGGGCCGGCGGTTACTTAAAAAAACATGTTATTTTATTGACTGTAAAACGCAACTAGACTCCAGACGGGCGATGATGCGGTATGCAAAGTCATAAAGCACACTGCACCGGATTTTGGGACCGTAGGGCCATGTGACATGCAGCTGCCAATAGCTGAATGTAAGGGCAATCGTAGAGCGATTTTAGTTCAAAAATTCCATGTGTTAGTGGCCTAGTGTAAATTTACTATTTCACTCCCCGTTGTTTTATCTCATCCCCTTCCATCCTTTGTGGATTTCGTAATATCATATTTTTTACTTCCATCCCATAAAAATGGCGCTTACGGACGCAGATGTTCAGAAGCAGGTTCGTACCAGCTGGACTAAGATGCAGCGTTTGGGAGGCTCATTTCCAGGTTTGAAAATGGCTATCTTTGCTGGTTGCAGATTAAGCACATGATGGCTTTCATCGAACAAGAAGCCAATGAAAAGGCTGAAGAAATCGATGCAAAGGTAAATTTACATGGATTTCGAAGAATGTCGCCTAGTTAACGATGTGCACATGACAGGCGGAAGAAGAGTTTAACATCGAAAAGGGGAGATTAGTGCAGCAACAGCGATTGAAGATTATGGAATTCTATGAGCGCAAGGAAAAACAGATCGAGCTGCAGAAAAAGATGTAAGGGACATTTCCCCTATCTGTTGAAATTAGACTCTTTGACCGAAAGGATTTTAAGCTGGATTTCGTTGTAGTCAGAGTTCCAACCTCCTGAACCAAGCTCGCTTGAAAGTCCTCCGAGCACGTGACGATCACATTCAGGTAAACAGCAATAGTACTGTAACTGAATACCACAGAGAGTTTTCAACACTTGCATTTTGTCATTTTTTAAACTGGATGCTACTGCATTGTTTGTGACTGGTGAATAATGGTTTTATCCCATGAAAAGATTGTAATATTCAACTGTTCATATTATTAATGTAAGTCGATTGTAAGAACTCAGTCTTGTGTCCGGATCTTAGTGGATTATTACGATTGTAACCAGCGAAACCGAATATAACGTTGAGTTTATGGTATTTGTTTTGCAGAATATTTTGCAAGAAGCTCGGAAACGCTTAGGAAATATTACTAAAGATCAGAATCGCTATGTGGATCTGCTTCGTAACTTGACGCTCGAAGTGCGTGATGAACAATGAATTTGTATATCTCTTGTAAACTGATGTACGGAATTAGTAAACTGAAATATTTTAAAGGGGCTTTTCAACCTTTTGGAACCGACTGTCGTCGTTAAGTGTCGGGGTCAAGATCTTCATGTCGTTCAGGTGAGAACAGCCAAGTTTATAAGCAGAGTTGCTCTTAATTTGGCGGTTTTTTTTACTGGTGTTATTTATTTATTGTTACTGTTTAGGATATCGTCAGAGAGAGTGTTCCACAATATAAAGAAAAATCCAGTCGGGATGTACGGGCCCATGTGGATGAGAACGATTTACTAGGACAGGATACGTGAGTTTGTTTTACGTATATAGATATGTTATGTACCGGTTTTTTACGAGTACGGTGCTATAAGACATTGTGTCGTATGTATTCATGTGTCGTGATACTACGCGTATGTGTGCTTTTTGTTTGCATATTCTGTCGTTTTAATTTGTGTCTACGAGTCTGTGACATATCTGTAGCTGCGAAACAGCGTTTCATCCAAGAAATGAGTGTTATGTTGTTTTTTTTTAGTTCTGGAGGTGTCGTGCTTCAGAGCGGTAGTGGAAAAATTAAGATGAGGAGTACCCTGGAAAGCAGGTTGGAGATTGTTGCTCGCGAGGTAATTTTGAGTAAATTGTGGCTGGGAACATCCAGATTGTTACAAGTAAAGACAGACAGGGGGTTTCGCATCTTTTCCTTTGTGATACGGAATGCCTGTGTGACTTTATGCACAGTACTAGTCAGCGGTGTAAAGACATGTACTTTTTTAATTAATAACTGAATAATGCTACGTAATGCAGCATTTTGCAAATATTGCCAAATACTTCGTGGCTTTGTGCGAAACAAACCGCACCGCGGGAACGATTTTATGCTACGCAGAGTGTTTATAATTTTATTCTGAAGTTTAACCAGATGATGTGCATGGGCAATGCGTATTTCGCTACGTTGTTGCAGGCGCAAATATTCTGTTTCGAATTTTCAGAATCTTCCTCAAATTCGAAATGCATTATTTGGTGCCAATCCTAATCGGAAGTTTATGGATTAATGTTCTCTTCCGTGAATATTTTGGGATGCCACGGTGAGACAAGAGGCGCCTGTTTCGGAATAGTATGTCTTTAGAATTCTAGCAGCTGAATTACTTCGGTTTTATTTGCTTTAACTTAAATGTGCAAAGTATGCACGTGTGTGCTTATCGTGAAGAAAACGAAAATGGTTTCAGAAATTAGTTTAAATGATTGCTTGCTGTATGTTCTACGTCATATTATATGTGCATGGATTGTTGGTTTAATTCAAAACGTGAGGTTTGATGTTCTTATTCGTTCCGAATTCCAGCATTAAATGCATTCCAAGTTTGACGAACGCAACTTGCGTGAGAACAGAACAGCAACGTAAAAACCCCGTACGTGCATGCAGAGTTGCAGACGGACAGAAAGGATAAGTAATCTACCGGAATGTTCCCGCACAGAGCGACAGAATATTATGAACGAATCACAGACCAAGGAAACGAAAAAGCCAATAAGTTACGCCATTAACACGACACGATGAGAATGAGTGTATGGAGTGAGTGAGGAATGGGTTAGTTATTCTCCGCAGTATCGACAATGGTGCGCATATCGATTTTTTCCGGTTTACGTATCCCTAATAGCTTTTCCGCGATGCCGAGGAAATACACTGTTTGAGCAATGCCAAATAAGGGTGCGATGACGATAGCGCGCGGGACAGCTCCTTTGAACAAAGCACTCACGCCCTCGTAGCGGACGATGTTCCTGCATTGCAAGAGAGATTGAATATCATCACTCTAATGGAAAAACAGGACGACACAAAAACCGATGACATACGCGAAAGCATCCACCACACCACTATATTGCCTCTCTCCTGCCGCTCTTTTGAGTAACTGTAAGCGAGTCTTCACAACTAAAATAAGTTCAAAAATTTCAAACAAGAACAATCATATACCCCGCTGAGCTTGTAAAATCAAAACCTGTAATTTGAACTCACCATCAGCTGGAGTAACGAAGACAGCAGCAAAAGCACCGCTGGATAATCCACAAATGAACGAGTACCAAAACGGAGCTTCATCACTTCCTGGATGTTTCTTCGGACCCTGAAATTGCAAAGCAACAAATATTCTTGCATGGAACTTCAAGAACATTATCCAAGTTGCATCAAAGTTCACAAGAATTATTAATAAAATTCATGGAGGAGACAAACTCGCAGTGCCTCGATTTCAGCTCATCGGAAAATTGCACCAAATGCCATACAAGTAAATTCATAATTTCTATCCCGGTTTGTTGCAATCTGCCTAGTGCCTACTATCTATAGCTTCGGGTTGTCGAATTTAAATTTAGCTTTGCAAGTGGCATTTGACACTGTTATCAAACATTCCATAACATACCAATTCTAGAAGTGATAAACGCATGCACACTTGCAATACAGGCTAAAATGTTTCTCAAGAATGGGCCGTTTTCTACGGGTATACAAATAAATTTCCTAAACAATCGTTCACTATTTCCCAAAACGTTACTTTCTTGATTTTATATGCTTTGGACAACTTTCATACAATTAATATACCAAAACGCAATTTTTCCGGGAGGTAAAAGCAACTGCTTCGGCTTTCGGACGGTCTCAGGGCTGATGTCATCACCAGGGAATTGGGTTGTAATTGCTGCCGTGATAATGCCGAAAGGAGTATTACTTATCAAACCCCTAACGGGAGGTTTTCATCGTGCACTTTCATGCTCACCATGCTATTCAGCCTTGCAAACAAGGGAAAATAGACAACAGAGAAAGCCACATCCCTCAACATGGTAGCGGCGGTTCCTTTATATAACCCCACAATTCCTTTTGTTCGCAACAAATTCATGGCAATGGTGGAGGCTTTGGGAGCACTCACTGCAGCGGCGCCATTTCCTGACGTAGCTGCTTGCGACGCTACGGCGACCAGAGGAGGTGTAATCACGTAAGCTACTACAAAAAAGGGAAAACGTCACGTGCGACGCCATTTATTTATTACCAACTCTTCCAGCGTCCTGTAGTTGAATTTTCAACAACTCCATGGGGGTGGTCACGACAATCTGACACAATCCCGCTCCAGCGCCGGCTAACATTTCCCGTTCGATGGGAAGTTTACCGCTGTAAAAACAGTGAAGTGGAATCCACATTATCCGGCTGCAAGTCGCGAGATAGTGCTACGTAGTGCAGTAGGCAAAATGTACTTCACAGCCAGCTTGTGACGAAAAAAATCATTTCCGGTTAATTTGATGGCTTTCTCTGGAGTGACGAGGATAATATTGACAGCCGAGCCTATTTATAATCCGATTTAAAAACAGCTTCGGATACTGTCAGTGTCGCTGCGACGATATGGTTAATTATTACCTCGATACATGCCCCGAAATCCTTCTGCTCGTAGAGTTTTCTTAAAGCAGTCATACCTGAAATTCGGATTTATTTTTGCGATTCTTCGGTGGTCAGAGTTAAGATCAATTCTACCTATTGTGTCGACTTTAAATTAATTAGTGCTAGACCACTTAAATAGTATTAGATTATGCATTATTCTATAACAAACCAAAGAGCAGTTAAATACCAGGAACGCACGCTGTATTGTAAGATCGTATTGTACTGTATTGTATTATAATTGTAAGATCGTATCGTATTGTAGGATCTGTACATTGTGTACAATGTACATACATATTGTTATACATTCGCTTCCCATCTGGGCCGGTTTGTTGGTTTTGTAGCCTTGTTTTAACGAGATCAATCTGCAGGACCAGTTGGTTGTAATTTGACCAACTAAATTACGTAACAATCGCTTCAAACATAAACAAATGACCATACCGGAAATACACATGATACCTAAAAATAAAAAAATGTTAACGTTATTCTTCTTCTAACTACGTTTTTCTAAAAGTAAAAAAATAAGTAAATGATAATACGAGTAAATAATAATACGAGTAAAAAAATAAGTAAAAAATAAGTACGAGTAGTCCAAATACTCACGCCAATAATGCCGGCAATACCTCCATTAATGACTTTGGGAACAAGGCTGAAAATAAAACAGGCTTGGTAACTTTATTTGGCGCACAATATGGAGAGTTTTCTCAGCAAACCTACTGCCAGTTACTATACAGATATTGTACTTACGAGAAAGCTTTTGGATTATTCGAAGACGTCATTTCGGCGAGGAATTCAACAGTAACAAATTATCTGAAAAACAATCAGAAATAAAATCATGCAGTTATGCAGCGCACGAATACAAGTGCTGCCGATCGGGCTATCCATTAATTATCACACTAGTGTCAATAAATTAAAAGACTAGATATCAGAATAATTGTTCACAGGTACAAAGCATGAAGTTACTTACATACGGTTAACTATGAATTTAGATAAACTAATTCTTATCAATCTTTGTTCTTTGCGAGAGCTTCGTTCAGAACTTCAGAGACACGATAACAGATAACCAAATACCGACATAATTATTGACTGATAATTCTTTATACAGTATTTGTACGGACAAGTTGAAATTTTAAGAGAACAATTTCCATATTTGCAGACAGGCAATAAAAACTGATACTGCTCGCCTCATGAGAGCTGACACTAAAAAAATAATTATTAAGTACAGTCCTTACGAAATGGTAGATTACGTTTGCAAGTTGACTTTTCAGTCTCGTTCGGTGTACTCGGTATGCACAATTGACCAGTCATACGCATAAAAGTCTCACAATTTACGATTAATATCCATATCACCATCATGTATAAAGTATGAGGTAAGTATAATTTACAATACGAGTACTTCTATGAATCTATAGAGATCTCAGATGTGCATTGGCGAGCATCGCTCAGTTATCAGTAAAATACAATCATTACTTATGTAGAATGATTTATTTACAAGCAATTTCTAGCATTTAATAATCTAGAAGTTTGAAGTATCTAAATACAGCAAAATGTTAAGCATAATTTTCACAAGCCATTTATTTTAATATTAACTTCCGTGCTTCGCTATTCGCTTCAGCCTTCAGATTACAGTAGTTATGATTTATGTTGAAGTAAGTAATATCACACATTTTGACCATGTTCGAAAAACAAGCTACAGATACAGTATCGAGATCTATTTTTGTAAGTTTTAGTTCCAAAGCTATAATTATTTCTCTTCTGCAGCTGCATTACTGATATTAAGTGACTACAGATAACTTATACTTGTAACTTACCCGAGAATGCTGCCTGCTTTTCTGCAATCCAACAGCTCCTTAAATGAGAAGAATATCATATGATTCATATCATCGCACAACAGAATTAGTAAAAAGACAATTCTACCAGTTTTCAGTACTCGTATTGTACTTCTTAAATCCGACATATTTTACAGTTTTTAACTTCTCAAGTTTTACTCTACAATCACATACTAGAAGCGAAGCGAAGCTACTTGCCCAGCGTGAAACCAGTTGCAATTTTCCGTGGTGTCGCGTGCCGGGAGAAATTTTTTCAATATAATTATATGAGGAACGAAGCTGTTAACGATGCTGAACAGTAAGCATCTACCTAAACATGCTAAACTGGCAACAAATGTTGAAACTGGCACGCAAAAATAACAAAAGATATCAGAAAATTTGGCTGTGCTCCGGCGATCGATAGATTTGTTTATTAGATTAGAGAAAGCTGAAAGCAGTCGTAATTCTAGCCAAAAAGCCTGGAGTAAGTAAACCAGCATGGAAAGTCGGCATTTGCAACGTAATTGCGGCTTTGGGCGATCGACACTGCGACTGTTAAAATACGGCATGACCACACGGCACAAAACCTCCCCATGACGAATGTTTCTTCAGAAACCACACGTGTTACATCATAGGATTTGCTTTAACACCTGTTAAAATAAGATAACGAAAATTTACGTACTGTACTTTACTTTAGACGACTTGTTTAAACAAATTTTTCCTTTCACATTAATTTTGAAATGTTGTATTCTTGTAACTTTTGGCTTATTTGCAGCATCGGTTTATTTTATCGATAGAACTATAGAAGTACATTCATATGCTCGTATTTTGCCTGCATTAAGCCATTAACTTCTATTGGTGTTAAGTTACGTTACAAAAAAAGGTAACACGTTTGATAGTACTTACGTATTACTGAATAGCACTACGATTCTTTGGATGCTGGAATCCGTGAGATCTGCACCAACCAAAACGCCTGTTTGATTGAAAATGACGGCTTCTTTAGCTGGTTCAGGGACTCCACGTAATTCTTATGATTTCAAACTTGTTCTTTTGGGAGAAGGGTGTGTAGGAAAGACCTCGCTGGTACTTCGATATGTGGAAAACAGATTCAACGAGAAGCACGAGTCAACATTACAGGTAGAAATTCTCGTACTCGTATCCCTTCGTTTTATAGTTTTCGTACTCACCTAGATTTTAATTACGTAGTTGAGATGTACTAATTTTATAAAATTAAAAGCATAAATGAAGGATCACGTGCATTTTGTTTAGGCATCCTTTTTGAACAAGAAGCTGAATATTGGTGGAAAAAGGATTAACCTGGCTATTTGGGTAAGTCAACCATTTACCGTTTACGTATGGAAACTATTGTATTAAGAATAGCTGGTTATTAGAATTGTTAATAACGTATTTGGCAAATATTTTTGTTCTGGAGAATGTAAGTTGGAAATGCGCGTAGTCATAACTCATAAGGTTTTGAGTCTTGACTCAATTGACTGGGATATTTGTGTGCGATCTGTTTTTGTAAATTGTCCGTTTTTTGTTTGGGAAAGGTGTATTTTGTAGATGGTTGACAGTATATATCGCATTAACTGATATTTTTCAGCAATAAATATACAGCTAGTTTTGCTAAACAGCTTTATGCAGCCATTTTGTTAAAATAACAGGTTGACCAGTCAATTACAGTACGTTTTTACTTCAGGCATTTGAGTTTAGAACCTAGTGCGTCATATCTGCGCATACACTGTGATAGGTTTGGAACAACTGGTTAATTTTGTTTTTTTGTCCTTAGGACACGGCTGGCCAGGAAAGGTTCCATGCATTGGGACCAATTTATTATCGTGATAGTCAAGGTGCACTACTCGTTTACGACATTACCGACGAAGATTCATTTCAGAAGGTTAGACATTACTGTAGCACCGATAGCTAGCCAGTTTTACCTTATGTGTTTTATCTGATTTTTACAAATTGTAATTATGGTTTATAAATACTAAAGCAGTAATTTTCTCAATAAACACCAATATTCTTATTTTAGGTCAGAAACTGGGTGAAAGAATTAAGGAAAATGCTTGGAAATGATGCCGTTCTGGCCATTGTCGGAAACAAAATTGACTTAGAGAAGCAAAGGCATGTCCCGGTTGAAACCGCAGAAGAGTACGTGTTCCTGCCACGCAGTTACCGGCTTTATATGCTCTTTATTCCCTTAATTTTTCAGATATGCGGCTTCTGTTGGAGCCAAGCATTTCCACACATCTGCCAAACAAAATAAAGGGATAGAGGAGCTTTTCTTGGATCTATCCAAACGTAAGCTGCGCTTTACTTTGAAAGTAGCGTGCATATTTGAAATTTGTATCGTTGTAACACTGGCTGTGGTTGAGCAAAATTTAATTCCCATGTTGTATCAGCCTACCTTTTTTCGTACCAGGTTGCATCCTTTTAAAGAGGCTGTTGTTTATATTTTTTGTGGTTTTTATACTTGAATTTCGCATCAGTTTGATATTTGCTGTTACAAATATTAGCGGAAGTATTGCCATACTTTCTGGATCTTTTTTAGGTATGTTGGACCAGGCGGAAAAATCTGATGCTCTCAAACGTGGATCATCTGCGAATGGCACTCGCGGAGTACCTGGAAATGTTGTTTTGCTCGATGAATCGGGACCACAACCCCAGAAATCAGGGTGTTGTTAGCGCTCCTCGGTGATATTTGCTTTAACAGATTTTGTATCCGCGTGTTTCTTGATAATTATTTGCAACGCCTCTGTTAGTCGCTTTTTGTTTTTTCTTTTATCGCGTGTTGGGCGCTCCGTGCTGACGAAGCTCCTGATGCCTTTGATTCCGTTCATTTTTTTGTAGAATGTCGTAAGGTTTCCAGTTTCCACTGTATGTGAAATCCATATTTTCGGATCGAGTCGTCATTATAGAATTCATAGGTAGTACTATATGCCGTTCTGTGGTGCGCGCAAACATCCTTATCATTCTGTATTTGGTGGCGAGCTGAGAAAGACAATAAAATAGTACATACTGATTTTAAAAATTCCGGTTAAGGGGGACTAATTTATAGTAATTAGTATTACGTAGGCCAAAACTGTACTCAAGGGGTTTGCAACTTTGCACTCAAGGGGTTGAGTACAGTTTTGCGTAGGCACCTTCACTTTCAACTAAACTACTGACCGTAAGAGTTATGACACAAGTGAAAGTGATATCAAGTAGCATAATTTTTACTTTATCGCATCCATTAGAGCAAAATTTAAAATGATGTATTTCAAACTTTAAAATTTAAAAAGTAGAAAAGCATACCGTTTTAATTTCGCTATGTCTGTGAAGCAGATTTTTGGTGTTTTTCAATGGCTAAAATTTTTAAATAAATAATGCCTTTCTAATAAAGGCTTCTATCACTAATATCAGTAATATGTATTGGCAAAACGCTTCTTTAACTCTTATAAAGATATAATAATTATAATAGTGTAATATTTCAGAGTGACTATTTTGTCGCAACTTTTGCGGCAGAATAGCCAACCAGCTATATACGAGTATACTACAAATAGTTCCGCATATTGTTCTGACTTCGGCAAAATAGCCGTAGCCTTAATTATAAATTTATAATTACTTCGTACACAACCTTTTGCACTACCTTTCTTTCCGTGCACAACCTTTTTGCGCTACCTTTCATTTGGTATGTCGTACTCCCTCTTTGAGCACAACGTTTGACTCCGTAGTCCGTACATAGCCTTTCGGCACTACCTTTTATTTTATTTTTTCACAGCAGAGTTATTTCTGGAACTGCGGTTTTTTCGTCAGGAGCTGTTATTGCTGCATAATTCAAAGCATCATCGGCAGTTATGAAATCGAATTCCCGTGAGCAAATAATTCTAGACGGCCATGTGCCGGTTTTTCTTCGCAGCTGGGTTTGGATGGTTCCGGTTTTGAACGAATTTTCGACTCAATTTTGTAGGTCTCTTCCCCGAATGAAAGGTATCACAAAAAGTTGTCAACGGAACGAAAGGTAGTGTAAATGGCTGTGTAGAGTAAAAGGTAGCGAAAGGTTGTGTACGGAGTGGTTCCGGTCACCAGTACTTACTTCAAAATAAAAATTAACACGGTTATTAGAAGTATGTACAGTACTCGTATCTGTACAATAATTCACATTGCAATCACGTACTTATTACTTGAAGTCACACAATTACTTACTTACTAACGTTATTGTAAGTAATCTTTTCCAACTAACTGGTACAATTACACTTGCTTTCTTATTTTCTATGCCGGCAATTTGGAGGTTATTACTGTACCTAAAGCGATTCCATTGTTTTCGGACGAGTACGGAGTATTTACGTTAAAGTACAGTACATAAATTTTACACACTGTACCGAGTAAGGTACGTACGAAACAGCCCTGGGCAGCCGTTTGGATCAAAAGTTGTGATAGTGGCTACTTGTACTGATTTTACTCATCTTTCGGCTTCCCCAGGGTGCTCCGTCTCCTACATGGATGGTAATACGTGGGTACAACCGCGCTTTAGATCCCGGTGTTGAAACTCCGTGCCAGTCATTTATTTGATTCACATAGGAAGGCGACAAAACAAGATTTCACACAGCAAAATTGTCACGGTTTTTCGTCAGTGGGAAGTGTGGAAGCTGCTTGCTGCGTTTTTCGGGCATCCTTTTCTTTTCCAGTAAATAAATTTTCACCCTATTCAGTTGTGAAATCGAAAGACGAGCGAAACTGAGTTCGTGGTAAGTCATATATATGGCTATAATGATTGACTTGAATTGTTCCAGGTTTTGGGTGTTTAAGATTGAAGCACATCATGCACATGACGTATTTTTGCAGTTTAGGAGAATGGCCACTCAAACGCAAGGTATTCAGCAGCTTTTAGCGGCAGAGAAGAAGGCCGCAGACAAGGTTGCGGAAGCTCGAAAGCGCAAAGCACGTCGTCTAAAGCAGGCCAAGGAAGAGGCACAAGCTGAAATCGAAAAGTATCGCGAAGAACGTGAACGAGCATTCAAGGAGTATGAAAGCCAGCATCTGGGATCCCGTGATGATATTGCTGCCAAAATTGATGTGGAAACGACCAAACGAATTAGCGCGATGAATCAGAGAGTGGACCAGAATCGCGAGCAAGTCATCCAGGCTCTGCTGGATATGGTGTACCATGTGGAACCTCATCTGCACCAAAATTATCGCGGATAGATCTGATGTGTTTCTGCCGTATTCCAAGCGTAGTCTTCTCTTCGGCAGTGCAATATATTGATCATCGCTGTGGCATTCCGGTATAACTCAGTAAGAAATTATGACGATATGCGTGGTGCTTTGAATTTGTGCTAAGTTGACGTGCAATGTGATGCTCATAGTTAACTTATAAATTAACTGGCAGTTTTGATTTCCATTATTTCAATTATTTCTCTTTACTGTGTTAGTTGTTACCTCATACTTATGTTTTATCCTTTGTGTTTTTGGGCAGCTTTTGTCTGTTCGTAAGAATGACTGTGTTACCAACTTTCCGAAAGTCATGTGACACAAGATGTTTCAGGGCGTTTAATTAAAGTCGGCAAAGTTATATGCAGCAGTAAATCGGAGTATTAATTTATTATTTATGTTGTTTTAATTTTAAGTTATTAATGTTAGTGCAGTGGTACGCGAAGGTACGTAAGTGGTGAGTAATAGCACGTACTCGTTTCTGACGAAATGAATAACATTTTGGGCACGCTTGTTCAGTGATTGTGAAATTTGATTTTATTTTCAAACATCGCATTTTTGTAAGACTGGAAGTACAGAAATACCGTGACAGCTTATAGCATTAAGGTACAGTACTGATGTCTGGACTTTGATGGTTACAAAATCTAAAAAAATAAAACGTACACTGTCAGTTTTCCAAAAGGTGTGTGCAACTTGTTACAGCTCTTGAAAATCGCGACTCACATCACGCTGTGCAACCAGCTTCGAATCCCAGCAAAATCAGCAGCTGAAACTTGAAACAGCATTAAGTAATGTCAGGATCACAGGATTTCAGAACTACGAGATAATCTAGTAATAATCCCGATACTGGTTGAGAAATTCTTCCACTGCTATGAAGCCTTCCCTTGCAAATCCCCGGCCAAAAGAGCATATCATTTCCCACCAGGCAACGAAATCGTGCGTAGAGAATAACACATCGGCCGACGCAAAAAATATCGAAGAAGGCACAAAACCGCGCCCGTACTCCAAAAACCAGGAATTCGCCCCAAATCTCACCCCAGCGCTAGTAAGCCATGGATGGTAAACAGTTGTTCCTACAGAGTACAGGTAGTCAGGTACAGTGAAGCCAATAATATCATTCTTATTTTAATTTCCATTTTCGCAAACGTGTAAGCCGCGCATAGCCATATCGCAATGCCAGCTTCAGCTTGTATTATTTTTTAATAATGAGGTGAGTATAAAAGCTACACTATGCGTTGTCACACACTCACAAATTAAATTCACGTTGGTTAAAAGCACCTACTCGAGTCGGCCATAGCACCAACTAGAAACCTTACCGGCTGTAAAATTTTTCGCTTCAAAAGTTTTTTCCTTCCATTGCTCCATCCATCCATTAATTACGAAATCACTGATGTTCAACCAATATCGGCCTACGACAAAACACTGGATCGTGCAGCGAGCTGCGTTTAACAGAAATGAACAGATGGAGTTTCGGGTTTCCATTTCCACGCACAACGGCAGCCAAATTACACGGCAGAAGATGTCGCAGAACTGATCACAATGTGGAGGTATAATTTACCAGAATGACCCTGTGTTTCCATCACAGTGCTGAATATCAGGACATACTCGGTTAGCGATACATGCAGCGCACACACTTGACCCATCCAACCGCCGGCATTCATCAGGAAGAAGTCGGTAGGAGAAGCTTCGAGGATGTGGAACCCGTATCGTATTTTCAGATCGCGAACCACCTGAAATGTTGCAGTCAGTAGTTTCACGACTTACAGCTTGAACAGATGAGTAGACGGTTAGAAAGAAATGGCTAATCCATTTTTCCAGATCAGCAAACTTCGAAAGCCAAGTGACAAGTTACAACCGCAGGTCTTACATCTTCGAAAGAATCTTGGATATCTTTGCCTAAACAGCGAAAACATGATCCTTTAAATACGCGCCGTTAAATTCTAGTGTTGCAACGGTAAAGTGCGCTACAGCAACGCTTCGATTTCACAGAAACACGCGGAAACTAGCCATGGAAGCTCTATGCATCTTCCACATCAACACGAATCCGGAGACAAATTCCAGTACCTTTGTATTTCATTGCAATAGAATCAAGGTCCTGCTGGGCGAATATATATTCCTTGTTACTGACCCAAAAATTAATCAGAGAAATTAAACAAGCGACAACAAGGAGGAAAATCATCCAAGGTGCACGAGCCATTTCTGTTGTCCAGATCCGCTCCAGTAACTAGGTGCTTCCAGATCATTAAAATGTCAAATGTCGGAATCAAAATGAAATAAAAAGGACAAAAGCACCACGCAAACAGTTTATTTCAATTATTTGGCATCTGTGCGACTGTACCGACTGTACGGTAGTTATATTGTAACGCCCATTCGTACAACACTCACGCCATACTTTCAGTACGAATATCTATAGATATAGTATTATTAAAATTATAACTGCCAGTGGCGAAATTTATATTGTTTGTAGGTCAATTAATCAGAGCATTCTCATTTTAAAAAATTAAAACCATATGATATGTCAAACAGCTGGTGAGGTACCTTGTTAAAGCTACATACTTATACTGGGTCTAGCCGGTACGAGCAGGTGCATCGGCAAAATACATGTCTAATTTTAAATAAAAGATTATAATCGACGGCATGCGTGTGTGCTGATAATGTGTGCTCTGGCAAACAAAAATCAAAGTAAAGTGTCAACTAAAATTATAAATAACTTTCATTATAAATTATAAACTCAAACTTTGGACACTACTCTTGTCTTTTTTCTGTACTCGTATGTTTTCCTCTTTTCTGTGCATTTTTATTGAGAACCGCTGTTAACGTGCTTACTCCTTGAAGTTTGTTAATAAGTTAAACAAAACAGACAGGTTTCACCGGAGGTCTGTCGTTTCGACACGTTTTCGGTTTTAGGATCTACCGTGGTGTGTCCACATTTTATTGCTCAAAATTAATAGAATATACTGTATAATAAAACTTTATTCAAATTACGAATGCAAACGAATCTCCAGGTATACAGTAATTAATGATTAATCTGTTCACTGTGCCTGACACAATTCCAACTGGACAGTGGTCACTTCCAACTGTTCCGACGGTTTCGGTTCCAACTGTTCCAACGTTTTCGGTTTTAGCATCTACCGTGGTGTGTCCACATTTTATTGCTCAAAAATAGAATATATAAAAAGGCTCATGTAGAGCACACAAAAAACTTTATTCAAATTACGGATGCAAATGAATCTCCAGGTATACAGTAATTAATGATTAATCTGTTCATTGTGCCCTGCAAATTGGCGGGTGACACAGTTCCAACTGGACAGTGGTCAGTCCATACTACGTTCACACGCGCTTAAACGCACGCCCACGTACATGTACGCTTGGTTATACTAGTAGCATTTCTTTATTTGCTTCGTTTGCTGAAATGGTAGAAGCAAATGCTTCAGACGATACCATACAGTCCCCGCGCCCTACAGACTACAATAACTTGAAGAGTTTTTCGACACAAACAAAAGTTAATAAAGAGCCTGAGTGGTCGCGGATTATATGCGGCCGTTTTAGGGAGTATCCATTAGCGTTTACCAATGCCAGATTTTCTGAAGTGGTCCTTTGTTTTAACTGACCATTGCACGTACACGTTGTATAAAAAGAGAGATTAAACAATGAGAAGCGCAAGAACACGCGCAATTCAGGAATTCCATGGGTAACCGACAGACTTCGAAACATCTTGTGAGCTTTTCTCCCAGCAATGCAGCCCGGTGCGGACTCCTGTTAATCCACTTGAGTTTCGGTTAAACCATATTTCTGAAGAGTCCATTTATGACACTTGCACCGATTGTAGACTCTTCGCAGCTTTGTTGCTGAAGTGGTCCGCACAAGCAACCAATGCCACCTGACATCAAAAACATTGTTCTGACCTCCTTTTGTTCTGATTAGGTTTTGGCCACCTGTAATAGTTTGTGCACGTTCCTCTATATGAATTCCAGGTCATGCATTATTCATCCGCAGCAGTGTTATTCTTGAAGCAAATACTCCACCATTTTTGACATCGTACATAACAATTAAAGTTCAAGTTCAAATGGTATCAGAAACTAATGAAGTACGTGCTCAACAACGATAAAGTTATCAATTAATATAACCGATACTGTAGTCTGGTTTAACCGAAAAAGTTCTGTAAGGTTTTGTCATATTACAGTAATGGGTATGTACGCTAGAATACGAGTTGGATTACAATAATTTGCTATTAATCTGTAAGTAAAAACCAAATTTGCAAGCCAGAACTCATAATAAATTATGGTGATCGACTGGACTGCCAAAAAGCATAATACCTTACTTACGTCATATATATAGTGTGTAAAATATATATGTAAAACATATGCTTGTACTTATATGTAAAACGTATATAGTATTTATATCTGTAGTTTATATTGTTGCAACTTTTCTTTGCAGCTGACACATACGACCATGACTGGCAAATTGCTGCACTACTTAACTTTATCACAAATTTATTACGTTTAAATACAAAGTATTGCTTCGCTTCTACTCCGATATAAAGGAATGCCTTGCACTTCCTACCGAAAACTAATTTAAGTTAATTAGCATTAGGCCGTTAGCAAAGTTGGCGATGGCTTTCGTAGATTTCGTTAAGAGTAAACCGCTTAATTACAAATACGAGTATAGTATGATTACTCTAGCCAGAAGGCGTTTGATTGTGACCGGCGGCTGGAATGTTTCTGTATGCGTATCTGTAAGCGTTTATGTATGCGTGCGATACAACAAAGTACATGTATGCGAACAACGAGGCATATTTTTCAGCATCGTAGTACCATTTGCACCTGATCTCTTCCCAAGTTTTTATGGGTAATCAATGCAGAATCTGTTGCATTATTTTACCGTGTTATCAGTAGGAAGACAGATCAAAGACGTACATCACAAAACAGCGTTTAATGGTCTTGTCATTATACCGAATGGCGCATTTTCTTTAAGTAAACAGGAGTCACCGATCCATAGTCTGCCATGTGGTCTGGCGAGAATGAATCCGATCGGTGTGGGAATCTTTAAGAAAATGGTACATCAACGAACATTCACACGGGCTTCAACAAAGCAAAACCAGTTTCAAATCTCATTATCATCGTTCCTGCTGCTGAAAGCGCAATAACTTGATGCTGCCGTGACGTTTAAAATACGCCAGTACTTACTTATACCGCAATCGCCATACCAGTGATATATCATGATGTACACGTATTGAGTAATACGCATTTCGTAAGCATTAATGACTTTTAATAATTCATACTATAACTAAAACTATCTTTTACATTATTTGTAACTGAGTAACACAACTATCTATTACTGTACTTTATTTGTAAGTTTGTAAGTTAACAAGTTTGGTAATAAGAGTATTCCGAAATTAAACAAAGCAATTAAATTTTTAGCATTTAACTTTTTTCGGGGTCATTTGTTTCTTATACTTTTGCTGTATCGAAAATCGGTGCAGCATTAATTAAACGAAGTGTAAATTGATTTGTCTGAGGGCGGAAATTATATATAAAATAACCGAAAGCATACTCTGGTAACCACTAAAATCCACTAGGAAATACGAATGCGCATCGCAGGATTCGCATCAACGGCGTCGCAAAAGCGGTTTCGTACTACATGCGTTGCTGTCGTCTGCCGCTACAGTTATTAATAACAAACGTACCATATTTTCACTAGCTAAAGTGCAAAGATTTGATGGTACTAGCAGGCAAGTGTGTCTGTCTGAGAAATAAATGATATACTCGAGTGAACTGCTGGAAGGGTTCCCACGAAAGTATCATGACTCGCAAGTAACGCCTTCTCGTTTTTACTGGCTGCTTAATGACAGCTCTGCGCAGCGTAACGACTGGCTGTTCATTCTTGTAGATTTATGTAGCGGTATGCTTCAGCTTCCTTTTGTCAGGTCAAATTTCGTTGTAAATATACCGAACAAATATTACAGGTCTGTTTTGCAATGCGGAATCTTTTGTAAATTTAACGGAATATTGAACAGCACGTGCGAGGCTCTGGACATTACAGGATTTACACCGGACACTTGTTGCTCGTGATCGATATTTGAGGACACATTCACACACAATTTTGGAATTTTTGTTGCCGCTTACATTATAATTCCAGTATCGTACCTGTTGCTGTTGACAGAGGATTTCTTCTTCCGGGAGGCGCAAAAAGTTCGGTATTCACTATTCAGTATACAAAAGATCGGATTATTTTACCCGCCAAAGTTTGGAAGGTGAAGGAAAATTGTTGCTTATCGTATACAAAATGCCCGTAGAGCGCAGCTGCATTTCTTCCGGCATGAGCGAACACAGAAGGGTAAGGAAAATTTAGACAAAACGATGTTAAGATAATTATATAACTGGGATCGCACTGATTATATTTTGTTACAATATTATTATTCAAATGTAGTACAGTACTGTCTTATTGAGTTGTTAATTTCATCAACGGGACTCCCATACTTCTTATCTAGGATCACGAGTCACGACAAAAAAAACGAAATGTGCTAAAAACTGGGTTTCGTGCCCAACAATTTACCTTTTAACGGCGTGGCGGTATATTTATCTGAAGAATAACTACTACAGGCGACAATACAACTTGTATATGCTCATCGTATTATTCGTAATTATAATATTTACGACTAAGTAGAAGAATATTATACATGTGGATACAGGAATCAGATCTATCACATTGCGAATGGTACATGTACAGTACGTTCATTACATATCAATACATATCAGTGTGTTGAAACGAAATCGTTAATCTGGTGCAATTTATTGTTGAGCAGGCATCGAAGCCAATTATGGAGAAACGCAGACGAGCCAGGATAAATAATTCGTTATCAGAACTGAAATCACTTATTCTGGATGCGACAAGAAAAGATGTAAGTGAACTAATACAGCACCGTCCGACGTTGGAACAGTGATTTCAGCTGAAAATAGTACCAAGAAAAATTTCTGTAAAACTTTACGTTTTAAGCACATTGTACATCTCATTATTAAAGCGGTTTCTTTTTTATGGTAAATCGGTGAATGCTAGTTTCGTTGCTTTAACAAAAAACCGCTGCTGTGCTCTGTAACTGCAGCCGGCATTTGTAGTGGTTGTATTCATTCTATATGAACTGGAATGGTTTAATCCTGAAATACGACTGAGGCTTCATTAAAAAATAATGGAAGAGGATATGAAGACAGGGACAGATTTTTTTAGGCTCCGTGCAACGACTGTACTAAAGGGCACCCCGTCCATTTATAATTAACCCGAAAATTAATTTTGTGAAACAGTTGGTATACAACAGTTTACATAACTGGAGTCAAAGGATAATTATTGTTTATGGGGAACAAATAGCGGTAGACTTCTAAAGGCTGCATATATTATCTTTATGCAATTTTTTTCTGAAATTTTGCCCGCCGTTGCATAACGTTAAAAACACAACATATAAAGTTATAAACCTTTATTGGCAATAGCCACTGAGTTAAAAGCAGCAAGAGGGTGATACATTACTTATTTAAGAGAGACATGGCGATTATATAAATATGTCGTTTGGTTGTTTTATAAAAAAATTCGGCATGTCTTGTAAAGTTACAAAGGCTTGCTAAGTGATTGCTTTTGCAAGGTAGCCTGCATAATACTATAACATGTAAGGTCACTTGAATTTTCACTGTATTTCTGAAATCCCAAGTGCAGAAGTTTCGCACTAATGTGAGGATTACAATTTATACTGGCGAAACTGCACGTGTACGCAGGCATATTGTGTATACCAGGAATGGATCCGGTACACGCACTGTCACTTTTTTGTAAAATTGTGTCGTTGAAATGAATTATTCCAGAATATGTATTACATGCATGCAAGTCGCAAAAACGCTGGTTGCATAAAGAAATGTGTCGTGAGCACAGCGGCATAGACCTGCAGCTGATTGTATAAATTCGACGCACCTGTAGAGCAAACATATTTTCTTTGCGATTTCCCTCTAATAACCCAAAAACATGGTCATAGTTTGTTATGATAATAAATGCTTTTTTATTGAATTTGCAGTGCTCACGACATTCAAAGCTTGAGAAAGCGGACATATTGGAGATGACCGTGAAGCACCTACAAGCACTTCAGCGCCAGCAAATGGCCGCGGCTGTGGCCACGGATCCCACGGTGTTGAACAAGTTTAAAGCCGGATTCAGTGAGTGCGCCAGTGAAATTTCACGCTACTTGAACGCGATCGATGGCGTTGACAAAATCGTCCGACAGCGGATTTTGTCGCATCTCGGCTCGTGTCTAAATGGACTGCATAACTATTTGACACCGATTGCCTTTCCAAGCGTGTACCAGCCCGGATTGACCGTGCCGGCGTACTTCCCACCTGTTCCCACTGTCCACTTGCCCTCACCGCATCCGATGCTGCCTAAAGACAGCATAAACCTGCGCAGTGTTCCTGGCACCGTGCCACCGGCGTTAATCAGTCAACGGGACTTTTCCATGTCGTCGCTGCGGCCGCACCAGCATTTTTTCCCGCCTTGTGTGTCACCTTTAACTGCCGTTCCCTTGAGCGACCATAATTCCTGCAGTTCCCCTTCTCACAGTATTTCTCCCACCAGTCCACAGAGCACCATTTCCTCCTGTGCACCGGGCACGCCCACCACGCCGCTCAGTCCACCGGCGCTGTGTAGTAAACTAAATGACCTTTCCGATCCCGTCTGGCGACCGTGGTGATTACGTCTTACGTGTGCGTGTGTTTTTTGACATTTTGGCCGGGGGATACATTTTATGTTAGCCAGTATGGCGTGTTTTATCGCGTGCTTGGCGCCAGCACTGATTGTACAGATGGCGAACAGCTTCTTGACTTGTCTCTGACATAAAAGCGCCTATATTCTTTAGTAAAGCGAGAACAATAAATATGCCATGAAATGAGATATAAAAAAGCTCTAAAGGCGTTATTCGAGCGAGCGTTGAATGACAACACACTTGACGCGATGACCTTATCTAACGGTGTCCGTTGAGGGTTGTTTGTCAGGCACATACATATTTTATCAGTCGCTGTCGGTTGAGCAAACAAGAAACTGACGGATTTGCGACCTTTTGCGTTATGCTCTCTTTGTAACTGCATAGTGCTGTTATGCCGCCTGAGGTTTAAAGACAACGACACGATGAAAGGAGTTTATAGTTCTCATGACTCACTTTACAGTGCGCAGTGTGGCCAAGTGATAACCGCTGCGAGATGTTTAATATCATCACACATGTTTGCTTGAATGTATGATCGGCATTCGTATAATTTATTGTCTTGCCGTTGCCGACGAAATGCTTAAACGACTGCTTGAACAATTTTTGCTGCCAGGAAGTGACAGGAACTATATCGTACAGATTTCTTATTGTTAGTGTCGATGCAACGACTAATTAAACAAAGCGAAAACGCTTGGTAAGGAGTTTAATTGTTCACCGGTTCTGCGTTGTAATTGTCAATAGGCTGCACTAGATGCCAAGTTGCTCATTTTGAATTCAAGCAGCTTATAAATCAGTGCTTCGGAGTTCTTTTTGGTTGGTATAATGTATCTGGTTTTCAAATAAAATTCGTTTTCACGAATGTTTTCCAAAAATTACACAAGTATGCATTCGTTTATACTGTATAGTGTATTCGATCATCCGCTTTGACTTTGTAGATAATTCAAATTTTTTGTGCCGGTACGAGTAGCTTAAGCTTATTGTAATTAATGATGGGGATACTTACGTATTACGAAAAGAATGATGACTTCCGGCCGCGGGTGGTGTTGTCAGGCGGCAGCTGTGTGTTTGATTTGCTGAACAAACCACAGTAAAACCTTTTCTTACGTGCGCATCATGTTGTTTCTCGCAACGTGTTTTCAGTTTTTTTATGCCAGACTGTAAATCGTAGAACAAATTATGACAAAGCGCTTTCGCTTGTCGTATCCTTCATGCACCGTACAAGCATGAATGCATGAAACAGAAAGCGCACGACCAATAAGAATAAGTGTTATCATGGGTCAGCTGCGGTAGTGCCGCACGATTGTAACCGTATATTTGTTTAAGCAGCTAGATTTTCGTGGGAAAGTCATCTGAGGACTATTTAGAATTCAGGCACGCTTAAGAAGGAGATTATAATAACCGCCGTGATGCCGCTGTCCTGACGTGCTTATGCGCATCAATTAACAGCATTCCTGCGTACACCCTGATTCAGTTTACTTCTCGCTCGATGCTTGGTCATAACAATGGCATTAAAGGTTCCGATGACCACCGCTAATTACCAGCAATTTATTCTTGCGATCCAAGATGACCGGAAACTTCAGCATTATTGGGAAAGTAACCAACCATACGGTTTATCGAGAACCTGCACAGCTGTTAACCAATTTCGAAACATTAACATAAACATGACTTTTCATAGTTTAAACTACTTTGTAATTCAAAAGTGTCGTGAGTGCGCTAAAATACTGTATTGAGTATTTACAGAAATCCTATTTTCTTACATTATGTAACTCGTTTACATTTTAGAGGCTTTAGAGGATCTTAAACCCGTTTTTAAAATGGGTTTCAATTTGCGCAAACCACGTTCTAAGATGTAAACAACTTTTCCGCACTACTGTGAACTACGTCATGAATTATATAGTATATATAAATATAATGCATGTACTGACTATTGATCCCCGGAGAGTTCTCATGTTTTTTATGTTTAAATTCTAATTGTGGCTGCAGTGGAGTAGTCTTTGCACTTTTTACTATGTGATGGCTGTTGCCTTTTGAATGGTAATATATATTATTATATGTAATAATTACTGTAATGAATCTAGCAGTACAATCAACTGTACAGATGGATGTCCGTCGACAATCTAACACTTTTACCTTCGAACCGGTGTTTTAGCTTTCACCTTCTCTCAAAGTTTTTTCAAACTTCAACTTACTTCAATGCCAAATTACCAAAAATACTTGTAAAGCTGCAACGAGTGCAAATCTGCATACAAATTCATAATTAACCATCTTGTCGCGTGTACAATACAATACTACTCTTAGCTTTTAATGATTTACTAGTAGTATCCAACCCCAGGGAAATAGATTTACTGTACGGCTTTTAAATGGTATTAAACCCCAGGGAACAATACTATACGGTTATACAATACTTATACGATTAAACTGTTCACAATAATATCGTTAAATTTGTTCGACGCAGTATAAGCAAAAAAAGTGTATGTCTTTTAAGAGGACGACCGCAAAGGTAATTAATAATTTCCTTTTGTAGGTGTGGAAATTAAAATGTATGCTGACAACTGTCAAGGTAACAGTTCCTCTGGATCACTTGGGCAAAATTTGGCCCAAGTGATCGGAAGTATTACTCTATAATGTCCTTATCTCTATAAAAGGGGATTCATCAAGTGGTTGCATCTCTGGATGCAACAAGCACGGAAAAAAACGATAAAACGAGCGGGCAAGTCGGTCGGAGTCGATCCGAAATCAGGCGGAGATAAAAATTATTTTTTTAACAAGTCAATTACTATTCGAAATTTCGTAGTGCAGATTCGCTTTAACACAATATGCATACTGCTTTACGGTCAATAAAGGGTGGTAGTGCAACAAAGTTGAACAAACCACTCATAGTTTTTTGTTTAATTAGTTTCCTACTACGGTGTACTAAGAAGTAGCAATATTTCCTTGGAACTTTTATCAGAAATTCCTGACTCATGTAAGTACAAACGATAAACTATCAAGCGAAAAAAATAAATTCGGGTTTAATGACACAATTTTTATCTTCTGAGTTGTCGGAAAATTGAAGTTTCGCAACGCAGTCGGCCAGCTGAGGGCTTCTTTTGCATCTAGCCTTGTTCGCGCCCTTTTGGAACTGAAATAGTGACCTTCATCACTACAAACCATTCAAGATGAGCAGGCGATAGACTACTGTAAATAGTATTACTGAAGTAGCAGAATTTGCCGTATATTTTATGTCAGACAATAATTTCTTCGGTAAAAAAACCTGCCAGTACAATTTCGTTACTCCTGAACTGCGATCGATTGAAATATGAGTACGAGTGAGTACTCGTACTGTACTAGAGGCCTGTATAATTATATAGCCTGCTTTACGGAAAAACACAGTTTTTGACATTTCTACATAAAATTTTATTCGTAAATAATTATCTATTTAATATTAAAAGTTGCTCTCTTAATTTGGATCTAGGCTGTCTCTCTTACAGCGAAGTAAGTATTGTCGTAACTCATACGACAGCTGGATTCACACGGCAAAATCCATGTTTCCATCCGGAGAAACCGGACAGACAGACGGACGGCCTCTGCTGAACTTTTTTCCCACTTTCCATCGGTCAGGAGCGGCCAGAGCACTGCGCAAGAGCAACGTGTATGAGTACGTAGTACGTACTATGGGAACAACAGAACGACCATGCAGCGCAGAAGCGTACGCACGATAATGGGTTTTTTCCAGGCCGCAGTCGCCGCTGCGTCATAGCAGTCCACAATGGAATCTCCGCCCAAACGTACACGCGTGTGGCGGTCATATTAAAATTTTCCGGCCTGCGCCTATAAAAACCACCAGTACAACGAAACCGGAAACTTGTTTGCTCAGTTAGATTTTTGGAGATCTGAATAAACGTCTTTCGCCTATAGAAGTAACTAACTGTTGCAGTTATCAGAGTGACCTTTCGAAATTCCGGAAACTTTTAATAATCGGTCGCTACTCGGACACTAAACAGTCATCATGTCGAAGGCTGAAAGCCACACCCGCGCTAACCAGGACCGCGATCGTGGCGACGAAGACTCTGGTCGTCAAAAGTCAGGATCCCATCAGGAGAAGTCTGGCCAGCACGATGGACGTCGTGACTTCGATCCTGAGGTAACGAACAGTTTGCTGGACGAAGCGTTCTTATGTTATGATTGTTACGTCCTTTAATCTGGGCCTTGTACGCATACTGAAGCAGCAATCGTCAAGAGTTTTAAATCCGTTGATTTGGTAATGCAAAACTGAAAATACATGGTTTTGGCCAAAATTAGTATACGGGTTACGATTTTGCGAAACAAAAGCGATTGCTCTGCCTGATGGTGACTATTCTCTATATCGATGGTTCGTAACAGGACCATCCGCGTGACGAAAGTGGCCATTTCGTGAAGAAGGACGAAGCCGAGAATGAAGGACGCAACAGCGGCCAACATGGCGGAAAGTCGGGATCCCATCAGGGAAAATCTGGTCAGCATCATGATGGACGTCATGACTTCAATCCCGAGGTAATGCGCAGTATTTTTTCAATAGTTTACCGTGGTCGTCTTGCAGTTACACTTTTAATCGAAAAAGTCATTTATGTTAAAATGTGTATTATCACTATTATGGTAACAATACACATATGGCTTATGAGCATTAACTGAATGCCTTTGGAAAAAACAAAGAGCTTAGTTTGTACTGTGCGTATATGATGGCATTATTTGTTCGTTTCTGATAGGACCATCCACGCGACGAAAGTGGCCACTTCGTGAAGAAGGACGATGCGGAGGACACAGGACGCCACACCGGTCATCATGGCGGAAAGTCTGGAACTGGACACGGCGGACAGGAACGGTCGGGTCAGCGCGGCGCTGACCGAGATGGTCGTCAGGATAACGATTCTCAGGTAGAAAACCGAAATGTATTGTCTGGGGCACTTGCAGGTTCGATTTGACATGGGGAAAAAGTAGGCGAAGAGTGCAGTGCCATGAAATGGCAATTCTTTCTGACAAATGGGCACCATTTCATCCTTTAATTTTCGTATCTTTGATCACTGACTGACTGGCAGTAGCTGCATCGCATATTCGATGCATGTCATCAAAAGTTTTCTAGCGCGAGTCGTTTCATTTCCTCTTCCTAATTTGCCGCGCTTTACCGTTTCAGGATCGTTCACGCGATGATTCCGGCAAATTTATCAGCAAGGACGAAGAAGAAGGCAAGGGAAAGAGCCGCTCCACTGGTCACAGCGGAAAGAGTCGTGAAAACGACGACGTGGACGATGATGACAATCAGCGTGGCAACAAATCCGGAAAGACTTCGGGACGTGGCAAGGAAGAAGGCGGCGGCGACCAGGTCGACCATGAAACGGCGCGTGAAGAACTGAGTGCAGCTGCCAAGTATGATTCGAACTTCCGTTAAATACGATTGTTGAAACTTACTTCGGAAGTTTTGACACACCTGGTTCACTAAACAGAGTAGTGGCTTTCTGATTCTGCTGCTGTTGATTGAGTCTTTGTGTTCTGGTTTAGGCACTTCGCGGAGACTATGCCACGCGATGATCAGGGTCGTTTCGTCAGCGAGAAGAAGGAATGATGGGACTGAGAGACGCCCTCACTCGAAATGTTTGTAAATAGTATGACTTTCTTTTGCGCGTGATTGTTGTACTTGAAATTATTCGTATTGGTTTTTTTTTGGTGCGGTCAGTCCAGGTGCACAGTTCAATCTTATAGAAATTGGTATTTCTTTTAGCATTTTATTTCTGCATTTGAAAAGTGGTTTCTGTCTTCTCGATTTTTATTATAACATGAGTGTAAAAACACCCATTGAGAAAAGCTCGAGGAGATAATTGATCTTGGGTCAGATTGTATTTCCTGTTGCAAATGCCAGTATGGTACTGTAATAAACTCTCGCGGTTGCGCACAGGATGTTTGCCTTGTACTGAATAGGAGTTACAGCTGCATGTTTTTGTTTCGCATATGTATTATTATAATGTGATAAAGGATGTTAATGAAAGACATAATTACAAGAATAGAGAAGTGATGGGAAACAACATGAGTCTTCGAAAAAAAGTAATCCATAAACCAATTTGGGTTACTGTGTTATGGAATCGTCCAGATCTACTGCTTTGGGTTCGGTAGATTTTTTATTACGTAGTAGCGACTAGCCAGAACTAAAAATTTTGACGCCGAATTTGTGTGCATTACCACAAACGCTTCAAGTAAATACATACTATCTGTAAGTACTTACTCTCAGAGGTTCCATAGTGACAGTATTATTGTTTATTTGTTTGGATGATCATGTAACTTTCCGTGGTTTAGTTTGCGTTGCACGCTTTAAACTGATTAAATGCTGAAACCATGGATGACGATCCAGAAAATGAAGAGGGCGAAGAATCAGCTTTCACTGGAGTAAGTGTTGAGCTATAAATATGTGAATCTGGTGGTACAGGATTTCACAGTTCTGTTGACAAACTGCATGCTTCAATGGTATCATAAAAATCTGTCAAGGTTTGAATAAAAATTACAGAATGGATCGTTATAGATAATAGATTCAAAGTACTTTTCTTTTTCGCATTAATATAGTTGCTTCTGGCGTCCAGGAATATCATGGAGAACGCAATGCGTACAATCAAAGGCATGGCCAAGGTACGACCATCCTCCCGAACGGCGATAAATACAAAGGTATTTATCATAACGGCAATGATTAGCTGAACGGCAATGATGTCAAGGATTTTTATTCTTGTTACTTATGTAATACGCGATCTAATTAACTATTAAACATGGTCATCGAATACAAAGGTCAGTATGCCCACAATCTACGCGACGGAAAGGGCACGTATGTCTTCAAGTCGGGATCACGTTACGAAGGATCTTGGCGGTGTGGTGTGAAACACGGGACTGGAAAGTTCATTTACTCGGATGGTTCAACCTACGAAGGTATCCTGTTCTTCGTACACGTTGAATCAGATTTTCGGCGCGAGCATGCATTAATGCACTGGCATGACAGTGTCGTATGAGTTAATAACCTATTTCGGGGACTATAATAAAAATTCGAGTTTATTTACAAAAATTGCTGGAAAGATTAGAAACTGGTTTTAAACTACTAACGCGAACGTTTTTCGTTGATTATACACTTAGCATTAATTGATTTAGTCACTGCTAGCATTAATAGCTGTAATGGCTTTTTCAAGAGTAGGTACATTTACGCTTTTGCGGAAATTCTCTTCATAATAATAATTGTGGGGTGGCGAGATTCAGATGCATGAGAGTTTCCACTTCCAGTTGGTTTTGCTGCTATTTGCTCACCCACACGCGAAATGCGTAATAATATGTTACCTTCATCCTTTGCTATTCTGATAAACGTAAATTCTTTATTTTACACGGCTTTCTTAGCAATCATATTTTAAGTACATAATTTTCTGCATATATCCATTCTGTCGTCAATTTAAGGTCACTGGATTAACGACAAGCGTTACGGTTATGGTAAATATACTTATCAGAGTGGCGACACATTTTCCGGTCAGTGGAAAGACGGCGAGCGCAGCGGATTTGGTGTTTATTACTATAAAGAGTCTGGTGCACGATATGTCGGATTCTGGTTGAATGGGCGCCGGCATGGAAAGGGAGAATTGCTTTTCGGATCGTACAAATTTCACGGCAATTTCCAGAACGATACGGTATATTTTGCAATTTGAGCGTGGTTCCATCCATGCTACGTAGACGAAACCAAATTAAAGGCTTATAATTATTGTTTCGACGTTATAAGCACACCGTTATACTGCTCAGCTGCATATTTGAAGCGTATCGTTATCCTACGTAGCACACCGAGCACGATGGTGCGCGCACTGGCGGCAAGTTGAAAAATTTTACGGGATGCTCGGATCGCTGATCATTGGTGTTTTTAGGTGGTTGGTCCTGGGAAATTTGTTTTCCTGGGTGGATATGAACAACAGGGTCACTTCATCCCGTATCAAAGCGCGGTAAGACAGCGGCACTGCTGATAATCGATATCGATATAATTAGGTTGCATTGTCTCGTTTACTGATCATGAATTCATATCGTGACCTTTAATCTTTTTCAGCAGGTATCGTAACTAAACTTTATCGTTCTATAGTAGGCTAACAATGTATGATTACGAAAACTATCGAATGCTCTTTGCTTGAAGGAGACAAAAACACCGCCGCCAGTGTTCGGCAAACGCTTCCTCGAGGACGAACCAGATTGGCCGGATGCGCTGCCCGACTTGACAACCACATGGATTGCTGAGATGTTGATTGTGTCGGCCAATCCGGCAAAAGCCGTCAAACCGGAAGGTGCGTTAACGGCTGGTTGCCAATCGTATTTGATCAGTACGCTAGCTAGGCCTAACCGTCTACGTACAGCATCTTCCGAGGCACGCGATAACTGTCACGCTGACACGCTTCGCATTAATTGTTACAGAACTAATGGCGAAACTCGAAGGGACAGCCGACGCTGTTAAACTGGAAAATGACCCAATCGTACCGGCCATAGCGCATGCAGAGGAGGACTTTGAAACCATGCTTCAAAATGCGCAAAGCGGTAATTGTTAATATTTATCATTATTCTACAGTTAAAATCGGATTATTTGACTAGACCGACGTTTTCACAACACTTTTGCTTTGTGTTTTAACCCTGATTAAAATTTCAGGGGAATCCATTTTCCCAGCATAAGTTGTCAGGATAAATTAAAGCGCAGGACACATGGATTAAGCGCTACTGCCATACCACAAAGATTGCGTATCGGGCATACGTTTCCCAAGCGCAGTTTAGCCGGATTTATCGGGTCTCCCGGTGTGTCTCTGCTAATTGTTTCCCTTATTCCGTCTGCTCCCGGTGGAGCTAATGCGCAACAGACGGCCGACAGTGTGTGCACTAACTTCTGTTTTCTTCGTCCTGTCTTTTGTTGTCTTTCGCATGGACCCGCTAATTAACGATTTCATGGCGTGTGGTTGAGTCCACACATACAGACTTGCTCCATAATGAACTTACAATGAACCCATGATTTACCCGATGACCAGTAAATGGATTCTATACCAGAGATTGATGTGGGTGTGGTCGTGTGAGACGGACGCTGCCCGGCTTTGGCAGCTTCTGACAGTGAAAATGGGCACTTTCTGGACAATGCCGTCATTCCCAATAGATGTGCGGGGATTTTTAATTATGAACTAGGCTATAATTTTGCGATTAGCTGTTTGATGCCAGAAGCGCCAGAAAATAAGCAGGAACGCAACTGCAAGGACAGGTGGAAGAATGCAGGCGTATATTCATTAGCGTGGAATCACTGCACAGACTGCATCGTTAGCTGACTATTAGCGAACATTACCGATTCTTCTAGATAGTAATTTATCAATTATTCCATAACTCGGGCGGCTAACAACCTTTGCTTGAACCTGTATATTTATTGGATTTGTTGAAGAAGTAAATCTAAAGCTGGGCTCACTATCCTTATTATACGAGTATTACACATAAATCTCGTTTTATCTTACGTAAGCCAATATACAGTGGCTGCGAGTGCCAAGTGATATAAGGCGCAAAAATTTTGTAACTTTGTAAATTAAAACTACTTCTACTGCTACTCTGCTTTTAATGTGGTACTGAACCGCTAATTGTATTAATTATCCACAACTTTCGACACTCTCTTTATTGCAATCCAGCGTCAGCAACACGTCTTTATTGGTGCAGTTATTGAAATAGTGTTAATTTTAGGTAATTGTCCGAAACACTGGCACCTGCTTGTAAAGGTTACCTTTATGAGGCGCGCGAATGTATTCGAGCCGCATGCTGTACTATTCACGAGCAGATGCACGTGGATGTTTGCATTGGGAAATCGGATACGGCCGTGTGACCGGCAGTGTGACTGTCTTTTACGATCCTTTTCATAACGTCCCGGCCAATTCATCCTTTGATTTTACAGTCACAATAGCGTGTGCGTGTCACTGCCCTCGGTCAACTTCAAATTCGTTTGTTCGTATTCGATTGCTTTTAATTTACTTAGTGCCAAATTATGCTCTTAGTCGTCGTATTACCGCTAAGTAGCTAATATATTAACTTTTGTGTTCATATGCTGACGTACGGATACTATTGTACACATAAGCAAATTTGCGATAGATGCGCAATACTTACACTGACTACGAGAAATATTAGAAATAATGCATATGCTTGTATTAATTGGATAAACAGCTGTTTTTTGTCAGTTTACATTTTATTATTATCAAGATTAAAAACAGAAGAATATTACACATGCAGCGCGCAAATGTGGCTACTGAGACACAATTCAGAAGTTGCTCGTCATAAATATTTAAATGCAATCAGCTATGATCATAACGCGGCGAAACTGCGTAAAAGACTACCGAGAACAAAAAACTGGTATAGGCACACACAAACTTCCAAATCAAACGCCGGAAAAGTACCGTGGGTTGCGTTTAATGACTATATTGTGCTGGTGAAAAGCTGGCGACGGTGCAATTTTATGCCGCATAATTGTTTGGAGCGCACAAAAGCTTTGGCGAATATTCCGTTTTCTTTGACTTTGACATATGAGCATCAAGTATTAATGACGTTCTGGATATGGAAGATTGAGTCGAATGAATGGCAAAAGCACTTGGTTGTCGTGTTCCTCCTGTCTATTGAGAAGTTTATCACTCTCGTTTTCTTTGTCATTCTGCTCCGAATAGTTTGTACCTCTTGTAAACGCTCTGCATGCAATTGTTTCCCACTTTTTCAGATGATTCGTTAGTGAGTTATTTTTGCTTCCCGCTATTTCGATTTGGCAGATAAAGGTGTACTGGCTGTTTAGCAAATGGAATGGATTGTTATCAGGTACTGTTAACAGCAATTCGATCAAGTTGTTATAGAAAAACTTAATTTCTTTGCCACAATAACGTCAAGATATTACTGATTGCGTACTGATTTTTGCTCTCGGAGTGCTGCACTATGTACTTACATGTAGTTCTAACTGTGTATTCGTATTCGAAATAATTCAGTTAAGCAATTTATGACTACAATGGAATTTCAAAGTACGACATCAATTTTTTGCAGCACCAAAGTTTTGGGGAACTACAGGATTTTGCAATTTTACAAACATATTAAAGGCAAACTTCATAACCTTTACATAGTATATAAGCTGTATTTTTAGACGATTACTTAGTTTCGCACGCACCGGCAGCACACGAAGATAATTAAGGCACAGAAAGCCGTCGATAAAGAGAATCTGGCGACAGCACTGTAATTACATAACCGAAACGCCGACAGAAAGATCAAATGACTTGTGCAAATGGATTTATTGGAGGATCGCGATGCCGCTTACGTGTCTGATGTCACTCACAGGAATGCAACAGGTGCATTATATGACTCACGACAAAACATAAGTGCACAAAAGTAAATAGTGTTAGATTAACAAAATACGATAAATTAAACGACCATGAGAACCACACTTGAGTTTGTTGTACCGTTGCTCCATGAGCTAGTGCAATATGGGAATTAAAACGCCAAAACTAATGAAAGTAATACTTATTGCAAAGTATATCCTCTGAATCATCACGGAGCATTCAGGATTTAATTATTGTCGACTGCACTGAAGATGCCAATCGGTTGCATAAAATCACCACGGTCGCCACACCGCTTCCGTTTTTATGGGACTGCTGGGATAACCCGTGCTGCTGTAACAGGAGGAAACTGTTAAGGAAGGAGAAGGACTTTGTGGAACAACAGCGCATCCACTATGCAGAAAAGAGGCCGGACTCCTGGTTAGCGAATGGTACGCCGGCAGAACTGAATAGGAATTGGCAAAGGTCAAGTTGCTGCTATTGTCCTGATTAGGAAACTGCAGCATGCGTTCCGCGGCATGGCAGCAAAAGGTTAAATGATTCGAAATCTTCTGCTTGACCACTTCATCGAAATGCTCGCCGGAAAGAAAGCGATCGACGTCCTTCATGCATGCAAAGTAGCCGTCGCGGTATGCGCTGGAGTGGATGGCGCAATCATCGGGGCGGTGGTTTTGCCGGTTTTGTAATGTTTGCACGAAGGCAAGTGTTCGCTCCAAGATTTCCGCTTTATCCAGTTTAGAGTGCAGTCCTCTATCTTTGCTCTCACTCAGAATAATAAACTTCAGTTCCGCCAGGCTCTGGTTAATTCTAGCGCGGCGCTTGCGCTCAATTACACCTTTCGAAATCTAAAAAGTAGGATTTGGTAAGCGGTGGTCGAGAATAAATCAATTCAGCGGCGTAAAAAACGTTTCGTTTTGAACTGTATTTCCAATCTTGCTCTTTTGTGTTAAATAATCAATTAATTAAAAAAGGAATTATTGCAGGTTAACCACGCCAAAATTTAGCAACTCTGAACTGGAACGACGGATATGGCAGAAATTAAAGGCGACCCTGTATTCCAAATCAAACCACAACAAAAACACTAACCATAAATCAAACGATGTTATAAGTAATTTACGGGTACATGTACATTTTATTAACGTTAAGAAGTAGGTGTAACTTGTAAGGTGCTCTAAATCGCGGTTTAAATACATGATTTTGTGCTGTTTGGCAAGAAGAACATTTTGCATCCCTTTTGCTAGTTCATTTCATATTTTGTTATATGACAAAATTTAACAAATAATGCCTACGAAATATAAGAACTAATTAACTTTAAGCGTATTCCATGCTTGCTTGTGCTTATACACAGAAAGATTTCTCGCAGGCGATTTCAGACACTTAAGTGACTATTAACCATTGCATGATGCACCCCAAAAAGTTGTCGAAATTTCTGTTTTAAATCGAGCCACAGGGCGCTCTGTTGTTTACATAAATATGCAGAGTCTGCATTGTTTAAATAAATAAATACGCAGACCAGCCTGCACCATAGTTTCAGGGTAATCAACTCTGCATACACACTTTCTTTAAATTTTGATAATAGGTAAGGTGGCTTACCTTGCGGTTCGTAGCGGATTGGGCCACTCGTTTGCTCATGGTACCGGTTGAATCGGAAGTCATCATTTCAGTGTGCCGGATACGATGCAAAGTAAGAAAATTACACAGAACGGAACTTCTGTATATATTGTAGCTCGGATAAAAGCTGGAAAATACGCGACTGCGATGGGGATAAAATAACGCAAATCTGGAACTTATTCAGCAGCGGTAGCGAGGCGCTTCGGCAGACTATCCAGTTGTTCCAGTCAGTTGCACTGGTTTAATTGCATTCGCGTGACCACTGGCCGCATAACCAACTACTAAACCAGGCGCATGGAGTTTTCACCTAACTGCTTCTCCCTTTTATAGCCCAGGTGTGCCCAGCGCCCAATGTGCTGGCCAGAGGGGTTGGCTACAATGAGCGTCGATTGAAGAGCGGAAGCATGTAACCATATCTGTCTTAAGAAAGCAGCTGCCTCCGTGCCTGTGATTACGGCAATCACGGGTATGTACTCGTATGTATGCGCATTTGACTGCAATGTGAGAAGGGGTGACGAAAGGTAAGTCATTCGGAGCCAGCGTTCCTCCGGCGTTAATCTGTTGCGGTATACCGCTAACGAGAGAAGTTGAACCAATTGCAATCATGGCTTACAACCTGCTAACGATCGAACTGGAACGCCTTCTCCCAAATTCCGGGAAAAAACAATTTATTACTTGTAAGAAAATTGATTTTTGACGGCTATACAAATATACCGGCACATGCGGTAGTCAACTTAGAATTATTGTGTAACACCTGCAATAGAGTGGGTCGTGGACATAGACAGACTTTGCTTGCAACTAGTCTTATCTTTGCCGGTGGTGTTTTTCCAGGTGACCAGGAAAAGGACAACAACAAAATTAATAATGATTAATTTTTCTGCGGCGTTTCGTCAACATGTTACAAATAACTATCGTTCTTAACTTACTATCAGTTGTACAATTCGTTGTAGTACACTGCTGGTCTATTTCCGACACCTGGTTTTTAATAACAGGCAGACTGGCTTCTTCTAACAGATTCTGGTGGGAACATTTACAAAAATGTTCTTCATGAATATCTCTAATGAAAACTCATGTGGTGAGAAGCGGACATCCATTGGGCATTTATAGCCCTGCCGTCATAAATAGCATTTCATGTGTGGGAATTTCTCCATTAGAGCGTTGTAAATCCCATTGAGGTTTTCGTAAGAAATCATTACTGGGCCAGACAGTCGCGTTTCATTCATCACCATTGACATGAAAGCCGGCAAAAGGCCATAAGCATATAAATGGATTTATGGCTCTCATTTTGCCGCAATGGTAACAGTTGCTGGTAAATCTTGAGATGTTTTGTGAGATGCTGTAACAGTTTCACGGGGTGGAGAAGCAGGCACGGCATCAAAAGGTATTCAAAATGGCAGCGGATGTTGCTCTGGGTGTGGTAACACGCTACTCTTACGACTTTCTTTGTAATCGTATCGAAGATTATGCATATGTACAAGAATGCATATAGTCATGATAGTCATAACTCAATTCATTCATTTTTCTGCGCAGAAATCCTTTCGCAATTCGAAGTGCACTTTCCTCTTGGGCATTTATTAAGCAAAATTGCGGCTATTTGTTAAAATGTTGACAGTGAGTTGTGACCTTTCCGCACACTGCAACGTAAAATCGCAGCAAGGGCTAATGCATTTGTTGCAAAACAAAGTGGCATGCGTACAAACTGCTAAATGTGTAGAAAAGAAAATAGGTACTTCGCGCGTGAAGAAGCTGTCTATTGTTTACTAAAACCGCTGTAACAATTGCGTTGTCGATAAACGAAAAAACCTTGTCGTCTAGATTATAAAAATATAAAAATTCATTTAGGCTAAAAGAGTAACCAAAACAAATGTAACAAGTGGTATTTTGGGATTGTTCTAGTTTTCGCGAGGCGTCTTATCCATATTACAACCTTAATCTTTGATTAACTGATGGTTAAGTTCGGTAATTAGTTATTACAAAGCAGCATAACGATGCCATAACATTTGTGATGCGGTGACAAACTGGAAAGAAACAGCCTCTGCGTCGTGTCCCACGGAGCCGGACTAAAAGAATCCAGCTGGCAGTGTTTGCCGGCTGACCACGTAGTCGGCTGCCGACAAATGCCGTGCCCGGTGCGAAAACAACAGGAGACCCTTGTCATCGTCCTTACCACCTGCTTCCATATCGCGACACTCGTTAAGTTGTCATCGGTAGATTTTTATGCTTAATTACAACGGATTCCCGGTAATGAATGATGGACCCCCACCGAGCAGCGCTCTGTGCAGTGGTGAGTGGTGCCCCCTGCGGAGATTTTTTCCTTTTAGAAATTTCGCGCGCTCCGACAATTACTTTACTTACCTTGTTCCGCATCGCTCGGTAATTGTTTGAGTGTTCTCATGGCCAGAAGATGACTAAACACTTAATAGACGCTACAACAAAATATCCATCAATGCCAACACTCTGTCTAGATCTATCCACAGCAAAACTTAGTCTTTGTTAGTATGAAACAAATTTCCCTAAAACATGGAGTACTGGGCGATATAATAATTAATGGAGTAACCGCACAATGTTTAACTAGAAAGTGTAACTTTCAAAAAAAAAGGTAGCAGAGATGTCTGAAAAAAACGATCACGATTAAGTACTGCGTGTCGCAACACTGCTTCTATTTTGTATATACGTTCGAATCGGAAGTACTACTGTAGTGCAGCACAGGTAAACAGGATATCTCGACTGCGGGCTGTTTCACTCGTAAATATTTTTATGTATTTATAATCACTTGTGAAGTTTTTAAAAAAATTTTCCCCATTGCTGAAGCATTCAGCAGGCTCATCGGGACATTTAGCCGATCTGTTTGATCAGAACGAATGAACCATCGCCGGAGAAGGGCGTCAAAATTGTGAGAAAGATAGTCCATTCTGCCAGTAAAGTGTAGAGCTTAATTGCAAAACAGTATGGATTAGTATTTTGTTCTGAAGGAATATTGACTGTTCGGCTTGTGTGTCGTTTCGAGAGATCTTGGAAACGGGTTCAAGTGCGATTATCCCTTCCATCTGCGGACTGCGCAGATTAGATGAACGAACTTCTTCACGGCTTTACTCGTATAGTTTCAACAAAAAAGGATATTTTAAGTAATTCAATTTGGACAGGTATGCTGTATCTAAACCTATAGCATTATCGGCCCTCTGTAAATGGGTTGCCGGTCCTAATGGAACGATAATCCGCGAGGCATCCATCGATGACCACAACCGGTATATTTTGGCCACAACGTTGACGTCGATATAATATTATTTGTACGGCGCCCAATATAACGTCATGTTGCTGCAAAATATTGGTGACAGTGTCAGAAGCACAGTGTCACACACAGTAGTATTATATTCATAATGCATAGAAATACAAATATGCATGTTACCGTAGCTTGTGCACTACGGTGCTATTTCGTCCAAACTTATTGTTAGTGACGCAATTGTAGACACTCACTGCTCCTTTTAAAGCTCACACCACAGCTTGCGATTCTGCAGTATTAATTTCAAAAGCCTTGTCTTCAGTGCAATCTTGCATGCGAACTGTGCACAGATACAATCAACAATGCGCCACAAGGCTTCAATGGCTTGATTAACCGTCGTTAAAATCGTTTTACACTACATACTCTTATGCACGTTTTATGCAATACATGTTGTGCAGATGTGAAATGGTAACTGCAAAGATTATTTTGTTTGTTTCTACAACTTTACGTACGATGCAAATAAAGAAGGCGGCTGACACTGCTAGTTTCAGACATTTATAAATTGCGGTGTGATACCGGTTGCTAAATAAGTTACAAGTGCAGAACGTAATGCCAATTACCGTATATCGGCTGCCCACGCATAAATATGAGTGATAAAATCAGAATTTTGTTTAGAAGCTGGTTCATTTGCTTCTCCGATACTTTCATTCATAATGCGCGCAATCATTACGCTGATTATCTTTCTCTTGGCAAATGGGGAGTCGAGACGTTGGTTCTTTTTGGCATCGAAAGGTTTGTTATCTGATTGTCTTTGGGAAGTAGTTAGATCCATCAACTGGCTTTTTGTTCTTGTGAATGAGATCGGGCGATACTGAACACATGTCTTAATGAGTCTTCACAACTTTTCCCAAAATGTCTGCACTGGCTGTTGCGTTCTTGACAGGTAGTATTTAACCTACGCATTATCGCACAATACCAGACATAATATATGCGTTTATGAGGCAAACTAGACAAAAGGTGCTATCAGGCCACAGGACGCATTAATTGCTTTTTGCCAAAGATTTTCCTTGACGCAAGCTGCTCCTACACCTGGTCCACACTTCACAGCTATGCATACACTGCCGGCTATATAGCGCAATCGGTGTAATTATAACTGCCCACAAGCATTGTTGATCTTGCATTCCGGTGCTATTGATCTTGCATCACGTCCGTTACTCACTCTAACAAAATGTTTATTTACGATAGCGGACATTTAGGTAGCCTGCAGAATGCAGAGTTGTGGTTTCTGTTTAAGCTTATTTATCATTGTATATTTATCAACAGTGGATTAGGTGATCTACATACGAATCAGTATTTGATCCTGCCCATGATCAGTACTAATAAAACTGTAACAGCAAAGTCGAAGTTACTTATCTTATGCATTTCATCCTTGCGTATTGTCTAAAATGTGAGCTTTTACATTATTGCTCCGTGCTCCTATAGTTAATAGCGATGTTTCATTGAAACTTACAAGGCATGGTAAGACTCGCACTATGTATTACAGCGAAGATTATGTGAAAACGATCCTAGGCTTTGTGTTTATTATATTTGCCATTTAAAGGCAAAAGCTTCGTTTTGCAGGATTACTGGATTGTCTTGGAATTTCAAAGAAGACAGGAGGATTACAGCGTCTCGGCGGCAACCGGAAAATTAGTGATATCTGTAAAATCTGAAAAACAAACGCAAATATTCATATACCCCATTGAAATATTCAGAGTACAAACCAAAGCGCAGAGCACAACATAATTTTCATAATAATAATATAATGCATTTTCATATCAACATTGTATTTGTGGCAAATGACGCTTTGCCTCTTACGATTATCACCTAACTACAAAGTATAACATGCGTAAAAGAAACCAACACCTATATTACGATCGATCTTCGCAATTTTTGATGGCTGATGTGAAATCGCTTCTCCTATGGCATTACACAGGTAATTCGACCCACAACTCATTAGCTGACCTATGCGTTCATCGGTGCTCGGATTTTTTTAAACTTTGTCAACTTAAACCGTTGTTGCGCGTAATCGACAGTATCTATACAGACTTATAATCTGCACTGGGTTTTGCTATGCGACCTTTACAGATTTGCACATTATGAGTCATGCAAGTCACCTGTCGGTATCCTCGCATCCAACGCCGTATGTGAGTCTATATGCAATCGTCCCAACTGCAGCAATTACGAGCCACACTCCAGGAGGTAGCCTTTTCTTTCCGAAAGATTACACCAGAAAAGACATACCGATGTCTATTGGTTTCCACTTTCCCAGCACGCTAATTCACCGATATTCAGGTCTCCTTGTGCATAAAGCCGACTTTTTGTCCGCAGGATTAACCGATACACTACCGGCATCATGTTCCGCGCACGGCGGGATATCGTCGCTTTCAGCCAGCGCTCGCTGTTTCCCGCTTTTGATTATGTTCGCGTGTTTAATCCGCCACATCTGAACTCCACACAAACACCACAAAAGACATCATTATCACAAGCCAAACGCACTTAGTAAAACATCTTTACAGGCTTGCTAGGGTTAATCATGATTAAGGCAAAGGTAATAGCCGTTAACAAAATAAAAACCAAACCACTGAGCTGGCACACATTGGACTAGCAAGAAACCAAATGCACACGTATCATGCATTGTCATCGGCTGAAAAGCTCCCACGTGAATGAATCGGTTCTTCTTCTTCCAGAAGCTTCTGCAAATCCTCCAGCTTTTCTTGAATTGTTGTAATCTTTTCTAAAACAATAACCAAATAAAGTAAAAATCGCAATTCCCTGAGTAAAAATCGTTATGATATTTTGCGCAAAGTGATAAGGCGGTATAAGAGCTGTAAACTTAAGCAATTCATTTGCACAACAGCGAGTTCGCATCATATGTAAGGGCTGCAATCAGATATGGAAGCATAATTCTGGCATGACTTCATTGCCAGATAATTACTTTAATGAGCATTTCTAAGATATCGTGTGCCGCTGCAGTTCAGCTGCAGCCAGTATCCGTCCACACATTTTCGTGGCATGCTTATTATCCATAATGAGCAGCGCACTTACTTAATTCTTCGGCTAAGCCAATCCTGGCATGGTTAAAGTACTGTTTAATCCTAACCGGATCCCGTTCCAATCCGTCAAGTATTTGCCTAACCTCACTCTCCAGGCGCCCCACTACAACGCACCAGAGAATACACGCATTAATCCCAACAAGTGTCTTAAACACGCCCCCATCCCCTCCGACCGAGTGGCACTTCACTAACATTCAGTGGTGGCAAGCTGCTGGCGTAGTGCGACACTTGCTGTTCGGATCATCCGCTTTACGCGATAAAATAACTCCACGTCTGAGCAATCACCCTGTCGACACAACAAGGAAATCAGTGGCTAGAACAATAGTCTGCAGTGGGATCAACAGTGTAACCACCTTGTGCGTCAAATGATCCCCATCATCAGTATCGACAACCTCTCCACAGAGGGCCACTTTTTGTACCGCCTGCTCCAGGAAACGCGACAAGAACAAGTAGCGCCATGTCTCCCGAATGAACATGCCGTCCACTTTTATATTTGCCGACTCGAGAGTCTTTTGTATCACATTCACTTCGTCCTTCGATAGCTCAGGGCTGCGTGCCACATCCTGCAAGAGCGAAGGTAAGTAATGAATGAATGCTGGACAGACAATGGTCAAGTAAAGAGTGATCACACAATAATAAAGTTTATGATACAACTAATGGCTAAGTTACGAGTGAATTTTTGACTGTACAGAGTAAGTAATGTGCCCACGCTTGAACCTTGTGTCAGGTATTTTGATTATAACGCATCGATGCTACAGAGCCGACACGACCAAGTACAATACAACAGCTCTACTGATTTAAGTTACGGGAACCGAATACGAAAAGATGTTTTTTCACGACCCGATTTCTAAGCATACTAATTTGATAAAGCGAGCCTAACAATAAATGATGTAAGTCGAAAAACTGTAATAGTGCTAATCTGCGATTCGTTAACGGTAACGAAATCGAACCTCATCATTCGGTAGTATCAGCTTTTCCAGCTGATCCATGACGGCTCGGCGATGACGGTGCTCTTGTGTTTGTAAACGGAAAAGGAACAATCGTTCCCACGATGATGGACCCGAAAATTCCTGAATTTTGGTCTGCACTGTTAAAATAATAACTTTAAACAAAGGAGCGGACAACCCCAAATACATAAAAACCGCTTTAAATTAAGTAAATTAAGCGGTACCCTCGATCAAGCGGTCAGAACAAGCCTGTTCCATAAATCGGACGGCAATATTCCAGTCATCAGGAGTGATCACATATGGCGCTTCACATGTGTTAACCAAGGCAGAGCGCTGAAAAAAATAAATACGAAAAGATATAGCGAAAATACTGATTTTATGAAATCGGGTTTCATTCTTTACACCATGTGCAAAGTTGCTTATATTCAAACTTCGTAAGTCACACTTCTGAGTGCATTGTAACTCTTACTCATTAGGAACGACCTCTATTTCAACAATCCAACTGAAATCTACTGTTATCAGTATACTGAATACCAAATTTTCACGAGCCCTGGTGTCCCACTGATGCGTTTTCTTTGCCTGTTCCAGTATGGTTTCTTTAAAATTATCGTAGATATCGTCATGCTCTTTGGTGCTTTTCCTTCGGCTGATAATGTGTTTGAACTTTCCGAATAATGTGGAACCGGCAACCTGCGCCGACAAGATGGTGATTAAACAAAAGTAAGTTTCGTGTCACGGTGAAGCACAAAACCTGCATACATCGACAGCTCGCAAAGGAAACATTCCATCCGCCCATGCTTTCAGTCTCAGATCAGTCGCAACTCGGAAACTGACAACCATGTTTTTTATGAAGTGATCCAATAAAACAGTGCTACAATAAGGTAATAGCTGCTAGCATACTCAGTCTTGCTTGATCCAGTTGCAATCGGTACGTAAACGTTATCAAATATGTAATCCGCCACAGAATTCCATAAATTCTCTTCAAATTCTGTTTCCCTAAAATCACATTAAGACCGATGAATACTTAGGCAATCGCTACCAAGATAACATTTCCGGGAAGAAAAAACGACCATTGCGGCAGTGTTTACCAAGTTGAGGATGGAACACTGTTCAGCTTTGCAACATCGTCAAGCAGTTGCATGCGCCCTGTTTCGTATAATTCATCCTGAAAATGAATACATCACAATAAATTTCACATTAAATACTGCGGTACATCCCGATTGTACCAATTTTCACTACGGTTACGTACTGTTGTGCCGTACAGTATGCCGTATACGGCAGTACAGTATACTGTTTGGGGGCTCTAATCCCGAATAAATTTCCCCCCTAAATTTCAGTAAAGGAATCGGCAGTGTGCCAGAGCGGCAACATTACGTATCACGTAGTATACACATACCCGGTCCAAAACGCGTGCCTTATAAAATTTAGTCTTCCAGTCTTTCTCCAGCGCAGCTTTGCGGGCTAGAAAGATATCGCTTACTTGTTAAAAAAACCTGCGATATATTGCAGCTGCAGCTACTTCACCAACCTTTGAGGAAATCGATCTGATAGCGTAGGGAGTTTTTCACAAACTGCCAGAACAAGTCAGCAATTCCTGCACTCATGTTCTTCACTGTGCAAGTAGTGGACTTCAACGAATCCGATCTTTAACGAATCCGATCCGAATGAAAAAATACTATCAAAAGGCTTTACCTAGTCTACGGTACTGTATTTTATTCCGTTTTACCTGAACAAGCTCGATTCGGAAAAAAACTTTTTCTCGAAGGCTTCGACATCTTCTATCGGCTCTGTTTTTGATCCTGCAAGAAGTCTATTAAGTTATCGCATTGCATTTATTCAACTAAACAAAGGCAGATAGCAAACCTCTTGCAGGCACCGCAACATAAAAACCCGATCCTTTGAGCGGAAATAATGAGCCATCGGTAACTCGCCGAATCTTCAAAATCATCTGATTTATTCAAGCGCTCAACGAAAACAGATTTCGGTTACCTTTTCTGGGTCGGCCAAACTAGTTTCCACTAAATCGGTTTTGGTCAACACAAACACCGACCGTACACCGTCGGAATCGAAGTCCTTTACAAGTTCGACGGCTCGACTGTAGGGCGAATCACGCGACGCATCTGCCCCAACAGTGTACGTTAAATTAAGATAACTAAACAAAAACAAGTGGAGAACAGCATTTACACCAGAAAAACTGACACTGGTGCTTAACAGCAATCACCGTTCTCCGTATTAGTTATTACGCACCAATTGTACACAAGAGCAAAGTCTGCGGACTCCGCAAAAGATTGTAACAAAATTCTCGGGTGGTTTCAGAAACCGTCGCCACCGGATCATTATAGATTCCCTAAATAGTCAACACAGAATCATTATTCGGATAGTAAAATCGGAAAACCGCACTCATTTTCAGTAAAGTGCGCTGACCAGAGGTAATGCCGGCAGATCGACAATAACCATTCGGCTTAAGTTTGGACCCCAGATTGTTAGGGACACCACCGAGGCAGGTGCATCGGAATTAGCGACAGATTTCACGCGCAATTCCAGTTCCTTGCGTAATTCCTCGATCTAGGCAGCACACGTTATTAATAAGATGAAATTTGGACACATTGAAAGACTTTAATTACCGCTTACATCAGATCCGTTTTCCAAATCGAATTCCCGGTCGGTATCGTTAAACTGCGCTAAATGGTATGGGCCCTCACATAGCGTGAATTTAACAGGAACTTGCGGCTTATATTCATTCCTAAAAATAATACAGCAAAATCATATCACATCACGTGAAAACAGAAAGCAGCAGATATTACCTCGGAAAAATACGTGTCCTCAGCAACATTTCCAACAAGCTACTCTTGCCAGAATTTGTGTCTCCAACAATGACGATCTATGAACGTTGAGCGTTGAGGATGAACCTAAATAAAAATTTAATCTTTTCTTAAACACTTCGACGTTACCTGCGGCAGACTAATCTGCGTATCGAAGGTATTTCGCAAATCAATGACTTCGTCCAGCACTTCGCTGTACATTTCAATTGGGTTTCTCTGAAAATATTCAAGAATCAAGATGTTACAATCTATTCGAACAAAACAACTGCTTAATACAGTGTTAAATGCTAATAATACTTTTAGCTTGCGCGACATCATATCTCTCCCTTCCTGTCGCAATAAAATTTGTCGGCGAAGTTCTTGGTTCTCTTTTTCCAGCTTGAAAATGCTCTGCTGATACCGCAGCTGAAACGAAGCGCGGAATTCCAGAACGTTGCCGAAAGATAAAGCATATGTAGCACATGGACACGCAGTTAATTCTATTTTATACCTGCTCTTTTAATAATTCGCTTTCCAACGATGCTATCTGGTCATCCACAGTTTCCGACGGGAAACTCTACAAGCGTAGACTGTTAGATATTCGCACAGTAATTAATAACAGTTATACAGAGAAAGTGAGAAAGTTCCATAAATGCTATCACGAAAAAGTGCAACCGTAAAGATTTCCAAAAATAATACTTCAAAAATCAATATACTGTAAAAATAAGTACACTACAAAAATGATGCTCAGAACTTTTACAACTAAAACAGAGAGGTCAGGGTCGCTTATTACTTATTACTGACGCCTACTATTGTTAATCGGAATACGCATAAAGTAAAACAGTCGGAAGCAACTCACTGCGGAACGGCTACCGGCGTCCGATCTTGCAGCTACACTGTGCACAAGCAGCGGTTTGAAGGAAACCGAATACGAAAACGGTCTGCAAATTTAGAAAAAAACAAAAATGTACTTAGACAAGCCCACGACATACTAACCAATTTATAATCACACTGTTCCGTTCACAAAGCAGTCCTTTGGTAACATTGAGCATACCTTTGCTGTCGCCATAATCCTGCCGGGTCGGACAAATTGAAATCGAAGAGATCAGAATGTCCCTTCAAAAGTCCAATAAAACTTCCGAAACTGTCGTATGTCCGGAATTGGGTTACAAGCGACGGAATTGTGCATTCGAAACGAATTACAGGTGTAAATGGCGCTGAAGTGTTCAACCTGAGTTTTCTGGATTTCTGTTAAACACAAATCAGAGTTATTAGACTGACGGGACTGGGAGTACGTAGTAAACACAATTATCAATAATGTTCATAAATACAATCGTGAACACTTCGCCATTCAAAAACAAACCCCCCATCATTTCAGCCAAAAATTAAATCTACAATAATAACTCAGAGAAACCGAAGCTCCATCTAAATAATATTTTTAAAGTGCAAACTCAACAGTTGTAAGCAGGGGCGGCTGGAGCTTCCCAGTTTGGGGTGGGTCAGCACTATTGGCTTTGGGGTGGGCCAGGCCCATACACCACTATGTTAAAAAATTTTTTTTGGAGGGGGCCATGGCCCCCTGGCCGAGGGGTTCCAGCCGCCTATGGTTGTAAGTAATTTGTTACCAGATTCAACACGCACCTGAGTTCTGGCTTGCTCTCTGTGGTCATAAACACATTTGGCCACTGCTGCTCCAAATACTGCGTACAGCACTCGAACCCAATGCTTCACAAAGCTTTTTCTAGCAGCATTATCTCTTACATTAAGGTTTATGCTGCGATATATGCGTGTCCGCAAAGGAAGCGCTCGTAACAACTGGGTGTGCTGGGACGCAGTGCGCCATCCAAAGAGAGAAGACATTTTGGTTATCATCCAGCACTTATCACAGGATAATGAGATTATGGACTTCACCCATAGGAAGGTCTCTTGCCGTCACAAAATCTGATATACCAGAGGCCCAGTTCAAAAAATCAAAACCAGCACACACGTAACAAGACAAACAAGATTCATTTCAAAGTTTCAAACTACAGCAATAAATAATAATATCTACGTATAGATTCTAGACAGAAGAGAAGAGTAACTACGAGTTTTGTTTTAGTCTTACAACTAAGTACTACCGCAGACAAATCGCAACATAGGCGGCCGCGCTTGCGACAAGAAGCTGAAAGGGCCAGCGCCATCGTCTGCTTACTATAGCGCTAGCAAGTTTTGTGGAACAGCTGACTTTTAACAAATCGCCATCATTTTTAATTTTTTATAATTTTGTGAAACAGATTCTGTGATACTTTCATCTTAGAAGAAGTATTCTTTTTGGTAATATTTTTGGTAGTTTGTTCGTTCAGCAAGGGAACTCTTAAGTCTTACTGAAAGCTCTAATAACTGAAAGCCCTTGTAGCGATACTCTGAACGGAAAAATCGGGTTTTCGTCTGTTGTCGTCAAGAACCATGGCGCACGTGCAGACTGGGTCTCAGCAGCCGAAATCTCTAGAGGAACACATTTTCTGGTTGGCCAAGATGTCCGCGGACGTGTACGGGATTCCTCTCAGTAATATGTATCCGAAAGGTGCTCGGGACGTGGTAGTTGGACTAAGTGGCTTCAGTCTTGGAAACATTCCTGCGTCTGAGCCGGACCGGTCTGAATATGTTATCGGCAAAGGCAACGAGCTGTTTGCGAAGATTTTTGAGTGCCTTCTGGAAACGGGACCTGGCGCTCAGAAAGTGATAAAAGGAGAATGCATCCAAGTACTGCTCCGCGTGCTGCAATTTTCCAACTGTCGTCCATTCCATGTGCGCATCAGTCCTTCGGCCGACCGATGGCGTTTAGTAGTCACTGCAATGCTTTTTGATTGCTTTGGATTGCTCATGGAATTATCCCCCGCATCGTCCACTCGCTTCGTTAGCGAACCAGTACATTTGGCTGTTAAGTTGTTGGATATATCGGGAACTTTCCCGGATAAGGAAATTAATCCGGACGTGGTTGCGGTGATTCTCAAGTGCTACCGATTTTTGTCCTCTTCACTGAGTGAACCACTGTTAGCGGACGTGTTCAGCCCGGCGGATATTCGCGAATTAACCCAGAATATTGCCAAGGACGTGTCGAAATCGCCGGTCTCTGCAATCCAGAGCGCCGCGGTATCTTGCTCGACGATTCTCTTGCAGTCACAGGCCATCGTTCTGAAAACTGACACTAAAAATCGCTTATTTACCGCACTCATCTCTGTGATTCGTGTGAAGTTGCGCTCAAATCAGGAACGGCGCTTGTTAAGCGGAGAAATTCAGTTCTGTTGGCGTGTTTATGGGGCATTGACTGCTTTTATTTTGTCATCAGCGGTACATGTTGGAGTTTTAAACGTGTGCACGGACGTTTTTGAGGACGGGCTGAAAATCAAAGATTTCGACGTGCAGATCATTTGCAAACAAGGACTGCAGATTATTTCGTCGCTTGTGAGGCCTCGTACTCCGAAGGAGATTATTCAAAATCCAGGGGCTCAGATGGAAGCGGCAGCGGCTGTTAGTGAGTCGATCATGGACGCGAAACCAGTGAAACCGAAAAGACCGGCAACAGACCTCAGCAATGCCAGCGATCCAACCTCAAACAAATATACCTTCGATGTTACGCCTAGTAAAATTAGTGGTTCAGTAGCGAATACGGATATAGGAAACGGATGGCAGGGAGATGAGAATGCTACTTCAGGCTCCGCTGAAGCAGTGGAGATGCCGGTTGAAGCAACAAGTGCTTCGCCGCAACCTAATGCGCAGTCAACAGTTTCCAGTATAGTGAAGCAACCAGAAGCGGGTGGTTTACCTATGGAAACAAGCGAAGATCTTCCGGAAAGCACGAAGGAGCGCTTGCTAACTCTTGATGCTGCACAGGGAAAGGAATCTGTTGATAATACCGGTTCTGGCCTTCCGGATCCAGATAAAGACGCTCAAGAACTGATGATGCTTTTTCGTGATTCGGATCCTGATCCAGTATAGTCGGCAGTTGTTAATCCAGTACCGTGCGCATGCGCTTTTTTTGCATTGGATGAACTCATGTGACATGACTGTGATGGTTCGTCCATAATTTAAACTGCATTTGGTGCAAGGTTGCTCTGTGTACGATAAAAAGCAGAAAGTGACGTGCGGATGAAGACCTGATTTGTATTTTTATAGTGTATAATTAAGAAGACTAATAATTTGTATTTTTATAGTGATAGTTAACTGGCAGTGGCTGCTCCAGTTACAGTGCGACCCTGTCCCACATTAACACTTAAGTACGACTTTGCTTTCTCTGATGACAAAAAAAAAGATCGAAATAAACGAAGTACTTTTGACTTTCCGATTAACTTTCTTTCTTCCGCTGAATGAAGCACTTCCTTTCGCAGTGAGAAAGCGTTAGCGAAAAGGACTTACGAGGGCGGTCGCAAAATAGATTTAGGTGCACATTGGCGTGACATTGCGCAACACAACGCACACAAAAGACAGCACGAGATTTTCTCATGTTTGTTTGAGATTCGTAGGTACTCGCAGCTAGTCCTGAACCCAAAGTTGAAAAATTTCGACGCAGTACTTACTTTATCGGAATTTTCTTTACAGCAACATTATAATGATACTGTATGACTGATTTTCGATTGATCCGTTTAACCGGATTCTTTCCCGTGGTGTTACATACTGCCTACTGGTTTGATCCACTCTGGAGCCTTTTCAACAATATTCATTTGCTGATTTGCCTACTTAACCCGTCGTCTTAACTCTTATGATCATGCCAATGATGCCACTAGAAATGAGCTGAAGAATGGTTGCGATCGGCTTAGAGTGCCATTAGATCATATGTTCCTATCGATTTAGTTCTTTGCTTCCCGCGCACACCATGCGTCTCCCTCCGGATGTCGTTGTTGTTTTGCTTCTGATTCTGGAATGTTGTGCGGCCATAGAGCCACTTACAATGGGCGGACTGGCGATTGGTGCGTTGACTTCTGCCGGAGTAGCATTATACGCAAACTTCAAATGCAAAATCCTCGAATGCTGCGCCGAGCCGTACGTTCGCTCTCCCGAAAGAGTGGACCGGACGCTGAAATCTATCCTGCATTCTCGGGTCTATGGTCAGCACATCGCCATCGATCTGGTGCTCTCCAACGTGCACAATCACCTGACAACTTCACCCAAAAAGCCCTTGGTTATGTCATTCCACGGCGGGACGGGAGTGGGTAAAAATTACGTCGCTCGACTGATTGCGCAAATGATGTTTAAGAAAGGCACCGACAGTAAGTTTCACCATTTGCTCATTTCCACTTTGGATTTCGCTTCCGGGGCGAATGTGGTCGCGTCGCGAATGCACTTGCAGAGTTTGGTGAAAGGCAACTTATCAGAATGCCCGCGCAGCCTGTTCATCTTTGATGAAGTGGAGAAAATTCCATCGGGAATTTTGGATGGATTGCAGCCGTTTTTGGATTATCATGATAGTCTCATCCACGGCGTGGATCCGCGAAAAGCTATCTTTATTTTCCTGAGCAACACAGGACGCCGTCAGATTGATACGATAGCGTACGAAGCGTGGGAACACGGTCGATCGAGAGAAAGTCTGACGATACAGGACTTCCAGAAGACGCTGCAGTTGAGCGCTTTCAACGAGAAATCCGGATTATTGTTGAGCGATTTGATTCAGGAGGAATTAGTGGATATTTACATTCCCTTTTTGCCGCTAGAAAGGAAGCATGTTGAAGGATGCATTCGGGATTATATTACGGAAAGCAATTACACCATTAATGAATCCGTGGTGGAGAGCATAGCCGACGAACTGGATTATCTGCCGAAGGAAGATCCGCGCTTTTCTGCAACCGGATGTAAACGTATCCGAGAGAAGTTTGTCGGATTCAAGCACAAACTACAGAAAATTGTTCCGCAGGATGAGAAATTGCAAGCAAAACGTTCTTCGGAAGAGGAAGCAGAGGGGTAACATTACAAAGAGGCGTCACCCGCGCGTTGTTTTAACGGTGATGTCGGGTATTTTTTCTATTTTACTGTGATTTTAGATTGTGCATTGACTGCTTTCGCGCGTCGTTTAGGGCTGTGTCACGGTTTGATTTTTGCACCTGGTATTGGTGGGTTTAAACTGGAAACAATTTCATAATAATAATCCGGAAAATGATTGCACTCCCATAGTAAAAATATAGTGTACATTTAATTACGTATTTTCTCTTGTGAATTTGTAGTAATTGTTTACCACAAGGCTGAATTACGAGTAGAACTGTACCTACTTAAATAGACAACGCCTATTTTAACACTTGACAAACCGCACTGCAAGCTGCAAAAATGAAAAATGTCGGAAATATATTTTGCTTTGCATAACCACAAGTCCCCAACCATAACCAAAATCCTCACAACTTAAATTTATAGTACTACACTGATTCAGTTCAAGCGCAGTGTTGCTGGTCACTGTGGTCAGAGAGAACGCAGGCGTCTGACAACGTCAATACTACAACAATAAAACAAACATTCCATATCCGCTTTCACGCTTTTCGTCGGACTTTTTTCATTTCTACGGATGTCGCTGCAGGCCTCCGTACTGATGATTCTCCTTTCTGTTCTGAGTCTTCCGCCCCCGGAACAGGAGATGACAGTTGCAGCGGATCATACTTGTGCGTCTGTTCCACAGGGATATTGCCTACAAATCGGGAAATAATCGTCCACGCATCTGCCGTACTCCTCGGAATACACACCGAAATATGAAACGAAAGGCTGCGCAGCCGGTTTTAATCAGAAATACTACGAAAATATTCAGAAATTCCAAGTTTCTAACATAAAGAAATCGTACCAGGCGGCGCTAAATAATAATGCTCCATAGTTATCTTTGCGTTTCGCAGTACATCCTCTCGTTGATTTCCTTCAGTGATTTCATCTGGTCGCAAATCCAGTGTTCTGTTAACAGAGAAATTAATGTACTAAATGATTTCCGTAAGATCCAAGTGCGGATGTATAGAGTTGGCTAAACAGTCAACCCAAGCGGCAACACGCTACAGCTGGAGCGACTTTTCTTGCAGTTTTATTTATACTGTTATAGGGTACTGTCACTACTGTGATACATCTTCACCATCTTACTACCGGAATCGGTATCCAATAAACGTGCCAGGAGTTACTTTTTATTTTTGAAATTCGCATCTTTATTTACTCGTTCTCCAGCAAGGAATAAAGCGGTTTCACTCCCGATATGTCCACATCTCGTAGCCGGTTAGCATAGCGGATTGCCGAAGCGAGACGCTCAATGGCAGCCTGGTTGCTGAAGTTGACTAGCGATAACTGCTCCAAATGGTACACCGTGTCCAGCGTAAGCTCAGCCTGCAGAAGAAAGAATAACGGAGTAAATGGACGTAAAACTTACTACTACAAATGTCAATGACTGCAGTAAACAGTACAAGTACAAAAGATTACAGATACAAGCAGAACATTTAAAATTTGATCATTTTGATTAGTTTCATCTGCGCACGCTTACTGCTGTATGTACTGGCTGCTGCCGAAATAAAATTCACACAGCAGCACTTGACCATGTTGGACTTTCATAATATTATTGCAATTCAAATACTTCGTACTCGTACTGTACGAATTTTTCTTATATCCTTGTTGGTGCGTGCATGTTCAGAGTTTTGTATTAAAATTTCAAAAATAGTATTTTAATATTTAAAATGCAACCTATGTACTTGTACTCACCGCTTTGGCTTCCACTTGCAAGTTTCCTTCGCTCTGCGCAGTAGGGCGATTTCTCATATTTTTCCACGCATAAATTTCTTTAAAACTCTGAAAGTTGAAAAAACAAAGTTACCAACTTGTATCCGAATAATAATGCTTTGTTAAACCCCATACATCAGAAAACTTCGTTCGTTTCTGACAAGACCGAAAGCGCCACAAAGCTTTAGGTGCAGTGACACCACGACTTCCAGCGTGCGAGAGGAACATGGTCAAAAGGTTTTTGCTACGAAAAACTTAACAATTTGTTCGCATATTTAGGAAAGATGTAAAAACAGAGCATAAATCTCAAGAATCAGTTCAGAAAAATCAAAGGATTCTGGCAAAACTGATAATGTTCAGTCTTCTCTTCGCTACTCATCGTCAGCCAAAAAATATAACAAGCTCCGAACTCCAAACTCCAAGTCCAAAGCTTCGCAGTGACGAAATCGGAAGGGGTGGGGTCATTGTAGCTTCTCCGCAACGAGACGGCGGTCACAGCTGCTTTTAGAACAAATCGCAGACCAAAGGTAACTCAAAAAATCAATTTTATCGTGTTTTTGTTCCGGGAAGATACAATTTGATTTGCAAAAAAGTTGTGATGTTGTAATGTGGCACAAAACTGTTTTATTGCGCTGAGTGGCGAAGACAATGGCTTCAAAGCAGAATTCCTTTGAGAGCGCTCAGAATGAAGTTTCAAATCTTCCGTACGAAGAAAAGACTGCGGAGAATCTTCAGGATGCGCTGATGAACATCTTTCGACCAGTAATCCAAGAACTCGACGTCTGCGTGGAACAGACTCGGTAAATTTGTGTTTTACCGTCTGTTTGTTTTTGAACAGTTTTTGTTTTCATGACAAATAGTTCATAGTTGAAGCACTAAAGAGGCTAAATGGGTTTCTTGTGAATCATGTCATTCGCTTAATTGGTGTAAGAATACGAGTAGTTTCGTATATATACAGATATATCATATCTATGTTATTGTATGATGTATGTACGGTATATTAGATTTTTCATATTTTTTTTGACTTTTTCAAATTTTCATTGCTTTGCTTTTCCATTCTAATTTTTGTCAACTTTGTAGTAACAGTCAGCAGGATTTAAAGCGACAGATCGATCTTCTCTCAAATGGTAAGACCGTAAGAGTGCTAGTGCGACAGTAAGTCAGTTATCATGAGTGTCTTTATTCAGTTTATTGCACTGATCAATATTAAAGGGTTTAAAACTTTAAATCCAAATAATGGCAAATATTATTGAATTACACATACTTCAGTTACATTGGAACTAGTTATTCTTGGATGCGCTATCGGCTCTGCTATCAATAATATACTTTTTGTCAATTTTGTGTAATACTTTCAGACCGTAATGTTTGACCTGTTTTCCAGAACTGTATCAGCTGAGTAGCCTTTGCGAAGTGTCTCCCATGCTGGAACTGTATGCGAAAAAAATGACGACCATCAAGCGCCGCATAACAGTGATGCACAATATTCTGCAAAACGTGCAGGTAATTGGAAACGAAACAAATAAAAGGGTACAAATTGCTGTTCTTTTTCGTATGCTGCCTATTTTCAGTCTAACCTAGTAGCTCCGATTGTATGCGAATACGTTTTGCATTTGATAATTTCTCCGCGATATAGTAGTTGGTGGATCACAGCCTGCAACATGGTTCGTAGTCGTAGTCGTACTTTGCTTTGAGAGCGCTTTGGGTACTGCCCGGATATGGTTGGGAATCCGATTCCCATCGGCGTCTATCCCAAGCTGCGATAGACTCCAGATAGTTAATGAGATAGAAGACTGTCGGCATCGATTGCAAAATATATCTGTGCTTTCGGTTTTGTAATCGCAGTTCCCAACAGTACCGTATATAAATGCTTGATGGTGTTATAATGCAGACGTATAAAAGTGAATAAGTTGAACAGTCGGTTGTACCAGTACTCACTGTACAACTTTGAAATAACTGTTATGCCTTTGTAGGATCGGCTGAGAAAGCTGGAGCAAAGCGCTGTGGCAAAAAATCTGACATCGTCAAACAATTCCTCATCAAGTGCGGCATCAGCTGCTGCCAGTGTCATCCCTACCAACCCGTCAAACCCGCCATAACATCTGCACCCTTTGAAATAGCATCTACATATTATATAAACGTTAATTGCGACAATACTTACTAAGTTTACTCCCGTTACAGGTTGTGCAATTTGTGGGCGCACACATTTTTGCAGTGATTTCACTTTATCACCAATTCCAATTCCAGTGTTCTCCTGAAGACTTTGTTCAATGACTGTCTGTGATTTTTTATTTTACGTCGTACCTTTACTTGCGTTTACTTTTTTATTTACTGTCAGTGAACGGAATTTCATAACTTGAATCGGGTGTCTCTCATTGTTTTGTCTGTAGAATGTTGCCACTATTGTGTAATGCTTTTATTGACCAAAATACTCGAAGTTCGTATTTACTTTGACATTAACAGACCGTAATAATAATCAGTAAGGGCACAAAGTGTAAGGCAGTGTGAATAGGCAGTATTCAAAAAGAACAAACGCCCCATGCTAGCAAATGCCGCGAGAGCAGAGCGAATACTGATGCAACAAAACAAAATGCAAATGCGCCCACATTTAACTGCATATAACTGTAGAAATATGGCAACAAAACACATAAAAAAGCAGCATCCCTAAAAACCTCAATCAGACTGCTGTCAGATTCAGTTACGCTAATAAAAATTTTCATTAGGCACCAGGATGGAAGTAACTACCGCGAAACCGGCACGGTTCGCGTTCAACCTTGACACTGCTGACCATTTCTTCCTCTTTCGTTGGACAGATCAATAGGACCAGAATCCAAGATCTCCAAATCGCGAATGCATCCTTTAAATCCCACTGAGTGCTGATTGGCGGTCAGAGTCGGAATATCAGTTAATCCGCCTATTGGGAAGAATTTTTCGTTAGCGGGTTTTGCTCTCATCGCTATATGCCGCTGACACTTGGGTTAACAAAATTTCATCGCTATCACAACATATTACTCAGTGTCAGAATAATATGTAAACCACCGAAACGATGCCGCTAAGAAATATCCACATTAATTTTACATCGCTCCTATCACAGGTCTGAAGTAAATAATTTTACCGATAAACAAGTTGCCGGTGGTGTCGAGTCGTTTCATGTTTCCCCTCGCTTCTCCTTGTATGATTACGGCATCATTGTCGATGCTCAGTGTACCGCGTTTTTCCGATCGTTTAATGCTGATTCTGTGCCACTGATTATCGTTCATTCGCTCTCTCGATACAATCCTCGCTGGTCCACTTCCCAATTCAAATCTAGAATAATCAGCAATTTTAATTATCATTATTACCAGCGTTAGACTGAACAAAAGTGCAAGAACTGATGAAAATCTTGGAAAGTAGCATATTTTGCTTCACAGCAAATGAGACAGAAAGCCAAACAAAAGGTTTTTTTGCAAATTTTGGGACTTACCCAAAAATTAAAAAGCCATCCTTCAGGGATAGTGACAAGAAATCTTTGGCATTACCAGCCGGAGCCCCTCTCTGGCTATGCCAGAGCAGTAAGCCATCGGGCTCGGCCGTCTTAAACTCCAGTGCTACTGAATCGGCTTCCTTAGCGCCCGCGTGCGGCAAGCGTGACCCCTCGAACTCTAAGAATCCCTCACCGTCGAACTGCAGCTCGCGTTCTAATCGATATTCTACAGAGATTTTAAGAAAATTACATCCAAATCAGTCGAAACTAAGAGCGCTTGTAGATGTACCTGATTCGCAGTTGGCACCGGTAAATCGTAGCGGACAATGGCATCTGAAGGCTTCCTCCGCTCCAGCAACGGCTACGCACGTGCCACCGTTCGCGCACGGTGACAACCGGGAGCAAATATCCACGGACGCTTCGCACTGCTTACCTGTTAAAATATATTGCTGATTTTAAGCAGTTTAGGGTTGACTGCGTCTTCAAACATTTCAGAAAATTATTAAGCCAGTTACTAACTACTGCTAGCTATTCAAACTATTGTATGCTCTGTTGTATTCAAAGTACAGATATTCTATGCTCCAAAGTGTCTCTAAAGTATTTTTAGAAAAGGCTAACGGACTAAAATATTTGCCAAAACGACTTTCTGAAACTGTGACACTGGGCATGACCTGTAAAAGAAGTCTAAATAACCACCCAGTACCTCCGAATCCGTTGCTGCATATGCACTGGTAATCGTCTCCATTCTCCACACAACGTCCACCGTTCAGGCATGGTCGGCTAGCGCAGGCGGAAGTGTCGCCGCAATCTGAAACGCTGGAGCTCTCCAGGACACTGCCAGCATCGTTAAGGACGTACGACGCTCCGTTAATTTGCAGCTAAAAAAAGGCAAATCGTATGCATCTAACTTTCTCACTTTTACAAAGTGCGAGCGATCGGAATACCGTGGAGACGCATCCATCAAAGCCATCCCGGACACCGACACCGGAAGCAATGGTTATTTGGTCGCTGACGCCGCCCAAGTACAAATTGGTAGCTAAATTCAACCCGGTCAGCCGACCCTGAGATTCACCAGTAACTTCTTCCTCGTCATTGATCTTCATCGTAGCTTTCCTTCCACGTCGCATGATTTGTACGTGGTACCATCTGCCGAGCTGGACTTGCAACATGCTTTGCAGATTGGTCATACCTAACGAAATTAAAACAGCTGATAACCGACCGTCCTCTAGCACAAAGCGTGTGTGTAAGTGCCTTGCAGTTACAGCAGCATTATGTACTTAATTGCGCAACTTACCCGAACCAAGATCGAACCGCAAGTTCAGAGCACCACCTCGGATCGCCAGGGATAGGAAGTCTCCGTGACCTCTTTCATCGTTGGCAACGTAAAAGACTATGCCATCGTTAGCGGATCGTGGTTTAAAAGTAATGTCGATATCCATAGTCTCCAGCACATTCTTCGGAGTAGCATATGCCGCATAGGCGTTTTTAGTGAAACTTGGCACGCGAATGTTCACAGCTGCGAAATTGGCATTATTGCGCTACGTAATTTAATAATATACATAGTGTAGACATGGTGTTTTTTACCCTCTGCGCATTTCTTTCCGGCTGTGCCCCATGGACATGCGCAATAGTGAAGTCCGTTCGGTTGATCAATGCAGCGTCCGATACCACAAATACCTATATGTTCAATGTGTTGTTATCAGCGTGCGATCTGCTCTTTATTTACAACATAATTCCGTACGGCTTGGTTTTGGATAAGAATATAAAACGGTAGGCAACGGTTTTGGATAAGAATACCTGGTAGGCAACGAAGACCCGGCATATCGCACAAGTTCCCCGTAAACCCGGCTGGGCACATACACCTGAATCCCCACGGAGTCAAAGCATCCTGGCATAAACCGTTGTGCTGGCATGGATTTGTCTTCGCACAGGTGTCACAATCGTCGACACCGGCTTTTTCAGAGGAGTTCTTTAGAATGTCATGGACAACATTATCTATCGTGATGGTGCCCAAACACCCTGGAATGCGTAAATGCCATTTAGTGGAGATACGAATGCGGTATTTTATAAATTATTTGTACGTCGTTGTCAACCATTTTTTCAATATGTGCAGGACATAATAACGTCACCCGTTTTGGTAAACCATATCTAAATGATCTAATACATTTACGTATGTACGAAACATAGAACGCACCCACAAAATTGTTTGAAAATCCAGCATTTGGACTAATGCTCGCGTAATCTGGCACACCTCCGACGAGCACTTGCGAATTCAGCGCCAAACCCACCATTCTACCGGGCGCCGTGGCCGACACTTCCGGACCGTCATCAATCGACAGGAAAGCTGCAAAATAAAAAAAGCATTTTTAATCTAAGACTCCAGTCAGGCTGGTTTATGTCATGTTTCTCACCCTGATTGCGGTTTCGTCTAACTCGAGCATGGTGCCAGGCGTTAAGGGTGACTGGAAGGTCACTGACGGCCGCTCCTGGTCCCGATCCCAAGTCGAACCGGAATTCGACGCGGCCATCGCGCATACCCAGTGCAACGAAGTCGGTAGCTCGTTGATCGGTTCTGTCCTGTTGACCGGCACCGGCGCCATCGTACAAGATCAATCCTGTAATGAATACGCCGCTTCTTCCGAAATCTCTTCTGGGGCTTAAACACTGTTACAGCGTATCAAGCTAACCTATACCTGAGCCCTCTTCCGGTTTGAAACGCACATCCATTTCGAAATCAGGCTTCTGAGACACTCTGTTCAAAGCCGTGGGCATAACGGCATAAGAATCCCGTCGACCTCGGAAACGCGGCACCACTCCAGAGACATAAAGGATAGTTTCGGAAGTCTGTCCATTTATCTTGCAGATGTAATGACCAGCGTCCTCCTCTTGGACGTTTTCGATAATCAGCGATGTTCCTGCAGCAAACATGCACGTACATTTTGAGATTGGTGTTAGTTGTGCACGTGCCTGATATTTATTTTTTTCAGATAAAATGGGATCACATCCGTCATTATCAGCGGAAATCAGAATTAAAGCTTCACTAGAGTAAGCACTGCTAAGCACTTAGCTAAGCACTTTATTACAATATACATCGCTAACTTTATTAAAATATACTAAGGCCGGGTCTCATTTCTTAAGACACCAACCCACCTTCGATTCGCGAATTGGCTGGTAGCTGTCCTTCTCGTTTATTCCATTTAACAGTTTCTGGAGAGTGGATTTCAATGCCTTCGCATTTGAATTCCGCTCGTTCACCTCTCATAATGCTGTTTTTGTCAATTGTGGGGCCAATGGGAGGCGGTGTGATGCGTTCTACTTCAGGTGCTGGAAGGCAAAGCCGGTAAATAATACGGTTTCACAATCTACGAGTACTGTGCTCGAACAATAACCATACATGTAAATGATATAATAATGTCTGTTACGTACGTCACAACATGACACATATTGTCTAAGATAACTTTTTAATTGATCTTGAGCAGTTTTTCATAGCGTCTATCAAGGCACATAAGTAAAAAGTTTTATACTGGTGTCACGTATAGGAAATGCTCCGATCCAGTCAAGAAATAAACAACTGCAGAATAATTTCCAGTTAACAAATTTCATTAGAAACCACTCCGCTCTCACGCCTTCGATTCATTAATTGTTCAGATTTTTGCTTACTAGGAACAAGCACAGGGGCAACAGACGGCACGGGAGCAGTCGGGATCACGGGAATCACTGGGATAACTGGTCGTGGTCTGACTTCACCTTGCTCCTTGATAGCTGCAATACCGACACCCAAGTATATTATAAACACCAGCGGAAAATGAATTGGCTATTACTTACGCTCGCAGTGTTCCACATCGGGATCACACACTTCTAGTTCACATTCCATATTCTTCAGTTCATTGACAGTTTGCAGAGTGCAGATATACTTTCCAGCCGACGCGTCGGATATGGAGTCGAATATCAAGAAACGGCCTTGGGGTCGGGCAAATGCCGGTAGTGGCTGGTTATCTTCGCGCGTCCATGTGTAATAGATGGCCAGCTGGCCTTCTCGTGGATGAATGCACTCAAAAGTGGCATTAGAATCCAGCCCGATCGGCACCCTCTGATAGAATGGTTCAATTCGATAGTCAGGTAGCGAGACAGGAATAGTCGGTGTTGGCGTTTCCGTAACAGAAACGTCGGTTGGTCGAACTGGGATTACAGGGACGATGACTGGAGCCGATGTCGTAGTTGTGGTATCTTGTATCGGAATCCAGCCGGTAGGATCGACTGCAAGTGGTAATTAAGACACTTTACTCGTGTTGGATTTATTTGCTGACCAGTCAGTAATCACAGTTACTGCAACAGCAACGCCAAGCGACCGTGTAGGCCGGAAAGAGGAATTAATTATAATCACAGAGACGCGTATCGGAGCACAATTCAGTGAATTCACTACCACTTGCTACAACCAGCAGTAGCCAAAAAATAAAACTAAAGCAAATTCATGCGCGTATTATTTAACCTATATTGTTCTCCTTGTTTAAAAATAAAGCAGGTGTTCTGAAATTTTTGTAAAAAAGTAAAAAGTCTCCCAGTCGGGGAATCGAACCCCGGTCTTCCACGTGACAGGCGGAGATACTCACCACTATACTAACTGGGACTGTTAATATTTGGATAGTAATCTTATTCGGTTATACATAACAAGAAAGCACCAGCATGTGATAGAAGTCTCGCAAGTCGCAGTATTAATGTGCTTATTACACGTAGCATATTCGATTGATCGATTGTCAGCCATTCATCGTAAATCAGCATTCACACGTCGCTTTGTATAACATTTGATGTTTAGCCATTCAATGAACTTCATCCCTAAAAAATTCCTTCCAAAGCCCTTAATATTATTGCTAACAATTAAGTACTGCAAGTGTTCGATGACACCTGTTAATTAATATATGGTTGGGTTAAGCGCTGGTTCGGCTGTACATGGGTTTGGTGAACCCAAGAAAAATCTCATTTCCAGTACATGTTGCTGTTGACCTTTAATTAGCAGTGAACTTACTTCGTACTTCCACGGCAAATGAGCTGGTGGTGCCGGTTGGGTCTCTGACAACACAGACGTACTGTCCAGCATCGTCGGCGGAAGCATTTTCAATCACCAGCTCCTGTCTGCCTTGACCAGGCCCGGCCACGACACGTCCCGCAGCTGAATCACGATGCCAGTATACTGCATCGTCAGGTCCGTCACCGGCACATTCCACCCTCACTACTTCTCCCACGCGATGATGAATTGGGCCAGAGGGCGTGATGATCACACGAGGGGGCAACGTCATCCCTATGGCCCAACAAATTTATTAATGTTCTGTGAATCCGTTGCATCAAAGAGTGAACTTCACCTTCAACTTGCAGTTCTCCAGTGGCCGTAGTGGATCCAAACTTATTCCTTGCCGTACACAGATATGCTCCATGGTGATCGCGCGTAATACTGGCGAACTGGAGCACATCGGGTCGCTCGGCTGAGCTGGCTCCCTCCGGCAGCGGGCTTCCATCAGCACGAGTCCAGGTAACTTCCGGATAAGGCCTACCCCCATCCGTTCGGCACTGCAGGTACATGCTATTTCCCAGCTGAACTCTCAGGGGAGTTTCCGGATAGATGGATACCCTTGGCAGCTCTTTCTCTGGAAATATGGTCCAAGCACAAAGTCAATGTAAATGTTGCTATTAGTGTGCTCTTAGGTGTCACGACTCACATTTACATTTTAAATTTCACTGTACCTTCTACTTCCAGTGTTATCGTTCCTTGAGAAGATCCCAACGCATTCGCGGCCTCGCAGATATAAAATCCACTATCATCGGCTCGAGCTCCTTGAATGATGTACTTTCCATTCTGAATCTGTGGAAGTGTTACAATTAGCAAAGATTAATTAAACTGACTGACTAAAAAATTAAGTAAGTACGTCTTAAAGTTTGCTATTTCACCTGAACCCGATTGTCCGTTTCGCCGGGTTGGCGATCCCCTCGTGTCCATGTAACAACAGGTGCCGGGTTGCCGGTAACGGTGCACTCCAACTGAACGGTCTCACCTTCCGCGCCCGTTACTCTTTGGTTATCAACGCGGACTTCCGCTGGAAACTCTCCTATAGGCGGTTCACCTGTTGGTGGATCCGGATATATCGGGTAAGTTGTTCCGCTTTCTGATATCACTCGCACTTCCGTTTGACGGGAACCTTGGGCATTTGTCGCTGTGCAGATGTAGACTCCCTGATCAGGCTCGGAGAAGCTGTCAACACTCAGCGTCCCGTGTTGTTGAATGGCATTGGCCGGTAACGCACCGTCTGCACGCGACCAGGTGACTTCGGGTTGCGGGTCACCGTCACTCCAACAGCGGAGTCGTAGCGGATCGCCGGGACGAACACGAACTTCTTGCTGATCAACGCGCGCTTCTGGCAGACCTTGAGCTAGTGTAAAAGTTCAGTCACTTGGTTATTCATAAGTCTAATCTTTGTTCTGCAAACTTTTGTTGCGAATTACTATTCAACACGACCTTTGCAAAAAGCAGAGATTACCTTTGCTTCGCTTTGGCCGGTTATTTTAATAAATAAAAAGGGCTCGATGACTCACCAGGGGTAACGAAGAGAATTGTTCGAGCGCTAACTGGCCCTTCCGGTCCGGTGCCATTGCAGAAGTATTCGGCTTCATCCGCAACTTGAGCCGATGGGATTCGGAGTATTCCATTGCTCACCGTGCTCTGTGGATTCAAACGACCATCACGTCCGCCATGCCAAGATAGCTGTACTTGGGGACCGGTAGCGATGCACCTGAATTCCACTGGCTGTCCTTCTTCAACGCGCTGAAAGTACGGTTCAATCCGCAGTTCAACGGGACCAGGTGGCCACGGGCCCGGTGGTGCGGGTGTTACTTCCTCACCGCCAGCCGTTGGGTCCACTTCAATCGGGAAGGTCACGCCTTCAATTCTTAATTCCGCACGATCAGATGCAGTTTGGTAGGCGTTGGAACCCGTACAGACATAAGTGCCGACATCATGCGCCTGCACATTGACAATGGTCAGTACTCCCGCGACGTCTGAGTCACGGGACGGAAGTCGTCCTCCGACTTTTGTCCAGGCTGACGTGTACGTAATAGGACTACGGACGATGCATCGGAATTGCACAGTATCTCCAATTCGAACCGTCTGCGATTTTGGAGGTAGAATGTGCACAAACGGAGAAGTGGGTGGTTGTCCAGTAGGGATTTCTCCAACTATAAACGCAATCACAACATGATACTTGCGCTTGGTTCAATGAGTAAGTATGTACTATCCGAACGTTATTCGCAAAGGTATATATATGTAACGACTTTTACCGGGACGACGGATATCGACAGAAGATGTTCCGGTATAGCCGGAGTCCAAATGCACGGTACAGTCGTACTGTCCTGCATCTTCCGGTCGGAATCTTTCGATAACCAACAAAGCGCCATCAGCTTCAATCCGCGCTCGGGACGGATCCACTTGCCGGCCGTTGAACGTCCACAGAATATGTTTGCCTTCTCCACTTCGAACATCGCAGCGCAGGGTGAAATAATCATCCAGGTGAGGATTGGTTACACTGGGGGTTATCTGTATGATGTCTCTCGGTTCCGGTTCAGGAGGATAGCCGGTAGGGCGACACGGACGTCCCCCTCGCGGATCCCCTTCGTATCCGGGTGCACACAGTTCGCATTCCTTGCCGGTGGTGCCATCGCGACAATTCAAACACTGGCCACTTTCCGGATCACACTCATGGGCATGACCATTGCATTCGCAGCGTCCACACAACCCCAAATACAACCCGCTTCCGGTCCGCGTGAATCCGCGCTCACAACTTTCGCACGACAAGCCCTTGTATCCCGGTGGACAGATGCACAGTTCCACACTGTCAGCGCGTTCTTGACCGGTATTCTCGGGTACGGCGGTATCAATGGACATTTCCCCTAAACTGCCGGATGCACTGACCAGGACGTACTGCAGGTTTGCGAGAGCCATCAAAAAATGTTCCCGTGTGGCTTCACCGCCATCACTGCGTCGCCACACCCTCTCCACGAGCGGCACGCGGATTGCTGCCAGTTGGCCGGGAGTGGCTTCCTGGTTGCTGCTGTATTCGAGCGCAATCTGGTTTCCGAAGAGGAGAACTTGCACGGGACCATTGCCATTTTCCGCACGCAGATTGATAACAAGATTACCACCGTATGACGAAACACGTTCTCCCACGAGACTGTTTGGCAGTTGCCAGAACAACTGACCGTTCTTACCAGGACCTCGCAAAACGATAAGGTTTTCGGATGGAGAAAACTCCACCTGATTATCGAACGACTCGGTTCGCTCTCGGTTTGTCAGTTTTAATCCATTGTTGATAGCATCATGCGGTTGTACAGACACCTGCGTCAAACTGACATGAAAAAAATGTGCGATAGAAGTTTCTTAAATCTTTACTTGGTTGCGGTAGTATCCAGAGCTGCGACAGTCTTTGGTAACTCCACTACAGAAGCAGATGTCGCAGCCTGATGCGCTGACCCGGTTCAGGTTAAATGAACCACTTCGGCACTGGTCACAGCGAGCGCCAACGGTGTTTTCCTGTAGTAAATTTCCCATAGCTTAAAGGTTAGCATGTGACTGGTCAGTAAGGATAAACAAAAATGTAGGAGCGTCTTATCGACACTGACACTGACCTTGCAAGTGCACTGTCCTGTTCGGTCATCACGGTACGGATAGACGCTTCCATCCGGATCACAGTCCTGTCCTTCGGGAGTGGTCGGTTCCGGCCAGGGTTCAGGAGGGTATACAGGATAAGAAGGCCGGCACTGCACGCGACCGTCGCGGTCATCTCTTTCGTAACCTTGAGCGCATTTTTCGCAGCTTAAGCCATCGTAACCAGGAGGACAAATGCACTGCTCTACTTGGGTGGCAAACCCTAATCCCGAATCCTGGGACGTCGCGGTACCCATTTTAACCCCGCGTATGCTGCAAAATTACCCGTGTCACAATAGAACTTATTTTCAGAACCAGTGGTATGTTTTGACTTTTAACGCATACACAAATGGGGGCAATGCAATGACAAATGCATACTGACCTGGAATACGTCGACAGAGTATCGTATACGGCTTTGACTCGGATATGTTCAACATTTTGCAAAACTTTCATAAGGTCATCGCGAGAAACGTAATCGATAGCGCCACCTGGACTTTTGCTCCAAGCGTTCTAAAACAAAAGGTCAACTTGAAAATGTTTATCCTTAGGGAAATGATAGGCTGTCGCACCTCTCTGAAAGGCACATCAAACTCAATGTATTCATCCGGTCGCGATTCCACAGGAGACTTATGGTACAGCACAACTTGGTTGCCCTGCGCAATAAACAGTGTTTGTATCTTCGAAAAACACGGTGCGAAAAATGTTCACGAACTGCAAGGATAACGTCTGGTGACGTTGTCGGTTGTCCTCCCGGTCCATGTTTGACAGAGTATTTAAGCGAGCTCCCATAACTGGTGACCTACACATCAAAACGACCGTTGAACAGAAAGCATTTTATGGTAATGACTTGCTTCAGTTTTGTAACATACTTGATCGCCCAAAAATTCAGTAGGCAGTGACCAGAGAGGAGTGCCATACTGCAGAACTTCGTTCACAGTTTCAATGGTATGCTCTTGTGAAGCGGGGTCATGGCGGACGTTAACCGAAAGCGGGCGACCATCTTCTCCCACCAGACCGAGACCATCACGGGAAACGATCTGTATGACAAAGCGACAAAGGCTGTCAGTTCTTATAAATAAGACGGCGTAACTGCTCACTAACCTCTGAGATGTACAGGGAGCAACTACGACAATTTTGGGTGATACCGGAACAGAAACAAGTCAAACATTCGTCGGCCGTTCTAGCAGCAGCATTAAACAACGGCGGCTGGCAAATATCGCTGACGGTACCTAAAAGAAACATTTAGATTAGGTTTTCCCCGGAACTTAAAAAAGTTAAAGAGCCCTTGAAAAGTATCAGACCTTGAAGAGTGAGGATGCTGTCTTGTGGAGCAATGGTGGCATTCTGGTTGTTGATGGCTTCACAGCTGTAAGCGCCTTGATCGCTCGCTTGGAAATCCCGGATGGTCAAAGTGCCAACACCGTTCTCACTAGTAACCGTAACTCGAGGTGGATCTGGGATATTGCCCCAGTTCAGTCGCCAGGAAATCAGCGGCACGGGGAATCCGACAGCCGTACAAGTGAGGACGACAGTTTCCCCGGCATTGACTTCTCGGCCTGGTCCAGGTGGCACCGTGATGGTTGGTCCAGCTGCCATGGTTATTATCAACTTCACAGGCAAAAATGACATTTAATAAATCGAAATATCGCTTACTGCAACCAATTTCATCCGATCCATCTTGACAATCGTTCGTCCCGTCACACTGGAAGTTTTTGGGATAGCACTGATCACCTCGTTCACAAAGGAATTGGTGTGATCCGCACGGTGATCCTGGTGGAGCTGTTGCGCAGCTCTGCTCATCGCTCCCATCGCCACAATCATTTTCACCATCACATAGCCAAATCTTTTGCACGCATTTGCCGTTGTTGCAGCGAAACTCTGTCGGCTCACAGCGTCCAGCTATTTGAAAGGTGAACGAAGTTTAATACCCCGTGCACGTATAAGTACTGCAGTAAGTAGTGAATTCGAGAAAAACGTGACCTTACGTACCACAGTTCTTCTCGTCGGAATTGTCGTCACAATCCTGAAAAAGTTATAAAATTGTTTCTCATACGTTGGTAAAATGCTCGCAATGAAATCCACAATTCACGAACAAAGTTGACGAATTGAAAAATTCACATATGCATTAATATTCCTGGTCAGTCTAGTACAAAAACATTACCAAGCGATATAATTGTACATAGGTACCTGAATGCCGTTGCACAAGCCGCTGCGGGATATGCATTGACCATTCATACACGTCGCCTGATCCGGGCGGCACCGGAAGGGACCGATCGGGCGGTACGGAGTTGTGGTAATTTCCGGATACGGAGTCGGTGGATAAACCGGCCACACGGGCTGTCGAGTCGGTGGACGCGTGGGCGGATACACGGGCCAAACGGGTGTCGGAGGGTATGCCGGCGTGGTGGGTTCAGGTTCCGGTTCCCACCAAGTTGGTACGGGTGGCCAAGTTGGCTCAGGAGGTCGAGTGGGTTCCTCACCTATACGTAAAAAGTAAGCAGCTGCAACAAATTCAAACGCGCTTTACGATAATAACGAACTGACCTTCAATTATGACTGTCACAACTTTCTGGACAGGTGGCAGTCCCGGTCCAGGGTCCACTCGGCAGATATACTGACCGGCATCCGCGCGCCCCACACCTTCAAGAATTAATCGACCGGGACTGCTTGTGTCCGGTGCTCTCGACCCGCGCTGTGGTGGAATCCACTGCGTACGCAGCGACGGGTCCGAAACTAAGCAGTCGATGACCAACGTCTCGCCAGTGTTGATGCGCACTTCTTCGCCAGGATAGATGTAAATCTGAATTTCCGGTGGTCCAACCACATCGATGTCGGTTCCAGGACGTGTTGGCGGCACAGGGTCTTCGCCATTCCCACCTGCATCATATCTGATATCAGAAGCTTTCAAAACATTAATAAAACAGGCATAAACTGACCGCTTTCAATGATAAGTTCGCCGATCGCACGGTTCGGTTCCGGCATATCAACCGCTGTGCACATATACCGACCAGCATCTTCCTGGCGAATGCTATTGAGAACCAGTTGCTCGCTGTAGGGGTCAACTCCCGCCGGAAGCTGGCCATCGATCTTTTCCCAAATAACACGGGAATTCCGACCATCGGGAGTGACGGCACGACATTCAAAAACAACAGTGGATCCTTCTTCCGCGCTGGTGCGATCGGGTGTCACTTCGACGTTGGTCAAAGTAGATGGTTCAGTTGGTTCGGTTTCTTGCAGTTCTAATAGAAAAGACTGTGAATTTCGATCGGCACCAGCACGACACGGTTTATGACTTACCACCAATCACGGTGAACTGAATAAACGTAACAGTGTCTGGGTTTTGTCGTGAGCGGCAGACGTAGCGACCGGTGTCGCGCACAACCGGCGACGTAATGAAAAGCTCGCCATTGTTGATTTGGGCGGACTCGGGCATTGGACCGTCAGTGCGTTCCCAATAAACTTGCGCTCCATCGGGTGATATGCACTTCAGTCGAGTGGGCTTGCGCTCTTCGGTGAAGTACGCTTCCGAAACTTGGGACGGCACTCGTACGGTCCAGATCTGCGGCTTATCGGTATCGACTTGCACAGTGTCATCCTCGGCTAAAATGCTGCTTTTTGAAACAAACTTATTCAAACCGTAGATTCGTGATACTTACAGGCCCTCTTCTTTCGAATGGAGACCTGTCCGAAATTCTGCGAGCCACGCGGCGAACCAATCGCTCGGCAGATGTAAAATCCGCCGCTGGTTTCTTTTGTGGGGTTAAGGAGCAGGCGATGATCTTCGATCGTGGCTTCTTCGGGAATCTCGAATTCCGCTCTGGTCCACTCGACAATCGCGTTCGGTCTGGTCGTGATGCATTCCAGCGTAAGTTGTTCGTCTTCTCCGATAACTGTACGGTGTGGTACGACTTGTACGCCAATGAATTTCGAATAGCCGGGTACCGAAGCTGAAAATTTAAATGTGGTTTTGTCAGCTTTACATACTGGATTCTACCCTTATTAATTTTGACTGTCTAAAAAACTGTCTAAAAAGTGACCTTTAATTAAGGGTAAGAGTGTTCGCTAGAAATCATGATGGATTTATCAGTATATGTAACGCTTCACTGAAGGCTGAATTTAAACCGGAAACATCGGGTAAAATGTGATAAAACTTACGCGGGTAGACAACAACTTCGACAACCGAAGACTGCGACGATCCTCGTCCGCGGCAGATATATCGGCCGCCGCTTCGTACATCGACGTTGGGAATAGTCAGGACATTTCCTTCCAACCGAGCTTGAGACGGCAGCGGTTGCCCATCTTCGCGCACCCATTCGACCTCACCGGCACCGTCAACTTGGCAAGTCAGTGTCGCTTGTCCATTGCGGGGAATGGCGATCGTCTTGTCGCCCTCGCTGGTGCGGATCGTTACCGATCCACTTCCTTGTCCGCCGTCACGGCCGCCTTCTCCTTCACCTCCCTGTTCTGAGCCGCCTTCGCCGTACTCGGAATCCCCGGAAGCTAAAGATCAAGGAATGCTTATCCGCACAGATATATAGCCATTACTGCGCGATGCGAATATACAAAATACAAATGTAATAAAACGTTATACAATCGTACCAATATTGGGAATAATCTCTACGAGTGCCTGTAGATTTTTGCTCTTGCAGATATAGCGGCCACCATTGCCTAGATTGCTTCCTCTGATCACCAGATTGTCGCCTTCCACGCGGACGTTTGGTGGCAGTGGGCCACCGTTCTCTCGGCTCCATTCCGTGCGTTCATTGTTGCCGGCTGGGAAACATTGAATTCGCAACTCGCTTCCTCGTTTCAGCGAGACAAAATTATCATCTTGACCGGGGTATGAATGGATAGTTCCTCCATCTGCATAATATAATGCGATATTCATTACTCAGTGATCACTTAAGTGAATCATTTGCATTCCCGGCTGCGTGTAACTGTAAACCTACCCAGATGAGCAATGACATGAACAGATGAGCGTGCAGAGGAACTTGGGTGACCTCGAATTCGGCAGATGTAACGCCCAGCAGATCTCACATCCACCGACGTAATCAACATATTTCCATTGCGTAGTTGAATATAACGAGGAATATTCTCCCCGTCTTCGCGGATCCATTCTACCGATTGCCCCGGGCGGGCGCCATTGCAGGATAGTTCAATTGAATTACCTCTGGCGACAGCCACGGATTTCTCCGCTTCGCCCAGCATGGTTCGAATGGAACCTCCGCCATTTTGGCCTCCATCGCCACCTGATAAAAACGTTTAACCGCGTAACCATACAACAGCTGATATACCCGCCTTCTGCTGCGGTTACCTACCAGTTCGATGGGAAAAGATTTCAAAACCCCTTTGCGATGAAGGTCACCACGAATGTGGCAACCGTATCGACCGGAGCTTTCCAGATCTACTGAGCGGAGGATGAGTACATTCCCTTCGACCTGAACGTTTTGGGGTAGCGGGAAGCCATCTTCGCGGGTCCACACGATTTCCCCACCGGCTTGCTCAGCCATACACCGCAGTTTCACGCCTAAGTTCAGGTCTACAGAAATAGACTTCTCGAATTCGCCGATGCGAACGTCAACGAACTGCTCCTTTTCTCCTTCTCCTGTACCATCACCGCCTTCATCGCTACCGGCACCTGATCAAGAAATTAAACCATGCCATCATAAACAAAAAACACTGACTGGTAAATACGATGCACTTCACGCACCGACAATAACGAGCAGCTGTCCAGCGTTGTGGAATCCCACTTTGCCTCCGCGCATATAACACACGTACACGCCATCGTCAATTTCGCGCACGGAGCCGAAGACCAGACGGTTTCCTTCGGGTCGAGCCGTACGCGGCAGTTCCGCTCCCATGCGGATCCACTGCACTTGCGATGCATCGATGGCGCCGACGCACTCGAAGGATGCCTCTTCGCCCGGCTGCACAATGTATGTTCGCGGTACGACATACACCTGCTCGCCGTATTCCTCTTCGGTTTCGGTTTGGTTCTGCACCGGCGGGAGCTTCTGCTCGGGTACGGTGGTGGTAGCGGGACCAGCCGTAGTAGTTTCTTGAGCGGCGGTAGTGTTAGGTGCCGCCGTAGTTGTTGTCGTCGTCGGAGTGGTCGTTGTTGTGGTAGTTGTAGTCGTGGTTGTAGTCTCTGCGTTCCAAACACGTGTTAGAAATTGTCATCCTACAGTATATTTATATTTGTACGAGTACTGTATTTATTTGTTTACTTAATGAAACGAACATAGTAGGTTGTACATACCGTGGACTGCAATTTGGAGCTACTAAGCGTATACCCATCCGTACTTCTATATATGGAGTTATCGACTGTGGTTTTAACTCCAAATTGCAGTCCCTTGTACGTAAAGTATCAGCAACAGATGCGGCAATAAATACGTCGCAATACGTACGCGGAAAGACCAGCAGCTGCATTTGAACCCGCTCATTCCGGTAGCGCGATGTCTTATGCCGACAATAGTACTTTCCGGTGTCACTAACTGACACCGCCGGGAAGGTGATGCTCCCGTTGCTTTCCTTGATATCCTGACTAATGAGCAAATTGTCGCGGAACCACTCCACGCCGACATCTTCTCGCTCCTTGTGCGGGGTGCACTTCAGTGTCACACTCTCACCATCAGTTGCCGTCACATTAGTTTTCTCGATGGTCGGATAGCGAACGAATTTCACGGTGACCTCGGCGTGATCCTGGGGATCGGGTTTAACAACCAGCATGACGATGCTTTGGAACTGCGGCACATCCAAGCTTGTATTGGCGGGTGAGCACGAATAGAATCCCTTATCCTGAAATTCCGCGTGCTTGATGAACAGCGCCTGCTCTTCCTGTCGCGTGGATTCGGGCATCGTTCCGTCTAATCTCTCCCACTTCACTTGGATGTCCTTGCTCCCGGCTTTGCACTCAATGATGACGGGCTGACCTTCGTACACTTCTTTACGCACCACCTCGATTTCAACATTGGGCTCTTCAACGACTTCGGTACCTGCCGGAAAATGAACATACGCACCCAGGGGCCGATCAGAATTATCCAGTTATTTTTCTCAACAGCATTTAATGGGCTGTCGAAAGTTTGTATACACCGACGTCGTAAGTAAAATGTACAAGAGTTTTTCCGCTTTCGCTGATTAGTACGACACGCTACAGCGACGCATTGCCGTTTACAGCGTTTGCAAAATCAAACGATGCCACCATTTTCCCCGTTTCCTTGTCACAACTTTTATAAATCACTGATTTTGATTTATTTGCCACTTACTAGCTCCAGCTCGCGGAACAATCGTGAGGGTAACACTTTGTTCTGTGCCGGGAAGTGCTCGCACTGCACTGCAGACATAGTCACCGGCATCCTCCGCGGTCGCATTGCTGATCATCAGTCGTCCTTGCTGCTTAACCTCAGCATTGCTCGGCAGCTCACCATCTTTTTTCGTCCATTTCACCGGATGACGCAAGTCTCCACTGCCACAGAAAAACACGGCTCGTGCTCCAACCGGTAAGGTCAAATTGGCCGGATACGCTTTAACGGCCACCATTTCCGGCTCTGTCACAGATAAAATATAATAAAAAAATGACAATAATGATTATAATGGGAATAATGATCATGAGTGTTTTTTTAATGTTTAAAATTTAATGATTTTAATTAGTGTGAACCTGGGAAGCATACCAATATGTGCTCTGGCTGTTGCCGGATAAATACATAAAAAAATGTCTACCAGCTTTAAAAAATTTAGCCCTACCGCAATCCTTTTCGTCAGACCCATCTGTGCAGTCTTTATTTCCGTCACAAATTTTCGCGTAATCCACGCATTCTTTATTGGTACACACATATGTGCTTGCAGGACAATGTTTTTGACCGGCGGCAGGAGATGTATCTGCAAAAAGCACCGCAATTGCAGCTGGAAAACGATCCCTTATGAACTTCTCTAGACAACTTCTCTAGACAGTTGGTATGAACTTCTCTAGACAGTTTGACTTACCATTTGTCGCTTCCAAAAGAACTTTATCACTGCCAATTGTGTACAAGCCAAAATGTTTTTTTTCACCGATGAAAATTCCCAATCTCTCCTTCAGCTTGGTCTCCAGTATATCGGATCCTGACATGGCAATATGCACTTTCGCCACAACACCGCCTGCTTCGTTCGACCTGTAAAACTTAGAAATTGAGCTTGCGCAATTAAAGTCCAAATTTAATAAAAACCGGCACATTTCAGTCCATTTAAGATAATAATTTTGCTGCTAAGTTGTGAATGGAAATGTTTCTTACGCGAAACTCTCTATGACCGGTGTAAAAGTTCCATTTAGTTTCTGGAAGCAGTCTTTCAGAATGGTGGTCAAATCCCAGTCAAGGAATTGGAAAGCGTCGCTTTTGGAATCCTTTAGATCTTCAGTCCAGTTCGCCGACGGAGCCGTTATATTCAAAGTCAGCCGAAAGTTCTCTGGATACAGTAAATTTTTGCTCAAGTGAACTTACCCAAACATGTCCCAAAGTACACATAATGAATGGGCGCATAAATTAAGTTTATTAAGCAATAATACACTAAGGTATCAGCGAAAACGAATGCTGTCATTCAGTTTCACTGAAACTGTGATTTGTGATGCACTTATCAACACTTCTAACGTAAAAATGGTTGCTTAAAACCCCAAATCAATTATAGCCGCCAAAAAGAAAATTAAGGGGTTTTTCTGTAGTATTACAAACGGTTTTTGGACATATATGCACTAATTTAATTTTAACGAATGTATATGCCTCCATAAAAATCTTACGTACTTGCAATATGTAGGCTTTTCTAACTGTTAAATTTGTTAAGTACATATAATGCTCGAACATGCTACGATGTTCTTACTGGTAGGTCCCGATCCGTCCGGCAGCGGAACAAAAACCGGGGGCACGGACGGCGTGATTCCGTTGCGGACGTTGGGACGATTGGAGAAGGCACTTCCTTCAACGTCCATATCTGCGCCAATGTCCACGTCATTGTCGGTCGTGTCGAAGTTCCCGGAACCTTCGATCTTCTGCCGAGTCAGCTGTCTGCCAGGTCGCACTAGGCGTCCGTCATTGCTGGAGTGATACGCCGATGCCGCATGTTGCCGGGCTTCGCTAGCTTCATCAACAGCATCTTCAAAAACTAGATCCTCGTTCGTTGACTTGGAAGGGTCATACCGTTGAAAGTTTAACTGAAAACAAAAAACTCCGTAATAAGCTTCGACGGGCTTGCATGCGACAGAGGCGGAAAATTTGCAGCGTGCTGGTTATACAATTTTATAAACGATGCGAGCAGAGCTGTTGTAAATTAAAATAAATTTGACGTAAAAAAGCAGCATTATAAAATAACTATAGTACGTACTCACTTGGAACATATCGGTGTTCCGGATGATATTTGATTAAATAATTATATTGACGATAAACATATGGTATGTGGTATGTCTACACGAATTTCGGAATTTCCAAAGCAATTTTTTGTGTATAGCGCCGTACTTCCATTCACCGTTATAATATATGGTTATGGAACTTATGGTTCATTGTTTCTTATAGCAATCGCCTGATTAAACAATTAAATTTCTTTGCGCTGCTTGTACACTACAGAAATTAGCTGCTTATTTAATTTCATGTTAAACTCGCATTTTCAAGCAAATCTTGTACAGTATTGTGTTGTCCGTGGATAGTGCTGTTGGTGATACTTATTGTTCTCTACGAAAATCCAACTGACAAAATATTTTGACCAAATTTTTCTAGTGGTATACGATATCACTTTACGCAAAGTTTAAAATAACATTAAGAATTCGCGTTTATTGCACTGCATTGGTACTACTCGTCTAACGCACTCCAGTATTATATGGTAGCTGCTGCCACAAACATTTGTACCACGCCATTGAACAGTGCTCATATTGACAAATTTAGTATGCAGTTATGCGGTCTATTTTCACTGCACTCCTGCTGTGGAGAAAAAAACGCTTAAATTGTGGAATAATCGTACTCCCACTGGGCGTCCTGGATAAGTCGCGCTCAGATTAAAATTTGGATAGCCCATGGCCACATATGGACTCAAAATATGTACGCGCTATTATGTGAAAGCAGTAAATATTCCACACGAAAATTCGACTTAAATTTACAAAGAACATCCTAATTCATACAGAACGCACAGAATAAACACTGATTCTGTACACTTTTCCGTTACTGCGCGATGCCGCATTTCGTTTCCGGTGCGACTGCAGCAAATAGACTTTAATACCTTAAGCAAAGTCAATTCATCAATAAAGAAGGAAAACAACCATATAGCAACACCATCTTGACATGAATGAGCCCGTTAAGAATGCAATGAGACAATAAAATAACTTTTCAAAACTCTTATTTGAACAAGAACATAACAAGTATGGAAATAATAGAACAAGATCCAATAGAATGGAAACCCAAGAAAGGAAACGAGAGTTGATTACTAGCTATATGTTGATAAAAATCACCTGATTTAAGACTCTTAAGACTAAATGCGCCTTTAGTTGGCTAATGCTAGAAACAGGACCCGAACCAGGAAACGATGAAATACCGATTTCGGTGTCTCATAACAACCTTTAAAAGTCAATGCATTTTGCCCTTTATACGTAAATGTCGTCTAACAAAATTTAATATCTTTGAAAATAAGCAAATCGCTCTCGTATGTTCTTCTACAATTATGTAATACCTTGGTAAACTGGTAGCCAACAATGAACCTTAATTTTTACGGAATGAACTAAACTACCATTAGAATAACTGCAAAATCTGAAGCAGTTGTATAATTTAATGAGAACCTGAAAAACTTGTAAATAAACTGCAAGTTTAAAGCTCCAGCCGTTAGTCGGACATTGATTTCAAAAAAACTATTCATCAGTTACCGACTCTGTTAATTTGAGCAGATAAATTTTGGAAATCCATTCATGATCAGTCGTCAGACAGTAGAAAAGGGTCACTGGCTAGTAAACTGTTAAGCAGCTTTTCACTTAACGATCGCCCATGAAACCGTTAATGTCAGCCAACTTACTGTTTACAAAGATCAAGGATTAAGGCTTTATGTCAGGATTAGTGACTCACAATAAGAACAAGCATTCCTATCACAAGAATACACCGGCTTTCCCAAACTGCGCTCCACATTTAGCGCAGCAGGCGGCCTTTGGGAGTTACGCCTTTTCCGCGGTCTACCGTAAATGTATGCTTCCCTGCCCTTCTGCACTTCCGCATTTTCTTCCCCCAACGATTCAACTTGCAGTTAATTAAACGACATGCAATTAGCTGGATAAGCACGTACTAATTAACATGTTTGCGCAGGCTGCACGCACAACCAGCCAACTACTGGCCTGACCACTGGTCATCTCCTGTTACCGGCAGTTACTAATTAACTTCATCGCTACACCTTAGTTCATCGGGTAAATGATATTGACACAGCCAGATAAAAATCATCAGTGATGATGCTGGGGTTTGTTTGAACTTACCCGACGAGCAGGAACGTGTATAAGGAGAAATACATTGCAGGTCACCAGCAAACACCAGAGGATGTTCGGATGCGGCATTTTCGCAAGAATGCCGCCCGATCCGTCCCTTTGCACAGCGAATCAGTAGTGTGTTAACAATTCAATCCTTGTAATATTTCCACAGATGTATTTCGGCAAGTCAGCCGTAAAATCAACTACGCCAACTGTGCAGTGCGCCCGCACGTGTGGATGGTTAATGAGAGCGTTGCAAATGAAACGAGAAGTAGTCGACGACGCTGCCGCGGAGTAGTTTTCCTGATTATGTGCACTGCAGCAGTTTGGAGCCGAATCAGAGCAGTTCTTAATCAGTAGTAACATCGCTGCAGATGTTGGTACGTGGAAGAACGAAAAAGGAACGCTTTACTGCCGCGTCGTCGTCATCTCGAGCTTTTTTACCCCAGCCGTCATGTTACGCACAGCGAAGAAAGGCAGGAGTCAACTTAACTAACCGTAGCAGCCCACACGAAAAATGCAACATATATAACCGGCTAATTCACAGTGGCGCATCTGGGTTTGGTCCCTGGACAAGGAGATTATGAAGAACAGTTCGGGCTCTTGTCGGCTGCGCAGCAGGGCCGTCTGCAAGCAGTGTGGCTGGATCTGCCGACAGTCTATAAAAAACAACTGCGCTTGGAAATAACACCACACATAAATAAGTCAAAGCGCCAGATTATCGGCTCATGTCAACTTCGCTCAGAAACGCTTGTCGCCAAAAAATGCAGGCAGACTGTATCTTTCTTATATCAGATGTGTTTCAAATTTTAAAGTGGTCCCCAGTGATAAAGTATACTGTCAGGTTTCTCTTAACTGGGACGCAAAGGATCTTATAATTGCCTGTAAAATTGTAAGCCGCTTCAATACGTTTGAACGTTGTGCGTTTTGAAATTAAGTGGATCTCTTTACTACGGTGGACATTTGCAATGCCCCTGTGCTCAGTGCACAGAAACATTCACACCTTGCAATTGTGCGATAAACAGGATCTCCAAAGTCGACGACAGGACGATAGGGACAATCGAATTTTTTCAGTTATACTGAAAATGCTAGCGATAAAACAAAGACGTGCGTGCATTCTATATTTTATGATTTTCATCGTTTAGAAACAAGATTAAATTAAGTCATCACAGAAAACCGGTTAGGAAAGAGCGAAAATAGGATAATGGTTATTGAACGACTGTTGTCGTACGTAAGATATTTTCGCCAGTTCTTCCTTTTATTTAGTCTATCAAGATATGTGTAATTACGAACCAATCAAAATGATCAAGTTTTGATGATACAGAGCTGGAGACGGGTGGAATCAAAAGCCCGAGCATAATAATCTCTTTGCCACTGCCATGAGCGTTTTCTCCACTCACATCATAATCCACTGCCACATAAATGTCCACTCAAGGGATAATTAGATAAAGGCAAGCATAACACCGTGATATGTACCGAATGTTCATCGATAGATGTTATGCACAAATTCGGGATTTAGGAAAATTGTTCACAATGAAGTATGAAGTATACATAAACAGAAAAACTGAATGATCCGTCTGGCCGTTGTAATAAAACAGTACTTTAGCAATTATTTATCGCAGGCATGCATAATGTGTAATGTCCACTGCAGCCAGCTGTCTCCACTTAAGCACTTTAAGTATTCGATCAACCCACTTCTGCGGGCACGTAGAGCAATGAAATATCCAAACGTAAAGGCTTTCGTTTGTCGATCGTCATACAAAGAAGTTTTGACAAATGGACAACGTCCAGTATGTTCATACAGACCGGCCAATCATTCGGCCAAAGATATCATTGATTTTGACAAGATCCAGCATGCGAGCTGATTAGTAAGTGGTCATAAGCCGCCGTTATCATTAGTTCCGAGGGAGTTTAAGACTGCCGGTTTTCTCTCCAAGTTGACTGTCCGTTTATCGTATATTACCGATTGCCGTCACGGAAAATACGTTCAATATGGTACATTTGCACTAGATAATTATAACGAGTGGGCTATAATTTTTTTTAGCTAAGCCAAATGTCTCGAAATTGAAACACATGTTTAAGAATTTTCTTGTTGTCCATATTAAGTATTTTTCTTTATAATCGAACGCAATCTGCAGATACATACACTATGTAGCGTAGGAAGTAGGTTATAGGAGCTATACTGTGTTTTCGTGATAGGTTGTTCATTGCGATTTTTGTGGATACATTCGTTCAAATAAGATGCGACGCCGCACAAAGACAACATTTATTTCAGTCAGAGTTTCTTGTTATAAACCAGAAGAACAATATAAGGTCGCGGTGAATGCTTGGCAAGCATGTCGATTAAAATCACATCTCTATATCTATATGTATATACACAATTTACAAAACGTTGCCGTACGATGCATTTTAAGTAGCAAACTGACTATTTTAATAATAATTATTGAAAACACCAGCAAACTTTCGGAAGATAGAGCGATGCTAAAAATTGTAAGTGGATTCATTCTTTTTGACTCATGAAGATCAAATTCGAATCCAGTTGAAACAATTGTGAAATCAATGTCAATTAACTACGTTCGCAAGACCATGTACACATGTATTCAATAATTCCAATTTTTTCTAGATACGGTGGTTGTTTTTATTTGCGTTTTTACCTGGACCATGGACTTACTAAGAAAGCAATCTGTTAGTAGATTATTGTTAAATTACTGTTAATATATTTAGAGACAAGGACTGCATTGCTAAACTTTGGGAATCTGAAGAACAATCGCGACTGTCCTGCTGCAACATCAGTAAGATCTTCGCGCTTCTGCGACGATCGTCATAAAAGCGTGAAGATTGTAGATCTAGATATTGCAGCCGGAGTGGTAACAGGTTCCCTCAAACAAGACCGTCTGGTTTGCAGCTACCTAATTGCCCTTTCTCACAACCAGCTGCACCAGATTCTGGACCATATCGGTTTTGGCATCATTCCTGTCCCGGCACTCGTAATATCCGGCGTCTTCCTTCCGAATAGACGTAAAGGTCAGTTTACCATTTTCTGTGGCAGCGTGTGTTGGTAAATCAGCTCCGATTTTTGCCCATACAACGTCGCTTGGATTGGCAAAATCCACATCGCACTGGAGACTGACAGTTTCCTGTTCGGTGGCTGTTTTGCGGACTATTTGGATTTCCACGGTGGTTTCATTTCGACTGCCAGTTGGTTCTGCAGAAATAGAACAAAACGTCGCTGAATGTATATACGTCGATATATTCTCAAGCGGAGAAAAAATAGCTACTATTCAGTGCTTGTTTCGATTTGATTTGCAAAAGAGATATGAGCGTTCCTTCTATAATCCTATTCAGAATCTTAAGACTCGTGAAGTAGCACAACTGGTTAGCAAACCGGAAACACTGCGCGCGCATGCTATGACCTTTTTTGATAACGTTAAGCTGGACGTTAGCCGGTTGGAGGCTTGCGCCGCCACCATCAACCGAACAGACATAAACACCGCTGTCCGAGGTGGTCAAGTTCAACAGTGCCAGCCGACCGTTCTCCGTTTTTCCTAAACCTTCCCGAAGGCCTTCTCCGCTCTTTGTCCACTTGATGCTTTTCTGAGCAGCACCGTCGTCGCAGTAAAACACCGCGCGCTGACCTTCGGACACCGTTAACGTTGCGGGATAAGCTCGAAGAGCAGATGATGTGCCTAAAATTGCGATTATATATCATAAGTATTATAGTTATAAATTATAATAATACAGCCATCATATGATCCTCAGAATAATGTATAAACCATACAAAAACGTCCAGGGGCATGCGAGCAAGATCAGAAAAGCATACAGTTTAGCAAGTGTACGTTGCGAACAAAGCTTCTATCGAACAAAAATAACAATTACTTTTTTGGAAATCGAAAATTATAATTTCTGTACAGAATCCGTCATATTACTTCAAAGTACAACGCGAAAAGCGGGTATATAGTAATAATCATATACTTTACAATACTATTCCAGCTCCTACCTGTAGCAGAAACCGATGGCAGGCACTGGGTAATAGTCGAACACCCTAACAGGACCATCTAAAATTTCTCCGATTAATTCCTGTGTTCTAAAATTATTAATTGTCCTGTGATTTGTTACTGACCGCAGATACAAGTAATCGACGCCCTTGAACTGTCATCTCGTGGAATTCGATAGATCAAACAATTTTAATAACAATTTATAAAATTTCCCCTTTGGAATTTCCGGGGAAGATGGTTTAGCTTTTGGGACTTAAAAGCAATGTGGTGACAATTAAAAAAAAGATAAAAAAAAAAGCTGCATGCGTTTTCCCGACTTACTACTGAATGTCGTTTAACTTGATCTGTTACTTGTGCATAAAAAACCTGTACTGAAATCAGATAAAGAAAGAATTAATCAGATTACAGAATCTTACGTTTCAAGTTACGCGAAGCCGCGTTTGGTATTTGTAAGTTGCGTACAAAGTTCTTTTCCCACGACAGAAGACCAAACCACTAAAACGCTCCTGTTGTGTTGCCAAATGAGAATGGGACTTCCGAGTTCCTACAGCATAGCCGTTGCATACAGGACGCCGCTCTACCACAGAATAAAAACTCTTTCCAACTTTTGGTCTTAAAAATTCCTTTCATTTACCATTTAATAGTTCCTTTTAACCATACAAATTCCCTTCTTTCAAAATGTTTTTCTAATTATTAACATTGTCCAGAAAAAGCCCAAATTAAGCAGGTTCAGTAACTGAATTCACATGGAGAGCCGATCACTGCGGATCGTGAGAAAGAATACAGAAAACTTGTTTCCCGTTAACGATACGAGTACAAGTTGAAACGCTTCAAAAAACAATCACATTCAGAAAAACGTCCACTTTCTTATCCAATCCGGGTGTCCATCCAAATTGTAAAATTATTAAGCTAAAAGTTGGTCCAGTCGTCTATCCAGAAGCCTGAAAAGCCGTTCGTATTCTGGAAAGAAAAACCTTGTTAGTAAATAGGTGGGCGATCTCACGCTGCGTACAAAACTTTTGTTACGAGTAAATAGTAATTACCGATAGCGGACTTGAAGGTATATGATTTTTTGTGTTTCACAATAACGTCGAAATAATCCGGTGGCAACGTGAGATCTAGTAGAGCATACCGGAGTAAGCAATCATCAAGTTACTGGATAACTGTAAACTGAAGTAATCAGACAGCTGAAAGACGCAAAAACCTCACTTTTATCATCAAACTCCACGTCTTTCAGAAACAATCCTTCAGAGGGAGCCTGGGTTAAGGCCTTATGGTATCCGTAAGGATCTGGAGTATTCAACATCTCCTGAATATCTTTTTCTTGGATACGCCCTTTAGCTACGCCAACTAGTGCTCCAATCATTCTTCTGATCTAACAATCAAAATTGATCGCAGTATTAGCGCCGGTACGATTAACGATAGGAGGAGGAATTTATCACGTTAGGCCAAAAGAATGGTTTCCAACAAAAACTTCCACAATCATCGTTAACAAACACGTTGAACAAAAAATTACAGTACTTGTTACCAGGCAGGTGCAGCGAAACAGATACTCCATACACGCACCCGCTGTTTCTCCACAGGCAACAACCCAACACTGGCAGAATACGCATCTTGTACCTGTCTTTGCAAGAAGCCCGAAGACCGGAAAGTGATATCCCAGTACTCTATTCCATCCTGATGCCGATCATGTTCCGCCAAAAACCCCTTGCCAGGAGATACGTCGCAAATTTCCATAAAACGGACGGGATTTCGTGGTATATCGCCTATTCTCGGTGGCTTTGAGAATGTGCGGAAATCATGCAGGCCAAGGAAAAGGCGTGCCGCACTTACCATCGCCCGGTGGTCAAAGGGGGGTCTGCGCAAAGCACCACATTTGTTCTTTGCCAACTGCTTATGGCGGCTGCGCCGCATACATTAGTTATAAAATGTGCTAAGAAAATTGAAATTCACTTTAAAAATGCAAAGAATTGTTCACCGACAGACCAGAACGCGCAACTGTAGCTTCAGAATTTATTATAAATATTATTAAGTATGTATAATTATAAATGAATTATGTACAATATACTTACCGGTAACATTATTTTAATAATTTTTTAAAAATTATTATCATTATTTAATTCATAATTTTAGCTTCGCAGCTTACTACTACAAAATGCTTTGGGAGAAAATACCCATCGAGAATTCGAGAGAGCAACGGAACGACAAACAAATATTGCAAAATGTAAGTAAATTCGAAATGACCCACCCTAGGAACCAGGTCGTCTTTGACTCCACCAAAGGTACAAGCGTGGCAGCCACCGCTCCTCTGGGGACAAAAGGTAGCAGTTTACTGTTGGGAATATCGTACTTCACCGCCAACCGGTAAAGGTATGTCCTCCTTCGCGCGTGTCGGACATTGAACGTTTCAGGAACGATCTGCGCACTCGTCACCCTGCACATAAACTCCTTTTGATGCTGTATCAAGGTACCGAACAAATCCCGCTCAGATGTATACGCACCTCACCTGATGTCTTGCCCGTGCTCAGAAAAATAATGATTGAGAGCATACACTAAAGTTTCGGCTGGATAATACTGTCCGGGATTCTCATGATGAAGATCAGCTGCAGCTGCGCTGCGCAGAGCGTGCACACCGGTATCCGTTCTGCTGGATACATAAAGCAGTGGGATGTTTTTGGGCTTCAAGATTTTTAAAGCTCTCTAAACAGCCGTTCCGAATTAGACACGTCCCGAGTAAACATCAGCCTAAAGAGCCTCACCTCAAAAACGTCTGCAATTGTGACTGTTCTCGGATTAAACATTCCACGAGCAGACTGTGACTGCATGCCACTATACCGAGTCCCGAAATAGCTGAAGAAGAACAGGTATCGCACCATTCCTGATTCACCAGAGTAACCGGAGAATTTTGTTATGGCTCCACCGCTCTGCCGCTCCTCGGCAGCGCTGCGGACAGTGACTTAATCAAGAGACTTCTAGTTACCGTACTTAAAACTTAAAATCCAGTTTCAAATGAACATAACAAAGTACAAAATGTAAACGAAAACGAAAAGGACAACAGTTTTCGCGAATCGTTCGTGTCTCTCTTTGCAGACCTGCTGGAAAGTTGCAAACAGACCTGTTTTGTAAAAAATAATCGTTTTAATGCCATACGGAAACTGGGCGGCGACCACGTGAGAACCGGGCCGCAAGCACGCCGTGACGCCGGCCGATTGACTCTGATGAGTTGGTTGGTCTAATCCGAAAAGGAAAAGCCTGCAACTCATCCCTCAAGACCGTCATCTGAACTCCCACGTAATGCACCAGTGTGTAGTGCGAACTTCTATAACTTTTATAATTTATTTACCCTTTTTTTATTATTTTGGAGTTTCTTTTGAGTTTGAGCTGGAAAATCCCTTTTTAGTTTTGGAGATAGTCAGATTAGAGTTTGAGGTGTTAATTTTTTCATGGCACCCGAATTATACCGATTCTTAATCAGTTGAAGGAGAATCTGTTGTTCGTGAGCAAATGTGAAACAAATTACACCGTGTTACTTCGGGACAGAAGTCCACTACCATGTCTGCGCTGCAGAGGATTGGCCAGGTAGGTACTTGACGTTTATAACGACATTTCAGCTCGAAATTTCTGAACAGCTGAGTATCTAATATACATGGCGGATATGTTTTAGATCTACCAGTCTCTGCTGGATAAGTCCGTTCCATATTTGATAGCCCGTTGGGTGACATTTGGCACGTTGATCTTGGCATTCATCGCCAGAATTTTCTTGGCTCAGGTAAGTTATGGTCGTAGAAATTATGCATTTTCACATAAAGCTATTATTTAATTTTATTGCCAGCATCCTGGGTCAGACCAGTTATCAAAGCGAAAGATGCGATGCAGTGCAACAATAGAAATGTTTTTATAATGTATCCTTATCGTTTATCCTTACGAGTTTGTAGAGGTCTTCCAGAAACCTGAGTCTCTATTCGCATTTCTGCATCATTTTAATGTTTTTACAGGGTTGGTATATTGTCACATACGGATTATTTATTTATCACTTGAATCTGTTTTTGGCATTTTTGACACCAAAAATTGACCCGGCATTTGCGGACGACAACGGTACGTCTGGATTTCGTGTTGTTCTCTAGAAAATAAAAATTCCCAATTTGCAGCTGATACAAATAGAAGTACATAACGGTCATACCGGTTGTAGGTTTCATTACTATTGGACACTCCATGATTTATTAATTATGCCTGGAAAAGCAGTTTTTTTAGTGCAGATTAAATAAAACTTCGCACCGTTTCTAAGTTAGTTTTACACTCTGTAGAAACTGCGGAGGAATCATACAAGTTATTGCTATAATTATGTAGTCAGTATAGTGGAATAGACTCAATAGAGCACATAGTGCCACATACAGTACTGCATCTCCACATGTTAAAGTTTCTGTAATCTTCTTTGATTTTTGGTGGTCCTTAATAAGTAAGAAATTCTTCTGTTTCTTTGCTGGGAAAAGGGAAAAGTTGTATCATTTCGCAGATGACGGACTTGAGTTGCCAACACGATCTACGGAAGAATTCCGTCCTTTTATTCGACGGCTGCCCGAATTCAAGTTCTGGCTTGCTGCTACCAAAGCCACCGTTATTGCGCTGATCATGACGTTTTTCGAAATATTCAACATTCCCGTATTTTGGCCCATCTTGGTTGTGTACTTTATTCTTTTATTTTGCCTCACCATGAAGCGTCAGATTAAGGTGAAGCAAAGCGTCAGTGTGCAAAAATTGAATTTCCGCTCATCGGTACGCTTATGTTTGCAGCATATGATTAAATATCGATACTTACCTTTCACATTTGGAAAGCCGAAGTACGCTGGAAGAGAAGGTCATGTCGGCAATGTCCAGTCTCAGTGAAAGAGTAATCGACGCATTTTTACGGAGGGATGTGGTTTGAAAATTATCACAACCCAGGAGTTATATTTACCGGTTTTGTGGATGAGTTGACTTTTTCTAGCGATAAAATGAATCAGTGGTTTTATCTAAAAATTTTGGCCTTTTTCGTTGATCGTTATTTTGCACATGACGGGGAGCTTGTGAAATCGTACGTCACCTTCACATAACGACGGACTTTGGGCAGCGACTTATTTATGAAATTTTTGCGTAGAGTTGTTGTTTGCGCTACCTTTTAGCTTCGTCACTGCATCTTCATTAAATTTATTTCTGTTTCCGTTTTCATGTCTCGCAAATTTAAGAAAAAACGTAGAAAGGTGAGTACACGTTGTGACTTTACTATGAAAATTTGGCCCCGCGTCGGACCCTTGTTATCATTTTCTCCCTCCCTTACTACGAAAATAAAGAATCCCTCAAAGACGGGCTTTATTGTACAGAAAATTCAAAATTGTACCAAGAATGTTTTCATGATTGGCATTTTGATTTTATCTGAATTCAGTAACAATAATATCTAGAATGTGTCTGTGTAATGATACCTTTTTAATATTAAAACGAAACGAATCCTTGATACTAACATAAGTATTGCCCAGCTGATCTATATTTTTTCAGCTTTTTACTTTCTCACAGATGACAGAACAAAAAATACATACAACAGAATACAACTTGCAACTTAGTGAACTTAGTCTAACGTGATAAATTTTTGTGAAGAAATTCGTTTTGGAAGTGGTACAAACAGAAGCAGGTAAAATGGACAGTAATACACTAATCATTATTTATAAAAAATAAATTTAAGCATGAATTCTAAATCAATTTCACTTGCGCATTAATGAATAATGTGACATTATGTAAAAAAGACACGGTTCATTAGAACATACAGCACATAATACTACATAATATTTTGTAAATAATCAGTTATCAATTTTTGTTATTGTTTTTGTTGTTGTTGAATGTTGTGTTTAATTAATATAAGTCGATCGTCGATTTGAAGAGGAATTTGTTGGCCTATTTCGAGTCGACGTCGTTGTGAGTAGGTGGATGACACTTGGAATGTTGTGATAAGATAAGCAATTGTTGCATTTTAAACGGGCAGATTATTGCTGACCGACAAGTTTTTTTCGGTAGGCCGTGATTCTCGTTGCGCACTTCTTCTTATTTTCTGCATGTGTCCAGGCGTCCGCTGTTTCCCTACGGAAAACGGATTTTATCCATTTGGGACAGGGTGAGTAAATCCTTAGTAGTAGTGTAATGCGCCCGACACGGATTCGTTCACATCGTCCCATGTGACATGAAAGTGTGAACGACAACAATGCAGACGCAACAAGGGATATCTACTTTTCCAGAATCTGCTGATCGTGAAAATGGCCTGGACACCTTTCCAGTTAGGCATCGCGTTCCTGATGCTGATCACAGGTAGCGCAAACGAAGCGATCACCTCGCGTGTTCTCAGATTACCCATTGTTATTCAATGTTTTCCAGGCAGCATCAATACGCTGATTGCTAAGTAAGACTCTTTCTGCTTCCCGTTTCTCTCGTTTCTTCAGTTTGATAATCATGCTTCTCGTGGTTAGATGGACGGATATGCTGAAAGCTGAAGGAAGAGACCATGGAGAGCCGCGAGAATTCAACCATCCCTTTTTGCAGGTGACGAAAACGTACTGTTGACTGTTTGTAATTTTGCCTGTAGCTTCGTTATTTTCGAAGGCATGCGCTATGTTTTTGGGAGAATTCCTATGCATAGTGGCATATGGCGTGATACACCTGATCAACCGGGCCAGACGCCAGTCCGGAGGTGAATTAGAAGCAGCGGAACGACCGCTGGGCGAAGGACAGGAGCATTTCACGTGGCGAAAGGCCTTCGTTTTCCTTCCACCGGCGCTGTGTGACATGACTGCAACTTCCATTATGTAGGCTACATTTGTCTTGTCCTTGCTGTTTCGCTCGTTCGAGTTTGCTTCGTGCTCTGAACTCATGTTTGCACTGTCAGGTACGTTGGATTGAACATGACGTATGCCAGCAGTTTCCAGATGTTGCGAGGTGAGAACTGAGTTTTCGTTTAAGTCAGCGGAAGCATTTTGCTAGTATGTTTTCAGATAATTTGCGAAAATTGACTAAATAAAAAAATTAACCGCGCGGCTCAGTTTGTAGAGGCACTGCTCATGTTCTTCTACATTAACATTTTTTTTGCAGGTGCCGTTATCATCTTCACGGTATGAATCCTTATTGCATCGGTTCCTCTGTCGGTCGTAGCATGATGTTATGTTGAACAGGCACTCCTGTCAGTCGCGTTTCTGCGAAATCGACTATCTGCGTAAGTTGAATTCCCGCATTGTGCCGCTTATCGCAATTGTTTGTAGTTTACTCATGTTTTCTTTTTTTTACACTTCAGGTCGAAATGGTTGGGAATGTTTGTGGTCCTGGCAGGCCTGGTGAGTCGGGATTTTGCACTACTAGCAAAAATTAGTTCTAGATTGTCTGCTACTAAAAATTGATTTTTCTCTTTAAAACCTTTTAAGAAAGCGCTGAGTGCACTGAGAATATATCTTTTGTCTGATACCAGTTATGAAACTCGATCTAGGCGCTCGTTGGAGTTTCCGATATTGTCTTCGGCAAGAAAACTGATGCTCACGGAACGAACCAAATTATAACTGGAGATCTGTTGATTATCATGGCACAGGTGTGTTTCGCTGCGACTTAGGTATTTTTACGCGCACATAAAAAATTCTTTCTTGCAGATTGTTGCAGCATGTCAGATGGTTTACGAAGAAAAGTACCTTTCGAAATACGATGTCCCAGCCTTGGTTGCTGTGGGCTGCGAAGGTAGAATGCGCTATGCAGTCATAATATCTAATTGGTTTTGTTTTGTTGTCAACGCTTTCATCGCTAAAAATATTCTTGCTCATGATGTTCCACAGGTCTTTTCGGATTTGTCGTCCTTTCTCTTTTGCTTATACCTATGTCGTATATTCCCGCCGGCAGCTTTAGCGATACACCCTTCCATACCATAGAAGATCCTATTGACGCATTCGTTCAGGTGAATCCAACGCAAGTTTGTTATTATTGTTTGTCTGGGTTTAATTGTTTTTCTTGTTAAGCCTTATTTTTTATGGGAGGACAGCAAAAATATCTGAGAATTCTGTGTATACTGTCTGAGAAATATCTCAGAATTCTGTACGCTCGAACTTTGCTGTTCAGAGCGCTGAACCAGTCACTCCAGTATAAACTGACAAACTGTTCTACTTCACAGATGAGCAACAACAAATTCATCGTTCTCGGTTTAGTGGGTAAGCCCAGCGTGGGAGACAAAGAAAACCATAATAATTATGGTATTCTAACGATGAACTGTTCTCTTAGGAACGATTTTTTCCATCGCGTTCTTTAACTATGCCGGCATCAGTGTCACGAAAGAGGTGTGCCAGAGTTACCAAGAAATGCGATAAACAACTTAAAATTTTGCGTTTTGTAGATTAATGCTACAACTCGCATGGTCCTCGACAGTTTACGGTGAGCATTATGGTGTATTTCAAGAGATCCATCCGAAAAATCTTCAGTTAGCATAAGTCGAACTTGGTGTACGTGGTGTAGAGATTTGATCGTGTAATTGGGGTATGAAATACTGAATACGATAGAGAACTGAGCTGGCTTCATCTGAACTGCTACGTAGTAGTAATAAGGATTGGCTTTTTCGATGTGTTGCAGAACGCTCATTATCTGGGCCGTCAGTCTGGGACTGAAATGGCAGGATTTCCAGTATTTGCAGGTCGTCGGCTTCGTTCTTCTCATTGTAAGTCTGTGGTGAAATTAAATTTCTTTGTCTTACAATATCATCGTGCTTCCACTGTTTTCACGCAGTTCAAATTTGTAGATTGGCATGACCGTATACAACCAGATCGTTACGACGGAAACGTTCAAAAAAATCAAAATAAAAATTTTGCGACGCAGTAATGGAGACGAAGAAGTTCTCGTAACGGAAGAAGAAGTTGACAGACGGTAGCGGATATTTGACCAACGATGATTTTAGCTTCCTATCGATTTTGGTATTTGCCAGCTTTCAATGTGATTTTTTTAATTATGCTACCATTACAGCAGCAAGAGTAGTAGTTCCCGTCATATGGTAATTTATCTGCCATTGGGATCACCGTGTTCATTTCATATAATCGCATTGCTGATTGCTGCTTCGTAACCCGGAATGTACCAGTATTATGCACTGTTTCTACCACTGTAGGCAATAAACTGACATCCATGGAATCCGATTTCTGATATGCAAATCAGACATCGGTTTTATGGTGTGATGCGATAGACGGTATGGAAATGGTGAATTCATCTCCTGTTTGATGAAGATATTCAAATCGCGACCTACTTATTTGGGAAGATATCATTTCGACCAGATTGCGGTTCTTAATGGAATACCGTCCCAGTCGTCACAGATTAAAACACATTGACCGATACTTCCTGTAATAATTGACTTGATTTCTGCCCTTGTGTAAGACAAACTCGGGTTACACGCACTGTTTGCATTGCTCGCCGAAATGAAGGATTATAAGTTCGTTTTTAGCAGTTTTATCGCGTTGTAAAACTGCATCGATAAAAATAATGCATAGCAGGAATAATAACTTTTTTAAACTAACGATAACAAAAAATTAACCAGCGTGTTTCTCATGAGCCGGTACAAAGCTTCAAGATTTATTTCTTTACTACGAGTACTTCTATTATATACAAATTTCGACGAAAAAGTATTGGACAGTGTTCTTTTACGTCTACAAGAATGGACAACGCAAGTGGTATTGCGCCGCATTACGAACATAATCTGGAATGATTCCATGCTTTGTATACTGCATTGGATTTGTTACAACGAAGTATAACGTGAATGCGAAGGATGCCATCGTGTAAACCGGTATTATTTTGATGATTGTACGAGGAAAAATCGTCTAGACATTTGATGCGACAGTCTTGTTAAATAACATTTATGACTTGGATGAAAGAAATCAATCACAACCGCTATAGACCATCACAATGTGTCTGATAAAAAAGCGCTAGAAACTCTTTACTGTTGCAAATAAAATTCCCCGGTCTCTCTTGGGTAAACACGGCAACCATTGGCAAAAAAAGGGAGTAACCAGTCGCTAGAGATACGTTTATCAGAATGAATACTGGATGTACTGAATGCATATGCCCAAATACACTGACTGTCTCTGCACTCGAAAACCTATCAGCATGGCAGCACGCACAGAGATTGCAGATCAGTTCGGGCCAATTGACTAATGTTACCGGTCTGTCAAAAGTTGATCACACTCTGGAAGATGAGTGGAAATACTGCTGTCGGGAGTGATGTTGTCTACAAAAACCGTTGCCGTATAGTCGGCAATCCCGTAGGGTAACATGCCGTGCGGACTGTGTCGGGTGTACAGGCGCTCATTATAGGACGACGCACTGCCGACTGACTGCGATCTCCCGCTCCGTGCAGCCGCATCATCCTCCACAACAGCAGCTTCCTCGGTGGTCTCCGGTTCCTCGCTGCTGCTAACAACCGCTGACGGGACGACATGCAGCTGCACCTGCTGTGACGCAGGCTTGGCGGAATGCTGGAAAACAAGTAAAAGGTCACGTAATCAAATTCCCGCGAAACGCACGGGAAGCAATCAATCCATAACCTCAGGCAGAAAGATGTGTTTATTAATTATTCCCTGACTGCGCTGCGCTTTAATTTGTCATAGTTAACGCTGTCTTTGTATTGTACAGCCGCATCTAGGGAATGCAGCGATGACATCTGGGCATTCTTTGATTTCATCTGCTTGATCGATCACATTTGTACGCCCGCAACCTGCGTAAGCATGTTAAATCGACAGAAAATCTGAATTTAAAAAATTCATTAGCGAAGCAATTTACAAGATGGGTTGTACTTGTAACAACCTTCTCTGATTTATTTTGATTTTTAAGTTTATTTACGAGCACACGGGAACCGTCTGTACTCAATTCCAAAATAACAGCACAATCCAAAAATTTTAAATTGTTCAAGCACCTGGCGTGTTGTCATGCATCTGACCGTTTTCAGTGGCGCTCTTCCAAAGGAGCACTTCAATCTCTTTCGTCGTATAAAGCGTTCAGAAATCGCCCTCAAGAAATGCTCGACTGTTTTTCCAGCACTCAGCAGGATCCGACAACATGAAATTTGTCTTAGTTCATTTAGGGCTTTAAATGGATCAAGTAGACATCCCGTCGTTTGATGCCTATAATTCGCTAAGTAAGCTGCTCAGCGTCTTCGTTTAAATGAAACTGTTGTTCGTTGCCTACAACGCTGCTGCTCCTGTAGGCAGACTTTATTGATCGCCGCGCATCGGTTTACGCCGATACGGGCTATATATCCCGTCTCCGGGATAATGCACAGACTAAGCGAAGCGAATAAGTAAGTAAATGCACAAACTTTGGCTTGCGGACGCACCGAGTTGGCGGGTGTCATTTGTATCGAAACCAATCCAGGAGAAATTCTGAGATTGTTTTCGGTGGTCGCTGGGGAGACCAGCTCAGACGCATCCAGATCCTCAATTTCCGCCAGAACACAGGGCGGCACGTGCGTTACCGATTTCGAGGAATACACCTGCCGACAAGAAAACCGGTTAACGGACACTGAAATCTCTGTTTGTCTAAAGAACACATTATAAACAGCTAGCGATATGGGAAAGTGCGAATGATTTAAAATGTGAAGGGGAGTCAATATTTAACCTCTCGTCTCATCCTCTCAATTAAATATCTTGGCCAAACAGTTATCTGAACGGCAAAAGACGAAGAAAAAGTATAATCGGAAAAGATTATTCAAGAAAGCGTCACGAACATTGATGGTGCTGGTGTTAAAATGCCGGAAATAAGTACTAGTCTACTAGAGTATTTAGTACATATCATACGCAATCAGCTGACATTGTGAAGTTGCGAGACCTTTTGGAAAACTTTGTACTCGTACAGTAAGACATACGTAATTATATCTATATACTATATGCATAGCTGTTTTACTAAAGCATTACGACAGTTAAATAAAGGTTGTAAACAGCTACCATAGTGGAAGATCTATGTTTTATGTCAAAGTCTTAATTTCTAGTTTCAAAGTAAGCTATTAGCATTCGCGGTTTCGTTGTTAAATAAAAATGTATTAATACAAAAAGCTACTTCAATTTCATAGCACCCACTTAACCATGCTGCTATTCCAACATTCCTACTTGACTCTCCGGCTTCCGTGTGTAATGTGTAATATATTCTCGTTAATGTTTTGCACTGACCTCGGAGTTGGTGCCATGACCGGATGGAGAATACGAGATCGAGTCAATATTAGTAGGCTCGGTAATTACGATCTCCGGATGGTTTGGTTTATGATTGAACAGTGGCTCCCGGTCGTATAAAAATGCACCATTAGCCAAGCTATCTTTTCTGTGCCCTTTTCTTCGCCACTTCCATAGTACCAGAAGTACTACCACCGCCGTTATAACGACACTAACACCCAGTGCGATAAGAACAATATGCCATGGCTCCAGTGGCCTATAAACTGTAAAATACATACGTACAATACAGTGCAGATGTGCAGCCAATAATACATAAATAACATAAAAATACCTAATAAATTAATCTGGCACTGAATCTTGCTTGCGTAAAGTTTTTGAGTCAGAAGCGTAGAAAAATTATAATAACCATTAGAGAATCTGTACCTAGATTGCTGTCCCATAAGGCCATAATGTATTTCTGCAGACTTACCGCTTTCCTCATCACCGTCTTTTGTCGCTTGAGTAGTTGAGTTGAGCAGTTCAATGAAGCTGCTTTGTGTTTGGTCACTTAGCAGTAAATCGGCTGCGGCTTCCATTTATTTAGTTATTTCAAAATACTGTATAGATGAATTTATAATAAACTAGATTCCATTTTCAGAAACAGCCCATTGGCGAATATAAGATGTATGAGATGGAAGAGACCCACAGGTACATTAGGCGGATCGACATATTCCGATACATGTCGGGAACGAAGTAAAGTATATTTATTTATATGGACAGTTTGTCAATTTCGCCGGTCAGGTCACAAGAGCGTCCCATGCTTCAAGGTGAGTGCATTCACCATCAAACCGACTGGCATTCGTAAAATTTGTATAAAATAATTCAAAGAAAGGTTACGAACTAACACAATTTTTAGCTAGCGTTAATAAGAACCATGCTTAAATTTCCGGTGCACAAACAGAGCGCACGCAGAAAGAAGAAACATAGGTAGTTTCACGTTTCACGTTCGTTATAAAACAGTCAAAAACTTAAGAGCATGAAGGACTCACATCCATATCGAAAAAAGATCTGTTAATCGCATACTTGTTTCATATACGTAACGTGTATGCAGATTCAAAGGTGATACTCCTATATCCGGACGTACCGTTGAACGGAGCCTGAGGAAAGGCCTACGCTAGCGTTATACCGATCCAGCCGCACAAATCCTTGCTCGCAGGACACTTTTCATTATTAGCTCAAAAGTATACCGCGTTTGGAGTTTGTTCCCACTGGGCACGCGCATGGAATAATAATCTACACCCCGGCGGAGGAAGAATAAACTGAAGAAGCCAGCTGGGACAATTTTCCCAAGCTTGGCCAGCGTACAACGGAAAGAGCAACCGTAAATGTACGCGTGATACTTAGCACGGCGCAAAATTTCCTCTAATCAATGGAAGTAATTTCGCTGCAAAAGTGCCACTGCACATTTTGCGTATAGTGGGCACATTGTCGGTTCCATGATCCCGTCATTTCAGGATAGCAGCTGAAGCATCATTACACCACGGAATTCCGGGACACAGTTAGGATAATATGACCAACTGGTGTAATTAATAATTTACGGTCAGCTACGTACGCGGGCGGCTGTATAAATATCTGAGCTGAACCTGCGCACTGTATGTGCTACCACGGCGCAATCACACTCCACTTCGGCTGTGACTGTGTATTTCCAATTGACCGTCATTAGCTCATTTAGGGCGCAGAAGTCGGTGTTGGGTTTGCTCAGCTGGGGAATGGGAATAAATTGGAATATACTGTCAAACATCATTCGCTTACAGGACGCGTTGCAAATCTTTCAGCCACTGACCGGGATTTTCACTGTTAATGCACACATGCATACAGTTATTACTAATAAGAGGAAATTTTACGGCTCAATGAACGGGATTCTTGCCGGATCCGTCGGGCAAATCGATAAATCCACCCAGACATTCGCTAGAATAAACATCCACTTCACGGTAGGGAATTTATTTTGAGAGGAACGCTACCGTAGTGGAGCAACTTATTCTGCGACGTATTTATGTCCAACATACTGTACTTATGGCTTACCATTCGAAAAAAATCAGTAATAAGTAACCAGATATCTACACGTCATGTACGAAAAGGTGTAACACAAGCCGGTAACAAGCTTACATCATGACATATTATGTACATAAATTTTAGTTTATAAAGCTGCGAAAATGACATTTATCGCCTTGATTATCCGGTAGTCACAGGGGAAAGGCTTAAATTAAGCTACAACAGTGTACCGATTCTACCGAATCCATAGCGGTAAAACTTTCGCACTGCTTTTTATCCCAAGTTCCACATCTAAATTGACCCTAGAATTGTAACTGCATTGTTATAACAGCCAACACAAGTTAATCTTTTAGTGCCAGGTCTTGTCCGATCATGATCACTATGTATACAGTAATTAATTTTACCTTTGAAGTGTTATTTAAATTTTTTAAAGTGTTATTTAAATTGCCATAGAAGTACTAATAAATTTATTGATTTGATTTTGCATAGAATTATATCTAGTATCTAAAGACAATACAAGCATTATGTCAAAGTTGTTCTACGTACCAGGCGGCAGGCATTTTGTGCAGCAATGCGCTTGAACGTTTCATCTTTGTTCCCACAACACTTCCGGAGATCCGGTGAGCTGGACACGTAACAGCCACCCGAAAGGCGTTAGAATTGCTCTGTTTTTCTACGGTACTAACAAGTAATAAGTTGAAAAATAGCGATTCTATCGTGGTATGTTCAGTACCCGTACTAATAATTAGCGAGATTACAAAATTTTGCAAATATTGCACTTTATGTTTTATATTTTGCTAGTAAGTACTCATTTTTCATTGTGGGGGACGCGTTGTGTAGTAAATTTCGATTATATTGTTATTTCGCGGAATATTAATTTTCGCATTTGGACAGCGAATTTGGTTGCAAAATCTGCAACCAGTACACGTTCGCAATGGAATCCTACGAACGAATCATACTGGTGAAGCCCGAAGTTTTTGTTTATCGCATCCCCCCGCGATCGACAGCGCGAGGCTACAGGCGAGCAAAACAAGACAATCTGCTGTTGGGCATCGGTGATTTATATTCCTGAATTTGCAGAGCAGCGGACTGGAATTTGGATAAGCCTGATTGGATACTCCGCTTACGGGTGATCGCCAAGGACAAAACATGTGCAATCCGACTGGAAGACAAAACCAGCGGTACATCATCATACACTGACACATTTCGATACTTTCATTCGCTGTATGCATCAGCTAAAGGATTTCGTTCTCCGATGTCTGTCTGCAGGTGAACTGTTCGGAGAATGTCCCGTGGATACGTACCCCGGAAGCGCAGTGGAAAGCGTCACTGACTCTAGTCGATACTTCGTTCTGAGGATTCAAGATCCTTCGGGCCGCTCCGCCTTCTTGGGACTGGGCTTCGGAGATCGCAGTGATTCCTTCGATCTTAATGTGGCTTTGCAAGATCATTTCAAGTGCGTATTTCTTAGATCAGTATTTTGGTATGATTAACTGGGTGTTCTTGCCTTGATGAAGATAAACAATTTGAATTGCGTAGACTGCAGTAAAAATTAAAAATGAAGAAATAAAGGTAAAACAATAAAGAAGCTGTTTAAGATAATAAATTTTTAATCAAATAAGAAGTTTTTAGACGGGTATGCTGAACGAGATTGCCTTCCAGTTTTGGTAAGGCGTGGAGAGAGTGGTGCAATTTAACTTGTAGCTTACTGGTCAACTATTTCAGCAGAATAATTTTTTAAAGTTTCTCTTGCATGTGTGGATGTTACATTTCCGCTTTAACAGATTTGGCTTTATTTTCTGATTTTCCTCGGGTTTTCCTTGGTTGTGAATTAAATGAACAATTTCTCTTCAGTTTTTTGTATTAATTTTGTCGTTAAACATCTTTTATAGGTGGGTGGCCACATCCGAGCAGATCAACAAGGAAGAGGCGTCCGATCAAAAGCCGCGGTTGGATCTGGCCTTCAAAGAGGGTCAAATGATCAAAATTAACATAGGAGTAAGGTTGCTTATCAGATTTTCAAATAATATTGTGACCTGCAGGAAGTGCGAACAACGTAAGTCTGTAAAACGTTGGGTGTTCTTCCAGAAAAAGTCCTCTACAACCACTAAAGCCCCTTCGACCAGTACGGGCGCTGTTCCCGGATTGTTGCCTCCACCCCCGGGTGCCGGTGGAATGGGAATTAAGCTTAATCCCCCGACAGCGCCAATCGCACCGCCAAATGCAGCTGCCAGTAATGTTTCGCAGATTCCCGCAGTTGCTGGTGCCAGTGGACTGTTGGATTTCGATCCGATGTCTTCAGGGACGCCCGCGACCACACAGCCGATCAGATCCACGAATGAATGGGGAGATTACAGGTAAGACGCTGCCGCATTCTTATCCACTTAGTATGGAACATTCCGAATGTCGTCAATTTGCAGCACCGGCTCTGCGGGATCGAAGTCTACATCAGATACGTCTTGGATGAATTTTTGAAAATAGCACAGCGGATTCCCTTGCTTTGGTTGAAATTCAGTGAATAGATGAAATACTGTCAATAACGTTGATTATCAATGCAGTTACCGGATTTTCATTGTCTTAGATTTGTTTTTGATGTTAAGATTTTGTTGTCATTCCAAAGTGCAAAACGATTGTACTCGTCTTGTTGCTATGTTTTGATCTTCGTTTTATCCGTTATTTTTGCCTTGTGTCACTTAAACATTTGACTGTACTCCACGTGGATCGTTATCGATTTTCCTAAATTAAACGTGCAAAAAACGTCCAGTCAAATAGACCGTTTCACTTCAAAACAAACCGATTTAAACTTTAATGACCTCTGTAGTTACGCAATCAGATCCCACTGAAAGAAAACGCCAATAGCATATTAAAATTAACCTAAAACAGCCGGTTTCAGACTTCCAAGCACAAGCAACTACGAGCTCAAGCAAAAGAACATTCTCCATCCTTTCAAAACAGTAATCATACATTAGATCCTTTTTCAGGTGAAGGAGCCAACATCGCAGAAAAGACCTGATGAAATGATTTATAGTTTCGTCACTTTCATCAATATCTTGTTATACGGTATTTTCGATGGTGCGGAACGGCGTTTTACTTCTGGCTGGCATTAGGATGAAAAAGAATGCGAAAACGCTCGCACAGCAACGGCAAAAGCCGCAAGCCCCGCAACCACTAGAATTCTGAGCCATTTGCCCGAAATGGCGTGACGATTTCGTCTTGCGTCGTTCGCGGGATTATTGTTGGGTTCCGGTCCGGTTTGTTTAGCAGCATTCGAATCAGGAACATTCGGGACAGATTCATTAGGACTGCTTTCCGCTGGCAGTACGGCCTCTCTATGCTTCTTTTCCAGTTCCTGAACATCAAACTGGTATTAAAGCGGTTCAAGTTCTTTTACGAAATTCGCGGACAGAGGTGACTTGAATAAAGCAATGGAAAAAGAGAGTTAATCGTTCAACGTAACCATCAATCACTACTCAGTCGCGCTTCGCCGTACGAATATCAGGAATATCACATGACCTTACCGGAACAAAGTCTGGAAACAATTTGCGGAATGTATCATTATTAAGGTTCCATGGGATGCTTGCACGGGCGAAAACACGTTTCTCCGTTTCCTGTGAATTCAAAACTTAATGCAAATCTAAAATTTAGCACATTAAACTCCTCTTACAGTTGTGTTAATTGATCCAACAGTACTCTGGCTACCCGTCTAAAAAACAATTTTTGCGTTAGGTGGTAATGATGCGAAAACGATCCCAGGAATTCATTACCATAAAGCTGACTAATCCGCACAGAATTGTGCCAACATTCCAGGCAGGATTCCATGATTCCGGATGAAAATCCGACATGGAAAGACACAGTCGCTGGTTCGGAGCGAAACGGCCGTTGGGAGTTAAAATCATGATTGACGGCGGCTTGAAGGGATATTCAACAGGAAAGATCAGTCGTCCCAGGTAGTAGCCGCCTTCGTAGGGAGTCTGTTCTGGTCCACGAACGACATAATACCATTCCAGTAGATTATTTGGTTTAGGGCACGCGGATACGTAAGGTACCGGATCTGCAAAGGAAGTCAAAATTAGCGTCTTTCGGCGTCAGTGTAGAAAAGGTCGAATTTGAACAGAATTCACTTCATAATCATACACTGGTAAACTACTTATCATTGTAAAAATACCGCATATTCGCGAGGGCGTTTGAGAAGAACACGACACAAACAATAATTCACTAAAATAATCAAGTTCAGGCCACAACCCAGAAAACACCGAAATCCATTATCAGTAAGTAGCGAACTAATAATAAGCGACTAAGTTAGTAAGATTATTTTCTATATATACGGACACTCACCCTGCAATAATCGTTTAAAATCCTTCTGCAAACGCATAACAGCACTCTTTTCCGCCATTCTTTCCCTGTCGTAAGCAAGTGGCTGATGGGCAAACTGGAAGAGACTACTCCTAAAGAGATGTAGAATCATTAACAGGTCCAAATCCAATAACGAAGGCAATTATAAATAAACAACACACCACTGTAAACGGAGCAATAAAATACTAAGTTTAATGATGCTTCGAAAATAATAACCAGAATAAGAGGAGTGATTTTGAAATGACAGAAGCTATAAGATCTTATCCCGTCTACACGGTCTAATCCAGATATGATACAAATACCTTCCTGATCTTAAAAGTTAAAACAAAACAGTAGTTTTTACTTAAAGCCCACGGGCTACAAAGGGGATGATTTGCAGCTATAGCTAGTATTAGCTACTGTAGGTGACGTCAACCTGTCCTCATTACTGACATTACAGCATGGACATATTTGATACTCGCAAATCGCAATAAAGCAAAGCTCTTAGAAAACAACAACCCGAATATTAAATAAACAACAATTTTTTTTGAAAATTTCAAAATAATCAGCATTAAGCTTTAAAAAAATGGAAGTCAATAGTTAACACTATGAAATACTGAATAGTGAATTCTCTGCGAACACCAATGCAGTGCGTACTGTTACTACTGTACGTGTTTAAGGCAGTTTAAGCACTACCACCTTCCACTCTTCGCCACTTTGGCAAACGACGGAAGTAATCCGTAATCATGACCATAGGTTCTACGAACCAAAGCAAAACTATGAAGGTTTTCAGCAAATAACCACTAAAGCACAATATGCCACAGTCCTACACTTTACAGATTCGAATAAAAATGCTAATAATTATTACAACTTATAAGCTTACCTGAAGCCCAAACTTGTGATCAGCTGCTGTTACAAATCCACTGAAGTGCAGTTCGCACTTATGGAGTAATATCAATCCAGATGGAATATAATTATATATAACACACTCGCACCTTATTTCCAGCAAGTACCACAACTCGATTCAATCACAATGATAGAATATCAAAATATTCCGTTACTGTTATCTGCGTTTCCACAAGAACCAAACCACCACTTCAGAGAAAACAACTGGTAACTTTGGTATAAAGTGCTACCACAGAAAGTACAAGCCTTGTACGACCTGTGCTAAAATCGAAAGCGGCCCCAAAACCCAGCTACGCCAGGCGGGTAGTATGATGACGTAATCTCACGCCCTACGCAAACGTATCTTTAACAGAGGGGCGGAGCGTGCGATTTACAGGGTCCGAGTGCGTGTGAATTACAGGGAGTGTGAAAGTTACGCTAGGATTACTCTATTAGCTATCTCAGTAGCTCAGTACAGCCAATCCGCCTTGATACACTGCTATAGCCAATCCGTATTGCTAAAGACTGCCATTGGTGGGCACACCGATTACGTATTGCCCCACCTCACGCAGACAACCGGCCAGCAGATAACCTGCCGTACGCTAATCACTTGGTTTCTCCTTAATCTGTAGCTTTCAGAAGGAAATAAGAAGGAGCAAATTAAATTATCAGTCAAAATTATCAGTTTCGAAAGAAATAACAATCAAATATGAACTTTCACGAGAAGATCGCCAAATTTGAAATTACGCATTTGGCATGTCAGATCGTTCAGCTCCAATCGCACTGCATGGGAAAGATAACTTTTGCAGTCAGCTATGGTCTAATTAGCGAAAAAATTAAATTACATCGTAAGTTAAATACTTTTCTAAGTCCAGAGCACGAGAAATAATACTAAAAATTATTGTTACTTTTAATAGAATCATTTAAACAATTATTCTTCTAATCCCAATTTGCTGGGTTCTGAGATCGGCAGCTCAAGAGAGGTACAGAGAACCCATGCACACAGCAAAGTTGTGGTTTCGGTTTTTTTCGCTTTGCATGCGTTTTACGCTCGGCAAGGGGTACAGGAACACTCAAACACAGCAGTTTCGGGCCTTGGGCCGTGTTTTAAAGCGCCTAACACAGTTTGTGCATGGACAATATACTTAGAGGGACCGTGGTGCTACTGTATGACAGTATCGTTAGGAAAAAGCATCATAAGAACCAGTGATGTCCCGTTTGCAGTTTTTCATGTCCCGACCGCACTTTCACGATCAAAAACTTTCCCGCACCCGCTCCCGCACCCGAGCGCTCGGACCGTCCCGCAACCCGCTCCGTTCCCGATTTTCAATGAATCAATAATTTTAATAATTGTTACAAATCTATTACAAAATTTTTGTGACAAAGTTTCGTCGAAAAGTTTAATGGATACGCATTTTTTAGAAGACTATACCTGCATGATAAATCTTACTTTTACTTTTCAAAAAAACTGAACTTGGCTCTTAATTATAACTTATACAATTGCCGTAAATATATTTTCTTTCGAAACCGACGTTTGCGTCACAGGAGCTACGGAGCTAGCCGCCGCTTATCAAATCGCTGTATCGCAACTGGATTCGCTTTGAATCAGAGACCCACCCTAAGACACCAACTTTCGCGCGAAGCGCGAAGCTGACGCACTTTTTGGCTGCGAAAATTGCTAGAAATTCTATAAAAAATTTTTTAATTCAAAGAAATCCCGTGTTTTCCCGAGTAGCGGGCGGGCGTACTAATCAGGCTATATTCCCGACCGCACCCGATCCGAGCAGAAAGCCTCCCGCACCGCTTTCCGAGCAAAAGCGGGTGCGGGATGCGGGAAATTCCCGTGATTTACCGAGCCCGTGAAAAAAACGGGACATCACTGATAAGAACCCACAGTGCGAGTTGCACGCTGCACAGAACCAGGATCGCGCTGCATGCGAACAGTTTTTTTTGCTGTTTGTTGCCTTCCTGTTTTACCGTTTCTCTGTTAACGTTTTACTGTTTCTCTGACAATCGTTTGCTTTTCGCCTTCAAAATTGTTAATTGTTTCACTTGCAATTTCATCAATATCGAGTACGGAAATGGGAAATTTATAATTAAATGGCTAAGCCAGCCTAAGCGTGACAGTTTTCCGGTTCCATAAAATCAGTACGAGTACCGATATTATTAGAGTAAGTACTGTATTATTTTTTATATGTCATGTCCTGACAACCTGAACCAGGTATGATAGGCTTGTGACCTTTCTGCAGGAGAATATTGTGGTACCGGACTGGAATCACGCAGTAGTGCTGCGCTGACCGGCATTTCTGAATTATTCGCATATACCTAGCATCAGCAGTAAAAGTAGGCGAAAAAGTCGAATCATATAACGCTGCGGCTTTGCGGGCAGTGTACCAATGGACAATTACGATCCACCCATCAGGTGCTTTTTAATCTCGACGGAAGTACAAAAACGCATCATTTCATTCATTTGCACGGCACCGTTCCATACGGTTCAGTAAATTAAATCTTGTATACATACATACAAGATAGCTGGCGATTATCGTCCGCAGGCTTCGGCGTTATTTAAGTACAAATACTTCCGGAACTTTTGGCGATGAAAAGTGTCACTGATGACATTCAGATTCAGAAGAGCGACTGCCGTATGTATCCAGACTGCAGTTATCCGTCTAAAGTTGGTCAATAAAATGATGGAAATCAATGACTTATCGTCGCTGGAAAGTGGAAGCCGACAATCACGAGGTCTCACAGACAACTGCACAACACCTTCCGGAAACAAGACGGCAGTCCGACACAGGAAGAAAGACTGTCGAGCCTAAAGTCGGGAAAAGGTCTTTAGTCGCGGGATCATATACCGCCACGAAAAAATTTCCATCAGTCAATGCTGCACGGCAATACAGCGTTACGTTACGGCCGGTAACTGTAATTACCGAAGATATATATTTTCAATCAGTGAACGAAGATGCGTACGAAGACAACGGCTGGAACAGTAATTTCTTTACAACTTCCAATCCCGGAAATTGGTTTAGAAATCGAGTCACCTCATCGTCACCAGAGTTATCAGAGCTGGCCAGTGGCCACTGAAGGCTGTACTGTTTGTGCGGTGCAAACACCCTTTGTACTCATACTGAATACGTCATAACAGGCATTTTTAATTTTTATAGTTACTGGTGAAAGATAATCGTTTGATTACCAGTTCTCTCGTAAATTCCTACTATTAAAAGAAATACAACACCGCTTAACTGAATGTCAAGGAAATAAATTGAAATAAATTATCTGTCTCAAATTACTTAGTCAAAAAAGAATGAAAATAAAATCACAACGATTGCAAGATTTACTGATAAAAAAATCAACATACGAGTACGTAAATCACCGAGACTGCATTCGATTAACAGCATCCTTAATTTCTTTCAGCATCATGGACCCCACAATCACCTTCTCGCAGTTCACTGTAATTGTGCACTTGGGGAACTTTGTTACCACCGAAATAAGGAGCGGCGAGGCGGACGAGATGGTTTGTCCAACGAAGAGTAACGTCTCTGCACTTCCGTCATTCGATGGTAGAGGACCCACGTTTGCAGTGTCCAAAACCAGGTTGGTGATGGCATTTTTATTCTGCAGACCACTGGACAACTCCACACTGGCAAAATTCTCGTTCAAGCCTGACAAATTCCCTTTAGCAGTGTCAAATTGCGCTTTGGTCATAGCAATCGGACACACCATTTCACCAAGCGACGGTCGTAGCGTGGTGTCCATCTCCTTGCCATTGTAACCAATAACCAGCCCGATATTCTGCGTAGTGTCACAGAAGTCTATTCCAATACTGGCATGGAGTATCTGATTTGGTTCCAAACTGGCAATCTCATGGAACTCTTGAATTTCCACGCGAGCTGGCAGTTTCTTGCGGACAATTTTAATGTCGGTCACAGGAGCTGAAGAAGTATTCGTGAAAGTCAATTCCACCGTAACCATTTTCGCGGAATAAAGGAATGTCCTGCGAGGGAATTTATAAGTGATCCCAAAACCACCGGTTACTACCGGGGACAACAATTCACTGGAACGATTAGGAACAAGCACGGCCGGTAGAACAGCGAAACCACTGGGCGACTTGGCGGCTGATGGGGAGGATGATCCCATAGGAAGCAAAGGTGTGGTGAACGGAATCGTCGAAGTCGGTCCAGTTAAAATATCGTCGAAGTCCAATAACATTCCGCTAGTTTTAGGCTTTTCCGGTGGTGACGGGACAGATGGCTGAATAGCAGTCGGTTTCGGCTGAACCTTTTCTTTTCCATCGGAACGCGCTTCGGGAGAAATAGTAGCAAGAGAAACTTGCTTTTTAGGTGAAGGTTTTGGCTTTGGCGTGGGCTTCTCTTCCTCCTCCTCCTCCGAACTTGATTCCTCACTTTCCTCATCATCGGAATCGTCTTCACTATCGGATGATGTCTCTACGCGGCTCTTCTCCGTCGTAGATATTAGCTGGGCATTGGTGGCAACATGGTTTTGCACTTTCTGGGCTGATTTTGGCTCCGGTCTATTTGCCGATTTGTCTTCTTCAGACTCTGAAAAGAACAAATAACTGAAAATAACTGCAGCAAAAAGTAACAACACAGTCATAACTCATAATCCTAAACGGTATATGCAGAAGACGAAAAACCATAAAAGCTACAGTGCCAATGCGTCGTTAAAGTAATCGCCTACTAGTTGCAACGTCTGGTTGTTGAACAACCAGACAGTTTAGGGTTCTATTGATGATTTACCCTCTCCGTCAGATGTACCCTCTTCGTCGGAAGATTCCTCTTCGTCATCACTTTCGTCGTCTGATTCCTCTTCGTCGTCTTCCTCCGCTTCTTCTGATTCTTCATCAGAGTAAAACTTTTCCGTAGTCTTGACTGGACTTTTTGGTTTGACCTTACTGGGAGTTTTCTTAGCTAAGTCAACCGGCATTTCGACATCTCTGACCGATGACGGTGGTGGAACTTCCGGAAAGGTAGGCAAATCTTGATAGCCCGCTGCGCGCAGATTCAAGTAATGCGATAATGTTCCCAGTTGAAGCTCAGCACGTTCAGTGAATTTTGACTCCATGACCGGTGGCGGCTTCGTTGCCATAAGGATCTGTCGAGCCAGACCGTCAAAAGCATTCACAGCAGTTCCGTCATCTCCTCCACCCATATTGTTGGGTAAAATCAATGCGCGTAAAAACCGTGCACGATCACGGATATCGTAGTTAACGTCGTATCGTGCCAAGTTGAAAACATACACCACGAGAAGCGACGTCTGTTGGGGATTCACTGTAAACAGTTTCGCTGCCAAATTAATTATCTGTAACTTCACAATATTTTCCTCCTTAGAGAAAGATTTAACAGCCTGTCGCAGGACATCCGGCCCAATTTTCGGTACTTGATCGCAGTACTCGCCAATCAGCCACAGAATACTAGCTTTCGCCTACAAAAACAATAAAGCTCAACTTTGTAGTCAGGCCAAGCCAGCACATCGTGACAACTTACAAGTGACAACTAACCAAAATAATCGACACAATTTTCTTCCAAAAAATTGCAATTTATGCATTCTAAATATGTAGGTCAGTTCTGGACAAATCACATTTTTCCGTATTATAAAATTAACTTACCATCGGAACGGTAATTTTGTCCACAAGTTTAGAAAGATGATGTATGATCTCCTGGTGAGCTGTCGGTTGCAGCTGTAACAGCTTCCGGATAACACAGACACTCTCTGCCACCACATGATCATCACGATTGGACAATAAATTAACCAGTCCATTCAAGCAGGTTTCCGTCACTTCGCTGATGGTGATCGCACATCGCCCAATGGCTTGGATCGTACTGGCAATCAATTCCCGGTCCGAACTGGCAATATAAGCCTGAAATTCCCGTAGAATAATAGAAATAGTCCCCTCGGAAGCCAGACTTGTCAGAATCTCCAGCTTCTGCAGCTTGATATGCGTAGGATCATTGGAACGTACGAAAAACGTTTTCAAATGGGGGACAAATATCGATCGCCGGTTTGGCTTCGCCGCCAACGTGGCAATGTTGCTCAAGACGACAGACTGGATTTCACGATGCGATCGAAGAAGGCGGATCAGTGGTTTCACTGTCAGAGCAATTTCCGTCTTAGGAGCAGCATGGTGATATAACTGCACGACAGCCATCACCACGGCGCCGTTCCGACTTTGCAGTAACGGTTTAGCACTCCGCAATAAAAGCCGATGATCAGCATCCATACTCATTTTATTTGGCTTCGGCTTGGACGCTTCTTCGTCGTCATCATCGTAGAAATTTTCATGGTCGCTTCCTTCTGATAAATAAAGAAAGATGTTAGTTAGTAAATTTGCAAAACATATTTATTTTAAGCCACATAGTCGCATAATTTTATTCTGATAACTCCTATAATAACATGGTTTCCAAAGTCGCATAAAACTGTCGCATAAAGTCGCACAAACCAACCTAGTTGCTCGCTTTTTACGGTATATCACACGTTTTTGCCATATTTTTTTTCAAATTTAAGTCAAAGGAGCATTCAATTTAGTTCATCCTGTCTATGCCGTCACAAAGAAACGGCAATGCAATAAGGAAAGCGAGCACCCGTTACCTGCGGCTTCTGCCTCTTTCTCATTCGGATCGGCAAACTGCATCCGCGCGTAACGCGTCAACATGTTGAGGACCGTCACTTGGCCCCATTCTTCCAGATCAATGAGCACCTGGCACAGCCGGCGATAGTTCTTGTGGATCAAGTCAATCCGCTCCGGACAGACCTCCTCGAAGGCCATCACCGCACTGCCGATCACCAGCGTGGTGCGGTCGCCCAACAGCTTCTCGATGACTTCCACCAACTGGTCGCGCTGCTCATCGTCCAGACTGTACAGCTTGGGAATGGCCAGGGCAGCGGTCTTGCGCACATACGGCGACATATCGCTGGTGGAATCCTTAATGGCCAGCATCATGATGGGCACGATGACGGGCACCCGAATACTGGACAGCACGCGTAGTGCATTGGCCCGGATGAGTTGGTTGGGATCTTTCAGCGCCCGCTGGAAGGTGCTGATGGACAGCAGCGCCAGATCCTGCTGCTCCTCCGCGTAGCGCACCAGATAGGCGTACACCAGCTTCTTGATTTCGATGTTTTTGGACACGACGTTCTTGACGACGGCGGGGAAGAGATCGGAGGCGTCTTTCCCTTTGGCCACCATCCCGATGATGCGCTTCATCGCCTCCAGCCGCAGCTGGTCCTTGTTGCTCTCCAGCATGTTCTTCAGGTCGCCGTGCTTCTTCAGATCGGCGGCGAAGAAGGTGGATGACGCGGGATCCGCGGCATAATCGGAATCGGCGACGCTGGCGGCGCCCGTGGCCACCGTGTTGTTGTAGTTACGGTCGCCGCCGCCATTCCGATCGTTCCCGTTCGACATGCTGAACGACTCGATTTCCTCACGCGAAGTGCTAGACATACCAAAATACCCTTTAAATTCCATAGTGCTAGCCGCCACGCCTTTTACTCAAAGTCATGCAATCCGTAAGTGTACATTAAAAAAATCAGATCATAAAATAAGGTCCAACACGGTTATCACAGCGAGAAAATAATACAACTGATTAGTTGGAACCCCCTTTGAAAACAGATAGAAACATCAATTATTAAATCTGAAAACACTTAAAATAATTGACAACCCACAAATTGTGTCAGCTGCAAATATAAATTTGTAAAACTTTTTCAAATCTCAAAAATTCTAGTTCCAGTACAATACACTTTTCCGTAAAATCGCTCGTTTATACTGTACAGACAACTCACTGATGCACGATCACACACTACAACCAGATCACATTCACTAAAAATGTATGCCCCAAGGCATCTCCACACGTTTACGTTATTCTGTTATCTTGCATTCTTGCTTAAAATCCGGCTTTCTGTCTCTGCTCATTGTGGGTAAGAAAACCTTCTCATACGCGGAAATGCATCCTAATGCTGGAGACGTCAGGAGACTTACTATGGATACAATCATACGAGGAATCCACAGAGCAGCAAGTCCGCAGTTCAAGGTTTACTTATATCGCAGAAATAACCATAACAAACACATCAAATGCTGTTATGGACTTATGGTTAAAAAAATGCTATGAGCATATTCAAAAACATCCAACAGCCACGAAAACTCACAGGGTCCTTTTTGCGATTGACTAATGATAACTATCTTTTTTCTCTTTCTGAGTGCTCCCGAACCAGGCTCTGTAAGGAACAGGACTCGCAATCGTAAAACTCATAAATTGATCCTGTAACGTAAGTATAACTTCCAGCGCGAGGCTTGCACGCATTTGAGCATGCGCGCCTCGCACTGTACTTACTGCTGTCGGCAGTACTGTACTTATTAAAGCACGTAAACGTTAGTACGGTAAAACCCATCTGAAAAAATTACGATAAATCACATTAGCGTAGACATCAGCTATAGAAAAATCATGGCTAAACCGTTTTACATGTCTGTTTTATTATCTTCGCAAACCTTTTTGCAGTTGTAAAGAATTTTAAATGTACCAACTAGCGACAGCTACGTATTGTGCCGTACGCTGCACTAATATACTTATTATTTATAGTGTACCGTTAATTATGAGCTGCCAGCTGGGTGTCTGATTTACCCAGGATGCAAATTTTTGATACACTTCCCCGTGAAGCCGGCGGTACTATGATGACTGGGATGTTTTAGCTGTTGTAAATTTACGGCGTGTGCAAAGGAGCAAACGCAAGCGCCTTTGACTCCAAACAAAAGATTTCATTGTGACCCAGACAATCTAGTTTAAGTCTTGTACGCTAAGGGTCGCAACTGACCATCATAACAGGTAATTACGACTTATGGTTTTTTTTACAAAATTTTGTTCGGCAACCGGAATGCAATACTACTAACTTCCAAGTTGTCAGCACTAACTAACAGACAGTGAACAAACCTTCATTATCATTACATTACTTGTGTCATCTCATAAAAATTTAAAAAAAAACACAAATAAGAAAACCAGGTCCGAAGGCACCAAATACTTCCAAATCACGCTGGTAAAAAGACACTATTACTCAGAATTAAATATTACATCCCCCCAACAAGGCATCCTTGCAGATCGAAAAACTGTTCAAACGGCACATCACACAATTGACTATTACAACTATAAACGGGTTGATTTCGGCTCCGCATCCGATGAAGAAAGCGATGCCGAATCATCATTCACTTTGGTATAAGTGGTTTCTCCCACTGGAGGCCAGTTTGGCTTCTTTAGCAATTCTCGGCGGACCAATTTAAATCGACTTTTAGATGCCTTTTTCCTCCGCAGCGCTCTAATCACCCGTTTGAACCATGTGCGGTCAATCATAAATTCCTGCAACACAAACCATTACTGATTAAAAAAGATTCCGTAAGGACTGCGCCGAGTGCGCCCAAGCACTGCAATATCGCCTTACTTCGAGAACAAACGCAGTAACGAAATTCGTAGCCATCAATCCCAAAAGAAACAGCCGATAAAACGTGTGCGGATTATTAAAATCATAAACCACCTGAAAAACGATATCATCTTAGTAAACAAAAGCAAATATAAGTATGTACCCAAGATTCCGGGGCAGATGCGCACACCGACTTCCTTACCTGAAGGAACCATTGCAACCATCCAGGAACATACATTAGAAGAACGGTTGTCACGCCGGCCAAAAACACCAACGCACAAAGGAAATACACTACAATTACAAAACATACTCGCAGTTTCAAAAAGACAACAGTATACAATGATATCAAAAACTCCATTTATTTACCATTTGTATAAATCGGCTGCCGATAGGGTGGGCCTTTAGAAAACACAAAGGCCAATATGAGATCCTGGAACGCCGCCACAATCACCAATACCGTCGTTTCCCAGCACATTTTGATTTCTTCCGTTTCTGTTCCATTATTAGCCAATTCAAACCTGACATAAGGGGGATATAAGGACTCCAGTTTGGCAAAAGAGTGCTAACACAATTACCAAGGCTGATTTTCCAGACTGACGATAGTCACGGCTTGGAAGCCCACAACGATGACCATGTGCATCAGAATGGAAGCAATCGTGTTCGGCGACATTAAACTGGCTGACGGACGTTGACGGATCAAATTAGGAAACGGTTGAGTGTATCCCACTGCAAAATGGCGACGATAAGTTAACATGGCAATCAATTAATTTCACCTTCTTCCCAGACAAAAGCAACAAACAAAACTTGTATAAAACGCCACCATTTATTCCCAGAACACAATCGTACGTTGTAACCGGCTGAGCAACACACCACGGTCGCTTCAGCTCTGTACTTACATTATCTTATTGTCAGAATGTGATCAGACATAAATCTACATAACAATTTACTTACTTAGAATGGCCACTGTAGTAGTAATGAACAGATCCAAATAAAGAAAATGTGGATCCGCAAGAATGGTTCCTTTCTACAAGGAATAGTCGGTTTGTAAAGGTCATCAAAGAAAGAACACATATCAAAGAAAGAACACATATTGCGCACCTGATAGGCAATCAAAGTGGCCACAAACTGAACAATACTACAACCAGAAATGACATTGCTAACATAGAAGCAGGTAAACCTTTCTACAGCATACAATTTACCTGTATAAAGCCATATACTTGAAGACTCCAAAGGATGTAACCAAGGCACAACGACCTTCCCTAAACGCGAAAAACCCCACAGTAAACAGCAGTGTTCCAGCTTCCCAGATACTGGTAATCTCGAAATGCATACTTGATGACACATGGCACACATTCAATAGTATTCTTATTGGACGTAAATGGCGAAGCAACCGAAGCTTCAGCTTCCGATAGCGAGATTCCAGCATGCGCAGCTTTCAGAGCCTGTGATAAAAGTTAGGCACATTTTTATTATTCCAACGTTTACTAATGGTTCGGTATGCAAAAATCATGAACACTTACGCCGCAGTCATTTGCGCCATCTCCCACCATAGCCGTAATGTAGCTGCAAAAGAAACACGTTTTAAGAAAATAAGTTAAGAAACTTTTCCGCATTACACGAGTATGCTTACTCCAAGTCAATGTATTTCTCCACTAATTCTGTTTTCTGATCGGGAGAAAACCGTGCAAAAACCGCTCCTTGAACTAGTATCTACAGAAACAAGCATAATAATAAATAACAGGATAACTGTCTGAGTACCAAAGACAAAATTACCTTAGGAACCAATTCGGGGAAGTTTTCCACTAACGCAGAAAAAGAGCGACCATTCATGGCAAAGTGGTACTGCGGGTGTTTCATGGCGATACAGAATTCATGTGCCGAAACTGCCTGTAAATGTTAGCGTGTAAGTATGGAAAATACAAGCAAGAATGTGACCGAACACTGACCCTTGATGGCGCACTTCCCGTATCGCTATCAGCATCGGCAAAAGATCCAGCTTCGGATGCTGAATACGCGGAATCGGCATAACGCCAGAGGATATGTGCACGCGCACCGGTTATTTCATCCGGTGACATCACATCCACCATCACAATATTTTCTTCTTCTCCTACCATTCCACATTTGCGTGCAACACTCACAGCAGTCATCAGATTATCACCTATACGATAGGATGTGTCGTAAATTAAACAGAAAATCCAACCTCAAATACCAGATATTTTTCCATGGAGTGGTACTTAATGGTTTTATTGCAACTGCCGTTTACCTGTTACCATCACCGTCTGAATATTAGCAGCATTCAGTTCAGATATCACATCCACAGTTTCATCTTTCAGACTGTTCTGCATTACCAACAGCCCAACAAAATTGATTTCGGTTTCTACTGTTTCTCTAAAAAGAACAGGGAATCAATATACCTGTCATAAAAGTGCACAGCTAAATTCACAGGTACCTTTTTAAACGAGAGAGTTGATGGTACGCCAGTCTATAATCCAGATCTCGGTAGCCCATGGCGATCACTCTGTACCCTTGATGCGCATAAAAGTGTAAAACCTTGTGAAAATTCGCCGGAACTACAGAAAAGAATCCGAGTTGCAGTTTGAATCCGAGTTTAAGTTGCAGATATAGTAACACTGTGACTGCCGCTTACTAGTTGTTGGTTTAGATAAAGCCACAATTTTTTCCGGAGCTCCTTTCACATACAACCGAAAATGGTCTTCGTTGGGATCTCGTGTAATAACAGACATTCGTTGCAATCTACATGAAAAACATCACTTTTACCATAACTGCCCTAATTTTAACATTGCCATAGCCTACCCCGAGGAAAAAGGAAACTGATGGACAATGCCAATGTGACGCTCTGGAGACTCAATAGGTGTCCTGTCCACCGGTGATGGAGGCGAGACAGTTACAGGAAATAGGGTATTAAAAGCGCCCACACCCTCCTCCCTTTGTTGAGGTTCATTGAAGCTCTAAGAAAAGTAAGTGTATTACTACTAAGCAACATCTTCTGCAGTCTGCACAGCATCCATTCAGCTTACCCATTTCGTTGCTTCAAATAACTTAACATCCAGAGGGTCTCCGCTCAATTTTCCATCAATCATCGTTAATGAATGGCAGGTAGCCATTCCGACAACAATCAAATCTGCCGGACTCAGCTGTTCAACATCCTCAGCAATGCTGGTCAGCGTACCATCCACGGTTGGTATAACACCCATTAGGTCTAGCCCTTCCTCCGTTAATGTTCCAGTCTATAAACATACATTCGGAATTCTGGACTTACGTTCTTCGTTGAAATAAGGAGAGTACGGTAAAATCACGTCAAATAAAAGAGTACTCGTATAGTTATTAATGGCACAACTACTGTACCTTATCAAAGCAGACCAGCTTGATCTTGCCGCAAGCATTGATCCGAGATGGGCTGATGCAAAAAATTCCGGACTTTTTCAGCCGCCGTTGCGAATACACAATGCCCACAGTAAGAGCGGCTAAAAATTACCACAAAACAAACAAAGATGAAATATTTTCCTGTCAAAAGTATGTAGGCAAATCGCGCCTACCTGGAAGAGCGGGCGGTACCACGATCGTAATTAGATCCAATGCGCGCACAATGATTTTCTTAAAATCAAACCCACCATCTCCATCAGGGTCAGGAAACATTCGCTAAAAATATACAAGTCCTCAGACAGCTGAATCTGAGCTAGTTAATAAATTTGTACTGCTGCCACCCAAGCTAAGTTGTAGACACGTACGGAGCAAAACGGCGTCCAGATTTCTATTAATCTTTTATTAGCCAATAGCCGTTAAAATACAATAAAGTGTAAAAGCGGGCACACGACGCGCAGGCAAAAATTTAAACATTGAAAAACAACCGAAATCTCTGTTCTCTCTTGAATTAAAAGGTAACGTACTTAAAACCACTGATTTATTAATGGGTTACTAACTGATTCCTATTAATCAACTAGTAACCCGTTTCATCCGCGTTTAAAATTATTTCACAAATAACAAATTTATTTGGCCCCTTGGATTACCTCTCTTTCAATGTTGTTATAAATGGAGTAAATCATCCCAATACCAGCAATGCCAGCCTACATACGAGAGATCACCAATTTTATGCGATGTACAATTAATTTCCAGGGATTTGAGTCTTTCATACCATGACACCAACCAGACGCAGCGCATCACGATAGAATTTAAAGCCAATGAGTCGAGGAAATAAAATTGACCGCACCAGATCTCCCTTGACAGTATAGAACCCTAAAGCGAGAATATGGAAAGTGCCATAATCATTCCAATAATCAATTCAGCGTGCGTCACTGGACTGCTTACCCGTCTGGCAAACCACCGCCAGCGCTCGTGCTCCCTCATAATAGCGTGTCTGAATAACTGATGTGCCATGGAACAGGACGTGGCGTTTATGCTCCTCAAACGAAAACACTTCCGCATCTTGGCTGTTCAGTGCAACTTTGGTCACCGGAGCGCTTTCACCTAAATCAACATGCAGATTATCGGTCCAAACCGCCCGCGTGGCAAAAGCGTTATGCAATGCACGGCCGAATATTCTTCCGGCTCATACCAGTTAAAACTCCTTCATTCACGATGCAATTGCCGGCAATCAATATAGCATCACAGGGAACCGTACAACCATGTTGCGGAATGGCTATGACATCACCGGGTACCAAAAGGTCAGGATCCCGCTCAGCAAATTCTACGCAGGCATCAAGGTAAGTAAAAACGGAAGACTGCTACAGTAATTTGCACAGCCATCACTGAAAATTTACCACCATCCATTCTTAAGACCATAAACTTCTGCTTTGTCGAAGATTTTAATACCATCTCCCGAAGTCGATAGCGTTGCTATAAATATCACATAAAAATGTTTTGCATCAGGCTAAATGTGAAGTTGTGAACAGCAACCAGTGCGCAGTAATGCGTAATCAATTTCTCACCTTCCGCGTTTCGTACAAATTCAGACTGATCCCGAAAATCGATACAGCCAAGACACATGACGCGTAAATATAATAATCGTCCAAGCACCACAAAATAATGCAGAACACTTGAAAGCAGTAAAATGGGTTCAAGACCTAAGAAAACACAATCAGAGCAACATCATATTATATGTTAAACCTTTAAATACTGAAATTAATAATAAAAAGATATTTAAAAAAGATTTACAAAAAATTTTACCTCTTCTATCAGTAGCCGGAAAACCGATTTCACCTCGATGTCAATAACATTAGGACCAAACGCAGACAACCTACAACAAACAGGCTGGAGCACATTTTTGGGATATAGTAAAAAAATGTTTGCTCACTTCTGCTGTCTGGCTTCGTCAGAAATTCCAACAGATCGGCCATAAATGTCTCGACAATGCAAGTTTGCTGCCACACCAGATATACGCTTAAAGATTTCTTGTTGCGGACACCACAAGAAACGGTCATGCTGATGGTCAAAATATCTTATGGAACAAATTTTAGGTGGTTGTGAACAATTTTCCACACTGGTATCTTTAGAAACTTGGCTAGATTTCAGGTCTTCTTTAAACGTCAGCAGCTCCAAGCTTAATTTTTTAGCTGATGTCCCATATTTCTTCGCATGTACATCTGCTGTCAGCATACCGAATTCAGCCAGCTCAGGGGAACTGCAATTATTGAAGTTAATGCATCACCCGCCATCTCATCTCATAATATATCCACAGCGGCCAGCCACATTAGTTTCCAATCGAAACTTACATCCATTTGATGTTACTGGTAATAATCTTGTAGAAGATGTTATACGCGTAATAAGCATTGTGTGGATCCTAAAATTTAACCATGGTCATGAAGTTACATGATCTACAAACAAAGTTGCCACCTCACTTTAATCAGCACGATATCAGCATCCTGAAGCGATGATGGAGATTTAAAAATAGTCAGTCGCCATGTTGGAAACCAGGAAAAAATCAAGTAGCCAATTCCCGCTGTCATGAGGCCGACACAATGGTACAAGATGGAGCGCACAACCGTTGACTGATATCCCCAGCAATCCTGAGAAAGAAAAGCAGCAATTAACGAAGCAATACGATTTACGACTGGCAATTCCACTAACAAAAAGAGAACGAAGTATGAAATACGGTTCTACTGTAAAGCATGTATAGTGAACTCAGCAGCATCCAAAATCGATCTATCGTTAGAATATATCTCGTAATACACTGCCGCAGTAATACAGTAATAATAACAAGGATTCAAGAAAGCACAAAAAATGAAATACAACACGATCATGAATACTCGTATCCATTGTAAATTTTCTCATTTATATTTTTTTCATTATATTTTGCAGTACATATGCTGTTCGAGTAGTACGCTTGTCTGATCGCGAATGAAACGTTTTTTTCTGTCGGTGACTGTCCTGTATTTCATTTCATTCGGTATTCATACATGAATCTCTAAGGAATCTCACTACATCCCATTTCAGTCTGTGTTGCAATATCGTTTTTAAACATTAGTCGAAGTAACACTTAATTCTGCATTTTTTACAGCTATCTCACCCATAAAATATCTGATTTCACAAGAACCAGAAAGGTTTCGATAATTTGATTGAAGTTGCACTCGTTCGTGCTGCTGACTTATCTTTCTCAAATTATCTTAACATATTCGTATCAGATAACATTCGTACGCATTAATATTAATTATGTTCGACATTCTCAAATTTAAGCCTCCGGCAAGGTCACCTTTACATGTCGTAAAACCACAAACTTACGAAAGACAATACCACTCATTCTCATGGTGCTAATGAAACCATGTTCATAGTACAAAATGCGACCAACTCTAATAAACAAGCAGATAGGCAAGTAGCCGTATGACTCAACGACAATCCTTTTAAGTTAGAATGACTACATCGCAATGAAATCGCAAATAATCGGTATCCAATACAGAGAGATGCCTTTAAAACGATGCTAATTATGCTATCAGTTTCATTTGCAAACAAATTTTGTGTTTATCACACTTGTAGCATTTATAATTCCAGAGCAATCCCGCAAAATCACCTGAACTCGACTCACCAACCCGACATTAACGCCAACCCGCATGTATGAAAAATTGCTTTCAAACAACATGTCATCAAGCATCCATATTAGCAAGCTATAACTGTTATTAATTTTAAAATGCTTTTTAAAATGTACCTGTAATTCAACTTACCAGATGTTCATTTGGTCCATTTTCAAGGATGGTTTTTTCGAATTTCCTGCTGCGTGGACGGTATTCACGTTCGGACTGAGGTCCGACAGCGTCCACTACAAAAGATTATAATTATTATAGTAGAAGAAACGAGTTTGCTACAGTTTGTAAAACCGTTAAACGCAAATATTCCTCGTAAACGCAATGCCACAGTAACCAATTCGTAGCGTAGAAAACTTACACGGTCGATCTGGTGGAATAACAACCGTCGTCGACATCCGCGAACCTCCTGGAATACATTATGTCTTTCTCCAGTCTCCACTTAGGTCGATCCTGACAACTATCCTGTACTTACTGTGCTTTATCGATGCTAGGGTGGTTCCAGCATGGGAGTCCAAAAGTACTCCCAGAAGCTTCTCACACGGTGACTAAGTTTAAAACCGGGCACCCTTGGCATAACAGGGGGTCTTTCTGTCCCGTTCAACAAGATCCCCTGGATAATAACGCAATAGCCAAAACGTTCAGACTTCACATTTGCCAGACTGAAATGCACGGAAGGCAATAATTATCAGGAACCGTACGGCGACACACCAATATCGCTTCCAGTAGGATGTCTCGCAAACAAATTTCTACGAATATCGGGATGTTTAAGCATAACAGATGACAACACACTCCAAGCCAGACGGTTCTACTATCTGAAATCTGATAATTAATACCTTTTTTGTTCTTTACTGAAACTATAAGTCCTCGTACCGTCGTACAGAAAGTGAAACCAACGTCTTCCAACACGCAAGGTACACATTAAAACGAGATTTTCTTTGAATCTACGGAACTGGAAGGAAGCGTTCTGTAGTTCTGTCTGAGCCAGACGGTGACGTCAGGTAAGCCGCTGCTTTCCCATTGGCAAATGCAGTCCAGAAAACCACGTGACCTGACTTACGCAACACGGCAAGCGTCGCAGAAACTACGAAGTAGACAAGTACTCTGATACTTTATATACGAGCAAAAATTGCAAAGCCTTCGGCTTTGCAACTACAAACTTCTTGTCATTGCATTACTTACGTGAACTATTACTGACCACAACAGCTGACTTTTGTTTACGACATAGTTACAGTTTGTCCTTGCAGCATCTTCGGAATGTACATATTTCTCAGAGCTGCCTTGAGTGTCTTGAACTGTCTTCCCTTGGACCACTGGCTAGTTATTAGTATGGATACATTGCAACTGTGAACTTGCCTGCTACCGGTCGGTTTATTCAACGATTCCTCTTTCAACTTCAAAGTAACGAGTTAAAACCAAAACAACACCATGAACTTCAATGTCCGCTTTATCACAGACAAAATATCAAAAATAAGCACAGATCTCAAAACGTGAAACTAAACGATAAAAAGATGGCTGAAGAAAGACACACTTATTTCAAGGACGAATAAAAGCTTGGCGGTTCCACCAACTTATAACGCTCTGTATGGCCTCCAACCCGTCGGAGTTCCTCCACTAACTGTTGAAGACTGAACTTGTAACGCACAACCAAATGCCGATTATCTCCAGAGCCCAAACTGTTGTGGCTCAATCCATATTTCTCGGCGGCATTGTGTATTACTTCTCGTTCGCGCGGAGAAAAGTCTTTGGCAAAGACCAGATCATCCAGGACAATGGCATTGGCAATGAAACACTGGAACAATGTATCAGCTCTATCCAGTATTAAACGATAATCCAAATCGCTGTCGCGATAGCCAACTCCCCAGCGACCGTAAACCGAGTACGAAGCGCTAATGTTACAGTCGATTGGATGGACGATGCCATCTTCCTTCTTTCCCAACCCTTTCCCTTCCTTCCAGCCCATCTTTTCCATCAACTTCCATCCGATACTGCGCTTACTCCCAACAACCCCATGAGATTCCGAATCAGCTTCAATTCGTTCCAGAATAGTATCCACCGTCCTTCCGGAGAGAAGATCTTCGCGAGCGACAGGCTGAACGAATGCATTCTCCGAGGCGGAAACCTAAAAGCAAAATTTATAAGTGTAAGTTGTAACACGAACGGCATATTTAACACAAGAACATTTGACTCTACAACAATTCTGCGAAATCATAATCAGTTCAATTCGCGGATGTGCCGTTAGTTTCTGTTTGTGCGAAACTTATGAGAAAACATACTATATCCAAGCCGTAATGCAAATTAAACTTTTATGTCATACTGTATTAATTCGCGGTATACCGAACAAAACTTAAGACCTTAAAGCACTCGTAGTCGACTACCCGGAACACACAAGTACAGTATACCTTTTATTCTACTTGATGGCTTTTCACCACGATCACAAATTTTCTTTTCCAGATAAACTCAACACGCTTCTACAGATACTGTAATACAGTCTTACTTTAATCGTAGGAAACCGCTTCATCAGTAAAATCAGGCATTCCATAGCGGCAGCATTTTTAGCATCTTTTAACGACGAAGCCTGCCGAACGCACAGCTGTTTGCCTGCATAGGAAATCTTCACCCTAATAAGTAATAAAACGATCCAAAATTATTAAGAATGGCGATCAAAAACAGGTGAACAAAATTAGTGCTAAGCTCACACAGTGCGACTTACTCGTGTATGCAACGACCATTTCTGTTCACTTGTATTGACAAAATTGTGATTAATTTTTGGGCTCTGTTAACAGAAATGGTCTCACTCATTAGACGCATAGCTTCGTCATTAACCAATTCTCCACGCAGGCGAACCACTATCTCATTCTCTGGACGGGTTTCGAGAAACGAAAGCGCTTGTGAATAACTCTCATTATGAAAATCTCCAGAAGATGAGCACTGAGGAATACGAATAACTGAAGAATCACAACGTTTATTTTGAGCAACTGAAGGCGACTGCCGATGATTTCCGCGAGGAGGAACAAGTGGAGCACGAGACGACACCGAGGCCACAGATGAATGCACAGGAAAAGCTGGCAACACAGAATCCGCACCACTTTCTGCAACTTAAACTATCAGAAGATAAAACCAACATCAAACCAGCGTCAGAGCAAAGCAAGTGTGCTAGGAAAACTTACGCGGTCGATTTCCACCTCCGGGAAGAAGGAGCATTTTCTTGATGGCTAGAGTCGCTCCTTCCAGATCAAGGTTGTTCTCCTTTGGCTGAGCGGTTCGGGAGGCAGGCTTCGCAAACACAATGGCTGGATCGTTGAAAACCGGTTCCTGTGGCTCACTGTATCGACTGTAAACCATATCCTGCGCAGGCATTTCCGGCTTCTTCATCGTACTGAACAGACCAGCAAGCAAGGCATTTCGTGGAGCGATTTCTGTGATCGAAGAACAAATCGCAAAGGTTATGGTCTTTTTTGGGTTTGTTAAGAGTGTGCGTATTCGTACGGGTCAGCTCCGCAAGTTGGCTGCCAGAAATGTGAAGCCGCCCAACCCCGTCGTCCTTCTTATCCGTTTCGATCACTGTACGAGGTTCCAGTTTTTTACCTATTGAATTCCGAATTGGGACCGCAATGACACAAGAATAAATGCACACTACAGTAGTACTCACTTGATGACGGCAAATTGTCACTAGCCGGACCCACGAGGCTTTCCACTGTTTTTAAAACATCCTCTGGAATATTTTCCTCTTTAAAATTCTGCGCCATTTCATCCTCGGCATCCGACAAAGAACGCGCCAGCACTTCGGGATGCGAAGGAGGACGCTCGATTTCCGGCTGTTCAACTTCCGATGCAATTAACTCCGAACTCAGCATAGACGCATCGAAATAGTAATCCGAGTCACTTCTGCCATAAATGTTTAGTGATCCCGGCAATACCACTCCATTATCTACATCTGATTCTTCGCCATCGGATCTGGTCAGCTGCGCAACTTCTTCGTCGGGTGTCAGTGCCTCCGTGTCTAACCATAAGTTGTGGTAAATGTAAAATTAGAAGGACACGGTTACCTAACCATAAGTATCGCTTAAGCTGACATTCCTATTTTGAACCACGTGTTTCAAAGTTAGAGATTGATGATTAAACCAAACATACGGTATTGAAAACCCATTAGCAAGGTACATACATTTCTGCCAAAAGATTTTCGTGATTAACGACAGTCGATAGTGTGCAGAGTACGGCAATGGGAATGTTCGTGTTCATGCTGCACACCGTGCTAACGGTAACGGCAAACTGGACCTGAACGATTTTTATAGCAGACGTTTTGACTCTTTTGACTACTTGCAAAACAATTCCAACTCGGTAAATTCTGTTCCTTAACTATGATTTACCATCAAGAACAATGAAATTGTTGACTTTCCCAATTGTTAAGAAATTTCATCGACTAACCAAGTCTTAACAGCATGTAACAATATTCTCAACATGCAGTCAAAAACTACTCTTCTGGCTTACGCATTAAAATTACTGTAATACAAGAAAACGAGAGCACTGGTAAGGCAAGGCCTGTGTCCACAGCAGCATGCGAGAACAAAAACTGTTAGCAAAACAACAACAGGAGTACAACAGCGGAAAAATTAAGCCACCCTGACTTGCGTCGACTTTGCAGGAGGAGACAGTTAAGGCTTGGTTAATCTGTTTTACTCTCTTGCTGATGCTTTCTTGCACCGGGATAAGCTAGGGTACCAAAAATTTTCTGTAAGAGAACTACTCGTGCTTAATATGCTAACTGCGTGAAGACACTCACCGCGTCCAGGACTGCTTCCCGACAGTCTTCCAAATGATGCAGGATTGATGGCCGGTGGTTTCACGTAGTCCTTAGTGAAAAAACTTGAGGCTGGCACCGGACTACCATCCAACCCGGCGTTCTCCATTGAACTAGACGACATGCAGGTGGCAATCTGGGCGTCCAACGCTTGGCGGCTGTCCAAAAAGCCTCCAGACAAAAACCCGTTCCCTTCGAAGCAGGTATTTTAGAAATAAGCTTTACCACCGAACAACGTTCAGTTCATATTCTAAGATACCATTCATTTCTCCATCTACGAAGCCGGCGTTCTCCTTGTTCCCACGGTTTTTTCCACGGCCACGACCACTGGCAGCCGCATAGGGCTGGATCACTGGTGTGGGTCCTCCTTTTTCCAAATCCTCCAAAATGAAAGCCTCCGCGGCCATTCTGTTTAACTTCTCCATGTGTGCCGTTTCATAGCTACCAACAAACCAAAAATGAACAATCTGCTAAAGCACGCTCCAGGATATGGTCCTGTAATTCCTTTAAAGACATAATTTCGAAATGAGAAAATGTATTCGATCTTAAAATTCATCATTCCGAGAGCAAAAATTTCGTAAAATGCAAAACTTGATTCACTTCGGTAAATCCCTGTAACGCTCTCGGCAGCAGCAATGGAATAAACTAAATTTAGTGGCCCTGTGCTTTAATCTGTACCTCAAAAAGCTTTCATTTTAGTGTAAAAAATAATAAATCCCACTGCGTGCAATCTGCGTACTTTTAACGTGTCTCGCGTCCACTAAAATTTTTTACCTGGTGTTAAGCTTAAAAATTACTTATCTTTTTCTCTGAACATCATTGAGAAAGCTTACCGGCAGCCCAAACTCTTGTTATTAATTAGAATCCACGAATAACAATTTATCATGTCCAGCCCTTCTGGTTTGTCGTAATGACATAACAGAAATTTGCGTCGCGTATTCCAGCTCCTTAAAATTACAAAAAAGGATTTTAGTATTACAAGATACTGCAGAAATGCGATAATTACCGTACCATGGGCTTTCTTTAGACCCACGAAATTCTTCAACCTTCGTGCATTTCACTGGATCGTCCATATTAAGAGTCAAGGCGAATACATAGGGCGGAGGAGTAACTAACAAGTGTATGCGCCGCTCAGAAGTCAGGAAATCGTTTTTTCATGTACGAGTTTATTCTGTAAGAAAACTTTTAATTCAATAGAAATTTACCAAGATTGTGGATTTCCGATTAAAACAACCAGGAACCCGGAAACGCAAAAAATCTATCGCGTTAAAATTTTAATCACGATTTGAACTCAAAATATGAATTTGACAACGGACGCAGTCAGAACTCACTCAGAAAATCTGTATGTACTACTGTATGCGTCTGCTGTGTACGAGTTTTATGCAGTTGCCTTCCCAGAGGGGCATAGGAATCTAACTTCCGTGAACGCGTCTTTCACGCGCGCTCTCAGCGTAAAAAAATAAATACAAACCGGCAATAAAGGCACTTTCATGAAAGGATCGGAACAAAGCAGTGCCACTTAAAACTAAGCATACTGTATTAAATTGAATTGATCTAATTAACACTAAGTTATTAACTGAAATTCTGATGCTACGAAATACGAATGGGGCAATACGAGTATGAATTAATTTCAATTAAACACAATTACGTACATAATTTTAAAACTTAATAAATAAGGTGAATTGTGAATGTGATCATATAGGGACAATATCACCACGGCACTTCTAAAATGGACTTTCTATGGTATGTATTACCATAGAAAAGGATAATACAGTATTATCCTTTTCTATGGTATTACTGTAAATCAACAACCAGAATGTATTAAGGTAACTGTAACATCTCTGATACAACACTGTGCGTTGGGCTACGTAGCCGGTAGCCTGGCGTTAATGGTAAATATTGTTACGCAAGCATGGATGGCTTTTTAGTATTTGCCATTTGAGTTAGTTTGCCTTCGTATTTTCTTTTGCTGACATTGTTAGTTTATACTCCCTAGTGCTCCACTCCCTGCTCCTAAGAGTAATGATTAAACTATTCCGTTATGGCCAGCTTAGTACCCTTTAACAGGTTCACGTTATATGGCACCCCCAATGCGCACATGAAACTAATAAAAATTAAAAAAAAATATCACTTAGCATCTTCCTTCACTACCAGTACCGGCGCGCCATGAAAAGTTTTGCCTGAACAAGCCGGTTTCCATTTCGATTTCTTTACTTACAACGCACATGTAAAACCTTTCTCAAAAATCTTTGCATACCGTCGATCAAAAAAGCATAATTAAATAAACAGCCCAGGAGGCAACTCGCCCCATATGCTAGACAACAAAGTAAGGCATTCTTTGAAATATCACAATCAAAACGCATTTTTCAAAACAATACCGCAAAACAACCTTTATAAATTATCCCTACGGCTTATTCAAAACTCGCATTATCTCTGAGCCGAGTGAGGGAATTCCACATTGCGACGCTTCTGCCTCCACATGTCCCGTACCGCAAAAATGTCTTCTTCCTCTTCGTCGTTGACCGGTACGCCGCCTCTGCCGGCCGACTGGGACATGGTTTCTTTGGGAAAGACAGCGACACCGTTAACCGGTGGCGGATGAAACGCAGGCCGGTCACCCCGCCCGTCTTCTGCCGGGGGAGTGAAAGGTTCGTTTTCATTCTGCGAAGGCCGCTTACGTCTGGAAGGGCGCACTGGTAACCCGTTCACGGGGTCTGGAGATTCAGAAGCAGCTAAAAGTGACTGCGGCAAAACGATATTCGTGCGTGTCCGCGACCGCACGAGTTGCGCTTGACGATTTCCTACAGAAAGACGTTTTAACAACTGCAGATTCCCCGTATATAACGATGCTCCTTAATGCACACTATGCAATCAGACCAAACGAAAAGTCGGACGGAGTAAGTAGTAAAACCAAACGGAATACATAGTAAAAACAAAATTGGAGTACATAGTAAAAACAAACGGAAAGTCGAATAAGATTCGAAAACATCTGGATATGTAATACGAAGATCCTTTGAGCAGCGATCTTTAACTACTACAAATCAAAAATTTCAAATACTGTTTTTTACATACCGCGATTCGGTCGCGCCTTCTTTGGAGTTCGCTCGCTCTTAAATGCGCTACCAGTTTTTAGCGCTTCCAGCAGGTTATCCATTAAACCTTCCTCTTCCTCTATAAAAATATGTAAGTAAAAAAAGATATGTTAGTAAAAAATGATTAACCGCATACAAACGACGCTCTTACCGCCAGATAATTCAGCAGCAAAATGCCTTTTAGCTTTGTTCTCTCTTTCTCGCAGCGCTCGTTCGTGAGCGATTTGTGCCAAACGTGCTTTTTCTTCGGCTTCTCTTGCTCGCAAATTATCATCGTAAGCTTTACGTAGATCCGCCAAAAATTTTTGGATATTCCCAAAAAATTCATCAACAGGAAATTTGAGTGGATCAAAACAGTAGTAGGTCGATAACTCGTTGTAGGCATTTTCCATCTGAGAATACATGCTCTGAAGTAGTTCATACTGTTCACGAGCTTTTGTGGCGAAAGGTCCCATGACTTCCGCAAATTTATCGCCTTTGTCCGGAGTGGCTGCAGATTGTAACTGACGTTCCAGCTGGACTAATGAAGTCTCCATCGCTTTTAATGCTTTTGTCACATTTTCTTTCGATACTGAAAACAATTTACAAAGCCATAAATTTCGGCATAATTCTATGCCGGTATATCGCACTGCCCAACTGCAGCTGGGAATCATCAAATACTCCCCCTGCACTAATAACTGCGCTTTCTGGGAAGTTTTTGCAATTAACGAAGACTGGGTCACCTACCGCGAGCGGCTTTGTCAACATGCAGAAGTTCATCACCAACGGATAAAGTGTCTGGATATTTGGACTCAAGCAAATCTATCAGGACATGGAGCAGAGTTTTCTTGTTATCGACGGTTTTCGTATTAGTTAACTGTAAAAGTTTTCACGGTCAGCGCATACTTCATCAGTCTGCTTTCAAACACCCTTAATTATACCTGGGTGAGATAAACCATTTCGAACCCAAGGGACTGAGCGTTCCTTGACCCCGTATTCATGATATTTCCCACCAATAAAATTAATTCCAGAATTTTCGCCAGTTTGTGGCTCTTCATAGTTTCTTCACTTGCTGCTGCGACAGCCACAATATCCTGAAATAAACCAACAACCGGGAATCAATGAAAAATTCAACTGACAAAAACTATTGTTATTACCGGCTTAATATCTTGGACGATCTCGTTAAATCTGACTTTAAAACTCATGGCATTCAAACGTGGCAGAATGCCTGCTATCCCACCAATCTAAAAATTGTAAGAAATCCATAATCAATAAAATCATTCATATAACAATTCAGGTAATTCTCATTACACACCTCCAAGGCAAACTTTTCTGCGTCCACAAGGTCTGCCTTTTCATTTGGTGGCAATTCTTGCAACCTTTTAATTTGCTCCGGACTGGGCATGTATTTGATCATTTGCTGAATCAGTGCATCAGTCAAACGGTTCGTATCGCATGCCAAAATAACTCTCTTCAATTCATCGTTAGGCATTTTGGCAGAGGATACAATAATCGCTAAAATATACAAAGATTTAAAATCCCATTGGAAATGGGGGATTAGAAACGGTCACGTATAACAACACAAACGCATTCGCAAACCTAAATTCTGAGCGCCTTTCTGATCCAGCACGCGCAATTCCTTTGCCGGCTTTTTACGGCCCATTGTACCATAAATATCGTTCGCCCCGGCATCAGCGGCTTCATCTGTCAAACAAAAGGTGACTTCATTGAGCTGATCAACTGCCCATGCTGTACACAGCACTCGTTCCACTATCAAATCACATACTCGTTTTCGAGCCAAAAGCGTGCGTCAAAGTCTGCACAAGCTCATCATTTGCGTATTTATCTTCATTAACCTTCACCCAAAACGACTTCTCATTCAGCTTCTGTGGCATTATCTAAAACAATAAAGATTTTGGTTACTGTTTCCGAACTTCCTGTTAACTCTGTATGAGAGAAAGGCTACCTTATTCCAATTAGTTTTCCGTAGCGGCACAGAGACTTTGTACTGCGCCTTCTGCTTCATACCAAATGGCAGGGGGATAGGCCCAGCTGGAAGAAGAGGTGCACCAGGTGGCGGTGGAGGACCGCCTCCTGGCGGCGGAGGTGGAGGAGGTCCACCAACACGGCCACCCGGTGGAGGAGGCGGAGGAGGAGGTCCCGGAGGCTTGGGACCTCCCGCGCCCGGTGGCGGAGGTGGTGCCGGTGGAGGTGGAGCGCCAGGAGGGGGAGGCGGAGCCGACGCTCCCCCCTTTTCAAGCTCCTTAATTTTATTCTCCAGTTGGATAATTTTGGCTTCAGCTTCCTGCTTGGCCGTAACAGCTTCGTCCAGCTTCTTATTAACATGTCGCCCAGATCCACCGTCTTCCGAGCGAACACGTTCGGCAATCTGCCCAATTAATGGCTCTATGTCAATTTTCAAAGATGTGCGACGAAAATCAGGGTCAACGCCATTTTTTGTTAACACAATCTGGGATATGCATTCTTCGATCAGGCGATAGTAGGAGGTCCGAATGTCGTCTTGGTCAGTGATAAACATCAGATGCTGCAGCATAGACAGAAAGTATGGCTCCGCACTGGTATCCCCAAGCGATTGCTTCAGATGTTCATAGCACTCATCGGGATCATCGTATGAAAGCTGCAGATTAGCATACCGGGTTTGTATCTCTTCCATATCGTCCTCCTGGTGCTCTCGAAAACAGCGCAACTGCACTTGCAGTTCTTCGTTTTCGTGTTCTTCCAATGTCTCCAGGAAATCTCCCAATCCCGTACGCATAAACTCATTTCGCAAATGAATCTTAAAATCTGTTTCCGACGCTTGGATAATGAGAGCATTCACCAGCTGCATGCAGGCGATACGCAAAGGGTCATTATTCGCCACATATATCCCACGTACAACCCCATCAAACCGATTATTGCTGGATTCATCCATACTGACTGAAAATCCTTGCAAAACGCGATTATGACCATCAGGTAGCAAGCATGTGGCCGCCAATAATTTCACTGACTCTAGCATAACCTGCTGATTACTGACATTGACACAGCGTGCCATCAGCATAAACAATTCCTTCTTGTCCAGAACCAGCTTCATCCCGTACTTAGTATTCATAATGGCTTTCAAACACCGTAGACATTCGATCTCAATTTTTGCGCTAGTTTTAGTATCGGGCAAAGCCAATGTTGTGGAATTGTGGGCCATCACTCGGGTTAAAGCTTCCAGTCCGTCTGGTCCAAATGCACGAATCCAACTAACTGGATTGTTACTCAGGCACACTTTTAGTGACTCAATGCAACGCAAACATTTCTCCGAGGTGAGATCTACTTGCTCCAGGTACGACCGAAAATCTTCCGGGGAGTGGAATTTCGTGTTCCCGATTATCTAGACAGTCTCACAATTGTCAGTTCACATAATAAAAACAACAGGACACTCCAGTACAGTTGCAAGCCGTTCAAAATGCACACCTGGGACTTATCGGATTTGTTTATGAGATGCATCTGCAGCATCATTCGTCTTTGTTTTTCATCCATTTTCAGTAGAGGCACTCTCTTGCTATCGTCCAAATTCATATCCTCCTGCAGAGCACCGAAATTTAATTTTCCAGAATCAATTTCAGATAACAGTAAACTTTAAAATTACTTGTGTAAATTATGTATCATTAACTGATGTATGGATCTTTTCTAACTTTTCGCTAGTAATTAACATTAATCTTTTCTAACTTTTCGCTTGGAGACACTGTGTTAATATGAAGCTTCCGCAAATATCAACATCACTTAACTGCCAATAATTTGCCTAATGCCTATGACTTATGAAAACATATACATTATACTTTTCAATGCGATATTATTACAAATTTTAATACTGACAAGGCTCAGAATTAAGTTGCTACAATTGTGTCTATGATTCTATGAATGCTGACTACTTGTTGCATATTAAGTAATCAACTGTCAGCGGAAGCATCTGATCACGCTACTAACTCCATATTATTGAATAAACATGGTAGGACTCATACGAGTAAGTACTGTACTATTTTTTATCAGTCGGAAAAGCAAATAACGTTGGCAAGGAACTATGACCATGATTGTATGTATAATAAATCAATAAACAACTGCTTGGATACTCTCTCATAAATGTTTGCGATTTGGCGTTTACCACAATTAACTGTAGGCTTCCAAAAACTTCAAAAGAGCACCGAAATTTAATTTGTGTAACCCAAAAAAGTACAACTTTTTCAATTTAAAAAACTACGAATTTATAACGTGCGTCCTCTGGCATGGATTTACCAACTACTAAATGTGTGAGCTAAAGCAGGTTTAATTGCCATCGTTAAAGCAGATAAGATGAAGCTCTGCCTTTTAAGTTAGCGGCGTTACTGCTTGCCTATCTGGAATTCAACGACTGTAAGTATTACGCTGATCGACAAATATCAACAAACAAGCGCGGCTTTGTGGATAAGTTGTTTAGTGATAAATTAACTCAGCTTGCACTACGAGAGTGCCACGTAGGACTACGCCTTGCTCACTCGAGAATTATCCCACGATTGCTATCTGCTGACTTCGCTTAAAATCGAAAGGATATATAAACAGCACCGACGTTCAGTCGAAATTTTTCAACAATAATCTCAAAAAGTAGCAAGATGACAGCAGCTCAAAGACGACAAGTGGGAACATTTGAAAATTCAAATCATCACGATAATAACTCATAAGTAACGCATATGAGCGATGCCCATAAGTCACGCTTTCGTACTGATTAGAGAACCTGTTAAGGCAATAATTAATCACGCCACTCATCACAGGAAAAACCGTCAGCGACGCTCATTCATGACTATCATCGAAATAAATTCACAGGAGCCATGTTCACTCTGTACACATTTAAGTCCAAGCAACTTTAGTCATTAACTTACTTTAGCTAATCCAGTAAAAGAGAAAAGTATTTTTGCAAACGCATAAATGGGGTGGAAACTGCTTCAATGCTTCAAAATGCTTCAAAGTGCTTGATGCGAGAACAGTCACTGAAAATTAAGCTAAGCCAAACAACAGCAATAAACGGTTAAACTACAAAAGTGTTGTGAATCTCGAATTATTAAAAACCAAGGGTCGTATCGATCAAATGAACAGTATAAGTAGTAACAAAATTGCAACACTGCTCGTACGAGCAGTACGTTCCACTACAAATCAAATTCAAGATCATTTTATTCACAGCTGACTTTAGCAGTCAGTTTTGCCATTCTACACCATGGAGAAGAGGAACTCAGAGTGACAAAAAAGGGAGAAATTACCATCATAACTTCGAACTGTTCGTTGAATTGAGTCGTGCTGAGCTGTTCGACCAGCGTTTCAATGCTGGCCGCTTCCGCCGAGCGCTGTTCGCCGCCCATGGTCGGCTTGCGCGCTGCCCGTTCCCGAGTGCGGTCCTTGCCCGTCAAAATGTTGGTAAAATTCCGTTTTAACATCTGCAAGAAATCATGTATTTCAAACACAACCTTTTGTGATTCATTACTCAACATTCTGCATTCCAGCCAAGTGACAACACGCCGATTAGCGGTGAAACAGACACTCGCCGGAAGGTATACACCAAGTAACACGGTGCATAAACATGCTGTAATGCATAACAAAATCAAGCACCTGATGCTTACATGAATAGTGCGAGTCAAACGTGCAGTGCAAACTCTCATCATCTCACACCATCAATTATCTTTCCACTAAACAGTTAGCCATCGAAAAGTTTCAGCTACGTTCTTTACGGCTCATAAAAATTTTAAACGACCATCCGTAATGATGACGGTGGTGAAAAACTGGAGAACAAAATTCTAAAACCGAAATGCTCAAGCTTACTTCGACTTGAGTACATCCGAACCCAGTTTTGGGAAGAAATTATAAATCTGCATCAATCAGTATACCAAGCACGTTTTTTTCTGTATAGTCACTATAATGTACACGCAACTTTGTGAAGTCACTTACGCCTGATTTTGATTCTTTTCTTGTTCCCGTTCCGTTATTGTAATCAGCCATTTCTTCAATATTGCCTTCGTTATAAACAGGTGGCATAAATCGGACGAACTAGATTCCATAAACTGTATCCAGAAAGATAACTGCTGGAATTTATAGTCAATCTGACTCGGAAGCGTTAATCTGAATCCTTCATCGTTAGTTCACATCAAAATCAGTAAACTGTCCACCAGAACTATTCATCCACAATATAGTCGCATTCATTTCAAAAGATGGAGACTATCAAAATTATGACGATCAACAAGTAGCTGGTACCATTTAACGTACTTCCTCAAGATACACAAACAGCAAACAACCTTCCAAATAAAGATCACTCCAAACTGCCAAACATCTTATTTGTGTGCGCTTAAGAAATGCTAAAAAATTCGCTGCTTTACACCGAGTAACAGACACCTCCTGCTGGCAGCGTGCAACAGCCATGAGCAATGCACATACGTGCAGAACGCGCGCATCGTACTGCACTCGCGCAGTGTGGGCAAAGTCTCGAAAAACAAAGCTCGGAGCCTCGGACATAGAAAAAACAGGATTTTTTGATTTTTTTAAAATTTTTATCGTATTCTTACTAACCGGGTGCGCAGTACAAGCACTGCGACAGTACAAATTCAGTAAGTACGAAAACAACAGTTGAACAATGGCTTAAATCAATATCCGGTAAAAATAATAACAATTGCATACGTTATACGTACTACATACTAGAGTACATACAGTGACTTAAACAAATCCCGTTTTTAATGAATCCCACGTTTAATGCCCGTATTAAAATAATTAATGAACAAATATTAAATAATAAAATAATTATTTATTAAAATAATAATTAAATAAATAATAATATCACAATAAACATATTTAAAATGCGAAGCAGTCATACGGGCAATACCGGCCCATATTAATGCTCCGTTTGTTAGCCCCACTGGCCCTGGGGCGTATATTGTTATTATTATTATTATATTATATTACGGCTCAAGAGCAGATAACTACAAGTTTGTTCGGTATTCCATTAATTAATATAATAAAATTAATACTATCAGTAATACTCTAGTGTCTGGTTGCAGCCGTGAGAATTAAGGATCTAAGTAAATGACAAACAATTATTATTATATAGATATACGCATTTATAATTTTACATAACTAACATAAGCACTCCAAAATTTGCCGGCTCCTCCTTTATGTACCGTATCCAGTTACGTCTGTTATGCGCCATGGCATGAGAGAATATTATGGTTGAAGTAATTTTTGGGACGGGTAAGATGGATCAAAATATAAACCGGGGTGTATAAATGTACGGAATAGCAGGTAAGGAAAGCATGCAGTATAAATACTGCAATGCGGAATTTTGCTAAAGTGCTGTCTGCCCTGCCTACAATACATATGGCATTATAATAACACCACCAGGATGGCGGTGACCTTTAACAGGAATTAGTCCACCGTAGCTGTGTATACGAGTGACTAACAAGGAAGTACGAAATTATATTGTTCTACGTAGACTAACAGCATCTTCGAAATTTAAAATCTATGTAATATTTTAATCTTTTTCACCTTCTTCACAGGAGATGATCTGGATCGGCCTAATCGCTACTGAGACGAAAATTAATGGTGTACCATAATCGATTATTGTGTAAAATTCGCTTCAAGTTTCCAGATGAAAAATCTATCTTTTTTTCAATATACGCTCAGCAGGTACATGCAGAAAACTAATCACAACCAGAAGCACCGATAAAACAGCACTGCAGTCATTCTACAGGCTTATAACAACAACAAAAACTACCCTAGTGTTGCTGGACTTAGATTGTACAACCAAAAACTTACTACAGCTAAAGCTTTAGTAAGTTTTTGGTATAACACATACGGTATACTTGTATACGAACAGCAGTACTTCATGGTCACTTCGAATTGCTTCTGATTAATCAAAGTGCCAAACAATAAAATATCCTGGACAGCCAACAAACAACAGTAAAAAATCACAATTAGATGTATCTTGCACTGCTTAAGGATCCACAAACGAGATCATAATGTAGCGCGTTCCCTTTGTGACCGGAAGGCCTTCGTGGAAGTGAGTGAGTCGGCCTGGATGGATTAAAGTCCAACCCAGACGAGTGTCTGTCACTGAGCAATTGTACCGAATGAAGCGGCATCCACCACCCTGCAAATCGGTCCGGTTGCATATAACGTTACTAATATGCACCCTAAATTTTAAAAAGTTTTGCTCAGAGACTTCAAATGATCGTTTGTAAGGTTAACCAAAAATAAAGCACCTGAATACTTACAAACACGCGCTCCGCATGGCACGTGAAACGCCGTTCAACCTAGCCTCATGTACCGTACTTAATCAGCAAATTAGCAATAATTAGCATTTGAATCTTTATTACGCAGGTCAAATTATGAATGAACCGACAATGATTTAAGCATAACATATTTCACATACTTCGTAATCGACATTGGGTCGGTTCAGTGCAATATTAATCGTGTAAGTGGAACTGTCGTGGTGAGGACGCAATGCCGGTTGCTCATCGGGACGATAGCGGACCACGAAATTCATAAGGGCGTGAGGAGGCTACAAATAGAAAATTTTTCATTTCGGCTGCTTTTAACATTTATCATGTGTTACCACAACTGTCCAAGTGTCCAGATGGTTTCGACTGCTACGCCAAAAAAGATTTAGTTAGGAAAAATTGCGACAAACTTACATCATGGAAATATCCGGTATACAGCTTTTCTTGCATTGGTCGAATATATTCTTTTAAGAACATCATCCACTGACGCTCTAGTCCCACTTGGTTCATGTGAATATCGCGAGTAGGGACATTTTCGTATCCACCTTGAAGACGCTTGTCCTAGGCAAAAAGCAACAGTCCCGTCCTATTCGTTGCGACGCATAATATATGAGCAATGTTTTGACCACAAATGAAATTACTTCGTTATTTCCCGATGACCACTGGCCGAAGTTTTCCATAATTTCAATCAGATCTTTGCAGTAGCGTTCACTGACAACCGGGAACCAGTACACATCAGTGCACGGCTGCAATATTCGAGTAAGGTGTAATTGATTTACCGCAAATAAGAAATAAGATCAAAAACTGCCAAATGGTGACGCCGAAAAGCACATTGTTTACCTGTTCAACAACGGTGTCCAACTCCTTCATTTTATGGTAGTCCTGATGAATATACCGGTATTCCCAGTCCTAGAAGTAGTTGGTTTGTGCCTTGTTAATTAAAGTAGTATATCTTCTGTTAACGGTTTTATATCACGTTGAACTTGAGCCAGATAACGGAAAAATGCACCAGTCGCACTTACACGGTGAGTTACACTTACCGGTTTATTGTCTATAAGTTGATAAAAATCGGGCTTTTTCAGTTTAATATCGAAGTTGTCCGCGTTAACGAGATGTCCATAATATTGTTGATTTGTAACGAACAGAAACTTCCCCTGCAAACAACAATCGATCACAAAATATAAAAAAAGCTGTAAAAAAACTATAACTATCACAAACTTCCCCTGCAAACAACAAATTATCTCTATCCTTCTGCGCGAGGACAGCTCAATGGAAAGCTACTAATTATCGAGCATGGAATGCATTGCGCTACAAATACATCATGCCACAACCGCAAACCTCTAAATATGTACGAGTAGCTTTTGTATGCGTGGTTGAATATCTGGAGTCCGGTCTAACTAGATGCTCGAAATCTTTGCAGGTACAGATTACAGTTTGTGTAAATGCTGAAAGTTAATTAATTTTTTGCGATGTGTTATAAAATAAACTCTAAATCGTAATTTTGTACCTTGTCTCGCATTTCTTTACACCAAATCATATCAAAGTCTTGGGATGCAACAGGATTCGTAAAAAGCGGGAAATCTATATCGATGGCATCTTTGCGGATCATGTATGCTGTTGAGATAAATGGAACATTCCAAATCCCCCTAGAAAACAAATACCGATATACAGAGCACATCCCACTTTTATCTTACTACTAATCGTAAGTGACTGTGGAACCGCATGACGTCGAAAGCAGCAATATCATGCCAATATGTAACCTACGGTGTAACTTTATTTTAACCTCTAGTTTCCAGGCTAATTGCTTTATGCAGAGTATTGTGCTTGCAATGAATTATTCAATATGTACACCCGGATTACTGTTTTCATTACAATTTACAAGCAGCAGCTGTACTGCGAGATGGGAAATTAATCTTGTATGCCGGAAAGCCCGGCACGGAACAGACAGTTCCGAACTGTAGGATACTTAGTACTTACAAACAGCAATTTCGTTAAAATGAGCAAAACTAATGTAGAAACTTACAAAACGTGCAGTAACAAAAGATGTATGCAGTATGCACCTTCGAGCCAGCTTCACCCGCTTATAAATGCCAAATTACTTAAGCATTTGTACTGCCTTTTTGTGAACTGTTGAAGATTGCATTTATTAAATGCACTTATCCTAATATACCACAACAACCCAAGAAGATGCTCGGTGATTTATGTTTGTTTGGTATGAAATGCTAGATCAATCGAAGTTAATATTAATCAATGTTCATATCAGCTGACCACTCAAGATACCAAATTTCAATAATAACGGTGAAGCTGGATTTCAGCCAGTTAACCAAATGGTCACGCGCAACTAGTCCACGAGTTTTATAAAATGCGGAAAACGTTCTGGCGATTAAACGGATAATCATATTCTTTGAATGTTCTCCCGCTACTTTAATGGACTCAATTATGCCAGTTGGACGCTTCTTCAGCGGAACCACTAGAATAACTGATTGCTCATTTTAGCATGCGCGACAGAAGGAAGTCCTCATCTCCCATCAACCGAAAGGGATTTTAATCGACTAAACAGCACTGCCCGTACAATCAGAATCAAATCAAATCAATTAGAAAATCGCAGCACTTCCTTTTACAAGAAATATCGAACATTTTTGGAATCACAACATACTTAAACGTCACCAGCTTCTGCTACTGTTTTCCGTGCAGATGATTATCTACTCTAGCAATCCAACTGGTGCCAGCCAACACTCAAAGCAGGCGTAATAATGCTCTTTACGGCATCAGATAACAGCAAATGTTTGAGATGTAAAAAGCAGCACACTAGCGGACGCTCCATGACCTTTCATTTCTGATCATATAGCGTAACTTATATAACACTGAAACGCAGTATTATGATCAGAATTATCTGTCTTTCAGCGACAGTCATCTTGTTTTGTTGCTTTCTGAGCGACGCGGCTCGACCGTGGCGATACGATGTGCCACAAGAACGGAAGAACTATGACACTCAATGGGTATACCGGCCGTACCAAGAACGACTGGATAAATATTATTCTAATCCCAATGTAAGTGCGATAAATAATAAATTAGATTTTTGTTGTATCATTAAACTGCAGTGCCCCATTCACTTATCTGAATGCCAGCCAAACTGATTTCTAAGTCTAGACAGTGCCAGGAGAAAGCGCAAACTTAAAACTTCTGTTTGATTCTCTTTTCATAATACAGCTGCATGTAAAGATTATAAATAATCATAACGAAAAGATTTCATTATACTCGTATTCCAAACTATCCGGCCACTTTTTCAAAATTAGTTGCGCAATGGTACGCATGTTTAATATGCAAAAGAGCGACCACGTTTATAAAATATGCAACATATTCATGAAAAGTTGACGGAACGTTTTTTGCTAAACACGATTTTCAGACGTTTTCGCGTCTACACAAAAAAGGCACGAAAATTAAACATACAAAATCATCTGTTGACAAGATATAAAAATGCATGAAAATTGTATGTACATAACAACAGGGTTGTACGATTGTCGAAATTAAGTATATCTTACATTTCTTGTTTCACAGGGAGCCAGGATCATTAAGCAATCGCACTTTGCGTATGAATATCGCCTCGGCCACAAGTTACAGTTTCTGTGTATCGCAACCGGAAATCCCCTACCGCGCATAACGTGGCTTAAGGATGGTCTGGAATTAATCAGCCACAAAAATCTCGTGGTACGTTCGTTCGTAAATCGTAATTAGCTACCGGGAACCCGCGCACAAATTCATAGTAAAGAAAATTCACAAACTCCGAGCACAACACGCGCGGAAGTATCACAAGTTAGAATTATCACAGATTCATATGCGATTGTCCATACTGGTTCCTGTACAATACCTATCGCCCTTTTCACAGACCACATAATTATTAATATTTACCAGTATGTACACACGTTCACACCTTATATCTATAGATAGTAATGCGCAATTAAATGTACACCGTGTTCATGTACAAGAAGTATATCTATATTGTACTAAAAAAGTTTACGCTCACATACATACTCACTTCAATGAGCATGCAAGTTTTAATATTTAATGGCTACCCGATGCAATTCAGAGATTAGAATTCATCATTAAACAGTCAAAGAGGAAAAGATTTGTGTCAATTATGTGTGGCATTATGTGTTAATTTTTATGCACCTAGTAATGCACTCAATACTTCGCACATGTCCTATTAATTTAAAATTTTATGTACCTAAGGCAGTAATGCACCGATATTCATATTATAAAAATTTAAATAAACTTCAAGGCAGCGCCGCGCTTTAGAGTGAGAATTGAATTGACGCGATGTGGTCAACAAAGCGGCTTTTCCTCTACGGAAATTAAAACACTTTGAAGCGGGCTGCGGACGTAATGCACTTTTAGGCTGCAAAACGTACATGAGTGAATGAAACATATTTAAAAAAGAAAAAAATTACTTCTTATTAATGGGTTACTGGTAGTAAACTAATTTAAGTGAGAAATTAGAAGTGGATATTCACAAAGTCCGACAGTGAGACAAAAATCTGAAACGACCTTTTTTGTAAAAGATATTATTGGAATTTTATCCTACACTGGGAGCAGTACGTTAATTCACTTTTTACTCCAGATCGCGGCACTGCATGAAGATAGTCGGAGATACCAGTAAAGACAAAGTAAAACCATTTTGCTTTGTTCAAAGCTGCAAGTCAAATCTAGTTTTAAAAAATACGAGTAAAGTACAAGTAGTACAGATATGTAAGCGAAGTGAAATCTGGTTTTAAAAAATTCAGTAATATAAAAACACTATGGAAAAATGAAGCAACCTAATCTAGAGGCCTTCAGTGGACTTTGCACGATCGTAATATTGCCCTAGCCCAAAAGACATAAACACAAAAGAAAGTCACAAACAGATCCGCGTGATGTACCATCTCAAAAAAATTTGTGTATTCGTTGTTCAAAATCCTTTTTGTAAATGTTAAATGTAATTGATATTTAGATTCATGAATGGAAGCTTAAAGGTCGCAAGAATCGCGGGAAGGACGACGACGAGGGAAAGAAGCGTATAAAGAGCAAACTGGAGATTGACCCCACCACCCAAGGTGACCAGGGCATCTACAGCTGCATAGCCGAAAACAAGTTTGCCATCGAAGAACGGAAGTTCAAAGCAGAATTTGTAGCGAACTAGCCGAATGCACGAGATCTGGAAAGACGCTGACGGATTCACTTACATTTTACTGTAATCCAAGATTTCACCGTAATCTTCTGAACGCGAATAAAATCCTTCATAACTCAAAGCTCCCCAAAAATTTGACCACATTTTTCCGGGACGGGTCATCATTGGAGCCAAAACTGTCCTGCAATTGCAATCAAAGACTGTTTATTTATTTGATAATAAGAATCCTGTGTGCACCTAGCAATGTTGTCGCAACCACGACGCTAAGAAATCAATATGAACAAATTAAAGAATAACTGTCATGTACCTGTTTTGCTGCAGCAAAAGCCGAATTGTTTCAACATTAGTCAACATCGCTTCGCTATCGACGGATAAGTAATAGTCACACTTTTCCTTCAAACACTCCTTTCTGTGCAGACAAAAATCCAAAGTAAACCAAACTGAAAATTTGGGGTTCAGTTTCTCGGTCTCACATTCCCGTTGTGCGCGCTTCCGCTTCCGTCATTCCATCTTCCGGGCCTTTCGATGTAACAGACAAGTAATCCTTGGCACTCTTTATGAAGCGCGCAACATCTTTCTCATGATACTTTTCCTAAGATAATACTTAATGCAACTATGCAGTGTTTCACGCACTGATTCGGGATAAATGCGTAGAATGTCTATTACGTTATTGTGTATAAAAACGTTAATGTGCTTCTTGGGATAATCGAGTGCTGCTATCCTTTCAAACCATTCTTTCAGGAAAGGAGTCGGCTTCTCAATAAACAACCCCATTGTGAGTTTAGGCATTTCCTGTAAAGAGTTGAATAAATGAGCTCAAACCAGAAAAGTCAGTTAAACTAAAATAAGTTTCTTTTCTCTAGTTATGTTTACCGAAAGAGATTCGAGTTTAAATTCGCTTTCATTGCATGCCAGACAACCAAGTGTGGGCGTCCAGGATTTTGCCAGATAGTTGCCCATTTGATTCAAGACGCCCTGAAAATATTTACTTTAATGGAGCATCTGTATGAATATCTATACCTTTGATGAAATTACATATTTCATAGGGTAAGCCCGTAAAAAAAAGTGTTTCCTACAAGCTACTGATTTTATATTCAACCTGAAGAAAAGCTTAATGAGGCAAAATGCTACCATGCATAAAGATTTACGGCTTCTACTGGAAAATCAGCATTGTTTTGTCACGTCAAACAAACATAACCAAACACAATATGACTGACCGTGAAGTTGTGAACGTAACCGTTAACATGGAAAAATAACTATAAAAGGTAATGGGAACCCATTAAAGAGATTCGAAGTTATGACCAAATATTTTTGTTTACAATATTTTTAAATTTCCGGCTGCGGCAACCTATATTAAATTATAAATGCAAACATTCAACATAATTTGTCTATTCAAAGAGCAGCTCACTTTGCTTAGTCCGTTTCCATGCACAACTGCCGGTTCGGTGTTGTGCTCAATATTGAACACGTAGGCATCATCATCTCTAAATCGAATTTTCACGGTGTCTGAAATACAAACAAAGTGTCTGCGCATACTTAAGATGACTGTTGATTTTATCGCTAATCGATCTTAATCTTGCTACAAAATAAAAATAACAACTTACGGTCTAAATCGTACAAAGTCTGGAAGATTTCGTTTTCGGTATCCAGTACTATTCCCAAATCTTTCTGCAAATATAAAATTCCGGTGTTACTTGAACGTCATGCTTCGGTAACGGCGTTTTGGTAATTATTGGCTCTTACTCGCTGATTTGGATCAAGGAACAACTTAGTGTAGTAGAGCTGGTCATCATCCAGATCACTTACAGTGCCAGCGGCAAGCATTTCAGATATACTTTTACCGTTTCCCATGAAACCTGCAAAACAGGAATGCTATGAAGTTATAAAAAAATATTCTTTATTATTTGGGTTGTTCCGGCACCAAAAATTGGTTGTCTAACCTTGTGGTTTTCTTCGCAAAGCATGTGCGATAAGAAAAATAGAACAACAGTTTACTGTTTACATTAAAATATTCTATACCGTAAAAAATGTGGCTTCATTATATTGTGATATCATAGAAGGTGATACTGTGATATCACAATAGGTCTATTATCATCGCAATAACTGAACCGCAGCTAAATCGTAAATATTAACGAGCAATAATTAAGTAACAACACTTGTACAGATCTATTCACTGCTTAAAACCAACCTCCTGAGTTTAGATACTTCGAAGAGCTGAGGACTGGTGGATAATGACTCTGCAATTACAAAAACTGTATTTAAGCATACATCAGGTCAAAGAAAACCAAAACCTAGTTAGATACAAATATTTCTATAAATATCCTACTGCGATATTCCTGAATGACCCATTTTTAACATACTGCTAATTCTCGGTTTGGCCAGCAGTGCGGTTCCGCCGAAAAGAGTATCTTGTATTTCCTCTCCAAAAATAGATCAAGTACAGAGCGTGCCGGAGCAGAAAACATTACATCGTAGCTGCAAAATGGTAATAACGTTTATAAACGCAAATTTTTAAAACGTACATAATCAGAAAATTATATAATAAAGACAAAAAATGGTGTTCTGACAGTCCGGTACATATAGACGTAAATCATGGGAACGATTATCTACTCTCGTGTGCGATTCATGTGCTTTTCGTAGTAGAAATTCCGGTTGCGAGACTTCCATTTACCTGTCTGTCACCAGGTAGATGGTTTTCGCATCGTCCTTACGGGTGTCCATAAATGTCTTGAGTAGATTAATTTTGTATCCTCCGCCGGCCCGAGTCATATCACCACCTTTCCACGGTTGATTCATTCCCAACACCTGAAACGCAACAAACCGACTGATTAACTGGCTGTTTTGACAAGCGAAATGGATGCTGGAAATGATTCACTATTTTCAATTAGAACCCACTTACCTCGACGGTGTATCCATAAACCTTAGCTGACCGCATAAAGCGTTCGAATCCATTGGTAGCGTTCGACGCCACAGTGACCACCAACAATTCATGTTCTTAAAGTAAAAACAAACATAAAAAACTCAACAAATTCAGAACATTGGTTACAAAGCATAAAAAACCTTCCAAGTGCCTTGTGCATATTAATTTTATGATAATCTGTATTTTGTAAGCAGCAACGAAAGACTTAAAAGAAGGGAACATGCAGTGCAGATTTTGTCGTACATGATGAACACTTTATGGCGGCTGTAATAATTAAAATATATCAAATTAAATGAAAAAAGACTGGAGTAGGAACACTTCTAGTACATGGACTATTTAATAAGATTATTACCCTTTTTAGCATTAACATGAGTCATAAAAGTAAATGAAATGTTTTCAGTTTGCACGAACGAACTAGCTGCTTCACTAACGATTATATAAAAAAAGTATGTCCCGCATTTGCATAGCGCAGATATTTCTCGGTAGGTGGATAACTGCGATTTAATTTGGCGCTATGCACCAATAATTTAATGGGCTTCGTTTTCTTTGGCAGTAATAAAATTATTATTTACTCGTATCTACAGACTACAGAGTGTTGCAGCAACCGTATCGTGGACTCGTGGGCTGTTTAAAATTAAAAGCACAAATTAAGACATTTTTTGCATACGAGTTTTGTTCGCTAGAAGAGTTTCAAGGATGCTAAATTGTTAATTGTTTCGTATTCGATTACCATATCGTAAGACTATCGCAAAAACCGCATGAGCAATTATTACAACCTATTTTGTGTGATTATGTTTGATCAATATTATTTTGAAGAAAAATTATAGAGCTACATGAAGTGGGTTTGCAGTTTTTACAAGCGCCATTAAATTGAACTCACTAATAAGCGTAAGTGCTGCCGTTCAAGAACGACTTCAGGCAGCCAACTACACAGATCTCCAACAACACATTAAGTTGATTGCTATCTGATCGTAGCAGTTTATAACCGCAAGTTTAGAAGTAGCTCTTGTTCAGTTTAAATGTTGTGATTGTGAAGTGATATGCCTTTACCGGTTCGGCTCAATACACTTGAAATATTTTTCCACGATAACAAGCTGTTTAAGTTTTTCACAGTTACAAAGTGGTGCTCACCGTCATGTACCTGCACTAAATACTGCGCATTCTAGAGGCAGTAATGAGTGGAAGTAACACTTTCATCTTTCTCGCTTCCGTACATTATCCTAGTGAAATTAAATCAAGAGCAGAGCTTTAATCTCTGTCGCCACCGCTGTTTGATGCGTAAAACTTCGGACAAGAAAATAAAAGCCGATTCGGAACAAAAGAATACGATTTTCATGATAATTATTCCTGTACCTTTATTATGCCATAACCATACTGCACCTCAAATTATAATTAGCAATTCTGCCTTGCAGCAGTAAAATTTGAATGTTATAAGGGTCTGTTATAAGTTTTAGCCAGCGAGTGTATCAGCTAATAATAAAAAAAACATTCGCAAGTGCAGTCCTACATGAAAATCACTTAATTACAGTACTTTCAAAAGCAAGTCAAGTTAAGCACTATAATATTTAAAACCGAACAGTAATTATTATAACTGCATCAAAAATGACAATACCGTGCCGTACATTGTCTACACAGTATGTTTATAAGTACTAATGATCGTACAATTAATTGCGTGGTATTGCGAATACTGTATGGCTGGACTTACCGGCTTCGCTTCCGATTCCCGTAGAGATTCTCCCGAAAAGGCATAACACAAGAATTCCCAGTAACTTTAACATTATTGATTTTTTTACAACTCCTCCTCTTCTAGACGAGCCGGATACGTGCGTTCCAGTGTGCACTACGTTCTTTGCAGCTGTTTAAGCACAGAAAGTAGATCTGGCGCAGTATACTATAACCGCGATTCCAGTGCTACCGGTTTGGAGCAGATCTTGAATGATCGCGCGGCGCAGCTGTCAAAATGCGTCTCATCATTGATCAGGTTGGACCGTGCAGGCAGTATAAGAACCGAAATATGCAAAGATGCAAAGCCAAAACAGCCAATTTTAAAATGTAAGAAACTGTAACGCGCGTTGTACAGTATGGAGCGCGGCTGGCAGTTGAACGACTTGTTAAGAAATAAGACCTAGACACCGTTCCAAATATAAGCTACGTGTCAATAATGTGCACCGCGGCCATCTTCATGTGGATTCGCAGACTTCTGGATCCAGTAATAACATCGACGACGTCGTCTTCGGCATGTGTGGCTCATGCAGTCTCCATGCCAGCAGATTAGAGCGAGCTAATAACTAAACAAGCACAAAGAGTAACAGCATCTGTTTGGCAAACGAATGATCCGCGGGTGATTGATGGTTAAACTGCTCGAACGGCTGTATATATGTGCAAAAGGAAGGAATTCTTAAAGCCATCGCTTCAGTAGAGCTAATGCACGCTATGCCAGCAGCGACTATTCACTCGCCTTTTGACTTCGTTAAGTGTAAAGCCAGTTGTGCATGTGTTTAAATGCGTTTCCGGTGCTCAGGAAATGCGCCGGGTGCCAAACAATTATCCAGATACAGAAAGGTTTCAAAAACTGATTGCCACACTCTCAATGCGAATTTTACTTACTGAAAATATCCAGATATTTTAGCCAGATATCGAAACCGTTATTATAAAAACCTTAATACAAGTTGCTACGATTTTTCTTGGCACGTTTAACGAGGTTGCAGATTTGAAGTTACTTTTGAGTTTGTAATTAAAATATCTAATTAGTTTTTATGTATATCTTTGACGGAAATGCAACAGCAGAATATATTGGAAGATATTTATAAAAAACAAAGTATCATATTTTATGAGTAGATAAGTTAGGAAACGTAACGACATAAAATAATGTGGTCTCTAAAATTAATGCGGCAACGCTATCTGCCCCATTCCAGTCAGTCTTGCTTCAAACTTGTGTCAAATCTAGAGTGCGATTCTCTCACTGTGAATGGACATAAATAGCATGACAGCAATCTATTTTCTCAGGTGATATCCGCCCAAAACGCAGTGGGGTGCTAACGTCGGAATTATTCAGTCTTAACCGACATGTCAAAAACACTAAAAGTCTTTGGGATTTGACGGCGTTGTTATTAAATTTATTACGATCAAGATTAAGTTAATTAATCAAGTGAGCACAAGTATATACATAACAGGCTCGTGTTGTTAACAAAAGTAATATTAGATCAATTCAGTAACAAGTCACTGCGTAATCCGACACAAAAATTATTGCTGATATATAGCGGTACTGCGGTAGTACTAAAAACGATGCCATAAACGTTTGTACGGTCACTACGCCATACTGTTTTAGAACATTATTCCGCCGTTCAGTTCATTTACTTCTTATATATACGTAGTACAAGGCGTAGATCACACTGAATTCTACCTCATTAATGACAGATGCTTTTTTTTAGACCTTATTGACCCCTGGGAGGTCGTCGTTGCAAAGCTGGACTTATGGGGACGTCCGCCTTGTTCCCAAGTTCGGGTCGACGGTAAAAGACCAAGGGCTTCTGTCGCGGCAAACAAGGCGGATCTACATATGGATATGGCTGAAGAGGTACTGGCCAATATGCCAATCGGTAAGTCGTTATCCAGCGATTTTTGTCCGTATTGTTTTCCTCGGCCACCTTTTTGCGGTAATCAAATCCCAGTCCCCAGTTAATATTCACCGGGAAAAAATCTATCAAAAAATCAACTAATTACAAGAAGAGGAAGTAATTATATTAGCATGGTTTACAACGAGCTGAATGAAATGCGTGGCATGACCTCTCTTGTGTTGGCATACAGGAGGGATTTTGAATGCCGGCTCAGATCCTTCGTATATCGGATGGTTGGCGCGATTGCCAAAATTTGTCTTCATACCATTACTATTATCCTCATCATTTTTATCAAACACCCAGTTCCAGCGGGGGTCCTGGACAAACGAGAAAAAATTAAGCAGCAAAAGAAGGCTCCTTGGCTCATTGTTTTAGAACGATTGATAGCAGTAGTATAAATACCGGATTTAACAACTGCTTTTTCTCACATCGAGCTCATTGTACGGTGCATGCAGTCGTCGTGGTTGCGGTGCCTCCAAACCTTTACCATCTTCTGGAAAACAGGTATCCGGCTTCACTTCGCATATATTCGGGGGTACGCCAAGATGCTGCACATCTCCAAGCATCTGCCAATACATAACACTTTAAATAAAAGAAATCGGTTCAAAGAAAAATGTAGCGCTTCCGTTCAAAATGTCTGGCATATATGCGCGCAATCATAACCTTTTCCTGGTATTCGTTTTTGCGGACGTGGTCATCACAGCTCCCTACTTTTCCCGAAATGTCCCAATCGTAAGACAATGGTTGAATGTTTGATAATAACTGCAGAAAGCATTTGCACAATGTAGATAATGAAGAGACAGTTATTATCTTCCATTCTCACATCGCCTCGATATTGTCGCTGAATTTGGTCTTCGTACCAGTTTCCCACTTTGACCTTGTCGGAGTATGTCGAAGTGGGACGCGGAGCAGCGGTATCCTGGAACAAATTCTGAATTCGCGATAAGCGATCAGTTTCACCGGAAACCGGTATGTCAGCGGTCATTCCAGCAGTGATAATGCCTTAAATGTGGAATGCATACCGAACTAATTAAAGCGTGATACAACTTATGTGAGCGAATATACCGATGGTTCTAAATTGATGACCGGCGTTCAGTCGAAAGGGTCATCCGGTTTGTATCATCGGAAAGGTCAGCTTAGGTACGTACTTACAAGTTAGTGAACACATATGCAGTGGTACTAGTAACTAAAGCGTGAAGTTAATTGTCCATGTTCTGTGTAACTACGGCAGCGAAAACCTTCTCATAAGCATGACCTTTCAAGTTTCCGCTACACCAACAAGAAACTGGGCTGCCAGTTGTCGAACTATTACTAAAAAAATATTGCACTGTGCGCGATGCAATCGAACGAATTTGCGCTAACGGTAATGGATATCTTGCTCATTGAGTCATTTATAATAAATTTTACGCTCGGAGGTCAGTACAGACCATCAGAACACAAAACCAAGGTTTACCTGACATGTTTCGATATTAATCATGGTACACTGTTTTTCAGTACAACCTTTTTGTAGCGCGGGAAAAAACTGGGATTCGACTTTGCAGTTGTAAGCAGTCTGCACTCTGCTTCGTCGACTGTTACCTCGTCTACCCAGTAGTGTGCTTTCATGTGTTCACAAAACCTTGAGCGGGATAGCTCTCTGGTCCTAAATCTGAACATGTAATGAACTCATCCGGCACAGTGGATTACAAGTTTTTATTATACAAGCAAACGTGCGAAAACCAAACACTTAGATTATGCAAAAGCATCAAGAAACAATTAGCATGCAGAACTTAAACATTCAAGTAATGCAATCCAAAATTCACTTTTCGCCATCACATTATAAAGCTTTAAAAAGACAAGGCCCAGAGCTGTAAAATAACAGCTCCCGAATTACATTTATAACACTGTCAAGTTATAACATCACACCGTCAGAATCCAGGATTAAAAAACAAGTTGCGACGGAGTGTAGTGGAAACCATCAATGACTGCTTTTCACCATCTCTCGTTACGCGTTCGCTGAGACGATTATTTACCTGCTCAAAATAAAAACACGTTAAGACAAAAACGTTTTATCAATTTGTGGAACCGCTGCCTGCATGCGGTTTTACAAGAACTGAACTTAATCAAACGATGCTTTCAAGCTAAGACTGATTTAACGGCGATGTAAAGTGATGCATACCTCGCAAACCATTGTCGCGAAGTCATTCAGATAAGCTTCTTCCGAGATAACATTAACAAAATCCTGGACGAACCAGGTGCCTTTGTCAATGTCGCGCAGAGATCGATACCCTAAGAAAATAAACGTATCTTTCATTCAGTGAGCTAATAAAGGAAGTCCTGAGGCGTTATGAAGTCCTGAAGGAAGCTCAAGGTTTCGACACAATCTTACCCGGAACAGTTGCATATACACTTATGAAGTCCACGTTATTGGGAATTTTATTTTTGGAGGTGGGTGGCTGGTGGCGCAGTTCCATAACAGGGACAAGATCGTTGCCAACCTTAACTTCAGAAGAAATATGGAAATCCGTGCCGCTACCGGTTACACCGTCGGCCCTCACATCGATGTTAGATCTAAGCTCCATTCCGGCACTTCTAATGCCGTGCCGAAGTGAGGCCTGCACAGCTTGCCCATTATCGATGAACGCTGCAAAAATTTTAAGCATATCAACAGTTTTCAATGCTAATACCGCAAATTAGACTACTCACATCCTCGACAAGCCACAAACAAAAAGATTTTCGGCTTTGTAGCTAGATGCGGACAATTGTCAGCGGTGAAATAGGACCGTATCTGGGCATCGGTAATCGGTTCTCCATCGATACCCATGATACCTTTTTCATCTCCGTGAGAGAGTATGCAAACGACACTTGCGTCCACGTTCTGATGGTCTTCATAAAGAGCGAAATCGCTGACCAGTTCCGCCATTTTCTAATTACAAACACGGAAGGCTAGACAGTTAAGACCGCTTGTTATGACAAAGAGTCTGGTACTGCTTGAACATTAACAAAAACGATCGAACAAGTAGAACGTACCTTTCTTGTCAAGTCCCGGAACTGCCTTCCCTGGTACAGTTTAAAGGAAAGTCGCTCAAACAGACGCGCCAGTTTGGCCCCATCAACATGAGTACCAAGGCGATCCGTAAAAACACCACTCTTTTCGAAGTTCTCATTGTTGATTATCAACACATGACCTCGCGGATTTGACGCCATACGGTACACCCGAGATCCACCTTGGTATTTTCCCGGTCGAACCTGGACGTCCGCACCGTCGGTCACCCACACGCTTTCTTCTACAAAATCAAAGATTTGCATCATGTTTCCCTTAAATACGTTCACTGCAATCTTCCACTGATGCAAAATACCATTTCAAACATAAAACAGTTGACTGTGAGAAACTGCCTCATAAATGGAAATACATAGGATTAATGAATAATAATACCAGATGATCGAGGAGTCGGTTTAGCAGGCCCATCAAGCAGCTTGCGTTTCCTTATGAAGTCCACAATCCTCACAACGGGTTCGTATTTTTCGTCTTCATACAAAGCTTTAGTGAAGTTCAACACTGGCATCAAATCCCTGCGAATCAAGTAGTTCCAAAAAGCCTCCCGAAGAGAATCTGAGTTGGCTTCCATTAACTACGAAAAATGACATCATATCTGATCACCAGTTTTCACACTGCACGGCACGAAACGCCACTCATTATAGCTAACTGTTAATTTTGTAAATAAATATAATATTGTAGCTGTAATGATGTGCATCGCCGTTGCCAACATGCTAGTCTACCGTTTACTTCCCCTCACCACTATTTTAAGGAGAACCAATTTTAAAAATCAGAAAATACAAGTATAAGATGCGAGAATGGAACAAGCAATCCGAATAAGACGATTAGCAAAATTTCCTGAACAAAAACCTTAGGTACTAGTACTGATAAAAATATACTAATAAAGCATCCATAAGATAACGTTGACAGCAAATTTAGTACAATCAAATCAAAGAAACTACACAGTAAAAATCTAAAAAAAAGCAAGAAAAAGCAAAGCAGAAATAAGCAAATACACGAAGCGCTATGTGTCAACTGTACCTGCAATTCGCCATGAAAGTCTTCAGAAATCACTTTCAGATCTGCAAGGCGCTGAAGAAATTTCTGTGGAAAATTAAGAGATTTGACGACAATTTCGTCCTTCAAGATTCCACGCAACTCTTCAGAGACTCCCGTACGCGAGCAATTATCATTGGCAAGCATCACAGTCAGCTTCGCTAACCAATTAACTGGATCAACGCCATCCCCGTAGCGATCCTGTAAGTTCGTGGTCCTGTTATCGTTTTCGTTTTGAGCGGAGCTACTGGAGGCTTTTTCCCACGGGTATCTGGTCTGTGTGACAGACCGTCCATCACCACTGCCTGATTGGGAGATCTGTGGTGTGCCAGCATCCGGCTCGATGATCCCATCATCATACTCCATGCCAATCGTAGCCAGGTATTTCAATCAGCCAGTTCAAACAATTGGAGAATAAGCAATAAATTCACTGGTCAGTACACAGCTGTAGAGCACTCGCTACGAAACCATTATTCGCCTAGGTAATCGGTGAACATAATGATAAGCAAAGTTGCAAGAGTTGTATTGAACCTGCAGAGCGTACAACAATCACCAGACTACAGAAACAGATCCCTGCATGAGTTTCAAAGTGTGATGTAATCTGCAAAATTAGCACCAAATCCAAGTTGTATAATTGTAATGTGTCAACGTTAAAATATAGAAAATGCAATTCACCAAACTTCAAAAAGCATCGCAAAATGCCAAAGATTAGGATACTTCAGAACGAGATCTCCTGACCAAATGTTCGAGCTGGAGATAAGAATGGTCTCTTGTGCTAGTTTCTGTTTGGTTTGGTTGAAAATTATGACTCATCGGTGCCGGTGCTCAGCTTCCAAGTGCTCGGTCCCAAGTTCCCAAGTGTACAAACATACTACCAGTGCACCACATCATGATTGCGCAATAAAATTCTTGACGGTGGAGCTGTTCACGGTAGCTTGTATCAACGCAGCGCCGTGTACAGTGCGCAGTGAGCACACCACAATACCGATAGCCTTGTTTTACGGATAGAAGTGAAGTTGCAAATTATAACATTTGCCGAGATACGTCGTAATAATTGTATTATTATTATTTTGTTTAATTTTCTGACTCGTTTCTTAACATTTATTACTGCACGTATCGGTCCCGCGCTCGCGCAGCCATGTGTGTTTAAGGTATGGAATTATGACTGTGAAGCTAAGTGCGTAGACGTATTGACAGGAATTTTAGCAAATAATATTTTTTCAAATTTAAAATGCGAAAATGTATTTATTTTCCTGTCTGCACATACCACATTTACCTGCAAATTTTTGTGTAGCTGTCTATGCTATCCTCTGTTTTGACAGCACAGTATTTCGGAGATTATAATCAATAATATTCCGGCTTTTCTGTACCATTAAAACTTTTGATCTATCACTTAAAACATCTGAGTAAATATTTTTTGGTTAAAATTAATTAACAATTTAAAAAAAAGTAAGCCTAGCAATAAACGGAAGAAGTGTCAACAGTGACTGCTATAGGCTTATAGCTGCTTTAATTTTTTCAATTTACCAGGATCAGTCGACATCGGTACAGACTTCCGAGCACCATACTTTTTCTTCACAGCATCGGCTCGGCGCTCAATCACATCATTTTTAAACGCAGTGTTAAAGAACCGCTTTAGACATTCATACTCTAAATACTTCGTCGATTCACATACACAAATATCACTAAGAGGATGAAAGCCGTGGAGATCCATCGAGAGGAGAATGAGTTTGAGTGCCCTTTCCAAATGGCTGTCGCCTTTATAAAATTCGCTGATTTTTTGCAAACGCTCAAAAAATCCAAGCGCATAATGCAGCAGTTTGCCCAACTGCGGGGAAGGTAAACTTAAGCCACCAAATTCAACCCGAGATCGTGCTTCAACTAACCCGCCGGTTTCCGAAAAACAAACACCCAGAAGATTTCCGATACCAGATTTGCACGAAGAGCACGGAAACTTTCCCTTTTGCATTTTTGAAACAATATATCCGCCAACATCAGTCAAGCCAGTCCCTACGACATCTACAAAACATAATGAGTAGCCGGCTAATAAATTTTGCTAAGACACTGAAATGCTCTGAAAATATTACCTTTTCTGCAACTGAAAATCGTATACGGATCTGCTGTAACAAGATCTGCAATTGTCGCTGCGCTCCAGAGCCGAGGATCGATTTTTTGGAGTCCGGAAAATATATCTGACGGCACATGTGCAGACAACTCGCCTAACGCACGCAGGTATCCGATATCTGCTTCAAAGCTGAAAACTTTCGTGCGCAGCGGCCGGTCAATATGGCGTTTCTTTTTCAATGGGGATGTGGAAAAAGTCAGACCGGTATTTTTTCTCTTTTGTCGTCCCATGCGGCTGACGTTTGTTGTTCCCGTCAGATGCTGTAATGTTTCCATCCTTGCAACTTCTTCTTTCACTTTCCCAACTGTTACCTTTCCAGAACCATATTTGAACGCAGAAAATATTCTCTGCAAAATGTTAGTTATAAATTCGAACATCAGCTTCATAATGTTCTAGCAGATTACCTCTATTGGATCACTAGACATTTTTCCGGGAAGAACAAACTCAAAACCGGCGTGCAACAGCTTTCTGGCAACTTCTTCTGTGCCGTACACGGTAACGTGCAGACCAGTCCACGTCGGTCGGGGCAACGATTTCCTGGCGTTCGTCGATGGACGGAGCTCAGACAATGCTACTTTCATGTCCTAAATAAAACAAAAAATAAAAACTGAACATCCCTTGTTTCATCTTAATTAACTTACAGAGAAAATGCGATCGATGTTGCCCTTTGTAACAGCTTCGTAAAGCGGCTGCTTTAGACGAGCAGCTTGACGAGGATTCAGTACAGTAAGAGGCATGACAATTCTTTGCACAGTCTGAATGAACCAGACGAGTACATCCAAGCACTTTACGCACTGGTCTCGAGTTTCGCTGCGCACATTGGCTAATTCTTTTAGGAGTGGATGTTCTGATCTCGCAGCAGCATCTGCAGTGTCCCCAAAGTCCGGTCAGAACAAAAAATCTAAAATAAATAGTAAGTGCGGTACGGTACTAAATGAATTAATTCGGTTTTCTGGTTGAAAATAAGTTACGTACGTAAATATGCTTTCAAAAGTAAGTAACGTCCTTATTGAATCTGTACGATTCTATTTGCGAGATAAGAATGTTATCGGTACAAAAAGAAACATAATGCACGTACTTTTTCCGCATTCGATACATCCATTTTTTCAAACCCGTTCGGATAAAATAATTTAGCTGTCAAATCCGGCGCGTTTTTTATGACGGAACCGCGTTCTATTTCGTATATCTGCAAAAGTAGCGTTAAGTCTACCCGACGAGTTCCAACCTGAAAATAAAAAGAAATTAATTAAATTTTAATAGGCAGATATTTACATGAACACCAGGTGAAATGATTTAGTTACCTCTATAACGAACGAATTATTTTCCCGAATACAGTTCGTCCAAATTCGTTTGAGTAAGTGCACGATGTCCAATAATACATATACAATACTTCCGTCAGCACAAGGATGGGGAAAAGTCCATGGAAACTTCGTCTTGTCGCTTATAAAGCGCGAATGGCATCCCATGTTTTCGGCTCCGTTATCCGACGAACACACCAGAACCCGGAATTTCGTATTTTTTGATATTGAGTTCAAGACCGCTTCCAGAATTTCAGCCATCTCAGCCCCATTCAGATTTTTAACAAAATAATATGCGACGACTTTACGAACTTTTCCAGTGAAACTTTGAATAATCAAGAGCAAAACATGTTTCGCAGCGACAACGTCCTCCTGGTTTTTTGCAACCCCGATTATTTCTCCTCCGCGATACTCCAGTTTCTCGTCGGTGAATGTTTGGTCGCTGATAAGTTCAACATCCAAATGGCGATCTTCAACGGATTCCGAGATTTTCTTCAATTTGGCCAAATTTTCATCCTGAATACCTTCCGAATAGGAATTTACAGAAGCGCAGTTTTGTAGGTGGTTAATATGGGGAAGAAGTCCAAACAGAAAATTCCGAAAATAATTGTATGCCGCTGTCGAAATACTTTTAAGCATGCCGCAAAATCGTATAAGAGCATCAGAATGTCGAATAGCTCTTCGGCATCTGGTAATAGAGAGCTCCATTAATTCAGCAACAAATCGAAAGACGCATAAGAGTTTCTTTTGACGTTGACACTGTTCATCTTCATCGTCGTTAAATCCATTATCACTGTCCACAAACGTTGCATCCTGTTCTTGTTCGAGATGTGTTATAATTCGTTTGGCGCCAGCGATCACATTTCGGCACTGCGTTTCAACATCACGTGAACCGTTGTCAATGACTGCAGCGTCTAAATCACAGATCTTTTGTAAACCGTAAGTACTCGTTGCATCGTCCGACCCTGCTAAACAATTCATTACGTCAGTGGAAACAACATGATCTCCCAATTTCAGCAGGGCCTTGAGACTCTTGTTAACAGTTAGTGTGTCCGCAACGGCTTCAGTCGTTTCCTCCGATAGCATTCGAACGCGTCCGAAAACGATGACAGAATCATTGCAGCGCACTCGTACCCACTCCATGCCCGGAACATGTTGGTATTTATCAGAAGACATTAACTTCCAAAATCCCAGCTTTTCTTTGCCTCGGTTTCTTCAAAGCTCAAACGGACAACATCTCTTCTCAAAGGAGCGATATTGATTGGCTTAGGCATAAACTGTGTTGGCATCGCCGTTTTCTTAAGCATCCGCCGTTTTCCTCTGCAAAAAAATATATGTCAGCAGCCGGCATAGAAGTTGTTTCTTTAATTTTGCAATTAATTTTACATTGTATTAAAATCAGACTCAAGAAAATGCTTTCCACAAATGCGGTGGTGTTTGGTGAATCCCGTCTTATCCAAATCTTGACGAGCACACAGGGAGAAAAACTGCAAATAGCGCTCTTCGTCTGTAGTTCTGTCCGGCAAACGGAAAAATCCCGGGCTGGGATTTTTTTTTGTGTAATTGCTGCAACCCGTCACAACGCAGACGCTCCCAACCGGATCCGCCATTTCAGCTTTACGATAATGGTAAGGATTAATGCAAACGGAACCGGTATCCACCGTGCACTTGTGTGAAGAAGAGACGTTGTTTGCTGTTACGCGATTCCATCGAAATATCCGTGCGGTCAGAACATGACTCAAGACTTCGTTTTCGTTAACCTAAATGTAAAACAGCATTAACAATTTACTGAAAAAACAAATTCAGTAGTATTCAACCACGCAAAGTTCTAATCTATTCATTTTTAAAATGATAAACAGATACCTTGATAACTTTATGCGCGAACGGCACACATTCAGTTTCCTCAAAATTTTCCTTCTTCACCGCAACGAGTAATTTTTCCAAGTCATCCACACTTTGGGCGTTTCGAACAACGGCTCTGACAGCTTTCTTTGCGAAAGGATTAGGAGTTCTGTGGTTGCGAAGTTCTAAAAGCTCCGCTTCCAACCGGGCGCGGTCTGGATGCTTTGAGGATTTCCTAATATCCATGCCGACTGCACGACATTTTTCCAAACGACATTTGCTGCACGTCTTGCGGGAAACATTTTCGACCGCACACCGACCGCTTTTTTTACATTCTAAAGTCTAAAATAATTAAACGATAACGAACGGTGTATTTTATCGAGAGAATGATATGAAACATCTATTCTGCCACGCACCGTTTTTTTCCAGTTGGCTAGAAAGAAAAGTTTGCAAGGTACGCACGTCAACACTCCGCAACTCAAACCGGATGCAACTTCGAAGCATACAGCGCAGCGGTCTTGCTGCATTTTCACTCCTAAAATACAAAACAAAAATGAATCTACGTAAACGGTAAAGCTCTTCTATAATTATATGTGGCTCTTTTATAATTATATCTGGCGATAGACTCTCTGGACTCCGGACTCTGGAGGGAGCGTTCCTAATTAATTTGGATTTTTTTAATCATTTCTGCAACGACCATCGAGATTCCCGCCGTTCAAAGGGGGAACGATAATTCAATTGAATAACTTTAAAGCAAGGTTCGTAGATCTCATTGCTTACCGAGGGTGTCCGTTTCGCTGAGCAGTTTCGTCAGATCGCCGACCTCTACGGCCTCCATGACCACTGATCGGATAGCAGGGTGCGCTGGGCTATACTCGGGATCGCAGCTGCACGGGTGAGATCGTGAACGGTGCAGTTTACGTTGGTCAAAGAGAGGCTCCTCGCACTTTCGCTGCTTCTCACAGGCAAATAAGAACACAAGATCAATCAGTACCTGCCCACATTTCCACTCCAGAAATTGTAGAATACTCTGTAACTGTTATAATGCGATAGAAATAAAATGTACAGAAGAGGTAATTAGCCCAAGTAATCAAAACGACACTCATACATCATAAGATTCATAAGAAACAGAAAAACTAATATAGTAACCATTCTCACTAGTGACTAATCACTTATCAGCACTGCAGCACACACAACGCTGCTACTGTATGTTGTGCGCTGCGTTGATACAAGCTACCGTGAACAGCTCCACCGTCAAGAATTTTATTGCGCAATCATGATGTGGTGCACTGGTAGTATGTTTGTACACGTCCCAACCAAGTGTTAGGGATGACGCTAGTACGTCACCATCTCCCGTGCATATGCAGTACTGATTAGCATTACACGTACGTCTTATCATTACCTGTTGCACCGCATTAACTGTGTTCAGCACTTGGCTCGATAGTCAAGACAGGTACGAGCAGTACACATACGATCAGCATTACACTGTTGCGATAACACTGAGCTTTGAAGTTCTGATCCGCTGGATGTTTTGGCAGATAACTTTAGTCGAGAGGTTATGATCGCACAACTCTGGAATTTCTTATGATTACTGGTTTTGACTAATAAAAGCGTAACGGAAGTTGAGCGGTGTTTCTCCCGTAGATCTTCATAGAAAATCGTTCTTCTTCCTAGCCTGCCCCGTGGCATGGCTATCATGGTAGCAGATACTAAGATCCGCCAAATCTGAGCATAATTTCATATTGGAAGCAATATCTCATCTTTGTCGGAAGTTGGTGTGGTGGACGCTGATTCTCCAAAGCAGTATCGTCGTGAACTTTCATTTTGCAGTGTTTTGGTTTTCGTGGACTACGGGCGGTGAGCCACGGTGCGCGAAACCCGTGCAGTTTGGACGTGGGGTGTTGTTGCGGTGAGACACGGTTCCCGAAACTCCGTGCAGCAAGGATTGTGAATCGTCGAAGCAGTGAGTTGCCAGCAAGGCTGGTTAACTGTTTTTTGAAAACTTTCACCTTACAACTGCAGTTTTCCTTTTCTTTTTGGTTTTCGTTTTGAAAATTAACTAGAAGTAAGGGACAACAGCATTGTACACAGCATTAATCTCGCATTTGACAAAATACACAGCAGTTTATCTTTTGTACAGCATTTCACACATTTAGACACAGCATATTTCAGGATTAAAATACAGTTTTTACATACTGTATTTTAGCATTGAAACATTAATTTTTGCATTATTTTGACCTTTAAAAGCCAGAATTTGTTTTGAATTTCCGCATTCAACGAGCAACGTCTGACCCAGACGTTGAACGGCAGTGCGTCATTTATCTCGAGTGTCAACCTGTTGCTGCGTGAACAGCCCAGGCACAGCATTTCCGCATAGCAGGTCATTCAGACTGGCACAATCCATTGTGCCAGCTGAAGATTTTAAATCGTGATAAGCACGTGCCTAGCACGCCTTGCATTGAAACTGTAAACAAGTTACGTAACGCGTGCAGCATGTAGCTGCACGCGCCCTGCATTACTGATTGATTTGTCGGTGCATAATTTCAATAAAGCGATATATCTGTAATTAAAGCAGTATTGTGAAAATCTGTAGGCAGCATGGAAGAGAAGCGGTCTCCTGTGAGAGACTTGCTTAATGCTGTCGGAAGTCGCATTTTCAAACCGGCCCAGGTCGTTAATAAACCTGGTGCACAAAAGCAGCAAGAAGAAGCAGTCGGAAGAAAACTCAGAAAAGTAAAGCAGTATCCAGCAAAACAGCAGCAGTAAAACATAATGTGAATACTCGTGCGCATGCTCGTGCGCATAATCCGCAGTCAGCGTTTGCATTATTAGCTGATGCTGCCATTCAAAATTCAGGAGCGGCAGCATTTGCGCGTAGCAGTAAACTGCAAAGATCACCAGCATCTACATCGGCACTTAGCGCACTTAGTGCTAATGCCGAAAAAATTACCGGAAAGGTCAGCATCATCAGCCTCGCAGGTTTCGTATCAGTCTATCGCTAGCAATATCACTCATGATTCAGAATTAATATCAATTTCTGATCGCGATCAAGAAATTGCATTTGGTGACGAGCATGAACTGACGTATATTGATAAAAGTCAACAAGCATTGTCGAAGCAGTTACCTGTTGATAACGGTGATAATAATGAGCATATTGAACCTTCTAGCAATGAGTCGGATATTCCGCTCAATTTATCGGTCAACAGATCTCCATCTGAGGAGAGTCTGTCCAGTAATCCAGCATTTCATTCTCCGATGCATAGTTCTCCTAAAGAACTTTTACCGGAAAATACGCAGCAGCATTACGATGAAATTCAAGCATTATTGCATAAGACACAGCAAGATTTGGTAGATACGAGTAATCGCTATAAGGAATTAACTGAGCATAATGAAAAATTAAAAGCAAAATTACTGAAAGCACATGATGAAATTTTTCGTCGTAGAGAAGAAAGTAAGCATGCAAATGATGTCTGCAAGGCATGGTCAGAAGAGAAGAAGCAATATGAACAAGTTATTGAAGCGCATGAAGCAACTGAAACAAGGTATAAAGCAGAAATTGATCGGCAGTTCCAAGTACTAAATTCTTGGAAGCATGAAATTATTAAGCTCCGTGCAGAAGCAGAAGAGCATAATAAAAGCATACCGCAAGCAGAGGCTATTACTAAAATGGCTGATCAGTTGAATAAATATAAGGATAAATATAAGCATGAACAGGCTGAGCGTCTAAAAATCTCAGAAGAATTAACGGCCACAGTAAATTCCTCGCAGATGTATAAAGCACATGGAGAGCAATACGAAAAGTTGTATGAAGATTTGCATAAAGAACATGCTGAAGCACAGGATCGTATCGCAGAATTATTAAAGCATAAATGTGTCATTAATAAGCAGCATAAATCAGCAGTAGTTGACATCAGTGATGATGATGTTGAAGCTGCACCGGTTGTACGGAGAGCAGCCGAATCTCAGCAAGATGATATTACGCAGAAATTAATTACCGCATTACAGGCAGTAAAGCCCGCAGTACACTTTAAAGGCAAATTTAGCGGTAACAAGGACGATGTGGAATCGTTCCTTGTTCAACTGGATAAGACCGCATTAACGTACGGTTGGGATGACGCAACTAAAATTATTGAATTCAGCAATGCATTAGAGAAAGATGCGAAGCAGTGGTACGGTTCTGCATCTGTCGCGGTGGATGCACCGACCAGCTTCGACGAATGGAAAAAAGCATTTGTGGAGCGCTTTGGCGATCGCGATAAAGCAATTAACGCATTAAATAAATTAGCTACGAGAACATTTGATAAAAATAAGGAAAGCATTGATGCATACTATCAAGCAATGTGTACCTTGCGCGACCGGGCAGGTTTTGCCGGTCCGCCGGAGCATTTCGTGAATTACCTCATCCAAGGGTTACGCACGTTTAAAGCATTAAAGGATGATATTGTTCTGCGCAAGCCACGTACGCCCGCTGAATTTCTAAGCGAGGCCAGGTACCTAGAATCAATGATGCCCAGTAGATACAGTACAGATGAGTACTCGGTAAATGTACTGCAGCAGTCTACTTCCGGCAATATTGTACAGCAGAAGCCGTTTAACCCGGCAAATAAATTTAATAGACAGCAGTTTAGAAGCAGTAATCGAGTAAATCCAGCAGCAAACAGCAAGCTGTCGTATGCGCAGGCAGCTGCGCAGCCGGCAACTGTGAGCAATAATCAACCGGCACCACAACAGCAGTCGCGTGCCGGTCCGCAGCAGGGCCCTCGCAATGTGCGTACCACACCGCGCCCTGGTATACCGTATTGTACGCATTGTGTAGTGGAAGGCCACATAACAGAGAACTGTTGGTGGAAAGACCTTCCACAACATCAGAACCCTAATTATAGGAAGTACCATTGGCCTAGCGGTGAACAACGAACACGCAGGCAGTTTGAGGCATTCCAGGCTAGGAGAGCAGAAAGGTCCGGCTCCTCGTCGCCGGCCAGCTCACGCAGTACATCGCCTGTATTGAGGCAAGGTGGTAACGGCATTGGTCGAGGAACCCACGGGCGCCGGTATTCCGGATGCCCGAGGGACCTCCGCCTGTATCCCAGCAGAATGCATTTGCAGCATTTATGCCGGATAACGAACCAGACAGTTCAGACAGCAGTGACAGCAGTAGCGTTAGCAGTGAATGCAGTGAGTCTTTAAACGAGTAAGGGCGGCAGGTCCTGGCACTGCCAAGCCCAAACCACGTAAACCGCCAGATAAACAGCATGTGAATGTACAAGGATATACAGTATATATTCCACAGCAATGTACTTTGGTACACGCTTCTGTGCAGCAAGTTGGCACTGTAGTTTCTGAACCAAAGCATGAAAGGATGTTGTTTCATAATGTTAAAATCAGCAATATGCAAGTCAAAGCATTAATTGATACAGGGGCGGAAACGTCCTGATATCACAAGCATTCTGTGCTGAAAACAAATTACGTACTTTACCGTTAAATAAAGCACTACATATCTGTGGAGTCGGTGGTAGCCGTTACTTCACCGTGACTCATTATTGTCAGCAATATGTAACAATAGGACAGCAAAGAATTTTGCACAGCATGTATGTAAAACCAACATCGGATAAAATATTACTAATTCTGGGACAGGATTTCCTTAAACAAGCAGCGTACACAGTCGAAGAGAACAAACTAGTCCGTATCAACTTCCTGCAGCCGGTTGCTGGCGACCGGTCAAAGCAGCTGATCACTGCCTCTGTAGGAAATGTATCAGCTTTCCCCGAACCAGTGGCACTGGTCCAGGAAAAAGCTGCGGTATTGCGCGCGCCTAAGACCTTTTCTAAACCCGTAGTATTGGCCAGTACTAGGGTTGACGTAAACAGTAACCTTCTAAAGGGAAATCGAAGGTACTTGTCAACATTCCCAGAAATATGTAACTCTCAAAGAAAAGCATGGAAATGCAGCAGTTGAAAGGAAAGTAAAAGTACGAGCATTTATATCGGCGATAAATAAATATTCCGCACATTTGCTTGAGCAGCATGAAGTAAAATCTTCCCTGTACCAGTGGCACCGCCACAAGTACAGTGTAAGAACATTAATAGCAATAAAATTGTTGTACCAGTAAACCAGCAACAAAATAAAGCAGTAAATACTGTATCTAGCATACTGTAACTAAACGCAATGGTAATGTTATACGTGAGCTTGATGATAGAATGTTGCAGCATTTATTAGCATATCGTCAATGCGAAAATTGGAAGCGAAATGCATGTTATATTGCGTGATTATAGCCACAGCATTATGAAGCTGCATAAATTAAAGCAGAAGTATGAAAAGCATGGTTATTCGCAATATGAAATTGAAGAGTTTAATCGTCTCAGCAGAGAGCATGATGAACTGTTTACCGATCTGTATTACCATACAGTACAACGGCGTCGAGAACTAAAATCCTCGTTAAAAGCATTACATATTGCAATGCCGGAAATACTTAAAACTCCTATAAAGCAATTTTGGCGACAACCAGGTTTAGTTTTCCGAAAGCAGTTGTTTAAAGCATTTGATGCCGAGCCAAATTTTTTAGCACCCCGCAAGTAAGGTCAGTGCGCCCTAAAATGAATATGAGAAAGCAAGTTAGTTTTAAAGGGACTACGCAGGTTAAAGTCTATGACCACAGTAGCCCAGCATCTGCTGTAAAATCACGCAAAATTATTGTTAAAGCAAAGCCTAAAAAGGGCGCACTGCCGTTGGATAAGCCGTTAATTTTGCAGCCGTACGAATGGCCAATTACGAAGAAAAATCGTGCTAAGAAAGAAGTTAGCGAAACTATTGTTTTTAAAACTCATCCGTACGATGCAAATAACGAGCAGTGTACGAGTACAGATAATAACGAAGCAATTAACCACAATAATGTCAGCAGTAGTGAACCACTAGAGAAATGTACGAGTACTGATGATATTACGGTAGCAGTGGATAACAGTAGTGCAGATACTGAAGCATTTATTAATAACATTATAGCAATAGAAGAACCTGAAATTAAAGAAAAATTTCGCATTAGAGCAGTAAACGTGTATGCATCAGATTCGTTCATTTTACCCGCTAAAGAAGTAACTTGGACATCTGTTGGCGCTAAGCCGAAATACGGTCAAGAATTAAAGACTGAATTATTCATGTTCTCAGCTAATCCAGCATTATATTCTAAAGCAAGATTAGTACCGATAGAAGGACTAGTTAAACCAGAGAATAGAGCATTCGACGTACAGATTGCTAATTACAGCAATCAGAAGCGCATTATTAAAAAAGGCACTTTTATCGGCATTATAGAGACGTACGAAGAGGCCGAAGGTCCGTTGGTATTGGCAACTAGCATTAAGGAGCGTACTCCTGAAGAGGTACAAGAAATTAAGGAAGCAATATCGCAAATGAATTTCTATGAAGGCTTAACGCCCGATGAACGCAAAGAATGGGAAGAACTATTTCTGCAGTACGGAAATGTTTTTCCTACAAAAAGCCGCATGTTTAATACGGTAGATACGTCGGTAAAGCATCACATCGATACGGGCGATGCCCGTCCGATAAAAAGCCAGCCTCATCGTACGAGTTGGCGAGGTCGTCAACTCATACAGCAGCATGTCAATGATATGCTATTAATGGAATTATCCGACCAAGCAGTAGCGACTGGAGTTTTCCTGTTGTGCTTGCGAGTAAGCGTAATGCAGACGGCAGCATTGGTACGCGCTTTTGCGTGAATTATATCAAACTGAATAATGTCACTAAAAAGAATAATTATCCTCTTCCTAATCCAGATGAGGTACTAAGCAATGTCGCAGGTTACAGCATTTATTTTACGTTTGATTGCCAGTCGATTTTGGCAAATCCGATGGCAGAAGATAGCATTGAAAAGACAGCATTTGTTACGCAAGATGGCTTGTGGGAATTTACCCGCATGCCGTTTGGTGTTTGCAATGGACCAGCCACATTCCAGGCTGCCATTGACAAGGCATTGATTAAATTAAGGCATTTAAATATTTTTGCATATTTAGACGACATAATCGTCCCAGCCAAAACATTGGCTGAAGCTAAACTAAAAATTCAAGCATTATTTAAATGTCTAGAAGAAGCAGGTTTTACTGTAAAACCGAGCAAGTGTCATATCGCTAAGCCTGAGTTGCATTTCTTGGGTCATATCGTCTCCAAACATGGAATAACTACAGATCCAAATAAAATTAAAGCAATAGAACAATTTAAGCAGCCTACTACTGAGAAAGAATTACGATCTTTCCTCGGATTGGCAAATTACTATAGAAAATTTATTAAGCAATATGCGCATAAAACTAAGGATTTGTACGCATTGTTGGCAAAAGATGCCGATGTGAAAAGAGACTGGAATGAAAAGCATGCATTAGAATTTGTTGATATTAAAAATGCATTGAGCAATGCACCTGTACTTGCCAAGTTTGATTATACGAAGCCGATAACAATAGAATGTGACGCCAGTTATACTGGCATAGGAGCAATATTGCATCAAAACGATCATCCGATCGCCTATGCAAGCCGATTACTGCATGCAGCTGAAAAAACTACGCAATAACTGAGCTAGAATGTTTAGCTGTTATTTACGCAGTTCGTAAGTTTAAGCCGTACATTGATCATGCGCCGTTTACGGTGCAGACAGATCATCAAGCATTAGCAAATCTTTTGAGATCTGCATCACACAAGCAAGGTTTAAACGGTCGTTTGACGCGTTGGGCATTAGAGCTGGGTAGTTTAGATATTACCATTAAATATCGCCCAGGTAAAATGTGCGATAACGCAGACGCATTAAGCAGAAATCCTGTTGACCCAGCCATCCCCGAAGATGACTGGGATGATTATTTTAGCACTCGTGACATTCGTATGGTTAGCATTACCCACCCGGAAGGGACGGCTGAAACTGAGCTTGAAGGTGAAGATGTCGAAAATAATTTTAAGTTCTTAAGAACCGAGCAATTGCGTGATCCGCATATCGTAAAAGAAATTAACTCATTAAAAGAAAAAGAGGAATCTGGAGCAATAGTTGCAAAACCGCAGCATTACCAGTTGTGGAATGGTGTTCTGTATCGCATTGCAGTAGCAAATGATAAGTACGTGCGAAAGTTCGTCGTACCAAGACATATGGTAAATGATTACATCCGCATTAATCATGACGTGCCGGCGTCTGGCCATCTAGGCAGACAAAGGACGTACAATCAGATAAGCGCACGCTTCTACTGGGACAATATGGTCAGTGACATCGATAAATATGTAAGCAGTTGTTTGGACTGCCAGTTGAGGAAATCGCAACGTAAGCCGCAACCAGGTAAACTTTTGCATGTTCCCGTTGGTGAACCGTTTTACCGCATGCAAATCGACATTAAAGGTCCGTTAAAGCAGTCGAAAAATAAAATAAATGCATTATTGTAGCAATAGATGAACTCACTAAATTTGTAATAGCGAAAGCAGTACCAGATGAAAAAGCAATAACAGTAGCACAATTTCTCATTTATGATGTGATTTTACCGTATGGTGCTCCGCAAGTACTTAATTCTGATAGAGGATCGCACTTTATGAATCAAATAATAGAAGCAGTGGCAAAGTTGACAAAGATAAAGCACCATTTTGGTACCGCATACCACAGCATCGGTCGAGGTCTCGTAGAGAGACAAATGCAGTGGATAGCAGATAGCTTATCCATGTATGCGCAGAAAGGCACCCAGGATCGCTGGGATGAGTTTCTTCCTTTCGTTGTTGCAGCATATAATCGGACAGTACATAAAACTACGAAGCATTCGCCTTTTTACATGCTTTATGGTAGGGAGCAAACGTTGCCCATTGATACCATTACGAAGACTAATCTTCCTGAAGATTACGCCTCTGTAGAAGATTATTTAGATCGTTTAAAATGGAAATTAGATCGAGCGCATGAAATTGCCCGTATTTATATTCAGCAAGGTTACGAAGCATCAGCAGAGCAGTATAATCGTACGTAGCCGTTATGATGGTCCTTATGTGATTGAGGATATTCCTCGTCCAAATACAGCAATAATTAAATTACTATCTGATTTGAGCAATGTCCAGGAAGTAGCATACCAGCGCATGAAACCTTATCGTGGCAAACAATCTGGCGAAAAGATTGTTTTTAAGCCATCGGAAATGCTTAATTACAGCAATACTGATAAAAGCAGTGATAGCAATAATAATGTACCTAGTACATCAGCAGAAAACAAGTCATTGAGAGTGAAAATTAAACGCAATAAGCAGTCAGTACCTACTAACGTACTGAAAAAAGCAGAATCTTTGCCAGCTGATATTGATAAATTAGTGGATAATAACGATGTGCGCAATAGTGGCCAACAACCTGTTGAGAAAGAGCGCAATAGTACTGTAGTTACTTCTGATAGCAATAATGTTGTTAACGAGAAGGAACAGTCAGATACTGATAGTAATTACAGTACTGAGCATTCCGATAACGACAACAGCAATAAAATTAATAAACCCGCAATAGTTAAGAAAGTAATTCCGAAAACTACCGCAGTAGTACGCCCAAAGCAAACAATAGCTGATTTACGCGCACGTGAACTTGCAGACGCGTTTAGTAAAGAAAATCAGGAAATTGTTAACCGCATGTTACGTGGTACATCCCGCCGAAAACCACTGTTTCCGCAGTAGTATGTAAGCAGTACTCGAATTGCATTAAGCAGTCAATGGCTATCATGGTACAGAGTAGTTGTTTTGTTATCAAGCATTAAATTCTGATTGTACTCGTATCTACGAGTACATAAAGTCTCTGCATGTAAACCGTAGCACTTATCGTGCTTACGAATAATTTTAATGTCCCATACTTCTATTGAAAATAAGCAGTAAATTTACCTTTAATTAATTTGCAATAAATTGCAGTTGCGAGTAGATGAAAGTACAGCATGTTAAACTCAACAATACCAAGCATTAACGCAATTGTTTTCTGTAGTTATGGCAGACCAGCAGTGTCCGAACTGTGCCCGCACAGGACGCCTGTGTGTGACGTGCATTCTCAAGCAGGCGCCGAACGTACAGCAGCGCGTCTTTATGCTGCACCTGGAAGCACTGCTGGGAAATTACCAGGCATTCCAGTGTCTTTTGTTGCGCGCCCACTGGGAGCATGTCGTCGTCAACCGTGACTACTACGAACAAATTCGTGTCGCAGTCGATCATTTCCGCAGTACGAAGGATGGCTGGAGCAAGGCACAGCATGTACCGACATGGGACGAGATGAAAGCGCAGGAGCAGCAGCATCACCAGCTCATGTCGCAAGCACGCCAGCAGTTGAACGCTGAAGAGCAGCCTCCCGTCCAGCATGATCAGTCTGCCGTAGCAATGCCAGCCGCAGTAGCTCAACAGCAGTGGAATACCGTTGGCCGTCAGCCGTTTGGAGCACGCCACTTTCCTGATCGCTCAACGGTAACCATCATTAATAAACCTCGCAATGACCGCACTTTATTAATTAAACCCAAGCATGCTATTAAAAATAACAAGCAATATCTGCAGGTGCCTCAGAATCCGCAGCAGCGCCGAGCCGATGCACCGGCAGCACAGCCACGCCAGTACAGCACTCGTATGCCTAATTTGCCTGCTGCAGATGAGCGCGCCGACCGCATTCTGTTGACTTTGGGTTTTGACAAGCATGAGCAGCGTAAACTGATGAAAGGCATGTTAACCCGTACGATGAGCACACTGGACCGCTTTTTGGCGAATTCCGGTTTACTGGAAGAGATGCAAGCAGAAAAGTATAACTACCGTGATGATCGCCCGAAGAAGGAAGAACGCGATATCCGGTACGGTTATCTTCGCAGCAATGGCATGCCCTCAGCATTACATCCTGAGAATTTCGAACACAGCATTCTGACTATCGATATTGAAGCATTGAGTCAGCTTGTGTACCATCCGCGTAAAAGCATGATCCCGTATTTGTTCAACTTCGTCAGTCCGGATGCGAACGGTGCAAACCTGTTGTACGCCGGTCGTGTAGCAATATTCACCGATGAGATGTTAGTTATGATGAAGGAAGAGCAAGATTTCCGCAGCATGGACCGCCGTAAGCAGCAGATTATGGTGAATTATGTCCGTCTGTATTTTGGTGCATTGCTGGGACATCACGGATGTCATAAGCAGTTGGCCGACGCTCCGCATGAAGACAGCGCTTTCTTTCACGAAGCAATAGTGAATCTGGGTCCTACGTTGAATGTGCAAGACAAGATTGACCGCATTCGTCATGCAATGGAAATTGGTTTAGAGAAAGTTGCTGGAAAGCCAGTTGAGCAGTTGGTAGCAAATCCGCATGATGCCGTAGAAAACGTCCTCACTCAGCTGCAGAAGTTGAAGGATAAGTACGAGCCGCAAGGCGGACAACAGCAGCAAGTCGCACAACATCAGCCGCAGCACCAGCCAGTGTTCAACTTGAACCCGCAAGGAAACGCTGCACAGTTGCAAGGTATCGTCCCGGCAGGTGAGAATGCCGCAATGGACGAAGTCGAAGACTCGAGTAAATCAGATGATCAGAGCAGTAGTAATAGCAATATCAATGGCAATTCGCATGATAACAGTAAATTAAGTGCAGTTGTTTCTGAACAGGTGGCGGATAGTGTGGCGCAGTTGAATTTCTCCGCAGAAACTATGGAGCATTCGGGAAAAGAGCAGTAGTTTGAATAGCATGTACTGAATTACTAAGCAATATTTATTTTGTAAATTAGCAATATTTTTCTGTAAGCAATATTTCTTTTGAATTCCGCAATAGACTTGATTTGTCAGCATTTCTCTTCGATGGATGGTAGACTGGCAGCCTCATAGGCGCAGTCCGGATGTGGATCGCGAATTGACACGCAGCCTCATAGGCGGTGTCGAAATGAGTGGACATTTAACGGTGGAATGGATTTTTGATAATTTTTGTGTTCCTGTTTAACCAAAGTACTAACAGATCTCGATGGATATTTCTTCAGTTTATTGAGCTTAACTCATGATTTCATTTTATTTTCATTAAACAGCCGATCAGTGACTGGTAAGTTGTGTGAGCGACAGTGTAACATTGGATTTTGAAGCAGTAAAATTTTTCAGACGCAGTGTCGAAATTTTCCGCATTAACGATTGTATAGCAATAATCATGAAAGCAATACAAATTTTGACGCAATACGGACTAGCTCCGCGGCAGACCCGGTATAGCTAGCGTAAACTGCAGCACATGCACTGGAAAAAGGCATAGCAAGGCGCCTGGTTAATTCCCAGTTTGGCCGTCGCAATAGCCTCGGAGGACCTCGGATCCCCACCAGTGGCATGTTAGGGATGACGCTAGTACGTCACCATCTCCCGTGCATATGCAGTACTGATTAGCATTACACGTACGTCTTATCATTACCTGTTGCACCGCATTAACTGTGTTCAGCACTTGGCTCGATAGTCAAGACAGGTACGAGCAGTACACATACGATCAGCATTACACTGTTGCGATAACACTGAGCTTTGAAGTTCTGATCCGCTGGATGTTTTGGCAGATAACTTTAGTCGAGAGGTTATGATCGCACAACTCTGGAATTTCTTATGATTACTGGTTTTGACTAATAAAAGCGTAACGGAAGTTGAGCGGTGTTTCTCCCGTAGATCTTCATAGAAAATCGTTCTTCTTCCTAGCCTGCCCCGTGGCATGGCTATCACAAGGCAGTCACTCAACCGCGGTATGTATGCCATCCTGGGCGGCTGGCATATACAGTAGCTTACCGTTAGTTGTGGCCCGTTACCGTTAAAATATGGGTCATCTTTAGACTTCCTGTATTTCGAATAGGTTTTCTGCATGCCGTGTAATTTTACAGATTATAGAGTGAAGAGGCGGGTTATGGTAATTTTCGAGACGATTAACCACTATAACGTTTCTTCTATTTATCAGGTACAGTATTTTTTCTGATTACAGAATCGGAATCAGCTCGATTTTATTATTTTCGTATATGTGTGTGAAACTGGGAATCAGTGTGATATGCTAGGAGCTTCAACGTTTAAACGGTGCCGTAATCTGGATAATTTTACAAAAAGATTTTGAATCTGTTGTTCAGCACAAGTATAGTACAATAGTACAATACTCATGTGGTCCAAAGGGTAAACGGTTGCACAATCCCGACACATGCGGCTCTCGTAGCTAGTCACATTTTGTAGGAAGTTGAAACTTCAGTCCCTGACTTCCAGTGGATCTTAATTGTTGTTAATTCCGTGCCCCCATATAGATGGCTTGCTTTGCAACATTTGCAAAATTACCTGTCTCCATAATATATTAACTAATCGTCTAATGCGACTCAAGCTGTTGGCCTGTTGCACTTGATAAAGTCAACAGCCCTAAGCGTACCATTTGCATATTTATTACAGCTTGCTCCGGCAAATTAAATCGAATCGTCACGCAAATTGGAAATAAAATCATTTTAATCGTGTTGCATAATTTGGTTAACTATCCGGCAACTAAAAATTTGAAGCAAATGTTATTCCAGCATACTTTTGAATTCGAATTCCGCGCCGAGATGCCGAGCTAATGTTTCTTCATTAGCTCTGTCTGTTGGGTCAGCAGAAAGATGTAAGAAATGGCTAACCTGAGAGTTTGAATTCGGGATAACCTGCAAGTAGGAAAGTGGAAGCTGCAAACAATCATGTACACTTCTAAGCTGATTTCAAACTTCTTTGCTGCAAGTATGTACCGTAATTATCGAATTTGAAGCCCCCCCCAAAATACAAGCCCCCCCCCCCGTAATTAGAGCCCACCCCTAAGGTCGTTTGAAAGTTATAAGCCCCCCCCCCCGAAATAGAGGCCCATGGGCTTAAGTAAATACCGTAAACCCCATATTAAAAAATGCCAAAAAGCTGGTTTGAAAAATTGAAGCCCCCCCCCCTAAATACAAGCCCATGCCCGTAATTGGAGCCCACCCCGTGGGTCATTTGTAATATTTGTAACCCTGGGCTTCTAATTCGATAAATACGGTATATGCAGCGCTAACAAAAAATCACATCGATACCGTAGGAGAACGCGGAATGACCGCAAATATTAAATTGTAAATCGAACAAGCTCAGATCCCGGTATTCAAAGCACATGTAAAGTGTATGTTTGCAATTTGCATACTGTAATATGTTCATTGTATTGTACAATGTATTGTACACTACCGGACTACAGTAGCTACCCTAGGGTACCTTTTGCCTGTGTATTTCACAGGTAAGTGATGCTGCAGTCGCGAAAACGCTGCATTCAGGTTCACCATTCGCTTTCGTTCTCGGTAATTAGCCGCCATTCTTTGCGAAGCATTATTTATTCGTTTCCGCTTAGGGACTGGTTTTTTGACCTTTTCCGCAGTCGTAGTGGACTTTTCCGCACAAACTTTTTCCAGCCATGAGTGCGCTACAGAATGTTGCATGATCCGCTATTTTTTATCGCTGAATTAGGTATGCTCACCGACAGCTAATGATGCTAATCACTAACCATCACTAATCACGGCAACTAACGTTTAACGCTGCGCGGTTACATGCACTCAAGGCGGTACTCAAATTATATCTATAGTAGCTTTTAAATTACTTACTTTCTGGCAATCCGATGGCGTTTAAGGTCAGAGTTGGCCCCAGCGCACTTTGTGGCCTTTGGCTCACCACTTGGAAATTATCCTTATTACTAACCGGATGATCGTTCCACTTACAAGACATAAATTTGGCGATTGCAGGAAGTTTTGTTAAGGTCACGATCGACCACTCAATCGTCTGCGGTCTCCACCTTTTCGTGAGGGGTCAGAAATAAAGCAACATCCAGGTTGAATGTGTTGAGGCGCGATTTCAAAGCGTTGCCACGATTTTCAAAAGACTTTGCGCCATGATGCTTTTGCTCGCGATATTGCACTATCATGTGGAAATAGAGACCTCGTAGCTTGTGTCTTGGCTTGTGTCATTGTTGCGCGACATTTTTGTAATCTTTAAAATACGGCTGCCATCTTGTAGCGAAAACGAAGCATTTAGTAAACCAACCAGTTGATCCAAAAACATGCTAAAGCACCATAGGTTCTCTGTTAGGTGCAACCAGAAGCGCGAAAATTCCACCGACATCGAATTGTGCAGTGTGCACCATTCAGCGCCACAAGTAAAAATATATTAATGTTTTACAAATACAGCTGGGGATTTGCGAATGCTAAATAGTGCACTTCTACCCTTCTGATCTACTCTAGGTAGGAGTTGTAGCGCTATTATTGTTGTAGTTGTACACTGCGCGGGCCTTAATACGAATTTGATTGTCATAAAATGGTAATTTCTTAATAATCTCACTTAATGCGTTCACACATGTAGCATACTGCGTACGGATATGGTAATATTTGTATTAAGTGCGTGTTTCGGAAAAACAAGCAATGAAATCGCAAGTTCGCAACTGTCGCATAATTATTAGTGTGATGGAGAAGCGAATGGTCAGTGGTAGTAACACACTGTTACTAACAGATCAACTGGCAATAAGCAGTAAGCGCAAATGTTCAAGTGCAGTTCTATTTCCAAGCCCTCGAACCCGACAGAATTCAAACATCTGATTCAAAATCACCGCTAACTACTCCACAAATTCACAAACAACCTTGATCCCGGTAATAATAATATTAATTAAAAGTGCTGAAACCACTTGTTATACTTGTACATACACAGAGTACACAATATATGGAAAGTCATTCAATTTGAGCAAATCATAAATCCCTGGAATTCCGGTCAGAAAGAAACTCGTGGGCTTCGCGTAACAATCTGGACATATCGGCATATCCTCCCAGTTTGCAAGCTTCGTCCAGCTGCAGCCATTTAAAATCCTGATGCTCCGCCGACAACACAACAGGCTGCTCAACGCACCGCAGTCGGGCTAACCAGTAATCAACCTGTTTATCTTGCTTTTTGGACGGATCGAAATAGTGTAATGTTTTGTGGAACCGGTCCTCAATTTGATAATGCGCCTCGTTAAGGCCAGCTTCTTCTTTTGTTTCTCGAATGGCAGTGGCTAATGCATCTTCATTTCCATCCACGAACCCTATAAAGTGTATGTATGTGTATCCGTATATAAAATTAATTAACATTTTATATACATACACGATAATTTCTGTACACCATAAGTCTATAATCAAATCAATAAAGAGTTACGCACGGCTTGTTATAGAAAGAACTATCAAGCCCGCATTTGCACTTTATTGTATTTCGATGGCTATTGCGGCATTGCCTAATAAGAGTTATTACGAGTAGTTCATGTTAGTTCACTTCCGCACCTTTCGGAGGAGTCCAGTGGTGCCTTCCGTACGACGTCTGCAACAACAAAAACTCAATCGGTGCGTGTCCGTTCCATCGATAAACTATTAGCCCAGCAGCTCGCATAGATTTGTTGATTTGGGTCGCCATTAAAGAGAAAACCTAATTTATTACTGTAATACAGAAAATAAGCTTATTTGCACCGAGCGCGAAGCGCGAGGTGCTGCAATTAACTGATCGTCAAGAGCATAAATTTGTCTGACGCCACGAAGAGCGTACGTAACACTTTTCCAAGTCCACATTCCCAATACCATTTCCCAGTGGTATTAGCGCTCGCGCTCGTGCAATAATGTGGTTAACAAGTTAACAACCACCGCTAGTTTATAATTATAGTGAGTCTTTTATTGGGTTATTCACATTAACATAGGTTAACAGCAAATTACGCAGTTCATCATTTTAACACATAATACACTTCGTCTAGTCTCTTACTAATTATAGTAATATCTATATAACAGTAAAAAATCTTTCGAAACCAAAATGTGGGCTTCGGCAGTAGAAGTCGGACTGTGAAGCCAGGAGTCAGAAGGCAGCCAACCTCTTTCCGTATGGAATTTACGTACTATCTGCGACTTGCAGAGTCCCGAGACTTCCGGCTGTATATCACAGTATATGTAAGATTTTTTTCTTTTCCAGCCATTTTGAGTCCTTTAATTGGCAGGCCGCAAGCTTAATTAATTTTGTTTCTTCATAAATTTTGTCACTTCTGTAAATTCTGAATTGGAAATATAGGACTTTTCTCAATTCAAAACTACTATTACACCAAACTGCATGCCCATGGCGTGATATGGTTTCTCACGCTTCTTGAGATTATATCTGTATACGTCGCTAATCTTTTGGAAGCTGATTACGGAATATCCGCTGTATCATCATGCCGTACGCAAACCAGCCTCGTGTATCGGTGACAGAGCTGGATGAAGAAGTTGTCAAGTTTATCATCGAAAACACGTCCTTAAGGTACGTTGCGTAGTACTCGGTCCGTGTGTCGATATAATTAGAACATTTAAACCGTCGTAGCACGGCGAACTCACTGCGTCGCGTCTTCATCGCTGAAGTGCCCACATTGGCCATTGATTACGTGCAATTTGACGCTAACACTTCGGTCCTTCACGATGAATTTCTGGCACATCGTTTGGGAATGGTCCCTTTCTACTGTGATAACGCTGTGGACAAAATGGTGGCGACGCGAGTAAGGCTATGCTCGGAGAACAGTTGGTTTGATCCGGTGGCGTCGATCACTTAGAAATTACTTGTCGTAGGACTGCTCTTGCGATTCCTTCTGCAGTAATTGTTCCGTCAAGATAGCTTGCTCGGTTAAATGCTCGGATGAAAATTATGACGTGACGTCGGCCGATATGCGGGTCGAAAACGATGGTACGGATGTGGTTCCTGTGTCGCAAAAGATGAGAAATGATATGGATGAAGAAGGACGTGAAAATGATCGTAAGTACTCAAAATTTACTTCCTCGTAAGTTAGTTATGCCAGACAGATATATGATTTACACAAATAATTTCTGGACGTTTTCCTACTTTCACATAACGAGTAAAAACTGGAGAATTTTAAGCTGTAAAAATATAAGATAAGGAACGTTTTGCCGTCTGGCGTGCACTGTTCAACCGCGCTAACAAAAGCGTGGTTTCTGGTAATCTCCAAAACGTTTCTTGCTGTACTTATGCCGAGCTAAAACGTTTCTTGACTGCATTGTTTCAGTGTTTTGAAATGTTTATGTTATTATTCACTGTTCGTCCTCCATTAACGAGCTGACGGCCCGAATAACGATGTGTTTTCGTTTCTGCTTTTTACAAAGTTACATATCACATTATTCCAGATAGGGGTAAGGGTAACGTACATACACATGCATTTGATTTCATCTCGCACTTATAAAGCGAAGTACTTCAAGAGGTATAAATCGACTGCAAGACGACTTGTACTGAAACATGATTCACTTGAAAATCACTAATGTGTGTGATGACTATTGACAAATGAAAATTCAAATTTTTTTCTGCTGATAAAAACGGTCTTGCAGATATTAAGATCGTCAAATTACGCAAAGGGCAGGAAGTGAATTTCACTGCTTATGCCAAGAAGGGAATTGGAAAAGAGCATGCCAAATGGATTCCTACTTGTGGAGTAGCATTCGAATACGATCCGGATAATGAATTGCGCCACACTTGGTATCCGAAACCAGAAGAATGGTAAGTTAAACTGTGGAAACATTCCTTGTTTACGCACTACGCAGTTCCGGTACGATTGTCTGCACTTGTTAAGTTCACGAAAGAACGCAGGAAACTGTAATACAGTGACTTTTAACGTTATGATGCAGGTTTGCGGATGGTAAAAGCGGTTTTGATTAGATTATTTTTACTCTGGGTACGTTAGCCTAACCAGAACAACTTGGCGCAACGGGTGATCAAAATTAGCGGGAACAAGTTTGAACATTCTAATTGATTCTGTTCACTCTGCCTTTATCCAATTAAAGGCAGGAGTTCATCTTTTTCGAGGAATGCATTCGAAGTATGTACCGCAGTACTGTTTATTTAATTATAGGCCGCGAAGCGAATATTCCAAACTTGGCGAATTCGAGCATCAGGCTCCATTCAATCCGAAAGGTATTGCCGACCGCTTCTATTTCACTGTGGAGAGCACAGGAGCGTTGGCTCCTGAAAACATTATTCTCTCGGGCATTCGAGTTCTGAAAGAGAAATTGATCAATGTCCAGAGCGCTCTGATGACTGAAGTCCAAAACGAAGCATTAACCATTGGTTAGATACGATATTTGCTTATCGGAATGCTTCATTTTTTCGACGATTCGGGGATCTGGCAGATATTTTTAGGATTCTATATTTGTACGGTTGAAGGTAGTATTGGAATTACTGCGAGTGTTTTCCGCTGTGTTAATGTGGCGAGCGTTAATGTTTCATTGCGGCTGCTGGGTGCCTGCAGCGCAGTTATAATGCGCTTAATGCTTCGTTTAATGTGAATAAGTACTGAATTGACCATTGCTTTGTTAAGCAGTTTATTTTGGGAAGGAAAGCAATTTTCTCTGTGTATATTGTTTTATTTTGGGAAATGATCATTGAATAAGCTGATAATATTCATTCCATCATATCAACTGAGCGATTTGTGCACTGGCAGGAAAACGTGATCTGCTGATGCGACAGCACGCGACACATGCGGTGTTGCTGAGAAATCGTCCTTTGAGTTGGGCCAGTCCCACAATGCTACTTCAGGGAAACATACAGTTGGTGAGTTACCCTGGATAGCGATTCAGGCTAAACAGGAAAATCGAAAGTTGTACTGTCTGTGCAAATCCAGCATCGATCCAGAACCCATAACTGTTCAGCGCGTGGCTGCACCCTCATTGCACGGGCACTGGAATAAGACAACGGATCGGTGAATTATCGTGTGTATAGTACAGTTTACACATACGTACAAACGCTCCGCGTTTTAATTTACAGAATATAGAAAGGATGTCCATTGTCCGGTCCATTACATACCGAAGTACTAAAGCGTTACGCTGGACATTCATATGTCACAGCGTCATGTAAACAACTGCACAGTACAGAGTAAGTACTTACATTTAGGGTTTAGGATTGATAGCATCGAAATATTTTACTTACAAGTTTTGTGTGGAATTGCACTGTGCACTAATGGTAAGATATCCATATAAAATTCTATGTCTTAAAAAGCAGCCCAGCAGCTGTTTTGAGTTTTTGGTGAGTAATGAGTATCATAATAAGAAAGTATACTTCTATTAATTCAGCCAACGCCGTTCCTACAATAGTGGATACTTCTTTAATACTACGTTGGCTTTACGAATATCTATATAGAATACAAATGCGTGACTTCAGGTTTGTGCGGATACATAATATGTGCACTGCTTATCATTAGACCTTATTGCAAATCGGCTGCCCTGATCATCTTGTCGTGGATACACTTTGTGACAGACAAAGCCATTTTATGCAGTTAAAAAAGTACTTTTTGACAAGGGATAGTGCGGTGCTTGCTACAAGAACGGACATATTATTTTATAACGTATTGCTTTTACAAAAAAAAACTGAAAACCAAAAAGTTTTGCTATGAAACTTACAAATTGTATTCGGCTGCAGCACAGAAGTATTCACCGCGTACAATACATTGAGAGCCGAACAAATACGGTGTGCCTTAGTATATATTATTATGGGAAGCCGAAAGGGATGAATTAATGGGATGTCAATGCGGCAGTGGTGTTATTAGACGATTCGACTGCATGCAACGCAATCGAAAATCAATATGTTCACGCTGAATTTTCTAGACTTCATCCGTTTCCTCACACGCGTTTTTCTACTGATCCGGGAGTTAGGCATGGATGTGGTGACACAGTTAATACTTTTAGGGAAATGTGGTAGGCAATGCAGTTGGCCTACTAGGGTAACGTAATGCCCTTTTGATATTCTGGTGGGAAGTTAGCAGAAAATCGTATTTTGAAAGATTTATGTTTTATCTCATGCGAAAAATAAAGTTACAAGTCTGTTTCTTGTTTTTTTTCTGCACACTTTTGGTACGAAAATATTAATTAACCTTACAGGATAAGATTCAGTGCATTTTTAACACATAGCTGTTGCACGTAGAGTATAGCAGTTCTGCTGTACGAATTTGTCAAAGAGAATATGGACTGGATGCTTTACGGTCTTTAACCAACCGGCTTACTGGTCTCGGGATCAGGAGTAAGGAAATGCAATGCAATACATTATTATTATTATGAATATTATTACTATTTAAATAAGTACTAAGTACTCACCATGTTATGTCGTACAAATTAATACCAAAATAATGAGTATTTGTAAGTTCACAATGTGTAAAGCAAAACTTCGACAACTTATAGTGGCTTTATTTCAACGCTTCGAGTACATATTACGGCATCACTAAAAATTAAATTAGGATACTACCGAGAAACGACCAGAAACCTAACGTTTCCTAGCTGGAGTGCACCATTAAAAATTATAAATTTTGCCATAAGATAGTACAAGTGAGCGGAAGTTCAACAGAAAAGTTAACAAAGAGTAATCCTAAAGAACATCAAATAGTTGGTAAACTAAATAAATTGACTTAAAAAACCTTTTACTGGATTATTAAGAAATAGTGCTAATTCTACAACATCTTGCCAACAAAAATAGAGAAAAAAATTCCGAGGTCGCCGATGGAACTCCGCAAATGTTGATATGGCCACTGGTTCTCTTCACCCGCATCAACTACTCGGTGCAATGTTGGATCAGTACTTACCACACGCTTGCATAACTGCACAATAACAAAGCAGAAAGGTGAAAAGGTCACAAACAACGTGGATGTAGTGTTCCACTTAAGAGTCAAATGCACAAAGAAAATGAAAAGGAACAGGTACGAATTCCTAATCATAAGAGGACTGTTCTGTTTGTAAGGTCATCGGTACAAAACCACAAGAGATTTCTGCTCGTTTTATAATAGCAGGCCACATTGTGCCTTTGATATCCACCGCGAACTATGTATCGATTATCGAAGATATACGAATATGTGATGCAGGTTCGAAAAATTTGGTTCCCATTTGAAGAAACAATCGAAGATATCCGCGGGAGAGGCTTGAACGAGAATTTCGAAGAATAAAAGATGAAGCAGACTGAGATACTGTTACAGGTACAGAAGACAGGCGCTTTTGAGTTTGGTTGAGAGGAATAGTGGCCGCCACAGCAGGCTGGAAAAAAGCACATGAGTAATGCCCTCATTAGTTGAGAGTTAATTCCAGATCTTCAAGAAGCTATCCCATGAGCCAGTTGCCACCGCCATGCCATCTTCCGTCACGCCTAGACAACTGACGCGATTATCATGTCCGGCAAGCACGCCTACAAAGAAACGCCAATGAGCTAATCGCCGCATTCTCACGCGACTCCCCGATTTCCGTCCAGCTGTTCTACACTTTAAAAGGAAACTGTAAACATTTGTCTACTCTTTGCTTTACGTTTGCATTACTTTAAACTGATCCTTGTCTTTCAGTGGTATCATTCCCATTTTTATGCGATATATAGATAAACTTCAACCGTCAGCTGTACGCTGCGCTCCTTTCCGTTAATTAAAATAAATCTTTTATAGACAAATTAAAGAAGCAACACGTGGCACAGAGACAATGGAATACGTCGCTGTCGGTAGCCCGGGACGTGTATTAATTGCCTATGCTGATACTAAAAATTTATCGTCGACAAACTGTTCCGTGTTCGTTAATGTAGATCTTACCGGCGCGGTCCGCTTTCATTGAGTCCCAAACGTTACAATTAAAATCATCATAGCCAGCCAGTAGCAGACGTCCAGATTTTGAAAATGCAACGGAGGTTATTCCGCAAATAATATTATCGTGGGAGTACATGGCGAGTTCTTGGTCAGCTCTAATGTCAAAAAGTCGACAAGTGGCATCATCCGATCCCGTAGCAAAAGCATCCCCATTTGGAAAAAACTAGTGGAGACAAAAACGAAAAAATGTCGAAAGTAATCTAGCGTAAGTGTTAAATGATAGTTACAACTGAATTCTAAAGCTTCTTGACCAAGAACGAAAGCCATTGCTACGATATTTTTGAACAATCTTTGAATGATTTCCAGTGACTTTGAATGGATTTTTATGCGAAGTATGTATACATATGCTCATGAAATATGTTATGTTGTATACTATAATATTTCAGAATTTACTTTCTATATGCAATTTTCTTACCGTGACTGCGTTTATGTCGGATTCGTGTCCCGAGAAGGTCTGCCTGCATAGTCCATCACGGATATCCCAGAGCTGAAGAAGAAAATCATTCTATTGCAACAAAATGTGATGCACCCTTATGGATGATTTTTTTTCAAAATTTAACGATAGAAGCAGCCGTCGGATGTACACATACGGCAGCGTTATTATTAGGAAAATTTTGCTACGATTACTGTAGTGCAGCTGCATGACATTTCCGTTGTGACCTTATACACAGATTTGCTCTGGGCAATGAGCGCAATCAAAGCACAGCGCAAGCTTACTTTAGCGGAGGCATCGCAAGCACCGGAAACGAAGGTGCGCATGTTTGGAGATAAAGATAAGCTCATGACGTCCCCAGTATGTCCGGTGAATGAAGTGCTTTGCTGCCCGGTCTCAATGTCCCAGAGGGCACTACAACAGCACAGTGTTTAATTATAGTTCACGGATTAGCATCATCCACCTTTTAATACAAAATTAATGTAAACGCTAAAATTTCAAAAGTAATAAAATCTCCAGGAAATAGACTTTACAGTGTGAGTACACTGGACGCGATACCATAAACTACAATATCTATATTATGGTATGTGGTAACCTTTTTCACCTTTACTGAACTATTTCATACCTATCTTTGTTTTACCGGCTTACCATTAGTACACTGTTCATGGTAATTATGTAATTAAATACAGATTTCAGCTTCCAAACCATACTGTTATTTGGCAGCTGGTTGCACTTTCAGGTTAGATTATGTGCGCTCATTAGCATTGTTCCTACTTATTTACCAAGTCATATCACCGGAACTAGTAACGATTTGGCCATCGTCCAGAAATCGACAACAGCTCAGGTATCCCGTATGACCGGGGAGCTCCCTTGATACACGAACGTTGCCTTCGCGAGTTTTGAGACTGTATATGGAGCATATGTTATCCAAACCACCACAGGCAACATAGCTGCCGCTGGGAGCGTATGCGCAAGTCATAACCCAGCTGGACCTCAATGGAATGGCGTGTACCTACAATCCACATCGGTGCAGCTATTATTACACAACCAATCAATAATCACACTGTAAATCACCAAGAAAGCCTGAGTTGTTTTGGCTACGTGCGCTAAAAAGCGATAGTTTGTAATTTTCGCGTTTCTCCTTTAATACGCGCTGTAAAGCCACGCACTATAGACTGCCATGCAGCAAATTACGCCATACGCCAGAATTACCGACATCTGCCTTATATAAAAATAAGTAATGAATAAAGTTATGAAAAATCGTAAGGAGTACTTATTTTCATGGCTTTTCGAAAATTAATGCACTAATGCAATTACGACATTGCTGATCGTTCAAAAGTGTTGGAAAGCAAAAAACAATTTAGGAGTTCGACTTATCAGGCTTATTCTAAATACTCTAACTTGTAAGAGAGTGAAGAAAGTTTTACATTCCAGGAAATCTTCGTTTCTCGTGAGCAAGGAGAAACTGTAGCAAACAGCATTACCACTTGATGTGACGTCAAGAGAAAGATAGATGTTATTGATTTTTGCACTAAAATATACAGTTTACAGCTTCGTGGCCCACATCGCCCATCGTCAATATTACAAAATGTTGCGCACTGAGCAACCTGCAAAGCCGACTGCAGGAGAACTAAAATTATTGTGTTCCCACTGCACAATCGGCAGAGCTGCGCTTCAGTACTGCACTGTACGGCACGTGCACATGAGAAGATCTTTTGATAATTAATTTAGTTTAGAATTAATAATATTTTTATCCAGTTTCTCCATAATTATTGTTTCAACTGAAGAACGGACACCCCCAAAGACGACCGGTCTTAAGTAATGCGCACTCCAATTGCAAGTTTAACGGTGTGTAAACCGCACGACAGTACAAACCTTGTTAGTTGTATACGAATCCCAGACAATAAGCTTCCCATCCTGAGAAGCGGATACCAAATTCCTGCAAATACAATTATGAAAATTATAGAACATTGTCGTATGCATTATGACGGCCGAACTGTTTAATTTGTAAGAATCTGTACTCGTAGGTATTTCATCGAGTTTGGAATACAATAAAAAACCTGGCGGTTTGATGCAGATTGATGTGTGACGCTGGTTTGCGTAGTTACTGCGCTTAAAAACGACTCGCCTTGAATCTGATCCCCAATGCATGGCATAAATTTTTGCGAGGTGACCTCGCAGGGTCCTTCTGGTCCTCATTTGGATGCGCCCGACCGGATCCATATTTGCGGTCGCTTGAGCCAGCGTTGTATCGCATGCCGCTTTCCGTGCATCCTACATGAAGCAACGTACAATTAAGAATTGTCTAGAGGAAAGCTTGACGTCAACGCTAAATCTACAAGTGCCGCTATTTTGCGCTTATTACTTCGTATTATATGAAGCATTAACCAGTAAAATTGTTTCTTATGTTTTGTGATTCACAGCTAATAATAACTCCCCCTGGGGTTCTATCGGAACAGCGCCATCACGAATGTGGAAATTAAAGCAGCCCAATAATGAAAGCCAGCAGAATAGACATATTTCCAACTATCAAAAAGCCAGATAAATTTGAAAACATGACGGACCTAAATTATAATGGACAAATAAACTATTGAATTCAGTGCATTTTTTTCTGTTCTTGATACATCAGCGACAATCAGTCCCTACAGAATGGTATTTCAAGTATTAAGTATGTATCATTATGTATATGTATGTCACTATGTGTATTCTAAACCATATTATATGTGTTAGTATAAATCCATAATTTTAATTTCTCAACATAAAAATTGTTTCTTGAGCCGGACTGCGGTAATGCCCTGGTTTCATTGCACTGTGTTAGGAAGAGTAATTCGTTAAAAAAATTATATGTGGCGTACCCGTCGCTCGCTTACGTACTTCGTTCAGTTAGATACAAATACATATTAAGTATAACCAATCCGACCCAAATTAATTAGTTTTGCTTTACTGAGGTATCTACAGTTTTGACGACACATCACAAATAGGAGTCTTAACTTTTAACTCCGAAATACTGTCAAGAGTTACAGTTACGGAATTGCTCATATATCTATTTATATACGAAACATGTCCGTGTTGACGATATGATACTGCCTTGGCGCGTCTGGACTGTGCGCGAAAACTGTCGCCGGCGAATGCTTCTGGGCGTTAACCCGAGTGACAATAATATAGTAAATTATACTACAGAGGAACCGGAGGATATAATGGAAGCCGATACCGAACCATGGATGCAGACTGCGGGCGCGCGCTGGATGCGGCTACAGCCAAGTCAAGCACCCTATCCCGGAGATCGATCAAGTAAACCTTTAGTCAGCATCACGTGATTGCCCATGCTCTGCTCCCACTATCCAATGCTGCCGTCGCCCGCAGTTCCCGGCCCGAAATGTAATCCTAAATTTTACTGTACACAGGACTTGTGTATGCCGTATTACAAGACGATCCGTGTACGACTGCACCACAGATCCCTATGAAATAAATCGTCCAGCACAAAGCCATTAGGGAATGACTGCCTATCTCGTGCAACTCCTTCCTTGGATTACACTATTTCCACGTCGATGAATCATAAATGTGTAGTGCGTGCCATAAGCCCATAATATATCGCTGGTTTTCTTCAAAGCTTACTTAAGCAATATAGTTGATTATTTTGTATAGGCTCAGTTACGGAAACCGGCGATAAAGTCGTGGTTTAATTAAAACCAGGAATAGACAGATGCATTTTTGCTTTCACTTTATCGGCAGCTGTCCTACGACAATAGAAGGTGTTCATTGTACAACACAGTAACTGTGCATAAACAGTAAAGAAATACTGACCAAATTAAGTTCATTTAAATTCTGTGCAGTTGAATCCTCAGCAGGGCAAAAACACCGGCCCAAAAAATTGTGAGCTATGGAACCAGATAGGGCGTGAGAAAATTTTGTGATTTTGTTAATTTATCGCATTAATTTTTCTGGTATATTGTGCGGCAATTTGTGCTTGCGGCTTTTTCTGAGGTCTCGGCCCGCAGTTGTTTGCTGAGGTTGGCGGCTATACATATCTGTACAATGCCACTGAACTTCGCACTGTAAAGTTTCTTTAATTATGTTTAATTATGTTCCTCGACAGAAACAATTTCCTTTAACAACTACTCGCCAGAAATAGAATCGTAAAGGTTTAGCGCTACATATTTCTTGGGCATTATTAATTTTATTGAAGTCAGGGCGACAGTCAGGCTGCAGGTGGATGCTATACCTATACGATGTACGCAAATCATGTACCGGCTGCAATTTGTTAAGGGTCATGCATAAGCACATTAGTACAAACATTAATTATATATGTACACTGCGCTGCATTAATGGCAAGGTGTGGACACGTTGTGCCAAAATTAATTTTAGCAGCATTCGTAAGTTTTCAGTTAAGAAATGTACAACGAGTTCTACTGCGCGAGGAAATTTTCCATACTTAAGATTTTATGTTTTTTGACTAGGTACAGTATTGTAATTAACAATACCGACGCATCCAATACAGTTTTGTCCTCAGTTAATTAAACGTGTTATGGTATCCAACACTTACTCTGATTGTTGTACGGAGGGTTTCGGCTTCCTGCCGTAACTGATCCAGTTCACTCATACTGATGCCGATCGACGCCTTCTGCGCACTTTCCGTTTGATTTCGGCAACGAGAACAGGAATGCGATTGCTAATAGTGCTGCACTTGCAGGCTATCTTTGCTTTCCACCACTCCACGGCCAAACAACTATCCCAACTGTCATCATAAAGCCAATTATATGCCGATGACTGAGGGGGCAATTCCTGTTGAATGCAGCATGAGCATATGGTCATCCGGATGTTAAGATGCGGGAGGATAATTGTCAATCATAACGTGTTAAGTGGATTCAAAACAAAAAGAAGTTAATCAGGGAAAATTCGGGAGGAAGAGATATGACAGAGATTTAGAAGAGAAGGACAATCGCAGATATTGTCTTATGGATACAATCATATAGATCGACCTTAAGTATATCGGAGGTTTTCACATAAACTGTTCATAGCAGAGAGCTTCAGAGAGCTGTTCATAGCAGAGATATGTCAGTATGATACGGCTTGTGCAGTGTGTATAATACTATACGGGCGGCAACAGCTAGGGATCGAACATAACGCCAACAGAGCCGGGAACTTAATTCCGCCAGGCAATGGGAGTAGCGACTGGCTGTGAAATACAAGCAGCAGATGTGAAGTTTGCTTTATCCATGCAGCGCCAGGGTGGCCATGTGCTGCTGGGTGCTGTCACTGCTGTGCTGTGCGATCGCCAATCGGTATATACCGTAGCTGCACTGCAGCGCGCGAACACAGTCTTAGTCGACTTGTTTAAGATCCGTTCGATACATGGGGAGGAAGTAGCTGTGCCGTGAAACAGGAATGCGCAGCGAATGCGGAAACAGCCCGGTTTTTCTTCGGAATAGTCTAAATGCGGTCTACTAGATGTGTGGCAATGATCGACGATGAATCTCGCTTTATGTCGATGTGACCACAGCATCAGCCGAGAGCTGCTGCGCACTCGCTCGTACACGCCGATCGTGCCATTGACGTCAGCGGCACCACCAGGACTAACCGAAGATGATCGACTCCCGCATTTGGTTGCTCATTGTAACGGGGATGTTGCTGCTGCATCTGCTAGCTGGCGCGCTCTAGATGCATCATGTGTACGTCTATCCCAGAGAGATGGATGCCTGATGCACAAGCAATATTAGATCAGGACAATAAAGGGAAAAGGGCAGGGAAAGCGCCATCCATTCCCTCGCATGTGACCGAGCTGAAAGCTGAGTTAATTTTAACTGGTCAACCATTATCCGCGATACAATTGCGATACGCAGTTCTGCATTGTACATATTGGGGAAGGACATCAATTACATGTATCTCTTATTGTATTGTACAGTACATAGTGTTGCATAATAGACTGCGCTGTGGCATTAACGTTAGGACAAAGCATAATAAATCGCTCATTCCATACAGACAGAATGTTTCCTGTAAAGCGAGGCATACAGTTTCACAAATAAAACCATGTTCCCACTAAGACAGCTTAAGATTTTCAAGTGTGTACATAATACCACTAATAATTTAATTCTCCTTTGCCGGTAAACAGGATTTTCAGAGGAGCAGCTATTCAGTCCATCTCTATGACAAGAATAAGGTTGACGCAAAGGTGAAGTAATGCAGCAGCTGCGGTCTGCGCGAACCAAAGCCATTAAATGACGTCTACGGTTTCCAGATTTGTAGCACCCAAAGCGTGAAATACGTACCTACAAAGGCTACATGAATATTTTAGAAAAATCATACATTTTAATATGTCTCAATGTGTACACACTACACAGCACGATAGCTGGGCATCGCTCAAATAAAGGACAATGAAAAATTCAAAAAAGTCTTTTTAATTCACCTGGAAATCTGGAATTTGACCTAACCTTACGTTACATCTTAATATAAACAAAATTAAAAGACTAGCACTGACTTCTTTTGGTTTCGAAAAAAACATTTTTATGATTAATAAAATTGATCCTTGACAATTAACTTATCCGGGAGTAATCTCCCGAAGTCAAATCACGCCTCGCCGGATGACCTAGCGGCAAAAAATCAAATAAGTACTTTTACGAATCTCGAAAAACCGCCCCTATCAGACGGCATTTACGTGTGCTCGGCAGCCAACCGCCATCAGTCGCATTAGTTTTGAAAAATGGCACAGTAGGTGGATACCGACTGGTGGCACACTGTGCGCATTGCTACGTTTACCAGTTTCGGAGTTTTCGATTGCGTCAGTCCAGCAATTCCCTAAATCTACACTTGTGATCGGGTTCTCCGCAGATATGATGGATGGTATTGCAGTATCGAGCAGCCACCTGGCTGAACAGAACCTGGAGAAGCTTAATGTCAAGGAATTAACTCCTTTGACGCCAGAAGTTATAAGCCGGCAAGCGACGCTCAACATCGGCACCATTGGCCATGTGGCTCACGGAAAATCCACGGTTGTGAAAGCTATATCTGGCGTCCAGACTGTCCGTTTTAAAAATGAACTAGAGAGAAATATCACCATTAAGCTGGGATACGCGAATGCAAAGGTAAGTGATCGAGCGCGCTTAGTTAGTTATCCACGGTAATCTGGGAGACTCCTTGAAGTTCGCGGACTTGGGAAAGCCCCAAAAACTCGAAATGTGGTTTAATTTATTTAGTTTTGCTTTTGGCTTCTGATGTTTACTGTTTGCGGAGGGAGATTTTTTGAAAATTTCTGGGGCTCAAACCTCTGTCGCGACTGAAAAGTACCTAGACTGTATGATACAATGTTGTGACCGAGTGCAGAGTGCTGTGCTTGTTCTCTATATATCTGGTTCACCGATGTTCTTGTTCTTAGATTTTTAAATGTGATAACGAAGAGTGTCCGCGACCAGGATGTTACCGTTCAGGGGGCAGCATGAAAGAGGATGTGTTTCCCTGCGATCGGTCCGGGTGCGGGGGAAAATTCCGATTACTGCGTCATGTTTCTTTTGTGGATTGCCCTGGCCACGACATTCTGATGGCTACCATGTTGAACGGCGCGGCTGTAATGGACGCCGCACTGCTTCTGGTTGCGGGCAACGAATCGTGTCCGCAGCCCCAGACATCGGAACATTTAGCTGCCATTGAAATCATGAAATTAAAACACATCATTATCCTTCAGAACAAGATTGACATTGTCAAAGAGACTCAAGCGAAGGAGCAGTATGACCAGATTCTGAAATTCGTTCAGGGAACGGTCGCCGAAGGCGCTCCGGTAATCCCCATTTCTGCCCAGTTGAAGTACAATATCGAAGTATTGTGCGAAATGATCGTCAAGAAAATTCCTATTCCGCTGCGGGACTTCACATCGGAAGCGCGCCTGATTGTCATTCGATCCTTCGATGTCAACAAACCGGGATGTGAAGTGGACGAACTGAAGGGTGGCGTGGCCGGAGGAAGTATTTTGCGGGGCGTGCTCCGCGTCGGTCAGGAAATTGAAGTGCGACCAGGGATCATTTCGAAGGACGCGGACGGCAAGCTAATTTGCCATCCCATTTTCTCGCGCGTGGTGTCCTTACTAGCCGAGCAAAATGATCTGCAGTATGCTGTTCCGGGAGGCCTAATTGGTGTGGGCACCCGCATAGATCCGACACTGTGCCGTGCCGATCGTTTGGTAGGGCAGGTTCTGGGTGCTGTTGGATGTCTGCCGGCCATCTTCACCGAATTGGAAATGTCTTACTTTTTACTGCGCCGCTTGCTGGGTGTGCGGACAGAGGGAGACAAGAAAGGCGCCAAGGTATCGAAGTTGACAAAGAACGAGATTCTCATGGTCAACATAGGATCGCTGTCCACGGGAGGCCGTGTGGTAGCCGTAAAATCGGATCTGGCCAAAATCAGCTTGACGAGTCCTGTGTGCACAGAGGTTGGTGAGAAGATTGCCCTTAGCCGTCGTGTCGAAAAGCACTGGCGATTGATCGGATGGGGCCAAATCCGCCGAGGGGTTACCATTACACCCAGTCAAGTCGGCGCTGGCGGCAATTAAACCGTATCTTATTTTTTTCTAAATAAATTGTTCATGGTTTTTTGTTTCGTTTTTCATTAATCACTTTCTATAAAAAAAAGCTTTAATGCTGTTGGTGACGTTGAACATTCTGGCAGAAGTGAATTTCTTTACGGAAGATGACAAATTGACAACTCACTACATATTTAGAGAAGTCTACAAGAAACAATGTTCAGATTAATGTGTTTTCTTGGCGAATATACTCTCCGAGGTCAGCTTGGTGAAAAATTCCTGTGGCGATAGGGTCGGCATGCTTAATTTCAGCGCTGGATTTCGCTGCTACTCCAAATCCCTAAAACATAAACATTAAGAAAAACAAACATAAACAAAACAAACCATAAACATAAACATTAAGAAGCTACACAGTACACACTTATTCTGAAAAAGTGCCAAAAATAACGTGATATGCAGCACACTTATGTTTTAACTGGGTTCAACTTCACAAAATCTGCACAATCCATGATGTAAATGCAACCTCAGTACAGTTTCAAACGCACTCATGCACTTACTAATGGGGTTTCCGCCGCAGAGAAAACTACGATTCCGGCATATTTCGGTGTGTTGTCCGATATCCTGTGTATTCCTGATATTGCGATGTTGTGACCGTAAAGGAACTGCTGCTCGGCATTCGGTTTCAGCAAAACACGAAACTGAAACCATGCACAAATATTCGTAGTTCATACAGAAGTATTTAATACAATAATACTGAAGTATTATGTAAATTTACATAATTCTTATGCCGTGATAACCATTCTCACCTGTGCATAAGGAGCGAGAAAGTCCAATGCCGTAATGTGCAGGCGAAACTTCCCTGTTTTCGTCATTTTTCCAAAACATGTCCCGAAGCTAGCAAGGTTGTCGCGACTAATCACAGATGCTTGCTTAACCAGAGATTCTCTGCAACGAGGGACTTAAATTTTGTGTTATGGCTATGAATGTGAAAATTTGTACGCTACCGGGTGGTTCGGTGTTTCACAATACTGCTACCCAAACACATTAGGCAGAAACTAGAGAGCCATACCGTGCGTAGAAAATTCTGTCATTATGCAGTCTGAAACAGTATAATCCATCCGGTCTATCCAGCAAACGCTTGATATTGCTCCCAATACTACAAGTGCAACCAGTACAACGATAAGTACGAAACACACAAAATAAATCACGACTCTCACACAATTAAATTTTAGAAAACAATTTTAAAATAGTAAGATGCCGACTAACAGTGACTGTGAAATAACAAGTTCAACCTTGTTAGAAGTTAAATTAATGGGAATTTCACGTTGTCCAAATAGTACAGTCATAACCAGCAGCACATTACCACTTACTATTTACTGAGCTTTTCGAATACTAAACGGGCCTCCTCATCCGTCAGGGGGCCTCATTCTGGAATCACGTTCAGCGGACTTTGTGAAATGGTCCGGCTCACATCAGATAAACAGCACACAAAGCGCTTTTTTTCGAAGACACACACCGGTTCCCCGGTAATGCTCTGAGCCTAACAAAAAAGCAACGTCTAAATCTGACTGTACTCGTACAAATACGACTATACGAGTACGTACAAATTGTTAAAGCAGTACGAATTCTACCATTTGATTTGTTACACTTACCCAGCTATCTCACTAATTAGTAATATCCAGGTATCGCGTTGTCTCCAAATGTTCGCGCCGCTTCACTCCAGAGGAACAAATATTCTACGCAAGAGCAGTATGCAAAAGGCAGCAAGTTGCAAAACGCTAACAAACTGAAACAGAATGTCCCAAGACCAATGACGATTAAAATTGTGATTTGTGATGATGAATAAATAATGAAATTATAAAGCGCGGTATCAGACGTTACACCAAATGCAATAATTATGAATAGTTGTAATAAAAATTTCGACAGAAATTCTACTCTCACTGTCTCACAAGTGAAATTCAATGAAATATTGGGAACGCAGGTTCTTCGTGATCCACAATTTACGGTACTGCTGCGAAGGTGCCAAACTTCTGCGGGGTGCGCCTGTTGCAGATAGCTCTAACAGGTACAAATGGATTGTCTGACGTCACTGCGGATTACGTGTGTTGCCGCTGTCAGCTTCGCTAAAAACTTCGACAAACACAGATGAAACACAGAACACGGCAGCCTCAAGGGTATTTTGTTCGTAAATAAATGGTCATGGACTCATTTGTAGACAGATTTGATATTCCGTATTACAGGATGTTTGTTTATCTTTAAAGTTTGAAGGAATAAAGTATCGCAAATTATTGCCTAAATTCCGCTGATTAGAGGTACATTTTCTCCTGCACCACCTAACTGAATTAACTTACTTTTATTGGATTTGGACTCTTGGGTATTTGGAAGTTGTTTATTTTATTCAGTTCTGCGAACACTGCGATCTTGATATTTAAGCAAAACTGCGTTACTGCGAAACTCGCCTGATGAAAGCTGATTCCCTATCTGGTGTGAAAGCGAATAATGTCATTGCCAGAGTGGGAAGAAGAAGCGTCCGCACAAAAGACCCTTTTGTCCATTAATCGCAACAACCTCAAACGGCGAGCTCCTTTGAGACCGAACCACGTCGGCAGCGCTATTCCGGAGGTCAATTCGCAGTCCACCATTCTCGCGCCAGACATCAGGGAAGACCGGTGGAATGTCGCTCTGCTGCTGTTTCTTTACGTATTGCAAGGTATATTTTTGAATAATGTGCTTTGTCGAATTGCGTGCACCACATTACTTATTCTTATAGTCTTATTGCTGGTATCTATCATTTATGAAAGTAAGTAGCGCTGTCAATGACGCTTTTCCTAACATCAGATTGCTTAGCCAGGTTTACCGAATTTCTGTTTTCAGGCATACCTTTGGGACTTGGAGGCAGCATTCCGATGATTCTCAGCAGTCGCCATGTTTCCTATCACGACCAGGCATTTTTCAGTTTGGTATTTTGGCCCTTTAGCCTAAAATTGATCTGGGCACCGATTATTGATTCCATTTATTCCAAAGCCTTTGGACGGCGGAAAAGCTGGCTGATCCCGACGCAGTATCTGATTGGAATCTTTATGTTAATTTTGTCTCTGTCGGTGGATTCCTTACTCGGACGCCAACCAGATGGAAAAAATATTATCGGTGCCACTCCCAGCATTGTCATCATTACCGTCATATTTTTTACTCTGAATTTTCTGGCATCCGTTCAGGATATCGCCGTGGATGGCTGGGCTCTGACTATGCTTGCTAAGTAAACTCGTTTGGGAAAATTGCGTTTTGGAAACTTATTTATTTATTTTTGTAATCCGGATTTCCGAAGCTTCGTACAAAAGCGTGTAAATGTTTTTGAAAGCTTGCTGGTAAAATCACCTCGCAGTTTATTCCGGTGTTTTTTGTTCCTTGCGATTTTTAGACTAAAAGGCTAAAATATGGCACATATTTAAACTTTTGTACGTACCGTTTTCGCAATCGGAAATACCTTTACGAAATTTCTTACACTTTTGTTTTGTCACATCCGGTACACTATGTCTCGTTCGTTGCAGACGCAATGTGGGATACGCTTCTACATGCAATTCCGTAGGGCAGACAGCGGGCTACTTTATTGGGAACGTAATGTTTCTGGCTTTCGAATCAGCGGATTTCTGCAATAAGTATATCCGCGATGAACCCGAAGCCACAGGCATGGTGACGCTCCCTGGTAAGTTTGGCACTTAATGAAAACACATTCCGCATCAACCTTCGAGTGCATTGCAGTTCTATTATAATTGTTAGGCTTTTTATGGTTTTGGGGATTCGTCTTCATAATCAGCACTACGGCTGTGTGGATTATGAAAAAGGAAGGCGATGATGACCACGATGCTTCGGAGGGTGTGCTGTCGGCATACAGAACCTTGCTTAAAATACTCAGGCTGCCCAGCGTTATCAGATTGTGTTTGATTCTGCTAACCTCCAAGGTGAATATCACCGTCAATATTGACTTACCTGTGAAAGTCGAATTGTTATTTTTTAATCTAGGTTGCATTCTCGGCTGCCGAAGCTGTGTCCGGTCTGAAACTTATTGAACTGGGTGTGCATAAGGAGCAGTTGGCTTTACTTGCTGTGCCGATGGTTCCTTTACAAATCATTCTTCCGGTGTTAATTAGCAAGTATACAGCTGGACCGAAACCGATGAATATTTTTCTTAAAAGCTATCCGTGCAGGTATGTTGGATTTTACAGGGGAGCTGGAAAATACATATTGCTTAATTGTGGTCATTGTTTTATGGAAATCATCTCCAAGCTGGGCGTTACGTGTAGGAGGATTTTACCCGAAACTTCTCATTATAGATTATTAATGGGTTTGGAATTTGCGCTGGTTGTGTGGATCACACCCAAGATGAAACTAGCGGATGGGTCATTTCCTGCGCATTATTACGGATTAATTTTACTGAGCTATGCAGTTCATCAGGTAAGCCTGGCAGTCGGTGTAAAACACAAGCTGATGATAATAGGGTTTTGCGAATGCTAATCTGGTGGCGGTTGTGTTTGTATTTAGATTGCTTTATACGGAATGTTCGTGTCAGTGATGGGATTTTTCGCGCGTATTAGTGATCCTATGATTGGTGGCACTTATATGACTTTGTTGAATACGGTATACAATCTGGGTGGCAATTGGCCGAATACGTTATCGTTGAGCCTTGTGGACGATCTGACATGGTCTTCCTGTCAAGGAGGGGGCGCAAGTGGTATGAGCTGCAACCAGAAATCGCAAAAAGATGTGAGTTGAATTACGGGCACATTAACTTAACTCATGGCGATGGACTCGCGGATAATCTTTGCAGTTATCACTCCTGTTGTTCGTAATAATTTCTGGTTGCTTTTGCAGGTTTGTGCAGCTGGAGGCGGCAATTGTGTGGTGGATTTAGATGGATTTTATGTGGAAGTGATGGTTTGTTTTGCTTTCGGATTAATATGGTATCAGTTTTTCCGGTCACGCATTCGAACACTTCAGGAACTGCCGGAGCGCTCGTGGCGCTTGCAGGTGGATGACGATAAATAGAAACTCCTGGCTCAGGGCGTCTGTCCATTCCGCTTTGATAATATTAAAATGACCGTAAATGTTTTATAGATGGAAATATGTTTTTTTTTGGAAGTATTGCTTTTAGAACTCAAATCTCATAATATAACCCGTGTCATTTTTATACCTCACAAACAGTTGTTTTTTTTTGCATAACTGGAAGATGCTCTGTATCGGTGTTTCGCCTTTCTAATCAAGAAAAGGTGAACAGTTACAGTTTATACGTGTTTATTTTCTGCGGAGTCTTGATCAGTATTTATTAGTATTTTTTCACTGTGTTTAACTGGTTATCCAATCAGGGGGTTAAATCAAACCATTTTGAAGCGTAGTGTTCTCAATCAGTTACTAATAGAAGTACCGCTTATTGTTAGCTTATATTTCATGTTTGTAGTTTGAAAGCGTTAGATGTGAAAGGAAATGCAGAAAATGGTTTTTGTATGTACAAAACAGATTCCAGATTCGTTCAGTTCCAGTTTGCAGACAGTTAGGATGTTGATATTACCAGGCGTCCACTAAGACGTTATTGATGTTTTTTAACTGATATCGATATTCGAAGCCGAAACCGCCACTGGCCAGTATGAAAACCGAAAACCAATGCCAAAAGACCTATAAAGTCCAAGGTTTTGGGAGCTAAAATATACTGCACGGCAGAACAGCAATCGTGATCAAAACTTGAATTTTTCTTACACCTTTGCGTTGCACCACAACGGTACGAAACCAATTTAAACCATTTGGCAGTACGATTATTTTGATGTACTGAGCATATGTTCGATCTTTGTTCCATAACCTTTCTTCGCCACCAGTTTGTTTGTTCGTCCGTTTTCTGAATCCTCTTTTTTTCATTTTATGGCGCTGAAGTATCACTCCCACTTTTTCAGCGAGCTGGGCTTGTTGTGATAAGGAGTTGTATGTACAGAAATAATTCGTAAAGCAAACAAACGCAATGTACCACACTGCGAATATCGCTACCGACTTGTGATTTCCGGTCGAATTGTGGACATATGCCGCATGTATTGATACGACATTACCCTCTCAATACCGCATCTGTCTCACATTGCATTTATTTGTACAAACTGCCTGAATTAACCTAAAAAATTTGCGGAATGCGAAAGTACTGCAAAAAATTAGCGCCCAGAACTCATCTTCCTCAGATGTTACATTTGACTCCATGCATAACATTTTTTCTTTTATACTGTTTAAAGCTGATAACGTATCTCAAGTAGAAATAGAACTGCGTACTCCTTAAAACTGATAAAACAATGGATATACGGACAGTGGAATATAATATGCATACAGATACAGTACGTGGCTGTACAGATGGGTCACATGACCCCATAACGCGTTGTTAAAACAGCCTTCTGGAGGGTCGGTGCCGGTGGTCAGATTACACTGAGGTTAAAACATGTCTTTCCAAACACCCTTTTATTGTTTATTAAAGTAAATTTGCGTTTTCTGATTACAAAAATTCAAAATTATATTTTGTGGAGAATGCGTGACGTTGCAAGTACAAATTTCATGTAAGCATGCGTATTGCTTTAATTGACTGTCATCCATCAAAATTTAGTAAATATGACGTTTTCAGCATTTGCTGCAACTGCGTAGCAGAAAACTAATAAAGTTGTCGTTATCGAGAACGGATCATGGGATTACATACTCTCATCTTCTTATGTATACATCATAAGAACACGGGTGTGTCTGCCATCAGGGTAAAACTTTTTGGTACTTAAAGAGCCGGGTTGGTGGGCTTGAACGGTCCATAACATGGCACATCGTACATGAGCCATCGATTATTTTTATTTTCCGTCCGTGTTGCATGCTTTTGCAGACAAAAAACGCTATACGTATTTAAATCGGATACGCTTTACCAGTTACACTTTGTCATGATTGAAAAAATGCCATCAAATTTGCTTATAGTTGTATTATAAAGATGTTCCCGGGATTGTACCGCTTGGCTTTTGTGGAGGGGTGTGTGATAAGGAAAGAAATGCAGATCGTCTCGTCTGTCAGATGCAGTTAACTTGGCTGTGAATAATAAACCAAATTTTAGCACTAAAATATATTTGATATTCGCGTTGAATCTGATCTATATAACATTAACAGATATCACATCCAGTAATAGGGTTTTGTCAAACCGAAATGGATGATCCTACTTGTACACATTTTACGACTAGGGCTTAATCACAGTTTTAGTCACATACAGACGCTGTACTATGCAACTTAAACAGTATAAATTAACCTAGGTTAATTATTCAGCGCTAAATAGTCCGGTTTAATTAAGATCATGATGGATTTCATCTTACAATGAAGTATTAATTTAAAACATTTAAATCTGTGCTAACTTGTACTGAGTTAACCGCACGCAGTACAACGATTTCCGTTGCCTCATGATTGGAACATGATATGTGAAAACATTAATGCAGTAATGTAAAACACTTCTGTAGAGGTTGCGACTGATCTCAAATATAGTCGTCTAACTCATCGGCAGTCAGAGATAATTATTGTAACAGCATATATATGAAATTTGGTTTTCGTGTAAAAATTATGCATCTTATGGTTGAAACAGAGCCAGAGATAATTCTGTAGCAAGCGATTGATAAGTAAATTTGTGACCGTTTGGCAAAATAGTCGTTAGCTACCCATTGGTCAAAAATCCTGATTGACAGTGACAGTTTAAATTGCTCTGCAACACATTTGCCGATCTGTATTGGTGCTAGCGGACCGCCCAAACCGTTGTCTTTGATGTATTGAGTTACAATCAATAACGCCGAACGGAAGTCCTTACGGAAGTTGCACTTCCTACCATTCCAGCTCGTAGATGGATTGCGCTATATATCTTCCGCACAGCAGTACAAGATCCTCGCTGTCTCGCAGTTCATGTCTCTTTTTTATTCCATTTTTACCGGGTCTTGTTTTTTCCCGGTTCGCAAGATATGTGCGAAAGGGATCGGTGTTGGCGATCGAGTAGGCGACAAAGTGGCAGTCGTTCTCATAAACTCCACCCTGAGCAAGATTTGAACAAGCAGCATCTGGTGGAATGTTATTCTTTATTACGAGTAGTTGATTATTTGGTGATATGAAATTACTCGTCGTGCCGCGATTGGATCTATGCCCGATTATATGTGCATTGGTGATGCGACGAACGAGCGGAAAAAGCGATTCTCTACGCCGATCACAGCGGTTGTTTTTCCGTAATAGACCATTTTAATAACCGGTTGTAATCTGTGTGTTGTGGATTTGTGGATGTGTCGTGTACAGGGCTCATCACGCAACATTTCTTTTCCATTAGCACCAATTGAGCAGTCGTAAATGAGCTGAACTTCCGCATACAGTGTCTGCTGGCGCGCTCAGGGATGCAGCTGACAAAAAAATGACCCCTTCGCTGCTAAGTGTCCTGCTTGGCGCATGCCATGCATCTAGCCGGCTAATATCCAGCTTCCTGCGCGCGATATCGCTGTTTTAGCGTGTACAGATAGAGGATACATTCAGCAATCTTTGACCAGCTTCCCGCCATGATCTACGTTCCTGTAACTATTTTCCGCCTATTTACGTCATTGTATATATTAGCGGTTCCCGGTAAGTTGTAAAATGTTTGTTCAAACGGGATTTTCGAATAAATTGGTTAGCGCCAGGCAATGTGAAGTGCCAACGAGAAATGTATGCAAATTAGTGGCACATGTTGACAGAAGCTTTTCAGCGGATGTTAAAGAGACTGGCAATATTCTATGTGTACGGCGAGGACGCAGATGTGCAGGCTGCAATTGGCATAATAAATTGCTGTTAAGGGAGAAACGCTGAGTTTTTCTGTCGTTTGTAAAGGACTGGGATCGCCTACCACAGCGCCTGTGATAAGGTCGCAATTTACACCGGACTATGCTAAACAGCCCGCGCTGTCCACTTCCATGGGCTACAGCCGAGTCGACAAATTCGGTGCCAGTTGTGATCTACTGCCTAATTTCCGCTGTGCATCGGGAGATTACTGCATACCCGTCAAACTAGTCCTAAATGGATATAAGGATTGCGAAGGTAATTATTATAAATACTGAATATCATGGATTTAAAAAGGATTGCAGATTAATATGCATTTTCTGCAGATGGCTCGGATGAAGACGCCCGTAAAATTAACTTCTGTGACTTGTAAGTACTTGCTCTGACGCACCAGAGAGGATACCGGTAAATCAATTCGTAATTATTTTTTTTACAAAAGTGTAGTACAAATAACACCTAGTAACCTACTGTACACAATAACAATTAATGTTTTCGCCAACCAGTTGCAAAGAAACCAATATCCAACAAAGGATGGACTACAGAAATTAAAAACCATAAATAATAAATAATTATATATGCATTCTTGTTCAGAAGAGTCGTACAAAACTTAAGCGCTACGTCCTGAAGACCACACTTGAAGGGCGGGAAATGACATCTTCATCGTGTCCAGTTCGAGCCATATCGGGTCACATTAAATTTAACCGTACACGTTATGTTAAGTCAGATTTCATTGTTTTTCGGTTAATCTGTGTTCACAAACCGTACTCTGTATAAATTCTGCATATTTTACTCATTGATCCAACCTTTTAACGGCAATCTTTTCCATCTGTTTTCGTACAAAAAGCAGTTATAAAGGAACACTGCCTTTTTTATGTACTTGCGGAAGTGAGGATATTGCGCTATGTAAATTTGCGTGGTTGCGTTAGTAGTTAGCAAATGCGTAGGCACACCGCCCATCAGATGCCGGTGACGTCTTGGGTTTCGGCATGCTAACGCTGGTATTTGTTTAATTGATCTCCTTCACATCTTCGGCGATTCTTGAATTAAGAGCGTTGTTGACTGATCTGGTTAATGGACATAATTTATCCAGGGGGCCATCCATCCACCGCTGTGCTCCCAATTCCAAATGTATTACCAGCCAATTTGGATATCGATGTCAGTGCCTGGACGGCTACACCGGCGATGGATTCTATTGCGAGCGTACGTCGAATTCGAGAGAGAAAAATACCAACTGTACCATATGTCATTGTTGGTTTGCGTAATGTCGCATTCCCAAAAAAGTCCGCGGTCATAAAGATTTAAGTGGCTGTGATCGAAAAAAGTGAAATTGTCATTAAAATAAGCCGGGCTTCTTCCTTATGGCGTAGGATTTCCCATGGGCATCCAGATAACCGTCTCCACCAACGATACACTGGAAGATGTGCCGGTATCTTTCAACGTCTCCATCCTAGTGTTTCCCAACGGACCCAATTCAAATCTGTCGCTGACCATTGTCGGTCTGCCGGCCAATGCCAAATTCAGTGTGGGCGCGCCGTGCAATGAAACCGCCTGGTGTTTTACTGAAGACGACTTCTCCTTCGGCACATATGTCAATACGGAGTTTTTTCCCCCACGGGACTTTTCGGGTGTTATTCCCTTAAATGTCATCGCCGAGATTTACCGCGATGGTTACTGGGTCACTGGGTATAGTGCCACCGCCTTACAAGTCATTCCTGTGCCTGATGCGCCGTATTTACGCGTCGGTACGGTGTGCTATGCCAGTGAGGAGACGGCGGAAATTATCATACCAGTCAATGCCCGCCTGTCGGACACTGATGGTTCAGAAGAATTAGAAATCGATTTCGATGGACTTCCCGATGGGTTTGATATTTCCACTTGGACGGATCAGGCCGGTAATTAGGTTCCTTATCCATATTCAGCTATTTCCGCTATTGATGGCTGTGATAAGTGTGATGTCAGGGCTGGTACTGCTGCGATTACAGATGATGTGGTCAATGTGGATACGGCCAACATGCCGGCGGAGAACACTATCACTACGCTCGTTATTAAACCGCTGGGCGAGCTCAACCCTTTCAACGCCACCATCTCCGCGGTGGCGCGTGAAAAAGCCAACGGAAAAGAGAACGTCACCGCCAAGAATATCATGATCGCGAAGTGCCCACCTAGTAAGTGTACACATAAAAAACAGCATCTAATTCTCACATCTGGTGCCATCAAAATAATGGTCTTAACTTGACTGTCATGTGACATGTGCAATTATACCTACTGAAATCATGTTACGAAAATCCACAAAATACGATTCATTGGAATTTATATTTAAAAGTTTCGCATTCTGAAATCAGTTTTCACTTATTTTATCGTTGCATCGATCGTATATGACAAATTTGTCCTGCGTTCGGCGGGATTTTATGATCGGATTATGATGAAGTGAGGGATACGCCGAAAGGCTATCCAAACATGTGCTAAATGTTTTTCCTGGATTTAATGCCCGCGCGTTTCTATATTTGAGGCATTTGAAAGCCGATTACGTCTGCATTGTTTTTTGGCCTTGAACCTATCCAGCTAACAGATTTAATGTTCCTTGCAGTAAGTGATACAGATCGATTGATAGCAGCTCTTCCCATACCCGCATAAAAGGTCACAGATCAGTGACCATGATAGACATAACCGTGACCGAGAGAATGCTTCAGTTGCGAATTTTACTAGCTAATTATTAATGGTTTGTTTAGCTGAGCGTAAACAATGATTATAGTCCAATTAGGAATCGATCGTGGCGTAGGGATGCCGGGATGGTGCCATATTCCAGGGCTGCTGCTGCTGTGAATTCTCGAGTGCAGTGCAAAGGATTATCATACTAATATACCCATGTTATGTAATTATTCCATCGTAATGAATATATCCGGCTCCTGTATAAACCGTAATTAGCAAGCAAATGACACAATAGCAAAATTTTGCTGTTTAATCGCTAATGATAACAAGTAACGATAGTCGATAGCAATGTAGGCCTATAGGACTACATTAAATAAAAACATAAAAACTGCGTAACAAACCATTTACTCGAACCAGCGGCTGTCTAGCTGGACAGCCGCTGGCACGAGTAAATGGTTTGTTACGCACAATTTTGCCATAGTGTTCCTTATTTTTCACAGTTTTTTCCCTATTTTTTCCACTTATTAATACCGCTTATGGTAAAAGATTATTAGTAAAAGGCTTGGTTAGCGCATTGCGGTTTTCAATACGTGCCATGATAATCCATTTAAGCTATTTTTCTGTTGTAAGAATAATAATTATTAATACGTATAGCAAAACGCGTTTGTTCTGCTTCGTACACAGTATGTATACTTCGTATGGACTGGTAAAATTAGATTGACATTCGGTTTATCCAAACTGTATACCAGACTCGAGAATTCTAAAACAAGGGCAAAGTCCAAATTTTGCGTTGGAATTATTTATGGATAAAACCGGAAACACTCAAAACTGCTGTAGTACTGATAGCTGATACCCGGTGCGCCGGCATTAAAGCAGTGCGACCGCGTTGGCCGATAGAGTTGAAGCTAGTAATCAACATGCATAGATCCATCTCAGATTGATTGATGAGAATTCGCTATTTGGACTGGTGGTTTCTTGTTTCACTACACATAACCATCTTTCATCTGCAGGCACTTTTTGTCCGTTGTGTCTTGCAGAGCCCAACATGAGCGTGATCTTTGACGTGCCGGAGCACGATATCCTCGAAGGTCATCCCATTCCGCTGCGCATTACTGTCAAGGTAGTCTCAGTTGCCCTTTGGGCGCTATCGCACACAACCACAGACACTGTTGGCAAACACTGAAAATGGCCTGACATTATTCTTCTTGATGATAATTACAGTTTGATCTGGAAGAAAGTCCCCGATTAATCTCCATCCAGCTGACCAATTTTACGCAGGGCGCATCGCTTAACCGGGGCCGGCGTGTGGGTAGCAGTTGGGTGTTGTCGCGCCAAGATTTATCAGCGGAAGACTTATTCTTAACGCCGCCGCAATACTTCTCGGGAGAATTGACACTGCACGCCCAGAGTGAGGCATTATACCGGGGATTTCTGTATAATTTGGACTCGGACGCCAGCATCAAGATAACCCCAGTGGCGACCACGCCCCTTCTGCATGCTTATCCCGAAGTAATCTGTCTGACGGGCGCCAACACCACCAATGTGTCCTTTGTCATTGACGCGGCCCTAGTGGATGTGGATGGATCGGAACATCTGGTAATTCAGTACAATATCCCGGAAGACTGGATGGGATCAGCTGGCACTTCTTTTCATGGCAGCTACAGTCTCATCACCGCACTGCCACACGAAACACTTAATGTCACTGTCTCCACGACCAGCGGCTTCCTCTATCCAACCGAAGTGCCGGTTGTGGTCATAGCCATTGAGAAGGAGAATGCCGATCAAAAAATTGTATTCCAGAAAGTCAAATTAATGAGCTGCGATGCGGCCATGTACAAGCAATCACGTATGTATCCAGGACACACTGCGTTTCTCCTCTGCGCTGTGTCGTAATGCAAAACGACTTCGTTCGCACATCCACTGCATTTACCATACGAAGCAGACGTGCAAAAAATCGATATCATTAACAGACGTTTAGATTTAATTTTCCTAAAGGGAATGAATGAATACCGTACAATCACCATGTAAATGCAACTCTACGAAATTTAGTTTTAGTAGAACTAAGATTATTTAAAAACGTGTATGACTAAGCACTTGCATGAAAAATCTAGTTGCTGGAGTCGAACAAAAGCAAAACAATCTGTGTCACAAAGTAACAGTAGATTACTTCTATGATTGTCTCATTCGTGTTTTTGTAGTACTGCGGCAAAGGACAACACTGATATGGAATGTTACAACGCCCGCTAGCTTGAATTCGCAGTTGCCGATTAATTTCGGCATCAATACTAGTAGCTCGACGTCGATATTTTCTCCCGTGGGGAACATTACCAACTTTACAGGTTGGCAGTTTCACAATTCGTATATAATACTGTAGATAGTGAAACGTAGTATTAGCAAAACCACTTTAATTATTCTTACAAATTAAAGCTTAAATCAATAAACCTGCTGGTTTTCTTAATACAAAGTAATATTACCCGTTCACAGACAACAGTTTCCCGGAAGGGGCGGCGTCGGAACTTGATCTCGTCCAGGAGGGCGTGGACTCCGCCCAGGATGACGAATCGGTCCCGGTGCGGTCGAACCGCAATTTCAGTTTCCTGGAAATCACGACATCCACGCCATCCACGACCACACGTAATCCGCTGAAAGTGCAACGATTAGCCAAAACGACGGAGGAGAAAACCGTCCGACCACAGCGCACCCGTCCAAGTAAACGCCGCAAGCCGAAAGGACCGCAAGTGCCGGGCCGGGCACAGATGGACCACGTCAAACTGGAACAGTACGCCACCATTGCCAACGGTACCGAGGATGTGCCGATCGGCGTCAACATAACTGTGATAACGAAGAATGCTCCTGTCCATTCCGCGGTACAGACCCGCATCTTCGGCCTCCCTCATGGCAGCTTCATGACGCGAGGAACACTGGAGAATCTCACCCACGCCTGGCTACTCAACCAGCGTGACCTCGCCCAGACACTGACGCTGTATTTACCGCGACATCTTAGCGGTAAATTCTCCCTCACGGTGGCATCCAGTTTGAATCTACCGCGAAATAAAACGCTTGTGGCCCGCGAAAACGTCGACCTGCGTGTGCGACCGGAAACGGACAGTGGGCAGTTCGAAATCACGAGTCCGTACTTTTCCTCCAAATGCTTCCAGCTGAACGACAAACGGCTGCGGTTTACCGTACGGGTCAAACTGGAGGACAACGATGGGTCGGAGGAGGTGGAATATTTGGAACTGCGCGGGCTGCCTAAGCACGCGCGAGTGGAACCGGGACGGATTCTCAACAATGACGAAGCGTATTTAATTTTCGGCCGGGAACTGCCTACTTTTGATATAATAACGGACCGAAATTTTCCGCAATTTGATATGACATTAGATGCGAAAATCCGAGAGAAAGCCACTGGCGTCAAAACCAGTGTTGTTAAACAGATTCCCATTGTGCCATGTTCAGGTGCCTCGCAAACAGGTGCGTATGGTAGTGATCGAAACTGAGTAGGCAACAGGAACATTAAATTTTGCACTGCATTTAACGGCGACACTTTTAGGAGATTTACGACGTTTTGGATGGACCAAGCGACTACGATCGTCATTGCTTTTTCTAATTTCTCTGCTTTCTGCAGTGATAATACAAAAATTAATTTGCTGACTTAAGTACATTTAGCGAAATGCATACTCCAAATGTTTTCTTTCACGCACGTGCAATACCTCAGCAGATCAAAAATTTATTAAATCCTAACAGAAATTCGTTTTACTGTGGAAAAATATATACATGACTACAAGGCACATCCAATTTCAATCAGAGACCGTAAAGTCCTTTAGTCGTGAGCAAGCACAAAGAACTTTCCAGATAGCGGAACTTTGATCTGTGCGTGGCGCCGAGAATCGTTCAGTCGGATTCGTCTGGATCATCTGAAAACAGAAAAGATACTGTGTCCAAAAACAGAAAATAATAAATCTGCGAAAACTTACATGATACATAAAAAAACTTAAGGAATCAACTTGCAAATTATTCACAATTAAAAGGTCTGTACTACAGTATTATTTGCATTTCCGAACATCCACTGTATTTACAGCGACTAGACTGACAATGAGCTTCTCACCACTCTCCGGCTCGATAGGTGTCCCTGTGAATATGAGTTTCTCGCCATCCAGACGAGCGGTCAATTTGCTGCATTGTGGTATCTTCTGCACCAGAAACTCCATCAACCTGCAAGACACAAAAATTCCAATTTCTCAGTACTGTGGAAAGAAAATATCACAAAATCACGTGCAATAACTGCAAAGAACCTCACGTGAATAGGAAAACTTTTGCTACCGAAATAGATTAAAAAACCCAAACGCGAACAAGCAACTACTTCAGGACGGACCAAGCTCTAGCACATTTGAACGACACAAAAATTCGTACAAAATTATCCCCATCAAAGTGCTTACTCATCATGTCTCAGCTCGTGCCAAAACAGTTTCTCGTTACAGACGCTGCACTTCCACCGAGGTTCTTTGCAAAACTGCTGCAAGGATAGGTAATTCTCCCCATCAAAAAAATTAATGTGGTCGCAACGAGAGCCTTTGCAAGCGTTACGGATCGGTTTGCACGTCACTCCGCAAAGTGTCGGCACAGATATCGTGCTCGGCGGTACTCCCGATGAGTTCGTGCCAATAAGGATATCATACACTGCAGCAATTCAATTTTCAAGCCAAATAATGACGGGTGAAATACTTCGATAAATCTGTTCGATATTACTTGCCCGTTTTCAGTGTAAATCTTGCTGGAATCAAAGGAGATGCCTTCATTATTCCTCCAATAGATCGAGGTTTTGCAACGAAAATATAGCCTTCATACTAAAAACAAGCATAACGCTTCTAACCAGTAAGCCGAAATACGTCAGACTGATACAGTACATAAATAGCAGCTAATACAAACCCGACAATGAAATTTGGCATCTTTTGGTCTTTCGGGAAACTTGAAATATAACACATTTTCTTCGCCCGCAACAATTCCGGCTAATACAATCGGATGACTAAAACAGGACAATTTGCTTTCCCAATCTTTCTGAGCAGGCGGCTGAATTGCCTGCAAAGATGACACCGGGTAAATGGTCGCAAAATTACGCAACACACAATCCGAAGTGCTTAACCTTTTTGAATTCTGATTTCTTGGAATGATCGTTTAGTGTGTAAACCAATCCCAGTGGATGCGTGTGTTCGCAATCATACCGTCCAGGTCCGAGAGTACGGAATGTTAGTATCACGTCACATCCATCACCACCTTCGGGTACACTGAAATTTACCGTGTTCGGAATAAATAGTCCAGTTGCAGTGCAACCTAAAACATAGAAAAAATAATAATAAACGCGTAAGCGGCTTATGCAATTAAAACGATTGCTGTACCAAAACCAAAATGCGCCAAACAAGAATGGATTTCATAGAAAGCTGGTTCCCAAATGCCCTGCAGTACACCAACATTCGCAGGAGATTCCATAGATAATGGAGAATTCGAAATCTTTAGCATGTCTGCAACATCGAAGACGCACTGATCGATTCCATTCTCGTTTTTATCCTGTGAGCAAATATCCAGCACGGGATCACGGGCATAAATTCGGCTTTTTCTGGAGATAGCACCGATTTCCGTGGGCAGCGTTAATATGTTAAAATCTTCAATGACTTCGGCATTCTGCAGTAAGTTTTTCGCTGTCAGAAGTTAACAATCTTCACATACAATGTATATAAAGACAGCTCACTTTTATTTTGGGATTTCGCGGTGAGTCCAAACCTTCGTGAGTTTTATCTGCTTCAGCGACACTACTGCCAAATCAAGCGGACTTTTACAATGAACTCTTCGGCATAAACTAAAGCTAAATGATAAATTACTGACCATGTGCTTTTGTCAGTTTCTCCAATAGTTTCCGAAGTGTTCAAGAGCGTCACATCCCCGTCATCCTCCCTGCAACATTCGATGCATAATATACAGTCAGACATTGTTAGTTAAACTGCGCATGTAATGTACCGTATTATAACGATAAGTCCAATACACGCGCAGTTTAACAATGCTAGTCAATCTCAAATACATTCAGAATTTGGAGATTCTCGACATTTTTCTCACTCTGTCTGCGAAGCGTTAAGTGGTGCGGGTATTTCATCCAACACCGAAGATTCCATAAACTCCACACAGCTGCGCACAGCTTGAAAGATTTTCACCGCTTCGATACGGTTTTTCTCCGAACCTCTGAAATAGCGATTCACACACATTTCCACTGCTTTCTTGTTCGTGATGCCGGAAGTGGCTCGGATGCTGAAGAGTGCCAAGAAGTTCTTCAGTTTGGCCATGGGAACTTCGGAAAACAACTTCTACAACGACAACATTACAGCATAAACAATTTACTACCGCAAAATATTAAATAATTAATGAACCAATTTACCACCATAATCGATTATGCTCTCTTTTTAAACCTTCAGTCACTCACGTATCATCCGACTAAGACATGACAGCATAATTAATAAGGACCAACGTATCGGGATTTCGGGAAACCTAAAAGCTTCAGTACCATGATTACCTGGATTATCCGTCTGTCGACCAAACTAAGACTCCCACATCGCGTGTGGTGCAGAATAACTTCTTCCAGCGTCGAACTGGACGAAGCCATGCTGATTGTCAGATACAAGGATGATTATTCAGTAACTAAGCGTAGAGACTAGAGTTTCCCAAGAGAATAAAGAAGGACTACATTATCAATAGTTAGGGAAACCTTTCTCCACCAGGAACGCTCCCTTAATCGGCGAGGAGCTCACAGGGCCTGACAAGTGTGAAGTGACAAAGTCACAACACATCATAGACGCCACAAACTCGTATACTAAATGTTCGTAAAAGGGGCGCACATTTCGCGCAGTTTCTGATGCTCAGCGGCTCACATGCGCCAGTGTGCACTGCGCACAGTTCCGGCTCGCCCATGAGGCGACACTTATGGGTGACTGACCGCGTTAAAAACTTCGAAGCAAGCCAGTTGTCCCAAGTTTGAAAGAACACTTCCAAAAGTAATCCAAACCTCTGAGTTCTGAGTTCGGGCCGAAAAAACGTTTTAATACGGATTACTAAAATTTATTTTATTTTCATCATTCAAAAACGTTCTGCAATTAAAAATTATAGCTTAATAATTAATGTTCGAATTTTTGTTATTTTTGTTAATTTTAAGCTGAGTGAGTGTTTTCCATAGCTTTTCGGTTTACAGTTTATACTGCTGTTTTGAAGCAAATTTTGATCGGACCCTTGTGAAACTATGCATTCTTGATTTTTGGATATGCCTGCTATCAAAGTCCCGCAAATGCCTCCAAGAAGATCTAGCACCACCGATACATCCTCTGGTGTCCGTCGTGAAACTTCCAGAGCTACGACTAAAACGCCATCCGTAGAACGATCCACACCGAAACGTCGATCGAGCACCACAAAAAGCGACATGACTTCTAAGAGGAAGCGTCCATCGAAAACTGCGAAATCGCAGACCGATAAAGATGCCAACAAAAACGGCACCACTGGAAAAAGCCAGGATTCTGACACGGCGGCATCATCAAGCACAACTGCTGATGAACCCATTTATGAAGTAGAGCAGATTAACGGAAAGAAAACGGTGAAGGGGAAGGTCTTCTATTTAGTGAAGTGGTTGAATTGGCCGAAAAGCCAGTCGACATGGGAACCTGCAGAACATGTGGCTCATTGCCATGAACTGATCCAAGAATACGACGAATTTCTTCAAAATAAAAAGACCAAGCGAGCTTCATCTGGGCGCTCCGCGAATAAACGCTCCGAAGCAAGAAATTCCAATTCGCGTTCAGGTATATTCATTGTTGTAATTTTTTTGGCAGAGTTCCAATTTGAATTTCAAAACTGAAATTCTGCGGCAGCTTTATAGATTTGTTAGCCTCTTACGGTAAATATTAACTTCAGGGACGAGTTAAGCACTTCTCGGATGGTCACTTGCCATTTGCTTCGGCCGGTTGCGAAATCAACAAATCCATAAAATTGTAATGAAAATAGACAGTTCTCCTAGCAGGTGTTACGAAAGTTTTCTTTAGTAAGCTGACCGGAATCGTTTTTCTGTTTGATTTCTTATCAAGGATCATGAACGATTTTTTACTGCAAAAATTTCTAGCAGCATACTGTCATACAGCGTGGCAGTATTAAGACAATACAACCAACGTGTTCTAAAAATGCAAGCATTTTAATGAATCTAATTAATGATATTTATACATAATAATTTTTTGTATACCCCATGTATGCATATAACAAAGAATTATCATATTTCCGATTTCCAGATACTCCTCATCCTGTTGCCGTTGAAAAACAACTGGATAATGCTGAAAAAGAAGCCGTTGACACAGCTGGAAAGCTGACTGGTAAGTATCAGCGGTCAATGCTTTCCTTGTCAGACTGGGAATGTGTAGGTTATTTCTCCTCCAAAAGCATAATATGCATTCCCTTAAGTTTTTTCTTTGCTTATCCCCTTGCTCTTATTGATATCTATTACTCCCGTTCATACAACCTCAGGCCTCAGCATTCATTAACGTGTTAGCTTCAGAAGCTGTTTCGGAACCGTCTAACTCTACTGGATTGGATAAATTGGACATTGTACTTATTAGCGAAGACGAATCAGGTACATACTAATCGTAACTTATTGTGTTCCATGTTGTAATTCATGGTTCTAAATAGTACAGTACCTTTATGTGTTTTTTATACTTACTGTTCAGATCATTCGCCGCCAAACAAAATTAAAGTTAGGAGCACTGCTCCAGTCAAGAAGGTGGAAATATCTTTGGTTCCACCCAAACCTGCTGAACAGGATGTGGAGTCTGTTGATATAGTGGAAGAGAACTCTTCGGAAACCGGCTTGGATTTGGCTGATATGGAAGATAAACAGCCGTCGTCTCCTGCTTCGGAGGTGACAAAGGAGCCGTCTTTCGAAGAAAAAAAGGTTGAAACGGCTGACAAGGAGACGGAGATAAATTTTCCAGACGCGCAGCTCTCGGAGGGGCTGATGGTTCCCATAATTGATTATGACAAAACAGCAGATGTAAGTATGACTTGATATGATTTATTCCTGTTACGAAGATATTTATTCTACTGAAATAAACATTTCGATGGACTTACCATTAAATTTGACATTGCTCGCTTTTAGGCGAATTTGTTACTGGATCTGAGACGACTAGCTATCAAGGTACAGAAACTCGTGGGCATGTCGAAAAAGCCGGGAGATCCTGATTTACACGTTGTTATCCATTTTGATGGATCGCCGTCGTTTTGTCGCAGCTATCCTCTCCGTGTTGTACGGCGGGCAATACCGGAAAAATTAATCGAGTTCTACGAAAGTTCAGCCAGGATTTTGAATGAGTTTTAACAGTGTCATCCGCTTAGGTTAATGTTAGACACTACACATTTTAGTGCTTTCATCTGTTTTTATGTATGGGTTTTAGTTTTTTAGCTGCTCTCAGCGATCTGAGTTAGGTTGTTATGAATGCGGTTTCGGATTATGCGTAACTTGAAAGCTGCATGAAACCGCTGCTGTTAATCGCCTTTAAATTATTGCATCTTAATCGACTATTCCAGTTGTTTATATTATTGTTGGAAGGATAAGTTCGCAAATTTCGCTTTCGATGATGTTATCTTCAATGTTTTCCATTGCTGTTGTACTCATCCGAAAATTTTAGCGCTAACTCGTGAACTAATTAAAACTTGCGTTGCTTGTTTTATTTTTGTTGATATTTCCTAACAATAAAAGCGCGTTTGCCAAATTCGTAAGCTGCGGTAGTTTGTACTTATGGAATGACTTCGGGCTTATGGAGGGAGTCGATTTTGGAACATCGTATGCTTCTCAAATTCTCAATATCGTGTTAACCAACAGCGGAAACTTGAGGCCGGGTCACGGAGAATTGAAAGAACAACTGGTTTGAATTAGCGGGAATTCATGCTTTTTCTAAATGAATAAGCGCCCCATCCGGGTGGATGGTTTGCACTTTGAATTCGATTTAATACACTGGCGCAAATTAAATAAGAGTTTTACAAATTTGCAACAAAATTACTAATATATTATATGTGCGGTACATACGTATTTCCATTGAGCACTGGCAATAATATTTGTAACCTAACAAAATTAATAAATTTTCAAAATTGACAAAAAGATTTGCCAAAAGGCCCGTTAATGGAGTCTCCGCTAATGGAGTTTGGGTACTGTAGTAAAGTGTAGTTGCAAATTGCAATAATAATAATAATACAGTAATAAACATCAGAAAGTTTACTTTAACCGGTTTCATATTGATTTTACTTATTTTAATACGTAGTACTTTGTGACAGAATCGCTTGTAAGCGGTCCAACCACCCGGGGAGGACATCTGTGTAGCAGTAACAATTTAACGTTGGAGTTTCCAACTTGGAAAGGACGAGTTGTGAAATGTGACGTGGCTGTAGAAAGCTCCAAAGCTGAACTTCAAAGCAAAACATGCACGGCTTTGATAAGCTTATCTTTTTAATTCTTTTCGTATTTTCCGTTTGCTCATATAAACTCCGAAGCATCCGTGATTTCTTTCCAGCGGAACTCTTGGTTAAAAAAAATAATTGTACCCACAATTAATTTTGTTTTTTCCGTATTCCATCGCATACATTTTGACTTACCTGCTTTTTATCCTAGTCAAATTTTTGTTACTGTTTGACGTCCACTCGCCTCTAATCTCCACCGCTCTCTGCATTTCCAGTGTGCAATTCCCTCATCCTGCAGGCGGACTGTTTAACGGGATTCGGTTGTGCAGAATCATTTGAAAAATGGTGAATAATCCTTTGCAGTTGTGCTAGTTACTGGCCTCTAAGATTATATGTTGTGCGTTATGTACAGCCGCTGCGTTTGGACATCAAACGGAAGTTGTCATGTCGGTCGGATCGTGTGAAGAGTGTGGACTTGCACCCGACCGAATCCTGGATGCTGGCCAGCCTGTACAATGGTCAGGTGCACATCTGGAACTACGAATCACAGGTAGATTGCCCCTCTAGTGCATCCGCCAGCGTTCCACATGACATCCTATGGCTTTTTGTGCAGACGATGGTGAAGACCTTCGAAGTGTGTGATCTGCCCGTGAGGACCTCCAAGTTTGTTCCGCGCAAGAGCTGGGTGATTACCGGCTCGGTAAGTTCTTTTCGCGTCTGCGGGATACTGTTTCCCGTAAGAATGTGGGATTAATTTACCGTCTGTGCAGGACGACATGCAAATCCGAGCCTTTAACTACAACACTTTGGAGCGTGTGCATAATTTTGAGGCGCATTCCGACTACGTGCGCTGCTTGGCTGTTCACCCGACGCAACCGTTTCTCCTCAGCAGCAGCGGTTGGTGCCGCCCTGATTTTCTGTACTGGATTGGGCTGATTTCGTTGTGATTTAGACGATATGACCATCAAATTGTGGGACTGGGACAAGAAGTGGCAGTGCGCCCAGACTTTCGAAGGACACACGCATTACGTGATGCAGATTGTCATTAATCCAAAAGACAACAACACCTTCGCTAGTGCGTCGCTTGATCGAACGATCAAGGTAGGTTTTCCTTAAGCTGATGAATTTTGCAACTATTTACGGTCATCTCACTTGGAAAATGTCGTTAGAGATTGTTATTTAATTTTTTTCTGTTAGTAAAATACATCAGCCCTCTATGTAACCATTAGTAAGATTAAATGCAAGCACCCTTAGTACTTTACCAAAGCAAGCGCAAATAATGCTCTTGACATACACTTTGTATTGAAGCGCTTGGGACGCTGTGCGAAGCTGATTTTTACACATATTCAGCTGAAGCCGATATACAGCGTTAAAGTCGCGCAATTACCCGTTTATGTGCGCATTTAACTCTAGCCATTTCCCAACAAGTTTGTTTCAGAACTTGTTGGTTTAGATCTGGCAACTTGGATCATCGCAGCCAAACTACACACTGGAAGGTCATGAAAAGGGTGTCAATACAATCGATTACTATTATGGTGGTGAAAAACCGTATTTGGTGAGCGGTGCTGACGACAAACTGGTGAAAATTTGGGATTATCAGGTACGTATTTATACAATTTTCTGGTTCTTAAGAATAAGAAATTTTTATGATCCAAACTTCTGTTCACTGGGTACGTTTTTAGAACAAAAACTGCGTTCAAACGCTAACCGGACATGCGCAGAATATTTCGGCTGTTGCCTTCCATCCTGATTTGCCGATCATTTTGACTGGATCCGAAGACGGTAATATTATATCGTATCAGCTGTGCCGATGGCCTTAAGTTTATGAAATCGTTATACTAAATTGTTTTCATTTTAGGAACTGTTCGAGTGTGGCATGCGAACACATACCGCCTTGAAACCACCTTGAATTACGGCCTAGAGAGAGTGTGGGCCATTAATTGTTTAAAGGGATCCAACAGCATTGCCATCGGTTATGACGAAGGCAGTGTCGTTCTCAAGGTAAATAATAACGTTGTAAATGCCGGAAGGTGCGCTGGTTTAGTAGGTTTATATGTGTCATCTTTCCAGCTTGGACGCGAGGAACCAGCTGTTTCGATGGATAACAGTGGTAAAATTGTATGGGCAAAGCATTCCGAAATTCAGCAGGCCAACCTCAAAACTGTTGGCGATGCCGAGATTAAAGACGGTGAACGTTTGCCACTGACTGTGAAGGATATGGGCGGGTGTGAAATTTACCCACAAACCATTGCTCATAGTCCTAATGGCCGGTATGCTAATCTTAAAAGAATTTGAAACTGGACGCATGATATTGTGATGCATGCGGACTTCAGTTGTGATACATGCAGTTGTCGTCCACCATGTGATCTTTTTGAATTTTTTTTTGTTTTTTACAGATTTGTTGTGGTTTGTGGAGATGGCGAGTTTATTATATATACTGCCATGGCTCTGCGCAATAAAAGTTTTGGACCGGCCCAGGAATTCGTATGGTCGCAAGATTCGTCAGGATATGCCATTCGGGAGAGCAGCGTTTCGTTGAAATTATTTAAAAACTTCAAAGAAACGAAATCGTTTAAGCCGGATTATGGGGCCGATGGTAATCAAAAGGATTTGATTGCGCTTTCTTTGTTCCATTTCATATATTATGGGGCTTGATTTGTACAGGAATTTTCGGTGGGACGCTGCTCGGTGTAAAAGCGGCTAATAGTCTTGCTTTCTACGACTGGGAAAGCAACCAGATGATACGTCGGATCGAAATCCAGGCCAAGGGGGTGCGAAGGATTGCATGCCTATTTTTTCTTGATAACTTGTACGTGAATATGTTGTAGGTGTATTGGGCGGAAAACGGCGAGCACATCGCCATTGCTACTGATGATAGCTATTTTGTGCTAAAATACGACGCCAAGGCTGTGGCTGCTTTCCTGCAACGTGGAGATGCTGTACCGGAAGACGGTGTTGAGGAAGCATTTAGCGTATGTTTTTGCCGCTAGTTATCATGGTTTCGCCTGCGATATTCTTTTGGTTCACGGTAACGCGAAATAATGTTTGTTTTCGATTTAGGTCGTCGGTGATGTCCAGGAAACAATAAAAACCGGTTTTTGGATTGGAGATTGCTTTATCTATACGAATACCGTGAACAGATTGAATTACTACGTCGGTGGAGAAATCGTTACCATTGCACATTTAGATCGGTAATGGTGCAGCTAATGCTCGTTTTAATTTGGCAAAACGATCTTAAATTTTTTAGAACAATGTATCTGATCGGGTACATTCCGAAGGAAAACCGAATCTACCTTGTCGATAAAGATTTGAATGTCGTTAGTTATCTTTGCTTGCTTTCCGTTCTGGAATACCAGACAGCCGTAATGCGGCGAGATTTTGCCACGGCTGACCGAGTCTTGCCAACAGTACCCAAGGAACAACGAACCAGAGTGGCCCAGTTTTTGGAAAAACAGGTAGGATTTTGGACCAGTCAAACTATTCTCTTTGAAACTGTTCTCGTTACTTTCAATGGTTCTGCCATTAGGGCTTTAAATCACAAGCTCTGGCGGTCACGACTGATCCTGAACACAAATTTGAACTTGCTCTGCAACTCAAAGATTTGAAAACGGTTTATGATCTCGCGAAAGAATCAGAAGTAAGTCTTTCTGTGTTTCATGTTTTCTTAGAAACTATTAATTGATTTAAGCTTGACAATCTTGAATTTGGCTGTTTTGATTTCTATAGTCTATCCATAAATGGAAACAACTAGGCGCCATTGCGTTGAAATCCGCCGATCTGCATTTGGCTGAAGAATGCATGATTCACGCAGAAGATTACACTGGGTTGCTCTTGTTAGCTCAGTGTTCGGGCAATTTGGAATTGATGAAACGCTTGGCTTCGATGGCCGATGAGAAGCAACAGTATAACATTGCCTTTACGTCGTATTGGAGTTTGGGGAAGTACGTGAGACAACAAAATTGAGCCTAAAGAAGTGATTACGACGTTGCATCTTGTTTTAAATGACTTTTGACTTTTGTGTAGGCTTGAAAACTGTTTGGAAATTTTGATCAAGTCAGACAGATTACCGGAAGCAGCATTCTTTGCGAAAACGTATGTTCCGAGCCATATTAACAGAGTATTGGCCATTTGGAAGGAGAAGATGGGCCGAAAGAATGCCAAGGCTGCCCAGGCGTTGGCTGACCCGATTCAGTATCCCAATTTATTTGGAAACTTCGAGGATGGTCTCAAAGCAGAACAGTTTTACACTCGTGAACGGCAAAACCTTGTGCCAGCGAACCGGTATAATTCTCTCCCGGTAAGTTTATAGCTTGTATTTCCGGTTATTTAAAAACTTTTGATGAAAACGAAAAATTTCATTTATCGAATTGAAAAATGCCAGACGTATTTCTTCTTCATACTCTGCTGGTTGTGGACGGTTATTATTTATGTTGTGTCACTTAACCGATTTTTATCCTTACAGAAAGTTGACGAGAGGAATTTGGTGGACGAAATGCAAAAAGCTGCCGAATCTGGGCGTTTTGTATACGATCCTGATGCAGCGCCAGCCAAAGCTGATAATGTTGAAACATTAACGGAAGGAACAAAATCTGAGGATGGAACATATAGTTCGCATGATCATGAAGAGAAATTTGAAACTCCTTCGCTACGCCGTCCTGTGGAAACGGAGACCATGGTGAGACACGCATCACCGGTACAAAATCCTACCCGTGCCACGGTTAATGGGGGCGACAATTATGATATTAACCAGCTCGAAACCGAGCTGGAAGAATTGGATTTTACGCATAATGCCGAAAACCATGTAAGTTTAACATGATAACATTTTGTCGTGCAGCACTGGGAATTCAGCTGTTGCTTTTCTCACACAGATCGAACTGGACGAAGACGACCAGAGCTTAATTTAAGCATTGGTAAAGAGTTTACGCATTTTTTATATTTGTCTTTGCGCTGCTACATTTGTAATTGTCGTATGAGGTACCCGAACACCAGAATTCCATGCTGTTCTCTTACATTCAGCAAATTTTATTCTGTCCGCTATGCGAATTGTGCTTCTTTTGATTTCTGTCAGATGGGGTTTCGTACTCTCTAATTATAAACTATTTATGTTATTTAAAGTGTTGCACCACATGGTTTGCGATGTTGGAGTATCGTTTTGACTTGCCGCTATGAAAATATTGTTGTAACCAGAGTTCATAACTCGCAGTCATGGCGTCACATTCTGATGCAAATATTAAGTGTCCTCTCCCGGCATTTACAGTACAGTAATGTAATCACATTTACAGCCTCTATTGCAGTTACTCTGCTTTGATGCTAAAGGCGTGAGAGAACATACTGAAAATAGTTTGCAGATTAATATTACAGATTAGTAAATAATTGTCTGGAATCAACTACGTCGTCCGCAATCCCAGAATTTGCCGCAACAATAAGAAATAAAGTGAATTATGACCGGTGATGCATGCCTCCACCCGCATAAAACCGTTAGAACTTATGTCTTGTTAAAACTAAGAGTCGAATCGAACAGTCACTAGCACAAAGGCACGGATTAGACCGGATATCAACCAAACAACAGATTTTTTTGTTAGTTTTCGAATTTAGATCGGTTTTATGCAGTGTCATAAGGAAGGTTTAGGATTTCAGGAGTATAACGGACTCACACGCGGTCTAGGGAACGAACTGTTGTTCAGAACAGGATACTGAAATCGCGAGACATTTGTGGATACCGGCAATGTCCGCGGTAACGCGACCATCGAATGACCAGTGCCAGTTTGCGCCGGTTGACCGGTATGTGTGGCGTAGAAATTAGTCAAAGGTCCAAATGGCTGCAGTCCAGAGTTGAGATTGGCCCACGACTGTAGAACGTTCATCTGGTTGCCCGGATTGATTGGAGTGAAAACAGTGCCGGCATTGCAGTGCTGTGTAAAGGCACTATTGGGAGATTGCGGTAGTCCCATCGTCATAACAGTCCGGTTGCCATGCGCCGAAAGGGCATTGGGCGGAAACGATGTGCCTGGATTAATCTGCACGGTAGCTGCCGGTGGGCAGTTAAACTTTGAATAATTGTGTTGGACATAGGACGCATAATTTGCTTGGGAAACTTGGAAAGCGGTTCTGGCATTTGGCGGGAATGAGAAAGGAATGGGATTGTCGAAATGTGTGCGTGTTGGAATTAAGATGTCGGCTATACCAGCAATTGAGTGATTCATCCGATAACCCGTGCGCTTCATTCTGCGACGTCTCTGATAGTTTCCGTCTTTGTACATATCCATTGCTGCTGGGTCGATTGCCCAGAAACAGCCTAGAAGAGTAGAAAATTCCAGAAAATTGAAAAATCAATGAACAAAAAAAGCAAACTGCACTTTAGGCGGATATGCATATCAAATTTAAAAGGACTTTTAATCTAACACGGCAATGATGTCTATCAGATGCAACAGTTTAATTTACATACTGACCTTTACGCTCTCCCATACCGGGCTCCCGCGGAAGTTTAATAAAGCAGTCATTGAGGCTCAGATTGTGCCTGATGCTGTTCTGCAAAGTAAATGAACAGCGGAGGAGATGAGCGAACAGATTTACGTTTCAGTTATGACAATGACAGTTTATAATTTATGTTTTACATATAAGAAATAACTCCAAGTGATGCAGATCACTGCCGAGAATCGGTGAGATATTTACAAAGTAGATACAAAGTTACCATTATTTGTTACAAGACAATACAATAGCTTGTGCCACTGCCCAAACAGTTCTATACGCATCATACAATTATGTGGCACATACATACCTGCCACCCTTTTTTGTTGGCACAGAAATAAGGATAATGTTTAGTAATATAAGTATAAATTTCACTCAAGGCTAGCTTTTTCTCGGGAGATTCCGTAATTGCTTTGAATATTAGAGCCACATAGCTAAGGGTCGGACGCTTTTCACTGTCGTCGGATTTCCCGGTGACGTTGACATTCGGCTTTGCGGTGTGCTGATTGGACCGATCAGTTTTCGGCTGGCTTTGATTGGACACCTGGCTATTCAGCTCCTCCGTGGCCACAAAAGCCGGTTGTATATCTCCTTGAAAGGTCAGCCCTTTTTCCGTTGGCTGGTCTTGCAGCTCCATGGCAGACAAATTTGAATAGTAAAGATTGGCACTAGCAGAGCAGAGACTGGCATACTGTAGCTGATTTGAACTTTCATCAATGGAAAACACACTGCCTTCGCATTCCGTTGTGTTGGCAAACCTTGACTCGATGGACGATACTGAAGCGCAATCAAGTGGTTCGGCATAATTAATGTTGATCCATGGTTCCAGTTTCGCTACTGGAATGCACTCCTGCTGTTCTGAATGTAATGCAATCGTCAAACCTTCCTCATCGACAAGCTGATCCATTCGATCACGTTCTTGGTGTTGTGATAGAAATATTTTTCGGAAAATACTACGTATTTTGGAAATTTTTGACTAAGCCAAACATGAACATCTAGTTGGTATTGATCCTGCTTATTATCTTATTTTCAAAAATATTTATGACGATGCAGCAGCAGTGTTTAAATTAGCGATTATGATGGTCAGCAGAACGTAGTGGACTCGGTAATAATAATAACGTGCGATGTTTATCACATACGCACTAAACAACTAGTGAAACATCCAAACAGTTTTGGAAATATGCACAACAAAAATGCAGATTCAGTAAGGTTTGGATGCGCAAATCGTGAGACCTTTGGGCTATGTAATGAACGCATCCTGTAAGTCTTATCACGAAAGTTGTTGTTTCTCACACATACCGTGTCATGTACAGATTTTTAACGGTTTAATAAGCCATGAGGTCGGCAAGACTTCACACTTCACACGTGCACAAGTACGGCTACAGCAAAGTGAGTATTAAAATGAAGACTTAGTGATGTCCATGTGGCACGATCAGTTTGGTGACTTAATCTGATATTGCACATTCTGCACTTATCACGACGACAGCATGAATGCATGTTTTTCTGTCTCGTACATGCAAGCAAACGGCATCAGTAGACGATAATCCTAGCCGCAAAAAACAGGGACACTAGCCACATTAAATTTAATACTGCGTCGACAACAACCATACAGTGCAACGTGGTCCTGTTGCAGACCCCACGAAGTTTTCGGGCACATCTAACGAAGCTTCAACTTCCCCTTTGTATAAATTAACACTGTTTTAGCGAAAAAGACACTAGTAAAAATTTTAGCTAGTCTAACCATAAGTACATAGTACTTCAACGAGCATGCTGTTTTTGTTCTTCTTCGGAGCGAGTGGCTATCACGCACGTCAAACATTATTAATTTGGTCCAAAAAATCAAAAACTACATGCTAGCAAAAACTAGAGCACAATAATTATGGTTTACTTGTATTCTTATATAAGTGCCGGGTGCTGACCTTTTACACGCGGTACATGCATGTCGCTTGTTTCTATTTTTATGCCCCGCTAATTCTCTTACAAAAAATTTCGCTTAATAACAGTAATATAATAAGACAGTGCAGTATATTATGTCTGTGGAACATTTTTTACGTGATTTATGGTGGAGTCTTACTCGTAGTCTTTTAGAGTTTCCTGGATTGACGAAGCAATAACCGTGTTACTAATAGTAATCTCATCTACTAATAGTAATCTACTCTAATTACCAACGTGAGCATTAGTGACGAAATCTGGGAACAGGCGTCCTTACCGGTCCGGGTGGGCGGTTTGGGCATCAGACGCACCGAACGACTAGCAGCTTCGGCATTCCTTGCCTCGGTCAATTCGGTGCGCTCGCTGGTGTCACACATGACTGACCTGTACACCGAAGCATATGCGACATGTGCGGAACAAGCTTGGAAATCAATGGGGCCCGCGGAACTCCCTGATGAAAATTTGCGTGCTTCGCAGCGTGCTTGGGACATCCCGGTGGTTCTTCACCAGAAAGAAGCAGTTTTTCGCCAAACCGATTCTGTTAACCAGAAAGCCCGGCTGCTAGCTGTGTCCCAGCCTGAATCTGGGTTGTGGCTCAATGCAGTTCCAGTGGCAAGCCTCGGCACTATGTTGTCAAATACCGAAGTTAGGATATCCATTGCGCAGCGTATCGGTGCCCCAGTATGCATCGAACACCGGTGCAAATGCGGCAGCAATGTTGACAAATGGGGATATCACGGGTTAGGATGCAAGCGTCTGAAGGCGAAAATTTCCCGTCATAATGAAATCAGAGATGTGATTCATCGCGCCTGTGGGTCAGCCAGTATCCCTTCAGTTCTCGAGCCACCAGGCCTTTACCGCGATACCCAGAAAAGACCGGATGGCATGACCTCAGTTCCCTTCAGCCAAGGAAAATCCTGGGTGTGGGATGTCACCTGCACGGATACCATGGCCACCAGCTACATCGCCAAAACATCCCAGGAAGCCGGCGCTGCCACCATGGCGGAGGCGAAGAAAACCATAAGCACGGATATTTACGCGATAATTTTAATTTCTCTGCTTTGGTTTTTGGAAACAATGGGTGTGTGGGGTAAAGAATCGAAATGTAAGATGTCTACACTCGGTAAGATGCTTTTTGAGAGGACACAGGAGAAACGGTCCACTCAGTTTCTGAAGCAGAGAATCAGTGTTGCTTTAATGCGAGGTAACGCTGCTTGTGTTCAGGAAACGTTTTGTATCGGTAAGAGACTGGACGAAGTGTATTATGTGTTGAAATGATGAACTGCGTAATTTGCTTTTAACCTACAGTATGTTAATGTGAATAACCCAATTAAAAATACATTCCTCTACTCGGTACAAGGGAGATCGAGCAAATTTCAGACACAGCTATTACGGCATGTTTTTATACCGCGCGGAAAAGAATCAACCCGTTACCCGACTACTTATGTTCTAGCTGCTTCAAGGCCCTTGAAGCCTTGCACAATACTCGTATGTTTTATGTTTATTTTAGTAATTTTGTTGAACAACGTTTTCTAACAGGTCAGCCGTCAGTGCAGTGCGATGAGTGAAACACAAGAAAACGAAACCAAACAAGCTAAATTACTTAACGATTTGCTTGGCTACATTTTGCAAAACGTGCAACGAATTTTGGCTTTGAGATTCCGGTACACTGTACAGCATTTCCTGAGAACTAGTTGTGTGTGCACACCGCGGCTAAAGTGACGTCATCGCGGAATTCAGCCAGCAGGTAACCCGAAAGCGGTTCAAATTTGTTACGACACTTTCCATGCAGCCCATGCTTCCGAAATGATGCCATAAACCACAATTGACACAATTCTCGTAAATTTATTTTTAGATACACACCATGATGTTGTTAATTCCAACTTTTACTCCCAAGATTTTGTGAAGACCTTATCATTAAATTATAGTGTTCGTGCTTGTGTTCGGTTGCAGGCTTTGATACTTTTGGAAAACGGAAAGATAAACTTTGACGGTTGACTCGCATTGAGATCCCCGATGATCCATTTGCTTATCTAGACGTGATGAGGGACGATCACCTGGCGAAGCTCTGTCGTGTTTTGCAATGGATCAGCCCTCCGAAAAGCCAGCGCGCCTGCAGGAGCTAATTCTCGATCCCTTGTTGCATGTGCGGGCGAACAAATCGAAAAATGCGCCACGGAATCTATCGATGGTGCGTGATGTGGGCATTCGCGAACCCCGTGTTTTCGTCATGTTGTGCCTGTGGTATTTCTTCAGTGGAGTGACGCTTTTCATGAACAAGTTTGTTCTTAATGCACTCGTCGGTGGATCGATTCTCTTAGGTACGGTTTTGTGTTGAAATGCCTATGCTGTACATTGTGTACAATATTGTTACATCGCTGCATTTCTAAAGTCACAGCGCTGTTCAAATAATTCTGCGAGGAAGGAATCGTTTTATTTTTTAGGTGTGTGCCAGGTTTTGATTACAACAATATGCAGTGCGGTGCAGTTATATTTTCCCTGTGGAATGTGGATTCCCGTCAAGCAGCCATCGCGACCACCGAGGTTTAGACGCAATCTGGTGTTGGTTGGAATTTTCAGGTACTTATTGAGTTAAATGTGAGTCTGTGACTAATCACTAGGTTTTTCACCAGATAACCTTCCTGGTTTTAAAATTTCTGTTCGATCGGGCATCTTGTAATGAATTTAACATGGTTCTGATAACTTGATTTACTTTGCGGTTACGATTATATTTAGCAAATTCTTGAATTTACATACGCGCATAATAAATTTATTAAATCTATGTATAAATAAAAATTGCTATGGCTGGAGTCTGGTTCTGCTGATCCACACACCGATCACATAATTACATTAGTATTAGCCTTAGGCAGTCAGTAGCACCTGTGTTTTATTGTACACAAAGTTAAAGTAACAATTTTGTTGTAGGTTTTTGACCATTTGGTTTGGACTGGTTGCCCTGGATTATGTAGCTGTATCGTTTGCGGAAACTGTGAAATGTTCGGCGCCAATATTTACTGTGATAATTTCCCGTGTTATTACCGGTGAACCAGCCACGGTTCCCGTGGTTCTGTCTTTGATACCCGTTATGACCGGCTTGGCCTTGTGTTCTGCTCATGAATTAAGTTTTAATTTAATTGGATTGATTGCTGCGCTGATAACGAATATTAGCGAAGTGTAAGCGATTGTGACCATACATTAGTGATGTTGGTTATACGTGCAGTAACTTTCCTTTTCCTTGCAGGTTCCAAAGTGTATTTTCTAAAGTTTTAGTGAGTGGGGATAAGCACCACTGCAAGTGGGTTCGAATTTATTTACCCTAGTGTAATTTCAGGTCGTGTTTAATGTGTATTTTTTGTAGTCCTGCAGAATTGCAGTTTTATTCTGGAGCAGCTTCTTTGATCTTCATTATTCCGTCCGCTTTCTTTTTTAAAATTCAAGATCCCTCTAATTCTATTTCTGTTGATGCATGGATTATGATCGCAGTAAATGGAATAAGTTTTCACGTTCAGAGCATTACTGCCAACGTTTTGATGGGCTATCTATCACCAACTACTTACTCGTAAGTTACAAAATTGCATCTGTTATCTGTTTTTGACCATTTCTTGTGGCGATTATGTTCTTGTTCATAATGGTGTTGTCTTGTTGCAGCGTTTCCAATACGGTGAAAAGGGCACTTCTCATTTGGTGCAGTATTTTGATTTTCGGGAATGCTTTGACGATGGGTGCGTGGATAGGGACTGGACTGATGTTCATCGGTGTTTTGCTGTATAACCGTGCAAAATCCGCAGCGGTCACTGCTGCGTTTACCTCGGACTGAACATTCCACAAAAAATAACGAATCTCACAAATGTGTTCAATGACTGGTTTTATATTTCTTATGCAGACCCGGAACTTTTTAACCCAACGAATCAAAAGTTAGAAATTAATACAAAAGATGTTTAGCAAAAAACGAAGCAAACAGCGAAAGTGAATTCAATTTACTCAGCATTTCACGCGCTCGTAAAGGTACAAATAACCCAGATCTTTTGGAGGCTTTTCCGAAAGAGCAACCTTTTCATCATTGTAGATGACCCACCGATCGTCTTTCAAAATATGAATCACATAATGGCCACTTGATGTAGAATTACCCATGTGGCTAATGAAGGCACGAAGGCGGTAGGCTATAAAGAAAATCAACCAACATAGAGCAATCGGAACGTGGTAAAACAAAGTCGTTATAAAACTTCATATCACAAACAAACTGCAAGCAACGAATACATACCGCCGGGGCCATCACGGCAAGCGGGACCGTCCTTAGGTGTAGCAGATGAGGCACTTGTGCTGTTCGTCGTATTATCGTGCTGTTCAAGATCGTCTGCGTGGCTGAATATCCAGTCGACTGCCCGTTCGATATTGTTATCCTGGGAAAAAAAACCATTACGTGACCTGCGAGCAAAATGTTCAAACGTTTTTTCTACTGCAGAAGCAGTAAATGCTCACGGTGTTCTGCAAGGCACGAATTGACTGAGCTCTGGTGAACCCCATGGTCATGATACTGGCAATGTTGTCCTCGGATATTGTAATTTCTTTCTTAGATCCCGGTATCACAAATGGACTGTTGAAATCTAGAGAAGATACAGATGAACTTTACAAACTTTGGCGTGCTTCAGGTATGTTTCATACGCACAGAAAGAACAGCAAACGACTGAAAAGATGTGCTTAAATCGAGCTACATGCTGAAAATATCACACTTAATTTCGATGCATCGTTAAAGCAACAGCCGTGTATACATTGCAATGCTCAGAGTGACGCGGAAGATCACGGTCTTACTGCACAAAGCCATAACTATGAAAAAAGAGAAGAAACGAAATCAAAAATTCATCGATGTTTCGTTTACCTGGATCAGTCATGTGTTCCACGATCCAGTTCATTGCATTTTCCACACTGGTGCTTCCGGTGCTGTACGCTCCGCGTAGAGAGCCTTCTCGCGAAAATCCCATTTCCATTAGCTGTTGGACCATGGCCTCGTCAACTACGAAAAATATTGTAAACATGCATCGGCTCCTTTTGAATGCGATGTATCACAGGATCTCTCACTTCGCACTACAGGGGCGGACACAGCCGGCTGATTTTCCTCTGGAAGCAGTTCTTCGTCCGGCTTTTTACCATATCCACGTAAGTAGCCAATATCGAGAGTCAATGGCATATCCACCAATACATCTGCATCATATTTATTTAAACCGCGAATTACGGTACGGGAACAAAAGGCTACAACCAATGCGTATACCCAGTTTTTTCGGTATCCAGTCATCCCCAACAGTAAACTTTTTGAGCTGAACAAGTAAAAAGTCAGGAAAAGTGGCGAAGCGAGTGCATCTGCAAAAGTTACCGACAAAAGGCGATACATTAAAGGCAAAAAACCATTAGGTTCGGGAGCGTACTTACTTTGCCGCTTTGGTTTTCGCCATCATGGCACTGCTGTAAAAATCCTCTAGTTCTTCCGTCGCTGCAAAAGCCTGAACGCAGCTTGAAAAGCTCAGCATCGGACGGACAATTTCTGTAGCGGAGCTAAAAAAGCAATTTCATACTTACCACAAACCACAAAAAACATTTGTTGCAAAAATATATTTATAAATACTCACGGCTTTGTTCCAGATGCCGCGGCTGCTGCTTTGCGCTCTTCAAATGCGGCTAGTTCATGTTTATTCATCGCCATTTCCATCGGAATGGGCACGGCCCAAACGTAATCCGATCGCGATACGTAGCGCACTTTGTTACTCTGTAGGCACTGGAAGCGTTCTTCCAGTTTAAATGAAAAGCATTCCGATGGGCTCCCAGTTCGATTATTACGCTGCAAACGATATTATTTTATTCTATCAGAAGCCTGTCAATTTTACTATATCGAAATCGTACGTGGATTTTCCTATATAAATTACACCGGATGACGAGCATGAGTAGAGCATCGATCAAGTAGATCAAGTTATATGTCTCGCAATACATTTATTACGTATTATACAACCATTACGCTGCTCCCCATTTTCCTCACCTCTATCATCGTAAGCAAATGCCGAAAATACTCTTCAGAATCTTGTTGGCGTTTTGTGCTGAATTCCTGATGATCTTTTCCGACCAAAGTTTTGAACATGTGCGGTCGTATACCCTGAGCAATGGGCAGCTATAAACAACAACACTTCCATGACTAGCTGTTCCCAGAATCTGTATTCACAAAAACTCCGGCAATTATCCGGCTAACCTCGTTTTCGCGAGGTGCCTCAGGTGGTGGCTTGGAATAGTGCCCCGACCATAAACCAACTGCCACTTTCGCCCTAAAACCAAAGTATTTTAATGACTAACCACCACCTGAATGTTACTGAATGCGCAACCAACATCTGAGTATTGAAATCATCCGGTGGAGGCACAGACAATCGTTTGCTGAAAATGTCCTCCGCTCCATAGAAGTACCTGTACATAATGGATGGTATAAATTTACGAAAACGGAAAAAAGTTTTGGGAGGTGGCATAGACAAGAATGCAAACCTCTGCTTGAATTCAGGAATAACGAAGATCATTTGCATCACAGAATTCATGTAGCAACTATTGCCCAGGTTGATCATGCCCGTAAATCCCGGACCGAACACTGGTTGCAGTTTGCAGTCGGCTTCCTGCAGCACCGACCACTCATCATACCGCTGATTAAGATCCAATTCCAACTCTGCCATCGACTTCTCCGTCTAAAAATAACAATAACAAACATCAATTAGGAATTAATAGTGGATTTGTCAGAACAAAAGGATTTTACAGTGACATTTCACACCTTTCGCCAAGTGAAATTAAAAACAGACAACACACCTTTTCCGCTTGTTGCACGTCGATTCCGAAGTGGGCCAAATGTTCAGCCAAAAGAGGATCGATAACCATATCGTCTTCGTCGTAAGAATACACGTCTATAAAGTGTAATTGTTCATGTCTGCACGGACATTTGTTTTCTAAGCGGCCGATAAACCACCACAATTTAAATCCGACGACTTAATACGAGTACCCACCTCCTCCTGTAGGCGTGATCGTTCCCAACTTCACAGCCAGTGGGTATTTCGTTGCGTTGTAGTGCTCAATGGCGTGGTTATTCCCACCGGTGCCGTCGAAAAATTTTCGTCCACAAAATATCCGCCCGTCGGTCAAATTCATCCACAGATTGTCCTTGAGGTCGCACTTTTCGCATTTCCAGCCCGATGGAGGCACTTTGATACCGTGATTTAGTTGCACAAGTTCGAAAGCATGCCTGTAACAAGAGAGAAGATTCAAAACAAAACATAAATGGCATGACAGCTAAACAGTTGTAATTTTCCACTGCAAAAATCAGTTTCCATAATGCAACATACTTGCTGATAAAACGCTGCTCTCCATCCCACGGCTTCATTTCCTCAACTTTCCGTGCAGAGTCGCAGTTTTGGACTCCGCTGATGGACTGCTGTACCTGAAGTAATTACACGAATGAGCCAACAAATTATTGTAAAAATTTATTTTACAATTTTAAAACTCATAAAAACTTAAATAATTTCGTTAGTCCTCTAAATATTGAAAACACGCAATGAATTCATCACAATGTCTTTTTTTTTATCACGTACCACAATCGGTAGATCATTAGTAGGCAAGGGAATCGTCAGAAAATCGGGGAGAATAACCAAGCTGAACTGTTCTTCGATGTCATACTTCGGCTCGCCCAGACCAAAGCCTCCTTCCAGCCCTGCACAGATGGATCATTACTCAGCATTTTTCGTGCGGGAATCTTTTCAGCCGCCACAATTACCAATGGCCAAACGTTTCGGTTGCTGATTCCCATCCGCATCCACCTTACTTTGAGGCACCTAACAAAACCAGGGAAAAACAATCAACATCGGTTGTAGGGAAGCGTAAACAGTTTCCAAAATGGTACCAGAACGGGATTACGCACTGGCTTTTTGGTTCGCTTGATGTGCAGAAACACCGAGTTCTCCGTTTTCGCATAATGCTTCTCCACATGCTGGCGGCCGAAACCCAGGAATGTATTTAGACATACGTACAGGCCTGTTTCCGATTCCTGCATTAAAGAACAATTGTCCGAAGGCTGCAGTTTAAATTCCAGAACTGACATTCGAACACCACACAATGGACCACAATCAGCAAAGCAGCAATTGCATGCAAAAAGCCTAAAACGTTACCAACATACCGGAGTATCGAACGAATACACACATTCATCCTTATAAACTCGATCATTGGCACGTGGAACGCGAATCTTTCCTGCATGAATGTTGTTCAACAAAATGGCTTCCGTGTCTCCTTCTCCCTTGCGAGACATGGTTCAAGCAGGTCCTTCTACCGTTCCAACTGCTATGAACTTATCGAATCAACCGCGTTTTTATAGCACAAGGAACCAGCTCGGGCTTACTAATACAATTTCTCCAGGTGAAAATAAATTTTCAAAGAGGTCACAGGACAATTATCTGTTCGCAAAGAAAACAAGCGTCAAAAGCTGAGAAAGAGAGTCAATCGGAAATAATAAAGATGAAACTTTATTAAAATTTTAAAAATCGAAATGCCACACACAGTAGTGACAGTACTCAACTACTCATACGTACGCTGTGCGGCTTCCAAGTATTGCGTTTTGATGTAGCTGCCTTCCTGTGTGGATGCCTTGTTTCCGCAAAAGTGTTTGTGTTTCGCAAAAGTTCGTCTTTTATCATTAGGAACGTTTAATAACACCGGCGACCGCACGCGCTCGCACATATTAATGTTATAAGTTCTAAATGCTTACTTCAACATGATAAAACCGTTACAAGTTAGGTAAGCAGAATGCAACTATTGATGCCACAACGTACAGATATAGTAAACCGGAAGTACACAACTTCTGATGATAAAAGGACTGCCGAATTCGTAGTAATCCCTAATAATAATGTGCCGGTAACATACAAGCGCAGCATGCTTGTCGCATTACAATAAAAAAACACGGCCTTTTTGTAGAAATTCGCAACCTATTTAGTGGTGGAGCCTTAATTGTGATCATCATCGTAATAAAGAGCACTTTAGGAGTCACCGAAGAGTCGATCTTTTGCAGATTCCATAAGCCAATATAGATCAATTACCGAGGTGTGAGGTTTACATCACGCTAACCCTGCTTTTTTCTGGAGATATCGGACATACGTGCGTCTGTAAATCCATTCGTAAAACGCTGATCTCACGAGTCCATGGTTTTTCCATTATTGTAAGTGCAGCTCCGGAACGGGATCCGTGTCATCATAACGACAGAATCCAATGCGCTCTGCTCCGTGCAAGCAACCTTTGCGTGCTAGACTGACTGCTGCATAAGCGTGTACGGTACATTGGTACCACACGCACACGACTATACCCATGCATGCGGTATCCTGCCGGGCGTGATCGCATTTAAGGCGGCGCCCGGTTGTATACTAGTGCGCAAGTTTACTTCCGATAGTTACTCCATCAGTGCCCAGTTTTTCATTACTCGAGCACGATGCTGTTAACCCTTTTGACTCTCTTACGAAGCGAAAATTAGGTGTGACATTTGTCCAGTGTAATTTAAATAAAAATCATGTACGGTTTACTGTTGGAAGCTGTGGCCCTTTTCATCAAGAAAACCTACGGAATTGACCAATGGACTGCCATTCAGCGCGAGGCCAAACTCGAGGGCACCGAAGGCTTCGGCATTCATGAAATCTATTCTGAAAATCTTATCCCGAAAATTGTGGATGTAGCGTCACAGCAGCTTAACATATCAAAGGAGGATTTACTTATCCGCTTCGGAGCGGACTTTGTAGATTTTGTGGAACAGTATGGATATGAACGTATTTTGCGCGTGCTGGGCAGACATTTCCGGGACTTCCTAAACGGTTTAGATAACCTTCACGAGTAAGCAAAATATACCGGCTTATATAGAATCCATGGTAGAACCTAGCGCTAGCTAGCGCCGCTCTTTTCTACATGTCAGCGATATGTATAAGGTATATATGGTGAACGCTCTTCATTTTCGTGATACAAAGTATTGACAAATACGTGTGGATGCCAAATATTTTCGGTAAAAGCTGTTCAATAGTTATGTCTAATCTAACTGAATAATAATGTGTTTTATTGTGCAATAGGTATCTCCGTTTTGGCTACTCCAAGATCAAACCCCCTTCATTTTTTGTTGAAAAGGAAACTATGCATGGCCTTGTACTGCATTACAGAAGCCGCCGACGATATTCCGGTGCGTCAATGTAGTTTGCTGTTTAATTGGTTTGTGCACCCGATAAAAAATAAAACTAGAATCTTTGTGTAAAATTCTATGCTACATAACTGCGTCAGTGGTTGTGAGGACAATGGAACTGCACATAATCGTGAGAAATTTGACAGTTCTTCTTTAACTGGACATGCATACGTACGGTACTTCTACCGTTTTTTTTGCAGGCTACATTAACTATGTATGCGGGCAGCTGAAAGCCGTGGCCAAAAAGTTCTACAGGAAGGATATCGACATAGAGGTTCTGTCGCATAATGTTATTGGCAGCCGGGTCCATGTAATATTCGATATTCAGTTCGACAACGAGGAATTCCTGAAAATCTCTGCGGCTAGCAAGAGTTTCGTTATTGACCGCAGTTTATTAAGAGTCAAGTCCGACCTGTTCTTTCAGATGTTTCCCTTCCACATTGGTAATTGTGTACATAAAAAATTGGTTTTCCTTTAATCGCCATAAATCGAAAGTAAAAACGTTGCTTTTTGCAGTGTTCGATAGTGAGATGGTTATCAAGCATGTCGGGTGAGATTTCAAACGTTTATTTTACGCAAGCTTCTGTTTTAAACCAATGAATGGAAGTTGGTGCAACGAAGGTAATATTTTCAGATCGGGATTATATGCGGTTAAACCAGGTAAAAGATTTGCTGCCGGAGGCTGACCGGATTTCCGGGCACTTCCGTTTTTATTTCTTAATCACTTTCGTACGACGTTGACAGCTAATCCACTCGTGTCTTAAATAAGAATCGTGGAACACCTTCAAAAATATTTCAGCAGTTTTTTTACGTTGGAATTAATGTTTTAGAATGTGATCAAAAATCGAATTCTACATATCCTATAAATTTACATGTTACGTAAAAACCCTAATTTATTAAAGTGGCAGGGTGGTTCAATAGCATCTTTTAATAGATATAATCGGATACGATGTCACACATGTAAGTGCAGCGGTACGGTGTTTTTGATTTTTTGATTGTGTAGATCCGGATACAGAAACGCTGCAGTACACTAGCAGCAGTAAAAAAACGTACCATTAAATACTGACTGCGAGATGTTTTAAACGTACACAGGTGTTCACCCTCTTGAAACCCATGATCGACTTCACATGGGATCAGCTCATCATTCACGGTACTACGACGCATGGTCAACCCCGAAAGCTGCATTTCACGAGCCAGTGATTAATATTACTTTAATGAATTTTTACCAGTAAACAACGCGTTTGAATTGAAAACTATCGATCGGGTGCTGCGGAAGGCCGGAGTAACCGATCGCGATGCGGCAGGCGGCGGGGATAGTGACCTCGACCAAGGCAGTGAGTTTACCGGCTTCGAATCCCACCGTTTATTAAAAACTCAAGTGTTCGATATACATGGTGAAATCATTAATACATGTGATTATTCAATCGTTACCCGCTGCAGGCGCTTACGCTGATTCAGTAACCAATTTAAGCTTTATGTGTTGCAATGTTATCATTTATTCTCCCTTGTGTGTCATCCATCAGGCTCCGTCCACGGATCGAAGCTATCAAATGCGACTACTGCTGTCGAGGACAGCGATAGTGAGGATTCCGATACAATCCAGGGCGTCCATTTGCATTTAAAAGGTTTGCCGGAATTAATAATTTTGTTAAGAGTAAAACATTTAATTATTTTCTTCCTACGGGCTTTACACTTAGAAGGTGAAAAACTCGCAATATCAAACAGTTATTAAATAGTACTTTGGAATGTCATAGATTTTAGCATGCAATATGCAGTGTACGGTGCATATATTTTTAACCCAGTTAGTATGAGACTAACTGACTAACCGAAGCTAATCACAAATCCAATTTGCAGGACAGATGAAGCCGATGTCAAATTGGGACTGTTTCTGCTTTTTGGGGACCCTTGTGTAAGAGTGCTTTGTTCTTATTTATATAACCACTTGGATATTACGTTTTTGCCATTTTGACAAAACAAAATAAAGCTGATTTAATTACGCTAACTGATGAAACAGCTTTAGAATTCACATTTACTCGATATACTGTACGATTTGAACGGTAACCATATCATATATATATATCATCATATAATATAATACTTCATCTGGATGTTCACAAAAAACTCATACACACTTCTAGGATGACAGACTTGTCCGTTCTCTTTAAAGCGGGACTGTATCTAAATGATTTAAGGTGAGAATTGTAAAGATGTCCTTCTTAAGTTGGTTCCAGATGTCCAGAAGCGTTGTTTCTATTTAGTATGCATGACTCGAGCCGCGACCTTTTACTTGCTGGGACACAACAGGTATGTCACGAATGGTTATCGATTAATACACTGACGTGCAACGTTTGATGCAGCTTCAAAAGCTGGTAATAATCAATTGTGGTTATGTAATTGCAGTCTGCCGAACTCAAACTCGCACTTGATCAGGTAAACTGGGCTGTACAGTAATTATAATAAGTTGTTACCAACAGCATAAGATAATACTCTCCGGCAGGAACAACAAAAAAGTCAAATCCTGGAGGACAGCATGAAGCGGCTAGATGTAAGTGCTGACATGTGGAGCGAAGGGTTTTCACAGATTCGATTTTGGTGATTATTGACTTACATATTGGTTTATACAATTAAATTTCATAAAGAACACTGTAAACAAAACAGCAAAGCGTTCAAGAAAAGAGTATACTACACAATATGGATATGACGTACAGTATTACAATAAATTCAGTGCGACTTATGCTGGAACGATGTGCGTTATCATAACTTGAGTGTTTATTCCATCAAAATTCTACAGTGCGCGCATTTACATGTGTTGTTTAATCGCCACGACATGGAAGATTGCTGTGATTTGTAATACTGTGACCTTTCTTTGCAGGACGAAAGGCGAAGAGCAGCAGAATTGTTATACCAAATGATTCCTCGTCAGATTGCGGACCAACTGCGTAATGGGTAATGTTTTGTCAGAACAGACCGAGTTTGCAATTATTTAATCAAATTGACCGGCGTGTAGAATGAATGACCTTTTTTTGACAGTGTTCCGGCAGAAGACACGTGGCAGGTATGAATATAGTAACTGGGGCATTCTGAATTACAAGGTCGTGAATCCAAAAGCTGGCATTAATTTTACACGAGTTTTCCTTTTGTCACGACAGGTGTTTTCGTCTGTCAGCATACTATTCAGCGATATGTACCAGTTTGTCAATATTTGCGAAAGCCTTACGCCACTGGAAGTAGTATCGCTTTTGAATGCAATGTATGTGAGTTTTGATCGAAAGACAGAAGAGCACAATGTTTACAAGGTGAGAACACACTAGTACATCTGCATCGTTATGACAATTTTAAACAATACCTTTAAGCCTTGCAACCAACTATGTAATCAAAAATTTAGAAGCAAGATAACAATTCTAATGCAAAAAGCCTTCTTGACGAGTTTTGTGAAATTATATTTTTGTATGAGTGCAGCTTACGCCTCATTAGAATGGGTTTATCAAAACCGATTCTTAGGTTTCTTAGTATTCAAAAGAGTGCGAAACTTTTCAGGTGGAGACCGTTAATGACAGTTACATGATTGTTGCGGGTGCCCCAGTTCCAGATAGCCAACATTGCTCTAGGATATGTGACATGGCGCTGTCCATGTTAGCAGATATTCAAAATGTTATTAATCCATCCACAGGAAAACATGTCACAATAAGAGTTGGTAAGCGTTGGTCTATTAATCCAATTTTTATAGTCCAACGATGGAATATAACATTATATTTATGATTACTTTATTACAAGTTTGTAAGAGGCACGGTGCTTACTATCGCAGATGCGAATTCAGTGGCATTCAAAAACTTAATTATATTGGATAGTGGGAACCATATGAAGAAGATATGATAACACTGCTTAATTCAAAATTTTGGATAAGGCAACATGCATAGGTACTCATATGAGAAGCTACAACTGTCTGTTTTGGATAGGAATACACAGTGGAACAATTGTGGGTGGTGTTGTGGGATTGCGGACGCCGAGATTTTGTTTGTTCGGCGACCCGGTAAATACGGCAAGCAGGATGCAGTCTTCGGGCGAGGTATACGATAGATCAAACTTAGTACTTAAATCTGTTTAATAAAACGGTTTCCTACAGCAATTTAGACTACGTCATTTAATAATTTTATCTTATACTGAACGTTTGCTTAAACGACCTTTTTTAACGCCTATACTTCTCAACAGCCGATGAAGATTCATGCTAGCGAAGCCACTGCCGAAAATTTGGACAGCAACATCTATCAGATTATTGAACGCGGAACAATCGACGTTAAAGTATGTAAATCAATTATTAAAATCAAATTTTATAAAAAAATTTATACTACTGTAGTAACAGGAAGTAATATTGCAGGGAAAGGGGTCGATGAAGACCTATTGGATTTTAGGCAAATCAGCATAATACAGCTTCATAACCGGCATTGCCGTTTATACTTGGACCTTTGGACGTTCGGAGAAACTGAAGCCACACCTCAAAAAGCAATATTTGCGAAAACCAATCAATGTTTTATTGTAGTAAATTTATGTACACTAGAGCCCAGTTTGATAACGATCTGGTGCAATTCGTAAAGACAACTACGAAATTGGAAACGATTATGATTTTGCTTTAAATAATCGGATATATTGCACGATCACTTATTCTGTAATCAGTGATTGGTATGAACCACGAAAATCGCGATGTATCATGTATGTTTGGTTCTTAATGTTAAAAATAGAAGAATAATATTCAGGGAAAAATATTCAAGGTCCTTTAAAATCTAATAACATACTGATTTGATAAAATACAGATTGTGAGAAGACATATTTATTGTTTTTAAAAGATATGACATGGTCATGGGCTCATGGAACGGAGCATTCGTATTGCGGGAAATGCGAAAGCTTTTTCTGCGCCGTATATATAACAACAACGTATTGTCGGTTTAGTCAGATTTAACGTATGCTCGTATCTCTCAAAGTTTTAAAATGAAATACATGTATGGACGTGGCTTTGCTATCTGGATTGTTTGTTGTACATCAAATTAATCAGAGCTGAAAGTCTTGCACGATAGCACTGCTGATACATGAGTCGTTAATTCATTAGACATCTGACCCAAATTAACCGGTAAACTGACCAATGGATGTGTTAAATGTTTGGATGTAGTTCGTTTTTGCATTAACAATCGTTTGTCAATCGCAACTAACTTGTGCTGCGTACAGGCTTGCAAGGAAAAAATTGGCAAAAATGTTGATGACAACTTTCATTTTCTGTAACTGCAGATAATTAATGTTCAGTTGCTAATATTCTCAGCCGATAACGCAGTTATATATATCCGTGCTACATTTGCGGAGAATTTACAGCGGCACCGGCTAATTGCTGTATCAGGATGAGAGCGTCCGCTCTGTCAAACACATGTGCCAGGATCAGAAGGACACGTGCCATGCCGATTTTCATATCCCACTTCCTTTTAATAGGTAACATTGTTATACCTAGCTCTGAATAGATCTATAACAAAGTTGTATTGGTTTTCTTTACAGTTCTTAGTTTTCTATCGCTTGCTTATTGTGATTATACGACTACTGACGGACCCACCACAACGCCGGGTAAGTCAAGTGATTATGCAGTTACCGACCGTGAAGTTCGGTTACTACAGTACGATTACTGTACTGCTACAAAACTACTGCTTCCCAATTCTAATTTTCAAAACTCAAACGAGCGATACCTTTATTTTTAGTTTTATTACGAAATCCTTCCTTCTACAAAACTATAAACGTTCTCAGATGTTTTCCGGTTTTGCATATATTATAGCTACCGATGCAATCGACTGCAGCGACCTGAGCCGAATTTCAGTTAAAATACATACTTATATATAACTTGCTTTTGGATAACCAAATAAAGATTGTGTGTGCAATTTCAGAACCACCTATCACATGGTTTGATTGCCCTGACCAATATTCTTATCACCCACATCCAGCAAGTAAGGATCAGAACATCGTTTTTCTAATGCGCACTTTTGTTAAACTACTCATTGCTTGATGCGCGTAAAACAACGAGTAAACCACGAATAAATGTTGTTTTACAGATTGTACCCAATACATCATTTGCGTTTTTGGGAAAGCTTATTTAAGAGCTTGCGAAGGAGGATTGAACTGGAACGATCAGCTGAAGGTTGGCATTAACGTGTTTATGTTTAGTTAATTTAGATTTACGAAGTGCGTAATGAGTGAATTCATAGGCTTCGTATTTAAATAATTATTATTTTTGCGATGAAAAGTCTTCTGAAAAAATTTATTCTGCGTTCAGAATAAATAATATCCAGGAGACTCCTTACTCACATTAATGATGACTGTGGATAGGGCAACATGCATGCCTTTTCTTTGTTATTTGATAGATTTGCGACTGGCCTAATCCCAAAACAACATGTCAACAAGTCGACGAAAGTAAGTCCAGCGATGATTTTTAAAGTTTATGTAATATAAAAAATGTTTCATTGTGTTTGTGTCCTTCATTGTGTAAGATAAAAATAACATCAAACATTCAATGACAAAATGCTGACCTTTGTTTATGGCTAATTTCCAGATACTGCCTACCGACCGGTAGCTTCGCCGACCGTCACCGCTCCGCCGTTATCCGATGACGATAATTCACAAAGAGACGATTACCAAACAGAAACACAGGGCCGCTACCGTGGATCGCAAGGTTTCAGTCATTTTAAGCCGGATGAAGACGCTGCAAAGGATCAGCTAACATCATTCGCCGGGAAAAAAGTCGTGTACTTCGACGCACCGACGGATGCAAGTAATGGAGACGCATCTGCATCCGATAACTCATTGGGCTCTACCAAACCCGACGGTGACGACGGCGGGCAGCCGGCTCCTGGTCAAGACATGTACAGCAGTGAGCAAAGGGCACCTCCAAAGAAAAAATCTGCAGGACCTCAAGTGATGCCCATTGGTCAGTTAAGCGGCTTTTCATCCGCCAATCGTGGCGCGCCACAACGAATGAGTTCATGGGATACCGGAAACGATGATTTTCCACAAGGAGACGGTCCAGATTCGCAACAAGCTCCAATGACCCCACCTGCTCCGCCGGCCGGTAAACCAAAGAGAGGTAGAGCACCAATGAGCGCTCAAGCCAGTTCGCCATCCGGTGGTAATCCTCCACCATGGGCGCAAGTGGCGCTGCAACGCAAAAAGGGCGGGGCGTCATCGTACACGCCTCCCGATGATGCGGCTCAGGATATCCCAGCACCAATCAAAAGCCAACCGCCCAAAGGCAACCGTATGGATCCGCCTCCGTGGTTGCAACAACAAAAACCAAGTGGTCGCAGCCCGCCTCGCAACGCGGCTCGGAACCGTGGCCCAGATGCAGCGGCGAACGGCGATGAAACAGAAGCCAGTCTGAACCGTCCGCAGAACAATTTCCCGCCCAAACAAACATCCGGTGCTCAACGAGATTACCAACCTCCGCCGCGCCGAACCAGCCAACCAGACCAAAATAATCGCAATGCACCGTCCGATAACCGCAGGATTATGCCGCAAACGTACCAACCCGACTCCGACAACCAGGTCAACGACGGCCCGCCTCCACGTAGTTCTCAGCAAGCTCCTTCACAAGGGTTTATTCCAAACGCACCACCTCGGTCAAGACAACCGCCACAAGGCGCTGCACAAAGTGCTCCACGACGAGCGTCGCCCAGTTCCGAACCGACGAGCTACCAAGGAAACATGCTTGGAAACTCCAAGCCAAGGTCACAGCCACCGCCGAAACCCTCCAATCGACGCGGCCCTACGGATTTCAGCAGTAATGATGCCGGTGCTGATTTCTCTTCCCGAAGACAGCAACGCCCTGTTTTTGGAGAGGATCAAGCAAATCCACAGGACAGACCAAGATTTCCCAATCCCGCAAGCACCAACAGCGATGACGAATCCAGCTCATCGCTGGCCATGGGGCAACCTGAACGAATAAATTCTAGACCGCCTCCTAAAGTGAGCAGAATGCCGCCGCCACCGTCTCGACAGGTATCGGGCGACGGTGACGACGAAAGTCAGAGTATTCCAAGTCGTTTTGGACCCCCCGCCTCGCAGTCGGACGATCAGATGCAGCAGCCGCGCCCATTCAGTCAACAACGAAACGGCCCGCCCAGCTCCAGTTCCAAACAACGAAGCTCCCAAAGCCGACAGCGTCCTCCGACTTCTCAACCGCAACAAGTGTTTTCGAGAGCACAGTCCAGTAGTTTTAGTTCGGACGGCGATTCTGAGCAATGGAGCAGCGGGTTTTCCAAACAATCACAAAGGTCACCACAACCCGTTAAGCAGTTCGGAAGCAACCCATCAGTTCTCGACGAGGTTAACGATGGGCCGAGCAAAATCGGAGCCCACACCGATGAGGATAGCGGTCCCGATGGACCGAGCAGCTTTGATATTCCCAAACGTATTTGGGGATTCGGCAGCAGAGGACAGGGAGGAGGGCCACCGGATATGTTCGGACCGCCGCCGCAGCCACCAGGATTTGGAGTGTTTTCTGGTGATTCCGGGGATGATCAGCCATCCGGGTCAAATTTCGACTTTCACAGATATAGGGAATTCTACGAGGGGATTTAGGTGGTTTGGGTAATAAAATTGGTACGTTGATTGACAGGTTAAAAAATTCTTAAGCAATTAAGCATGCGCGTGGTCGAAGTAACGCTATACATGCAACTGCATACCAAGAAGCAGTTTTTACTCTACCCTAAGTCTACAAATGCAGCAATAACTTTCAGAACATTTATTGAATTATTGGTAGCGTAATTGTATTGTATCGATATCATTTTGTGCTGGGTTCCTTTTTGCTGTACTTTTCTCATAAAATGTGCAGTGCCGGTGTCCTTGTGTTCTTCTTTGCATGTAAAAGAAGTGCGAAATACCGTCTGGATTATGCTTACAATTATTTACGGATGCATGGTTGCTCAATCTTACTTGTATAGAAGCATACCTTATGTGTTGTAACCAGAATCTCGACCTTGTTTCAGATGTTTCTGCAGTATAACAAGGCTTATCGGAAACTATGTGAATAGCACCGAAACTAAAAAAATGACATGCGTGTATGTTTTGACGTGCTTGTTGCGGTTTACAATGACGAAATCTAAATTTTGGCCGGCTGCAGTAAACAAATAGCCGTTATACGACATACGAGTGAATTTGATTAGTCGTTAGTTACATTAGTTAGAGAGCAGGATTGTTTTGCTTCGTTTTCAGGATTCCTTCGTGGTAATTAACGGCAATAGCGTTGAGTATAGAAGTACTATAGCCGTTTTGCTTACTACGACAACTGGGACGCTTTTTACAAAGAATTAACCAGTTTCCATCCAATGTGTTCGATTACGCACTCCTAAAAAATCTCTCGATACCACAAGTTACCGGAACTAACACATGACCATGATACATGATTTTAGCAAAAACAAGATAATTATGGATTAAGTCGTGACAATGGCGCTTAAACAAAAAATGAACGCACAATAACCACAGCACACAGCATTATACACAATTTGCCATAGACCACCGTAACCGTAACACGCTTGTGCGATGTGCGAAAATACGTTCCAGAAAATCGTGGTCATCTTTCTGACCACATCAAAAATCGCCGTAATTTTTTGTGCGCTACTCGTAGTAGTACTACAGTTCGCAGCAACTTGGCTAAACCTTTATGTTGATTATGCTAAAACTGCTAAAACAAATTATTGCATGAGCCGGTCACAGATCGCCGATGTCATGGTTATTGCCTATCATTGCAGTTTTGCTACTTGTGATATTTCGGGATCTGTGGTATTCCACCAGCAACAGACGCGAATTCCGCGAACTCACATCATTTCCTGTCAGAACTCTTACGAATGCCACCCACCAAGATTTGAGTTTTCCAGGTACGAATAAAGTATTTAATCACGTAATACTGTACGCATATGAGAAGACAGAGAGAATAACGCTTTCTTCTTCTTATTATCTACGGACATTACGGACATAATATCAACAGCAATCCATATTGCGTTAAGAACTGTATACTGTAGAATTTGTCTCATTCTACTATCTAATTTAAACAGGTACACTTACTGCAGTTACATTTTTTACGTTCAAAACGGTGCAGTGATGGCACACAAAACAGCTAGTCGAACTTATTGTTAATTAAAATTTTTTTACTGTAATTTTACTATTATTCACCGTCACACCGACTACGCACAGTTATATATATGTTGTAGTTTCGCACATTGCAATAACATGCTAACAGGTATTATATATTGTGCATGCGCACATACGTATAAAGGCCGGCTAATTGTAATTTACATCGCTACGAATATCTTACCAAAACTATCTAATGAATAAAGATTTCTCAAACCTACAGAAATTTACCTACCGAATCTGATCGTAATAATATCAGTATAACATTTACGTGGGTGCATTGGTTTGCGAACAACCATCGTTGAGCAACGATGAGCATCGCAAATAATTTGGAACTCGAAGCTGACATCGCCGAAGTGTGACGGTATATAAACCCAGTTGAGACCATGCCATTCCGAATCAGAACTATGTCAAACAACGTTTCCTCTTTGTACAATTAGCATAATCATCATTTACCTAAGAGTAGATGTCAAAATGCGGTTCAACCGTTTTACTCACAAATTTGTGATATTATCATATCTTATATTATTGCTATTCCGTAAGTAATTGCAGCTGATGAAAAGTTGATGTCTTTTGCTGACCGGTCGATGCGTGTTCTTAATTAAATTTTCGTCGCTATATAGTGATTTAAGTACTTCGCGTAATATTAGCTGACGAAATCCAAAGCAACTATGCAAAACTGTTTAATAGTTTTTAAAAAAATCTGTCCATTCACGGTTAACGAGTTTCTGAAAATTCAAATCGTGTTTTGAACATTGTTGCTGTTTTCAGTACTTGTAATAAATGTCACTGCCGATGGTACCTGTCCGGCCAAGTTTGGCTATTTCCCCGATCCTGCAGACTGCCAGGGGTAAGTCGTTAAAAGGTTGTTTAGTATTATATCAAACTGCGATAAAAGGATCGTTTTTAAAAAGCAGAACTATTTGCTGATATGCTGTCTTTGAAGAACTACAGGATGTTGCTGCTGTTAACTTTGCTGTTAACTTTTATAACTGTTAACTGTTATAAGGCATAAGCTATAATTTTGTCATGAGACATTTAGTCATACTACAAATGTAGTACAGACACAGCGGATAAATGCTTAGCGGATAAATGCTAAGCATTTATCCGCTGTGGTACAGATATGTATGGACACTGCTGCTTTCCGTTAAACTGGATGTACTGCATGTTGAGAGCCAGAGAAAACATAAAAAAGGACTAAGCAGAAACTCATCTATTTTTTTAACTTAGTAAATAATTAAATTAGAATGCCTTTTGCTTTACAACAATGGAAAGTAAGTTAAGTGAAGTATTACATGATATTTTTGTGGATATGCTTGTTTTGATATAATGCTAAGGCTCTTTAAGTGAGCACTGAACGGTTGATTTATACCAGTATCGACCTTTGAACGTCTAGAGTAGTATTCTACAAATACGACAGTCTTCGCTCAGTGAATGCGAATATTGTAGATACTTCATTTGCACATTTGGAAATGCCAAACCACGGAGATGTGGAACCGGGTAAATCCTGGAATATGTGTATACAGATTATACTCGAATATCAAGTTTGTACATTATATATCAAATATACTTCTTTAAAATTTGTTTTTGCCGAACAGACTTCATTATAAAACCACGACGCAGACTTGTGATAAGCCATCGGGTGATTGTACACAAGACGGAGGTAAATCCAGTTTTTTAGCCGATCCGCCCATTTCATGCTCTGATGAAATAAAAAACCGCATGCAGCTGTGGCATATTTTTATTTATGTTATATATGATTCAGATCAAGCGACACGGCCAAAGTATACCGGACCAATGATGAAAACCGGAAATGCTCCTCCCCAAACAGCTGCAGCACTTGCAACATCCGCTCCCACCGAAGCCGCACCCAGTGACCAGCAGGCGCCCACTCAGTTGGCCACACAAACGTCGGTTGATCAGCAGTATTCTCCAAATGCTAACAATCCTGACGACCAACAAGGACAATCCGCTGTAAACAATCCGCCACAGCCAGGAAACGTCAAGCAGATGTCGAAAAACGCCGACTTCTCCGCGCTGACCAATCGAAATTCAGGGCGTGACGCCGCTTTTGTTCCTAAATCCGTCACTGAAACGACTGCAGTTAACACGGTGAAGAAGCCCAGCTTCACCCAAATGAACGTGAAGCCATCGTTCAATAAACCAGATTTTTCAAAGCCAGCGCCGCAAAATCTGAATCCAGGGGACAAACCAAGCGCTACCGTGAAGACTCCGGTTAAAAGCAGCTACTCGGATGCCGTCAAATTAGCCTTCAACAGCAAGCCATCGTTCGGCGGTAAAAAGAAAGTCCCGGTTCAGCCCATTCCACCACCACCAACCGCGGCTGCGCCACCCGCACCGCTTCCCGATCGCGACAACAATCCGCCTCCCGAACAACCGAAACAGGACGTCAGTGATGGCCGAACGGGCGACGTCAACACGAACGACCAGAATGCGGACAATGCGCCGCCGCCGATGGCGCCCCGTCCACTCATTCCCAAAACTTTCCAACCGCGCCCGGCTGCAGCGAATAACCGGAATCCCGACGGTAACAGCTGGGGCCAAGATACACCGCCGGCGCAACCGAACCGCGGAAGTGACCGATGGTCACCGAAAAACCAAAACGACCAATCGGGTCAAGACGCGCCTGATGACCAACAAAGCCAAGACGGAGATGGGCGTGGCAGGTCCAGACCCGCCTTTGCCGCTTCGCAGATAGACCAGCAACCAGTGGACAACGCCATCAAACGGCCAGTCAACAATCGCAAACCACAGCGACCGCCACCGCTGTCACGGGAACGTAATCGCGCTCCACCAGAGGCTATTTCGCAGCCGGCCGACCAGAGCGCGTCGCAGTGTTCGGCGGACGTGTGTCAACTGCCAAATTGCATGTGTGGTGGTACGGGCATCCCAAATAAGATGCAAATTGCTGAAGTTCCGCAAATGGTGCTGTTAAGTTTCGATGCTGGTAAGTGGAACCAAACATCATGAACTCAAAAATTTTACAGCTCCAGCCGGTGCCCCTACAGTAAAATTTATGTAAGGCTTTATTTATAAAAGTGTTATTATTTCTGTTTTCTTTATTTTTGCAGAAATAAACGAAAGGAATCTTCCAATTTATGAGCAAATATTTCATAAGAATCGAAAGAATCCGAACGGTTGCAACCTCAAAGCAACCTTTTTTGGTGAGTATTGAATTTTGCGGTTTCTGTCAATTTTACCGTTACAAGCCAGCCTTCTGGTTGATATCACGTTTCTTTTGCAGTTAGCCACGAGTAAGTGCCATTAAAATCTGGTTCAACTGAGAATTAAAACAATGCGTGCAAACTGCAATCATTTGAAACTAGGTTCACAAACTACGGAATGGTGCGCTATTTGTACGAGAAAGGTAACCGGCAAGGACTGCGCAACATTTACGACCTCACACTCTATTCTCCGCTTTGTAATGTATAAATGTTTCTGCAGGTCACGAAATCGGCTCCCATTCTATTACGTAAAGATTTGCCAGAATCATACTCATGTGTACGTATGTTTTCCGAATTAAACATGCATGAACTGCAGACACGGAGTGGGAACCGGTTTCAAAGACGAACGAGCGTGGGAAACGGAAATGACCGGCGAAAAAGGCTTCCTGGCATCCTTCGCTTCCATTCGACCGGACGACATCAAGGGAGCAAGAGCCCCGCTTCTGGGAGGAGGTGGAGACGATCAATTTCAAGCGGTACGACTTTAATTCTGTCAAAATTACTTATTCCCAGTTTTCACATATCCTGGCTGACCACAGTTAGTCAATGGACAATTCACCTACGACAGCACCTTGGTCACTCCTACCTCCTCTAAAGCACCCTACTGGCCGTACACCCTGGACTACGGCGTCCCGCACGCCTGTGTGCAACCTCCTTGCCCGCAGCAAACATATGCCGGTTTATGGGAACTTCCGCTCAACCCCATCTACGGCCTATTTGGAGGTTTCCATCTTATTTCTCGTTAAATTCCCTATTATATTACTATGAAAGTCCTTTGTTTCAGAAAATTGTTACGAGGCGGATCGCTGCACGTTTGGAAGTACTGGGAATGAAGTATACAAATTAATGTACAGCAATTTCTACGACAAACACTATTCGACGAACAAAGCTCCGTTCCACCTGGCAATTCATGCGGACTGGTTAAAATACCCGCCACACCGGGAAGCGTTCGAAAGATTTTTAGATCTCGTCGCCACTATGCCAGATGTCTGGGTGGTGACCGGAAGTCAAGTAAGTAACTGGAGAAGTTTCTTTTTTCCCTATAAAGTTCATAAAGGATTTACCTGTACATTCGTTAGAAATTATGTTAATCGAAATCAAATGAATCCATAAATCGTTACGTATTATCCACCAGTATTTTAAAGCACATTCTTTTATTTTTCAGGCGGTTGCATGGATGCAGAATCCAACGCCCCTTTCCCAATTGACCAGCTTTGCGCCTTGGCAATGTAGCGCAGACGATGCCAGTCGACTGCCGCAGTGCGATACTATCAACGCATGCCCACTGACTTTTCGCAATCGATTGAGATACTTCTACACGTGCAGCGAATGCCCAGCGGAATTTCCGTGGCGACCAGAAGCAAAATAGGCGCAAGCATTTTGTTACCAAAATTAATAATTTAAAAAACGTAACCTTCTTTAGTATTAAAGAAAATTTCTCGTTAACATCACTTTACTAAAAGCACAAATAAAAAGATCAAAACAAAAATCGAAGATTACACATGGTAAGACTGGAGTTAAAAAGGTAACATTACAGTACAATAACACACTCTGGAAAACAATCGTTACCGGTGCATACCGAATGCAGAGAAATTCGAGGGTTGTGCATTTTTGCTAATAGAGTTTGTGTTAAGAGAAATATCTGCGGCATCCGACATGTTCATTTCCCTTCCAACTGGATTCGTGCTACAAAAAAAGAAAACTGATTCTGCCTGCGCTGGTTAATTCTAGGTTACTTGCGACATGTTGAGCGCAGATTACGACATTTTTGAGTTACATCAGTATTATTCTCGTTAATACAATTATTTAGTTTCTCCTGTATTTGCAAAACTGTTTCGCGGATGTGATCCGAAGTGCAATCTCTCGCACTTAAAGCATCGCACTGTCCAAGAACAACAGTATGTGAATACTGATAAGTAATGGGAATAAAACTCGAAGTACAAGCCGAACAAAAACTATCCAAGAAAACTTTCACAGCTGCAGTACCGCCAACTTCTGTCGTCGGAACGTTGCTTGTCACGCAAGTACGAATATTACGAACTTTATCTAAGTAATTTCTAGAAAATTTAACCATAGTATTTACTTAAAGGCAAAACGTTAAAATCGTCACTACCACTTGCCTGTTGCCAGCAATATCATCATCCAAAGAGCCAAAGATCCGCAAACGCGCTTCGTTATAAGCAGCCACTCGTTCCTCGTAGGTCTTTATTGGAAGTGAGGGAGCGACGGCCTTCTTTTCCTGACCAGGACGAGTCTGCATCGCTGGATCGCGTTTCAGTATTCGCACTTTGCCAATTTCGGGGGAGGAAGACAATTTCGTGACTGTGGATCTGCGAAACATTTAGGTACATCCCATACTTTGATCGACGCATTTTTTTGGTAATAAAAAGAAGTTTACGTTGTTCCCACTGCATCGTTTCGCGGAGATTCAGCTTGCGGGATCGGTTTTTCCTCGCTTTTCTTGAGGATCTTTTTGACCGTTTTCTTGGTCGCTGGCTGTGGAATCTATAGCCCCAAAGAAAACCGAAAAAACTGCAAACCTTTGTATGGTATTTGCGTTCTACAGAAAAACACGGAAATGCTAAAAGCCTCTAGAAAGTCTCAATGACATTTGCAAAAAAAGGGTTTCATAATATATGATCAGAGGCCAATTTCCGCCTTAGTGCACGTTTAGCTTCCTTACCGTCATCTCGTCAGCCAATTCTTCCCACGAGTCCCGGACGTCTTCCTCCGGATAACTGCTGGTTTTGTTCATAATACAGGTGAGATCATAATACAACAACAAATATAATTCCGTTTTGGTGCAATAATATAGCTTTGCAAGTTAAAATGAATCAATTGTCAATCTCCATTATAAAAGGTAAAAATACTGGAAAGATGTGGCGAAATCAACATTTACTAGCGCAAGCTCCGAGATAACCGAACGTACCGTACGTACGAGTGTAACGAGCACGAGTACGGCAGACGTAAATCCGAAGTGCGTAATGACCGATCCGCATCAGCATCAGCGGTGACGGTGTAAATAAAACCACGTGTTCTTTCTCACAAAGATCACATGCTCTTGCAAACGCGCCGAAACTTGCAGTCTGCTTGTCTCCTTGTTTTGGCTGGTCGCTTGTGGAACTGATCAGAATATTTTACTTTAGTCTTCTAAGTTAAGAGCAGTGGTGGATTAATGTATTTTTTCCATAGCGAATACTGGATCTGACTGTGACTTCAGATTGATTTTCCTGCGATCGTTAAACCGGGAACCATTCGCTCAGACGATCGGCTGTATGTCGTAAATGATCGTCAAGAGCCACAACTTCTAAAGGATGCCGGAACTTCCAGAAATTCATTATGCGTGCAAGTTGATCAACAAGATCGGCGCGGAAAAAAGATTCCGATCTCCCATTATAAAGTCTGGTGCGATCGTTTAGTAACTGTAAATCTGTAAATGTAATCCTTTCGCTGTATAGCGGTTAGGGATTGGGTACTGACACTGTAGGTGTCTATCTTTACAGTTTACATGTTGACGATGAAGTTGTAGACTTGTTAGCACCGGAATACCGTGTTTTAGAACTAGACTCTAGAGTTAGTTAAAGCTGACTTGTTACTTGTAGAAGTATACTCTGCCGGTGGTTTCGGTCTTTCGGACACAGTAGAAAAACCTTAATCGGACACCGGTTGAGCTGACAAGCAAATATGTGTTTCAGACGTCAGCAAAATGGAGAAAATCGAATGGGCCAAAGAGCATTTCACAGTTCGTGCGTTAAGTCGTGGAAAGGAACTACAAATGATCCTGGAGGAAGTCTCAGATAAGGCTGGATCGGCCCAGAACTCGGAATCGCTAAATGGTTCATCCAGTGAAACGAGCAACAGCAGTCTCATGTTGACGTTTGGGTTTGGGATGTCGGGGAAGTTTTCTTTTGATAGGTAAGTGAAAACGCTACGTGGGTTGAAAGTCGCAAACTAATAGTAAGTGTAAATTCGCCTTGTTATTATTTTGAATAACGCGTTTTTGTTGATGCTCGTGGTGTTATTATTTTGAATAACGCGTTTTTGTTGATGCTCGTGGTGCTTTGTGGTTGTACAGATGCGTATTATTTTCAGATTTGATGCGATTCCAAAGCACGCGCATCTGCAGTTCTTCACTGACGAAAACCCTTCCTATGTGCTGAGTTTCGTGGATTATCGACGCTTTGGAACTTGGCGTGTTGGGGATTTCGATTTCGCTCGAGTGAGGATGCGGTGCATTGTATAACAGTTAGTTTTATAATTGAAAATTGCCTGACATTTATAGTTTCATCAGTTCCTGATGTATTCTCGCTTATGTCACTGGCCAGCACTAGCAGTGATTATCGCAATTAGGAGAATTCTGATAGTTACTCTCGAAGAATTTCGCTTTGCTTTGCTGTTATTAGGGCCCAGACCCAGTGAAGGATTATAAAGATTTTCGACAGAACGTGCTTGGTAATCTTGATAAATCGGTTTTCAACAAAGCGATTTGCGAAGCTATTATGGAGCAGGTATTCATCAGCATGATTGAAAATTTGTTGCTTCGCGTGATTTATTATTTTTTTACTGGCAGAAATATTTCAACGGCATTGGAAATTACCTGCGGTAAGTACTGCATTGCAGTGACCTGCTTCTCATGCTTATTGTCGCCATCAGCTACATAATAATTGATATTGTAATAATGTGAGTTGCGGCTTATATATCCTTACTCCCTAAATAAACGCATAACCAGAATGAACGTTCTAGAGCGGAGATTTTGCACCGTGCTGAAGTGCCTCCATTTGTTGCGGCGCGAAGTGTTTTGGAGAAACTTGCTCCCAAGGATACAGTGGACGTTAATAACCCAGATTTATTGGATTACTGCAACTTGGTTCCGAAAGAAGTTTTCAATATCATGAAACCAGGCGAAGGATACAATCCTAAGTCTGATAAGGAAATTTACCGTCCGTTTAAGGGCTGGCTACGCTGCTACATGGTGGAAGGAATGACGAATCTGGTGGACCGACAGGGACGCACGATCTGGTTTGCCGGAAATCCCGGTCCAATGGTGCCTGCAAAAAATCAATCTAGACACGGAGCGCGAGGGAAACGTCGGCGATCACCATCGTCATCAGACGACGACAATAGTGAAGCTGGTTCGGTTAAAGAGAGGAAGGGTGTTAGCGAAGACAATAGTGAAGCGGAAGCTCTGCAGAGCCAACCGTCCGTTTCCCAGAAAATCAAACGTGAAGTGCCGCAAGTCACACCGGTTCGAAACGGAAAGCGTGGAGCTGGTGGCCATGCGACCTCAGCGAACGGGAATGGCTCTTCGTATTTTGTAAAAGTGGAATCTGACGGCGCTGCGGATACATTCGATATCAAGGCAACCGTGAAAGTTGCTGCGCGCTCAAAGAAAGGCAAAACAGCTCGACAGAAGGTGGAAGATCCGGAAATTTCTGAAAGGAAGCATTCTTTACAAATTAGAAAGCAAACAAAAGAAGCAGCGGAATCGGAAGGCGCCGATCCCATTAGTGGCGGAAAAACGGGAAAACGGGCTTCGAAAAAGGCAAAGGGGACGGAAAAGCGTGAAAAAGTGAAAAATGAACCGTTAATCGGAAGTGAGAAAGGAAATGTGCGACATTCTGCGCGACTTGTAGCGGTAAAGGATGAGCCTTAAGGAACTGGATGGGAAGCGGATGATGTTTTTTTTGCAAAGATGTGGAGAATTCGTTAATGTGGCTTTTTGCCCTGTGCGAAAATTCTGATGATTGTTATATTTCTTTCTAAAAAGTCACGTCGTAAATGAAATATGGTTGGTGACTGCTGTAGTTATGGTTGTGCATGGTTGATTGAACTTGATTCATAGTTATTGATCTTTGCGGACACTGATTCAGGCTTAAAATTGCACAATGATTTCTTCTGCTGATAGTTCTCCATTTAATCTACTTATCTGAGAATTGTGCATGCGGACTGTTTCAAAACAGATAAATTACGTGATAGATTCAGTTCTTTTTTGCTTACAACTTCCTACTGGAAAGATTTGGATCTGTTTAAATTAGAGCTCGAAACCTATCTATAATCTGCAAAAGTAGGCGTAGATGTATTCGAAACTTTACCGTTATCGCGGTGCAAGCGCTAGTCCCTACGGTACATATTTGAGCATGACAATTCACCTGTGCTGCAAAGTTTGTACAACATACATTTACTGTTAAGTGGATTTTGTATCTGTTCGTGCAATTTGCGTTATACTCGTAATTTTCCCCTTAACCATCTTCAAATAATCTCTTGCAATTTTATGAGACAGAATTTCTGGTAAGCCAGTTAATTTGTGTGCGACTGCATAGGATCGCCACTATTTTGTAGTTAATGTCATGTCAATTTTTACCTTTAATGTCTGAATTCAGCTGCAGATACAAACTCCTGTGCCGATCATGACCACCGTGAACGATCGCGCAGTATTAGACAGCATTTTTAATCCATATCTCCCCCTTGGTGAACATAACCTTCCTTGGACGACAGACAGCTCCACAGGTTAAAAAATATTTGAATAAGAGTTTAGCGCAATTACTTAATTACTTTGGTAAAATTAAGACTAAACGTTTTTTTGCACTGGAAAGAGCATAATTCAAATCTAAAGCTAATGGCGACAGTAAGTTATTACTCAGTATTACAGTAATAACTGCATAAGAGTAGGGCAGAAATAATCTAACCAAAATGAAATAGGTCAGATTTTCGTATATTACGCTACGTTTTTTTCTTAAGCGTCAGGCCGCAGCTTTGTTAATAACCAAAAAAGGGCTAGCATAGCTATCCGAGGCTTGCACAAAAATGTTTTGTATGAATTTCGCAGTGCATGTGCGTAATATCTGCTGACGTTGTATATGAATTATATAGTTTACGTTTAAACAGTTAGCGATGCACGAAATATACAGGTATGAAATGCATTTATTTGCACTCAACAAATTTAGTTCTCGTAAGTGCTGTAAACAGTTACCGCACCTACTGTATAATGTACACTTTAGAGTATTATGGCATACGAATGTTAAATCGCTGAAAAACTGCAGTAAAGTCTTTGCCGTGCCGGTTATCTTAATTGCCGGAAACGTTTGGTAAGACTGGTTAAGTAAAACACATACTTTACATTATTGTAATCCGTGTACTATGAAGATCATTTATTACGATACAACTAGCAAATTAAACAAAGCATAATTTTTTGATAGCTACAAGCAAAGATATGCAATTCCGAAAACAGATTTATTTCAGATAGCGCAACCACATGCGCGGACTCCGAGCTCCGTGACCCCGCTGCAGTCCAGCTGGAATTAGGTACCTTAGTGCTCCTACTGTATTGTTTTTATATTGGAACACTTAGTACACAGCAAGACTACATGTTCAATGCGTGCAAGTTTCTGCATGTGTGCTCAGATGCGGTGCAAGCTGCGGAAATAGGGAATCTGGAGGACGCTATTCGCATACTCACCGAATATGTTCGATTGTACCCAACCAGCGCTTCGGGATACAACAACCGAGCTCAGGCGTATCGCCTAAACGGCGACCTTCAGGGCAAGTACTTACAACACGTGAATTTGCAATTTTACAGACGTAGGCAGACAGTGAACTATACTCTATATACAGCCTCGCCAATCTGAATAAAGTAGGAAACTAAAACGCTGGGATAATTTATTATCTTTGTTATTTTAGAGGCGGAAAATGACTTAAATACTGCGATTAATTTGTGCCAAGATTGTGGCCCAGTCGGTAAACAAGCCTTTGCGCAACGTGCAATCGTGCGAGAATTGAAAGGAGACAAAGAAGGCGCTAAAAGCGATTTCAGTGCAGCGGCAGCACTGGGAAATACATTCGCCAAACAGCATCACCAGTCCAGTGAAAAGTCCGAGAAAAACGACTGTTAATTCTGCACCGAAACTAGAGCCGCCTTATAATTTAGAGTGATTCTGTACTGAGTGGTGTTTCGAAGTGCCGGCGAAACGCAGAACATGCTGATGAAACGCGCGAAACCTTCAGAAAGTGAAAATAGCTTTCTGAGCGCAATATCCGCATTTCGTTATTCCAAGAGCCCTTAATCAGCTGTGGTGGAATTACAGTATTCCGGTAATTTGTCGGAATAGTTCGGTACGTTAACCAGCTGAAATAATGTCAAATTATGGAAAAGACTAGGGAAACGGTGCGGTTCAGTTTGCTGGCTTTTTACTTTTCCTTACTCATTTCTCCAATTCTTCTTCGTAAAAAATAAACACTTTCGACTCCCATGGCCACTATATGCCTGATTATGAAAAAGGAAGAATGGAAACAATAAACACTTCCAAAAAATTGTAGCAAATGTACAAACCATGCAGCATGGAAAACAGAAAATGAGATCAATAAAAAACTGCTAACAAGATTGCGCCACAGCACACTCAGATTAGTGGCATTATGAGGCATTCACTGATGAACAATTCGTTGAACATTCCATAATGGTCCCGAAACCAATGAAGTAGGCAATCTCATGCTCCTTTGCTATTTCCCTGGTGATTCACCGCTTGATCGTATAAACTTAACATCCGTACGGCCTTTTGAGCGTCGTTATAGTCCATCAGTGCCTTGTGCGACATTTCCTGGATGGCATCTACAGTATCTCTAGGATACTTCAGTGCCAACAACTGCGGATCGGCATTTACAATTTCCTAGTGAAAACAACATGTTTGATTAAACTTCATTAATTATAGTAATATTGTAAAATATTAACACAAAAACTACCTCCAAATCGGTAGGACGTAAAAGAAGCCAAGGCAAGAGCTGCTTGTAGGCATTTCCGGTACACAACTGGTCTAATAAGTGAGACGCTCGGTTGTGGACGTTGCCAGAATCGACAGAATCCGCGCCGGAAGACCCAGAGGTGGATTCTGAAAAACAATACTATTAGGATTATCTATTACTCGAAACGCCTTCTTAGCACTGTTACAGATAAATTTCACAAGTAAACCTCAAACCGAAATTAAAAACTGCAATTTTCGGCGCATTAAAGTACCATTACTTAATATCGTACCGATTTAATATACTGTATTCACTGTGCTGTCTGTGCAAGAAACAGTAGTTTAAAAGCAAGTTTTTGGATATCAGTTTTAGTCCGGCCCGAGAACATCATAATATTTAGTGTTGCTTTACTTAGTAAAAGTAAATAGTAAACCTTACTTAGTAAGCGTTTTTTGTGTTTTACTAATTAAGTAAAACGTAAGTAGACTGCAAACAGAAAAGCAAATAGTAAGTAAAAAGTAAGAGCAGCCGAGTCGTGAAAAGTAAATAGTAAGTAATAGTAAGAGATACAGTATGGAGAAAGTTTATTTAGTAAATAGTTTTGTTTACTATTTGTCAGCAACAATGTAACAGTACCAAAACTCTGTCAAACTCAATTTTTTGTAAGATTTGACGTTTGGCAATACAGGTTTCTTTCTGCAGCGCTAAATTTTCGCTGCACTGCAGACGCTATTGAGCACTTGATGCGCGAGTTACGTGATGGTTAGATGGACTGTAATACCGTATCTAATATAATACTGTATCTACAAAGTAATACTCGTATAGTAAATGCATTCGCTTATTTATGAAATTTTGCTAATTTTATTCGCTATCGTGCTACCATGCATATTTTACATGTATGAGTCGGTTTGTCAAACACAGTAACTTTTAGCAAAACAAAATCGCTTCGACGGGAAAATGCACAGTCGAAGTACCAAATTTTCTGCGAACTGTTAAAATCGCAGTTCAAGTAATGATTTTTATATTAACCGATCTGTAAAAACAAAGATTGCAATATATTAAAATTTGTTGCGTACGCGGTTCATGCAAAAATCTAACAGGAATAGTAAATACTATTATTTTTACTAGTAATTACTAAGTAAGTAAAAAGTAAGTAAGACTGCGACGGAAAAGTAAAAAGTAAGTAATAGTAATACCGGAAGATTACAAAAAGTAAATAGTAAGTACATAGTAAAACCGGCGGCAGGAAAAAAGTAAAAAGTAAGTAAGCCGCTGGACCAATAGTAAATACAACACTGATAATATTCGGTGTGGTATTTTGCTGAACTTATCGTACACTCACGAAAAATTAACTATAAATATGACAATTAACCATGCATATTTTTACTTTCTTCTGTGTAATCGTAGTGTGTGGGAATTCTACTGTATTACCCTAAGAAACCATTACCAAGTACATCCACAGCTACTTTTTGTACACTGAACAAGATTACGAGGTAGTTGGGCACCTTGCAAGGTCCCCAACTCAGTCCAAATAGAAAAATGCAAATCTCCCAGCATCAGCGGTCACTGGTCAGCACTTAATACGGCATAAAAATCAACAACTACAACCACACTAAAATCTGTAGATTATGTTTTACTTACTGACATGGCTGCCGGGATCCATTTTCACTTATTATGTTTGCAACATACCGTGTACAAGGATAAAAACAAATAATCAGTTAAACCACAACACGATAAAGGCAATTTCTATATCCGCGATCTTCAGATCAAAGAAGGAGTAATCAATCACTGGAATAACTGGATGCTACAATTACCCCTGCTATTTACCACAGGAAAGTACTGGCTAGGCTGAATCAAAATGTTTTTGAAAAGAATACCGGCAATGTCAGAAGAATCAGGTTCCATTTTCATACACATCCTACGCAAATCCTAACATTTATAGGCAATAAAAATAGCGGTACCACCTAACAGCAAAATAGCGGTACCACTACTAAGATAATTATCGAACTGCAGCCTGGCTGTTTAAGAAAAATGAGACTAACGGTTAACTTCTGCTCGGGTACAGCCTTCCGACGCACATACACCAGTGATATTTTCATTTGCTCTACTATTTTGCAGTGTATCATGTTCCAGTAACGTAACCCGGATGACTAAATACATAATTCGGGAAAATGTGAATCGTCAACGCTCACATGATAGCTGCGTTTTACTGATTCTGCGTATCACCGAATGCGCCCGACTTTGACCTTGAAACGCGAAAGGTGCCTTAGGGATCGATGATGCAGCTATTCAGCACAGTACGCACGTTTGTTTATACGAGTATGGAGTGATGTCTTGTTGCATCGTTAGTTCATCCTGTACACGTACAACCCTTCCGAAAAAAACAGCTGTTGCAAACCGCAAAGTGGATTCGGTTATTTTGGCTAACACCGCAAAAGTGCTAATTATAAGCGTCTATAAGCCTGTTCGTAGCACTACTAAGAACTCCATCGGCGAAGTCAAACAGTGGATTATGCACGAGAAAACGCTATCACACATTAACAGTAAATGATTTTATTAAATGTATTTTTATTCTTCACTGCATCGCAGGACTGTTGTGCTGCATTAAAAATCCCAAACGAGAAGCCTCCTAAAACGAGGAGGTGCAATGACCGGTAATGCCAGTCATAATTACTTAAGAGGCAACATCAAACTGAAAACTGCTTATTTAGTCCTCCTGATATTTGTCAACTAACATTTTTTTTTATTTATCCAAAAACGAAATTCGCTTTTAACTTGAAAATCCTCTTCCTATGCATAGTGTAAAGTTGAATAACTTAATGTGTGCTTCACAAAAAAGCAGAATAACACCACTATAACAGAATCACTTATAACAGAATTTTAATTACCGCCGGATTTATTATTAAAGAGCTTGTAATTTATGTAATTTACATGATTACATAATTTATACAGTATTCATTTCCCAGCCGGAAATTGTAACCAAAACAAAAAGCGACTGATGGTTTTACAAATCTTGATGGAACTTTTCCTTTTTACTGCAGACATATTATTTATGAGTTAGCTCACGACGTAATTTCTTTCTCAAGAGGTTATTAACCTGACTTGGACTGTCCTCAAACCACAACACGACCGCGGCGTGCTCTTTCCAAGCCAATGAACTCCAGTCTGGCCTGATTATGAATTATCCGAGCAAGGCTGCAAGTGCTAGAAAACTTCACTGCCATACCTGCTGTACTGGCTTGAGTCCGTGGACAACTCGTATTACAGCACATGTTGTTGGGCCGCTCATAGAATATTCGAGGCATCCAGATTTCCTGATCTTTAAGGAAGATAAACGTCGAATGATCCGGGACTAACTGAAAATAATCTTCTTCGTCGATTTCTGTGCCGTCTTCTTCCAGAACTACACGGATTGGCTGATCAGCGTCGATGGCGAGTTTTCGTTTTCCTATTACAAGGATGAAAATTTGGCACCAGGAAGGAAGTGGTTAGAAAGCGCTTTTGGAAAGAAACAGCAAATTTTAATCTGGTACTTCAAAGTGATACACAAATAACAAACTGCAACACGAGACTGCAAGCTGCAAAATAGCCATGCACAACAGTAATAAGACGAAACAGCCCTGTTATAACTGAGATCCCTGTATCTGTAAGTGCTTCCGGAGAGCAGGAGAATACAGGGAACATGCAGACTGCTACATGGTAACATGTTGGATACGTTGCAAAAAATACTTAATTTAGCGTAGAAGAACTGCCAACAGGCGTCGAACGTCGATCAAAAGACCAACAACTAACAAGCAAGCTTGAATCCATCATATTATAATTTTGTTTGTCACAACATCTGCAACCTTAGTACCTTACCTTCAATTTTCAGTGTGTCAAGATTCGAAACAACACAACTTTTTTTCATCGTCCTCTTGAAATCCCAAATTTTGCAAGGTTTGGACATTGCACCGTTGTAGTCCCGTTCCAGGGCATCCATTTTTCGATTAAATACCGAATATGTTATAAGAAGTTGTGACACATTATTTAACTAGTAAACAGGTAACAGCGCAAAATCTAAGAACAAAATGATCGTCAATAGAAGTACAGCAATTTTGCGCAGATACATAAGTTTAGAGACAGAAAAACAGTGCAGTACGCACTGTCTACGCGTCTGTGTGCGAAACCATGCGGATGACCACCATGCAACGTGTCACTGTCCGCTCGCAAATACCGTATATGTGTTCATTCTGTCCGGACGTTCTGTGTTGTCGACGGTCGCGACAGCCTCGACCATGTAGAATCTATGACCCCTTCGGGGCGGGGTTTAATTGCACAGCAGCATTGTAAGAACTACAGTATCAATTTTTGTAGTCAAGTGAGTGCACTGTACGACAGTACCTTGTTGTACCGGTTCAAATTCCAGTATCCATGGTCCAGATTTGTTTTTATATTTTGTGTTTTCGCGCACATCTAGCGGATTTGTATAGACAAGTGTTCTGAACAAAAAAATAATTGAAATATAAAGACATTTTGTTGTGGATTTTTCGTATCATTTGGTATGCATACCGGAAGAGTACAGTACCGAAAATCAGACAAACACAGAGGTTTTCTCGGCGAGCAACTGGTAATAATAAGTATAGACTTTATGGTTCTCTGTCATTTATTTGGTATAACTTATCTATTGTATATATGTACTATTCTGTTCTGTTTATTGATATATAATTATCAATGATATATAAATTATGTTTTATTGATATATATAAATTGATATACTTTGTATAAATGTAGTTTGCATGACTAATGTGCATACGTTTACATACCACAATCAGTTGTCACTGATTTTGTAGCTCGGGCTGTTACAGAACGATACTCTGTAGTAAGTAACGCTACCTCAAACTAACTGAATATAAGACTGAAAAGATTATGTATTAATGTTAAAATTTACGTACAGTAGCATGATTGCGCAGTAACGCGAATTACAAGAAATATCTGTCTCGTATACATTACAAGTCGCCGCTGTCTCGTATACATCATCAAACTTCTGTTTTCTAGTACTTAGTTTGTACTTTCACGTGATACTTATTAAAGGTCCATCACACGTAAGAAATATCTACTTGCGCGAAGTAGTAACGTTTCTTTATATCTGAATATTCAGTCATTCTTATGGCTATCTGTGCTAATGTTTTTTAGGCGGTCCTTGTAGGCGCCCTTTAACTTAGTGACCTCGGCTTCCACAAGGCTGCAATAAGTCGTCAACCTGTTTAGAGGACCCTGTTCAGTGAACAGGGTCCTCCAATCGGGATGACCTTTCAACTCATAATGACCAATTTCTGTTGCAGCTACTATCCACTGCTAGCACACAGTTTAGGCAGTTTAACCTTTCAAAACAGGAAGTTGAAATTATTTACTTAGTGACTATCAAGCTAGTCGAAAATGACCTATTCTGAAAATTTTCGTTTCCGATGGTCAATTTGGATGTTTTGAAACGATTTCTGAAGGCGATCAGTATTCAGTGCAGGCAAGTATTTCTGCATGGATTTTTATTCGCTTTTTCCTGCCTAAAAGTCGGTGAAGCTTTTTGTTAGCTCATCTTGAGGTTGTTCTTTTAACGTGCAACGGCATCTGGGAAACTGTTTTGAAACAAATCTGCCTTTAAAACAAATTGCATGTGGCGCAGTTTCCAAGCATGTTGAATTCGACGGGTCGTTACTGGATAGAAGTTTTTAATTTATTTTTTGGTTGTCTTATCCAAAGTTTACGGGGTTTTGGATCGTAAAATATACTGTAGATTTGTTCCTTAATATCCTCCATCACGTGCCATCCATTTTTTAAAATTACATGTTTGAAAAAGTGCTGGTCGTAGCGCGCGCCACCCAAAGGAAATGGACAACATAACATCGCAAATCTTGCCCACGATACATACTCTACCCTACTCGTAGTATCTGAGGCTAAAAATGCAAAACTGCATTTCCATATTAAAAGAAAAAATACTATTAAAAAACTATTTCAACGAAATTATCATTATGAATTATTACTTATGTAAATTGCCACCGAGCATGTATCTAGATGAAAGTATTTAAGTAACGAAGTACTGTATTATTATAATTTAATCGTAAATAGTGAATGTTAACCGGTTGACTCAATTGACTCATTAACACGGCAAAAAGGCACACACTATACCGGCATCAACAAATCAAAGCTTCCAATAAACAGTTTCGGATAGTGAAATGGTTTCAACCTGAAGATTTACTACTTCTGGAGTATGTAGCTATGCAGTACAAAAAAAATGTTACCCACTGTACGACTAGCTTGATCAAATCCAGTCAAGAGTAATAAGTCTATAGCTAGTACTGTTATTGCTTTGTTGGCGTTTGTAAACCATATAGACATAAAAAAAACTGGAAAATATCTTCTCCAAAGCTTTGACTATGAATCCATGGATAAACCATCCACTCAAACCATTTTACTAATGATAAATGTGCAGGTTTCGTAATATCTACTAACGGCTGGGGTATATATACTCGTACAAGTGCGAATTAAGGCACAATTTTACATAAGACTAGCATCGATATCTTCTTCGGTTAGCTCTTGTTCGATCTGAAGCAAGGTCGCGCCATCGTCGCTTATCTGCAAAACAAAAGGGATTTGTCAGTTAAGGTTTTTTGTTTTTGTTATCCTCGGAAATGTCCTGTGATAGTCCATAGCTTCGTTAAGACGTTTAAAAATTAAGTACTCAAACTTAACGATAATTTTACTTATCTTTTAAATTTGTTTGGATGTAAACTAATATATGCGCCACATACAGTACTTAATCTCATCTTGCAACTACGCACACAAACGCATGGCTCTACAGAGTTACTGTAGGTAGAAAATTATATTATTATGTAATTATTGCGGTAGTTAGTACTAGTTACTGCGGTAGAACATTATATTATTCATCCCTATCCCTATAGCGCAATCGTTTTGACGCAAAACCGTCCAGATAGTCAGTTTACCATGTAACGAATGCATTGTCAACAAAATAATCAGTGAAAATCAATGACTAACTGGCATGTTTTGTCTAAACCGTAACAGATAGTGACCTTAATGAGTACTCCTTGACTGCACCAGAAAAAATCGCATTAGATGCCGTAACGCCTTTCCAAAAGATGCGCCAGTTGCATAATAAAGTTACGCTCAAAGCGTTCATTTCCAGGCCATTGAGAAGAATGGTTTGATGTTTAAAGGCCAGAGAACTTTTAGCCACTTGGGAAAAAATAATCGTCTATATCTTCCGAAAAAGGTAATGTACGACGTAAGTATGCTTATTTCCGGCTACATTTAAAAACATTTTATGGCGATGTGGAGAATGTTCTAATGAATATTTACTGTTTTATAATTCCATTTATATAGAGTTTGTATACTAAAACGAAATTGTACGTGTTCTTTGTTCTACATATCAAGTACTTATTCTTAGTTCTGTGATGCGTAAGTACATTAGACTTAATTTTCCGCGCGGCCCTTGTAACTTACACTCACTCCTCCATATGTTTTTGCACTGGACGCTTTCTTGTTAACAGAAATCAGGATTATTATGCCAATAACAGTTCCAAGTCCCAGAAGAGCAAATGTCGAAAGTAATACGATTATCAGAACTGCTTGGGGGTTTTTTTCGTATGTATCAGCAAGATTGATATCGTCTATAAAACAAATAAAACACCCCTGCTACACGGCAACCCAACGTCGGTCTGCTGCTACTAGTACAAGTATATTTTGTAAGGTAGCGGTATACTCACCTTTTTGGCTAATTTGGCCTGCAACCAATTTGCTCTTGTCGAAATTTTTCTCCATTACATGATTGACCGCTGATCCAAGTTCTTTAATATCAGCCATTTCTTCCGCTACAACAGCCTTTAATTTATCAAATTCATTTCGTAGATGCAGTTCTTCCTGCATGAGCTCCAGATCGATATTCTCCTGATCCGTTAAATCGTGATTGTCGTTGCGCATTTCAGCAATCTGTTTTTGCATCAAATACAGCTTCACGTTGCGCTGGCTTTGTGGCTCGTTGTCATGAAATGCCAAACAGCTACGGAAATATTCCCAGGTATGCGGTCTTCGGATTGTCTCACACGACTCACAGGACGTGTCGGATAAAACGCTGCACTTCCGGTCGATAAATAACAATGGCCCGCATAATGAGCACGGTTGACACTTATTCATGTGCAAATAGGATGAAGAAAATGATCGACCAGCTTCACAAGGCTCACACACGGTATCTGTCACGAGAAAACATCCATAAAGCCAATGCGACTGAACTTACCAGTTAGACGCATTTATATTTAATGGAGAGGATACTGCATGGATTTGCCCATATGAAATGTTTATTTTTACATAAAGTTTTCCAATCTTTTTCCTTTATACTGCAACTGTTGCATAAATAAGTAGCTGTTCAATGCCTTTACATGTGCTTCTAAATCCCAATAATAACTAAATTTAATCTGTAAAAAGCGGAAATTCATATAAGTACTAACTTCGAATTAGCTAGACCTATCGCACTGTAAAAACTATAAAGAAAATCCTGTTTTCGTTAGCTTAATCAGCCTACCGTGGGTGCTGTTGCAGAACGATTTCAACCCATGTCCAGCTGTACACGCCGAACAGACATGGTCATGGTGCATGGGATGTGCTCCGAAATTGAAGGCGACAATAACCTGAAAAAGTACCACAGACATTTAATAAAGAATTTTCAATTTCAAATTAACAACAACTTATTTTTAATATTCTGTTATTTAAACGCTAGCAAAATTTTAAATAAGGTTTAAGCCCACTCTTACACTTGATAAGCTTACGTCCATTATTGTGAACATGTTGTTATACCGTTATACCGTGAACATGTTGTTCCCAGCATCGATGTACCAGCACGTTTTGACAACAGAAACGACTGTGTTGGGGATACCCTTATGTAAAAATCATTAATACAAATGTTCTATCTATTGACACATGCAAATTGTATTATCCATATATCGAACAACTTGTTCGCGCAGCGGCTTATTACCGCGCTCTCTATTGATTTTGCTGGGTTAACCGAAATCCAATCCTGTATTAAGCAAAGAATTCAGGTACGCATACAAATTTATCAGAATGAGTTAGATAAATAAGTATTTAAAAATTACAAAAATTCTCAAAAATTCCTACGAAGAATTAGTCGTTTCGTACATTCTGGCGGATTACAAGAACTACCTAATAGGCTAATACATTTTTTGCCAGCCGTGCTAACACATTTTTTGCCTACATTTTTTGCCAGCCGTTTAAAGATTTGGTTTAATGTACTCGAGTATACTTGAAGTACGTATAGCAGATAATCTTCTGTTCGCTGCCGAAAATCGCTGTGTGTTGCAATTTTAGACGAAGTCCAGTCATTTTGTAATACTGAATGCACGAGTAATCTTTGTAACAAGCAAATAAAAAAACAGCCCTTTTGTAAATGATGAGATCAATAAGTGATATTATGTGCGAACTTCAAGAAAGATTAATTCCCTACGGGATGCCATAAGATGCCACTCGAGTGACACCCACTTTCCCAAATGCTAAATCCTTGTTCCTTTACGAATTAACGTACCGTGAAGTATAATAAAGAAAGAACATGCCCCAATGCAAAAGTTATCTAGAAATCGATCACTCTTTCTGTTTGCCTTACTTCAATATAACGCTCATGAGTTTAAAATTGCTCATCCTTCGTCCATACCATTATTGACATTTTACCTACTTACATCAGTTATCACAAGAAAGGTCAGGAACAAGGCGCCTCCAAGCCATGTGCATATGCCGTAAGACATTGTTGGTTATCCCTCCGTTGGAATTGAATAAGTTTGTGTGATTTGGTACCCGAAAGTGGGCAAAGCTATGAAAAACAATAAAAAATATTTTTAATTAAACCCGCCGAATCGTCGGTGTAGCTATCCACAACTAAACAATTTGTCAGTCCTAATAACAATAAGCTAAAAATAAAATCAGTGTGTGCAACTGGTGCGCGTTATGCGCTTGCATTAGGGTGTGCATTATTAATGCACACCCTAATGCAACGAATTCAAATTATATAGAAGCATGTATTTTGTACAACAGGACCTAAATAAGCATGGCACTAACGTAGGAGTAGTTCAGTATCACATAATTACCGTAACTTACAATTCGCGATCGGCCGGTATTGTGAAGTCGATTTGAAGACAAACGTTTGAATACTTAATTTAATCAGGGAGTTCTTTCATGAATGTAGACCTGCTGCTTTAAATATACCATGGCTGAGGTAACAGGACGAACAATCTGTCACATTGGGATCTTCATAAATGGACTTCCCGTGGAGTGAAATCTACATACTTTGCCATTTTATTAAATGTTCACTGCATCGGCTAGTGCTACTTACGCTGGGAATTCGATAATAAATTTGTTTGTCGACGTACACAACATGCAGTTTTAAGGGATGTGCTTGCAGTAGCCGTCTCAAACATTAAGCGAAGAATTGAACTAAAAGAATCGAAAACCGAAGAACTGAAAAATTAGCGTCACAGATGCAAATATTACGTGAAAAGCGGTATCAATCAATCTTTACTGGCGAAAAGACGAATACAGCTATGGCGAATACGGAATACTGGGGCAATACAAACTCACATGATATTAAAGAAGATAGGCTGGAAAATATGGATTTGTCTTTTGTACTGGCTGGACATGTTAAGACCGCTTCAATAGGTTTCACCGTAACCGGATGATTACGATGCTGGTGTGTGGTGTACCATTAACAGGACGGCATACTGGTGCACAGGAATTAATGGACCCAAGTGGGAAATTAGACGCGGTCGATCATTCAAAAAAATGACTCTTGAGAATTTCTCTGGGGATGTCACCTTTTCCGGCAAGACCATCCATCATGACTGTATGTCTGAGCAACATATATACACGTACAGCTATTATCCAAGACAAAGCCATGGATATCTCGGTGCATTCCTGATTCAAATTCAAAAACAGAACTGGTGCCGTACAATATCAAATTTCATCTCAAACCTTTGCAAAACCGGTAAACGGTCGCATAACTCGGCAAGCCATGCGGTCATCAAGCCCCTTGAGGGAGTACAGCGCTACAGTCATACTACGTAAATGTAAATATGCTGCAAGCCTGCAACCAACAAATATTGTGGAATTGTGCGATCAACTTTGCAAATTGATGCGGCAATTAAGTCAAATTCTGCAAAATTAAATACTAGCTGTTTTGGAAATTATATACTTATACAATATGCTGCTGCACAAGGTAACAAAATCAGCAAAATTTACGCAGCTGACGCTGGCGCCTGATTGTGGAGCTATGCACACACAAAAAACCGATACCTAAATGCAAGTTCATGAAGCTGATTTGTCAGTCTTTAAATTGGGAAGAGTTTTCACCGCAGACTGATTCCCAGCGATCTGATCACAGCTTCACAGGGAATGCCGGCAATAGCTCTTTATTTTGTACGGCAGGAGTCGACATCCGTATCAGTCGACATTTAATAGTCGAAGACGACGTTGAGTATAAAAATTCACTGAAGGACTGAAATGACGGTGCGATAACGATATGGCTCTACAGCGGGACAAAGAAATGTCAACACGCTGGATATTTGCATATTTGGATAATACTGCTGCAGCCGCTTTTCTAAAGAATAAGCCAAACACGCTTGGACTACCACCGATCCCTTCCACATTACATTTCTTCTGCGTCCAAACCCTGCCCAAATTCTGAAGTAACAAAACGTAGTGAGTCCGCACGCCGATTTTGAATCTACTCGTATACTGCATACTTATTTCGTGCATAGTATAATTCACTACCATCTTATCACGAAAGCACTGATACTGGTTTGACGCAATATTAAATACTTTGGTAATTTTCGAAAATACTGGTCTTCTTGAACAGTCTATTATAAATTACTGAATCTGAATCAAACTGAAATAGGCAGCAGGCACCGAAGATTGATTTCTCAAAGAGATTTTGTATCGCCTGGCTTCATAGAGCAAAGATTAACTTTTTCTTCTTGTACAACATGTGTTAAATATTACGATTTTTCAAACCACACCCTACGTAAACACGAGATAGGTTGTGTATTCTGTATACGAATCATTCTGAATCCAATAAAATTGTTAACTATAATAATACCAAATTATTTATTTATAAAAAAATCTAACGGTTCTTCACGAGTACGTATACGTTATAATTAATTTAAGTTGAACTCAGCACACCCACCGGTTCATTGTTACAGTAGTTTTTGTGTTCATTGTTCTAAACACACGAAACTTTCTCAATAAATCAGACTTAAAGTACCTTTGCAGGTGCGAAAAATTATTTTTTGTGTAGACCAATGCGAGAAAATTGTGAGGCGGCTATATATGCCCTCTTCAAAGTCATATACTGTATGTATAAGTATGCAGTAGCAAAAGCGTTTCCAATGCAAAAAACGCCCAGGTACGTATTAAAAAGGACAATCGCAAAGGAGCGATTTCGGTCTTTTGCCTGAAAACATAAATTATGTTAAAAATTTTACCTGCTTAACGTACAGATCTCATAATGTCATTATTAAATGTATATGGGCCGTTTGCCCCGGAAGCGATTAAAACTGCCATAAATTTGGAGTTTTCAAGTTGATCGTAAATACTAAATACTTTGTACAGCAAAACGCTGTTTGCACTTTGCATATATATTGTACGGCAGGTCAAGTTAAAAAACTGGCTTCCGCGGCTTACTCGTAGGTCAAGGATTGGTCGTAGAATTAAATGTACAAAAGCGTTGGTTATATTATTATACTATATATACATCAAAATGTATACTATCAAAATGTACAAAAATCAGATGTACATCAAAATTGTACATACAAAAACGTTGGTATTGTTGAAAACTTTATAGGTTATAATGGCTTGATTTAATAATTTCGTGAATCCTTTAACCAAATTCAGAAAGTTTTCGCACTTCGTAATCGCTATTAAAATTAAGGCCGCTAATAAAGTTAGCAGCTGTCCGGTAAGCTACGGAAACTATCGACAAACCGTCGATTTTATTATTGGGAAGAACCTTGATTTTTGTCGGAAAGTCGAAGCTACAAACACAATTTGTGTTTGAAGCATTACTTGAATAATTTACTTGAATAATACATTACTTGTATAATTTATTTTATTCTAGCTCGGAGTGTTTTGACCAGCTAAGGCCAAGGCTTTGGCTATGGCTATGGCCAAGGTGGATAAGGGATAAACCCTGGTGATGTTAGTCAATGTGGCAAAATTCAGTACTTTTTTCCGCGAGCCTTTTCCGCTTAGAGTAGTGAACTTTTTGCGGAAATCGGGTGCATATCACGGCCTGACGAGTCCAAGATGCACCGACATCGAAGTAAAAAAACACACCAAAATTTAATGGTGTATTGTGTCGAAGTGTACGTACTACAAGAAAGAATGCATGCTTACTATTTGGTTTAATAAGTAACGACAACTGTTTTGAAAGTACGTAATTTTTTCTGTTACGAGCGCAGTTGTCACAAGGTCGGAGTTTTTAGCTACGGGCTCATCCCGAGCCTCGCAGCGATAGTATACGCCAGTACCCGGTCCATGCGTCTGAAGTCCCAACTTAGTGTTCCGTTTTTTCATTCCTAACAACAAGCCTAACACAGATCGCGCAGATCTGTAGATGTGAAGCCCATCCGATTTCCCTCTGGTCCAGCCGAATTGGCGATCACCGCAGTCCATTCAACTGCTTGGCTCCCAAGAATCCCACTCAACAGAAAGCAAAGTTTTGCGATGAGATATATAAGAAAGGTCACTTTAACAGCGTCAAACTTACTCGCTCCCTTTGTCAGCTTTCGCCCTTACGGTTACACTGATTCTGCAAGAGAATGCAGTTCGTTTTGTTCTCCCCAATTTTAGTAAATGTCCTTCCATCGAATTCCGATACATAGAGCAAATAATAACTATACAGAGTAAAGCTCGATGAATCCAAAAAATAGTCACACACAAAATTCTTACTGTTCCGATTCGCCCGAAGTCCGAAACCGCCCGCCAAACTCCAACACCGCCGAAAGTTATTTTCTGTTATAATCTTTGTCGTTCCCAGTTTACTTATATCGTATTTGTAGCTTAACCTAAATTATCAATTTATAACATATGTATCGTCTTGCATATAGAAGTACACGCGCACACGAGCATATAGGACGTAATCTGAGCTGAGCGACAACAAGTTAAGCAAGAGCAATTCGTTGGACGTTTTGAGAATTATAATTTCTACCTGACCCTTTTCCGGCAAATGGTGAGGCTGCCGGTTTAAAATTCGACAAATGTACTAGTATTATGCGTTTGCGTAAATTTGTATTGTATTGTGCGACCGCTATAAAGTTATACCGTGGTTGTAGCCAGTTGTGTTTCGTTAGTTTCCCTTTTTCGGTGTGTTCGCTGCGGCTCCGACGTTCACCGAGGTGCGATCGATGCAAAAGGCAGCGAGAGTGGACCGGGGGGACGGAAAAAAAAGCTGGTGGAGAAGACAGCGATATCGCCACCGCCAAAGGGCAGAAGCGCGCGGCAGAGTTTACTCGAGCTCTCTATCCAGATACAACGAGGAAATGGCATTTGTGTAACGGGTACAATTCCCGATCAGGATATCATTGAGGAAGAGTTGCTGTTATAAATTTTTCCTACTGCTAAATTTGTGCTTGTTCCGTAGCACTTACTAAAGGTATTAACTCGTATTATGCGTAAAATTCGCGTTAGAGATGATATGCGGCCCATGGGGCGAAGGCATAAAGAGCCTATAGTACCGTATCCGTCGCGGAATAGCTCTGTCTACTAGCCAGCCACGTCCCAAAGATTTTTTCCGGCCGGCAGCGGTTGTCGAGCCAGATCCAAAGAAGGAACGCGCTATGAGCTATGGGCTTCGCTGAAAACAGAAAGCATAGCAGAAGTTTTTGCTAAAGCCTGTTATAGTTTTTATATTATTTTTTTGCTGTGCGTGTGTTTGTCAGCTGAAAATAGTATGTACATACCTGTGATTAAAGATGCACTATTTACCGGTCAAAATATACAGTACTCTAAAATATTTAAATATATATTAAAATATAGAATGAAAAATATAATAAAATATCTGTTAAAATATTTTTAATGTATGTATAAAGTAAGTATATTAAAATAAAAAAATAGAAAATACGTTTAAATATGAAAACAAACAAAAAAATTATGTGTGTTCGTACTGTTTTTCCATAGCGTCGGTTGCGATACTGAATGCCTTCAACTTGCTAGTTGGTACATAAACAGATTTGAATGTTAATAAATTAACTACATAAATTAAAAAATTTAAATGGTATGCGGAGTCAAAAGTGGTGTGCAAAAGGTGGTATTAGAGCCAACGGTATAAAGGTGGTATGCGGAGCCTTCACCTAAAATATATGTTAAAATATTTTTTAAGTATAAAGTAAGTATATTAAAATAAAAAGAAATAAAAAATACGTTTAAATATGAAACAAACATAATTATATAATATATGAATATAATTTTAATGAAAAATATTTTTATTAAAATATGAAAAAAAATATAATATAGTAAACTATAATAATATAGTTTGGCGTTTGCTACTCGCTACTCTACTCGTAGTCAAAATTTCAACCCTTGCGAATGGTTTCCAAAGTCAGAAATTTGAACCATTGAGCTCACCGTGTCTGTATGCGTCATGTGGTCACGTGACTGGCCTACGAGTACGTTTCGTTCAACTTCAGTGAAGCACGCATGGTGAACTGCGAGCATTGCTTTCTTCGACATGCGTGCTTGTGCCTCCTCGGTCATCTACTGCGAGAGCAGAGATCTAGATCTTCAGACTGTAGAACTGTGGATCCAGTGAGATTCGTAGATTTGATATCCTCCCGTAGTCCCGCAGGTCCTACACATCAAGTTGTATTAACGATTGGAGGAAGCTATTTGGAAATTCTAGATTATTTCGTATTTTATTGTGGGACCATATCTGATATTACATTAATCCGTTTAGATGATTTACGGAGGATTTTGCAGGTCTTCTACCTGATTTGAATCTACTGTATTGACTGGACGACTTCCTGCTGAACGGCCCTCGCTTGCGTCAGCCCAGGTGAGTACTATTCACGAAAAAAAGTAGCAGTATTTTGGGACAGTAATCCAAAATCGTTTCAATAAGTGCTTCATGTAGCTTTCACTTAGATCTGATAGGATTTCGTTGAGCAAGCTGACGTTGAGATTTTAGCTTGCTTTACGCTCAAAATCCACAACTGTAGTTTGTATTGGGATAACATCATAACGGCATTGTGCCACCATTCTAGGGTTATCTCAACGTATACCTCTTCCTGTTTTGACGCGCAGTAAATAGTTGATAAAAATTTTGGGTGCTGCTACATTACGTTTATGTTAATTGTTAATGGTCAATACTCAATGGAGATTTGCATGACGTTGTAGTCTTTTTTTGGGATTCGTCAAGTATTGCGGGATAAGTAATGCTTTACGTAGCAATTTGCGGGTTGATCTTTTAATATGTGAAAAACAGGAGTTGCAATAACCGAGAGATATAAGGGTTTGCTTTTCAGATTTTCCTCATCAGTGCGAAGGAGAATGTTCGAAGCTGAAGAGGAACAAGGGCAGTTCGAGAATGACCTGATACCCATCCAGGAAAGAATTCTGAACATTCTGGGACCATCCTTCGCCAAAAGAGCGGGCGAAATTGCGTTCGAGGTGGAGCGGTTGCGAGATTCGAAACCAGCTGTAATAATCGACGGGGGCGATGTGTCCTTCGAGAAGCTGGAGCGATTTGCTCCTTCTGGTCTTAACGTTGTGGAAATTGCCGGGCGCAAACTTCTGATAAACCTAGAGATTCTGGACGTACGCATGCCTTGGGGATCGCATGTGACCACGCGGAGATTACGACCTCCTATTTTTGTGGATATTTCACCTGGTCTTTCTAAGCCACGTTTGATGAACCCTCAGGATCTTCCCAATAGTTCACCGGATGTTGTTGCCAATTCGCATCTATTCTTTATGACTCTGGACATAACGGATATGATGCGTGACATTCGTGGAATGGTGGCGATGGGTGAACGGGTTATTGAGAAACGAAATCAGTGGTCCAGACAGTGGTGTGTTCCGACGGTGTACGGCTGCCTGCTTGGTTATCCAGTAGTATTATGGAGTAATTCCGAAGAGGCAAACTATTGTCTACAGAAGGACACTAAGGTGTGGAAAATCGAATGGATAGACGGAGAGTGCCGACGGCCCCTGTACTCCTTTTTTGTTCCCGATGTTGTCATGAACAGTAGTCTAAAGATCCATATCCAGCAGTGGACGGATCGTATATTCGACCGCAATTTGCCTCATCAGAATTATTATATGTTACAAACACTCCAAACCTTTGAGACTGTGATTTTATGACGAACAGTAATCCACCGATATCATACTTTCGTTGTGTTTTCACACAAGCTTTTAATACAAATATTTTTATTTTGCTTTTATTGTGCAACTGCTCGTCCTGTCCACCTGTATGACTGGCTCTGGTTTGTTAGAAACATTCTTTAATAACTTGTGCGACATCTTATCTTGGATACTGTCATTGCTTTATACTCTTGTCTTTGACATTTGACGTTTTACTTTTAATAAACCCTTTTGATACTGGTTGTTCATGTCTGCAATCCATTCATCACGCTTGCACTTACAGTCTTATATGTGATACAACTTACTACAAGTACAGTAAGGTCAACTTTCGTAATAACATGGTACCCGCATACCCCAAGTTGCGCAAAATACAAGGATTGTTCATACAATGTACGATTTACGTGAGAACTTGTGAAGCAGGCTTCAAAACACTGCTTGAGTCAGTAAAGGTTTAACTGGTATTCATATAATGTTTTGTGCTAATTCGGGAATTTATGAATGCATGCGCCATAATTCGGTCTTTCACTCGAATTTCGGCGCGCGTGGTCGTTTCTGTAGAACGCTGATGACAATTAATGTTTCAGATGACTATTGACATTGTTCCGGTTGGTACTTGGTACAAACGATTAATTGTAACAAACTGCGGTGGTTTGGCATATCAATCACGATAGAAATGCACTTTGTCACGTACTTTTTAATTTGTTAATATGCGAAAAATTGCACAAAAAGCATAGAATAAGCCAGCATAGAATTAGTGATCTTGCTACTTCAGTAAAAGACATTTCCAACGCAGCCCGTTGATTCATTGAATTAGTCATCTTGCTGGTCGTCCGATTCGGCTGACGCGGATCCGGCAGACGCCGATCCCGAAGCAGCCGCCGGTGCCTGGTCTTGTGAGTCATCCGACGACGAATCACCGAAGCCCGAAGCGCCCCCCAAAATCAGATCGGACACCTGGTGCTCGCGATTGCTAAACGAATCGGACTGGTACCTAGCCTTAATGGACAAATTAGCCGCCTTCAGGAAACTGCCGCGTGTTAAACTGTTGCGACTCTGTTTCTTCAGATGCGTCTCGCGGTTGCCGTCCACCGTCTGACGCACACTGCCACTGACCCCGCGATTAGCGTGGTCAGTTAACAATGCCCGGAAGAGAATTCGTCGGTATTGAGCGTACCCACAAACTGTGTCAGACGGTCACGGTTGCGCGTGAAGTTGCGCTCGGTTTCGGTTTTGGTGACCACCTTACTCTTGGACTTATCGTCGTTGTTTTCGGTCAGAACCGCCGTTCGCATGTTGAAACCTGGCCCTTCGAAGGTCTGCACCTGACCATTGCGGGTCGAAACGGTTTTGTTCATCTTTTTGATTTTGATGTTGTCATCCTGGAAGGAGTTCTTGTTCTTCTTTTTGACGCCCTCGTTAACAGAATCGATTGTGATTCGCAGACTCGGCTTCCGAATCTGTTGGATGTACTCCGCGATGTGGTCAGGTTGCTCGAGGCTGATCGAACCGGAATCCGGTCGCTTGAACGGAATGGAACCCGGTCTGTCGGGCTGGCCCACCAGAGGGTTTTGTACGTCGCCAGCAGTTGACCTTTGAGCCGGCTCAGGCGTTTCACTGGTTTGGTTCGCGGCTTCCGGTTGAGCTTGCGAATCATCTAATTTGGAGTTGTCGGCGGCCGCACTAGCACTTTGCGACTGGGCAGCACTTTGAACATTCTGTGGTCCACTGGCAGCTGCCGGTTCTGGCGTGGGCTGGACCGCGGCCGCATCCGACGGCTGAGCTTCTGGTGCTTGACTAGTTGAGCCGTCAGCAGCGTCATCGCCGGAAGTGTCTTGCGTTGGCGCGGCAAGGCCTTGCGATAATGCTGCACGAAAACATTGGGTTTACAGCGGTGATTGATTACGGCTTTTTTAGGAAACAATAGCTAAAAACAATATTTCTTTTCTCTGTTAATTCACTACTTAATTGCTCTGGTTTTCTTGGTTGCACTTACAAAGTGCAATCGGTAGCACCAGATAGCGCTTTTAATTTATTTTAAAAATGAATAATTTTATCTGTATTTTTATAAACTATTTCCAGTCCTTAAAAAACAGTTAATTTCAGCTTCACTGTAACCGGGTTGTTATCTCATATAAAGCCTTACAATGTTAGCGCAAAGTAATTATGGATTGTGCATGATTCTTCCACTTAAAGAACGAATGCGAATCTTCCAGAAGAAAGCGCTTTTATAATATTGACCATGATTTATGATTACTGTATTGATTCACTATTGAACGTCTAATCGTAAGCTCGATCCAAATGTAAATATGAAGACTTAGTATTAAACGATGAGGCACTCACCAAGCAGAACGAAAAGTAAGAGTGGCGTTTTATGCATTTTGGTTATGTAACACGTATTCCAACCGGTGCGGTGCAGCCAAGGTCGCGAATGTCCAAGCAAATGAAATAACAGATTATGACACAAACCGATGGACCGTTTTACACTTTATATATGTATCCATTGCTTTCCCTTTGTTATTGGAATTACTCCAATTTGTTGATCATGCGTGAGTTTATTACAGCGTTTTTTCTGTTTGTTGCAAGTAGTAATTAACACAGCAACAGGATCGCCCACCGCCGCAAGTTGGTTCCGGGCCAGGTTTCCGCGCATTCTTCTTGTGCATGACCTGACGGAAACAGGGCTTATACAAAAGGGAGTAATGCGCATGTCTGAATGTGTACCACACAAAATTCACCACAATAATCGAAGCAACGGTTTATCCTTAATGGATGTTTGTTGGCAATGTGACTGTTGATTCTGTTGGGGGATACGCAGTTTCTTTGTTTTTGCCTTACTTAAATTGTTATTGCACACTGCACATCCATAATTCTTTTTGCAAATAAAATGCATTATCAAATTGTTTTTATATTTTTTTTATTTAACTTGGTCCAATAAACACAGAAGAAAGTGGGCTAATTTTCGCAAATAATATTAATCTGCTTGCTAAAACAAAATTTGTAATAATTATGTTTATATTTACGTGTAAGTGTGCAATGTTTAACAGTACACGTGGAGTGCGGTGTCATTTTGATTGATGGGCATTGCATTACATCCCATAAATTTGTACAAAGCAGTTCTATGCGTTTATGATACCTTTTGGGACAGGTTTTCTTTTTTGGTGTGCAAGGAAATTAACACCTACTCTACGTTTGCGGTAAAGCCGTATATAATCAGCAGATCTACGCGCTAATGCCGTACGCAATACAATGTAAACAGGTGTCTCAATTCACGAAATCAAAAAATACTTTCGCCAGTTTAATGTTCTGGTCAGGCCGCAACATTAGCGCGCCGATTATTGGTATGCCGAACCCGCGCGTTACATAAGATGGTAATTGCTACTGCTGGACATTTTTGCGCTCTTACAATGGACGTAATCAGACTGCAACGCGACGTTTGCTCTGCCTTTAAGATTACACCACACGCAATGAAGCAAGAACATTCTAAGTGATTAAGATTGTTTTTCCAGAAAGGTTACGCCCAGCGACGTTAGCTGTCAGCGAAGAGTTATTTCCTTAAACTAAGCAATATTTGTACCTGCGGTCACCGAAAATCCAGTTATTACATCGACTGCTTGATATGCCTCGGTACCAAAATGTTGTCGACGAAAGTAATCCTGCTGACTATATCGTGTTGCACCTGTTTAGTTACAGAAAGCACTACCGACCGCGTACCACATGTACGCAGCTTGTCAGCATCTCAAGAACTTACTGAAAGTTTGCATAGATTATTAAGAGTACGTAATACTTGTTAATATTATATTAGCAGCGACTAAGCTGTAACGTCACAGGAAACTCCAGTAATTACTTATTAATCTCTGTGTTATGTGCAACTTTCAGGATTTTGACTCGTCTGCGGAGAGTAACGCCACCAGTCCATCTGTTCACGCCGCCGAAGGCGACATACATCCAGACAAGGAAACGGGATGGTGGAATGGACCACACGTCTGTCTTAGCCGGACCGCCACAGTGTCCGACGCTCCCAGCAATGATTCTGTTAACATTGACGGTGGTTTACTAAAAGGCCGACTGGATCGAAGCGTCTTTACAGTCTGTCGAGAAGACAAGACGATACGGATCTGCCGGACCGTGTAAGTACCATAATATTGTATATTAATTGTAAAGCACCCAGCCTAATATATCTATTTTATTCACGCTACCGTGTAGCGTGTGCGGAATAGGTAAAAAAATTAAGTAAGCACATGATTATTACGTACTTCCGCAGCAGCTTTCATTTAGTGCAGAACCGATAAGTTATGCGGAATAAATTAGAATAAATAAAACAATGTCTCTCTATTTTTTCCAGAAAATCTGTGAATGCCACGGCCACCGAAAATGTCTTGATTACCTATGCTTGCTGTGCAGGCTTTGCCTTGCACAATCACACGTGTTCCTCTGACAATAAGGAAAACAGCTCTACTAGCGATAATGAATCCACACCACACGCTGTAGTACCACCGGAAACCGAAAGAGCAGACAGCATTAAAAGTAGTTTGAGCGACGAAAAGCAGTTTTCCAGTTATTTTCAGCAGATGCTGAAAGATTCAGCGAAGTAAGCCGACTTGTTGTCTTTTGTCTTGTGATTAGTTTTCCCTGCTAACAAGTAGAAGTACTGTAAAGTACTGTAACTGTTTGATGCAGGAAGATCCAGCCTTAATCTCAAAATCCGCTTTAAATTTTTTCAGATCACAAGCTCTGTTTCTAAAAGCTCTTGATACTGATCAACCACAGTCGGTGGAAGACGCGGAAGATGATGACGCCCAAAGCGCATTCCAAAGAATGGCTCCGAAGGAGGTTGTGGACCGATCAAAGGTCACCGAATCGGCATCCAGTACTGTGAAGCCAATATTTGTGACTACGCTGGCTCCTAATACCAGCAGCATATCTCAACGAAATGCACATGAAAAATTACAATTTTCTATTTATTCATCATGATAAATACTGAGCACGTTATCAAAATTCGTTTGAGACACAAAAGTACAGTAACTTCATAAAAACGCTAACAATCGGACGGCAGAAAGGAAGCACCGGGAACATCAAGGGACAGAAATAAATAAAAACTAAACATAAATATCTAAGCAGCGCATGCTATCACCTGAAATAAACATCTACGGGCAAACCATATGGCAGTATATACCAAATAATATAAATATCTGAAAAGCAACCTACAAAGTTAACTTACTATGTACAAGCAATACCACTGCATTTTAGCAGATAGCTATTTTTAAGAGAAAAAGAGTTACTGCTTGGCTCTGTACTTGAGATTGGTGGCGGCAACCCGGCGCTTAAGCGAATCGCCTTCATCGTGGCTGTCATACCGCGTCGTAATCCTCACGCCGTTTTGTCCCGCTTCCAGAACAGCACTTTTGCTAATAGCTGTCATTTCTCGATCCAACCGTTTCACTGGCTTCCGATTCAGTGCGGGACCCAGGTAACCAACTCCTTTTCTTCGACCATGCTTGCTGACCTTCGCTCGCCAGTGCATCCGCCATACCTTCTCGCCATTTCCCAAGTCCACGCCCTTCCTTCCAACCGCTTCGCTCCATGATTTTTCTCCCAAAACCCTTTGTGTGTTTCTCAAATCCTCCTATTTTACATTGCACGAAATTATTTGAAGGACTGATTGACCGACTCCTCCTGAAGAGAGAAGGCGCTGAGCCATTCCGCATCTGGCGTTCGCGACGGATCTGCATGAAGTCACGAGCATCTTTGTCGCCAGGGCGATCCGCATCGTCCTCGTAGTACATCGACATGTCAACGTCCCAATCATCCGTCGCTTCATCCAGATCACTACCACCGTCTTGTTCCTTCCAGAAATTAGCATCCATATTCCAGACAATGCCCGGACCGCCTTTTTCCCATACAACCTGTTACAAGTAAAATTACTGTTACATATCTGTACTCTGTTACCCATAAATGTGTAACAGCCTAACAGCCAACTCGTATCTGTTATACTGCAATATCTGCAGTTCTGTACTATACATACATGAATTAAATAACAAACGCAGCCTGACAGTCATAATCATATTATTTTATACTGATGGTAAGTACACTATACCGTTTCTAAAGTTCTTACTTAAATTCGTTAAAAGCAAATCAGTCAACAGTGCAGTCGAGCGTTGTATTTCTAGCAAATAAGTCAACAGTGCATAGCAAAGCCACACTTTACTGCAATTTATCGTTAAGTGAACCGTATAATTTTGTGTACCTATGTCCTTTTTAAAAAAGAACTAAAGGTAAAATTTGAGTGCTACAGAGAAGAGTGGAATATTTGGTAATACATCTACGTAAATGATAAATACCAAGCAGCAGTCCCAAAAACAGCTTTTAATTCTGCATTCTCTTGAAGTCCTGATACTGCTTGGCCTTCTCTTGGTTGCAGAACTTACCTCTTGCTCATCCTCAAAAAGTCTTTCTTTATTCCGTTCATGCGTCGTAACGTCCTCACCAAAGGCTTCGTGTCTTTCCCATTCTTCGCACTCATCGTTGTCCGCGTCTGCTCGATCCTCGACAGGCACATCATCATCATCTTTTCCACGGCTCCCAGTTTGATGGCACTCAAATGGCGCAATATCTTCCTCTGAATCGCTCGTTGGTGCATGGTCCCGAGCGATTCTGTCATCCGTCCCGTAATTCATAGGAACCTGACCGTACTTTCTGTTTCGTCGGCCCTTGGGAAAACGCAAGCCCAAACTCTTAATCAGCGATGATGGCATCTGGCATTTCTGAATTAAAGCCAGAAAGAATTTTGTTGGCGTGCCCACGTTGCCCTGTGGCATCAGGGCTGGTGGGTTCATTTCAATGAGACTCTGCACATCTGACTCCTGCAGGTTCTGGTGATGGAGATGATAACGCCGCTCCATCCTTCGCTCGTGGCGCGTGAGATATGGTAAGGAGGGTGACGCTGATGAAGCACCATCTGAGGGCTGGTTTTATCCCCGGGCAGCTTCATAACAATAATGTGGCATCTCGACGGCAGAAGGCTACCTTTTTCGTCTGTCCAGTGCCTTCCGTTATACAAGAGGAATTCTCTCAGATTTGCGGACTTAACTTTGACAAAGCAACATCTGGTATGGTCGGGTGCTGAACTGGAAGAATTCTGTTGAGATTCCTTCTGCTCGGGTTTGCTACTCTCCGCTAGCACTTCTGGCCGATGACGATAATGAAAACAGGCAAAGCATTCTGTTTCAATCAATGTGGAAAAATAAGAGCGCAGATCACTGGAATGAAAGACTGCAGGAATATTGCGGACAACAACGATCTTGTGCTCGTCAGCCATAACATACTCGGTGAAACTACACATAAGTTAATAACTCAGTCACCTCACAGCAAAACTCTTCCATGGCAAGCGATTTAGTTCCACAAAATCCCTTTAGATTTTACTGCGAAAGTCAACAAACGGTAAAATTTCCTTCTTATGAAATCTGATGAACACTGATAATTTAAGTATAGGAATAGGCAGTCACACTTTCTTTCAATCGTAAATTTGTACTTTGTAAATTTGTACGTAAATTTGTAAACACACTATAACACAGTAACACACTGTGTTATAGTGTGTTTGAACTGTGTGTACATTCTTTACATTATTACATATTAAAGGCCCCGTTAAATGATGTGTGCAGTTGCACGGGAGTCTATAAAACTGACAGGAATTCAGGAATCAATTCACTTTAATTCACTTTCACTTTGTAATCAGAACGTAAAATCCATCCTCAAATATTTGGTATACAACTGCAACAAATATAAGTAATGTTTAAATACAGTAAAAATTAAATCCGAGGCGAAAATAAAAAATTTTTCCAAAAGAACAAAATAAACGCGTCGTATGTAATCAAAATTACGTAACCATACGAAAGCACCGCTGGCTGACATCACCAATCCAACGCACCACAATAAGTACGCCAAGGAACGTCTTCGATCACTAAAAATTTTGAGCGCCAAATCAATCACACGGCAGAGATTCGGGATACAAAGCGCGCAAAGCCTCGATGGCTGCATTGCACTTGGCAGCGCGACTGTTGTTCCCTTGTCCACGAAAGACTCCCTTATCGGTGACTTCCACCGTCGCAACCACTTTGCCCTTATCGGTGAGCTGCAATCTGAAACATGAGGGCGAGAAGCTGTAAAGTGTAAACCAAGTTTTATAAAACAAAGCAAGATTTCTTACGAAAAGCGAACATTGTTGGGCTCGTATTCCAACAGCACCCGAACCGAATTTTTTGGACAATGCTTCAGACAGAAATCTATACCATAAAAATAAGAAAGTAATACTCTTCACGTATTGGATGACAAAAATTAAAATAAAAGAAAAACTGCAAGTTATGTTACCGATTCGCTTGCGCATGAGGTTATAATACACTTTCCAAACCGCATCCAAGGAAAGTCCACTATCCAAGAATATTGCTCCCGCTACAGATTCAAAGATATCCCCTAAAACTTTTGGCGTTTCTGCAGCTTCATAGATATCAGTGTGCGCTTCCTCTTCATCGTCGTCAAATCCAGCATACTGCAAAATGCAAATGCTACAAATACAATACATTCGAAATAGAGGTTAGGAAAAATCTAAATAAAACTACAAATTAAGCCGAATTTTTCCAGTCCATTCAAATGGATAAATTAATTATTAAGCTTATTGCATCACAAATATAACAAGTCCTCATGACTCGATGAACAACCGCATACCACATCACTAGCTTTCAAAACTTCCACATCGGGATCCGCCTTCTTCACTTCTTCGGCAAAGCGAGAAATCAAATGAAAAAATTTTCGGAGCATGATATCGGATGCAGTGATGATATCCGTACTTGACAGCCAGCTTCGCAAATGTCTTGTTGTTAACCAAAGCCATGCGCAAATCCGTCAATTTTCCCGGATTTAAGGTCTTGTCTGCTTCGTATATGTGCCGAGTTACTAGGTAGTCCAGAATTGAATCGCCCAAGAATTCTAAACGCTGGTAGCAATCGGTCAGTTGATTTCGGTTATATGAATTATGCGAAAACGCTTGGAGCAAATAAGATTTATCCCGAAATCTACAAAGAAAAGCCACTTCAAAAGATAACGCTTGTAACAAGTTGTGCTAATACTAATGCACTAATGCATGTGTTATAACTTCAATAATTATAACATGCAGCATAAATTCCTTTGGTATAAATAAAACACTTTATTCAAAGTGTGCAGATGTATTTACTGCAACTTACATATATCCAATCCGTTTTTCGAAGTCTCCAAATGGAGCTACAAGTGTAGAAAGCTCCCTGAAGAGCGGATCGTCTTCAGCCCTTCGCAAAGAGCTAAATCCTTTATCAATCTGCCCACTACCAATCTTTCCGCGTGAATGAATTGCTTTCAATCCCATCCATTCCATAAAGCGCTGGGCGTAATAAGCATTTACCTCCAGAAGCATCATCCCGATGAGAGCTTCCACAACATCAGCCAAACTTTTATCGCGTAAAGGTAGATCGTAACGGTTAGGCTCTTGCAAACGATCCAAAGGGACAAAGCCCGGAGGTAAATAAAAGCGTTTTGCATCAGCCAAAACGTTCAAGTTCACAATATAACTTTGCAGATTCTTCAGCTTCCCCAATCGGTATAGATTGTAGTTGGAGACTTGAATTCCTTTGATCTCTGTCAAGCGACCTTCGTGATATTTTGGGTATTCCATAAACAAGTACAAACAAGTGGTCATTTTAAGGAATGCATCCCCGATCGTCTCCATGCGCTCCATATTGAAACAATCGCCAGCAAATGCAGTCGTCACTGCTTTGACAAATGATGTTACTTCCGGCAACGATGTCCTTGCAGTGCTAGAAAATTCATGGTCAAAAGCTTGCGGCGGTGCGACCCAGTCGCTTAAAGATCCATTTGCCACAGCACTTCGGTCCGGCATGGCAAATGAAGTAAAAGAAAATACCGGTTGTGTCGATGGACTGCGCTTAGCCAACTGATTCTTTTTCCATTCCCGGTTTCTATAGTACATCTGCTGCTTGAACTTGTCATAAAATATACCGTGTTCTTCAGCAGGCGAGTTTTCTGAGTCACTCGATCCAGTTAAAGATGAAAGCGAATCCGATGATGTGGGGCGTGGTGGTGGCCGCACATATACATCGTGATACTTCGGATCATAGACAAGTGGTTTCCAACGTTCCGGAGGACAAACGCTGCCCCACAAGGCCATTCCGACCTCTTGGTACAGATCGAAAACATTATGCATGGTGCGCAAGCGATACAAAACGTAAGGAAGGATCCGAAAAGATTGATGCCATTGAACGGAAACTGGCAAAACATGGCAAAACTCCATTGGCAGATGAATATCTTTCTTCGGGGCGGTTTTCACATCCGAAGGTTTAGGTGTAAAGCTCAGTCTAAAAATCACAGTTACAAATCCCGAAATAATAAGTCCAATATAACGCCAATGCTATCTAGTAAATTTAGCAATCTCAGTACATGTAGTTACCTTTTTGAGAGGTGACGAACATGGAGCAAGGGGGAATGTGGATGTTGTATAGAGTATCCGTATTTTCCCATCATATGCTGCACTACGTTGTTGTTCTCCTTTACAATGTAGTTCGTCGGCGTATATCCTGCTGGAACATCCATGACATAATAACGCCTTGACGGGTCTTCCGGTTTATAGGATGTCACGACCACGGCATCCCGATATGTATTAGCGTCCATGACCATCCAGTGGTCGTGCCAGCCATGGACAAATTCTTTACCATACTGAGGTCCGCAATCGTGTCCATACTTGCCGCAATTCTTCCAGTTTTCTTCCAAAGAATCTGATGTAAAAACATCCCTCCAACGGTAGGAGTGGATGCGTTCAGACTGGAGGGCACCTGTAAATATGCGGCGATTAAGATGACCATATAGGCAAAAAATTATAAGTTCTTAAAAAAATTAAAGAAATGTAAAAAAATTTTTTTTAAAAATTGTTAAGTTCATGCGTACAGTTCTCTGGTAAAACTGCGAACGACGACGAGTACCAGGTTGAGCCGACGCGATTGGTACTGGTTCCTTCTCGCGATATCCTACAAATGCGGCGATTGCATCCTTCCATTCAACTTCGTCGTCCTTTGGCAGCAAATGTTCAGTGCTCAGTTCACCGCGTTCGTGAAGCATTTGACAGCAAACGAGTGCCGCGGCCTTCTTGGCCAAAACGGGGGTTTCCATTTCTGGCCCCTGAAACAATTAAACAAAGTTCTTCCAATAGCCTAAGTAAATTACGTGTCCGTAAAAAAGTGCGTAGTCTTGCAAAATCAGATTTCAGAATCACAAACAAAATCAGTCTCCAACTCTTACCACAACTGCCTTTTCTATCGCCGCATTTAAAGGCAAATACAGTTTGCAGATGAACCGCTCGCTCCCCAATTTAATAATATCTGGCACCACTAAACAGGTGGTCATCTTGTCGTTCGGCAGTGAGTTGCAATATCTGAATAAAAAGAAAGAAGTGTAATTTCTGCTAAAAGGTCCATGATAGTTTTCGGACTCACATTACTCCAGCAGTCAACAATTAAGTACCACTCACCTTTGCAAACAATTCAATGCACTGCCCAAAGTTACACAAGCCTTACTCCCTGGAGGCCGATAGGGAGGATACTTCTCATCGGAAAAATGATCACTGCGATCCTCCTCAGTGGGACTGCTTCGATCTACGCAGTGATCTTTCATCACTGCATCCAACAGCTGGAATTCATGCAACTTGTTATTTCGAAAGTGTTCCACCTCGTCGAGGCCGACCATCATCAAAAATTTGGAATTTTTCGCCCTTGCTCTTCCTTTCGACTGCACATACGATCGGTAAGTCGTAGGTTCGTTGAATCTAGTAAAACTCCAAATTAAGCTTGTAAAAACTACAACCCCTGGTTCGTTGAAATCAAGTTATATGCCGGGAAAACGATACGGAGTAGGGCAATTGTTTACGCCATTAAGGTGCGCGGACAAACATGATAAGTACCAGTATATGACGCAGACAAAATTACATATATATAATAAATATATATATACTGTGTAAGGCAGGAGCTAACTGCGCAACGGTTGTTAAATATGTTAAAAATTCGAACATGTTTAATTTTTTCTATCTGGAGGAAATTACCTTATAATCAAATTGCATTCACGAACATCAAAACCTTCCTCGACAACGTCCGTGGCAATCAAAACATTCAACTCTCCGCTGCGGAATTTCGATAACGTCGCTTTCAATTGAGTGGCAGACAAGCCGATCTTGTCTCCAATGGTTTCTACAAAACACGACAACGTAAGTAAAACCAGTGAAAATGAAACCAGTGAAAAACCAGTAAAAAAAACAGTAAAAAAACCAGTAAAAAAAACCAGTAAACCAGTAAAACCAGTGAAAATGCGAAATTATCCGACAGGCATAAAAAAGTGACGCGAAATGGAACACTTGCCTTCTGAACCGCTTTCCTCTAGCTGTCCCACACAAAATCCGGTATTGATCCATTCATAGTTCTTCTCCCTAGTAGTACGTAGGAGCTGCAAAAACTGATGTAGAGCCCATGCGTTATACCGCTCTTTTACGAACACGATGCAACACAGTTCGTTGCTCCTTTCTGGAAATTAAGACATTGTGTGTAACAAAACCTACAGAAATAGGTACTCTTAAGAACTAAGAACATACCCCCGGCTCCTGCGGAAGCCACGACATACGGTTGAAACAATTCCAGCAACTTTATTACTTTCGGTGTCACAAGCCTCAGCAGGAAACGGTCGCTGCAATTTGGCTGCGCTTGAGGAATAGTGTAAGCCACCTCGAACCAGGTACCGATTTGTTGAAGTCTGCAGATACAGGCGCTGACCAGCTCGGAGAGGTCTCTTCGAAATAAACCTCGGCTCAGCATCATCTTCAGGTCCTTTAGCAACTGTTGAGATGTCTAAAAACGCATCCGTACTAACAAACTAAATTATCGCATTACTTGAATTATCTAACCCCTTAATTATCTAAGCCCCTAACGTTAAATTTTGTGCGCTTTATGATTTCATTAATAACTTGTGATTTCGTTTACAGCATCCTTAGTCCTTACTATGTAGGCACAGTAAATTCCCATAGTAGTCAAAGTATTGTGCACTTGTGAAACCGCATTTTTGATCTCCTTTATGGAATCTTTAACCCATTTTTCGCTGTCGAGTGGTGAGGCGTCCAAATTTGTTGGGCGCGACGAAAAGTCACATTTCTTTGCATTATCCAGCCAATCAACGGTTTCATTAATGCTTTCTATGATTTCCTGGTCCGTACCGTTGGGTCGAAAAACCTAAAATAAAATATATTCAACTTCAGTAGGTGTAAGGTACAAAGCGAATGCACAAAACTTTGTGGTATTAACTTCACATCCAAAACTACAAAACATTTTCGCCCATGTGAGTACACTGGGATTCCAGATCATGTCAGACTGTGCAAAACAAAAAAATGAAGCGTCAGCAGAACTCGGAAAGTACTTAAAGTTACCGCACCTGAAAAGTCACAATATTCGGGCTGGGACGAGCTCCATACTCGTTCAGGGACTCATCCACAGATGTCACAACTTTGCAACCAAGACATGACTCCAGTTGCTTGATTTCATCTTCCAGCTGTTCTTGTGGAGTCCTGTTTTTCTTTTTAAGCCTGACGTTAATACCAGACGCCGTCAAGCCTAAAATTCTCGGACCACGATCCGTGCTGGCATGCAAAAGACGCATAATTTGTCGATACGGATGTTCCTCTCCACCTGCGTGATGGCATTCGTCCACGATCAGCCGATTAATGTGTTTTGGCACTATAAAATATCAGAAACCATCATGCGACTGCACTTCTCAGTTATAACGAACGTCGGTATTTCACAGTTAACTATTCCAAAAAAATAAAAACTGTAACATAGGCTAGAAAACAGTCAAAAGACAACAGATCTGGATAACAATCAAATGAATCCGGAAAAGTTGTTTCTACGTACACAGAAATGCCTTTTCCAGCAAATCTTTCAGTACATCTGGCACCATCACAAGAATTTTCTTCGTCCGAAACTCGCGCTTCCATCCCGGAATATCCAAATCATCGATGTTTTCCGACGAGCAATACTCTGAAAAATATAGTTATCAGGCGATAAGCAAAAATGATTTTGGCCTCACAGTGTCCACGGAATTTCCTTACTTCCCACGCTAAGCCCAGTATGGTTGAAAAGAACGGTTCCCTGCTGCTCCACAAGAGCGACTAAAATAATTCGAACAATGCCGATTATATCCTGCGTGCGAACATGGTAAGTGAACGCCGAGAAACAACCTGTTGGAACAAGGAAAACGGATCGTTTGCCTCCGTTTTCCAAATCCTCTATCAATTCATGCCGCTCATGCTGTATGACCTGGACTGCAATGTAAGTCTTCCCAGTACCTAGATTAACAGACTGAACGTTAACAGACTGTATTCTTTAGTAACCAGTAAATGCAAGCGATATACGACAACTAAATGAATCAGTAAGCAAAATACTCGCACCAGTTCCGAGCACGCAGATAATGTCCTCTTTCAGGGCTTTTTGAATCAATTCATCCTGAAACAAAAACAGGCTGACATTCGCAATTTTCAGTCGCGCTTAACTTTTATACCGTTTTTAGCTATTCAGGCAAATTAAAAGCTAGCAAAATCGCAAACGCTCTGTGGTAAAGTATGGTTTATCAAACTACTACACGCAATAACCATCAACATACAAACAATATTCAAACTGTAGAAGACTCAGATTTATCCGGCAATTATTTCAAACTTACCTGATAAGGACGAGCTATAAACTTCTCCGTTGACGATTGTATGGCGGACATCTTAGCTTATGCGATCTTCCAGAATTCAGGCACCGGTACTGCTATCCTGACGCTGCAGGAGTTTTTGCCATCCAACGAGCTAAACCAGCAACTGCGCGCAAACCCTTGTTAGTAAGCGCAAAACCGATAAATGCGCGGCTTTCGATGAAAACAAATGTTTTGGATATATGTTAGTGCAACCAAATTAGAACAAAACAGCGCACTGCGAAATATTTGTCGCAACCACGAAACGTACACATGGTAAACGGATAAAGAAAGAACCACTCCTTACATTGTTAAAAACTTAAAATGAATATGGACCAGGCATGATCATGTTCTGATAAGTAAGCACTGCTGGAATTTTTATCAATATGCAAATGATGTCACAGCTGACGATGAAGCAGGCCAAGCCGCTGGCAGGCAGTTTTAAAGTGCAACTATCAGCACAGACTGGTCGGGCAGCGGCAGGCGGGTCTGACACCGACACCGTGCCGGCGTGCTCCAGTAATTAAGCGAATTTCAGTATTCGCTGATCGCACGATATTAGCAAACTCCATGAAATCGGAGTACTTACTATATTTACTAATGGTAAATTACAGCCTAGTAAATATAACAGAAGAATTAATTTCGTTTAAGTATAATGCATAACTTACATTGCAATACAAAAAGCGTCCAAAGGATTGCTTTGCACAAAATACACGTCAGCACTGTACCGAAAAGAAGGAAAGTTTTATACACATTACATATTACTGTCATTAGCGTTACAGGACATTACTATAACTATGGCGCACAAGTTGTATGTAAAAAGTAAAATTAAGTAAATAAAAACAATTCCGCTTGCTATATCACAACGTTGCATAATAAAACGGTTTAAGTTATGGCTGTGCATAGAAGCGGTATATCGGTACAGTATGCTTGTGTCGTTCATATCATCACTCCTGTGTGTTATAAACATCATAAACATCATCGTGTGTTATAAACATGAACGGATTTAATTTAAGCAGATTTAAGTTAACCGTACAATCATTGTAAAAAGTATTTTTAAAAAAATCGTTAGTAAGTAACCCGTAGTCTGCACTGCCCGGTAGGCAGTAAGGCATATACTTTCACGACGATTGACGCGTTTGACCATTGCACGCCGCACCGGCATTGTGACAACCTCTGCCTTTATGTTCCGTTCGAGCATCTAAAGTATTCCTCCTCAATTTTTCACTCCTTATTTCTACCGGGTACCTATAAATTCTACAGATGTGAGCAGTGGATCCGCATTCGTGCGATTACACGGGGTTTTTGACATTTATTAGACATCGGGGCGAATAGACCAAATCCCGAATCTTATGAAAAAGGTGGAAGTAAGGTTATGCTGTCAAAAAGTGGGCTGAAGTCAATACGCAGATGGGAAAAACTCTGCCGTACGTTTAGACCACGCCCTGTTTTATCCTTGCAGCTGGGACAGTGCACAAAAGGGCCGCTCTGCATTTCCTTGGCATAAACATCGTTCAACTTCCGGCCGCAAAATCTGTTCGGCCCGAAATGAGTGTTGCTTGGACAGACAGCGCAGCCAGGCAGCCATGATCGGGGAACGAATATATTCCACATGTAGGCAAGTATACAATACGTACACAGCGCACATACACATAAACATACACGAGTCGAGAGTCCACAAGGGATCGACCGCTACCATATCCCCAACGATAACTGTCCGTATTTGCATTTCATTCTCAGCCCTCTACTAACATTATCGACGTTGTAACCGGCTCCATTCCTGATACAACTGCTCCTTTATGATCACGTTATTTACCATATATAATTTTTACTTTTGAGCAAAACCCTCTGTGATGGTCCATTTAAGCGCTTGATTGATATCAATATTGGATCAGTTGATGATTTTTCTGCTGTGGTTTAATGGAGGGGGAGGTTCTCGGGGAAATGTGCAAATTAGACTATTGTGGCACTAAGATGCGGTGCGCGGTGCACGCACACCGACAGCAATAATTGTGACCACTTTCGCTGCATTTTAACATTTTAACCGAAATCACTATTTTAATTTATGTGCCTACGTACTGCCAAATGTGCATTTGTTTGCGGTCATCGGCACAGTTCTCCCTTGGAATACTTTATAGATATTTGAGTCTTAACAAGTAATGTTAACATCTGACCACATCATGGGATTCGGATATTATAATGATAATGCGGCTTTTGCAATTAATTTTGTTGTTAGCGTATAGCGGTACGAGTACTGGAGAAACAATTGCCATATATCGCCGATGTAATAGTTTTTTGTGTGGAGTACTAATCTGGATTATACGGTTATCGGTGTGTGATCAAGTATCAGCATACTCATACTTCGGTGAGTTGTTTATTTGGTAAACCTTCGTAAATGCAAGATCGATTGGCAGCGCACAATACTACAACTTGATAGCAGCAGGTAGATCACTGCATTTCTGGCTGCAAATTGTGATGTTTGGTAAAAAATCAGCGGAATTAACAATGAGCATGTCTGAGGACGAGAGCAGCGATAAAGCTCTTGGGAATTGGATGGTATAAGTGATCGGATTGAGTCTGTCGTGCTCTAGAAAACACTTTTCTGGATCTTTGCGAGTGGTCATTTTAGACGTATTCCAAGTAGTTGATGATGCTGTATGCCTAGATGCGCCATCCATGCAGCCATTCAGTAATACAGCCCGGCTTTTACTATGCGGCAAATTCGAGAATTTACAGTACTCGTATAACAAAATAGCTGAGTGGTTGAGATGGTTAATTGTCTCGTCAAATGCCATGATTATTTCTGATTGAATCATAAAGTATACACTAACAGTCTTTTCAAATACCTAGCGAACTAATAAAAAACTTCTATAGTAAACGGGTTTGCTAAACGAAACGGAATAAGAAATGCTCAACTGAATGAACTGATATCCATAGGAAATCGCCCTAGCTGGTATATGGGTTTCGATAGGCTAATTAATAGTACAACTTTCGGAAAAGAGCTGTTTGTTGAAGAAAGAAAAAAGACGTTGAAGAAAGCCGAGAAGGTTTGCCATTCAAAAAAAGTTCGATTAAAAAATTGACAAATGTAAGTGATCTGAATGCTTGCACTGCTATTCCCCGCAGACGGAAAGGTAAGCTTACACTGAATTGGACTGGCCTGGAATATGAATGTATATAAAGCAGACATTTACGTATATTAAGAGCAGTGTATGGCAGAACTAGCCGTCTCCGCAAATAAGGCTGTCCTCATAAGTGGTTCAAAATGAATGGAAAACTCATATAACCGGGTTCTAGAAAAAATTCCAGAAAAGCGTTGATTGAATGGGAAGCGGTCCGGAAAGAAAGCTCCTGGATATCGCTTCTCTTGACGAATGTTTATTCAGCGGCAAGTGGCTCGCTTGTTTGCGCTACTATACTTTATTAAATTCACATGTGCAGCGGATTCGTATAATACGACATCGATATTTATTTGCCAATATAATATTATCATATACGGCATCCGTACTCGGGCACAGGGAAGCGCATGCGTAGCACAAAAGAAAAAAGCCAATGCAGAAATACGTAAACATTGTTTTTAAGAATCTATTGCATTACGCTACTAAATACTAATTACTGCATTACGCGTGAAAATGCCGTATTTTCGTACAGTGAGTCGTATCTGCATAGCATATTATGTATGAAAATTAAGCGTTTTGACTCGCGACTACAGTAACACTTTGGTAGGTCTGCTTTTCATTTTCAGAGTTGTCAAATAAAACCTTTCCGCTTTAATGCGTTTGTTGCACAGTAGTAATAATATCTGATAATAATTAATCTAAACCCATATTGTGATTATATATTGTGTTAAAAATTTCTGTTTTCGCTAACTATAAACAGCGCATGTGGTACGCACACTGCTACATACCTTTTTCCCCATACTTATAAAGGTTACTAACATTTAACGTAGTCATTTGTTCGTGCCCTAGCAAAAAATGCGGATTACTGAATTTGTCACGCTCAGATCGAGGATTTGTTTAAATTATTATTCAAAATCTGTAAACTGTGGTTATGTTATTGCATTCTGTCATTGCAATCGAAGAATCTCCAATATGAAATTCTGGAGTAAATGCCGAACCAGTACATTGCTTGATTACTTGCCATAGCTCGCAGTGGAGACTGTTATTTTAAGTAGCCGAATAAAGAACCTTAATCTTAGATTAGGGATCCGGGATCCAATCCATCGATCTCGGAAGTAACATATTGATTATGAGCAGCAAGTTACGCAGCGATCAGACTCAGGCTACAGCCCAAGTTGTACCTGATATACAAACGCATGCGTGTGCTCCGTCATGGTGTCCGAAAAAACAATTACATTTCCTTACTAATGCCATGAACTGATGTTACAGGATCAGCGGAAAATCAAGGCGCGCTCATACGAGATCTATCATACGGCTACAACACACTGATTCGTCCTGTTACCAATTTAAGCGATCCAGTTAAAATTCATTTTGGGATTGTTCTAGTCTTAATCCTAGGCGTGGTGAGTCAAATTTGTGGGAAGGGAATTTTTCCAGTATAAGCTGCTAGTCCTGATCATTGATCATTTTGTAATTTTAGAACGAGAGAGACCAGGTTTTCAAGACTAATTTATGGTATAGGTTGGTAAGTGCTTTCGTAAATTTCGACAATTTTTATTTACAATTTTAATAACTGGCATAATACTTTCAAGGGTTGGAACGATCCACAGTTGGCTTGGACACCTGAAAAGTACGGAAATATCCAGGCCGTCAGGATGCCTGCCGATAAAGTGTGGACGCCGGACGTCGTTCTTTTGAACAAGTAAGTTGGGATTTCTTCCTGCGTGTGATTTTAAGCGGACAATTATGATCGTTTGCAGTGCTGACGGAAAGTACGGAGTTAGTTATAAATCCAATGGTAAGTCAATCTTTTGCTCTACCAGTAGAGGTGAAGGCAAATGCATGTAATCAGTTTTATCGCGCAGTTGCTAATTGTTACTTATATCATTTTACGTGAGCGTGCAAAATGGTAAAGCCGTTAGCGAACCAAGTATTGAACCGCCCATCTGGATCTGCTAATTTTCTAGCACAACCAAGTTGCACTCATCAATCTTGGCCGTAACTAAATTACTAGATATTCGTCTTCAAGTAATTTGTCATCCTTTGCGCATTCATATCTTGAAGTATCATCGAAAATATGATTCTGGAATGAGTGCAAGAAAGTTGTCAAAAACCCATTAAGCTTTTCTCCTTCAACAATCGAACTGTAGTGATAAGATGCCGTGGTGAATAGTCTGGAAACTAGAATTGCCCGGTCTAGTTCACATTTAAGTGTACAATTATAAATATGTGGTTTTACTATAGAAAGACAGAACTGTTTTATTCAAGTTTGTGTTGAAATCTGTATTTTTTTGCAGTTGTCATTTACTCTAAAGGAGACATCAGTTGGCTACCTCCATCAATTTATAAATCAACTTGCGAGATCAATGTCGTCTATTTCCCTTTTGACGTACGAAGTGAATATGCGTGTAGTAGCATCAATAGCGACTATATATTATGTTGTTATCGAATTTTACATGTATAGAAGTAGATCTGATGTTGCAACGATGCGCAGTGCCGTAATTAACAATGATGTCGACGTACATTTCATGATTTCGGTAAACTCATTTTATTATTTCCTTCGAGTAAAAAAAAGTGATTTATCAATTGTATAAATGTTATTTAAATTTAATTTTATGAACTTATCTTTTTTCAAAAACTAATTATCCAAATTGTAATGTACGGTCATATGCTGACTCAAATTCAATGTTCTCTCCGTCGCCGATCCGTGCACGTTTTGCCGATCCGTGCAAACTGACGTCGGTCAGTTTCCTGTTCTTATAGGAAAGAGGCTACCGTATGTGGAATTAGGCGAACTTTTGCTGCTCCAGTACTCTATATATTTGAATAAGAAAATATTTCTAAATCAATATATATTTACGGTCAGTAAGATTTAGCAGGCTTTCGAATGCTGTAAAGTTGTCTCGCGTTCTCTGCAGATTCAAACATGCAAAATGCGTTTTCGTTCTTGGACATGGAATTCTCAAGAAGTTCTTCTTGAATCTTTCGGCGAAACAAATTTTGTTGATCTAACTGACTTCACGGATTCCGGTATACAAAACATGCCGATTTATAATTTTTCTTATGTTATCGAAACATTTTACGTAGAAGTGTGAACTGTAAAACATGATTAATTTTAGGAACGTGGTGCATTCTGGAAGCAAAAGGCCAACCAATGTTTTACTACACTCCAGATAAACAGCCTCGCATTGAAATGGTGTATTATTTTGTGATACAAAGAAGGCCACTATTTTATACAGTCAATTTGCTCATTCCTACTTGCTTGGTGACCTTTCTAACAGTAAGTTTAGAGTAATTGCGTTTAGACGGCATTTTTTCTGATACAGATTTTTTATATAATTTTTATACAGGTCCTTGTATTTTATTTGCCTTCCGCTAGCGGGTAAGCTTTCGAATCGTTTGATTGTGTCTGTTCTTGTGTCTATGCCTGTATTAATTGCCAATCATGGTTTCAGAGAAAAGGTGGCCTTAAGCATATCGATTTCTGGTGAGTAAACTGCATAATTAGTCGCATAAGATCATCAAAAGTAAATTACACAAAACCTTAGAGCTTAATTAACCAAGAAAATAAGTAGGGACATGAGTCTGCTGTACAGAGTGATATACATTAACATTGTGCCAAGTGGAATAATTTCTTTTCAGTGACCTTGGTATTTTACCTTCTGCTGGTTTCCAAAATTTTGCCTCCCTCTAAAGACTTGCCTTTAATGGCTAAGTAAGAAATAAACATTAACTGTTAATTAAAAAACAGTCACAATACATAGATCATGTACGCTACCTTTGCAGATATCTATTGTTCGCTTTTGTGATGAATTTCGTCTCTGTTGTGGTCACTGTTTGGACTATCCATCTACATTACCGAAGCCCAAAAATCCATCCGGCACCACCCAAATGGGTTCAGTATTTATTTTTTCAGTTTTTGCCCGTAATATTCCTGATGAGGAAGCCTCGTCGGTACGTTGATGTTTTGTAAACATGATTCTCATGAAAAACAGCCGGTTTGATTGCTTTGTTCCATACATATATGTGTAACTGTATGTCACCGGTATACATACGAGTATGTATAACTAGCACTGAAAGAAACTCAAAATTCGAAATATCAGCTGTTACATTGTACAGTAGGCTGGTCAAAACTTTTGCGTCAATAATTCAAGTTTAAACAACATACTGCTTTTCGACTAGATACGTGCGATCTCATCAGTTTTCGGTTCGTAACCTCTCCATTCCCGGTGGGAAAGCCGCTTCACCGAATGTTAACAGTGCTACTGCAACACCCCGCACAAGCCACACGATGGAACCACCCGAATGCTTTCAAAAAGAAAATTTGATAGAACTGCAAGAATTAACTGCTCAAAACAGAAAACGATCCAAAATACCGTTGGTTAGGACCGAATCGATCACATCGGATTTGATAGACGATCCGACTGACGCTCTCAGACATAATCGCAGATACTTTGATGCACTAGACGTTATTGCGGATTCGTATAGGAGGAAGGATCACATACGACAGGTACAATACATCTATACAAGAATGCATTATGGTAAATATCGTAGCATGAGAAATAAAATAAGAAAGTTCGTTTTCAGATTGAAGAAGACTGGAAATGGATGGCTACGGTAATTGACCGGGGTGAGCTACTGTAAAGAATGAAAATTGCGGACCGATACTTGTATAAGCTGTCTCTGTTTACGACGCATATATACCTCGGAAATAAAGAAATTCATGCAAAAATTTAAATAGGAAATGACATTGCAATTTTTGGTACTGCAGGCTTGTTGTGGATATTTTTTATTGTCACGGCTGCTGGCTCATTGTCCATCCTTATGCAGGAGCAGGAAATCTTTGGAGATTTTCGATGCGTTCGATAATACAAACAAACAAAAGTTGTCACCTTGGAGAATGTTCAGTAATAAAGCTCATTAAATAAAGTAATTAAACGTCTTGTATTCTCTGTTTAGTGCACTGTTTTGCTTGTGATGCTTCGCGTTTGTGGATAGCTCATTATCTGCTTACCGAATGATTAAAAATGGAGAATCAAAACTGTTGTAGCAATACTGTATAGCATTAGACGCCAGTTGGCATGCATGGATTTTGTTTTCAGAAGGAAGATGGAAAGGAAAAATGCCGTGCACATTTTAGGCATATACGAAAAATGCTAATTGCTGCTACGGTAAAAGCTTAAATTTACTGCACTGATTGAACGATTTTTTTTGCCACATACATTAGAGTTTGCAGTTCTTACCATTAGTCGATAATATTTTTCAGTTACCAACAATATTAGTGAGAAATTAATCATGTTTCTATAAATATATATATTGGTCTTTCTACATATTTTTCGTTTCATGATAAAGTTTGTTACAACGTTTTTACAATGCTAGAGATTGCTACCGCTTGCTGATCGTCGTAATGATCGTGAAACATCACCAATACATTAATATTTACTAGTGGTGGAGTAAAGAATCGCCATTATACCGTGGGGTCACGACTCACAGTTGATGGTTAAAACAATCGGTATATAAGCGCGATACTATAAGCAACTTGTGCTACCAACCGATTTTTATATTTTTTTGTTTTCCAGTGGTGACTACACAGCATCATTATAAACTAGTAGAATACATCCTCCGTTTGATGGATGAGAGATAGTACATCGCGATCATCTTGCTTAATAAATTCCAAGTCTCCATACAAAAAAGGACTTCAGATCCCTTTGACAGATTTTAATGAGCCATGACGTTTTACATTTGGATTTTAAGGCACAGAATGGAATTCATAAGACAATAATCTTATTCAGAAAGGCACTTGTGACATACTTATATTGCGCATGGCTTAGAGCCATATTTAACTGCAGTATTGCGAATGATAACTACTTGCCAAAGTTTACGATGCATGCTGTAAAATGTGCGGACGGGTTCTGCACACAAGTTATACGATCAGCAGATGGCTTTATATTGTGCTACCGATACAATACTCTATATACGTGGTTGGTTAGCCGGCAAGTCAGTGTCAATGCATTCAGCTATAGATTCGTGCTTTTTCTCATCAAATCATCTCACGAAAGCGGATATCCTGCGAAGGGTCCTTCAGGACTGGACAACAGTAGAATCTTCGACGCTCAATTCGTGAGATAACACATCTTGAACGGCGCTTTCTGGATACGCCGCAGCACATACGCGGATAAGACCGCCTCCTCGTCATTCCTGCGTCCGCATAGTCAATACTCCTGGAAATTTTTTACCAATATAATATTACACAGGATCGCCTCTAATCAGTTGTGCCACCGCGTTCAACAGATTGCGCCGGTTTGGATTACTTTTAATAATGCAGTTTGGGATGGTCGTTATCGCCCTGATCCCCACTATGATTGTATGTTAAGTAGCTTAATGAACTGCTACAACAACCACTGGTATCGCACTACGCCGTACGTTTGTTTTCATTGCGCTCCGTGGTGACCTTAAGATTGGCTTGCCTAATTGACTTTAAATTCAGTCGGCAATCGTCCAGGTTGTGGTCACCAATTAAGACTGCGGAAGAAAGGATGCATAACACTTTATCACGGCATACCGGCTAAACTCGCCTTCACAAGTATTGTTAAGCTGTATGTAAACCGAGCTAGCCAAATAGCGCTTATTTCAACTACGGATGTCACGGTGGATAGCACGATCATGCTGACAGGTAAAGAAGTCATATGGGATTTCCTCCAGCTGTTCGTCCTTTCACACTCCATTCTCATTCAGTGTAAGTTCTTCGACACCCTTGCTTTAAATAATTTGAGTCTTTTTTCAGTGCAATTTCGCGCGAAATCTTGAGGTTATCTTATACTGCGCATTAAATTACGATACAATATACCGAGTACATTATTTCCAATTGAAAGATTGGAAATAATGTACTCGGTCTTGGTTTGATTCCTGAAAAGATAATAACAGTAATGTGCATAGTAAATTAATTACATTGGTGAATTTAAATTTAAATTAAACCATAATCTGCTTTAGTTGCGAATGCGATACTTTAAATTCGTATATGATTTTGGTGCTAGCATGTTTGGTGCATACCAGCTGTACGTAAGCGTGCACAGCGTACTCATTGTCAGTATTATAAGTTTATACATAAAGTTCAGTCTATACATCTACAAATTTAACCGCATAATAGGGCATGTGTTTCTTACAGTTTTTGCGAAATCATGACTAATTCTTTTACTTTTTATCAACTACGAATTATTTTGTGATAGCTATAAGTCTACAAGATGGATGAACATCTTCTCTGGATTAGAAAAGCCGCCCAAGCTTAAAAGTTCATTGAATAATATGAATATCCGTTTGTCGGCACTTGTAATTGGCAAACAGTATAACGCTGTAATGAATTGAATTCATGGACGAATTTCAAGGGGTTTATTATCATTTAGGGTATACGCTTCTTTCTATTGATTTTACTGTCTTTTTCATAGTATCTATGCCCTTTAGCGGACACGCATTTGCTCTATCCTTGATCGTTCTTGTTGAGCACACCCCAATTTCTTTATACCATTCTGTCTAGGGATTCGAATATCTAGCGACTTGAGGGCGGTGTAATCGAGCTTGCGTTAATTTTATGAGAAAACTACAAGCGTGAAAGCATGGAATTTATTCCAAACCGATTTGGACTCTCTCGTTTTATGATTATGTAAACTGCTGTGAACCAAGTATCAAAACTATTTTATGTCAAAAATGAGTGGTATGAAAGCACCGCAACTTACAGGGGCTTCCTTGCACATAATATATTCAGATTAATTGTAATTATGTATAAGTACTAGTACCACTGGTAGTATGACACGTTTTCCATCGAATTTTAAATTACCCATGCACTGTGGGCAAAACTAAATAGGCGGCAAAGCTAAAAAATGTGAAATCGCCATGACACAATATCTCATCAGAAACAAAGCTAACTGCAGTTACAAAAAGGTTTCGAACACACGTGCAAACATGTAGTGTGGAATATCTTATAAATTTAAATACTGTGCCTAGTAATAAACTCCCGAAACAGGAAAAGTTTTGTTAATACAGCTAACCCTGGCGTAACATTTTGCCACCAACAAGCCTGACAAAGTGAAACGGGGATTTCGATTCCGCCCGGATACGGTTAATCCTCTTAAAGGTCCCATATTTGCTGAAGCAGGTTGTTAACAATTTGTTAGAGCAGTGAAATTGTCAGAATTGCCATTCCGTTTTCATAGATAACAATTTCCGTTTATTTAACGCTCTGCGCATTGTTAAAAGCATTCTATTTGCTGCCTACCGGAAATGTATCGGCTTTCAGTGCCGAATCGTGTTTTACGGCACAATTTTGTCAGAGCAGATATATACAAATGCTTTGTAGAATGTACGACGACACACTAGCACAACGTCTGTTATTATTGCTTGCTACGTCCACATAATGCTGTCGGTTATTTAACCGTAGATTTGAATGACAATCGATTTTTAAATTAGGTGGCAATTAAAGACAACCCTTGAACGCAACAAAATAAAGGATAGCATAACCCAACGCTGAGGATTCGCGTATCTCATAGGCGCTACCTTAATCAGCAAGCAACTTAATTTATATATTGTATCTTACATTAAGCAATCAGATTGTTTGCCCATAAATATCTCGCTAATTAAAGTGTTGCTTTTTGTAGCTGCCTCGGCAAATGCTGACGCAAAACGTCTTTATGACGATCTCCTATCAACATACAATCGTCTAATAAGGCCCGTTGGCAATAATACCGAAAGGTTAACTGTCAAAATGGGACTACGATTATCCCAACTAATCGACGTCGACGAGAAGAACCAGATTATGACGGTTAATGTATGTACGTAAGCGCAACAAATTAAACTTCGCTCATTATTATTCGTGATTATTTTTTAAATCCGAAAACCTGCAACATCCCGAGTAGCACAAATTCTGTATAATTATATTGAAGGTTTACGCACGTAGCAATTTATTGCCGCGAATGTCTGTAGAGTTTGCGTTTCCGCTTAGCCCTTCCCAGCTTGTAAGGTAATTTTTGCGAATAGGCTTCATAATATTGGTTGAGGGCCAGCAATAGCATATACGAGTATAATTACAGTCACTGTGCATTTACCACACTGGACTATTTGTTGTTTTTTATGTGACTACATTAAATTTGATTTTAACATCAAATTTTAATGTGCTCCTGTATTTCAACATCAAATTTCGATGTTGGAATGCAACAGTGTTTTCTAAAACGCAAATGTTTAAATACTTTGTTCACATGGAATAGTTTAAATCATGGAATTAATATGCCTTACCGAATTACGAAACTGTTTTTCGAAGGTATGGGTGAGGCAAGAGTGGAACGATTCCAAGCTTAAATGGAATCCTAGGGAATATGGAGGAGTGGAGCGGTTATATGTTCCATCAACAATGATTTGGCTTCCTGATATAGTGCTATATAACAAGTAACTGCTGCAAGCAAAGCTGTTTCCATGCTAATTTTACAAGGTTTCGTTTGATTTTACCAGTGCGGATGGTAATTATGAAGTCACTCTCATGACGAAGGCTACGCTGCATCCAGACGGGCTGGTTATTTGGTAAGCTATTTTAATCCCTCTCCCGCAAGCATGCTCATGAACGTGAAAGGCTTTATACATTTCATATACTTCCATTCATAATAATTATTAAAAATATTCATACTAGTGCACAGGTTACTTAAATTAATAATGGTATAAATTCAACATTTCATTTAGGGAGCCTCCAGCTATTTATAAAAGCTCCTGCTCGATCAATGTGAAGTACTTTCCGTTTGATATTCAAGACTGTGCAATGAAAGTGAGTTTTTTCTTTAAAATTACTCAAGGCAACCGGGATTACGCTCAAAGTATTCACTATAGAAAACATTGCTGACCACCTAAACATGCACGCCGAATATTGCTGTACACAAAATGGCTTTATATAATTGTTACTGGTTTTAGTTTGGTTCATGGACGTACGATGGATTTCAGGTATTGAAATTACTGCCGCAACCATATAATTATAAATCAGTTTAAGAAAACAGATTTTATGCAAACGAATTTTGATAACGATTTCGGTGTATCGCTCGCATGGTTCAGGTTGACCTACGTCATATTGATGAAGTGGAAGGATATAACAATATTACCAGTGGAATCGATCTAGTGGAGTATTATTCTAGCGTAAGTTTTCTTATATTTTTATATATTTGGTTTAACAGAAATTTCGGCCTGTGAAACAGAGTGTATGCTTGTAATAACATTAATATTGAAGCTTATGTAACTTAACACTAACCGAAACAAACAAAAGAGTTATCATTTTTTATTTGATACAGCAGTTATTTTGTAATACAGTATCTGCCTACTTACCATGAACGAATTTAATCCGCATGACCAAGCAATGACTAAATGAATTCCACAACTAACTTTTTAGTTTTATGTAAAAATGATGTCATCTAAAATTAGCAGAAAATTCCAGCTTAGTTTTGGCTTTTAAATGACGTGCGTTCAGAAACATTATTTTGGAACACCATATAACAGGCACTATGTCGAAATGAACTACGGCGCGCGGTGGCAATATATTAGTGGTTTAGGTCGAGTGGGAAATCATTGGAGTGCCAGCTGTACGCAATGAAAAATTCTATCCCTGTTGTGCCGAGCCATATCCAGACATTACGTTTAATGTGACAATAAGGAGGAAAACACTCTTTTATACGGGTAAGAAATAGCAGCATTCTAAGATATATAAATCAGTTAGTTTTGTTTAACTAACCATGCCTTAAGCTTTAAGCCGAAGTATCTTATGGCTGCAGTAGGCTGCTGCAGTGATGGGAAGATTTAAACTTACTTATTACCAACAGCACTTACTGATATATATATGTATTTGCAGTTAATCTTATCATACCTTGTGTGGCCATTTCCTTTTTGACGGTTTTGGTCTTTTATTTACCTTCCGCAAGCGGAGAAAAGGTAAGTTATACTCTGCAGGCCCGTGATTCGTCGGAAGCTTTTCCATTAGTCTTGTGTACGTGCAACAAACTGCGTGACCTTTTGTTTTAGCGTTTTAGAATCATAGTTAGATTCAGCAGTTTACGTTAATCGTCTATTCGTACCCTATTCTAGCTTAATTACTCCAGTCTGTCCGTCTTAGGTCACGCTGTGCATTTCCATTCTGCTGTCGTTGACAGTGTTTTTTCTGCTTTTGGCCGAGGTAAGTAAATTGACGCTTTTGTCCTCATTTTCATCCAAAGTCTGATAATTCTTTTGCAAAATGTGTCGCATTATCGGAATCGTTTTTGTTGCAGCTAATCCCTCCGACTTCCCTTGTGGTAAGCAAAGTATTATAGGACAATTCGCTTCAAAAGTGAAAATAAAATCAATATCTGTTCGAAAATTTTAGGTTCCGTTAATAGGCAAATATCTGCTTTTCACAATGGTCCTAGTGACGCTCAGTATTGTCGTAACGGTTGCCGTCCTTAATGTTCATGTAAGTGCAGAGCACCTATAGTATCTACGTCTCGTAGTCTCCGAAATTCCGAATACCTACTACTGCATACTGTGCTGTGCGAAACCTGGTATGACGTGCAGTCATACAGGCTTGTGCATACTGTAAATATGCTTCTGAATTTTTAAATAATTTTTGCTGGAAAAGTAGACTTCAGCTCTTGTAATTATTTTAGTTTCGCTCCCCTTCTGCCCACCGCATGGCTCCATGGGTACGGCATCTGTTCATCGAAATTCTCCCGCGCTTGCTTTGTATGCAGCGCCCGATTGATGAATGGCATAGCAATCCCAATCAGCCGCGCGTACGTATCCGTACATGTAATGGCGTCGAAATTCGGGAGACTTTTGCGGAAGATATGACGGCTGCGGGATCGATCCGTCGGGCGCCGTTGGCCAGAGAAGCGACTTTTGACAATATACATCATAGTGGATCGTGGTTAACAAGAGCTAATGCGTTGGGCGAAACAGATCTTATGCTCAGTCCGTGTAATCAAGACAGTGATCGGGCAACCATACGGAAGCGGTATACGACGGATATACAGAAGGCGGTTGAAGGAGTGGTGTATATTGCCGATCACATAAGAAAAGCGGAGGTGATAATATAACTGATATTAAATGCCATAATTGCGCGCTACCAGATTCTTATCCTTCAGGAACTGAATGAAGTGATGGAAGACTGGCAGTTTGTGGCGATGGTGCTAGGTAATTACAAGTTCTACCCTACTTACAGAAATGCAGCTATTCAGCCAACTAATAGGCTGTACGCACATATACAGGTACATATTAAGAGTACGTTGCTTACCGCCATTGCAAACATAACCTACCTGTAAATACTGTATTACCGCTTTAAAATGAAATGCTTACATGCGTTGCATGTCACCGGTTCACAATTTTCAATTAAGTATCAATATGCATGTATATTGAGACCGCGAATGACTTTTTTACTGCTTTGATGGCTGCTGCCGAATAAACAAATGCTCCAAAGTAGTGATTTTTAACGTGTATACTTCAAATTTTGAACTTATGTCAGCGGTGGTTACCGCCAGCAGACTCGGAATTTTTTTTGAAATTCCGAGTCTGCTGAAAACTTTGAAAAGTTTCCTTTTCAAAGTATAATCTTTTGTTCCGCTCTCTCGCCGTTAGCTAAACAGCTTATCTCTCAAAAAAACATTACTTTCTAATACCTTGTTTGCAAACCGTGCGTGTAATAAGGCTGCAGACGTTAATAATCCCGATAAGATGTGTAATATTGCGCTGTTGTATCAGCTAGACTGGTGCAACTTGCGTGTTGCCGCTGCCGATTCTTAATATTTGTATATCGAGCATAAATCACTCTCCGGCTTAACAATGAATATAATTTGTAAAATTACGCTTCTGACCGCTTTAGATAAATAGAGACATTTCAGGATACACATCTGCCATGTGCACACAGCAACAGCAGCATGCAGATTGGTCCTGCTGGGTAACAAGTTTAATGACTTTCTTACGGGCATTTGAATTTCCAGATCGATTGTTTTTATGGATTTTTACGTTATCCTGCGTTATTGGCACACTTGGAATACTCTTGGATGCCCCCATGTTATTTGATTACAGAGAAGCTCTGGACAAGCGAAAGATATAGATGTTCCAGAAAAAATATATTCATCTGTTTTTATTGCCATGCGCATTCGCAGCTCGCTTTTCAGCTGGTCTGTACAAGTTGGCCCGTTTGAGGTGGGATATACATATGCATTGAACAAATATGCATGCAAAGTGTGGCTTTATTAAACGGCATGAATCGGTTTGTCCGGAATTGGTGCTCTTGGTAAAAGGTTAAATCCGAATTGCCTTTTACATCATTATGAATGCAAATCGAGCAATGCTGCTGAATCTTTCGCCTAAATAAATACCGCTCCTTTAAACCACAGTGGACACATTCTATCACAAATAGTGTGAATATTACCTCAAATAAGCATTTCATGCTTTCGTCGCTTCCTGGAATAACATTATAGCAATTCTTTTTTGGTATCGGCTCCTTTGTATCATATAAACTAGGCGCTCGCAGTATAATGACCAAAGTTCCCACAACACAAGCAATGCTAAATATCCATAAAAATAATCGATCCAGCACCATCGCCACGTACTGCAAATATGACACCGCAATTAATTGGCCGCTGTTTTTTTGCTTTCGGTCCACTTACCTTCCAATCTTGAACCGTCTACAAATTAAAGAATACAATAGTTATTATAAGTTGACTAAAGAGAAATTTAGGGTTTCCTAAATTCTTGTTTATAAGACTGAACGAGTGAATCGGGTGTAATACAAATCCGATTGCTTTTATTAATGTAAGTAATATTAGGGTGGGTTTGGTTGGAAGTAATTATCTTCTGGCAACGCTGGGTAGCAAATCAAAGTTTTATCATTAATTTTAGCGTTTTGAAGTAATCTACGTACAATGAACGTACATCATTTACAGCTGCAGTAAGTATCACAAAGCCAAACCTGACTTTCATTAATATATATTTTTTGCACGACCTAAAACATCTTTTTTTGCCAGACAAGCAATAAAATTTTAATTATTTGCTCAAAAATTGGGGTTTGTAGGCTATCGTCTCTTGGTGACCGGTCAGTTTCTCACAAAACCATTCAAAATTATGTGAATTATAACGGTCATGTAACCTTTAGAAAGTCAAACACACTGGATATGTTACCGTGTCGGTCACATTTCATTGTCTTACTTGCTGAGTACGCACATTTTACGGTAATGGTATTGGTCATTTTTTGTCGTATTCGGGCAGCGAGTATTGCTGTTACACAGTTGGGACCGAAACTTACATTTCCAAAAGCATCCGTTTCGCGGATGTGATCGGCGATGAAGCGGATCCCATCAATCGCTCTTTGGACATCCGAAGAATAAGGTCTTCTGCGCAGATGATCAAGATCGGGAGTAGACAGCAGATCTTCCTGGGTCATTACGGCAGAATAGCTCAGATGCGGCTGCGCTTGGTGGTTATACGGCGAATGCCGGCGCCGCGCGTGGTCGTCATTACAATTAAATCGCTGGGGCCCCATCAGATCCTCTTCTTTCCGGTGTGTCGGCCGCCGCATCAACAAAACACGCGGCAAAAACTGGATGAACACTTTTCGTACCCAGCGCGGCATGCGATGTGTTGCCGGGTTGCGAAACTAGGGCGCAAATTACATTAGTCTTGAAGACGCGATTTACTGTACAAGCACTCCGCCTAAGTAACCAGGAACGTTAGAATATTTTACGAATGATTCGCGTTATAAATCATTACTGGCGATAATTTGATTTTAGGCAAATCATCTGTATTTATGTATATAAGCAAAACGACTTACATGAACGTTCAGAACTGTTATCGTGACAACGATGCTTAAAGTGACCAATATCATTGTGAAGAGTAAGTATTTTCCAATTAAAGGAATCTGAAAAGAAAAAAAACAATTAAGTGATTGCTTTCCTGATGAAAAATCTTGTTGCAGAATTTGTAGTTAACGTCCTGTTAAATATGGCCGTTAGTTTACGTACCACCAGTGATGTAGGAGGAATAATCTGTAAACGAGATGGAAAGACTGAGGATTTGATGGTCAATTTGTCGGTAAGACATATACAGCTAAATAAAACTAACCTCTGCGAGAAGGAGGAAAAACACAGTCAAGGAAAGCAAAATAGAAATACACAGGGTAACCTGCAAAAGGTAATTTAATATTAATACAAACAATAGAGCCACAGCGATCTTTAGTGGACAGCACACATCTAATTGTAAACTGATATACAATGGTTGTTCTTACCTTTTCGCCACTGTCACTCGGTAAGTAAAATACTAAAATCGTCAGGAATGAAATGGCAACACACGGGCTGATCAAGTTAACTGTGAAGAGAGACAATACATAACAGTCGACCCACGTAGAAAATATTAGAAAATTACCGGTGAAAAATAGCGTTTTCCGGCGGATAATGATGGTGAAGGTGATATCCGGATACGGCTCCGTGCAGCACGGGTAATAGATGGTGTGCCGTCTTGCTGGCACCTATAAAGACTGAACGTGACTATCGATGTTTTCAAACAATACTCAGGAATATTTGAAAATCAAAAATGAGAAAAACAAAAATCTATTTCCGTGCAACACAAAGGACGAGCTGCAAACCTACCGCAATAATGTCCCATTCGATGCTTGGATAGTATTCCGACAGATCCATTCCAATAGCGATGTCGACACTATCATTGTGATATCCTCGTATAGGCTTCAGATCCACCGCCCACCTGAGCGTGCGAGATACTTCTTTAAATTTAAAATTATCAACGTGATTTGAGAAGAAATACCTATAAACAATAATATTTTATTCTACATTTTAGCAGCCGTAACATTTAGATATTACATATACAACATTATTTCATTACTGTACCTTTCACCATATTATTTGTTTCGTTGCCCAACTCACCCATCGTATGTCCAGCTTCCAAATTTCATTTTGCATTTTTGCTCATCCTAAAATTGATAACAGATTTTGTTAAACATGAAAGTAAAAAATTTGCGGCTTTATAGAGCAAAGCCCGGAAATATACTCGTATTACGCATATCGTAAAGCGTCCATTTACCAATAATAAAATATAGTGCAAATGCAAACTGAAATCACTTACATAAGGAAAAAATTCCACATTTATCAGGCAGTAACTGAAAAGGTCAATCGCATGTTTTTAATAATTTTTAAATGGCTTACGCTCAGAAGTCTTTGTCTCTCCCAAATGTGAACGATCGCCAACAAACCTTTTGTATATCGCGGGCGGCTCCCATCGTACATCACCATTGGAGCGCACTTCGACTTTTGTCATCAGTGTGACTTCGTAGTTACCGTCAGCGCTGTTAACAAATACAAAGCGATTTAGTTTTATTATGATACCGTAATCAGCGAATTTCTTATATGAAAAATTTTAACCGCATAGTTACTGCACATATTTTTTGCATGGTCGTATTACGGAAGTCACGCCTGCTGTACCGCACGTACTTGTTATACAAGACGATATCGGGCAGCCACATGTATTCACTGGGAATGTACAAAACAGTAATGTTTCCATATTCTTTTGGATCCCAGCTCAGCTTGTAATCATTCCACTCCTGAGCACAATAATAATTTTATTAACCCTAAATGTGTATATTTTACTCACAGCAAGGGTATAGTACTTATATCATTCATATTGCAGAGCTCTTCAAAATATCTACTGTGGTTAATTTGTTTTGTTTGATGTAGAATAAACAGTATGAAATCGTGCCCTTGGTTATTTTTGTGCAAAGTCATAAAGTGCAAACAATGTTGCTGCCTGATTAGTGACCGGAAGTCTTATTTCCGATCGTCCATCGATCGGACCGCACTAACTCAAGCGCAGGGCAAGATGGTTCTGTAGAGAAATGTGACGCAGCGAATCCAAGCAAAATTGTGACAGGAGCGAACTAAAAGTCTAGCCAGCTGGAAACATCACAAGCTCAGTAAATGATTCTCGAGATAAGTAACGATCCTGGCACTCTTGTTTTGGGAAATAACAGCGTAAGGAGATTTCCTTAATACCTAAAGGCCATTCCTTTAACTTTAAGCATGTCATAGCGGAGCCCAGCACATGTACAATACAGCAATCCAATTAGGCAGCTGGCTAGATTGCGTTGTGGGAACACGCACATATCTTATTGTCGTGTAGGTAACATATTCTCACCTGGTGGATAATACGGCAGTAATTAGTCAATCAATAGGCTGTGCTAATGTTACAATTCAACATTTTTTATTGACAATCCGCGCATTACCAAAAGTGGCGAAGCCTTGTGTATTGGAACTTTCTCGGTTAAGAAAAAAATTTATTATGAGTATTATTTATTATTATTTATTATGAGAAATTTATTATGAGTGGTCGCAAGGTTAATCTGTATATGCGCAATGCCATTTCGCGCGTTTCCTTACCTGGCGCACCCAAACATTTGTTGTAATGACCTAAATAGCTTTGGTAATTAATTCTCCGGTGCTTGCAGCTAAGGAATTCCAACGCTTTTACCTGATTCACTTCATCCTGCAAAAAATTTTTCACAGCATGTAGTTCAAAGGTTTATTTGCCATGCACGATTCGGCGATTTATTATTTAAATACAAATTTGTATTTGCGTACCCGCGGAGCTTCTGGTAAAAGCCGTGTGCATCTACACTGTTTTCGTTTTTACGTCGACTGCCACGGTTCGGGAATGCCCATTTGTACTTCTTGTATGATGTGCAGTTTAATGTACAGTTTAATTTTTTTGGATACGTGTTTTACTTTTCTTTTTGCACCTTACAAACTTTTGCAACTGATACAAATAAGTGAAGTACAGTTTTCGACGTGGTAAAAGGTTTAATCGAATTCAATCCAAATGACTGAGTGATGTATCTTTCGATTTTCTTCCTCAAGTGTACAGCGGATATGCAAACATTGTGTTAGTTGACATCAACATCATTTGAAAATGGGAAAATATTTATATTGCGATTTCTTTGAAATTTTCCCTTATTGCTTTTCCTGTTAATAAAATCATGTAGAAATCAGAAAAACAACTATTATTTTAAAAAAGGCATCTTCGCTTTTCCTGGTGCCATCAAGCAAAGCGTTGGCAAAGCAGTAATCAAAACCGCAACGAGTCAAGACTGGTAAAATCAATAGAAGTATTAATCATGAAATGACCAGTTACTAATGACATTATATGGCGCTATAGTACACTGTGCTCCTCCTTCTAACTTGTAAGGGACATTTATGTTTGTACTGCAGCGTGCGCGTGATGGCGGATGTTTATTCGTGAAAAGATCTCTATAAAGAGTCTGCTACTAAAAGCATACTCAAAGCAATTAAATTTACGCTTCCAAAAAGACACAAATTGACCATTTCTATAATTTTCTAGTCACGTCTGCACTATTACCGAACACTAAGCGTGAGTACTCTGTGAAACTGAATTAAAATGTACCACTGCGCAACCGCTACTCACTTATTATAAGTGTGGTATGCGGTGAAAACATTCATTCTTTGATTAGATTCATGAGGACCAATTTCAGGTACAATTACTAACGTGTTTCATCAAAATGTATAATGTGAACTTGTTTCTAAAATTCTTTTTGTTTAGACAAAATAACCTGAACAAGCACATAACTTACCTAGTATAACAACCTTTTTAAACTTCATTATTATCCTGTTTATCACAGCTGCATTTCTTGATAACCGTTTCCCGTGGAACTATGCATTTACGCTTTATACTGACTATAGCTAGGTACGAGCGTCGCGTAGGTACCGGCATCCGTGCCATTGCTGAGTTCGTAAGTCAATTAAGCAAACATTTTATAGGCTTCTCATTTTCTTCTTAGGGGGAGTTTTTAATCAAGCAGGCATGTTGATATTTTCGCTTGATGAGTATGAGAATCCCACGAGGCACAGTATTCCAGTGGACTGCACACGAGGAAGGGCGGGATGTGATTAAGAATCATTGAGCTGGGATAACTGCCACCATCCCAGAATAATTGAGACAACTAACTTACCACGTCAATGAGCTGCGTCAGCTTCAGTCCCAGGGAAACATTTAGGGTGCCCGTATTACTGCGAACCGGTCTAATCAGTTTATTGTAATCCTTCATCAGGTCATCCTGAGAAAACGGAAAAGACTTAATTCAGGCGTCAGCTGTATGGAAGTGCTTTGAATTGACACTAATTAGTTGCATCTAGAATTTCAGCGGGTACAAGCTTACGTATAAACGCTTTGCATCCTGGCTGCAGCAAACTGAATCCAAGAGAAGTATAAAAATTGGAATTATATATCTGATCCATTTCGGGGAGCGAAGTCCACAACACCACACCATTGCTCCAGACTTCCGGTTTCCGTAATGTGTCCCTGGTCCCGTGTATTGCACGAATGTTGCAAATTAACGCAATTTTAAAGCAAACCAGAGGGAAAAAAGATTTCTCAAAACCTTTTCAGATAAATTCCAAAACAGTCAATCAGTGCAACAATAACATCGAAATTCTCTCGCAATAAGTTGCGGTAAAGCGCATATCGGTAGTGTAAAAGCGAATGTGATTTTTGTGCTTTAATTAAGCAACAGCACCAACTTTGTGCACTGGATCACGGGAAAAATGCCGGTGAGATTTCGTTCGAAATGTTAATAAAAACGTAAGGTCCGTTAACACAAATCAAGCAACTGGTGATGCATAGCAGCATAATTTAAGAGGACATTTGCTACCGGGATGAACACATTATCCATCAAGTGACTACTCCCAGCGATGCCACAAATACACACAATCGAGACTGGAGAGAGTCCTTGACAGTCCAAAACATATGGCAAAATACGGTGAACGAATTAGTAGTTTTTGGCTACATCTTCGGAAAACTCAGATGAAATACTGGGATATTAAGTCTGATTTGCTGCAACCTCAAGCGTAATCACTGCAGATCCAAAACGGGTCCAAGTGCAGTTAATACGGCGGTCTTTTGCAACGCTGTCTGGTAACCCATATATCGCAAGAACGAATCGCATCGACGGATCCGATGAGCATTTTCATTGCTTATATTGCTGTTTTTTCGGATGCGTATATACGCCAGTCATATCCAAACCAGAACCCGGCTTCCGTCGACTGAGAAAACTAAGACCGTTCGATTCGATTCTCACTCCGTTAATATAATCCGCCAGACTTGAGATCCATCGGGGCCTAAGACTTTACTATAAGCCTTTCTCCAATGAAGATTCATGGCACAGATTGGAGGCGCAAGATGTTCAATAGGGTTTCAACCGGAAAGGCTTACAGCACAGGCTTTCCTTCGTTTACTCTAATTTTGGACTACTAATATTTAAACAGTGGCGCTATTACTGTACCAGTACGTAATATCTTTTTAACTGGTACGCACAAGGAACTTGTACTAACTTGTAAGATTTGTGAATCCACGCATACGAATGTCATGTACCGCATAGGCTATCTCGTCTGTGAAAGCCCCATTAACTGAACTGATAGTTGGGCTTAAATCGATGTTAATAATTAAATTGTCAGATATTTTAGTGTACATAATTTTTGACTACACTGATTAATACAAGTACCAAGCTTTATAAGAGGTTCGTCGTGCGCTAGCGCAGTAGTGTTCCGTATCTGTTTTATTATCCATTTAAGTACCACTTGGTATTATAACCGGTGACGATTCCACGTAAATTTAAATTGCTTATTAGTACACTTTGTTGTAATTGTAAGTCAACCAGATTGTATTAACAGTTCCCCTATTCGTATTTGTAAAGGCTAAACTATAACTTGTCGAATTATGTGATAGCAAAACAAAACGTTTTCCTATTTCGCGTAGTACTCGTATAAAGCTACAAGACATTTAACAGGATTAACACTACTGCAGCGTTAGTAAGCAGACAAAGGCGTCTCTACATCTGTTTCGGACAGCTTTAATACGACTTATTCCGTAGAATCAACTTAAGGAAAGCATTGCCACTAACAAGTAAAGAACCGGACATTTTACCAGGATTTAATTTAAGTTATCAAAAGTTCTTCTTTGGTTTTTATAAAACAATATTAGTGCGTATCCGATTGTCGCTAAGTGAGTAGTACATGCTCATATTCTGTACAAAGGTCACGGTTGTGAAAAGCCATAAATTACCAGACCAAGGAAAAATTTCACAAACTTGAGCTGCCACGTTAAAAATTTCGTGGTAAAAACCGCAGATGGGTAGATGGTGTTTGTAATTAATACAGGCATGAACACTTCGTAGGCTTCCTACAGATATGTGAAGCAATGAGGCTACCGGTTGCGATTTAATGAAAATGATATGCTGCTAAACATTGTCCAAATTTTTGTTCAAGATCTAGATACTGTACCGTATTCTATACGACGTCACGGGACCCTTTGGTCATATATTTTATTCCAATAGCAGTTCGAGGACTAGGGTAGCACGGGTATTTAACGCATTAACTTTGCCTGCGTAGGATTACTTGACCTTCTACAAATGTATTTTCAGAGTATTTTCACAATCGCTGTCCTCAGTATTCTGTTATTTAATATTTTCTTGAAATTACTGTAAAGTGCATCGCTCTTTTGTTAAACGTACCGTGACAAAATAACAAATACATGGCCATATGGGAAAATGATGATTGTATCGAAACCCGCGCAGTTAATTCTGAACGCATAAACTACGGCCCGAAATCCATATACGAGTACAAGTCCATGCGTTATAATAATTTCGGTAATATACTACGGTTTACGAAATTTTTTTGCCGTTCGATAATATTACATAGGTATCTGTTTGTAATGATAATGGGGCATGAAAATTTTTCGTATAAAAAAAACAGCATGACAAAGAACAAGAAATGCATATGTATGGGAGATTTGGCAATGCATACATATAAAATACGAATTACGCACTGATTAATTCGCATATCCTCAAATGCAGTCTTAAAAGTTTTGTTTGCAAAGCTTTTAACGAATTACTAGCGCAAAAAATGGGTAAAATGTAGTGGTGTGTTACTATTCTTCACATCTTTATTATCATATAATTGCAAGGAATACTTCCACGTTTACAATTAAATTAAAAAATCGCGACTTCCAGATTCAAACTAACTATCTCGAAATCCCCTTTAGTGCCATGTAAAATGATTGTACAGCAATTACAGATCGGGTACATCGATATCTGTACACCTTTGCTCAATTGTGTGCAATTTTGAAATTCTGGTTCCATACGTTAGTTACGCACTCTGAATAGCGTCATAATTATTTGATTGATATATCCATTAGGTTTCATCCAGTCTAGTAATAGTTTTAATGGTCAATCGTTTGGGAACCTGGAAGTGGAAACACGGCCATTGCAAAGTCTTGTACGGGTATATCGTGGCTATCGGTTGTAAGTGTTATTCGCATTCCTTTTCCTGGAATGTCAAATTCCCGTGCGTACTACACCTAATAATTATACTGTATGTCTACGAGCAACTTATAGGGTTAATCGTCATGCTACAAGCTGCAACAAATCATGGAAGCTGTATCACAATAATCCGACACAAACGTAAATTTAAAAACTCACATCCGAATCTTGGAAAACAACATTAATCGATACCTTTTGTAACATGTCTATAAATACCGTACACGTGCATGCATACGATGACCAGGTATAAGTAGGCAACTGAAGCCGGCTATTTTGCGAGATTCTCAAGATCGGATTTTCCGATCTTGCGAACTTGCTTCAGTTATTTTAGTACAGTAACAATCCATAGTACTATACTTAGTTACTTACCCATGCAGCTTGTACGTGCTACATATTGTTTGTTTCATCTACAACAATTGCAATTTTCGGCATTTCCAATAAACTAGTTAATTTAACAATATAAAGTCGTTTATGTAACAGTATTACGAATAACGTTCTAGTCTTTGGCATTTTGGCATTTTATTTTCGATTGTCTCGCGTTTGGAGTGGAAGGATCAATTTCGGTACATACATTCACTCATGCCGACACGTTTTTGATTGGACTGGTTCTTGTGGTTCGCTCGAGCGCGCGCAGTTCACGAACGCGTACTATTACGAAAGCGGGGCTTGACTTTCATTTACTATGGAAGTACCGAGTTTACTCAAATAGTAATCGCTTTTCGATAGCCATCTCTCTCGCTGGAGCAGTACTGCCGTGTGGTCACCAGCGTACCCGTCGCCAGCTGGGACTTCGCTTGGATATCGAGTTTTAGCGGGTTGCCCTGCAGCGGGCGGTATGTACGTGCAGTGGTGCACCGGGCTTGGGTTGCTGACAATGATGTGCGCATATTGACATATCATCGCTTACCGTTGTTTTCTCCAACTTTTTATTTTCCAGTTAAAAACGGTTACGTGCCGTTATGTTATACTTGTTATAAAACATCGGAAGTTAGTATAAAACGGCGGTGTTCATCGTTTTTCGCGAATTTTTCAATTTTGCTTCAAGCTGAGTGGCGCACCGCTACCGTCGAATCTTTTTTCTCAGCATTCCCTAGCCTTGTGGGAACCCAGAGTCTTCAGTTGCATCCCCGCCATCATTTACCGTGCGCGATACTATTGAAACGCTGGATGGTTGCTACTTGTTTTGCTTTTGCTTGCATCTAAATAGTTGCGATTGCGCATGCAAGCGCTGATTTATCGTCAGAGATCGTATCAAAAGTGTGACCTGGTCTACATATCATAGTAATATTATGTCCCGAATCGTACGTAGATTAGTAAGTCCTCATGCTTCGAATGCAGCATCTGGAACTTGTCCTTTCAAGCAATCTTCTTTTGGCGCCAATCACAACAAACATTCCACCAATTACTCAGCTGTGTACGCGGATTACAATGGCGATTCCCACGGCGAAATTGTTTCGGCAGATTCGGTAAGATTAATTTAGTATTTTATGTCTTATTGAGGTGCACAACGTAGCAAAAATTAATAGTCAGCAGTCAAGTGTTTAATGGCACAGATTGGCCCAGTTTCCGCATTATGATTTTGATCATTAATTCGACATAATACGATAATTGACGGTACCCTTCATATCGTGTGATTACTTACTTTGTGATGGAATTTATAAGCCAGCGAAGCATGTCTCAGTGAAATTAATCAGAGCAGATTTATGAATAAGTATACAACGAAAATCTCCTTGGTAATATCGCACCGCATTTCGAGCTGGAAAAGTACTACCTACGTAAACCCTGTCACTCATCGCGGTTTCGAGTCATTTTGAAAAAACAATGCCGCTGTCTATTTGCAGCTGACAAGGTGCTCGAATGAAATACCGGGGCCCAAAGGTCTTCCTTTTGTGGGAACCCTATTCGCGTATATAAAGAAGAACGGATTCCGATTTAACAAATTGTTTGAGGTGAGTTGCGGTTTATTGCCAGTGCAGGAAATAACGAACATAAAAGATAATCGGCACTGAGCTTTATTAGTTCGTAACTTTTCAAACAATTTTAATTCAGAATTTTTATAAGATGTAAAATAAACGGCTACAGCTTCACCTTGGAGTTTCTTGCGGTCTACGGTTTTCAGCAATACTGCAATAGCCAGTTACCGTATCTGTAATGAATTTTTATAGCAGTCCGAGTCCGGATGGCATTAAACACCAACCAGTAAACTTACGTTAATAAAATTATTGTTCCATTTTATTTAGGCTCACGTTCACCGATTTAACCAGTACGGCCCGTTTTTCCGTGAGAAGATTGTCGGGCGAACATTTAATGTACTGCGCGATTTACGCGAATGGAGAACAAAAGTGATTCAAGAAGAGCCCAAATGCCCGCGGAGAGTAGTGCTGGAGCCAATGGTTCGTTATCGGAAAATGCGGAATCTGAGTCAAGGCCTGGTTAATTCGTAAGTTTTAGTAGCACGTTAATTACTGATGCAAGATTGATTATGGCTTGGTGCTAATAACCACGCTTGCTGTAAGAAATTGTGTTCATATACCGCTGTTTACAATATAACCGCCTAGTACCGTTGCACACACATTATGACGACAGTAAAAACGTTGCAAAAATTTGATTCTGTATTAGTATGGTGAATAATTAACGAGATAAGGAAGACCGTGACCGAAAAGTCTGTTATTAATTTAGTTGCACTGAGTTTCTTTGAAAATTTAATTACATTCCGCTGCGTAAAAGAAAGAATTTTGTTGTGCGAATATTTCAGTGTTTGTCTCGTGCTTAAATAATTGCAGTACACTATGTGACTTTAAAAATGCGCACAGGAACGTATCATATGATTGAGATTTCGCGGAATATTTTTAAGAAATAACATGGACAAAAAGCGCTGAAGTGCATGACAGGTCACATTGTTAGTTATGCAGCAAAATGGCTAGAGTGCATCACGTCACTCGTACATGTGTTTACGAATATTACTCGGTGTACAATTGCAAAATTTTCTTATTTTAATTTGGCAAATTGCAGGCAAGGGGAGGAATGGTTCAAATTCAGATCAACATTTGACAAAAAGCTGCTTGCTCCTAAGGAGATTGAGTGTCATTTTGAACCATTGTCGGCAGTCGCAGATGACTTTATTGCACACCTGCAACATCTTGCCGACACGCAGACCAACACGGTGTATAACATCGAAAAAGAAGTATTCAAGTGGTCACTAGAATGTAAGTTAATTAACAACCTATGGTGCAAACAATATGGATGGACAGTACAGTATAATGTAATACAGAAGCACTCACACTTGCATTTTTCTAATTACTGTTTTTCTTCTTAATAGCGATTTGTGCAGTATTATTCAGCAGCCGACTTGGTTGTTTTCAAAGTCCGCCTTCGGAAAAATCCGAATATTTCATCACAAACTGTCGGAAATTTTTCACCAATCTACAGCAACTCATGTACGAACCACCGTACAAGAAATGGATGTCCAGTAAAACGTGGGATGATTTTGTGGAATGCTCGGATAATCTGTTGCGCCAAGGGATGGAGATGGTAGAATCAGTACCGAAGGATTCGCTGGCCGGTTATTTTTTGCTCAATTCGCACTTGCGAAAGGACGAAGTTGCCTTAACCGTGATTGATCTAATTATTGGCGCAATGGAAACAGTAAGCCTTCGTACTTCGTATCACAGATACATGCTATACATATTTAATGTACCCGTGTATATATTTTCTAGCACACGATAGCATAAGTGTATTAATGTGACAATGCATCATTGTGAACGATAAGTCAGTTTTTCAATGGTGTGAGCAATTGGGCTGCCCAAGTGTGAAATCGGCAACGGCGCTGTAGGTTTTGGTTTACCTGTGCGACTGTGCAGCAGCATAATCCAGTGCAGACTTCGATAAACATTAGCTCGCATGGACTGACAGTGAGCACTCAGCAAATGTTTGCAGCAAAAACCAATTTTAAAATTCTTTTTCCTCCTCACTCACGATTCGAACTATGTCACGGTCGTTTAGGGCTCGAGCGAACCATGTTACATAACGCTTGAAGTCAAAAAACACCGAACAACTAGGATTCAGTGCAGGAATAATAAGCCCTCTGTCAGATTACACTCTCGCAGATGATTGTTCACATCCGTTTCGAAACTGTTAGCAATTATCCAGAGGACAGCTGCTCAGGGCCTTGCAGATCGCCACCGTGTGATTAAGTATTTGTTTGGTTTTGGGCGTATGACCTCTGTGCCCGACGCACTATGAATTTAAGCTCGTACAAGTACTTACGTATTCTGAATTTCCAGTATTATAACTGGGGGTTTGTATACCCGCACTGTCCGGCCTTCCATAGTATTCCCGCCATTTTGTTACGGCACATTAGCACATTATGATGTAGTCTTTTGCACGTTTCGGTGAGATATGGTCGGGTGTAAGTCTTCGATATCAGAACCTGCTTTTAAACATATTTCGTAGTGTGCCCAAAATAATTGCATCGTTTTAAGAAAACGGGCGTTGCCGTCAACGGGGCTGCACCCAGTATCTGGACCACTAAATTTTTGTAATAAATTACGTTGTTCATCCTACCTTAATTGCGGTGGTTTGGCTGTTTGTCTATATTGTACTTGTACTGCGTATGACTAATAATTTTCCTGTCCGATTAGCCACTGCCAGTTATTATGAGAATCATCCGTGCAGTTTATTCTTTGGCAACCAGTTCAGAAGTTTTTCTTAGTGTTTTGCCGGAATTTCTGCAGAAGATTGATTTCTTTCCGCAAGTACGATTATTACCGCCATCATAAAAAGTTCCTTCTAGCGATCAGCAATTATTGTTGTGATTCATCACACCACTTTTTACTCTTATGTATATTATTATAGTTTTGATGCTTGCCAATGTCTTTATTAATATTTGTGGAAAACATCCGTATTCACGCACACATTTGTGAAAGTACTTTTTCCGTTTTTGGTCCTATACTTATACATGCAGCAATCGTTGGCTTCGAAATTCTTATGCTTTCTAAACTATAAATGGTTTGCTGCATATTATAAATTGTATTCTCTAACGACCACCAAATACTGAAGCATTTTGCGTACATATGAAGGCAATAAACTGGAGGTGTCGTGACACAGTTCAGTTCATTTTTTAATGTGTTGGTTAGTGTTGTGGTTGAATTATGTAAGAATAATCCCAAAGGTTTCTCACAAACCGCAGAAGGTTAGCAAAGCTTTCAGTTTTCTTTCGCACGGCATGTCTCGTGAATTTATCCGAATGAAAAAGTATGAGGGTCAAGCATGCCTGCGTAAACTCGTATTATCTGGTTAACACGTAAACAGTTATTTGTTCCGGTATAAAGCTTGCCGGTCTGATATGTGTATCAATCACAGTAAACCGGTTTCTGTCAGCTTACATTTTTTCTTATGTAGGTCGCTTGTTATGTAATATTACGTAAGGGGCATTGACCTGCAGATGCGGTGTAGATCTTGGCAAATAAAACATTTATCTTCATTGAGGCGCATTAAATGCGGTTGATATTAGTTCGCAGCGATTGGTTAAGTACATAGATAAGTCTTTTGTACACACTGCGACTGTTTTGCAGACGACCAAGACAACAATATGGAACTTGTACTGTTTGGCTAAATGGCAAGCAGCGCAGGAACGCATCCACAAAGAAATTGTGGATTCCGTTGGTGCTCGCCGGTTGAAATTGGATGATCTTCGGGATCTGCCGCTTGTTAAAGCGTCCTTGAAAGAAACATTACGACTATACCCGGCTCCTTTTGTGATAAGTCGCATACTGCAAAATGATACGAATGTGCGCGGTTACCGAGTTCCTGCTGGTGTAAGTGTTGCCCACTTCGCTTTGTAATTACGTTTTAGTGTAACAACTCAAAAGCGCATATCTATATCTTATATGTTACTGTATATATACGTACATGACACAAGGTGTGCGTTCACAGGAAGAGGTGGTCATCAGTTTATGGGCAGTGGGACATGACGAAAGTGTGTTTCCCGATCACTTGAATTTCATCCCCGAACGCTGGGTACAAAAGGATTTGACTCCCTCGCAAAAAATGTACTGCAGTCTGCCGTTCGGACATGGACGACGCATGTGTATTGGTCGCCGTATAGCGGAAATGAAGATTTACATACTTTTGAGCAAGGTATGAAATATGGTTGGTGTTACGAAAAACGACTGACCGTGTCCAGCGCTCTGCTCTTAGATAGTTGAACCGCAGCAATCTGACTGTTTCAGGAAGAAAGAAATATAATTAAAATTTTAAATTGCATAAAATAGTAATTGTATAAACCGAAGAATATTGTATGGTGCGAACCTTTCCACTATTTTTTGTAGATAATGCATTTTTCTGTGGGCTTCTGCACTCTTGCATCAGTTTCAATGCTTTTTGCCTCTTGTTTTCTTTAATTAACACAAATGTGTTGTATATGTTTAGCTGATCGGTAAATGCAAACTGGAGTGTGCCAACGAGGAGCCGGTTCAACCCATCATCGAAATGACCTTGGCTCAAGATCGACCTGTTCACCTTCGTCTCCAGAAACGTATTCCCGAATTCAACGCGGCACTCCTAAGTCATACTCGCCAAAGTAATACAGATTTTAGTCGCAATATTTGTCCGTTTGGCACTCAAACTGGAAGTAGTACGGCTGTTTGCATATAGGTCAAGCAGTACTGTAAGAAATCGCTTATTCCGTAATGGCAATAATTTGTGTTCCTCGTGTACAACCGTCCAGTTTACCATGCTTTGTTTGACGCAATAATATAATTACTTCCAACTGCTTACCAGGAATCTCTGAACGAAATCTTATATTACCTGCGTTGCGCTAGTTCCCTTTCCATGCCATTCATATTTTTACCGTTTCACACTTTTTGGCTAGTTAATTAATAATTCGTTCATGTTACGAAAACGTAGTGCAACTGCGTTGCGCTTTGTTGTTTCATGTGTTGAAGATTTCGCTTCAGTATTGAAATTGTTATAAAATATAAATACCTGAATAACGATTGCAGTAAATGAACAAAAAAATGAATAAATAAATGCCTGATTAACTACTTATTGTTCACTATTGATTAACTACTTTTCTGATAAATAAGAATGTGTTTTGTCGCAGACATGTACCGATCCAGCGAATTACTTTTCGAAGTCAGCCTAATGTTGCGAGTTATAGCATCATTTATGCAATTATTCATGCAAAAATGTTCAGAAATGAACGCATTACTCCAACAAACAATTTGAAATTGCACTATCGGCCTATCTTATGAAGACATTTAACACCCCGTCGTGACCGCGACCGGAAAAATATGCACAAATATCAAAATGGAAAACTTCGAAACGCTAACACATAAAACAGGCATCACAGAATTTGAAACCGAAAAGTTAATAAAAAGGTTTGATTAAAACCAAATTCACAAAAATTTAATTTTTTCCTATTTAATGTTGCAAAAACAATGCGTTGTGGCCTTTTCGTTAAAGATCGTGTAGGAAGTATCGTCAGCCTGTCCAGCACAAAACCGATCAGCAGGCAAAAGGATCCGCATCAGTGAGATGGATTCAAATTTAGCCTGGCAGTCAAATTTCCCCTCAACACACCTGGCAAAGCAATAACCAAAACTGCTACAAAATTTATTAATTTTATCGTAAAGCATATTGTTATGGGTTGCTGTAGTTATGTATAGAATCTGCAGATACCTCTTACTTCCGTACAGTGTGGTTGCATTACAGTGGTCAACGAATACAGATCAAAGCATCGAAGTACACTAGCATAAGGTTTGTTAGCAACATTAATAAATTATGACAGAGGGATATAATGTTTTACTGCGTGTGTTGCACAATACCAAGTCAATACTATTAAAGACAAAGACAATACCAGTAATCGTGTAATCACATTTGAAATTGTGAGGTGCGCTATCGAGAGTTCCTCTACCACAAGGCTGCAGTTGACGCCTTTTATATTATATAATGGTACCGTAGACAGCAATTTAATCCATAAAAAATTACCAGAATTGTGGTTTACCTGCTTGAGCAATTTCCTGTTAACATCCACTCCGGGAAGACCATGTTGTCCATTTTAACCCAGTGGCTGAGAAGCGTACACCCATGAGATTCTGACTTCGATGTCGCTGGACGCTTGTCACCAAGTCCTACCGTGTAAGGATTGTCGCCGAAAAAAACTAAATCATTGTCTTGAGTCATCTTTAAGGTTGATTTCGCAAAATTGTGAATAAACTTTCTGCAGTCCGCTCTTTCGGATATCTGGCCTGCTGGAAGCGATCCGCTCCGAAGGAGTAGAACCATGTAGACGCAAATAAGCCGGAACAATCGGTGAGGCAAACTCCGCAGCATCACGCAACTGCATGGATTGCTGCTAGGAAAACCCTTGGTGTGGCCAGATAGTACAAAATCATACTGATTAAGGAAACAAACAAAATCAAGGTAGGCCGTTCTAAAGTAAAATACCCTTCTGCTGGCTGACTGTTAGAATGGAGAAAACACGAAAGTCAAGCTCATCAAAATAACATCAACAAGTGCCGTGATTAAGGGTCCAAGGATGCCCCAAGTTTCAACAAAGTGAAACAATCCATATCTTCAGTTTTTGGCTTTGCCTACAGTGGATCCCTATAGCAGAGGTCCAGTGATCAACAAAGGGGGTAGAAGTTTAGAACAGGGCCTCGATATGAACTAAAAGTTTGCATTCGTATGCGTCCGTATAGGCGGTATAGCTGTCCCAAATCCGCCCACGTCCACTCGTCGTCCAGACACCATAAATGCCGTAAGCGCGTACGCTCCGTTTCCTATGTGTTTCGTTTCCATTTTAATTTTGTTATGGCATCAGTAATGCAGACCGCTTAGGACATAGAAAAGAAAAAGATACGGTACGAAAAGCATTGCAATTATGCACACAAGTGCGGCGGAAGTGTCTGTACAGTCGATTGTAACGATAAACGATCGTATAAACTATTGTAACCTGATACGATTTTGTAGTAAGTTCTAATAATTAGTTATGGCTACTTCTAACACGCCATAAATTTCAATCTACATACGAGTGCGCTTGCGATATTCAGGTAGCTTTCCGATTTGGCATAATCTTAAAGGCGTTAACGCCTTTAATTGGTTAACGTTAACCTTTGAATGGAATATTAAACTTCATAATTATGGCAGTATCAATTTGACTAACATACTGCCTACTATATCTGAACTTTAAAGCGCTTAAAACCACGAAAACATTGTTTTGGAAAGGTGTAATTAAACTGTCATTTTTGCTAAGTACGTATTTATTATCGGTCCCAAACTAGCAGCATAACGAAATTGAGGAAGCAACACGACAGACTGCCATGCAAGCTGCCAACCGGCATTACAAAAGAAATGAGTGTTCCAATTCTAAATATGTATAGAGCGTCATGCAAATGCTGATACGCACAATAGGAACTGGAATTTCAATGAGCTGCGAGATCCTATCTGTAAAGGAATTTGCTTGACAGCGTTGTCGTACTTGGCCATGGATCAATACCGAGCCGGGATTGAAATTATCCCGTATTTGTGACGCAGACATCCATCCGTGTACACTGTTGTCCCTCCGCTGACACAGCCAGCTGGTGACGTATGAGCTCACGCATACGCCGCCTGTGTTGGCTTTGATAAGAATTTGTATGCAGCACTTGGGAGACAGGGAAGAGACCGCTGCGTCCCTGCAGAACGGCAAACATAATCGAGCAATACGCTGGTGCGCGTTGTGCAGCGCCAGCGACATAGTAGTCAGCGCATGTACCGGACCTGATCCCATTTTATATCTACGTGTGATGTAATGATTTGCATTTCCTCTTCCAAGCCCATGCATATCTTCCACCGCTGTGCATTTGGATACACTTTTATTAACTCGGCACCAGCCATTTGTGAAAACACTCCATGTAATTTACCTTGTGTGCCGTCTACGGAAATTTAATTCACTTTACAGAATGGAACCATGCGGAAAATCATGTTGCACGGTTAAGGGAAACATTAGCAATCCATAACGGCGAAATCAACGGCAGCGACTGTTCCTGTGTCCTCTACGATTGCCGATTACACCGCTAACGAAGTTGTGATAATTTTTTATTCTGCGCACCGGGTTGCTGTACCACCGTCACGGATATACGCAATTCCCTGAAAATGTTTGAATACTTTTCATCTGGAAGAATGGCAGTATCTGGATAATTGATCCAGACTGTTAGTCAGTGTGTGCCGATTATACCGCAAATATGATTTGGAGCTAAAATATGTCCTTATTGTGTGTGACTGGTGAGTGATTGTAGGATTTAAGCTGCAGTGTCTCAAATAATCATCAGCGAATAAGTTTCGGAACCCAGGAAACTGTCTGATCGGTACAGTGAAATCGATTATCAAGAACCTTAAAGTGGAGACCAATACATTGACAAGTACTGCTGAAATCCATTTATTGTGAGCAAGCTCTCTGAGAAGTGCATCTGCAATCGGGGGGAGCATGCCATAGCTGATCACACGCTGCTGCATGTAGCAGTCAGTCAGTTGGCCACCGATATATCCAGAATAATTAACTTTCTGGAGCGAGTAGGTGCTGTCAGTTGGAGTGTATTTTGTCTGTTTTACTCTGCTATCAGATTCTCAGCAGGCCCATTTCGAACGATAGCCGCGTGCGAAAAGCGTCCGTAGCGAGATTCCCATAGTGGTTCGGAACAGTTTTTCTCCGAGTTTACGCCGAGGACAAATAGAGGAAGTACAAATTATACGGACTGACACGCAAAGGTCGAGTGAAGTCCACCTGAAATGGATGTGGCGGGACGGGAAATAATAGGCAATAATTGTTAACCGACCGGTTATCCAAGTCTTTCGCACGAATGATCATGATCATCGTTGTTTTTGTTAATCACATATTACAGTGATTAATATTCTAATATAGTGTGGTATAACTGACGCATTTAAAACGCCTGGAGGTTTTCTAGTTTGAGGTCATTAATTGTTCAACAGATGACGCTTCTTATGCCTATGATTTTCGGCCACCACACACGGCAAAATAATCTAAGCTAAACCTTTGTTATAAGCCACCTTCTAACTGGTAAAGTGACGTATACAGATGTATATTGTTACACCACAATCATGTATAATATCGTATCGTCAGAATAAGTACAGAAGCCTCAAAATTGGCGAAATCGAGCGTATTTAAATTGCAGTTCCATTATGCGCAAGTACTTGTGGTTTAATTAATATTAACCGTTCGTACGCGAGAATTACTTTTATCTTCATTATTTATTTCGCGGTTTACTGGTACTCTGTCGCGAAGACGGCACATTTGCGCACGCGCATATTGTCCCTATAGTGGACCCTCATCTCGTATTGTATTTTGCAATGTAAAACTAAAAGTGAAATGTTACAGTGGAGCGTAACGAATCTCAAATTTTCGGTAACCATGTGCAGCATATATTGTTCAGTTATAGCATTTTTCATACTATACTGTCATACCAATCATTACTTAATTGCGCGTTTCTTTTATTCCAGTAAAAAGAGGCAGACTCAACGGACCTCCAGGTAATTAAAGAAGGAGGATGATTGATAAATCTAGCAAACGAAAACTGCTTTAAGATACTTGCATTGGTATGTCGCAAATGTTTTCAGATCGCTTCAACAGTTACGTTACCGTAAAGCTCGAAAATGTGAAGAGCACGACAAATCCTGTGAAAGGATCACAACCATGCTGGGAACAAGAATTTATCTTGTAAGTATGATCCACTTATTTTACCTTTTGTAATTATTTATTGAATGCACAGTGCAGTTAGATATACTTGAAGCTTTAATCGTCTGATCTTAGCTACTGCGACAGAACGATCTATTCGTTAAATGGCATTGAAGTGCTCCACTGACGCCTTTGTACCGACGTTAATATACAAATGTCCGTTTTATGCGAAAATACAACTTTAAGACATATCTGATGAATTTTACAAAACTGCAGTAGTATTGTTTACGCAGCACGATGACAAGATCTTTTCAAAAAAAAGAGTGCTTTGATATCAATGCTGTTGCTTACGTTTGCCGGTGTGCTACAATGTTCAGTAATTTTTGCGCCAATTCAACCTAATAAATTTCGTAAGTTTGATACAATGTATTTGTACCCTGCTTGAAAAGCTGTATTCCGAGCTACGAAATAAGCTATCGCTGTTTATTGTCCTGTTGATGGTCTTGAAAAGGTAACTCTTTTCTAAGGGAATAACTTCCCAGTCCTTTGGACAGTCCAGTTCGTTCTGTTCCTGTCTAATCCTTTTCGTAAAAAATTATGTGGCAAGAAAATGTTCTGCGGAATTAGGCAGTGAATTTTAATTTGCAGTAACCCTTTATCGGAATGCAAATCCGGTGCGTGCATTTCAGCACCACAAGTTAGCAGTGTGAACTTATAAAATTTTGCCGTTGCAATCAGAACCGTGGTGTGGTACTGTTTGAAGTGTTAAAAAATGTAAGCAGTCGAATCGAATTGGTATTGAATCGCCACAAATTTTGCTATTGAATAATCAGCATTAACGAAGGTTTTTATGCCCATTATTTTAAAGGGCACTTTACCTGCCGACTATCGTGGTATTAATAGACTAACGATAACTTGCAAGCCTGCCTAAATTACCAACGGGTACTGCAGCATTACTTTACTTGTTAAATCAAATAAAATTTCAGCCAACGCCGAAAAGAGCTTAATAGCGTTAGTTGCAAATTGCAACTCGTAATTATGATCGGTGATACTTAATAACTTGGAATATTTAGAATTCTCCATGAAGCAGTGGTTACAGGAAAATGCCCTGTAATTGCGAGAAGTGGTTAGTGTTTTAATTGTTTACTAGCCGCGATTTCTTATTGCGTATATTAATTCACCGGGCGATTTTTTGTTAAGGATACGCGATGTATGAGTCTGACTATTAACACTGAAACAGAAATCGAAGGTTACTTGACTTTTGCGATTTCCCAATAATTATTACGGGTAGATAATCGATTCAAATACTTAATTTTTGGAACTGTATCGGGTAACTAAAATGCAGTCTGTACATGTGCATGACACATTATTTTGTCATGCGTTTCTTTGTTTACAGCACCAGTACAGTAGTAACACTAGCAGGGAAGATACAATATGCGGACTACAGTATTGTATTGTACTTCGTATATTATGTGTTACCTACTATACAATGTTGTCACAGTGCTATGTGGATATCATATTGGTACCAGTATCTGTATAATCTTGCCCACACCGGTATACTGTATCCCATTTATGTTTTAATTGTGTCTGCAGTCCGGAAAAACTCTAGTGTGGCTATGGACATCTTGAAAAATTTATAATCCCCGTCGTAGATTTACTACAATAGTCAATTTGAAAGCTTCGTGCTGCAGATTTTGCATAGTTTTCTACAGGAAGTTTTCAAAGATCCTTTTAGAACACAGACAGTCTGTTTTTAAATATTTGAGCAATGGCTAAGCCGCTTCTTCATCCCTGATGGTTTAGCTACCTGTTTTGTGTAACAGCAAAATTTTACGTGTAAAATTATGGTCAAATAAATGTACCGGTACATGTTCCATTTATTTGTGTCGAAGATGACTATTTTTATGATAAAATAATGACTATTTATTAAAAATTGAAAGTTTCCGTCCTTCGAATCCACTTGATTCTGGATGCTTTGTAAAGGAATAGAAATTTGGAACGTGACTAGAATAATGCAACTTTCCAGTGTTTGCTAAGCTTGCTCTTTTTTGCGCGGGCCTGCGTTTTATTTCCTTAACAGCGTATGCGGGGCATTTCATGTTACGTTTTACAGAACTGTTACAAATCCTGGATCCGACATTCCTTAAAACTGACACTATGAACATTTTCATACTTCCGATATTTGTACACAGTATTGTACTCCGCAGTGTATAATAGAGGATAGTTGGCGTATGACGGTTCCAGAACCATTACAGCTCTTCGTAAGCCGATTGCAAAGTCAGTTATAATTATTAGTTTAGTATTATGTTGTCTTTATGGTTTCGGAACGTTTCGGTGCAAGTATTGTACATTAGCTTTCGGTAGCATCTTTTCTAACAATAAGGTAGGTTCTAATGAAGCTGTGAAATTTTCGTTGCACTCGTATGAATACATGTATGTTGTCGTACTTTGGCGGTATTAAATGTGTTGTGATTGTGTTTCAACAGCTGCAACTAATATCGCCCAGTCTTTATTGCCGCCTGTATAGGATACAATACATGTAGCGCATGAAGTAAAGGTTATCGGAACAAATCCGTACATTTACCGCCTCTTGGATTCGTACCATAAAATTTGATGTTGCTTACAATTTGAAATTGTGGTGCTGAATTTAAGTCTCATGGGTATCATATTTTAAAGGCGAGTGAAACTTTAATGTTTTAAATGTTTATTCGAAATTGCTCTACTCCCACATTAATATGATTTTAAGATTTTTAAAGTCAAGCTGTTGTATACTTAACACATATCACGATTCACGTAGACGACCATCTTGTAATTTATATCGTAGTATTTTGCACTTGTGCAGTCGTACGTACGTTACGTATACATATCGGCAGTCATAAGGAAATAAGGCTCAGCTTGAGCGGTGTTTGAAAAAATTATTATGGTTCAGGTTCTGCTGTCCTTTTTTAAATTAATACTGTTGACTTTATTGATAGCGAAACCAACCGCCTCGACACCGGAGTGGTATTCGAGTTATGGAACAAGGGAATGCTCTGGGACAAACTGATTGGAACATTTTGGCTACCGTTGTTAAATATTCCTCATTCTAATGCGGAAGGCCCAGGCAAATGGATATTTCTTGATGCCGAATTTAATTTACGGAATGGAGAAGTTGTTGGTACCCACATTCCTACAGGTCACAGCCTCAACATCGACGCTCGCTTTGAGCTACCAGGAGGTATGCGCCGGAATTTATTGTACTTGCCTTTTTCTCGTGTTGAGATGTTGCTGCTTGTTGACACAGAAATCATTATGCATTATAAAGAATGCTGGAATATTTTTTATATAAAATTAATTGTAATTTTTTTTGTAATTTTGGTATTCCCCACGTGCTCACCGTACTTTTTAACTTTCGCAATCCACTATAAAATTTGTGGTTGTGAAAATAGTCTTATGTATCTCCAATAGTATTAAATTTTGCCGGGCCGATGCGTTTGATTAAGTGTGGTAGCGGATTCTTTCTGCAAGAACAAATTATTATATTTGTGACACCACTTCGTTTTAGTGTTACCTCTCACATTATTAAGGCAGTTGATTGCAAAAACTGTCTTTTTATTATCAATATTGCCATTTTCACCTCATATTTATCGGTTTTTAAAATTTATTTTGAACAAATTATCAGTTTAAAAAACTTATAAGTGCATGGCATATTTCTCGCTGAAAAATTGATGGTTTGACAGATCTTCAAGAAAATGAAGCCGCTGAACTGCAGAAAAAATTATCGGTGCTCAATTCCATTATGGACCAAGAACTGGCTACTCTGCATAAACAGCAACAGCACACGCAACGCCGGAGAGCATCGTATAACGTTATGCAAAATGGTAAGCCGCTGTAAATTGGTAGGAATATATTCGAGTCGAAATTCGAAATCGAAACGAAATCGAAACGAAACTTATTATGAATAAAATATATCATTTATTGGGTAAAAATTTGCACTAACCCTATGCAAGGTATCGGTGTACTCTTCGTTAGGTAAACTGCTGCGTGACCTGCGGCGATTAACGGAATATCAGTGAGACCGTTAGAAAGAATTAACTATAGTCTGTTGTGCAATTTTGAGTTAATAATTTAATAATGTGGTCTATACCCTGCAGTTGGGATAGCGGACCTACAGTTGGCCTGAAGCAGATTGCAAAGGGAATGATCGTTAGCTTTCCAACAGTAATGAGATCTGATTCATTAAGCATTGTAATTACTGACACAATGGCCGGACTGGCTCCCTATAGCGACATCCATTCGTTTCGCATCGCTGTTTAGTAAAATGTGATGGTTGCAAAAAGAAACCCAAGTCGTTCAAGAAATACGTAATGTAAGTGCGCTCATGACCATGATGTTTATTAGGCGTGTCCGAGGATTCGGATTACACCAGCGATGTCAACTACCCCGTGCAGCACCCCACCATCGCCTACCCAGCACAAATGCAGCACCAGTATTCGCCTTCCGTTCGCCGGCAGGATCGACCCCCTATGCAGAAGCAACGCTCAACCCTTTCGCCTTATTATGCCTCCATGGATAAGTCCGAAGCCAGCTTCGAGCTGCCAACGGAAGAGGGAAGCTTCGAAGTTCCCTATTCGCAGCAGTCGCAACATCGCGACATTCGGCCGCGTGACCCCTACGACGAACCGGAGCGCATTCCGCGGAGCAACAGTAACGCTTCGGAGCCCCTGTATTATAACAGCCGCCCGTCGCGAGACAGGTTGGTCAGCTCAAGCAATCGTCCGGCCAGGGAAAGTCCCAGTCAACCGCATCTTTCTTCTGTCTCCAGACTCAGGGCGAACTATGCGCGCAGGTATTGCACTGCAGTGTCTGAACTTTCAAAACTACATAGTGCATACGTAGCTGTTCAATTTGCAAGTTGGTTATTTAGTACATAAAAAATTCTGTTGCCCATGAGCTGGTGGACAAGGCTTTCGCTGCATGTTGCGAGTTTTCGAAATGAAATGCTTTATCGTTTTTCCTTCGAAATCTGACAAAATAAGGTCAGTTTTCTTTCTCTGAGATAAGCCTTCTATCAATGATAATTATGGAAATCATCTGGCGCAGTCTTTTGTGGCAGTGCAGTTGACGGTATAATTTTTCTTATTTTTACAGCAGAAGCCCCTCGCCGGATCCGGAACATTACCGATATCAAAATTCCGTCGATTACAGTGAATCGGCTTCCAATCGGGATTTCCGCACCGATGTCTATGGTGGATCCGTTGATTATCCTCTTGAGAATGGTGATTTCGACAGGTAAACCGAAAACATTACAACTTTTTGTGGAGAAAATAGCGTGTGTGTAGTGTGTACTACGTGATCAGACGAGTTGCTGAAACTGTCATTTTGCACACTGGTGTTCAATCAGTTGTGCCTACTACTGATACAATTATTCACGAAAAACCAGAAAGCACCTGAACAAGAAACCATTGACTATATCGTAGAAAACTTCTTACTGTTAATTTACATGGATACAATCATACAGGCACGACCATCATGAGCCTTCGGGTGACCGGTATTACGACGATTACAGCCCAGGAATGGAAGGATCGTTTCAGGACTACGAAGACGATAAACAACTACCACACCGCTACGATGAGCATGAGCAAGGTCACCTCGATGTTCTGGAAGATCACCGTCAAGACACTGTCTCGACAGGCCCTTCGTACCAGAGCTCCGGTGGAGAAAGATGACAAGAGACCAACAGCTCAGAGAATGGACACTGTTGAAACAAATTACTCTCAAGACCTGGATGCAGTGTACGTAGTGCTGTTGTATGCCGAAACTGATACGAGAATGCATGGGCAGCTTGATGTTATGGCGAATGTTACCCCTTTAGTAAAACAATTTGTCGGTATCTCAGAGTAGAGAATTTAAAAATGGATTTAAGAAAGCACCGCATTTTTCAACGTACTTACAGATGTATGTTATTCGTAAATGTACTGAACTAAGACCATGTATCAGGGACCAATGGAGTAAAGAGGGTAACCTCTCGGTTAGCCCTGGCCCCGAACAGCAGTATTTGGAAGAGATGGACCATTTTGATCAGAGCTTACCTGCTGATAATAGACAAGCTATTCTTCCGGTACAAAGCAAACCTGCCGCACAAGATATTCCGGAAAACAAAAAAGTTCCGCCGCTATCTCCACCGGCTATGATCGAAGAACAGCCAGTAATTACCGTATCAGAGGTCATCCAAGACGCACCTCTGCCACCACGCATTACCCGCGAACCTTCGCAAGAACAGAGGCTGGCCACAAAGCACAGGTGGCTCCTGGCTTATAACAAAGTTTGTGCTGAGTTGAATAAGGTAAGTTGTAATCTATTTGAACTGTAAATATATCGCGATGCAGCCGTGCGGTACTGAAGACGATAGGAAACATAATGACAGTAACAACACCGGTTAACTGCTGTAGAGCATGCTCAAAAGTATCAGTACGCATCACAAGCTGTGTTTGCTGTGTATAAGTGCTGATTAAATTGTAAAATGTATTGCTAATTACTCTTACATATTTCGTTGGTAGTTCATTATCAATAATTGTAGAGGGGAAATTTGATTACTGGGATGAGCAGTATTTAACTGACAGTTTTGTCGACTCTATACGGTGCACTTTTGCAAACTGACTGGGCATGAACATAGTTCAAGTAAAATAAGAATGCCTGTAAAATTTTACAATGGTAATTTGAACTCCACGGTTCTGTGATTATTATTACACTAACGCTAGACTTGATTAAAAATTTAAAATGTCAGTAAAATGTAACAGTGTCGTATTTAAAATGGCTTAGTTCAAATGCCATACGGACAAAATATCAGAATGATCTCGAGTAAAGTATCTACAATTTTGCATAAAACATCCTTATTTAAGATAAACCACAAGAGGTTCCGGATAAGATAATGAATCAAGCCGGACGTAACCGTAATTCTTTTTTTTAATTTCCGGGGATGGTTCAGTCATTCTGTCCTACGAAGCGTGTGTATGCTATATCATTCTGGTAAATCACACCTTTATCATGACCTTTTGGTGCTACATCGTAATAACAATTTCTTCGAGGAACAGTTGCAGGAATAGATCATGAGCATACTATCCTCCCAGTAAATGTAGTTATCAAGACGAGTCTGCGACATACCAGTGGTGCTTTATAATCAGTCATTTGCAATTTGTAAAGACGTAATGAGAAGTTGTCTTCATTTATCAAGTATTAAGGTCATACAGGTACGCGCTTGATGTTTGCATCCCAATCATGATTAATGCGCATTAATGTAAGTTTAGTTCACTCAATGCCTTGAACAACTGTAGGATGTAATTGTAGGTGGATAAAGCTACAATACGGTTATACATACGTATAGTAGGGTAGTGCATGGTGTCGTGTTATGTTTATCGCCTTCAGTGTTTGTTATTTTCATTCCATTATCGATCAGCGGAAGGGGATGTATTTAACAAATGGAGAATTTCAATTGTGGCATAAAATGCCGCGATGGCTGTTTGGGATATCAATACAAGTAACACTGAAGAAAGACTGCAGACTGTGACGATCACGTACATACATTGCTTTTTTATGCCGGGATGTGTTAGTAGTCAGCATTTCACAAGGAACACATCCCGTGGTATCCTGCCTGCATAGTCTCGTGTTAAATAGCCCTTCCTCTTCACATTCAGCATCCTTGTTGGCGGGAATAAGAGCGGTTTCATGGTTTGCTCTTCCATTAGCCAAGGCCGCATACACCGGGTGTTGTGTATGGAAAACGTTCCATATATAAGCTACAGCTAGGCGGCTGCACTGCATTTTCGGTACTCGGTGATGTAGATGATGGGAAGAAACAGGATAATTTGTGCTTCGTACACACACGTGGCGGGTACCGCGTATCCTTCCTAGTGGACGCCTTCTGGCGTTGCGCCTGTAAATTTATGGAGCATACTACTGGGATGATTGTACAGTCTGTGTATGTGCGGGCGCATGTTCCGCTTGCGTATACTACAGCGGCTTGATGAAGTAGCGGCTCTTATAGAATTGATTTGGACTTGGAAGCTTGTTTTATGTTAACCCAATGATGTGGGAGTTCATGAGTTGTGGAGTGCGCCTTCAGTGGCTGGTCTGTTAAATTGTCTGAACGAGCCATTTGAACTATGTTGTGTGTGTGGCGCGTCAGCGTGCAGCCAGGCTTACTTGATCACTTAGTTGTTAAATGGAATTTGACTTATTAGGTGATATGTGAACATTTACTGCTTGTCTCCAAAATTTTCCCTTCCTCCATGTTGCCGACAGGAATCGACAAACCCATCTCAATTCGTGTTCGACACTGTCGAATTATCTTGTCACATAAAATTAGCTCCTGTTTGGCACCTTCGGCGACTTAAGTATAATCAGAAGAAGCAGGCAGTTGGGGTCACGTTCTGTTGTCCAGAATCGTCCCGGTATTTGTGAAGTCGAAAATGCCAATGGGAAATCAACATATTTTTGTTGTGATAAATGGTCGCATGAACGGTGCTCGATCCGCATTCAGGTGTGAGGATTTTCGTGCCGCTAGCGGCATATGAAACTGATTCGGCATATTATTTATTTGTGATTGCAATACACCGCGTTTGTCTGGCAGCGAGATAGTCGAGGAAACATGATATATCTGTACGACGATTGAATGGTGTGAATTGATACAACAATGCCGCAGAAGGTTCTGCTGCGGTTAGAATGCGACTGCGTCGAAGCCTGCGCGTAGACTGTCAACCGCAATGGAGACACCACGTCGTCGTGGTGTCCGGCGGTCACTCCAAGACCAACAGGAGGATAAATACTCTCCTCCATCATCGCCCACGCTAGCCACGTTCCGTGCTGACTTTTTGGCGTTTTCGTCAATCATACGGAATGTAGCCAATTTGCTAACACCGAAACCGACCCGAAAACACGCACCGTCCTCGCATGCAGTGCAGCAGCCGATATTTCCTGCGCATCGCATTAAGCACTCCACCAGCCTGTGTAGCGTGCATCCCATCACGAAACAATCATCCAAATTTCATCGCTGCCGAAAACTGTGCGGCTGTGCGAGGAATGCGTATAAAAAACGAAAACATCGTCGGCACTCCGTTACCGGGGATGCCAATGTGTTCCACGAGGTTGTTTGGAATAATGAGCTCATTCGGACCAAAACAAAATACAATAAGTTTAGAAGTCGAGTGCAGAAGCTCAAGTTGGGGGTATGTATACTGTATGACAGTGGTAGCGCGTACAATGACCGTCTTGCAGGAGTTGTTTATTTCCTGTTAAGGTATTAATAGTTGATAGATCACATTTTTATAAAGAGCGCCTTGCAAAAAGTTCGATTTTTTTTGGTTGATGCAATTGATTATCTGTATCTTGGTAATCAGATTAGCAGGTGTGCTTTTATTGAATATGTGTGAGTGTATTGTTAGCTGTGGCATTCCGATGGAATCTCTTGTATCAGTTGTATGACACCGCAGTACCTGTACACAGCGAGCTGTCAGTGCGACGCTAAAAGATACTGTACAAACACAGTACGACGAACCGGGACAATTTAAATCACTTTTTCTGGGGATTTAATTGCTAGAGTCTGAATCCAGTTGCGTGGCGCTTTAAGTCTCAGCGTGCGGTATGTGTATTGCAGAACAACTTCGGACCAAATGACACCAGAAAGATGAACGGAGGGTACGTGTGGCTGTGAGCTGGCTGGCTTGCACAATATGCAGGCAGACGAGGATATTATTGCCGTTTGGCACTGTTGGGATGCTACAGCGGCGTCGTAATTAAGTTGATTACATACCTGTGCCTTGCAGGCTTCTTCCGGATTACAATCCCTTTTACAGCGGCATTGATTCCATGCCGGACATTCGTCCGCGCCGGAAATCAATCCCGCTTGTCAGTGAGCTGGTAAGTGTCGGGATGATGCACTTGAAATTTGTACCGAATGTGGCACCTGGTCTGTCTTGCTTCGTCCCTCCGTATATTTGTGCATAACTGTATAGTGTATACCATTGTAACAGTATAATATTGTCTACATAATATTGTATAATAATATGTGTACAACATATATGACGCGTTTTTTCCTTGAATCACCTCAACTCTCTCACACCTGCAATGTGCACTAACACCGCTTCCTTCTCTGCTTCTGCCTTGCATGATGACAGGTTTTGAAGGTACGTAGTCAATTATCTAATCGACAGCTACACATTTTCTGTGTTTAATGTGTGGGATTATTTTCGTCCTCTCATCTTATGCATTTTTCACCCAATCACGCGCAATTCTCCTTGTCGGCTTGCAGACGATGGCCGCGCAGAAGCGGAACGTTAATTTGGGCCCGATGGGTCCGGCTAACGACGAGGAACTCGTACGTAACTAATGTGACCCGACTAGCTAATTTATCCGTGTGACTGAGCATTGCGCCTGCCTGCTTAAATATAGAAACAGCACGTTTACAAGAAGGCCCTACAAGCGCTGATCTATCCCATATCTTCCACCACTCCGCACAGTTTCCATCCCTGGACGGCCACATCGCCGACGTACTGCTACGAATGCGAGGGCCTGCTGTGGGGGTTGGCGCGGCAGGGTGTGCGGTGTTCCGAGTGCGGTGTGAAATGTCACGAGAAGTGCAAGGATTTGCTCAATGCCGATTGTCTGCAGCGTATGTGCTGTGCCCGCTGTTGAAACAAAAATTTGTCCGCACAGTTGCACATCTGACTGTATCGGTATTTGCTCAAGGCCTTATTGGGAAGGATAAAACCGGAATGAGTGATCCCTATGTGACGGTGCAAGTGGGTAAAGTGAAGAAACGAACCAAGACCGTCTCACAAGAGCTCAATCCGCAATGGAACGAAAAGTTTTATTTGTAAGATTATTGGTGGGAGTGCTTCCCATCGGTGATTCGCCACCGGAAGCTGGTAAACATAATTTTTCCCTTCGAAATAGTGAATGCCACAATTCCTCGGATCGCATCAAAGTGCGGGTGTGGGATGAAGATAATGATCTCAAATCTAAACTGCGTCAACGGCTCACACGGGAATCGGATGATTTTCTTGGTCAAACTATCATTGAAGTGCGAACGTTAAGTGGCGAGATGGATGTATGGTATAACCTGGGTATGTACGGCAGTTAAACATCGCTTGTGGTTAGATATTCCGTGGTGAATGCCTGGCGTGAGGAGGGGCAGATAATACGTAAAGCACATTGTGGGAGGCGGATAACGCAAAATATTTGTATCGTATTTCTTTCTTCCCTAATTGATACAAAGTGATTTTTCGATAGAGCATACTTGATTTAGGCAATTAGATAGCGATCGAGCTTTTGATATCAAGCGTTAAGAACACTTTTACGTCAGTGACCGGTATCGCTTCCTAGTAAGTTAACGACGAAGTCAGGGAAATGTCCTTGTTCCTGCTGAGTGTAGTTAGCTCCACAGGTATCGCAAAATTCAAGCGCTAAGCAGGGCACGTTGTGTACAGACAGAGTATGAGCAAACAGAAATCCCATTCCGGAAAACAAGTTGAAACAATGCAAAAATGCAATATAACGTTCGTTATAGCGCGGTAGTTCCTATTTATTCATGGCCGACTGCGTCTGCTGCTTGCCGATTCATTGGTCTTAATCGGCTCCCAGTGGATTAAGCTTATAGCGTAATCCGTACTGTCAAATGAGTTCTCTTTCTACGAGAAAAATTTTCCTGTCGATAACCGTAAATGAAAATGCCAACAGTGGATATAGTTTTACGGCTCTTACCGCTTATTGATCCAAAGTGGAACCCAACTGTGTATGTATGTTACGCTTCCGACAAAGTATTACGTTTATGCGTAATTGCCTGTTCCACAACACTTACAGTCTTATGTTCAGGGGTACTTAACAGGCACGCTTTAATGGATGTTTTTGTTGGCTGACGTGTTACATGCATTGTAGAAAAACGTACGGATAAATCAGCTGTGTCTGGAGCCATCCGACTGCATATCAGCGTGGAGATCAAAGGCGAAGAAAAGGTCGCGCCTTACCACGTCCAGTATTCCTGTTTACACGAGGTATGCCGCTGTGACAGTGTCAACCACGAGCGCGCAGTCATTGATCATTCTGGCTGGCGCGTACATATGCGCCTATGTACCTAGCCCACTTTTCCCTCGTTTGCAGAACATCTTCAATTACCTTTGTGAGCAGCAACCTGGTAACGAGCCCCGGCTGCCGACAGCTAAGGGCGATGAAGCGTGGAAAGTTTATTTTGACGAAGCAGCACAGGAAATTGTTGATGAGTTTGCGATGCGATACGGCATTGAATCGATTTACCAGGCCATGACGTAAGGCTCTGACACTGCTGCTGCCCATTTGAATACGGTTAAGTAATAGACGTTCTTTTCTGTTGACATATCGATGCAGTCACTTTCAGTGCCTTTCCTGGCGATTTAACTGTCAAGGAGTCCCGGCTGTGATGAGTACACTTTTAGCCAATATCAACGCCTTCTACGCACATACCACAGCATCCTCCGCCGTATCGGCCAGCGATCGTTTTGCCGCGTCAAATTTCGGGGTACGGGATGACGGGCGTGTTTCTTATCTGTTCATACACGCAGCACGAGCATTCATGTTTCACATGTGTAACAACACACAACTTGACCTTCAAGCATCCATAAAGTTATATAACGCAGCTAAAATAATTTTCTGACGATTTCATCTTTACGCTCAACCTGTGTATATATGAAAAACCATTACAGTACTGCAGATTTTGATAGTATAATGAAGATATCTTTGCGTTTGCTATCAAACAGAAACGAAAGTCAGATCTAATTTGCAGAAAGAAAAATTTGTGAAGCTTTTGGATGGACTACATACGTCGCTTCGTTTGGAACTACAGATGTATAGGGTAATTATATAATATTTGTTAGTTTTGCTATTATGCATTCCCGGATGTCTTCAGTTTGATATTTAAGTTGCACAATATAACAGGCTATTCTTATACCAAATTATCGCAACTTTGATTTCTGCAGAACAACTTTTTGGCGTCCACACCGGCGCGACTCCAGGACTTAAAATCCACAGTCGACCTGTTGACCAGCATCACTTTCTTCAGAATGAAAGTAGGATTAATCGCCTAGCGCCTTCTTTTAATAATTTATTTGTTTATTTTTATCCGTTAAAGTTGTTTTCTAACTTCAGCATCCGTGAGCAAGGTATTTAGTAATTTATGTTTTCCTTGTTTACCCAGGTGCAAGAAGTTCCGAGTCCGCCGCGCGCCGCCACTGTTGTAAAGGAATGCGCGAAACATTGCCTCCTTAACACGTACAAGATGCTGTTTGACAACTGCAATTTAGTTTATCAGAAAGAGTATCAGCCCGATGGGACAGCTGGTGCCAGCGCAGAAGTGCCGGCTGAACATGAAGGTCCTACTTTGACAAGCTTAGCATTCTGGCACAACTTGATTGCAATTATCGTATCGGTCATCGAAGAGGATCAGAAAAGCTACGCGCCCGTACTTAATCAGTTAGTCTGGCGTTTCATTTCCCTTGGGTTATCAACAGACCGGTAATGATTTGAACTGGAATTTAGGTTTCCCCAAGAATTCAATATTGGTCAGCTGAGTGCTGCGGCCATGTGGAATTTCTTTGCTCTTGACATGAAAAATGCACTTGAAGGTATAGTGCAGTTGCACTCCAGCTTACCCTTATTTCGCTAAGTTCTTTGATAGTTTTGACGTGATGGCATTTTGAGTATTATTTATAACTGCCAGACAGATGAATTATTTGTCGTTCCTTCCGCATAATTATATTTAGAACAAACATAAATTTAGAAAACAAATATAGAAGTAGAAGTGTAAATATGAAGTTTTTTTTTGTTTAAGAAAAACTGAATTCCATGCGCCGCGACACAATGTTGGTTTGTTTTTAGAGCATGCAGTACATCGACTTTGCAAAAGCGCGGAATATATGAATTTGCATTTCAAGATCAAATGGCTGTACAACAAATACGTTGGCGACGTTCCGCCTTACAAAGACAGTGTTCCTGAATACCCTCAGTACGATGAAGGTTTCGGGTTGTCGATCGTAGTATAAGATTATGTTTTGTAGATGGTTTGAACCTTTCGTGATGCAATGGCTTGGGGAAAACGAAGACCTTTCGATGGAGTATCTGCGTAGCGCTTATGAACGCGACAAGAGAGACTTGGTAACCGTTATGAGATACGAAATTGATATGATTAATGTGTTTTACGTTGTGTATCTGTTTTCAGTTCCAACTTAGCTCCGAGCATGCTAACTTCAGCAGTTCGGTAGTCGATGTTTTCACCCAACTCAACCAATGTTTCGACGTGATTAAGAAGCTGGAGTGCCCGGATCCGGAAATCGTTAAGCATTATATGGCGCGCTTTGCGAAGGTAAACAGAGTTTCATCATTGTGCGGATGTGGAAATTAGGCAGTATTTCTCGATCATAAACCTTGTTATCTCTACTAATATGCAAACAGGAACAGGAAATTTTTTTATTAGAGTTAAACTGCGTTCTTGTGAGGGAAGCAGCTGCATGCGTTCGCCGGGTTGCATTTGATTTTGAACTTTTGGGGCTTCTACTGCTCTTCACGATTTATCTGTGCTTCACTTTGTCATATCAGTATCCGAATTACTTGCTCCGCTAAAAAAACAAAATACTTTGGTTTTAATGCGGGCATTTCTTTAAACATTTTTTCAGTGTCATTTCGCGTTCGCCTGTTAAGCGCTCATCGTGTCAAATGTTGTGTTTTCTTTTTCAGACAATCAATAAAGAATTGCTTACGTATGGTGACATCGTCAAGAAAGAATTTCCTCAGTTCATCGGCAATGATCGAATGGCCTGCACGGTTATGAACAACATTCAGCAACTGCGCGTCTTGTTGGAAAAAATGTACGAAGCAATGGGTGGGGACAAACTGGATGCGGAAGCGAGCGATATCCTTAAGGAGTTGCAAAATAAACTCCATCTCGTCCTGGATGATTTGGGTGGTATTTTCGCGCGCGGTCTGGAGCCTCGTGTGGCTAAGAGCGTTCAGGAATTATCCAAGCAGCTTGCCTCGGTTAAAGGGGATAAACAACAGGCATCAGGTGCCAGTTCACGAGTGACCGTGCAACAGGAAGCCGATGTCATCCTGCATCCTCTCTTGGAAGTCGTTGATAGCAGTCTGGGACAGTTCTTTGAAATGTGTGATAAGACCGTTTTGAAACGCTTGATGAAGGAGCTATGGAAGTTAACTATGCAAGGACTTGAAAAAATTGTAGTGTTACCACCATTAAGCGATTTCAAAAGTGTAAGTGACCAAAAATTACTTATGCAGCAACGTACATACAATGCAATGTGTAGCAATTGTATCGTTTTCATAGCGGTATAGTGCAGCTGCGGTTAGAAAGGTTTCGCTTAGACTTCTTCTTGGAAAAGATACATGTACTCGTACAGTATATTGTAAAATATATAATTGCGGAAATTGTTGATTTAATTTGTAATGGGAAAACGCTCAGGGGATCTGTACATGTTATGAATGATTTTATTGGGATTAGATCCTGCCTACAGCGAAAGTGGAAGACATGTCGCGGATGATTCTTAATCACGTGGCTACCAGCAAAGGCATTAATTTACCTGGAGTAGTTGAGCAGCTGTCTAAAGAAATGGAAAAGTCCCTGTCGCCGCGACAATGTGCCGTAGTCGATATTGCTTTGGATAAGATCAAAGATTTCTTCTACGCCGGTGGTCAAGGTTTAAAGCGGAGTTTCATGGAGAAGAGTCCCGAATTACAGTCGCTGCGATATGCTTTGTCCTTATACACGCAGACCACCGACAGTTTGATCAAGACCTTTATCAAGACCCAAACAACCCAGGATGCCCCCTGCCAAGAAGAAAACTTTGGGGAAGTCAATATCCAGGTCGATCTGTTTACGCATCCTGGTACCGGCGAACACAAAGTCACCGTCAAAGGTCTGCTTTTTTATTTCTAATTACACTGCTGTCATTTAATATTGCAAGCTAATTATTGATGGTTGCGTATTCTGCAGTGATATGCGCAAATGATCTCAAATGGCCGTCCACCGGTTTCCGACCGTTTGTTGAAGTGTGCATTGTGGGTCCGCATTTGGCCGATAAGAAGCGTAAATTCGCTACGAAATCGAAAACCAACACATGGGCGCCGAAATTTGCGGAGAGTTTCATTTTGTACGTAGCGCATGTTTATTAGAAAAATGCAGAGCCGTAGATGGTTGATTTGTCTAGATTTAAGCGTTTACCATTATCTGACAATGCAGTTAACATTTAGGGCTATAATAATTATTAATAGGTATGTGCAGCTAATTTTTATTTCGGGCGTATAGCAGTAGTAAGGCCTACGAATAAGCAAATGGTAGATCTCGCTTTTTGCCTCGAGTAGCTCATTTACATTGACACTCTGGTAGGTTTTCTATTTTTCGGTACATTCGATCACTTCCAGTCTTCTCCCAGAAGGTGCATGGTTTCTTTGCTTTAGTGTTCTGGGTAACGAAGATGAGCCGGACGCGTATGAACTGCACATCTCCGTAAAGATTACTGTTTCGCCCGTGACGACCGCTTAGTGGGCATGGCCGTGCTGCAGCTGAAAGACATCGTGGACAAAGGCAGCTGTACTTGCTGGTGTCCGTTGGCAAAACGCCTGCAGCTGAACGACACCGGCTGGACCATCTTGCGCATCCTGGCGCAGCGCAACAACGACGAAGTGGCCCGGGAGTTCGTTAAACTGAAGTCGGACACCCGCCAGGAAGCGGATGGCCCCGCGGGGCCCGGCCAGAATGCCCCGGCGCCCCAGGATGCCCAGGCGGCGCCGTCCAAGCCCAATCCGCAGCAGAAACCATCCGGCAAGAAATGAACGAAGACGACCCGATGCACTGCGTTGATGATGCAGGTTTTAGAGCTTCCGGTTTAGATCGTATCTTTCAGTATCCGTTGGTGGGGCATTCCGCTCTTTGTAGTTTTTGATTGATGCACTGTTTCGAGTCTGTTTTTGTCGAGTTTGTCGTCAGAGACGGATTCCAACTGGTCCGGTTGATTCCTTTCCTCCAAAAGTTTCCTATTTTTTATTATGTGAACAAAACTGTATTGTACAGAGTTCTTTTATGTGCCTTGCGGATCAGATTGGTTCCTATGAAAGTTGAGAAATAAAATTTTAAAAAAATTCTCCTGCGATCGATACACCCCGGAATGCAGTACGCCAATTTTGTGCTGTTTGTTATCTTGCTATTATTGACTGATCAATGAAACAAAGCCAATTTTGGGGCCAGCATAGAATTTCCCAGATGGTTTATAGGCAGTGCCAGTGCTGGTAGAATTAATTGACAACCGCCGGAAGGGCACTTTGGGATGCGCGGCAAAGTCGATAGTCACAGAACAGGCTTTGCGCGAGATTGTCCGATTCTGTAAAAATAACCCCGGAATATCAGTAGGAGAATAAATAATCGATTATCGACCCGGTCTGTATGCATTACGACTCTATTATGGAAGTGACAACTTTTAAAAAACGGTTGTGTTCAATGAAGCGTGCAAATTCTGTGGTTTATCCCTGTTGCACTGTAATTGACATAAAGTCAGTCCATTCTGGAGTCCGCACTGCTGAACTGCCGACGCGGGATCCACAAAGGGCAATGTATGGAGCGAAGTCAAATGAGAGAGCGCACTCAAGGTCATCAGCCTTCGCAATGGGCCACTGGCCAATAATCATCATTTGAAAGATAATGCTTTAATAGCATGCTTAAAAAGCAAGAGCCGACAAAAATAAATATTATGATTGATTTTTTTGATAAATAATACTGTACGTACTTGTAAAATAATTCGCGATGCGTACGACAGTTTCAACAGTTTTGTTGCTGATGTGGACGATACCGAAGTGATACAGCCCATGAAATCCTAACCAGCTCCCGTTAGGATTTGGAAAAGTTTCCGAATTGTGGCGTCCTGCGATTTGAGTTCGCTTGTTTACTACAGTATTGTAAAATGCTCACCGACCATACAAGCTGCGGTCTAGCTTCCTTCGGGATCTCTTGAACGAAACAGTGGCTGGCAAGATATAATACTCGTACAATACACCGTGGAAGTACTTACTTACATCATATTGCAAATGATAGGTACAACAGTTTTGTTGAGGGTTTATTAAACATGGTCCATGTATTAAGAATTTTTCCAGCAGATCCGGTAAATTGACCACGCCCAGCTACACCATCGGCTAATTGAGCAACGGACCAAACAAAACAATTTGTACTTATGCATTTTGCCATCGATCGAAGTTGACCGTGTGCGGTATCTAACTCTTTCCGTTTTGTCAGTTTCATGGACAGACACCAGAAGAATGGGAGAACGTACGATACGTCGGGAAGAATATTTGCCGTTAACTCGTCGGTGAATGGATCGTTTTATGATCCCATGAGAGTACTCCATTTGGCAATTCGTCCCGCAGTCAATCGGAATGCTTTGAGATTCTGGATATCTTCACTACGCCAGGACGGTTTTGTGGAGGCAAACCACTCAGCAGGATTTGACAAGAAACGACTGACGATCTGAGATTAGGTGATGATCAGCGAGTTTATCCCAGTTTATGTTTGTATTTTAACCATCACTTCCATCTGTGTTCATGGACCATCCGACACTTCCTGTTTCCCTGTCGTCCGTTCTCGGTAAGTTAACAAGTAAGGTTTAAGCTATCTGGCTGCATCTAAAGTTAAGCTCTGATTATAGCATTTATTTTACCGCATGAGGGTACACATTGGAAATGTATGACAATCGGCAAAACTTTTGTTGAACGATTGTACAACGAAATCTCGAAACGGTTTTGGATTTTCATTGCATATGAGAGCAATGTTTTTCATCATTTCCATGCAACCAAATGCAAACAGAAGTGCTACTAGTAATAGTAACTGTTTCAAATCGGGCGTACGGTCTTGCGCAACGGTGGCAGTTCATTGTCAGGTTGCAAGTACTGTACGTGTACAACTATCTGTACGTACTCGTACTTCCTGTGCATACTGTGAGGTCGAATAGAGATTCACTTTTGCCGCCCTCTCTCGGACACCCCCCTGTCAATTTTTTTTTGACAGGGGGCAACCGGTTTTGAAAAAATAGGGGAGGCAAACCCTTAAAATTTGCCGGTTGACACCCCCCCCCCAATGACACCCCTGGTCTTTAATACAATAATCGTGTAATGATTCGATTGGCATAAATACGGTTACTTATTCCCTGTTTCAAGTTCCCGCTAAAAATAAGGTAGGCTAACTGAAGGTACTTTACGCACCTTGCAGCGAACTACGTGTCGTTGTGTGACTGGCCTAACGGCATGGTGCGTAAACCACATTCGGTGAGGACCAATTTCGCAAATCAGTGGTCACCGATCATGTTAACTAATGTCAGCCTTAGCTGACACTACTTAAATGACGTTATTCAAAGTTAATTGTTATTGATTGTCTTGTGCTTATACAGATATATGTGTTGAACTACAGTAAAATGCATTTACGCTACCAAATCCAGATTTCTTCCTCTGATTTGTTATGTGCCACAGTGCCGCTATCACTCGCCATATACCTATACGCATTTTCGTTGGCCATATGTCTGCTCTCTTGTGCGATTTTTGAAATGTAAAAGTAGTTTAGCGAAGCTGGTACTTTTTATTTTGCATTGTCTAAACTCTGAAGGTTAGCTTTTGTACTAACGCGGTTCGAGTAGTTTTCAACCCGAACCATTTCTGCCTGCTGGCCGGGGGAAACAGAATGAGATTGTTAAGTGTACGATATTGACATAAGACTTATATATACATAAGACTAAACGATAATTATGTGGTTATTCGTAACAAATTAGTGTTCGTTTTATTGCGACAGTATTTTCTAGCTCTCTCATTATATCTGCGTTTTTTCCACAATTTGAAATTAGTATTACAAAATACTACTGGTATTGTATGTGACACTCATTTCTGTTAGATGTAACTACTTGTGTTTCTTTAATTCCTTTCGTGTTATAGTAGAAGTCAAGAAGTCGTGCCTGGGGTAGTGTTTTCGTTTACTACTACTCGTGGTATTAACTGGTAAAGGTCCTCTTGCGTGTTGAAAACTCCAATTCCATTCATGTTATGGCAGTTGCGCAAACAGTCTTGCTTTTGGCAACTTTTTCCGCCATGTAAATCTTTGCAAACTTGCTAAGCGTTCGTTTATTCGCATACTGTTTAGATGTTTCCAAAAAGAAATCCACAGCATCTTCTTTGCACTTAAGTTTCTTCTTTTTGCTTATTATGTTTGAATTTCAGTACGTCCATCTAAACGTACCTACGTTCTACAGTGGAAACAAAAGTCTGTTAGGCTGTGACCGGTGATTCTGCTGCTACGGGATAGTAAAGCCTGGTCAGTAGACGTACATATACATTTATCCGCTGTAGGTTTGCCAGGGTAATCTACTCTTCGTGTAGTGAGCGTCGAGTCATAAAATGTCAGTGCGAAGTACGAGTATTTCATTTTGGCTTTGCGGGAGAATATCGAGTGGACCTGCCGGTCCATAAAACCAGCATAAAAACCACTTTCATTGCACTTTCCCATTAACAGTAAATGGGATTGTGTTGCCTGCTTATAACTTATTTGATCACGGTATCGGAAAATCGTAAGGCTGGGTGTTGGGCATCTGGCTGGTGGATGAAAATTGACATTTTGTGGATGCAAGTTAAATATTAAATTGCGATGGAAAATGACGCAGAAGGTGCCGTGTGGGTGCTTTGGGATAATTAACCGCGGGGGTCAGTAAGTTGGTAATTCAACTTTTAAGTTGATATGTCTGCTTTAATGGAATCCTCATGCAGTTTTGAAACTTGTGGGTGTTCGGTATGAGCCCGATTCCGCTTCCGAACAGTACATGGCATTTGATATTAGTGTTGTAGTCTTGAGAGCGTACATCCACAAACCTGTTGTGATACTCTGCAGGTGCTGACGGGTGCTTCTTCCGGTAAATCAATCAGTAATGCACAGATCTATATACCGTACGACGGTATAAGGCGTAGAAGCTACAAGCCCATCCAACAATTCTTTGACCGCTTTAAGCGGGAATTTAAAGAAACGTGGGCTTGAGCCATTTAATGTGCTTCGACACGTCACGCCACATGGGTCTGCGTATTCAGCGTAAATAAGCAACAAATCTGCATGTGTTGCAGTTACTGTATCTGTGATATACAATGTAATATGTTTAGCATTATTTATTGCCATCATAATTTATATTAATTTTATGCTTTTGTAACAGTATCATCTTTGCTTTGCAATACAATATCGCGGTGGTACTTAATATCCATATTACTTTCAAATTACTGATTGCAACATGCCCGGGCTAAAGATGATTGATTCCACGCTGGTCTAATAATGGTCTATTAATTGTGATCTAATATATTATTATTGGTTGAATATTTATAAATATATCTGCCACTACACTACGATGCGTATTTGCATTACTGTGCGCGATTTATATGCGCTGCGCTTACAGCGGTCAAAGAATTGTTGGATGGGCTTGTACTACAATATCAACTGTTGATATCAACTGTAGTCTGTAGTCGTCTGTAACTGTAGTCGACGGTATAAGGCGTAGAAGCTACTACAATATCAACTGTTGATATCAACTGTAGTCGGTTGAGGCTGTGTATCCAGTACAATTCTTTCACTTCTATGGAAACTTGTGACTGTAATGTACAAGATTATGACATAAATTTATATCAACTGTATAACTGTATCTATACTGTATAATGTAGTTGTGTACAAGTACACTACCTGTTCTTACATCGTACAATATTAAAACCTTTACAAAATTATTATTGTTAGTTCTGGTATAGTCTGTATTTTGTATCCCTACTACAGTACGTTCGTTGTCTTTTCCATCTGCAGTGATTAAAATGTATTGCGCTTACAGTTAGGTGCACTGATTGATAAAGTACTTGCCGTATATTGAGGTATATTCCATTGTACGCCATGGCCGTCAGCTCTAGATATTATACAGTATAAACTACGCTGTATCACTCATTTGAATTTCACTGCGAACAGTTTTGTGCTTTACTTATTACCTTGGGTGACTGGGTCTTACTTGGCACGATTACCTGGCGTGGGAAAATTTGTAGTACTTCTACCCCAGCGGAAGCCTGGGTTTCGCATGCTTAGCTATAGTACTTACGCTTTAATGCTTGAGTAAATTCATTGCATTTTCGTACGAGTATTTAGGCACAAAAAGTGCAAATATTAACTACATTTGCTTAACAATACCACGGTAATGCATTTTGGAACAGAAGCAGCCGTTAACACCTGTGTACAGTTCCCATTTAACGGTGCCATATGCCTTACTGTGCCACGGGCATCACAGTAAGCACAACATTAATAGTCCGCCAAAAATGGACCGCAGATAATCAGATTGTTGGCTGACGAAAGCTATTCTTACGACGTTATTTGTTTTTCTGAAGCTTTGTGGCATACTGTACTGCAGCACATCAATGCATCTGCGCCGATAAGTTTCTATTTCTGAGTTCTCGGCTGCAGTGTTATCGCAAGTCGAAAGATAAGCGGCTTGCGTTATGACTCGGAATATAATGCTGGCTTGTCGTTTTGAAAAGGCAAAAACTAATGGTTGTTGGTGGACATTAATTTGATCGCGGAAACAAGTAGTTCCTTTATCGTGTGCTGCTGTTAAATACAGCTCTTTATACTTTCCGGATGTTGTTTGATGTAGTAGCATGAATACCTTGGATTCAGAGCCAAAAAGGCCTATGAAGCGTTTTTCCAGCTTGACATCTCTTATAAAACTCAAGAAAGGTGCAAAGCCACGTGCATTCGATTGCACTCATTGCAGTATAGAGTTTTCGTGGCCATGATTACAACACATACTCTCAACAAAATACGATCATTGAAACCCCGCTTTAAATTTACTTGGTAGGTACTAAAAAGTCGAAAGCAGAGCGACAAGGCTCCACTCATTCGGATGGCGAGGCCGAACATGCGATTCCAGAGAGCGGTGACAGCGTAGCAAAGAAGCCGGGATTGTTGGAGCGCTTAAGACCGCGGCAACGTAAGGAGAAGTTTCGCAGCGTGTCCAGCGTTGGCGATGGAACTGACGAAGGTCAGCGCCAGCGTAAAAAGTAAGTGTACTATTGTACGAGTACTTTATGAGCCTAATAAATTCGGTGTTGATCGACCAACTTACCTCTATGCAGTAGGACTTACCAGCTTGTGAATGTCATACCTGCTGTGCTTGAAAATGTAATTATTAGAATGTAGGAGAAATAGTTTTGAACCGTGTTAGTTTGATTTACTGGCTTTTTAAAAAGGTTTTTAATATATGGAAATATTTTGTAAAATTAAATAGGTAGGAGGGTAAGAAATGCAACGAAAGCAGAAATTCATAGAGTTTTTTATGTAATGTGTTGCAATTATGACTGCTTCTATCTATTCGGAACAGAAGTTTTGGCTACAGCAAAAGAAATGACAGGATTCTGGTACTTAAACAAATTTAAATTTGCAGAAAAATTTCTTTTGGATTTGGGTCCCGTAGCCGAAGCCAACCTGACTTGTACCGAGATAAGCCGACGAGTGTGGAAAATGAATCAGTCAAGAATGTTCCTAATACTCTGGATATTCTGGCCCCCGGCTCTCCTGCGCGCCTCAAGTTAGCCTCGAAACGTGATGACAATGCACGTTTGACGCCGGTAGTAGAAACGCCATCGGAAGATGATCGACGCCGTAGCTCTCCTGACATTAATCATACGAAGCCTCTCTTTAAACTCTATGAAGGCGGTGATGGCACGACAGGATTTAACGAAGATGATGCGATGCCAACCGATATGGAGAAAGCGGCGCGGCCGAAAATGGCAGCTTTTGTTCCGCCCCGCCCAAATGATACGGGATTAAACCGTGCACTGCCGGCGGCAGTTGGAGCACTGAAGGAGCAGCGTACTGTGGATGCGCCCGATCAGGCGCTGCCTATGGACTCTACGGCGGTCAATGGAAATGTTCTACAGGTATGGTTTCCGAGGTTCCAACAGCCAGGGTAAATGTGCGTTGTGTTTCGCACTGGGGCACGGACTGTTCATGACGTTTAAAGTCGACTGACAATTAAGTAGTTGTATAACTTGTATTAGAATTATTATTCCGTAACGTTGTGTAAAACTGTGCACATAAACCCTGTCAAGTTATTCATTTTTTATCCCGCTACAGCAAAAGTTTGACAGTTTCTTTAATGATTAAAGTTTCGCATGTGAGACGAGTTCGAAATTAACAATTGGAATTGTATGGAGACCGATTGTCTTAAAGTAAAAAAGGGAAAAGTATCGTCCTAATTAATGCGTGTAGAGTTGTATATTCATATATTCATTTTGTATATTCATTTTGTTGGAAAAGTATCGTCCTGATTAATGCGTGTAGAGTTGTATATTCATTTAGCGCATATTCGCGATAAGAATGTGATACCATTATTTCTAAAATGCCTTTTATCGGACTATATTTATTGTACGAAGACAAACACTTAGGATAATATATATTTGGCAAACTCGTGCGCGGCATGAATGAACCGAAATAGTACAATAGTACAACAGAATAGATTTCCTGCAAGACTGCTAGTTCTTAATATTTTATATTAAGTATCTGATTCAATATTAGCATGGGTTTTCTGTAGTTACAATTTCTTTGGTTTGAACTTTGCTAAAGGTATGCATGTACGCTAGAACTTTACACTTTAACGAAAATGTGGTGGATGTCAATTTGACATCAAAACTTACTATTAAACCATCTCATACGCAATAAGCACGATTTTAAGTATCGATTTAGAACATTACACGTCGTATACTGTACTGCGTGCTGACGTACATGAGGTGAGAGCGAACTTTTCTTTGCTGATGTAACGGAATGCTGTTTCTCATCATTGTAAGCTACATCATTAAGCGTCCCAAACACAATGAAAACACTGTCGGATTTCTTTGGCGTGAAATGAGCTGTAGATGATGGTTCCAGGCGAAAATCATCGTGCTGGTGCTCCAGTATTATGTACGACATGCCTGCTTCCCACATTACCATACGGTATACATAGTAACGAGCCGGGTTTGACAACGAAGCAGAATAATGCCAATCAATTTTTTGTTGGCCTTGCAGCTTTCGCATCGTGTATGTGTGCAATTGTATAGCCACTGTGCCGATTGTAGTTTCCGGCTTGCAGTCCTCTTGTAGTGTTGACAGGATGCATGCGCCTAAGACATTATTAGGCAGAAAATCCCTGAGGAATTCTTAATCGCGAGTTAAAGCCTGTTACGGGTTTTTGATGTGTTATTGAATTCACGCATTAATGTGCAAATTTATGATGTTTCAAGGACGATCTTGGATCAAAGGGTCACAATAAAACATCACTTGCTTGCAGTTAGTTAGTCATCCATTTCACAGTTGCAGAAGAAAAGACTTCTTTTTTGTAATTGCGAAATACCCGAATTCTTTTAGTGATCTAACGAACAATCGCAGCGTGGTTTTGCCAGCTAGTTGAAAGTATATTGCGGAAAGCTGGGTCGCGAGCTTGAAATATGCGAAGCCGTAAGGATAGCAAGAGTCTTGTGCATATCAAGGACGATGTGGAGGTACTGTGCTCTCCATACTTGTATTAGAAAAGCGGCAAAACAGTACATTTTCAGATCGGATTTGTGTGACTGAACCATGCAGTGGGAGTTTTACTTTGTCACGCTTCGAGTTCCGGTACAGTTTAATGCCAATTATGCTCGATATGCTGCCGTTGCGTTTTAGTAACAGAACGTTATGTAGCTATGTAATGTACGAAATATTATTTAATGCTATTGCTAAAATGAATTTGAACTGATAAAATGGAATTCCAGTAGGGTGAAAACTGGAAAACTTAAGAACTGTTACTAACAATAAGTCTTTATGGTCGCGCCAGCTCGTGGTTGTGACCGCAGTTTGATCAACATGCAGCTAAAAATTGAGGTACTTGCAGTGGATTACTGACGGCGTAAGTTGTAACGTAAGCAACTGCGGGATGGGACCGTTAAGTTGGGAATGCGTTACTATAGCCGAAAGTCAAAGTATTATGTTGACGATCTGCTTACCCACTGCTGTTTAGACTTTCGTTAATTAAGATAACCTGAACAGCATCAGCTGCAGGGCTTTCAGGGAAGTGAAAAGCTTGTTTTAAGTTGTGCTTCCCTTGATGTAATACTTCAAGCCCAAGGGCAAAGAAGAGAATAGATACTTACTGCTTTTGTGTTTCGCCGTACGTGGGAGGGTCGTAAAGGAGGAAACTGTGGCGAAACAAAAGCGTGTTCACTATAGCTAAACAAGTTGATTAACATATTGCAGATACATTTTGTTGTATGGTTGTGGATGACATAGAGTAAACGCTTCCGGTAGTTAGATGAGTTATTGGAAAAAGCATCAGAGCCCTAAATTCATATGACAGGAATACTCGCGAGAACAGAATTTGTTAGTTCAGCTGATCCGGACGGCAGGGAGGACAGCTAAACCACACTGGCGACATTTACTGTTGCGCCAACGAGTTGAATTTTTGAGGATCATATTGCTGGAATTGCCGCAGCAAGCATCATGTTTAACGCTTTCAATGTGAACTTCATTATTGTCACAATAGAGAGTGGGAATACTCCAGCGTTCACATTGGACAGGCGATTGTTAGGTGCGGAGCGACAAACGCCTGTAGTTAGTTTAAATGGGAACAGGTCTTTTTCCTGCTTCCTGCTGGCTGACTGGGCGATAGACTCATTTCTTCAGTTGCAGCCAAAATCATCGAATTTATGGCTAGACGGTGGTACCAACAATTTCGTTCAGTTGAACTCCCATGATCTGGAAGGGGAATGTTTAGTGTGAAGTAAATGACGCGGATAAAGTGGTATACAAAAGCTTATGGCTCTGATTCCAGTATATCTGTCCATGGATGCCCATAAACTGCCATCATGATGCGCCGTAAGTCAGGGCAGCCGCACCCGTTACTGGGAGAATATTTTCGCAATAACAAATTGCTGAAAAAGTTGCAGGTGAGCGATTGTATAAAGGAAGTCTTAAACAAGCAGATCTGGTTCCGGTTTCGGCAGTGGCGATACTTTGGTGAAGTGACTTTTCTTTATTCGAATCGATCTACAGTACCGTCGACGATTCTAACCATAAGTCATTATTGACGACATTCAACTGCAAACTTACAAATGGTGGTTGCCGGTAACCTTTTGTGTTTAGTGAGATATTACGTGCAGTTGGTATGACAGGTTATTCTTGGGATGAAATCGCCCAATGTTTTGAGAATCCCAGTCGTAAACACACGGACCTATGTGGGTACCTTACAGACTACGGGTAGAGTAGTTCGGCTACCAGTGAATAAATAGTTGATGGTGTATTGTATTGTGCGTGTTGAATGTGGCACGCAAATCTTCCTTTTCGTCAAAATATTGTTGTGAAATTCAGAATCATGAAGATTAATTAATTCTTTTACCTCAGGGCTCATATGCCCTTTCCATATGCCTTACCGTGGTTTAGGGGTAGTATTTCATTCTAGAATTGCAAAATAAGTAAGTGTTTTGCGGTAAATTCATGAGATATGGACTCGCTGCTCACAAATCAGTTGATAATTTAACGAGTCATAGCGAAAACGTTTTATTTATTAATGTAATAACGTGAAGTGCTTTAGCCGTGCGGCATAGCCAGCAATCTGTACCACATCCTTGCTGTACGTGAGCTTTGTCGGTGGTGAAATCATACTATTATGGATTACTTTAGTAGTACATTGTAGTTGTACGTGGTGCTTATACGCTGCATCTTGTTACTTCCAAGTTTACGATATAATATAAATCAAAGCTGCAGCTGCGGACTTTCGTATAGATGCAGTACCCGCGTACGCTTGAGTAAGCGAAATCTTAAGGTCGTTTTGTCTAAAAACGATTAATGTTCTACAGAAGAATGTTTTTGCAGTCGGAACTAGTTGGAGATGCTCCAAAGAAGAAGGTGCCTCCTCCTCTTACCCGTGGTCAGTCCAGCAGTCGCCTGCAGTCCCAGTCGTGGATCAACAGCGTCACCATCTTCCTTTTCGAGGGCAAGGACTTACCGGCAATGGACCGTAATGGCCTTAGCGATCCCTTCTGTAAATTCCGGCTGGGTAGTGCCAAATACAAAACCCGTGTGGCCTACAAAACCCTGAATCCACAGTGGATGGAACAGTTCGATCTGTATATTTGTGATCCAGATGATCGGACAGTGGAGATCACGGTGTGGGACTGGGATCGGGGCATGCGCAATGACTATATTGGAAAATGTATGATTGATTTGTCGTTGATTGAAACGGAAAAGATGTGCGATATGTGGGTGGACGTGCGGAATGAGACGAGCGAAATGTGTGGATCATTGCATTTATCGCTGCTGATCAGTGGAGGAAAGATGACAGCCGACAAGATTGAGGATGATACGAACTCTCCAGTGGAGGAAGCTGTCGGTGGCGGAATGCACAGAACGGCAATGTTGGAGAGGTACGACTGGAAGAAATCCTTGACGGATATTGGAGACGTCGGCATGCTGACCGTTAAAGTTTTCAGAGGTAAACAATGCATAGGTGTAATTGTATTAGAGCACTTTGCTTGGGCACAGGACGTTGTGGCAGATTATTAAGTACTTCTCTTTTTGTTGTACCACGTCACTACAAAGGCAAGGTATTATTGCTTTGAATACACAGTGGGCCGTGTGGATGGAAAATCGATAACAGCGCCTAATTGTGCTTTACGCACCTCACGGCACATGCATTCTTAGTAAAACAATTAACCTGCTGTTTACGCAGTCCGAAATTTTGTATGTGTTCATATTATATCATTTATATGTATAATGTTAAGTTAGGATCAAAAGTTTTTGCGTCTTCCAGGATGCTCCCTCCGCGCTGCTGATTTGAATGGAAAGTCGGATCCGTACTGTATACTGCAGTTGGTTAACGCCCGCCTGCAGACCCAGGTCGAGCCCAAGACACTTGACCCGGAATGGAACCGAGTATTCACATTTCCGGTCAACGATGTTCATTCGGCACTGGACATCACTGTAATGGACATGGATCAGGACAAGAAATCGGACTTTCTGGGTCGCGTAGCCATACCATTGTTGCGGATCCAGAACAATGAACGGCGTTGGTACGCTCTAAAGGATCAGAAGCTGCAGGGGCGGGCCAAAGGTGCAATTCTGCTAGAAATGGAAATGATTTATAATCCCCTCCGGGCAGCTTTTCGCACTCTTCATCCAAAGGAAGTTTGCTTTGACAGACAAGAGAGCAAATTTAAAACACAGGTGAGAATCGATATCCCACTCGACGATATCATCTGTTAACGACCATATTATTAAAAAGAAATGCCGCAGTACAATTTTTCTAAACTTGAGCTTTTCATATTGCTGCCCTGGCCGTAACTGATGACAGTGCGGGACTTTATTAGGGTGTCTGTGAAAAAAACTTTTTTGTTGCAGGTGTTCGTTCGGAATATCACGCGGTTGAAGAGCATCATGCTTCCGGTGTTGGAATTTGGACATTTTTTGCAAAGCTGTTTTAACTGGGAATCACGCGCGCGGTCCATGACAGTTTTTATCAGTTATCTTCTAATTGTATATTTTTTTCAAATGTGGATGATACCTGCCGGGTTATTGGGAATTTTTTTGATGTATTACATCAAGCAACATTTCCTGGCCTCCACTTACACCCGAGATCCACGCGATGAGGAATTAGCTGATTATTTGGATCAGAAACTTGACTCCGATGATGAAGACGAAGATAACGTTCGCTCATCCTATTTTTCTGGATCCGGTGGCAATAAAACTGCCAACGTGACCTTAATGACCCGAATGCGCGTAGCTCAAGAGCAGTTGAAAGTCGTGCAGAATTTGATGGGATTTGTAGGTGATCTGGCCGAGCGCATATCCAATACCTTCCACTTTACAGTCCCTTGGATCTCTTACCTGGTCATAATTTTGCTTACGGTGGCCAGTGTCATACTTTATTTCATTCCGTTGCGATTGCTGTTGCTGATTTGGGGAGTTAATAAATTTACCAAGAAGCTGCGCAATCCCAACGCTGCATCTAACAACGAGTTGCTGGATTTGTTGTCCCGCGTCCACACCAATGACGAAAGCAAAATGTACAAAGAACTGCGTCCACGGGATGTTCCCAATCAGGCTGCCGTGCATGTGGGAATGGCGGCCGATGGAACAATCATGCGTGAGCAAGGAACTCGACGCGAGTGAAGTTTTTGCAACCCGGTTTCTTGATAGCTTATTTTTGTTCGGCTATTAATTTTGTGATAATGTCCAAAAATATTTGTAATGCCGACGTTTATTGATCAATGTCTTTCCAAATTTGCAATGGTGTCCTTCATGGATCTCTTTTTTCGGTTCCAAATTCTGATAGTTTGTCCCTAATTTTAACGTCAGACCAAACGTGGCCGTTCAGAGTTTTAAGAGTATAAAATGTTCAGAGTTTAAAGTATTCAGCTGTTAATCATACGGGCAGATTAGCATCATATTGTCACAAGAGCACTTGAATTCTTCAGTCAGTCTTTTGATAATGCACAATCTTTAAAATATGCTTAAGAACAAATTTAGCTACTTAAATTAATAAGCGAGGATTTTGCTGCAAGACGACAAAAATATGGAAAAAAATTTATGATTGACTTTAAGGATTGACTTATGGGAAATACATTTTTTCGAACAGATAGATGGAGCACTCGTACTACAGCTAGCATCAGAGTATCGTACAGCTGCGGTTCGTTGCGACAAATACGGTTAAAGTAGAAATTTGTCCTTGTCTTCACTTATGGTTAGTTTATTGTCTATGCCGGCGGAATTCGCAACTGGATTACAATATTTCAAGGAAACGCCGGCATGTTCGTAGTGATAAACTAAGCAAAGAAACTTTATGATCCTGCAGTAAATTGGCTTTTTTGGTTGATCTGTTTTAGACGATTGCGAGATTCGTCTGCATACATGTGTAAATGTTGGTACTATGGTCAACGTACAATGTACTGTACATCAGTGACCACAATGCACGCGGGACGCCGCACCGCAGGTCTTTCCGCGGATACATGTTCAGCGGCGGACGGATATCCAGCGATCGATGCACTACAATACCGCGCTATCTTGATGGCCAGAATCTGTTGGGGCGTTATGAGTAGCGGATATACGTATATGAGACACTGCACTGCAGCCGGTTTGCATACACGGTCTACGGCAAGCGGAAGTCATGGAACAACTACAATTCCCTGGGATTATGTAATCCTGCCCAAAAAGCCGCGTCTGCTCCCTGCAAAATTCCACCACACACAACTGAATCGATACACAGCATCCCACGCACACAACTATACACCGAACAATGCCACGGCACATTGCACTGTGACAGGAGTTTGGTTAAGTGCTTTGCGGCGCTGGGGAACTGCATGTGCCACTGATCCGGCTGCTGTTAGGTGTTGTGCCACTGCTCGCAGTATGTGGCGTGTTATCCACTGTACCATGGCCACCAGCAACACAGGATCGGCAATATTCCTTGTTTCAGTCTCGGCCGCACTGTGATCTGTTCATCCCTGTTAGCAGTGATCCAAACAGCAGCAGACAATATCCGCAGCGAGTGATATTATTTTCTTTCAAGCCGTCGCCGCACACGAAGCGCCAGTGTTTTCCAGTTGAATGGGGCTGGTCATACGAAATCCGGGAACTGAATAATAAATCCGCCTGGCAGCGGCATCTTCCTACGCGTGTGCGCCTGTACGGTAATTGTTGGTAAATTGCGCCTGAACGGTCCCACGCCACGCTTTACCTTTACAGTTGTGGCCCACAGGCAGCGCGCCAGACAGGGCAAGTTGATGCACTAGTGAAATCACTGTTTCTGCTTGATTACATTTTAACGAATCTCACCCCACCGTGAACATCATGGACTTCAAAAAGATCCTTAATCGAGCGGTTCAGGTACGGTTTTATTTTTATATTCTTTTTCCCATTGCCCTGACAGTATCTGTACACGCGCATTGGTAAGCCGTAATCTGTGATTGCCGCTTTATGCGCGCCACATTATTTTTTTATTGTCTGAGCTTTACCTTCCGCATACGAGTACGCATTATGAGTCGGTGAATTTCGGTGCATGTTTTCTGGAGCATTTGCCTGTGAACGACTACAGCGCTCAATATTACGAGTGCAGTTATATATAAAACGTTCCCAAAAGTTATGCATGTTGTATGCACAGTGCGTTTATTGTCTGCCGGTAGTTATTCCTGAAAAGCACTAAAGCGGCACCAAAAGTATATGAATTCCTACTTTTTTATTTTTATTTACGAGTATCTGTATGAGCGTGGTGTGTTAAGTGCGATAAGATATTCGATATCTCTGCGCAGTTTGCGGAGGAGAAAGTGGGACGGGAAGTAGAGAAAACCCGGCTGGAGGCGGACATGGAACACCTGATCGATCTGCAGGATAAAGTGAAGAACAACACGGAGAAGATTGTTAGAACAACCGAGACCGTCTTGCAACCCAATCCCAGTAAATATTGCATACATACGTTTGCAAGTATCCCACTTTTTACGTACAATAATATTGCTGTACTGTACAATTGAGTGTGCGTCGCTGCTGCATATAAGTCTAGGAAGGACGGAAGGTCATAAGCGCGTCTTCGTTAAACTCTGGGTGTAATTTATATAGGCATTTAAAAATATTTGGTGGAAGTTCAAATTCTAATGGAAGTATTATATAGACGAAGGAATCAGCAAGGAAACCTGACAATTAATCAACCAATAATGGATTTTCTTCTGGGCTTCTCTTGTTGCAATATTTCAGTAGTCAAGTACAAATTATACCTTTTATACAGCGTTTTATACAGTTATGCATTTATGTACATACTTGAAATTATGCGCTTGACACGAAACTAAATTATGCAATGCATTATAGTCTACAACTGGGGATCGAGAACTCAAAATCGTGAAGCTAAAATGCAGTTGCATGTACAATACATGAAACCGTTGTAGATATTCGAATGGAGGAGTACGTATATGAGAAGTTGGACAAGCGACTACGCCAGCGAACCACACCGCTCTCGGAGATGGGTCAAGCCCTGATTGAGGCCGGAAATGATTTCGGTGCACAAGGCCCGTACGGTGCGTAGGCTGTATTGTGTGTCGGTTTCCGGCGCAGGAAGTTCGTTAGATTTCACAAAGACCGGAAAAACACTACCGGCAAACATGGAACCTTGTCATCAGCAGATCGGTGTTGAATCTCTGTTTCAGGCAGCGCTCTGATAAAGGTCGGCACCTACCAAAACCGTCTCGGGCAAGCTGAGCTGGATTTCGTTTCCAACAGCGCGGAAGTCTTTCTTACGCCGCTTAGGCGATTTTTGGAGGGAGACATCAAAACCGTCATGGTACACGTGGCACTGAGACGATATTAATAATATAATCCCTGCAGCTTGGATTTAATTAAAAATATTCTGTCGAGCTAATCAGGTGTTATTTTTGTTCAGAAAGAGCGGAAGGAACTAAACAACAAGCGCTTAGATCTCGATGCTGCCAAAAGTAAATTGAAGAAGACTAATAAGGACGATCCGAAAACTTACGTGAGTACATTCTTTTATTAACAGAAACACATTAAAATATATATTTCACCGTGAAAAACATGCTCAGCAGTATTGCACAACATCACAGCACATAATAATTATGAAATATCCATATGTTAAATTATTGAGTTCTGTAGTTTTAAGCGAGTGCAGACGCAGATTTTGGCTAATCAATATGCTTGTATCGTGCCATCGTAATTGCTTCTATTGATCTAATTGTTTTGTCCTGTTACAGGAAATCACAGCCAGGGTAAGTTTATTTCCGCTGTAAATGGTGTCAGGAAGGAATTCTAAATCCACATTGGAACCGGCATCCACTGTTATTTCTGCTGTCGCAACATTTATTTTGCAGATCGAAAACGAAGCCCGTCTAGCGAATTCCGAATTTGAGCGGCAAGCGGAAATTACACGATTACTTCTCGAAGGCGTAGCAAGCTGCCAGGTACTTCGTGATGCGGAGATGATCTATTTCTGATATTTAAAAACACTTGTGATTTATCATCGGAAGCAAAAGTAGGAAATTAATTAATGTGGCCAAAGAAAGGTTAATATTTCTTGCTTGACCCTAAAATGTGGTTGTAAGTCACTCGAATATCATGTTTGCTAACCGCACTCACTGGAATTTTGAATATGCATTATGTATAAGGAAAATAGGCCAACAATGAGAAGATCATGCAAAAATGCAAATAGATCATGCCGCCCGTTCTCCACAGGGAAATCATCTTCGGTATTTGAAGGACTTTGCCGAAGCCCAAATGAAGTATTACGCAATGTGTAAAAGCATCGCCGAAGAGCTGCATCATGAACTGTCATCGTACGCTGCGTGCATTATCATTTTTTTGCTGTATTATGCAACAGGGAGAAAATCGATAATATTATTTCCCCTTTTAGCGTCAATCCCACCGACTGCCAGCCGCCGACGTACAATTCCATGCCGCCAGTTGGAGCCAGGAAAGCGCGTGTACTGTGTGATTACGAGTCAGGAAACTCACAGGAACTGACTCTTCATGCCGGCGACATCATATTTATTACCTCCGTCGCCAGTCAAGATGGAGACTGGCTGCTTGCACAACGACCAACTGGCGAAAAAGGGAAAGTGCCGGCAACATATATTGAATTTCTCGAATGATCAACTGGCGCATGGCTGTCAGTGCGGTGACCGGAAGTGGTAGATTCGGTTGTATTGTCTGTCTGATCTTGATATTCACTACGGTACAGCTAGCAGTGTTTGGGTCTATTAATGCTTCGACCGATTTTTAAATGCGTGTTTGTGCGCTGTTTACCAGAATTCGGTTTTTCTGTGCCTTTCCAAGCAGAAGCGAGTAAAAGATGTAATAAAAATTCGTAAAGAAAATTCTTTAACCAATTATTTCAGGTAATTATTTGTTATATTTTTGCTCTGCAATACAGAACAGCAGTTGTCCAGAAATTTCCGAGCCATCAAAATATCACGTGGTACCTTATGTTACAAATATTACAAAAGTGAAAAAAAAAACAGACAACAACGCACTAGTTCAACAGAGTCAAGCAAACAAGAACAAAGTAAAGGTCATGCTAAACGGTAAATATAGAGGAACATGGTGTAATCACAACAACAATCGGCAGAGAGATCCAAGGATTGGCTATGCACATGGAAAGTCATGATTTTTTAAATCAGGCAGCAGTAGTTTTGATGTTCTCTTTTTTGGCTTTTTTGTTTTTCTTCCCTAAAATCTTCATTAAATTTTTGGACATATAGTAAGGCCTTTCCTTTGAGCCGTCATTTCGCTCCAAATCTTCCACTGCAATAAATATTAATTGTTGTAGATCATTCATAAGTCCCAAACTTAAATATGACTACGCATTAGTGTGCAGTGTGCACTTATATAAAAAGAGCTGCCTTTCGTAATTTACTGGCTTGATCGAAATGCATGCATGAATTTTGCACTGGAACAATTCATATTCACTGAAACTATTCGATACATCGCCAAAAAAATTATATATCCATACTACAAGCTTACGAAAGCAAAGGAAGAGCGTATCCACCGCCATCGCATAGACTCCGAAAAACGCAGACGCTATCAAGTAGCTTCCAACGATGACGGTCTACAATGGATAATGTTATGCAGTTACTAACATAAATATATATCTAGCGAACAGTCGTATCGCTCACGATAACAGGAACGTAATAATAATTTAACATGGGCGGATACTGTTCTAAACCAGGAATCCTTCTTGCGAAAAAGAAGAACGAGCCAACACCTAACAAACCATATAACGACTAAGGACACAAGAAGTATGAACGACAAATGCTCATACGGCACCACTGAAATACGGAAGTGCAACGAACAAGCACGCCATAAAACAACCACAACAGCTCATGCAATGAAAACCTGCCAAAGGTTCACCAACAGTTGGCCACAATACACCGCGAGAAGAAACAAGCATCGTGCAGCAAAAAAAAACAGGAAAAACGCAAAGATATCTAAGTCAACTAACATCATACAAACATCAATACAAAACATCAATATAAATTAAATCAAAATCCGACACAAAAAGACAAAACAGAGTCTAACAATTATTCTATGAAAATACGTGGAAAAGCACCGATATTAAACGTGCAAATGCCGAATGCGCACTGTTCGCAAATAATACACATGCCTGTCGTCCTCTTTCAACAGTTACGTAAAGCAAAACGGGACAACAAAGAATCAAACGCTCGTGAGTTTTCCAGTATGGATTCCCGGTGCACAGCAAAGAACACTCTATTTCTATTTCTAGCATTTCTATCATTTCCGTTGTTTACAGTAATAAAGCACTAATTAAACTTACAGCAACTGGCACGGCTATGTAATTCAACTGAGAAGGCTTGTTAAGCGGTGCTGGGAAGGCGTGATCAAAAGTGCCATCAAAGAAATGGAATGCAAAGACTCCTGCGGAGAATATGGTGCGAAAAAATGAAAGCAGCGGTGAGCGGCGAGTGCGGTGGCAGCATAATTGTGGAGCAGCGGCGTCAATCGAGCAGAAAATGGCAAATTTATGCAACAAAGCAACTTACCCACAGCTCCGACAATCACAAGTTTGCCCAAAAACAACAAAAAATCGGTAACTTTATCAAGGACAACAACCCTGCAAATCCAGAAATATAACAGACGTTTGATTCCAAATTATACCACAAACTGTGTACCTCAAAATGTTCCGCATTAACAATTCAAAAGCATTCTTAGCAGAACGGCAGAAATTTTTTCCGTATATGGCAACCTTAAAGAAAACAAATTCGTCAATACAGGATTAAGCTTTCTCGCTTAAAAATTTCCTTCTAAGGCACCTACTGACCATTATATACGCATTTCGGTTAATAAATTTCAGGAATTTCTCCAAACACCATAAGCAACATGCACAACACCTGCAAAGGGAAACAAAGCTATAACATATAATGATTGTAATCCACAACGTAACAAGAAAAAAACCGCAAGCAAAAAGCAAATATAGGGCCAGGTATACAAGATATAACAGATGTATGAACTTACTTCAACAAAAATCTTGCAATTCCAAGCTCCGATTTTTTCAGTTTTTGGTCAAGCTGTTCTAAAATCCATCTTATAAATCGGACAACAGCAATGATTAGGGAACCAAACGCAATGGACCCTAGATGATAACTGAAAAATACAACAGTTCACTGTAAAATTCACCAGCTGGTAAATCATAAAAGCAAACCGGAAACAACGTCCAAATGATGCTCCAAGTGGAAAAGCCGACAGGTCGTCTACTTTTCTCCGCGTGAAATAAAATGAGGCAAAGGCACCGGCCAAGGCCATCTCACCCAACCCAACAACAAAAAATCCCAGCCAAAACAATCCGAAGATGTTATACAGTTGCAAATACGCATACATGCTGTAAAATTCCTTAATTATAGGCAGTGCCAGTGGCTGTACAGTGTGAATCATAATGCACAAACCTGTCTCTTTGATAATCCCCAAATATGCATTCATGCGTGGCATTCGAAGCGAAATTCTGCAATATAGTATAGTCGGTTTGATTAAGTTGTTGAACAAAACTAAACAACATTTTTCTTGCACTATATGCTACTCGAACAGCACAATCAGATTACTCAGATACACCATCTTCACAAAACTCGATTACTTGTTTCAGATCGCAGGAAACTGGTTCTGCGCTAGTGTTTTGAGGAGCACCTTTGGTAACCAGGATTCCTTTCTGTTCACCCGCGGACGACATTAATCTGCAATCATTAAAGAAATTCATTCCTCTAAATATTCAATATAAAAAGCCATTTCCGACAGGAGCTTTAAGGCAGCGTCCTTACACTGCTAAAAGTCCCCAAAATCCAAAAACTACCAGTTGTAATATAAATGGCAGTATGGGAAACATTAAAGTGCACATCATTGTCGAAACACTCCTGCAAAAAAAACAACAGAACGTTTTGCACAAAAGTGAAACGAACTTCTGCTTCGAACGCAAATGTTCATTATTTCATAGTCATACTTGCTGGCTTCTTCGAGTAATGCCACCGCCAATCGTATCCGATTACGCAGAAATAATGCAATAAGTACCAAAATCCCCAAAACGATGGCGGAAATAATACCTAAAGAAAGATATTACACAGTTGTAATATACATAAACACACAGTTAAACAGTTATATTATACACAATTATTTATATTACACAGCTACTGAAAAACCTAGCTGCAGACTTACCAAATGCCATCCATGTTTCTCTTTGAGCCAGATAGCTATTTATATCCAATGTGAACAGCGGCGCCTGCCCACCGGGATCCCCTTTCCTAAGAGCATCGATGGCGGCCATTCTCGTAAAACAATAATAAACAGCTGAAAACATACTTTTACTTAGAGCAAAACTAATTGTTTCCAAAAATATGGTAAACAAACTCCAGGCATCATCTCAGTTTACCGTAGCTCAATAAACCCAACACTGCCAACATTCCCAGCCACACCATGGGTCCGGCCACCCAACGCATGATGACAATCCACAGAAACGAAATGACCATAGTCATTCCAAACGCTCTAGGAAATGTTAAAAACTTGTAAATCTCATGAATTAGCACTGGAAGTATTGACCTGATAAAAACGTACATGAAGATCATCCACCATGATACACTAAAGTCGTAAAATATTTTTTCGAGAACTGCTCGTGCATCGAACAGGTTTTTTGTGCCATTTGCAATCTGAGCCTGTGGCACCGGCAATTCGGGAACAGCGGCAAGGCGAGTGGCGTTTCTGTTATCAGATGATTGCAGAACGTTCAAAATTGGTATGCAGCGTCCTCCAATAGTCCCACTTTGGACGTAATACGAAGCACATCGCTGGCTTGAAGGTTTGGTAGCCTGTAGTCGCAGACTCGCAGTCATTCTTCATAATACTCCTTATCGAATTCACAAAATCCAGCTTTCAATTCACAGGCTGAATTTCTAAAGCTAATTTACCTGTGCGATTTTGTCAACGCCATCCAGACAAATAAGATCAGCCGGGTCGTTTTTAAAATCGATATTATCCCACACAAAGGTCTTGTTTGGGCATTGTGTCACGCATACCTACAAACAGTCAAACCGCTATAACACGAAAAAACTTAAAATGTTTCACAATAATAAGCAGTACACTTGCGTAAAATAAGTACATACACCAAGTCATTGATCCTACTAACACATACATGATATGAGCACGTAGAGGTAGCAGGTAGCTGCTATCAACCCAAACTTCACAACCACAACAATCATAATCACCTGCAGTTTTTAAATATTTTAGTTGGCTTACCGAAGGTGTACGGCAGCCGTGAAACAAAGTTTGTGGTCCCAGACACGTCGAAATGTCAAAATAGAATAAATATGGTCGATTTGTCAAACTTCAACCAAAACAAAAATCATGTAGTAACAAAAGGCAATGTATGGCAATATCGGCAACGGTATAAGTATTACTCGACATCCCCGTTTTGCCTTCCACATATTCTGCCACGAGAATCTGTTGGGTAAAGTAGTCGATCCCAGTTTCCATTCGCAAAAGCTGTGGACGAAAACGTGCACCCATAAAAACGGTAAAAGGAGCGAAGTTGCTGAAAACTGCAAAATTGTGCTAACGCCGAGATTATTACAGCTCGAACATACCAAAATACGCCACCACACCCCATCCGCCAATAAACGCCAAAAGCAGAATCAAACAAATGACATCAGTGCAGCTCCTGCAACAACGAAGGCGCACGTACAGTACGTATTACTATGCTGGAAGAATGCATAATTATATCCTTAAATAACCAGTTTCTGGCCGATATGAACAAGAATTTAATCAAGCTAACAAGCGCCTAAACTGAAAAAACAAACTAAAACTGTATCAATTACATGAAAAAAATATTAAAATTAATCACAAGACTGACATCATTGCAAAGCTGCCTAATTTGCATGAAGCTACACTAACAGTCCAATAGCACTGCTATAACCGCCGAATTATTAGCATGCGCCATGCAGTCAGATGTTTCACTTTTATTACTGTACTTTTCGAAACGTTACATAACTCAGTGTAGCGCAGTTCTCAGTTCTCAACACAAATGATCGATGGGAATTTGGAAACGAACCGTATGCACATAATCCCACAATGTCGTCCTTTTTAATTTAAACAACCATGGCGAGATGTGTGGTTTGACTTTAGTCACCCGTGCCGGAATGATTAATACTTTTAATAATAATGAAAAAACATACCGCTTTTTGATAGGTCCGTGAAAAGTGGGATCGAAAGTTCGTGGTTTCCCTAAAACATGTCAGAGAGCTACAAATCCAGAAAGCACTAAGCCGGTCATACAAATTTGCACGTGTAAATATGTAGGTAATTAACAACTGTAATCGGGAATATTATACAGTACATAAGTATACCGTATACGTAAGTAAGCAAGCTGCTGCATTTCACCAACCCATAATTACTGAACGGTTTGTTTCTCAAAGAAAAACCCAAAAGGCAGGGTTTCGTAGGTGTGCCATACACCATAAAAGAAAACAAATAAACAAACAGATTTCACCTGCAGTGCTAACAATACATTATTTCAAACTTACCATATTTTCCGCTGTCATCCACAGGCCCTTGAGAGCGGGCCATCGCGATCAAATCCCTGCAACAGGTGGGAAATTTAATCCGCTATATAGCGCTTCGCGATACTTCTACAGCGTGACTGCGTGAGCACCGCGGCAACACACTCGATCTCAATCGACCTAGTTCAACCAGGAAAAAATTCTGAACGATCTGCATACAGCGGAAGCCATAATCGGAACAGGTTTGGTAAACACAGAGGCAAATATGAGTCAGTTGCGTAAACGACTAAACGGCAAAACCATTCTTAAAAATGACGAATGCCAAGCGGCGCAGCTGAACAAGCAATAGTCCATTATTCCAACTGTAATGTTTTCTGTCAGCGCTGTCTCATGTACAATAACGGCACGCACAAACGTCAAAATACGAAATCAAAGCCGAATTGTATGTAAATTTAAACCACGTACGCGATTGCGACCGAAAAGTTCCCAACAAACTCTGATGGGAAGTGTGAGCTAATTCCAAACCGGTTATGCCAGTTTCGTATCCAAAATTCACTTTTTTCGGAAGCTAGTTACAACCTGGCTGCGACTACCAATTACAGATAAGTACTTCAAAAATAGCGCCGACACAGTGAAAAAGTGCTGCATGAAATAACTAGAATTAGGAGAAAATATTCAGGTGCAGAAATGGATCTCTAAAATTAACACGAGAGGCGAACGAGATTAACTTGTTTGCTGACCTAAATTATAGTACGTATCAAAGGCTGATAGTAAACACTGCCACATTATCAAGCGAACGCTTGATAAATCAACAAATATGCACTTGTTACCGCATAAAACCACGGTTGCGTCAAACACGGAATCAGATAAGAAGTTCATTAAATTGCCGGAACTGTATCGTGTTATGGTGATAGACTCTAGAGTACGTATTGTAGTACATGCTATACAATTAAAAGTGACGTTCCATTGTACAATCTGGATGTTCGAACTTACTCATCGCTCGCACTACGGGTCTCCGTCATTTTGTATTGAGTCTTTTGCAGAAGACGAAATCCAAGCTCTTATCGAAGCCCACCTAAAGCGTTCTCAGTGCAATTTTCAGGCAGGAACTCAGAAACAGCGGTCCGTGGTCAATGCGTTCTTGACAACAAAAGCTTTGAGCGGCAAACAAGGTTTGAGTAAACGTAATTGGTCCCAATGGCCAATGGGCTCGGCCCAGCAAGAAATTCAATCACTACGGACAATAACATAATTATGCAATACCGATACGCTCCGGGAAATGGTGAACGTATTACACATTTACGGCGATAGAAAGAAAATCATTCAAATTCGAAAATATGTAGCCATGACAAGTGTAGCATTGCACGGCAGGAAATCTGGAGTTATTATTGGTGACGGAGACAAAATACTTATTACTCGTATATCGAAAAAGTAAGTATGTTATTATCCAAATTTCAACAACCCACCGGGGTGACAATAATCCATTGGTAACCCATTTTTGCACATTCTGTGAATCTTTTGACGCTATCTAGTATCTACCATCTTGAGGTAATGTTGGCACACCGTAGTGCCGTGACTAGCTACAGCTAGTCTACACGCTACAGACAAAAAGGCCAATCATTTCTTTTACGGAGTCGCAGTTCATACAGTATTAGCGCCGCAGTGGTGCGAAAACCACATAAGCGAAAACAAACACAGTCGCCAGCCTATAAGCACTCACCACAGTATGCTAAATCGCTAAATAGGTAACTGGTCGATAACTTACAGTGCAGTCCTGATTAAGGGACAGCGCGTGTCAATGTAGGACAACTGACCGGCTGTTGTCTGAGTCGTACCATAAGGAGGAGGAAAACTGGAGAAGCCAGCATAGCATCCCTACTTCTATGCATATTTTGCAGTACCTCTATATCTGCAGTATGTAGTTACGAAGCATCCGTACTCGTGTTGGTGGAATCGATGCTCCAGATTACGTGCATTGACGTTAGCTCAAAGGATTAACAGTCTGAGTCGCTGACGTCAGATTCAGACTCCACTTCCGGGTTCCCAGAATAATTTGCATCGAGGGCAGGCTTCGTCAAGAGCAATAATTTGTCTGTAGCTACTAGCCACCGTCCGGTAACACTTTTCCGACGACATCATTTTCCAGTGGTGTTAGAACTCGCGCTCGTGCATTGATGTGGTTGACAACCACCGCTAGTTTTATACCAACCGCCGCCATTTTGTTTTATAGTTTTGTACAAATATAACACTTTATACTTATGTCGCAGAAAGTAAAAATACAGATACAGTTATTCATACATGCCGGTACATTCATTTGATTTCTTTGGCGCTGTACAGCATTGTTTCGACGAATCTTGAGCATGTAATTAAGAACGAAATTCTGCATAACCAGGAACATCATAATCGAATAACAGGTAACAAAAAAAAGATTACAATGTGTATCCGTTTTTTCTCAAAAACTTGTATTCTAAAATGAGTTGCTGCAGTTGGCGAAGGTTTTATGGCAGGAAGATAACAAAACACATATCGTCCAGAAACCCCGAAGGAATACAAAGAAAGTACTTTACGTACAGTATTGCGAAAAACATTTTCACGTCATCCCCGGTCGGTGTGGTAAAGCAGAATATTCATCCGCCTGATGTTTTGTGATACTCGAATTTGAAAGTGGGAATTCACAAGTCACAACCATGGCACAGTCAAAGCACTGTACGGCTAACTTTCGACCGAAGCAAAGTCAACCGTCTATATTTGCGACCACAGCAGTCTTGCAAAACCTTGGTGAATATTCAGTTTGTTATTAAACTTAAAGTATCGTCAAATTGAACACCTTTTGACCTTTCGAAGTTTTGACCTTTGATTTTTGAACTTTTGAAGTTTAAGTTATTCATATTAACCGATCGCTAGAATTTACCCATTTCTGTTTTCAAATTTTAAGTAAATGCTTTTTTGACAGTTTGGATAAAAGTCCAGTTCTAGTTGATCATAATTTAACGAAAAAAAGGAAGCACAAAACAATTTCTGGTCTTGAGAATGTGTGATTCCGCGTTCGAGCACCAACACTGTGATTCGTCGGAAATACACATTCGTCGAGGAAATCGGTAATTAAATTAATTTGTTTCATAACCCGCTGCAGTAGAGACTTCGAAAGTTTTATGACAACTTTTCAGAAGATGGTACTTTTCGTTGGCAGGTAGACAGAAGACATGACGGAAACGGCTCGCTCTACCCCTTTTTTGACGCAGTACTTGGTTGTGGTTTGCCGGGAAATGCGGCTGTACTTGTTCTCGGTACATTGATTCTAGATCAAGTAAGTCCCAAGGATTTTGGTTGTTTTTTCGGTGTTCAAATAAACGTTCCACATCGTTTTGTGTTCGACTTAGAAACTTTCTGCGCTGAACGGCATTATGGTACCCTGATCACCAAATGATTTCCGTATTTCCTATATTTTCTTTCCGCTCGATCAACTGATCATGACATGCCGGTTGTCATATTCTAGCAAAAATTATTGCGTTGGTACCAGACCGACGCTATATGTATTGTACATATGCTAGCTTCTAAGTTCAACTGTTGCTATGCTATTCCACCTACAGTACAGAATTACAGATAGAAATAAGCATTTTACAAAGCACTACATTGTTCTACAGAACGTTCCTAAGGTAATCCAGAAATTACAACAAATGCGTAAAGCAAAGCTCGCATCAACACCTTTAACGCCCACCATAAGCTAAATCTCAAATAAAAATCTTAGTTTACTCTCCTTCCAAATGAGCTCAACAAAATCATCTCTGAACTTAATTTCGTGTGATAGCATGAACAAGGAAGCCCATCAAAAAGGAGTCAGCTGCTCATTGTCAGACTGATGTCCTGTTCCACCATTGTTAGCCGTGGGAACCATGGTTTCCAGTTCGTCACTGCTAGCGCCCTGCGTGGTTGTAAGAGTTCTTCTGCGCAGGCTTATGTTACTGGTTTGGCTGTACGAAAATGTAGACGGACGTCTGGAATCAGATGCTGTCCATCCACAAGGAAGCAGCCACTTCCGCAACACTAAAAACGTTACAGAACATAACTTTAATACAAAGCATTCCATATATACAGTAAGCCAACGTATCGAATTGCGATGGCACTTACGATATCTGAATTTCTTTGTATGTAATGCATACATAATCGGATTCAGTGTCGGGTTCAAATAATAAAGTGTGCCTGCAACATTAAACTAGTTTTCTCATTTTCGTCGTTCCAAAAGAAGTTGACAATAAACATCTAAATTAAAGTCGTCACAGCCGCCATGCATGATGCATTACATCACCATTCTGCAGCACGTGCATCGATGACCGAATACCGCCACTCTCCATGCCATTACAGGCTACTGCAAATACCATACAAAGGAAGTCGTACCGGAAACCTTATGCAAATCTGTATACAAATTTTTCAGGAAATCCGACGCGGTTGTCCAGTCAACATACATCGTCATCAGGCGCTGAGCTGGGCCGGACAAAAAACGCGTTCATAAATACGTGGGTTGACAGATTTATCGTAGCGTGGAAAAGCTTTGACATACCATGAAATACTGAGAAACAAATGAAGAACGATGCCACAATTCCCACTGCAAAGCCAAAATTTGGTTAATGAGATTAACCTGCTTCGGATTAAACTAATTTAGCTAACCGGAAGTAAACACTAAACATGCTCTCGTTCCTGGAATTTAAGACTGCATAACATCATTACAACTACAGTTACTGTATTATATTCGCGTATTTCGAGACAGCAGCATCGATGAAGGTACAGCATGCGCATGCCGGTTGCTTGAATAAAAATTCAACTGTAATGTACATGCAGTTAAAATATTTTCTTTGAAAATCAAAACTGGAACAAAAAATTAGTATTTTTACACTAATTTTTCTGCATAATTTGATTAATTTATTGCAGTACGTAACACCGTTACATAGGCAGCGATAATGTACAAACCTAAAATGTTTATGTAATACATGTACTTCTCACAAGCTATAAATACCGTAATAGTTTGCATAGCAAAAGTAACCATTAGCACGCACATTATTGATCAGTTGTTACCAGCTGCTTACTAGTTGTAAATCGTATTGTAGTTGACATTTGTGCGGGGCTAATAAGTGTAGGTTAGATTTTCGTATGTAACCTACTGCAATCCCGCCGGAAATTCTAAACATATAAGAAGCAGAAGAAAATATAACAACAACTGAGAGTTACCATCTATTTCTGTCCCTAGCTTACAAAAATCTTTCAACTGATGCGAAACAGACAAATTCTTTGCCCATGGGCACATGTAATTGCGAGTGTCATCGCTTTTCACACGGTGTCCCTCATCTATCATTAATGAGCCTATCATTCTTACCAAGCATCTTGATGACAGATATTCTGGACCGTAAATGTCGGTAGTTTTTCCGGGTCTCCACGTTATTGTTGGGAGGAGGAGCGGGATGCGGATCGCCGGCAGGGAGTGGAGTCCGGTCGGACGGCGAGTGCAGAGGGGGTGTTCGAGCAATTTGCGTCTTTAATACGGCTTGCTGGGACAATGTTATCCCGATCTGTATGTATAGTGCAGCAAGCGCCACAAAGGGCAGCATGAAAAACGCCACAAAGGAATACTCCAAGAACCTCCTTATTATTATGTGCTCCCAGGCTACTCCACACCAGGCGGATTCTGATTACAAATCAGCAATTTAAATTAACGAGAACAACAAACATCCGTCCATTAACACGCTAATAGCGCTGATAGTACACACAGTAGTGCGAGATTCAAAATGATACTGTCGCAATAGTCTCGTTCGGTTCAGCTGATTACTGTGGAAAATCAGGAATGGATTAATAAAATATATAACTTGATCATGAAGTACAGTTAGTGTCCAGATCTGTGACTATGTATATATAGTTCTACTAAAAAAACAATTTTGCAAGCATTTGTATTTTTGAACACATTCTGATTTCCGGATCCGCAAACCATGCTTCCAAATATAATAGAGAAGTACATATTCTACTTATCGTATATATACGTACATCCCTTGCTATTTAATACCTCTGTTATTGCGATTTTAATGTGGCACACATCTTCTTACACTAAACCACATATGTGCCAAGCTTAACGATCGACTAACTAAATACACATAATTATGACTGCATTTGCAAGCAGCAGAATTGCGGCGTCTGCTATAGTTTTACGACCTACAATGTTCTTAGTTTTAGGATGCAGAGACAAAATTCACGGTCCCCTCGTAATAACTGATGCCGAACATCAGTCGGGCAATTCGTTTTCAAAAACGTTAAACAGACTGCTTTTCCTCGACATGGAGCTCACAATCTGCTGTTCGCAAAAATTTGCGCACGCAATATCGAATTACTTTGCTAAAAAGCAAGATTAACTCAGGAGAAAAATTTGTCTTTTACTGCCCTTTCTACGGAGCTAAATTTGCGACAAACGTATTCCAAATTCTGATCGACGAACGGTAGTCGGCGTGTACCTATACTGCTGTTTCTCCGACGGAATATCGATCACGAAAACTTATTGCTTTTGATAGCATTGATCTAAACTAATTTATTATTTACGTTCAAGACTCCAAGCTTTCTGTCTTATTTTTTCAGAGTACCGCGGTACATTTATGGTCTTTCGACTAAGCAAGTAAAAATGCAGTCGTTAATGTGAGATGCGTCGCATGGGGCTTCGTTTGACTATAACTTTTGTGTTCTAAATCTGCAAAGTGCTTCTTTTGCAAGAGCGTCAGTAGTTTACATTTTACTACAAATCCCGAAAGTATTTTAAATAAATCGTCCGATTAATGATAGTTTTACCTTTTATAAGACGTTTGGGATCGCCAGGATAAGGGAGATAATTTATTTCCGAAAATACTCCATACGGAACAGCATTTAGAATGGCGAAAATCCATATAAAAAACACAATCTTCCAGATGCGGCTCTTTCTACTGGTCATAAACATACGAGATAGTAAAGGGTATACTATCGCAAGATGTCGTTCGATCGTGACTGCAACAATATGGAACGTTTGACTCTTTTAAATACCATAATATAATTATCGCAATTGCCGAAATATTTATCCAAAGGAATACATAAATACTTGTATTTTGAAATATGTGCAAGAATTCATGAATGTATTTGTAAAGTACTCGTAAGGGTATTACTAATCTTCCTGTAAGGTGTTTATAATCGTACAGTATTGTTAACAACAATGCTGTTCTTACAGGCTAAAATGGTCATTATTGATATGTAGAGAAATGCTTCGCTTGCCTGCAACAATAAAGGTCACAATATTGGCTAATATGCAGTTGTTTACAACGGTTTTTGCATTTACTGCTATTAATGAATAATTTAATATTTGCAGGTTGGTGAAGTTAAAAATTTTTGTTTTTAAAGCTATGACTCATAACAAGATAAGTAATAAATTTTTGTTCACATATTTTGACTTATCATTACATCAGATGCTCCAGTTAAACAAGTATAATTTTAACGTACCATACTCCGAAACCGGCAAAACCAGATGTCAAAAGGAAAAGGATACTGGCTCCAAAAGCCGCGAATCTCGTCAGGTATTCCTGCAAAATTCAGAAACTTTTAAATCACTTTTCATATTAATGCCTTTTAAGCAAAAAATGTTATAGAACAGTCATTTCTTAGTAGATGATCTTGCGAGTTCCGCTCAGGTCAGCGCCGACTATAGCATCAATTAAATTTATCGTGCCTTCATTATGTGAGTTTTTATCTGCAAAGCGATCTTATCTTTACAATGATTTTAATTACCGAGTAGTAAAATAAAGATATCGGATGCGGCAAGTGAAAGTCTGCAAAACAAACGCAGTGTGGTTATGGTACACCGAAATCTTAAAAAAGGAAGTTCTTCGTCGAGCTGTATACAGGTAATAATTAGTGGGTGTATGGGTTCGGGCATTTTTTAATATGGTGATAGCGGTAGCCAGATTTCCGGTCATCCCGGTAAGGAATAGAAGACAATACACAATGGTTGATGGTATTGCAGAATTCGTGGTAGCCGGTCCAAAGATGCACTGGAGATAGCGGTCGATATCGAACGTCGTGTTTGGATTCCTTTTGATCGTTGCCAGGAACGCGGAGCAATTACTGGTGAGAGCACTCATGATGAAAAAACAAATAACTTGCACTTTGCTACTTATAAAATCATCGAAAAATATCACATTCCCAGCGTTTCCAGTCCCAGTTTTTGGCCAATCATTTCGGACGCGATCACGTGGTCAGAAAAAAGCTGTATTGAGACAAACGAGCGACAGTTTACATTGTTACAGTAGTTCACTGTATGACAGATTGTCGGCTCAATCAGTATCGTTTAATGGGAAATGTGATTAGGATGATAAACAGTATCCATTCAGCCAGGGGCGGTATCTCCATCTGTTTAAATTGGACGAATGCAGATACCGTAAAGATACATGCGGCGGATTGTAACGAGCTTTTGATGACGGATAGCTCAACGTGTCAGCAGACAATTAAACACAGCTTTTTTCTCAAATTCTGGGTTAAGATGAGCCAAATAACGGGAAGCGCACGCTAGCCAGTCAGCGTCCGTATTTTCCGGGTTTTGTCTGCGGCTGCAGCGACCGGATTGGGATGCGGGGAAACACTTGATACATGAGTAGTTAAAAAAGATAATAATATTCTGCAATTGACAACTTCCGATAAACAGTCGAGAGCAAATGTTTTGTTGTGGGCTGGTGTATAATACCAGCGCGTACAGATGCGTTCTTCGCCTGATTTTTAATTCCTACCCTGCTGCGTGCATGCCGCTACACGGACGGACAAACGTTGCACAATTGGAAGAATATCCCGCGTGAATCGCGCAACTGGGCGTAACCTGAGACGTACCGTGCAAGCTAACAGAACTAGACATCACTTGCGGATCATATTTGCATAATTCCTTCTTTTCATGATGATGTTCCTTGCCTTATAAGTGCAGATATACAAACACTTCCGCAACATCGCACGTAAAGATAACTTATGTATGACATGACATGATGTTTAGAATACCTATTATCATTCTAATAAATTGCCTTGTGCTACATATACAACAAGTGACACTTCTGCATTTTCAACTTATATCTTCGTATTTACATCATACTAACAAGCTACGCTGAAACAATGAAGCTCCACAAACATATCATGATAAATATGACTTACAACCCAACGTACTCTAATTAAGTCTGCTGCTGGAGCAGTTTTCAATTATCCAAAGAATTCAAATAAAAATGCCCAGTGCCTGTGACATGTCCGTCATGCTTAGCAGGGAGACGGTGACTCCTTGTTCGTTTGTTTGTCTGCAGTTTCTCCAATACCCATTTGTACAGTACATTTAGGGGGCGAATAATTTTCTATAACTAGACACTTATTTAAATTTTTCAAAATAAACCTGACAACACAAGTACTCAGGATATCAGTACTACCGCGTCACTTCCTAACCGGTAAGGCAAAAAATGGAATCTCGTTGAAATTGTATGAAACCTCTGTCGTTTGTAACTTGATTAATAAAAGCCGCATGGACTTATCCGTCTTTAATATCGTTAACACAGTATGATGGATAGTGATCCCAGATTTATTCAAAATTCAGAGTAGGCTATATGTATTATGTACGGTATGATGGTATGATTGGTATCCCACTGGATTCATAGCAGAGACTTATCGTTAGCATCGTACAAGTACTGTAACACATTACAATATAAGCAGGACCTACTGTATACAGTAGGTCCTGATATAAGTATGCTGCCCTCCTAATCTTTTATAATTTTTAAAAAATACATTTGCTTTGTTTTCTTATAACAATGGAGCGGATGCGAAAACTCAGGGCGTGCTGCACTGCTGCGGGCGATAAATGTTTTTAATGCTGTCGGCGAAAATTAAAAACATACATATGAATGATATGATAATATACGGTAATACATATTATTGATGTTAAAATTGCTATTGCAAGTTAACCACACACGAGCGGCAGCTGTAAGCGCGCAGTCGGTACTGCAGACCGCGCGGCAGCTTCATTATTAACGCGCACGGTTTCTTGAACTTTCTTCCAGAATAGTGCTGAGAATACTTACCAAAATTGTTTCACAAAAGACAAACCAACGTTCGGTGGATACATTTCGCAGTGTTGGATGGTTGAATCTGGAGTGAAGGATTAAACGAGCTCTTTCTTGTTTGTTGGTTTATGCTGCTGTTTGTTGTAATTTTGTTGAGATATCGAGGTTGTTCTAGCTTGCAGCTTGCTGTCATACTTTGTTGAAAATGGTGAGTACTGTATCTAATAGCTATCATGCATTCCTACGGGTGCTACGACGACCAGGGGCCAGATCTGTTCATACTGTCTGGCCTGCTGTCATTCTAAACCATTCCTCCAAGCGCTGAAACTTTTACTAGTTTCGTGAAAGATATGATATGTTGTAAATTGTATTGTATCTGTAGATGGTTCGTCGGCCTCTTCAGTCCATTCCAGTACATCAAACAATGATTAACCAAATTAACAAAACTCCAGAGCTCTGTAAACCGATGAATGACAACGGACCACTGCGAAAGAGCAGTAAGGTAAACAGAAATGGAAAATATAGTGTTAAGAACACGGGTTATCCGATCGGCTGTTAAATGAAACTGTTAGCAGGGGAACTCCGTAGTTAGCACGGAAAAACGCCTGGGTTCGTCCAAGGAGAAAAGCACCGTTAAGAAATTGCCTCCGACAGGCCAAAGTCGATCTCGCATTTCCGATGCTACGACCGCGAGGATTCCCTTCACCATATTTGAAGACAATCCATCGCCCAACCACCAACTGAAAGGGAAAATCTCACAGGAGATGAGCCATTCTGGGCTCAAGAATCGCGATAAGTCGGCGCGGCAGCACCCTCCCAAATCCACCAAGGTGGCTCCATCTCCCGACAAGGAAAATGTCTCAGCGTTGCAGAGTTAGTCTTATATCATTTTCTGCAACTAAGGCGGTTAGCTTATGCACGTAATTTTTGTTGTTGAACAGTAGCAGAGAAGGCGGCACAAGAGTGGAAGGATCTGGCGGAAACACGTCGAATGGCTTTGGAAGAAGCTCTGAAAGAGAATAAGCAGGTGCGTGGAGAATCGAGATGGTGTGCATCCATGAATGCAAAGAGTTGAAATATTAAGCCAATAATCTCGTATGAAATATTAGGTTGAAGTGTTGTACTAAGTCGCATTTGATATCTTTTTATTTTTCATTGTGGTGTTAGCTGTACAATATCCTGGAATCGTATAAGCGGGAGAATGAAGCCTTCCAAGACTTAGCAGAAAAAGCCAAGCTTCTGGAGGACTTAGTGGAAGAGGTGATTTATGACAATAATGTCTACTCTACAGCACACTGCGTAATCGACAGCATCGTCAGTACTCACGATTTTATGACATTCGTGTTGTGTAAATAATTGTAGGAATTTAATTATATTTGCGTAGGCTGTTATCTGCTTCTGTTTCTGCAGCTTACGGAGCAAGAGCGCGTCGAAATTAGGCACATTGGTACACAAACCGATTTGGGTATGGGAATTCCAAATTGACGCCAATTGGTTCTGTGATGTACCGCCTCCAGCTCAGCAGTTCCAAACGGGAGCAGCGGCAATGTTGCCATCGGGATTGTTGCTAACTTTGCATGTTTGCAAATGTTGAACGTCCTTTGATATTGTTTTGTTCTTCGTCTTTCGCCCACTGAGGCCTTGCGGTTTGTAGCGGTTGATCTGACGTAACCAATGGAACTGTCGTAAGTATTTCGTATGCTGTGTCTGTCTTCAGTGCATTTTTTATGTTTAAACCTTTTCAAATATGCGTCTGTGTCATTTGGGTGATTAGACTCGTTAGAGGTCTTGAAAAGGGCCTGGACAACTGATTCAGTCCACTGACATTTGTGAGACAGTAAATAAACATTCCCTTAACTTCCGCCAGAGCACTGAGTACAGTGATCTACGCACCACGCTGCTGGACCAGTGCTGGTCCACCGTCCACGCATCTATTTGCCATCGTTGCATCGTTATTATTTAACTTTATAGCAAGTAAGGTACCTCTGAGAACGACAGGAGTGCCCAGGACGGTCTGATCTAATGCTGATCGTACATATCGCAACAGCAGGATTACTAGAATAACCATTCCTTTATTAATTTTGTACTTGCACAAAGTACAATTATTAAGTGTTAGATTTAACGTTCCACTGGTGGGTTAAATATTAAGTCACTGGGTAATATTAGTACGAGCATATTAAGTCACTGGGCAATATTAAAAATTTTAAATATCACCAAATCATGTACTTTGTGATATATTTTTGCGATTAATACTGACTACCTAGTAACTACAGACTACAGTCATGAGTCAACTGTCCACCGGTGAAAGCTTTATGTACAGAAGAACATTAATTTACTTTTTATCAGTTTATTGGTTACTGTACTGAAATTTGCAACATTCAGAATTTGAGTGGCAGTTGTGGGCTGTAGATTGGTACTCAGAAGTCAGCCGAGTCGGGTAAACCCTCATTCATCAGTTGAAATTGCAATTTGGCTAATTTACGAAATATCTTATATCGTTTCTCGTGATAAGCTTTAACAAGCGGGTTCGGCTCAACCAGAGATCCCTTTCCTGCCATAGCGGCGGCTGCGGTCTGGACCGATTTAAAAGTTCCGGAAGCCGTCGCCGCTAAGATAGCCGCACCCAGTGTGACGCTCTCTTGAATTTCGGGCAGCATGACCGGTTTGCCGACAATATCAGTGAGGGTTCTGACAAATAAAGGATTGAGGGATAGACCACCACATACCGCTATGCTGGTAACGCGCACGCCATGCTCCCCCATGACCTCGATGATCCATTTGCTTTCGTACGCCAGACTCTGGAGTGCAGCAATGTATAACCTAATTAACGAATGCTCGGAGCTCCCGTCTAGTGTCAGGCCGGTGATCAATCCCCTGATAGAAGGAGCTGACAAGGGAGATCGATTGCCGTGAAAGTCCGGGAAAATGTGCAGCTGGTCGGACAAATGTCCAAAGTCTTCCATATGGTCCTTCTTAGCAATTTCTTTAACACGCTGATTCAACAAAGAATAGCAATCATTCATTCCCATTTTCTCCAAATTCACCAGATAGTACGGATGGGTTTGTATGATGTGGTCTAGAAACTGCCCAGCCGAACTCTAAAAGAAAACTGGATTAGCGCTCAACAGCCATTTAGAGTTACCGGCATTTTTGGCTCATAGACGCGATAGCTATTCCTTAATAAAGATTCGTTAGTGGTTTTCGCCGATGCTTGTGAAAATTAACTAGGGTAGCACATACAATTATACATAATGCGATCTGGAAAACTGATTGTTATAAAACAAAGATTTTCTTTCAGCTACTGCTGCTACGTACGCATTATATACTCGTATGTATATCCATAAAATTAACATAATAATTATTACTAGTAACACTTATCGATTTGAATTACTGACTGTAGAACAACCTTCAATTTGTAGCAGTATAGCTTACAAGTCAGCAGTGAAAAAAGTAAAAATGTGGGAGCGGGAGTGCATTATACGAGTAATATATATATCTATACGAGTATATCTGTACAAAGAAGAAAGCCAGTTATAAACTTTTGCGGTGCCGGAACGCAAATGCATGCAGAGTTTTATACCTGCCCTCCTTCTGTAGACCAACTTTGCGGAATAATCGCCGAATAGTACGGTCCCCAGACACCGGGTACAAACAATGGCCGATCACTGCTGATCATGAAACAGGTTGAAGTTCCACAAATCAAAGAAAGTCTCGACAACGGAGTGTGGTTTTCAGAGCCAGTATAAGTCGGAGATGAGCAAAAGGACAATGCCAAAGCGCCAGCGTGCGCATCGATTATACCCACTGCCACCGGTGTGTTTTCAGGCAAGTTCATTTCATTGGCCGCACGCTTGCTGAGGCCATTGCCGACCCTTTCCCCCGGATTCCTTACATTTATCCCAATTTTTTCAAAATTATTCTGACACAGATCTTCAAGGCCAATCTGCGTAAATATCGATGGATCCCACTGTTGCTGAGTGGGTTGCTCCGGGTTAATTTGATACAGCCATTTACAGACCACGGAACAAACACTGCGGTAGTCACTGTTCGTGGCTTTCCATGTCAAGAAATCACACAGGTCCATGAATTTTTCGGCGCTCTGGTAAACATTTGGTAGGTATTTCTTGATCCACAAAATTTTTGGCAGTTCCATTTCCACAGAGACTTTCCCACCGACAAATTTAAGAGCTATGTGGTCCTGCAACGCTTCATTGATGAAATCCGTTTCCGATCTGCATAGGACCATAGGTATGTACTCGTATATAGCTATCTGTATATTACGAGTATTATTAATTATACGCACAGTTCTTATGGAGATATATGGATAGCCGGTATGTTTACTTAATTTCTGCTGTATACCGTAGTAGCAGCTTGTACACCCAAGTAGATTACAGATTACCCAAGTAGTTATTTGCTTTACTCTTCGGCAAAACAGTGTACGTTAATGGCTCATAATCTGTCAGTAATTTAGATAAAAAATATTTACAGAAGGTTATGTCGTTTTCATAAAGTAATTGAACACTATATGAAAAAGAGCGTGATTTTCGTGGCTTAAAGCATTATTATTATTGCTTGCAATATGTAAAGCACCGTATTTATGATTAGTTTGCATTTACCTATACTACCGCATGTATCATGCGAAAATTTAATTACTGCTGATCCCGTCAAAAAACCGCGTAGAAAATGAATAATTCAAGTACAGTACATATTGGCATATACACGAGAAAAGAACCAGCAAGTGATTCGGGCCTACTTTGCTCGGTGATCCTGCCACATTATAATGTCAAAAGCGTGTTCCCTGGTTTGAGATAACTGTAAAACAGAATAAATACAACTGTAAGAACTTTGCGGCTAGGAACAAATACAGTATCTGATTGAATTAGACTAATTCAGAATTTAGACAACGTACAAATATTTTCTATAGTTACTAATGCAGTTAAAGACCTGCAACTCGTATCTATTTTAATAACAGCCACAGGTAACTAATGCGTTCTTTACTTCGTAAAATAGTTAATATTACAAAACGTACGAGTACGTGCAACTATCTGATGCTGAAGTAATAATAAATTTTTAATTATGAATTTGTTTATGCGCTGCCGTACGTTCCGTTCTGAATTCGGTTCCAGATTTCCAGCGAAACCAGTGGCTGAAACATCGGTAGGGATGACAGAGATTGGTTTTCCTGCATTGGAGTCAACAACCACGAGACTGCATGTGGCGTCAAATCCGATTCCCTTAACTAAATGCGCGTCCACTTTCGATGTCACAGAGCGCACACATCGGCATACAGCATTCCAGATCTGTCCAGAACTTTGGGAAATTGTTTCGCAGGTTCGATTTTGATGGCAGACAAAAGTTTGCCGATGTATAGAGATAGGCTCGGTAGCTGTTTTTATAAATCGTGTTTCCTGCAGTGAATATAATCCGGCTCGGACGCTTGCCGATCCCACATCAACACCGATGAAATATTCCTTCGACATATTTTTATTGTTGCTGCCAAGCAGGCGTCTTGTCCAGCTAACGAAATTCTTATGCAAAATACGTACTCAGTCTCTATCTCAGTCCCGCATAGCACTGTATTAAATCTATCCGATGCAGTTAAAAGTGTGTCAACTGCATACTAACGAGTATTAAGTATATCTATATATGGTAAAGGTTACAGGAGGGTATATCACAGAGAAACTGCTTATGGTTGGACTTCATGAACCTTTTTCCTGTAAAATCGTAAAATATTGCCATAATCGTCTAATCGTAAAACTATGTCCTAATGCACTGTACCGTCAGAAACACAGGTCCGCAACATAAAGATTAGAGAGACTGAAATATCTATATATTATGACTTGTGTACAATTCTCACAGTAGTAGGCATTTTTCGCAACTGTCAGTGCTGCCTCAAGGATACAATGCAGTGGTGTACGACCACAGTCTGTACAGTGTACAATATTAAAATTAATAGCCTACTTCTATATCGCTATACCTGGCATATATGGTGCTTACGTACGAGTACAATTGTACTCAATAGTCTACACAGTAAGTATTTGTTCCACATTGACAAGACTTCAATAAGAGCTCTAATATTCTTATTTAATACGGTAGATCTGTAAACAATACAAAATTTCAGCATCGGCTAAATTGGACGAAATGATCTGTACATGTGTGATTAGTCGGCCGCGGTTGAGGCGGTGTGATTGTGAAGTTAGTGCAACTACAAATCTTTTCTTTTATAGAAGACTCATGACTGTTTTATACCGCCGGTCTAAGGTGAATTTAAAAAAAAACATTGAAAACATTTTAAAAAATCCGGACTGCTCAAGATCAGTCCAACCCGTTCAGTTTGTAAAAAAATTCTAAATTATATCGTGAACAGTTATTTATCATAGGTAAACTCTGGAATTTTGTTTTGGCTGGTTCAGGAAAGTTTGCTCTTTTCGGGGTATTTGGAAATTTTAAAATCGGGTCACCCCGTTTTTAAGTTATTGCGTTATAAGAACCCGATGATGAAAGCACTTAAGCCACACTACGCGAGCCACTGGACTACAGTAACATAACAGTAAGCATTCACCGCCACACGTGTGCGGCTGCAGCATTTCTTATCACAGCGCAGCTGCTGCTGTAAATAGTGGTGAATCCATTTATTTTTGTGTGCTGGAATAACTGGATTTCCAAACAACAGTATGATTATAGTGAATTTTTTGCTGAAGTTTTAGAACAAAGTACAATTATAGTATCGGGAGATATGGAGCCAACTTCAAGACGTTAAATATTGTTCAGGTCATCGTGATTTGATGATTCATATTAATTACTAAAGATCATCAATTTGTACATTAATATGCATATTTGGCAGGATTTGGCAGGCTGTGCCGCTGTGGAAAGTAATACTCCGTTTCGCACAAGTCATGACGTAGTACACAGTACGCTGCGCAATAGCCAGATGGGTGGCCTTAATTAATTCCCTTAACTAAATTCTCTTAATTCACTGGTTGTAAAGCTTTTATACTTCGCTTATTATACAGTACTTTTTGTCAGTACTGTAGTCCCACTCATAACAGGTAAATCTGCAGTCACTGCAGTTAGGTTATCACTTAAAAGTTGTAATATTGTACAATTTTTTTATGATTTTTCTCAATCTCCATTTTGCTACTGAATCATGCCAATTCTTTGTAACTAACGCTCCGCAGATTGGAGCTCCGAAGCTGTGTGACTGCAGCTGACTCACGGAAAACCAAGTTGGAAAGCAAACTTGTGCCGTTCCTTTGAGCTTTTTCCTTCGTTAGGACAGAACATTTCAACGTTGAACAGTTCAACTTGAACTCGTGAAAATGCTTGCGCGCAAAGTAAGTTGAGTTATTTCACCATGCATGCGATGCGTTAAACTGTGTAAAACTCTATTAGAAATGAGGGTATATTGTATGCACCATAAACTGTACGGCTGCAACATTTATCTATATCCGCTGTTGTGGTAATTCCCGAGTGTTGCTTGTGCTCTCCCAGGGTCTTCCCATTGTCCTTCGTACATGCTCCCAGGCTGTCCGCTCTTTGGCGACCGTTCCGCAGACCCGCACGCATGCCAAGTCAGACGGGGTTTCCGGTATCAGTTTTGGTATGCTCCTTCTTATCTAGAGTGTGCTCGTGTTTTTCTTCAAAATGGTTTGTCAATTTTAGATTTATCGGACGAACAGAAAGCCTACCAGGTGAGGGTTACGTCTGTGATTTTGCCACCGTGCTCTTTCACGCCGTCCCACTAATCGGGGTTGTTACATAGGGTTGTTACTGGAAAATTGCGAATCATCTTTGTTGCTTTTTAGGAAGTGGTCCGCAAGTTTGCTCGTGAAGAAATTGCTCCAAAAGCAGCGGACTACGACAAAACTGGTGAAGTAAGTCGCTGTTTCTTCGCATATGATGCACATGCACTTATTTCAGTAATATGTCCGTACCAGCTTGCTGTACTAAAGTACTTATAAGTTATAGTTATGACCGTTTGAAAGTGTATATTTTTTTTGCCATATTGGAAGTTGGTGTACAAAATGACATACGAGAGTATGGTAATTACTGCATGAACACCTGGTATTGTTGTTGTGATATGTAAGATAAATTTAATACGAGATGTAAGATTTTCCTTTGTAACATTTTTTAACTGTTTTTGAAATCTGGATTCCGAAATGCTATAAACTACCGCAGCTAAGTAAGGATGGGAAATCGTTTTGTTAAGAATGTAACATTTGGTTGACATTTTGGTTTCTTTCCTGTAACGAAAAAATCGGTGCTCTGCTGTTTGGTGAATAGTGATTATATTTTTGAATTCTTTTGCTGCATATTTTGGCATTTTGTCTACTAGCAAATTGTTACAGATATTTAATTGTAAATATAGATTTGTAAAAGTCAGATTGTTAGGCTTGGCGCCGGTAAAACGAAGTTCATTTTCATTATTGTTTGTGGTAGTATCCTTGGGATATCATCAAGAAAGCTTTCGATCTGGGATTATTAAATTCCCATATTCCGCAAGAGTATGGGTAAGCAACGGGTATTTCTAACATACTGGTAGCAAATTGTCCGTTGGACGTGTGTGTTGAAGCGTTGATTTTGAAAATTAACAGAGGACCAGGAATGGGAAGTCTGGACGCTTGTGTTATCACGGAAGAATTAGCTTGGGGATGCACAGGAATTGCAACAGCCATTGCTGCGAACGGCCTTGGGGTATGCTTTCGGCTAAACAGCGTTCGGGTGTTTGTTGTTTGAATACTTGTGCCTTGTAAGCGTTATAACCATAGCGAAATTAGAACTAGTGGGAAGGTTGCCTTTTTGCCTTTTACGGTTAAGCGAGTAAAACTTGGAGAATGTTATGGACTTCTATATTTTTGATAATTTTCTAGCAAGCACCCGTTCTTCTTGCTGCAACCCACGAGCAGAAACAAAAATACCTTGGACGTATGACAGCCGATAACGGGGATAAGCCGCTTATGTGTGCGTATGCTGTGACGGAACCCGGAACCGGCTCGGATGTTGCTGGAGTGAAGACCAAGGCCGTACGGCAGAAAGACGGTTCTTATGTTTTAAATGGACAGAAAATGTGGATTACTAATGGTTAGCTGCAGAATCATTTACTCCACAAAGAAATATAGTTATCGTTTTAGGTTGTATGTGTTACAAATTAAGAAGTTAATTCCGAATAAAATGGCACTTGGCTATTTTTAGCTGGAAAGGCAAATTGGTTCTTTGTCCTGGCACGGACAGCCGACGATCCGAAAACACCTACAAATAAAGCTTTCACGGGATTTATCGTTGAAGCAGACACTAAAGGTGTAACGCTTGGACGCAAGGTTAGCTTCACTGGTATTGGGATGAATATCGGTGCACTTTTGGCTTTCTTGCTAACTTTTGATGCACACGGTTTTCTGTTTTAGGAATGGAATATGGGTAATCATCCTTTGATGTATGATGTTAAAGTGAACCATAGTTCATTCCTGTTATCGCAGGACAACGTGCGTCTGATACCCGTGGTATCACTTTCGAAGACGTTGTAGTGCCGAAAGAGGTACAGATCCGACTTTCTTCTGATTTTCTTCGTATTCGGACGTATGTATGTTTGGTTGGCTGTTTCTAGAATGTTCTCGCCGTTGAAGGCGCTGGTTTCAAGATTGCCATGGGCGCTTTTGGTAAATGTGATTTGCAGTTTAACGGTTTTCGTGGTAGTTAGACATTTCGTTGCCCGAGCATGGTACTGCTTGAGTAAGAAATCTAGGACATAACTGCAGTATGGCATCTTGCAACTTATGGGTGCAATTTAACATTTTAAAATCTAGATTTATACGAAATTGCTTAATTTTAATCACACTAAAGGATATGTTTTCGGTTTTCATCCAGATCAGACCAGACCCCCCGTAGGCGCAAGTGCTGTCGGGTTGGCACAACGGGCGATGGATGAGGCTGTCAAGTACAGCACGGAGCGGAAGACATTTGGCAAATTTATTTTCGAGGTATTTTGCCATTTAACGTGAAACTGTAGATGGTTAATTAACGAAAAAGGCCGGTTACTGATATAGCATCAATCCGTGGGAAACATTTTGGCTGACATGGCCATTAAAGTGCAGAATGCCCGCTTGGCAACATACCGGGCGGCGTGGGAAGTGGATCAGGGCAGGAATAACACATACTACGCAAGCATTGCCAAATGCTATGCAGCGGATATTGCTAACGAAGTAGCCGCGGATGCTGTTCAGGTAATAACTCACAAATGCTTTTGACATTTGGTTACCGGTAAATAATGGGCCTCGTCTGATTCTCTCGCGTTTTCATCATGACTGGATAGGTTTTCGGTGGCAATGGCTTCAACAGTGAATATCCTGTAGAAAAATTAATGCGTGACGCAAAAATCTTCCAGGCAAGACTTCAGTATTCTGTCCACGTCCTTCTTGTTGAGCTGTCAGTTCTCCTTTTTTTGTAGATTTATGAAGGCACCAGCCAAATTCAGCGGTTGATCATCGCAAGAGAATTAATCAAACAAGCTTCTTCGTGATCGGCGCTAGAGAAAACAACATTCTGATGGCACAGTTCAGATTGATTGTTGTTGTTTGCGTTCGTAATTCGGGTTATTTATTATATTTTTTGATTTTTTCTTTCTGTTTATAAGTGAAAACTTCTATAATCTACGTTGCACCACATCTACATAGAATAATAGTATTAACAGATTTTGCACCTGTCCGACATTCTTCGTCGTTTGTCGACAAAAACATATGGATGATCAAATAAAATTCTGAAGTGCTCGCAAGTGAAAAGATGTTGTAAGTGTAGGTATGTTTCTCGATCCGTCGGTGGTTGTATGAAGGGCATAGTAGTGAATGAGTATCAATTGTGAGATAATATGAAAATGCTGTATTTTATCAGTAAATGGGTCTGTCTTTGACTCTGCAACCGCTGCACACATATGTGGAAAAATGTGGACATGCGTATGCGTATGCATGGACATGCATGTCGGTTGTGCGCAACTGCTCGGATGACCTGTCACCTGGTGTCATCACGAAACATCGGAAACCATCCCAGAACCTACCATGCACATAGGTATGCTATGGTGGTCCATTAAAGCGTGCAGGGTGCAGAATCACTGGAATCGTTTGTTTTGCGCAGTTAATGCCTCATAGGCGTGGTAGCGAAAGGTCACCTGCATTTGATCACTTAATTAGTTGTGCGCATGGCAGTACTTGGACATGTACATGTCGGAGAAAAAGGCCGAGAAGGAAGACATACCCACGCGCGCATGGAAAACAAGCAAGTAGCGTCTAACGTGACCCACGGCTTCGAGTGGCAGCTCATCCTTTTCTCTCCCGTTGTCGCGGCCGTGCCCGACCCGCACTACCCAGCTCTTCAGCATCAATGCGCGTGCGCCGTGCATCCACTCGAGTGGCACGAAGACGTGCTCCGCGAGCAGAAAAACATGGCGTGATTTATCGACCAGGTAAAGAGGTGAAAACTAACATTTCTCCTCTTTAAGGTAAGTACCTGATATTACGCCTATGCTGTACTAATGATGCTTACTGATTGACTCTTCGATCCCCGCTCCTCTCCCTGTTATCGATCGCCAGTGCACTGTGTTAACGTTGGCACACTGCGCATGGCACATATATGGCACTGTTATATGCAGCATGCACTCGCTCATACCGGTACCGGAGCAGCTTGTCGGTTATTGATTTCTTATACTTACCGGCAAGGTATGGCACAGTAAAATAATATAATATATTATGTATGTACATACGGTAGGGAAAATTATTGGTATCTTCTTCCTATCTGCAAAATCGATAATCATATCCTCGTACAAGCTGGTCATGTGGAGTGATCGCACAGGTAGCTCCGACATGGATCGACAGCCGTACACGGGAATATTGAATCGCGCCTATGTGCTAAATGATCGAGAACCCTGTGTTGATCCACAGGACAACATTCCTGCTGCATGCTTCTAATTGGGCCAGTTTCCTTCTACAGTCTTCGTGGTTGAGGCGCGCTGAATACATAGTCTTGCACTAAATGAGACCGCATAATGGGGATTAAAGAGCTATTGAAATTACTGTCATTTGTAGTTGTTAGTTATTACCGATAGAGATGTGGCGTTTAATGCTTGAATTTTAATTGATCTTGAATACGATTTCTCTTTTCGTCGATATAACACCGAGTCTTTGCAGAAGTTAGCGCTTACTTTTAACTTGCACGGATTCACCAGCACTCGCGGAAGAAAACTTGGACCGTGTGGCCGGATCCCTAGATTGTATAGTAAGTAGTCTAAAAGTTGCTTTACAGTGCAGCAAAAATTTATTGCTGCCAGGAGCTAAGAAAATAGTTGATTTGGTAAATATCCTGTTTGCTTAACATTCGTAAATGCCTTATTTGGCGACAGAGTCTGCGGTTTTGAGACAGCGTTAATAGTTAACTAAGTAATTTTGTCACGGTGAAGTTGAAATGGTTAATTGCGTATGCTGTGTACAGTACACTCAGCTGTAAATGCGGAATGCGTCTTCCTTTGACTATCCCTCCTTACGTCATTTAGTAATGCAAAACTGTGGGCCTTCTGGACCTTCCTTTCGATATTTTTTCATTACGGTCAGCTTTTACGGTACTAGGTACATGTATTATTATACAGCAAATTTGACGCTAAAGTAACTGTTATGCGACACGACAAATTTTCACCCTGTCTGTTAATACTTTCGAAACAGTGTTTTTTTATGACGAATTCTTTTGTCGGTATTTTGGTTCTGCAAACATGATCCTGAATAAATTACATTGCTGTCTGCATAAGTAACATTTTCCTCCACTTTCGCCATGAAGACATAAATAATAATCTTGTCTCGATAACTAATCTTGACGCTACTATACACTAAAGTTGAGAAAGTTATAAAGAATTATTGATCGGCGCAGTTTATGGCTGATAGAAAATTTAAAGAACAATAATGATCATTGCAGCTTATAAAGAGTTTTAATGTTTTGCATTGGTGTTTATAAGTTAGCTCAGGCTAGACCGCAGTCGTTTTAATTAGAGGGCGCCGTGTGGATAAATATTATTGTTACTACGATATTTCATTAACCATACTGGCAGTACCAAATTACTGCTAGTATAAGAGTAATGTATCACACGGCACAGCCGCACGATAATAAATATTTGACAGTGTTTGCATTCTCTTTAAAATATATTTTTTTCATTGCGAATCCTTTCGTCTATGACTTTGTACTGCTTTTATATTTTTAATATCTGGGTTCATGGATAGACGAGTACGGCAGAATCAAATCAAAGCAACAACCAGCGAATCCCACAGCGTATGAGATTACATGACCCTTGCTGCTGAACGCAGGTACCAAGGGAGGCAAGACCTGTGACCTTATGAGCTAACTGTTTATAAAGAAGAACAGCGAGAAGCCATACTTCATTTTACAAAAAAAATAATAAACTTAACTGCCTTACGCATCTTGAAAGATTGTATTGCTTGCTACTGGCAGCATACGGAAAAGTTTGAACAATCCTCCGTTTTACCTGGATTCAGACATCAATCACAAGCTCGTACATAATATTGGATCCTGGATATACATGCCGGTAGAATGTCGATATGAAACTGCATTCATATCACGCATCGATGCACTGTACACAGCAGCAGCTGGAAACATTACAGGAATACCGTTGTTTATGCTAACTGCAAGCCGTATCGATTTTCTGATTAATGAAATTTTCTCTTTTGATTAGGTTTCTGAAAGAACACATTCCTACTGTATCGATATCCGGCAGCTTGGGTTGCAGCCGTCATTAGATTAGGTAAAGACCGCTATTGCGCTGACGTATTCAGACGGGACTTGCAATGATTAGAAAAATGAGCTGCGGGACTGCCAGCAAAATAGCACTGCAGCAACAAAATGATCTCGATGAACAAACACTCATAGGGCTACCTTCGTAATTATGTGCCAGGCATAGAATAGAATATACAGATTAGACAATCATCCAGCCTCTCAGACGGGAGCCTGCATTTCCACACAGGAAAACGAAGCACTTTTCTTGTCCAATGTCGGAAAGGTTATGTTGTTTCTCATAACCGATATCAACAGTACTTTCTCCGATATCATTTACATAAAGGTTAGTTAATTCTAATTCTTATTTCTGTTTCTCCTGCCGTTCAAAAACACTGCATCAGCTCCGATAAATACAATACTCCGATAAAGACTTCCCTTCATTGAACAGATTCAACTAACTTGTAAATGCCGTTGTCTTGATCAACAGTTTAAAAAACAGCGCATAATGCGATGATTATAAAGTATATCGTAGCGGGACTTTCTTACAGTTAGTAGTATTACTTATGACTTTTAATTGTAGGCATTAGAAGTTGGCTTGTCATTAGTATCACAGCGTTTATACGTACACGATGAGCCTGTATCCGACTGCAACCATTGTCAAGAGCGGCGGCATACCTGCTTCCAACAATATCGCTGGCCACAACGGTGCAACTGGATCGCAGCAGCCAATTCCCGCCGCGCCGGCCACCAATGTGTTAACGGCTCAGAATCCCACTACATCGAACAAACATCTGAGCCCAGCCAGTACCAGTTCCGAATGGCCGACTGGAAAAACCGGCTCAGGCAAACTAAAAGCTGCACCCCAACATCGGGCCTCCATTTTCGATAGTTTTGTGACGGTGAAAAATAGCCTTCGCAGCCCGCAGCTGGGAGTGGATCAAATGGAAGTGGCGGAAAACGTTACGCGTTCGCGAAGTTTCGTTGTGACCCGTGATCGTCTAACGCGTTCCCGCAGCGACGACATATCTGAACTGGATGACCAGCCTGATGATTCATCGGCATCTGTCACGGATGTTAGAGTAAGCAAAAAACAGTTGATTTTGTTGCGATTGGGGATACATATTGTGAAGAACATTAATCAGCTCTTCAAGTGCCGAGAATGCCTGCACCTGATCGTGAATTAAACTATATATCGGAGCAGTAGCAAGTAAATTACAACAGCACAACTGATAATTTTAGCCTCTGCAGTATGCTTACTAGACAAGTGAATGTCTGCATGTACGTTAACGTCGTGCGTATAACGCAGGGGTAACTATGATGGGATGACCTTTTGTGTTATCTTAGTGCTTACTGCTTACATGGAACAATACCGTAGTAAAACGTTTAAAACATTTGTGAATTATTAGGTTAGTAATGTTAAAGGCTGCAATAATTTGCATTTATATCAAATTTTATGTAAGAACGGTTAATACGCCTATATCGATACAGGTTCACATTCAAAGGGAAAATTCATTACTGTCAATCGGAACGATTACACCGCGGATCCCTGGACAACCCCGCACACCGTCTGGAAGTATAGCATATGTTGCGTGGGAAGATCATGATAGTACCTCGACCGTGGCGACCTCGCAACCTCCGTTGAAAATATGGACGGAAGAAGCCCTCCTGCAGTTTGGCCAAACTGCTTACCATGACGAGGTTAGCCCTGCTGTCGAAAAATTACTGTAATTCTCAAAAAACTATTTCCTCATCAAACGCAAATAGTCAGTTTTGCTAACATTGAACATTTCAATTCTACGCGCAAAATTATGCTATGCCAATGCGTGAGGTCAAGTTTTTTTATCACACGTATTCATTGTAAAATGTCTGATCTAACTGAGTTCTGTTATTAATCAACGTTATTTTGTTGCAGAATTTATCGCAGATAACGGATTATTTGTACATCGGTGACATTTACGCTGCAAACAATGATCATTTGATGTGTCGATTAAATATTGATGCAATTGTAAGTGCCGCTGCAAGCACAGTTAATGCACCTAGTAATGATGATGATTTATAAATACTGCACGTGACAGCATATAGAACTGCCGGTATATTACTCCTGCTTTTTTGTTGAGGTAATTTAATTCTTTGCATTCCTAAACATAGCTTTGCGGACTTATTTAGGTTGATATGAGTAATCTTCGGCCCGCTGATGTCCGGAAATTAAAGGCTTGCCATATTCCCTGCACTTGTCCAATTAGCACCAATCATCAACGAGCGAAACTGATCCTCGGCGTCAAAAATCAAGAATCGGAGGACATCCATTTGTACTTCGACGAAATTAATCGGTTTATTGAATGTGAGATCGTATGGCTTTCTGCTAAAGATTTGGCTGAATGCATAAATTATCTGCAGGGAAATTTATTTTACTGTTTCTATAATTTATAATTAACTGAAACTTGATAAATCTGTTTGCGTACAGTAACTCGATGAAACATATAGTATGCATAACGGGGAATATTTTCATACAGCAATCCGACGAAGCGGCAGGAAAGTGCTAGTGCATTCTGTGCGTGGACAAGGCCGGTCGGCAGTGGCTGTGATTCAGTACCTGATGCAGGTTCACCGTTTGAACATGCAGGCAGCGTTTCGGGTTACCAAATTAGCCCGTGTCCTGAAAATCAACCCGGGCTTCCGGGAGACTTTGGAGTTTTTAGAAAGCCAATTAAGACGAGAAGGGAAACTTCCACCGGCGGAAAGAAAGCATCGCCTGGCTCCCAGGCTTATTGTTTAATAAACGTCCTCTAACCATGGCTAGTCCTGAAAATGGAAAGGCTTAGTCATGCTCGATAATTATTTCTGATATCATGAACCGCATATTCCACAATTTCAGCACCATATGTTTGTACAATTACGTGGTTTTTGCACCATAGGCTATTTTGTGCGACCAATGGCCGCCGCTGAGTTTTATAAACAAAATCGTTCATGATTAACTATACATATTAATAATTCATAATTCACAAAATTTAATGTTGTATTGCATGCACATGATTTACTATGAAGTTGATATGCATCTGTATGTATTATAATATAGATATTTGCTCCATATAAAAAATGGAAGAGCAAAGTTTCTTTGGTCGGCAACTTCTTTGGGCTCTAAAAGGCTGGTGCAGTGTTGGTCTGCACAGTAGGGGCGAGTTCCTTTCTCACTGGTCGTGGTTGGCAGTGGTCGCCGGTCGCCTGATTATCCAACACGACTGCTGATAATTTACCCAAAAATGTCTCGACTGCAGATAATCTACCCAAAAATGTATATGTGGAAAATGGTTTAACAAACAGAACTCTGGTGTTGACGGAGATCAATGGCAGAGTATTACTTTTTACTAACTGCAGGCTAGTTTATCCAAATTAGAAAGGTAAGTACTGTAGGTACTGAACAGTAAGCTGTCTAGTTGGATGTTTTATAGCCTGGATTACCTACTCTAACCATAAGTGTTTTACAGTTTTATTTTGAAATTAAACAGAATTTTGCTATTTTAAATCTATCATGGCTCTCAGGGAGAACAATTAATTTTATACATCATTAGGTAATTAATTAATTCATGTTGCAGTTTACACCACGACGCACGCGTTATATGTGTTAATGTACATTTGAACAGTAATTACAACGTTATAATCATGATAATATAAGTACTATACACCTTTAAATTTAAAACCGGTTTACAGTTTTACTGCTTTACAATTTTACTGGTTTACAATTTTACTGCTTTGATACCTCAAAGTTTTTAATTTTTTTCCTGGACACGTACACTCGTACACGTGCAAGCAAAAATCCTGATAATTAGGTTATATTTTCTCACTCTTTAAACCATTCTTTAGTAGACAAGTTATGTTAGCGGCAGGGAGGTTATGTTAGCGGCAAAATTTGACTAGAAATATTTGGTTCTTTTAATTAAACAACACACTGCCGGGCGAGAACAAGACTTACGGTTAATAAGTTCAAGTCACATTTAACAAAAGTGAGTTACATAAGCTGTAGAAATACTCGGACGTTCGAATAAGTACTTATTGTTGACGTCTCTTTTCCAAGTGTATCTGTAATTCACTTTATCGAATTCATGACTATTCACCAATTTTAGATACGGCCTTGAAGGTATTTTTAACCATCAGATGAAAACTGCTGTAAAACATTACTTACTGTTAATTAGTGCTTTTACGTGCTTTTCTATCGTATCTGTATGTAGTTACTAGCTGCAGTACTTAAGTAACTGAATTTATTTTTCACAATCAGTTAAGTTTTTATTGATTTAGCTTAGTACGTCTTTATTATGATAGAAAAATTGTGCCTTTGTATACCGCCAATTAATAAAATATTTACTTTAAATATGTATTCGTAGTATGACGTGTGCCGCGTACAGGCAACGCATGCGCACATTCCGGGTACGGTACGTGTCATCCATGGAGCGTACCCAAAATTCTGTACTTACGTGCTCCGTCAGCCGACTTCGCCTTTCACAAACGTTATTTACTGTAGTCTGTACTCTGCAGTTACTCATAATTCATGAAAACTCTTTCGCGATAGTTTCTTGCTTTCGTGCTAGATTTACTAAACTGGTAGAAGTTTTTCCGATTATTAAACTCCTAGTATTTCCTCTTTAGCGTGCTGCGATTCCCAAAGATGGCCAATCCAGGAAACGTTAGTGCGGTCCGCCAAAACTACCATGCAGAAAGCGAAGTACGTTTGTGTTTCCCATAAATCAGTCAGATCGGTTTTCGTCAACACTTAACGAGCACTCTGTTACAAGTGTTGTTTTATGCTAAAAGAACGGCTTTTTGTAGGCCGCCATCAACCGACAGATCAATATGGAACTGTACGCTTCGTACACCTACCTTTCCATGGTGGGTTTCTGGAAGACTGGACACCATAAAAATAACTATACAGACACGCTTCAGGCGATTGGCTAATGCCAACTATCAGTTGCCGCTTTACCAGTTGGCTTTTCGTAATCGTAGGCTGCATATTTTGATCGGGATGACGTAGCCCTGAAGGGATTCGCGAAGTTCTTCATGAAACAGAGCCATGACGAACGGGAACATGCTGAGAAATTGATGAAGTACCAGAATATGCGCGGTGGAAGAATCGTTCTGGCGGACATCAAGGTTACTTTCTTACCCGTGTAATTAACGGTTTAGGCTTCAGGCTTTATGACTGCTAGATTGGTATCCTAGATAGTTATTTCATGAGTTCATGCAAGGGTGCCCTTTAATTTTTATTTACGTACTTATTATATTTTAGTAAGTCACTGACAGCACAGTACAATCGATAGACAATTTTCTGTGATTAGGCCGCTTTTATTGGTTGATGCTTAATAAGCCGAAGTTGCTTCGAAAATTTTTCTATGCAGATGTGAAGAAACAGATATCAGTCATTGATAGGCTATCTAATATGAGGCTGTGCTGTATAATTTGTAGTTGCTAACATTACTGTACCTATGTTTTTGCTAAAATTGGTAATATTACTTGTTTGCACTGAGAAAGCAATTACAGGTTGTTGAAGTGGTGCACTAGTGTACGATTATTTGTGTTATCGTTATTGTAGTACAATTAAAGATAAGGAAATTGGTGATTACAATTATGTCTAACTGAGAACCTTCCGTTTATTATGCTGTCGGTTTTGTTTGTTCTGGTTCACAAATACCAGTCAGTAAATCAGTGCAAGGATTGTGCCCTTCAAGTCGTTACCGTATTTACGCTTTGAAACTTGTTATTTACGACTACTGTTCGTTGAAGGCACATTTGTCTCATTCCCAGAAATGACACTGGCTGATTTCAGAAACCTGAACGCGATGAATGGGGAAGTGGTTTGGATGCGATGTCTGCAGCATTGCAGCTGGAGAAGAACGTGAATACGGCTTTGCTGGAAGTGCACAGCATTGCTAACAAACACGGCGATCCACAGGTATCAATTCATTACAGAAAGATGCGGTGTCGATTTAATAGCTGCCAGTGAACTATAAAAAACATTAATCTTAATACGATAGCATAACGGCATAATGGTCACTAGTTCAGAATATTTCTTGTGACGGACGCCTATTTATTTCTCTGGTGTTTCAATCTTTAAATACGGACATTTGAGGAATTCGGCCGCTTATGAAGATCTTGCTGACTTCATTTCTCATGCTTTTTGGGTATTGAAAATGAATTTTTTGTTATCTGGAATTCACATTGTTAATGTAATGTTTGTTAGGTCATTTTAGGATTGGGTATAATAATAAGATAGTCTAAAGAATAAAATTTAATTTATGGTATTTTAATGGAAATTCTAAATTCGAGCCCGTATCAAAAGACTTGTAATCTTGGAAATTTATATTCTAACATGTGTATTGTGTAACTGCTGTTCTGGCCAATAATTTTTGCGTATTGTATTATTTGGTTTCCACAAAGTAACGCGTGGTGTCTATGTGGCTTGCATAGGAAAAACAAGCAAGTGAATTCTAACAGTTTTTGCATGTGGAAACCGAAGTGTCGGTTCTGTTTTATCTTGATTTTGTATCGCTGAATTTTGGACTTTGGTAGTTACTGGTACTTAAAGGCAAAAACCTGTTTATCAATTCTTGTCTGCATTTCGTTGCAAGATTATGCAGTTCACGAATGGAGCTCCAGGTTGCTGAGTCTGATCTTTAAAAATTCAAAGGATAACCCTTTGAAAGCCTCTTATTGTTGTTTTTTGAAAACATTAGCTGGAATTGTTCTGCTGTGCAGCAGCTGTTACCTTTTAGCGTCCTGATGAGTTGCTTTTGAAACAAAGCGAAATCTGAACTTTATTTACAGATGTGCGACTTCATTGAAACCGAGTACCTTGAGGAGCAAGTGAAGTCAATCAAGGAGATCTCGGAGTATGTTACCAATCTGAAACGGGTTGGACCTGGCTTGGGCGAATATCAGTTTGACCATGAAACTCTGGATGGTGGATCTGCATAAATGTTATGCACTAATTTGATATTCCATTAGCATATTTCGTTAGAAATGTTGTTCAGATACCTTTTTCGTGCGAGGATTTTTGCGATGGTTTATGTGGTAAACTAGTGGTACAAATATGTTCATAAGAATGGCATGTTCATAATTTCATTGCGGCTGGAAACTCGCGTTCTTATAAGTACTTACCCTTCAGTTTTTGCTTAATGCGACGATGGAATACGGTTTGCATACAGGCATACTAGTTTACAGCTCTGCCTTTGAATTGAAGATACTTCGAAGCCTTGACTTGAGACATTAAAGGACTTGTTCTACTCTGTAGTCGGTACATCATACATCGAAAGGTGACCGCGAGTACTCTGGCTGTTATCAAACGCCGGGATGGTCACGTTTGATATGCTAAATTTCGTTGTCATACGAGCTTCTGCATAAAGACAATGCATAGTCGTATACTTATTGATTCAATTAAGGGCAGTCGATTGCCTCAACCGTGTACGCCTCCCTGGGCGGCTGGCAAAACAGCGTGCAATGCTATGAAATTGGTCGCCTCACAGTGTTTCATCCCATAGACTTATACGTTAAGCTCATCGACTTGTGTGACTTGTGTCTTACGGATTTCTAAATGAAACCATGCAACCGATATCTCCAAAGATTGAGAAAAAATTAAGACATTTTTCGATACCAAACAAGGTGCCATTGATGGCGATTAAGCCAAGATGTTCCCATTTCAGGTTCTCGTAGACATAGTATAGGATCTCTGCGTACAACCCTGACCAGGCATTCAGTGCTTTGTCTACGAGAAATCCCTAATGGCTCTATATTGTCTGATTTGCTTTCAATAGCACCTTTTTTGGTTTCAAAAATCGTCTTTATTTTTTCCCTATCTTTTAAGATATCGGTTAGGTAACTCTTTTGAGAAATGAACGAGGTGCAAGTGTCTGAGTTTAACACAGGAGTCAATGGAGAAAGTAACGACGAGGCGACCAATTTTATAGCATAGAATGGCGTTTTGCTGTCGCCTGACAACCGCCCGCTGCAGCCATACACGGTTGAGGCAATCGACTGCCCCTAATTTGGTCCAATTCACAAGCAATACTGAAACGACTAACACGGCATACTATTTATCCATTCACATCTTCAAAAAACGAAAAAATGAATTTCAGATACTTAGGCGTAAAGTAAGTAAGTAATGCGACCCAGGAAGATCTCAACAGACAACAACTGTAGGCTTTTTCATATACAGAAAGCTAGACCCAAAAAAGGTCAATTTCGGCAGGCGAGATTGCATTTCGCTCTAGGGAAAGTTGAGATACAACATTATTGGACAATGGTCACTTCCTCCAATCGTTCTATAAAAAAGAATTAATTTCAATTAAACTCAAACTATGCTTTTCCAGTGGAGCGTTTGTTGAGATGTAGATGCTCCGAGCTCGCATAAAAATGTTCAGTTTAGAAAGATAAGCGAATGCTTCGAGAATTTTGGAGTTTGAAATTTACGGACTCACGTGAAGTGTTTAACGCCGCAAATGGATTCCCTCAAAGCGGTGGATAATAGAAAATAATCCAAACGCCTACAACATTCGTGATAAGAGAATTTTTCGGCAAAATGAGCGTGTTATGTTTGCGGCCAATAATTACCACCCAATGTTTTTGCTTCGAGCGTTAGAGCGGTTACTCCAAAACGTGTAAGCTCCGGTTTCTTCTGGGTAAATGTGTCGGTAAACATCAATTAGTCTCAGTTCATCCATCGTATGAGCCAGGCTATGTCGCTCTTGCTCCGTAAATCCAGGATTTTTGTGATTCTTTGTGGGGTAAGTTAGATCAATGTCCAAACGAGCGCAGTTGAGATCACCGGCTACAATCACCGGCTTGCGAGTTTGCAGTTCGGCCAAAAACCCCCGAAAATCAACATCCCAAGCCAAACGTTCTTCCAAATTCTTCAACTTCATGGAGGAATTCGGGACATCTAAAGATAGTGCAACCGTTGCTTCATATCAGTCTGCAGTAAAAAATACGTAATAAAATCAACGGACAACAATAACCCTAACTCTGTAACAAACCCATCAGTAAGTAAAGTCAAGGACGCCCATTATAAAAAAAAGTCATTCTTTCACGCATTCAAAACTACAGAGTTGAAACGTACATGCGTTCACCACAAACATTCTGTCGTATTCAGCCGTGATGACATGTCCCTTTTCAGAAAATGTGCGTCCATTAGATCCTGGAAAAATTAATTTTTAAATGGAATGCCCAGCCAACATCTCAAAGTGGATCTTACGAGGAAATCCATAAAGCACATTAATCGGTTTGAATTTTGATAACAATGCAACGCCCGCATGCCCCTTGACAACACTCTGGTGCCAGTAAGCGCAGGATGTCCCAACGTCCACGCCCAGACCTTCCAACAATTCATTACTTTGAATTTTGGTTTCCTGAAGGCAAATGACATCTGGAAGATAGGCGTTGATTTCTCGCCACGTGTTTTTCTATTCAAAACATTCAGTTAAAAATTGGTTCCATAACAAGATAAAGCACCTGAGAAGTACAACCTGCAAAAATGCACTTAGTCCAGCTATATTCCAGGACAAAACACGGAAATTTGACACTCTTAATTTGGCCTCTTGTGACTGAGCCGTGGCAAGGGTGCTCGGGCACAGCGGTAATAAATGCGGGATAGGTGCTTCATCAACGTTTGCTTCGACCTCCACTCGACGATCTTGAGCCAGCCTCTGTTTCATTAAGCAAAAAGAAAATTCACTGCTCTGGAGAAACATTAAAGAACAAAAAGGCTAAAAATACTTCGCGATCTTCAGCAGATTCGTCGATAAAAGCCAATCGTCGATGTTTGTGGGGATGTTCTTGTCGTTTTAAAATTCCGCGGGGTCCAGATGTATGATCCAAGAGATCCGTTGAAGAAGAACTCAAGGTCAACGAAGCTGAAGAGCCAGTAAATTCGAAATCACGAATAGGACCACAAGCCGATACTACTAAATCATTGTGTGTTTCTTCGGGCGATGCAGCCTTTCTTTTACGCAGTACTCTTCCAGCAACTTCCGGTGATGAGATCCTAGATCCACAACCAGAATGGGTCATCATTCCCGCCGGGAATTTCGCTTTTAAATACCTTAAATTCGTACGTTAAGCTGGACTAATTTGCACAATATACTTCGTATCTCGAAACTTATCTCGAAGTACACATTTAAATGCGCTTACGTTAACCGTCTCCGGCTCCGTATTTTCTTTGCTGGCACTGTTTCCGATAAGAGGTCAGATTCAACTGAACATCCAGCAACATCGCTGCTCTGCGGAGTTCCAACATCCACACTGTGATCAACAGGTTTGTCCTCGCAATTCTTCTCTGCTATTTCAGCACGAATCTATAATACATACATCAGAGACACCGCAATTTAATTAAAACTTCACTTGTGTGTAAAGTGATGCTATAAATATAATATATGCATTATCTGAAAAAGTAGGTTCAAATAGTAATGAAACATCATTCTTCACAGAAAGCAACAAAAGTTTACACGAAGGACAAGCAGCACATCTCGTAGCACATGCAGAAGCCACAGAACCTCACATTTTGATTAACATTGCTCAGACTTGGTCGACGCTTGACGATTCGACCTGGGCTACTCAACGAAGCTTTCAACTCATTGCTCGTCTCTCCAGATGACGGTCCACTTGGAACAGGACTAGCACTACCAGACAGCGTTCCGTCCGAAGACGAAGATTTAGCTCGATCGTTGTCGCGCTTTTTCCGGCCATTTGTAAAGGTTTTCGCAAACTAATGATATCATGAAAATTAACTGCACAACTTTCTAGCGCATCCAGGTGATAACCTTACCAAAGGAGCATAAATAGACCGCCGCCGCAAACGCCGCACAATCTGGGGAGCGTCCTCTGCGTCGGGAGCTTCTCGGTTAACTGACATATGTTCCGGTGGGGTATCTTTCGGTTCATCCTGCCAACAGCCAAAAACAGCTTAACAATTACCCTGCTAAAATCACATGACTCGCCCTCACTTCACTGATAAAGACTGCATTCACGCCAGCATTCCCCAATGGAACATCCGTATATCCTGAACAAGGTTTACAGTTCTGGGCAGTGTCGGTTGTGTCGCCACGCAGGCTTTCGTTTTCCGCAAGTGCTCCGAGACATGTCTGAAGATAGAACGGAAACTTCAGTGTTCTTCGATCAACTGTTGAATATTTTGTTCAAAGCCGGCGGTCAATGTGAAACTGCCCTTATGAGTCGCACCTGCTCAGCTGTCCCAGACTGCGCATTATTTTCAGGATTACTATGCAAGCAGAGTTCGCCTTTGGCGTTCTCGTCATCGGGTTCAGCAGATCCATCAACATTCTTCTACAGCAGAAAATCTTATCCCTTATCGAACTCAAACAACCGGAAGCACGCGGCAAAACGCTTAAAATATTGATAAAACAAGAACATAACCGGTGTACATAAAATGCAAATCAACTCGGAGCGCTTTACAAGTCTGATTAGAACTGAAAACCAATCAATAACCCATACCTCGGCCAACCTCGCATCTTCCATTTTACAGTGGCTCAAAGGCGAAGCGTTCTCCACTTTTGTGTGCGCATACGCTTCATTCTTCTGAAACCAATTTCCGAAAAAATGTAAAATAGTAATCGCAGGCCAGATTAGACAGAAAGCATCGCTCTACTCACAGTGCTCCCAGTTGAAGTCGAAGGCTGCACGCTCTGGCTTTCAGCAGTTTCTTTAACGGATACCAAATACTTCCGAGATCGCAGATTCATCGTGACCGGGGCAGCCTGGCGAGCGCCTCGTTTACGTTTTGCCGCCTTCGCGGGAAGAGTTGCAAGCGACGCACTGTTTTCCACTGAACTGATGGCTTCAACGGCTACGGAACCATGGTCCAGCGCTACAGAAGGACTGCTTTCCATCTTGAATCTTTCCCCTTTGGTATATAATCAAAACAACCATCCAATCAAACACTCTCAACACATACGGTCAAGATACTCATCATTATAAAAAGAACGAAGATCTAAGAACAGGCACAACAATTTTTAAGTAACTTTTTATCAATCAATACTCAATAGGTACGGATTGCAGAACACCTTGCCGTCCTTGCGATTACGTAACCTCAATTTCCTGATAACGTACACATCTCGCAGACGTTAGCCAAGACTCAAGCACGTTAATAAAATGCTTTTCCACTTCAAACTTACAATGGCAAGACCTCGATCCGAGTTAACTAAACACTAAGAATACTATTCCACCTGGCTAAAGATTTAGGAAGTCAAAAGCAAAATAAAAAAATATTTCAAGGTTTAATTAAAAATACAACAACAACAAACCGCTCGAAAAAAATTCGTTCAAACAGGCGGGATGCAAGTATTTTCAGGCATTAGAACGGCGCGTTGACTGCATGCGTGCATGGCTGCTAAGAGCATTGCAGCAACGGCGCAGCGGTGCACAGTGCAACTCACAACAGCAAGGCAGCAAGTACGAAAACATACCTACTGTAAAGAGCCGTTCGGCGCATCATTGCGCCTTTAATACCAGTTTAACCGGCGGAAAAATGAGCGTCACTACTTTCTTTAGTTTCTCACTTTCATGGCACGTGAGAAGTCTGCCGCGGTTTTTGGGATATCTTTTTCAGATTCTTTTGTTTGTTCTGTTTTGATTGTGAATTTTGGCATTGAATTGAGTTGTTCAATAAAAATTTATTTTAAACATATCCAGCGTTAAAGTTCAGACCCACTCTGGCTGATGTGAATGCCACTGAAAAGGATCGATACGATGCGACTGATACGATGCGATTCTAAGTTCTGACACTTACCATTGTGGTCACTGGATGGTACGGCCTGATGTATTTTCGCTCCTTGACTTCTGTTTCTGCTTTCTGCTGAAACTTATAAAGGCTGCAATTTGAGTAACACTAGACTGTGACCAGAGTATAAACATTAAGGCTAGAACTTTTTCGGCTTTTCGTTTTAGGAAAATGCATTGTTGGCATTTTGTAACTTTGTTGCTGCTTGTTTTGATCGGTAAATCAACCGTAAATGACAATGTTAACAGCAATGTTGATAGCGCTTCGTTGATATAAGGTTAAAGCTTCAACCGTAAGCTTATTAGATTAAACAGTGCAAGGTGGAATAAATGGAGTTGTTATTGAATTTTGAACTTTTTAAGAATAATGCACTGGTAATAGGCTTAATACGGCGATCTCCTTGAAATTCGATTACTCGTTGTATTTCTGCTCATGTTCGCTTTGTCTTAGAAATTCGACTCGGCTGGGCCGCTGGAGCCGGAAGAAATCATGCCTGCCCATCAAAAGACTTTACTTTCATTTTTCCAGTCTGTTCCGAAACCTGAAGGCACTCCGAATTTGGCTGGGCCCGCGGTTGTAGTGGTTCCGCAGCAGGTTAGTTGCATATTGAAGGGCCCAAGACATTGGCAGTTTGACTTCGGACACGGCTGCGTATTGCTGCCTGGGCCATCGAGGGTGGTTACAGTTGATTGGATCAGGGTCAGTGTTGAATTATCGCGAAACCTCCCTGAAGACGAATTTAATATTAAAAGTTACAAAAGGGTGTGTACTCTGTAGGACAATTTCTGTTCTCGTACTGTCCCAGACGTTTATTACGTATGTACATTACATACGTAATAAATATGTACTTACTTATCATCTTATGTAATAATATATGTAATTATGTAGGTACATACCAGTACATACTTCTACAGGTATGTACTTATGCTTTATGTTTGAATAACTTGAATTGTGGAAACAGCATAGGTAGGTACAGGTAAATTAAATAAGGGCTTACTGTGTCGCAGTTGAAACGGTTTAGGCAGCTCAAAATCCATGGTATCATTGTGGCTTATAAGGATTATTAAAGTTTTTTTAAAAATTTTTTCAGTTTAAAAAATAAATGATTTTAACTTTGATGCGAGTAAAATTGTTGGTTTTAGAATTTAGACTTACTTCCTCTGTAGTCTGTACCTTACGAGTACCATAGATGCTCGAAAGTCTAGTGCGCTGCGCTTACTATTAATCTTGCATTTCGCGTTGAAGCTTGTAGGAATATGTTTCAAACAGTCTGTTCGAAAGAATGTTTGTATCATTTTCCTCCACGCTTTTTCGAGCTCGACTACATACAAATCATGTTGTGCCGAAGCTGCGGAATCTGCTTACCTATATAATGATTCCGGAATCTATGTGGAATTATGCGATGTCCATACAGCATAAATGCAAGTGACTTTTTCGTAGGAATATCAGTATTTAATAGTGCAGTACTGGTTGTGAATATGGTGCGTAGCCGGTTTCATTATCTTCGTAATTAATACTGTGTCTCCCATTGAGCCTTTTTTCATTTACAGGCACCAAAGCGTAGTGTTGGGTCTGATTTGGACAATCCAGCGGTATCGAAGAAGTTGAAAAGCGATTGCGATGTTGAGTCATCGGCTAATGCAACTGATGCGAAAGTTACTCCCGTCATCAGTGAAGACCCACAAAAACGAGCGCATCAGAATTTTCTGAAAGCCAAGTTGATACAGCACTGCCGCAGACTGCCCCTGTTGACGCCAAAATTTGGCCTTACATGGTTCGAAGCTCTGGAAAAGGAATTCTCGAAAGATTACTTTTTGAAACTCTCCGAATTTGTAACAAAAGAGCGCCAAAACGGCACCGTATTTCCACCAGCTGATCAGGTTTTCTCTTGGACCGAACATTTTCCTATTCAGGATGTAAGTCGTGCTTAAGTTTTCTTATTGATAGCGAATGAGGACAATTTTTTTCTCATTCTAGACCAAAGTTGTGATTCTGGGACAAGACCCATATCATGGCGTGCGTCAAGCTCATGGTAACGGCGACTCAGTTCTTTGCTGATTTTGCTATGAGTACTCGGTATTGAGCATAATGTTTTCTTTGTAACTGTACAAATTTTGCCTGATGGTACGTACCACTCATTTGAAGTGCATGGATAGAGTGCAGTTGTTATATGTGTCTATGAATCTACAACAAAAGAACATATATAACTTATAGCGTTTTCTGTATGTGTGTGGGCTGTTTTCGTTCTCAGGTCTGTGCTTCAGCGTTCAAAAAGGAGTACCTCCTCCTCCCAGCCTTGTTAACATCTACAAGGAACTGTCCACTGATATTCCCGCATTCTGTGCGCCATCTCATGGCAATTTGACGGGTTGGGCTCAACAAGGTAGATAAATTAAGATTTTCCGAAAACTGCATTAAGTCTGTAGCCCACTGCCCAAAAGTGTAAATTTTTTGTTTTTGTAATTAACAAGTCGCAAACTTTTGAATGCACTTATATTCTGTCTTTTGTAATAACTTTTAAATTTATTCCGCAAAGATCTCCCTTGTTTGTTAATATATCTGCATTGCTTATTGAATTTGAACATAGGTGGGCGTTGTCCAGTTCTTTTAACTCGTAACATGAAAATTAATAATTTTATGTTTTCATTGTGGTACTTATACCTGTGTGATCTAATGCTTATGTGTGTGCTTTTTTTGTGAAGTCTGACTCTGGACCTTTTAGGAGTGCTTTTGTTGAATGCTGTCTTGACGGTGCGATCAGGAAACGCGAACAGCCACAAAGACAAAGGATGGGAAGTTTTTACGGACGCAGTTATTGAGGTAAATATTTGCATACCTTAATCCTACTGAAATGGGTTTGAAGATTCATAGTTTGTAATTTGGTTTTAGTGGCTTAATTTGAATCTGTCTGGGGTGGTCTTCGTGCTTTGGGGACGATATGCTCAAGCAAAATGTGGAAAATTGGATAAGGTGGGAAGTGACACTGGGAACACAAATATTATTTTGCTTGTTCCTCAACGTACTTGTAACATGTACTACAGCATTTAAGTTGGCACTCACGCTTTGTTCCGGTGTTTAAGAGGCTAAAGTGCAAGCTCTTGTATTGAAATACTGTTCCATGGAAATTTGTATTTGGTCGTGTTTGATAGAAGCGACATTGCGTACTGATGGCAGCACATCCTTCGCCATTGTCGGTCACCAAGTTTCTTGGATGCAAGCATTTTTCGGCTGCAAATGATTTCTTGAATAAGAAAGGAAAAAAACCAATTAACTGGGCACATCTTCAGGAAGAATAAGCTTTCCTAGCCACGAATGGAGTGGAACGTTCGTGTTAAGATGTTGTTATATGTACTTCGATACTTCTACATAATAGACTCGTCAGTGAGAGTGTTTTATCTCGTGCGGGAAATTGAAGGATTTGCCATTACTTATAGTAGCACTGATTTTGTTTAAAGATTTTTCATGATTGTTGTATTTTATGGACCAGAATCTTGAATTCATTGTTGGTTTGCGCTGCCAGATAAAAGGACTATAAAATTGGCGGTCTGGTTTGAAATCTACAAAGCTGGCTGCAATATCACTTTACCCAAAAGGCCAAAACTGTCTTGGTTGAAAATTTATTCTCTAACGCCGCAGCCTTCACTTCAACTCATAAAAGAAACCCGAAGCGCGAAATTTCAAAATATAAACTGGATCTCCCTTTTATCGACAATCACAAAGTAAAACTACAAACCCAAAAGGCAACAATCGAAACGGAGAATTGTTCTTCTGTGCTAAAAGGTTGAAAACTGGACAAGCAGTTTCATCGAATCATGAACTGCTAAACTGTATCCACTGAACTTGGCTGACCGAGCGGTTCATCTAAAATTTTCTGCAAAACCTTATCCTGCTTCTCCACAGATTCATCGGACACAGTAACGAAATTGGTCGAACCAACCGCAACCGGTCTTTTGGATGCAACGGGCAGGTTACTAAACATTCCGGCTGCAGAAGGAATCTGAGATTTTGGACTGGACACAGAATGAGCCTCTGCGGCTGACTTCCCTTTTGGCTGGCTTTCTTGTTCAACAAACTTGACCAGTAAATTACTGAAGGTGTCGTCCGGTAATGGACCAGCCTTCTGTGGCGCATTGGAGAAGAAAGAACGAAGTCCGGAGCTCTGAGCAGCCTGCACTCTAAGCTTATCCTGCTCACTGAAATCTAAAGTGGACATTAACATTCGCAGAATGTCGCCCTGAGTGGATTTCGGTCCTGCGACAAATCCCAACACCATACTCCGAATGAAAGCTTTGTCGATTTTATTTGAGCTGATCGTAGCCGCATCGTCCAAGGCTTTACTCAGGAACATATCTTTTTCATCCAGCTGCTTCTTTAAATCTTCGACTGCGTCTCTCAGCAGTTGACTTTCGGCCAGCGACTGTACAGCACTAGTCTTTTCCTTGTGCATATCCGCAACCACCTCCTTTAACTTCGTGTTTTCCACTCGCAGTTCATGTAGCTGCTCTTCCAAATATCGCGCGGCTTTTTTTGCTCTCTCCCTGTCCACTTCCATCTCCCCACGGTGTTCTTTCTTCATGTGCTCCAGTGCCGTATGAATATTCGACAGGGATGATTCCATCAGGTGATTCCTTTTCTCACTATCTCGCAACTTTGTCATGGCTTCGTCGCGCGCATGCGTCAACAGCATAACCTGTTCCTGCAGCAAACCGATGTTTTCTTTCACTTCACTAGAAGTCTGCTGTTGTGATACGGTAGTCGCGCGCAGTTGTTCTTCTAACTGGACAATAACCTTGTTCAGCTCTTCCTCTCTCCCTTGGACGGTCTGGAAATCCTGAGCATAGGCTTGTTCAACGCCCAACAGGTGTGCCCGCAATCTATCGCCTTCCTTTTTCAGTCGATCGTTGGTGGCTACCAACTGGCTCATCTCCGAATGAGCCCCTTCAGCCGACTGGCGAAGCAATAAATAATCGGTTTCCGAAACAACGCCCCCGGAAAACTCTGTCTGAATTTCTTGATCATAACTATCCAGAAAAAGTTCGGCCATTGTGCTGGCATCCACAGGATGTGGGACTTCGGTCTGGCTGTCCTGATCGTGACCGGCGGGATTATCTGTCTGAATGCTCTGGTTTTCGGGTTTGTGGTCCGGTGTCTGTGTCCATATTTCAGAACCAGACTCTTCCGAAGTGAACTGCGACTCCGCATTGCTGAATTCCTTTTGAGGCGCTCTTTCCTCCGCTTCTGTCTGAATATCACGATCGCTGTAATCTCTTTCATCGGACGTCTGACAAATTTCATCCAACATAATGTAGTCGGTCTGTTGAAAGGATTCCACAACTTCTAAATCTTTGGAGGGAAGCATTTCTTGTAGAGTATTGACAACTTGAACAAATTCCGCTTCAGTTTGGCATGAACCATCGCTGAACACTTTGCACTCCTTTTCTGAATCCATCTGGTTGTCTTCCCACTGCGTACCCTGGTCAAGATTTTCGGGAACCAACATTTCTGGACTGGACGACGTCTGCGAACTGCCGTCGTTGACTCCTAAATTAATCAGGCAGAAGGTGTTCATCTCCTTCAAATCCTGCACCGGATCCACTTGTACACCATAGTCCACCGAGCTGCGCTTCAGATCATCGTCGGTCTGCATAAACATATCACTCTTCTCAACAATCTCCGCCGTCAGATCAGGGAAGACATCGCCAGGTACCGTCTGCATTTCCGCGTCGATTTTACCGTCGTCCACAGGGATCTGCGATTCCAGCAGCGCGACGGATGCTCGCGCCCGCGCCAATTCCTGCGTCAGATGCCGTATTGTGGCGTCCTTTTCCTCCAGTTCATGCTCCAGCGCATGAACAGACACTTCGTCCACCGAACGCGCGGACTGCAGTTCGGGCAGACTGGTGGGAAATGACTGTGTTGAAGTGTGCGCTTCGACAGCAGCCTCCAAGCTGTTTGGCGACGGCGACGAGGCGGTCAGATCGACGTCAACATACTGCGGTGAGTCGATGACATCCGACACGGCGGGCTCTAGCGCAACATCTTTCGAGCGGTTTTCCAGCTGCGCCTGCAGCTCATAAATCTGATCGCGCATCCCAATCATATGGGCCTCGTAATTCTTTATGATCTGCTGATACTGGATATTACTGCTGCTAAGCTGCGACTCCGCGTTGCGCAGTTTCTCCTCCAAAGTACGAAGAGCATCCGCTTCCGAGTCCGGTCTGCTGTCGTCAATCGTATGCTGTGACGGGGCATCCTCCGCGGGTTTCGGGGTCGAGGAGCGAGTGGAGGAAGGCGGTCGAGGAAATTCGTGCAGTGGCTCCTCGCTGATTATCTCCTTCGTCAGCGTTGCAATTCCTTCGCCTAATGTACTTAGGCCCTGCTTCAACCAAGAGGCCATGATAACCACAAATGCTTTGTTCAGGTTATATCGTGCACAAAGGAAAAATTACGCCTCATGTTGGGCAACTTCAGAGTTCCATCCAACGCAGGGGAAACTGCAACGAGACCAATACATACCACAACTCACAACTGTTACTTGTTAGACACGGCATGGCAAACAATAATGTACATTTCGGAGTCAGCTACTAAGAATCCAAACTGCTTGCTTAGCAAAGCTTTGTTTACCCATTACATACAGATGCAGAACCTACCTTTCCCGGTTTGTTCCTTTCTGCATATTGTACGACCATGGGTTTACAAACTCTCATAAAGCAACGATGGAAGTGGTGGCACTACGACTCTACGAGTGCAAAACATACTCGTACAGAATTACAGATACAACACTTGAACGTCTACTTAACGACTTCACTCACAGGAGTCAAAAAGCTGATAACTCTTCACCAGAAAAGATAAAACTCGTGAATATAAAGTATTTACTGATTTACAGTTCTCACAACGTTATCATATCTCTAACAACTGAATAGCTTTAAGTTTTAGCTCTGACTGTTTACTGAAAAAACTCCAAAAAAGTGTGGTTCATGTTTCACGGGACACGACAAGTCCACGTAGCGCAGTTAGTCACCCGCGACTACCGCTGGTAATACGGCGGTTACAAAATTAATGATGTTACTTTAATGCGAAAGCGGAACAGCGTTTGGGTTACTACGCGCACTTCAGAATTCGGCATAAGGCATTTGCTTTTTTCCTTTGGAACTTCTATAATTTTATCCTCCGGCCTTGTTTTTCATTAATTGAATTCAACCTTTGAATTCAAAATCAGCCCAGCGGTTTTTGCCGACTGAAGGTACGGACTACGGAGTGCTGAGCAGAAAAAATACGTACAGTACTTATTTTTATGTACACTACGTCCGCATTTACTATTTTGTGTGTTAATTATTTGAATAACACTTTATTCGTAATAATTATTATCTTCGTACAGAGTCTGTACAGATAAAAACAACTACACGACCTACGGCGGTCCACAATAATTAAATTAAAACTTCTGAGTGACATAAAACACTGTTCGTGAACAGAATATATTGTGATCTGCCGGTTCTGCCTTAATTTAATTTTACGGCCGCAGTTACAATAAACCTAGAGACGGAAAACATCCTGACTTGTGAGACTTTTAATCGAATAAGCCGCCAACCTTTGCCGGCTTTCCGCTGAAAAAACGCACGTAATGGAAGGCATCCAGCTTGCTTTAAACAGCGCAAGCTGTACACCTGCCTAAAATGTGAACATATTTCATAACAACGCCTAATTTGCGCTCTATAGACTAGTATCATATTCGGTAAGTAGCACATATAACACATACGATTCGGATCATCTACGCTAAGCGAACTGGAGGTTAGGACTGGGACCAATATTAGAGGAGCTCTGGGTCTGTGCTACTGCTACTCAACGATTAATAAGAATCCGCGTCAGATCCTCAGAGATTTTTCTCATCCGTTCATCGTCTTCCGATCTTGCATCAACTCTAGCTCTAGGAGCGACAAGATCCGCTTCCTTAGCTCCATAATCCACAAAAAGAGGCGTGAATTCCTGCAATCCGTTTTTGCTCTCCCTTTCCCGCTGGGACGGAACTAACCGGCTTCCGGTCACACTATTAAAATACGTCATAATTCCCGTGGCTAACAGAACAACGACAGATGTGACTAGCAGCTGAATAATGAAGCCGGTCCACGGACCGCGTAGTTTAGGGTCATCCGGGGAAATCTGTAACACTTCACCAGCCACTGCCGTTAACACACCCACTCCGGCGTAATGGCAGAATTTTAGCAGTCCCAAAGCGCTCCCAACATAGGCCGGAACCACCACCAGGGCCACACTGGACCAGATTGTGGGGCCGAATATCGTGTAGCCGAATCCAACGAGTGTGGTCAACAACCATGCCGGAAAGTGAGCTGTGATAACCAATAGCAAGAACGCCATGAATAAGAGCCCGGCTGCGGCGAGAAACCATGCCTCGCGATGACCGTAGCGATCTGTTAACCAGCCGAAAAGTACCGAAAACAGCGCAATGTCGTACACCAATCCCACAATATAACTGGCAGCAGATTCTGAATATCCGTACGCTTTCTGCAAAACATATCGCAAAAATGATCAGTTCATAGCCTGATTTTAAAAAACAAATATTTTTATTATAAGAATGTACACTACTTCTGCTAATAACAAATTTTGTGGTAAATTATTGCAGTTACTCACGTAATCCGATAGACTACCCTAGTCATTGCCTGGTAGGGTACATTGTTTTACATGGGTAAGTTATACATAACATGTTAGTGACCAGAGCCCACAAGAATCTACGCGGACAATACATATTGGCACGTACAGTTGGACATTACGCAAATTTTCACATAGAGTTCACAAGTTACACTTCCTTTTACAAGTTACACTTTACTCGCGTAGCATTTTTATAACTCATCGCACTGCTGTCCACATACTTACCGCTAAGAAGTTTGGTCCATTAGCAGTAAAAGTGGCCACTGTTCCGTAGTAAAAAGGCACCATAACGGCGAAGCAGATATAAACTGAATCCAGGCTTTTGAAGAAGCGCAGGATGACGCCGGTGGAGATATCAGGCGGAGACGTGTTGACCATGGCCGCTCCGCGCTCATCCAGGAAAGACATGGTAACAAGGGCACCGCATGCGATCAGCGCGAGACCGAAGCCGATCCACAAACAAGGATGCAGGCCGATCTTGGGCAGGACTGCCCCGATCAACAGATATGAAGTGGCACTGCCAAGTCGACCGCAAAATATGTGGACGGAGAAAGCCACACCTAATTCCTTATACAGGAACCAGGATGCTTTGATGCGATGGCAAATGACTGCCGTCGCTCCCATTGAAATACCGGCGATAATATTGCCGATGATCATAGATGTGAATACTGAGGGTGTATCTTTGAAATATGTGCCGCCAAGAAACAACGCTCTGTAGAAGAACACCACCGTCAGCAGCAACTGATCATATCTAACAGCAAGCCCCTTCTTAGGACCTGAACTATTTAAAAATAAGTGCTCGCACTTTGTGCGTCCAGAGTCTAGACAATGCAGTTTTCAAAAATACCTACTGCACGAACAGTCAAGCATTTTCAAACTTTGTTTTAAACTCGTCTGCTTATACTGGATTATTTCAATCACTTGCGTCTACTTACTGGGTATATGCCTATATATACAACTTGCACTGCATTTCATGTTTATGGTTAGCTTTTGATGGTACAGCAGTCACTACCCTGACCCTCCGAAAACAAGCGCAGAAAATGTTCCTTACCCGCCGAAGAGCAGAAGAATAGATGATCCCCATAATGCGTATTTGCATCCGTACCGGTCAATGATAAGCCCCGCACAGAATGCCCCAATACCGGAAGCCAAGTTGCTCGCAGTAAATAGCAAATTAAACTGTTTGACGTTCAAGTAAGTGCAGTTGTCGGTTTGGTCCTTGCAGGCGTCGGCTGTGCCCGTTAGACGCTGCACAACAATACCCGGAAGCTCTGTGAAAAAATCATTGCAGAATCCGATAAGACTGCAGCAGATCAGAATCCACCACCGAACATCCATCGCACAACTGGCTACCGCACTGGCGACATCTTTGTTAATGATTTTATCCGACTATCCAGTGGTCATGGTCAAATCGCGTTACCAATTATGCATATCAATTCGCTAAATTATCACTGCGTAAAGTTAAACGCAGGCGAATTACGGCCAGTGTTGGCCAAAAACCTTTCAAAAGCAATGTTTTCGCGTACCTCTCCCAGCAGACGGGTCTGTACATCTTTGGTTTCGGGCAAAACAACTAACAATAAGTACCTCATTGTAAAATGTACTAGAGTTAGCATGCATTGTACACACTAAACGTCAGTTATTCAGTACTTGCACTTAGAGCTTCAGGCTAAAAATTTGTGCTATGCGGTAGTTCTATAGAAATGCCAGTACTGTACATTGTACTCGTATACTTGTACATACCTCATTGCACGCACAGTACAATGTACTTGTAGCTCATTGTCAAGCGAGATACACCCAGATTTGGTGTAAATTTGTATTAACGAAATCGAGGTTAGTTATTTATTGACAGTTTTATTCATCAGTACTCGTATTCAATATTCTAACATTTTAAAATGCACATTTAGTTCCAATCACTGAAACAACGGCGGGACGTAGGACAGTAGTAAAACAAAGCCGTATTTGGCGATTGTTTAAGCTTTATTCGGCTATTTCTTCCGAGAAAGCAAGTGGAAGTACTGAGCTTGCTTAATAAATTGACAAGTAATAATTATATAGTATTCGATAGTATTTATTATTTTGCACAAGTTGCCCTTTCTAATAAAGGTGTTACGTCACCTCGTAAGCATACACCAAGAACTTACTAGAGGTAGTAACCTCACACTATAGTAAGTACTTGCATACACTTATTAGTGTATCCCACTACTTTAATACTTATGGCAGTCAAAAGCTGCTGGACTCAGTATTCTATTAATTTGCATTAAAGGTGAAAATTATCACTTAATAAAAAAACGCAACAACGGAACCTCTTAATGAAGATGTGGATCCGATCGACAACTGCTGACACATTGCTAAAGTTTAATTTCACTACTAAAAGACCCATTTATTACGGAAAACTGCTATCGGGTTCATCACCTGTAGCCGTGCATGCAGGAAGGCAACAAGTGCGAGCTGAATTACGTTTTTTTATCATCTTCTCGGTTTGCCCTTTATAGTATTTTCGCAGTAAACGCTAAAAGCCAACAAATGAAGCTAAAACAATAAAACAAGATCCAAAAATTTAGCAAACATAAGATTCCTTACGGTTGCATACGTAAACCACCATCAATCCTAACAATCTCTCCGTTCATGAACTTATTTTCCACAATCGACTGCGCCAGCTGCGCATACTCGTCGGGATTGCCCAATCGTTGTGGAAAAGGGATAGTAGATGCCAAGAATGTTCTTACTTTTTCCGGTAAGGCACGCAACAACGGCGTATCAAACAAACCTTAAAGAGCATTCAAAGGCCAATGCATCATTTCCTTTACAGTTATTTTCAGCAATTGAGCTTTTCAATGATGCACAGAATGTGAATGCGTACCTGGGGCAATGGAAACCACTCGGATGCCCTGATTTGATAAATCTCTGGCCATTGGCAGCGTCATTCCAGCAATGGCTGCTTTGCTTGTCGCATAAGCCACCTGGCCCACTTGGCCCTCGTATGCTGCAACGCTGGAAGTGTTGATAATCACACCACGATATCCGTCACTATCCGGCTGATTCTTCCCTATTAAGCCGGCTGCTAAGCGGCTCACGTTGAACGTACCGACAGTGTTCACCTGCAGAAGAACGGCTCATCTGTACGGTACTCGTACACCAGATGATGCATTTACACACTTACCATTAACACTTTTGTGAAGTCCTCCAATTTATGAGCAAAACTTTTATTAAAATTGTAGGTCTTATATGCAACGGCAATGCCTGCACAGTTGATGCATACGTCCAAGCCTCCGAAAGCCTTTTCCGTCTGCTCGAGACATGCCGTCACATCTTTTTCCGAAGTCACCTAGGCGCACAGTAGAGACATCTGATTAATTAGAATCCATATAGGCTGATATAGCGGCTAATGGATTACATACGACTGATATGATTAACTATGCTAAAATTATCATTTAGTTATGCTCTAAATATGCAACACGGCGGCACCAAATAATTAGAACTTTAATGTCTGCGGTAAGGACCAGACCAAACAAAGAATTCGCTCTGCGTTCAAATGATCAATGCACTTCCAATTATCCCAGAGTACTTACATCAATCGGCGTGAAGAGTGCACATTTTCCCAGCGTAGCTGCCTGTTCCTGGCCCTTGGAAGATGGAAGATCCGCAATGACAACTTTTGCTCCTTGACGAGCGAAGCGCGAAATGCACGCACTTCCCAAGCCGGATGCCCCTCCGGTTACTAGGACCACCAAACTCTAAAAACAATTTAAAAGATCATTGTATCATCACTAAATGTCTGCCATTAATCATCATCCCGCAAGTTACCGTAAGTCTTATTTCAAAGAAACGGGAGTCCGGAATACGCAGTTTCCTCACGAGCGCCTTACCTTAGCTGCACCGGACATCCTGTGTCGACTTCTAGAAGCCCACCAGGTGTGCGAATAACTACCGTGCAAGAAAACTTCAATACCTTACAAATTTGATGAGAACATGACAGAGAATCCCGAAGTCTGGAAAATTTATTAAAACTTCTTAAAAAGTACGTACGAAGTACTGTAAATTTTTAGAAGTTTTGCAGTTGCTGCACGATGCGCGAATGCACGACACGGCTGCGTTACGCTGCGTCACGTAGACGTACCTGCTTCGAGCGTAGCTTCACAGACATTTCGTGCGTGACTGCACATATGCCTATATCTGCACTCACTGCGGACCGAAGTCATGCATCAACCAACAAGTCCTGACGGAAGAAAAAATCAGCAGCAATTTTGGAAGTCAAATTTCAAAACCTCAGAACCCCAGAATCTCGTTTCCTGTACTGTACTTTTTAGCGGAATGGAAATTGGCCGATCATTTTGAACTTAAAAATCTGATACGGAATTTTGACAGAAATGACTTTATCTCTGGGAAATAATCCGTATAATCGGATGTCATGGGAAGACGCGGTATGTACCATTATCTGATAATCTGTCAATATGATAATCACCACAATTCCTGAGATCTCTAGTGGTGTAGTTTTTCCTTTTTGTAACTTGTATTAGTTAAGTTTTGTGTGAGCTTAGATTCTTAGAAGTCACAAGTAAGTTGATTGACGAGTACGAGATAGATTAAGTGGGTTGTTCTACTGCACAACCAGTGTTTCTTACTGATGTGGTGATTTCTGTGATCTTTGTTTGGCAACAGATGATCATAGAAGTTGAACGGTATGTTTTCATTGTAGGATTTCCCGATACTTTGTCAAACTTGTTTGGGTGACAATCCTTATTTGAGGATGGTAAGTCCGAAAATTTAACTGTATAACAAAATCACACTAAAGGAGCATACTGCACACTGAGGAACATGTCCATTTGTGGAGGTCGAAGTTGTCACTGGTTCGCTAATTTGATGTGTTTAACCATTTTCTTGTCATTTTCGTGTGGACTTCTTCTAATATGTGAATGGGTTCCTCACTTAGATGAAGGAAAAGTACGGAAGCGAGTGTAACATCTGCCAGCGGCCCTTTACGGTTTTTCGATGGTGTCCTGGCAAAGGAATGCGATACAAGAGCACTATAGTCTGCCAGACTTGCAGCAAAATGAAAAATGTCTGTCAAACGTGCTTGCTGGATTTGGAATACGGTATATCAATAATTGTGCACAACACTTCAAACTTCTTCGAAGATTACCGACTGTTTCACACCTTTAGGCTTGCCCGTGCAGGTGCGGGACAATGTCCTCGGACAGAAACACGACATTCCGAAATCCCTTGTCAACCGGGAATATTACACCCAGAATATGGAAGTCGCCGTAAGTTACTGTTACTACAAAAATGTGCTGCTGGCGAGTGGCCGCTGTACAGCTTTCGTTTTGTACACCACATTCCGTTATGAAGAGTTTAATGTTTGGTTTGGAAAATTTTAAGCAACTGTTCTTAAAGTTTGAAGATTTATTTTGCTGGGAATACAAATTATATGCTTAATGGCAGGAACTGATAGCGCACATGCTCAGTTAAAGCAAAATCATGCTGCATATTTGATTAATTTAGATGACGGAGGCAGGGGGCAGTGTTTCTGGATTGGATTTGTTGGGCATGACTCAGTCCCAGAACGACCAGCTGCGAAAATTACGCCGACATGAGCCGTACTATAAGCGTAATGCTCCACACATCTGCTCGTTCTACCTCAAGGGCGAATGCAAGCGGGGCGAAGAATGTCCTTACCGTCATGAGAAGCCTAGTGATCCCGATGATCCTTTATCATCGCAAAACATTCGGGACCGTTATTACGGTAATAATGACCCTGTTGCCGATAAGTTGATGAAGAAACTCTCCCGATTACCCAAACTGGAGCCCCCCGAAGATCCAAATATAACCACTCTGTATGTCGGCAATGTTATGGAGGCGATCACGGATAAGGACCTCCGGTGGGTTTTTGACGAATCTGAAAAAATGTGAATAAATTTCTAAAGTTTTACTTCTGTTTAGGGATTTTTTCTATCAGTATGGAGAAATCCGGAATTTGAAGCTCGTCCACAAGCAGCATTGCGCTTTTGTCGAATACACCACTCGACAAGCCGCCGAACTTGCTGCTGATCAGTCCTTCAATAAGGTTTGCGGTTATTCGTTTTAAGTGACGTTTTGATTGGTTGATGGCCAGTTGACTCTGTTCTGAAACTGCTGATGCCAGTTTTCTAATAAGTACAGTATTTTAATTTTAGGTTACCTTGCATGGTATCCGCTTGAACGTGCGTTGGGCCAAACCGCAGTCGAAGCAGAAAGAAGGCGGCACGGGCGATCCCCGGGAGAAACTGCCATTCGTTCCGGGATTGCCGGGCGCTCTTCCCCTTCCCGAGAAATTACTTCTCCAGCCACCAATGGAAATACCCCCCGTGCACCTTGGACTGGGAGCCCCTCCTATGGGACCCCCGCCTGTTTATTATCCTTCTCAAGATCCTACCAGGTAATTCACATTTCTGCAGCAAGTTTTCGGTGTGCTCTTGGTTTATCTGGGATAAAATTCGTAGACTCGGATCAGGAAAACACGGAAGTCAATATTGATTTCTCTTCCATACTGCATCCTTTCCGGAATTGAATGTGCTGCAGGCTTATCGTTTCCTGGCTGGTGTCGTCTGTTACTACTGGCCTTCGATAATATACAGTAATGTCCCGTAAAGCCTCGGCTGTAAATTTATTGGCCGTTATTTTGTATGGGAATGCATTCACAAAGCATTCATTCAAACATCAAAACCAGCGGCGACTACATTCGACTGGGTTGTTTTCGCCGTATATGTCAGCTCGATATATTTCGGATTTTCGTTGTCTGTCTGTATATTTTCCTTCTGATAATACTGTTGTTTAAAATAAAATGCCTGTACCTCGGTGTCGACTCTGTGCGGAATTACTCAACGGCTTTCTGGATTATTTTATCAAAAAAAATCGAATTCGTCGTCTTTTGGATTGGCAGGGACGGAGAGCGGCATATTTGCTGGTGAACAAAAATCATAATTTTATTATAATGACACTACTGACACGAGAACAACAAAAAAATTCGTGAAGGATGAGATTCGAACTCATGCGGGCAGAGCCCATTTGGTTACTGAGAAAATTAGCAGCCAAACGCCTTAACCACTCGGCCACCTCCACATGCTAATCGAGACTGGTGCAGTTTTCGATAGCGGCCGAAAGCTGGATACGTATAGCAGTATTGTTTTCTTACTAAAGCATAAAAAAATAATGGAGAATAAAAGTGATATAATGGATAAAAGGATACAATGGTTTTCGGCACTGGGCTAAGTCCTGTATCTTAACTTATGATCTAAGTAAGTACTGGAAAATCAAACAAAAACACTATTGTATAAAAACTGTATTGTATACTGGATCGCTTCTTTGGTTGCGTTGCACGAAAAAGAATGTCATTATTGTTAGTGGCTCGTACCAACCATGAAAATGGGAGTTAGGAGGATTTTTATTTCTCCGTGTATTGGCCGTCATGATAGCACTGCGCGTACCAACTGATTATTGCAAGATATAGAAATATTCAAGCACATACAAAAAGGTGAACCAGCAAACCGCTAAAAGACAAGCAGCAACAGATATCCAGAGTGACTCTAAACTAGTAACAACGAGCGAAATTCAGACGCCCTTTGGAAAAATGAGAAATACTAATTATAAGCTTATAACTGAAGCACCGCTAATTTAGGACAAGAAGGGAAACGATTGTATAAGCCCTTGCCAAGCATGCCCACAGTCTTGCTGAAATATTTTGAGCACAAAGACGAAAATGTCATTCACAGCTATCCATAGTCTTAGATCATCCCACAAAACTAACCCATTTACATCAGTATTAACACAATCAGCAAAACATTTCGGCAACCGGCTGGCAACCGTAGAGTTCTCGGATATTGTATGCCGAATAGCAATATAAATGTGAGTTACTATACGTATAGCGCTCTATTAATCCTTAATATCAATAGCCACCACCTCCATAACCTCCTCCATATCCATGCTCTCCAGCGAACACGGCCTTCCCGTATCCATAATCTCCCGATCCTATTTAATATCCTATTTGGCAGGAATTTCAGTTGGAAAATTTGCATAAGATCTTACCGTATTTCGAGTAAACATGGAAGCCGGGAATTCCTAAAGCAAAACCGCATTAAATTTCAGGTTACTGCTAAGCCTATGACCTTTATCGCTGAATTATGATACGATGCACCGAAATAATTATTATTGTACTTACCGTAGTAAAAGTCGAATTTGTCGTAATAGGGGCTGCAAATACAAGAGAGGGTACAGCGTCTGTTTCGTGAAAATTCGTGTTACATAGGCACCGCATACCCGTAAAGGTTGTAACCACCATATCCGCCGCCGTAACCACCTCCTCTTTTCTGCCTCGAAGCACACTCCGCTACCACAAACAGGAAGCACGCCGCGCACAGGGAGATCAAAATCTGAAAGCAACAATTCTCTTTGAAATTAACATATCCAACAGAAAATAAACAGGACAACAAGTTTTACCATTCTCAAAATGGATTGCATTGTAGAAGAGTCGAGCAGGGAACCGATCGAAAGGATTACGGTCGTAATGGGCAGCTATATGCAAAGACCAGTAAGCGGATGAAAGAGAAGTGAATGATTTGGTGTTGCCTAACAAGCTGTCTTATATACAACGCGGCGGAAGTTCAAGGCCTCGACGGCTACTGTCGACGGTATGCCGGAAATCTAACCTGAAAGCTCGTTTGCATACGGCGTACGGGAGCTGTTCGCGGAGCGCTGCTCTAGTTCTTTGGCCACTCATGTACAACCTTAGCTCTGAAGAATCGGCATTTTGCGCGGACTACTTGGTTGAATGTTTTGTGCCGTATGTTACATGTCCAATGTACGGTGATATTCGTTACCGTAATGATTATACACGAAAGCCAATCCTGCTTGAGCGATGTCCTTTTCAATTACGATGTCGCTAGTAGCAGTGCGCATTTGCTCCACGTCCACCATAGTGGACATTATTTGATCGGTATGAGCCGCATACAGTTTACGTATTAGCGGTCAATTAATCGCGATGTGTCAATGCGGAACATATCAACACTGGCTTGGATCACACTTGAATGCAGACGCACTTTTCTTTGTACGTCGACGACAGTTACGAAGGTTGCTAAACATGGTTTTCGGCTCTCGTAATTACAGATCTCCAATGACTTTTACCGTTAACGGCCTTAAACTTTTTGATACTACAACAAAAACGACAATTATGTACTTCAGTAGACCAAGCAAGCGGTTCCGAATGCTGATTCAGTAATATCGGAGTTTCGCTGATTGCTGGTCAGTATCTATATATAAAGTAAATAATAAATCTGCAATTAAGCACCCAGAAGTTGACTAAGTTAACTATTGAGATTACAGATTACTAGCACTGAAGTCGTGAATGCACTAATGAATAGTTTGCTTAATAATCAGATGCAGTGTAACCTTACAAGTTAGTTAACTGATTACGTTTATGTACTACGAAACGATATACCCTGGTTAGAATTAACTTAAATTGGTGTTTTAGTGACAATTTATCGTTTAATATCAGCTACAGTGCCATTATTACACTTCCAGTATGCATATGAGCGTCTTTACCACGAAGTCACCCTTAGAGACTTTATTGAGGGATTCGGCATTTGAAATGGTACAAATGCATAGGAAAAAATAATAACACAAACAGCTTCAGAAAGAATGAACAAAGGTCCAGTATTACCCATAAATTCACAAATATAAAACAGTTTCGGACATCGTCGGCTCTAAGATTCTGCGGGTCCGTAAAAATCTCTGTCGTGGCTGTTTCCACTATATGAATTGGAGCGGGCGCTGGAAACAAATGCAGCAACATCGAATTAATTTCTAAAGACGTTCGTCAATTAATTTATTTGACTTTACTAGAAAAAGTGATCGCCCAACCACAGTAAACTTTTTGCAGCAGCAATAAAAGTATCTGTACACACATTTGCTACGAGTGTTCTATCTGTAAGTGACAGCGTGTACTTCGGCGTCTGTTGTTTACGTAATACTGCTTGCACATAATAATTATTGAAGTAGCGTGGAGTTGTTTTAAAGGTAAAGCACTTGTATTATTTTTAGTTGTGTTCATTACTGCAAATGTGAATCATTGGTTAAGTAATCATGTGTGTAGTTAAACCATTAGGAATATAAAATTTGTGCTTTTAATTAGTGTAAAGCTGCGCACGCGAATTGTTATGTATACTGGCTTAAGCCTAATAAAGTTATATACCACTAGGATATGCATAGCTAAAAATTGCATTGTCTAGTTCAGAAACGCTTTATTAAAGTCACAAAAGCGGCTCTGCATACCTGCATCGATATTTGCAAGCAATTGGCCTTCACATAATATGGGAATCATCATCTCATATATGGACGGGATCGGTACCTTTATATCGTGAAATCAATTTTCGGTTACCCGTTACGAAAACACATAATTATTTTATGCTATGCCGCAACTGTTAATTAAAAGAGAAAAGGTGCAATCAAGTCCAAACTTCCGAAAATTGTGCATGCATGCGGCAACAATAGATTCACCATACTGTAAGTGTAAAGGATATTTGCGAAAAAGCAATAAAAAAGATTAATTAAAGAAGATCTGGTTCATGCAGTCGTAAAACTGTCCGAAGAAAATGACATATTGCCGAAAACACAAATTTTAGCAATCCGCTTCATACTGCTAGCATGCTTTTTGGATATCTTCTGCGTTGCACAATTATTCTATTTTCTTTAATGCTTCGCAATGATCTGGTTACTGATTGTTTCAAAAACTATAAAAATGATGTGTATTGACGATATTGAAACCATGCAACTATTACTGTCAGTTCGCAGGATGGTAAGAATTTCCCATTACGAATTCATGCAACATGTACAGTAAATCCATTGCTTGCAATCTGATTAACAGGTTAAGTTCAAATTACTATCCAGTCATGCGTCAGCGGTAGCACATAATTTTGTAAAACGTATAGTATCTAAACGTAGCGCCACACCTTTCGTGCAATTTTACGATAGAGCGATAGGTGCAGGATTTAGTAACAGCATCGAATAGCTAGATATTCATTTTGCTTGAGTATAGCTTGAGCAGTTCTTATATTAAAGTGCATGCTGTAAACTAATTGGTGAGCTGGGAAAAAGGTCACTTACCCATTTCCATAGTCTTGGCTGGGATATGCACCCGACGAGTCGGCATCTCCTGGGTAACTGGAGGGATAGGAAGACGGCTTATACCCACTGGGATTGTAGCCGCCTCCACCGCCGCCGCCACCACCTGATCCGCCGTTATAACCTCCTGATGCAAGAGAAACATCTGGAGTATGCGCAGTCAAGTACGGTTTGGCTGCAGCGTCCTTAAACGTGATGTACAAGGATGTGCTGGGCGGAGCTGGACTACTAGTACGCTGCACACTGTTGCCCTTGTATGCACTGTACTGACCTGAAGGTCCTCCTCCTCCGTAGCTGGGCTGTGGTGGCTGGTAGGAAGAGGGTCCAGGATTGTAGGCGGACGGAGAAGGCGGGCGATATGCCGGCGGCGAAGGAGAGTAGCTGCTAGACGATGACCCCGAGTAACCTTTCTTCACCATGTAACCGAAAGGCGAATCGTCATCTTCGTTGGCGGATCCTGCTGGATAGGACGGACGACTGCCACCATACGAAGGAGGAGGCGGGGCCGGATTATAGCTGGGTCCACTGGAGTAGCTGTTGTCGTCATAACTAGGCGCCGAGTACGACGACGATGAATAGGACTGCCCTTTTCCATAAGCATCAGGTTGCTGAACTGGTACTTGCATAGTTATATACCTAGAAAGTAATTATGGAATTATTATTATTAAATAACTTACGGTGCACATAAATCAGAATTTATGCTTATTTGGGCAAACGTAGGTTGTACTATTTGCTATTTGTTATTGTTGTGCTCTAACGTCCCTAAAAAGGATAAGTTAAAGAAACAAACCGAAAAATCATGTTATGATGATGTTATCCAGTTGAACGAATGTAAGAACACTTAAGCTTGCTTAACAATATGAACTATTAAACAAAGAAGATTTGGTCTATCAAATAATCATTACTCATTAGCAATAAAGTTCTGATCTTACCCTCTGCCAGGGTAATACACCTTAGCTTTTGTTTTTGGTCCGGGAAAATCATCAAAAAGTCCTTCAAACTTTTGCTGGAATTGCTTGGCAGAGGGCGGAAGGGTGTATCCGGTCAGCTGACGATTGCGCTCGTGTGTCATTGCCGGCGGATACTTGGACGGTGCTTGTGCCACTCCCGTGTAAGCATTGCCGCCCCCGGTAGCATATCCGTAGTCACCTCCACCACCACTTGGACTGCTGTAGCTACTGCTGCCCCCAGAATAGCTGTCATCTCCGCCGTATGTCGACGAATATTTTGCCGCATTAACGACGGAAAGTCCGAATAGCACCAAATTGGACGCTAAAGCCCAGATCATCTTGATGCAAAAATACAATATTAGAAAAGAATAAATTTAGCTCCCAGTCAACAACTACTGCATGGATTGTAGGCTGCGGTGGGATACTGATGTAGAAAGATGACTGTGTTTGTGTATGTCACAAGATGGATTGCAAGCTAATCGTCGCTGGTCAAAACGCATGCAAAGATTTGCAAATGTTCTGTATATGGAAACAATTATGTAAACGTGCGTTGCTTCATCAGAATATGTACTCACAGAGCTCACTAAAGTGATCCAAATTCGGTGCAAAAAGTCTTTGATCCATTACGAAGTCTGTGAAAAGTAGGTAATTGCGTAGACATATCGTGTAGGGTTAGCATGTTGTGGAAAATATAGTGAAGTGAGCTGTGGTGAGGTAACCTTATTATCATGGCCTAGTACCTAAAGGCTGCTAAGGAAAAACAAAAGTGAGATGTTGGTGGACATCACTATTTAAATTTTTTATCGCTGCATGGTTATTGTACATCTTCAATACTTTTAGCACCGAACGGGCGTGCATTGTGCTAGTGAAAGTAACCGAAACGATCTCATTAGGTGTTTATAGTTTTTTTCTCAGTCATAACAGCATAATTGCGAATAAAAAAAATGTGCTACTTGAACCAAACACGCTTCTTTTGCTTTAATGCATGCAGAAAAGAATGTATCATACTTATAATCATCTACTGCAGTTACCTAATGGAGGCAGTAACGTGCAGTGTGCACACAGTAAACCGGTTTTCTTGGCCGGTGGTCAGTGGTAAATATTTTTCTCGTTGTACTTTTGTACTGCAACAGGCATATTGGTTTATCAGAAGTAGTATTGGAAGAATATCAGTAAAAATGGTTGCGAAAACTTAAATACCTACTCTTACCTGGTTAGTTAAAATCTGTTACAACTTACCCCTCATTATATCCTATGTTGTTCCGACTTCGTTTTAACCAGTTTGCTTTTGTAGAAAAATGCGCTTTGCAGTAGGATGGAGTTAGGTATTTAGTTTTGGGGTTATGTACTATTGCGTTCTTGTCATTAATTGTCTTATTCTCATATGATAATATGGCGTGCCATCTTGTCATATGCGAATGGGGGTTTGTCCCGTTGCAGAAGACATTTAATTCATAATTAGTAATTAGTAAAAACAAAGGTTTTAGTGGTGAATGTTTGAAACAGTGGAATGCTACAGCAAGTACTACGTAGTAAAAATAATACAAATTTATTCAAAAACAGATATTTCGAAAAATAAAACAATATGTCCCTACACATATTGTTATACAGGTGTTAATTAGTTGGCAGTGTGCAGCAAGCAAGAAAAATGTTCTGAATCTGTTCGACTTTATTTATGCGTGGTCCGGTTCTAAAGAAAAACTTTAACTTAAATGTATTATATTTTTTAAATAAAAATTTGCTCGATACGTACGATTCACTACGAAATAAGTACCTTTACTGTGATAAACCGGTAGAATATGCTAACAAAAAAACGTGCAAAATTTTCAAAATTAAGTAAGCAAAAAGTTTTTCAATATTCTGTTAAGTCTGGTTCATGGAGTTCGGCTACTGTAATTCGATATAATAATACTTATAAAGCTGTAAATACTAATTATGAAATTTTTCTTAATCATATCAGGAATTTTCTTTATGAAGTACATGCACGTGATTTGATCCTCTACCGCCAATTTTAGTTTCAGCTTTTGCAAGTAAAGGTTAATACTCCAGAAAGTAGAATCTGCTTCTTATCTGTTACGCACACACGTTTTGTTGCTTTTTTCTACCGACTCCTCCTGCGATGCACTTATATAACTTCGTATTACACAAAGAAGTAAAAGAATACTGTTTCAGTTAGCGATTAAACGTTATATCGCAACACCTACATGAGTTTTTTCCGTTGCAATACGACCGTATGAGCAAGCCTAACCGTAAGAACAACAGAATTCGAAACAATGAGTTTTATAATTTTTACGCTCTGTTAACGGATTGGATCCAAATCATGACAAGTGCGGCACGACGACGGCGCGGTGCGCGCGGGGGCTCGTGCAGCTCCACTACCCTTGCACCCATATGTGTCGAGGTCACCTCACCTTCTTTGTGCACTGACGCAAATATTATGTACAAATGCATACACATTTATTGAATCCGCTGTTTTCCATTTGTGCAGTTGTAAATCCTCAACGTTAAACCACGTTTGAAAAACGTTCCGTTCGCCGGCCTCCGAAGTTATCACTGCGACAATTAAAAAAAGAAAAACTCAACAGAATAGGACAATGATTCTCGTATTTCTGGTTATATCATTCGTGCATAGAAGTAGATTAGCAAGTGGTATATTTAACATGATGCTGTGCAAAATTGGCCAGAGACGAGATTGTCCATCCGTTTGAATAATTATGGTTGGGTTGATACGTCGTTTAATTGGAATCTGGTGCATTGCATGTAACAGTTGCTGATCACTTGTTGGCTAAATTGGCAGTTACCGTTTGATAAATTCCGACAACTGGCATTGTAAATTGGTAAATACCACTATCAAGTACACTTCTCATTATACCTACCTACCGATGTTCGCTTTTTATTAACAATTAAGAAGTAGGGACTTAATTTTGCAACCTGACCAAGTAATACTTTTCTGATCTACAGGTTGTCCGGATCGTTTGCGACCAGAAATATTTCTGGCGTCGATGCCAGACCTGTTAGGAAATAGCAAAAATGATTTCCGCTATAAGGGTGTGGATTGGCGTAAGTGTAAAAATTAGGAGGATTAAATGTCGTCATGTCGGGCATTTTTTGCAGTGTTGGTACGGTTTTGTTGCGCGCATTTAGTGTGACATTAATGTTTCACTCTTTTACAGCTAGCTTGTTATCTTCTGTTCATATCGGCAGCAGTACCGGACCGAATAAAACCGTCTGCCTTTGATAACAGCAACGTCACCGGAAATGGCAATCAATCTTTGAGCACAGCTGCAACAGCTAACGACTTTGTAAAAAAGTCGTTATCGAGAACCGAATTTTTACTGAGCCTTTTTCCTAAAAAGGCAAACATTTTCGGTCTCATGGATTTAACGGAAAAAAACAAAAACAAGTCTCGCAGTTTGATTCGTACACCTCCAAGGTGCGTACATATTGCGTAGCCCGGATAACTACGGACTTATGCAGTTCAGAATTTGCACTGCATGGGATGTTTGTAAATAGTTAGGGATGAGTGTGTCTTTGTCTGCACTTTCATTTAAATAATGCTGTGTACTGACTTTTCAGAAAAGCATCATAATCCCGTAAAAATAATAACAGTGGTACATAGATTCGGTATATAGAAATTCGTGGTTGACGGTATGTGGTCATCGTCAGTAGTGAGTCGTGATCACTGATTACCCAAAAGGTCAGACTATGGTACTAGTATTCATGAACCGTTAACATGCAAGTCTAAAGCAGTTCCTTTCCATTACAGAACTTACAACTCATATTTGAAGTTCATGGAAGAATACCGACGCCGTCAAAAAGGTATGTTTTTGCTTCGTTGGTTATTGTCAGATTTCTTAAACACTTCTATTCAAAAGCCCGTGATATATTCCGTGGCCAGGCGTTGGGTGAAATTTGATAAAGTACTTCCAATAAAAATTTTTGGTACTCCTATGTACTTTGCAAATACATAATTCTGGTAATAAAAAATGTTTGCACGGTATTGGCGCTTGTACATTTTGTGATAAATGTTCTCACGGTGTGAGCTCTCCAAGCCTACGTACCTACGTAAATCATCGATATTATTTTCGGCAATAAGCAGTTGGCATAAAGTTAATTATTTAAGAAAACGTACCCGAATACAATACACGCAACTAGTAAGCGTTAATACAATACACAATTTAGGAGATGACGGCAAAATACTGATGTCTACCAACGTTGCAAAGAGCGACACAGAGGTAAGCAAACAAAACGAAATTTGAACTGGATTCTGGTATTCCACCACTTCTGTTCATTTCTTATGTTCTTGTAATACGGACCGCTGCACCAATACTGTGGCTCATAATTGCGGCCTCGGATAAATTAATGTTTCTTTTGTGGTAGCATCTTCGAAAGAAACGCATGTCCGGGTACGGAGGAGGCGGATCATATGGTGGCGGCGACAGTTACGGTGGAGGAGGAGACAGCTACGGAGGCGGAGGATACGGTGGAGGCGGGTATGGAGGGAAAGGTGACTCATACGGGGGCGGAGGATACGGCGGCAAAGGTGACTCCTACGGCGGTGGTGGATACGGTGGGAGCAGTTATGGTGGCGGCGGCGGTGGCTATGGGAAAGGTGATTCATATGGCGGCAGCAGTTACGGGGGTGGCGGATACGGAGGCAAAGGGGACTCATACGGCGGAGGCGGATATGGTGGCGGTGGCGGTTACGGAAAGGGAGATTCCTATGGGGGAGGCGGTTACGGAGGAAAAGGTGATTCTTATGGGGGAGGCGGTTACGGAGGAGGTGGATACGGAGGCAAAGGGGATTCATACGGGGGCGGGGGATATGGCGGAGGTGGCTATGGAGGTAAAGGTGACTCCTACGGAGGTGGCATGAGCTATGGTGGAGGCGGATATGGCGGCAAGGGCGATTCGTATAGCGGTGGTGGTTATGGTGGAAAAGGTGATTCCTATGGAGGTGGCGGCTACGGGGGAGGAGGAGGGTATGGAGGAAAAGGGGATTCTTACGGTGGAGGAGGTTATGGGGGAGGTGGATATGGTGGTAAAGGTGACTCATACGGTGGCGGTGGTTACGGCGGAAAGGGAGACTCTTATGGAGGTGGCGGCAGTTCGTACGGTGGAGGTGGTTACGGAGGCGGCGGCTACGGCGGCGGCGGCGGAAGTTATGGCGGTGGTGGTTATGGTGGCGGAGGGTATGGCAAAGGAGATTCATATGGAGGCGGAGGTTATGGAGGTGGAGGAGGGGGTTACGGCGGTGGTGGAGGTGGCTACGGGGGTGGTGGTTATGGTGGTGGCGGGCATGGAGGTGGCGGTTATGGCGGCGGTGGTGGCTATGGTGGTTGGGGAGGTGAGTACGGTGGTTGGGGTTGGGGTTGGGGTGGTGGTGGTGGTGATGATTGTTGCTGTGACTGAACATTTCGCGATGATTTTTAGCAAAATATTAACTGCTCCCGTATTCAACCTACCAAAGAGCCAGCGTGTGGATACCGGCACGAGCCTGCTTTCCTCGCACAATCATTTGTGCGCTTTACTTCCGGCGCAGCGCTGCACGTAGTGTGCTTTCCCTTGTTTTTGCTAAGACAGCTGAAAAGTATTAAACTAAACTTTGTTTTCATGCTTTACTATCGCCTGCACGGTGGATGTTCATTGTTCATGCAATGTAGTGCAACTGGTCTCGATACTGAAAAATATATGCATTGTAATGTCACGAACATTCCTGATAGCTCACCATCAGAAGCACTGACCGTTTTACGGCACGCATGTGCCGAGTGTAAAACAATGTCGAGGATACATTTATGATTTATCGAGCTTTTCGTGTCTTTCTTAAATTCTATAATATTAATTTTACTTTGCACGTTAGTAGTACCCCATCTAGCACTGCATACATTGGCAAAATCCTGTTCGAGATACAGAAGGGATGCATAATGCGCTCACCGGAAGTGGATTAGGGGTATGTCGCGCTCCTGTTGCATTTTGCACTGCCCGAGTCAATAATTAGTGCAACCGCTCAGAGATGCGGTGCACCATTGCACACAGCGAATGCCTGTTGCTTGGTGAGCCATTCTGGCTCATTCATAAGAATCGGTGCTATGATTCATTCAGATGTTGTAAGTTCAAAGTATAGAGCGGAGACAAATGAAACCGTACGGAATTAGTAATCAGGTGCAGAAGCGACCAATCACAACAAACTGTGATAAACCTGAATTGGAACGGTCTGGTGCGATCGCGACAGTCAAATCAGAAAAATCATACGATAGCTTGTTGCAATTTATAAAGAAGCGTTTTTCGTTGTTACAATGTTACAGTACGTAAGTGTTTGAAGCCTTGAAATTGGTTATTTCTTTAAAATTAAAAATAGTTCTAATTTGGGATACTACGTGTGCACTAAATAGATTTTTTTACCAAAAACTCATCTATGGAATAATTAACTAATTTAGCTGGCTAGTGGTGAGCCCGTGTGTATGCGTGTTTCTCTCAACAAGTTCTTTCTATACAGCATACATGCCTCATTGATATCGCATGATCAATAGTGCTGTGTTGTGCATGGCAGCCATAAACTCGTCGTTCGCTAGCAGTCATCAATACCAGTGCGATTGTATTTGTGGGTGTGAAGTAGCACACAGAAGCACCAGAACCAGTTAGTCCGCTGTATTATTTTCTCTCGTTCATTACTCAGCACCGTCCCCCCACCATCATGTCCCACCGAGCCCCTGGAAACACGGGCATGGAGGCCCTGATCCCCATCGTCAACAAACTGCAGGATGCCTTTAGCCAGATGGGATCGGCCCTCACACTGGACCTGCCACAGATTGCCGTGGTTGGTGGCCAGAGTGCAGGCAAGAGTAGTGTGCTGGAGAATTTTGTGGGTCGGGATTTTCTTCCGCGCGGCTCGGGTATCGTCACTCGCCGACCTTTGATTCTGCAACTACAGCATTCCAACGTGGAATATGGAGAATTCCTTCATCAGAAGGGGCGAAAATATACGGATTTCGATGCGATAAGGAAAGAAATCGAAGATGAGACAGATCGCGTTACTGGCAGTTCGAAAAATATTTCATCTCTGCCCATTAATCTTCGCGTATTTTCTCCTCATGGTAAGAATTTCTTGCTTGAGTAGATCGGTACCAATTGGCTGATCAGTGTTATGTTTTGTGTACAGTATTAAATTTGACTCTGATTGATCTTCCCGGGATGACGCGAGTGCCCGTTGGTGATCAGCCGCCTGACATTGAAATGCAGATCCGTGAAATGATTATGCAGTTTGTCAAACGAGAGAATTGTCTCATTCTGGCCGTCTCGCCGGCCAATTCCGATCTGGCCAATTCGGACGCGCTGAAAGTGGCCAAGGAAGTCGATCCGCAGGGACTGCGCACCATCGGCGTCATCACCAAACTGGACTTGATGGACGAAGGCACCGATGCGCGGGATATTTTGGAGAACAAACTGCTCCCGCTGCGCCGCGGTTATGTGGGAGTGGTAAATCGCAGTCAGAAGGATATTGACGGCCGCAAGGACATTAAGGCCGCGCTGGAAGCAGAGCGCCGGTTTTTTCTTAGTCATCCAGCTTATAGGTGAGTTATGCCTGAGCTCTGTTTTTATAGGCCATCGATATTATTGATTTTCGGATTATTGATCGCATCGTTCGCATGGATCTGTTGCTGTTTGCCAAGAATGCGGTTTCAGCGCGCAACAGATGTTTATCGATTTAGGTATTAGCGAAACAGCAGTCTGGCTTTACTGGGTAGTGGGCTCGGTATTCGTATCTGCTTTGTAAAATGTTAAATAAGACAGACCGTGATCTATTTTGATTAGATTGCTCTTTCTTTTGTTTGATTTCTTTAATATCAGAATTAATTTGTGTGCAACGAGTAGATAGCGCTAACGCCAGAAATGTTTAGTTTCAGCAGTAGAATTGGCTGCTTTCGTTTTTATAATGTGCTTTAATTCTTTCTATGTAATAGTTTCCTAGCCCAGAAAATAACTGGTCCTAAAATTTAGGACCAGTTATTTTCTGGACTAGGAAACGGTTTTAATGGTACTGGTTCATAGCCTGTTTGTGAGCCTTCCTCCCGCGTATTAGTACGCGTAACGAACCAATGGTGACATAAAACTGAGTGTTAATTTTAATGGGCAAATTTTGATGTCTGGACTTCGAAGTATGGAAAAAAATTTCTGTGGTGATTTTTTTATTGGAACAGTGAGCAGACATGGCTATTGCAAGAAAATATTGTAATTTATAAGTTGTGAAAAACTTGGATTCAGTGCAGAGCACGCTGCAATTTTTGGGATTTTCAGGAACAGGCTGGGTGAAATCAAATCAGTGCGTACTGGTATTATCGGGTATTGTGGTAGCTGTTTATCCTTCCTTTATCGCTGCTTTCAGTTTTCATAACATCGAAAGAGCAGCTTCGTTGTTTGTACTTTGTGAGGCGGTCCGCAGTATAAAGGGCCGTTCGTTATCGCAAAGAACAAAAAAATGGTTGCGTACTTCGTTTGAGTCACTCGACGATTCACACGTATTAAAGAGAAACGATCAGAGTTTGAAAGGAATAAATGATTGATTTTTTCGCTAAAAATTGCAGTAATAAAATGATTATCCACACAAACACTGCGCTAGTTGATCAGACAAATCATCTCACGAATGAAAAAGGGAAACGGTGTTTTTTAAGCTGATAAATCGATAACTTTAAATTTGGTAAATGCATTCAGCAGCGATTCAGTAATAGACTACTTACAAATTCGTCTTGTCTTTCCACAATCTGAAATACTAGCAAATAATGTTTGGGATATTCTTTAGCATGAACGAATTCTCTGTGTTCCAGGCACATGGTGCAGCGGATGGGCACTCCTTTTTTGCAACAGGTACTAAATCAGCAGTTGACCAACCATATTCGCGATGTCCTCCCAGCCCTTCGGGATAAACTGCAGAAGCAGGTTCTGTTGATGGAAAAGGACGTTGAGGAGTACAAGAACTTTCGACCGGATGATCCCTCTCGAAAAACCAAAGCCATGCTGCAGATGATCCAGAACTTCTCATCGGATTTCGAGCGCTCCATTGAAGGTTCTGGTACCAGCAATGATGTCAACACCATAGAGTTGAGCGGAGGAGCGCGAATCAACCGAATCTTTCATGAGCGCTTTCCTTTCGAGATGGTTAAGATCGAGTATTCCGAGAAAGAGCTCCGCAAGCATATCGCTATTGCCATCCGCAACATTCACGGTGTCCGAGTGGGGTTGTTCACTCCTGATAAAGCTTTCGAAAATACCGTCAAAGGGCAAATAGTAAAACTGAAGGAGCCGGCTATCAAATGCGTGGATTTGGTTGTCGTTGAACTTTCTGGTATTATTAAAAAAATAACCGAGAAGTTGGCTCGCTATCCCCGCCTGCGGGATGAGATTGAACGCGTGGTTACTACGCATATTCGAGAAAAGGAGCAGCGGACAAAGGAGCATATCCAACAGATGATTGAAATCGAATTGGCGTACATGAACACCAATCACGAAGATTTCATTGGATTTACCAAAGCCGCTCAGGGTGCTGCACAGGCTGTGGAAAAGCAGAAACTAGGCAATCAAGTGATACGGAAAGGATTCCTGGCGATGCATAATATCGGAGGATCCATGTTTAGTCGAGCAAGGGACGCTTACTTTGTACTGACCAGTGAAAATCTGTCGTGGTTCAAAGATGAAACGGAAGCTGAAAAGAAGTTCATGCTGCCTTTAGAAGGCCTGAAGATTCGTGATATGGATAGCGGATTTATGTCCTCAAAAAGACATGCTTTCACTTTGTATCATCCGGAAGGGCGAAATATTTATAAGGAATTCAAACAGCTGGATTTGTCATGCGAAAGTCAGGATGATGCCGACGGATGGAAAGCGTCCTTTCTACGGGCTGGTGTTTATCCGGATAAATCCAGTGAAGCTGTCAAAGAGGAAGAGGTAAGTGGTTGACGGTGCTACACGCCTTTTCGCGGTTTTCGATTTGTTCTTGTTCAGTCTCCAGAGATATTTTTTTATAGAGCGATGAAACTTCGATGGATCCGCAGTTAGAAAGGCAAGTGGAGACCATTCGCAATTTGGTGGAATCGTATATGCGCATTGTCAGCAAGAACATTCGTGATCTGGTGCCGAAGACCATCATGTACCTCATGATCAACGAGGGTAAAGAGTTTATAAAGGCTGAACTGATCGCGTCTATGTACGCTGCTGGAGATCAGAATTCGCTGATGGAAGAGTCCATGGAGGAAGCTGTGCGTCGGGAAGAAATGCTGCGCATGTATGATGCTTGCAAAGAGGCACTACGAATCATCGGTGACGTTACCGTGCAGACGGTTTCTACGCCCGTACCTCCGCCCGTGAATGACGACTGGATTAGACCCGACGGTCAAGGCGATGGGCCAAGAGGGCACCCTGCAATGGCAGCTGGCCGAGGCACCATCCGGCCGCCTATGCAACCATCAGCAGCAGCAGCAGTCAATCCAAATCGTTCGGCGCCTGCTCCGCCCCCTATGGGGTCAGCCAGTAGCCCAATGCTGGCTAATGGTCCGCGAATTCCGGCGCGGCCATCACCTAGCATGAACGATTTATCCAACGGGACAATGAACGGAGCATGGGGCGGAGCACCCAACGGGACAGGTGGTCTTCCGCCGCCCCTGATCCCCAATCGGCCCGGTCAGCAGCCTATGAACGTCAGCAACCCAAATGTTCCTCCTCGGATACCAGACCGCCCCATGGTTCCCACCAAGCCCAGATAATTGTGAACTGCAGAAAGTGAGTGATGTGCGTTTTCGATTAAGAGATCAGCATTGCTGTCAGCTAACTGTTTTCGGCCCGGTGCTTGGCTCTTCCACTTCTACAATTTCATGCCCGTGTTTTACTTTTATTGATAGTTGTAGGTTTTATTGTTGTATGTTAGGTATTTGGCAAAGTAATTTTTATTCCAATTTTGTCGTTACACGCGCCATTCACAAGTACTGTAGCCGATGCTGTCACTTCGGGCTTTTGGATGTAATTTGGTTAAAATTTATGGGTTCTACATTCGGCTCGTATTTGATTTTCTGATTATATTTAAATGTTTATCTGTTTATTTTGTACTAAGTGCTCAAATAAATTAATCGTTTTTTTAAATTAATGAGTGCTTTTGTCGTTCGCCAATACAACTGTTGTAGTAGACGTTTACAGTCGATACCCGCCAGCTAATGCTATAGATACCTGTCTCGGTCGGTGCTGATGCAACGGTGTTTCGGTAAAAAGCACATAAATTTATATTCGAAGTTTCCAGCATTAATTGTACCGCACCCTGATTACTGGCTTCGATAACATGTCAACGAGCACGAAAAATACTGTACGCAGGCTGCACCATCACGAGTTAAGCAAATCTGCAGCTCCGTACGAATGTCGAAAACCCAACCCAGTAAAAGTCAAAATACCTACTTCTGAAATTCTGCAATACAAATCAGCACTCGGTTGGTTAACGTTACTGAGACTGAGATCAAACCCGGTTGCCCCTCTAAAACGCTCAAACACTCGTAATAAATGCAAAATTTTGCCACATAATTTCCGCTAAACTTTGTCTTGTTTTAAACTCCCTGATACGATTCTGAAGCTGAACTGCTCGGCATCTTGCGCCTGGAAATACGCAACGTAACGGAAGTTATTAGTCGATTGGCTCCTCTTCCTTGTGCGGCTTCGGCCAAAAAGGTAGATAGCTGGTACAGCAGCACCGATTAAACAGTCGGATTAAGAACCCAGGTGGATGATAGATTTCTCTTATTAAGTGTCCGTCTTCGGTGCTCACCGAAGAGTGCATGGCGGTTAGACCTCTCTCTTGTGGCGTACCTATGGGGGTATAAATTCGAATTACCCACAGCTGGTGTTATAAAGGTCAATCAACATGTAACCCAAGATCGTTAACAAACAGATAGTACGCATTACTTACAGATATTTTCGGGTATCTGATATTTTAAAAAGTAATTTTGCTGAGCTTATTTACCTGGAAGAATATTATCGAGAAGACACGCAAGGAATCCGCCGACGAACATGCTGGTTGTTAAGAGTACCTGCACTACTTGGTTCAGTTGGGAGACACCTGCAACCAGCAATGTATATTGTAAGCACACTGCAGGACCAGCAATGATTTGTTTGCTCTCATATGGATCAAATCCATACAATGAGAATACATTAATTTACTTATCTTAAGCAAGTAAAATATTACAGATTCTTATGTAATATATAAGCTACAGATAGTTCGAACATGATAGTTTGTACATAGAGCAGTCGGATTTATGGTCAATTTGCAACTTTAATCAGCAAGTGCACTTACTGGTCATCGTGTCCAGTGTTTTTTTATGCTCGCTAACCCAATGCGGCACGGTCAATCCCATGAAAAGAGAAAATCCCAAAACAAAAAGATTGCGGGTGGAATTAAGGTCCACGGACTGCAGCTGGGAAAGTCCAACAGCACTGATCATGCCGAACAGTCCACAATACAGTCCGCCCACAATCGGATCCGGCATGGTAGCCAGCAATCCGGCGAATTTGGTGAAAATGCCGATTCCCATCATAACCACCGCAGCGCACATTACCACTCGACGGCTTCCAACCTATAGTGCATAGTTCTGCTGAAATATGGCAAAGGTCAACTTGCTTTCTGTGCATATGCGAACTTCAGAGCCTAATCCAGCCGCAACTGTCATAACGCGCTTACTTTTGTTATTCCAAGAGCCGCAATATTTTCTGCAAAAGCATGTTGTTAGCACCATACAAATCGTGATAATGAAACTCATTCAATTTCTCAGTCAAACCGGAGTAAGATGTAGTGCCGCTCCCGGTGCCCCAAATTCCTGCTAAAACGCAACCCAGACCTTCCATTCCGATTCCCCGATTAATTGCATGGGTCGGTGGAGGAGGCGCGCCTAAAATTCACAAATTACAGAAATCCAACTTTTCTGGAGGTTGGATAATAAAAATAATATAAAATATCGAACTTTGCACATCACAGACGCTGCGCATCCTTATTCATTCTACGCATTTAAGATATACACAAGATTGACAAGAAAGCCTGACACCGTCACTTACCGGCTATTCTGGCGCAGGCGTAGTAGTCGCCAATACTCTCTACAATCCCTGCCAGCACCCCGGAAATCATGCTTAAGCCGCTGAGAGAAAACGTCGGCCAGCCCCACTGAAAGGGATACGGGAAGCGGAACCAGGGCGTCTGGCTCAGCGTGTCTAGTTTGATGTCAGTGCGGGCACTGTACCCGTAGGCTTTGGGGTCATCCGGCAATGCACCGGCGGCAGTCAGGATGGCACACAGACTCCACGCGATGACCACAGTCATCAGCACCGGGAAGAGTTGGCAGGCTGTGCGGATGCGTTCTTCCCACGCCACACTGACACAGCGCCAGCGAATACGCGGAGCGTACTGGGAGAAGAAGGTCAACAGAGCAATGGCACTGCAAATGGTACCACAACGGTATTTCTGAATATCATAATCACCTTTAGCTTACCGAAATACACATGTAAATAAAAAAACTACCGCTACATGTGTTCGCGTCTACTGCAATTGCAGCGACAATGTAATGTGCATGCACTGCGAAACAATTTTAACAAATCAAAAACTATTCCGAATCGAAGCCAGTAAAGATTGTGCATGTCAGATATTGCTTACAAAATAGTAATTCCCCAGTGCCTTCCTGCCCATGGCGCAGCAACGCCGAACAATGACAAACCGGTCAAAGCAATGGTCGGAACCACCGTCAAAGGACCTAACATCGAAGGTGAAACAACTGTTAATGACCGGAAGTGTACCTCCCATCGAAAACTGCAGGTTTGTGCAAATATTCACCAATAAAGCGCACCAAAAACCCAACTGCTCCGGTAAAGCCCAACAGCACTTCCACCAAAGAAGACAGAATGATTGCGCCTTGGATCTATATAATTTCGAAGCATCTGCATTAATGAGACAAGGGGAAATGAGTTACCCTTTGCGCAGAAAAAAACTTTGTCTAATTGAATCTGTCGCATTTGCGTTATCTCCTAAGCGTCAAATGTCTCACCTCGCGTACGCGACTGAACCACAATTCCTGTCGATCTTCGTAATTCATCGATTCTGTAAAGCGAATCCGAATAAAAATCAGACGCAGATCACGCTGTCGACTCATGGATTACGGCAGTTTAGCATTGGTACGCTGCCATTCGCTAAAATAATAATTTCTACCAAAGAAACGATTAAACGAATATACTGCTATGTAAACAATGCTTCTATTTAAAACATCAACAAACCAATTGCGGATTCACTCGGGCACTGCCACCGCGGCAATTGTAAAATGGCTATGGCGGGTCCGAAGAACGTAAAGGTCGATCCTTGAATAATCGGTAACCTGTATTATCCGCTACGAATTACCTCATATTCAGAAGGCAGTGTATTACGAGTTCAAACGAACTGCGACAATTTTTTAAGCAGAGTACGGAATGTGAATTAATTTTCACTTACCTTACACCCAAAGTAAGTTGCAATAAAGTGTCCAGACCGGCAACAAAAAAGATGGAAGAGATCAAGAAAGGGACGCCGGAATCCTTTGGAGATATGCATAAATGAGGCGCCAGCAGCAGAGGCAGCGATACAGTTCCGCCGAAAAGCAATAAGAAATGCTAAAATCATAAGGTGTAGTTTAAGCGCAATCAATCAACGCATTCAAATAATTTGTAATATTTCAACGATAAAAAACCGGTACGGTAAATCAAAGAAGCTATCATCTGTTTCACGTTTTATGCTCATTATTTGCGATGAAATCGCATAGCTGTTACCGACGCACTTGCATTCCCAATAAAATGGACAAAAACCAGGGCGGTTCATCTGTAATATTGTACAGAAGCATGGATTCAGGTACTTGTACAGCATTTGAGGTGTCTTTGCAGTAAATCGATATCGTTTCTGCCGCGGGCATAGGCTGCTGGCTTTCCACATCAAACTGCCCATTTTGTAACCTTGTGCCTTCGTCGATGGACGTTTCCGGTTCACGGTATTCCGAAACGATCACCTTTAACCGAGTCGCCAAACCACTGTGCCATCATTGGTAAATCAAGCATTTACCATTTACACAATTTAGATCAAAATCGGCTAAGTTATTAAAAAATGATCTGTAAACAAGCGTATAGAAGGCTGGAAGTTGATATTAGCTTACCAACGGCACCTGCTCTTTACGATTTGTACGTTCCATTATTCTGATAGGAAAGATTCTCGACAGTTATATATCCAACTGCTGAAACTCTTCTTCTACTTCCAGACACTTTAAAGTTAGGAATCACCGTGCAATCCGCATCGCGAATATGATCCAACAAAAACACATGCATGGAAACCGGCCAACGATAACAGCCTGTGCAGCACGCCGTTGCTGCCCTTATCGGCGACTAGTCCTGTCTCCGTATCCCTTATCGCTACACACTTTGATAAGTCGGGATTCTTAATTTCCTGCTAATCAACCATTACGTCGAAATACAGTAAACAAACGTGGACTTAGCATCGCTGCGGTATTTGATAAGGTCCTGTGTAAATATCATTAACTTGACAAATGTGTTCAAGATATCGTAAATCGTAATAACTAAAAAAGCATGAGTATAAACTGCGCTAGATAGTAAGATATGTTTTGCATTTTTAATTTTACCTCTTACTACACAATCCAAACACCATTCTTTTACGAAAGCAATATCGCACCGGCAGATCACTGCCCAAAACCCATACAAAAAAACTCAATTCTATGTCATAAAATGAGATAAAAAATGAGATACCAGATTCCGCGAACAATCAGAATTCGGAACCGATAAAAGGAAGCCAACACGGAAACTTAAGCCAAAAAAAGATCATTCTATATTTTGATAAATGAGCGAAAAACCAATACTACCAAGTAATGAATCAGAGTCCGAGGATTACTTCATTTCTGCGTCGTTTTCCGTTCCACCAGATTCGTTATCCTCTCTGAAATATGGTCACAATTTAAAACGATTCCGCATAGTTTATCAAAATCGAGATTTAGCAAGCCGAGAAACGATCAAATTGCCGGCATGCTTACCGAATAGCCAGCTTCTTGTGGCTGGGCTCCAGACTCTCGTCGTCTTCCTCTTTGCGCTTTCCCGTGCCCTCTTCACCGGCGTCCCCGGCACGCTGTCCGCCCTGCTTCTGATTGGGCGATGCGGTCTTTGATGGGCTTTTTTTCCCGGCTCCGTTGGACTCCGCCCCACTTCCGTTCTTCTCCGCGTGCTTGTGGCTGGCCAACTGCGGGCCTTCGTCATCGCCGTGCCCCAAATCCAGTTTCTCTTTTTCCTCGCACACCGCGTGGCCTTGATTGTCGCGCTGGCGAAGGTTGTAGTGACCACCGCCTTCCTGCTCCTGCTCATCGTCACGCTTATCCGTTCCACCCGCGTCAGCACTCTCATCGGTTTTCTTTCCAAATTCTTCGATCAGTTGAGCCAGTCGATAACGGGGAGCCTGCATCAGCTGGTTGGCGGTATCAAACGGCAGTTTCAATTCTTTTCCGGCCTGCGGCGCAAACTTCTTGCACAGTTCGAACTCCTTCGCCGCTTCAACCAACTTCTCCTTGGACAACTGTTTACGGACTTCCACCAGATCCTGGGTCTCTTCCTTTTCCATATGCTCAATCAACTCCGTCATCATGATATCCAAATTCGGTCGGCAGTCGGGCATCGGGACCCCATCCAACTTGTCCATGGCCTTCTTCGTCTTCTCGTGATCGTCGCGCGATTCACGCGCCAGGCGCTTCCCATCACTCCCCATGTGGTTCTCCAGCAATGGGTAGAATACCTAATTGAAAGAAAGCATAAAGATGCGGAAACACGCAAAAAGCCGACAGCGAGGCGCTAGACAACAAATCTATTTGAAGTCGCGCAAACCATTCGGAAAGCAGAACAAATATTCAGAGAAGTTACAAAACGTACTGTTCTGCACAAAATTTGTTTTGCCGTGTACCATCATATCACAATATCGCATGCATCAGAACATTGCAGGGACCAAAAATTAAGAGTACCAGCTCTTCGGCGACGGCATGCTTGGCGATGCTCCATTTCAGTTCCTCCATTGTGATGTCTTCTACCTCGTGGTTCCTTTTGTGTTCGCCATATCCTGCGTCTTGCTGCAGCTTTTTGTACAAATTCTTGGTCAGAACATGATCCTCCAAAATCAGATCCACAACATCATGGTTTCGGGATGTCTTAGCATGGGCTCCTTCGGAAGCAGACATCTTTGACAAGTACTTTCACTATAACTCGGAACAATAACAAGCCGCAGACTGATTAAAAAATTATCAGCCGGTAGATCAGCGCAGGAAAGGTATAAGGACTGAAACCTGATTTTGCAAATTAACTCGTCGGACTGATTACAGCAGATTTGCAATGCGAGGAAATGCAAAACATAAGTAATTTTGCAGTACTCGTACTTACTGATTTGCAGTACTGATTGGTGAGACCAGAGATGTCTCAACAAGAGCGGCAAAACACGGACAAAGATCACAAAGCAAAGTGATAGACTCAAGAGCATAAAAATGGGCGGGTCTACACACTGGGAAACGCCGCTGTTTGCCTGGGTTGCTAGCGGCAGTGACGTAATGCGTAAAGTCGCCGTAAAATGTCAAACCATGTTTAAAAAATCGATATTTTTGCCGAGTGCCTCCTTCTCATTTATGTATAATTGTTTTATATAATTTGTTTATAATACTCACAATCAACTGCACCTTTGTTAGTGCAAAATTATTACAAACAGATCCTTTTTAAAATTGGTCGAAGACTCGCATTGGCACACATACCGGTCAGTGTAACTGCAGAGCAGTTACCGTACCTACGAAATAATTATTAAGTATTAGCTTCGATCTGTCAGGAACAGAAAACAGTCTAACAGCGTTAACAGTCAATTGTTCTAAATTAATATAGGATTATTCATTTCAGGGCGGCCAATAAAAAAAAAATTAATTACTAGACGAAAAGACAAATTAATGATAATATACTGTACTATCGGACATCCGATCGGTCCGATAGCACGTAAAGCCCTGTAAGCCTCTCTGCACAATAAACTACTGCATGGAATATTTATTTTACGTTTGCAGGTCGAATGGAAACAGACACAGTCATTTTAATGATACAATATTTCCGACTCCTATCCGCCTGATATTGCGACATAATAATAACTGTGTCCCACCAGAGTTGACCGTGCAAGCTGCATGTACTTGTTGCTCGGAACTTGCTCCCACACGGACAGTATTAATGTAGGTAACAAACTGGCCGTTACAAAAAATGCATCTTTAATTACATTACTTACTTGTTTAAACTTATACGGTATAGTGCGAACATACGCGGTATCAGTACGAACTGCTAAGTGCTAACGGTTTACAGCTTAATTAATACATAATTGCCAAGCGGGAAATTTCGATACATCGTCAGTTTTTTACTAACAGTGGTAAATACGGTAATCACCTATTTTTTTGGTGAGCTCTTCTCGCCCTGTCATTTTCGACCGAAGCGAAGCGAAGGTCCTCTATGTTCAAGAAAACGGGACTTTTGTCGGTCACGTCGGTCACGCCTTCATATTTAAAAAAATTTATAACAGGGAATTTTGTTGTTGGGAATTTTTGGGAAAAAATGTTGAAAACTGATGAACACAAAAAAAAAACAAGTGGAAATGGGAAATTTAAAAAAAAGATAAACCTCACTAAGTGTTTATTTAATTTTTTTCCCGCTTCGCTTCGGTCTTTCAGTGCTAGCCAGCAGCGGTGCACTTTCCTAGTATACGTAGGGGCATACTGTTACAAAATAAACCTACTGTTACAAAATAAACCCTGGTGACCTGGGCCAGTAAGGCCGGGCGTTATGTGAACAAACCTGCGCACGATCAGAATGATCGAAGTTCAAAATTTATTGTTACGATGTTTCGACTTGCTGTATGCAGAAAAACGCTTACGAGTATTTTAAATAACCATTTTGTGATTTTTGTTTTAATTGTTAAGACAGTTAAATAGTATTTGAACATTTATTTTTATAGATCGAAATAAATAAGTTGGTGCTGACTAGAAAAAAAGAATCTTACACAAAGATTGCGGTAGTTTTGCTATTTGCTTCCCTTTTTGTTTGTCATTTGGCGGTTTTGTTTACGTATGATAACTATATGGTCTGGACGGTCACCGGTAGCTCGCATTTACGATATTATCATGGCCAAAAAGCTTACACTCACCGCCAGTACAGTATGTGTATATCATGCGCTACAGTACGCCGGTCACCGGTACCGTAAAGCGATACGTAATTACCGGAAATCTATGATTTTATTGGTGAAGATTACTGTAAATCACATTTTAGAAGATAGTCAGCTGCAGTGTATAATCATATCATTCAATAGAACAATTTTATTGATTACGCTATCGGCCTCGAAAGAACTGCCTGTATGAACAAAAAGGTGTGATTATATTGCAGCGTTATGGCAGTTACAGCTTTCGCTTTCATGGGAATTTTTAAGGTCTTCTCCGTCAGGGTTGCCGTTTCTTGCTGAGTAAGTGGCATTATTTCGTCGGTATTTTTTTTTTAAAAAATACCTACAGCCTTTCATCCCTGTATTGTTGCGCAGTTTATTCGCCATACTGATAATTTTCTGCCAGTAGCCTACCACTTACCAGCAGTTGATCGAGTAGTTAATTCTACGTAGTTTACGACGATGAGAATTTTATTACGTATTATCGATTCTCTGCAACGATAACCAACCGCAGCTGTCCTTGCACGATAATTAATTTTACGATTAGTAAAGTGTATACATGATTTCACCAGCTGTGATTCCCATTTGAAGGTCAGGGAAATACTGCACTCAATTCCAAGATATTTCCGAGTTCTGTCCCTGAAACTTTTTCACACTAAAATGGACCACACAAACTGCAGCACTTGTTGCTCCAGCACGGCCACTCTTGTAACCAACTGCACGTGCGGCAGAGACCGGACTGCCAGCGGCAACCCAGCTTATCATCCTGACTCCGACACGCATAAAAATGCCAGAACCAATTCAATACCACTGGAAGCAGTTTCCGTCGCCGTTGATGCGGATTATTTGACGAAAAAACTGTCAGACAACGAGGTGCATAAATTTATTTTTTCCCTGATTTTAATTATTAAGTACTTCTTAGGGCTTGAAATGCGGCAGTATTTTGCAGATGTGCTGAACATAAATGAATGATTTTCTACAGTCTGGCTACTCATACATATTTGCAATTACTTACTTATGCTCAAACGAGAAAATACGAGTATAATTCAGAGACTTGTGAGTAAATGCACACCCACAAATTGTAAATTTGAAATTGCGTTGCATGTTTTAGTCGATCACTTCAAGTGAGCCGGCACCGAGTTACGAAGGATTTTTGGGATATTATGAGCTGTACCGCGATTTTGTCTTTCAATTTATCAAGAGGAACAAAGCGGTGTTTGTTTACATCCTACTGGGCACGCTTCTGGGAGCTTATATTGGATACCTGACTTACGTCTGCGTCAAGAATTTTGAAAGGGCACAGTACGTACCGGACGCAGCAGTAAAAGGCTAGGAGTGTATTTATTCACAATACTGTTACAGACGTCTTATGAAATGAAGGTGATTCACGATAATTTGGCAGTAACAAAAATTTTCTCGAACAAAGAGTATAGAGTATATTAGAGTACATATTCCCCCAAAGCGTAACGTGTGCGTAAATATTTCTTTTTTTTGCCTGTTTAACATTGCTTGCATCTACGGTATGCATTTTGCCGGGAATACGGCCTCTCCGCCTCTGATATTCGGTTTGTGATGGATAGGCCAATGCTGTTTCTTTCGAACAAAAAAAGCTCGTGTTCCAGATTAATTTTTTGCAGGTACTTGCTGTGGGGAACTGTTGCCGTAGTCGGCTTGGTGATTTATTTCAAGCTGGTGAAACCAGTGCTTGTAGCGAGTCCGTATTACCTCGCAATGAAAAGCGGTTTAAAGGAGGGTTTCACCGAAAACATCCAGAAGTGGGCCAGAATGTACGTAAACAATCAAAATAAATTATTGAAGTAACTGAGTCAAAGTTAAGATCGGATGTGACATGAAAAAACATAATTCCTTCTCCCGTCAGAGGATTGTTGCTGGCCTTTGTGATTGGAATGGGCATATTCTTGGGAATCGACGCCTACCACGACCCTCTCCGCCTGCGCGCTCTGGCTGGCATGGCCACATTTATACTTTTGGGCATTCTTTTATCAAACAGTCCGGGACACATTAACTGGAGAATTGTCGCTGCCGGAATTGCAGTGCAGTTTGTTTTTGGCCTTATTGTTCTGCGATGGGATACCGGCAAACTGATTTTTGAAAAACTCGGAGATTTTTTGCAATGGATTTTGCTATTTGCCAATGAAGGGTCTAAGTTCGTCTTCAGCCCAGGCGAGGATCAACATCGAATGGCATTCATGGTACAGACAAACTTTATACATGCAGTACCGGTTTTAGTACAACTGCAAGTATTTACCCTGACGCCGTTGTGATCTCTTAAAGGTCATGCCCGTTCTGCTGTTTGCCAGCTTTCTCATTGCCATCTTGTATCATATTGGAGCAATGGGATGGTTTGTCGAGAAAGTTGGATGGGTGATTTATCTATGGTATATATGAGAATGCATCGATTGCGTTGCTCGAGCGAATTTGTTTAACAGTTATCTTTTCATATTGCTGCAGTTTGGGAACTACCGCAGCCGAATCCATTTCTGCGGCAGCCAATGTTTTTCTTGGACAGGTGAGCAAGCCTTGGTGTCATAGATAATCCATATTTTATTGGATTGCATGGCATATACAAAGTATATTTGTTTGTCATTAAAAGTATTGTAACGCAAGAAAAAGCTAAAGTTTTGACTGACATGGAAATAGGCAAGATTTTATGTGGAGGAGGTTCCTGAATTAAAGTACTCGTACTGGATAGTGGATACTGTACTGATGCTATGAATTATTATAATTTTTCAGACAGAAGCCCCTTTAACAATAAAACCGTACATTCCTCTTCTGACCGTCAGCGAATTAATGGCGGTAAACTGCAGTTCCTGATACTTTTTTGTATTTGCATGCAATTATCTGAAGGATGCCGTATTATCGCAGGTCATGTCTGGTGGATTTGCAACAATTTCTGGCAGCTTAATGGCTACATACGCCACAATGGGTGTCGAAGCAAAAAATTTGCTAGCAGCATCTGTTATGAATGCTCCATCAGGTAAGCTCTATCCAAAAAATTTCTGCAGTTTCTTTCTATATCATGGGTTCAATCGACTTTAATTGTTGCAGCCTTGGTGATGGCAAAACTGCTCTACCCGGAACGTACGTGTGCTTATGAACTCCATCAGACTCGAAATCTTATAGAATCGCACCAATCAACTGTTATTGTGGATTTTAGGACAGAAATCAAAAACGGATTTCAAGAACATGAAACGTGATAAAGGGTGAATGCCATAACTACTTTAGCTTCACCTTATGCCGTTATACGTAGACGCTTTCGTAGTTAAATTTGCTCAGTGCATTCGACCTTTGATAGCTACAAGCCTACAGGTGGACTATGTTGTTGTTGATTGTGGTTTTTTATAAAAGATTTTTGTATTTCAGAACGGCGTACAATGTGCTGGATGCTGGTGAGACAGTATTAATGTGTGCGCAACTTTCGGAAAGAAAAGGAACAGTTCTTCAGAAATTCTCCGTTGACAGCGATGATGGCGGCGACGAACAGTGTTCAGGCCATTGCCGGAATTTTGGCCATGTTAATCTGCGCCACAGCGTTCCTCAAACTTGTGGATGCGGTTCTCTCATTTTTAGGTGGATTAGCAGATGTGCAAGATTTGACACTAGCGGTAAGGCCACTTAGCGTTGATAAGCAAGTTTACCTTTAACGAATTATGCACTCGCTTGATACTTTAGATGATTTCCGGTTATGTCTTTTGGCCCATTGCTTTCCTTATGGGAGTGGATCAGCAAGAATGCTATACGATAGGACAACTGCTGGGTTTCAAAACATTTATTAATGAATTCGTAGCCTATGAACAACTCGGCAAACTGGCGACTCCGCTGTCGGTGTGTAACCGCGCTTGCGTCTTCGAATTGAGGATTAGACATGTTGAAAACCATTTTTGCTTGGCAGAACAAAGGAAAGATCATTGCAACATATGCTCTTTGTGGATTTGCGAACTTTGCTTCCGTGGGAATTCAACTGGCAAACTTTTCCATCATGGCGCCCACACGTAAAAAGGATATTACACGTTTGGTTTTGCGAGCGCTTTTTGCTGGATTTACCGCGAACATGCTGACAGCATCAATGGCTGGTACGAAATATCGTATACATGATATACATCTATGCTCTGATAGGTAGCACTGCATTTTGATTATGATACCGGTCGGGCCCGTCTTAATGGGGGCGGGGAAAAAAGGAGGCAGAACCTGTTTTCTCCCTCCGGTAGAAAACGGGGAAATGGTGCGCCGTGCGCTGGCTTAGCTGGCGGGAGAAAATGGAAATGGCGGCACTGGCCCTGGCGCACCGAAAGTTACCATATAAAAGTCAACCGGTACATTTGTACATAGTCACCTTTATTTCAAGAGCAGCTGGTTTTTTTCCGGGGCAATGGTCTGCCAGACATTATTAATGTTGACCACCTTAATCTTATCAGAAGAAGGCGCTGAACTGCTCTTATTTGGTTCAAATTATGGCCGTATCATCATATGCACACATTCAGATCGAAGCTTATCTAAAAGTCAAAAATGACTTAAGATGGCGAATATGTATGTAGTCTACCGGTGCCTGGTTTCTATAGTACAAGGCTACGAGCACCACAGTTCTACATCTTCGTAATGGTACAAGTGGACAATTATCATCTGCTTATCTTGAATATTTTGTCTTTTATTGTACGCAATACGACGCACAATTGGTGATGTAACCCGTATTGTCCTACTTGTCTGTGTGTTATTTATGGTTCTTTTTCAGGTCTTCTCATTCCTGAATCAGAGTCGGGTACAGTCGTGAACTTGAATAACACCTCCCAGAATTCGTCACTGATGAACTTCCACACCAGCTTCCATCTTGCATTTTAATTATTTTGTTCTAAAAAATACTGTAATTAATGCTGGAAGCAAAGATAGCCATTAAGCAATAACCTCCAACGGCTGAATGTTTTTATAATTTTACGATTTACTGGCACGAAAACAGTCGTAAAATTTAGAAAGATTGTAAATACTCAAAGCTTAATTGTAAAATTGTGAGAAAACTAGGAAGATTTGACAATTAAAAGATCTCGTTGCATTGTACAGTACAAATGTTGCAACTCCGTGACCACCGTAAGCCAAAAGATGCGAGCAAAATGACAAACGTTTCTGAGCATTTGATGACCACACGAGAGCCAATGGCTAGAATGGCTGTTTTAATGCATCGACGTTACTGAACATGAGTAAACTGACAAAGAACATGACATCAATGCAAATTCTCTGCAGACATGCAAGTGCTTTATGTAAAATTTCATCCAACTTCAGCACTTTAATTTCGCGTTTTTAACGTGGCAGAGCTAGCGCTTTCTTTTCCGAGGCGAGCCAGCCAGATTCTTTGGAAAGTTCCATGGATGGCTCATACTCACAGAGAATTTATCACCGGTCTTCTGAAAGCTTTCAGAAAATCTCGCACCAATAATGGATGTCAGATGTTGGAATCTATCAAGGAACAAGATCTATAATTAAAGAGCAATAAGCTGAGACATCGAGATCGGAAAAACCAGAACCCAATAAAAAAACCGTAAACGCCATTAGATTCAGCATATTCAGAAACTGTGTCACATGCATTTTATTTCTTAAAAACATTGTTTAAACCCGTCCCACCGATGCCGGTTTCGGCAAAACTGGCTTCGGTCAAGTTTCAAGGTGACCTTGAGAATAGTAGCAGTGCCAGTTGCTTAGAACATTTATTAAAGTATTAAACTATAATAAATTTGTAGTTATTTTATCTGCAAACATGCTGAATTTTAATCGCCTGATTGCTGTTCAAATGCCTAAAAAAATCCGAATTCCGAACCATGCTTAAATTAGCCCAGGTTTCGAAGGAAACAAAACCTAGTTAACAAAACTGCTAGGGCAGTGAGTGACCCAGCAACCACCACTGTTCAGTGAACAAAATTGCTAGGTGAGCGAGTAACCGAGCTAACACCACTGCCCAGTGAACAAAATTGCTAGGTGAACAAAACTGCTAGGTGAGCGAGTAACCGAGCTAACACCACTGCCCAGTGAACAAAATTGCTAGGTGAACAAAATTGCTAGGTGAGCGAGTAACCGAGCTAACACCACGGTCCACTGAACAAAATCGCTAGGGGTGAGTAACCGAGCCAACACCACCGTCCACTGAACAAAATCGCTCGGTGAGTGAGTGACCGACCTACCACCACTGTCCAGTGAAGAAAATTGCGAGATGAGTAAGTGACCGAGCTACCACCACTGTCAGTAAACAAAACTGCTAGGTGAGTGAGTGACCGACCACTGCCCAGTTGAAGAAAATTGCTAGATGAGTAAGTGACCGAGCTACCACCACTGTCAGTAAACAAAATTGCTAGATGATTGAGTGACCGAGCTAGACTTCTTGCCTAAGAAGTTTTACAATAACTGCTAAGGCAGTTAGTGAATTTACTAACGAATTACTGTAAATGGAATGATTTGTTCAAAGCGGCCGTGGATCACAAGAAACGCGGAGGCGAAGCCGCAGCGGTTTCTTGTAGAAAATATTGCAAGCACGGCTTAAAGAGGTAGACGAAAAAAAGCTAGAAGAGCAAGAAGCAGGTTACGGAACCATGTAACTGTTAGCACATACGTTTTTCGCTCTCTTCCAGGCATATCCGCCAGCAATGTGGTAACATCAGATGTATAGTCCTCCAGATTCAACAATATCAGCAGCAAATGCGCCAAAATCTTATTTTTTCCTTTGGGGTTTATCATTCTAAAAAGAGAACGTCACTTACTAGAACAACTTAACATTCCCAGTATGCTACTATTGTTAATTTACCTGTGCTTAGCAGCAGTCATTGATGGCTTCGTAAATTCTTTCCTTAAGTAATCAGCCACTGTTCGAGGAGCTGCTTTCGGCAAAAAATCTGAAAAAAGTTTAGAAAACGAAGAATTCCAACCAGAAATTCCATATTTCACAAATCTCACCCTGCTCCGGAAGTGGTTTGATCGGCTTATTGTACATAAAGAACAAATACTCGATCAGCAGTATCTTTGCGATTCGCACTTTCCTGTCTGGAACATCTTTTGGCAAGAGCTTGAGTAACCTTAACGCACACTGGCAAAACAGCTTTTTCGATCGCCATTCTTCGAAAGAGTTATCCACGATGTCACTGATTTCTTCGGCTAGGGGGAGGAGATCCGTCACCACCTTGTCCGGAATGATTTCGCTCCATTTGTACAGCAGTTCCGGAGTGGATGCGTCAAGGCATGGAGTAGGTCGGATACCCTCTCCACTGCGCAGATCCACATCGCCTTCTTTGCCTTCATTCAGAAGCTGCGAGATGTCGTCTTCGTCGTCATGATTCAACAGCTGCTCCGTATTCTGCCGTATCATTTGTGCAGATGAAACGCGCTCGTCATGTCGGCGACGTTTAGCTTTGCTGCTGAAGGTGGAAATTGTTTTACTTGTGGGCGATATCGGTGACTCTTGTCTGGATTTCTCCTCTACATTTTCCACATTTGGTCTCTGAATTTTCATGTGAGTAAACACGTCGCCAAACGGTACAATTTTCAGTTCTCTGGATGATGAATCGTAAATTCCCAAAAGGGTACTACAGATACAAATTGTGAGGGTTACAATGGCATTTTAACATGGGAAAGTCATTAGGCAGTTGAACTGTCACAAGAATATCTACCTTGCCGACATGGTGAGATGGCTGTTGCCTTCAAAATGCATGATGCCAGCTGTGCACGCCTACAAACATTTTGAAATAAATGGTTAAGACCAAAAGTTAAAATAATGGAGGGACAGTTTGCAAGCTATCAGTAAACAACCACAAATTCATGTGAAACTATTCGACGCAATTAAAAGCATAAACGTTAAAACTATTGATTTAAAAGCTATTTTAAAACTAGTTTTGGTTGATTTTTTTATATTTATATTTTAACTGGGCAACAGTGGGCACTAGGACATTTTGTGGGTTAAAATAAGTTTCTGCCTTTTAAAGTTTGTTATTTAAAATTAGCATTTTTGGATAAGCAAGTGTCGCACTTCGATCGCAGTTAACAAAACAACAAGCGCTTGTACACCTGAATTTAGTATTTACCCACAATCAGTTAACTGGTTTTAAACTTTTATGAGAAAAAAATCGCCAAATGTCTCACCAGAGAACCAGGATAATGTTTACGAGCTGGTGTAGTCAGCAGATTTTCAAACGGATCATGCTTTGAAATGCTGTTCTCGTGATGTTCCTCCTCATCTCGGCGCTTATGCAGTAGGGCATCGGCTGCTCCAGCTGTGACATATTTACCGGGGATGTACTTTTCGATCGTGATGGCTGCATCTGCAGATTCCGTTCCACGAATTCCATCGATACCACGCTCAGCCGCATGGTTCCAGCAGACTGCAAAATCACGACAATACTCTCGTTTTACCTTTATGTAAACCGCGATCCGATATGTACACATGCAGTAATATGCTCCAAGGCTCCATTCAGCAACCAGCTCCAACTTACCTGCAACAGGTAAAGATCCAGAAGATTCGCTTTGATCCTGTGCAACTGCTATTATCATAGTTTTCTCCTTCTTGGATTTCTTCGCAGCCGAATCCATTTTGCTCCACACCCATCAACCACCAGATAAGTACAGATATGGAAAACTGGTTTTATCCAGAAGCTAACTGAAAAGCCCTGGAGTCAAAATCTGGCATAAAAACTTCAGATTTTTTCAGAAATTGTGGTCTTTGGAAGAAGCACAGAGTGACAAAATACGGTTATTAAAAGTAAGTACTCGTAACGAATCTTTTTGTGGTGCAATCACTGCAATGAAAAAGCTGGCAGTGCTCAGCACAGTCTGGTTACTCTGGTAGCTTTTTGTCATGATTGTAGCCGTGCCTCCATGGCGCATGGCAAGTTTTTACCAGCCGTTGCCGTTGCCGCCACCAGATGAGTGTGGAGTGGCCTTAACAAATCACGCTGTTCCCAACCTCCCATAGCGTACGGTACAGTCTAGTAAGTAATAAGTAAGATCAGTCAAATTTCTAATATTAATATTCAGAGCGTTCTGGAGATTTTTCGTTTCTTCTACCTTCTCACTTCAAATGCAGTTTTCGTCTTACGCCGGCTACACCTTGATTCTTGCCTTTCATGTGCCGTTTATGGTTGGAATTTGTCTCATGTTTATACGATAGTATTTCCAGCAGCCTATCTCGGTGTCTCGGAGCAGGAATACTGGTGAGTGGTGATCACAGCAGTCAACTTGTGCTCGAGCGAAACTACAGTAGCCAGCGGCAGCGATCGCAGTGCATGCTCGGAAATGTGTGGAATATTTTGCACTGTGAGCTGTCGGATGAACCCCACAACAACGGGTTGGAACGAAGCAGATCTTTCTCGACGCGGGCCAGATCACACTGGGAAAGCGTATGCACCGGTGGTCCACCAGTGCCGACATCCAGGCGATTCTTGCAAGTGCTATAAACATGTTTACATAGCCGCTACTGTTTTGCATTTGCGCAGTGAGCATTTGGTCCCGCAGCCTGTCACCGACCCGAATGGAAATATTTTGGCCTGGAATGGCGAGATCTTTGGATTTGCGCGACCTGATGAGATGCAGATAGATCTTCTGACAGAGAGCGACACATTATTCCTTTCCTCCGGATTAGATTCATGTGCTGGCGATAGCGGAAAAATCTTCGCTTTTCTCAGTAACATTGTTGGCCCATTTGCTATAGTGTATTATCATGCTGAATCGGAAACACTTTATTTCGCCCGTGATTCTTTAGGGCGGCGCAGTTTACTCTGGATGAGAACGGATTGTGATTTTTTCCTGTCGTCCATATTTCCGGTTGAAGTTGCGAAACAGCAACAGGTTGCGTTTGATTTTGGCGAAGTGCCGTTTGACGGCCTTTTTGCCCTTCAGTGCGGACGAAATAAAATATCAGTTATACTTTTTCCATGGGTAAATCTCTGGACTACCAGCGGTACGGATTTCGAGAATTCTGAATTGAGACACTTCCGACAACATAATGAAACTGTCGTTCATTTCCTGTCTTCTGCCGAAAATAGCCGGCTGTCAGAAACTGACGGCCAAAAAGACCTCTGTTCTTCTCTCATTCCGGATGGCTTCAAATCTGATACTGAATCTGGAGCAAACGTTTTTGAGTATCCGTTAAAATCTGAAATTTTGCGGTTGGTAGATACTTTTGAGGATCTCCTACGAAAGAGCATTTACTTGCGAATTTGCATGGCTAACGACACATGCCAGAATTGCTGTGAACGTTGTGAACATACTAAAGTGGCCGTACTGTTTTCGGGTGGAATCGATTCCTTTGTAATGACTTTTATGACCCTGGAAGCTCTGCCATCAGGATCTTCATTGGATTTATTGAACGTAAGAAATTTGATACGACAACGGGGCTTTATCATAAGGTGAAAGTGGTTCTTCGCATCACTCCATGTGTCTGACAGTACGAGTACGCCGCTTTGTACCGATTGGTCAATAATTATAGGTTATCCAGATTGGATGACGTTTGGTGTAATATATGATGCCGCATCTGTATCGTAGGTCGCTTTCATGGAAGACGGAAAGGTCGTGGATGCAGACAATGCACCAGACCGGAAAACGGGCATAGAAGGATACAATTTGCTGGCATCTAAATTTCCCCAGCATACTATACGCTTCGTTATGATTAACGTTGCCGGCAGCGAAGTGGAAGATATTCGTCGCAGTCGCTTGTGGTATTTGCTTCTACCGCAGCAATGCGTATTGGACAGCTCATTAGGAACTGCGTTGTGGTTTGCTGCTCGCGGAGAAGGTGTGATTAAAGATGGAACGCTGAACAACCTTGAAACTTACAAAAGCCCGGCAAAAATTGTTTTCTCGGGTTTGGGTGCAGATGAGCTTTTAGGTGGTTATTCCCGTCACCGGGCTCGGTTCCAAAGCGGAGGAGCGTCTGCTGCGGAAGCAGAAATGCTTCTGGATCTCCGACGAATTGGCAGTCGCAATTGTGGTCGCGATGATCGCATGATTTCGGATCACGGCAGAGAAGTTCGTTATCCTTTTTTGGATGAACACCTGAACAGATTTATTTTGAAATTGCCCCTTTCCAGTAAATGTGATTTTCATTTGTCTAGGGGCGTTGGTGATAAATTGTTGCTCAGACTTTTAGCGAAAAAGCTTGGTTTGGAAAATATTGTTACGCTTGAAAAGAGAGCTCTTCAGTTTGGAACGAGAATTGCCAAAATTGACAAATCTAAGAATGGATCCGACGTGTGCCCGGTTCTGCAGAGAGCAAGGATGCAGTTGAATTTCGGTTAACTTGCATTGACGCGGCCGCACTGATTGTGATATTAGTCACCTAGTGGTTGTTTGCTAACGAAATTGTTTGATTTTCGATAGTGAAAAGTGAATTGAAAAATAAAAGTGCAGTAATGTACTTACTATCTACTAGTTCTCGTAAAAATGCTATGGGGTGACCCAGACTGCACTCTAGGCCCAGTCCACGCTGTCCAGTCTAGGGGTAGCCCCTAGATTACAGTCTTGAGTGACCCAGTGACACGTTAGGTGATGACGTCAATGACATATCCTTATGGAAAATAAGTAGCCTTGAAATGCGCATTTCAGCTGCAGAGGAAGCGACTTAGAAGCGGTTTTCCTGCTTTGAAGTAAGTATTGTGTGTTAAAATAGGCTTAACATTGCAAAATACGCGCGTGAGAAAGACCATTCAACGCGTGTCCACAAACCATGATCTTATTATTCAGAATCAAAAATTTACTGTAAACTAGTGTAATGTGAAGGACTCCTAAAATTAAAGTTTCTGCGTCTTTCTGTTTAAACCGGAAGTCATTATTTATCAGTTACATAATTTTAATTCGCTTTCAGTCATGTTGTCATTTAACTGGCAGTAAGTAGCAAGTAAGTAGCTACGACCCGCCTACGTTTCAAGCGCACCGGAAGTTCGGAACATCTGCTCTACCCCAGTACGAGTGGCGACAAGATGCTTTCATGGTAAAACTTTGGTCCTATCGGTCGACCATCCTCTTGCACCTACGCTGACTGTATCGTGTTGAAAATCGAAATCCAACGTGCCCGAAATTTGAACTTCATTCATTATTGGCTTTCATTCTGGAATGGGAATTCCTTTCTTTTGAGCTAAGATCCTGTGTACTGGAGACATTAGTGGATCTTGTCTGGATACCATTCCGATCTCATAGTAAGATCTTCCCGAAACAGCAAGAGTGCCAAGCTAGAAATGTCGCGAAACAGTAATACCAACCGCAACGCCACGAAATCGTCGCCCTTGAGCACACTGGAGCAGAATCCTTTCGTTCAAAAATCCAAAGAGAGGCTGAATGTGTACAAGAGTCAGCTGGATAAGTGGCTGCGCTCCGAGGAGAATTTCATCGCCCCTTATTTAACGATTGTGGAGCAGAAGACCAATATCCCTCGAAGTGCCATTTTCCTAGGTAATCAGTTCATTCTCTTCCGTTAATTTGCTTATAAAATATAAGGTATAAGTCCAGCCGCAACAATTAATATAGTAAGTAAATTTTAGGCGTGAGGCGTAGTGATAATCTCATTGTAGGTGCGCTTGGCCGCTAATGTTGCATTTCTGCTATTAAAGTATTAAACTAACGGCAAATTCCGGTGTTATATATCATTTCCGGAATTACCCATTTTTTTGCCACGTGCAATGACTTCCTTTTCGTGCCTTCGTTTTCTTCGCTACCATTAGCTGTCTCCGCATTCTGTAATTTTTTGGCTATTTAAACTGATTTAATGTATTGGAATTTTTATAAAATTATTCTTAGTATTGTTATTGGGTATCATAATTGTTGCGGCTGGACTTATAACTAACTGAGTCGCAAGAATAGCTTTCAATGGATTTGAGCCTGCATGCGATTTTGGAAGTACATTCATGAGCTCGAATATGAATGCTTTTGCTGGTATGCAGAAAATGTGGGACGACTATCGCGTCGTATTTTATCCGATGGAAATTTTGCAACATGTTACTTAACGATTAATGCTACTTAACGATAAAATTATTTTGATTACCATTTGGCATTTACGGATCTTGAGGTTTGTTCGCTTGTCGGCTGGCGCAGCCTAAGTCACATTGTCTTAATTTCATCTTTATAATTTTAAATTTATTTGTCTTGTATGGCATCCCTTTATTACAAGAATTGCAGTTACTTACAGTATTAACACGGGTTGCTATTTGATATTCTTGTTTCAAGTGGGCATAGGTGCAGGGTGTTAAGTAATAGCGTCGTTCATCGTTTTGTAGTTGTTGTGGGCATAATCACCCTCTATCTGCTGTTTGGAGCTCATGCCGGGTTTTTGAGCCATCTGATCACTTTCGTCTACCCCGCTTTGGGAAGGTGCGTTTTGTGCTTGCTTTTGCTGGCTGTTTAGTACGTTAAATGAAAAAGCACAAATACTATGGTTTTAGTCTTCGTGCACTGGAAACTCAACGCAAAGACGATGACAAAAAGTGGCTGACATATTGGGTTGTTTTCGGCTTCTTGGGATTGTTTGAACATTTTGGAGAAAGTGTGCTCTCTGTTCTTCCATTCTATTACGTACTTAAGGTGAGTTAGATTTTATAATTGTGTATTTTGCATGGTCGAAATGTAGATTAAAAATTTGTTGAGATGTTTTAATTATAACTGGAAAACACAGTCGCTGTGAAGAAGTTTGCGAAATCATAGTTTGGTCATTGGTGCGCCCGTTATATGTAGTCGAGGACCATCAATGATGCCGGTTCCAGCCGGTGAATTTACGGTTCGTAAGGCAGACCAGACAGGTGTTATCGGTAAACTTTGTCACCTTACAATTGATAGCGGCTACACGGTGCTTTGCGAAATCATGAGTGTCGCATTGAATATGTAGCCTGGGGTGAGACGTTCCGTGCTTTGGACCCAGTTTAACATTTTTTTTACGAAGGCAATAGTTGGCATGTGCTCAGGGTGTGTAGGAGCCGCGTTCTGTATGCCTATGGAATAATACACTGTCATGCACTGATAAATGATCATGCTGCTGACTCGGTTGTCCGTAAAGTATACAGCGGAAACTTGCTGATGAAGGTGTTGTTTGCTTCTTTCTAGACCGGATTTCAGCTGTGGTTGTGTCTTCCTGGAGTGCAAAATGGTAGCTTGATCATTTATGATCGGTTGTTGCGTCCAGTGGCCAAACGCGCGCTCCACATCGACATGCCTGCTACCGGATCAGCTGCCGCTCAGTTTCAAGGTCAGGGTCGATTAGATGACGATGTCGATATGGAATGAATGAGTCATCCGAGAACTCTAGACTTTGAACAAGTTCCGCACTGAAATTTATTTCGATGTGAATCTTTAAATATGTAACTATCTTTAAGGAATTTTGTTGTATGTTTCGATCAAAATCTGCTTATTGAAAGCGTAAAGCTATAGCAGTCTTACTGGAAAGCAGTTATTATTTCATTTTCTTGTGTATTTTGGCATGACTCTTTTCCGGTTCTTTAAAATTAACAAACAGTGAAAGCACTGCAGCGAATTGTAATTAATGTTGATATCCCCGGGTGGTACGGTATCATTGAATCTACCATATGGAATTTTGTTGAGGAAATACTTTTTTCTGTATTTTAATTTTATCTATGGATCTGCATATAATAGTAAGTATGTGATGGCTACAAGCTTTTGTACACATGTTTCTATATTAATGTGGCGTATGAAAGCGATAAACATTTTGTGCTATGCAGGACGCATCAACAGCCAGGTAGATCGGATTAATTCCCAGGTGGACAACGCTGCCAGTTACGTGAAAGAAACCACTACTCAGATTCGGGACACCGTGAATTCTAAATTGGAGTAGACTCATGCATACCCGACAGTTTTGTGTTTTTTTTAACGTTTTATTCAGTTATTACTCAACCATTTGGAAGGATCAGCGTCTAAAACTTTGCATTTGCATGAATCCATAACATCTTTTCGAGTTGCGTTTTAAAGCTACGTAATTTTCGTCATATGTTTGAATTGTTGTTAATGCAGCCAAATGCTTGGCGAATTCTTTCTTTAATGTTGGTTGTCTGAGTGATTGCAACCGCTACGTTTCATTATCAGAATAAATTCAGTTTTATACGGGTCGAAATGTGGCTGCAGTAAATGGAGAGAGAAAGAAAATTTGATCTATGAATGCAAACGGCTATAAATATCATCTCTTTTTCATACGATCTAGACACCCGAATGTCAGATTATGCAATCAGAGGACGGAAATGTCACACTCCTACTCTTACATAGCAGGACATCGAACTGGAAAACAATTCACAGCATTAAAAAAACATTACAGCGGGAAGCATTATACAGATACCGCAAAATTGTTAAATAACTACAACGATCCGAATTCGGTCATCCATTTCTCATATTTCAATAATTCGGAACCGGAAACAGACTTATTGCACCGTTTAATAGCCTCTTCAAAATCTTCCATACAAATAGGTAGATCAATTTCGGCATCAGACAGTTGCTTGATTTCTTCGTGCGAAAGCCCCTCGATTCTTCGTCGCATGGACATCATTGCTGCGTCGCTAAAAATATTTAATTCGATCTTTTTTACACAAACGCTTAGCGACCAAAATCTACCGCGTAAAATTACAAGAAGTCAGTTACAGACTACAGTCTTCTGTCATAGTTCTATGCTGGTGCCTTACCGACAGACACTGGTTATGTCGGCGCACGAATAACCATCCAACCTTCCAGCAATTTCGGGCAAATCCACGTCTTCCGAAACTGTCACATCTCGTAAGGCAATTCTCAAAAGCTCGGTTCGCCCGAGTGCTAAAATACCAACATTTTGTAGAAAACGTCTTTACGTTCAAAGGTAGTACTCACAATTCAGACCGGTTAATAATTTAACACAAGGAAAACGCCGATAGATCAATAAAAAACTGAAATCTATCATTACAATGTGCCACAGCCAGTAATCTCAATTATACACGTAAATAAGATGGCTATCTGCATTTAATTTTACCATCGGGCAGCGGAATGTGCACTCTTTTCTCTAGTCGTCTCCGCAACGCTTCATCGAGATCCCACGGAAAGTTAGTCGCAGCCAGTACCATAACCATCGTACTCTTTCCGTCAGCTGTTACAGCATCTTCCGTGATGCCTATGAAGGCAGTCATGGGTTAATACTTCATGTGACCCCTTATCATAATGTTTACGGCAAACGAGAGAGGCACCGCCGACGACAGCAACATACCATCCATCTGTATCAGCAGCTCTGATTTCACTCGCCGGCTGGCTTCGTGCTCGGACTCAGATCCGCGTTTAGAACAAATTGAGTCAATTTCATCAATAAAAATGGTGCTAGGTGCGTAGAATCGCGCCTAAAATATTTACTGATGTAAAACAGTGTACACGGCAAAACATCTGCATTACAGAGTCAGAGCTGCAGCAGAGCAACAATCAGAGAGCGAGGGCTTACCATTTCAAAAAGCAACCGAACCAGTTTCTCCGATTCACCGCGGTATTTCGAGGTAAGTGTGGAGGATGAGACATTAAAAAATGTAGTACCGCATTCCGTCGCAACCGCTTTGGCCAGCATAGTCTTTCCAGTTCCAGGAGGGCCAACCATCAACACTCCCTAAACATACGAATCAACCCGCAGTCAGTAAAGATTCTGAGTATTTCACTTAATATTTAACCAAATACAACCATTATTTGCTTTATCACTGTCATAATTCATTTACGACAATAGTTGCATATCAATCGTTTTTCAAAAACAAATAATAGTGATGCACACTGATGCAATCTGAACATCAATAACTGTGCAAGTAATAATTTATTCGCTTACATTTATTAAAAGATTTTATAGTACGGACTACTACGGAGCAATGTTCCCATTCATAACAGCTACAAAGCTAAAGAATAATCGCTATAACTGCACAATCTGTTTTCTTACTTTCCATGGTCTTCGAATTCCTTTGAAAAAATTAGGAATGAGGAGGGGCAACACCACAGCTTCGCGAAGTAGTCGCTTGGCCTCGGTGAGACCGGCAATATCATCCCTGAAAGCAGTCAAATCAATTAAATGCAACCAAATCAACTCACCTCCTTACCATTTCACACTAGGATGCTTTTGGAGAATATCCCGCTCGATGTTCTCAACCAGATCTTTATCGTATCCAGAGGGATCGAAGCGCTTATCGTCGTCACTCTTGGCATCCTCATCCTAACGAAATAATAAAAAATCTACGGTGTGTGAAAAGTGGTAATTGTTGTAAGTGGTTGCATTGTACTTCTTTTCCAACGGCTTTGGAAGATCGTTTATCTCCATCCGGACTATCCCGTCCTGATGCTCGAGCAACTTTCACCTCGACGGTCGGCTTGGTAGTTTTCTTGTTGGCAGTGCTGGGTGTTTCTGCCCCACTGGAGCTGCCCTGTCGACCTTTGAGATTCTGTACAGATCGTGAAGTTGGCAGCTTTACTTTCGCGCTTGCTTTTGAGGAACTTGGAGATGCAGAGCCACGGCTGTGCTTAGAAGAACTAGGTGAACTGAAATAAATAAGCCTTACTTAATTTCAGTATTTACTCCACAACCGTAAATTCATTTTCATAAAATAAGTAAATACCACGTGACAATACAGAGCCACATTACTACGAGTAAATGTGCACAACTCACATTACAGTACAGTGTGTACTGAACACACACTATGCACAATAAACAAAACCACCGTATTAATAAGGGGATAGTGAAATTCGTTTATGTGCTATGAACCAGTACAAAATTTTTGTACAAATTATTATTAACTCCACAAAAACATTTTTCACATTTAAAAATTTAAAAACAGTTAAATGACTACCATTGTCTGATACTTTGGTTCATTTGATTCTCTTTACTGAAAGCCTACACTTTATCCGTTGGAGGTAGCCAAACATCTCGATCAATATTTCCTGCGACAGCGGGAGAGTTAAGTGATTTTTCCAAGAATGAACGATTCCCACCGCCAGGAGGAAAATCTGGAGACAAAGATTCCAGTGTTTGCTGTATATCGCGAACCATGGCAAGTTCTTTCTCCAAGTCGTCACGAGCCTTATTAAAGCAGTGAAACAACACAAATTAGTGCGCCACCACCTGAATTGTGACGAAAATATAAAATTTTGACCTGACAATGGTCGTAATTCTTAGACATCACTCGGATAACTGATAATCGCACTCACTTCCTGCCACTTCCCTCGTTGCACCAGGTCGTCCAGGCTGACGATGTATCGCTTTACTTGCTCAATCGCGCCATTGTAGAATACAAGGGAAGCGTCGTAATTATTTTGCATTGCAGCTTCGCGGGCATTGTGAACGTTATCCCAAATGTCCGATTCCATTGTCATAACCGTTTACCGGATGATCGATGTGCAGAAGGAAGAAATAGAAAATTCAGTTGCTCCTACTAAAGTCGATCTTCCGGACAGTAAGGCCAAGTAAGGCAGATCCAGCATTAGACCAGCAATTAAACAGTTATTTTACTTGATACTTGGTGGTGAAGGTACAAATTTGCTACTCTGGTGTAGCCCACATCTCGGAGAAATATTATGCCATCACAATAGAAATAATTCCACGTCAAATTTTTGCATGATTAGCACATGAATTGGCTGCCTGAACAGTTGCCCTTAAATTTTTATGCTGCCAGAATCAGGAAACCTGAAAGGTTTGTAAAATTTTTTTTGTTTCAGTGTTTTGGTTTTGTTTTTACTCGTCGCCACTCGCCAGTCATCTTCTGTCTCCAGTATAATGCACGACTGCACCGTGCATTATTGCATGAGCTCTTGTGCGTACCGCCGTATGCACTGGCGCCCAGAACTGGTCAGAATTAAAATAAATCGAGCTGGCAGTTTTCTAGTGGCTGAAAAGTGAAAAACATAGAATTTCTTGTTTGTGACAGTTTTTTTTATCAACAACTTTGGTTATGAGTTTTGCACTGATTTCACTGATTAATGGCCGTCAGTGGAGAGTTTGTCTTTTGAATATTGCCAGGAAAACGAAATTAGAATAATGTGATCTCCGTGCGTTTCCCTCAGTTTTCGGAGGCTCTTTGATTTTGGATTGCTTATCTCACTTTCATTATCTGCTTATGGGTTTACAATCAGCTGCGAGTCTGTTAAAATCTGAAAGCCCGGTCGTACATCGCAGAAGTGTGTTCGCTGTTTCCGGATGCGGTTTTCTGTTCACATCTGGTCAGAAAAGTTGAACGTGCATTGAGGTTGTTTCCGTTCTGGTCTCCACTGGGAGGGATCGTTGGAGTCTCCTCAATATTGGGGGCAAACGATCAGATGAGATTTGTCCGGCTCGCAGCGTCTCCCTTTTGCCAAAAGAATAATTCGTGAGATTTATAATGACGCAGATATGGAATGTTTATTCGCTCATGGTCCTCTATGTGGTGTGTATAAATACCTATAATCATTTTCGAAATGGTCAAGTTGAGCTAATCGCTGATGTAGTATCCGTTTGCGTGGTTGGTTATTCTGTAGATAATGCAGCACGGCATGCGAAGAGCGGCTGCTACCGATGTGCTGGACTTGGGAAAAGATAACTTGGATTCGGTTGTGGGTAAGGAACCGCTTAAAACTCTAGGAAAATTTTTTCCATTTTAAAAATGGTGCTGTTGCAGAAAAATACGATGTGGTGTTTGTAAACTTCTTTGCGGAGTGGTGCAAATTCAGCCGGATGTTAGTTCCAATTTTCGATCAAACATCGGCGAAGATGAAGGCGGATTATCCTGTAAGCGGTCCACAACTTTACAGTAGTGCAGTCATGTGTTACTAATTATTTTGTTCACATATTTGTGTCGCACACCGGTGTGATTAATGGCTTGTGGAGGTTAATTATGGTTTACATATTGCGCTTTTCGTGAAATATGTAGGGAAACAGGATTGCTTTGGGACGCATTGACTGTGATAAAGAAGGTAGGCCGTTTAATGCAACATGGTGATAAATTTGAATTTTTTTATCGGACCATTGATGCTTGTAATCTGAAAGTCGTACTGTTGATTATAATATAAATAAATAATATTTCGCGATCTTAGTGTTTTGTGTGATGCAGTTTTTTGTAAAAAGTGTGTATCCCCTGTTACTAGTTCTGCGATACATGAATTTTCCTTAAGCGACATGAAACTCATTTGAATAGTCTATAAGTATTCGTATTTGTTGCAGCTGATACGTGCGCTGCTTACCACATTTCCAAATATCCTACGCTGAAGCTATGGAGAAGTGGTCAAGTCTCCAAGCGAGAATACAGAGGACAGCGCACTCTAGAAGCGTTTATCACTCACCTCCAAGAACAACTGAAAGACCCTATTTTGCCTGTAACCAGTATCTCCGAAATGGAAACTCCTGAGGTGGTTTCTCCTAGAGAGAATTTCGTAATCATTTTTTTTAAAAACCATCTTACCGATTGCAGAAGCGGCGAAAGCGAGCTGTTTATCTGTTCTTCCAAAACAACCAAGTACCATACTGGCATAATATTCAGCGAATGGCTAGCTACTTACGAGATGAGTGTCCGTTCTATGTTATCTTTGGGTAAGCATACCTTTGTATTTGTGGAAAATGTACTGCAAACATCGAAACTGTTGTGTTTCAACAGCGCTGGTCTACCTGGTCGACAAGGAGATGCAATCGTCTTTAGAGAACTTATTGGAGAGGTGTGCACTTACATTTGAATCTGAAACGTTGTGGAACTTGAAAAATAGTTTGATGAGGATTGTAGACGTTTGTGGAAGATGTCTATCAAGGACCGCTGCAGGATTATAATCCTGTTAACCAGTGGATTTATGATAAATGTGTCCCTATTGTGCGAGAAATCACGTTTGAAAATGCGGAGGTAAGCTAGAAAGTATCCGGATTTTTTGCTGTTTTCCTAATTTGATGCGCGGAAAGGTTAAAATGGCATGCGAAATATTCGTCTTATGTTTAAAGGAACTAACAGAGGAAGGATTACCCTTTTTAATTTTATTCCACAAAAACGATGATACCAGATCGCCGCAAATATTTAAGGACGAAATCATGAAACAGTTGTCGGGCGATAGAAGTAAGGGGAATGGTCTGGTTGTTGTTAACCATTTAAAAATTTGGAGATATTTTGTGACTGATGGTTTGTCGTTCTAGATACCGTTAATTTTTTGATTGCCGATGGAGAAAAGTTTTCTCATCCACTGAGCCATTTGGGAAAATCTCAAGCAGATTTACCTTTGATTGCTATTGACAGTTTCCGGCATATGTATTTATTTCCTGATTTTAAAGATATTGGGTAAGCCTTCTCACATACATCGTTATTGGACGGTTAATGCTAGGTCGGGTTTGTATTTTTCTGCTGCAGTGTCCCTGGCAAGCTGCGAACATTTATTGATGATTTGCATTCTGGCAAGCTTCATCGTGTCTTCCATTATGGCTTCGACCCGAACGAGCCGAGCACACAAGCGCCTTCTGACTCAATTAAGGTAAGGCTTTGCGAACTTTGAATGTAATTTAACGCGAATTGACTGGTCATTTACTGACACTGATCGCGTTCTCTTGGATTCAGCCCGGTGAGCACGTTCCGGTAGCTGATTCTGGAGCAAAACATCTTCCGCCAGTTGGCTCCACTCCTCCCGAATCTACCTTCAAAAAATTGGCTCCTTCGAGAAATCGTTACACGCTACTTCGAGACGAACTTTAGATTTGCCATGCTCTGCAAATCTGCAACTGATACTTTTGAGATTCGTTTTTAGAAAGTGCTATTCTGATATTTAAATGTTGTGTTGATCACATTTGTGGAAAATTGACACGCATGCAAGAGGAGATGCTGGTGACCTGAATTTCTGATTGCTTTCTGACCCGTTGCGAGTATTCTGGAAAGCTTTTTGTGTTGCACATTTTTATGGATAAGAACGATGCAAACAAAAATGGTTTGGTGATCTAACATAACTGCCGCTCGAATGCAACATTTCTAACACTACGAACAATTTTCGCATTTAATGAAACATTATGGTCAGATCAACTGCAAAACAAGTTTACATACTGTACTTGTACACTCAGATTTTTTCAAGTCCTCCCTATGACAAGTACTCGTATGGAATTTAAGAGCGAATACTAGTATTATAATATACTGGTATTTTAAACTCTAAAAGTTTAGCAGTAAAATACATTTTGAGCCATCAGACTAGTGGCAAAATGCAGAAACATTGTACTTCCTATAATTCCCAGTAGTATGAGAAAATTCACAAATACATTGTACGTACAACTGCTTATCATCTCTTAAAGCACTGTAGTTCTACTCCGGTGTAAGGTCATCGTCCCAAAAGGAATGAAAGCAAATAAAGTATGAAATTCTTCGATGTAGCAGATCGTCAAATCAAGATTTTTTTTCAAAAAATTCTGCACTGTTGCTACCGTAGCACGGTACGGTGACCGTAGTGTTTCCCGGCCCTGCCACACTGCCAGACTGATTTGCCCTGAGAAATCACACCCGCTGAATTGGTTGTCTGCGCTGCCGCGCGAAATAACAAAACGGACCCGAATCAGAAAGGTTATTACGCAACTTCTCGAAATTCTGATTATTAATTTTTTGATTGCGATAAAGGTACGTTCGTTATTAACGGTACTTAAGTACTTATTATTTTACCTTAACCTTACCCCGGTGGTACGAGTATGCAATCAACCATTTTCAAGAATTTTTATGTATTACGACTTTTTCAAGCTGTCACCCCAGGCGGCTGCAAGTAGTGCTGCAATATAACCACTGCAGCGGCGGCTACCTTTTCTATGCTGCCACTCGTTGACTTTATTATTTTTATAATTTTAATTCTTGGAGTTTAAAATAGAAATACTCGTACTCATTTTACTGTTTTTCGCTTATTAAAATCCCAGTAATTCCATTAATTTTAAGTTTGCCGTAGCGAAAAGACAGCTGCGCTTCCGTTTTCAGTAGTGGTTACGGCCGATCGACATTTTCTGGAGAATGGTTTCTCTGGGATACTTTTTCCAGAAGAAAAGCTCTCTTTAGAATTACAGGAATCAGAAGCTCATGGCGCTTTTCTCCGTGTTATCGAACTGATGAGATCTCCGAAGGCAATAGATCATGTGGAAGGTGTGCAGTTGTGCGGGCAAATTGTTTCACGTTATGCCTCACCCACAATTGTCAATTCTGCATTTATGAGAATGGCAGAAACCTTCCGAGCCGGATCCAGTGTTCTCCAAGTTGAGGTGCTTCGGATAATCCAACGGAATACTGAGGTATGGTTTCCTTATGAACGAAATATTATGGATTTCGAGGTTTTACTTAAGTATGTGTGCTTTGGCTGCGGTCGGACAATTAATATTATTGCTTTTAACGGGGTTTGTATTGCAGCATTTGAAAAAAATTCAGAACCATACGGAGTTCATCCGTCCTATTTTCTCCGTTATGTACAGCAATGATCCTGTTGGTCGAGCCATTACACTACGACTCTTGGCTGCTATCGCCGTTAATGTTCCAGATCAGTTTGAGACTCATCATGCAGTTAGAATGGCCTTGCAGTCGTCCAACAGAAACGAACTGGAAGCCGCTCTTGTTGCCTGCCGAAGTTTAGCACGAGTTACACCGAAGTTCGCTGAAGCAATCGCGGAGGATATCATTTCTCTCATGGAGAAGCCGCACCTTTCTGATGGTTTGTCCGTTACTTTTAACGTAGTACTCGTTCGTCGTAAACAACACTTTTGCTGTAATTGTGTCGTTGTTTCTGACAGACCCGAGTATAAGTTACACAGAACATGCGAAGCTGTGGTTTACATGCTGATTGTCGGAATCTATTGTCACATATATTTTATTCTTTTCTTAATTTTTTATTCTTCATTTTACTAAATTTTGTGCTTAGTGAAGTTAAACAGGTCACAGAACTAACTGAGTTTATTCGCTGATTTGGTCGCGATATTTCTATGGTTGTCGTTCTTTACCGATAAAATAAATATTTGTCTTTTGGTAGATGAGAAAATAACGATTCTGGAAATAGTCCCCTCTATCGCCTCGTCGAACCTGGAATCCGAAACGCTGATATTCGTTGTGTCCAAGTTGTTGTCCAGCGATATGACAAATCAGAGCTCCAGATTGGTGGAAACAATCTTTTCGACTTTGAGCGGGTTGCATAAACGGAATACGGCTCTGCCATTGATCGAAAGCCATTTGGCATTATTGGGTAGGTGTATTGGTGACTCCAGATGGGAAATTGCTCGACCAGCTTCAACTGAACTGATGCGCTTTTTCGAATTCTGTGCATCACGGCTTCCAACGGATTCAGCACTAAATTTCATCAAAACTTTCCTTTTATCGAACACGCCGTTCGTAGTTAGTCAAGGCTTGAAATGCTTGTTCCTGTACCTTCGAAACACTTTAACTGACCATCGCGCCTGCGTAGCGGACGTGCAGCTGATGGATCTGCTTCCGGAAAAGACATCTCAGCTCAAAGGGGTTGTGCGGGCATTTGCTTTTGCACTATACTGCAGAATGTTTGCTGTGTCTTGTTACAACCAGACACCGCGCCCCGCTACGGCAGCCAGTAAATCTGATGATATGTTGCTGAAAAGAAGTGAAACGTTAAAGAAATGGATGAGTGATTTAGCTCAAAACGCCACCGAAACGCAGAACAGCGGTATACTGCATTACGTGCTTTTCGGACTCAGTCCACGAAACTATAAGCACTTTTTGAGTCAAATCACGCATGAGTGCTTAGAAATTCTTCCAAGATTTGCCATTCCGTCAGAAAATTTTGAGCGGAAAATTGTTATTTTCATACAAAATATTTCTGAGGAAGATCCTGTTCGGGCGCACGCCCTGTTGGATAAATGTTATCCGTTGAAGTCAATTCTAGCGGGAAACAAAACGTATGCCACTGTTGCCGCTGCTGTTGGAATTTCGTTGCGGATTCCAGATTTCAGTGAAGAATCTCAGCAACATCTTGCCAAACAGATAATTGAGTCGTGCGAGATCTCATTGTGGGATCTGTACAAATTAGCCCGCACGGCCAGTGTCGATGGTCGGCATTATTTCGCATCGGAAATTTACAACTACCTGGCGGCTGATGAGCAAGTTCACGGTTGTCCCCACAGCCATGGCTGGATCGAGGTGCTTCGTCAGATGACCGACTACGAAATTAATAAAAAGAAACTGCTCGCTCCGGGCAGCGAACTGGATGACATTGCGGATAACCTCGGCGATTGTTTGATGGAATTTATGGAGACTAGTGTAAAGCTGACGGAATATCGTACACCAGATCGATATGGATATTTCAAGAAAAACTTTCTGGATGTTAAAGTTGGCTTTCAGAGAGCCTGGGAGTTGATGCTAGAGACACTGGAGCAAATTCGAGGTCGTGGCATGGATATGGGTGACCCGGAAGAGGATCTGGAACAGGTTGCATCGCATTTGCTGCTAATGCGAGCGACGTTGCTGGATCCGATGAACGAATTCCGCACGGTTGCAGAACGATGCGATAAGTTATACAAAATGTCCTTCGATGCCGACGGACCATCCCTAGGTGTGGTGCGGCTCTATCACCAAATTTGCTGCCGATTTGCTGTTTGTCTGGCCAGTCTGGGTGGGCGCGGTTTCTCAGCGGATACCGCCATTCCATCGACACCGCTTGCACCACAGTTGGGCGTGGCAGCAGCGCTGGAACGTTTGGACAGCCTCTCGAAAACCACTTTGTCTAGCATCTCACCTACCGATTTTTATGAAGTGGTCAAAGAACTGTTTCGCTTGTCCGGATTCTTTTTATCCCTGCAAGTGCCGATACCCCGCTATTTCTTTCAGCAGTATCAGTCGACTAGTCTGGCAGTCGTTATTACACCATCATCAAATGCTGAGACGGAATTCGCTCAGACGATCAACATGGACACGAGGTTCACTCTCAAAGTGGACTGCGCGCTGACAGTGGAAAGGGAGAGAGGCTGTCAACCGATTCGGACAGTCAAAGATGTGCGGGTAACGGTGCGAATGCGCTTAATGAAGAGTCTGCCGTTTTCCTCCAAAGTGATTCACAGCCTGGAGACACCACCGGAAGTGCTGGTGCACACGGTGCCGATGGAAGAGATCAATTTTTTCTCGCACAGTTTTGTGATATTTTTGGGTTATCCGGGAATTTATCGTATCAGTGTAGATTTGGAACTCATTGATTGTAAGCTGTCCTCTTGGGATGCGATGCAGAATGCTGAGCTTTATGTCAAAGTGACGGAAGGTTTGGGCGGACCACACAAAAGGAAAGCACAGGACAATCCTCCTCAAGACAAAATGGAATAGCTTGTTTCGTGTCCTACGTCGTTGGCGTGAGTTTTGGATACATTCAGCAATCTTTCCGGATTTCTGTTTCAACACGGTTTTATGCAGCAGAGTTTTCCGTAGTTGCCGATATGTATTGTTTACTTTGGGGTTTGTTGTATTTAAAATAGTACCGTAATGTAGACTTTGGTTGTTCGGTACGTGGAATCGTGAATCGTTTTCTATGGTTTTGTTTTGTTTGTGTTCGGTCTGCTAGCACAAACCACAGTGCACACAATAACACATGTGTACAAAGCCACCGCCTGCGCCGGCGCTCATCGTAATTTTCGAGGTCTGACCACCGTAGTCCATTTTCCTGATTACAGTACTATATATATAGGTCACAGATGGCGCTGCTGCTGTACGAGTAGCCATATCACCGCTGCCCGTGGTGGGTTAGCGATAAAACATGAAACGTAGAAATTCTGGTCCGTACTCCGTACCGCAGTTTTTTACCCATTTCAAAACTGATTCTTAAAGCTGAAAGCAACGTTGGAAGAAATGTTTGGAAAAAGTTGAATTTTGAGATTATAGTTTCACAAACCATGGGACGAAAGAAGAAGAAGCCGCAGAAGCCGTGGTGCTGGTACGTGTTAATGCCACGATGTGGCAGAGTTGGATGTATGGCTCATTGGCTCTGGCTGGACCAGAATCAGAACGGATCTCAGTGGAATCTTTTGCAACTAACGCGGTTGTTTGGCAGGTACTGCAATCGGGAGTTTGAAGACGAAAAGATTCTTATCCAGCATCAGAAGGCCAAACCGCAGAAGCCGTACACGGTGCTGGCCATCCACTGCATGCAGGTACAGTACTTGGCTACTTGGGAGGATGCCACACTTTGCGGCAGCAGCTTCGTAAAAATATTATGATTTTATAGAGTTTTAGGAACTAGGATTAAAAGTGTTGATTCAGGTGGACAAACCCAGCAAAACTTGTTTAGTTTTTAACTAACATAAAGGTTTGGGTTCGCCTTTTATTGTTTTCGGAATTGATGGTTTCATCGTTCACGAATATTTTGTAGTACTGTAGCTGGATCTTCTTTACCGCTGACTCAATTTTAATTAGCTAATACACTTCAGAAAGTCGGAAATTGAATTCGAAACCAGCACAAGTTTTGTGGTTGTTGTCTACTTCCGAACTGATGTATTTTATTAAAAAAGTTTTGTGCGTTAAGCTTTAGAGCTTTCGAATTTTTTGTGGCAAAATTTGATATCAAGTAAAGTGTCTGTGCTTGGTAGGTCCACAAAGAAACACTGGATAAAATACCAAATGCCATTGTTGGTCGAACGAGTGTCGATGTGGAAATTTACGGCATGGAAGGAATTCCACCGGAAGATCTGCGCGCGCATGAACAGCAGAAGAGGGAAAGTATGTCACTCTTTCGTTATTAAAATCCTGTTTTCGGTGCACATTTTTGCATTGCTTTGTAGAGCTGCCTAAAAGGAACCATCTAAGAATTACGTAAGCAGCCAAAATTTGTTAACTTTGTGCTTTTTCTTAAAAGGTAAATTGTCATCAGTCTTTTCCTGTAGATACGGCGAAAATGGGCAATTACGTAATTCTTAGTGGACCTTTTTATACTGCAGCCTCAAATGGGCAACACATTGTAGTTTGTTTATCTCTGTTATCTGTTACTACCCATCGTTGCTTCTTAATAATCGTTAACCATTTTAACATTTACATGTATAATATTATTTTGTAACCTTAGCGGATGGCGGTGCACTGAATGGTGCAGACTGCAGAATCCTATGAAGTGCTGCATTATTGATCGTGTGATCTAGTGATCTTTCATTTCCCAGCATTGGAGATTTTTGTTCTTGCTTCTCAGGAGGAGATCAGGATGACGGGGGAAAGGATTCAGACGACGAATCTTCCAATCCGGCCACCACGCCAGCGCCTGCCCCATCCATGCCACCCGGGCCACATCCCTCCTTCGCCGGGGCCTTCCCACCGGCGCCGGGGATGCCTGGTCTTCCGCCTGGCATGAGACCGCCAGGGCCGATGCAGAACATGATGCCCTCCTTCATTCCAGGCATGCCTCCCATGCCCCACATGCAGCGGCCCCCTCCTATGCCTGGAATGCCACCTCCGGGCATGTTTCCACCGGGGTACAGATTTTTTCTACATTGAAGTGTACCCCAATAATGGATTGAATTTATCAGTAGTGAAACTTACTATGCTAGAATATGGATGATTAGCAAACATGTGCTGAAATATTACGTTTGGTATTTTTACAGCATGCCACCTGGCTTTATGCCTATGGGTGGGCCACCGCCTTCAATGCTGCAGCAGCCACCTCCAGGAATGCCTCAGCCTCCTCCCTGGGCTGCGCCGCCTCGAATGAATGTTCCACCCAATATGGGAGGCCCGCCGCCGCCACTACCCGGTCACATGCCTCCCGGGCCAGGCCCGGCACCACCGCCTGGCGCCACGAATCTGTCACAACCACCTCCGCGGCCCTTGTTTCCCGCTGCAGTTCCTGAGGTACGGACGCCATCAGTGAAAGTTTTTCACGGACCAGTGGTCATTTGATGTAGAGTTTGATAAAACTGAATTAGAGATGTTGCTGTTATTACAGCGCCCTCCCCCGATTACGGGAGGGATTGACTTTAAAGCGCTTTCCGGCGGGACAACGACAGGTGCAATGCCTACATATGCGAACCCGGCTGCTGGCAAAACTGCCGCTCCGGCTCCTGTACCAGCGGCGCCGGTTTACATTGCGGCTCCTGAACAGGGCGGACAAATATGCCACCCTGCAGAAGATATTTCTTTGGTAGGAAAGCGTTACCGTAATTGGAAAGCGGTTTGCGTGGATTATACAACAAAACACTGCTTTCTAAACTCAGCGAGTTTTTAAATATTTTTTATGGTTTAGGAGGAATTGAGGGCAAAACGTTATCGCCGGAACACGGAAAAACGGAATGCGTTGCTTAGAGAAGATGGTGAGTCATCTGTACTCATATTTAATATAGTGCGGTGTTATACCCATTTTGTTTTCAGAAGATCTACGGCCTCCTGGATTGTAAATTGATAAACTATAGCCACAATGGTCAGATTTGTCACCCAACATTTACTGCATCGGTTTCTTGTATCGTTCTCGTGTATGTTCTGATATCGATCGGCGGATAGATTACTTCTGTCGCGTGGAACCTACTATTATCAGTTTTGCTTTCTTTTTGATTTCTTGTTCTGTTTCTGGCGAAATAGTATTTGGAGGATCTTACCATTCGTCGCCTTGCACATGCACATGCATGCATAAATTATTTACAACTCCCACTTTTGTGGAATCAAATAGTTAAAACCCAGATTAAAACATCGGTGTCAAAAGAATTTTTCTTAACTAGCGAATTCAAAAAGTAAAACATGTATCAGACAATTTGTATGACTCGATTCCAGCGAATCTAAGAGACAACGCGATAAAACAATAAAACAAATTAAAGATCAACAACTGAACGAGGAGAATACTCGTATGGAAGGAGAGTTCATGGTTCCGGCTGCTACACCAAATACAAAAGGATTTAGTAGAGGAATACGCTCACTGTTCTTCGCGAAAAAATTCAAAATGAAGCATACTGCATACCCGTTCGAATCCAGTCGACAGTCTTCGATTTGGCTCCGGGGTATACGTGAACGTCAGACCAGATGGATAAATGACGCCATCATTCCTGACTAATGTGATTGCAACTTTCAGAGATTGCATCTGTAAATTTCTGAATTGCAAGAAAGACGGCGCCATATGATAGAAATAAGGTTCTGACCATCAAACGGCACTTACACTAGCATAATCCCACATGCCCCCGAACGAACTGATGTCAGGAACAACGCACAGAATGTTTTCCTCGCAGCGGTAAAGCGTTTCCGCCTGAATATGCTGAAACCACACCATCAGCTGGGGAGTGAAATTCTCGCCGATTAACTCCAGCATCGCCACATTACCACCACCGTTGAGCTACACAAAAGACAAAAAAAACAACTGATTACAAGATTAATAGACACTGATACGAAGTAAATCAGATAATAGATCACAGATTTGAGACGACTAATCAGGGGTTTAAAAAACCAGAGAACACGCCAATATGAAAATGCAAGCCGATTGGAAGGCTATTGAGCGATCAGCGAAATCCCTCTTACATGCAAACTTCTGACCACAGGAACTGGAGAAACAGGAATTGCAGCGGGACCGAGACCTTCATAAAAGCGGTACTGTGCCTGGTCAACACTGATAATAGTCCAACAAGTACCATCGTTGATCATTTCGCGATTAGGTTCTTTCGGACATATACTCGCCTGCAAACAACAACACAATACAACAGTAATCTCCGCTGAAAATTCACTACTGCTGAACTATATGCGCAAACAGCAGCAGCGGTAGCGAAGTCTGGAGTGCTTGCTACTAGAAAACTTTAAAACAAACCTGGTACTGAACGATGCGTTCGCCACTAAGACATAGGTACATTCGTTCCGTATCCTTCATATAGAAAGCGCATTTGTGCAGTTGAGACACCGGATCATCCGCATCCAGGAGAGCCATCTGCTTGTCGATCTTGCGGATAATCAGCCGTGGTAGCGCCATGCCGGTTACCGCGCAAACCAATTTAACTGTTGACCCGTAGTGAATATAACCTTCTTTCGAGGTAAATTCTTCTGATTCCGGCTCGTTTTCATCCACTAGAAGACGAAAATGCCACACATAAACATCTTAATCAAAGGTCACCATATTTTGTCCAGCTTACGAAGGTGGATGGTGAATGCTCCCCATTGTGTAGAGCTAGCGTGGAACGCTTGATTCATAACGTGAAGATAGCGCGTACTCACAGTCTGCGAGCGCAGCCGGTTGAACAAAGCGATCTTCGTTCCAGATGGAATGCACACTATATGGGCACAGGTGCAAATACACATACTAGATGCAATATAGTTACGCAACAGAAAATTGACGGCGCTAAACGATTTCTTACGATCTGTGTTTTTCAGAGATTGCTTCTTTTTCGAAGGTTTAGAGATGACTTTGATTTTACGACTGTGGAATGTCCCAATCGGATGTCCGTTTGAGTAGAACAGTTTACAAATCAGAGTGAAATACTTCCGCTTGTCCGAATCAGAGATAAACAATGTTTTCGCTGCACAGAAATTCTGCAAAGAATGTACTCTTCATGCGAGAGCGACAGATTGGTCACAAAAAAGCTTTCATACATTTGGTAAGCAGGTAAAGTTACTACTAGTCTTATTAATTATATCAATTAGTTAAAGCTATTAATTTTATAAAATTTTTCACTGTAATGTAGAACGTATACTGTGCATCAGATAATGCGTTATTAAATTGACAAAAATTGTCAGTAGTTTACTGTGAGCAATGCTCGGCTGTAGATGTATGCTTTTTATTGTGCGAAAATTCGAAATCGACAAAAAATACTGCTAGCACAGCCAAGCAGTGATCCAGTATCGCCTGTATCGGTAATCAATTCGCTTTTGTTACCAACCTTTCCTTGGAAATCCAGTTGCTGCATTTCCTGATCGCCACCAATTCCAACATAAGGACACACCTGCACATCTGCAGGCATCTTCTCCGCCTTTGCACTCCATCCATTTCCCAGCAGGTACACACAAGGTGGTGGACAAAAAAATCTAACGACAGCAAATGTTAAATCCAGAAGCAATAAGGTACAACCATAGAAATGCATCTTTTACCGTTTTTCGTTTCCGTAAGACTTTTGTGCAACTTTAGCATGGAGAATTAACACCGTCATATCCATTTTCTGTTGCTTCAAGTATTCCATCATGTGGGTATCTTTCAACTTTGGTTCCTTAATTTGTGCCAATAAATTCAGTGTGGTCGGAGAGGGCACTGGTTTGATGTAATCTGTAATTATACGGATCAAGCAAACGCCAAGCTGAAAACTTCAACATCAAAATTTCAATAACCTTTCGCATCGGATTCTGCATCCGAGTCATTTTCCGTATCGTAATGTTTGCGTTTGTTAGAGGCCATCGTGGTCAGACAATGGGCGTACGATTTCAGGTCAAATTTGCGTAGATCAGATGAGATATAACTGCATGTACTGGATGCGGGTGGAAAAGGATATCCGGAAAAGGAGACCGGAGACTGGCTGATCGGAAACGGCAGCGCAGAAGGGCATCCAGGAGACGGGTGACTGGCTGGCGAATGTAAATGGAAAGGGTAATCGCGCGCAGACGACGTAGTTGTCAGATATGGAGGGTAGGGTCCAAAAAATCGGCTATCGTACTGATGCTACAGAAGTAGAAGATTTGTACACTTTAACAGGTAAAAACATAATGATATGTGAATATTTATCCGATCAACTCTGTTTCTGCAATTCATTAAACATCTTGTCAATTTTAGAATTCCATCCACCCAAAATATTTTTGTACGATGAAGAAAATGTAAATATTACCCTATTTTTAAATGTATCTAAGTTCATATTTAGACACTTTTTATGGCGTATTCGTGTTAATTCAACAAAGCAATACCATGTCTGCCATTGTCTGGCATGTTCGTAAAGTGTGCTCATGACCAGTATAAGTGCACAATGTTCATAATGAATCTCGTATATCTATCATTTCCAGAATCTCATATATCAATAATTTACAACATCTACAGCGAATCCAGTAGAGTTACACAATTAGAATGATTTGAAAACAACAAGCTCAAAACCACATCAATAATATCTTTCATAAAAACAGAGAATATCGTTTATATCAATATCAATGTATTTCTTGCCGGCTTAGTTCAAACTTTTCGAATTTGAAGTAATTTAAACTGACCAGTCAACGGTCTTACCGGTTCATTTGTACACGGCGATTTGATGATGCTTAGCTCACTGTCACAAAAATCGCTATATAGCGCCATAAGAAATTCAAATCCGCCTCTTATCCAACGTATAAAGGGTTGATTTCCAAATGTACTAATGTAGTATGATTATTACGCAGTCAAAATACAGGGATATAAAATAAGACAAATTATAAACTAAAAGCTTGTAGCAACTATCGCTGCCCGTACACTGGCGATGATCACCGCACTTGCTGACAGTGAAGTGGTTTCTGTGGTTCCGCTCGGAAACCGCGAAACGGATTAAAATGCACTCCGTGATTTTTTTCTTAATCGAATTGCAACGCTATTTGGATACGTGACAATTAAGGACAATTATCGGTCGCTGTCACATTAACTAGACTATTCAAACGGATCAATGCAGTTATCAAATTTTTGCGATACGACTTATTTACTTTTGTGTAAATCTCAAATGCGCGCTCCGTCGACTGTCGACTAACTCATGTTACTAAACCCGTACCAACTTTATTATAAAACCGCTTATTAGAAAAAGCAATCAAAATCAGTATCACTATTTGATCTAATTCCACTGCACAACAATATACAATAGAACTACATATTAGGTCGGTAACTGCGTATCCGTTTGGTGAATCAAAAACACCCAACGTACAGCAGCATCTCGAAATTTTCTTTTAGCAACACTGCACGATCAAACTTCTTCGTAACACATACATATCCAAATCCATCAAACCCGTAAGGATTCGATGCAGTCTGCGGTCATAATGGACAGTGGTCTTCACAGCCAGCAATTACTAACTCGTACTAACTACTCGTGCTCATTTATACTTGTGCCACAAAAGCACGTAAAAGACTGCTGAAGTTCTTTCTTATCACATAATAATAAAAAAAATAAAATGTCGTAAATAAAACAGATTAAGATGTTAAGGCATTTTTTATCTCCGAACCAACGTTAGCCAGGTACACCTAACGTGTAAAGAAATTTAAAAAATTATACCTATCAGTTGACGCAGAAAAAAACATTCAATTCTGAAAATTCAGCATATACTCCCTCCCACCATCAATCGCCGGTTGATAACGTAGTTTAATTGCTCGCAAAGTAGTCATGGATAAATGCACAGATCCACAGCAAAAACAAAAAAACCGTTACTTATATTAACGACACAGTACGTGGGAAACTCTACTTTACAAGCACTTATACGCTACATTTTAAGAGACTTGACCTGAAAAATCCAATTAAGCACCTGCAAAAAAATGAGCCACTCACCTACTGCTACAGCAGTACAGCGAAGGAGATACAATATAAGCGAGCTTTCACCATTCGAAACAGCGACAAAAAGGTGCGAATAAACTATTTAAAAAGTCTGCAGATTTGCAAACAAGCTTTCAAGCGCATGAAATTCATTCTAAAATGAAAGCAACAAGCCAGTCTTAAAACTCTAAGTGGCCATTTCAAACTCCTTTTCGTATCCAGATTATTAAACGGTACAGCTAGCCTACACGTTAGCGAACAATTAGCCGCACATACAGAGCATCATGGCAATGTAAAAGGCAGATGGAATCAGAAACGCTGACTGATGTGGACATGGGAAGGACATATTGGAAAAGCTTTTCATGTCCATCTGTCGTTAGAACGAAAGGCCATCTATCTATCCAGTTAGAAAGGAATCGATTCGAGTGTGAGAATATATAGCTGGAAACTCTCACGGCGCAGTTACAATAACCCAGACAAAACTTCAGTTCTCGCCCACTTTTGCTCTATCCGGTTTCATCAAATGTTCACACGCTCACATTTATATCTGACCAAGAGGATACATGAAGGACAATACGCAGGGCGCAATCATATAAAATGGGGCGATAAAATGCAACACGAGCAAATAGGTAATATGAGAAGTGATATGAAGTCAGGTATTTGCAGAACACTGGAAGTCGCACTGGCCAGTGGCCACTATAGTGAAGGAGGTTGGACTACGACCAGAATTACGGAAAAAATTAGCTTGCTTACTGGTTAACTAAAATTTCAGTTTACCGGTGTATCGAAGGGTAAAAACGATGCTTCACTCTTCTACGCAAAAAAAAATCAAGATCTGCAGGTCCAACAAGTGGCTTTGCGATTCAAAGCTAACGAAGCTATGAGGTGCCAAATTACATCACATCAAAATTAATTACAGTTCGTTGGTCACTTGGAATTTACCACCATTTTTTAAACCACGATGTAGCATTATACTAGTTTTTTCGACGTGCTATTCCGTTTCTCTTTTTTAACTTTTCCGTTCAGTAAACTTCAATTTAATCTTTTCTTAAATGATAGTGCTGAATCTGCTGATTGTAATTTGTGTATCTATGTCCAAACATACTTATCAAATCTTGTATGTATTACAACGTCACTAACCAGTAAGTCGAGAAAAACTGCAAAGCACAACATTAAAGTGGAAGCGAACAAATCACATGCGATAACAATGTTTCCCTTTTTTTAAATTAATTAAAACCTTATTGTTAAATATAAGGTACTGTAAAAGCAAGACAAAGTTTGTGTGTTTCTAAACATTATAAAATTAGCAATGCGCCCAGGGAAACGGAAACGAGTGGCAACAACTATGTAGAGGAACTGTTATTATAAATTCACTTAAATGACATGACATGCTGGCGTACCAATAAGCGAATACGTGTTAAATTCGACAATATGCAAGTATATGTACGTTTCACAGTAATAAAAATAAAGGTGCAAAAGGTGCAAATCCACAAGAAGGACCGATGCAGGCTGATTTGATTACTTTCTAATTATATTTTTTTACGCATTGTACAACATACCGGTAAATTAGCGGTGATTAATATTATATATGAGTTAAACAAACCACTTCCGATTTTAATGTTCGTTATATGGTTAGCGCTTTGGTCGACAGTAATTTTTATTTTTTACTTTTATTTTTTGTAATTTTTATTTTTATTTTTAATTTTTTTATTTTTTTACTAATAATCCGTTTTTAATTTGAATTAATGGTTGCCCGAGCAAAGTTAGTAAAAAATCACAAATCATTAGTATCTTAATGAATACTAACATTATGGCGGGTGTACATTTAATAGTAAGTATAGGAATTTTGGAACATGGCCGGGAGAATTCAAGACTTCTTGCACATACTGCAGCCGCACAGCGCTGGCGATGCTGCATGCCGGTTCGCACAGGCTCAGTCGGCGCTGATTCACTACACTGTCGTTTTCCCAACACACCGTCAACTCGTGAGAACTTGCGCCAGCACATGAAAGCTGGTTGCGCCAGCAGCTTTGCTTTCGTATGTAGTACCGCACAGCGCAAGCATTGGCGTTTGCTGAATACCACAAACACAGCTCAGCGGATCGCCATTTCGTCAATATATTAAACCGTGTTTGATGAAAACATTGCAATCAATGTTTCAAAGCACACAAAGAACCATTAGTGCGGCTATGGCTAAAAACGTCCATAACAACCTGCACAGCGAAGTCTATGCCCTTGTGCACTGATCAGCAGCCGAATTGTATTGTATGGTTATCAACCCGAGAGCTCAGAAACCCGAACAAGTACGTACGGACAACAAAAACGTTTTACGGTTATGAGATCCAGAACGCGATTCTGGAAGAAAAAACCTTTTCAGTTTCAAAATTTTTCTGTTTGAGTAAACAATATTACGAACATCGCCGGTAGCGGAAGCCGCAAAACGGCAAATCATGAAAGAGACTAACAAATTTATTATCGATGCTATGTTCCAAGTAGCAAAGCTGAATTTGTGTTATTAAAGGCACAACAGCGAGATATGTGAAACTAATAATTCACTGCATCATTTTAAAAATAACATATATAATAAATTCAAGCTCTGTTGTTAAAGTGCGTCCAAAGTCTTATGAGTGGCTACAGAGTACAGACACCATGTAAACTGTGTATAAAACTACTGTATATACTTTGTAGCATGCAACGATACAAAGTACTGTACTTAACTGTAAGAGCAGCAATTTCGACTTTCTGAATAACTGTACAGGTTGTCTCGTATAGATAAGACAAAAAATACGATGTGATTTGATTATATTACAGTACCTGACAGGTAGAAAGAGCCGGACTCTTGGAAACAGCTAATGGCAGAAGCTGCTTCTCACAGCGAGGATCATGCACGTGGGAACGAAGCTTCCCGTAACAGTACCACGACACTTCCGGATCCCGGTCAAATAGGCTGTCGCCAGACCATCCCGGAATGCTGTTAACAAGTTCGTTTCCTCTGGTTCCTTGTCGGTTTTATGTTTGAAACAAAACACGCTATAAAACAGAAAACAAGGGAAAGCAAGCAGATAGAACTGCCACAGAAAATGTCTGTAGCGCTGCAGTTTACTGCTTCGTTACACCAAACCAGTTGAAATCACCAATCGTGAGAAAGCGAGTTTAGACTGCAGTTTAATGCGATCGAGATAAGAGAACCGTGCATATGTTCACTCAGTGCGCGGTGCGCTTGTGCAGAGTGGAGCAGACAATTTTTTGGGCTACAAAAAATGGAAAAGATTTCCGCCGGTCGGCGACGATATGAGCCATTTGCTCATAATATCACGTGCACGTGCCGTTTAATCGTCGGGATGGTACCATGCTTTGTATTTTTTATTAAGTAGTAATAAGTACCTTAATTTTTACAACTTTTCTTGTACTCGCTTACGGTTGCGGTTATATCAAACAGAAGTTCTGAACGGTAGTAACGGTACTATTGTAGCTTCGGATGTCGTGTTATAATTAATTTATGATTTTATAATACATTGGTCGATAATATCGAAAACACACTGGCCGAGCGGAATGTGGTATTACCAGCTGCAGTTTTAATAGTATACGGTTAAAACCAGCTGTACATAAGTTTGACAGAAATCGTACTTGTTAGTGGCACTTTATATTAGCCGTAATTCCTTGAATTCAAAAAAGCTAAGCGCAAAGCAAGAAGCACGTTACCTTTTATAATGATAGGACGGTCACGTTTACAGGCATTATTGCATCATGATCATAATTATTTGTAAAGTTAAGTATTAAAAAATTACCAATATTACTCACAGTTCCATGCAGTTCGTGAAAATACCGTGCAGTGCAGTACAATTACCGCGCTATGTTTCATGTGCACAAATGTTCAAATATTGTAGAAGCATCCTGTACTGTCTATATATACATATATATTACAACTTCTGCCTACATATACCATTATATACTTCTGCACTGTCTGTCTGCTTTGCACCACTTTAATAATTGGTTATTTTTATGTTAAATTCGGACAGAACTCTCGTTTTAGTAGAAACTAGAAAAACAGGCAATCACCGGGCTAAAATAATTTGTCATCATCAGTTCATCTTCATGTCGGCTAAGTTCCAAAGATTTTCAATCTGAGATTGCACAAATTCTTTGGAATTGCTAACGTATGCTGACTGTTTCGATCCCTGATTGACTGTGGAGCCAGAAACTTTGTGGCAAATTTTAATAGCTTCCGCGCCGAAGTAATGTAGAATAGTCACGGGACCTGGTGAAGAAAAACGCATCGACTTAAAAAAAAGTTATGGTACCGCTCCAACCATAGTTTTAACTAAGTTTGCATTTGATTACTGTAAGTAACTAAGTTTGAATAACAACAGATGATTAAGTTTGAATTTAATTACTATAAATGCTCATATAAAATCACTACAGTATCTCGCGCAAAATTTGAGCGTGTTATCACTCGTAATTACTTGCCTTTTTTACAAGCGTCCGCGTAAACACCGGTTTTCAAAATACGTTGTAGATCCGTTGCGGACAGACTGATTTCCCGGGAATTTATTAAAATCAGCGAAGGATGAAAGTTTTGAATTTCTTTCGTAAAAGCAACAGCCGACACTTGTGGGTAATCCGCGGCAAATATGACAACCAAACAATGCTGAAAGATAATCAAAGGTCAGGTCATGCAAGTCACCATAGTTTTGTCGAACAAGGAGCACGCGTGTCATGAGAATCAAAGAGCACCTTTGCCAGCTATTAAGTATATTAAATACCTCGCCATCTTCGTGAAGAGCATTGGTAGGAGCAACACCCATAGTATAAGGAATTACGCTGACACAGGGATCAAAATTTGCTTTAAGATCGACATCCCCAATGGACTCTGGATCGCTAAGGCCGACTTTCGCTGTGGCAAGGGTATCATGGATTAGGCTGAAGTTGTGGCTGGAGAGAATATCATCGGTGTTTGGTGTGAAATCGTGCACTTGGCTCCAGTTATTGTTAAAAGGAGAAAGTTTTGCTGCTTTTAGTTGATCTGTAACTGCAGTCTGATAACTACGAGTACGATTCCTGTTCAATATTAAGTCTGGCAAACACCAAAGATTTCACCATAGCTAGAAAAAGCTTCCTGGGCCATAAATAAACAGGATAATATGAGCACCATGAACTTGTTTGCTTATGATTAACTGTTAAATCGTTTGCATGCATACTTTTTGCAGAAAAATACTTTGGTAAGCGAATCGCTTTCTAACGTACATTTGGCTTAAGCAATTCCATTTTGCCAAAAATCTTTCTTAATTGTTTTGCGTATGTAAATATACACATCGTTATTCACAAATAATAAAATATAGGAACGTAGTACGTACCCTCCAAGCCATTGTAACTTATTTGCAGGCAAGCAAATTTTGCTCCCACAGTATTTTCTGCAATCATTGAAACATCAAAAATGTAATTCGTTGTAATGTAAAATATAAATAAATTGGCGGTGTGTAACTCTAAATTACTGAAATATTTCTTAGCCATCAAACATGCTTATGCTCGGCCGGCCGAGAATATAAACTATTAATATTATAAATACTACTATAACTAGAATGAAGTATACTTATTGTTAGGTATATTATGATACAATTGTAGCTGCGTATCGTACTGGTGCAGTATTTCCGGCAACGCCTCGAGTTACTGTTTTTCCAAATCTGCGCATTAGGCTGTCGTATCCGCAATTACATCGATCTTAATTACTCTTCTTCCATGTTTAGAACGCTTGTCTGCGTTTAGACGGTTTACGAAATTCTGCATTACGTAGCGGCACACGTAATACAATACATACCGATAATCGGCTGAGTACAACAACATAAGTATGCAGCAAGTCTCCGGCAATCGCGAGTTCTGAACTGTTGACAAATGACAAGAATTGTGCAGTCCACACAGTGGCGCAGAAATATACTGAAATAAATAAACAGATGCCAAAATACGAACATAAATGAATTCGAGGTAACATTCAAGAAGCAGAAAACTGGTGCGCGTCACATGTTATAGCGGAGCATGTTCCAGAATTATACATGTATTATAGCATATTTGCTTACCTTCCCTTGCAAGGGCCAACAAAAATGGCACATCCGGTGCAGTCCAGTATCGTTACAGTGTCACACCAATCAAACAAGAAGATGTTGCAGTTCTGTAAAACAGCGTTTTTATGGTACTAATGTTAGTTCATAACGACTTTTTGACACTTATTATTTTACCCGGCATCGTTCGATAATAAATTGTTGTCCGTTAATCGCTTGAGGTTGTTTGACCAGGGTCTCGTTTTCTTTTGCTATAAACTGGTAATCTTCCGGATTCACTTTCGGTCTGTTATTCCTGTAAGTATATGGAATAAAATCTGTGTGCGTTATTCGTTTATGATATTAACAACTGTAAGATTGTGTAATTAAAAAGCGTTTTTTGCCGCACTTTTGAAATCTTTGTGCGTTTGCTGTTGTAACCCTAGGGTAAGGATTCCCAAAATCACCAATGATTTATAAAGTTACAATACTTATGTGCATCTTTTTAAGTAGTTATGAAGTAAAAACAAATTTATACTACATAAGCCTCATTAGCTACGTATTACTTGGACTTAGAGAAGTCTAAGTAGTTGTCCCTTTGTACGTATAATATCAGTCCTCGTATAATTTGATGCAGAAGTGGTATTTAGCGTGCAGTCGTCCCTACTTGTACGTCACGTTAATCAACCAGCTAAAGATAATCATTAATTTTATCCCCTTTTTCGTCTATATAGATGAGAAGCGTAACAGTGGACAGTACGTAAGTAATAAGTATTACGGCTTACCACGAATAAACTTTAAGAGCTGGGTCACCGCTTTGACGGCGGGAACCGTTTTGGCCAGGGAGTGCAACAGTCGACGAAGTAGCCGACGCACATGTCGAAGGTCCTGAAGAACCGGAAAAGTAATTTCTGACCAAGGCGAGTACTTGACCCATTTTCAGAACATCAGAACAAAATAAGCGGCCAAACTGTGAAACTATCGAGTCAACAACCGCATCATGCAGAAATGCTGGTATTAGAGTTTTCAAATCTGATGCGCCACGACCGCGATTGCTGCGTCAAGCTTACGGCAAATCCCGAAATGGATCATCCTAAAATCTGCCGCAGATTCTGCTCGTACAGCGAGCACCTGATTGCACTTTTTATGCTCTGATGTTTAGCGGATAGCACAATATTTGCATGTTCACAGTCGATCAATGAGATTTCTCGATAATATCGGCCAATCCACAGCGTGCTGCTTACCATTAATGTAGCTTCTCCACCTGCGAACGCCAGGAATACCGGGGCGGCTCATGCACAGGTGCAATACGTATCGTATGTTGGTGCCTAAGATCGAAGTTTATCCAGCATAAAATTATGTGCGTGTACTGGATGAATTCCCGAAATGTGTTGGCACTCATTTGTATTGGGCCAGGTCACACTGAATGTTCAGTTCGCTGAACAATGCTCTGTACTTGCGTCCCAAAAAATAATCGTCATTTGTGCTGTTGGCTCTAACTTTAAGAAAACATAATCGAACTGAGTTCGTTAGCTTTTTTTGTATTGGTTATACTTTAAGAATGGGCAATTGCGTCGTAGAACAGTATATTATGTTTCCTTACGAAACAGTACTTTGCATATACTTGTACTACCCGGTATTAAGTACTGAAAGCGGCATATATACGAGTGCTTTTAACTGACTTCGCGTTTCCCTTAAAAATATGAAATTTTTTAAAAAATTTCTTGATTTTGTTTCATATATATATGTTTATGTTGCGAGTTCGCTGATGGCATTGCATTATGCTTTTCGGGCTTATAAGTTATAATCTTCATTTCTGACTTTGACCCAGCTGCAGAGAGTTGTTTTCAATTTTATTCCGAAAAAAACATCGCTATAAAATATAAATTCGTGATGGCTGTCTTCTTTCTTTATTTTGCTAAATGCAAACTGCATACTGATCCCCAAGATGAACAAACAAAAATGCCACGGTTTGTGGATTATAGTCATTATACCAAATGCACAGATAATAAAAACAAATCTAGGATAAAAACGAAGAGCTGCCGATTTAAATGCGCTGTTTAATTGCAGTAGTAACTCACTATTTTTTTAAGACAGTGATCACAGTCAACGACAAGATGATCCATAGTGCAGTTGCACAGTTGCGGTATGACTTCCATTTTCGCATGATAACCTTTGCGTGGACAGCAGAGAACCGAACATGACGATCGTTTTGCAATTTGAGATCCGAAATAACTCAGCCCAATGGATGGCTTAGACTGGCACGGTCGTCCCGCGACACCACCGAGCCAGCTGGATTCCGCGCAGAAATCGGGAGAAGCAGACCGGTAGACGAGTTGTTCTGCCGGCAAATCGCTATCCGCCGCATATTTCGGAGTTTGGAACAATCGCCTAGAGTGCGACGTTTGATTTGGAAGACGTGTCTGCAGGCCGGTATCGTTGGGCGTTTTTTTCAAATGTCATTTTCTTAGCAGAAAGGAATTTCTTCCTAATCGCTTTCGTGGTTTTGGCCATTGGCTGCACAACAGTCCAACAGGAACGCGTTGAGCACGATCCCGACACTCCGTGACACTTGCAAACAGTTGAGCGCTTCCTTTTAACCAACTAAACCACACACCAAAATTTGTTTCCATTTAACTGTGACACATATATAATTAAAGCACATATAATTAAAGCAGCTAGCGTCAGTGTACCAAGCAATCCATTACTAGTACTTGTGCAAAATATATTGTTTTAGCGTTCGAATGAAACCGATACTCTTACCTTTAATCCCACATTAAAGTTGTGCTGATCGATATGATTTACGTTGGAACTCCTTCCAAGCTGTTTTTTATTGGCAAAGTTGCGAATTATCGCTTCTGCAGCGTCGGTGTTGTCGCTGCAACCACTCCACCGCCACGCTGCATCCATTGCAGTAAGTGCCATGGAGGATATTTCGTTGTAAGATGCCTGACAGGAACAGCTCGATGCCAATTGACCACGACTGCATGCACGGGAAAATGTATGGATTAAACTTGCGGCATTGATGGCGTTCAGAAAAGCCGTTTCTTTATAGCCTTAAAAGAAAATCTCTAGATATAGTATAAAGTACAGAGGGTATATATATTTAAATAAGTATACGTACAATATACGATATATTGACAATACAGTACAGACAAGAGTGCATAACGTTTACATTATGTAAGCTACCGGAAGAGGGATCACGCGTGATATTTAAAAAAAATACGAAATCCCACCGCTGCGTTCGCATAATTTAATATGATATTGTTAACTGTTTTTTAATTGTTTCAAACTTTTAACTGCTTTGCTGGTATCTAAGTTTTAATCTGGATACACACTTAGATTTTTATTCAGATTGCTAAAACTGAAATTCTGTCTGCCAGGAAAACAAAACAATAGTTCATGGATAACACCGTGCCGGAAAAATGTGCAGTCACACTTTTCCCATGGTAAATAATCTGCTTAAATACGCGGCTGTTCAGCTGTGTTCCTGTCATCCACGATCCTATGTGCTAATAGGCGGTAATCCCGCGTGAGACACCTATCGTTTTATACAGATATTAAGTAGTCAAAAGTAAGAATTAAAAATCAGAAGCATGTAGATGTAGTCAATAAATAGACAAAGATGCTGTCTATAAACTGTTTGCAAAATGGTGGTCTGAACGTATGGTCACATACATGAATCTACAACCACTTATACACAATTTTTTTACGCAAGTGACCAAATGAAACGGAAATGCATACTAATGCAGAGAACACGTACGTATTAAGGCATGCACTGACAACAGAAAATGAATGATCGGCGCCAATCTAAATCAAATTAATGATCTCTGTTTTTAGAACGCCTGTAACTGTTGATGCTGTATAATAAATGATTTATGATGATGTGGTTTGGGTTTTAAAAATTGTTTTGTGAATCTGAAAGCATCAAAGAAAGTAACTGAAATATTCGAGTGAAAAAATAAGCGAACTAAAATTATTGAAACTTCATCCTTCTATTTCGGGAAAAGAGAAAATGTCATGAATTAAATTTACTAAAACTGAAAACATTTTATCAGAACTTGGGGATCTAATCACATACATGGCGGAATCATGCAAAACATACACATATGGCGGAATCTAACCATACGAAATTGGAGATATATTTTTTCTATAAATATAAACGTGTAATACGAAAAGTCCTATTCGCAGCAATGTAATACTGCAGTCTGTAGACTCTGTACTATATTCGAAATGCACACATCTATACAATTTACTAATAATACTTGAAAATACTTGGAAGTAGTTCGGCGCTCTGATTGTTTGGCGCGTTACAGTTAGACTAAAGGTCATACGCACAAATTGCCGTTTGTATTCTGCAGCATTTAGCTAATCACAACTAATTCACCGATACTTACGTTTCTTTAGCAGAAATCTTCGTGACCTTCCTAACGAACAATTCCACCGTTCATACCGTAGTTCTTTCTGGCATCCAGTTACGGACAAAACAATGGCTTCTTTTAGTGTTTCGGAAAATCCTTCGTGGGTCCGGCAGACATCTCTCTGCTTCCGGTGCAAATACAAAGGTCGGCAATCGTCTCCAGAAAATAACTGGTTAGATCCATGATATCCCGGCAAAACTTGATTACTAATTAACGGGTTTTCCTTCATTAAAGTTGGGACAATGACGTCATCAAATTCACGTCGGTGCGATGTTAGTCTGAAAGAAATTTCTTACATATGCATGCTACGTTTGTCACGCAGAAAGCTGATGAAAACACTACACATTTACCGACTCACCCAAAAAATCCATTAGTAGGACCCATTAAATGCAATAAAGCGCACATTGATATCTGCAGCTGTGCCAAAAAGCACATAATTATTGCCCTTTCATTGGAAAGGTCACCGAATGCTTTCCGGATGAGTAAGTCGCTACAAGCTGGTTCGCATATATAATAAAACTGGGTATATCCGCTTTGGTATTCTCTAAACTTCTTCGATGCAAGCAGCATACAACCGGTGCATGCACAGGTTACACATGGCTGAAAAACTTCCAGACGCAGATGGAATTATGCTAAGACACTAATTCACTGTGTGACAATGTTTGCCGTAAAATAAGAATAAACATTATTACGCTTCGGCGTCTGATGGATGGTTATGAATTAAGCGTACGATGGACGTCTCCTTGTCATATATTCCACTACCGTTAAAGACGTCAAAAATCATGAGCAATTATGTACACTAGTACACGGCTGACTGCGTATGTTCCAGAATATGACTTGACTTGCACATAAAATATATCACATGATACCAAAAGCTGCCGTGGTGCCGTTCGCGTAGTAACATGCTGTGTAGAAAGGAAATGTCAGATTTTCTGAATCAGACTCTGGGAGGCTCAACAGCAACAGATCTGCCCAATCACAATTTTAAGTTGAGCTTTTGTCACCCACACAGTTCATCTGCCAAAAGGCACAATACGTCTATTTATCCCGCTATGGTTTGGGTTTCGCATTATTTATCCTAAAATCTATCCCACTGTTTAAAGCTGCAGTTTCTGTCCGCATTGAAAAGTCAATGTTAATCAAGAAGATCATGTTACAGAATTGACAATACGGCTAAACCACCTGTAGATTCATTGACAAAAAGTTCGGTATACGCATATCGGTAGTCGACAGCTATATAGACTTCCAGCATTCTTCTCAGGCATATGGATACGAAAATCGTACTTAATTCTACGTGAATGCATAGATTGAGAGAAGGGAACCTTAATTCAAGCAAAGCTAACGTCAACCTGAAGAAATTCACTAAATAGTTCATTATCAGTATAGATATGCAGCTTAATTAACTGATCAATTTAAAACTTGCAAAGTGCAATTGAAAAACTCATTTCGCAAAGGAAATGCTAATCATGGACTATGCCAGTGCCTTTCGTTTGGTAAACTACACATTTGCTGATTTGCAGTCATTCATGTAGTGAATTGAAAACGTATCTGAAAACTGAGATACTTCTATCAAAAACTGCAGAATGAAATATCCATTGCGGCACTGCCCACTGCATATTGATAGTATAGTCTACCAAAACTGCCACCGCGAGCATGCAGTGACCGCTAATTGACCAGTTAGGGCAGTTGGACAAGCCACGTATTTATAACTAAATACTTTGTGCAAACATGGACTGCCAGATATTGGGATTTTCTCACATTCTTTCCGGATGACTTTGAAACTAAAAGATGTAGAAGCATTTCTGCTGTGGCATTATACATCAGAATAGCAAATAAAGGTCAGCATGGTTCAGTGATTTCGATCCGAAATCCGGTTGCAATAGATATCAGAAGGGTCCTTTTAGTTTTGATTCACTGCCTTAAAAAGTCAAGTTGTTGCTGGACAGCGGACACTGCACTGACCCAAACGTTTTTCTACAGAAGCCTTCCAAGCTTTTATTTGCTCCTGGTTTTTCATCTGGCAACACCAAGAATCTCTTAGTTTCAAGTTTGGCCACCCCCACGTACCGAATAACATTACGACCATTTCGATTTAAACTTCAAACCAGGCAGGCACTCTGACCGAATCTGTTATCTCAGACTGTTTTTCTTTAACACTGTAAATTTAGTTCAAGACAACACAATATGGTACAACATAGTTTTATGGTATGTCACAATCAGTCACAAAGTTTTACCAAATTTAAAAACTTCATTTATCGGAACATATCAATCAACATTGTAAAAAAGCAAATCCAATGATCAAAATGGCTCATTCAATAAGTCATCGCGGAAAAGTCTCCTTATTATCTATCTGTCCGACTCTAACGCCAGGGCTCCGGTAATGTGTGCAATAAAAGCTTGGATGTAAGCCAAACCTTCTCCGGTCAGTGAGCTGTAATTTACAACGTTAAAATGCGAGACAAAGTCGGCAATCGCTTCATTCAGAAAACAAAATATACAAGTATATTATTTAAACCGATAAAGTCGATGATATAAAGTACAATACCGTATGAGGTGCACGCACGGTGCTGAGAATAAGCAAAATTTTTTAAACATTTCAGAAAAAAGTGCCATGGCTTCGCGCGTAAACATTTGTCACGGAAAGCCAAAATGATATAATGCCGCAAAGCTAATACCAGTATGCCCAGTGTCCCTACCTAACAAAAAAAGGCTGTGGAAAGCAGCTGGGAGAGGCATACTGATCGCGCACTTGTCTAACCATTGCCAGCTTCTTCAAACGTGCCGTATCGTTAGCCAGATCAATTTTATTCAGCACCACCTGAAAAAAATATTCCGTTAACGTATTAAAGCCGTTTACCTCAGTAATTTTAAGGCTTACACAAAAGTATACTCTCAAAACTTCTAAGTACTGCAGCATACGTAGGTCCCTTTCGTTCCACGTATGGGAAGAACCATCCACCAGAAGGAAGACAAAACGCAAACTGTAAAACAACTTACGCAATAAGAAATTCTGAGCTTCTCCAGTATTCTTAAATGTTCCAGATTTGTATCGCTCAAAGCATCGAACATCATAAAAGTCTTCACTAAACTAAAAAGAATGAAAGATAAAGTCTTCGCAGAATTCAGCACTTAATGATCGGTCAGCCACCTATATTTTCGTATTGATGACTGACCGTCTTGCCTAATATTTTCGCACATTTTATGGTACAAATTAAAATGACTCGCCAATGTCACCGCAAAGGCTTCACTTATTCATAAAAAACATGATGCACTAACTTTTTCCGTTTCCGTAAAAATCCTTCCACGCATGTCCGGAAATATTCCGGCTGGCCAAACCCGTAACCGGGCATATCCACAAGGGTGAAGTGGTCTTTAACTTGATAAAACCGCAATGTTTTTGTATAACCCTGCGAAGAGAAGATGCCATCTGTTCAAAACAACCAATAAATGAATAAAATCCCAAATTCACGTAGCAGAGAACAGCTGTTTTTACATAACAAGTACGTAGCGATTACTTACCGGAGTCTTCGAAATCGGTACTTTCAAACGTGGCGTATTTATGAAAAGAGCTCTGATTAAAGACGATTTTCCCACGTTACTCTGGCCCAAGAATGCGATCTGAAAAAATCCACAATCTGCATCGGATTGAGAAATACCTGTGAACGCAATCAATGCACCTTTCAACAGCCAAACGAAAGCGAATTATTAGGCACAATACGATCTGGTTTCGTCAGATGAATGATATGAAGTACTGGCCGAAAAATTACTGAGTTAAATATAATAATGACTTATCAGAGTGCAATTAAAGAAAGAGATCGACCCTACAAAATGAGCCACTGCCGGAAACCGCTGCTACAAATGCCGTTCACACACCTCCGGTAGATCATACAGTGGCGCTTCATCGGGATCTATCATTGAGTCAATCATCTTGATATCGCCCTCCGTAGTAGATCGAAAGACCTCCTGGGCGGCTAGCATGTCCAGTTTTGTAGGTGTGAAAGGCTTTTCGTTGACGTTAAACAAAGGCGCCTACCAACATTCACCGTACGAGAATGCCGCGTTTGCCCGTCTGCTGGAATTTTGCAGAACTATAATTAAAAGTGCAATTCTTGTTTATTTACCTCAACGTATTTCTGCAGAGCAGCGGTGGGATCCACAAACAAGAAATCCGGATCTTGCGGTACAAACGAGCGATTTTTCCTTCGATCTTGGACAGACGGATCGGTGAAAGAAATCGTTGCATAGGACTGCGTGCAGAGAAGTTGGAGAAATTTTCGCGCCGGAGAAACCACTGTACTGGACGCTGCCAGCGCTTGTGCATATGATGCGACAGTTCGGATACAATGGCAGCACTGCCGCTGCATGGTTGTCCTCAAGCTTCGGCGGGGACCGATTTCTGACTAGTAATTCTGAAAATAAATCAAAAAATTAAAAAAAAAACATCAAAAACATGCAAGTGCAATAGTGCATCATACAACCTCTGGATCCAACAGAACAGGAAGACTTCAGGGCTGCTTCACAAGTCCATATAAGAAAACTAACTTTCTTTAAGTTCCAGCAAACTTGGCAGCGGCAACATCCGTTGTAAAGTAAAACCTACTCCAGTTAGTCCAGTACACTGCAAATGGATGTAAATGCAAGTATTAAAGTTGAAAAAATTGTTTTGACGATTGAAAACAGAAAAGTTTTAAAAACTGTCTCGAAAATTATTTCAAGTAGAATATCTGCAACTGCCCCCTGAGGTGGTATGAAACCGGAAATCGTGGATGACGTAACTCCGCAAGTCACTGCAGCTTGCGACCTTTTTACTACGCGCGACCGTAGACGCGTTTATCCACTTTGCTTCCAGTTTTGCAGCTTTGTATGACTTTTGTCCTTCTTATAACTTATTCCCAATAGTACCTTATACTTTATCTTCCAATATTTTTTTTAAAATTTAGTTCGGGAGTTTAGGCTTAGAGTACAACGTGGAGGTTAATAACTGCGCATCTACACGGTTTCATGCGCATTGGGTTTGTATAGCAGCCATAGCTACTTTGAAAACTGTTTTTGAGCTAGGGGACAGCCTGGAGTTATTCGAGATCTTTTTCTACCTTAATTCTTTATTTTACTTACCCTAAAAGCAAGCGCTCGTAGCATTCCGCTAAGTGTTAAACTGATGAATAACTAACGGAAGCCAGTCTGTCCGTTTTATTGCGTTATCGGTTATTCAATAACGGTTATTTCAAAACACTGCGGAATACTGCCTAACGCTTGTGTCGTATTCGAATGGCTTGTACTACCTTGAAACGCGCTAATCCATTCGAAGAACAGGAGTTCTCGTCCGCGTTATCCCGTTCGACATCGAAGCGTGCCTGTTCTTATTCAACGATGAACATGGAATCTTCCCCTTCGACCTCAAATGCTCAAGCGACTCCCAATGTGCTGTCTGGAAATTTTCCACTTTTAAATAATGGTAGTTGTTGCACTCCATCGTGAGTCGCATTAACGAATTTCTACCGATCTGTTTCGATTTTTGTACAGATGATTTCATCAAGAAGGTTACGAAGGAACTTCAGAAGGGTCACACGGCGAAGAAAAACTCCAATACTACCCAACAACCAAAAAATCCTTCCACTGATCGCGAATGCGCAAGTAAAGAAGATGCTATATTTAATTCCCCTCAAGTTCGATCGCTCTGTGATCGTTTGCTAAAAGAACGGGAGATCGAAATCCGCAGCGAATACGATCGTTTGCTGAGTAGCAAGCTTTCTGGTAAGGCCGAAGGCGCTTAATTAAAGTTACTTCATTTTGACTGAGATTTCATATGGTTTTGCAGAACAGTATGAGACCTTCGTGAAATTCGCCCAGGATCAAATTACCCGCAAAACCCAGCCTGCAGAAGATTTTTCTTGTAAGTACTTACTTGAATAGTTTATAGTTGTATATCAACTGTGATAATTGAAACACAACTATATTGAACACAACTTACTGTCTTTTTTTTGTAACAAAGTACTCGTAGTTTTTTCTGCTTGTTGTATTTCGAATCCATAGTATGTTAGTTCGCGTAAGTAGTGCACAGCATAATATCTGGTGAGAGAACATGAGATGACGGATCTGTCATCGTTATGCTTGTGACAATGAAAACTGCCGATAATTGCAGATTATTCGTGACTTGATCCACGCGGGAGTCGCACGCTGCCACTGCATCTAATTTCTCCGCTCAGTATTCCCAGCTGTGTATGAAAGCAACAGCGCCTTTGTGTGGATCTTCCCGTTAAAACGACAATGTGATGGAATTTTATTTTGTTGCCACTCGCAAACCTGCTTTACGACTAGTGACCACTAAACAGTCGTTTGAATCGAAAATTTATTTGGACCAGTTAGCCGATGTTCTTGTACAGCGTATGTATTTTTGTTTTCTGGGCGTATTGTGGTCATTGGTAATTAGTTTGATGTTTTCTTACATCCTCGGTTTTGGCTGTCGCGATGTTGCTAAGAAGCTGGTGTGCATTATTTAATGTTGCCCTTGTTCATTGAAAAAAATATATCGTGTTTTCTGGTTTGATGGTTAAGCGCTTGTTGATTGCATAGCGTAGAAATTAGGAGTCGTTCTTGTAATTATGTCCAATGGATTGAGGGATTATGATATCGAGAGGTTGACCGCTCAGTTGGAGAATTCGCGATTTTATCCGCAGCAAAGATTGCTTCCCCGGTCGACCAACCGCAACTGGCAGCGCAGTTTTGACATTGCGGTTCCCAAACCGAGCATTGTTCGTCGCGTGCGTGAATTTGTTCGACAGGAGAACCGTCGGCACCGTCACCATGTCCTATCGGTGGACGAGCTGGTGCGAGATCTCAGAACAAAGCAGCGGCACCTGGAAGACGCGCTGGCGTATGACTCCGCAGAAATGATTAACAGGGGTGCGGTCAGTGGATTTATGCTATTTTCTAAGTTCCTATATAACCGCTGTGCAATCGCAGCTGGAATATTTATCGATACTCTTTGTGTATCTAGTGTACCAAAAACCGCTTCTTTGCGAGTTAGTCGGCGGTGACCCAGTTAATAAAGAAACATCGGATCCCAAGTGGGAAATTCATCCAAATCCGGCGTCTGCGCGAAACGTCCAAAATAATCAAAGTAATTATCTTTACATGGCTTGCACGCGTTAAATCTATTTTACGCTGATACTCAAACAAAAATATTAATATTCAGTTGCAGAGGAGCGTGTACCAGAGAAGGTTGACGAAATCGCCCCACCCTTGACGGCACGAACGGGACGTCGCCAGCCAATGGCCGGGGGAGACACGAATGTCGACATTGTCAGCCGGAAGTCGTATAGTCGCAACGGAGAGATGCTCCAATCGCCACATCGAACCAGTAGCGGACCACCAAACCTGCTGGAGTCGGCTCGCAATCAGTACAGTCCGTTTGACCGTGAAGAGGAAGAACACTACCGCCCGCGGTCGACACGTAAAAACGCAACCCGCACGCACCCCCAGAAGCATTCGCAAAGACCTCCGGACATTAGTCTTCGTTATAACAATTCTGACAACTATCGAATTCGAGCCCATCCTGATTTGTTGAGTCCAGCCATAAAGAAACAGCCATTACAAGCCAACACAAGCGTGCGGGCAGTTGACAAAGCCGGCGACGGCGACACGTTTCTGTTATCTTCTCATCGGCAGAAAGATATACGTAGACGAGACCTGGGCGATATTATTTCCGTTGACGATATATCTACCAGTTCGGATTCTTCCTCTGATACGGAAGATGTTGTTCTCCGTAAATGTGATATGGATAATGCGAAAAGATCTGCGCAGAGGCCGCCGCGACTGACCCGATCTGCGTTGCCCACTTTCAAACCGACGGTTTCAAAGGTCAAACGCAAAGAAAGTGCTTATACTACCGGATGCTCAGAGATTTCAACAGAGACGGACCAAGCTTATTACACGTTTTCACGAGACTCGCACACCACTTCGCGAATGCAGAAAAGTTCTATTTCAAAAGGTCATGGTACGATGGCGGAGCGACGCTGGCACAACAAGAGGAAGCATAAATATTCAAGTGCGTCGTCAGCTACTTCTAACGAACGTACTTCTCGCTATGTCGAACAATTTGATCCCAGTACGGAATTTGATGGTCTTTCTGGTAGTTTTCTTTGACGGCAATAATCTTTTGGTACAGTATTTTGCACATATTTTCATGTTTCTTTTGAACTGTTAAGGTCGTTGATGCTCTTACATGAGTACAACTACTGTAATCTGCAACTGCCAAGATCAGTTCAAGTTGGAATCGGTATACAGCTGGCGTGTAGCCAGCAGTTGTTGCAACATCTTTTGTAAAAAATGGATAAATTAAGAAGCAAAACACGCGTGATCGTTATCAAGAGTTTTAGCGCCTGGATTGCCGTGACTGAGGCCGGACGTACGCTTGCGCGCTTCCGCCGTGTTTGGCCCACTCGCTCTCGAAGTCGGACTGGAGAATTTCGGCTCCACGCTTTTGCGGCAGACCGGTGTCCTCCAGACTGAGTTCGCACATGTTCATGTCGTCTTTGCCTGAATACAAAACGTGCGCACTGAAAAACAATCTAGCACCACATTGGAATACAGGAATACATACCGGCAACCAAGAGGACCGGTTGCTTGTCTGGATAAATTTCCATTTGTCTTGCAATCCACTGACCATCAAAGTGGGCGTACCACCATCCACGCTTCTTTTCATTGACCCCGTTACTCGTGGGCTTCACAAAGGGGATACGGAAGAATCGCTGCTCTGATGATGTAACCTTTCCGCTGGTTAAAAGAGGCGAATCTTTCGCTAAAACAGAAATGTAGTCGTAAGGTACTGCATGATTACATGACGATTGACGAGGTACGAAGCAATTTCAAGCATTAATAGTACCGTAGTTGCATAGTTAACTGTTTGTATAACCCGATAATTTGTAATAAAAATTTAGGAGTTAGAAGTTACCCTTGGTGTTTATATATTCACTGCATTATCATTTGGGTAATGAATACAGATACAAATATATTTAAGAGCCACGCAGTTTAATTAATTATCAATGAGTTTTTTGACACAAGGGCCACAAATTTACCATTTTCCATCACAGAATTTGGAGCACGTGGGCGGTTAGCATCGTCGTTTCCTTTGCGATTCTTGGCCTTCCAAGCGTGATACACTTTGAGTCGTCGGTGAAATTCTTCACGACATGCTTCGAGCAACTCGAGATCTACAGAAGACATGGTCAATTTACATTTATTTTATCTAGGACGCAATAGTTTCTGTTAATACATTAAGTAATAATAAGAGATTTACCGCAGGAAGTATTAATCACGTCGCGCAGGTCGGCGTATTTCCATTTGGACAGGTCATGCCTCTTCCCCGCCTGCTGTTGCCTTTGCTTCATATACGAACTCGACCTAAAAATTTTATTACTTAAAAGTGAAGTAGGCATATTACTGCTACACTTTTGGTAGTTTGTGCAGTAAGTAATGCCATTATTACTCGTACAAATTCAAAATGAATTTTTTACAATCTGATAACTGCGCTTAATACTGTACTCGAGCGATCTGACTCAGTCCCGTTATGAAAATAATACTGTATTCCTCGATAAAAAATTGTTAATACTCGTATTTACAGTGAAATATGAAACCTGCAGAATACCTTTGCAAAGGTGATAGTTCATCCACTTGACCTCCGTTATCCTGTGCCAGTCGCAATGCCAAAGCATGGTCACGCTCTTCCTGTTCCGCCAACAGCTCACGGGCTTGCGACTCTTCCAGTTGCTTCGTTCGCTCTGCTGCCAGTTTAGCCTATTCAATCAGGGAAGATTTACAGATAATACAATTCGAATAGCAAATTGTGGAGAAATATCTGTACCGCTAATTTCTTGTTATCTTGCTCCATGAGCCGTGCCCGTTCTTCTTCGACCTTCCGCCGTTCTTCCATCTGAATACGCATTTGGCGCTCTTCTTCCTCCTGCTTTTTGCGCTTCTCTTCCTCTTCCCGTTCGCGTTTGGCGCGCTCCATTTCCTCTTGTATCTTACGCAATCGTTCTTGTTCTTCTTTTGTTTTCTGGGCCTGTACTTGTTTCTGGAGATCACCCAAAACACGCTGCGCGTTCTCTAACAGGCGTTTCACCGCTGGATCAATGTCCTGATTCTTTATTTGAAGGAACTATAAAACCCAGCATAACCGTTATCATACAACTGTCAGTAACAGTAATAACAGTGATAATAGTCGCTTTCCATGAATTGCAGCCTGCAGCTAAAAAATTTTACTGAAAAAATGAACCCCCACCTTTATGTCTGATGTTAATTTTTCCATTGACTGCTTAACGGCAATGACTTGGGACAAAGCTTTCTCCCGGTCGGCTCGAAGCTCTTGCGCAAGTTCCCTCATTCGATCCAGTTGATCGTGCAATATTTGCAATCGTTTCAATCCCAGAATGCGTGGGCGGTATTTTTTCTTAGCCAGGTACATTCGCACAGTGCTTTGGATTTTAATTAAGGCAGCTCGGCGATAGAGAATTTTGTTCCTCACTACGACGTAAAACAGGCATTCTGCATAACAGTTACAGATGCGCAAACGCATGGTACCGCCAATTATTACGACCAAACTCAGAAAAAGTTTAACTTAAAAATATCAAATGTCGAAATAGAAAGAGCTTTGCTACATTAGGTTAACTTACATTTTAACACACTCCATGCTCCGTACTGAGCTTTTCTCCAACGCGCATGCAGCAACCAGACTTTGACCTTTTCCACTAACTTGGCCAGATTTTCGGGATCAGCACGCAGCATTTGGTCAAACTCAGCAAATTTTCCAGGTTTGAAGAATACTCGTGAGACGCCAAATTTGTAATCCGTATCGTTTAAGCCCAGTGCTCGGAAAAGCGCCTAAAGTGTGGTAATTATTCACAAATCTAGCACTTTCAATGCACCCGGTGCTGTTGGTGCAAATCGGTGTTGTTGAAAATTTATTTTCACGGAGACATATGGATGTTTTAAATTGACTACCTTGCAAAACAATCGTGGATCGAGATTGGCGAGGCCTTTTGGAAGGAAATCTTTGTACATGGAATATAAATCCGTAAAATAGCAACGGGATGGATAACCTTGCTGCATCAGCTGCAGGACACTGGTCATCCCTATTAAAATCACAACAGTGATCCTTTCATATAATATAACATTATGTTTTATATTGCTCTTAACGCATTCAGTCTGCCCTGCTTGGTTATATCAGTAATTGTTTTTATTTAATAGCAGCATTGTGTAATAAGTGGAAAACTTTCACAATTTACACTTTTCTTGTTGCCGCTTGCATATTCTTACCAGAGCACTGCAGTTGGTTGAGAACCAGGCCTCCTTCGAAGAGATGGTCAACCATACTCATGTTGGGTTTAATGCAGCGGATAAAGCTTGTGCCGGTCGAATTCAGCTTCTCCATCAACTGCTTCAGCTGCGTGCGGAATTTATTTCCAACACTGATAAAGGTCAGCTTGCCTTGGTTGGTAACACTTGGGATGCCATTTTGCCCACTAAAAAGGTATTTCAGGTTCTCGCTTTCCTGTATGAGCGCTTCCAGGGAAGCGTGCAACGCATCGTTATTTTTCTCGATAAACTGCCCGGTTTGATAGCACACGCCTCCTGCAAAATGACGAATCAAAAATCCTTCGTTGTCCAGCAAGTCGCGATGCTCCTTCAGTTTGGATTTGCGTGGCGTCTATTTTACCGAACACAATGGCATTAACTGAAGGTGCAACGTAGAATTGTTTATAAGACAGTATCTTTACATTTAAGCGGAAATGATTTTTATGCTTGGAGTGAATGGTTTCCGTAAAGTTTTGGTTGCTGGGTTTTGGCAGTTTGCTTTCTTCGTCTAAGAGATCCAGTAATCCCGAACCTTTCATTTCGATGAGATCTGTAAACAACGATACCTTTGTAACTGTATAAATAATTTGATAATTGTATATTAAGTGCTCTGAGATGTTTATCTTTATAACAACACACATTATGACCACTATCTACCTGTCTGCATATGTCTAATTGACTGTCTGCATCTTCCAGTCTTAACTGTTTACATAATAAAACCTTGGTGTGCAAAAATTTCGAAAAAAAACCAACGTACCAATACAATCCTGATTGTCGATATACGTAATCTTTCCAACTCCAAGACCTTCTTTTTCATACAGTTGTTGTTCCTGCACAAGCAAAAACCAATTAACAGGTAGCTCCGCAGCCACATATAGTAGTCAACTCGATATGATCTACGGGAGAACAATCGTGGCCTTACCGATTTCAGAATTCGCTCGTTGAAAAATTGCTGCAGCTTTTCATTGCAGTAGTTAATGCAGAACTGTTCGAAGCTATTGAACGTGAAATATTCTGCAAGATTCAATCAAAAATTAGTAATCCCAGCAAACTAGAACGGACACGGCGAGATGCCTTACCAAAACCGGCAATATCCAATATGCCAATGTAATACTGGGATGAAGCAAACGGAATACAATCGTTGATTTTTCCAACAATATAATCGAAGAGTTTTGAGTAAACCGCTTTCGCCAACGCATCCCTGGCACTGCCTGCTTCGTAGTGCTTAAGGTTTACCCTACAAACCAATAGTTGTTTATCAGCATGGTCTTACAGAGCTGGACAATATAAAAGTAAGATGGACACATTGTATAATGCTATTCAACTACAAGTACATGTACGCATCAGGACAAACCAGGGAAGAACATTTGCTGTCTTTACTACTTCTTATTTGCCATATTGCTAGCAATGTTTTGCCAGCGCTTTGGTAGCGGTGTTAATATTGCAATTTGAAGTGATGATTTATTTACCTAATAACGGTGCCCTTAAATCCTCCTCGGGACGCCTGCATGACACGACTGGTCAGCGCATCCCGCAATGCATCCTTGTCCACGCCCATTAAAACACTGGTCAGCATCAGCGACTGCTCGCTATTCTTCGAGACGCGACAACCGTCTTTAGCGTCACCGCTGTCTTCGAAGACAATATTGCCCAGATGCAGCACCGCGGCCACAGTGGCGTACACCATCAGTTTGTCGTCTTCGCTCAGGCCCAAATGGGTCAAGGCCACATCGGTGCGCTGGTAATCCCGCACATCATCCAGAATACTGTCTTGCAGGCCCACATTGCTCTGCAGTCCTTTTGTGGAGAGAATCTTCTGGTTTTCCTTATTGGCAAAGAATTTCAGCGCACCGCGGTTTAAATAATGGAAGTCGGCGGGCGTGGTCAACCGAAATTTAGAGCGGAGGGTTTCCGGTGCACCGGCCAACATTTGATAAAATATGTGATAATTCCGTTCACCTTCGCTCTGGATGCAGATACGAGACTTCTCCAGCAAATAATGGGAAATAAAACCACCGGCCACTTGTTGCTGTAACCATGCCAGTACATTAATATATTTTCATGCAGATGCATTTAAAAACGATTTAATGCAAATAGGGTAGTACTACTCACCTTCGTGTTAAAATGGATTTCAACAAATTTTCCAAATCGACTGCTGTTATTGTTCCTTAGTGTTTTTGCGTTTCCAAAAGCTTCGAGAATCGGGTTGGCTGTGAAAACCAAACGTTTGTAAATGATTGCAAAACTATAACATGTACCCTATTTCGTCATAAAAAGTCGACAATTTTTGGAAGTTGTTGACGGCATGCTAACATATATTGCATAAATATGACGAAAAGCCCGATATTACTAGAGTAGTCTGTATTTATGTACAACAAGAACCAGACTATTTTATGCGTTTCTTAATAAGCTGCCCTCTTAATAAGCTCTTAATAAAACCCAAAAACGGAACTGACTTATAAACCAGCAGAAGTCCATCGTCAAATGTTTACGTCATCGCTCACCTTCGAGAATTCGTTCCTCGAGTGGTCCGGCGTGTGATCCCCACGATTCACAAAGATAACGCAGGATGTACTTGGTCGATTCGGTTTTACCGGCCCCCGACTCGCCGGATACAATAATACTTTGACTCTGCTTCAGAGCTCGCATATCACGAAATGCCTTGTCCGCTGCAACGTACGACAATTTCAAAAATTTAAATGCTCACCTCACACGTTCCACAATTGTGAAATTTCACATTGAAGGTTAATGTCGGCATAATTGTGGTTACATGGGTTTAACGATGTAAATGACTGCGTAAATTGTAGCAGATCAAACGGTTCACTAAAAAATGCAACTTACCAATGGCAAACACATGCGGCGGCAAAGTGCCTAGTGATTGCCCTTGATACTTCTTGATTGTTTGCTGGGAATAAAGTGCCGGAAGTTCGAAATACGGATTAACGGCAATAAGGATATTAGCAACGTAGGTGTAAATCGAGTCTTTCGTGTAGCGCAGACGGACGTTGTGGAGCAGTGTGGCTTCGTTGACATGCATCAGCGCACCTGCATAAGTGTGGATTAAACACACTGCATTATTTTAACACAGCGCGACTGCTTATGTTAACAACTGGCGCATTGGTGCATTGGTGTATAGATTGAAGGCACTTGCAATTACAGTCCAGAACAACAGCATACGTACAGTTATCATCGACGGTTTTTTTGTCGTCCTTTTCCGCCGGGAACACTTTATCATACGGAGCAGCCACCGACTAAAACAATTAATCCCTTACAGTTACAATAACTACATCGGTGTAAATCGCTAATAAGGTGATTATCAATTTCAGCTGCATACCTTTCCATTTTCGGTTAACTCGACAGTTATTTCCTCTGTGCCGATGTCAACTACTTTGCCCAGCTTATAACCATCCACCGCATCCGGCGCCCAGACCTTGCCTTTGTCGATCATTTTCAGACTGGGCGCACAATCCAATAACAACAAGTCAACAGGAAGATCAGATTTCCGATCACAATAATCAAGTGAACGGAATGATATGCCGATCAAGGCGAGATGCAAAAATGCGAAAACCGTGGGAGATTATTCAGCAATGCGCGGTAGGCAGAACTTCCACGCGCACCGCTATAACCGACGAGTCACTCTATTGGACTTCGGATGGTTCGACAACGATAATAGCTGATAATTCCGCAATTTAGTGATAGCGTTTAATTCTCCATTGATAAACCATAAAATTCCATAAACGATAAGTGCCGCTGAATGCCTTACACTGGCATAATTGTCATATCATTATTATCTGCAGCCGCTTGAAAACGCACTAGTAGTAGGAGTTTTTGATGGTTTCCGCTTGTTGACGAAGTATCTTGTGGGTGGGCAAACGTGGGTATCTTCAAGAAGGTCATGAGACGCTAATTACGCGCTTTCCGTGCTATAAAACAAAGAGCCATTTACGCAGACACATGCTCCACTGCAACGAGATGCGATTTATTGCGGCCATGCGTAATAAAGCAGCCGTGTTGTAGGAACAGTCAACCAATCGGCAAGGTAAACGGTTGGATAGGTGATAGCATTGATTGTGCAGAATGACCGGTAACCTTGTTAGCGACCTTATGCAACTACAGCCATTTATGTCGGCTACTCAACAGCCGCCGCTCGAGATTTCCATCGAACAAATCAAGAGCAAACAATGCGGAGACTGCTTTGTGAAATATACATATAAAATTCGCTTATCATCCAATGCTGCTGCACAATACACCAGCACACATCTGACAGTCAACGCACCACGCGAAAACTTTGGATTCCGCAAAACCGGTACATATGCTAAAAAGTATACCTGCAAACAACCATACAATCGTTGAACATCCAATGTCGGGAGTTTGATGTCATTTTGCAATGGTTTGCATGATAATACGTACTGTACAGTGCACAGCAACTCGCGCATGATCTAGTTCCGCTATGCCGAGTTTTATGAGAATGTGCACGGTTGGCCGGAAAAACCAGTTATAAAACAACAGAATCTTGTTGGATGCTTTAGTCTGCTGTTAGTGAAAACGCCGTACCTCTCAACCGGAATTAGTTTAACAATTTTTTTCATGCGCCTGACACTGTAGCTGTCTACAAAGAAACCTTTGACTAATGCTTTTAAAAGTGAAAATTCAAGGAAAATGCTACACATGTCGAAAATGCTGCATATCTGCCCTTAAAAAGTGATCCATCTCATTCGGGGTAAATTGCAGATTTATTACAACAAGGGGGTTTCAGGTACAACTTCATCTTCAAAATGAAATACCTCACATACTGAAGCGTAAGAGGCAATTTCGACTAACTTGAAATGTGACAACCATCAGCCAGAGCTTATGTAAATGCGGTACAAATAAGAAATCCTAAGCTCACAAATAATGGCACTTACAGCAACAGCATAAGTCAATTATATGTTGCAATGCCGAACTGGCTTATTTGAAATGGATCAGTGCGTCGGAAATCATCCATGCATACACATGATGAGCAATGGTCACCGGAACGGTAAAAACATTGAAAGAAATACGGTAAAATTACTAACAATACTCGGACAATTGTCGGAAGACGAATAAAAACCAGAATAAAATAATTTAATCCCGTACACTAACGCACTCAACGGACGTTTGCTGCACGACGTGCAAACAGATGAGTCCACGTCCCATTTAGCCTGGGTTCAGCGAGGACACATAGCATGCCTACAATGAGTCAGTTAGTGAGTAAACGGTTTGTCATCGACCAGCGAAGGTACGGCACAGCGGGATACACACCGCAGTGCAGAACGTAGCAGCTTAGTAGGCATGCCAAAATTGTTTGTTTGGCTGCCGAAAAAATCGATTTACCTGCCACCGTCGACAGGAACACTGGCTCCGGTGATGTAGGACGCGGCATCCGATGCCAGGAATGCAATAACGTTAGCGACTTCATCCGGCGTTCCAGGCCGGCCAAGCGCATGGGTAGTCCGACTGCGCTCCACAAAGGCCTTATATGCCTCTTCATCCATCCCAGCCCGTTTATGCAGTCCGGTTACTGTCACTCCGGGGTTTACGGAGTTAACTCGGACTTGCTTAGGTGCCTGCAAATTTCACGCAAAAGACCATAAAACTTACTGCACCGAAACAAAAGATTATTATCACATAGAGAAGTATAGAAAAGCTGCAAAGCAAAGCTGTTCGATTCAGTTACCGGTGGTAAGCAACGAAAGCTACGTATCGTGCAAACTAAAAAAACAGAAAGTATTAAGTTCAAAACGACAAGTTTCCTCAAAAACGGATTGCGCTAGAAAAGAATAATTAATGTCGGAAGAAAAAGAAAAACTTTCGTGAAAAAACGAAATCTTTTGTACTCCACTCACCAATTCCAAGGCGACACATCTGGTCAACTGATCCACAGCACTTTTAGAGAGATTGTATGCCAGAACTCCCGGGAATGATCGGATACCGTTGACGCTGCTGACATTGACGATGCATCCTTTGGATGTGATCAGATGCGGAACGCACAGCATAGTTAGCTGATAAATGCTTCTAACGTTAGTGTTCATCACTCGGTCGTACTGTTCCAGGGAAGTATTCTCAATCGTGCCTGTTTCCAGGATCCCGGCGTTGTTGACCAGTATGTCTAGTGCTGATAAAACAACCATTTTATTATAATATTATCTAGCAAATTGCAGAACGTTTTGTCATTAGCCCAGGTCAACAGTAGCACGAAAAAGCCATACATACTTCCATATTTTTCCAAAGTTTTCTTAACGATATTTTCTACATCCGATTCCTGCATGCGAGAAAGCTTGTCAATGCAAAAAAATTAAAACGTACACAATAAACGCGAATATGCAAGCAATACTGATTTTCCAGCTCTGCGAAATCTAACGCCAATTTCCGTCACAGAACATTGAAACCAGGAACGTGAGCACAAGCTCACATTCCAAAAACGTACTTTGTTCAGCTCCCCACACACTGTAAAAGGAACTTCTCCCGAAGCCGCGGCGCCTGCAGACAATTAAAATAGTAATTTTGCGTTGAAACGTACCCGTTTTTAACGAATCTGAATCTTACACTCTTGCGCTATTTTCTCCAAGTTTGCTTGGTTGCGACCCGTTAGGCTAAGTTTGGCCCCCAATTTAGCAAATAGTACCGAAGTTGCTGCTCCAATACCAGAACTTGCTCCCGTTATCAAGGCAACTTTACCGCTTAACTGGGCCATTTCAATATAAAACTAACAAATCCTGCAACAAATGCTGCCACAAGAGGGATTCAAAATTTTTAAAATACAGGACGAACAAAAATGCAGAATTTGTAGCTCAGTGCAGTCTGGACTGCAATAGCAACGAACCACATCCGTCATAACAGGCGGTAAATTTAATGACGTCACGGTTGTAAACCTAATCAGCTGTTTTGCTGGCCATATGGTTTGAAGTTTGGAAGTTTATAGACAGTTTACGGTACGTACTTATACAGTACTTACTTTACTCTAATCCATAAAATAACAACAATTTTTTTCGATGCCCTAGAGCAACTAGAGCAACCTGCGTAAAACCTGTCGGCTGCCTGATGCATTTGCTTGCTGGAGTTTTCCATTCGATGTGAGGACGTCAGGCGGTTATAGTGCATTGTATAACAGTACTTTAAGTCTTACGAGTAGTACATTTTTAGTGTTTAAAGAAACTTTGTAATCTTGATCTCATGATTCTTATCATAATATCATTCAAAATACAAATATACGCAAATTGACGAGATGCAAGGTTTTACTTAAAATTCTGACAATTTTGTTTTTCCAATCATTCGCAGTATTAATCAAAAGCTCACACCTTAAAAGCACCGAACACATACGCACCGGTTGAAAGGTCTTCATATTCCAGCGGTCAAAAGCATGTCGAATCAATCATACAATATGTAAAAATTTAGCTATATTAGTACATTCCTTGACTTCTTTTCCATTGACCTCTGCCTTTTCGATTATGGTTAGCGTAATGGGCTTTATTCTGTTCTTTATTTTTCTGCACCTGTTGCTCGCTGTTTCCGCGAGGAGCATTTCCGGGGCCGGCATTTCGTCTGTTTGTTTGGGCTTCGAAATTCTGCGCCATCTGAGCTACCCAGACATCATTCAACTGAGCGGCTCTCGCCTGTCTTGCCTCCGCAGACATTTCGGGTGCGGGCTCCTCATCGTGCTGCACCCTCTGATTCCCCCTTGGTGCTCGTGGTGGTCGGCCTCGACCGCGGAAATTACCTTGACCACGAGCTCCTTGCGGGTCACCACGATTTGAAATTTGCCGTTGTTGTGGACGCATACCTTGAGGGACATTTTTTCTTTGAGCGGGAGTGGCTTCATCCTCTGACACTTCTTCGGAACTATCTTTGTCTCTGAGAAAGCGCAAAAAGTAAAAAAATATCACATTAACACTGATAAAAGCCGGCTCATACTTTCCCATTCGCTTCAGTTCATTTTCAACAAGATCAATCCGATCGTTCAAGCGCATCACATCATCAGCTTCGATATCATCGTACGTATCGTCGTATTCATCGTCATAAACTCTGGCCATGGCAATAGTAATCGCTTTCGTATCATCCGGCACCCCACCTTCTTCAATTTCTTCGTACGAACTAATAAATGAGAACACCAAGTTTGATACTCGTAATGCTGTAGTGCATGTTAAGTTACAATCGTACTCTCGTTTGCCATAATAAACCTTCTCAATGAAATTTCCCGGATTAACCACTCCACTTCTTGTGCCCTGTAGATTTGGCATGTTGCCAAAAGGAGCGGCTGATGTTGCAGACGTTGTAGCACCTTTTGACGATCCTGAAGGCTTAAGTATCGGAACAGATGGTTCGCTGGACGTAACATCAGCTATATGTTCAGAAAGACTGACTGGAACGTCCCCGCTCAGAATCGCATCAACAGCTTTATCCTTATCCATGTTGAAATGTTTCAAGCATGCCTGCAAAGAGAACACTGTGAACCCAAACTAAGGAAGTTAAAAATATTGTCAGTCTAGTCACCTTAACGTAATTTATGTTGCTATCGCCCAGTAACCCCATAATTTCTTGAGCCGCGGTTTCCAAATGGTCATCGTTCACTGAGAAGCTGACCGCTTTCTGGGTTAGGGCATCCAACGGGGGCTTTGTTTTTAGTGGAACACTTTCTTTTCGCTAAAAAATAAAATTTACGCTTACAGTTAATAATATGCACACGTCAGTGCAACATAACACTGCTTCGCACCTGTTGCTTGCCACTTTCCGCATAATCCTAGAAAATCGGCGGGTTAATGCACTAAGGGGAAAACTAAAATATCAAACCTGTTCATGCAATTTTTTTCTTACCCATTGCAACTTTTCACTGTGAAATGCTTCCTTGACGTAATGTGCAAGGCGATCCAAAACAGATTCGTCAAGCTTTCCAGAGCTTTTCGCTTTGCTAACATCCACACCAATGGGCGTCCATTTTTCGTACAGAATTGCAAAGCGTTTGTTTTGCGGTATGACATCGAACAATATTGCCCAAGCTTTTTGCATATCCTGGGGGACGACAGGATCGGATACCAAACCTAACAACTCCAACTGGCGGAAGACATCCACAATGGCGAATTCAATCAACATGCCCTGGCGGTGAGCCTTTCTGAGGGAATCCAATTCAACCGCAATATGAGAAGCACTATCGTTCAGTCTATTGCAAATTTCTTTATTGATATTCCAGATAACGGTATTTCCCAGTTGAATGAGTCTGATCAAACACGCAAACAATCAGCGTAACAGACATTTTTACAGTACACACAATAAAACTTGTAAGATATTACCTAGCCGCCAGTTTAGCATCTCGTATGGCCGCAATAATATCCGTGTTGCCAGCAACCGCTCTAACAAAGCGCTGTAGGGAACAGGTGATATCGCAAATGTAACCATTGGCCAAAACCAAATCTTCCGATGGGAAACCTTCCAGTGAGGGTACCGACATTTCATCCGTGCCACAAAACTTTTCCTCCCATAAATGAAAAATCTAGAGCAAAATTTTTTTTAACAATACTCCTAAAAGCTAAATCTAACAAAAACGTGCCACGACGAAGCATTCAAAAAATGAAAGTTCTACAAAATGTAAGCACAAAACTGTAATTTTACCGTATCGCCTAAATCGCGGATTCCGTTTCGGATCTCCGTTAGAAGCCGCCGGTATTCTTTGAAGCAGACAAACAGAATCTTTTTCAGGAACTCATGTCGCATACCTTCTTGTCCATACAGGGCACACATGTCAAACAGGAAAGGTAATTTGATAAATTTCTGCAGGAAGGCAGCATGTCTTTTCGGAGAAATATGTTCGTGCTGCAACGTTAAAACCATCCTATTAATAACACTGAATTAGATTTTTTAATGTTTAAGTAACAATAAATTAATTTATCTCTCTATGCTTTGAAAACCACGAAATTTTATATGCCATAAAAGAATTTATCTAGGCTTTCCAATCCAATACACTAAGCATTTACTCGTACAATACATTAGTATTAAAAAATACTTCAAAATACCTCCCCAATAATTTCTTAGTAAAATCTAAAAACTTAACTAATGCAGTAGGTCCCTAACGGTCATTAATGCGTGCATACAGCGCCGAGTGCGAACAAATGCGAACCAAACACGCCTACCTTCGTTCGACGATTGCAACAAAGCGTCAAAACGCAAATAAATACCAATCCCGAGATACGCGAATGAAGTGATAAATCGTCCTTACTCATGGCTACCAAATCGAAAGAGCGGGTTCCGTGCATAAGAAACGACCGAAGAAAATGAAGCAGCTGATCCGATCGAAACAAGGCATGGCACCAAAACCGATCGTAGGTCATATTCAACAACTTCGTCAATTCGTCGCAATACACTCTAGCCGCGTCTCGCCAGGCATTCAAGAATTCTGTTGTCTTCTTGTCAGCAGAAGCTCCGGGTCCGCACAATACGGCCACAGGGTACGGCTGATACCGACACGAAAAACTTAAGACTATCCATCGTTCGTCCTGAAATCGGTAAATGCTTTCAAATTACTGTAAACTATTGTATCTGCAACCTGTAACTGCTGTAAGTCAGTAAGTTATTGTAAGTACATTAGTTATCTGCCCAGTGCACTGTGCACCACAGCAGAATATCTCCTGAACGGTTAGTTTTGCCACTTACAATCACCGGAGTTCTCTGAAGGACACCTTTATGATCAAGAATCGTCAGCATTTTTTCATCCACGGAAGCACCTTGCAGCTCCGAATCCTTTACATGGTAAAACATATGGTTGAGTTGATCCATGATCCTCCCTATTTTCCGGTTCCCAAATATCAGACTGGATATCCAATAGCAAGAACTTACTATAGGTAGAAGGACTGGGAACCGACTGTGCAACGGTCGACTACGTCATCACTGTCGCATACAGATTGCACTGCTGTGCTATTGCTTACAATTGATCCACAGATTTTCTTGTCCTTTTTAAAAGATATTCTCAGTTCCTTTCTCTTCTAAAGCTTTCTGATATTTTAAAAGATCATATTGAATTTAGAAACCCAAACATAAGGGGCTAGAAATAGAAGAGAAAAGAAATATTCTGAGAATACTGAGAAAAACCGTGAAAAACGCGCATCTGTCACCATGTCAGCCGCCCTCCCGTGTATGCGAGAGTGATGACGTCTAACGGTAGGTTACCAGTCCTCCTCACACTATAGTAAGTACTTGCCAATAGCCAATTTTAACACACCAAGTTTACCCAGCGCCTGTACAATCCGCCGACCTTTATCGGAATACTTACGGTATATCACTCCTTTTTATCAAACATTATTGGTAAACACTAAACACTAAACAAATCCTCCAAAAATCATCAATTTTAGCAATTTTTTTCATCACCATTCACGAAGTAGGTAACCACCGCCTCGAAAACCAATAGTCCTTTCTATTGAGCGAGCTGAGCAGACAGCTAGGTACTCTCGAGGTGGCGGGTGGATTTGCATTTCGCTATGTTAAATAATATTATGTTGCCTCAGATTTGAGAAGTGCATACAGCTTTACCTACTGGAGTTTTAAAATAAAAAATATAAAAGCAAAAGTTGCAAAACATATGAAAACTGAAAAGTGTCAGGTCTGTAGTGAAAGTTGTAAAAGAGTTCCATCTACTGTAAATAATATGACTTCGATCGAGGTAGATTTAGCATGTGTGATTTTGCGCCATAAGTTTGGTCAAACGGAAGCCGCGGTTGGAAGAGTGCTGTTGGAGAATGGAGAAATGTTGATCAGTGACATACATCGACGAGCAGGAAAAGTTCTCCCACGGGCTCGACTTTCTGAAAAACCGATTGAAAATATTTTGCACAAGTTTTATCAAAATGATCTCCTTGCATTCAATTCGTATCCGGAGTTATCAGAAGAGGAGCCATTTATCAGCATGGATCTGAACAGGATCTTCTACTTCATCATGGAACCGGCTCTTTGCCAAGCAGCTGAAGAAATACTGGGTGAGGCCGCTGCGCAAGTGCTGTCGGTCATTTTTGCGTTTGCTTCTGCTACGGCAGTGGACGTTATTAAAGAGCTGGAGAAATTAAAAGGAACTTCGGAGATGTGGATGGTGGAATTGCGCCTGTTAGTCCAGGCGCGAGCAGTCGTGGTTTTTGATCCGCTGAAGAAACCGAGCGATGAATTGTTTCGAATTGATCCTGATGCAGCTGCGCGTAAGCAGTCTTGGACTAGCTACGTGTTGAAACCCAATTATCACAGGCTCTTTGTGATTTTTTTGTTGCATCTCATGCGGAATCGATTGGAAAATGATTCAGCCGTTCATGCAGGTTTGTTACAGTAGAAGTTCTGCTGTTAGTAATAATGGTTCTGCTGTTAGATAGAACCAGATATCGAATCATGCATTTGATTTAAATGGTTAAGATTTTGTCATTTTTTATTTTTATAAACTGTAAGAGCATCAATATTTGCAGGTCGGGAAGTTTTCCTTGGGCTGTGTCGTGCAGCGATACTCAGTACGCCGCGAATAGAATTTTGCTGCGACGAGTCCTTTCAACCGGTTACAGGGGAGCTTGTGTTTAATTCCCTGCCTGACAATGTAAAAGACGGCTACGACCTGAGCAGTGTCGTGCAGAATCTCACCATGTTGGCCAGTCATAGCGATGGATTTCTTGGTGTTGCTGGAGAAACTGGTTTCGTTTTGAAAGGTGCCAGATTACTGGGTGTGTGGTCAGAACAGTTCCTTTATGACGTTTTGCGAGCAGAGCTACCCAAAGTTCAGTTGGCCAGAACGGTGATGCACTATCTGATAAGAAACCCAAAACCGTACGTACAGCTCAGAGCCTTGGAAAGCGAATTGTTTGCCCACACCAGTCAACTTCGGTTTGGTGTTAATGAATTGTGCCGACTGGGATATATTGACTTGATGGTGCGTTTGACTTAAATTTTAGTCACACTACTGGATCCAATACGTTGCTAAAGGCTCGTAACCGATAATAGCTTCGAGTTTGACGGAAGTTTAATTTTAGGGGACATCTCATGTTGCACAGTTCGAACCGGGGCGTACGGAACACTTCCTTTTTGTGGATCTTCCGCGGCTCTACCGACAGAAAATATTATATGAACAGTGCAAATCCCTGTTGCGGAATTTTCATTCGTTAAAAAGGTTCAAAGATATGGAATACGGTATTGAATCTGGGAATACTTCGCTGACACAAATGAACCACGAAGCAGCAAGACAGTTGCTGGATACGCATGCCAAAATGGAACTGGGATATTTGGATTGCTTCATATTTTCGGTTATTTACCTTCGGGCTACCCGTACAATACTGCAAGAGCAGATTAGCATAGAGGCAAACACTCTGGTGGAGTTTTATAACCGGAACAGCATTCCTGATGATTGAATACGTACACATCTGACTTTCTCTCGGAAAGTTGTTGAGTGTAAATTGTTGTCTGTTTTGAAATCTTTTATGAATAATAATAAAGCGTGCCGCGGAGTAATCACGGGATTATGCGGTTTAGAGCCTCTCAAATGTTAATTCCGCGAAAAATTTGTTAGGATTAATAAGTACTGAAATATGACGTACACCGAGTAGCCAAAAATCCAAAACTTTTGGTTTTCATCGTTAGTACTGCAGCATTCAGAGCTTGTCAAACTATCTGTGGAAATTTCTCCCACAATTCATTGAAATTCAAAGTAAACGTCGCAACTAGATTCTTATCATTTGTAAACAGACATGCTTCACTATTAACCAGAACCGCGTCGTTAGTGAAATTCAAAGAGCCGTTCAACAGAACTTCCTCGTCTATGACAACGAATTTATGGTGAAAAGTTCCCTTCCTTCTTCCAAATCCGTTTTTCTGTGCTGCGTTGGACCGTATTTCGACACCACACGCGATCATAAATTCCAAGACTTTTCTTGCACCCTCACAATTACAAGTGTTCCAGAAATCTACGATCACTCGAACGCGCACTCCATCCAAGACTTTTCCGATCAACAACCATGCAATCCGGTATTGCGTCAGTACTTGAACAGCCACGTCCAGGCTCTTTGTTGCTCCGCAGATGTAAGACTTTATCAGCTCCGCGCCAGTATTTTTGTGGCGAAGTTTGCACTGACGCAAACTGCAGTTTTCGTAGATTTCTTTGGATGGACAGGCAGGTGGAATGTCAGGGAAAAACGCGAAGTCCACAAAGGATTCCCGCTTTTTACATCTATATAAATATCAAAATTTGGTTACCGTATTTGTTACAGATACTTCGGAGGAATCAAATAAATTGTGTCGAAAGTGATTTTCATGGATCAGCTACCGCTGGAACGGAAAGGCGGAGAAAACGAAGCCGATTGCAGCACTAAAAGATACACAAATAAGGAAGGTACACATCGCTTCCTTAACACAAACTGGAGCCTCATCAGTACTAGACATATTGAACGTTCCGATGTCAAAGTTAGCTTTTGGTATACTTGATTTTATTCAACTGCGGAAGTACAGTAATTATCCAGCTTTCTAATTTATAATTTAATAAACGGTGTTAGCAATAAGAGCATAAGTTCAAAACAGATTCCAAATTTCCAATATACGTACGAGTTGTTCAATTTGTTCACAGCTTTTTCTGTTTCATACCACGCAGGATGCACTCCGTTCACCGTTGCCTGCTGCGGTTGTCTGGCAGCAGTGGTCAGCTTTTGTCGGAAACCCGGTTGACCACGTCAGTTCACTTCCGTGCACGCTTTGCGCAAGCGTGCACCCACACGCACACACCCGATGCCAATGAAATCAATCACGTCAAGAAATTTTTCAAAAGTTTATTCATATGGTTTTGTTGGGATTTATCGTTTATTCTTTCTCTGTTTTGCCAACTCACCAATTCGGTAAATTGGATTTTCTAGAGATTCTTAGGGTTTATTTTTGCTGTTTTTCTCTAAAAAGTGCTATCCGGCTGTGGGTCGCCCTTGTTGACTTCTGTCAGGGCTAAATTTGATACCAGGTTTTCGACAAAAATCATTCCTTACAGCGAGTTACAGGTGACTAAACATCGTGTCAGACTCCACGTCGAAGTTCCCGTTTTGATCGAGTGTTTAAAAGAGCACGTCCTCCAGTCCCGTGAAAATGCGGATTTCGGAGATCCACCATACGGCGAATGTTGCGTGGTCGCCAGTCAACCACACTGTAACCATGTTGGCATGTGGAACATCTGCTTCTCAAGTGGATGCCACGTTCAGGTGTGGTTATAGATATTACGGTATTATATATCTGCGCTGCCTAAAGGCTGCTAGGAACAACTCAGAATCGTTATAGGCGCGTTGTAGCAGGGTGTTAAAAATTTTATCTGGAAATATAATGAAAATTACTTGCAGCACGGCGGCCACACTGGATATTTTGGAAATCGGCGTCGGTAGCGACTCACTTGATGCTCCTGTGCGCGGCTCAATTGCGTGCGATCAGAGAATCTACAAACTGGTCTGGAGTCCCATCTCCCAGGTGGGAAGTCAAGCCTCCTCTGCAGGCGTCCTAGTGGCGGGTGTGGAGAACGGGATTGTTGCATATTCCGCGGACGCAATCTTAAAGCGGGACAGCGGCAACGCTGTCATTAAACAGATCAGCTGCCACACTGGCGCCGTCCACGCTCTGGATATTTCCCCCCTTTTGGTGAGACGAAATAGTAAAGCATAGCGTTTTTCGTTCCCGCTAAGCCGGTTCAGACATAGGTAACTGAAATTAGCATGTGTCGTCTGGTTGTGAAAGTATTTTACTTTACATCATAATAAACACTAACTTGGAATCGATTAAGTTTACACCTTTTATTTATTAGTGGAAGTATTAACTACATTTCGACAAAGACGTAAATAGACTTACGGCCTCCCTAAAAAATCATTACGCCTGTGCCACCGTTTGTTTCCATTTGAATTATAAGGATATTAAAAAAATTGACCGAGCGTTTCGGTCCCTTTCTCTGTTCTGAGCCATAAAATTTTTTGTTGAATTACCTCCTTTATACCCGTATTATTTCATTTATGCTTGTATGTTGAAATTAGCCTAATTTGATGGCAAGCGGTGCAATGGAATCGGAAGTTCTGATTTGGGATTTGAATACACTGCAAGAAGGCATTTCTGCCGGGCCCAAATCGTTTCCTATTGACGAAGTAAATGCAGTATCGTGGAATCGGAAAATCAACTATATTTTCGCGTCTGCATATTCTACCCGATGCGTGTTGTGGGATTTGCGGAAGCACGATTCGATTATAAAGCTCGGTGACCAGAATTCTCGTGTAAGCGCTATTTGAAATAGTTTGAATGCACGAAGTGTCCTTGTGCACTGTATTGCTACATGCACGTACAACCATATGGTTTATTGGGACACATATGGTTTTAGGTACGATACAAATCTCTCGACTGGAATCCTGAAATAGCCACACAACTCGCATTAGCGTCTGAAGACGACCATACGCCTGTCGTACAGATCTGGGATCTGCGAAATGCATCCTCTGCTGTGAAAACATTAGAAGGCCATCAGCGGTACGCTTACAAGTGCTAGTTCCGTAAAACTGGAAATGCTGCTTAAAATGTGCGCGTTCATGAAACGCGTTTCATTTAGATATAATTTTAACAGTGGGTTAAAGTTCCTGATTGGAGATAGGTTTTGGTATAACAGAAATTTATGTTGACTTAATTAATGATTCCTTACAGTATTAAAATTGCTGATTCCGGTGGGTGCTTTTACCCGTTCCAATTCGGCCATACGGATTAAAGTGTTTTTGCACTTTCTGCAGGGCTCTACTTGCTTTCTAAGTTTTAAGAAATTCAACAAGTCATGCATATTCTGTGCGGTATACTGCCTGTGTACATATTTCGGTCGTTCTCTTCAGTGGTATCTTGTCCGTGGCTTGGTGCCCTCATGATGCTGATCTTCTTTTGAGCACTGGAAAGGATGGGTGCGTCTACTGCTGGGATGTCAGTGAAGGCAGCAAAGGCGAGGTATTCATTCCTTAAGAAGAGTGTGCCCGTCCTTTGAAAATTGTGAAATACGCTGGTGGTGTTTCAATAAGCAGTTGAACTGCTGTCACTTTTGCGTAATCGTTCGAGTTTCGTGTGGGCAAGGTTGCCGTGTATGAACGACGCAAATTGTTTGTTTTAGATTGTGTATTCCCTGCCACAGACCAAGCAGTGGACTTTCGAAGTGGGGTGGTGTCCGAGAATTCCGTCCGTTTTCTCAGCTTCATCCAGCAATGCTGTCGGCGTTTACAGTGTTATTGGAGGTCCAGATGGCCACGCTGCAGCACCCGTTACACCCTCGAAGGTGCCGTGCGTTGTTTCTTCATTGCGAGTTTTGCAGTGTGTTAATGTGAGCTCAATATAGTTGGCCGATTCTTTTCCTGGTATGGATTTCGGACCTCTTACGACGGGCATGAAAGCGGACTCTGGATTTGAGGGCATTAAAAAAGCGCCAAAATGGTTGCGACGACCGGGATCTTTTGCATTTTCTGTACGTTTGATGAATCTCTTGCTGAGAAAATGTAGGTTTAATACTTAAAAGTCACTTTTTTGCTTTAGTTTGATGGGAAAATCATGAAAAGTTTTAGTGACGAAAACATCAGTATTTTGGAGCTGGACCGCCTTACAACATCGAGACATATTGTCCAACAAGGCAGTATCCTGGAGCAATACCTGATGCAAAATCAGCATAAAGAATATTGTGATGCTAAAATTTCCAGTGTCAAAAATCATCAGGAACGAGAGGAATGGAAATTTATCAAGGTACAGGATGGAGCAAAGTCCGATTGTTTCAAACGTTTTTGTAATGCGTATTAGGTGTATTGTTAAGCATTGCAGTTTTTTATTATCTTTGCAGTCACTGTTGGAGTCAGACCATCGGCAGACCGTTTTGAGTTTGTTGGGCTATGGACCCGAGAAGGAATCGCTTTTGAATGATGTGTGTTTATATTCAAGATGGATTTTACCGGAACATTATTTTATTGGTGCTCGATTTCAAATCTTTAACTCATAATGATTTGCGTTTGCAGACTGAAAGTTCCATGTCCAACGGAGAAAAACCTTCGGATGTGAATTTAAAAGAATCACCCGGCTCAGAAATCTTAAAGAAGCCAGTTGGATCGACATTCAAGATTTCAACCGGGAAAGGTGAAAAAATGAGCAGCATATGAAAAAGAACGGTTGTGACAAGATTCCACAATTTTAGACACTAATGGCAAAATCACTCGCGCCCTTTTAACTGGAAATGTACAGAAAGCTGCATCATTGTGCTTGGAACATGACCGTGAAGCGGAGGCTGTTATGCTGAGTTTAGTAGGCAGTACATCGTTTTTGCCAGAACTTTTTTGGAACATCCATGAAAAATATTTTGCATCTCACGGATCGGATCTATCTAGTCTGGTGTATGCACTTGTCAAAAAGGATTCTGAATTTCTGCTTCAGAAAGCTCGAATCGACAGCTGGAGAGAAATTATAGCGGCGTTAATTAATTATCTACCTAAAGAGGAGTTCCAGACGTTTGCCGGTAAGTTGATCATCGTTTGCATTTATGTGCCTCTGGAAAGCATTTTTATGTCCAATTGCTGTCTTAGATGCACTCGGTCAGCGTTTGGAAACTGAAGTTAATGGATTGCTGCTTAAACAGAGTATACTGTGCTACTTATGTTCTGGAAACATTGATAAAGCCGTTGAATTGTGGTTGCGCCAGGAACCGCTTTCTGCTGGGACTGCTGCCGAATTGCTGCATACCACTGCAGAAAAGGTTTTGATCGCCAGCGGCGGCTTTAGTCTTAATGGAACACGACCGTTTGGGCCGCATATTGATAAATTATTTCACGATTACGCGAACTACCTTGCTTCAGAAGGCGAAGCGGGGCTAGCCTTGCGCTTCTTGAGCAGGGATTCATCGGTATGTTGAGAAGAACCCAATATGGTTGATTGGAGAATTTTTAAGCTATTATGATTTACAGAGCACGCTGCTTCCATTAAAACACCATTTGTATATGGCACTGGGCCCGAGAGCGGCTTTACGAGAGACTGGAATGAAGCAGTCGCCTATGTCGACCGCCATAATGTCGTTGCGCCGACACACTAAGAGCGGAGGCACAGTTCTCTCCAACACGGCGCCGAATAAGTATGGACCGGGACCGGCGGCACCGTTCGCAAGTACTGGTTACCCTACCGCAGCACCGAACTTCATGAATCCCTCCGTTGTCGGGGTATCCTACACATCGCCACCATCAGCTATGGGTACAATGAATCCTCCTGCGGGCAATAGTATGTGATCTGTTGTACTGTAATTTCATTTCGGTGTATTGATAATTGAGTAATAGTTTCAACCGTTCTCAGCGCACGAGCAACAGTCTGCTTGGAATTTATACGACCACACCCACCGCTCTGCTGTTCCCGAGCCCCCACGACCATCCCGCCCCCAAGCTACACCGGCGCCACCGTTGTTCGCACCTGCAGCGGGAATGCCTCCGCTTTTACCTGCTAATTCGGGTTTGCATTCGTTTCCAACACAGTCCTATTTTTCCCCGAGTCAAGCGCAAAACTATCCTGGAACCCTGCCGCAGCAAGTTCAGCCAGGGCTGGAAAACGTTCCATTGATGCCTTCCTACCAGCATGTTAAAGCACCTGGTAGTTGGAACGACCCTCCCCCATTGTTATCTCGACGTGTGTCGCAAACACCTGCTAGCGCTGCGGTGAATCCAATATTTCAGCCATTGCCAGTAGTGCCTGGTCAGGAAGTACCACCTATACCGCAATATTCGTCACAGCCTAATGCTCCAGTACCTATCACGGGCTATGGCATTAGGCCGACTACCAATTTGATCCACCCTCCACCGGCTGCTATGACCACCAGTGTACGCTTTTTATAGCAGGGCTGGCGTTTTTAACTGATTTGATTGTTTCAAAATTGTCGGAAAATTCTGGTTGGCCTATTTTGTCTTCATTTTTGCGCTGTTGTAGGAGACTCCTTTTATTCCTGCTGAGCCAGAAAAGGAAGTTTCGACTGAAAAAGCTCCGATACCTGCTGAGCATGTGCCCATTGCGGATGGTTTCGCACAATTGTGGAACATATCAAGAGAAAAAGCCAGTTCGATGGGTGACGGGGTAATTAAAGGATCCGTAATAAATTAGAACTTTGGTTTTAATGTCGAACTCTTGCTTCGTTACTATGAGAGGATCTTCTCTCTTTCCAGCACACAGTAAGAAAACTGGATGATGTTTACAAGAAACTGGAATTATTGAATGATTCTTTTCGAGCGGGGAAATTATCTTCGAATACACTGATGGGACTCCATCAGATGGTCCAGTGCATCCAGATGGGAGATCTTGGACAGGCTGTAGCAGTACACGCGCATATAGCAACCGGTGCATCGTTTGTGGAGATTAGTTCTTTCATGCCTGCCCTTAAGATACTATTGCAGTTGGCACAGCGCTTTAATGGTTAAACGGGTGTCAGACCAAAGCGTACTTAGATACGTTCTTAGCAGCTTCGTGGGTCTTTTCGACTGTCCATAAATACTGCTTTATGTATTCGTTGTCGATGTTAAAAGTTTAGCTACTGATTTTTGTATTGGGTTTGGTTTCGGTGATTTGTTCCATGTTTTGTCCCTTGTGAGGTGCTAGTGATGCGATTTTTTAAGTTCGGCAAAATTTGTTTGGCGAATTGCAACAAGAGAGTTAAACTATTGCACGCTTTCTGCATCTGCAAAATTGTAAATCATACAACGTTCCTTTTCGTTCCACCTGAAAATAATGCGGATGGGAAGCGAAATATTAAACAACTTCCCCATGTCACATCGGACGACGTTATCGAAAAACGGTAAATATTTATGATTAATTTTTATTTATGACGAGCATTTCTTAGATTGTATACTTTAATCAGTATAACGACACAGTCACGGTAGGTCAGTTAATTTTAGGATTTAATTCTGTTCACATTGCCATATCACGGTGTACTTTTTACTGTGTGTGCTTCTGCATTTTACGGAAAAATAAAATTAATATTCCTGACCTAATTGATTCGTACTCGTAACATTTGTTGTAAGCACACTGGACGCCGCACCGGTGACAGCGGTCAATCAATGCATCTTTCGCACCTGGACGATCGATCCGGTAGTTTATGGCTCTACATGATAACGTGATATTTTACAAAGGCGAAATATATTTGATTTTAGCGTCACTTATTTGAAAGCAAGATTACTTAATGTACGAGTACAGTTGTACAGTTCAAGTAATTGCACTTCTCGTGGACGCTTCTATTCCACGTTGCCGTCAGTCAGTACAGTAACTGCTACGTCTGGGATAGCTTATTAAGTGTAACGCATGCTTTGTGGTTCATCCAGAAAAGAATCTGTATGCTACCTCTGTTTTGTCAGGAGATCAGGTGAAATACAAAGCGTTATTGATCTGCCATCAATTAAGTGTTGTATTTTCTCAACACCAGGTCAATGTCGAGAACAGTTTTGCGGAGCATGTTTCATAAAGTGATAAGAAATTGCGGTGCCCCATATATCAAGAACAGGTGCACCATATACACCAGTCAAATCTTCAAGGTACCATGCACATCGATCGATTGTGGGACAAAATAAAGATATCAAGTACAGTACTTCCTTTGGAGTGTATAAAATACTGTAAATGATATCCGCAACATTTCCTTGTTGCGTTTGAAACTGAAAGTAAGCTTAATGTGTTTTGTTCACAATCAGGAGTGTATTAGTAGTTATTCTTGCTTTAAAAAAGAGAGTCGACTTATGCAATAGCTCTGTACTCCCGCGTAATGGGATAAAGTAGTATCTCATTTCGCACACGCTTGGACAAAGTCATATGGCACTGCACTAGCTGTACAATACCATAAATTTTTTAGTTTTTGACTGCCGGATGCATTCCAACCATTCACTTCACCTGTACGAACACGTACGTGTACTGGCATTTACTGACCGTATGTGTTACATCCACATTTTTTTGATTTGCCGTATACACACCGCAGGACAAGAACAGGTTTCTCGACATGCTTCTTTACCTGCGTTGCAGTTTTTGATTTTCACTCATACTCTTATGATCAATAATAATGAGTGAGCGGCGGTGGGGATGTTTTCAGTTTCACGGGTAGGTACACTGTACATGTGTGCCATGACTGCTGATGCATAGAATATTCCACCGTATGTACCGTTTGCGCTACCTTGCAGCATTGAATGCGTGTATAAATATCCGCTTTTACACGGTGACGCAGTCCACAATTATTACGTTCGCGTACGGTAATAAATAATGATAGATCGCTCACCAAAGTTCGTTTTACTACCATATCTGCAAGAATATACAGCATCACGGTGTTGCAGCGCGTTGTTTGCTGTCAACATCACTCATGTTTGCTATGCGCAAGTCTCTGATTTAGCATCCTAGAACCCACACAGCGTGACCCAAGCGATTGCCACACTGTGTACGTCGGTGAAATCCCATATGCTGATATTGTGCTTCAGCGGATTTGTTTATCATGGATTCCCATCTGCAGCCGTCTGAACATTCTGTCACCGGAACCTGGGTGCGTTTCGAGGATCCGGACCGCAACAGGACGCCGGGGCTGACCGACAATGGGGCTGTTGACGCGTCGGGTGTCCAGATTAATTTGCCACGACCGCCGCGAAAATCCGATTATCCCCCTCCCGATGTTGTCAATCTCGCCACTTCCGCCTTGCCAACCGAATCGACTTCCCGCACCGTGCAAGAACTGCAGGATGTTAGCCGCGTACAGCAGATTCTGGATTTCAATGCCGCGTCAGATAATATCCACTTGTCGCCAGACACGACAATACAAATCGGTACGTAAGCAGTTTACCAAGTTGCGTGCTGTGTTTGGGTTGTCGTTGGCGTTGCAGGTCAGCTGTCTGTCGACTTTTCCCTTGCTCACTATGAAAAAATAAAAAAACTGGGTTGTAAACACATGTCAGCAAATCACCAATGGAAATTCTGATGCCTACTGTATTATGAAAAATAAAGAATGTGTTTATAAAGGAGACTGTAACAGAAAACAGCATTTTTGATTGCAATTTTTATGTTACTTATTATTTGTATTAACATTTCTGATATGCGAATACGTTGACGCGTTGATTGTTTTACAGATGAAGCTGAAAATGGTAAAGTGCTGACCACCCTGAAGGCTACCAACGAGAAATGGGAATGGGTCACTCCGCCCGTTTACCACCCGGAAATGGTTCCGCAGAAGGTCGTAAATGTGCTGCAGGTATGCATGGCCCACAGAGCGCTGGGCTGGATCCAGTTTACTGAAAAAGGCAGGAATGTTTCACCGTCAGCTATCTTATTAAAATACACGAAGCGTCCTGATGAATTTGTTCGTTGGCAGTTGCTCTTTGGAATAGTAATGTATGGTTACGTACCTTGGCATTTGGCATATACAATATTCATCGTCAGATTTATGGTATAACATAATAATGAATGTACGAATTTGATATTAATTTTACGCGAACTTCGATTCTGTTAATTTCAAGTAATGCATCTTGGTAACTTACTGTAGTATATCCAGTATTTGCAAAGGTTTTATTACGTCTCAGATTTTATTGCTGACAGTTTTCTTCTTAAAAGATTCCTTTGGAGGACTACGTTATGTGTCTGGACGTTCTAGTCACCAATTACCGCTTCCGAACCTATGTCATTCTGTATAAGCGAGTCATTGGGATATGGCTGTTCATCACCCTTGTGGTTTTACTGGCTCTGCTGTTTTCTGGACTTCGCGGACTTGTAAGCTATCGAAATTGATCGTTGTGTGCTCCAGGTTTATTACGGTAATTAATTTTCAGAGCCTGTTTGTAGCCGGTTTGTTGTGGTTAATATTTTCCGGCCTGGGCATGTGTCTTTGCCTATATGGAAAAAAGAAGGTATTTTAAGGATTTAGTTTGCTGCATTTTCATATTAAATTTTATGTTGCATTAACGAATCATTAATTTGTTGTGAAATATTTCACAGATGAATGACGGTCTGCGAACTGTGGTTGCCAATGCAAATAAATTTTTGAACAAGCAGAGGTTGATGATTGGAGTTGAAGACAGGGGGAAATTGTCGATGCATAAGGTACGATACAAGGTCAAGCGGGAATACTGGATGAAGTCAGGAAGACCTTTGCTTCCTGTTTATTCTCTGCTAGATCTATGGCATTAACCAGTCTGTACAAAGTAAAAAAGCAAATGCTTGCACCGTTGTGCATACAATTTTTACTTCAGGTGGTTGTGGTTATCTTGCATTATGACGTCCTTCCGTGCCTTGCCAGTATTGCGCATTTGCTGGAACAACTCAAACTGGTACGTTATATATATTACCAAAGAAAGTATCTATGTTTCTATTAAGTGACTTTTAAACAACTTTTTTCCCATCACATAAGCAAAAGTTGCAGACTTTTTTCAGATAAATAATAGAAAGGATAAAACGTAAAAATCGTCATACAGTTGATAAACATAACAAGTGCTTTCTTAAATATTTCAGAGTAGACCTAGTATTTACGATCCGACCTACAGTCGTGATTTTGGCGAACCTGATGCGCTGCCCATGGACAAAGCAGAGAAACTGATGCTGCACTGCGTCCAACCTTATGTGAAGGAGCTGGTTCGGAAGCGATTAATGTTCAGTAACACTAAAGTGGAAGATTTCGGCTTTGAAGACGTTACCGCACGACCGGAAGTTGTCGAAGGCGTCCCGACCACACCCAAGCATTGTCCACGCTCCTGGTGTTTGTGCCAATATGTCGACCACATGTATCTACGCCGGAAGCCACGTAAATGGTATCAGAAAGTCTGGAATGAAGATTAATTGCCTGTACCCCACAAATGCGTAACCGCCCACTTTTGCCAATTTTGTGTTTTTTGACCTTAGCCAAATATGCCCGTCCAGAGTTGTCTTTTGATTACAGTCGTTTTGCCCGCCATTTGGCAATTTGGTCCTATCTGATCTTTCCAGATATTTTAAAAACCGCATTTGAATGTTTGAAGTTTTATCAAGAATTAATATTGCATTACTGTAAAACGTTTGTTTGTACTTGTGTGCGCAAAGGGAATGAATTTTCTTGTGATTAATTTGTTGTTGCATAAACACCTTTGGCAATACAGTTCCCAGCTTTTAATAGAAGCATGATAGAGTTATTCTGTCAACCTGATACAGTACAGTAAATGTTTTTGGAAATACGAAAAGGTCATAATGTCACACAGTTTTCAGAAATAAAAGACTTCCTGCCACAAAAATGCCGGCAAAAATGAATTGTAGTCTTTGAGGTCTGTAATATGGCTGTAACTATTTTTTCATGCACGCTTGAGAAAGATTTGACATCAAACTATTCGATAGAGCAGTGTCCAATTTTAGATAAGTCGTGCATATATTGCGCTGAATGCAGGAAATTAATCTTTCTGGCCCAGTGTAAAATCATGATTTGGGTCAGCTGAACTGAGCAAGTTGATTCTCCCGGGACGCTTTGGCATCAGCGTTGAAATTAAACGAAAGCGACATATTTCCTAATCATCTGCTTTTGAAAGTGATCTGCACTTTCCGAACTGCAAATCTGCAGTGTTGGGATAGTACCGTCAAAGTCCGCATAAAATCGACGCGTCAGTGCATAACACGGCAAAAATCACACACTGGCAGCCGAGTGGCAATAAAATGGTAGCAGTGCAGTACACAAACTCCGATCCATCATTAGGGCTTATATGTTGCAGTGCGTATGTGAACTTATGGACATTCCAGTAGCCGTCGACGGCATGTTTTGGCGTTAATATACAATGACGCGAATGGGTGTGCGGAGTAGTCAAGATCCGTCTGGCTGAATCTTTAAGTGTCCTCGATTGTGGTTTCAAGTTATTCACACTTGTTATATTTTTCAGTTAAAAACACTTGCACGGATATACATATGCAGCTACCGCTGAAGGAGATGCTGAGCTGCCTAACAACGTTAAAACATGGATTACCGGCAGCCGGTTGACTGGCGTAGAAAGCGCAATTTCTTGCTCGGGACTTTTTAAAGTTGCTTCCTATTGATCCGCTGTCCGTGCAGCTGCTGCTACTGCTGCTATATATGCACGCTCTACTAGCCCATTACACACCACTGTACCGCTTCACAATTTCCCTATCAGCTAATCAAGATGCGTTCGTGATCGATTATGTTTGAAATCCAAATAGTTTTTCTTTACTACACTGCCTCTGTGTGTGCAGCAGTGTGTGAGTGCGGGGGTTTGTTTTGGTTTATATTATTGTCTCGTGCAGTGCAGGATGATTTGCGCCAGTCTAATCAGTGGCGCTGAACATGCGCGAGCGGTAATTAGAAGCCGGTGATTATCTTTGTGTGCTGCTGCGGGCGACGACAACCGGGCTACAGTGATTCAATTCGGGATGGCGGAATACAAGATCACATTGACGGATGGTCCGCCGTGGGGAATACGACTGCAGGAGAATCCGGTGCGGGTTTCGGCAGTAAGTCGGCAAAGTGGCATCTGTCGAAATGAATGTACCGTAGTAAGAATCGCAGATCGGTTTATGGGGGAAAACGTGAAGTACTGCACGACCGGAAACGGGGTGTTGTATTGCTGAACTCTTATCGGCGCTGTCAGCAAGCGCAATGATCATTTTCAAAATTGTTCGTTTTTCCCTGTTCTCAGTAAGAGCGGCATAGACGGGAAGAACTGCACTCGCCATTTGCCGAAAATTTCTGGAATTCGAACAATTCGAAACAAGTATTTCGGAAAGTGCTGCATTGACAAATTGCTTGCAAAAGCGCAGATTTTATGATTCAAGGGAATCAGTGTTTTGAAATTTGTGTGGCAGCTGTTCGACAAAGCGATGTACATATAATTATGTATTACAAATGCGATCGCTTATTCAAAGGCCATACATTTAGCTTAGGATCGGTTATCGTTTTTTTGAACGTTGTATTTGGTTTCAGTATTTCGAATTCCAAATGCGATATATTAAATTTTTTTACGGACAGTGCTTATTGAAAAATCTTAATGGCTTATAAAAATAACCAACAAATGTTATAATTTTGGAAGTAACAGCAGATAATTATATTTTCCAGCAATAAAAATTTTTAGCGTACTACTCCGTACATTGGATATGTTGTACGTCACCCAATCGTGAAATCTGACATCCACTGATTCAACAGAATTTATAAGTTGATTACTATTTTTTTAGTCCTGGACGCACATTGAAGAAGATGAATTTAGGCATACAGATAGTTAATATAGGTTCTTTTAGGCGGGAAATTTTGATTATCTTCAAATCGATGATTGAAACAAACGGTCTACACGGTTATCCTTTTCTGCAACAGATCTACGTACTTCATCCATGGAAGTACAGTTATATCGTATAATATAAAATATATTATATTGCACAATATTAAATTCTGCGAGTTGTTTTACATATTTATTGTACGTACTGCCCGTTATTAAATAAATTAATAAACTATTTATTAATAAAATTTTATTAATAAACTAGTGCCTCGCACCTGCACGTTTAATTAGTTTGGTAACAACTAGTGCCTATTAAATAAATTTATGATACGAGTAGAAGTATGGTACATTAATATATATTTATATGTGGCAATCATACACATTACACAGGTGAGCTTTTTACGTAACGAAACGTTACTGTTGTCGAAAGCCTTCTTATATGCTCATTTTTGTTTGAAAACTAAAGTACCGTATGTGCAATAAGGAATTATACAAAAGAAAGTTGTATCGAATCACTGGCAGCTATAGCTTTTATTCAAAGTGGATTTTCATAAGGTCGGGAGCACTTGACCTGTCCATTGCCGTTTTCCTTGCGTTGCTACTTACACCGCAGCTAACAAAAACGAAAAAAATCAAATATAACGCTGGTTTTGCCGCATTCAGCTTGTGTTTGTTATAGTTTTTATTAGTACGGTCAGATACCGATGAACGTAGTGCTTTGCTGCTTTGATAAGAAGTTCCAAAACCCAAAATTACACAGGAAATCGCACTAGTACGTAGCATAATGCGTACCCTGTTGTCCAGAGATTTTTGTCGTGCTGATATGCCAACGTTAATTGACCTATCGATATTCATATTAGTATTGAATTATAATAATATTATTATTGTTCGACAGTACGAATAGGCAGATCTTTTTTGGAAATAACCATATTTGAAATGTGTGCGCAGAGAAGCGTTGGTCTCGGAAATTTGTTTTTCTTTTGGATTTTTATAACTGCAAATGTGCAATCAACGCTTTCCAACTGATATGGTACAGTACTATTAAATTTATTCATTCGTTTCTTGCAATACTTTTTAAGAACTGCTAGTATAAAAGCACCGCATGAACTTTCCACGTACGAGTATATTGGGTTTAAACTACAATACTTGAAAGTGACTGGTTCTGGATCTGCATGCTAAGCAAATTAACAATCAAGTGCACACTTGTACTCGCTCATATTTGCAGCTGATCAAGATCTTCAAGACATTAAGATGTCCCGTTGATGGTAATGCATGGCCCGTAGTACAAAAGAGCAGCAAATATTAATTCGCCAGATAGGTAAAATATTATGAGCCACTCTACTTGCACGAAGAAATCAGCAAAACCAAACAGCTACATACATTGTGCTCTGTTGATATTGATATTTAATACTGGTTGTGGGTGTCGTCCACGTTCATGCGGTTGCGTAATTCGATGTATACCTGCAGCAAGAAACGGTCGATGTAGTTAACTGTTGCAAGATCTTCGGCAGGTAAAATAGTGTACGATGCGTAGTGTTGATTATTGCCAGAAAACGTTCGAATTATTTGTACACCTTGGCGTGGTCGTAAACTTAAGGGCCGTTGTGCTGCTGCAATATTTGCCGTAAATTCTGCTGAGGTTTACTTCACGATAATGGTTTATCTACACACGCTCATAAAAACGTACCTTATCAGAATATTTATAGCCTGCAGGGAGAGTGCCATTTGTAGACCCGCAGTTTGCCGATTACCATTTTTCACCGCTAAGATTTCAGTAACTTACTGTCGATGCTCATTGTGTGTTGTACTCATTTCTGCTTAGCCACGCGCGGATTTGAATATATATTCATAAATCTATCCTGAGCGTGGAATATCCCTGGCGCGAATGGAGGTATTTCTGTTGTTCCATATCTTATTTCGCAACAGTCTCGTGTACAGTAAGGTCGTTATAAAAATTTTCTGAATGTTAAGTCACGGCTTATTTGACCATCATATGTGTGTTAATTTCTTCACCCTATTTCCACTAACGGTCGACACGGGGTTACAAACTTACAATTCCTAATTTTTAGCGGAAAATGACAGCAATGTACAGACTACAGAGCTACTCGCAGATAAAAAAAACTGTTAGAAGTACAAGAAAATTTTAAAACATTTACAGTATTTGTTGCAAGTGTTAGTATAATATACATATGTGCTGTATCGCATGTTGGTGCTTTCACCTTCTTATAGCATATTCTGCTTATTGTTTGTGACAAACACGTTGCTCGTTCAATGTTTTACTGTTTTCCACATGGCCCTTTATTTGATTATAATCTTTTCTAAAAAGCGTCTGATCGTTGTCCACGCGTTTGTTATGTTGTTGCACGTACGGGTTGTATATTGTGTGTCCTGTTTCATTCCAGTTGCTTGGTTGAATTCCCAGTCCAACATTGCCGACTTCATTTCCTTAGACATCTTTCCTGGGATTAACTATTGAATTATTAACGCACATCTTGGTCTTACCTATTTTGCAGTGCGCTTGTAGCATCTGTTTGTAATGGGGATATAAAAGGTTACCTGGCTGTTTCCATTGCGTTCCTCACCTTTTTCTGCACGAATTTTATATGCTGCTCTTGTGGAATTCTTAACCACATTTAATCAGGCACAAACGATAATAATGCCATCCCCAGCGCTAATGCGAAAGCGAAATGTAAGTACGGATGAAATCTTTAATTCAACGTCATCTGGCTTAGAAATATTGTAATTTAACGCCCTTAATTGTCTATAATAATAATATGTAAATACAACAGGGTTATATTTTCCGTACTCACACTAGCAGGTCATCCGGGTGCATGTACAGATACACGATGCTAGAAAATTAGGTAGACCCGTGGAAGTGAGTATTCAAGAACATGTGGGGGAAAGGCACAAGTTCGCCATCCAATCGGACAGTACAGTACATGAGCTATAGTTAAAAATTATGGCCTGATTACTTGTGCATATATTTGTAGAATTTAAACATAATAAGCCCAAATGTCCACAGACTGATGATAGTTCGCCAACCGCACGAAAGCTCTTCTGTCCAAACAGAAATCAGCTAAATAAAGGTCCAGCCGTGTCAGTGCCGGTACACTGTACACAGGCAGATCCTTATGCAGACAGTGATGATACTAAAATTAAATTCGGCTACCGAAAAGAACATGGAGAAGCTGTTCATCAAGTAAAAACTGCCCACGGCAGCATCTTCTGAATCTTTTTTGAGAACATTGAAATGTGAATCTGTGCGGCGCGCGTAACCTATGTGTGGTTCGTTCCACTGCAATCCATCTGTATGTCGGCTATATGTGTTGTGCATATGTCCATGTTGATGATGTGGTTATGTTTTTGACCTGTGTGCTCTTAACTAACGTACAACGAGAGAAGTCCGTGTCTGTTCGCACATGTGCTGGATGAATTCACTTTCCAACCACCACATATCCCAAAGGGTTTTTGTCTTGTGCCGCAGATAGCTACCAAATTATCCAACAGTCTAATATGTCTTCTTCGTGTATTCTTGTGTCGTTTTATAAATTTATCGGTGAGGAATTCGAATGATAAGGATTAGCTTCATCCTTTATATTTCATCGTTCAATAATGCAGATGATCACTGTTCTCAGTTCCCAGCTGTGTGCTATACAGCACCTATATATAAGAGTTTATCTGCCGATAATGACATTTGCCGATGTATCTGGAGGTGAACGCTAAGTGCCGCTTGTCTTCCGTTGCAGGTGAATCCTGGAAGTAAAGCTCACCGCCAAGGTATCGAAGCGGGTGACCAAGTGCTTTCTATAAATAACAATCCGGTACAAGACATCCAAGAAGCCCAGCAGCTGGTTCGCAGTGCCAGCAACAGTCTTGTCCTGAAATTGCGCCGGTAAATCACATTCGTCTATACTGTGTATCTATCAGATTTGCTAGATTATACGCAATGCAGTAAGTGTAATTTGTTAATTGTATTTGTAAAAACAGATTGTAACATAAGGTGTGTAAAAGGTTATTTGATCAGTGTATCTGTATAATTGGCTAGAGGATTTTTGTGATATTGTAATTCAATGATGGTATAACGCTTGTACAACACCAACTCACACCGAAACGATGAATCTTTGCAGGCCCAGTCGACCAACGTTTTTGTTGGACAAGACCCGTGCACCATCAGATAAAGAGGAGATTTCTAGTGTGAAAAACTGGAATCGGAATACAAAGCCGGCGCTAATGTGAGCCAAACCCATGTTAAGCCCTCCGTCCCATTCTCCATGAGTGATAAGGAAAACGTGCCTAATTCTGTGCGCTCGCACTATACTCCAATGGATAATACATCTTTCCAAAATAACAGACTTCATAATCAGGAAAATGATCACAGGACTACTTCGTCGGCATCAGGTAAGCAGGACATATTTCTGCATCGTCGAATTTCTTTTCCTACCAAATTTTGAAAAACGCTAAAGATCGTTCTTCAGTTAATTATGTATAGGAAATTTTCGCATTACAGGGAAATTTTCAGTGGTTCCAGCGCACAATTATAATTAATAACCTTCCTTTTTATTTGCCATCGTAATTCCTGCAAGAAAGTCTCACCAAATCCGCTTCTTATAGCTTGTTGTATTTCTTCACGCCGTTTAATGCCTGTCGCAAAATCAGTGATTTTAGTCAAAGATTGAAAGTATGCAATACTTTTAGTCTCGGGTATGCTTCTGTGCATTGGTTTTACCGTTCGTATATATATGCAAATTTTCTATGGGTGTTAAAAAGATATGGATAATCAGTGCGGCATAACCGTTTTATAAGAACCAGTTTTTTGGCAGTCGCTTTATCGCTGTTGATTCTTTGATTTGTGGTTTGGCCGTCTGAGGCAGACAAAAGAGCCATAGTTGGTCTATTATTGCTCAAATGCTTTTCTGTCAAAAATGCAACAAGGTGTTTCAGATCTTTTACAAAGGTGCTAACGCTCGTGCCAGCTGTGAAATGAAAACAATGCGAAGCCGTTTTATCGTTTCGGTTGCCGGTTTGGCAATAAGAGAAACAAATGTATCATAAATAATAACAAATATATCATAAAATTGGCGCGTGCCGACATCCCTGAAATAACACACGCTAAAATTTTTAAAAAAGTATGCTAAGACTTCGAAAAGGCGAAACGATGAAGAGTTTTTCGAGTGTGGGTTGTTTTGATTAATTTGGCCATGGTTGTCAACTGGTGCGCTCCGGTGATCGCACATTAGAATATCGTACGGACGTTTTTCGTGAAGTTGGTCAAATAGAAGATGTATATGTAATAAGGCTTTCTGATTTTGTGTTCTAGAAACTATATACTCCTTACGCTAGAAATTTGCTGCGTTAGGAAAGTAATTGTGCCGGCGCGGTTCTTTGGTGGATCATCTTAATCATCCACGCACTGCAGTTGCGACGCGTGTGAGCAGGAGTTACATAAATTCTGAATCTTTAAAATACGACAAGTTGACAGATATGACCTGTAAGTATTTATGATTGGCGTACTAGCAAATTATCCACACTTAGCTAGCAAGATTCGCTTTCGATTGTAAAAGTACTGTATATACCTACTCATACAGCAAATTTCTTTTTAGGCAACTGTGTTGTTAACCCAGCTGACCAACACAGTGTTAAAAAGTAACTTAATGAAGGAGTAATACGTAATGTCTGGCTGTATGTTAATGGCAAAAAAAGTAAAACACAGTAAAAAAACTACTACGAAGAAAGCCTCATCAACCATGAAATTTAATACACGACGCTCGGGTTCGTAACGAGGACTACTGCAGAGGGAATCCAGAAATTTTTTTTCTGGAATTTTTAATTTAGACTGAGTTCGGTGTACATGTATTGTACTTTATAATTTTACTTATAAAATCATACAATTGCCCCCTAGCGAGTTCCAGTTCAGATTGATTTATTGTCACTAATATGTAACAGTAAAAAGCCGCATGGTTTTCAGTCGGGTTTTTTCTGCAAGCCTGCCTCATTGCAGGCGAAACACGTTTATACATATGCTGCACTGCAGATATTTTTATGCGTGAAGGTATTTACGGGGTGAGCAGTGATATAAATTACGGTACAATATTATGGGTAGCGTGTATGACAAATTAAAGTGTAGACGAAAACTTGTTTATATACAAAGGCACGCTTATCCATAATTGGGCATCGTGAGTGTTAACATCCTGATTTATATGCACGGTGATAGAAGTTCAACAAGTTCTATTGTCAAAAGTCCATACCCGTGTGCTTTTACAGTATATCAGTCCAAGAATGGGAGAAAGAGTAAAACCCTTGAACGATCATATGTTGCATGGTTCTGTAGTTATGTAAGAACCTTGAACTGCCATATGTCGGCTTTGCATTTACACCAATGGACTTCTCGATTTTTACCCTTGAAGCTCGTGAGAAAACCTAACAAGCGTTATGACTAGAAGAAACAACACAAATAAAATGGAGAATTTCCGACTAGACCTACGTTATTCTATTGCTTTCTCAGCGATTTTCACGTTCTTAGAGCTTCAATTGTTTTAAAGTCCTTTCAGTGAGCTGGCTAATATATCCATTAAGCTTAGTATTTGTCATATATTATATATTAGTCCTAGACGGTGAGAACTGGCAGCAGTAAAAACAGCGTTAGACGCGTATGTGGGAGGTTTTTATGCAGCAATACATGTACAGCGAAAAATATCCAGCTAACAAATTTAAATCACTATGTATTCTGGAGTACTAAATTTCGCCCTAACACTAAATTTATCTGAAAAACACCTGTGTAATTTCTTCAGTTGCTGACATAAGCAGAAGTCAGTTTAGAACATTTACCAATTGATTGAGCACCACCTTAGAGTTACATCGTCGCTACTTCTATACACCTCTCCAATTGGTTTGGGCTATAAAAATTTTTTCTTTATGTGACGAGCGGGTTAGCGTCTTCATGTCATACATACAGTCTGTACAATGTACTAATTGTAAGTGAAGCGCACGTGGCGTAGTAAATGTTTTTAAAGGATAAGCTTTAGATATTTGTTTATTTATTACTATTCGCAGTCGCACATTATGCCGTTCGGCCGAACTATAATATTGATAAAAAATTGTGAAAGCTGTTCTTACTCGACAATACGGCTGTGCGGACATCGACGTCGCCGAATCGGTATTCTTTGTTGAAAAACGTTTGTGTGATTGCATATCTACCCATTGTATTTGTGCAATTTTACAAATGCAAACGCTTTTTTGTCAAAATAGCAATTACGGTTTGTTAATTTAGCTGCAAGAATTTGCCTGTATATCTATACAGTTACCAGTCAATTTACCACTACTTTCGTTAACTTTACTTTTGATTGGCTAGATTAAAAAAACAACCGTTTACAAATAAGACCAGCAGCCTGCATTTAATTATTGCGCATGCAGTCTGTGACGGGGAGAAATTTGCAGAAACCAAATACACCAGCGAAATGCAGATGGCCGAGAGTAATGGCGCTCCGCCACGACAGCCAACTTCCGGTCCGCCCATGTCACCGTCTTTCAAGGTTAGAGGCCTTAAACCACAGATCTGGTCGCCCACTCAATCCATGCGTTCCAACGCGCCGGCAGCAAGTGTGGCGGCGAAAGACGATAACGCCAACGTTAGCGCCTATCAGCAGCAGCCTCGGCAAAACAGCATCCAGGATAGGTTCGCGGTGGCCTCTCATACACCCGCTGTGACAGGCGTACCGCTCGCACAAGAACACGACCGGAATGCCTTCAACACTCCCAATCCGCACAGCGGGGTGTACTCTCCCAGCTCAAGCAGTTCGGGAATCATTAGCGGCACAAACTCGGAACGAACGGTAAAGGGCATATACCGGCAGTGCGCATCGGTTTATTCCGCTATTGATACTTCTGTATTGATATTTCAAGTGGAATATATGCTTCAGATAGACTGAGTTGCATTCTGAAATTGACAGCCGCAGTATCAGGTTTTGGTTGATAGGAGGAGTTAAACTTCATCCAAGATTACGACCGGCGAGCAACCAGTGCCCTTTCTGCTGACACCGAGCCGACAAGTGTCATGTTTGTCGAAAGGACATCCAACGAGCACCGGCTTCCTCGCAGCCAAAATCCCACTGTGACACTGCTGCAGAAGGCCCGAGGTATTATTGGAAAGGTGTTATATCACCTGCTTAATGTACAGCATAACGCGGGAAATTTGCAGAATCCAAGGATGGTCGAATTTCGTTACCGGCCATCGACAGCCAGTCGAGCAGGACGTCAACGCTACAACGGCCTAACGAAGATGATAGCTGGATCCGCGATCGTGAGCCCAGTCATGTGACGCGACATGTCATTCATCGCGAACCGGTTAAGTTCGAAGGCATTGGACCGACCAACGAAAAGGGGTTGCCAATTGGATTAAGATCCGTATGTAAATTTTCTTGGATGTATTTCACATGGATTAAGCGTCCATCTCCATATGCTGCTTTTGCTGTGTCTGGTACAGAACATTAAGGAAGATAATCAACACGATTGGTACAAGAGAATGTTCAAAGCCATACATCGCCCGGAAGACGAGACGGGTAAGCTTGCTCACCGCATTTTGAACACTGCAAGTTATAACACGAAATCCCTGACCAGATCCACCAAATTTTCTGATTTCTAGGATAATTTTACAGAAGTAAATGATACAATAAACAGGTATTTTGTCTGCTCAGTTTAGATGGCAGCGTTACGCATTAAAGGAATGTTATCTGAAGTACATGTTCAATTGAAAAGATATTGTACAATTCCACTAGCATTATCAAACTTTTTCCTCAGAACTTAACTAATTTAATTAAGCCGAAGTAAACCGTTCATGAATCATTTTTCGACAAGTAGGAAAAACTGGAGCAGACTTTGTTACGTGCTTATTCAACGTGCCATAAGTAAATATGCCGGTCAAATGTTGGCGATATGGATGTTGCCGGATCATTTCTGATAAACGTTGCGTAATTAAATTTCCTCCCACGCAAAATATTGTTTCTGTGCAGAATCGATGGAAAAGCAAATTTGTATAAGTATGCTAAATCCATGAGCATACGCATGCTCATCCGGCTGCATAAACGGCTAAAGGTTACGCACACCCAAATGGGTATCTTATGCCACCCCGCTGCGCTCTAAATTAGATTACGGCTCATACAGTGCGCGAAGTTGTTGTCCATCAGTAATATACCACGGTAATAAGCCCTGCACGGTTACGGTACATTGGCCATTCTCTCGGGTTTTTTTCGTGGATATTTTTAGCAATGCAACATTTGTCACTAAGCCATTAAGTACTCCCGCACACAGAGGTTGCAGATTTACAACTCTCCTTAGAAAATCCACAAACCGCAGCTGCCGTAAACCATCGACGCGCACTGCACTTTTTATATACATCTTCCCTGTGCTGTGCGCTGCGGCAGCCGTCGTTTTGGTTCAAACGTACTGTGTCTGGCTATCATAATTCCTTGTCGGAACCGGCCATGGCTGTGTCACAGCCTGTGTGTAATCTCATGTTTCCTTTTTGCTGTTTGCAGATTATGTCCTAGTGAAATACCAGAAGCCGCGAAGATGTAGGTGCTTAACCGGAAATACTTATTCGGCTATCGCTGCATCGCAGAATGGCTAATTTCTCGCGGTTCTTTGCTTCTACACAATGATAATATGTCTGATGGGCCAATCTGCAGTTTCTCTTATCCACAGCATCCGGTTACTCTCCTACGCCGCGGAACCCCTATCTGTCCGATTCTTACATGAGTGAGCCGGAGTCAGGACGCGGCGGTATGTTGTCATAACTCATATTTCCAGTATCACGCATCTGTGCATCGTTATTACTGTTCACACACATCCGTGCCTGGCAGTATGTCATTTTATCTGTGATGCAGACGATAATTACTCCTTTTCCGCGGCTGCCTCCGATATGGAGAACACCAATGATTACGCTGGTAAGTGGGCCTGATCAAAAACTACACTGCATACTTTTCTGAATTCCTACAAAATTACAGTACAGAGAAACTAACAAGGCCGGTCGTCATATATTTTTACACATTTTCAGACTATGCACGCACGCAATCCTTACCGCGATCAAAAGCATCGCCCGAACGGAATGTGTCCTACTCATCATCTGTCACACCCGCCACTCGTAATTATACCATTGGAAATTCCAATCAGCCAGCAGCAGCAGCAACCCGCGGGAAGGAATCATCACCGGGTTACCGAACGGAAACATCGTACAACATGGCCTCGCCATATCGAAATCTTCCCAACAAATTGGATAACTATATTCCTGGGAATTCGTCCGTTTCAATGCAGGAAGCTGTACAGGTGCGTCAGATAACATGGTCGACGTAGCAGTCATGGGATTATCACAACTGTCGGAAAAAATTTAAATTACGTACGCATCTCGCTCTTCTGTGTAACCGATGAACTCTGGCGTTTGTTAGTCCAACAACAAAGTTTTCTTTTCTTTAATTTTTTAAGATTTTCTAGATTTTTTAAACTGAACCGCTTGTTTGGGGTAGCCCATAAGGTTGTCGTACATAAAAAGCATATACGCTTGCGAAAACTACAGAAACTGTTCGAATATTGTGCGCTTGATATATAGACGCAGTCAGGTACATAACTATATTCGTAAATATCTATAGACTAAAAATGCAGTTAAATTAATCTGGTCTAACAAATTTGTTCATGCTGCGAAAAAAGGATCTGGACTGGAGACGGGTATGTAAGAAACTGGATCAAGTATTTGTTTTGGCTTGGTTTTGTAGTTACTTTTTGTGTTTTGGAATTGTATCATTTTCTCTGCCGCCGAAAAGCAGCTAATCTTTCAGTTTGTCAGGGATGCGCAACTGCAGATTCAGTGTGATCACAAACTTCCGTGAACAGCCACGTAACGATACTTTAATGTCATTAATGTGTGTATCCAAGTGCGAATATTGTAAACGTACCACTTGGCGCGTATAGACTTTGTATATGGACATGTTTTAAAATAATTATTCTGCGTAGTTAAGAATATCGCTTTTATTCCCTGACAGCAAGAGAAATTATACAATCCACCACCCGAAACGCCCAGGACTCAGTACAGCTTGACCAACATCACCGTGGGCAATCTGCAGCCAGAGAAAGTGATCTATCGGCGGGGTAATGTACGTGCCCTCTCACCGGAAGAGCAGCGCGAGCACTACAAAGAAATTCAACGCGGCGGTGACATTCCGCTTTCCGGGCTGGGCATGCGAACGCCGCAGAGAGCAAAAGGTTAAACAGGCTTCCTACGCATTGCATATATAATCAGCGCGCCTATCGTAAAGTGCATTCGTGTGATAAAATAATGCCTATTTACAATTTTAAATAATCGCTCGCATTAACGGTGGTGGGACACATCATGCTTTTTATAGAACGGAACATTAACGCATTAACACGCCCGTTTAAGTATTCCCACACTGATTACGATCGATCCTCTGATTTTGACCCTATAACGGCACGATTAAGCGATCAACCCAAATGGACCAATACAGCTTATGCTAATGCCAATTTGTACGACAAGCCGGTACTGCGGCCTTATCCAACCAATCGCTTCTCCTTTTTCAAGTCGGAGTTTTATTCTGATCCGCGGGGAACGACTAATTATCTCGATCCGTATCGCCGGTTTAGGGAGAATCTTACTACTGACGGTGTCCTGCCGGCACAACGGCGGGAGGTCAGCAATGACTTCAGTTTTTTCCGGGCGGTCAGCGGCAGTCCGATTCCCTTCCGCACATCGCCGACCATACAGTCACGCTCGCAAAATACACATACGCGCCGAAGAGTGCGCAGTACGTCGGGCGGAGAGGCGGACTCAATTGATGCATGGCTGAAGAAACTGTACGCGGAACTGGACGGACTGGACCAGACAGTCGCGCCCCAACCCGACCCCCGTCGATATGTCGATCCCGGATTCCGCCAACAGTTATCGGCACAAGTGGCGCGAAAGTGTGCCACGTATCATAAAAACATTCCCGCATCGTTTTCCTACGTCTTTCATTCACCGCTATGCGGGACATTGTTTTCCACAATGACAACTACTGTTTTGGACGACATTAAAAAAGATTTGCAGCCCAATTTGGCGCAATCGAAAACGATCGCTAGTTTTGGCAGTAAAGTGTCTGACACGCATCAGACCAACGGCCACCAATCGCCATATCAACGTGCAGTCGGTGTCAGTAAAGCGGTCCAATCAGCGACATCCCGCATCGCGACCAAACTGCATCAGCCGGCGTACAGCCGCGACCATAAAGACGATGCCCTGCTGGCTTATCTGCAACGAAGAGCAGAGAAGATGCGGCGTTTAACCCGAAAACTCTTTTCGTTATCGCGGGAGTCTGCACCAGGGTATACGAATATACCGCGTAGCGATAAAGGCCGCGTGCGCAAGTTAAGTCAAAAATACGAGACATGGCAGCGCGTCCGATCGGGTGCAGCGTCGCCCATCAGCGGAGCCACCGGGTTCACATACATCAGCCCAGACGACGCGTGGGTGAATCGCACTCACCGAATTCGCCGGAGTAGCAGTTCCAGTTCGCTATCATCCGACAAGGAGAACGCTCATAAAATGGTCCGGTCTAAATCGGTACCCAGTGGCTCCCACCAGGCGCCGGTGGTTACTAACAATCCTTATCGGCATGTGGGATTCGATCTCCTCGAATCTTCCATGAGTCTTGATGATCGCATCAGTTCGGTGTCCAGTTTTCCGGCCAATGCACTGGATGATTTTCGTCGCTCGCCGTCGTCTTGCAGCTCGGCATCCTTCGATCAGCACTACAGCAAATATTTTACAGGTGCTGTTCCGTTTTCAAGGCAGGTTTTTTGCCTGCCAACGCGTTCTTATTTTTCGTTCGAAAGGTCGAAAATTATTTTCAGTTATTCAAAAGGCTGCCAGTCGGCAAGTGCTTAATTTGTGACGGAAGTCATCAACATGGTTACATTGCTTCACCTTGGTTTTGATCCCAGTTCCTGTTCGTTTGCGGTGAAACGTACAACGGCGATAGACGACCTTTTATTTGCCACACATTGCATGTTGCACGCTGCTTTATTATCGTTTGTGATGTCCTTTTGTTTGACGCTTCGTTTACAGTTATGACCCTGTCTCCAAAATTATTTATTTTTATCAGGTCATAGGTTACAATATTTTTTGCAGATTCTGAGTTGAGAGGAATGGACGACTTAAAACTCGAGGCTGATATTGACAGGATAGCTGCTCCGCCTTCTAAAAAGCCTTTGACTGATACAGGTAAAACGTTTATCTATAAAGTACTCTAGGTACTATATGATTTCTTTTTTAAATTGCGAAATTGTAGAATAAATAACGAATATCAGGTAGTTCTACTTGTCCTCTTGTTATTACGTATGTATCGGATGATTTAAAAATTGATATTTAGATGAGCGAAGTTATTGAACCATTATTAAAGGATGCTAATAATTAAACGTATTCGTAGAAGTTGTTCATGCATAACAGTTTCATGCCTTTCCAAACAGGAAACCGGACGCTGACTACGCGCGATATAAATTCGCCCTACATGGCGCCATCGCGATCATCAGGCGGAAGTCTGGAAAGACAAAAGTCGTTAGAGCGGCAGCGATCACTTGACAGGCAGAGATCACGCACGTCGGACCGCGACGACGAGTTGGACTTGATGAGCGAATACCGGCATATCGATGAGATTTACGAGCGCGAGAAAGAGAGACGTCACAAAGTCCAACAAGCGGAAGAGGAGCGCCGTCGGCATCACTATGTGCCCATCAAGTCACCCATCCCCAGTGACAGATACGACAGTGTCTACGAGGATCCCTTTAAATTTGCGCCGGGACGACCGCGCTCAGCCAGTCCGGGATCAGTGGCGTTCGGCCGACACGACCGGGCCCGGTCATCCAGTGTACACAGCACTTATCCTGACAGTGAGCTGATTGGACCCTGCAGAGCGCTGTACTCGTTTGCAGCTCAAAATCCCAGGTAATCCCCAAGCATCCGCTTGCGGCACTTATTTCTATCAGCCATCTTAAATTAAAGAGAAATGTGTTATCGCCAGAATTTATAATCTACAAGTTGCAACAGGGAACAGGTGTTAAGTACTGTAGCCAGCTATTCAAGATAATTCACAATTAATGCAGTAGCCCGATCGAGTAGCTGTAGTTCATGAATTTCCTGTAGACGCTACAAAAATCTGAAATTCTAGCATCACAATAATTTAAGAATTTTAGGTTTAAAGTTATTAGTTTGATTGCACCGCCAACAGGGCATGCTCTCATGTCGACCTCCGTGAGCCATCTGGCAAAAAAATTCATGATACTTGATTTTATTCAGGGAGCTGTCATTTCGCCAAGGCGAGATTGTTCATGTCCGGCAGCAGCTGGATGCGAACTGGGTTGAAGGCAACTGCAACAATCGCGTCGGGATTGCGCCGGTCAGCTACCTCCAAGTACGGTTTACTGCACGGCTGTTAACCTGTTGCCACGACTGCATGTTGAATGTTTTTCAGAGTATGGCAGCTGAAAAGCGGATGAGGGCCGAAAAGCCCCTAACCGAAGGTCACGCACGAGCCAAATACGACTTCAACGCTCACAGCCAAGTGGAAATGTCGATTAAAAAAGGTAGCTGTTTGAATAATGATGCTTTATTTAGTACCTGAAGAATAATTCCTACCCGTAAGTAAGTTCGGTATGTTGTAGTATTATTTTTTTCACTCTAAGGACATTTTATACGGTATTCGTGCCTTTATACCACACGGTAGCTAAGTTATTTTCTTTAATACAGCAGATGCAACAGGTTTCGGTTTTCATGCTTAGGCGAAACCATAGCGCTCATAAGAAGAGTGGACCAAAATTGGTACGAAGGAAAAATTGGAGCCCGTCGGGGAATCTTTCCTGGTAAGCGGAGGTGAACGGTCATGCGTGACCAATAGGAATAGACAGTAGAGGTTCTCCTCCGAACAAGCATTACAGTAAGTGATGTGTGGTTGCAGTATCGTACGTCGAAGTATTAAGAGAGGTAGGTGGCGAAACGGTTGGCTACGCTACATACCCGCGCGCTCCCCACCTGCCCTCCTCCACCTTACCCCTCTCCCGCCCCGGGCCCCTGTCGACTGTTCGCCCCTCTGATTCCAATTACCCGGTCTCCAACCCTGCCACCCCCGGGCCCGGGTCAGCCAGCCGCACCAATACTCCCTCGCTGTCCTCCTCTGCCTCGCCCGCTCCGCGTCGCGCTTCCCTCGTCGAAGAGGGCTCCGACCGGTTACGATACGGTGATGACGTTCTTAAGGAGTTCAAGAGCCAAGTCTCCCAGATCAGTCCCACCGCGTCGCCAAGTGATCAGCTGCTGAGGAAGAGTTCCATTAAAAGCACCTCGGTACTGGATGAACTCAACATCCCGCCACCGCCTTCTACGACGGTCAAAGAGGAGCTGGATCTCTTAAAAAGGGAACCGGACAGGTGAGCGATGTGTTCGCACCGACATAGCATTCGGTTACAAAAATCGTATATTACGATGTTCGTTCGCAGGTGCCGGGTTCTTTATACATACAAAGCGCAACATGAGGACGAGCTGGATCTGCGTGAAGGCGAAATCATCACGATTCTGGAGCGTTGCGATGATGGATGGTTTCGAGGAGGTAATAAGCAGGAACAACAAGGATACTTCCCTGGAAACTACGTCCAAGCTTTGTGAAACAATGAACCAGTGGCCTTCAGAAAGAGAACCATAAGTGACCTTTAATATAACCACAACCGACAACGCGCTCAATGTCCATAGTTTACTATACGTTTTGATACTACGTAGTTGTTCCGGTGTTACTAATCCCGTTGCGAATGCTAAGTGATTATAGGAAAATATAACTTTAGTGGAACAGTCATGTACTACCGCGGAAGGAATTATGGAAGTCATTTTAAGTCTGTGAAGTTGAAATGTGTGGTGACCACTGACAAGTGAATTAAAGGCAATCGTGACTCAAATCATGATTTCTAATTTTTGTAACACTGAATTGTCTATAGGACAATTAGTTCTAGCTGCCCTATCGCGCCACAAGTTCGAATTCGGATTCGGTTCGTTCTTTTTCGATCTGGGTACAAACTACAAACATACTTCGTATATGTAGCATTAAACGTCCAGTATTACCTGTGTGACACAGAAGAAGTACAGAGGGATAGAGATATACAACGTCATGCATTTTCTGATTTCCATTTTATTCATCACTCATGATCAGGTTATTTACAAGGCTCAATCGCATAAGCACAAACAGATAAAGGATAAAAACCAAAAACTGGAATATTCAAATGCCCCATGAACAAGTTACGGAAAATACTTCTCTCATCATCCGCACGAAGCGAGTTTGTCGTCCATGTTTCGAAAAAGGGTTGCAACATAATACAATGGAAAAACTAACCTGAATCCCGCCATACAATTTTAAAGGACCGTGAAAAACACGAACTAGAGTTCCAAAGAAATGACTGCAGCGAAGACCTGAATGCATCGTAGTTTCGAAACGCGAGCATGGGATTGGGGAATAGTGTTTCGCGGTATAGGGAGATTCGACAGGGAACCGCATGGAATCCTGCACAAAGTGTGTACCACGCCAAGCATCACTCACTGCTGATTATCAACTCCCACCCACTGGGCAAACGTCACGGTCTGGTCCGGATTTTCCTGTTGAATCTGCTGCTGCCATTTGGTCTCCAGCTTCTGCAGTGTCCGAACAGGAAGTTCGAAAATGCTTTTCTGCTGAGCTTTCTTCAGCTTCTTTTCTTTTGAACTGCAATGAATAAACGTCAAGTGATTGCTTTGAAAGTCTAATACACAATCGAAAGCTCCATCAAACAATTAAATGGCGTACAGTTTGGCTTTATTCCAATAGTGCGCGTAGAGCAATTCGTGTGCGACCGTGTGCTTGGTGGTGCCAATGAGATCATACTCGACAATCAGTTCTTCTCCGTTTCCGTCCTTACTCGTCCAGCCGGGATATTTGACGCGATACAACGGCACTTTTTTTTCTAAATCAGGACACTCGTACGGTTCATCCTCCACGTTAACAACCTTAAAACCAAAATCAATCTATTCCAGTATTCCTGTACTAAATCCCAATAAATTAGCTGCAATATATAGTCAGTAATTGAAATTAGAAAGAAACTTGGTAAAAAAAATTTTCCGACAGGGGAAAACCATTATTTTGTCTAGCACACGTGATACAGTACAGTAAGTACACCGTACAGTTAATTTTATTACAGTAGTTAAAAATTTTTTAACTAGCGCCAATCAATAGTCAAAACCGTATGTAGAACCAGTATAGACTCAGTTCCTTCAGATTTCTTACAACAGCATGGTAATAATATCCTTGACAGCAAACGGCCACTGGATCCCCTGAAATGCAATTTACTTATGAAACACTCTTGAGTTTAATGAAGAACTTGTGGAAAAACGTATGTGAACAATTATACATACGAACTTAGGCTATACACACAAAAGCTTATAAGTAATAAGTACTGTGTTAATCGTACTCTTAGAAGTAAAAGCATACTGTGTAAAAGTTAATACTACTAAGTACTAAGTGACTGATTGGAAGTACGGTAAGAATACTGAATTCCACGAACCTTTTCCAAATTTCGGTTCATACGTGTACGAATCCAGTGCATACGGTTGATCCTTCACTTTCTGGATGCTGTTGCCAACTCTGTCTAACCGATCGGTCACCGATAACTCTTTCCAAGTTTCGTATTTGCTTTTTTGTTTCGAGCTGCTCGGCTCTCCGGTGGCAGCCATACTGTCGGCTATCCAGAGATTCACGTAATGCAACAAACGCCACTACGAAAAGGGAACTACGAAATCAACACAACTACTACGGACTACGGAGGCTGAAGAGCAATACTTGAAGTATGCGTTATAACGAATGCAAAAATGGTTTTCTGATTTTTTACACATCCACAGTTATACGTATACTCGGAATTTGTTAACGCACTGACACTGGGCACATCGCAAACAAAGAAACCAGGAAAAGGATCATCATTTACGAAAGCTTGTTTCTAAATACTCGCATTCGATTGTTATTACTACAGTAAGTAATAATAATTTTTAATTATTTCTTATGACGTTCATTTGGCAAGCCGGTAGGAACTGCCAGACCCCGCTTTCCGAGACAGCAGTTTAAACCCTGCTGCCGCCCTTATGCGGTTATGGTCCTTATGGAAAGCCGTTGACAACACAGCTCGTTCAGTGCCACTGCTGACCATAAGTTGCTAACTGCCTGCTAACAGCCTAAAACAAATGCCTACTACAGATACTTTGTACAAATAACAGGACGGTGACAGGACTTACTGTGTGTCACCGGCCATTTGCCTAACACCGGAAATGACTTCTGCCGCAAATAATTCAATAAAACTAGGAAAGTGCACCCGTATTTTGCGGGCACTGGATGACAGGCCGAAGTTTCACCAGAAACTTGCTTGGTACGACCTTTACGCCCGTGATGATAATTCCGCAATGATGTTCCATATCAGACTACCAACGCGTTTAATATTAGTAATCCATTAATAATGATCCCCTTCTGATTATTTTTTTAAAATTATTCTCAGTGGTAACGCACTGGTAACACACGTGGCCGTTTCGATAAGGTCACGGAATAATCTAAAAACCAACGTTTCCATGTAATACTTTCATATCTCATTGTGACCAAAACGCTCCATTTTCGTAATGGTGGCAGGACGGACAATGACATTTTCCCAGACGCACCCGTAAATTTTGAAAACCGTACGTTTACGCTCTCACGCTTTTGGGGGAAGTCCAGTTGCTGTACTGAATTTAAAATAGTGTATGCGGCAAAATTATTGGCGGATGTTTTTCTGGACCGGGGTGCACGTGTTTTACCGGTTTAAGTGCAGGACCATTCAGGGAAAATTGTAACTGTCCGGACTTATCAGTTAAGTACATCCGCCAGTTACTTATTAGTCAGGCAGTGCCGCCGTCTAGCAGTGGCGTGCTACATTAAGGGTCTATCTTCTTTCGTTTATGATTCATCCAGTTATCCTTTAAACGACAAAAAGTGTCTTTCTGTGCTTAGTTTGAGAACATTCTACCCTGCTTGAAATTTTGGAACCACCTGGTATTTCCCGAACCAATGGCAAGCGCCCGACAGAGTAATACATGTGGGAAAGAAAAAAATGTTGATCTACGAAGCCACATGTATGTGCACGGTAGCTTAATAGCACTTCACGCGGCGCGCGCAGAGCAGAGCATAATGTGGCGAAGCATTGGAACGTTAATGCTCAAGACACAGATACGGATACATTACATACAGTACATAAAACACTCTGGACGCTTGGCACCGAACTCAGGAAGATGATACAATAGGATAACGGCGAGGTACGGGCGATGGAGTAAGTATCTGTGTCAGCGGAACTGAGCGGATAAGCATTGAAATCCAACAGCCTCTGTCATGGGAACAGCACAAGCATAAGCTAATTTAGACGCTGTCGGTTGAGGCTGTGTAATCAGCGCAAACCTTTAATTTTACTTGTACATAGAAAACTTGTGATTTTTGTACCGCAAGTCTGAATTAAAAATAGGCGATACTAGATTTACAAGCACTTAAGTTAAATAGGTACATAATCTGGTCAGAAGAAATTGCGAATGCAGTTACCGTGCAGAATCAAAGTTATAAAAAATTGTGTGCTGAAAAGTATAAGATTGACGTCGTACTTATAAATTCGGTTGTACTTACTGTAGAATAGGGTAGTCCTACGACATAATACTTATATATCTGATGACTGCATTATGTGTAAGTTGTAACGTATGATAATTATGTAGGAATTATTGTAGCACGTAGCGACAGCTTAAAGATAATCATGGTATTCGATCACGATTAACTATCAGGAAAATTCTAATCTTTAGAGAATGTTCACTGCTGTCTTATCAAAATTGCGCCAGATTTTTCCAGTTCGCAATTGCTCAAATTTGTGCAAGACAGGTCAGTTTGGACATCTCGCACTCTCAGCCCTATCTTTTGGGAATTAAAGTCGATCATTTTATTGGTTTAGTTATTAGCCAGTACTTTAGGTTATTGTGATAAAGTCTTTTGTGATAAATCTTTTGTGATAAAGTCGCTGATAAGTGATAATGAATGTCGGTCGTACTACCGTATGATCTAAATTCGCTCGACGGACAATCTCTTCTGTTAGCGGGATTAGTGTTGGCGACGATTCCAGTTTATATCCTTTAAGTTGGGAAAATGTAGTTGTTAAAACGACAGCTGGACCTGAGTATCCTGATCATATTTGTAACGTTGCACGAGTATTGAAGATCGAAGTCAGACCATAGTCAGACTATATAAGTAATCACTCGACAATCTGGCCACTTTGCTTTGGCGCTTTTTAGTCACAACAGTTCACAGCGTGCAAACTGTAAACTGCAACGCAGTTCTTAAGCAGAGTATTTTTAAGTGACTGTGAATTTATGGATGACAAAGTCGAAATAAGTTTTGGGGATGATGCGGCACCTGCAGGATTTGCCGGCACCGGAATTGACAATCCTGTTTATCAATCCGAAACACTCTTGCACTTTCCCGACCAGCAAACCGACAGTTCTTCCAAACCACTGACACTTAGTTTTCACGATATCTGCTTCTTCGCCAAAATTAAGAAAGAAGAGAAGCAAATTTTGGATAATATCAGGCAGGTTGAAAATCTAGTTATTAGTGGAATTTGGACCACTTCGGCTACCCTTTTGTTATGAGATCTAGATATATAATTCTATGTTTTAGAATTTAAAGTTTCCAAAGGTTCTGTCTTCACGACTGTTTATATAATTTATGTACACTGTTTATATATGTACAGTTCTTAGTGCAGTTAACTATAGTCTGCGGCCTGTTATTCACCGACCGACAACCAAACTTCTTGGTAAAAAAATTGAACTGTTTATATACTCGTTATAAGCCGGTCTCGGTACATGTACACTGGAATCAAGTAAAAAATCCTGAAATTGCTATGTCTAGTGGAATTTTCTGCGGAGGCTTAAACGCAATCTTGGGACCTACTGGCAGCGGTAAATCTAGCCTGCTGGACGTATTAGCCGGTCGTAAAGACCCGCAGAACGTCAGCGGTAAGGTGTTGCTGGATGGGAAAGCCACACCCTCCGATTTTCGATTGATGACCGGTTATGTCGTCCAGGTACTTTCTGTACCGAAAATCAATTTTTTAATCAATCATGTATGCGCTAGTGTACTAAACAGTAAAAGTTCAAAAGTCTGTGACATGCGTAAGCATATCCAGTCAAGTTGAATGACTCATTTCGAGTTTTCAAACTATCCTGTGTAGGATGATGTCGTAATGGGAACATTGACGATTCGCGAGAATTTATCGTTTTCCGCTGCTCTTCGGCTGCCGCAGAGTTTGACAAGCGATGAACGAAATCATCGAGTGAAGCAAGTAATCGAAGAACTGCAGCTGCAGAAATGTGCGGACACGAAAGTCGGAACAGAATTAATACGGGGAGTTTCCGGTGGCGAAAGAAAGAGGTGCAACATTGGGATGGAGTTGATCACTTCGCCACGAATTTTATTTCTGGATGAGCCAACGTCCGGATTGGATGCCAACACAGCGAGTCACGTAATGAAAATCTTGCATCAGTATGCTTTCTTTGAACAACCCACATTTGTTTTGTTTTATACCCCATTTCTCAAAAAATTTTGTCCGCGCTGTACAAGTTTGCACTCGTACTGTACTGTTCTTCAGGATGTCTCAGAGTGGACGCACAATTATCTTCTCCATCCACCAACCGCGGTTTTCTATTTACCGGATGTTTGATACACTCGTGCTTCTTTCCGCTGGCAGGGTTGCGTACCATGGATTAGCCGCTAAATCGATAGATTATTTTCAAGAAAATGGTGAATTGTTTGATTTGTTTGAAAGCTTTAATTTTTTTTGCTAACATTCAGACATGTAAGAGTAGTACAATGAAATACAATATGCGGATACACATACACGTAATAAAAATATAGCTATTATGGATACAGCTCCTTACGTATCTGTAGTAGCATTAATTTTAATTGATCACTCTAGGCTACGAAATTGAATCGCACAATAATCCAGCCGATTTTTTCCTGGATGTGTTAATGGGCGAAGTGGAAAGAAATTCCCAAGCGGGACCATCGGATGAACCTCTGGAACTGTTGTACGCGAGATCTGAGATCAAAGAAGAAGTCGATCGGAAACTTGCCTCCATTTGGTCCGTTCATCAACTAAGCGGTGGACGAAGCGAAGAAAATAGCGGCCACAGGGCCGGCTACAAGACATCGTTTGCACGGCAGGTGAATATTTCGAAAAAAATAACAAAATAAGTGGATTATGTACATACGTTCTTCGACATATACTCACGGGATGGTTTCGAAGTCCACCGACAAGTAGATACCTCCGTACTGCTGAATGCGGTTACAATGGACTCTTGAACACCCAGTGCTGTTCCTTAGCCGGATCTTTCCAAATATCGAGACATTACAATACCGCAGACCATACTGTAGCATTATAAGACTACTGTGGTACTGTACGAGTGTCCATGTTAATCGTGTCCCACATGACCTTTACGCACTCACAGTAGAATTCAATTTACTCACAGTAGAATTAATTAAATCCGTTACGCAATCCACTGTATCTATACGAGTACAGATATTATATCTCTGTTCGCATAGATTCATAGAATATTCTTTGTGCAGTATAGAATTGGTAAATTTAGTTACATGTAGATCGCGATTGTTTCTGGGCGAACGGTGAAAAACCTAATCCGCAATCCGCAAACATCCATTCTACAGCTGGTGATCATGGTTGTTTTTGGAGCTATCGTTGGCGCCATATACTGGCAAGTGGATCAGTCTTATCCTGCCGGACTTCAAAATCGGTAACGAGCTCAGTATCGTCGAAGAACGCACACGTTTAACATTTATTAAAAATTTGAATTGCTGCAGATATGGTGCTTTCTTCTTCATCATAATGAATTTAGTTTTTGGTAAGGTTTGCGGGTCATTTTTTGGGAATTTTTTGCATGTTCTAACGCACATTCATTTTATTCGTTAACAGGAAATCTGGATGCCGTAGAACTTTTCGTCAAAGAGCGGAGGATCTTTGTGTAAGTTTCAGTTGTCTTACTCGAGCATTTATTTAAACGTTTGCCTTTAATCAATACGCGTGTTTTCAATGCTGATTGTGCTAAAAATATTGATACTTTTTAGGCATGAAAACGCAAGTGGCTTTTATCGCGTGTCCAGTTACTTCCTGGCAAAAGTTTTTTGTGACATTCTGCCACGACGTACGGTTCCCACGCTGATTTTTTGCTCCATTGCTTACTTCATGATCGGTAATTGTAATAAGTTAAGTTGGCGGCTTATTGTCATCGATCCATCGGAAGCCAGCAACGTTGCATATTTTTTCTGTAATTAACTAATACTTTGATTAATGCTACGCTTTTACGCATGGCATCATTGTCATGCCAGAAAATGAATAACTGTAGCGTGCTTAATAATTCCGTATAATGCTTAATAGTTCCATTAGTACTGGGAATTCGCTTTGACAGCTGTTAAGGTGACATCGATATTTTAAGTACTAGCACCGTAAGCATAAAAACTTTTTAGATAACGACGTCATATAGATATTAAGGTAACATAACTTTTGTTTGAATGATGAAAAACATAGTACTGTACTGATGTAAACCTCGGTAACATCTGCGTTATTATTATTGTTGTTCGGTAACATTTGCAGGTTTCCAAACCGACGCCGCGAAGTGTTTTATTTTTGCGCTGACGATGCTGTCAGTTGCTTTCGCTGGAGCATCCTTGGCTTTTCTGTTCAGCGCCTCAGTCAACGTATTTGCTATAGGGAACCTTATGATTGCTTTGTGCTATGTTTTTATGATGGTATGTATTACATAGAAACTTTTTTTATAATCAGAAATTTACGATGTTCGCTCGAAAGTAAAAATTAAGTTCGACTTTATTCCGATTATTTATTTCCACATAGGTAGTAACATGTCGATACCATTTTGCTTATTATTTGTTCCTTATAGTCTTCTGGTTGACCTTTCAGCTGTTTTCCGGTTTTATGGTCAATATTGGGACCGTCTTGAGTTGGCTACAGTGGATAAAGTGGCTAAGCTTTTTCCGTTACGCTATGAGCGCGGTCTCAATCAATGAACTTCATGGGATGGAATTTTATTGCAGCCCTGGTCAAAATGTCACAACGATATGGTGCGCAAAGTCATGTAAAAATTTTAGCTGTGTTAAAGATTAATTTTAAGGATTGTGTTTATATGTAATATTGCTAATTACAGCGCCACTGGAGACCAGTATTTACAACAGCAAAATATCAAGTTCGATGTTCCCTGGGATTTATGGCAAAACATAGTTGCGCTGGCATCAATGGCACTTATTTTGCTTTTCCTTGCTTACGTACAGCTTAGAAGAATAAAAAAGTTACGGTAACTGTTATTTCCAAACTATAACTGTTATTTGCAAACTGTTATTTCCAAACTTTTGCGTACTTGCTTTTGGGAACAGCTGGGAACGGCGACTAGCGCAACAACCGCAACAACCGCACTCCAATGGAAAGAATACAGTTTTTCCCCATAGATGCATGTTTTACAGATTCTGTTTTTAACTTGTAATCACTTAAATTTGCTGTTTCTGTTAACCATAAAGTATCGTACATGCTCATTCAGACTTGCGAAGACTTTTTTAGTCGGCAATTGCCCGTTCGCATTTTGTTAAGCCGGCACAGATAGACAGTAAAAATAAGAGGTTTGACATAAAGTTGGCCATATTGATAACAAAATTAAGTAAGTCTGTTGTAACGAAATTGGTTCTGGTCAAAAATAATTACGTACAACATTAGTTTAGCTAACAGCCAAATGGCAAACCAAAAATGCTGTGCCCTTGTATTTTGACTACAGTCACAGATGATGGTACTGACCAAAATGAATGTTTTGCTTTATATATAGTTTTAACTTTTAGTTGTTTGATATGAAACTTTCCGACCACGCTCCTAGCATTATAGAATCAGATTTTAGAAGTACTTGCAAGTAATAATTCTTTGTTCTGGTACTAACAGCAAGTACAAGTTGACTGTTAGCAGCTTAATTCATGTTACTATGGCTAATTTTCGTGCGTACAAGTGCAATCAAAAATACTTACTACGAACTTGCAACATACATAATATTTTTATTATTATTATTATGTCGTTTTGCGGTTTTGGTAACGTAAGGAAATTGTGTGGTCTCAGAATTTTGTTCTTTTATTACCACTGGGCAGTATTTAACCAGGATTGTAATTTGTGTACTCACCTTGGTGTCAGGATGCACGATACACCCCGCATTCGTAGAACGAATGATCTTGTTGAAATCGATTGAATTCGTAAGTATTTGAGGTATGCATGTGTACGGTAGCAATCAGCCTTCCGGAAACCCACAAACAGCTTATCAGCTACAACCAAGCACAACACATGGTTTTGATCCTCCTCCTCCTTATTCGGCTACGTCTACGATAACCTCTCCTGTTGGAATGCCGGCAACCCCAATAGTGTATGCTTACCATTATGTTCATCTGATTTTGTGATAAGTAACGATTAGCAGCCACAGCCGACTCATGGTCACAACAAGTGCTCAATGCGTTAGTGGACGCAGTACTGTTACGATTAACAATCAGCTAGAGTCATTATTTACGTAGTAGAATTTAAATAAGCATGCGATGTTTTCAGCACTGTTTATAACAAGACCTGCATAGTCTTCTGTTATCTTCCAGTTACGTCAAGGAAGTTTACCATCCTGTTCCCAAAGATGCCATGGCAGAAGATTGTTGCATGGCAGCTTTTTGCGCAGCTTTATGTTGTTGTTGTTTAAATATGAATTTCTAATAAAAAGATAATGAAGTGTATCAGACACCATAACCAACTCGCAGAACCGAATTTGCAGGTTCATTATTCGCAATCGCATAGAAAACGACATTTAGATTGGACCATTCCATAACCAATCATCAACACCACAACAGAAACCAAACTGCTTTTCAGAGCTCCAGTAGTGAAAGAAATTGCACTGCTATAAACAAATAACCACAATAAACTGAGACTTCAAATTTTTGTAAGTATTTACAAGTAAAAATACGATATCTAGCCGTCTTCCTAGATCAGATTATGGAGAACACCGCTTAAACATAAAAACCAAAAACCATGACCTTTGGCCACAAGATCATGTATTCAAACTATCTCAGTAAAAACCGAATGCCAGATGCGCGAATTCGACTGCATTCACCCAAATCAATACATCACTGTTAACAATCTAAACAATTCAAATATCCACATCATTCCTCCCTTAGTCGTTGTACTGGTAACTTGGACTGGCCGGTGAAATCCTACAAAAACATCCACATTAGGCAATTCTGTCAAAGCAGATTATATCCTATCAACACACAGAGTGTTCTGATACAATGCAAATACAGATGCTTTACAAATCAGCTTAAAACTGTCCAAATTTGAATTAAACTTCACTTACTGCGACGGCGAATAGGAGGGTGAAGAAGGTCTATAAACACAATGTACACGCATGAGGCCCATTAGCTTACTCATACTGATGGTATTAATGAAATTCACCAACTATCGACTTACGAATAAACTGGAGAAGCTGGTGAAATATATGCTGGAGAACTGGAAATGCAAAATAATATTACAGTATCGGCAATCCTATATCTTGAACTGAACATCACACAGCATACCTTGGCGAATACGCCGGACTTGCTGGAGAACTGTACTGCGGTCTGAAAAGGACGGTTGAGCGTACAAAAAGGCAACAGAGACTAGCAATATCGTGCACTAAACCCATTTAGCAAACGGCAACTTACGATGTGGGGCTGCAAAAAAGAAAACAAGGTAAGACTAAGACCTCTCTAACAGCAAGCAATAGGAGTAGTAATTGGTACCTGTACGATGGAGAAGCCGGAGAATACTGTGGAGATGTTGGTGAGTAATACGCCGGACTTGAAGGGCTGGAAAGACGCAAAGTAAAGACGGCTAGTAAAGGTTGCATGGTTTTTCATAAGTTTTCAGTATAACACTAGAGTAGATTAATACAAATATCTTGTACCTGTAAGTCGGGGATCCAGTGCCAGCGCTGTACATCTGTGGCGATCTGATTCAACGAAAAAATTGTTAAAGCCGATCTTAAGACTCAGATTGAGAGTACCATTACTACAGTACTGATATTGTCCAAAACTACAAAAAGTTCACTTACGTTGGACTATAGCTAGGCGACGTTGGAGAATATCCAATGCGCGGAGACCTAAACGGGAAGATTATCGTGTGCACACCGCAGACAAGTTGAATCAATCACAGACTTACGTAGGGCTGTAGCTTGGCGAAGCTCCTCCAAGTCCACCGGCTCCAACACTAGGAGATCTACAAGGAAACAAGGTATGCCAATTTGCTATAACAAGGGCTCCCAAACGTGCTTACAAAGCATTGTAGCTCGGCGAGGTTGGCGAATACGAATGCCGTGGACTGACAGGTGAGTAGGATGGACTCCTGCAACAGGAAAACCTCCAGTACACTACGCCTATCCGCACATATCAATCTTACTTACGTTGGACTGTAATTGGGACTCGTCGGACTGAAATACAATAACCGTCACACAGGACCAGCTAAATAAAAAGTTTAACCACATACGAATAATTTGGAGATGCGCCAGCTGGAGAAGTTGGAGAATACACAGGCGAGCTAGGAGAGTAATGGCTGCTTGGCCCGACATGCAATGGCGATCTGGAACAAATGATGTTAAATGGTTTTCCAGAATAAACAACATCATTCAAATTAAACCCTTACGAAGGCGAATAACTCGGATTCGGCGACATTGGAAACATCGGGCTGGAAGGCCCCGGTGACATGAGTCCGGCAGCAGGGGACCAAGGCGATGCTCCGCCATCTCCCCGAGGTGTCATCATCGGGCTCATGTTAGGCATCGGTGAAAATACAGAATGGCCTGGCGTGACGGCGGCCAATGGTGACCAAGCCTGATTGTATGACGGCGTGCCAGCATTGAGCCAAGGTGTCAGTGGCGCGTTTCTTCCGTCCAACAAAGCTCCCGCTCCATCTTCAATGTGAGCCAAATTGGCGATATTCATGGGTACCTCCATACCATGTCGGCACTTATCGGGGTCCAGAATTAAGTCGAAAGCTCCCGTTCCCAGCCGAGCCAGCTGTCCAAGCATGATATTCTCCGACACACCTTTAAGGTAATCACATTCTGCATGAGCCGCGGCTTCCATCAACACATCCACAGTCTCTTCGAAAGAACACTTCATTAGTGGTCCCACTTCCTGCCGATTTATGCCATGGCGGGTTATAGCCATCAAATGCCCTTTAGCGGTCATCACATCGCACAAAAGTGCCAAATGGCGGTAATTCACGTAAGAGCCATCGAAAGAAATGACGTGATTTATTTCTTTTTCCAGCGACTTACGAACCGCTTCGATACCCAAGACCTAATAAAAGGGAAATGTATTCTGAATGATATTCAGAATAATCAAACTGCCTCTGCTGAACTACTTACCGCAAACACTTCGCATATATCATTACTAACAGTCCTGACGGGGTCCACATCTCGATCAGCCAACACCCTCATCAAACTGGTACCATCCGTTTCCAGAATCCACTCTGAAATGGCTTTAAATTCTCCTTCGTCCGTTATAACAACGCGTTTCTTGTTATTCTCCACTAGTGGCAAGTGCATGTACACTTTGCTGATCGCTTCGATTCCCTGCAATGTCAGATCGGACAACAAATTCGTTTCGATACACCGCAAAAACATGTCATCCTCCATCTTATCAACTTGATCCCTCGTCTCATCATCCATTTTGTCATCCGTTGGATTATTCATGATACGGATGCGCATAACCAGGTTCTCCGCATTGTCATCGTTGAAGATGACCAACAAATCGTCGCCAAATCCTTGCTGGATTTTCTCAGCTATACTTTCCATGGTTAATTTCTTATCCGTCATACGTTTACGGTCCATTACAATGCGCAGTAGCCAGGGACTAACGCGGGAAGTATCGAAATCGGGCATTTCATAATACACATTTACAAACTCTTGATCTTCCTGGATGACTGTCTGCTGCGGGTCGGGATCGTAATAGATAGCGGTATTGGCAGCCACTTTACGAAGGGTCGTATGTTCCAGCCGGCACAGCACTTCCTTGGCTTTTTCTGCATCTCTCGCTGCTTGGCCAAGCAAAAACACGGTCAGCGATGGTGTTTTCGGCTTTTTGCTTACGTTAATCAACTCTTTCAATCGCGGCACACCAAGGGTTACGTTCTTAGCAGAGACTCCGGCATAATGGAAGGTGTTCAAAGTCATCTGCGTAGCCGGTTCTCCCAGACTCTGAGCAGCCAGTGCACCCACCATTTCTCCCGGCACGGCTTGAGATTGCGCGAACTTGGATTCTATCTCACCCAACAACCACTCGAATGCTTCCGTATTTAGGTGATGCTCCTCAGCCATCTTCCTCGAGCAAAGAGTAGAACGAATCATGGTATTAATCAAAATTGTAGCATTTTCCTGTGCTTCCCTGCTCAATCGATCTTCTCCCTATAACGAAAAATCACATAATTCTTCCCTGTTATGCGCAAAAAGCGCATCATTTACGGCGAGACGGCTTATATCAAACGAAGTACAAGAAACCGAACAGCTTCCCGTGATAAGATCCTGCCTTTACCTTGACGATCACCAATTTCTTCAAAAGCTCCGAGACACCTTCCACAACACGAACAGGATGAAGATCACTTGTTCCACGCAAGTTGATGTGGAAAGTCTTTTGTGCGTTCCATATCATACGCGAAAGATTACACGGCAACACAACACGCGATTCACCTGTGGGAAAAATCTTCCGGATAGTCTCACGATCACGCTTCATCTGCTGGAATTCTTGTTCCAAAATGTTAGGTACATCCGGATTAGCCAAAATATCACTGACCACACCCGGCTCATACAATTTCTTCAAATATCTCTCGTTGCTGGTCTGCATTTTGAAACGCTTTTCAAAAGCAGTATTGCTGGGTTTCATTGTGGCTAGATTTTGGAACTCGACAGCGCATGAGTCCAGACCGTCTTCGCCGTACCGTAACTGGATCATCGCTTGATGGGCATTTCTAACCGTTCCATCGTACTGCACCATGACGCTCTCCATGGCTTTAATCAGACGCCGCTGAATGTACCCCGTCTCAGCAGTTTTCACGGCTGTATCAATTAAACCTTCCCGACCTCCCATGGAGTGGAAGAAAAATTCTGACGGTGTCAATCCTGCTAAGTAGGAATTCTCCACAAAACCACGACTTTCTGGCCCGTAATCATCCGTGATAAAATGTGGCAGAGTACGGTGTCGGAAGCCGAAAGGTATCCGCTTTCCTTCCACGTTCTGCTGCCCGACACAAGCAATGACCTGGGAAATGTTGATCTTGGAGCCTTTCGATCCGGCGACGACCATAGCCTTGAAGTTGTTATAATCGGATAAGGACTTCTGAGCGCTTGAACCAGTTTTTTCACGAGCTTCATTCAGAATCCTGTTCACTTGGTTTTCGAAGGTCTGCCGCAACGTATTGCCTGGAGTTGGTTCGAGTTCATCGTTGTGCGCTTTTGCAATGACTTCCTCCACTTCCTGTTTGGCTTTTTTAATTGATTCCTGAATGTCGCGGTATGTCTGTGGATCAGCGATTGTATCTCCAATGCCGATACTGTGGCCTTCCAGCAACAGCCAGTTGTTCACAACAGTTTGAATATGCGACAAAAATCTCCCGCAGATTTCCTGGCCCAACTCCAGAAAGACGATATGAATCAACGATCCAGCTGACGTCCCGAGACTTTTTTTACAGATAATGCCGCTCAATAACTGACCGTGCTCAATCAACACCTAAAACAGCACGGAATTTTATTTACTGTGTAAATCCATGCTAAAACCATTAAGTCGCGGCAAAAACCCACTGAGCGCATCCGTACTAGTATTCATCGGCTTACCTTAGTATCACCAGGGGAAATCCATTTATAGGGGCCATCATCCTCGTCATCCGGATGAGTGCTGTGGGTACGGATGACATTTACGGGTCCAGGGATTACTAAGCTGAAAATCTGCTTTCCGGTCCACAACGGTTTCGGCTTCAGAATGGCTGGCATTGGGATTTTGCCATCCCAGCTAGGCAGCCACATTAGTATCTGCATCATTTGTTCCTACAACACCAAAATCTAGGAACTCCACAATCACAACAACCACTGTTTTAAAATTCGTACTTTATCAACAAATACATCGCGCTTTGTCATCTTCCGCACGGCTGTCAAAGTATCTTGCACGATACCCATGACGGGTCTATTTGCCTGTGGTGTAATAATCTGCCGCGGTACCAGCATGATTTCTGAAACTTCGGCCCTGGTTTCCATAGATTGTGGAACATGTAAATTCATTTCGTCACCGTCGAAATCCGCATTGTACGGAGTCGTAACACTGTAAATACAGATTAAAAAATTTATACAGGTGCACTGAAGGAACCATCTTCCGAAATTACCTAAGATTCAAACGGAACGTTGACCAAGGTAGAATTTTTACTCTGTGCCCCATCATAGACATTTTGTGCAGCGTTGGCTGACGGTTGAAAATAATGACATCATCGTCGTTTATATGACGTTCAACCTGAAAAGCAAAAAGGATCAGAAAGTTATCAATTTCCGAAATGAGCGACGAAACTTACCTTGTAACCACATTCCAAGTGCAAGTCACTTGCTTTCGGATGAAATCGGAGGTCAATTCTGTCACCATTATCTCGGATGATGTATTTCGCGCCGGGATGTTGATTGTGTCCACGGTAAACCAAAGCGTACAGTTTTTCGATGTTGAACGGTGTTACAATTTCAGGAAAAGTAAGATTCTGAGCGATGGTTTTCGGAACTCCGACTTGATCGATACGTAGGTTGGGATCTGGGGTGATTACAGTACGAGCCGAAAAGTCGACCCGTTTACCCATTAAATTACCGCGGAGACGACCTTCCTTTCCTTTGAGACGCGCCTTGACAGACTTCAACGGGCGCCCAGATTTTTGCATGGCCTGCGAAAATGTCCGAAATAATAGTATACAATTTAAAATGTCAAATAACGTAACGTTTAGCATCCAAGAAGATTACCTTTGGAAGACCAGGAATATCATTATCAACCAAAGTAGACACGTGGTACTGTAACATTTTCGTATCTTCAGCGATCACATGCGCTGCAGCTCCGCTCGCCTCATTTCGCTTAAGCTGATTGTTGGTTTTCACAATCTCTGCCAGCTTGTATGTGAGATCGTCCTAAACATGGGGAATCATAAACATTTGAGAAATATATTATTTCAAGAAACAAGATGCAAAGAAGAAAGAACTTCCAATGACGAAAATTACTTATCACTTTATGGTACCTGGCTACGAGCAGATCCCATCATGACAACTGAAGGTCGAACTTGAAGCGGGGGCACCGGCAGTACAGTAATAACCATCCACTCCGGTCGAGCGAACCTAAGGAAGATCACAACATCAAACACATCCACCCCGAAGTGAGCCAAAGCATAGTGCTGACAGCGAGATGCATACTTTGTGTCAAAACCCAGCAGAACACAGTCTTCGTCAGAAATGTTCCGAAAAATTTCCAACACTCGATCTGCAGAGATTGGAGTTTTCCGCTCTTGGTTGTCTTCATTCAAATTTTTCCATTCACCAAAAAGATCCAAACCGCTGCGCTTTATTCGCGGTTGGTAGCGTCCACAGCCGGAGAATCCAGTCTATATATAAATAAAAAACACTATCTAGCGTTCAGTACACAACATGAACCTACTCCTACATCAGCTCACTTTTTTCTTGGTGGCATCTTCCGGTGCACCATCGCCATCGTCTGGTTTTTTCGCGTCCAACTCCGCCCCACCCTCACAAATACTCTTGGACTTACAAATATCGTATACCACTTGGAGGCGCTTCTTGGGATTTCCCTTGGAGAGTGCTATGGCTCGTTTCATTGCATCTGTTTCCTATGCAGCACGTACGAAAGAAGTTGGATACAAAGACGTAACAAAGTTTTCAAAAGCTTATTATTTCAAAACTTACCGGGTTCACCAACAAACGGGAACAAGTGAAGCAAACACAGCGGAGCACTTTGATCGTTTTTGTTAGAAACCCGACATGAAATACTGGTTTTGCCAAGTCGATATGACCGAAATGCCCTGCCGTTTAAAAAGACAATCAAAGTAATTTTAAAACAATTTTTATACAACATTACTAAATAATAAATATCGTATATCGCCGTATCAGGAAAAAATTAGAGTGCAAAGATTATAATCTTCATGTATGGTTTCCGTAACAGATATCATCCTTTACGGCAGCATTGGCGCTAGTAACAGGAACTGAAACAATACCTGGGCACTCCGTCATGTTGCCAGCACACGTCTGACACCGCATCATCCTGTCCACAGTTCCCAAACGCGGATCCATCAGTCCATTGAGTTTGGGTCGACCCTGTTCGTAGATTTCGGGGTACTTGATCCCACCTTCCGACGCCGACATCGCGCGCTAAAATTTTTCAGATTAGAACAACGGCCAGATATATTCCCATGGCTTTACGTTAATACAGACTTCGCTTACAATTTCGTCCGGACTCAGGATGCCAAACTGCACCCGTTTCACCGTCCGGATCGGCGCAGACGAGTCCATAGTGAGAGCGGCGACCGCCATTTCGGACAATCGCAATATTACCCTTCCCAACTTTCCACTTCACCAACCTGAAATTCAAAATCTTCTTTCTCCATTTCAAACAGTGAGTGTTTCACTTCACACGACCACCGCGTAAATTTGAAGATTATTACGAAATTTCGACAGGTAAATTGTATTAGCATTACAATTAACGATCGTAAATACTGCAATACAAATTAAACACACACTATTTTTTCAAATTTTTATAAATAATGCATACAACGACTTCCGTTATCCTATTTTCAAATACTCCCTCAAAACTAGAGCGTGTCAGAAATAAGTTCGCTTAAGTCCAAAACAATTGTTATCAGTTATACAACGAGAAGGGAAAATCGCGAAACCAGTCCAAGTCACTACTGACTTTTGATGCGCATACGCTACTCTTTCTGTATACCAGAAATTACGATCACCAACACAGAACAAGGAGCGCACAGGTTTACAAGCATTTTATAAATAATTCACACTCCACGAGCTTTCACCCTATTTATCATTCACGGATGTTTATGATTTATCGTTTGCAAATTTTACATGCGTAATCCATTCATTACCACACTTCAAAATAATGAAACACCTGTAACTTTGAAATACAATTTCTATAAACAATTTATATTAATAAAATCCTCCCAGTCGCTTAACATCTCAGTCACGGGTTCGTCGTTCAACAATCAGCAACCACCGCACTTTCAAGTTTTCAACTACTACTAGTACTTACACTATTACCTATTCGTATGAGTTAAGTTACCTTTTCCTAACGAAATCCCATTTCCCTTCACAGTCTGATCTCAGATGATTTATTCATTCGCAAATATAAATCACGAAAAAACTTACATCCAGCAGTTTCCGACGCAAAATAAAAAATTACTTGAATTCATACTGTACAATGTGTACGTAAGTACATCCAGCACTTTGTGATGATTAAATTTGTGAGCGATCAGCATGCGGATTGAAAGTTGCACTGCCGTGCAGCAGCGCGACCGTGCGAACAGATTGACCGATAGCGTGCATTTTGTTGTGTGGCTGTGCAACCGTAAAAGCCTGCACCGCATTGCACTATACGTATAGAATCTACATGCGCGTCTCTTGTCAGTGCGCACACCGTCATGATTTGTTTTGCTTTTGAGTTATGAGTTTCGACAGCTACTCGGTAGTTAAAAAGAATGCCGCTTATATTCTTTTTTTTCCTGTTGTTATTGTCATCGTTTGCCGTTTGAAACGAAATTGTTTACTTGAAAAGTTAAATGGAAGCAACTGATGACAGTTTTTCCTGATAATTAACTCCCTTGTGGCGCACTGGCGCTATAGATTGTGGAAACGTTTGTGGATTGTGGAAACGATCGTAGTTACCTGCTGTCGCTGCTTTTGACAACGCATAAATTTACTGTTATTAACAATTAGTGTAATAATATGGTTATTGACGATTTGAATCATGTCGGACTCGTGCAGTTTTGCCAGAGCGATTACAGACTTTTGGACCAACGATACAGATGAACTATCATGTACGACGAACGATATTCTGAGGATAATATACAAAGAAAACCGTAAAACAGTGTTTGCGAAAAATCTCTCCACGGGATTAAGCGGAAAACTACCCAGTTACTGTTTAGAACCTTTCGAGATTCCAGTCTTAGTGGATTCCAGTGCTCAGATCATTTTCGTTGCGGTCAAAGATTTTGCAGGGTCTGAAAATGGGGATTTAAGCTTTGGAAAAGGTAAGCAGTAGCAACCAGTGGGAGGCTGTGCGAGAATTGTTTGGTTTTCCAGATGGTGGATTTCCAATATCAGACGACAACAGTCACAACATAATATTATTTACAAAGTCATAGAAAGTCGTGATTTTAAGTTTTTTCGCTTGTTTACATTTAATTTGTCACGCTATGAAGAAAAATGAACTGCTAATATCAACAGGCTCCGTAATTACTGGTGATCGTGCGGTGGATGCTAACTGGTGGTACGGATGGATTGGAGACAGACATGGAATATTTCCTTTGGAATGGGTGCGAGATGTCTCCCAGGACGTTTTGCAAGAGCGAAGCAATGGTTTTTTCTCCTCCCAACCAATTACAAGCGATGTTAGCTATTCGGAGACGGCTATTACGACGAAAATCAACGGTAAATTAATTTCACGCAGGATATATTTGAAATAACAATAACATTAATGGCATCGCAAGAACGGGAAGTTCGGTTTTATTGTGTTCAGCTGATCAGAGTCTTTGATTTCATAGTAAAAAAGTGAAACATAAATTCTTGCTGAGCATTCGCTTCTGTAATAATAGCATGAAATTCTGTACTAACCTTTTTTGGAACAGGCAGCAGCCAGGCGCCGATTCCCGATCTTCTGTCTAACCACATGGTTAGTTCCATTATGACGCCTGCGCCAGACGTGTCGGTTATCACATGTCCACACGGACGTGCGTTATACGATTTCCACACCGGTTTGACGAATGAATTATCATTTAAAGCCGGTGATGTTGTTCTCCTGCATAATTATGTTGACCCTAACTGGTTGGAAGGAGAACTGCCAAACGGTCAACGCGGCATATTTCCCAAAGATTTCATAACGATTATTGTGGATGTACCTGACGGCAACGCGATAAACGACGATGAAATTGCAAACCATTTCCAGTCGGATGAAGAATTCGAAGATTTCCCCCCAGATACATACGCTATTGCGCTTTCGGATCACATCGGGCAAAATGCAAACGAGTTACGTTTGAAGGTAATTTGATATGAAACTATGACAAATATCGGGTTAATTTAATTTATTTTGCATATGGTTTGCTGCGTCATAACGTTTTGATCTGTTGCAATATTGTAACAGCTTCTGATTATCCAATTCTGTCGCAATCTTTAGAGTGGCGATGCCGTTACGATTCTTCGGAAACGAGGTCAGGACTGGGTAGAAGCAATGGATGATTACGGCAACGTTGGTTTTTGTGCCGCTAGCTGTCTGGAAATTATCGGCACTGAACCGGATGAAATTAGATCGAGCAGCCAATTAGATAGCTCATCCGGCAGCAGCTTTCGCAGCAGTCGTAGTATGGCTAGTCCTACATTTTCTATGGGTTCTGGTGATGCTAGCAGTTATTCTGCCGACAAACGTTCTTCGTGGCATGGCAGTGATTATGAATTGCGAACTGTGGAGAGCACCGGAGCCAGTTTGAATAGCGATTCTGCTAACACTATGGATAAAGGCTACCGTTCTAGTCGGACGAAAGTGATCGACGAGATAATTGCTAGTGAAAAGGATTATATCGAAAGTTTAGTGGTCTGCATGGATATTTTGCGAAAAGACTCTCCGGTACTGTACTGTGGTTCTGTTGTTGCTGTTATCTTGTCTTGTGCAGCATTTCAAGCGGTGATCGTTTACAATTATTTTTGACGAGGATTTTTTTTCAGCCGGAGATATTCGACTGTAAAACTGTCTTTGGTACCATTGATGATGTCTTGAGCGTCGCAAAGGACCTGCTGCACGATTTGACATTTGCTCGAAATAACGACGGACAGATTGGGGAAGCGTTCTTGCGTAACATTCCCGCACTGAAGCGTGCTTACATGACCTATTGTCAGAACAATGATGCGACGATTGGGCTGTTATGTCAGGTAGGTTGACGAAAATGTTTAGATATAACAGTAATCATCTCTATTTATTGACATAATAATTTAGTTGAACGTTTCAGTACAAGGACATAGCACTTCTGGATGAATATATGAAGCGAAAAGTGGCAGAAATTCGGCTTAGAATAAACTGTTTTGACTTGGCATCCATGTTTATCAAACCTCTACAGCGTGTTTTGAAGTATCCGCTGTTATTGAGCGAGCTACTCAAGGTTAGTGTTAAGTCGCGTTTGTGTTGTACTACGACGTAATAATGCATCGGAAGCCGTGCTAATCACTAACCAAAGGATGTGTCATATAACAGGCTACCGATAAATCACATTCCGATTACGTGTTTGTCCGAGAGTGCATGAAGCACAGCACCGACATCGCTAGTGGAATCAACGAGCTAAAGCGGCGGAAAGAATTAGGTGAACGAATTATGATCCGATTTTATCTGGCGGTCAGAGTAATTAGCATTAGTTTGGGTTCATGGTCATTTTTCATACAGTTTGATAAAAATATGGTTATGAAGGTGCCACATTACTTGTTGCTACTAGTTCAAAGGCAGCTGCCTTTGATCGCGTTTCCGCTGACTGTAATTTTTATTGTTTCAGTGGCCAAATACCGCGACCATAGTGATGCGTCCTTTTCGGAGCGGTTGTCACGATTCAGCTTCCACTCAGTTGTCAAAAAATCAAGTCGAATTGGTTTGTTAGTATCGAGCACGATCGGATTAACGACATTGGTATGGATTACACCTAATGTTCAAACAATTGCTCGGTTGACAACCTCTTTTGTTATGCACAGATGCAAGATCCGACTTTCCAAGCGGCAGAGCGGCGGTTCCAGATCACCAAACGGACTATCAAATGGTTTTTACGTAATGTAGCCGAATTTGTTGAGCAACTACGGGTGCGCAGATGTTCGCTGACAATTTTATAAATAGTCAATGAAGCTCTATGTATTTGCGTTTACGTCCGCTAACCGTTTAATTGTGCAGCAGAATCTACTACCGATTTTGACAAGTATTGCTGAGGATTTCGCTCTGCTACTGAAGAATCGACCTGACGGCGTGGCGGACGCATTCAGTGGCAGTCAAGAAGCTATATCTAAGCAAATAATCCATGAATTTGTATGACACTGATTATTAGCTAGAATTGTTTGGATTATGTTACAAGTGTCGATGTTAACCCTAAGCTGAATGTTGTCACAGGTACCGAAAATCAAAGTCCACGTGGTGCACCCTCTTGAAGAAACGCTGAACCAGTTTTCCGGACCGGTAAAACTGATTAGTAAGCGTCACGCCAAGCTGATAGATTATGAGAATGCCAAAAGGAAAATTGATCGGATAAAGGACGGACAGCGGACACAAGCGGTTGGTCGGGTGTAGTTGACCTTCCATCTGTGTCTATTATGTCTGAAAATGTTTATTGTAAATACCTAGATGCTTGACGAGTTGGATTTGGCAAAGAAAGTATATCAAGCACTTAATTCGCAGCTAGTCGAAGAGCTCCCGAAATTCAATGAGGCCACCGCAAACATTTTGCGTACCCGTGTGGATGGTTTCCTACACTTTCGGAAGTTATTCTTTTACGCTTGCTCATCGGCAATTCTGCCATGTGTGAAGGCTGTTTCAGCAAGCGGTCGAAAAGGATCAGAAAAAAGCTTGGCACAGAATCTTGAAACTGTGATATGTGAATTGAAGAAGCTGGATTATGGATCTGCCATTCGAATTCCAGAAATGGGCACTATCAATCCTGTGGAAAATGGTGGGGTTTTCGTAGCTGACAGTACTTCTACAAATTTCCACAGAGAACCAGGAATAGATGTACGGGATTGTTTTCAGAGTGACTCTTATTGTAGTGTTACTGCAGCTAGTTCGTAAACACTTTATTTGGATTCGGAGTTTGCTCTTTTGTTTTTAGTAACAAAATGTTTTAGGTTGCTTCTGTTGACCTTTCATCTGGAAATTTTCGGCGGAGTAATTCAGTACCAGCGGGACATTCTCAGTCTCGAGCCGTACCCGTTGCTGCGGCGCCTCCGGTGCCCGCTCGGTCGTCGATTCCTCCAAGATCACCAGGACTGCGTTTTCGTGTTATAAAGGAGTATCAACCCAAAGACAGCTTTGATTTGAGTGTTCGGCCCGGAGATGTCGTCGATGTGATCAAGCAGCACACGCCGATGGGAAACAGTGACCGCTGGTATATACAACACAAAGGGAAGACGGGATTTGTCCCGCAGAATATTTTAAAGCCGTTTGACGCACTGGATAATGCCGATTATGCCTTTTTCGAGGAAGGAAAGATTATGCCTTTTTCGAGTGGAGTCGCTGCTCTTTTGAATGATCTGAAGCCAGTGGAATCACAGTGTGTTGCTGCCTTTGCATTTGTGCCTTACGGTCCTCACCAGCTGCCTCTGAAACAAGGGGATAGAGTAACCGTCATGGCCGCTCATGATCTCGATGGGAATACTGAGTGGAGTTATGTGGAAAACTGCTTTGGAGCTCGGGGTTATGTTCCTACTACCTATTTGAAGCGGTTTGTAGGAATGACATCTCAATGAAGCGAATTTCGTTTTGCAGTATTCGATGGGTAATATCAGTTTTGATAAATATTTACTTTCAAAACCTTCTGTTTGTATTTTTGTATTATACTCGAAGGCACGGTGGTTGCTGGTCAGCAAACGTTGTTAACGGTTTTTTATATTGTGTTAGTCAGATTTTTACTTCTAACCATAGATTACGGATTTCTGTAGAATTGTAATTATGGTCACCTTTTGGATTCGTGCGATGAAATGATGAACAACAGTTTTCGATACTGTTCTGTGATTCGTTGACAAAAGCTGGGAAATACATTTCGAACTTCTACTCCAAGTTTCAAAGTGTGTTCGTTCTGGCACTGGCCACAAGTCCCCAACTAATGGCAACTATGCACCGATCGGCTCCACTTCCATATGCTGTAATTTTTTAGCCAGTCTTGGTCCTGCGTTTATTACCCCTCAGATCAGATTGCACTCTTTTAATTTGTATCTTTTAATTTTAGATAATGCATTATCTGCAGGAGAAAGCTTTTCTGTGTATTGGGGGTATAGCACTATAGAGTATAGATCATATAATTAAATTTTTGTCAAGTGTGGCGTTTGTCTTGAAAAAGATTATTATGCGATCAGTGGTTGGTGTAAACAAAAATTCCGGTCGTTCTGGGCGTTCCGCAAAAATGCCCCTCTACATGCCAGGTCAGCTTTTCTTTTCAGCTACGAAAAATATGTAAGCCCAGTGTGTTGCGTACTGGGCAGTGGGCAACCCCTGCCGGTTCAGCATTTCTCAAAAATCTTTTCAATTTTATTCAATCTGTTCGAATTATAGCTAAGAAAATACAGAAAAGAATTTTATTCTGAAAAATAGGAAGTTTACAAGTAAAACGTTTTCAGAGAAACGAGATATCAACGATATACGCTTTTTGCGTTTACATAGCATTAAGCATACTACTCTATGGGGCAGTTTGTAATAGACTTTGTTACTTGTATACCAAGACTTACGGCTAGAGTGTGATTTATTTGACCAATATTTACCAATACTGTTCATAAAGTTTTCAGTTTTGGTTACTTTGGTAGGTCTTCCAAACTCCACACCAAACTCAAGATTTGTTCGTTCAGCGACGTTTCGTTTTGCAGTTGTTTTTTTGTGCGCCAAATTCCACGATTCTTACAAGATGACCGAGTCAAGTGATTCTAACCTGGTTTCAGTGCCATCAATCTTAGCTGTATCTTGTAGTGAATCCAAATCATCCAAAGATTTGATAGCAGGTAGGTTTACCGTTTACTGCAGACTGATTCCTGCTTCGTAGATGCAACATCCTGTTGACTACTGCACTCAGGAGCCCAGTATTGCAAACACCGTTCCCAACTGCAGACGCGAAGCAAACCTTATATCGGTCTTAATTAGTGTTGTAGAGTGAATTACGAATGACGCTGTTGTTGTTGTATGCAATCACTTTACAGTAGTGGCTTTCTCTTCCGGTGAATTTTCTCTGTGATTCTCTAGATCTTCTGCAAGGTGTATGTTCTCCAGCGCCGGATTATATGGAAGAGAACATTGATGGATATAAATGGGATATGAATACGAAGTATTACACAGCCACCGTTAAAGTTTGTGCTCCAAAGTATCGGACGGTTCCCAGTGCTGAATTTGCGGAATCCGTGGAGGCGGTGATGTTATACTTTCGGCCGCAGTCCAGAGATGAGTTTGTCGTTGTGCAGTCATGGCTCCGTACTATCGATCAGCTTTACGCACCGACCGTGAAACTTCTAATCTGCGAGTTTTCTGTTGATGGCGATGAGGTTCCTAGACAGGAACTTATGAATTTTTGTATTGATCGCCAACTGGAACTTGTGGAGCTGGCGGTAAGAATAGGTTTTTGAGATCTTACGAAAAAAACATCGTTAGTGGTTCTTACTTACATCAAGCCTCCCACTAATTATAGGATTAAACTGATAGTATCCTGTCCAAGCTGTGAAACTTGAAATATTACTAAAAGAGGTGAAGCTTTTTTTCTGTTTTCCAGTTGTCTGCTAATGTAATTGTGTATGTTGTTGGAATGTTGTCTTTGCATTAATTTTATTGTAGCCTGTTGAGATTGATTCAGAGGAAGAAGAATTTGGCGGAGCAAGCCATGGATTTGCGCGTATTCGGAGTGCCCTGTACGCCCATATGTGGTCGAATTTAACGATGAAAGCAGAAACGCCGAGGAATTTGAGAACCGCTCTTGACGCTGCTGCCTCTCACCATCAGGAGGAAACTGAAAGATCGTCTGCCAATGTATTGGAAGCAACTGCGGTGGAAGGAAACCAGGAAGAAATGGGCTTAGAGGAAAGAGAAGTCGACATGTTTGAGCAGTTGTTTTCTCGTTTGCACCAGTTCAAGTCTACGGCGGAAACCTTGTCGAACGAAGAAAGACGGTCGTATGCCGAACAGGTAAGTCGATAAGAAAAAGATGTTATTTTTTACCAGCGGTTAGCTGTGAATTTCATTTGGCTGTACCAGCATATGTATAAATATAAATACTATTTTTACAAACGGTTTTTTTCCAGATAACCAAACAGTTTTGGAAATCAATGGGCGATGATTCTGAAGAAGACTCATTATCTGATTAAGGGGGCAGGCTGGCGCATTCATACATATTCCAGCAGGGTCGGCTTTCAAAGTTTGAAATTACAACCTCTGTTATTTAGTAAACACTTAATTTTGCTAAAGCAGTTGATTAAAGATTAGTGTTATATTTTTCCTTGTACTTCCACTTTCCAGTGAATTTTCATTGTTGGTTTCCGAAGAATATAAGTAATATTGTGCGCTGTAGCTGTAACTTTTAATGATACTTGCTGATACCGGTGACTTTGCTCCGATATTATGATCTCTTTGTTATTATACTGCATGTCTATTGCAAATCTACAGTTCATTGAAGAGCATGATGGCGAGAGCGTCCTGATTAAAACTGTATTTTACTTCATTGGTCTTGCTGAAGGTTCTTTAACGCTTTCAACTTAGTGCGTACTGCGTACACCGGTGATTAAATAATGTCATGATATGGTGACACGACTGAGCCATATTGAAATGTATAAAAATATCACAGCTGCAACATGGTTAAAAGAAAACGCATACATTTACGAAGCAAATCAAATACAATAACGCGAAACTTCCTTCCAAAGGATTACTCATTACACAATAATCGTTATGCCGGACTGTGGTAACGTTTTGCCCAGATAATCTTTGTCAACGATGTAAAACTGGTGCTTCTCAGAAACTACAGCCCATATTACTGCAATATTTTCAATCACGATATTCATCGGTATGCAGCAGACTGCTCCAATCAGGCAGAGAATACTTTTCAATAATCCCATTCTTCGAAGAGGAAATGACTTGAGAGCTCCAAATATAAACATATAGACATTAACGCTCATAATCCACGTTGTTGTAATTTCCAGCCAAGGTGGGAATTCAGCAGGATATACGAAATTCATCAAAACAGTTATGCAGGATAGCGGAAGCGATAACCAGGCATATAGAGACATCGCGAGGAAGACTTTATAGCGGAATTTGATTTCACGATTGTGCACAACAAGGAAAATCCCTTGAATCCATCGCTTGCGCTGCTTCAAAAGATCACCCAACGTGAACGGACTCTTCTCCCACATTTCACCTTCGATCCAGTTAAATGTATAGCCTTGCTCAAAGGCTTTCATGGCAAAATAGCAATCTTCGGCTATACTCCCGTCTGGGCCGTTATCGTACGATACGCGCTGTTCAGCTGCAGCGTTTGTCACAACGTAGGAACCTTTCCAGCTGTTTTAAAAGTTTAATATTGTTATTATTGTAAAATTAGAAGTAATTTTCGCAAAAGCTTATGTATCACTCTTGTTGTACAAAAACCGGTATTTTCGAAATTTACCTAAAAAGCGGGCGATGGAAAATTTTCAGTTGCGTCCGTAGTTTTCCCATATCATCCGCAACGCGGAAACTGTCAGCGGTCGTAGTGATCCAATTTACGACCACGTCGTTCGCGTACGTAACTAACCCCTGGCCAAAATGATGTCGGCCGTCGCAGATAAAGTTAATGATGCCTTTAACAGAGTTTTCCGTTAAAAGCGTCTCCTCATCTAGATGAACAATCCAGGTTTGCTCATCGCAATCGTACACTCCAGGTTCCAAACAATACTGCAGCGCTCGCGACTTAAACAATGCTCCAGTTCGTGATCGGTACTCCGGAGGCACAACAATCTGCTTTAGCTGGTCATGAGCCGGAAGACTGACAGGATTATCCGTAACAACTTCGTACAGATAGTTAGTGACACCCATCTGCTCAACGAGAGCCAAGTTCCTTTCGACAATCCGAAACACGAGCTCCGGAAAAGTTCCACGAGTGACAGCACGTATTCGCATTCTTGGAGCGGTCATCGTCGAATATTTCTGCACGACATGATCGGAAAAAGCAGGCATAAAAAACAATCCAAAGCAGTTGAACACAACTTGAGGAAGCGCAAGGAAAGCGATCATTCGGAGGCTATATAGCGCGATCGTTATGGGCAGTCCGTAAGCGATTACTGGATCTGGCGCAGTTCCTTGAGAATTTGAGCGAGTCAGCTTGGCTGTATACTGAAGGTAAACAAGGATACATGCGTACAGAAAAATATGGCACGAATGTTTCAAAACGGAAACAAAACTTTCTGTCGCCATTTCAAAGTTGACTACCGAAAACAAGTTTGTGTACTTCTATAAAGGATAATAAGAAACACATGCGGGGGCGAAAGCTTCGAAGGCACAAATGATACTGTGATTATTAGTGTGATACACTATACAGTACAGAATAGTGAAGTTGATCAGGAGGCAGAAAAGTGCAGAAAAGTGGCTGATAACATAAAATGCATAACCGCCGTAACGCAACGCTCTTTAAACCGGCGCTGTACAGTACCCTAGCTGCCGGCAGCGCGGAGTATGGACAGCGTATTACGGATGAATTTTTATACTAGCAAAATCCTTTGTGGGGAAAGAGGAAAAAAGAACTGATGAACGATGCGAATAAAGATTTAACTGTATTTGTAAGAAAATATTGTAAAACACATGCTGCCCACAGCTACCGTCCAGTACTAGTACCAATTTGCACAGTTATCAATTTAACGACGTACATAACTACTGCTTTTTAAAATTAAACGCACGATATATAATTGGAACTATGCAAATTTCTGAGAACTGCTCTTAGTGCACTATTAAATTTAAATTACAACCATAAAGTAATTTTTCATATATACTGTATTTGTGCCTAGGCGTGACTGTGAGAGCTACTGTACAATTTGAAAATTAAGCATGTTCAATGGTCCACGTTTTTTGCCTTCTTGCTCACACTAAAATTCGATTCTCGAATATATATTAATGCGGCTGCTTTTCGAAGGTCAAGCTGAGGTCTGCTTGACATAACTTTAGGAAACGTTTGTTGATATTATGCAATGCTTCCACCGATCGTTAGCATTCACACTTAGAAAATGCTGTCTGATCAGCAAAATAACGTCGTTGGCCTTGCAGAAACATTTGGAGGCGATTGTTGGATACCATCCAGGAGCAGTGTCCTCTTTTTTGCCTTTCCAGCAAGCATCGCTATTTCTAGTTCATGTTTTCTTTGCTTGTACCAATATTAATTAAAACTTTATGGTGATTCAAAATTACAAGCATAACATGACTAGTATCAGTTTATCACATAGTGTAGCTCAGTTTAAGCACGAGCACTGATAAAGTGACGATCGGCTTTGTTCAGTTTTAAGAAGCCTGGAGCAGAGTATCAATTTTCCGATTTTGAGTTGATTTGGGATTCTAATTCGCGCGCAGCGAGATTTACAGTCATCAGGACCATCGGAAACGCGTTCTCAGGTAGCAAGGGCGCAATGACCAACGCGCATATATTCCATACCATCGACCTTATCCTCGGCCTGCCGTATGCTGGTATGTATATCATATCTATATATATTAAATTTACATTAATATTATCATGCACTTTCGGTAAGAAATCGCAAAGTTAAGGTTAAGTAAGTAAATGAATACATCAATTACAAACTTTTTTACCGTAAAATTACTTACATTAGTCTATTTACCATAGGTGTATTGTACAAACGTTACGTACTATGAATAATAACAATGGCCAGTGCCCAGTGGCCACTGGCCAGCTGTGCATGTATTAATTTTACGTATAGTCACATCAAACGCTTCCAGGTACGGCGGTTACCTATTGCGGTAGAACGTAGCGCTAAACCGTTGATTCAACTTGATTTCTGAATTTTTTTGAGAAGCTGAAGGCCAAAAGGCAAAAGTCCTGTTGTTAATTTTTATGTTTTAATTATTTACGGTCAGCATTTAATACATGTACTTACTACTTCATGTTGTTAATCATAAAGCCAAACTGAAGCCATTATTTTATTGTCTTTATTTTGTAACCATTTTTGTGTCGCACAGCTTACTGTCATAGATTAACGGTCTGAATGATGGGACTAAAAGTTTGACACCTGCCTGACTGTGTCAGTTGTTAGACAGTCAGAGGTTCATTTTGCAAGAGGGTAAAACCATTAGAATATGTTTCAGCTCTAAAGTCTTCCTGGACTGATTTTTAAAACTGAATTCCTACTCCAAAGTGGACCGAGCCATATTAGTAAACACTCGTGCACGCTTCGATCTTCTCCGAGCTCGCCGTTGACAAACTGGATCAGAATGAGAAACGGACGCATCTCAGAGAGAAAAATACAACGTGACGTCCGCGTACGAAGAAGCTGAAGCATGGATATCGGCAAGCATGCGCCAGCAAAACTTCAGTTCTGCCTTTTGGATAAAGAGCTGGAACACAACACTTCCGTGAAACAGAGCGTAAAGCTTTTTCACGCTTGCTCATTCCTGTTCTGTGAAGAGGCCCTTCGTGCGGCTTCGAGGAAGAAAAATGGAAGGAAGATCGTTTTTATCACAGAAAATTTTGATGGAGATTTGTTTAAGCGCATCAAATCGGTTTCCAAGCAAATTCTTGGTCCGCCTGCACTGGCCCATTTTGCTGCGATCTGCACCGATCACCTGCCAGATATTCGAAGGCCTATCTACAGTCTGGCAATGGAGGGCGTTGTGGCTGTCGTCAGCGGATTTTGCGATCAGCAGACGGGTCAGATTGTCAGAGAGATCCATAATATGGGAGGCTTGGTCATCCGCAGACTAGTCTCGTCGTCTTTATCGCTGTAAGTTTGAAACATTTCCAAATGAAAGTGGCTGTTTAAGGATTCTTAATGGAATGTCCAGCTGTAAGCACATCATTGCCTTTTATTACGTGGTTTTGCTGTTGTCCCTGTCCCATTGCGGTTTAAATTAGTACCAATTAGCCACCTAACTGCTAATAATAGGAAGTACCCTTTGGAACAAAAAATAGTTTAGGAGGTTAATATGTACAGTACAGTGCTGCAGATGCAACTGCCTGCAAAGTTGGAAACCAATGCAACTCACGCGTTACAGTAACCAGCTTTTGCAAACGTTCGTTGTTGCAAATTTCAACAAACGTTCCGGGCCTATAGTGTCCGGATGGCAAAATGTCGTACTGCTTACCCGCTATTAAAGAAGTTTAGGTCTAGCAATTTTTAAGGTACTGTACCTACAATTTACTGACTTCAATGATTTGCGAGATGTTACAAATAGGTGATCCCATTTTGGAAAGAGCAAAAATTTGAAATATTTATACAGATATTAGTCGATATTTATGTACAGAAGTGCTTTGTTTAAAAAACGTGTAGAATAGCAGAATGACTTTGAATGAGACCTGACCTGGTAAAAAGCAAAATTGTTATCAGTACTGTACTGATGAGTTCGTATCGCCGCGGGAGTATATGACTTTGGTTGCCCTTGAAGGAATCCTCCAGTGAAAAGACCGACCCATCTGATAACGTACAATGCCTTAAGTGCTGGTTACCAAACAGCCATCGAGAATCCGTCCAAAATCGAAATCATGACCGAAGATTGGCCTGCGCAATTGTGGCGTCGGCGAAGTACGCGCAATACCGGTAGCACACCTGACGTCATCCAGCGACGCTGCAGATTCCAGGGATGCTTTTTGCGGCACATTCGTTTTCATTTGCTCGGCTTTGGCCAGACGGAGCGTCTGCATTGGATTACTTACATTGCTAATGCCGGGGGTTCTGTTGAAAGTGACCTTTCTTTATCTTCTGATATTGTTGTTGTCAATCACCACAACAGGTACGAACAGTGGAAAAAATCGTAGCCGTGTTGTTCTTTTCGATCTTTGATCTCGCAGAGGATTTCATAGGTTTAAAATTTAAAATTTGAAGCTTGAAACGTTTTAGCCTGAAGCTTTAACGTTTTGATCTAAAATTTTAATTTCGCTTTGGGGTTAGGTGAAAGTCGTAATTTTGTCATTTTGCTTTTTTTTTGCAGAAATATTGAGGCACGGCTACATGTTAGCAGCGAGGAGCGTCATGTGGAATTGATTGTGGATTCTGTGACGCGGTGGTTCGTTCTGCACGATGGCCAGCATGTTGTTACCGCCGATCTGCTAATTGTTTCCTTCAGCCGGAAAATTTTGCCTTCGTTGCTTCAGTTTTCTGTATTCCGGGATGGTAACAATTTCCAGGGGGGAGTCCACGTTCGCAAACGGCGACTGTCCCTGGAAGACGCAGAACCCGAACCGGAAACCTTTTGCAGTCCCAAGCGCCGGCTGTATCGTTCCGCGAAATCGATGATGCCTCGCTATCCTCCATCCGACAGTCCGACAAAGCAGTTACGATCATTAATTTTGGGATCTCCCGCTCTGACGGATCAGCCGCGAATTGAGCAGCCGGTTTATCGTAAGTCGGAAACGTCCACTGATGAGCCGCCGAAAGAAAGAGAACCATCCAAGCGTCACCAGCGGATAATGGAGTTGTTAGATACGGAACGGAACTATGTCATCATTTTGCGAAGTTTGCTGACACATGTTAAAAGTGGATTGGAATGTGGTGAAAATGGCCGCGGTGGATGTCTGGATGCCGGCCAAGTGGGCGCCATTTTTGGCCGCCTTCCTGATATTTTCAGGTAGTGCATCTGTGCAAGTGGTGCTTTTTATTCTTCGAATATTTTAGGAAACCGGCAGCTATTTGGTTCAGGCTTTAATAACATTTTTGAGACAGTGACGAATATTCTACGGACCTGTAAGACCTGCATTATGCGGCAAATACTTTTGCTGTTACCTTTTCGGTATATAATTGAATTCTGTGCAAAATTGCACGATGCTGTTATATCTGGCCTAACATACGGACATCTTTTTTATTGTCTACCGTGCCAGCAAATTAATTTGTCAACAGAATCTGTAAAGCTACTGTATTTGCGTAGAAATGTAGTTCAGTGCAACGGGCTTTAGGTTTTACGAATAAATGTACGAAGTATGCATTTCGTTTTAATGCTTGCTTTTTTTCAATTTGCAGTATTCACGAGCAGATCGTGAGGGAACTGGAAACTGTGATGAGTCCATGGGATGATGGCTGTGAAATTGGTTCCTTGTTTCTACAACATGTTTTTAATATTTCAAAATCATATCCTCCTTTTGTATGTTCTTTTGAGGAAATTCAGCGTATTGTTCAAGACACTTGCATTGGTAAAGCGAAAGTTCGAACTTTATTGAAACGACTTTTGATGCTTCCTGAGTTTGGTCGGCAGTCTTTGTCAGATTTATTGATCCGCCCGGTTCAACGTTTGCCTACAGTCGTTCTTCTGTTGAAGGACATACAAAAGTACACGTAAGTTGGCATCAGAGGGTTTTTGCGTATTAGTGGTTTTGTGGTGACCTTTATTGTTCGGCAGGAGTGATAACCATCCCGACCATGAAAATCTCCAGACAGCGATTAACGAGCTCCAGATAATACTGCGCGCAATGAACAGCCACGCAACGGGGAACAACGATAATCTGGAGAATGAAGCGGAAAGCTCGTGTGACATGAAAATGTCGGATGGATTTAATAAGCGTGCAATGGAAAAGGCCCGCAAGCTGGCATCTCAGACGACGCTTCGTGTTTCCAAAGTATTTTCTGGATTGGGTACCCGTTCCGGTTCTGGCATCAAACGCGCAGCTTCTATGATGCTCTTTACACCGGCAAAGAGTGCCCGAAGTCAGCCGAAATGCGATGAAGAATCTAAGTCAGAAGAGTGAGTTGCTTTCTTTATATTAAGAAATTGGAGGAGTCATTTGCAGCGTGTTTGTAATTTTTCTAATGTCTTTTGGAAGTGTTTTCTGACAGTTTATTGTATCAACTATAATTTCCAATATGCATCGAGAGTATGCTGGGAGTTAATTTTGGGTAATGTTCTTGAATTCAATCGGTCAGTAGCTATACGTTTATTGTTGTAATTGATGGTGGTTAAAAATATTGCACTTGAATTGTGGCGGCTTGATACCATGTTTTACGAATTTTGTTGAAACCTGTTGACAACCTTTCGGTTCTGTTTGTGTACTAATCTTACACGTCTGTTAATTCTTATTTCTAACATGTGTCTTGTTCATTACTACTTTGTTCCATCAAAACAATATTGGGCAAACATTAGCACTAACATTCGAGTATTGTGTGTAAATATCGTAAACAGACCACGTAATCGTAAGCAAATTTCGTTCAGGACTTCTTGTTTATTGTAAGACATTGTGAGGATGGTTAGTAAGCAGCGCTCAGTATACAAGTAGTGAAACTTAAAAATTCTCATCGCCCTGTGTAATCTGTTCGTCTCTTAGACCAAAAGCTGAAATACTGACCACTGAAACCTTTCCATGAACCTACACAATGCGGTACACTTATACAAACAACCAAAAAAAAGAAAAATTAGCATCTTAAAAACTACAATGACTTTCCCGTGGCAGCAAGCTGGATTTTCAGGTTAACGATATCTGCAAAGTGCAAACAAGCTTTTAAGTGATTTCTACATAAAACACTACGATACCAATTTGGGCATACAATAATTTGAAAAATTATAAACACCAAGTCTAGTACAGTTTCGGTAGACCGTAGAAGTACATATAGATATGAGGATGAGCTCAAATAAGTAAGTTAATCTTTGTGCGGAATCTACAGTACATAGTTACCAGATTCGATTGTTTTTGTTTCGTTTTTCATTTTCTTTATTTCCGCCACCAAATTTTCTCGGACCGTTTCCAAGCCATCTTTTTGTTCTAAACGGCGATTTCTACAGTTCTACAAGACAAAACCAAAAATTGTAACCGTAAAGCTAAAAGCCTAAAAGTTGTTCACCAGAAACAACACTCACGGATTCGATAAAATGACAAAAACCTTACGATTATGTAATTAATTACTAGTAATTTACCGTTATTATTTACGTATAGTATAAGCCTAAGGTACCGTACATTGTGAGTAAGCATTCTAAATTGTTTAGCGAGGACTCAAGGATAGATCGCTAACTTATAAATTATTCATATCTTAATCACTGTATTACCGTGAAAAAAAAATACCAATTAAAACTAATCTTTAAAGAGGACAAGGTATCTCACCGCAGCATATCCCCTGTTTTTTAGCGTTCGTCGACGCTGCTTTAAACGTTTCACTTCTTCCTTAGCGAGGCCTCGGAGACGACGATTGAGCTCCGGAATTGATAACGTGACTAGTTCGGGATCAGAAACAACTGTCGATTCTGCTCCCGGTAGAAATCGTCCCCATCAGTAGAATTGGTTTCTACAATATCTTCCAGAGGTTCGTGGTTCATTGCAGAATGGAATAGGTGATTATAAGTCTGCACGGAAAGGAACTAACGAATAGCAAATAATCTGTTCACAAATCTAATAATAACTCACTGTTGATAAAACAGCATACAATCGAAATTTTGGTAATTGTTAGAACAGAACTTATTAATAATACTCTTCCTAAATATGATTGTGACAATTTTGTAAGTATACTTACTGGTTACTTCTACAAATAAGATTAAGAGTTTTACAAATAAGATTAAGAGTTTAAGATATAGGGGAATATGTTTAAGACATGTCATGTGACTCACTCAAATAATGTGAATTTGAGATGACGCAGCGAAAATTCTACGAGCCGAAGCTTTATTCTAGGGAGAGGGGGGATGAGGGGGGAATAGAGAAAGACATTTCAAAAAAAAGGAAAATCCGTTCACTTGCTTTCCGTTTGTTTTTTCAGTGATCCTAAAACAGTAAATGACAATACGGTTTGGATTCGTGAGTCATAACAATTATGTGGATTTGTCGTACATTGTATGATTGTACTATATTATTAAAACGTAAAAGCTTATCTCCTTGACATGCTCCTAAGACCTCTTTCGACGGCATGTTTGTCTCCTTTGAGTCGGCTTTGACGCACTGGGATTGTTTGAAAATTACTCGAACCATGCCATATCCTTTTGGGCATTTTGATTGCTACTGAACTGCCCTACAAACCACAAGTGACAAGTCCTGTACTCGGCTTACTTCGATCAGTTCGATGCCGATGATTTTGGTTTGAAATTCTGACATCAGCTTTGCTTTCTGGAAGAGAATTCGGCATGGATTACATTCGCAGCAATTTGCCCAGTATATTTCGTGGACAAAAGCGTTTGACGGAGTTGATTCTACCTTTTATGTACACGGTCGTCCCAGGCAGCGAGAATGACTACCTGGCTGCCAGTCTTTGCAAATTCAAAGCACCCTTTGCCGTCTACGCCAAACCGATTGGAGAGAAGCCTGCAAATTTAGATGCGGATGCTGTGAGAAAGTTATCCGTAATTTATGATCTGGTTCTCCTTGGTCCGAACTGCGTGTTTTCGTAAGTTGTTGTGCGATTGTGCTTGTTCGTAAGTGTAAACAGTGAAGAGAAACTGATGGCGTTTCACTCATGGCTTTCAACTTTTGCTCTCCGCAGCATCTTCCGCTCTCCATCCCAGGAAAAAGTAAACGAAGAATTCGACGTGCTGTTTCCTGCCGTAAACCAGCTTAGTCAAATCGATGGCATTCCGGATTTTTGGCATCCCGTGACTGTGAAAAATGTATGCAGTTTCACTTCGGCTAACAAAGACTGGCCGACTGCGCACATCGCCACGTTTTTTGGTTGGATGGAAGCCTGGAAAAGTGAAGCCATAATTCAGTATGTTGTTTTTTGGGCTTTCATTAAGCTTTTAACTGCGAAGCGCTTTTGCATACGTATAGAAACGAGCTTCTTAAGCGAGCGTATAAAATCTTGCATTTCTCTCTGCAACCGGCTTTCGCATCCGTTAATTACGATAAAGCTGTGCGATTAATTTTTGTTTCAGTTTTGTTTCTTTTCCCGTTTCTTGCACAATTTTTGAACCTGTTTTTATTGCAGAAATCTTGATTTACCAAACCCTGCAAATGGAGAAGTTCCTCTGCATGTTGCTGTGAAGAGAAGCCACATGGATCTAATTGTGCGCTTTTTGGAACTGAATTGCCGGTTAGACATCGTGAACAACATGGGTGATACAGTCTTTCATTACGCGGCCACCTCATCTCCAGAAATCATAAAGGCACTGCCAGACCATTGTTAGCACAGCGTTCTGCGTTGCTCATTTCACTCGCATTTTCTTGCCATAGATTCTCGGAGCTAAATGTTCTCCCGTGATCAACGCTGTAAATCACGCTGACCAATCTCCATTGCTGCTGGCGTGCATGGCAGCTAAGCAGGACTGTATAGAAGCACTGTTTTCCGTTGGTGCGGATTTGGCTCAGAATGGCATCGTTCCTGTTAATTCAACCCCGGCTTCCAAATCTCTGCAAATGCAGTATGCGATCATGCTTTATCCTACAGGAATTCAGCTTGTAGGTGATTGCAGGTGATTGTAGGTGCGCTGAATCTCTGTGCAAAGTTTACCCTGACCTCTTGGATCCAAGCGGTATTAAATTCGGAGGCGGACCGCTTCACTGGTGCAAGACAAAGGCTGGAACTATGCGCTTTATACTTTGTAACGTTAATGTTGAGAGCAGGAATGACCTGGGAGAGGTACGCGAGTAATTAATTTTATAAAATTATTTTATTTTCTTTGTACAATCGCTTTTCGTTATTTAACCCTTCGAATTTCGTCATTTTGACTTATTGTTATGTATTCCAGACCCCTTTGCACCTTATGGTAATGCGGTCAAGGCTGGACTGCGCTATTGTGTTATTTAGTCATGGAGCGAAAATTGATGTGGTCGACTATAAAGGTAGTTTAGTGTATGTAGCTGTGATGTATGTAGCGGCAGTGTATACTTTATTAATACAACTGCTCGCTACCGAGCCAACCAGCCAACTGATCGCTAAACAAGGCGACAACAATGGACAATAGGTACGCCGTTGCTACGGCACATTAGCCATAGCCACAGGACAACAATTCACGAGATACTTTGCACTCGTACGTCGCTGTACCAATACGTACAGTCATACACTACACTCGCCCCTTACTTCTGAAAATCAGAAGTACATACAATCATGCACTCATGCAGTACACATTACACAGTGGTTACCAACAATGCTTCATTCAATGTACAGCAACATTATGCAACTCTTATACATTGTCAATACACTGTCTTACGTCCTAGCAACCAACAGGAACTTTCACATTCGGTTCGTCATTTTCCTGGGTCCTCCTTCACTGTAGGTACGCCAAGGTCATCGAACCATTCAATGGACTACGCCCTTCTTCTGGCTTCATGTCCAAGCACTCTTTCCTTTCACTTCTGGAGGATTTCACGTTCGCAGGCCTGCCGTCCTCCTCAGGCTACCTGTCAGAACTTCACCTTCACTTTCATTCCATACCGTATGGACTACGCCCTTCGGCCAATGCCTTCGCGCTCCATATCCGGTGACCTTCATTCTTCTCTCCGGTGAGCTTCTTTCTCGCTCCTCCTTCTTTTACATCCACGGGCTGGATGGAGTTGTGGTCTTCGTGGGCTCTCTTTCCGTCTCCTCTCGCTTGTGGTCTTAGGACCAATACACTCCCCACATGCGCTTTGAGTACGTTAATAGACAACATCCTAGTCACGCCATTGTGATGTATGTAGCGGCAGTGTATACTTTATTAATACAACTGCTCGCTACCGAGCCAACCAGCCAACTGATCGCTAAACAAGGCGACAACAATGGACAATAGGTACGCCGTTGCTACGGCACATTAGCCATAGCCACAGGACAACAATTCACGAGATACTTTGCACTCGTACGTCGCTGTACCAATACGTACAGTCATACACTACAGTAGCACAGAATTAGTATTGAATGTGATTTATCTTACTCTTGTGCGCTACAGATAAAATTTTATGTTGCAACACAACCTGGCGCAGCTGATGTAATAATTATTTATAATTTAGGCAACACTCCTCTCCATACTGCCGTTTTCTACGGGTCTCTGGACATTGTGAAAGCGATGGTGGTCTTCGGATCGGATATGACCATACCAAACAAAATGGGTGATACAGCGCTTCATCTGGCTGATACATGTGCCTTGTCGAAGCGACGAGATGAGCTGCTTATGGCTTTAAGTATTGCCACGGGTTCGGTTACGGCGTCGAATACCTTTTCTCCTCTTATACAAAAGTATCGCAGTCAGCTTCATGACGAAATGAAAAAGCATGGTCAACTTCCGGACGAAAATCTCCCTGCGGGCCTTGAATTTCTGGACGACAGTTGGGACGAGACATCTGCTGTGGATGAAGACGATGATGGAATGGACGATTCAGTAGTCGTTCTAGGACCAAAACGAAAGTGTAGAGTGTTATGTTTGGATGGTGCGTCCGCGATAATTGTTGAACTGGCAATTTTGTTTTTTGTAACCTTTCACGAGTTCTTTCTGTTTATTCACAGGCGGAGGGATTCGAGGGTGCGTATTAAATGTCACTCGCGTTTTTGTTGCTTCTTGCAACATTTGCTTTCCAGTTTGGTGTTAATTGAATTGCTTATGGCTGTGGAAGATATGGTCAAACGTCCACTGTCGGAGTGTTTTGACTGGGTTGCTGGAACCAGTACCGGCGCATCCATTGCTCTCGCTTTAGCTACAGGTTTGACTGGGTTGAATGATCTTCATCTGGACATTGGTTAATTACTTATCCTGATCCATGGTTTTAGGAAAAGATATGCGTCATTGTATGGCTTTGTACTTTCGCATGAAAGACAAAATCTTTGTTGGATCCCGCCCTTATCCGGCTGAAACATTTGAGAGCGTTTTACAAGAAGAATTTGGTGCTGACAGAAAAATGACCGACATTGTTGGCACAAAGTTAGTGTACTGTTGAAGACTGTAGGTACTGTTAGCTGATAAAATCATTGAGTTGTGATTTTAATTCAGAGTGCTGATTCCAAGTCTCCTGGTCGATCGTCATCCCCCGGCACTGCATATGTTTCGAAATTACGATCATCCGGTGCGACCGAATCACATTGAATCCATTCCTACGAAAAGTGGTCCCAAAGTATTATGCAAGCCGTTGGAGCCTAAGGGTATCTCGTCACTTGCTAATAACTCGGATCGAATTGTTGTTTTTTTTCTTTGTAATAAGCTGAATGTTATCGGAATTCTTCTCATTTTCCAGATCAACTGATTTGGCGTGCGGCGAGGTACGTGCATTAGTGATTTTTGTGCTTGCTACTGGCTATAGCTTCGGGTTTTTTGTCATGGGAATAGAGCTTCGGGCGCTGCGCCAACGTATTTCCGGTCGGCAGAAAACTTTTTGGACGGCGGTTTGATGGCCAACAATCCAACGCTGGATTGCTTAACGGAAATTTTTGATTATAATGCATATTTAAAAAATCAGGTTTGTTCTGGTTTGTCTTCGTCATCCGTTTTTTACGGCATAACATTAGGAATATTTTAGGGTCGAAAAAGCGAAGTTCAAGAAATTTTGTGCGTGTTGTCCTTGGGAACAGGACGTCAACCTATGTTGGCTGTTCCAAGGTTACTATTTGGTGCTAACCGTGCAAGCCATTTTTCTACACTAAGTTGATTGATGTTTTAGTATTGATGTTTACTGGCCTGAAAGATTCTGGGATGCCGCCAAAATTGGACTGAACGCTTCTGCTCTGGGCAGACTTATAATTGAACAGGCTTGCCAGAGCGAGGGCCGCGTTGTGGATAGAGCGCGGTAATAACATATTAATAGCAGTAAAATGTTGTGCAAAACGACAGGTTTTATTTTCTTGTTGTTTTTTAGCGCCTGGTGGTGAGTGAAATTATTGACAGACAGAATGGAATGAATCTCGAATCATTGGTCTTGATGTTTCAGTGAATCGCATAGTATTCCCTTCTTCCGGTTTAGTCCTCAATTCTCCAGAGAAATACCTCTCGACTGCACGCACGATGAAACGGTAAATTCAAGATAAAGTTTAACAAATTTTAATTTGCCAGCGCAGATTGTAATATTGAGTGGTCCTTCTCCTGTTATTGATGTTTTGCAGCTGATTGAGATGCTGTGGGAAACGAGAGCGTACATTGAGAGCGAGCATGTTAAACTTCGACGACTGGCCAAACTATTACGCCAACGCGTTTGAAGAATTTATAGCTTTTACAAAAGTGTCGCAGAAGTCTTTCACGAATTCATTTTGTATTGAATATGCATTTCTAGCCCAGTGGGTTGCTTTGTCAGCTGCGTTGTAATGACTTCTGGATGTTTATCATTCATTAGCAGAGCTGCCAAAAATAACTTCGCAGAAAAAGTGTTTCGTGATATGTATGTGTCCTGGCCAGAATTGGTTTAGCGTCAGTCTTTGAGACCGGTGTTTCGCATAAAGTTTTGGTTATTTGCATCGAGCGCAGTATTGTGCTTGCAGACGGCAGTGATTCGTCAGGAATCAGGATAATATGAGAATTAGTATTCAATATTTATTAAGAATCAAAATATTAATAATTATTACTGTATCGCATAATAATTACTTATTATAAAACTGTATTACGTATTTCATTAACAACGCGTACGTACCTATCTACTGTAATTTGTCGGGTTCTGTACCAGTTCACCGTCGTGCGCTGTCTTCTATGCACTGACTGGCAGTGGCTACACTGGCTGCATCCCGTTGGAGGGAACTTGCGTCCCCTGGCAGTTTATTGTTGACAGAGACTCGAGAGGATTCTGGTCAGAAACAGTGAGAGACTGAAAGCGATACAGATCTAGGTCAAATAAAATTGCAGTTAATTCGGGAAGTCCCGCCCCGCAAAGCTCATTGTTAAAAACAGGGATAAACATGCTTTCTATCTTCTAGTGAATCTGGTCTGCGAAGTACAGTACTAATACTTTTCTATGCTAATACTGTCAGCACCCATGTCATGGTCGCTTACACAGGAGCAGTATCGACTTTTAGGGACGCGTACCGTATCAACGGTGTCGGTGTCGTGGATTAAGTGACAGATTATCATATCGCGAGCTGTGTTCCCATCCGAAGTTTGAATTTCAGATTTTGAATTTTGCATCATTTCCACCGTCCCAGGACTATCGTTGGTAATTGTGACATTGTCCACGAATTGTTTATACCACCTTTTTATTCACGAGTCACTGTATAACTGGCTGATTAGCTGTGCATATTTGTATTGCATCAAACTGAGAATGGAGCGTCGGAGAAATATTGTTCCTGCGCAAACGCATGTACGGGACTTCCGAAATGGATTCTCGCATGTGGACTATTATCACCAGAATCACAAACGGCAAGGGTATGTGCTGATCTTTGATCAAACTGAGTTTGATGCAAAAACCAAATTGGAACCAAGGCGTGGGTCTGAACATGATGTGTCTGGTTTGGAAACTACATTCAAAGATTACGAATTCGAGATCGAAGTGCATCCCAATTATACCAGAAGAGAAATGCTGGACACTTTAGAAAATGTTGCGTGCAGGAAGGCTATGAAGAACTGCAATTCCATAGTTGTTATATTTCTATCCCATGGAGGAACAGACTATATTTGCCCGTGATGAAATAGTGTTGATCAAGACAATCACGGGGATTTTTGTCAATGATAAATGTTCTGGTTTATGTGGAAAACCTAAAGTGTTCTGTTTTCAATCGTGCCGCGGCAGAAGTATTGATAAAGGAGTGGATATTATCTGGGATGATTATGTGTCACAACAGCGTCAGTACCTGGATATTAATGCGGCGAAGGAAGGTCAGCCGATGGATACTGATAGCCGGTTTTCTACAACGGATGATGAGAGGACCGAAAACCACGAACCGATGGAAGTAAAAGGCAACGATGAAATCGACGGCGGGAGTCAAGGCGATAGCCGCGTTCAGGAGCAAAAAGTGCTGCAGCGCACAACCAGGCTGCCGAATGAAGCGGATATCTTGCTGGCTTACTCTACCGTGGACGGCTACGAATCTATCCGGGAAACATCACGGGGCTCAGCCTATATCCAAACGCTATGCGAAGTTATGAAAGATAATTTGTTACGTTGGAGGAACAGCAAGGGACAACAAGACCACTTTACTGATTTACTGACGAAGATCAACCACAAGGTGGCGAATTACGACTGGTTGCCAACCAGGAATTTCAAGCTGCAGATGCCGGATTTTTCTAGCCGGCTGACTAAAAAGTTTTATCTGCTCCCGGTATCGGAGAAAATTACTAGTATGACTCAAGGAAGAATGGTGGCTAGCAGCAGTATGACGGAAAACGTTGAAGGGGGCGCTGAGCCGTTACCAGCGGGATAAGAACTCGCACTCTTCATTGCCAGCATTATTATCATGGTTGGACAAGGTGATCCGGATATTTTTTGTTCATGAAATTCCGTCCTGCCAACTTGTAACTGCACAACTAAGTTTTTCCAACGTGACAGCGTCTACTTTTTACCCACCGAACTGAGTTGATTGTGAGAAGCAATCATCTGACGTAATCGTGTCTTACAGAACAGTGGATCAGTTATTCTGATATCGTAACGGATTCGTCAATGGCAAGAAAATACAAAACGTCGACCAACTATCCCGTGTCGGCTAGAAAACGGACTATTGCCAGCTGGAAATAGGCTTAATTTAAGGGAATGGTTGCCCGTGACGCCAAGAGCAGCATGGATAAACATCATAAAATAGCCACTGCCATCTCGCAAACTGTCACCGTACAGCTTTCTAACTCACTGTTTTCAAATTTCTTATTTAAAAGCTTGATGTCAACTACTGTGTGATGAATTAAATTGGTTTTCGAGAATTTTTATACTTGAATAACTTGAGGACTGTAGAACTACTGTGCATCTGCAGAAAGAGCAGGCCCGTTTTTAAGCTTAGTCTCTCCATGCTTTCCCTTTTACTCCATTTTTTCTAAAATTTTCGTTAAATTTCTCGGAAATTTCATAAGTTAAAGCTAGAATAAATTAAGTGCAATTGGAGGTTTTGGGTTTTAATGCCGGGAGACTAAGCGACTGTAAGAAAACAGCATAAGAAGTACATGTATGAGTATTAAGCATTAAATTTTTTGATTTATACTCATATGCTTTACTTAGGTGGTAATAATATGGTCCTGTTCTTTCCCGCAGCTGTAGGAATACCCGAATTGTTATTCCTGTTGATTGCGTGTTGTGTGCCTGTGTAAGAATGGATACACAATAAAGATTATTTTTTTACTAACCAGAACTAAATGAATCTTTGAGGCTCACCTCTTGGCAAGTTCCAACAGTATTGAAGCATAAAATGTACATTGCACAACAATGCAAAACAATCTGAAGCAACCTGGCATCTGGAATCTCTTGTATTGTACTCGTATGTATTGCATCGCATAACTGGCAAACGCGCACAACTGCAAAATTCACTGCCGTTTTTCACTAAAATTAAAATAAATATATTCATCGGATAATAAACTTCCTAATTCGTATACTTAATATTATAAGTTATAAACAAGCTGGTATACCGTTCTTGCTGTACAGCCGACGCCTGAAATAGACTTCCGATTGCTTCTCAGAATACTGTAAGTATATCTGAGGAACCGCGACCGCTTTACGTATGGTTTAAGGCTTAAGCCCTTGCTAGGTAATATACATAAGTAGCACCATTCTGGTTTTAAAGTGTTCCGAAAAAAAGAAAAATTATTTCAATAAATGCTGAAGTGTCCGTATCGGTCTGGATGACGAGCATGCGCATTACGTACTACTCAGGGGTCAGTATCACGCGAACTGATACAGATTGCCACTGGCATTCGGTGGATTGCAGCTTTGCATGGGCGCGCAGTTTACGCATGGGCAAAGGCCAGTTTCATCGGGTTGTGCAGTCTCTTGTAGCTGCAAATTCTAATTGTGAGCTCACTGCACCATTCTTTTTCTTGTCAGCAATACGCTTCTTCATTAGTTTCTGCCTGCTTCAGCCCCATTTCGGAATTGATGCGGATTGCACTGATCTGGCACCATGCAACGATCGCGGTTGGTGAACGATGTGTTCCATGGCAGCCAGTTTTCTCAACCGCCACAGTTCTGCGGTTCCTTTTTCCCTTCCACCCAGTCGTTTCCCACGTTCCAGGGATCGCAGATGATGTTTCCTTCGTCCTTCCAACCGCATTTTGCCAGTTCCCAGCCGTCCAGCACAACTACGATGAGCGCGCCGGAATGTATCGGAATGTACAATCTCGTTCCAGCTACACTGCAGCAACCACCGGGCAGCGCTACGCAGGCGGCGTCCAGCAACACAGGCTACAACAAAACGCTGCCTCCCACCGGAAACTGTAACAAGGATCCCGAAAACGAAAAGGCCATCCAAACCCGATCAGGGAGAACTGTCAAAAGAAAAATTATGAGCACCCCGGAAACGACTTCTGGAAAACAGACTACGGTTAAGCGTGGCAGAAAACCGCGTGAGCGAAAGCGAGGAGGCGAAAAAACGACCGGCGCTGTTGCGCAGAAGGTACGGATATCAGTGACTATAAGTAGTTCTGCTAACTTTTACGGTTTTTCATCGATCTTTTTTGGTTGTCATTTAAGCAAATAAGGTACGTATTTGAATTATTCAACAGACATGTGTGCCTGCGGTTAAAGCATCCGGTGCTCCTGCGCAGCTGTTTTCTTTGCCTGCCCAGCGGAACATTTCCGCAGCATCGCTGCCTTTCGACGGTGGACTGGTGACTCAAAATTCCCTCTATGAGATGCTGAAGAAGATGCTCTCAACAAACCAAGAAATTTTGTCTCGCTTACATAAGATAGAGTTCCAGTTGGCTGGCAGAAAGATGTTTGTCGGCTGTGCAGAAAATGTTCGTACCCAAAGAACACCAGCGGTTCGAGTGGAGAACGGAAGTACCGAAACCGATAAGGTAAAGGCGATCGATGTAACTGTGAACAGAAAAGCGTTCATTCTTGAATTACAGATATATAGATAGGAGTTCTAATAAATTCGTCGCAAATCCGTTTGTTCATTGTTGGACAACGCTTCTGTATTCGTATTAGATGATATTTTCACTACTTATAAGTGCGCGTGTTGATATAAATGGCCATCTCGTAACTCGCATTGCGATTTCCGAATCGGAAACAGGCATGGTGATTGCAGGCCAGCGTCATTCACGTCTGTAGTTTTATATACAAGGTGCAGACATTCAGAGTCCTTTAAACGTGGAACGTTAGAACTGTGTTGTACCGTACTGTAGATATCGTGTTTTAATCGAAAACAACAGGGCAGTGCCTGTGTAGCACGCTAACGCTGAAGGTTGCTTTAAAGGGGCCATCTAAAGTGTCACACGATATTTTCCAAACTTTAATTAATGTTTTACCATTGAACTGCCACTGTATTGATATTCAAGACCGTCATCTATTTTTCAGGAGAACGATAACGGAGTGAGCCCAGAGGAAGAGACAGGCTGGTGGAGAAACGGCTCTATCGAAGACGATAGCGCGTATTTGGATCTTGACCTTTCGTCGAAAGATTTGGCGGCCGATTCTGGTAAAGTGGCTGTTCGATCGGTCTTTACATGTGATTTATTAAAAATAAATGTAAATACTGTTTTATAGAAGCCGATGATGTTGCGAAGGGCAATCCTTGTACTCGCTCTTTGGACGACTTCTGAATTGAGTTGGTGATAGGCGGATCATTGTGAGCCAATATACTAACTTTGTGGGAAGTCATGTATGTGCACGTTCTCAGCGCTTTCCCGTTGTCCCTGGTGTCGCATCCTTGCAAAGTTGTGAATAGTTTGTGTTTATTCTTACAGGGTTTTTTGTTTTATTTGTTTCTTTGCTTAATCATATACTCGTTTGTATGACTTTGCTTTTATTAGCGAATTTTAGTTTTGTGCCAGACTGCTAGCTAGCTGTTATGGTCATGATTGCAACCCATTAAAAAGCGTGAAAAAAGTTGTAGTTTTATTAATTATCAGTAATCTTGAAATTAAGTATTTAAAATTGCAATAAGTGAAGTAAATAGCTAAATACGTGACATAAAACACGATTTTATCGTGAAATAATTAAGGTCACTTCTGTGCGCCAGGAAATTTTCTGGTACATAGCCCTTTCGAAATTATTATTTTATTATTACTTATAATTTACTCTTCATGACATGAATGTCACGCAAGCACGATTCGTGGGCAAAAACACCATTAATCTGTCCACTACAGTTTTTGATTTCCCTGTTATATACTTACATGGGCACTTATGGTTGCGTCGCATTCACAAAAAACGAGAGAACGCAGGCATATTAGCATGTTTAGCAGGTTTAGCAGGCAGCTCAGTTGCTAAGGTTTCCTGCCTCCAGTCAAATATTGAAAAAACTTCGTAAAGAAATATTGGCCCATCGAGACTATCTTTTTGGAAAAGTGGGCACTAGACGACGTTTGCTTGCACTTCACTGAAGCCGTTCAAATTTCGGATTTTCCACGGCCAAGAATGGAACAAACCCCCGTCTTACCCAGCCGAGATACGGTGCACCATATCACCTCCTTTCGCGATCCCACCCAAACCTACCTGGAAAGTCCATGGACATTGTGGCTTGTAAATAAATTAGGCACGCAGAACAAATCGTGGATGGATTGCATTCACCCCGTCGCCACCTTCTCCACAATCCAACAGTTCTGGGTTGGTAAAATTTTAGCAGTTAAATACGAGTACAGTACTCTGTAGCAACCGCGCGTTTTTCGCTATCACAAACTGTAATAATGTAAGTGTTATTAAGGAGCGCACGCAAAAATGGCATCTCAAAAGGGATAACGATTATTTCTAGTGGCAATTTGTAATTCAAAATTGTCAGTGGTTTACATGTGCACAGGAATGTACAACAGCTTGAAACCGCCTTCCGAGCTGCCCGTGTACTGGGAGTACGCGTTATTCCGCGGTGGTCTCGGTCGGCGGATAATCGTTCCCGACTGGGACGATCATGAGAACATTGGTGGCGGTTGCATGCAGCTAACGGGCTTCAATCTGGACACGAAAATCATCGATCACCTGTGGCGGGATATCTGTCTGAAGGTCATCGAAGAAGCCTGGATTCACACGTCCGACTACATCAACGGAATCATGGTGTCTGGCAAGAGTGGCACCACCCGCTTCTACGTATGGGTGGCGCCGTGCAAGGAGCACATCTGGGAATGCGTACGCGACCGCATCGAAGGCGTGTTCGCGCAGGACTGTCGTACGCCCATCAAATGGACACCGCACATTGAGCGCAAAGCCATGCTGGACAGTAAGATTGCCGCGAAGCGTAACGCGCCGCAGAAAGTGCGCCCGCCCAAGGTGCCCACTCTGCCGCGACACTTCCGGAGTCGCTCGGTCGGCTACCGGACTAAACTGGATGTGGACGTGAAGACCGATGAATTCCTGGCCGCTAAGCGTGTGGCGCCGGAAGTCAAAGAGGTGGCCGCAGTGCCGGCCAAACGGCCGTTCCATGTGAAAGCGTCGCAGAGCAGTATTATGCTGCGAATGGGCGGAGGCGACAGTATGCGCGATGTCTACCATCATCCATACAGTCTGCTGCCATCGCGACCCAGAGGTCGATCCTGTCATGCGTCGAAACCGTACGCGGATTATCCGGTGTTCGGACCAGAAGGAGACGGGCGTCGCCTCTTGGGAACCGGTGATATGCCTGCTAACGCCGTGGGTAAATTTAACTTTCTGTGAATGCAAATCCTTACTAGGGTCGGCCTCAACAGGTCTACCATAATATTGCTGGAAATGGCTGACAATTTAGATTTGGCAAATACAGCTAACTTGTAAGATTTAGCAATTTTTCCCAGTGATAATTTTTTTATTTTTTTCCCAGGGAATTTCAAGTATTTGTACGGAAAGTCGCATGAAGAGTGTGCCATGGCTAAGCCTTGGCGCTCCCTTGTTCATACAGGTAAAGAGATGGTGGATGTTAGCACGCAGTTTAATGCACGGACCACAAATGGTGCCGGTGATGCGGACGCGCCAATTAGAAACCTGGATCCTGTGGAAGAAAACTAAAAACCATCTTCTGAAATTTATTGTGCTGTCTCTGTCCTTGTTTGCTAATTTTTTCTTCTCGCTTGTGCCTGTTAAATTTTTCTTCGTCAGCATTTTCTGTTTCTTGTTTCTTGATCACAACGACTTCGTTAGCGACTCTGATTTCTCTAGACATTTATTACAACTACGGGTAACGAAATTTACACCATCTCTCAACTTAAACAATCACAATTAGTGACGTCACAACTCTCCAGATAAGAATTCAAAATATAAGACACGAAATGAGCAAAAGCAATGGTAAAATCATTTGCTTAAAACATATCAGTAGGCCACACTGCTTACGGATCTGCAGTGAAAGTGTTTCACAATGGTTGGAGACTACTTCTTAAGTTCTTAATAACCCCTCAATCATTTCCTCCGTCACCGGTCACTACTGCGTGATTTAGGCGCGGACCGTACGTCGTCATCCGTGCGCCATTTCTCCAACTCGTCTTGCCTAATATCCGGTTGTAACTGGTTGCGTAATCCACCCAGAACATTGGAAGTCGCCTGACTGGCAAGAATGAGAGGCTTCACGATAGCCGGAGGGATTTGTCGCAAGGCCCCGCCCACGGCGCCGGTCATTCCCTTGTGCTCGCGCTCTTCGCTCACAGCATCAACGATTTCCTGCGCTGTATCAGTAAAGCCCTAAAAAGAAATTATCTCACCAACGAAACACTCTCGCACAAATTAAGAAGAGAAAAGCTGTATTATAACGGTGCTTATATGAAAATCGAGAAGCCTGTGAAATGTCGATTTACTCCATACCTCTCGCAGAACTCGGTAGGCAGTAACAACACCTTCCCGCAGATCCCCAGGCTGACTTTTTGGATATATCACATTAGACTTCCGTCGTTTCCGCTTGAAGCTTGGTCCTGGCGATATCACATCATACGCCGATTCTGCTGCAACCTATTGAAAAATATGCAATTACAAGCACGTTTACATCGTTGGTATAGAAAACATCACCAGAACTAGCACTCAGCCTAAGGAGAACTACCGTCAACTACAGCAATAAAAATTATTATACTCACTTGAACCGTTTGAATAATGCGATTGGTTAGCTCTAATGCAGCAATTAATGTCGACGTGGTAAAGGCACTTGCACCGCGCTGTACACCCCGTACGATACGTCCATCCTTTCTGTATTGCTCCACCGGAAGCCAAAACAAATCACGAATTCCTTGAACTATCAACGAAATAACGATTTCACTCGGACGCATCACTACCGGGATAAACGATAAACTGGAACAATCCAAGCAATACCAAAATTACTATCGTTTCTTACCAAGTTGCACAAAACAGTGCATGGGCCCGACGCCAGCTAGAAGATTTGCTAGCTGCGTTTTCCGAACGTCATCTAACCAGTCGTTCAACAAGGCCAAAAGCATCCGATCCAATCCACGAATTCTAAAAAAAACTGCCATCCTTGTCCATCCAATAAACATAAAAAATCAACATACTTACCCTTGTCGATTATGTAGGGCTTTGAGTCTGAGCATAGTGCAGTTGAGTTGAGCCAAACCAATTAATAATCCTCCCAGGGCACCCTTCAAAGAACGTACTAGCACAATCAACATGAAGCGAAATCACGATATATTTCAACCGTACCACCCGTTCCACATCTACGTGCTTTCCGTGATAGTCCAGCATAATAGGCACATCCGGCGAAAAAGTTATTGACTTGAAAAATATTTCAGAGTCAGGATCGGCTAGAATGGGTGGTGGTATAGCCAATAAATCATCCAACTTTGCATCAGCAGCAGCCTTCTTCGGAGCATCGTCGAATCGAATAAGGGGATCCTGAGCGAACATCTCTTCCTCTTCTAGTGATCCCAGTCGTGTGGTTCGTATGGGAATCTGATCTTTGGGAGACTGTGATACTGCCGAATGGGGCGACGACCGTTCAGAGAAGTCTTCTACAAAACCCATACGGTATTCATATCAGCATTAACTAAAATAGTGTTATCCGGCAAAATTACCTTCATCAGTAATCGTTTTTGGTGGAACTGCCCCCGTGTCAGAAAGCGCAGCAAAGAAATCGCCCAAGAAAAACATAGATTCTTGATCTATATTTAACCGAAGCGGCTGAAGGGAAATTTTCAGTGTGCATTCTTGCATCGGTAAAGCCGGATCAGGTCGCTCGTGTAATGCTCGTATTGAAAACTGCAAGCATTCACTGTCGATCCTAGTCAACAGCATTTCAACTACATCATTAACAAACGTACCATGCTAGCATAGCTCTGTTTGGGCATAGACGCAGCAACGTATTGGTATAAAAATTTGTTGATTTCCGATGATGCCAATCTGTCTCGAATCTCAAAATCCTGAATGAATAAAACTTGACGGGCCGCTTTCACAGTTTTTCCGTCAAAGGGATACTGTTCATGCTGGAATTTCACCTAGTATCGGAATCATCGTTAAAAAGTACTTTGTTACCCATGATCAGCCAATAACAGATACAACAGGATCACTTATTTCATAATAATATACAGATACCAGACTTCGTTAGCAGAAAATATACCATTGTTATCTACAATCTTCGAGGACGTACCTTGTTGAGATGAATTTCCATTAGAACGGAATGATCACGACCGGCTCCGCCTTTCAGCAACCATGATGGAGAATGGCCGGCATCGGTTTTGTCTGATCTACTGCTAGATCGTGTCTTCCCTAGATTCGCTGAGAAACTTATCACTTAGATATGTCATTATAATAAAACACCCGCGCATGGCCTTAGATATCAGAAAATTCTTTTTATATTAAAAAGACGAAAAGACCGGAAAAAATCTTTTAACTTTTTATTCTTTTGCAGCTACAATTCCGCCACGCCCCAACTACACCGCGGTATTGACTAGTAGCCCTTTAATCAGACTAACCTGGAGCACTATGTAGTCGATTGTGGGAACTCAGTCGGCGAGGATAAACCACCTTATCATCGAAATCCTTCCCTCCGTACAGGCACCAAACAAAGGACATTTCCTTTAACGTCACCCGCACTATCGGCAATGGATAGCCATCTGGTGCTTTGAGTTGATCCGTAACGGCCAGCGGAACGGCAAAATGATTTTCCACTATTCGGATAGGCTCCATCGTGAGAAGTTTTACGCCCGGTTCCCCACTCTTTGGCTACAACGTCAAAAAAAAACCCATCACAAGCGCTACAAGCTTGACTGAATACAAAAATTTATTACTGCTATTCCAACACCCAAATCTTCATCAATAATACAAAAATCATCATCATCAATCGGATTTGCGTCCGACATCGATGTCTTAAGTGATGACGAGATTGTGGCTGCCATCGGGAAATGGGCATTATTTGCCACATGCAAAGGGGTGTGCATTGGATAATCATGTTTGGCCAAAGAATCTCTTCGTGGCGGACTTTCTTTCATGGCATCCATCATTTCATCAAAAACATTTTCATCCTGACTATATTTAGCCTCCAGAGAGACTGTTCGCGGGAATGCATCGATCTGAAAATTTTAAACAGTTCATCAAAATGGCCAACAATGACAGTCAATATAATAAAAATTAAGTAAGTTTGTAACCATCCTAAATACAGCATGTTCTGCATCCCATCAGTTCTTAACGAGTCAAATACCAAGACTAATTTATGAGTTTTTACAATCGGTAGGAAACTACTGACCTTTGGTGCTGCGGGCGCAATATTAAGATCTCGATATTCAGCCAAGTATTTCAGCAAGTTGCACAATTCCAAGCAGGAATCAGAACAGGTCCGCAGGTAGCAGCAATCATTAGAAGCCCGAAAGTCAAAGCGCGGAAAATCCTGCAACTCACAACTTTATACTAATACCGCAACTACAATGTTCTAGTGGGGAAGGCTTAATATCATTATATTCAAAACCGAACTGGACTGACTTACTGGACTTCCTTCTGCAATTTTAACCTGAAACTCCATGAATGGAATATCCAAAACGCAGACATAATCTGTAAAACACGTGCTCAGAAAAAGACAATTTTTTATTATGTTGCGCAAAAAAGTCTTGCCTTCTTTCAATTTAGCAGGTTGTTTCCGTTTACTAAGATGTAATCGCAGATCCTGAGCTATTACTCGAAGAAGGGTCTGCGGGCTTTCCGCAACCAACGTACTGGAAAGGTTCAACTTGTTCACAGCTACAAGTGCGGCCAGTGGGGAAGGCATGTACTTTGGGCTGAAACGAATATAAGCAGCATCTTCGATTTATTTAGATGAGTAAGATGAGTACCGGTATTCCGCAGCTGAACTGCCTATTGACAGATGAAATTCCGTAATTATGGTTGGACTATTGTATCCCATCACAGGAAAATCTCGTAAATTCAAATATTCGATGAACTGCAAAATAACGGTAGAACGGGTTGTTTCAGTGTCACCAATCGGTCCCCAGTTCGAAAAATATACCTGTGTCAGCCAAAAATCATCAGGGAGGGTTACTCTATAATGCATTCGCAGAGCGTTCAGTTCCAAAGCAACTTTTATATCCTAAAAGTGCATATAAACGTTTACAAATGCCACATGGCCGTACCAGGAAAAGTTTCACCTTAATATTACGAAATGTATCAACATGAATGTCCACTGCAACATTAAGCATGCACGCATCATCCAACTGTGTGTCGGGGCTTCCATAATCCAAGAGCAATTCATCATCCAGCGGTTCGATTACCGGCAACAAGTGGGCCGGTCGCTTAAGAGACGCCACCGGTACATCCGGTGCAACAAAATCTGTCAAAATATTTAAGAACTGACCTTCAGTGCACCTCTAAATGTCATGCATGTATACAAGCAAAATGCTTAAATGCGTTCGGTTAGCGGCTTTTTACGACAGTTACAGTGACATTCGATCATCAGGTACAAACCTCCAAAATATAACTCCAGACGCTGGACTTTGACTGAAGAATACCGGATTTCCGGCTGTCCCCGATAGCCACTAACACTGAAAATACTTCCTCGACTAATTTCCACCCAAGCTTCATGTGCTCGGCGCTCTCCGTGTTTCTACACCATGCATAAGTTTTTGAATTAACCCGATGTAGCCCCTGATGGATTACTTTATAAAGTATTTCACTAGTTACCCCAATTTTCGCTCCCACGGAGGCATTACCAATGTTGAGAACGACGCAAACTTCGCTGGGGATTTGAGCACGATATTTCGACAATCCACTGGCTTTCAATTTGTTTATGCGTTGCGCATGATCCCAGTTTTCCTCATCGTCGATATCAGAGCCGGTATCTGAATCTAAGAAACATAACAGTGCAAAGGTTGTCCAAATTAGGTTAAAAGCAGTGTTACCAGCTGCGCTCTTGCACATTTCAAACATGACTGGACCATTATCAAGCGAATTCCGTCCCATCAGGTGAGCCGCACTTAGCGGTATCACCTGCTGCCCGGATGCTGGCCCAGCTGGCTCCCACAGAAGAAGATCAGTGTTAATTCTGTAAAAAAACATTTCTAAACAAATGCACTGCGCTATCGTCTGTCTAAGTTGCAATGCTGTTACCTGTTGTAGAGAATTTCCAAAACATTCTTGTCCGGAATAAATGCTGTTATTTTAGGAACCACAATCTCGATTGACATCTCCGAGTTTAACAATACGTGGTCTTTGAATGCAGATGCCTGTTCGGAGCGGGCCGGTTGGACACAATTCTAGAAAGGATCTATGAAACATCATACAACCTAATAATGTAACATTAACACAAATCTTACAATTTCTTCATGTTCCACAATATTTTTCGATGTCATGAATAATGAAGGCTCTTTTTCTGTGGTTTCGCAGATATCTTCCAGTGATCCGGCTTTTGCATTACCATCGTAATCATGATCAACCAAAATGTCTGCTGATACGACATTTCGAGGAAACTTCCGCAAAATTATGCCCAACCTGCAAACGCATTTGTTATGGCCGCGACCTCCGCTCAGGCGTATGATCAGCACTTATCATACTTTAAGCGATTTGCAAACTCATTCCTCCTCTTTTCATCAATGGAGTAATCCACATCCATTTCTGCTTCGAGGAACATGATCGGTTTTTCGTTCGCAGAACTTTGAAAACCAGCTGCAATACACCCCAGTAGGTATTGAAAGTGTCAGAAGACCACAAAATTTAACCACAATACCTGATAAACTTCGGCAATTAAAATCGAGTTTTGTCACAAGCTCGTCGCCCAGAGCTGTGGTAAATGCCAGTTCTGAAAAGATCACAATCAACTTCTCCTTGTGTAGCGCTCGTTTCCAGGTAGGAAACCTGTCCCGTGCGGGCCGCAAATCCAAGACCGGAAATCTGCACCAACAAAACCATTTACAGTACTTCTATATCATTTTCCATATCGTTACAATTGCACGCATTTGCGAGCTGTCAGCAAAAACGACCAAATGCGAAGTGATCGAGTGCGAAATGCGAATTATCGAAATATTCTGCACCCGATTCATCTTAAACTGATTTCAAATGCCCAGCTAACCTTATGTGAACAGTCAGTTCGACACAGCTAAGGGAAACATTCATCTGCAATCCATCGCTTTTCACCCTCCGCACGGGATGTCCAGCAGACCAAGGGTTTTCCGGTAGATCATGACCCGAGTCGGGCAAACTTAGGGCAGCAAAGAGTTCGACTAGTCGGTCAATAATTGTAATATCCAGATCAGTTTTGGCTGGTTGTAAAGCGATCTTCAGTTCGCTGTTTTTTTGACTGGATGTTTTAGAGGTAGCCCCGCCAACCTAAATGAACTCAAAAATATCAGCGAATCGGAAAATAACATGTGAAAAACTGTAACCAGTACCTTTTCAGTTGACTCCAGTTCAATAGTGATACAGCTTGTAAACGAATATCTGTCTTCGGAATTACGATTTGGAAACGAAAGAATCTGAAGCCACATTTCACAGCATTCAAAACCACATAGGCAGAGAGAGAAAATAATGGTTAATCTGTGTTACCTCTGTGCACAGCGGCACTGTTTTTAAATGATACAAATTCTCCTGATGACGCTCGGGCTCTACATCATCCGATTTAAACAAGTGCTCCCATGCTTCAAATCCACCAAATGAGCATTTCAATGACTGCACAATGGCTGATGTCGAGCGCTTTTCTGAGCACTCTATTAACAGCGTAGACGCGCTTATCCTACAAGCAATGAGATTAGTTACCAACCCGAAAACGGGTATATATCGCAAAATCTTTTCAGTCTCCTGAATACTAGGAAATCAGCACTGTTCAGAACCATGTACCATGCTTCACAGTTTTCCACAGTGGAAAATATTTTTACCATAAATGTCCATGTGGAATGGTTCTAGAGAATCTATGTCGAAGCAAGAGTGTGTCCTGGAAATCCCAGTTGCATACATCCGATGTGGCAGAAAAATAGTCTCTTGCAGTCTTTTGCAGTCTGCGCAAGAAACACATTTTCTTTAATAAATTTACAAATATTCAGGGAAATAAAGGACACAATTATTGTAAAATACAGAGCATTTCCCGCTTTGTTCTATCCAGTTTGCGATCGTACTCTGAGAATGGAAAACTGGGACACGATCGAGCGCCCTCGGGGTCTTCCTGCACAACTGTCAAAATTAAGGCCCGGATTCGAATATTTGCGGCGTTGATGGTAGTCAGCTGCCTTTCCGAAAAGGAAGAATCAACTACAAATTAAAGACGGAATAATTTTGCGCCAACTTTGGACAGGTCAGGACATTCTTTTCTGACCGGTAACAGATTTTCCCGGTTGTCGGCGATCTGTAAACAAAACAATCTGTGATTAAAAAAAGAACAATCCCATTCGAAACTCGACTTACGAATGCCATCATCATTTGAAAGTCTCCTTGAGTCAAAGGAAAAAAATTCTTCGTCTAGAAAAAAATTATTCGATAGATAAAATCCTGGACAAATACTTAAGCAATGCTTTACACCTTCTCGCAATGTTCTATCGGTATTCCACGTGGCCAGTTCTATATTGTTGCCACCTTGAGTCAGATGCTGGCGAGCGTCGATATCTCGCTGCAACTCGCTTTCTATCTTTGAATAATCGGAAGTCGTCATGGGTTTCTGCAGTTCCAATCTATTTCGGCCATGATCTATCAAACCAACAAACCTGGAAGACGTCGAACTTATGATGCTCTGCAAAACAATTACACCCACCTTCAATGCTTCCAGGGAACATATCACGGAAGAGATTCTTCAACATTTCCAACTGCTTAGGCCATACAATCGCATGGATAACCCCAACATGTCCACTCATTTTGAACTAAGCAAAAAAATCATAGCTTAGGAGAACAGATACGAGTACAGATAGCAGGAAGTTCACATTCAATTATATGTTGCCAGTTAGTTTCCAATAACGAAATGGGAATGACCAGATCTTTACGCAAAAAACCGAAATTATTTCGCAGCTTTCCTTCTACCAAGACCGGTCAAACCACTATTAAACTAGAGAACCAGAAGCAAACCTTAGGAACGTTAACCCCGTCGGTCTGTTTCACTTCCAGTTGGATATCTATCATTTCATGGCACGCCGCAATTTGGACTAAATTTTGGCTGGTTTGTTTAGGTGTTTGATTTTGCTGTTCCATATCTGGCTGACGGGTGACTGTACCCAAATCTCTGGCGGAGTAAAACATCTCGGAATTCTGTAACAAGAATGTTAACAACAACACACAAAGATCACAGGAATACACCTGCAAACATTACCTCCAGAATTTCATGAGAAGATGGAAACATGGAAGTAGATTCGGTGGTGCCAAAGGGATAAGTGTATTCATCAGAAAACAAATCCACTCCTTCCACAATAAAACACTTTTTTGCAACGGCTGCCGGTTGGTAGTTGACAGTTTCGTCATCGTCTTTAGATTCTGTGGCGGCTTGATCGAAATATTTAACGCTAAAAAACATTAAGCGTATTTGAGGGCAAAGTGCGACGCAGCATTTCCAATGCGAAAACATTACTTTTTAATACGAACTTCCAATGCAATCGCTCGAGTCTTGAATCCATCTTGCTCCTGTTCAAGCCGGACAACAATGTCGCTGAAGTTAACCTTTATCCGGGTAAGCACTGCAATCACCATTACAACTTTCAACGACAAAGCATTTTGCGAAAAGCAAGAAATAACAATTTTACCAATATCAATCGCCTGAGCAAATTTCTCCAGCCCTTCTAATTGATTTGCCTGGGCTTTCCTCGCTCGTTCATCCTCTCGGAGGCATTCTTCTGCTAGCTGCATACTCGATTTCGTCATACTGCCCCACATCGAGTCCAGCATCACCGCTGCAAAGTACCCGATCAGAGAATTCAGTATGTCACGCTCCCACTAATAGCAAACAACAGAAATAGCAAGAATACGAACGGCTCTAACCGTAAAACCGTAATACTCGTACGGTAAACTGCCACAAAAACTTAATGCCTGTGAAAAATGAGTACTAAAGTCCATCATTAAGCGATTTTAGCAGCTAGTCTAGAATATTTACGTAATCACACAGCACACTGTCAGAAGCAGAATCAAAAAGTCAAGTGCGAAAAACATGCAATAATAAGGTAATAATGTACGAAAAAATACGAAATAAGACTATTAGAGTATTAGACTAATCAACCCACATTTCTCGAATACGCGCTTCGGTCTGAGAGTGATCTCGAGTCCTTTGATTTCCACACGCGTGTTGTCGGATAGGAGCGCTGACCACGGAATGTCCACAGAAACGCACCCAATGTATCCATCCACGATTTCAAAGGGGAGATTGACGGATTCGAAGGATTCATTTATCAGCTACAAGAAATGCAAATTTATTGGCTGGAGGGGGGGCTGAATTTCCGAAATTAATTTCGAGATATTAAGCCATGCTTAATCGATTAGCCTACGAGTACGAAATCTTGAAACCAAGAATTTTCTTACTTTTGATATATCTAGAAATAATTGGCGAAAAATTTAGTTACAGTTTTCGCTTACATATTAGTTATTATTAGGATTTATGACATCTTTTTTTCCATTCGGCAATGGTTGCCAGAGACTTCGTTTAGAATGATACCAATTTATTTAATAAAAATTAATTAGACCGAACTTGATTAAATTAATCAATTTAACTGACATTCTAACATTTTGCTATTGTTGACATCTAGGAGAAGCTAAAGGCAGAAGCTGATAACTGATTATTAAATATTACATTATTACAAAACAAGTCACGCTTTAGTCGCTTACTTCTGAATCCAAAACAAGTCCATTAACAACACCTGTACCATTAAACAATGACACAGATAACTGGTCGAGATCAACTTTTTCCTTGAGAAATTGTCCAAGGTAGCGTTGCAGGAGATATCGACAAGCACGCTTTTTTACGGACTCCAACCAAGGAAAGTTCCAAGGCATGGTGACAGTGTCGCTAGCACGCGCTCTGACAACTCAGGAGATTTAGATTCTTTACTGACCCAGCGTTACATATTTGCGACTTTGATATTTCGCAATGCTTAAGGATACTGTTAAATTATCATAAATGGAAGATTTAAAGGCTATCAGATAAAAAAAATTTCTGGAAATGACAAGCAGCGTTTAAATAAAATTCGATGATAAGTACTGTACAGCAGTCGTAACTTTTCGGAACAAGAAAATTTTGTTAAAAAGTGGTCGTACGACTGCGCACGGCTGAAAGTTTGTAAACATGTGATGAGTGAGTCATAGCGTGCAGTCATACGTTTCGTAAAGCTACAGTACGTACAAATAGGATCATAGGAATGCGAGTTGGGATATAAACGGTGTCCGTAGCTTTTTAACTGGCCTACCATCGTTTGGAATCCATGAATCAATTATACTACTTATGTCTAGTAACTAATTACAATTGTTTGTTGGCTACAATGAAATCCGTGCAGTATTGTAATTGATTTGGGGATGAAATTGAATGGAATCTTGGCAGTTTCTATCGCTATGATGTAACCCTGACTTAGGGTTTTCTGTTGACAATAATCACAGATTATCACAGATTGCATACAACTGGTTTCAGATCGGGCAGGCGATTGTTTTCGACGTCCCACATCTTAGCTTTTTTCGATATTCCTCGGTTGTTAACCGTTAACGGCATTATTTTTGTGCAGTTAAAGATTTCGTGATGGAGACAATAGGAGAATATTCTTATTTTCGCAAGGATCTTATCGGACATGGAGCGTTTGCCATGGTCTTTAAAGGCAGACACAACAAGGTATGATAATTATTGTGTACTGCTTGTAGATTTTACTTTTTAATTAAACGCGATAGCTTTTTTATGGTTGCAGAATCTGGATAAACTCGTGGCTGTTAAAGTGATTGCGAAGAAGAATCTCTCTCGGTCTCAAGGCATTCTCGGAAAAGAGATTAATATACTTAAGGTACGGATAGATGTTGTTTTCCAATTGATTAATCGCTCATAGACGGTTTTTAGGAGTTAGCATCTCTGCAGCATGAAAATCTTGTGTCGCTCCTCGATTGCAAGGTGAGTAATTCAGTAACAACATAAATCAATAACGCTTACGTAGTAGGTTAGCAGCTACAGTAATTTTTTTAATTACAGTAATGTGTAGTTATCGAACAGTTACTGTAGATGTTGATTATTAAGCCAACCCTTGCTTTTATTATTGTAATTTTTTTAATGTTATTTTTGTATTCATAGTGGGAAAAAATGATGTTGTTGTACTACAATAGTAATTTTGAGTGGCCAGTGACGCAGTGAGGAATAACAATAACTTAAGAATATTCCCGGTGCAAACGAGTGATAGAGAAGTACAATAGTAGTAGCTGCACCAGTGTATCCACTGTAAATACCTTTCTAATACTTGTTGCAGAAAAGGCGTCTCATGGAAATGTTGATATTGTGATTCCCGAAAAATTTAATTATCAATAGTCTTTCAACGTTTTTTTTTGGTTGTTATTATCGGCATCGGCTTGAAAATATTTTTCTGAGATTCGAAATATGATGCGCAGTAATATGGATTTTATCGGTTTTTTAAGGTACTATTTTTTATTAACATGTAAGTTCCGATATTTGCATCATCTGTCTTTACGATACCGTTTTGTGTAAGTAATATCGGAACTTTCATGTAAACGTGCACAGGTGGCAAAAGTATGAGTATGCCTTTGGACGGCAAAATTTTGCAAATCATTAAAATGTGCGGTCCCACCACACTTAATTTCGTGGGTTATACGCTGTTTTTTATTGCAGGAAAGTGCACAAAATGTCTATTTGGTGATGGAATACTGCAACGCAGGGGATCTGTCCGAATATCTTCACGGTATGCTCCCATGAAATGTTTAGTCGCGGCAGCTGGTTATGGCAACCTACACGCTTTATATGGCATCAGTAAATTATGCCTTTTTTGGATTTTATCCGTTTTATTTGAGAAAAATTGCTTTCATTGTTGTGATTTTTTTACTACAGGAAGCGGCGCCTTGACGGAAGATACGATTCGGTTATTCGCTAAGCAGTTAGCGGCGGCTATTCGAATATTAAAATCGAAGGGCATAGTTCATCGAGATCTGAAACCACAGAACATTTTATTGTGTTGTAACGACGAACGTTACCGCGCTGGTAGCAACAAGGACCGTCGCCCCGATCCTCAGAGTTTACAACTCAAAATTGCTGATTTTGGCTTTGCTCGTTTCTTGCAAGATGGTGTAATGGTGAGTTTATGGTGAAATCTTTGGTAATTCGGTAATCAGTCCTCATTTATTCACTCGAATTTGCGTACATATTATGTTTCCCACTCCTTGTTATGTTCATCTACGGTGTTTAACTGACAGTTTTCTCAATTTATTTAAGAAATTTAAAATTTATTATTTTCGGCACTAATAGGCTGCCACCTTATGTGGAAGCCCCATGTACATGGCACCGGAAGTCATCATGTCGCAGCATTATGACGCTAAAGCCGATCTTTGGAGCTTGGGAACGATTCTTTATCAGTGTTTTGTTGGTCAGGCTCCATTTCAGGTGGGCTAAAGTTGAGAAACGGGTCTAAACAAAACCGCATTGCACTGATTTTTTCAGGCCAGCAATCCGCAACAGCTGAAGCAGTTCTATGAGCGTAATCAGGATTTGAAGCCAAATATTCCTAGCAAGACTTCCCCGGAGTTTCGTGATCTTCTTCTTCGACTCCTGAAACGAAATCCTCGCGATCGGATCGAATTCGATGATTTCTTCGTACATCCCTTCCTGTACACATCTGTGCCTAGAGTCAAGGAGCCCCAGCTGCTCCACGAATCTGTCATGGAAACAAATGCCACTCCAACCATGACGCGTAGTCAGCGAAGCGCGCCACGACTTAGAGAAGCCGAAGAGAATTCCAGTAATCACTCTTCATTATCCGCTGATGACTATGAAATGGTCCCTTCCACTGTTGATTCTCCCGAAGAAACTGAAATAGACGTTGCAAATGTTACTCGTGTTCAGAAGGAGATATCTCCACAGCGCATGGTTTCGTCACCGAGACCTATCTTGAGCCCGCTCCGGTCATCAGTCTCACCTTTGCCTGCAGCGTCAGCGCCTCCCAGAGTTAGTCTTCCAAATTTTGATAACCGACCAAAGTCAGATCCGATGCTGGAGTCCTTAACGCCTCCTCCGGTGCAGTTTTGCATGGGAACCCCTCCCAGCCATGCTACTCGCATAGTTTCTATTCCCCGGCCTATACATAACCCCGAAGAAACGGTGCCCGATTCACCGCGTTCAGGGTTTTCACCAATTTCGGCCCTCTCCAAGCTGCCACGACCGGTGACTGGAATATTTGACGTAACTGCAATCGAGCAGTCTCAGTCCAAAATATCGAGGGCCTACACACTGCCGGAAATGCATGCTTTAGGCAACGTTACCGCTCCTTTGGAACCCGATTCTCCCCAGCCGGAATACGGTGTACCACCGGCCTTTGCCGCTCCTATGACATCGCCTGTGTTAAGAGCATCCACGGTATCGCCTAGAGATAGGAGAATTTCGCTCAGCATGGCCCGAACGCGCAACCGCAGTGGTTCCGAACTTCCAAGCCAAGCCTCCCCAACGGTATTCGAAGAGCTGATGAATATGGTGCCTCCGGAATTATCACAAGAAATTTTGCTAGAGAAGGAGCACAATGAGTGCTTATCTAAACTTATCTTTGTCAGACATTTGGTGCAGTGTATCACTGAAGTTGCCAAAACCAGGGACACACCAATTCGGTTTGCGGGAGATGTGGGATCGCTGACTGCTGGTCAGGGAACGGAAGCGTTGCAGCGCTTTAATGTGACCAGCCTTAGTCAAAAGTAAATTGTTACTGCGCACTTAAGGTTTTTGTCCTGTGCTTGATCGAACGGTCACATGTGTTTAGGTGGGCGGAGAAACTAGTTCTTTACTGGAAAGGTCTGCAAATACTACAGACCGCTTTGGCATACGCGCGAAATGAGTACTCTTCTCGAAGGCTGCAACCATCGAATTCTATGCGGAATGGTAAGCTTGTGTTGTATAAAATTTAGAGTAGCTACGCTTTATATTTTAGTAATTCCCTTCATTCCGTGTTTTTGCAGCTGTCTCTTCATTGCATAAGTTGTATGTGGAATGTTTGGCGGTTGTTAAACGACTCAGTCGGAATCAGTTGTTTGAGTCACTGGACATGCAAACTATCAATATTTCAGCGGATGCTATTCTCTATGCGCATGCGTTGGAAGCGGTGAGGAAGTGTTGAGTAGCCTTGTGATGACAATTTATGATTTAATGTCTTTCCTGCAGTGCCAGTCTGCTGCTCTGGATGAATTATTCGGCAACCCGGAAGAATGCTTTAATCGCTACGAAACAGCCTTCACCTTGTTACATTCATTGCATCAGCAAGCTGACAACGAGCCGGACAAGGCCATACTGCAACGCTACAAAGAAGCCGTACAGAAACGTTTGATGATTCTTCACAGCAAAGGTTATATAAGCGCATATGAAACAACGTTTTAACTTCGAGTCATACAAAGCTTTAGCTGAGATGCTTTTTTAAGTTTTACTGTGCTTCGTTTTTTAACGGCATCATGCATGTGATTATGTTTGATCATTTGTACAGTGTGTGAAGATTTGGCCGGTTCATCTTCATTTGTTTTGTTTTAGTCATGGATGTACAATACACTTTGTATAAAAAATATTGTATTTGTTCATAAGGTTGGATGAAATTTTCTATGACATTGGCCACGGGTTTCTTAATCTTTCGTTCCAGTTACACTTTAGATGCTTAGATGAAACTTCTGGTTGTTCAGATTTCAGAGCTAGAACAATCACTAACTTGTAAGTTGTAAGTCTTATGGAAGATCAGAAACTGATGTGTTCGTAACTTCGTAAATGTTTAGGTCTGGCAAATATGGATACAACTTTCGTAAATTTTTTAGTTTGTGAAAAGTTTTTAAATCACCGCGAAATTGCGAATTGTGGCACGACACGTCATGCATTTTTCCAAAAGACTGCAGGTTACGCAATCGACGAAACCTGTACCTGAAAAAAATCCAAAAAGTCTTGAGCTGGCTGCCATACGTTAGCGGTTGTGCTGTGCCTACAGGATTGCTACGTTGACACTTCAGAACTGAGTCAACTGACCCACATTATTCTAAAAAAATCTTTTTAAAATTTAAAAGACAGGTTGACAAATTTTTCAAGTGCTTCTGTGTGTAAACTGTAAGGAAGCATGCCACCGTGTTAAAAATATCCGCGAAAATTATTCGGTAGCGTCATCCACCAATATCCTCCTCAGGATTCGGTCGATTTAATTCATCGTTGTAACTTCGCTGTCTGCCGTGACACCATAAATTCCATTCTGTCTGGGTTGTTTGGGTCAGAGATCCAGGAGGCAAGAGTTTCTACGGATCCCAGCTGACAACGAGATCCAGTTAGATTTGGATTGATCTGCCAGAATCTCCGTCAGCAGACTCAGAAATGATATTGAACCTGATAAATCTCCTATTTATATGCGCGTGTGCCCTGGTGTTGCGAGACGTAACCTGCCATGCTAGTAATCAAAACTACAATCTCCCTCCAATTCCTCAACCGCATCTACAACCTGGCCAGAATCCCATGCACGACAAGGCCTTCGTACAGGATAAAGCGTACGATAACACGTGACGGTGCAGAAAAGTTTTCTGTGTTTCATATAGCACCTTTTCTTAGGCATATTCAAGAGCATTTAGAAGGCATCACCAACAAACGACCGGAAGATATGAACGAACTGGAACTGCAGTTCCATTACTTCAAACTCCATGACACGGACAGCAACAACAAGCTTGACGGATTGGAGCTGATCCATGCTATCACGCATTATCACGGCGGAGGTACGGTTAACACCTTCACCCTATTTCTCATTGTAAATGCTGTGGTTTGTGTTTGTACTATTGTACGCAAGCGCATGATCCCGGAACTGGTAGCTTGTCCTTATCGAATTTTACCGCACCTTATCGCTGCTGGCTTTATCGCTTTGTGTCGTACGTTAGTAGCTTACTGCTTGCAGTAAATTATTAGCCCCATATCTGTTCACTTAATTGTGTTATTAGACGCTATGTATGTGCATTCGCGGGATCGGCCGAACGGAATGCCATTAATTGCGGCTATGACGTTTTAGTTAGCGAGCGGTTTCGGACAACCTAACCATCGAGAGTATGACGTGATAACAGTGGCTGGCACCTATTCGCAATAACACAGGTTTAACAATAAACGGAATTTTAAACTCTGCCTGCTTATTTAACAACTTGAGGAAGGAACTGATAACCCGCGCGTAATGCGTACTGCAACAGCGATGCCACAGTAACCGCATTAAGTACTGCATCTTATTACGTATGTAATTTGGAGAGGAATTTTGTAGAATTTTAGCACACCTACTTTAATAGAGCTCACAGACTTAGCGCCGACTGAGAACATTTCTAGTTGATGTTTTTTTGTGGATAAGATTTAGGTCCGCTTTTCGAAAGAAAGGATTTAGTTGTGGAAGGTAAAGAAGTTCGTGAGTGGAGTTGAAGCTCTGTGTTTCCTAACATAATAACAATAATGGGTGCACGATTACGCAGCTCGGAATTGAATGACAAACTGCTAACTAAAGCGTAGTGAAGGCCAGATACCAGCTTGAGCTGCTTTTAAAACTGAAACGACGTTCATGGTTCGTATTTCGTAGAAACAGTTTGCAGAGCACCTTGCCAGTGGGTTTGCGGTGCTGCATGGCGGTTTTTTGGTATTTTAGTTTGTAACAAACAGTAAGGCTTGCAGAGAAAGCGTTTTCTGTTTCTGCATGACAGATTTGCAAGGCTTTTCTTACTCTTTCTTTGCTCTTTTTTAATTTTATGGAAAAAATTAAACGTATGTATGCGTTGCAGAAGTTCCGGATGTGAAAGGTCCTCGTATGCTGACCGATCACGAGCTAAGCATGACAGTGGATGCCATATTACTGGACGATGATAAAAATAATGATGGTTATATTGATTATTCCGAATTTGCTACCTCGCAGACCAGAAATCAGGGCCCAAATAATCCGAATAGGCAGCAGTCTTAGATTTATGCTTTTTTACCGGCTGGCTTACCTTACGTTTTTGACAAAGTTTTATTGTGTATTTTTTCTACAGCGTAATTGATTTGTTTGCACTGAAGCAGAATACCATTCAGTTGAGTTTCTGAGTTAACTCACTGCAAATGTTTAACTAACAGCAGAAAATTATTAATAAAGTTCTGGCGGGATAAATTTCGTGATAACTGTTCGATCGAGGTGCGTAAAACAGTTACAGTGCTTTGTACATCTGTAAATTTACAGTAGAGTTTTGTCATAAAATAAAAACCTGGATGTGTACCGGAATTTGATCTCAGTACTTTGTTGTAGCAAGACGACACCTTCCACTTGTCACACTTTCTTGATCTCGCAATCAGTACGAGTACGATTCCAGTGGTTGCTTTGCTTTGTAGTGTTGTTGCTTCGCGGATTAAAATTTGTTTGGCCCACTTTAAGATCCAAATGCAAGATACATATAACTGACACAATCACCTTCTTTATACTTTCTCGGTCAGATTGTTTCTCAATTTCAGAGGGAGATCTTCCTGTGATAGATGGTGTAGCTCGCATGTATACTGAAAGCGAACTCAGCACGACTGTGGATGCCATACTGTTGGCCGACGATACGAACAATGACGGTTTTATAGACTATTCCGAATTCGCTTCCAAAGTTACTAAATAAAAATGCTCGTACTTGTTACTGCTTGCAACATGCACTTAATCGTTTCGATCGGTTATCATTTTCAAAACTGTTTGCGGTATGTGTATCGTCACCTTTATGCCGTTGCGATATCGCGATATGGTAATAGTTAAGTAATTCGCGAATCGCAATTCAGTGATATTTACATTTATTCGCACAAATGCTATACAAATTAGGAACTATTTACCGCGCAGATCAAAGAAGCAGTGCAGAAGAAACATAAAAATACGTAGTAACGACAAGCACTCTGTACAAAACTGGATTCGCACAATTAGGCTACAGGTCGAAGAGGAACAAGAAATTACCATACAGAACCGAAAATTTCTCGATAAACACTTGCATTCTTTTCCAGACAGGATAGCGAAGACAGCGACTAGATGTAATCAACCGAAGGCATTTTGCACCAACACAAATAAAATGAAACAAAAATTTAGGAATGAAATGGTCTCACTGACTCGGACATTTAAAGCCGACCGAAGAACACTGTATTTTTGCTGGAATGGTTTTCTCAGATCACGACGGAATATGCATCTCCTATTCTCCACAATCCTGACCGAAAATTTACGAGACTAATAAACTGTCAGTACAACTCAAGGGGGAAACGCACGTTGGACGGTATTTGTTGATACGTTGGGGGTTTTTTGATCAGGATTATTCAAGTTGCTCCAAAAAGTGAGCCGACTTGAAATATTCGGGAATAATGTCATCCATTCGATTGATGATTTTGTAAATGGCTTTTTTCCATGACGGCTCCTGGTCCCGATTAACTTGGATCGCCTTGAAAAACTCTTTAAGCGTCTCTTCCACCACTTCACGAAAGGCATCGGGGACCTTGAACAAGAGATTCATGAGCAAAGCTACCATAATGCAACTTACAATTAATAACATACACTGGTTCGAACGAAGAGAAACTCCTAAGCGATAATTTACTGTACCTCGATATGGTTATTACGATTGTAGTGCAAGTTTAGCGTCCGGTATAATTCGCAATCCTTGGAGACTTGAATATCGTCGGCATTTTCTAGTCCTTCTGCTAAGGCTTGCCGGGCATACTTCTCCATTTGGATATAGTAGAACTCCCTGTGAGAAGAACTGGATTATGTGACCTTTACGCCAATAGTTTAACCGGCTTTCGCGAAAACGTTTGCTGTGTGTATAAATCGCGAATCGTTGCTATCACTTGAAACTTCTGTTGTGGGTTGAAATAGGATAAAACTGTACACACACCATATTACGATGTTATACACAGGAATCAGGAATTAGGATAACCAGAATAAAATATCGCAATACCGAATATAATACATTTACAAAAAATCTGAAAGGTTTTATTTCCAAGATTAATGTGACGAATAAAAACATAAAGCAAAAATCATGCTGTTCTTACTTGTCTGTATGCTCGGTATATTATTGGTTATAACAAATTTGTGATGTACGTACCGGAAATTGGAAAACCATTTGACAAGTTGGGCCGTGTTATTTTTATTGAATTTGATATCCGGGAAGAAGGTCTTCAGCGTGGCCGAGTTGGGATAGCGTGTGTAGAAGAACATCAATTTGGCTTTACGCAAATGCATGGGCGTTAATGTGCTCGAGTGGGCGAAAGTCAGGGAATCGCCTGTAAAATATTAATTTCTTCATTGACAAAAGATTTAATTCAAGGCTGACAGGGGCGCACACATTGTGTCGGATGGGTAATTCGGTATGCGCGCACCACATTGACACAGGATGGGATGCGCGATGCGGGGCTGCCGACAGCGAGAGAGTCAGCGAGCGAATAAGGGATTTTAAAGGGAAAGATTAGAACAATCCTTAACGGCTGTCCCAGTGGCCCCATGTCAGCTCGCATCTATCGATCCAAATGTGCGACTATAAACTCCTGTCTGCATCTCTCCTTGGAAGAATAGCAGGAGCAGATGATCTTTATCACGAATAATAATGCCATTTTGCCAACTTGGCTTTCTCTTCTCATAGCCTTAACTGCAGGATACGCCAGCACTTAATGCGACAGCAGATGTTTCTCTGGGATGCGGCAGCACGCCAGTCGCGTGGCCTCTTTTATTCACAAGCGCTCATGCAGTTTGTGCTTAAGATTCCTCTTTTCATGCAGCAGCCAGCCCACAGCTACGCCTGCGCCTGATCGGAATAATATGAGAATATTTCAATGTTTATCTGGCACACTTCATATTTCCTGCAATCATGCCTGTCGATTTATAAACCTGCAGCTCCTTATCTTGAGGTCAACCATCAGTGCAGCGTCGGTATTGCGTGCCGCGCTCACACACCAACGAGCACCGGTCTGATGATCCCTGAAATGCATCCCCTACTCCCGTGTGTACTTAGCTGACCATTGCTCACTGTTGGCAAATATTTTCGTCTTTCTTATTCGACCATGTTTACCTGCTCATAAATGCGTTTCAACAACAGATTATGCATTCGATCGACATGTCTAATAAAAGATGAGCCATTTGTGCGGCTACCCGCGACTTCTTCTCTACCAAAATCGCACAACATTGATTGTCTTATTAGCAAAAGAATTAACAGTCATACCGAAATTTCGTACTTCAGTGAAAAATTACCTGAAACATTTGTCTATCCAGAGAGTGCGCGATTGATTTCGAACTTAAACTCATATCGAAGATGTTGTCTACATCATTAATTTTGCAGCTTACGTCATCGGTTATGGGGTGACGAAATTAAATAAGTAAATCAATAACAACCTAAACCCGGTTTTCCATATTTTTACGTAAGTCGTTTTCTTTTAATTATAAACTGGTGTGCCCCGTCTACGTAAGAACGCCATGATTAGCAAATTAAGGTTAAGGTACAGACAGATAGGTTGATGTTGCTTGTATTGGTATCTTTTGGGCGTTTCCCGGCTGTGAAACGTTAAGTGTTTCACAGTCAACGCACAAGCGCGGTAAATTTTTGACGCTATGGGTGCAAGAATGGAATTTCTTGCTTGTTTGTTGCTGATCTGATTTGAAAGGATATACAGTACATACGAACGCATGCATCAATGACCAAAAGCTTTTGCGTACCTCTCGAAGGAAAAGGAGCACTTGGCTGGCGACCACCGGATATTTCGGTAGCGGAGTCGCTTCCGTCCAGCGAGTTCTGTTCATTCATGTCGTTACTTCCGTTTTCCATACTGTTCTCTGTCGGACTGACTACATCCCGCCTGTCCAGTCCGGGGTGGGCGTAAAAGTTACCGCCGCCCGCCGGTAACAGTGTTCGACTGACATCCAATCCCGACGGATGGAAGGCCGATGATTCGGAATGATTCAGTGCACTCTGCGTCGCCAGAGATCGTGCCAGCAACGGATGGCTACTGGCGCTGAAACCCATGTGCACGGCGCCGTTGACCGCATTTGGGGACGACGGGAGGAATTTGCGGTTGTCGGACACCAACTCCTCCTTCTGGTTCATCACTTTACTCATTACGCGCGGTGTGATGCGCGTATCGGTGACCTTATGACGCTTCTTTTTCTGTGAGACCACCAGCGGAATGGCCTCCTGTCTGTTCCGGGTAGAACCGGGTCGGAGGAAATTCTGAAAATGCGGATTGTACATGGTGGGCGCGGCGGACGCCATGGCCGCGGCCGCAAAGTGCGACATACTGAAGAAATCATTGCCCAGTTTGCTTTCGTTACTGAAGAACGGTCGGGGCGGAAAACCCATACTGTACAGCGGAGTGAAGTGCTTGTTGGTGTGAACCATTTCGCCGGGCAGCTGGTTGACTGGTTGTTTGGTTCGCTCGATTTTCACCGCGCGCACGGCCTGACTGGCCACCGAGGGCGATCGGGCTGGTGTTTCCGCTTGAGGCGCCGGTGTCGGCGTTCGGGTGCGTGCCTTATTTTTAGCCGGGGGCGGGGCGTTCTCCTTGGGCTTGCGAATATACTTCGCCAAAACGGAGGAGATAATTGGGTTGATTTGCTCTTGGATTTCCGCCGATATCAGCACGGCCAACTTCCTGACTTCCTCATTGCTAACCTGCACATTCTCCAGGCCACGCTCAATAACAGGGATCATAAAGTCGTTTCCTCCGGCCGGTCCATCTATGTCATCCAGCTGGCGTTTAATGCCGCCGCCACGGAAGCTTGGCAGGTTGTCATAGCGTTCCTGCATAACGTTGATTTGCTGCTGCATCATCAGCAGTTGCTTCCGCCATAAATCTTTTTCGTTCACCATGCCGTTGTCACTGTCAATTTGTTGCTTGGGATACACCTGTTTGCGCTTAGTTTTACGGCTTTCCCCGCCGATACTTTCCGAGTTTTCCGGATGAGGAGGTGCCGTTTGATGGTGCACGAATACTGGAGACAATGCTTTCCACTCGGCTTTTCTTCATCTGTACATCGCTACCGTTTTCTGACATGCTTTCCCCGTTTCCCATAATCGCGCCCATTGTCAGGCTCGCTCCGTTCTCTTCCGGCTTATTACCCATATCATCGTCACTCTCATTCTCAGAAAAGGAATCCACATGGCTGGCGTTATCGTGATGGTCATCGGCGTTCGACTGAATGTCGTCACATTCTTCGGGTTTGTTGTTCTGCAAGATCTCGCGTAAACTGAGGCGTGTTCCGGTGTTACTCTGATTGGTTGTGGCTTGTGCGTCAGCAGGCGGAATCTTGACCGACAAGTTGGTCGGTTCACCGCCATTAACTTCGTGGGGGGTTCGACTTCCGGCCGGCACACTCATATTGCTGCCGTTATCAACGCCGCCCACGACGCAGCCGCCGTTATTGGAGCCTATGTTCAGGAACTCACTATTGCGTCTTATCGCAGTTGCCGCATTCTGATAACACATATTTGTTGTGTTCGGAGTGGCTCAGAAAGAGCTCTTTTTCCTCCTTGTCAGGAGAATAGGAATGCACGTCGTAGGATGGCTGCAGTAAACGGGGAAAGTTGCGCGCAAAGGAAGAAAATGCCGCGCTCTGATTGGTCAGTCCGATGGGTGACGTGAAGCATGCTTGAGAATCCATATTGGACTGTGCCAATAGTAGCAGCACAGCAGCTAAACGCGCTGAATGTCTTTTAAGATGCAACGAATGCCGGCTGTAAATTAGCACGGTCGATCTCGCTGCGGCGGATCCACTCACATCCGCCGGTAGCGGCTCAACTGGGACGTATCACCTAAGATGTCCAAGCTGTCGCGTTAAGTGTCGCTGTCGCAGAATCTTGCTCGATAGGACAAACAGTGCAGTGCAAGAGTGAATCCATCAAACGCACTCGAGAAGAATCCAACTTTCACAGGAATTAACTTCGGATGATGATCTTTTGGCGCTTTCAGTCTGTATGAGCAATAAACATATTTAGCACCGCTTAGTATTAGTACAGCAGCTCAGAATTTAAACTGTTAACACAAAAATAATATACGAGTATCATACAAAGACAATGCAGCTGTTTTTAAATTTATGGAGGCCGCACCAATGATCAAGATTTTCCATTCTGACTATCCACCGCTTCGCAACTTTCTAGTTCCAGGATCACTGCATTGGATCGTATTTTAATATAATACTGCCATTTGGCGGCGGCTCTACATTGGTATATCACAACTGCTGTTCGCAGTTTAATCGAAAAGATGCATCTTTAAGTTTATACGCGAAGCACGTACACACAATAAACTTTATTCTCAAAGGAGATCATATGCACCTCCAACACTGGACATTTACAATGTAGCTTTTGGTGTTTCAAAGGATTACAAAATTACAAATTCTGTTCGTCAACCTGCTGTAACTTCTGCTTTGAATGGCTGTTACTAACATAATTGTTGTCGTAGTAGACTCAGGAAACAAGTAATATTCATAAATTTCTTCGCTCTGAAGCCGGTGCTTCAAAGGAGTGCAAAGGTTTCCATATTGCAATTGCACGCTCCATACAGCGTACTGCACCTGGCTGTCCTGGCATACAGCATAATAATAAATCATTGGGCTTTTAAAGTACAACGTATACCTTGCGTGAAATTTCCCTGCATATGGTTATTTTGAGTAAGCAGTCACGCGGCAAAATGCTATTTCTTGTGCACGTCCCAATTAGTCATTAAGAAATCCTGTATACAGAAGCCGCGTCGTCAATGACACATTATTGCTGTCGTAACCTTTACCATTTTCTAAGCAAAAAATACGGTCCAGAAATTATAAAAATTACAACCGACGCCGCACAGAGAGAACACCTTTACTGTTAAACATGTGAAATCTGGGAGGAAATGTAAAAAAACGGGTGGAAAAAATTGACAAAAACAAACAGTGCTTACCTACTTTAAGCCGGTTCGTTGCGGCGACCAACACCGGCAATAAGGAAAGTGAACCAAATTATTATAAGGAACAGTTTGTACTAAACAAGGCAATGATCTCGATTATATCTCACATGCTCAAGCATACGGAAATTTGCAATGAAAGATCAAAGTCCATATCTGTAAATACCCGTCTTTGACCTGCATTTTTGGCATAACAAATCAGTTTTTCTGCATGTGTATTGTAGTGTTTTAGTCTCTGTTCACTAATGGTGTCAAACATTACCACGACAAGTTTTTTGTGGATCATTAATATATTACAATTTGTAGCACAGCTTTTCAAACAATTAAAAGATGATTTCTTTGTCAGCTTTCTTGTGTCAACACATGGATGGTCATAGGTGAACCAATTGCCGTCTGGCTCATAATTAATAATAATGTAGCGTGCACGCATAATAATCAACGTCTGTATTGAACACAACCTTTGTACCCCGTGAAGCGATTACGTCTCATTTATATTTATTTATGTATTAATCAGGCTAAGAGAGAGAGAGTTTTAGATTCTTACAAAACTTGAAAACCATGCGCAATTCCTCGGCACCATGCTACCGAAAGCTAAAATAATACTGTAATTTTAGTGTTTTGTGATATTATAAAAGCTACAAAAAGTAAAGTAAAGCAGTAGCGTTGATGTCAGTACGCTATAACACCAAAGATAATTGATAACTTTTAATTTTAGTCAACAACTCAACATAATCAGCCTGACTGCAAATGCGTTCTTAACCATTTTTCTCTGATTTTGGGGGTCAGTTACTTATAAAGCTAGTCTGAGATAATTTGTAAATGTTACTTACCACAAGCTAGTCGATCTGCAGGAGGGGACAAAACCGCTGAAAACAATTAGATTTTTTGATGGCTAATGTTTCAGGTTTCAGGAAAACACTATGCAGAACAGTACAATAACCAACGAGACCTTAAAAGCACGTCGTAAAATAGCGCAACATGCAGTAAACATTAAGGCAGTGTTATAATAAATGCGCCAGGAACAGAGCACCGAACAACACAAACTGATATGATATTTGGTGAATGTCCGCTAGGCAATACTTAGACGATATTCTTTTAATGTTGGCTTGTTCTGATAGACAATCCCACAGATGTAACCTCATTTTAAAGTTGAGTACACATCAGGCTCACAACGTTTACGTCTGTAAACGAACCTAAAGAGTGGCCTTTGATAAGATGCCAAGTTATACGACAGATCAAGTGGGCTGGGGAAGGTTCAGTGTAAGAAAAAGTATGCCTAGCACCGTTGCAGTCCACATGAGATATATTGCTTTATTAGGTGAAGTAAACAAATGACGCGGAATACCTTGTACCGCAATAAACTGCGATCTGAGGAATTCAGCGCACCTCAAATCTTAAGTAAATCGTGTCGTTTATTTGGGAAACGGCTTCCTACCTTTAATCAAACTTTTTGCAGCCATTATGTCACAGCAATAAATGTATGAGTTCGGTTTTCAAATCGAGATAATTATTTACAGACAGTTATTTCAAATGAAATGGAAAGTGCAATACGTTGCCGGCTGGATCGCAGTCTTCGTGATCTACGATACGTACTTACATATAGGGATCAAACTATATGAATATTAAATGTTTTGCTGTACAAAATATCAATAAAAATACGAGTAATTTTCACTTTATCGATTTTCGCTGTAGTTATTGTAATTATGAGAAGGTAGGTAATTCATGTTGCATTTAGTAAAACTGTACAAGTATCTACTTCGTGTTTAAAAACTATACGAGCTTATAAAAATGATGAACTTAATAAGTACGCCTAGAAAGAAATCGCTCGATGATGTGCGTAGTACGCACTGCGTACACTGCAGATAGTATGAATTACAGGCTCTTTTCTGCTAAACACCATGGAATACTAGGACAATTATTCGTAAATTTCTCATTAATTATGCAACAACAATTATAAACACTGCTCTTGGAATAGAAAAAGGAATAATATTTATAGGAAGAAACCTTTCCCGTTCGGAGTTTTACACTTAGCTAATTATTTTAAACTGCAGTTTAGAATTAGTAAAGTTTTTACCGCTTATCAGGAAAACGATCGCTAGTCGGTTAGCTCAAATACACTCGTACAAATTCCTTTCAGCATTGGTATTAGCTGCCAATTCTGGGTCCGCGGTTTTTCAAGCGCATTGAGTTAATTAACGGAAAGGTCACCCACCATTCACGCGCTACTTCATGTAACATAGTGTATCCAATGACGTTATTTTGGATATACAGTATATGCGATGACATCTATCGTTATATTGTGAATAAAAGCGGAACACCACAACATCTCAGGTTAGCAATAGCTCGAGAGCAGACGTGGCATTTTTCTATTTTATTGTTTACACGAAAAGGAGATCAAACATCGTCATATCCGTCCGAGACGCACTTAGAGGCTTCTGAATCAAACTCCTAAGTCAACGTTTCGCCTAATCGTTTGTTCATTGTAATGTGGACTTAGGCTGTACGTATGGCGCTCAAACGTTAAAAGTGACTTAAAGCCAATGCACAATACAGAAGCAGCGAAGGATGATATTCACGCTCGCTCCCGCTCCCACCCACACATATACGCCACAAAACTCGCAATTAAGGCCACAGCAAAGGTAATCAAATACGTAGCCGGCATACAGCAAACAAATGCCGAACCGACGTGATCCTGGTACACAGGATCATTCTCCAGCCAAACACTACAATTCCCCTCTGAAAACGATACGACAGATAGCTGAGAAACCAATCGATTCTTTGGATGCTGGCTTCCAAGATTCATTTGGTTTAGCAAGTTTATTCTGCCATCCTTGATCGCAGCGGAAGAAAAAGAGATTCAGAGAAGGAAGCTACCGTACATTACGCTATATATATGTATCTACGTATAGTAATCGATCAGGGAAAAGCTAATCAGGTGGGAAATCGGTAACTCTCACCTATCACTACGATGACGAAGTTTAGTTTCTAGTTTCTAGGGCCTACTGCAGCGCGGAAAGACGTAGTCTGCATCCAGCACGTACGCTTTACATGCGCCTATGCAACGTGATATTAGAATACAATAGTACTCTACTACAATCATAATCTCCAATATTTTAAACGATTTCGCTATACCCCATCAGCAAATATTTTAAAGAGATATGGAAATGATGGAGGTACGGTCTTGCTTAGTCGGGTCACTTTGGTTCCATTATATACAGAGAGGAATTGTCGACCTTTCTGTTGAACACTTTTGTATTTCTAAGAAGAGAAGAAAATCGAACATAAACAAGGTACATGCTGCCAGCAGCTTCGCTAAGTGAGGTTCTTTAGCCATTAAAGATTGATATAATATAATATTGTCGACACCGTAAAAGAACCGACAACCACTTTAGTTAGCCGAAACACGCTTCTCTAAACTTATTCACTCAATGCACAAGCGTTCCTCCCTCCTCAACAAATGATTTAACGACTTCGCTTTAACGCCATTTCCGTTTCTAAGCTCTTGTCCACAGTACACTGCTTTTAACTCACCATTTCGTGCTCAAACTGCTCAGCTTACCTGAATGTATGCACAGCATCACAGCTCCGAGATCGCACTTATTAAAACATATGTACATAAACGACTTTAAATGGCTTCTAAGCCAACCCATCTCCAGCCACAGAAAAAAGGGCTTAAAAATTTAAGTCACGGGGCTTTCAACAGTTTCACTTTACCTTTACCGGTACTATAATTTTATCGCGTAATGAAGTGGTTTTCTCTTATAGAATCATGTTATTAAAGTTCTAAGCATTCGCACTGCGGTAAGGCGCTTACCACCATAGCGCCGACTCTGTGCTGGTACATACGTATACACTATACAGTATACTGTGTACACGAATAACCGATATTTTTGACTCGTAAGCAAAGGATGAATTTTTGTTGCGAAAGTGCCGTCTGTTGTTTATCCGGGCACTTTTGCAGATGCATCTGTACATCGTTACTAAAGGTCGCAGTTTCTTCCGTTTAGGTAAATTATGCGGATGCCAAATCTTAAGTGTCGGAAAAATGAGTGCTGACCAGACAAACTTTTCTATAAACTACTAAACTACATCTCTTATTACTTCACTACTGTGCCACAAATTTGTTTTAAGAAAAGTCACACATCGAAACTTGAGAACTGTCCACAAAGCTAAATCACAAGAATTCCCTTGTCCGCTCAAGAATAAACTAGGAAGTTTGTTGAGTAGGCAAGTGCCAGTCGTACCAATTAAATTTACTACAACGAAGCTTCAAATGCAAGCGCAGATAATATACGTATACAGGTTATAATGTATGTACAATATGTATGGACGTTCTGAAATATTGCATATGATACCACTATAGTCGTTGCGTTACCTCAGCTTTAAACTGCCGGCTTTTTTGCGAGTTCTTACTATTATTACGCTTTTTCATAAATCAGACACGAAACATGTTGTTCAACGGTGCAAGATTCCAAATACATCAAAGCAAAACAATAAATTATGTTCATAAATGAAATCCTTGCAGTTGATATGTCACCCATTGCCTTGTTCGCTGCAGTGACCTGTTTGCAATTTCGCATTTCGTTGAATATTAGACTTGAACGTAAATATTGCATGTACTGATCATGACAGACTTTAGCGATCGGTTATAAACCGAGCAGTAAGCTCTGGAGGATACATGACGTGAGGATTATCTTGTAAAGAAAAGACAGATGCGCATTAAGCGTAATCAAAATTCCAAGTTGTAGCCAGTAGCGAAAGGCCAAGTCCTTATACGCCTAAGGAATCTCAAAGGGCTAACTTATATTAATCCTCCGGCGACATGGAAGAAGTAAGCCCAGCCAAAGCAATTTTTAAAATTGATTTCTGTCGTCACCATCCTTTCCAAGCTGGCAAGATTGTTTTCGATTACAAATTTGTGATTTGAAGAAAACTATTTTCCAATCAAGTATACATAAATTAATGGAAAATCCACGATAAAAAATACGTAATGAGCTTCTTAACTTATACGAGCAACAAATTTACCACACCGACGATATACGATATACGTAAAAACGAGCAGTGGATACGTATTTGGCATGCGTCGGTAGCGGCTTAATTATTACCTTGTAATTAGGCAACTTATTTGCCGCCATTATCACCCTAGGTAACTGTAATTGCAACGTTAGCATGCCTAAATATGCATATATGTGTGTGAAGCGTAGAAGCGTAGAAGCGTAGATCTGTAGAGATCTGTAGTGACGAGTGACGGAACTAGAGCTTCCTGCAAAAGAATTTCCATCGTAGACGTACGTAGCACCGTAGGCCACTTGCCGTATTTTAATAAAATTTTGTGTAGACCGGAAAGTGCAATACATCATAGAGCCGTGATGAAACATGAAGTCTGTCTAATTTGAAAAGTGTCCTCACCTTTGGTGCATACGAACGTTATCAAGCATGCTAATTTCCGTTTCACTCTGATCTCCTTGGACGTTAGCTTTCGACTTTTTCAACTTGCTGCCAGCGAACGTGAGAGAAATCACATATTTTTCAAGTATCACAGGAAAGGAAGGCCGTTATATCATTGTTAAATGTGAAAGAGATGCTTTACGGGTTCACAGCGATAGGCCAAGGCGAATATTAACAAGATCAACCGGCAGTGCAATATGATACATCTTTTCCAGTTCTTCCCATCACATTTACGTGCAACGAGAAAAATGTTGTTTTTTTTGTATATCGGTACAGCCGACTCTTGGGCTGTGCTATCTCTCTAGGACATACTCAAGACTTGCATACCCTTCAAGAGCAGAATAATAATTCAATAAATTAATACCACCTTCAATCGTGCACTTCATAAAGACTGGCCTTGACAAACCGGCGTCCAGCGCAATTTGCGATATGAGATGCCCGGCAAACAAGAAATAACTGTGACAGCAAGCACTTACCAATACACAAAGATACGCCTGCGATTCTTGAAAATTAGGCATTTTTGTCCTACTGAATTTTCTGCGTTGTAACTATAATTGTAGTGAGTAGCTATAGTGAGTACACCATATCGAACAATATGTAAGTTGTACGCGGTTCAAAAACTGATCACCTTTAGGCTTGACCATGACTTAATTGAAAGTAACAGTCGTCTATATAAGAACTGCAGAATATATTTTTGATTTCTCGATTGTAGGACTCGTGTGCTTTTTTGAAGCATTATCTGTCTTTGTAGAATTTCGACAAAATGTAAGAGTATTACCG